ACTAATATAGGTTTAGTACTTAAGTATATTATATAACTTAATTATAAAAGATATTAGGTAGGCTAAAGAAAAAATAAAATATTATTATAATCTAAAGTATAGGGACACGCCTTAAAGAAAAGAGAAAGAGTTTATCTATTATAATAAATAATAGGAAGAAAAGATTTTAATATTAAAAGTAAATAACTAAGTAATAAACTTAATACTATAAAATATAGATTATTTAAAATTAAAAAGAAACTTATAAATAATAACTATTACCTTATACTACTAACAAGAATATAAGTTTACCTAGTATTCTATATCTTATTACTTAAACTAATACTAAATCTAGAAAATACTAAAGATAAAGTAACTAATATTAATAAGGAATTTAAAGTTAAAAAGATCCTTAACTAATAAACTATAGAAAGTTAGGTTTAGTATCTTATTAAATAGAAGGATTACTTACTAAAAAATAATTTATAGGAACCTATTAGGTATTTAAACTACCCTAATAAGATTTATGAATTTAGTAAGGAAATAGTTAAAGAAAAAGTCTAATAAAGAAAATAATATAAAGGTATTAGTAGCTTTTATATTAAAAACTACCTATAAAGAACTTTTACTATTTAATATAGTAACTAATTAACTCTTTTCTATCTCTAGAATTTCTTTTTATTTCTACTTCTTCTCCTTAAGCTTGTTAAGATCTATAATTTCTTTATAATTATAAGTAATAAAATTACTAGTATACTATTTTAATAACTACTTTTATTTTTAAAGATAAATTAATTTATTAAGTAACTACTTTTTATCTTCCTTAATTTTATTTTAAGCTATAACCAGCTTATACTACTTATTATTAGTAAATATTAAATTTAAATTAATATATTTATAACTTTTTATATAAACATACTTACTATATTAACTAGATAGATTAGATTTAATATAAGTCTTCTTAAGATATACTATATATAAGAAAATACTATTATAAAGCTATATTTAATAATCTACTTTTAGAAAGTTTTCTTTATCCTAGAGGAATTTACTATTATAAAGGAAGTTAGTACCTAGGTAGTATAAGAAGATAAAAAAGATTAAGTATTAGAAACTTACCTTACCTAAGGATACTATACTACTTATATCTTTAAAATAAAGATCTTAAAAGAGGGGGATTATTAGAGAGCTATACTAAGAGATAGAATATTATTAACTAATAGATCTACCTAGTAAGATTATAGTAATAATAGGATATTATATTATTAATAAAATATTATATTAGAAACTAGAATCTAGGTTATTCTAACTAAATAGATTAAAGGTCTAATACTAGACTAATTTAGGACTATAATTAGATTATAGATCTAATACTAACCCTATATAATGACCTTTAGTAGACTAGTAATCTAACCTAATTAGACCCTGGGTCTAATGAAAGCATAGTATTTAAGGATACTTATTATTATATATAATTAGTTTTAGCTACTATTTATTATCTTTAGAATCCAAGCTACCCTACCTTTTAGAAACCTAGTTATCCTTCTTTATTTATAAAGAAGCACTCTTCTCTCTTAATATAAGAATATCCTTAAGACCCCCTGGTCCTAAGCAGGAACGATAGGGCTTATCTGACAGGTTATCTTATAGGCGAGGGGGATATTATTATAGGCTAAGCTTAACCCTTAGAAGAACTTAGTCTTTAACCTTATAACTCTAGAATATCCCTATAGAACACGTGACCTATATATTCTTATATTCTACTATAGCCACCTGAATTCCTATTCATTAACTATTCCTTTTGTACCAACAGGCGTAGCTAGTTCGTCAATTGATACGCTACCCCTAACACACTTCACTAATTAATTTTTTTTATAAAAATTAAATTATATTTTAGGTTTTAAATAGGCCTAATTTACTATTATAAAATATTTAATTATAAAGGTTCTAGCTGTATTATAACCATATTTATATATTAATTATTATTACTTTTAATAGACTACTTATAGTATTAAGTATTAATTATAGCAGTTTTAGCCTTTTAAGGTTTATAGGTAGTATAAAAAGTAGTAATAAAAATAAATAGCTTATTCAAATAGCCTAATTTAAAAATAAAAATTAAATAATAAATTAATACTAAAGATTAAAATTAACTCTTTATAAGTAGAGGAAATTCTTTATAGGCTTAGTTAGCCAACAGGCTGACTAAGAACTATAGGTTGCAAATATCTAAGTACATTTGCGGGCCTTACACTCAGGTACCATGCAACTCATGATGAGTGCCACGGTCTTAAGCTTCATGCTGTACCTTCCACAAAAAGACCAACTTACATCCAACATTGATCCAACCTCACCGCTTACAGTGGTTGATCACCTGACGATCGTTCCCACCTGACGATCGATTTCAACCACGACCACCACAACAAACATGAAGCAATTCAACCACATACAACTAATATTATAGCTCAATTTTTTGGTGGCATAATACAGTAATAATTTAGAGTAATTCTGTCAATTTTAATTGGTCTGGAAGCGCTGTGGGGGCCGGATCTCGCGGCCTTGCTGATTTACTATACAAGGGGCCTCTTTAATAAGTTCATGAGATAGTGGGCTAGTATCCTGTGTATCCTTTTAAATTAAAGCTTTAGAGGACTTCCTTAGAGACTTCTTTACCTATTAGAAGTTAATTTAAAGCTGCTTCGTGGCCTCCTTTAATATATAAGTATCCTCTTTCTCCTACCTCTTTTACTCTACCTCTAGGCTATGTAATTCTCGCTAAGATACCTAGATTTTCTTATAATCCTTAACTAGGCGCTGCTTTACCTCTTTCTCTTACTACTATTAGACCTTTTACTCCTTATTAAAGGCCTTTAGCTATTTAGTAGCTCTTTCCTTTTTAAGCTAAAGGTCCCGCGCCTGCTAAATTTTTTAAGGGGAGTAAAAAACTATACTACTATTATCTAGAGCTTATAATTAAAATTATAAAGGCTTTCTATACTAACGCTTTTTCTTCTTATTCTAGAGGGCTATCTAGAGGCCCTTATATTAAAGCTTTAGAAGAATATTCTCTATAGAGAGGTTATATATAGCTAAACTAAGCTTCTTAGTATTTTTACTATATATATTCTTAATAACATCCTAGAGGAGCTTCTTAATCTTCTACTAGTCTTCTACGCCTAATATAGAGCGTGAGGACTTACTTATTAAAGGCCTTAACTATAGTTCTTCACTAAATCTCGCTAGAATAATTTTAGGGTTAAATAGGTGTATCTTAACTATTCTTTATTAAGATATAATATTCTTAGTTAATAAGGCCTTTATCCAGGCTAGGAAGAAGAGGCGAAAGAAGTCTTATTTAGTAATATAACTTAGTCCCACGAATATATATAGGTATGCCTCTAGTTCGCTGCTATAGGCGTAGGAAAGTAGGCTAAAGATCCTAATATTAAGTAGCTACAGCGAATGCATTAAATGCGGAGGATATATTACTAAAAGGATCTTATTATTATCATAGTAATTAAAGAACTTCATGGTAAGGTAAGATCCATGGCTATTAAGGAATAAGAGCCTCTATTACCTTCATGCTTTATCCTTCGTCTCCTAGTTAAAAACTCTAGTTAACTAGGTATATCTAAGCTTATCATTTATCTAACTACTTAGTATAAAGGTCCTTGGCCTTTCTAAGGTTCGCGAGTAGTGTGAAAGGTAGTAATAAAGTAAGATAGCTTGTTGCAATAGCTTAATTCCAAGAATAAGGATCTAATGGTAGATTAATAATAAAGGTTAGAATCAACCCTTCACAAGCAGAGGAAATCCTCTGTAGGCTTAGTCAGCCCGCGGGCTGACTAAGGACCATGGGTTGGAAATATCTAAGTACATTCTCGAGGGCCTTTCGCGAGGGCCTTACACTTAGAGAGGAGGTAAAAAAGGTCTTATAGTATTAAGGATTAAAATCCTATAGCTAGGTATCTTATATATTACTACTAGCTACTTAGTAAATAAGTACTGGGGATAGTAAGGTCTCATTAGCGTAAATATAGGTAATTATAGTTATCTATTTATGATTCCTATCTTATAGGCGCTACTTGAAGTTTCCTTGCTTATATTTACGCTTTAAGAAGATCCTAAGACCTTTTAATAGTATTCTAATAAGAAAGCCTTTCTTATCTATATTATATATATTTCCTGGCTCCACCTTGTATTTATTAAGCTTCCGGGCTAATAGATCGAAGTATTATAAATATTTATATGTAGAATTAGCTCGCTTTTAATTAGAATCTATAGTAGTTATATAGGTAGAGGAGAGCTTAATTTAGTATTACTTTAGAAAGTAGCTAGGCTAGTAATTTCCTAATTTCTTTCCTATTAGTTCTTTTATAAAATTCCGAAGCATCTCATGTAATATATATAAGCCTTTATTAGAGAGCTTATTAATGTATTTTATAAGATCCTTGGCCTACTAGTTGTTAAGAACTTACTATTCTTTATATTAGTCTTTCCTAGAGCGCTGAATTCCTTTGTAGCGCCTTGATAGAGTTATCTAGTTGACCCTAAACTCTTTCATAATTTTAGTATAGTTAATTGAATCACCTGGCTTTAGTAATTTAATTACTTCTATCACTACATCTATTAGAGTCATATTGAATAAGATACAAGAGTTTGAAGTTTGGTAGTTGAAATATCAGTGAGGGGAAAATCGATCGTCAGGTGGGAATGATCATCAGGTGATCAACCACTGTACATATAGATTACAAATATCCAAATATATTCGCGAGGGCCTTAATTCATTCCCTTGATTAAATTAGACTATTATAATAAGCATATTTATTGTTATTATTACCTTACACACCATTTACAACCCTTATAAAGGCCAAGAACCTTATAGCTTTGATTATGGTATTCTTGCTACTGATGAAAATGGTTCCTAGAATTTGCATTGTCTATTTATGCAATAAAAGACAAGCACACACTTGAATGCAACAGTAGCCACAATCTCGCCCATTAACCAGGCGTGACATGGTCTACACAGGCCGTGACACAAGCTTTTCGCTCAGGTTTACAGCCGTAAATGTCTTTGGAAGTTTGACACTAAAGCACACCATTAGTCCTCGAGAAGCAAAGACGAGTGCCATGTGTATACTGACGTGTTGAATTTTGCTTTAAGCGTCTCAATCACCTCCTTCCAATCCTGATGTGCGGTAAGGCTGCGTCGAGGCGCACAGCCAATAGCATGCCTTGAGTCGAGGTGTACATCCAACGGATCAAAAGCGTGACACCCTGGGCTAATAGAGATTCTGATAGAGTAAGAGTTTGTCGATGATTCACTATCTCTGGCTTCATAAAGTTCGAAGCAAATCTGTGAGAGGTAATCCAACTCTGGAATGGCGGAACGAGCTATCTTAGTCTGAATCCCACCCTCTAGAATGCAGTTCAAAAGGGTGTATATGTGTGACTCTTTGGTGAAGTAGAACACGGACTTTGCATCCGACGAGGCCTGAACCTCCTCTAAATCCCTCACGATTTCCTGCAGTAGTGGCAGAGATGTCAACAAGCCAATCTCAAGCTTTTCCGTGTCAGTGATGCCGTACTCCTGGGGAGTCACGTAGTCGAAGAGCACCTTGGCTAGTTTGTACAACTCCCGCAACTTGGAAAGCCGAGAATCCAGCTTAGTCTTTGATGAATTAGAGCTTGGATACAATTTGAAGTAATGGTCGTAAGTGTCGTCGAGTGCCCTCAAATGCGGGATGGACTCCAACGCACGCCTCTTCAGACCGAATCGATGTGCCAAGGTTTGGCCTTCAATGTGCTGCTCGTCGGTTTTTCCATGGGTGGCTCCATCGTAGTTCCCAGCTTTCACCTCCGCGGCTGGTTCCTTCCTAGAAAACCTCCTCCGAGGAACGTCCGGTACGCCATAATCGCTGTCTTCAGTATCTGGAGGCGTAAAAACCCACTCAAGGAACTGCCGATTGTGGAGCGCATCGAACTTCATGCTGTCATATAGTTCGGATAACTTGCTAGGGTCAACTTTTTCTGTATCGCAAAATTCGGCGAATAGTTTCTCCCATCTTTCCTTGAAAAGCATGGGATCCTCGCCTGTACACCAGCGTCCTTGAATAGAAGACGATGCAGGATTGCCATTAGGTAAGGCCGCAGGACGCGAACTGTTTGACTGGTCAACATCCCCACTTGCGTTCATAGAGGTCCGTGCAGGGTTGTCCAACTTCTGGAAGTTATGTCGCATAATGTCCCGATGAAACTTCATCAACTCCACAACTGTGGCCAAAACAACCGACGGTTCAGGAATATTCTCTTTTGGCCATGTAAATTGTGAAGGCGCGGATCCTTCCCGCAAAAGAAGTTTCAGCTTCTTCTTCACCTTATCCATGAGATCCTTCGCCGCATTCGAGTCGTCCAGGAGGTCCTTTCTGACCTGTATAAAACCCTCTGGAATTTCCTTCTGATCAAGAAACGAGCAAGCCCATATTTGAGCTAGTGGTCTCAGTTAATGATATGATTCAAGTATACTGCCGTCTGTATTGACTTACCACTGGTACTGACCCTCCTCTCCGAGCTTGTGAAAACCCGAACATTGTTGAGCGCCTCCTTATTCATTAGTTTTAGATCATCTCGCATGGTAAGGCCAAGGTCTTGGGATTGATATCGTGCTGCATGTGTGGGCTCCCCCCCCCATTTAATCACCAGTTGCAGTTTATCAAGGATGAGGTCGTTTTCCACCGCGGAAAACCTCGAGAACGTCGCGCCAGAGATCGAATCACTTCGTGTCTGCGGCCTGCCCATGTCTTCACCATCCTGAAATGCATCGCTGGGCAAAGGAGAAATCGGCTCTTTCTCAACCGCCTCGCCACGAACCGACGATTGTTCTAAGCCCTCCTCGGGCTTTCGTTTTCTGAACATCGGTTTTATTTGCACTTTGGTCCCGGGCCAGCCGCCTTTTTTCTCCAAGGAGGTACGGAGCAACTTCAATTTGTCAGTATCCTCAAGTCCATGCCTCAACGCGTAATCCACGGCATCGGAAACGCTACGCAAAGCAGATTCGCCTTTGATGACAACTTCCTCTTGGTGTCCTTTCAGTAGGTCGATAAATGGTTGGCTATGAAAGGTGAACTTGAATTTCTGCTTTGGAGTTCGATCGGCATGCCGGATCACGGCTACCATGCCCTTCAATTTCCACGAATGCTTGGATGCGGGTGGCGGGGGGTTAGCTCCGTTTGAATTATCAACAGGCGTATTGGCTTGGGTCGTGTTCTGGTTGATGTGTAGACTAGGAGACACCGCGTTATCCCTTGGAGCGGCGGGTTTTTGTCCATTGCCCTGGTCCAAAGTATCATGGTTAGACAGCGACAAACCCGTCTGGAGCGACTCTGTAGACCCAGCGTCTGGAACCCTGTTGTGTTGCTGGCCAGCATTGGGCTTAGCCGAGCTGGGAGACTTCAGCAATGTTTTCAATGCTTGCCGGTGGGTCACCGAATGTCTCCATGAAGGATGAGAGGGATCAGGAGACAGTGCTTCAGGAGCTTCCACAATACCATCACGCTTGCGCTTCTCTTGGATAAAGATGTCCCTGAGAATGCTGGCACATCTGTCATAATAGTCATTGTTGTCCTTCACAAAGCTCCAGCCATTGACATCAATCACGTAGCTTCTGTCACCGACTCGAAGCATGTCAAAGCCGCAAATCCTCTGTCCAAACCCGTATGATATCTTTGATGCTATTGAAGCTTCCTCCTTGCTCAATTTGGTAATGTACCTAAGTTCTTTTCCATGCGTGTTGCGGCGCACGAGCCCGTCAACCACAGGAGATTTGCGAGTTTCTGCATGGCAAAAATCTGGACCAACCGTGTAAGCTTTGACGTCTTCCGCATTGTCAACTCTGAGGAACTGTTCGTATATGTAACTGGTGGCCTTTTCCGTAACCGACCGGGGAATTACAAGGTTGGGATCGTATTCAGAGCTCTTGTTTCCAACCTTCCGGAAAAGCCGCCTACCACCACCTCCGTACTGTTGATCATTGGGAAAGTAGATGTGTATGTTATGATTTTCACCATCAACTGGTTTCTCAACGAAAGGTTTTCTGAAGATCTTGCCGTCAACAATGAGCGAGTCACCATCATCGGAGATTGCAACGGTTTTGGTTCTCGGCGAACCGCCCCCCGTACCGTCGGTGGGACCATCAAGTTTGACACCTGTCAGCTTGTATACATGCTGTGCAAGGTCCGTCGACTCAAGAGTAGGTCCACCGTCTCGGTTAACCTCCATTCTTCGAGGAGTGGGGACACTCATATGGTCTAGGATGCGCAGGCAGAGACGCCGGTCCCATAAGACCTTTTGCATCGGCAAGTCATTGACGCAGAAGGGCTTTCTGAGCTTTGCATATGCAATAGCCTTGTCTAGAGGAAATCCGTCGGAAAAGAAGGCAATCAGATAATCGCAGACCGGCCAATTTTCCACTGCCTCGTCAAGGATCACCTTGTCACCGAAGACAATCACTTCGAAGTCACCCTTCGATTGAAGGCGAGTGAGGATATTCTGACTAGGTTTGCTGCGGGCCTTCACATCCAGGGCACAGACGCCAATCTTGCCGAGATAACCAGGAATAACCTCCACCTCGCTGATTGAGCTTGCAGCAGTGCTTCCGCTGAGTCTTCTTGGCGTCCGACTGGATGATCGTGCAGAAGAATGGGCTCCTCGGCTTTGGCTCTGTACATCTGGCGCGTTCTCAGGTTTGGAGGTCTTCGACTGGTGGGCTTGAGAGCCATGCGTAACATTTCTCGATGAGCTGGATGCCGATGAGTCAAAAGAGAACCGAGATGATGGCTTTTCCTCATCTGGCCCGCTGTTGGATGCCGATGCATTCGATTTGAGAGAGGGGCTAAACCCGGGGGGAGCCCCGCCAGTATTGTCACCGGTATGAGCCATTTGAAGAAATTGGAAAAGTGTATCAGGGAAAAGAATATTGTAGGAACTGGATTGGTTGGCCCCCAGGGCACTTTTGTGATCCTTGCTTTTCCTAATGCGATAAATTGGCTGTCAAAGGGACTTGCACCGTCATGTCCTTTGTTGGAGCGGAGCGGACTTTCCGTATTGTGAACTTAAGGAAGCGGACAGACAGGCTCATAGCAGGGGAAGGAGAGAAGCTGCTTGGGTTTCCATGGTTCCAAGTTCTAGTTCATCGGGTGCGCATGGAACGTCTAGAAATCAAACTGCGGGTCGGTTACAGTGACTGCCTCGATATTAATTGAGTCCCGTTTAGCGCAGAGCTTTAATCGGCTTTGATTTGTGTATATCCTTTGAAGTGGGAAAAGTCTGCCTGTTATTTTCCAGGGGCTCACCTACCTATCTCATCCGGACGGCCATGTTAGTTAGCTCAAGGCAATCGCCACAACTGGTCCCACTGGGTTGCGGATTGCCAATAATGACACAATAATTATTCCAGCCCAGGTGTCATTTGAGACGCTAAACTGTTGTTCTGGAAAACTCTGGTCGTAGGAGGGCAAAGTAGGCTAAGAGGTTTGATTTCGCTCTCAAAGTTAGTCGACAGCCTCCAACGAGAGCAATCCCGTGGGGGTTCAGGTCCGGTCGGGTCTAATTATAGTCGGCAGCTGCCGGCAGGCCATACCCCGGCCGAGTTACTCGCTACGAATTTGTCTACTCAATGGATACAGTCGATGCTACGTATTGTGTCCCACTGCACCGCTGCTTGGATCGTTTACCAAACCGACGGCTGATGAGAACATTGGAAACTCTCATTCCCCAGATTGTTTGGTGTTGAGACTGTCAGACCCATGAGACCCACGAGATAGCTGCTATCAGAAAAATGACAAGGAGCTAGCTGATGACATAGAGAACACAACTTACAGCTAAGCACTTGCAACTATGAACCATGCGCAGAACATTACGGATGGATAATTCAGTCCTTATTGGTTGGTAGTGTCACGAGTATCGCTAATTCTCAAAGCTGATTTAGAAAGCTGTTGCCGGTCTCTTTCCTTGGAGATCACGACGAGGGTAGCGCGTGCAGTGCATGGGCTTCAGAATGTTTGGTTTTCCATGATTCCCGGTCAACCACAAGGACCTTCTTTGCATTGGACGCCTTTAGCTCACGCGAAATCGAAAGGATGAGGGGCCCGGCGTGGGGTTGTTGCTATCGATCGGTTTCAAGTCCTCCTCCGCGGCGAGGAATCGCTCACATCAAATTGCCGCGATGTATAGCACTATAGACAACCAGGAATATATCAGCACTATGTTTTGACAATATGACTGGCGGAAAGGGATTCGGTACCATTATTTCCTCGAATGAAGGCATCTCCATAGCTACGGGTGAGCTTGCCACTGACAAATTCCTGTGACTTCTCCAAGGCAATGTTCATGTAGCCATCTACAGACTGAAGTTCGCCTAGTATGAGCGTTAGCGTCCCTTGCCATCTACCTGTCTGTGGAGTCCGGGATTTATGAAAAACAACCTTTGTATACAACACCAGAGTTCAATTTGACTGTCACAGGAGCCCCGATTATCTCACCCAAGAAGGCGGACGGATCTTTCCCTTCAGACGATGCACCATTCTCCATCTTTGGTTGACCGGCTGTGTCCTTCGCTTTAAGACAAAAATTGAGAACAAGAAATATGTCTCGATTGACGTGTGGTGTTCCAAAGTTGAGGAGGAGCGTGGTAGATGGTTAGAGGGAGAGAAATCGACGAAAGCGGGCACACCCGCACGTGTCTGATTCGAAGATGACCATCTCCTAGGTATCTTCCGCACGAAGATTTCAACTATCTCTCTCCCTTTCCCTCTTTCCTCTCTCCGTCTCTTCATCCATGTTCATGATTTGGAAGCGACGCGCACACTAAAACACTTACTTTTTCCTTCCCAGCTGTGTTTTGGATAAAGGGGACGGTTTTTTTTTATCGCGAGAACGATTCGGGCATGCGATCTTTCTTTAATAAACCCGCTTGGGCAAGCACGGGCAAGGACAGCGGCGATCCAGAATTTTATCGCCGCTCTGGCCAAACCTACAATGATATCATCGCAATCAACAAAAATGCGCGGGAGCGACGAGCAGGTGCTCACCAGTCCAGTCCGCAGAAACGTCAGCATGTTTCAAACTTCGCGAAAGGAGGAGGTAGCGAAGACACTGGTAGTGAGGAACAACCGATGTCAAAACGACGGACACCGTCAGACAGTTCACCCCCTCCGTTGACCGTTCAGGATGATACCAGTCCTGATAGTCGAGCCAGTGTAAGCCGTCATTCGGTTGTTGATAATAAATCCCCGCCCATGGCGATGGACAGAGAAGTTTCCACATCCCCGCCAGTTCGAGAGAGCGAGTCGCCTCAACTTGTCTCAACAGCGGCTCCCATCCAGTCACCTTTTACTGATGCGACAAGCAAAGAAGAGCCAAAAGAACTTTCAACATGTCCCTCCAACGTTACAGACACTTCAGCACAGGCGGATACATCTCGTAGTGACCGCAACTCCGCCCTAGACAACACGGTCGTTCAAATCCTCATAACTTCGAAGATCGCGAATACCAGGCCTTTGATCATCCACCGCAAAATGTCACAATCTCTGAAAGGAGTTCGTCTCGCATGGTGTATCCACCAGAACCTACCAAAAGAGCTCCATCCGACAGTCATTTTGACTTGGAAGGGCAGACGGCTCTTTGACGTCACGACCTGTAGATCTCTGAATATTAATGCACACAGTGCTTTTAGCAAGGATACATCTGCCTTCGGCGATATTTTTGGCGAGGCACAGGATATTCGAATACATATGGAGGCTGTTACTGAAGAAATTCTTACAGCTGCATATCAGCCTTCACCGAGCATGTTTCGGTCCGGCTCGACGCCTCCCGCATCTGCTGAGCCTCAAGATACTGAACAGGAAACACGGAGTGAGATTATCCTCAAGTGCCCGGGACTTGATGACTTCAGACTTCGGGTGACACCGAAGACGCACGTGTCCCACGTTGTCACAGCCTTCCGTGAGGCAAGGAGCATATCCACAGAGTTCGAGATATATCTTGCGTTCGACGGTGATCGATTGAATCCTCAGTCTTGTTTGGCGGATTATGAGATGGACGATGGCGATCTAATTGATGTTCTCGTTAAGAGACTAGTATAATCAACATGCAATCGGAAATGCCCTTTCGCTATTCGGACAGTGCATTGATATTCATACAACCATGCGTTCCTCGACCCTGTCGTCACAACAGTTGGCGCATGAAGACCCGATCGGCAGATATTTTTGGGCGCTCGGGCTATATTTTCCCTATGTTTTCTTCACAATATTGAGAGACGTAATTTTTGCTATGACGTTGATGTTGAGGGCGCGGCAAAAGAAGATAAGGATCGGAAGAGGCTACGATAAGAATATTTTTTTGCGCTTGGCGGCGGGAGAAGTTCCCTCCCTCCCCACCGAGTTTAAATCTACTTTTCACCTCCATTTGGCAAAAACACATCATCATTAGCATCTGGAATCGAAAGCCAGACTACTTATAATCAACGTGCAAGATGAAATTACTCACTGTCAATTTTCTGACATGCGCGGTCAAGGCTTGCAAAGGATCCCCTGCCGCATTTCCGCTCCATTTCCGAGAAGTTGAGCTTGAGCTACAGGACGTTGATTTCCAGCCAGAGTTCATACGAAATATCATTACCCGAGTCGACTGGGAGGGGCTTCATAAGATGGCAAATGAGGTAGGTGCCAGGACTTAGTTCTGTAAACCATTCGGCGCCCATCTGATTCGATCGTTCTATCAGCTCAACTTTCCCAACATCCCGGAGATCAAACCCGAGGGCGAGGCGCTTGAAAATGAACAGCTTTTGAAGGACCTCCATAGACTGCTATTGGAGACACAGGTCGCTGAAGGCAAGCTGATTTGTGGAAACTGTGGCCACGAATACATGATCAAAGAGGGCATCGCGAATTTTCTGCTTCCCAGTCATTTAGGTATGAAACTTGGCACCCTCAATTCCATGTCTATTGCTAGATGAAAGTCGTTGCTAACATGGTTCTAATTTCAAGTCTGATGACGTCTGTCTTTTAATCCCCTACCCCTTCGCACTTTAATGTTCAATCACATACGGGCCATGTGGTATAAAACATCAGCGTCTAGCCTAGATGCTTTTGACGAGGTTGCTCTTAATCCACCTTACGCCAATAATTCATGCAAAGTCTATCCGAACCTTCAATTATCTCTTAAGTGAAATCTGGGTGCGACCAGATTTCCTATGATACATGGAAGCTGCAAGTGATACAGTGATAGCCCGCCACGCACAACAATCATCCCTAAAAGGCGAACGGGAACAACCAACCGGGGCTAAATGAATGCAAATTTTCGCCAAGAACGCCTCAAAGCAAATGCACCACACCGCAGAGTCACGTCCCACGTGGTCGTGAAATAAGCCTCATAAGCCCCAAATCCAGCGGCAGGAATTGGGTGGAAAGCATGGGAAATGAAATATGGGCAAGCGTCCCTAGTAGGAAGCTTAATTCAAAAATCCCTTGCATCCGGCCGAGCCACAAAGGCATGGAATCCGGTCATCACTATCCCACTCCCTCTCGAATTTGTAGTCGTAGGTCAGCTCCTCGTCTGCAATAAGTCAGTATGGTTCGTGGTTGGATGACTTGATATATCTAGCATATAGGAGGGTCTCACCTCTTTCAATGTCCCTCAACGCGTAAATAACGATTCGTTTGCTCCCATCAACCTTGATGATTTTGGCGGTACAGTTTGGAGTGCAGCTATGGTTGATAAACCTAGCAATGCCACCCCTCTTTGTCGCGTCAATGACTGTATTTTCATCGATGCGGAACAAATAGCTACTGCCAATACCGCTTTTGAGGTATCGCCTTTCCCTCATATCGGCAACCTGCTGCCGTACTTTCTCTCCAACATACTCGATAATCATCTCGTTGGCAGAAATATTGACTTCCGCATAAAGACCCCAATTATGAATCGCGGACCGTGCGAACCGCACTGGCTTCTTTCGCTTCTTCAGCTGATTGAAACGGAGAGCATCGCTATCACCGCTCTGCGCTGGTAGAGCTTGTTTTTGTGCATTAATATCTGCAATAAGCCTGCGGTTGTTGACTCTTGTTGATCGAGATGTCGATTTGGAAATCGTCTTTGCGGCAGCAATGCGCGCGGCCTCGGCGGCAGCATTCTGCGGGTCGCTTTTGGCCTTGGCCTCGCGCTCTTCACGAGCCTTTTGCACCTTGATACGGTGTGGAAGATACTTTGATTTCTCTGACTCAAGAATCCTCTTTCTTCCTTCGGTCCGAGCAGCGCCTGTTGTATTCGGGACATAGTAGCCATTGATAGTAGCCGGCTGCTGCGTGGGTCCTATATCGCCGGGGCGATTTAGAGCTTTGATCTCCTTCTGTCGCCATGCCCAAGCGGAAAGGTTGCCGACGCTAGACGGGGTTTGCTCCTTGAGGATATTACGAAGGAAGAGTAGATCCTCGTCATCCTTGACCAGGTTCTGCCATCCATCCAAGTCCAGAACAATCAGGTCGTCATCATCAACGATCGGCCGGGGTTCGTCATTAGAGGTTCTCCATTCAACTTCCAGCCTGGGTCCACCATGACCGGCAGCTTCGTCAACTGCATCCTCAGACAACGGCTGAGCATATTCACCACCCGGGTATTGTATATCAAGCCCCTCTGAGCGCGATAAGTTCGTGTCGTCGTCCAGGCCCCGAGAGTCCTTTGCCAATCCAGACGTCCTTTGAGCAATGATGTCCTTATCGGTACTCTCCAGATAAGTTGGCAGGCCCCCGGTCGGCGTATCATCCTGCTCCAGATTGAAGGCATCATCTCCCTTTTGCTTTTTCCGATGATCGAAGCCATCGCCGATTCTTTTCCTCTTTCGGGATGGAGAGAATCCTTCATCAGCAACTCCCATATCTGCATTTGCCAAATCATCAGGACCCTTGCTGTCCAGTACGTCTGTCGAGACATCGAACGGTTCTGTATCCTCACCATCGTCGGATTCGGTGGCTGAGCTCATACGACTTTGGGCCCGGCTCTCTTCATCATCCTCGGTGTCCCTAGATAGAGGGGTGTGCTGCTCATCGTCTGATTCTTCCTCATCATGTAGCTGTTGTAGGCGATGGTAAAGAGGCCGAACCTCTTTCCTTCTTAGAGGTTGCTTGCGCCTCTCATCTAAGAAAGCTGTTTCTGTACGGTCGAGTCGATGCGACTTCCTGATACGGGGAAGTGCAAGGATGTTAAGCCCAGGTGTACTGAGGGGGTGCCGCAGTCTCGAATGTGGATCAGGTGTGCTGTCCCGACTGTCAAAGTCAAGGCGAAACATTGGCCGCTTTACCCCCTCTGGATCAGGTATTCCCAATTGCCTTCTCCGCAGTGCGTGTCGGTCTGGATCCAGGAATTCATATAATGCCGGCGCAGCTATCCGTGACTTGGTATCTTCAAGAAGCTTGTCTTTAAGATCTTTCACTATTATGGCCAAGACTTCCTTGCACGGATCAAAGTCTAGGGCTCGCTGTTTCTTTTCTTCTTCGACGTCCAGTTCAGCCTCCCGTTTCAGCCGTTCGGACTCTGCTTTAGCCCGCTTTTCTCGTTTCAATCGCTCAGGACTTGGGCTGCGTTCATAATGCGGGTTGCCGTAGGGCTGGCTTTCCATGTTCATGATGTATGTGAACAAGGGCTTCATGTGCGAGTACTTGTAGCACCTGGCCGTTTCCTCTTCGCCGCGACGAGAGTTCTCAAAGACTATATAGTACCCAGTCTTGTCACATCGAATGTCTTTCCATCCAAATACTTTGAGCCGCTTCTTCAAATGTGGCACGGTGTGGCTTAAGACTGGAACGTAGCAATGCGCGATGAAAATGTAGGGATCGCGCTTTATCTGGCTCAGTATAGGAACCTCTTCCACTAGAGACGGCACTGCTGGTTTCGCAAAGTTTGCCCTTGGACCCTCGGGTACGAGAGGCAGAGGACGCATGGAGGACTTTCCTGAAGGGCCTTTTGGTGCCTCTGGTGGAGGCTCGTTCTTTTGAATTTCAACTTCGGCTTTAACCTCATCCGGAATCTGCAAATCGTTTTTGGATCCCATCCTCTGAGCCTCTATTGCTCTCGAGACGAGTTTCCCGGAAATCACCCCATCGCGGTCCAGCTCGACCCTGACACGATGATTGCCAATGCGCTGTCCTTTCTTGCACTCGAAATAAGCGCGCCTCGCCGCCCCGGCTGCGGAAACCGGCCCACCGCCATGGAAGGAAGGACTGTCCTTATACTTGATAGAGCATATTCCGAGAAACCGTCCCGTTATTGGATCCGTGCGGTTGTTGATTTCTGAGATGTCGCCAAAGCTTGAGAAGAGAGCAGTAATCGGCGCCAGAGGAGTCAAGGGATCAAAGCCAGTGACGACTAATTGCACGGGAGGTCCTGGTCCTACCGTGGTAGCTGGGTCGTACGGCCAATGTCTTAGGACATAAGGGGCGGGTCGATATTTCGTTTTCTGCCTGCATCCAGCGCCGCGGGAATAGTTCTGTATGTTCAGACGAGGGTCCGGCAAGCTTTCCTCCTGTTCGTTTGTGACAATATCCACGTAGCAAGGCTTCTTCCGCTTATCCTTTGATGAAGCTTTGTCAGGATCGTGAACCAGCTTGCAGCCCCTAACAATGCTGGGACGATGGCTTTGCGGTTGCTGTGTTGGGGTCGGTGGTGTACAAAGAGGGGTCATGGTATTTTTTGATGCTTCAGTCTGGTGTTCTTTGGAGCGGTCATTCGTAGTGCCGTTTGTTGCCTTGATTTGAGACGGACTCGACTTGTGATGCGGTGAAGACTCCGCATTTGTGAGAGGCGTCAAAGTATCGAGGCGAATCTCATTCGAAGATCCTGTCCCAGGCCCAGATGAGTTGACTGCTGGGCTGCCCATTCCTCCAGGACTGACCAAGCCATCTCCCGTAAACTCTCTCCGCGATTTGCTCAAATCCGCCGAAGGAGCCGGTAATGCCTCTGAGGGAGGAACGTCGCCAATAATCGCTTCCTCAACCGCCCTGGGCGCAGGTGGGATGGCGCGATCTTCATGGGTATGCTCCTTGTCGGGTTGAGCCCTTGACCGCTGTCGCTCTTTAGTGGCTTTGAATCGTTTTTGCTGAATGACTGACGGGGCGGTAGGAAAAAAGTCTGCAAAACCTGCGGAAGAGCGCGACATAATGAGATATGGCTAGAAGCCAAAACCAAAATCACTGCCACTGGATGGCAGCATCCTTGACGTCCCTACCAGCAAATGCGCGGATGATAGACGATCAAGCAAACCTCCTGACGCAAAGCGGCAGAATCCGCTTACTTTAGAGGTGCAGTGTACACAAACGAAGAAGACTGACAGCGGGAATTAAGCGAAGAGGGCAATATTAAGAGTAAATGCGCTTGGGGGAGAATTAGGGAAAAAGATGGAGGGCTTCAATTGAGACGGGGTGTGGGAGCGACCGCTCGCATCCGTCCTAGGCCCTTTCAACGCGACCAAGACGCGAACAAGGCGGATCACGAAAGAGCGAGGGAGCGGGGGAGGGAGGAGGGGGGGCGTGGGTTCCTGAGGCGGCAGCAGATATTGTTCGATAGCAAGCTGCAGGGAGTATTAAAGCCCGGATGATGTAGTTATTAGCTCCTGTATTGTCGAGGATTGATGGGGGAGAACCGCCGGCAAGAGGGTAAAATTGGAATGGAAGGGAAAAGTTAGGCGGTCGACGGGAGAGAGAGAGTTGTTCTTTTTCTTGTCCCTGCATTTCCAGCTCCAACACCGACTTTCTGGACAACGAAGAGCATCCACCCTGGCAAAGAGAGTCAACCCGACAAGCATACATGGGTTCTTGATTCAAATATCAACACGAAGCTCGGTATGACTTGGCATCATGACAAACTGGTTGGCTAGCATCGACCCTCGACAGCGCGTGCTCAACATCAGCAATCCTTTCCATGCGCTCAGGCAACGAACCATACTTCGCTCGTGCTGGCGTGGTATTGCCGTTATCCTCTCCATTACATATGTGTGCGATCGGCTACAGTGACAATGTCACAATTTGCAATCGGCGCGGGGTTTCGAGGGATCCGTCAACAATCGCTGACCTCCAGATTTGGCGTTCAGGACTTATTTTCATTTTGAAGCATACAGCTGGGAAGGGATCCTTTCCTCCGCGTATTCTGGATGTTGGTTTACAGAAAAGAACACCCAATACTCCTGCTGGATGGAGACGAGTTACATGGCCTGGTCGCCAGTTCTATGTTTCTACCCTTATGTCATCTGGTGGGTAGAAAGGCAGGGTCGGGTAAACGAAAAAGCAGACCGTCATAATAGGGAATCTCGAAAGGCTTCTCTAATGTGCCAGGGCCTTGTTGTATCACGAAATGGGATTGAAGGCAATCCCACCTGGCACCCGCAGGCAGCAAGACCAGGGTGTGCCTGAGGACCAAATGACATCACTTTTTGAATTCGAGGCCCGGCCACCGGGCAGCCTCCTTATGGTAGGCTTCGAACTACTCTGTACCATCCCATGGCAGAATCTGTTGCTTCGCCACAATAATGCCACACGAGCCCCGCCGAACGAACTTTTCTTGCGAGAATGTTAATAATGGTTGAGGCTGAATCTTGAAATCCACATTGAAGTCCGGAGGACGACAATGTCCTCTGTACGGAGTAGTACTCCGTATGCTCGATCCTCGCCCCTGTCTAGGCTCTAATAATAAAAGCCTGTGCCGTAAACTGCGGCTCTGAGAAAAAGGGACTAGACACGGAGGAAGAATAAATTAGCTTCGTCGATGCACGCTGAATCTTTTCGTCCGCGTCGTAGGAACCCTATACTACCTAGTCATTCATCGGTTGAAGGTTCGCTGGTCGCGCGTGGCTCAGGGGTATCTAAAGCTTTACCAAATTACCTTGAAACTCGAGTCTCGAACTTTTATAGCGCCGGCTGAGGACTTGTATCTATCATCTGAGGCTTCTCATCTTTACCGTTCTGAGTTTCCGTCAAACAGCATGTCGTTCACCTGGAGCCGATAGCGCGAGGCTTAGTCAAGCTAGTCCAATAGTTAACTAACTTACTAACTTGCAACATAGCCTAAAATGCTCTAAAATTAATAATAGCAACTACAAGAGCAGGCCTGATGCTATCGCAACTCCAGCTGAGAGGCTCAATAATAACCAGATTGATCATGGCCTCTGTGGATTAGACTTGATTTAGACCGTATGGCCTGGCACTCCGTAGTATAGTCGCCGCCACCTCCTTTTACCCAAGTATGTAGAGGAGATTTGAGTTATTCTTTTGAAATAGGTAGTAGTGGTATTATGTAGTTCAAGTTTATGGTCTCTCAAATAGTACTCCGGTACACCCCCGTTCAATCATAGCTCGGCAGTTGGCACCACATGCAGATCTCTCGAATTTAGTAGTGGCATCAGTGCAGAGGAGTGCTTGCCTCGGTATGTTGTAAGCATAGATTATTGAATGTTCTCCTGAGCATCTCGGCTGAGGCGTTTCAAATGTCGACTGGGGGTAAGGCTGAGCGAATCGCAAGCAGCTGATCTTTCGGACTGCGGCGTGTCCGTAATATCTATCCTCAACGAGTCGACGAGGTCAGTTGGCGCAGAACAAGGGGGCCTTACCCACTGACTTAAACTCACATTACTAGCTCTCCTTGTCAGGGATGTGGACAGTGGAAGCGTGGAGGAATGCATCGTTCTGCCCGTGCCACCGTGATATGTATCCACAAATCTAATCTGTCCCGACGAAAGATCGAGAAAGGGAGCGAGAAAGAAGTGGGGATGTATAAAACTGTGGGTGCGTTATTCTTAGCAACTGTAGCCAGTTTTAAGTCTTCCGCTCGGAGTACCGAGAGGAATTGACCACCCATGTCCCAAGCAAGAGCTAAGAATAATCACCATAGTGGGGTAGACTACTAGTTCTCTGTATGGCAACGACAGCCGGAAAATTGAATTCCTACTCTTGTTAAGCGTGAACCCAGCCCTGGGTGAGAAAGTGAGACATTCCTGTTGAGTTGTGTGAGGCGCAGAGGCGGGTTATTGGCCACTAGTCATGGACGAGAGTCGGTGTCGAGAGCAGCTTCCCTGGTTTGGAAAGCCAAGGTGGGCCGATCTCACAACATAAAACCTTCATAACAACAGCTCCCCCCTCTTTCCACTCTTTGTTCTCCCTCAATAATCAATCAATTATCCTTCTTGCTTCTCCCTTCAGTCAATTCCCAGCTCTGCCTCTCGCTCCATCAGGTCTTTCGTTAATTCGATACCTCGCCTTCCCACTGTACGTTTGGTGCACCGAATTCCCCCTCCATGGTGTTTCCCCTCACTAACGGTCAACCGTCCGCTCGCTACAGATCCCCAGTCAATCCACCTGTACACACGCCAATTTAGCATTTGAACACAAGCCATCCATCTCACCTTCTTTCTCATCCTCATTTTTCACGCACCTACTTAAACATGTGGTTAGTTTGACTACATGAGCTCACTCTCCTGTTTCTGGAATTGTGTTGACTAACACCGCCAAGTGGCATCTTCGGTTATATCAACTACCTCGTGGAGAGGGACCGCAAATACATCCTTGACACGTTGCTCAATGGTATGAGTTTTCTATCAACCTTTCCAAGCAAGCGTCTTTCCACCGCGTTTACATCCTCCGACCCTATTCCGCTCTAATCTTCCCTGACTCCATATCCGCACCCTCTAGTTGATTGTCTCTCTTGCTTACTCGAATGTTCGCCCAGGACTCTCGCGGCTTGAATACCGCGGATATGACTCCGCTGGACTTGCTGTCGATGGCGATAAGAAGAACGAAGTTTGTGCCTTCAAGGAAGTTGGAAAGGTTGCCAAGTTGAAGGAGCTCATTGAGGAGTCCAAACCCGATCTCACCAAGTCTTTCGAATCACACGCGGGTATCTCTCACACACGTTGGGCCACTCACGGAACGCCTTCTCGCCGAAACTGCCATCCTCACAGGTACGCCAAGTGGTCTTCTTAACCAACGTTGTTTCGAACGGCTCGAGCCTACAACAGACAAGACAAAGCTAATGAAATCGCTCCACTAATAGGTCTGACCCCAACTGGGAATTCTCCGTTGTCCACAATGGTATCATCACCAACTATAAGGAGCTAAAGGCTCTCTTGGAAAGCAAGGGATTCCGTTTCGAGACTGAGACAGACACCGAGTGTATTGCCAAACTCGCCAAGTATCTATACGACCAGCAGCCTGACATTGATTTCACCGTGCTGGCGAAGGCCGTTATCAAGGAGCTTGCAGGCGCTTTCGGTCTCTTGATCAAGTCTGTGCATTATCCCCATGAAGTGATCGCCGCCCGCAAGGGTTCTCCCCTTGTTATTGGTGTGAGAACTTCCCGGAAGATGAAGGTGGACTTTGTGGATGTGGAGTATTCAGAAGATGTCGCTCTTCCTGCGGAGCAGGCTTCCCAGAATGTCGCCATTAAGAAGTCCGCCACCGGCCTTCTTGCTCCTCCTGATAAATCCCTTCTTCACCGATCCCAGTCCCGTGCATTCTTGTCCGACGATGGGATTCCTCAGCCGGCTGAATTTTTCTTGTCATCCGATCCCTCTGCAATTGTTGAACACACCAAGAAGGTTCTGTACCTCGAAGATGATGATATTGCGCACATCCACGAGGGTCAACTCAACATCCACCGCTTGACCAAGGATGACGGTACTTCCAACGTTCGTGCTATTCAGACTCTTGAGCTTGAACTGCAGGAAATCATGAAGGGTAAATTCGACCACTTCATGCAGAAGGAGATCTTTGAACAACCCGAATCAGTGGTGAACACGATGAGAGGACGTCTGGATGTTGCTAACAAGCAAGTTACGCTTGGTGGGCTTAGACAGTACATTTCTACCATTCGTCGGTGCCGGAGAATCATCTTCATTGCCTGCGGTACTAGCTACCACTCATGCATGGCGGTTCGCGGAGTGTTTGAGGAGCTTACTGAGATCCCGATTGCAGTTGAACTTGCATCCGACTTCCTGGACAGGCAGGCACCCGTCTTCCGTGATGATACATGTGTCTTCGTTTCTCAATCTGGTGAAACGGCAGACTCACTCATGGCTCTCCGTTACTGTCTTGAACGGGGAGCTCTGACTGTCGGTATTGTCAACGTTGTCGGATCATCGATCTCTCTCCTGACTCACTGTGGTGTTCATATCAACGCTGGCCCTGAGATTGGTGTTGCCTCGACCAAGGCTTACACCTCCCAGTTTGTTGCTATGGTCATGTTCGCCCTTTCTCTCAGCGAAGACCGTGCTTCAAAGCAAAAGAGACGTGAGGAGATTATGGAGGGTCTTGCTCAGGTTTCCGATCAGTTCAGAGAAATCTTGAAGCTCAACGAACCCATCAAACAAATGTGTGAACGCTTCTTCAAGAACCAGAAAAGCTTGCTTTTGCTGGGCAGAGGTGGTCAGTTCCCTACGGCGCTTGAAGGTTAGTATACTCCATATGAACGCAACATTCCAGATTTACATTACTAACTAAGCAACAGGTGCCCTTAAAATCAAAGAAATCTCATACCTGCATTGCGAAGCTGTCATGTCTGGCGAACTGAAGCATGGTGTTCTTGCTCTCGTTGACGAGAATCTACCCATCATCATGATTCTCACCCGCGATGGTCTCTTCACCAAGTCGCTGAATGCCTACCAGCAAGGTTAGTTTCCAATTAACCATTTTTCCCATTACCCACAGAGTCTAACGATGGCGCAGTCATTGCTCGAGGTGGTCGTCCAATCGTGATTTGCAATAATGATGATCCTGAATTCTCGTCCACTCAGACCGAGAAGATTGAGGTACCAAAGACTGTGGATTGCCTGCAGGGTCTTCTCAATGTCATCCCCCTACAGCTGATTTCGTACTGGCTTGCTGTTGGCGAGGGCTTGAATGTTGATTTCCCCCGCAACCTCGCCAAGTCCGTCACTGTTGAGTAGACTTTTGCGGAGAAGCAGGAAAGAAAACGATTTTAAAGTTATCTGGGATCGAGGGTATTAGGACTTAGCGGTGTCATTGCCTTCGGATGGTTTATATTCACGTGGTCTCAGGGAGATCATGTGGTCGGCGCTGTTGTCTTTAGATATTTGTTTTAGGGCTTGCGCTGCTGCTGTGTATACGCCCCACGGTTATGGTTATCCAAGCTTCAATAATGGTAACGACTGCCTCTATAACATGCAATGTACTTTCAAAGAACCTCGTGTTCTCAATGGCCTCGAGAAATGTCTATCTAGATACGTGATCTATCTAGTTCGGCTGTTGGGAGTGGAGTGAGTAGTAATCAGATTTCCCCACATCGGAATTCTGAATGCAACAGGCAGATCCGGAGATCCAACGAATACTCCGTCCGTAAAGTGCTGCCCTAGAAACAGAATTTCTCTGTACTTCCCAGCTCAACTCGGTTTGCCAGTCGCTCTTGTTCTCGAATCGTATAGCACAATGCAGTCTCTTAAAGGTCCAGGAGCTCCTCAGTCATATGACGGTGGGACCTCCTACCCCTCCATCGTCATCAACCGTCCGCTAACAGTGTCCAGGAGCCGGCTTGCGGATCGCGATTGTCCACGCCAGATGGAACATGGGGATAATTGGACCCCTCGTGGAGGGCGCCAAGAAGACCCTTCGAGCATCTGGCGTGGCGGAGGATCATATCGAGACTTTCACTGTTCCAGGAAGCTACGAGCTACCATACACTGTCCAGCGGTAAGCCCCTCACACCGACGGCCTCAGGAACCTTGAACCGGCCGGAATGGCTTCGATCAAAAATCTGCATGCAATCCTTTTGGTTCTTGAATAAGCGGTTTTAACCTCCTTTCTCTTGGTCCAGCATCTACTCGGCCTCGCAAATACAAGCGGCCAACGCGGGGTCATCCGGCGAAGGCATCAGCGCAACGGACCTACTCTCTTCTTCTACAACTGACCTGAGCAAAACGGGGTCGTCGACCTCGGCGGCATCGTCCAAGCCATATGACGCTATAATCGCCATTGGTGTTCTCATCAAGGGTGAGACAATGCATTTCGAGTACATCTCGGAAGCCGTTACCCACGGGTTGATGCGTGTCCAGCTCGATACTGGGGTACCAGTAATCTTCGGAGTTCTTACGCTTTTGACTGAAGAGCAGGGACTTGAGAGAGCGGGACTGGGTAGTGGAAATATGCACAACCACGGCGAAGACTGGGGTAATGCGGCGGTTGAGCTGGGTGTTCGGAGGAAGGGCTGGGCTGAGGGTGTGCTCAACTGAACAACCCGGGCCGTGATATTCTAAAAGACAAGCCCAGACATGGCTATCCAAGCTGCGGCTTTTAGGTCAATGTAAAGACGTTAGAATAAGTTCTTCGCTTGTTAACATGTGCAGATAATTTGCTAGCTTCACTCTTCCATCCGCTCGCTCCCCTTTGCGCCCTCTTCGTCTTCCTCATCATCTCCTTCCAAGGCCCGCTTGGCGGCTCGCTCTGCCTCCTCGAGAAGCTCTTTCGGTACCTCCTCGTGTCTGCCCTTTGTTGGTCCATCTAGCGAACTAATCCAGCTCATCTCCAGTTCGAACTCTTTATCCTTGTTGTCCTCATGAGCAACATAGATAATTCTAGCTGCCTCCTTCACGGCATCATGCAGACTAATTCTCTCCGAGGCAAGGTCCAGCTTTTCAAGCTCTGCTTTAGCCGCCTGTCTTCCTTTGCCGGTGGCAGCGCCGTAGTAGCCCTTGTAGAGATAAAAAGTCAGCATTAGCGCAGCAGAATGACTTGGGTGAGAATCGGAGAATAGCGTACCCAGTATAAACCACTCGGTTCGATCATATATAAGCCCGGCCCCCCAGACTTTGCTCCCTTGACCTTACCACCGGCGCCCGATTGAGGACCGCTCCCTACTTGGCCGTCCACAGCGAGCTCAGCTTCAGAGTCCCAACCTCCGACAATAGATGTTACGCCAAATGGCCGCACGCTAGAGTACAGTGTGTAGGCTTGCACGTAGCTACCAAGGCGGTTTGCTAGAGCGGAAATAGGAATGGGGCCCTTATAGACACCTCGCCACGAGGCAGCTTCATCGCGGGCACGAGAAACAAAATGACGGCCATCAGGGGCTAACCCAGCAGAAACCTAGATTTGAATGAAATCTGGGGTCAGCACAAATTGCTGGGAAGCACGATGGGTTGGTCATAGGGTTCGCCTTACGATGCCGACATGGCGGTCCACAGTGGATATCCTCTTGTTTGCGCCTGGCTTCAAAAGCTTGCTAGTGATGATCTTCTCGACAGCTAAGACAACACCGTCCTTGCACCTAATACCTACGGCGGTTCCGCCATTCTCGACAGCTTTGACAGCATATTCGACCTATGACACACTGTTAGCTGTGGTATAGCTCCTCCCAGAAGACAGGGGCCCACAGTACCTGGAAATTTCGGCCATCTGGGGAGAAGACTGAGTTAGAAAGATCGTAACCGGTGCCGATGGAAGTCTGGGTTGTCAGCGTTAGCTAGGACTGGCAGCTGGATGAGGTCGGCAAACAGACCATGGCGGAAGATTGATTCAATCACAGAGTGTGACAGTCGTAGCAATGATCTTGGTGGATGGAGGTCTGTAGAAGAGCGTTGTAAAGACAATAGTGCTTGGAAGAGCGCGTGAAGATACTGGGGAAGCTTTCAAGGTGATATCGCCAGTAGTCGGCGGCGGTTCGTAGATGCTGGAGCTAGCTTCGGACCTTACTAAGGTTGCTCTAGGTTCCAGCGTCGTCGCGTCACGTTGCCAGCGTCACATGACCCCTCCCCTCTGCAATCGTTATCAACCCAAGGTTCATTTCTCCCGATCCAAACATTTGAAGAAGAAACACATTGTTTCACTTTTCTTCGAAGAGAGCTGGTCTCGTAACTATCCAGAAACCTTCAACCATCAATAAATCACTTTTCTAAATCATCCGTGCCTGTACCCTTGTTTAGCCCCGCAACCTCTCCATGCCCAACGCTTGGGCATCGACAGCCTAGTCAACCCACAGCGTTCTTGCCTTGCTCTGTATATCTCACTCGGATCAGTTTTCAAAGGACTTGTACTTCGCTTTTGACACCTACATAAGCGAGGCTTTTGTGCTCAGAGCTCCTGAACCTCTTTACTTCAAATACCGTGCAATAACAACCCCGCAAACTCCTTGCAACAGCCCTTCTATAATACCTGCGTGTCCTACATACTTTGATTTGAACCGTCAAACATAGATCTAGTGAATACAATCGAATTGCCTCCGCTTCGCCTCCCATATATCCCATTCTCCTATCATGTGTCCGCGCCCGTTTCGCACAATGTCGTCTATCTTGCATAGTTGCCCATTCTGCGGACAAGTCACCGATATCTCTGAGATATTGGCCGATTTTGTGGGAAATCCTCACTGTACTCAGGTAGAGACTTCTGTTTCCATGTACTCGACCTGATGTCTTACCAAAAGATCATGCAGTGCGGCTTATCAGCGTCCGAGGGCAACCTAAAGGCCCAGGATGACCTCGTGGCTCTCTTCAACACGCATATGAACATGGAACCTTCCCTCGTGTCGGGGAGAAAGGAAGCCCAAATTTCTGCTCCTCCTATTACATATAGTATCACACAACATTATCATCATTCAGCACATGTAGCACAAAGAACCGAACAGTCGGGAATTATGCAGGGGAACTGCGTACCGACAACCAATGAGCTCGCAAACAGGGTATTCGAGACGCTCAGACAATACGACGTTGACCCCTCGTCCCTATCCGCAGGCCAACTTGAGTTGTTCGCCAATGCAATGCCGGAACAGCAATCCCGCTTGGTCCAAATGTGGCAGATTTGCCCTGAGCCCAGCAAAAGTGCCCCAGGTTTCTCGCAACAGGGCCCTACAATCTTTGCCAATCAACCTGACATGCAAGGTTCGGCTCAGGGTCAGGACAGATCCAATACTATGCATGGATATGCTGAGCCATATATGCTCTCTGGGTATGACCTTAATGGCCAAGTTGCCCCTCCGGCTAATGAGCCCACCACTGGCTCTCCATACAGGCTTTCGAGCGATCCTATATACCAAGCCGCGGGGCAGCGGTGGTGGGAACGAACACATGGGACAGCAATGGAATACTGAAGGACACAAGCGATATGGAAGACTTGTTCCGGAGAGGACACGTTGTTAGACGATTCGTGCATGGTACGAGTGATGTTTTATAGATATGCTACTGATGGAATGCCTTGCGTACAAATGATTATTAATTGTAATGACTGAATAACTATTCGTAGCGGCTTGGAGGGTTGAGTCCTGCCTGATTGAAAAGGCACAAGTAGCTATGGTTTCATTGGAGAAGCGAATGTAGGAGTAAAAAACCAAACTACAAGCCAAACTCGCCCTGAAAGTAGGTACATACCGGCCATAAGCCTGCCGCGTGGCCATAATATCGTTCCGTGACGAGCTTTTTTGGATTTTTTTTCCTTCTTTCCCTTCTTCTCTTGACCGTGATCTCTTCTGATCAAAGACCCCATCCGCAAACACAAGGAGGAAAACAGGAGAGGCATAGAATAAGTGTCGAAGACATTTTTCATATTTGCATTGGAACTGGCGGCTGTTGATGAGCATGAGAATTGTGGAATGGATTCGTGTGGCCACCGCCTTGGTTGCGTTCAGATCGTGATATTGGGAGCGTGGCGTATGAGGAGTGGAACCCTAATCAAGCAACATTAGTAAAGAGTCAATGTATTAGAGACAAACACAAGTCATGGTGAGTGGGTTGTACTGACCATCCTTATTCCTCAACCTCCACGAAGTCTTCGGGACGGAGTTCGTCGATAATGGCCATGGCCTCAGCAAGAGCATCGGCGGAGCGCTTGACCTCGTCGACGGCTTCGATGGCTCTCTTAGCCTTGGCGCATCCCTGGCCGGGGAAGTTGCACCATCTGTTGAGGGTGGTACTGGCCTCAGCCATAGCACCGGCCATGGCGTCGGCAGAGCGTTTGACTTCCTGGGTGGTGTCGGCAGCACGCTCGACGAGATAGCAGCCCTGGCCTGGGAAGTGGCACCATCTCTGTAGAGCTGCGCCCTGCACCGAGGTGGCGGCCAGCGCGGCGGCAACGATTGAGATGAGCTTCATTGTGGTAGTGGTGGGTGAAAGTAAGAACTTAAGTGGTAGGATAACGAAAGAAGGACTTGCTTCCCTGTAAAGATTGTGTGTTTGTATTTTTGAAAAGAAGTTGTTGACTCTGTGGGGGGCAGTGTTTAAGATTGACAAATGCGTGGGATTGGAAGACTTATATATCTGTTGACAGAGATTTATCTGCGCAAAATGACTCTCTTCATTTCCACTATATCAGGAAACCAGCGCGGCCCCATGAGGCTTCTCTGAAAGAGATTTGCCACGTTATCCGTGATCGTGCTCCTATTGGAACCAGAGAAAAAGAGACCCATGATCTGAATAGAACATATGCCTGCTATGGTTCAATGGGAGTATGTGGGTTGTCGTTCAATAGCACTCCCCGCATGTCTACTTGAGGGTTGGCCAAACCGTGAATAAAGGACCTTGAAACTCAAGGTAGAGCCAAGATGAGCGCGAAATTGGTCATGCCCCTGACAAAATCAACGTAACGAGAGTTCTCGAGGGGTCTGGGACAATCAAACTGGCAAATGACCAGCAAATCGATCAACATTTGCTGTATGTGCTCAATTAAGACCAAGCGTACCAAGAAGAGGGGCTCATTCAACGGACGTACAGAGGGCCCTGAAGTCGCCGAATGAGTAGCTCAATAGAGCCAGCCATGTTTGGCACGCTCAATAAGCTATCTTTGTCTCTATATAGAATGTCAATTGCTATTCAGAGGATAAAGAGAGTAAGCTTATTGACACACTGAATAGGAAATGTCCGGCATGGAGGGGTTGCAGAAACGTGAGCGCCACCATAATTTTTGGGACCGGGTTCCTGAATAGTTGTTTCCAAATGAGTAAAACCTCGACAGACGCCGAGGGGTGTTTTACACAGTTTGGAGATGGGGATGAAGGCGGAGATTGATTGGGATCGTTAGATAAGATCGGCCCGTGCGATGCTACCTGGCGGTTGGGTGCCGAGACAATCCGGCGTTTTTTCCGGCGCCTCGTGCGGGTTACAGCGGTTTGGTCGTTTTCGGTCTTCCTTCCTGCCTCCTCCCGCCGTCATTCTCTTCTCTCTCCGCCAGGAATTGCTCCCCAGTGTCTAACTCCTCAATTGCACGCTGTTCTTTGTCCATTCAACATGTTTTCCCCGAGGACAGTCCAGCCCGCGCAGGTATGTCAGCCAGTTCCTTCCCCTGCAGCCACTTGACGTTACATTGTCGCTCCCTTTTCTTTTCTTATCGCTCTCCATCCTTCCGTCCGGCGATGCCGCGCACAAACTCTACGTCGAATTGAATTCTCATCACCATGCGCACCAGCTACCTCCAATCCTGCTCTGTATTGATCTGCTAACACTATATCACCTTGTCAGTCGCTCTTCCGACGCGCTGCCGCTCAGTCATCCTTTGTTCGCTCTCCCCTCGCCGCAAGATGTGCGTGGTCTTCCCATATATCCGATTTTCGGAGGAATTTGTTATTGATCCCCAATTCTAGCTTTCGCGACCGTGCAACAGGATATTTTCAAGCCTACCAAGTATGGCGGCAAATACACTGTGACGCTCATTCCAGGTACAGTCAAAGCGCGACTCTCCGCTTGCTTAACCCCGCCGTGTCGCTCGCCCCTATCACATTTGCGGCAAGCTAATCAACCCCTGCCGAAACAGGTGATGGTATCGGTGCTGAAGTCGCCGAGTCGGTTAAGACTATCTTCAAGGCCGATAATGTGCCCATTGAGTGGGAGCAGGTGGATGTTAGCGGTGTTGATACCGGAAACAAGCACTCTGAAGAGCTCTTCAAAGAATCGATTGCTTCCCTGCGACGAAACAAGCTCGGTCTGAAGGGCATCCTTTTCACCCCCGTTGAGCGCTCTGGCCACCAATCCTTCAACGTCGCTCTCCGCCAGGAACTCGACATCTTCGCCTCCGTCGTTCTCATCAAGAATATCCCTGGCTACAAGACCCGCCACGACAATGTCGACCTTTGCATCATTCGTGAGAACACCGAGGGAGAATACTCTGGCCTTGAGCACCAGTCCGTGCAAGGTGTCGTCGAGTCGCTCAAGATTATTACCCGTGCCAAGTCTGAGCGCATCGCCAAGTTCGCTTTCAGCTTCGCCCTTGCCAACAACCGGAAGAAGGTTACTTGTATTCACAAGGCCAACATCATGAAGCTTGCCGACGGTCTGTTCCGCAGCACCTTCCACAAGACCGCCGAGAACTACCCGACACTGGAAGTCAACGACATGATCGTCGACAACGCCTCCATGCAGGCTGTTTCCCGTCCCCAGCAATTCGATGTGATGGTCATGCCCAACCTGTACGGTGGTATTCTCTCCAACATTGGCGCCGCCCTGGTTGGTGGACCTGGTGTCGTTCCCGGCTGCAACATGGGACGCGAGGTTGCTGTTTTCGAACCGGGCTGCCGTCACGTTGGTCTTGATATCAAAGGAAAGGACCAGGCCAACCCCAGTGCTATGATTCTGTCTGGATCTATGCTCCTCCGCCATCTCGGCCTTGACGACCACGCCAACCGTATCTCCAAGGCTGTCTACGATGTTATTGGTGAAGGGTGAGTAAACGCAAGCTTCGTCTTGTCCATATTCGCTAACTTGTTTCGTTCCCAGTCAAACAAGGACCCGTGACATGGGCGGAAACGCCACCACCCACGAGTTCACCCGCGCTGTCCTCGACAAGATGGAGGCTGCTCTGTAAACTACCTGGGGGTGGGGGGAAGTTGTTGAGGTCATTTCTACCGGCTGCGACATCTTGTACAGGCCAAGGTTGATTCTGGAGGTCATCTTGGAATTTTGGATGTCATTGCTGTACTCTGTACCACTTCTACTTGAAATACCACGAACGGCGTCCTGTGCATTTGATGTGAGAAAGAGATCGGTGGATTAGGTTGTGTAAAGATATATATACATGTGTGATTTCAATAGAAGTATCATAAATCATTATGTTTTCCGGGTACAAATCGTGGACGCGAGAACGCCAAAGGCATCTGCAACACACCACCGAATCATGCTTCCGGTCTTTCACCGTAGCCTCTCAACCATGCTTTCTTCATTATGGGAGCCATGTGTGAGATATCTCCCCGGAAAAAAGGTGGCACAATCTTCTGGAGTCCAACGATGGTGTACGCCAGAAGGGTCGGTGCCCGTGCAGCTGAAAGGACCAGTTTCTGATCTGGTTCCGTGATCAGCAGTAGCGACTGATTGCTTAGGGTATAGAGGCTTTTCTGACTGCGATAATGCGTTTTATCAAAAAGCCGGTCGCCTCTTGCGGCCAGTATATTTTGAGTTCGCTTTAACGACCTTCCCCTTCTTGGTCATCTGTTCCTTCTTTCGCATAATCCAAGCTTTATCACCCTTCCTAGAAGTCGAACCATGGTTACGCTCCATAGCCTTTCTTCTCGCGTCCAAAACATCAACATCATTCATACCGTCCACAACACCAGTGATGTCGCCCTGTAAACCTCCTCCACCAACAGTCAAAACAAGGTACAGCTTGCTGTTCTTGGTACCGGGGTCATCTTCGAGGATACCGGCGCCAAAACCGGCCTTGATCGCGGCACCGCTAATCATTGTTCGCTGGGCATCGTTCTTTGGGTAAAACTGACAGACAGCGCGCCCACCGCGCCGGAGACTTGCATAGAGTCCCTCGAAGAATCTTCGTAGACGGCCCTCGGGGCTGACATCGCTCGTTTCTGCATTACATAGCCACTGAATGGCACTGATACTGATCGCTGCGTCAAAGGTTCCCGGCCGAAAGGGTACGCCCTGCCCGATGTCCGCGAGAAACAAGTCTCCTTCTGTACCTCGCTGTAACGCGATATCAAGCATGCTAGGTGAAATATCCATTCCAATCCACGTGTGCGGGCCACCTTGCTCGGGGGACTCTTGAGAGAGGATCTCGCCGGATAGTCCTGAGCCACAGCCAAGGTCTAAGATCAGTGATGGTGATTTGAGATCGAGAAGTTCCAAGGCACGGTGCGTCATATCCGCCTGAATGTTGCGAATACGTGATGAAGTGGTGTATTTACGGGACTCATTGTCGTCATAGAAGAGATCTGGGGGCCTTGAAGAACTGTGAGCGCAATGCCGTAAGTCGCATATCAAGGTGGACTTACAGAATATCCTCGGGGCGCGACATTTTGCAAAGTCAAAGACAGAGTGGTTCTTGCTTTTTAATAATAAGAAAAGAGTCTTCTGTGGTGCTGTAGTGTAGAGTATGAAACACAAAGGTTCACTAATCTCAAACAATATTTTTTAGTTCATTATCAGTATATGTTTTTGCCAGACCGCCGGCCTAGGCGTGGGCCAACGAGGCCTTAGGCATCAAGCCATCTATGCATCACTCAAAGTATAGCGACGCAAAAGTCTGATGCTTAACCTTTCTCAAGTCCACTCCACTCCATTTGATTCTGCTTATTTCGCTTGATGCTTGCGCATATGCCTTTTATCCTATAGTTAGTATATTCGAGCCTAAACCACACCTACTCTACCCCAATCTCTTGCACCTTGACTTGGAACGCGCGTCATCGTGTCCTTTCAACATGTGGATCTTACCATTAGTAGGATACCTTGGGGTGATTGTAGGGTTCTGCTTCCTCACCCTCGCCATAGGTAAGACAGTCTTCCCCGTGCCAACACACAGACCAAGGGGCTCTAAATCGCTTTCTAGCATCTGGCCTCTACTATCTTTCCGAGCTCGTCGAAGAGCACACCGTCTTGGCCCGCCGCCTGTTGACCAGGCTAATATACGCAATAATCACCATTCAAATACTCCTCATCCTCTTCGACAAGTTCCCTTTCTTCCTGTCTCTTCTCAGCATCGTCTCCCACATTGTCTACGCAAGCAACCTCCGACGTTTCCCCATCGTCAAGCTCTCCGACCCCCTCTTTATCCTTTCATGCTTTCTCGTCGGCTTAAACCATTGGCTCTGGTTCCGTCACTTCTCGAAGCCCATCGCCCCGTCACGGAGCTCAACGAGCTGGCGCCAGCCATACCAGGTGAACCCGGGAGATATGCCGAACTTCGCGGAGGTAGCGTCGTACTTTGGGTTGTGCGTGTGGCTAGTGCCCTTCGCGTTATTTGTTAGTTTGAGTGCTGGGGAGAATGTGCTGCCGACTATGGGGTCTGAGTATGCGACAGGTGAGCCTGTGCCGACCGCTGGATTAAGTCGGGACTCTTTGGGGGCTGTGGATGGGAAGAATAAGAATAAGGGCATGGCGAAAGCATTGGTTGATGGGGTTAGGGAGTGGGTTAGTGAGAATGGTGAGCTGATGGGATTCTGGAAGGGGGACCGGGCTAAACGGTTCTAAGCATTTTGCTACTTTATTTTTATAGCTATCATTCGCTTGTACGATACCAATATGAAAACTGTACGTTTCGATGAGATCTCGAATTCTCGAAACAGAACGGCTCTTGAAAAGCCTGAACCACCTGAAGAATACCAGAATTGTATTCTACCAACTTGAATCAGGAAACGAGCCTACCGGTCAACGGTAAGCATTCAAGGAAGCATAACAGTGTAAGATATCTGAAGAAAGAAGGGTATAGAATCTGAAAAGAAGCACAAAAGAGTTATACAAAAGAGCACATTCGACAAGGTAGCCACCAGGAACGAGAAACATGGATCCTTGGATCACATTTCGACAAGCCGAAAGGCAGAACAGAAAGCTAGAGAGTGGTGACTTCAGACAAGGCAGGAAGGGGCATTGGGGCTTCCGATGTATGAGAATTAAAACATTCCTCATGGTCTCACTTGGATGTAGAGTCAGGCATATATACGTCGTTGCATTGCATCTTCATTCGAATCATTGGGGCTGCGCACGAAAGCCACAGACAGCGAGATGGGGGCAGGTATAAGAAGTCAAGGTAAGGGGAGCATGGGCTCCAGAATAGCTTGATAGAACGGTACCATGCTGATTAGAAGTCAGTACGACGATCTCGAGACACGTTAGTGCGATAACTTACATCATTGCCCATAGGTGGGCGGAGGGGCGTCATCATTGAATTCCATAAATAAAATGTTGCTTTCCCGTCGTTTCGCCTTGGTTGAGCGAGCGTTGTCCGACTCCGGCGCCAGCATTCTGCTTACGGCCGCCGGGGCAGGGTTGTGGTTCTCTGGTCTGCCCTGGCCAAAGGCATCATAGCTCGGCTGCATTGGGATGAAGCCGGTATCTTGCTGCATGCTATACTCCTCAGGACGGTCACCAGACCTTGGAAAAGTCACTTGGTTAGGTGCAGGTGTAGGGATGTCAGAAAACATCTGGTGTCTCGGAGATCGAATGTCCTCTGGTGTTAGCGAGTTGTCCACCGTTAGCTCAACAGCTTTCTCTTCATAGGACTCCGGCACATCGTCGAAAATCTCCTCAAAATCGGTGAGGAACATTGAAAACACCGGGGCGGGTATGTTCAGCGTCGGAGCAAAGACGATGCCCACATTCCTGACGGTCATTTTGTTGACATCAGAATTGTTGACGATGACAATCAGAAATTGCACCAAGGCTCGCAGCAGGGCAAGGTTCGGCTTCGGAAGCCTGTAAACAAGAGAATTGAATGCCGCGATTTTCTTATGCTTCTCATTAAGGTCTAGACAGTATTAGCAAGGAACTGATAGAGATGGCAGTACTTACCCAGCACGCGCAAGAACTCAATATGAAGCTCCCGCGTGAGAACAGTCGAGGGTAGTTCTCGAAGGTATTGCTTGAAAAGAGAAGCCACAGCATGGACATCGTAGTATTGGTCTCCGGCCAAAAAGTCAACGTCACCTTCAGTGTTGAAACGTTCCCTCAGAGCCTTGACGACCACATTCGAGCCACTCAACCGGAAGATGCCTTCCTCCGACTCTGCGCCTTTTGCTCTGAGGTACTCCAGACATCGATAGACGACGGCAGGCAGGTCTACGTCAACGTCGAATGGAGCACAATCCCTGACCGCTTCCACCAAGGGTATCCCAAAGACGGGTTTAATGAGATCTCTCTTTTCACCACCAGCTCCGTGAATCTGGAGAGCAGGCCCCTCCGAAACGGATTGAAGCTGTGAGGCAAGATCAATTGATGACCTCGTACGGAAGCCCCAAATACTTCGTTTCTTCTCCTTGGTGCTGGTTGTCGGCTTATTACCCCAGGCCCCAGCGTCTTGAATGATAGCACCATTGGTTGGAGCAGATATCATTTTGGATGAAATTTGGCCATGGTCCACTAGGCCATCAGGGTCCTGGAACGGACCGGAAGAAAACATGGGCGATCTGGGTGTTTTTGGTTCAGACGGAAGCCCAAGAACAGGCGGTTCGGCGGGTATGGCATTCTCGTAGCTGAATCCTTGAACTGCATCGGGGGTATCCAAATCTGGGCTATCGGTGCCCTTGCTACCCTTTCTGCTCCCATTAGGAAACAACCTATTTCTTGACGTGGCATTGCTGGGTGCTTGACTGGACGAATCGTTTCCCTCAACATATTCTAAAAGAGCCTCCACCCATGTATCGCGCTCCTCGTCACTTTCGGCGCACAAGACATGACGTACGAGAGCGGATGAGTCCTTCTTCTTTGGCTCTAGAATGAGAAAGGCGTGACGATATTGGTTGTCAGAATCGTCGTCAGCCTGAGGAGAACCGCTTTGAGTAGCTGTCGGTTGCGACTGTTTGCCGATTTGAGCATTGGGAATTTTGATTGTTCCCATATGAGCACCACCAGGCGCTTCAAAGTATCTGAGTTCAGGGCCATGTAGAACAAAGTAGCGCGCTTTCCAGCCGCCAAAGTTTTTGCCACGCTTGGTTAGATAGCCTTCCTTTCTTGGTTTCCCATCTGGACCGCGCAAAAGCTCAGAACCTGCGTGGTGAGTACCCTTGAGCAAACTTGTTTCGTCGTCTCGAGGTTCAATCGCGTCAGAAGTAAGAAACTGACAAATGACCAAAGCTGCCTTTTCATCCATAGGAGTGTCGAGAAGGGTATCAAAATACGAATTCAATGCGACACGCCTGGCATCCACTTTTGCAGGAGAATGACCCCCGAAAATGGATCTATCCGGTAGTCTTCCCTGGAACGCACAAAGCTGTCTTATCTGGTGATCAAGCTGTGGTAGCGCCCCGATGATTTTCTCGACTCTCCAGAGTTCTAAAGACTCGGAGCGTGAGAAAACGCTCAGTGTAAATACCGGCTCTTCATCCAACGGCTTGGATACCATGTAACTGTTCCTGGACGGCCGTAATCTGGACGACGAGACTTTTACCTGAATGAGAGGAAGGGCGTTCGGAGGTAGAAGAAGATTTGGATAATCGTCGGATCTCAGCCCTTGGTAAATACCAGTGAGTTTGGGCGACGGAGTCTGAGGGCTGTCGATTCTCACAGCGGCATCAATAGACGGAATAGGGCGATTGAACGTAGGAGCATTAGCGGCACTGGGAGTGAACGGCGCTTGCTGCTGGCCCGAACGGGGAGATAGCGGTAGCCCAAGGGGATTGTTCCCCGAGGCCATGTGCAATGAAGAAAACGGACTTGTCATTTCCCTGGGCAACCGAGGCATTGGGGATCCAAGAGGACGGTCCTCAGGCCTCGGGCTGAGCGGTAGACCTGGACTCTTGGGACCGTTCATCATGCGCCGATCCGCGAGTGAGGGCGGCATCATACGAGGACTTAGAGCAGATGATAAAGAATCTGGTGGAGCTGCGCGGCGTGCATCTAGCGGCTGGGGGCTAACAGGCACGACAGACCGGGATTGTGCTGTCTCGGGATCCTGTGGCTCACGGCTTAGAGCTGCCTCACGTTCCCTATCGTCGTCGGCCCGAGTCTTTCTCCTCCCACGTTCTATTGGTGACTCGTCAACGGCTAGAATATCCTCGTACTCGGAGTCGGAGTCGGATGCTTCTCGGAGATGCGTCGCTGTGCGGTCCGTTTGCCCTAGATTCAATGGCGCAGGCGGCGGCTTCCGCGCTGGATTGGGAGACCTTTGGCCCTTATTTGCGCCAAAACCGAATTCTCGAGTGGAAGAGCTTGGGCTGGCGAGCGAAGCTGGAGAAGTTGGACTCGTAGTGGACGCCTCTTGTATAGAGGCCAGCTGCTGGGAACTCTGCGACTCGAAGCGTAAGTCGGGTTCTTCGGTAAGAAGTTCAGTCTCAATCATCTGTTTCAGACTAGGGGTGGTAATTGGGGAATCCTGGCTGTCCACGACATCGGCGCGCGGCGACTGTCCAGCAGTCCCGCTGCTCCGGCTCTGGCTTGTTGGAAGATCGCCTGTTGATGGCTTGCCGTTTAGAGCTCCCTTGGCTGCCATAGTAAGAGGGTGCACGGTATGAGCTTCCGTGGATGGGACTGGTGGCGTCGCGGTTTGGAGGTCTTTGGCCTTTTTCTTGTACCGCTCCTTGTCCTTTAGGGCACGTTCCAGGTCTTTATTCAGGCCCATTATCAGGGTCCGCTGCTTGTCCACAAGTTTCCATAATTGAGAATTTTGAGAAGCCGCATGATGTTTCTCTTTGAGCAAGTGTATAATGACAGCCTCGGGTGATCCAGCCGCGGCTATCAAATTGTCAATATCGGCCTGGCTCACTGCCTTGGCATCGAACGAGGACTTGTGCGACTGCGAAGCAGAGGAAAGAGATGAGATTGCAGAGTCAATCGACGAGGTTCGTGGCATCGCACGATGACCCTTGGTGTTCGACTGCAAAGAGCCGATGGGCGACATGATTGAAGGCGACATTGAGTGACTAGAATCTGCAGCATCAGAGTCTTTGCGAACCTTGTTGATATATGTCGCCTGCTCGGTCATTTTTCTCTCATTCTGGCCGACTTCAATGTATATCTTTTTTCTTACTGTGTGTGATGCGTTAGGCGGGATTGGACTGGTTCTCGTTGGCGGCGCAGGAAACGCGGCATGGGCGATTTCGCTGATAGTGTCAAGCGGCGACGTGGTTGCTGATGAGCTAGGTGACGCAGTTCGTTGTGATAGACTCGAATCGGTCCGCTGAGGTGACAGGGTTCGTGCGCTCGTATGCAGGGGAGAGGGCGTCTGCTTGTGGGGGGACGCAGTGACAGCCGATCCTGAACGGAACGCCTGCGCGCCCGACCGCAATGCTAGAAAAATGCCCGATGTAAGCTTGTCTGGCTGAGCCAACTTCAGAGAGAGCCGGATTTACCTATGGAAGAAGGCGCGAAACCTGTATGCAGGGAGCTGAAGGAGTGGTCACTACCCTGCCGCTGAGCCTGCGACATGATCAGGAGTCAAAGCTCGACGAGACAGGGCATGGGGGGTCGAGCCACACGGGGGCGCTTGCTCCTTGTTAGCGCTAGCCGTGAGCCGGTCCGGCTGGGGTCTGGCACCGGCGCTCAGGGGTTATCTACAATGCAGCAGGAGTATAAAGAAAAGGACAAAGAACAAGAGGTTGGAAGCAATTTGGGAATTTTGAATCAGTATTTTGGTGTTCTTCAGGCACAATCAACCCAACTTTGCGGGAAAAGGGGAATGGCAGCAAACAAAGTTTGGTACAGCAAAGCCAGAGCGGGGAGGGCGACAATTCATCTGAAATAGGGATGATCTGACTGTAATTACAACGATGATCCTCTGCCACCCGATATCCAGCACTGTGATTGAGACAATTCAGACCTGTCTGCGGAGTAAATGTTCCAGCTCATCTCACCAAGGAAAAAGCAATGTGATTTCCCAACGTTCACACATCCTTCGAGAACGCCCTTGTCACACCACACTTCTCCGTTGTTGAGTATCGTCGCTACTGTAGTAGTTATCTTGCAGAATCAACCGTAAAAGGGAAGAGTAATGTCTTTATTGCAACGCCTTTATCCATCAACGCCACTCAGCCCAATGCTATCGTAGAATATACATAAGTGTACAGTATTAGGCTATATTGCCAGCCATTCCCATGAAAATCGCCTGGGCAGCCAATTGAAGCGACCAAAAGCCGACCTTCTTGAAGCGTCGCTTGCGCGCTTGCTCATCAACGACATCACGAGCAAATGCATCGTATACCTAGCACATGTTATATTAGCTATGATCAACAATTGGGAAGTCTCGACTCACAGATGCCGAAAGATCGTCCATAAGGCCGCTATCGAACGGGGTCCAACTACCGTCAAAATCTCCCACTCTCTTGACAAGGCGACAGTTGACAGGAATGAATGTACGTCGCGAGTTGATGTAAGCGACAATGGGACGGATGAGCGCATTATTGATATAGGAAAGTTCTCGTGTGAATATGGGAACAACAGCCCGGACGTTGTTCAGATGCAATCGTAAGTCCATAACTAGAAAGCGCCTATCGTGCATTGACTCGGCTTCGTTGGACTCGACTGACTTTATGTCATATCGATTCGAGGTAACCGTGGCCTCCAATCGATCGTAGAAATCGGCCATTACCTTTGCAAGGCTCTCATAGTTCTCGGCGGGGAACATGATGTCGGCAACAATGTCGACATTGCCCTCATGGATCCACCCAAACGGGCCCTGTACTCCGCGATTAAGGTGATCGATATTTAACGCATCGATGCGTATCCTGCTATGTTTCTTCCACGGACTTTTCCCATCCTCTTCTGCCCCATTATCAAGTTGTGCGCCTGTGAAGCTGTGGGTTTGGCGTGGATGGATCGTGAACAAGGAATTATCAAACGATCCTGACATCATGTTGGCCGACAGAAAATCATAAAACAGCCATTGTTTCCGTAACTGCGGTAGATCGCACGAGAATATGCTGACAGAAAACGGTCTAAAGTTATTGGGTTGATACACGGTGACGAGCAAGTCACTCATTCTGAAAGAATCGATTTCAAAATCTCCCGGATTGTGCTCGTGCCGATATGACTTGGGGTCGAGGGTGTCATCCGACCAATATACCGATCTGCGATCAACCACACCTCGTACACCTTGCACCTCAACATCGCGTAAGAGCCCTTTGCCGTTTAACCAGCGCGTGAATGACAAGGTCACATTTACCGTCTCAATTGAAACGTCGAACTGTGTATAATTAGTATCTTCTTCTTCCTCTGAATGAGCTCGCTGATCATATAGTTCGGCCGTGGGCTGGTCGCTCAAAGCGGCTGCTGCCGCTGCCGCCGCCGCCGTCTTGGATGATCCTTTGCTGACATTGCCCCTTCCCTGGCCGGGCCGCCGTGACACAAAGACGTTTTTGAAGGTGATGACTCCGCCCCTCCATTTGGGAACAATGGCGGACTCGAAGACAACCTTTACACCAGACGACCGGGTGAGGTAGTTGCCAACCCACCCAGCGAGAGTTTCTATGTCCTTTAGTAAGAACAACATTAACCAAGAAATTAAACTTACCCTGAGCAAAGACAGTATTGATTGCGATGATTAATAGAGAGAAAAATGTAGTCGTCCCCAGAACAACCCATACAACATGCCCCAAAAGCACCCAGGAGAAAAGGGCAGTTATCTCATCAAGATTGAAGGGACGGACGCTTCGAATGGAAAACCATTTGAATCGGACCTTGAGTCTAGACCAAAAGCCAGTGGCCGCCGATAACAGCTCTTCCTTTGTTGGTCGGTGGAGATGCGGCATATGAGGTAGACGGTTGATCAGATGGCGATTCGATGAACTAAACGAACTGGGTTCAGGCTTCACTTCGCGCGCTAGCGGCTCCAATTTGGGATCTTTGTGTTTATGCTCATTCTTGACTTCCTTCGCACCAACCTGTTCGGCGGCGTCCGTTCGTACATTCGTCTTTGATGTATCATCTTTTCTCGTCTGAAACCCGCGTCTTTGGGATTTTTTAGATAAATAACCAAGAAGCTGTCTATCAAACGGATACGATCGATGAGAGAGTATATTTTCCGAACTTATCGCGCAAGTTGCACTGGTTTCGACAGCAGGGGAGCTTGGGGAGACACCGAGTACAAGGAAGCTTCCGGAAGCAAACCTTCGTGTGATTTGTGTTGTCTTTCGAGGAGAGGCCGAAAACCTTTGCGCATGTCTTTTGAAGAGGGAACTGTAAAGAGACTCGCTTGGGGAGGTGATCTCGAGGAGGAATTGAGTGCGATTCATGCGCAGCCCACGCCCCAGGAACGGACTGGCCGTCTCCCAGAAGTTTCTATAAAGTCTGCGTCCGAAGCCAGACATCATGACTGTCACATGCTGGACTGCCCGCTACAGAAGCGGGAAATATAAAGAGGGGTCAGCAGGTATAACGAAACCTGGTGATAAGAGAAAAGAGATAGAGGAAAATCGGTCGAGCAGCTGGATGAGCAAAATTCCATGAAATCATCCCGCCGAAGTGACCTAAGTTTGACTTGTTTGCATCTAAAATTTAGAGCCTTCCGCACGGCACACCCGTGTGTCTTTTCAACACCAAAGAATTTCCGGACGTCCAAAAAAAAAGGGCGAAGAAAGACAATAGCAGGGAGAAGAAAATTACACCATATCACACAAAATGCCAGCCCCGACCGCACTTCGAGCGACCGATAATCTGGCGGCTGAGGCGCCCGTTGCCCCTCCTGCTCAGGGTTCGTACCATTCGGAGAGTTAGCAGATTGAGAACAAGGGCTAACAACGTCGTAGAGCAAGACGAGGAAGTTCTGATCGATGCCCTGCCCGCCGTGGACCCCGATGCTATTCTTGCCCCAGTCGAGTCCACAGAGGACACTGAAATGCGCATCGACATGGAAGGCCGCCCAGTTTTTACACCTGCGAAAGATATACCTACCGCGTACCGGGTTGAGTCCCGCAAAGTCCCCGTCCCTCCACACAGAATGACGCCCTTGAAAGCAAACTGGCCGAAAATTTATCCCCCCCTCGTTGAGCATCTCAAGCTGCAGGTCCGGATGAACATAAAAAGTCGAGCTGTTGAGCTGCGCACTTCGAAATTCACAACCGACACCGGTGCTCTACAAAAAGGCGAAGATTTCGTCAAAGCATTCACCCTGGGATTCGACATAGATGATGCCATCGCATTGCTGAGGTTAGATGATCTTTATATTCGCTCGTTCGAGATCCGAGATGTCAAGGCCTCTCTCAACGGGGAGCACCTTAGCCGTGCGATTGGTCGTATCGCTGGAAAGGATGGGCGGACGAGGCATGCGATTGAGAACGCAAGCCGGACGCGAATCGTCATTGCCGACCAGAAGATTCATATCTTGGGGCGTTTCCAGAACATAAACGCAGGCCAGGAGGCTATTGTTAGTTTGATCCTGGGTAGCCCTCCAGTAAGTCTTCCCTCCTGCGTTGTACAGCCCGGCTTCTAACTCAAAGCAGGGAAAGGTATATGGCAATCTCCGCAAAGTTGCCGCCCGGATGAAGGAGCGTTTTTAGACTATTTATTTTTCTCTTTTGATGCCTGCGGGTTTATGATACCGGCGTTATGGGTAACTGATACGGCTGCTGCATGATATATTCGACATGAACATGTTTAGGGAAAAGTTTCCATCGGATTCATGTACTAGATAACAAGGTTTCCGATTTCATCAATTAACGAGATACCTGCCTTTGGGCGAGAGCCGTTCCTGATCTTTCTAGTCCTTCTTCAGAGGGTGGTAAATCTCCTCTATCCCGTTTGACGTGATAACCAACATCTGTAAGCCATCTCCAACCTCAATATGTCTCTCTACCGCGCTGGTGAACGCATCCCGTACGAGTTGTTCCACGGTCTCTCTAGGCATTGGCTCAGGTTTCCTGGCCTCCAAGGCATGTCCCTCTCCGCTGCCGGGAATATACTGGTTCTTTAGGTTGACTTGGTTATCCAAGAACGGCATAATCAAGCTAGACGCAGCACCAGCAGCTCTGCATTGCTCCCGCTCATACGAGCCCACCGGATCGTAGCCGTACAGCGCACCCTTGCCTTCTTCATCTAGACCAGCCAGGATCGCCTGGACATAGTACGGAAAGAACCTCTTTCCGTACAAAATGGTCGAAAGTCGCTGGGCACACGCTCGGACAGTCATGGGCTTGCCATGCTGGTACTTGTACATCTTCACCACCGCATCGAGCTTCTCTTTGAGGGCTAAGCCATCCGCAGCAAACCCGACTACCGATAGCAGAATTTGCGCCCCTTCTCCGTCTTCATCTCCCCCAATCCTGAATACCTTGGGGACGTAGCGAGAGTTGATGTTGTATCCGGAGGTGGAGCGGGTGTCGCCAGCGAGGACGGCAAAGTCTTCGCCGGTTATTCCAAGGACTGAACCGCCGTTATCGGTGTATCTACGTATGTCAGTTTTATAACAACAATTAAAGTCGTTGCAGACTTACGGATAGAAAGAGTGTTCCTTGTTTCCAGCATTCGTTGACTGAGAGAAGGAGTATCCGATAGACTCGCTGTGAGGGTTGTGGTCGATAAGGCTCGTCATATTGTGAAATAGCTGAAGCAATGATATTGGAAAGAAAGGTATTTGCGTGCAGAAAAGAAGATTTAGTAGTTGGAGTAGTTGTAGGAACAGGTCGTGAGAATCGTGGTCCTCAAATGGAGCTCACCTCTGACGCGGTGCTGTAGCTGCCTTCGGATTATGTAATAAGGTAGCTTCATGAGGAAATCCATTCCTCGCTCAACTTTGCGACGACATATTTTTGACAGTATTTCTTTTCCTTCTATGAACAATTTCTCTCACTTGAACGATATTTCTTGCCCGATTGGTAGTATACTTGGAACAAACCTGCATCATACAAGTGAAAGCGGCCGAGCAAGTTCCGTTGGCATCCCAAAATGCTGGGCCTTGGAGCTTATGGAAGCAGCAGCGAAGATGAAGTCGAGCAGGCACCGCCTCAGAAGCAAAAGGTATATCATTACAGCCAATTGACTGAGTTGCCCCGGCCAAGATTCGCTTACCACTTGCCAGCAAGAACTGAAACCATCAGCACCTGAAGCTTCAGAGATACAGGATAAGGGTAAATCATGCCTAAACCACTACTAAAACGATACCGGCTAATGTTGTAGTAGATCAGCAAATACCTCAAGCTCATTCTATAGCGCAGGAATCTGTTCCTGATAGAGAACCTAACGGACCCGTCAGCGGACCTGTGCTTGGCCCAGCACATAACGCAAGCGAGGCAATGCAATTAAGCGATGGGCAATTTTCAACAACACGCACGCTTATCCATGATTTGACACTCCCACCAGTGCCAAATCTAGACATACCACCATCGCCTCCAGGCTCTCCGAACCCCTCGGCGAATGCCAAGTTTGCGCATTTCCTCCGACTGAAAAAGCAAGACGTTCACTTCAACGAGAAGCTAGCAGGCTCAGCTTCTCTCAAGAACCCAAGCCTACTACACAAGATGATGGAGCATGCTGGTATCGATGGACAGGCCCAGTATTCAAGTTCAATACCAACCGACCTTTGGGATACCTCGAGTTTACCGAACTGGGGTTACAAGGAGGAACTTCTAAAGGCTCAAAAGGAATTAAATGTCAAAGCGGAAGAGAAACGCGCAAAAGGGCCAAGGGATACGATTGAATTTGTATCGCCAGATCCAAGTCGGCCGAGCTCTGCTTTGCATGACAAGCCGAGACTAAGGTGACCTCAAGACCAGAGGTAATAACTGCAGAGTCGCTCGCAAATCAACTTGATGGGATATCCGCATAAAAGCTTCGCGGGGGTGTCTCGATTCAAGGCGGCGGGGAATTTGATGGCCATATTAGAGACATTAGCCCAGTGCAGTGAGCTGGTCTTTTGAATACCCCTCCCACCCTTGGCTCTCGATGTAGATATCTTTGGGATCTATGCCAAGCCTAAAGGCTTCCGTTGGAGTGTTGGGGTTATTCACCGCCCCAGAGATAGATCATAGCTCACGTAACTACTAAGCTCCGTCAGCTCCACGACTGCCTGCTCGCCGCTTGGTGCTTCTACCTATATCAGTGCTCTCAATTCCAAACTTCAAGCTACTTTCATCACTTACAGTTCTGTCAATATCAAGTAGTCGACACCAAGTCACCACTTCGCATTTAAATACGCCCTCATAACCAATCTCCCTTCGTCATGAACCACTTTCCCGGAACTTGGGGTCGGGTAAGTGTCGCATCACGCAGGTGTTGTGATATCTAACCTTTTTGCTTTTAGCCCAGAGATGATGTCTATGGACCATATGACTCTTCCTACTTGCGGACTACAGGACCAAAGGCACACACTCAGTCGCCAGCTGTGACTGGAACATCGGTGATCGCTGTAAAGTTTAACGGAGGAGTTGCGATTGCTGCTGATAACTTGGGTACATCCTCATCTACAAGTCTGCAATTGAAATTTTCTTGCTGACGGATTTTACTTTGCACTTATCTAGCATCGTACGGATCCCTCGCACGTTTCACGGACGTCAAGCGTCTTAGAGTATTCGGTGATGCCGCTGTCGTCGGATTCAGCGGCGACGTGTCAGACATGCAGTACATCGATCGTCTTCTTGAGTCTATGGATATCCGAGAAAACTATTCAGCACATGGCAACCAGCTCAACGCCAAGAATCTCCACACCTATCTCTCCAAAGTCCTCTATAAGCGCCGATCCGAGTTCAACCCGCTCTGGAACCACATCTTGGTCGCTGGATTCGATGGAGAGAAGAAGCCCTTCTTGAGCTCCGCCGACTTGCTGGGAACTACCTTCTCTGCCCCTCACCTCGCGACTGGCTTTGGTGCTCATCTGGCCATCCCAATTCTCCGTCGACTGTTCCCGGAAGAGCGTCCCATTGCAGAGATCACCAAAGAGGAGGCTGTATCTGCTCTTAAAGACTGCCTCAAGGTTCTCTGGTATCGCGATGCACGAAGTCTCGACAAATACTCGCTGGCTGTGATTACGCAGGAAGGGATTGAGGTATTGGAAGACCAGCAGATCGAATCCCAGAGCTGGGCATTTGCCGAGACCATCAGAGGATACGGTGCCCAGACTGTCTAGTTTGTTATCGAATTTTACGAACTACTACATATTAGCCAGAATCAACATATGTCTTCGAAGCTGCCAAGAGCGTATATTTATATGACGTAGTCCCGTTGAAGACACGCACCAGCTGTCTGTATATAAAGCCCAAGCTTGTCATTCTACAACTTGGGAGCTGGCTTGTCGAAAACCACCTTGTTCACGCACGAACCGACTCCCTCGAGGGAGACCTCAACCTTATCGCCATCTCTCAGCCAAAGGGCGGGCTTCCTGCCCATACCGACTCCTTGAGGACTGTGGAGGAAGATTAGCTTCTATTCAGAATATCAACAGTGTGCACGTCAACTTACGTTCCGGTGAAGATCAAGTCTCCTGGTAGAAGAGTGGTACCCTGAGACAGGAACGCGACCGTCTGAGCAACATGGAAAATCATATCCTTGGTTGATGAAGACTGGACTTCCTGGCCGTTCAACTTCGTCGAGATTCTCAGCGCATTGGGGTCCCGGATCAACTCCGAAGATACAATTCCCGGGCCAAACGGCGCCCACCCATCGAAACCCTTCCCAAGACCCCACTGCCCACCACCACGCTTCAGTTGCCAATCGCGATGTGAAACATCATTGCCAACAGAATATCCCAGAACATAGTCTAACGCTTTGCTCTCCGGTACCTCCTTTGCCTCCTTCCCGATCACAATAACAAGCTCGCACTCGTAGTCCAGCCCTTCACCTTCCTGTGCAAGAGGAGAAACAGGAATATCATCCGTTGGACCCGCGATGGAGGTGACGGGCTTGTAGAAGAGAACTGGATACTTGGGAATGGGAAGATTGGACTCCTTTGCATGCTGTTCGTAGTTCAGACCGAGACAGCGCACGGTCCTGATATCCTTTCGTGCGAGCGGGGCAAGCAGGAGCTTCACCTCCGCGACTTGGTCGGTCACGCGGTGTTGGCCAAAGATGTCACCTTTGATTACTCTTGCCTTGGTAGTTTTGGCGATGTCATCTACGTCGGCGGGGAGGGTGGCGTCCCCGTAGTAAACGTGACCATCCTTGGCCAGAAAGCGGATAAGACGCTGTAGAGTTATCAGCTATGTATGAACTAATCGTGCATGCGATACTGAGACTGAGAACGTACAGAGAAAGCAGGCATGTTGAATATACTCCGTATGGCGTATATGAATATCGGTGGCGAAGAGAGAACCATGTAGTAACGGAGAACGGACGTCTTATAAGCACAAACCTCCAAGCCGAAGGACGCTCTTGACCCCAGACCCTCACTCGGCCGGGAAAAAAAGCTCCGATCTGGATCCTCCCCGATAAGCCAAGTTTCAACCCCAGCATTCGGCTCGGCGGGTGTCAGATTCGGAGAACGTCAATTATTCCGTGCCTTTTGAACTTCTTTCCGCCTCTTTCCACAATTATCCGTCCACCAAATGACTGAGTAACCTCGAATTATCCGCCATAGAGAACTTCGAAATGGCACGTCTCTCTGGTCTCCAGAGGGAAGTCTTGTCTCTTTATCGCAAATGTCTCCGGGAGATTCGGAAGAAGCCCGTCGTGAGTCGATATCTAAACCAACTTCTCCAAGGAGCCTTTTTTCCCGAGAGCCGGAAACCCGAATATTGCTAACTACCTATATTCTTTCCGCTGGTCCAGGATTCAAGAAGCAATTTTAAGTCTTACGCGCGGTATATCGCGTCGCAAACATAATCTCCAGCCCACCTCGCTGACGACCCGTAGGGCGGAATTCAACAAGCATCTATCCGTGAGCAAAAAGGACTTTAACGCGATCGAATACCTCCTGCGCAAAGGAGCAAGGCAACTTGAGATGTACTCGTCTCCTGGGATTCGCAATATCCGATAGGGCCTCTATTGAGTGGATGTAGGTCGGTCATGAGAGAGCATGCACTCTGGCTTGCTTGCGGCAAATTAGTTACGTCTCAGGGCTGCTTGGGCGGTCATCTGCTTTACAAGCTGGGGCCTGTGATAAATACACGGTTCTTGCCAGGCTTAGAGGACTCAGTCTAGGTCTTTTGAGTTGTCCCAACTCCTGGTGGTATTGTTACCGAGAGTCAACCAAGCTTCACCCATTGGGCAATTCTTGGACTGGTCGTTCAAAGCTAGAGAAGCCAGAATGTCCGAGAGTAGGAGGCCGCGCGAGGAGAGGGTAACATAACGTAGTATAGCACCGCAAACAAAATCATTATATACTGTACATCATATGATTTACATCGAAACCTTAGGCTGTTGCACCAACCTATTCAATAAAGTATGAGCTCCTCATGGCAATACTAAGAGCTAGGTACGAGTACAGAATTATGTCATCTCCAATGAAATGGCCCAAAGCTTGAAGCTTGCTCGAAACAAAGATGAGTCACGTGATCGCTTTGTGCTGAGGCTGACCGAACATTCGCAAAGGTTCTGGAAACCGCTATCTTATCGGATCGAAGCGTCCAGAGGTGCTTGTCAATCATTCAACTTTGTCATGCTAGAACCTCCTTGCGAATTCTCCGTCAGCAACAATGGACATCCTGGGCCTTTCTAGAAGACAGCGAATCACGTATATAATGATGGAGGAAGCTACATCAATTCGGTTTCCTCTCCATCAAATTCACAGCTTCTCAGTCTTCAATAACAAGATCCTCTCACAAACAAACAATCCCAATACTTGAAATCCTCCGATTTCCGAAGCAACCAATCCCAAAAACAATCTACATTACTCCACAGATACAATGGCCTTCTTCCCCCATTACTGCCAGGGCGACTTTGCCCCTCTCTTCCAGCTCCTGGACGACTATGATCTGCACCAGTCCACCCGCCGGCCAACCAAGAAGACCACACCCGTCAAGACCTTCGCACCAAAGTTTGATGTCTATGAGTTGAACGACCGCTATTACCTTGACGGCGAACTTCCTGGGGTTGAGCAAAGCAACATCGAGATTGAGTTCTCCGACCCTCAAACTCTAGTTATCAAGGGCTGCTCCAAGCGAAACTACCACCAGCAGCACACCTCGAAGGAAGAGGAGCTGCCCGATGCCGATGACAGGTCCGAGACTTCATCGGTCAAATCTCATCAGCCGACTGTGGAGGACTGGGATGAAATGAGCGACTCTCCCACCGAAAATACTCCCACCTCAGCGCCAAAGGAGACTGTCGTGGAGAAGAAGCAGACGCCAAAGAAGACCCCCGCGCCGGCCTACAAGTTCTGGGCTACTGAGCGCTCTGTCGGAGAGTTCCATCGAACTTTCACCTTCCCGACCAGGGTCGACCAGGATTCTGTCAAGGCCAGTCTGACCAACGGTATCCTGTCCGTGGTTTTGCCAAAGGAACCAGCTCCGCAGCTCAAGAAGATCCGCGTGGAATAGCAAACAAACGCCCGAAGCAACAGCAACTGCATCGATACACTATTTTGACGACCTAGCTTAGACATACGACACTGTACTCTGGTTGCTCTGGTTATATATCTTGTTTGACATGTTTCTGATCGGCTTCATTATGACGGGTTCGGGATTACATACATGGGCTAGCGGGTTGCTTTTTTCTTTTGTATTTCTTCAGCATGTACCATAGCGATAGTGGTTTGGACTTGGTGTCTGTCAATCCAATATATTAAAAAAAATGTTCGTATCCTCGCGGAGGAGTACGTAAACTTGAGGTAGAAGCCGAAGCCAATTCGAAGCGAGACTCATGGTAATCTGCGGTAATCTGCAGCAACCCGATGCTTGCTTTCAGGTAACTGAATTCCTTGACCAGGCCCGAACCTCGTATTCCTGCAACTCGTACGGCGATTCAGGCTCGGTTTGCGTCCAAGTGCAGGTGATACGACAATTCTACTCAAGAGACATACGCTGAATCTTCCAGACTTGGAGCCAGAAAGACTGTCCAAGATGGCCGTCTTAGCTGCCTAAGATTAAAGTTGATGCCACACTTGCTGAAAGTTGGGCATCATAACCAATTTGTATTTTCGTCAGATGAGGTCTCTGGTATTGTATCATATCAGAACGTAGTAAAAGAAAGCATAAAGTGTCGGATAAAGACAAGAATTTCACTTTTAAACTCCTTGGCTGAGTCAGAAGTAACATAATGAAAGATTCGAAGAACATAGGAATCGGAATAGCGCTGAAAAAGAGAGAACCGCATACCGACCGGTCCTCCAAAAAGGGTATACCCAAAATCAGTGTAACTTCCAACCTGGTATAATATGTGACAACGCCGACATGCTTATCGATGACAAAGGATAGCGACAAATAACAGAACAAGGGAGAATGAGAAGCGAGTGACATATACATGGCGAGAGTATGTTAGTGCAAGACCTTAAGCGTAGACTTCAGTAAAGTTTGGCGGTAGGCGATGCCCGGACGGCTTTCGATGCGGGTACTCGGTGCTTCGGTTGCGTGTCCGGCCCCGTAGGCCATCCGATTGATCGACTGTTAAGGAGAGGAACTCATTTCCGGACTTAAGTAGACATGGTTTGACTTCCACTGCACTTTGAAGTTGAACGTCACGTCCACCTGCAACACAAGCTAGAGATTTCTGCCAAGAGTTATCCTCAGATCTTGCTCGGCACCCTGTGCCGTAGCTATGGCGTCGACTGTGTCGAGAGGGATTCTTGGGAGATATAGTGGTGTCGGCGATGTCGGCCGGTAGGTGATAGTCCCCCATGGAGCTATTTCGCAATGTTGTTGTGGGGCGCATATGAGGGTGATCGTTTGGCCCTACACCTTGAGTGATAGCCAAACCAAAGTCCAACGCTGCAGATTCAAGGCTTCGAAGCTGGGCACAATACATGGGGAGCGAAATACGATCTGGAGTCCTAGTGACTGTCACCGACGAACTTCTCGGGCGTTCGGTTGCTCCAATATGTGGGTCATATTGTACGGCAGACATGCTTGTTGGCCGAGCAGCAAGATCAGGCCTGTAGCTGGCCTTTCGGTCTTGGAGACTGACATGACGGTGCATCGGAATATGATAGTCGAATTTGGTCGACGTGTTGTTATCCTGTGCTTGGAAATCTTTGGGGGCGCCTCCGAGGGTAAACCTTCGAAAACCTGGAGAGCGCCGTAGAGAAGCATGCGAGTCTATGGAAGTTCGGTGACTGGTGGCAGAGCTGTAACCGCTATCCGCCTTTCTGTGAGAGCTGGCATAGCTGCTGTAACTTGTGTGCCTTTCCGGCAGCCTGTCTGGAGGCGAGGCAGATGCTTTTTCCTTATCGTAGACGGATATGCCCTCATCTTCACACTGACAAGGCTCCATACTGTGAGTTATTGCCGAGGTAGGTGACTTTTCGAAAGAAAAAGGACTAGCAGGAAAGTCCTCGACGTCCGTAGCTGGAACAGTTGTGGGGATATTCAGCACTGTAGCCGGGATGTCATTGCGGGCAGAATTGGTGGTGTGGCATCGTGATATGTCCCGAGAATACTGCGCCACTTCGCCAGGCAGACTGCCCATAACAGGATCAAGGCCGTTGCCGATACCCGCGGTCCTAATTCTATCCACGTAGACCGCACAACGGTCCTCGAGCATAGCTCCAGATGAGTGTGTTTCCATAGCCCCTGGGACGACACTTGATTGGTTCAGACTGTCTTGCATAGCTTCCGGGGGTAGTGAACTAGTCGATTGTTCAATCCGGGTCCGGTCACTAGGGCAAGGGGATGCGGACCCATTTACAACCCGCAGAGACCCTAATTTGAGGGTTCCCAAGTGCGTATAGCCGGCATCATTGGGTGTAGAGGGACGTAACTCGGAGAGTGGCTCAAAATCATGGAAGGCGCCCTGCTGGGGTAGGCAGCGAGATTGTACACCAACTGAGAGAATATTAGGAGGGCTGTGAAACACCAGGTCATCTAGACAAGGCTCAGAGATCAAAGAGTGCGCTTTGTCTTTCGTGGCTTTTCGCGTGGCAACCCCGGGTCGTATAAGTAGGGAACGTCGGCGAATTGGAAGCGAGTCCTGGCCATTCACTCTTGAGCAAGAATTGAGCGAGGCGAATCTATCGAGGGCGCGCTGTGGAACATTGCTGCTAGGTCCGAGGGCTGGCGAATGGACCGAATAAGACCTCCTCGGCTGTCCGATCAACGGAGGCTGTGAATCGCTTTGGAAAGTAGTTGGTTGGAAAGTGGCTGGCTTGGAAGGGTGAAAAGAAGCACGCCGGTAAAGAGATTCTCGCCTGGTTAGGACTGATGTTGGTGAAGCTGGTGAGGCCGGGGAAGGCAACCCTGATCCAGTCCTACTTTGGGCGTCTCCTCGGGCATTAGGGGCTGCATTAGAATTCCACGTATCGCGCCGCAATGGTCCGGAAGAGAACGACTGTGATCTCACGCCAGGAGACGAAATGCCTTCACTTGTACTAATTGGAACAGAAACGCCGTTCCACGGATTCTGCCATGTAGTGGGGGTGGATGGGAGAGAAAGAGCCTGCTCCACGGGCCGAATTGGCAAGCCCAAATTGGGATAATTAGAGGTTGCTTGGTTCTGAGGAGGCTTCGATAATCGATTCGAGCGTCGGCGCTTTTCTTTGCTTTGAATTGAGAAGGAGCTTCCCATGACTTGCGGAGTCAAATCCTAGTAGAGCTGGAAGATCAGCTTCACCCTTGGGTTCTATCAACAGTGGCACGGGAGCGACATGAGAGTCAATGGCCACTGTGGAAATCAAATCTCTGGGTTGCAAGTGTCTTCAATAGCGCTTCAATCTTGAGTCGGTCAGGGCCACACGTGTGATATATGTAGGCAATATGGTCAATTCGGGTAAAAGACATGTCAGAAGACGGTGATAGAGCTTTCTCCATTGCCACTGGTGCATTGGGGCCATCACAGCATCGAGTATCTTCTCCATTTCTCTGAATTCCCAAAGAGAACTCCCGGTGGAAAAGGTTGGGGATAGGATATAGATGGCAATAATGTTGTGATTTGCAAGAAGAAGCTTGACGATCTTACCTGATAGAGCTGTCGCAAAAGCAAAAACAACGACTAGATCTCTTGATCTAGTCCACAATGCACACAAACCCAAAATGAAGCTCAATAGATCAATGATAAAGATTGACAAGTAAATTGTATACACAGCATCCGGAGGACCGGTACTGTATGCACAGGGTAGCCGAGTCAGGAACGGCTAGACTAACAATATATAAGAACGAACAAAGCCCTGGTTAAACAAACAAGCCATGCCGAGGGCACGTAAGGGAATGGAGATACATAAAAGGGAAGGCCGGCAGGACGCGATGCCATGGGCTGAAAATGCAGGTCACACACAACAATGACGAATGCGTTTAGTCAAAGGCAGTCGCGACAACGGAATCGGGAATCAAAGGATGACGAGACCGACAGCGACTGGTCGGGGCAGAGAGGAGGGCCGTCGCTGGCGCGGAGGTGAGATGCGGATGGCAAAACATCAACAGTGCAGCCGACTCTGTACACAGTGTCAGAGAATGTGTCATTTCCGGTCGCGGCGAGCCCACCGCAGCAGCACGATCGAATGAAAGTCGAGACGGCGACCAGAGAACAAGGAATTGCATCAACGCTAGCTCAACGGTCTCTTGTCGTTTCTCGGGCGGGGGACACCTGAGTCCTCGTTTCATAAGGTTTGATTAAGATCTGCCTGAAAAACAAGATCAAGGTCGGCTGTGAGGTCAGGCTCCATCACGCTGCAGCAAATAATGTTGGATAGAGTCTGAGGAGTCGAGGTTGCATGCAAAGGGACCAAAGGACCAGAGACTGCCAAAGGCTTCATTGTCTTCGATTGCAAGGTTGTTTTCCCCGCTTCTGCTTCCAACGTCTTTCACCAACCATTTCCGTCCTCGTCCATCACCCCAGAACCCTTTCCTCGATAGGAGGTAGAAAAAAGAAATAGAAGACTCTCAAGGGTATTCCTAGTCTTCCCTGGGTTAAACATTGATCGCTTGATCTCCGATTGACTGTCCCCAGGCCTTGCCGTTCTCAGCTAGACTGACTTTCCGCATTCGGTTCGCAGCTCAAACGGTGGCGGCGATCAGCTGCTGCATCCCACCCTCATACATCCAGCTACTGCAAACAATCTAGAGCTAACTAGGTAGCAGCTTTTGTGGCCCAGAACGTTTGTTGAGATCCAGCCGAGTCGGTGTACGCTGTACCTCCGGAGGACATTGGAGAGGCATACTTCAGCTACTCTGCACCTATTGCCTGTCGGTCTGAGGTCAGTCTTATCAGATACACCGCGCTTTTTCACATTGAAATGGCCGCTAGCTCTTGTCTCCCGAGCCAAGGCACTTTATCTGTCTTTCCATTCCTCGTGCATGACGAATTCGAGAGCGCTTGTCGCGCTTTTCTGGATCGTGTTCGCACGGCCGGGGGCTCCATCGTGCAATGGTCCTCGATTCGGCTGCAGGTATTTCGTTCATTCCAGCTGGAACCCTCTTTGTGCTACTCTCCCCGCCGCTTTCATCGCGTGTTTTTCCGATTTGACTGATCTGTCAGAGCACTGGCCCTGTTTTGAAGATATCTCAGACTCTTCTTAGCAGTGCCCCCGGTCCGTCTCAACATGATGCATCGGCAGCGCCACTCCATTCTCCAGGTGTCTACGACCCACAGCTAGAAGCTTGCGAAGAAGACTTGGTTCGTGCAAAGAACATTGACATTTATTGTCGTCTATCATCTGACGTTTACATACAGGAAACCCTTGTTCGTGCAGCCAATACGTACGACAATCTACAAGTAGATTATGATATCATTCTCTCAGACACGTACCAGGTTCCCGTTCTGTATTTCGTCTTACGGCAGGCGGACAAACTACTGGGAATGGATGAAGTCTATCGTTACCTGGTCCCAAGCCAGTATAGGGAGAACATCCAAGGTGTGGGTATCATGGGTGGTATTAGTTTCGGCGTACGTGCCAGTAACTTCAAGTTGACACTAGAACACGTGCTCATATATCGTAGTATCATCCAGTCTCCGGAACCCCATCATATTTCGTGCATCCGTGCAACACCGCGGATGCTATGAAGGATACTGCTACTGGTCAGGGGATTGGGCCCGAGGGATATCTCATCATCTGGCTAGGACTGATAGGGAACTGCCTTCGCCTCCAATTGCCAAGCGAACTCTTTGCGACAGAGGGTAATCCGCAGCTGGAAAGTATCCGGTATTGAAACAGACACTGTGAAGGACGTATTTTGTTGTCCTCATATATTTTCCTTTTGGTGCCGTTGACCACGGTTCAAAATTAATCCTCGTCCGAGGATGCCTCCATTGGCACGTCACTATCCTCCTCCATCGGAGCCTCCTCTTCATCGCTTTCATCTTCACGAGGCCGTTTGAGTCCCTGTGTGGTTCCGTTGGGTTCTCCGGGAGGTTTCGGGGGTAGAGCAACTGACCCGGGAGGTCCACTGAAGATTGACTTTTGAAGATCTGTGGATACACCTGTCGCTTGACCGGGAGCTGTGACTGGTGCATTGTAAGTTCCGCGAAGTCTAGCAATAACGTCGGATGTGCCCTTGGCGTAGACAATTTTCTATAGAGGTTAGCTATCGGGCTTTTCGCGAGAGCAAGAGGATTGCTAGAATATACCATTGGCTTGCCAAAGAACTCAAAGCCCTGAAGGGCACGCATTGCCTGTGTACTTGCTTGAACATCTTTGAAGACAATATGGGCTTGACCGCGCATCTTTTCGGTTTTCACAGCTACCACGTCGAGAACTGCGCCGTAGGTGGAGAAAAGAGTGTAGAGTGAGAGCCGAAGATCTTGTTTTCGGAGCTTGTCTGAGAGGTTGGTGCAGTACAGACTACAAATTATTAGCAACCTTCCGTATACGACCAGAGGAGCAACCCACGTTTGGTTTGGAAGGCCAGCAGCAGGTGGCTTTCCTGGTGCGCGCACGGGAACTGTTTTCGAAGCCATTTCGGGCGCTTGGGTGGGTGAGGAAAATAGAAAATGTTGACAGTCCGCGTGTATATGAGATAAGGTGCACTGTAATTCTTATCCTCTTGATCAGTTTGTATCGAATTGAGCCTTCACGTCCTGGCCGACCCAAACTCGCGAAGGCCGAAGATCTCTCCGGTCTTTCTACGGAGCTAAGGTTCAATCACGTGTAATATTACCTAAGCTCCCTCCGCATCGTCTTGCTTGGTGCCTGCCCCTCAACAAGCTGTCATCTCATCCACAGCTTGGTGACAGTAGAGAGCTCCTCCTGTCATTTGAACCACAATGGCCACTCCCGAAGTTCACCACCTTTTCCACGCCCCAATTGCTGACCATTCCTTCTCTCCCGACAAGACAACTCTTGCAGTAGCCCGCGACAACAATGTGGAGCTTTACCAGAAGTCAGGCAACAAGTTCTCCCTGACCGATGAGCTGAAAGGCCACGAGAAGACCGTTACCAGTGTTGATATCGCACCGAACTCTGGCCGCATTGTCACTTGCTCGCAAGGTGAGGCCGCTCGGTCTACTCTACGGCTCTTGAACTAATTTAACCCGAAACCAGACCGCAACGCATACGTTTGGGAACAGACCGCCGCTGGCTGGAAGCCGACACTGGTGCTCCTCCGAATCAATAGGGCTGCGACATTTGTGCGCTGGTCGCCGTCTGAGCAGAAATTTGCCGTCGGGTCCGGCGCCCGTGTGATCGCCGTATGCTACTTCGAAGAGGAGAATGACTGGTGGATTTCGAAGCATCTGAAGAAGCCGATCCGGAGCACCATCACAACCCTTGCTTGGCACCCGAACTCTGTACTCCTTGCTGCCGGATCCACCGACTCGCACGCGAGGGTTCTCTCGAGCTTTATCAAGGGTGTCGATACCCGCCCTGAACCAAGTGCCTGGGGAGAGCGCCTGCCGTTCAATACAATTTGCGGTGAATTCCTCAACGACTCTGCCGGATGGATTCACGGCGTGTCATTCTCACCTAGCGGAGATGCACTCGCCTTTACTGGGCATGATAGCAGCGTCACGGTCGTGTACCCCAGCGCTCCTGAGCAACCTCCCCGAGCGATGTTGAACATCTCCACCCGCTTGCTACCCTTTAATAGCTTGGTTTGGAATGGAGAGAATGAGATCATTGCCGCCGGCCATGTAAGTTGTCCAATATTTCTTTCCGAATTTAGTTAAGTTTCGGAATGTAACACGAGCATGTAGGACTGTGAGCCGTACCGCCTGCGCGGCGATGAGAGTGGATGGCAACTGGAAGGAAGCATCGAAAGCAAGGCTGGGCCCGGAGCTGGCAGCGTTCGTGAAGAGTCTGCTCTGAACATGTTCCGCCAGATGGATCTCAAAGGACAGACCCAGGCCGACACGCAGCTCAAGACGGTTCACCAGAACACCATCAGCACTATACGAGTGTACGAGGATGTCAACGGCTCAGTGCAGAAACTTAGCAGTAAGTTACCATCTTTATACGGCATTGGGCATCAAACTAATACTCCTTTAGCAAGTGGAGTTGACGGCCGGGTCGTGATTTGGACTATCTAGATTCTAGACGAGTGTTATATCCTTCTTTCTGAAAGCCTTCCAAGAATCACAAGGGAAATCAGTAGATAAATGTCACTCCAGTGTGTTGACGAGCTCTTCATAGTCAGGTGCGCCGTCGGGTGATGTCAGAGTCAGCAGGCGCTTACTGGAACGGGGCAAGTGGCCAATTTAGGGTTACCCCAGATTCAACCAACGTCACGCACGTTCTCCGTAACCGCGGATCGGCAGGACGAGCAAAAGACCGCTTCTTCCACCCTATATCAACCTCATCGCCACGGTCAGCGACAATGATGCCCAGACCCAGCACTCCTCACTATAATGGCTTCGATCCTTGACTGTTTCTTCCTTGTGATTTTCGCTGTTTTTGCACAATTATGCTACCCTTCGAATGCGCGCGTGCTGCCCCTCGAGGTCGCCAACGGGCCTGCGGACAATTCTTCCGAGCGAAGGGTCTCTGCTGATCTTTTTGAATCGCTCGAAGAATTAGCCCGTATTGTCGACATCTCATACTGTATCGGGACCACCGGTGTTCAAAAACCGTTTCAGTGCCTCAGTCACTGCCGTGAGCTCAAGGGTTTCGAGCTGATCACCGTACACCTCATCACAGGCATCTCCCTTTTCCACTCTGACTAATTAGAACGCTAGGCGTGGCATACAGGCCCATTCTTGTCCGACTCCTGTGGGTATATCGCGCTTTCGCATCCTCCCTCCCCGAAACGCATCGTTGTAGCCTTCCGTGGCACCTACTCCGTCGCAAACACCATCGTCGACCTCTCTGCCTATCCGCAAGAATACGTCCCATATCCCGTAGGCAACGACACAGAAACCGACACTAACCCGCCGAAATGCGCCGACTGCTTCGTTCACGCTGGCTTCATGAACGCCTGGCGAACAACCCGCTCTACCATCCTTGAGACTATCTCCGCGGCGAAAGATCAATACCGTGACTACGAGCTGACGTTAGTCGGTCACTCGCTCGGCGGTGCTGTGGCTGCTCTAGCAGGAACAGAGATGAAGTTACGCGGGTGGAATCCCGTTATTACGACGTTCGGAGAACCAAGGGTCGGCAACAAGGCCTTTAATGAGTATCTCGATACGATCTTTGACCTTGATTCAGGGAATGCGAAGAACTGGAAGTTTCGCCGCGTAACGCACGTCAATGACCCTGTTCCTCTAGTCCCGCTTCAAGAATGGGGGTATGAAATGCACAGTGGGGAGATCCATATTTCCCGTGTGGAACTGCCTTTCTCAGTTGACGATGTTGTCTATTGCAGGGGTGCTAACGATGAGAGTTGTATTGCCGGTGCTGGGGGTGACCCCCGTGACGCTGTTACTGCTGCTGCTCTTTCTTCTCCTGATCGTGCGTCTGAGATGAACTTCTTGGGTAACGCGAGAGCGCAGCAAGTTCTCTCGGGCTCGTCTGGGCCAGGAGGCGAGAAGACGAACGCGTCGCCTGAACTCGAAACAGAGACCCGCAACCCTTGGAATCTACTCCCTCCTCGGTTCCGCCTCTGGGAGTTGTTCTACTCGCATCGTGATTACTTTTTGCGTCTTGGGCTCTGCGTTCCTGGTGGCGATCCTACGGGGACATGGTGACCTGCTTTCTATTATTTCATAATCATGAGTTATAAAGTACTACGATTTTCTGCCACATTGTGTTCAACACACCTTTACACAGTATATCACGAAGCATTTGTACGATTCTGTTCGTTATCGGTACCCTAGCCCATTTACATTCGTTATCAGGAGTGGCTCAAATATAAGAGAAGGGAAAAGACCGCTAACTGAAAATTTTAAGCAAAGCATGGGGTGTATCGATGTCAACAAGTGAATCATGCGAGAAACCAAGGGAAAATGGAATATGAGTATGAGTATGCGGGGAAAGAGAGAATATAAACAACAGGAACCGACAGAAGCAGAAAAGAACAACAATGGGGCCTGAAATAGTAGGCCAGAATGACTACTTGCCGTGCTCCAAACTCGGCACGATAACTGGCCCATACTTCACCACAGCTCCAAACGACCCCTCACCCTGTACCATAAAGTCAACCGCAAGATTTAACTTCCCACTGCCCCCCGAGCCTTGCCCCGGCCCAAACCCTTGCTGCCCAAACATCGCTTGCGAATCGGGATCATACGCAACAACAGCAACATAGTTCCTCCTCCCCATGAGCTTCTTATGCTCTCTTGTCTGCCCCGTAACGTCCGTCTGGAAAATCTCCATCATATCCTCCTTTGTATCCGTTGGTTGTGACGGTGTGCTGCGGACGCCGTTGGCCGGGACGTAGATGGGTTTGTTTGAGGAATGCAGCATCTTTACGATGTACGAGGGCGGGGGGCCGTTGACGACGGAGGATGAAATCAATTGGTACATTGTCTTGTAATCTGAGGGGTTCGCAGGGTCGTGGACGAGGCCTGCGCCGCAGACGTTCACGGCGCCGGAGAGGAAGGTCATTCGGAGGGATTTTTGGTGCGCGATTCCTTGTAGTGTGCGGATTAGGTAGGTTCTTTCGAGGTCCTGTTTTGGGTTTATTAGTTTGCATCAATATTATGGATGGAAGGCAGATGGTACCTTTGACTCGTGCGTCCACTGATCGCGAAGCTCGTCGAGGAGGTCGAATTCTCCAAATGGGCTCAGAATCCCACCCATGAGCCCGCTCTTACCCACAGCGCGCTTGACAGAGTCGAATCCGCTCCCGACAACATCTTTTGCGCCCACAACGCCCGCGACGGAACTCGTCACCTTGCCGAGGACATTGTACGCACCAGTGACTGCGCGCTTACCCGTCGTAAACGTCTGCGCGATATGCTCGGCCGTCTCAAGGCGCGGATAGATGAGCGGCACGGACGTCATCCACAGACAATGCTGCACTGTCGGCGGAAGCATAGCAACCTTGGGGAAAATGCCCTGGTACGTTGGCCCCGCGAGAACCTGGTGCTGGTTGCGCTCGGAGCGGCAGTCGAGACCAACAAGGACGACAGAGGGGCCTAGGTACTTGACAAAGTGCCAACCTGTGCCGGTGATAGTGAAGAGGTCGTGGTCTGTGCTGACGTTGCGGAGGATGTCGAGGGTTGTGTGGTGCTGGAAGAGGAGATACATTTCGATGCCGACTCGGCCGATGTTCTTGAACATGTTGGAGAACTGCATGTGTTCGGGGTAGGAGCCGAAGCCGTCGAAGCTGTGCTTGTTAGCTTCTCGTTCAGAAGGAGGTTAGGGATACAGAACTTACATATCATGGTCATCGATTTGACAAACGTACGGAATCTGAGCAAATGATTCCCTCAGGTACGGCTGGTCAAAGTGGCTTGTATAGTAGTGGAAGTACCCGTGAGAAACATCCTGCTCATAAGCTGCTGTCCAGGCCGCCGTCTTCCTAGCCTCTTTGCCCCGGATAAGAAGCCACTGCTTCAGAGATGGAATCTCCTTCCACATGCGATCAGCGTAGATCTGCCCACCCAGGCACAGCTGCGCGTGGAATCCGCCAATCTCAGTATGTTTCTGCATAATGTCCTTCCACAGCAGCCCAACGCCTCCCAGCCGGGCTCGCTCGTTCTCATTGATGTTGAGTGAAAAGTCGTTGCCGGAGGTTGCGATGAAGCGCCAGCTAGCTTCGTGTCGTCCAGCGACCAGGAACTCGTAGCGCGTGCAACCTAGATGGGAAGTAATTGCGTATGTCCACTTGGCGGCGCCAGCTTCTTCCATTTTCAGGTCGACTTCGTATTTATAGAATGTCCAGCGCTGGTGCGTGGAAATGGCCATGGCTTTGAGCTGACGCGGGTTCGGGGACAAATCTATACTCTGGTGGATGTGGATTGTAGGTGGTTGCGCAGCGTCGGTGACTAGAAGGATGGAACCGAACCAGATTCCGCGCTGGACGTCCATGTTTGCGTAGCGGAGGTAGGGGCCGAAGTAGACGCCATTGGTTGGCTGAACTTTGTATACCTCGACGCCGCTGCTAGGAGGCGGACCGGTGAAGCCCGTCACAACGGGAGACTGCAAGCTCTCAAATCCAGGAGTCATCGGCACACCTGGAGACGCAAGTGGCTTTCCAAAAGCCGATAGGCCTGGAGAAGCTAGAGGGTGCGCGCTGTACACACTACCGACCGGAGACATTGGAGCCTCGTTGAGATTTAGTGGTGTAGGGCCCTTGGGAAATTCCCACTGAGTCGACTGAGTCGGCAAGTGAATGTAGTAGTACTGCCCAGAATTCGGGTCCAGGTGCGCAATCCAGCCTTCTGGCAATGGTGGGGGAGAGGCAGGTGGTAGACCCGCTGCCGAAGCCGCACTCGCCTGCGCCTGCACCTGCTGCTGAAGAGCCGGGTGCTGCTCCTGCGGCAAGCCACCATTCTGCATGTCATTGTGCGGCGACGGTCCAGAGACTTGTTGCGGCTGTTGTTGTCTCGGGTCGTTAGCAAAGGCTGGATGGTCCTGGGCGGATACCATTGGCGGAGGAGATCCCGTCGCTGCTGCTGCTGCCGCAGCTACCGCAGGGTGCTGTGCAGCAGCAGGAGATGGCTGAGCCGACGCTGCTGCAAGACGTTGCTTTTCATTTGGGTAGCCCTGCGAAGCAGATGCGGGCCGCGGCACACTGGAGTAAGCAGGCGGAGGCTCGTCGCTGATACGCATCCTCTCCAGGTCTTGCTCAAGAGCATTATTGGGGATGCGACCCGGTTGTTGAGTTTGCGGGCCCTGAGACGGAGTCGTCGCTGGGTGTTGAGGGAAGGGAGCCGCTGCAGGGTTCTGGTTCTGCGACGGGACGACTTCAGCGCCCTGATAGACAGTTGGGGGTCCATGGGGTTGCGATCCGGGTAATTCAGTCGGAGTCCAGGGTCTCTGGATTTGGGTCCGAGGCTGCTGTCCTGCGTATTGTTCTGCTCTTCGTTGTGCCGCAGCGCTCTGAGCCTGCAGACCGGTTAGGGTTGAGGTACCCGCAATGCCTGACGCTGCATAACGAGCTTCAATATCAGAAGCAGCATGCTGCCCTGGTTCGACAATGGGTGTCTCCGGCGGTGGAGGAGAGCCTCGCTGGGCTCGAGTTGTGGCATTAGAGGCGGTAGAGCTGATACGATTGATGCTGTGTGATGGGGCTTGTAGGTTCTGTGCCGTCGCCGTGCGAGATGCCGGTCTCGACGAGGTGGAAGGCTGCGGGGGAGGGTAGTAGTGTTGATTGAAATCTGGATACGCCGAGCTCTCATGCTGCTGCGGCGCGATGGACGAGGGGGCCATCGGCCGTTGGTTCATTCTGGCAAAATATCCCTGACCATCAATTGTGTCGACTATAGGAGACTCCGGTAGCGGCTTGGGTGCGTTTCCGCGTCGCTCAGCGAGGGAAGCCTGTTTAGGCTCGCGGCCGTCTCGGGGTCGCAAAGCAGCAGGATAGTCGACCGGCGATCGTCCTGAGCCGCTTGAAGTGGGAGAGGCACTTTGCCTGCCTGTCTGGATTGTTGGGCTCGAGCCACTGGAGCCCGAGACTCGGACATGTTGTTGGGGTCTTGGTCGGTCGTCGGGGTAGGGAAGAGGAGCTGCGCCGGGCGGAGCTGGCGAAGGTGTCTCTCGCTTGTTAATTCGCAACGGTCCAATGACGGGGGATTCAACCTCCTGTTGTTGGCTTGGGGATTGTAGAAAAAGCTCCTCCTGGGAACGACTGTTCCCGGAGGGGTTCATCGTGGCGGGCTATAGTTAGGCGAGCGGCGCGGTGGTTTTAAATTTTGAAACGACAGGCGGCGATAGGTATATAGAGAAACAGGCGGAATCAGCTCGAAAGCCGTTCAGGGGCAGCGGGCACGGTGCAGGTATGGTGCTGCTGTGCTGCTTTGGTGGGCTGAGAGGCAAATGCGGGGTGATGAAGGAGCAAGAAGAAGCGACACCAGACGAGTCCACGAGCATGCGTACCTGGTCGAGCACAACCGGACTGGTGCCCTGAAGACCTTCAACGAATATTGCAGGTGCCTGTGACCGGCTTCAACCTAATCGTGATCACCGTCGCATCACACAACGAGCGAGCGACCGCAGCGATGGTTGGCTGCAGGACGTGAGATAGCCGCCGGGCATTTTGGCAGCGGATTTAGTGCCTCCATTGGTTGGAGGCTTGCAGCGAATGGCACAGCAGCACTCGACAGCAGCTACCTAGGTAGCCCCGATCATTGCTTGGGGCTGCTAAAAAAAATTCATAATCGCATTCATGATTCATCTCGGATGTCGAGGAGACAAACCGCGGATCTTGGTTACTTTTCTACTGGGCCGGCCCGCAGTGAGACCACAAGTTCTGCAGTCACAAGAACGAAAAATATGTATAAAACAATGCTAATGCAGTACGCTCAATAATCAATCACGGTCACGTTTGTTTACTCGTGACGGTTCCTGGCTGCTCATCCATAGTTCACCAGCCGATATCCATGGTTTGCTATTACCTCCCTCCAATCGATATGCTGCATGCACTCTCCACCCACCAAATGTTGCGCCTGGGTCTCGCAGACAACCTGAAGCATCGAGCTTGTCGTCGCCGCGTCGTATCCCAGCTCCGATTCTCCAATATTGGAAAGTAACTCCAACGCCATCATCTTGGGTCCATTCGACGAGAAAATCGCACCGCATAGGAAGAGAGGGAAAGTGAGAAATAGAGGACCGCTATTGTGTCCATGGGCAATCATCCTCTTGGCCAGCTGGATGGTTGCCTCTGCGTGATGCTGGACCTCTTTTTCGTGCTCGAGCCCACTTTGAAGGCATTGCCCCTGCCAAACGCTGGTGTACGAGAAGAGAAGCGATGTGTGGAAGAGAACAGAGAGCTATGGAGCAAACATATTAGCCGGGTACTCCAATGAGACGATTTGTTGTTCTCACCTGTTGAAAACACTGCTGTGATCTCTTAGGCAGGTTCTCATGACTCTCGATCAGAAATCGAATCTCATGCGACGTCCATTGACGACGAAATGCTCCCCGCAGCCCCTCGAGATCTCTATATACTTGTTCCATTTGCGGATGCTTTGCCCTTCTCACCTCGGTCGCGACATAGCCAAGTTGCACCGCTATTCTGAAATTCTCACGATGCAGGCGCATAATCAATAACAAGAAGTCGTACTCTTCCGTATACAGTACTCCTGAGCTCTCGGAGTCCATTTGTTGCAAAAGTGCTTCGGCCTCCGGAAGGAAATGATTCTCAGTGGCAGCCTGGACGAACTCCCCAGTGGTGGCGCCACTAAATAGCGCATATAAGTCAATTTGGCAGATCAACCAGATAATAACCGGAAATCGCTCTCGTTCAGCGACAGACTGCCTTAGCAGAGTGAGTTGTAGTAGCCGGGACATGTGGTGCGACCAGAGGTTCGACCCGTTGCTGGGTTTTGCGAATGTGATCTGCCTGTGTGAGCTCTCAAGTTCTTTTTCATGAAGGGTAGTACTAACCTGGTAAATGAGGAGCAAAAAATGCGTCAGAAACAGCCCATCGGACAAGACGTCTTCACAGTTATGAAGGCTGCTTTGGAGAGAAGGTAGGGCCTGATCATAGTACTGCAAAGCATCCAAGTAATGAGAATTTCCTTGACGAACTAGACTGAGAGCTGACAGGGTCATCATCACATGGAGAAGCTATTCATCAATAGTCATTAGGACTCATACACCCCAAGCGAAGCACTCGGCACCACCCACTGGAGGGAAATTGGAAGCCTCTTGCTCGAAGACGTTTGCCTCCAGATAACAGTGGCCCCCGGGTATCAGCTGCGTCCATACGACGTTCTGAAAGTGGTCGAAGAGCGCCATGTCGTAAGTCTCTAGATCGACGTGTTCGGAGACTTGGTCCTCTGAGATGTCCTGCAGAGATGGATACATCAAGGGAGCGGAAATGGGCGTGGGCCCGAGATCGGACTCCGGGGACTGCGTATAGCTCCGGCGGTTGGGGTATACTTGCTTCCTAGAGTCTCGAAACCGATTTAGTATCACCACGTTCGGATCTTCCGACGCAGTGACCTCGTCCATCGGATCATAGCTACTATAGTCCGAAACAGGGCTTGAGAACGGATTGCTGTGCACGTCTTCCAGCGTATCCTCAGTATACTCTGGCAGGCGCGAAAAGCTCTCTGGAACAACGATTACGTGATACGTTCCTGGGACTGATCCCTGTGCTTTCTTCTCCCTGTCCTCGTCTGACGTGAGAGTCGAGAAAGCCGGGAGAAGGTCGCAGGAGATACCCTCGGAAGCGGACAGATGTTCCCCCCTGTGCGCCATTTTCGATGCTGGAATCAAACGATGCTAGTTAGTATCCGGAGAACGCCGTGTGAAGTGACAAATCAAGAAAAGGAGCGCTCACGGTCCCAGACAGCATTGCCTTTAGTTTTGACATCGGGCATGCGCTCCATGACTCGCCGAGTGTCATCGCGGAAGCACAACCGAGGCTGGTAGTCACAAACATGGCCAAGTCGTGCACATTGCTAGATCAGATTATGTTAGCGCCAATTTTAGTAAGATACAGCCAGGATTGGAGATTTGGCGCTCACATTGCACTGCGGATGGACCTCGTCGCATTTGACTATTGGTACAGTAAATATAAGTGGGGGTCACGGTGGGGAAAAAGAAAGGAGCGCTGGCGCGATTAGGTTAAGACTCACTCTTGCGACTCTGTATGGTGGCGAAAAAAAAAAGTCCCAGTCAGCACTCAACACGCTCAAATCCAATTGACCTAAACATTGGTGGGTTGTGTCGGGGAGAAGAGGGTCTGCTCACTCTGCATGTCCTATGAGTAGAATCTGCAATTAGGGAGGGCACGTCAAAGGCATATTGTGGGTACGCAACAAGAGAAAATAAACATACCAACAGCCAGTACGGGATCGCGGCGGGAAGCGCAGTCGAGGTTGGATGATGGCGGCCCTGGCAGCTGTTGGGGCACCTCCGGCCGGGTTCAACGGCATCACATCATCCTTCGGTGCAATGGTAGGCAGGCGCAGAGGGCGCTTCCTTGAAGGTGTAGATCGTCGAGAAGACATCTCTGAACCGATGATCGTCATGTAGTGTGGAAAGTAGTAAAGTGGACTCAAGCGAGACTCTGCAGTGGCTCAGGAGAGAACACCGGTTCACGATGAAGATACCAAGTGCGATTGATGGGCCTTCATTAAGCATATATATATAGTATGGCACTAGAGCCTCACCGGGCCACGGCCACGTGTGGAAGACGAGTTTATCGGGCTGGGGCCTGTCCTGGCTGCTTCTTGCCTTTGACGAAAACACAAGTGGCAATCGGAAGCGAAAAACTGCGAGGCACAGGGTAGAGGGGCAGAAAAAACATCGAATGGATCGTGAAGATATGTCTTCAGCTGGGTGGGGGACCAGTCTGGACAGGAATAAGCACGCCAGCATCGCGCATTCCGTGGAGCTATCCATGAAGAGACTAGGGGAGGCAAGAAAAAAAGAATTTAAAAATAAATTAAAATTAAGGGCAGGAAAAAGAAAGTAGTAGGCGAGACAGAATCCTGGGACCGGATGCCCATGGGACAAGAGAGCGAGGGCAAAGTCAGTACACAGTTGTACAGACTCGCAACTCGCAACCTTGGATGGAGACGCCGAAATACGAACGCGAGACGACGAGCGCAACGAGCAAGATCCATCCAATGGGAGCGGACCGGACAAATAGTTGGACTCCAGCGGCGGGCAGCGATTCGTGCGGATGGACTCAGATCGAGCGACGGAGCAGAATAAACTAAGACCAAGCACACGTCGGTGCAGCTGCCAACCATGTGGGGGATCCCACTCGCTCAAGTTCCCAAGGCCTGGATTCTTCATCTCAGTCTCCCCTGCGAGTCCGACCCTCCGACACTCTTTTCTTTTTCCATCTCTTTCACCTGTCACTGTCAGGCTGCCAGATCGCGGCCAGGGTTTGGCTGCAAAAAATAGAATCTCGATCCTTCAGAACCTTCAAACTTCAGGCAGAGTCAAAAGTTTCGCGTTACTCGTCACATTGCGTCTCATTTCTGGGTCGTGGCCTCCTGGTCTCAGTCTTGCTTCTTTCTGCAGTTTTCTCGGAGCCGAGAGGGCTCGGAGGCCTGGCTGTCTTTGTCTCCCAGTACAGATTCCAGTCTCAGACTACTAGTACCTCTGGGCAGCCAAAACATCCACTGGCTCTCTGGCTTGGAGGCTTGGGATGCAGGTGGACGAATGGGTTCTGGATCCGGACCTCAAATCGACCCTCGACTGTGCACTAGCCTCGCCATGTGCCATCAACAAACGGGACTACCGATGGGACTAAAATAGCGTTCCTTGAGGGCACCAAGGGACTGAAAGTCTCCCCGAGGGTTCTGAAGACAGAGTTCTGTCGCGCAGATTCGATTCGCCTGGCCTGGTCTGGAGCATTCCCAGGAGACAGGTTGGGGGCGGGATGTGCAGATGCAGGCCCGCGCATACTCGGCCGGATTATTGAGGCACTGTTGGCTCTGCTGGCCGCTGTTGGTCACTTCTTCGGCAAGGGCGGCCTGTGATTGGGCGGCGCCCGCACAGTCTGGTCTGACCCGGATAAGGCTTGGGGAAAGAGGCAATAATATTCAATATTCATTGTTTCCTGGTCGCACTCTATCGCAAATAAAGATATTGGTCAGAATGTACTAAGCACCACTTACGGACGAATCCAGGCTTAGAGCCCGACGCTATCTCCAGGAACAGAACGGACCGCCAGCGACTAGTAGCAGTGTCGGCTGATGAACTCTGCTCTTTGCTCTCTTCGCTTGTCTCTGTCGGGTGACACTGGCCCATCTGATACTAGGGTCCCTGGCGTTCCGGCTCAAGGGAACGAACCACCTCGCAGCAGAACATCCTATTTCTTAGCTGCAGACCCTCTCTCCACCCGAGAAAAGGCTGGCTGAAAGACCTGCTGTTCGCTGTTCCTCCTTTCCCCAGAGTCCCAGGCTGTTCAGCTTCTCATCGGCGTTCAATGATTTTCGCCGTACAAGGTTCAATACGGAGTCCTGTTGACCATTGGGAACCGCCCGAAACCTTGTCTGCTTGTCACCCTTTCTACGCGGGCGCCAACTGGCCCATCACCTGATCCAGGATCTGCTTGACAGGGCCAGACCTCTCCCCCTTTCTCCAGTCGGCGATGGACCTCCGTAGCTCCGTGTCTATCTCCCGTCCCGCCGTCTGCGACAGTCCAACGAACGAGGCAGTTGCCTCTGCACGTCCCCTCCGAATTGCCTCAACCGATAAGTCAATCTCGCAAGAGAGCAATTCCCCTGCTAGCGTCGCCAAGAGCCCGTGCATTTCGCCGAGTCGATTCAGTTCGCCGTTCTTTCCCTCTGACGCCCATGTGCTTAGTTGGGTGAAGAGGAGGCGCAGCTCCTCGTACAAAGAAATCTGCACCTGTCTCTCCCCAAGCCCTACAGCTCTATTGATATTTGGCTTCAGGGCTGTCAGATAGTTTTCAAGGGCTGAGCGATCTATTTGCCCTTGATGTTCTTTAATTAGCGCACTGGACACGTTTACGAATTGCAAGGAGGCTCTTTCTCACCCTTCGTGGCTGCTTGCACAGCCTGTACGACTACCGGGCTGAAGCACTGCACAAGGCATTTTACACAAGCCGCCAGCGTGTCTTCCAAAGTTTGTTTTGTCCCCGGGCCACTGCCCGAGTCAACATCCATGGGATCTCCTGCATCGCCGAGGTCATCCAGCACTTTGGAGACGAGGCTGATTGCTTCAGGCATCAGATCGAGGTCCTTGCGTGCTTGTGCGACTCCACCCAGAGCGGTCAGGCCATGTGGTTTATATGCAGGCTTATTCCGTTTCGCCTCTCGAATCGTAATCGTCTACGTGCAGATCAGCTCGTAGCTCGTAGCCAAGTTGCCCGAGTTAAAACGCAGGAATGGAGGGATCAAAAAACAAGAAAAATACGAAACGGTAGTGGGAAAAAAAGACATTCTTACTTTCATCAGCTCTCCCAGCTGGGGACGCTCCTCCCACAATTTCTTCGCTTGGCTCGCAAACCGAACAAATGCTTCGAGCACTTTTTCTTTCCCCTCCCAAGTCTTTCCAGCCAATGCGCGGTCTAGCACGGGCCAAAGGTACTCACTTGTACTGAGGTCGATTTCCGCGTCCAGTGACTTGATCGCGTCTGCAATTGCCAGCGCAGCCGTGTGCTTTATCGCCCAGCGAGCTGAGTTGAGGTTTTCACTGACTAGATCCGTAATCTCCTTGATGTACAGTGATACTGCCCTGTTACCCCCAACATTGTCCTGCCACGTCTTCTCAAATACCTCGCGGACATGCTCGTCCAGATCATGTTTTGCAACAAAGACAAACGGCAGGGCGGTAGAAGCAAATGCCATGAAGCGATCATTGGACAATTTTGCAGACGAGTGAAGGATCTCGGCAGAAATGACCCGCTGATTGGCATCTTCAGCTGTCAGGTATAGAGTTTTTGCATGCTCGATCGTCTTCAGCACCCTGTCATCTGAGGCTAGCCGCATGAGGTAGCCAATCGAGGAGCAGTATGACGCGCTGACCGTATCGTTTCTGTCAACCACGTATTTCCCGAGGAGCTGGATGAACCGATCTGCATAGGGCTGGAAGAGTACTGTGCGCATGCTTAGCAGGACTAGCACACGGCTGCACCCGACCTTGGACGGTAAGCCAACGGCTGACCGAAGAACGCCTTCTAGTTTCACGGCAAATTCTGTCATGCCGGCGTCGTCTAACATGTCGATTAGATATCGCTCGATGACTTCCATCATTGGAGATGTGCGGATGCTCGACAGCCTCATTTTGTCAATCTCCTGCGCCGTCAGCCCGTACTTGTCCGCATTGAGGTGGACGTAGTTGACGGCTTGCGGCTCTAGCGAGCTGAGGCAGTGTAGGAATTGCTCGAGAATACTGGGAACAAACGGCCTCATTGAACTTCCCGAGCCTTTCTTGATCATCTGGATCAGGGCATCAAGGGCGAATGCTTGCACTTCCTTGACGCTAGATTCCATTCCCTTGTCGCTGAGCAAGAATGGTATTGTACTTTCGAGCATTGCCTTTACTCTTTTGGAGTCGGAATTACTTGCCTCCAAGGTACGAATCACAGAACCAGTAATTGTCTGACAAAGTTTGAGTGCAGAAAGCCGGACAGTCTCTTTAATGTCGTCAACCAGCTTGAACGCCTTGGTAAATATTTCATCCACGTATTTGGCATATACATCTGGCTGACGGCCCTGGATCAGATCGGATATGGCGGCACAACTTGCCTGTCGAACGCGCCATTCCCGACCGCTCAGTAGGCTCTTCAACAGATCTGACATAATCTCATCAAAGTGAGCGGTAATAACGGCGCTGGGGTCCTTGACCAAAGCAAGCCAAATGGTGTTCATCGATCGCTGCACATTCGGATTAGGATCGAAGCGGTATCGGAACAGTTTAGGATAGATCTTGGTGTTCTTTGCAAGATATCCGTTCACACTGGAATCGGAGAAGATGCTGCTGATTCCGATCTTGCTAAACGCTGCACGGCTCGTCCAAAGTGCATTGTTGGAAGCCAGAGACATGAATCGATAAACCAGTGTTGGATCGCCAGCTTCGGAGGCAAGATTCATGATGTCCTTGTATGTGTTGACCGACGAGCCTTTTCCGGTCGGCAGAGCCCCTGGTTCAAAGAGCTCGGTGTCATCATTGATTTTACCTCCTCCGAGGCTGACATTTGTCGCTGTAAAAGAGCTCACCAAGTCGTGGACCAAATCATCTTTCAATGACTGGTCGCCCATTTCGTAGACTAAGCTCAGTCCTTGAGCACCGGTCTCTTGGACCATTTCATCTCGATCGCCTAGCAGGCTAGCAAATGTAATCTGGCACTTTCGTAATCGGTCCTGTACCTCCGTCATGTGGCCGCAGTTCTTGATCAAACACAGTAGCCATATCGCAGAAGCTTTTCTCAGGGATGGCTTCGACGCTCTGCAGTCGGTGATGATCTTGTCGCATATTTCCGTAAAGACAGTCATTGAGATTGCAGCGTCTGGTAGTTGGTCGTCGACATCGAACTCGGGCACCAGTGATTTCGAATTCCATCCAGCAATCGCATTGCTGATTGCCTCGCCGATTGTAAAATGAACTTCTGGACTGCGAATCTCATGCAAATCGAAAAGGATATCTAATAGGGCCTTGAACTGTGCATCCCCCTCCGAAAAAGTCAGAACCAGGAGCCCTATAGCTGCTATGGCAATACTGCTTTCAGCCTTAGCATCATTCACCAACTTCTCCTTGATAGCCTCCCACTTATCATCGGAGGGTGTAGTTGCAGACAAGACGCCAGAAAGGCTCAATTGCCCAAGAGCTGTCTGAGCAGACTGCCGGAGAAGAGAGTCCCGCGATTTCTCAATAATGCTGAAGACAACCTGGATGAATTCGTCGACACGGTTCTCGGGAATCTTGCCGCCTGCTTTCCGGAATGCGAGTCTACTGAAGATATATGCTAGAGCAAGAATTGCGCCACGGACCTTAAGGACTCTTTCTCCAATAGCTGATTCCCACGATTGCAGCGTAGCTGACAATTCAGTCAAAAGTGCAACCAGATCCTCCTGCGGAAAAGCAGAGTGCGAGGCTAGGATACCGATTGCTCGCCCCGCCATATTCTGCGCATCTTGGTTATTGCTAGACAAGGAGACTTTCAGCGATAGTGTACTGGAGACGACATTTTCGACAATATTATTCGCCGCCAGCGAGCAGACGCTGACAAAGTTCTGCCCGAAGAGTCGACGGCTTTCCTGGTTCTGACTCTCGTCGACGAGACCTATCAGCGCACCTTCGAGAAACATGGATACGGAGCCCTGAACGTTCGATTTCATATATTCTTTAAGGGCCTTTCGCGCCGTTTCATCAGTTGCGAGCATCATGTCAAGTTTAGAGTCCCAGTCCTGTTCGATCTCCATACTGATTCCGGATGACTGCAGCGCTTTCCAGACCAGTATATTGCGAAGAAACGAGATGGCAGGCGCAAATGAATTCTTGTATCGTCCGGAGAAAATCCCCGATGTAGTTCCTCCTTGGACTACAGTAAAGAGGAGAAAGTTTGTAGCGTCGAGGAAACTCGGAAAATTGAACCACGAATTTCGGGATTCACCATCAGAAGACGATGATGTAGCCTCCCATTTCCTGTCCTTGATTGGGTTGAGTAGACGATACCAGTAGGGATGAAGGCCCTTTTTGCCCTCTTCGGAGATTTCTTGCCGCTTGTCACTGCCGCCTGCCACGGCCATAAGGTCGATCCAGCGCGCGACGACGTTGCTGTATGGTAGGAACCGGTTGGAAAATCGGACGGCCGCATACTGTGGTCCGCGGACGACTTTGCACCCTGTTTCTTGGTCATCGTCTTCAGGGTGTGTTCTCATTTGAGAAAGTAGATAATGACTTAGTTGTCTTTGGGATTCTTCATCCCCCACGTCAATTGAGGAGTTCAGAATACTTCCTAGGGCCTGATCGATGCTGACAAAGATCTGAGAGCTGGAGTCATCGCAGCTGAGTGACGTGAAAAGCCATTTGATTAGTTCGAGGTAGGATATTGTCTCATGTCCGTTGTTGAACTCGATATCGGCCTTGGGGACAATAATCCCGATACTTTCGTAGGCAAGAGCGCGCAGACTGAGGTCAGTCGCAGGAAGTCGTTGTCCGCTAGCCCCCGGGCTTGGCCACCCTTGAGACCGAATGAAATCCATCAACCCCGCGATGACCTTGGGCGCCATTCGCTTGAGGTCGGACGGTGAGCCCATACGGACAACCCATGTCGTAAAGTTGAAAATTTGGGTGCGTAGCTTTGAAGCCTGTAAGCCCTGCGAAGATCGCGCCGAGTCCGAGAGAAGCCCTTCTTCGACTAACCGAATAATCTTTTCAGTGTCCGTCGTTGCCGTTACTGACTTCCCCAGGAAGACAAGGAGCCTCGTTTGCAGGGCCGGCCGGGCCGGAAGCGCCCCATCTGGCGTACCTGCGCCAAAATGCAAGCTATATAGCTGCTGTACGACTTCCGGATCCTCTACATCCGGTATAAACCGCTTCAGCAGCTCTTCGCCTAAATCGGACAAGCGACTGTTAGTATCCGCGGACGCGATGATCGCCGGGAGTAATCGTTCCGGGTCATTGAATGCTCCGCTGGATATGAACTTGAGAGCTTGGACTTTCGTCTCGGTCAGGTTCAAACCACCCTCCCGAGCCGGATTCCACGTCTCCGTCACAGGCACGTCCTTGTTCAGGAATCTGTACTCTGCCGGTGATAGTCCCGCGCATGCGGCCGCATCCTTGTCTGCAGGTGCAAGAAGCAATAACTTGGTGAACCAATGAGACAAGAACGCAGTATCCTGGTCCGAGAGACCCAGTCGGGATTTCAGGTTGGCGTCATCAGGACTATCCTTCGGGGGGAGCTTCAACAGGGGAAGCAAGCGCAGCACAAGATTAAACACAACAGCGCCCTGGTTCGCAGACGTTCCAATCTCCGAGATACCCTGGAGCAGCGGAACCAAAATCTCGACTCTAGCGTCCGAGCCCAAACGGTCAATCCCCTGCTGCAGATAAACAAGGTCAAAATGCCGTATTAGCTGCGCCTTTTGCTCCTTGAACTGTTTCAGTAGCGCTGCAACTGGGAGCTTGATTGCGGGCGCTTTGACTCTAGTGTTGATATGCTGGCAGACGGAAATAACTTTATTGCGGACTGCATGGCTCTCCGAGCCCAGTTTTAGCAGTAGAGGTGCTAAATATGTTCCGAGAAGAGATTCCAGCTTCTCATCTGTATCTGCCAAGGCGATTCTGAGCTCGACCTTGGAGATTAAGCTCAACTCTCGCGCCTCGGGGCTGGTTGTCGCAGCCATATTGCTAAGCTTGTTGGGGTTTAAAGCGGATTAATTTCAAACATTGAGCAGAAGAAACATCACAAGGAGAAAGAGAGCTGAAAAAAAGCAAGAAGAGGGAGGATTACTCGTTCTCACGCCACAGTGTAGGTAGAAATGCTCCAACGTCACCTGTTTCGGAGGCCACGATAATGAGGATTAGTCACGTCAGGTACCGTTCGGTGCCTGACCTTTCAGGCGACGGGCCCACTCATGTAACAGTCGCACACCATATACATCGAAGTTGGAACATGATTGTCGAATCGCCAAACCCTCAATATCTTGTGATTGAGTAAAATAACCGTATGTAGATAAAGCTGAGAATACAACTTCAGAAGAACTTTAGATTATGTTGATCTTGGTATCAATGGCTGTACATCTGCATCAGATAGGACCAGCCTACCCCAAATTATTATACTTAAATATCCCTCATGCCTGTCCATTTATTCTTCTCTGTTCAGCAGCTTCTGCTCTCAAGAACCTTGCCACATCACTCCCAGCGTCCAGCGAATCGGTTTTCGCCTGCTGTTGCATTGGATTGCCAAAGAGACACTTCCACAAATCGTCCTTCTTGACTAGTTCGCCACCGAACGCACCACCCTCCATCAGCTTCGCCAACGGGGCGTCTTGCATTTCTAGAGAGTTTGCCGAGTCGATGGCCACTTCGCTTAGATCTTCGACCCCTGCTCCGTTTGTACCGTTTCCATTCAGCCCGTTTGATTTTGGTAAATCAGTGTCCCTTTTCTCTCTCTCTTTCTCCAAGATGTGGTCCAGGCGGCGAGATACCGAGATGTCGTAGATTGATTGCTCAACCGTGTCAGAAACCAGGTACATCCAGACGGTCGTCGGCCGATGCTGTCCTATACGGTGCACTCGTGCTATAGCCTGGAGCTCGATCGCTGTATTGATGAGCGGCTCGCACAGGAAGACGTGGGTCGCGTTGATGAGATTAAGGCCAGATGAATGTGCCTTTGCATGGAGGAGAAAACACTCGATCTGAACATGAGATTGTCAGCCTTGATATATTCATGGAAGTAATGGTGAATGGCGTACCCCCGGATCGCCCTTGAACCTCGATATACCGTCAGGTTCATCAACGCTACTGTATCCGATCTTGAAACGCTTAAAAGCATTGGCGAGATACTCGAGAAAGCTCTTGTACTGGGAGAACACTATAGACTGAGCACCAGGGTCGTGCTCACGAAGCCACAGAATATGGCGCGCAAGGGTATCAATCTTCGTCCCGAATGAATCCTTGAGATCGATATTCTTGATTTCATGTAGAGTCCCCGAACCGATATCTGTGTAAATAGAGTTATGCGACTGACGTCCGAGATCGAGGCTTTGTGAAGACTTTTCTTCCTGGACGACAAACTCCTGGGGCTTATACGTGATCTGATGGAAGTCGTTCGCCTTCAAGCGCATTTTGCAGACTGGACAGGTGCGATGTTGGCGCCACCACAAACGTAGGCAGTCTTTGCAGTATTTATGTCCGCAAACCGTCAATACACCTGTATGCACTTGATTAGCTCAAGAACTTGATAAGGGCACTTCAGGAACATCCACCTATCTCAAACCCTGTTTGACATATGATGCATATTTTAGACGTCTCGTCCGCTCCTGACTCGTCGCGCAAGTGAATGAGGTAGCGCCCTTTCGCCCTCAAGGAAGAGATTTTCTCATCAAAAGCTTCTTCCTGCTCAAGCTTCGAGTTGAAGAGCTCGTGATCGAGGGGCTTCCCAGCGCTCTCTTCATCATACGGCGCGACAGTATCTGAGATCTGCTGCAGCTGCCGGTAGTATTCCAAACGATGATTCATGGTATCACGGAACATCTCAACTTCCTTCTCTATATTGGACGCAGTCTTTGTTTGCTCGGTAGATATTTGAACAACGTTCTGGAGTACCATCGTGAGTACCTCGAGCTCTGAGCGAGCTCGAGAACTTCCTTCATTTGCCTGCCATTCAAGAGATGTCCCGAGACTTCGAAGCTCAGTGATAACACCACGAAGCGATCCCAGATCAGGACCAGGTTTCAACCGACTTCGCTTTTCCATGACTTCGAGATACAAGGGCGGAGAAGGGCCCTCGCCTTTCTGCGCCTGTGCTGTCGCCATTTTTACTTCATGCGCGATAAGCACATTCTTCTGTCCGGTTAAGGAGTCGTGGCGATCGGCAAACATTGCACGTAGTGCTTCCATGTAGACGTACATCTCATCCTGATGCTTCGTGGACTTCTCATATTCGTCACCTTCCAGCTCAGAGTCATCTTCTTGATCAATAAGAGATTGAGACAGAAGTTCAACCATCTTCTGGCGCCATTCGCTATACTGGATGGCATGTTCGTTCATCATGTTGCAAAACGTCTCGAGCCGATCGAGCACACGACGAGACTCAAGGCCCTTGCTGTACAACCGAGGGTTCATTTCGGGAATGGCCACGAACTCTTGCCTTGCAGACTTCTCCTTGATCTTCTTCACATAGCGCTTCGCTTTTCGAGATATTTCAGCAAGCATCTCCTGACGAATCAACTTAGCTCTCGCATAAGCTTCTTCTTCCAACTTGGCCAATGCCTGAAACTCCTCAGAGTCAGGATTGGTCAGCTCCGTATCCGACTTAATCTGGTAATAGGCATTACCAGTGAAGAAAACAGAGATATGTTGGACCTCAAGTGCAGCGCGGAGTCTCTGACGGAAAGCGTTAAGCCGTGGGTTCTTCTCAGTCTCTTCGCCCTCGTCATCACTGGCTGACCCTGCGCGTTTCCAGTCGCCATTAATAACGGGGGTCTGTTGCTTGCTTTGTTCCAGTTGCAACCTCTCCCGACATTGTTGGACAATCACATTTGCACGGTCGAGAGATGTCCTCCAAAGATCAAGAGCTTCTTTCTTACGCTTGGCGTTCTCCAGTAACTGACCGCGTCGAAGTTGCGAAAGAAGAAGAGAGCGCTCCTCTGCATGAAGGAGGGCATCATTTTGATCAATCATCACCTCGAGGACCTCGTTCACCGATCGCAAAGGGCCATTATTCGTAGCGAAGCCTTTACGACGATTTCCAGCTGTATAAAGACAGGATTGTCGAAGCCGAACCAGCCAGCTCCGCATCTTCTCTATCACCCCGGGATCATTGGGATCCCACTCATTGCTGCGTGGTGATCCTGTGGTGTCGAGGCCACATTCATCACACATCTCTTCAAACAGCTGTCTGTAGTGTTGCTCTTCCACCGCGGTAAAGGGGACAGTGATAACGACTCTCTTTTGCGGTGGCAAGTGAAGCTCCTTTCGAATTAGATCTTTGCTGTGACGGAGGGTAAGCGTATTGACAATCCGTGACAGAATGGGCTTGAAGTCTGCACACAGCGTCTTCCAAATGAATCCGCAAAAAGGCTCGTATTGAAGGAAGAGCAGTAGCCCAAGGAGGTCGGTAATGTCTTTGCGAAGCGGCGTTCCGGTCACGGCCCAGGCCATCTGGCGAGGAATGAGGCGGGCGACCTTGGCTGCATTGCTGACACCACTCTCAATCATTTGAGCTTCGTCCAGGCATACTCGCCACCACGATATCTTGACCAGAGGTGATTTTCTAGCCTCGAAGCGTTTCTCGTGCCGAAGATTCCGCTTCGGAGCGTCGCCAGCATAATGGATTTCCCGAGCAAGAACATTGTATGTTGTGAGGACGACATCATTATCGGCCATAAGTTCAATCAACTCCCGGTCAGAAAGTGTTTGATGCCGGTGGATGCCGGTATAGTGAAAAACCTGGAGTCTTGGAGCATGCAATTCAATCTCCTGCTTCCACTGCTCCAGAATGACCGGAGGCGTGATGATCAGAGTTGCGACAGATGGCCTCAGACTTCCACTTCCTAATCCTGCAAAGGTCTCCTCAGGGCGCAACACTCGGCGATTGAGACACATAAGAGTGATCATCTCCACTGTCTTTCCTAGACCCATTTCCTCGGCCAGTATCCCGCCCTTCAAATGGTCACTGACATCCCACCACGAAGACAGGTCTCTCGTGACAATCATATACAAATGACTCGCAAAACATGTCTCCCCGTCGGCATCAGTGATTTGCACGAATGACTCCGGCAGCTTGTTCTCGGGGGCTGCTGGGACAGGCACCAATTGCCCTTCCTCGTTCAACTCTTTGCCCTCTCTCTTCAAGAGCCACCGAACCGCTCGTCGCTGGAAGGGGAAAAGCTCGCACTGTACCATATCACATTTTATTGGTGCTGAAAGCGAGGGTGTATCTGGAGGCACGTGGACATTGTTGTAGAAATCACGAGGAGTCCATTCCTCTCCCGAGGTGTTCCGATTCCGTCCCCGATCCTTGAGCAGAGAGCTGCCGTTGACTTCGGCCTGAAGAGCGTAGGCAGAAAAAGCCTCCAGAGCAGGGCCCGACAACTTATGGCGATCAACAATATCGAGTGTCTCTTTCCATAAGATTATTGTTTCGAGGCGGTACGACGTGAGGTCTCCAAGGCAGCGAAGAGTAGATTGATAGCAGGCGGTCGGGAGTTTTGCAGAGTGGTAGCGGTCCGCACACTGCAGCCCGCTGGCAATCTCCAGATGCTTCCCGAGCCCCAGGATGTCTGGATCGGTACAGGTGTCGATAAAAATGGTTTCCCGCTCCTGCATCGTCTCTAGCTCTAGTAGCACATAGTCATTCGTAATCTGTTCTCCCTCCGTAGGATGCGGCCTGCTGACTTTCAGCAGGACGGGCACGCCATCGCCATCTCCCGCAAAGGCACTCCAACTATCCAGTGAGGAGTTGGTATAAGAAAATTCCTGTAAGCTTGTCAGGCGCGTATTCTTCACAACTACAGTCAAAGTATACTAACCAGCTGTAGATTAAAACGTGCAAGAGGAATGTAGCCATTAGGGACATGTGAAGTTAATGAGCCATTTATTTGTCGCAGGCTGCGAGTCCCTGAAGTTTTGCGGCGTTTATTCAGAGGCCCTTTGCTCTCATTTTCCGTATTGCGCGCAAAGGCCTGTGTGATAGCATCAGGAACCGGGCCTATAAACAAGGAAATGAGGTCAATAGCTGTTTCTTGCAAGGATAGTAGTTGCTTCAGGGATAATACCTGGATAAAATATCTCCGCGTTCACGGCAACCATCCTGCACTCTTCTAATGGCTCCTTGAACGAGCTTCGACTGGGGAGAGAAGAAGCATGGGGGGCGAGACGTGATATATCGGTCGATAAGATCACGTGGTGATAATCAGGGACAGCTTATCGGAGTGGACCCACTCGCTAACGTGGATGTGGAGGAAGATCAAGATTGAAGACTCGTCGAAGACATTGACTTTCTCCAATGTCCGGGCGCACGCAATACCTGAACAGAAAAATGCCCTTCAGAGGCATAAGTGATCCAACTTATCTCTCTATGTACGGTTTGTTTACTAGGAAGAGGTTTACAATCTGTCCAGGCAAGTGATCAACATTCTGATATTGGAGCTTGACAAAGTCATATTGCCTTGAGCGCTTCTACAAAGAATTGTCCGAGTCCGAGACAACACTCCCGTTGACTGCGCGTACAGACCGTTGATAGAATGCGCCCACAGCATTGCTTTCAAACAACTCACTCGTGTCTCCAAACGAAGTCGAGTTCCTGCTGCTTGCGTTTGACCGATACGACGATTGACCCCATTGTCTAGTTCGCAGGTGAACCGGGCCAGAGGCCAGAGTGTAGGTCGAGATACCTGGCATCCCAGTCCTACTGGCCATCTTGAGTCCTCTCTGTAACCAAGCATCAATCGAGAGCCCGTCATTCGGATGACCATAGGTGGTATTCACCCTCAACGGATATTCGAAATTGAGTTCGTTGAGGTTACTGCCATCCCCAAGCCGACCAGAGAAGGCTATTCCCGATGTTTGTTGTTGTGTCTGTTGGCTTAGTCCCTGCTGGTTGAATAGGCCAATGTTGGAGAATGAGAGATTTTGACTCCACACAAACTCATTAGACTTGATAGTAAGTGTTCTCTCAGCTCGTACTGAGTACGCCAATGATTCATTGAACCCGGTCTGATTTTGAATAAGGTTTCTGGTGGTGGTCAATGTAGGTGCGGGTGCTGTCACTTCGGGAGCCTGACCGAACATAACATTGCGAGGGAATTTCTCATCAGCGCTGTGATCTAGGTAGAGAAATATATTTCCTGAAACCACCCAGTAGGAGCCCACTCTGTTGGAAATTACTGCCTCTCCACTATCCAAGACTTCCAGGCCGACAACCTTGAGCTCAAAGGAATGGGATGCGCCATCAGTAATAAGAGGCAAGAAGGGCGAGATATCAATCTCAGGGCTTCTTAAATCGAACGTGTCAATTCCGACAAGTGGGCGCCAAAATCCCGGGGAAACACCCCCGGTGAAAATAACCGGGAAAGGCCAAACAACGCCGGCAAGTGCTCCGTCAATATAGAGCTGGATCTCACGAAAAGGTGAGTAACCGTAAAGTTCACCAACAGCGGGGTCAAATGCATCGGTGTCAGACGAGAAGACATTCGACCACCAGAACTCTTCGGTGGATTGGCCACATGCTGAGACTGAGACAACGGCACGAGAGGTCCGAGGATCGAGCGCATAAGCTACTTTTGCTTCCTGTGCCGGAACCATGAATGCGCTTGATGAATTGTGTGCCGAGTTCTGCGCTGATATTGGAAGAACCATGCTAGGAGTTCTGACATTTTCCTCCTTCGAGAAGCGAGCTGTCACACTCACGTTGAAGGAACCGGTGTAGATATCGTTTACCAAATTTCCGAGATCAAAGATGACCTTCTGTTGTTCCTTCCAGAGGGCAGTATACTGTGACATGTCTTTAACGTAAGTCCAAATTATCCCATTTGCCGTAGGCTCTGCCGTTGAAGTTCGGAATACTTCAATGTCTCCGAGGTACATATGAGCAAGTCGATCAAATTGCCGTCCTCTAGACGTCACAGTGAGGTTGATCCGAACTGTATCAAACTCACATTGCGGTGGCTCGTAATAACCTATCAAAACGTTATGACCTTTGCAGGAATCGCTGCAAGCTTGAGAGACTCACCAACAAACGGATGCCCATAGCTGAAGCCAAACACATGATCCACGAGCAGAACCTCCTCATCACACAGGATACCATCACCGTGTTTGGGGTGAACTGGTTGATACACTTGAAACACCTCCAATGCAGCAGAGATGGGTCGTGACCAAAACCATAAGACATAGCACAGGAGAAGCAGCATAATCGTCGCTAGTAATGCACTCCTTCTGCGCACGTTTCGCCTTCCCACAGATTGAGCATCAATCGATGTGTGCTTCCCCCCTTTCCCTGGTGATAAAATGGCATCGCCCTTCTCAGGTGGGACTTTCGGGGTGTCACAGACGCAGTCGGCCTCACAACTCAGCTGGGAGTGTGATCTTCTGCTGTAAGATCTCATTAACCCTGCGCCTGCCATAGAACCAGCAATCACGAGAGCCACTAGTAGGTTCCATCCTGGACTAGTGATCTCCGGCGCAGGTGGAAGATCGGAGTTTCTATTGAAAGCAAAGGCCTGCGCCCAGCGATGCCGGTGTACTGGAATGGGTTCTAGAGCGGAGGACATGGTGAAGAACTGGAAAAAAAAAGGAGCAGTGGAGTATTGTCGTTCTGAATCCATGCGTATCGTCCTTCAACCCACTGGTTGACACGAGTGCCCCTTCCTCCTGCGCTCGGACAATGCTGCGCCGAACATTCAAGATAGGGAACCGGCACTATCTGTCTCTTGAAAAGAAACCCTGAGAAATGTCGGCATGTATACAGAATTATGAAGTCTCCTCGCCTGAAACAAGGACAAAGAGGTACTTCTGCCGAACTTTTGTCGTCTCGGAGTTGGTAGATGGATGATCGTGAGTTGCTTATCCTGAGTCCCACCGAGCCGTCTGCCAAGGACTAGTCTCCGCCGGGATGAAGATGTAGATCTAGATCTACCCTACTTTTGAGCGCTTCCCACGTCCTTAGGGTGGAAAAATAATAAAACCTCTGTATAATCGGTCTAGTTCAAAAATCACGCATAATTCGCTCCGAGTACCGCCGCTGACCAACCTGGTGTACAAAAGAAAAGAAAGCTGAGCTGGCAAGGTAGAAAGAACGAAAAGATCACTTGTAATGGTACAGGCCCCATGGTGCACAAACGGCCATTTTTCTCCACGAAAAGATTTACCTCGACAAAAGTGCCTTACATGAGAAGACGCCAGGCACCAAGAATCAGAGCAGCAGTACCGGTGCAGACACCCCTATACAACTTGTTAGCCTAACTCAGAATATCAAATGGAGGTTAGGACGGCCATACATAAGCCACTGTAGCGTAGAGAACTTCACTGCCTCTACGCGTTCTCTCAAACCGGCAACTTCTTGCTCGATCCTTGTCTCGGTCTCTTTTATGCGCATTTCCTGACTGTTGGCTTCCTCTCGAATCCGACCCTTTTCAAGATTGAGGTCGAGTCGAACTGACGCCTGGGTACGCCCAATCTCATCCCGTAGCCTCGAGTTCAGTTTCGCGAGGTCAGCGGCAATCTTCTCGTGTGAGGAACGTGTAAGCTGTGCCTCTGTAGAGTCTGCGTTTAAGAGTTCGGAGCGGAGTTTGGCGAAATCCACTTTCTGTGTATAAGCCGATCGTTCGGTGTCTGCCATGACGAAATACTTAGTACATCCCGATTAGTTGAGGTGAGCGTGCGACTTACCCTCCCTCAAAACCATTGTCCGTGTCAAGTTCTGGATAGACTCTTGTATAACATCATTAAGGACTCTCATCATTGCGACAGCCTGCTCCTCGCTGAACCCCTCAGCCTTAAGACGCTGGACGAACTTTAGCGTATCAAAATGATGGTCGCGCTCTCGTGAAGCTGTGGCATGGAACGCCCGTCGAGCGGGATTGAAAGTTGCGACGTAGACGCCATTATGCCGAACCGGGTTGCCCGCCGGCTGTGTGAGTTGTGTTTTGGTGGTGATTAACGCGGAGCGCGGAAAACGTCTGACGATCGAAGTCGATGTGGCGCTTTCCCGGGACGTTGTGTAAAACGCCGCGGGATGGTGAGCTGATAACGGGGCCTGTGTTTGCCATGTCAAGGCTGTCCATCCTTGTGTGCGCTGCTTTTGTTTCCGGCCGACTGGAAGAGGAGGGGAGTGTGAAGCCGTGAGACTCGTTCGGGTCGAAGAGCCGTTCCACGTTAGGCGGGGAAGGATTGAGCGCGGTACCTCCGCGACGGATTTTTGAGGCGCCATGACGGTGGTGTTTCAAAGTTGAATACGCATCGGATGAGTATTATACAGCACGAGATGTGCAGCGCCCGAATGGCACGAGGTTAATGGTCCGATGATGACGCTCAAGCTGGAAGATGAAAGGCCCCGGATTCTTCCAAGGCACCGGTTCCGTCAGTCCTCGGAAAACGTTGATGACTAAGCTTTTCATATTCTCCCGCCGATTTGCGGCACTCTGTTATATGTCCTTAATAAGTTTATACTTCTCAATCCATAATTAATATGCATTAGGGTATATTCATTCAATTAGGTTGACGGCGTTTGCTGGGGGAGGTACTCTATAGCTGGAACAGCTCCCTAATCTGCTTCAAGCAGTCCTCGGGATCCTTCACAGCGTGACCAATTGTCCGCGAGTCATCATAGATCTCCCAATCGTTACCACCGGGGTAAGCCTTGTCGCCAAAGAAGTGAATCGTCTTGTACTCAACCCCCGAAATTTCCTTTTCGGCCTCGACATGCTTGAGGCAGTATGTCTTGTCCCACCCAGCAGGGAAGACATCGAAGGAGATCTGACCGCCGATGGAGAAGCTATTTGCGTATAGGGGATTAGCATATGACTAGGAGACGCAGTCGGGAATCGTATCAACTCACGTAAGTCCATAACCTGAAAACTCCTTCTTGAGGGCTTCCACAAATGGCTTCCTGATGTTGTGTTCCTTGTCGTACCTGCCATCCCCGTCAGCATACCGGTTTGAAATGTCATCAAGTCTTCCAACACAGCCTCGGACAACATACTTTTCGAATTCAATGCGCTCCTCAACACTGGCGTTCCTTCCGATGGGGCTGACGTTGATCATTCCATTGCGAAACTCTATGAAGGTGCCCCGCTTCTTTGGGATCTCCAAGTTGGCGATGTACTTCAGGATAAAGTTCACCAGCTTCTGATACTTCTCCTCCCCAATCCACTCAATGAAGCTGTTCCCGGTAAGAGGCTTTCCCAGGCGGTATGCGGTCAATCCGTTCTCGGCGAAGCAGAAATCGAAAAGGGAGGTCACATTGACTGTTGATGAGCCGAGTTGTTCTTGCTGCTTGGAGAAGTCGGAACCTCCAACCTAGTTCGCGAGTGAGGCTGGCGTCATGCGCTGTTGGGGATAGGAGGGACTAACGTATCCAATGGCACATTTCTGGCGCAATTGTGAAAGGGCCTGGAGCATCTCCTGTGTGGCGGGCTATGAATCGAGATGTCGCATTAGCATTGCGCGTCCTGAAGCAAGTGACCGCAGGTTTTATTATTAGCACTCACTCGTCTTGCAGGCGACAAGGTATTATCGACGTCAAATAGACAAATCGTGTCTTTCAATGGGCGGTTTTCCAATGCCGGGTACACACCAGCGCCCTCAACGGTAGTAGACATGACGGCGGATATGATGTGAGGTATAAACACAAAACTGTAACCAAGTCAAACAGAAGATAGTAATTAGTCTGTCAAAGAATCCGAAGCCGGTTGAAATGAAGTCAACAAAGAGGGGCAATCTAGGTACAAGTACAGCACTCGAAAATGTTGTCCTGACCGCTTGCGGTGAGAGCGAGGCCCCGGTGGGCCTAGACAAATAACGCTCTAATTTTTGGGGCAGAATAGCGGCCGTTCGACAGATCGCCGAGTTCCTTATCGATAAAGGTAGGTCCAAGCTTAAGTGTAGCTGGAGATGATCTGGGAGATGTTCTTTCGACGTGTACCGAGTATACTTATACGATAGCTTATAATTATCTATCACCTAGACACAGGCTTGCAAAACCAATCTGGTAAGATGCTGCATATACTAGCCGCGTAACTTATCGAATAAATCATCAATCGTAACAATGGTGCAGATTAAGAGCACAGAATCAAGGCCGACCTCGGTATGACCGGATTGGCCAAATGACAGCGGGGAAATACTTTCTATATCCCCCCAAAGTCCTCCATACAGCCGACAGGCTATTGAGCCATGGTATGCTGGAAAACCTTAGCAGCCAGTTGGCTCAGGAGCCGCGCCCGGTCGTTAAGTGGAAGTTCCAAGAAAACCTCATAGACACTTTTGCCCCGGGCATCCCGAACGGCTCCAAGGCGATTTCCAGCAACTGCCCCCGCTATAGCACCAGGGGCGTTGGCTATGATGAACCCGAGAGCACCGCCGCTGACCCCACCGACAAGAGACCAGAAGTGCCCCGTTGCCCCTCCACCATTAGCATCACCCGCCATCCCTTCTTCGCGCAGCATCTCTTCGAATACAGAGCCAAATTGCTCGGACGCTCGCTCCTCGCGGTCAGCGGAGCCGAACCCGAATGAGGACCAAAATCCACCATCACCGCGAGGAACTTCCTCCTCGTCTAGCTCCTCTTCTAGGTTTCGCCTTGCGTCGTACTCGCGCCGGCGGGAGTCGTCGGAGAGGGTGTAGTAGGCATCGTTGATCTCCTGGAATTTGCGAGTTCGAGCGGCTCTCTCAGGGGAGCCTTCGGGGACCCGGTCGGGATGGGACTTTAGTGATTCGCTGCACGTCATTAGCATTATTCCGCTGTGAGGGACTTCGTGGTATGTTTACCGCTTGTAGGCAGTACGAATCTCTCGTTGGCTCGCGTCAGGGGAGACGCCTAGAACTTTGTCTGATCACGGATTAAGACTCTGCTGCCCTTTCTGCACTATGAGACTTACAATAGTTAGGGATCTCTGTTCATCTATGTCAGCTGTCATTGTTCCCCCGACAAAAAAGGACCATGGACCTGTGGGACTTACTCGGCATCTTGGTGGGTTTTCAGTGTAGTCGTTGCTTGATATGGGGCGCTGAGATTATTGCGACTTTCTAGCAATAGCTCGATATGTGATGAAGAGCACGTTTAGTAAGAGGCAAGATGGAGAGCAGGGAGAGAATGCGAGCTTGTCTTCAAATGCGAGCCGGGTCGGGATGACGTCGGTGGTCTGGTACGAAAGGAACCACGAACCAGAATTCGGAACTGATTGCAGCAACATTCTGGTTCGCGCTAGTACGACCTAGGCCACAGTATTTAACTACCATATTTATACTAGTAGGTCACTCAACTATCGCCCACACCCAATCCTTAATACAATAGCGGTCCAACTCCGTCTCCTGGCCTCGGTGCTCTCCAGAACAAAATCACATGACACTTGTCTTCATGCCTGAGGCAACCAGCCGTGCGGCAAGTGCGGGCAGCCCCTGAGAATCAGCACCAATCACCAGCGAGGATGGACAGAACTAAAGCAACCAGCCACCGAGTTTATTGCAGCTGAGTTTCGCTCAATTTCGCCAAAGATGGAGACGCCTGTTTCTTGGTCGAGTTGGTCAGACGTCCTCTGTCCTCCTACATCGCTCATCCGGACAGATCCTCCACAGTGGGTGAATAATTGAGCCTCCTGTGCAAAGTAGCTACATACCCCGGGCTCTCGGTACGTCCAACACATCCGATCGTATCTTTGACCACGGTGGTTCTGATTGCTTCGGCTTTAAAGAAGCGGTGGGGACAATTGATGCAGCAAAGGGCCTAAAACTGGTGTTGTGCAGCAAAGGACTCCGCAACCGCTTTATGATTGCTTGAGCAATTCAACGCCTTGAGAGCAAACAATCAACCAGAGCTGAAAAGAGTTCCGACTCCGACGGGGTTTCGAAGAGTCTCATATTCGACCTCGAGGGCACGAAAATCGAGAAGGACAGACAATTCACTTGAGCTCATCCAATACTCAACCCACCGCTTCCGCAATCTACATCAAACCAAGCGAACCGAAGTGAGAACACAATGGGCTGGTTCGACGGACGATCCTCAACATCAGGCTATTACGTCCGCAAGAAGGACAAGTCACCTTCCCGACGGTCGACAAGTGGCTATTCCACACACCATAGCCGGCATTCCGCTCCCTCGATCTTCAGTTTCAGCGGAAGTCGCACGGGCCGGTCGAGCCCGTCTGCCTTCTCATCGTCCTCGTCGCGAAGGGCTCGCCCACGCTCGGGTTTCATCCAGCGCATAGTCCGCTACATTAAGCGCTTGTTCCGGGATATCAGCAGTTATGCGCGGCGCCACCCGATGAAGGTGTTTATGCTGGTTGTTCTCCCGCTCATTACCAGTGGGGTGCTGTACAAGCTCTTCGCCATGATCGGGATCCGTCTGCCGAAGAATATCTTTGGCGGTAGCTCTGGCTCTTCCTCGAGGTCTGGTGGGGATGGTGGCGTGGCTGGAAACATCAACGGGCTTATGAACATTGCAAAGATGCTGATGTAGACGGTCGTACCTCGTTGTTACGAATGATATGGAGGGCACGTTTTGATGTGCACTCATTACGAAAGTCACGATCATGAGGACGACGAGACATATTTACTTTCTTGCAGTCGTTTGGTTATGTTAAAGCTGCTTTAAAAGCTTCTGCTGTGTCGAAAACGGGAGGCTAGCTGCACTTTACTTTTGAGATCTCCGTTTTGCTCTAGTTTACTCCGCATGCATGATTTGTGCTGGATCTCCTTCGGAAGATTTCGAGATGGGGCCAATACCATGACTACACGACTACTATGAGCGATGTGGATCAGAAATGATGGTCTATACATTTTAAACACGTAGACTCCCTAGTCCGGGTTCGACACTGCAACTGTCATCACCCTCTACGATCGTTGAGAACGTTTGCCTCTTCTCCTAGCTGCATTTCCAGAGGCCACGGCCGAGCTCGCCTGCTCGACTTGTTCCTCAGCCTCTTGCTCCTCATCTGCAACAGGCCCGTTGTCTGCGGTGTCAGATGTTCCAAGGTTTTGACCAACAGTCTTCCGGTAAAGCCAAGCTGGAAGTCTAAATATCATCGTGTCGCGCACTGTCGGGCGCTGAATCTCCTCAACATCAAGCAAGAATTCCTGGCGTTCACCGTCTTCAGTCTCCTCCTCCAGAAACACATTGCCGACAGAATCAACGATCAGGACCTTGCCATTCTCAGCAACAACCCTCTTCCTCTCGCCTGTTGGCTCGACCTCGCCAGTAGGTGTCGCAGTACCACTACCACGCGAGCTGGACTTTGCGCTGCCCTTCTTCGGCTTCCTGTTCTCCTTATCCATCATCCGCTTCTGTCGACGATTCATCGGGATAGCACTGGCTTCACCCGCTTCCGAAGTCGGTGTAGAGACCGGAGAAGGCGCAGTACCAAGACCCCGGATACCGGTCTCATCACCCCACGCGGCCCTCCTAGCTTGGCGGATATACCGATCGACAAAGTCCCGCTGCCGCTTCCAGCTAAGAACCAAGGCAGCATAGTGCGCACCACCGCCGAAGACGAGGAACAATCCAATGAGAACCGATCCCAATCCGGGCCGGAACCGTGAATAGTAGTATCCAGTACCCCTCCACTTGGGGAAGCCGTGCTTCATGAAGTAGTCGTAGCGCTCACGGGCCGGGCCGCGGAGAATGTTAGCGACGGTGTTCAGGCGCTGCGCACGCTCATGAGCCTGCTTGACGGCAGCGTCAATCTCGCGCTTCGTGGGTCCGCGGTTGACATGCACACCCTTTTGGCTGGTTTTGGATTTGCTTTTATCCTTTGAGCTGTTGGCGATGAAGGAGCGCTTGACCTTGTCAGGGTGAAGGAGACGTGACTTTTGGCGGTAGGCTTTGTTGAGCTCATCTTGATTGGCGTTTGGCCGAGCACCTAAAAAGTCTGGAAATTGAAGTCAGAATCTGGGTCGGGTATTTAGTAGCCTCGCGTAGAAATATACCGTAGAATGTCACGTTCAAACCTTCTGTTGCAGTAATTTCATCATGAAGGCGGAAGATCTCGTAGTCTAGAAAGAGAATGAAGTTTAGCTGCGAGCTCTATAAAGCTAATTGAAATGCCACCAACCTTCCTTCGTCCAAGCCGCAGCAAGGACGCAGAGAACCGCGAACAGGAAGAGACGGAGGGCAATCGCCTTCATCGTGATGGAGGAGCGGAGCGTTGACAGCCCCTGAGCTCAATACGGTCAAAAGAACGAGGCAAAACTGGTCAGAAACTCTAATGAGGTCAAGGGAAGATCATTCCATGGTTATTCCTGATGCTTCCCGTTCCTCCGAGTCCTTCAAGAAATTTGTCTTTTGGCCAGGTCGCATATTCCTGGGGGCAGAAAATTGGCGGTCGACGTAAATTACGACGGTTCGCTGACAGGCAGCCGAGGCCCCGTGCACTTGTAATTACAAAGTGAGCCTTTAAGTTGAGGACAGAGACATCCTGATATGCTAAAGTTTCTGATGAACCTCTCTTGTCGGGTTCAACTTGTGGTGCTATTTTCATTGATACTAGAGTTGGCCGCGTCTGGTTCAAACGAGCCATCTCTTACGGCTTCCCCTGTTGAAGGCATCAGGCTGTTGGCTCAATCTACTTCTATGCGGTGCTAGCATCGGGCATCGTCTCTCGTACCCATTATGAGCATGCAGACAGTATGCAGTAGTGGTGCGCTACGGTGTGATTGTGGCTTTTTTTTACCAACCTCCGATCCAGTCTCATCTTGTCGATCGATATCAAAATCGTTACAATGCATGAGCAGTCAGCGAGGCACCCAAGACATTCGCGATGCAAGCACGGGGACAACCGCAATGGAGGGTTATTGCTTTAAATATTCGACGTCAAGAACTGGAACCTTCCCGTCGATACGCGATATGGCGCCTGCCTGCCAGACAGGAGTGATGCGGGATGCTAATGGGCTCGCCATCAAAAAGGCATTGGGCTGTTAAGGAGCCAGAAAGACGTGTCAAAAAAAGCAAGGCGGAACCACATTATCCTCGGTGTAGAGAAGACAGTGATACAATTTCTCGTAGATGTGTATGACGGAGAGCCAGCCACCTCACGCCTGTATGGGGCTGCCCCTCAACGTCTTGCATTGCATCGCAGTGACGGCATCGTTAATAGGGCGCAGCCATTGGCACAGACCATTAACTGGCTGTGTGTTTGGCAACACGCGCGAAGCCTTTCCTAATCTAGGATGATATACCTCCTGGTTTCTCGCTCAGTGCAGTGGGTGGCTGGTACAACACCATTCAGCACTTCAAGGTCTCGAGCGTCTGGCATCGGAACAATCAGGAGGGCCTGTGATGATACCTGATTGATGCAATCCAAGAACGACGTGGACCAGTAAACCAACAGAAGGAGAGTGTCTAGCATGATACTGGTCACGTAATAAGAGAATGATTATACCATAAAGATCTGGGTTTTGCTTGAAAGCCGATGATGGATCCTGAAGTTGCGGGTCGTGTCTGATCACCTCGCCCTTCACACTCGGACAATGTGGATGGATGACGAGGAGGAATGAGCGCAGCCCATTTCCTCCTCTGACGGCGGGAGAATTGATGACCCGACTCAGGATCGCTCTTCAGTTCGAGTCTTCATTTTCATTCCTTGGCGTAGTTCTGGCAGGGCACCATTCCGCGCTCAGCCAGAGGCTCTATCCGGCGGTTACATCGCCAGACCCGCCTGGAAGTCGAAACCGGGCCATTTGCATCGGATCAGTCAGCAGTGTCTCTCGTTTCGCCCCTTTTAAAGAGCCAGTCGTCCAAAATCAGCATTCGCCTTCTTCTCAGGCTGTGGCTAGAGGACAAGTGAGTCCCTGGTATCGAGCGATACCGATAAGATACGGGGTGGCCCAAAAGAGGCTAACGCTTGTTTTCAGTTCTTGCCAGCTTGACATTTATTCCAGCTTCAACTTTAGGCACCCCCTTTTCCTCCAACGATTTATCAACGCGCGTTTCCTTCAATTGACCTTTGATTGCCAACACGTATTCATATCATACTTTATTTCCTTTTCACGGTCCAATACTCTTGACTCTTCATAATGAGCCCAATCCAGATTCCCATCGAGGCGCTCACCTCGCGATTCGGTGACCGCTTCAACAGCCTCCGGTCCCAGTCTCTGGGATCGCGTTTCGCCAACCTTCGCCCCATCTCCGAGTTTCTAGACCTCAAGCGCATCTCGAAGCCTGCCAACTTTGGCGAGGTACAAAGCCGAGTCAATTACAACCTGTCGTATTTCTCGAGCAACTATGCTGCCGTCTTTGTGATGCTCAGCATCTACAGCCTACTTACCAACCCCGTCTTACTCTTCGTCATCGTTTTTGTCTCTGCTGGTCTATGGGGAATTGGCAAACTGGATGGCCGTGATCTTGAGCTCGGCTTTGCTCGGTTCAATACCTCTCAGCTTTACACTGGACTGCTGCTCGTGGGGATACCCCTTGGCTTCTGGGCCTCTCCGATCACAACAGCTCTCTGGCTCATCGGAGCCACTGGCGTGACTGTCTTTGGTCACGCTGCATTCATGGACAAGCCCATTGAGAATGCTTTTTCCGAGGAGGCGGTCTAGGTGGTCGGCCGCGAGCTCCGAACGGTATGCCCCTATGGGGAAGACCACCAGGAGCACATCTGGGGAGACAAACAAGGAAACGAGGGGGTCCGTGGGTGGATAAGGATAGGCGGGTCGAGGAGATTAATAATGAAGCAGAAAGTCAATTGAATATGAGGGACGATCGACTGTTGGTGAGAAGTGACGGGTGGCGGAGATCTACGACTGAACGCGATGGGCACAATCATGCGCTTGACCAATCTGATGGCGCGGATTATGATATTTACGAGGACACCGACACTACGGTTGCGTATGCTGTACAGCTTGCGATGAAGGACAATGAGGACTGGCTGGTGGAGAAGGCGTTGGAGCGGATTCGACGCGCACACGCGGAAGGGCAAAAGAACGTTACCTTGTCCAAGCGGGAACTCGAGGCACTAGAGCGCAAGCGACTGCAGGAAGCTCCAAAGCCATCGGTTGACACTAAGCGATTGAGCGGAGCGGCCTGGCGGAGCGAAACCGCTACCATGCACCCTCCTCCATACCCCCTGGACACCAGTGTTCACGGTGCTTGGGCTAGAACAACGGGAACTGCAGTCAGCGCACTCAGTCCGCAATCATCAACGACGACCCTTCGGTCTCCCCTGCAACCGCCTTTCCCGGGACCCGCGAATCATGCTCCGGCATTCTTGGCTCCTCCCCCAGTCCGGCGACCATATCCAGACGATTACCAGCGCATGCCCCCATACCCAGTGTCACACTCAAGAGAAGCCGTTCGATCTATACACAGCCCCGTTGACGCCTTGCGCGGATCGCCAACCCGACCGACTCAAGCGTCTTACGCGGACAACCCGCCGCGGTCTTCCTTTGTTTCGGCGGACGCTCCGCTGTCCGCACCTGAGTCAGTCGTCAGCCAAAACAGCGAGGGCGGAAAAGCTAGCCCCAGACGACGCAGTTCAGTTAATAGTAGCGGTGATGAAGTCCATATCGTGGAAGTCATGGAACACAAGGTGCCCAGTAACTCAATCGGGGTCGCTGGAAAGAGCCGCCAACACATCAGTCGATCTTGAGTCCCCCAGTTTGTGCACCTTTTTGTTTATCTTGCTTATTTTTCTCCGGCGGTCTTGTTTCATAAATTTCTCTCGGATGTCTCTTGCGATGGGCCTGCACAGCGGCAAAAAGCGTATGGAGTTCGAATAGACGGGTAACTGTAGGCAACTTCATTTTGAACCTGAACATACACTTATACAGAACAATATAATCATTAGGGTGGCTTGACAAGCGATTACGAATTGTTTGCTGACCCTTTTTAAGATTTAGCCGGGGGTTAAGGTGGAGAATCGGAGATGCTACGACCAGCCACAGAGATGACGTCGGTCCTCTGGTGGTGGTGATTGCCTGGAATGGCAGGAATGCAGTGAAGTCATCCCTTGCTGCAGATCAGCGCAACACAAACTGCACTGCCTGCTCACTCTTAACCGGGTCCGGTCCCACGACGACAACGAAAAGGCTCCAGCATAATCGCCAGGTGCCAATGGATCATTTGACTCTCGGCGCAAAGTCGAGTAAGTTCTCCGGAGACTGGAGTACGTGTTGCGTTCAAGCCACATCCGCAGCTTCCGGCGCAATCCTGCACTCTAAAAAGCTAGTGGCTCCACGCGACCAGGCCCATACATCGTATACCTATACTGACTGGCAATACGTAATAGGTCTGGCCGACTCTGCGTCGTGCGGTTTATATCATCGTCCTCCCTTGCTGTCCTCCCGGTTCAATTTTTTCTCCTCTCCTCCCCTCTCTCCTCTCCACCCCCTCCACGACCTTCCTACAACTCGGTGCGGGCTCAATTCGCAGGCGCGGTAGTGGTACAGGTTATACAAGTTAGACAAACAAAATGTGGATTATTTCATTCTGGATATTTCCCGTCATTTCGGCGTGCATGTGGTTAGGTGCGGTACTACAACACTAGGTTCGACGACACGATAATACTGACTCTTTCTAGCCATGCTCGCTGCAATGCTGGGAACCTGGTGCGTTCAGGGTCAACCAATCTACCCGAGTATGGAATCGGGACAAACTATCGCGTAAGTGTTTTCGCATCGGAGAATATGGCGCAGGCCTGACGTACCTAGGTATATCTCCGACGTGGGTGCGCAAGGTCTTAAGCCGCTATTCATCACCGGCAGCGTCATCACCGTTGTTTTCCTCGACCTCTCGTTCATCTCCGAACGATGGCTGCGGCATGCTGGACAGCTCGTCCCGAATAGAGGCTGGTTCGACAAGTCCTGTGCTATCGGGTCTATATTCTTCTCTTTTGCAGGTGCTGCGGGACTGATTCTGCTGTCAATTTTCGACACTGTGAACCACTCGCGTCTGCACGGTGGGTTTTTGGCTATGTTCCTGTAAGCTTTCCTACAAACCCCCTTTGTAATACGCCTGCTAATAAGTCAGTGTCGCATACCTGGTCAGCGCTATCCTTATCTGCATTGAATACCTCCGTCTGGGAATCTTCTACCGCTCGCATCACCGTGTTCTCTTCATCAGTTTCTGGATCAAGGCGTTCTTCATCGTGGTTGAGATTGCTCTGGCAATTGCCTTTGGTGTCTGCGGATGGCATCGCCCTCATCGCAGGAACGCAGCGGCTGTGCTTGAGTGGGGTGTGTACATTTGCTCCAATTTGCTATACTTGCGCTGACATGAAAACAGTCATTGCCCTGGTCTTCACCTTCTACGTCCTTTCGTTCATCATCGACCTGCTCCCGTCCGTCCGCACGCGAAACCACGTCCCGCAAGGTGAGAAGCGTATTGACACACCCCGGTCCGAACAGCCCGGGATGGTATACGAAGAGCCCCTGACGCAAGATTCGATGGGCCCGAACGCGAACACGAGCGCCAACTACTACCGCGAGCCTCGCTCTCACCATTTCTGAATCGTTCTGTTGCCAGCCTCGGCGCATTGCTTGATTTGGTTAGAGGAGATACCAGGAGTCAGGTTATGATTTACGACATGTAAATATAAAGTAATTAGATGATTTGTTTAGAGCGCTCGAATACATCTTCTATAAACTTTAACTTTGATTGTCCACGCGAGGTTCCTGGCATTGCGCAACCAACCACAGCCTAAATCCTATCCTAAATCAAAATCCACATCACACCAAAAACCTTCTCCTCACGTTCTCAACGACTCGCTCCTCGACCCCAATAAAATCAAAGTACTCTCGCACACCCCCATACCTCTCCACCAGGAACTCGGTAACCCTCTCCGTAAAATCCTTGGGAGACCTCGCATACTCCTCCGTCAACCCCAACGCTCGAATCTCCCTCATCCGCTCCTCCTTCTCCTCAGCAGGCTCTCTCTCCAGCTCTTTCTCCGAGAGCACATACTCCCTTGCTATCGTCTCGCCGTCGACGGCACCCGTAAGGAGCAACGAGAGGAGGATGATAAGGCCCGTCCGGTCTTTGCCTTGTGTGCAGTGGATAAGCACACCAGAGTTCGAGACTGAATCTGACGCGCCCAGAAAATCGAAGACATGCTTCAGTTCCGCCGTGCTTGCTTCCAGCGTCGTCATGGCGAGGCCCGTTAGGCCCGCGGGCTTCATTACGTGTTCGCCGATTAGCTTCACGGCGTCTTGGCGGTAGCCGGCTGCCAGCCAGGTGAGGACTTTGCTGGAAGGTGTTAATTTCGTCGGTCATCCTTGTATCAAGAGGGGACGGGGCGCGCACGCAAAGTTCCACCAATCGAGCTGCCATAGTAGTTGCTTTTCAAAGGCCCGGCCCGTAAGGCTGATTAGGTGGCGGCTTGTCTTGGTATTGAAGAGTGAGGGAAGATGGATGTATTCTTCTTCGCCTTGCTGTTGCTCTCCCTCGGAGGTGGTGTCCGGATGGCTCTTTTTGTATTTATTTATAGCCATGTGATGTTCTGTTCTATTTGAGATCAGACCCAGTCTTACTCAGGCGCAGATAGTAGGAGAAGTGTACGTAGACCGTAAATCAATGATAGTCCTTATGTTCAGGTCATCCGTCAGCCGACGGATATCCTCCTCAGAGGCTTCATCAAGCTAGAACTGGATTAGCCAAAGAATACATCTCGGTGATTGGAGATTTACTCGAGCACTTCGGAATAGGACCCCCTCCTTCAGGAGTCTGATACCATTAGCATATGTCCCCATATCAAGAGCATTGGGAGGCGTACTTCTTCCCGGCGAACTGGTTAATCGTCCGTCCCACATCGCGGAAGTTGATTATGTTGTCGAAGGAGACATTGGGAATTGAGCTGGAAGGCTCGGTCATTGTGAGGCTGACTATATATCTCGCTTATATAGGTACTTTCATTCCCAGATTGAAAACCAGACGAAAATGATGGTAGGACCGTAAGAGATGCAGCTGAAAACATGAGATGATAATCAACAAATGGCAACCATGCGGCTGGGCCAACCTTGCTCTCTCTAGCGTAGTGGGTCCATGGCGACAGGGGCGCCAACCACCTGGGGCCGTCTTCACCAACCCCTCACCTTGGAAACTTTCCACCCATCTCTGGGGTCAGAGCGCGATGCTTGGATCGTGCATATTTCAACGTCAAATGCAAGTCGAGTGTTCGCAAACTATCGTCTACTCTGGAGCGGGCATTTTCGACTTTGTCTCTGCCAAGAGGATGATTCAGTAAGACGGAAGAGAAAGTCTGTCACACTATTACCCCCATTTATTGACTGCGGTATCGTGGCCACTACAATCGCCGCCCATACACTCAACATATCGAACTGAAGTTGCTCATCTCTGGTTGGCACTACGGCTGCGAGCACTGCCGCGGAATCAAATGAGCTATACCAGAAAGGAATGCTCAGTACACAACACAGTGACCAGCGATGAATAACTGGGATAGCCAACAGGCCATCATCTCCTCGAGGATATCCAGAAACACGTTACTCACCCATCCATTCATTGAATCTGTCAACTTCGCAACGGATAATTATCTTAAGGAATAACCCAATACCGAGATCTTCAGACGGACTTGCGGCCTGGGGTCGTCCTCCGCTCTCCGGGGTGTAAGAACCAGACACGATAGTGCAGATCTCAACTGGTGCCATTTGCTTAGAAATCGATACCTCTCAGTTTTATACATTTGATCATACGCTGGACAATTCTATTTCATTCAGGGACAGCGAATAGAACCATGACGACCAGTCTACCATGGGGTTAGGTCACAACGATGATTTTCTCAGACGGGCGTGGTGAGTAGTTCCCTGGATGCAAGTGCAAATGACTTATAGTCCTTTCAATGGTATCATTGTATCACTGATCAAGAAACTAGCCAGAGGGTTCATCAAGAAGAGGGCTTCTTAAAATGATGTCAAACATAGATCGTTTCCATACTCGCAATGCTCAGGCCTCGCGAGTCGCGCCAGTCAACTCTCCACACCTTTGGCCTATCCATGGGCGGACAGCGGGGCAGATGGGGTCCTCGTGTAGCCGGATTGCTAGGTGGTTGGCGCTGGTGTGCCTGACTACATAGTAGTATTGCCAGCAATAGTATGGTGAACAGCCACATGAAAACCAAACAGCTTCAAATTCCAAGGAGGTTGATTTTGTTTCTTTATCTGGTTTCGGCAGCTCGAACACTGCACAACCCCTGACCCATAGATTGGACTGATCGTCAATGCTGGTAAAAATTCGGCAGGCGCTAAAAGGCTTGAAAGCTGGAGCATCGTCATCCTGCGGAACCAGACAGCAAGTGCCTCAACTGCCGAAATGGCCGTTCCAGATGGCTGATCTCCAATCTACCACAGAAACGATCATCGTGGTTCCAAATGGCTGGGTAACTGCTGTTGAAATCATGAAACAGAAAAGCAGCCATGAAGCAAACTAGCGAACTCTATAGCAGATCAATTTCGCCCATTGGCCCTGGGCAGGAGCGGCTGATCCACGCCCCAGCAACAATTGCCGAATTTTGCGAGTAAACCAACCTCAAATCTGCGAAACTGATTCTCATGATTCATGATCCTCGCTTTCCACGAGATTAAAGATGCAAGTAACGTATGGCGAGTCAACATGGTGTCCACCTTGGGTCGACCGGCTCTCTTCTGGGGAAGTCCTGCCCTTAAAGTTCGAGCGCCACGGGCTTCACGCGCATCACCATGGGTCTTTAGCTTCCCCACCGCACCATATAATTACAATCCATGGGCCCTGACCAGGATTCCCCGGACCATACAACTCGAAATCCAATGGACCTCCCAAGCTGTGCCCTGTCGTGCTTTCTCGGAGCCGTTGGCAACTCGACATGCGCCATTAGTGACTTGGCCTGTATCTGCGCGAATACTCAGGTCAGTGCACAGCTAGAGCCATGTGTTCTGGGTGTGTGCACAGTCAAGGAAGCCCTGCATACGAAGAACTTCACGTACACGACATGCGGATACCCGACGAGCGATAATACCACCATCTTTCCTCTTACCAACCTCATCGGCATCATTGTCGCAATTCTTGCCGTTGCGTTGCGTGTGACATATCGTGCTGTGGACCGGCGGTTGGGGTTGGATGATATCATGATCGTTATTTCTCTAGTATGCCTTGTGTCACTAAGTGGGAAGAAATGCTAACATGAATAGCTTTTTGCTGCCGCTATTTCTGGCATCGGGCTTAAGCGTATGTGATCGATTCCCACAGTTATACTAGGAGCTTGCTGACATCTGCAGTTCGCGATTATGGTCTAGGCAAAGACATGTGGACGATTCCATTCGAGGACATTCGGCAGACACTCAAAGTAAACATTTTCCATATCTTGTTCGATACTTCGTCGCTAACCTCTGCAGCTATTCTTCATCGAGGAAGAGCTCTACTGCATATGCATCGCCCTTATCAAGATCTCCATGTTGCTCCTCTATCTCCGTCTCTTCCCCAATGCAGGGACTCGTACAACTGTCTTTGTCGCCCTCGGTCTCACCCTTGTCTGGGGCGTTGTCAGCTTCTTTGTGCTGCTCTTTTCGTGCTGGCCTATATCCTATTACTGGAATGAGTGGGATGGTGAGCACGAGGGTCGTTGTATCAGCCACAACAATATCCTACTTGCGCACTCTACTATCAATATCATTCTTGATGTGGGTGTCATGTGTATTCCGATGCCAACCCTATGGAACCTGCACATGCCGCTTGAGAAACGGTTGGGAGTGTGTATCATGTTTGCTGTTGGCATTGTGTAGGTCTTTCTTCCTCTTCTGTAGGAAACAGGTCTAATCCTCCCAGTGTCACGGTCATTAGTATCTTCCGGCTCGTAGAAACGGTCGGATTCAACAGTACCACCAACCCAACCAGTACATTCACCCAGTGGTATCCTCTTTACGTGACCAGCACTAACAAGAGCAGAGGACTTTGTCCCTGTCGGAATCTGGTCCCTCCTCGAATTCGACGTCGCAATCATGTGCGCGTGCATGCCCGCAATCCGAGCCCTCTTCATCCGCCTCTACAAAACTCTCATCAAAGAACCCCTCAAAGCCTACACCAGCTCCGCCCGAATCAAGTCTAGCACCGTATATGGGTCAGGCCCAGGCTCCGGTTCCACCGGGTCCCGTTCTCGCGTCCGTTCCATTGACCCTTACCACGCCGCGATGAAATCCAGCCCTGACAACCCCGAGCAGTTCATTCAGCTTCAGGAGATCGAAAGTGGCGATGATTCGCTGAGTACTCTGCCCCCTGCGGGGAACCCGAGGACGAAGCGGCATAGTATATTTTCGAGGAGGCCTAGTGAGCCTCGCTCGCCTGGTTCGGCGACTTTGCCGTCCTCACCAGGGGCTGGTCGGCGCATCCTTCCTTGTTGAAAGATACCAAGCAGCATCCTTGAGTTTATAGATGAATAATACATGTATACTATATATATGAGGAATGTGGCTGCTGGCGGCACGTCTATACCCACCAACTATCTACACCTTTACATTGTCGTCGATTGGTACGAATAATATGAATGCACATAAATGCAAGGCGAAAGACAACACATGCAGCAATAACAGTATCAAAGTATCATGATGTTATTGCTTATCGATCTGATATCTTACACCTTGAACCTTTAGCACCGTGTTCTATTCCCCCTAGGTCTTGACCAGTCTAACGTGCAACGTAGAAACCCAAGTATAGAGAGAACGAACCCGTCAAATCCTCGACATCCCCTTCTTCGCCCTCAAAATCGTCGTCTGCGTCATACTAGCCACTAACCGACCATCCATACTAAAAACCCTCCCCTCACTAAGCGCCCTCGCATTTCCCGCGCCAAACGTCTGTCTCTCTCCAATATGCCACTCCCGCAAATCAATCTCATGGCTCACAAGCCGCAACGCAAAGTCCAGAGTCGCGCACGCACTCGCCTGGCCCAGGCTATAGCCAAAATGATTCGCCGGGATGTACGCGAGTCCACGGTCCATGTAGAATGCTAACGCGGCGATCCGATCGGCTTCTGTGTCGAGTTGTTCGGTAAAGCCTGTTGCGGAGCATAGGCGGAGACGCTCGGCTGAGATTATTGTTGTGGGATCTGCTTCTTCTCGCTCGCTCTTTCTGTGAAGTTTTTTAGGGGTGCTGTGCGGGTGTATCGCCATCATCCTATCGAGAACGCTATACAGTCCCGGCTCCGGCGTGTTCTCCCTCGGTGTCTCGGCCACCGGCACAGATGGGATAGGAAGCTGCGGACTAGCGGTATACTCCACCATCACCGTGTGCGCCGGTTCATCGACGTGGAAATCTGCCGTTGCGATGAGACACAGCTGTTCGGGTCCGCCTCCGCCCTCTTCTTTGCCATTTCCTCCGATTTGGTATACACGCAGGTGCCTCGTCTGGAACGTCCGCGTATCACGGGCACGCTCGACACGACATACGAGCGGGAGCAATGGGCTGGCCGGGCGCACGAAGTAGCCGCTGATTGAGTATAGGTGCTGGCCCGGGCTGACGGTCGCGTAGGCGGCGCTGACTGCTATCGCTTGGATGTTGCCGCCGTAGGCCCAGTCGGCTAGGGAGCCCATGCAAATTGGGGGAACGATGGAGCGGAAGCAGTCTGTGGTGCCGTTGATGGGCTCGACGGTGATTTGTTCTTTCAGCGAGGGCATTGTTGGTATTTTAATTAGCTGTATGGTACCGTGGTGTTTAGGTAGAGCCTTTGCCCCGGGGCGAGGCTTTATTTGGATTCGGGAGTTTGGATTCTGGCGAGGGTGATATTGTAATCTACCCACAGGCTCCGAGGGTAAGATATGACCACACTGGCGCACGTGGCTTAAAGTTGATCATCGCATTACATGCAACCGACCGTCTTTATCGAAGCTTGCAGAGCGCGTCTGACGTCCGATTTTCTGAATCCCGGCGCGCGGCCGAGGATGACAAGCCCCGAGAGGAGCCCTGTGGCTTGGATGAGCATGAAACAGTCAATAAACGAGGAGAAAGGTAAACGCACGTGAAAAGAACCCTTCAACATCCAGGATTCGGGATTGATCTTTGCAATCAACGTCGTCCGCTCTGCTGGGTATATGCTGCACAGGAAACAAGCCCCCATTTACATCCACGCCCTCCTCCCTAAGATAGCCCTCCACATCCCGACAGTCAAACCACTCCCCACCAAGCCCATACGCCACGAGCGCCTGCTCACGCTCACCATCCCTACCATCTCCATCCCCAGCCCCCGCGCCCGGCACAATCCCCAGAATCCGGCGCGGCATCCGCCGATTGACAGGGAAGACCGGATTCCCCTCCGCATCGACATCCGGGAAATGCGCCCCCGCGCCACCGACGCCGTAGAACGGTAAGCCGAAGAGCTCGAGAGAGTCTGTGCAGCCGCCCATTAAGAGTTGCCGGAACCGGGGTTCCGTCTTGCTGGGTTCGCGCACGCAGGGGACGAGCCGGAACACGCGGTGCATTTCGCGCGGGTCGGAGTGCGATTGCGTGAAGAGGCGGTATGCGTGCTCAAGGCTGTAGCGCTGTAATTGCCGCGCGAGACGTGGTTCTTGGAAGGCGTATGTGTGTTGCTGCATTGGGAGTGATAGCTGAGGATCTAGGTCGAATCGCGTAGGCGATTGAGTTTGTGATTGAGTTCGTGGTTGAGGGCTAGATAGCCCTGGAGACGCCTCGATCAACTCATCGCTCCCTGATATTATCTGCTCAAGCCGCATCAATCGCGCATGGATATCAGGATGCGACAGATTTAGCTGTGCCTCTCTCGCAACCTCGGCCAACCCGATCATCTCCTCACGGGCGGAGCGCATCCGCGCCTCGAGCCGCTCGGCTCGGGCAGTCGCATCTCGAAAAACAGCCTCTTTCCTCTGTCGGTACGTTTTCTGGGCGCGGCGGACTTGTGCGCGACGATCGGTTGACAGGACGGCGTCGCTGTCGGCAGCGAGACGGGGCCGTCCTGCTCGCTTTGAGCGGGGCTTCATCTCTGACTCGGATTGTGGATGTGTCTCGGTGGTTGGAGAAGTGCCGGCCTCGGTTGGGAGTTGCAGAAGGATTTGCTTTCTTTTTTTTTTTTTTTTGCTTTGCGGCTATTAATTTCTGTTGCACCATGAGCACATTGTTAGTTTGATATTGTAATCCTGGGTGGATCCGGACTCGGAGCAGATTTTAGTTGAGGTTGAGCTAATTTTAGTGTACCTTATTTGCCGAGCCGATGAGCTAGCGCTGTCTAATTTCCACAGCTTCGCCTTGATAACTCAGTGGTAGAGCGCTTGACTTGGATGTAGGTTGGCGTGACTTCAAGAGGCCCTGCCCGTGTGGAGACACTTGTTCTTTTCTTCGTCCTTACTTGACATGTTATACATGGCTCTTTGTTTTTCAAGTAGTACTACGTTTTCCTCGCTCATTATGGACCCGGTGTTTGATGAACTATTGAGGGTTGTGATTGGAATCGATATCCCATGGAGTAATCCTACCACAAGGAGCCCCATTCCCCATGTTCTAGTGTCATTTGTTGGGAGAAATATATAGTTATATTTGGTCGCAACACACAAGTCCAATGTTTCATCCAAACTACCAGGTACGATACACCACACGAAGACAAAATATTGACTAACCAATACTACAAGCAGGCGCCGCTCAACGGTAAATTTGACCTTAAAAGGGGAATGAATCCTAACTGCCACTAAAGCTCGACATTTTCGTTCCAAACCGACACCCCAACAGCCAAGAACGATGATGGTTAGAATTTTGGTAAAGGTCAGGATCAAAGCCGTACTGTGTACCAAAGAAATGGCCAATCCAGTCCTCGCCCTCATTGATGAAGACATCGTCCAGCCCATAGTCGCTATCCCTGCTCAAGACTCCGAGCTGTGCTACGAAGTCCCGCCTGTTGGCGAAATGCTCGGTTCGAAGGACATGTGAACTGAGGTATGTCCCGTCAAGATCGTGGGGCGGACTAGGATGGCTCTTTTGGGTTTTCCAGTGCAGACTCGGACTTGCAAAGGTGAAGACACAGAGACGAGTTCGCATTGTATGACTGAGACTGGGGTCCGTTGTCGCAGAAGCTACCAAGTCCTCCAGAACACGACGAAGGAGAAGACAGCCCTGAGAATGGGCAATCATAATGATGTGCGGGTTCTGCTCAGCAGCATCGTTGGTCAGTCTCTTTCGAAGCTCCTCACGAAGGAGCTCTTGAGCTTGTTGGCTGCTTTGCGTGCTTTCGATCAAAGTCCCCTGGCCTTCTACCACTCCATCAGTGCCAGTACTCGGCGTTGCGCTGCCCGCGCCAGGATCCTGCACGTATGAGCTTCTTTGCCCTGCGCACTCGATCAGATCCCAGAGAAGGCCGTCGCCCCTGTTGAAAACGCCAGTGACCTCCCTATAGAACGCAGCTCTCAGTCTATCGCAGGCAAGCTGAAGCCAAAAGAGCTCTCCGCCAATTCCATTGACGAATAGCCATTTCTCTTCTTTGTGGTCGACACGTGCTCTCGCAGTTGGCTTGAGCTTTTTCTTGTCAAGGTCCTTCGTGTCGTCGGGTTCCACATCCAGCTGCACGTCCGCTCCTGTATTGTACGTTTTCCGGAGCCCTATACCCAGGTCGCTCTGAAGCATGGTCTGACCACTCATGTCGATATCCCTGAACGCCACCGGTTTGAACAGATGCTGAAGGATATATACGATTGACAATGCCAATCTTTGAATCTGGCATATCACAGCATGCTGGTTTCTGAACCGAGAAAAGTCAAGTTCGTTGAACTCAGCATACAGCACATGCTCATCGTTCCCATTGCCCTCGTCGTCTTCGCCGCGCTTCCTTCCGTTTGCCAGGTAGTAGCACTTTGAAGCCTCCACAAGGTCAAGTACAAACTTGGCGAGCTCCCCAGCTTGGTCTCTGATCAGGATCAAGGTTGTCGCATTGATTTCATTCCGGAACACGGCCTCCCTTATACTCGAGACGCTCCCCACCGCCCCAAATACGCCTCCCAGGACAGAGTATGTCAAGCTTTTCGCAGTCTCGAGAAGGAGAGTAGGCCTGATGAGGTCCGGCGAGCGCTTGATACGCTCAAAGACCGTTTCGATGAGTTTGCGGACGGATTGGTCGTCTGCGCCTCGGAATATATCCGCTGCAGAGCTGATGACGCTCTCGAAGAGGCCCATTATGAATGTACAACACCTTCTGGTGGGGGAATGAATTCAAGACGTGAGTTGCAGGGTGATATCTCTAGCAACGGGAAAAGCTGCGACAAAGAGTTGCGACGAGGAGCGTAGCCTCTTTATATATCATGTGGAAATTGCTACCTAGCCAGACATATTCCAAGTTGACGAGTTTGGCTGTGATGTAAGATCATATCGACATTCAGCTCTAGTTATGGGTCATCTGCTCTGGGAGCGCTAAGATGATCTAGGGCTTATCAACTGCCACAGGCTATCTGCGAGGAAGTTGGTCTAGAACCATTAACTGGCTTTTTTCCAAATCATTGATGCGTAGACTGTAGATAAAGTTCCGTGTTGCAAACAGTGTGCTAGCATTTCGTCTAGATGATTTAGGGTTGATGGGAGAGTTGCGCCACTTCCGAACCCTGGTTTGAATCTGGAAATGAGGTCGACTTCGTTGTAGGCTGTTACCTCCATCGGTCCAGAAATTCCCCACGAGGATCTCTTGTTATAGATTGGGCTTACCAGGTACCAGAGTATGCTGCTACCTCCTTCCTCCATTTCGGCGTCTTGACTGAACTACTATTTCCAGAAATGGCACACCACACAGGACGATGCTTGCAAATCAAGCTTGACAGTAAGACGCCTGAGCTGATATCCAGTGCCAATAATATCTCTTCGAAAGATTAAGAATGGTGGCTGGATCCGGACCATTGACAGATTCCAGTCTACTACCAAGAGAAGGAAGAACCACTTACCAGGCGAGCCGGCTCTAGATGCCTGAGAGTTCAAATACGGTAGCGATATGCATTTTTATCTTTAACTGTAGGGCTTTTTCCGGATTTCCCAATTTCCGGTCTATAGATACCCGTGGACAGCATTGAGAAGTCATGCCACCAGATTAACGTTTAGGTTGTCAGCATCTTCCCTGATGCCACCATTCTAATTCATGGTCCCACCAAGGTACGGGCTAATATGCGGTCCTTCTAGCTGCACAATAATCTTGTGCTTTGGAGTGCCCCCTAGTACACGGAATCTTTCTTATGGCTCCAGCGCAGCCCAGGCAGGGAAGAACGACAATCGCCAAATACACATCTCACTGACACTATATATGGACCCTTGGCAGCTTATTCAAAGAGGTTGTGACCTCACAGGCCATTGATTGTCTCGGAATTCATCCAGGCTAGCGGCCAAATCATCAAGGGCTTTAGACGCACTGCGGAGTTTATCCGGGGTGGCACCGAGATGTCCGGACAAGCCATGGAGGCGATCACTAGATCTGGCCTTGATGCCACAAATTACATTGTCGACTTCGACTGGAAATACTAGGCGAGCTGTAGGGATACCGATTGTCCCTGTATACGCTGAGAGAGAATGACTTGAAGACGAATAGCATGAAAAACCACTTTTGATTGGCAGGGACTCTGATACCCTGTGATTATTCCCCAAGAGCCTTATAACCCCGTGGCATTGGTCTCGACCCCCTTGTACACAGCAGACTTGGGCAACTTGTTCCACGGCGCAAACACATTCTTGCTGCCCTTCAAATGGACCCTCAGCTCCGGAAAATGCCGCATCAACACGTCCTTCATCCCAGTATCCTGCACCCAGCGAAACCCTTCTTCAGTATACATCTCCGCATTCCACTGCCCTGCAATGAACCGGTCACTCTTCAGCCGCCTGCTGGCCATGAGTATAAAAATCCGGAATGCAGTCTCACTGAACCCAAAGCCCTGGGGGAGCGGCTCGCTGTGCGAGCCCACAAGCGCGTCAACCAGTTCAATGTCACCACCATACACCTCGCTCAGCTCTGCCGCGAGCTCCTTGTTGCCACCGGTTAGCTCCTCGAATGTCTTGGGGGCTGGCATGCGCAGCAGCCGTCGGAACTGGTTGTAGCGTGGTATGCCGCGCTCGCGGTCCCGTAGGATATCTACAGTGCCCATGTCCCGGTACTGGCCGTCTGGGGTGTGGAGGTTGCGCATGAAGTCGGGGTAGTTGTTGTTGGTGATGGCGCCGGGGTAGTTGACGCCAAAGGAGTAAAAGGTATCGGCGAAGGATATACCCTGTTCAAAGGGGCTCTGGGCCTTGCTGAAGGCCGTGTCTGGGAAGGGGATGGTTGACTTGTGCTCGCCCTCTGTGGCGCTGAAGAACGCAATGTTATCTACGTCGGAGTAATCAGCGAGTTGCATATGCCTTTTTCTCTATACAAGTCAAATAAAACCACAAATGCTTACCAGGAATCAGTGAATGCATTCTGTAGACGGAGACGAACTCCTCGGTCAGAGAGTACGGAGCGCCAAAGTGGTTTACCCCAGAGCCAGGAATACCGCTGATTGCTTCACCAGCCTTTGGGATCCGGCCTACCATCTTGTTCAAGGTCTCGCCGGCCAGCCCCCACCAGTTTGCGTTCATGGCGATCTGAAGAGCGGGATGGGCCAGAATAGCTGGCGTCCATTCAACAGTGTGTATCTTGGCCATCAGGGCAGAGTTGACTAGACGAGCCTTGTCGAAGATTTGGTCCCTGTGTTCCAGTAAGCGGTTTGCCTTTTTGTTCTCTCTCATACTGGTAGCCTTACCCAGTCCAGTCAGGATACGCAGCACGCAGCATGTCGCAGATGGCATTGTGCTCCATAGCGAAAAGCGTATGTAGCATCTCTATACCCACCCACCAGTTATCAGTGAACCTCGTCTGGGGATTCCCAGCACTGTCGCGGGGTAGAAACGTTACCTTGCCTTCTTTGGACAGCTCCAGCTTTCCGTCCCGATTTTTGGTTCGCAGCCGCTGTGTGGTGGCCTCACTTGAGCCGTAGATTTGCGAGCCGTCCCACCACGCCGTGTTCTCGTTCTTATAACCTGGGCATCGGATATCAACTTTGTCTAGTATCTCATCGGGCTTGGTGCGAGGAAGGGCCATCCGGCCATGAGGCCATTGATCCCCTGCTGGAAGTGGAAGGTCGTAGGTCTCATCGCTCTAGGTGTATAAAGTGATCAGCACAACGTGCATTTCTGAAAAACACAAGCAATGCTAATGGCATAACGAAAGAACACCAATTATACGCACAGTCTCATGTTGAAACCAATCATGAACCTGAAACTGGATCCAGGCGGCCGCAAGCAAATTCAGACTCGTCGCAGGGATGAACCCTCGCCCGGTCTTCCGCGCCATGAACCGCTCGCTAACGAGTCTCGGATTTGGCGTCCAGAGCTCCTCCTCACTTGGTTTCCCAGTGTGCTCCCTTGGAAAATTCCTTCCGAGACGCATCCCCGCGCAGCCCATGAGTGGCTGATCCAGCGAGTTGAACTTGCCGTCGGAGTTCCTTGCGTTGTTGAACCGTTTGTCTTCTAGTGGGTGGTCCACTGTGTTTCCTTGCGCATCAGCAGAAGTATACCCATCGTAGAGATTGAAGGCACGCAGCTCAACACGCAGGTAGTTGAGATTGAGTGCGCCGAGGAAGCCCGGGAGTTTGTGCCATGGCACGAGGAGATTAAGGAAGTAGAAGATCTTGATGAAAAATTGCTGGAGGAAAGTTGGCTGGGAGGAGTTTTGTGGATCCATTGTCTCAGAGTAGGTAGGTTAAGGTTGATACGTTGAATTACTCGGAAAGCCTAGCTATGTGTAGGAAGGGTAGAAGAGGAGGCAGAGGACACACGGCACTCCTTAAATACTATTTGCGAGACATGTACTGTATGCATATATTTCCGCGGAAAACCCATTTAATTCAAGAAAATGCGCATCATTCATCCCATTCTCAGCCTGAGATTTGTTTGATGTCTTTGTTATCCACTAGCGGTCAAGTAGACAGGATAACCATGTCGTGGAAAGATGGTAGAACTCGAGGGCGTGGTAATCTCTTGACCAACTCTTTTTCTGGTAGAAGGTGGTGGTGTACTCAAATCAACCAAGATCTGGCCTTGGTGGGCCGATCCACAACCTGACTATTGGCTCCTGAGTTGGTATGTTCTAGACCCAGTCCTCGCATCATGATATTATAGTAGCCAATCTCGAGCCCGGACATGTGAGAAGATCAAATTAACCTTCTGAAAACAAAATAAGTCTCAGAAACCTAATCTCGGCCCTATCAAAGTGAAGTGTGAGAGAATGTGGAAGCTTATTTTAGACCCTGTATTTCCACCACCCTTCGACCATAGACCACCAACCCTAACATTCACTCCATAGTATTCCGAATCCAAGCGGCAAACAGCCCCAGCATCTCATACCAAGGCTCGGCCATTCTATACACTTCCATGCTGAAGCACCAACTTCAATTGAGTCCCGCCTTTGCCTGAGAGAACGGACAAGTAGCTACACCCCTCGCCCTGATGAGATCAATATCACGACTCATATCATCCAATCCCTTACCCTTCTGCGGCTCCGGCCCGATCGTCATCAAGTCGTATCCCTGGGGCTGGTATCGGTCCCCGCGCGAACCGGGAACCCTGCCACCGAACAGGGTAATCAATAGCGCTCCAGGGCCCCATTTGGACCAGAATGTAGGTCGGATATACCACGGCTGCAGGCCCTTCCGGTCGAAATTGTACAGCTTTGATTTGGAGGCTGGGTTTGGGGAGCCGTGTACGAGTTTGACGGCGAGCAAGGTGGGGCGTGGGAGGGCGATGAAGCGGAGGAGGAGCTTTCGGATGGTGCGAACAAGGTACAGGAGAATTGAGAGGGGAAGATTCGGACGTTCGAGACTAGATAGGGTAGGGCCTGTTAACGAGACTGCGATGGATGTTGGAAATCGTTAGCTCAGGAAGAAACTGACCAAAGGCTCGTCCTCATAACATCGTCCAGATCACCACCCAACATCTGCCGCACAGAAGACCGGACGAACCCAGGCAGTGCCGAGTCAACATAGACACGGACATATTGATCATTCGTCGCCGTCGGCCTCGCCACCTCTTGCTCGTACCGGATCGTCCACTGAACGAGTTCAACCGCAAAGTGCAGGCCATCTTTCCATCCGTCTGCCGATGATGGAAGCGCATCAAACGGGATCCCCATATCCTCACCTAGATTCTTGTGAAAGATACCCAGGGCACATTTCTCGACATCCGTAAACTGTCGCCACTCCTCCCTCTCCACCACGTTCAAGATCTCGGCGAGGCCGTCGCCGAGCGTATGCAGCAGATCCGGGTCAGTAATCTTGTTGGCCCGACGGTAGCGATCGTGGCTGAAGAGGGCAGATTAGCTAGATAGACACTTTTGCAGTATGAAAAGGGTTGAATGGATCATACAGATAGTTCATCCTCGCGACGGCAGCTGCATACCGATCCGAGTCCCGAGGCTGGGACTGCGCCTCGCGTAGGAGGATCTCCGTGTCGACAGCGCGCTTCCCGGCATTCCGTCGGTTGTTCTGGCCTGTTACGGCGAAAAGCTTTGACATTGTTGGGATGCCGCCGGCCTGAGTTTGCGTCAGTAAAATGGCCTCTATAACTACCAAAATCCAGAGAGGCAACCATCACGCCAGCCAGTCACAAATTATTTGCGTACCTTCAGTAGAGCCATCCGACGTGCCTTGCAAAATGCGCGTGGAAACTCCAGTTCTTGGAGCTGTGCTATGATTGCATGCGCTTCTTCGACTGTCATGCTTGATAGTGGTCTCGTGCCATTGGCGAATGGGGCTTGGATCTTTGCCATGCGGCGGTATCGAAGTACTTGAACTAGGGCTACATAGCCGACGAGGCCTAGTATGGCAACGGGCAGGGAATGTTTGCCCCACCCAGCAATAAATGGGGCAAAAGTCAAAGGCATTTTGTAAAGAGGGTTAGCAAGCTTCTGAGCTTGTGCTCGGAATTGCTTTCGAGAAGAGTTGGCGTGGCTTTGTTGATGGTCGGTCGATAATTTATAGACTGGCAAAAAGTCGAATGCATCAATTCCCAACAAAACCTCGGCCATGTTTGGACCAACAGTGCGTTTTGGCTGCTGGTTACTGGTATAGACGAGATATTGTAATCGGGTTCTTGTACCGCGGCTGGCCTCTGAAACCCCCAACCACTCAGCAAAAAGCGGATGATGAAGCGTAAAATCGTTCATGAATATGGCACGAAACCGATAGTTATACACTGACATACTGCATAATCGTAAGGAACAAGATTGAACCAAATTTGGATATGCATGTGTCTAGACGAGAATAATCATCGACTAGATACTCGGTAGTCTACTCCTCTTGAAGTTTGTGATCATTATTGACCTTAGGCAGAAGATTATTATATCTTCGTTATGACAAGATGCCGAGCCTAGCGTAGAAAGTAAGGCGACTGCTTTGGGATCGTGGGAACAGCCAGGATGCTGGGGATTCAGCCTTGCTACGCTTATATGTAGTCGAAGTCGCTCAATGCATGTATGGCGCTTACCAAGATACGTCACAACAATCGAGGCAGATCCACTTGCGATCACAAAGACAACATTCCCTTCCTTCACAGCAATGAAAAGAAAGGGTGACTGACCAAAAAAAAAAAGCAGCAAAAACATACAACAGTAGGGATTCGCATGTGGTCACCCACCATACTACTAACCTACCGGCGTGTGGCTTAAGTACGGCTGAGCGGACGGGAAGCCCTGTTCTCCACACCCTGTGGTCGTATGTACCAGAATCTTCCTATTATAGTATTATGTTGACCTTAATGAATGTTATTTATCCATGTAGCCCTATCTCAATCAAACAGTGGCCGCACGTTGTGCAGCTGGTACGTTTCTGTGGAGGAGGCGCTGCACCCATTGATTTACTGCAGGACTTGTGGCTTTCCTATAGATAGTGCGTAAGGACTCTGGATTGAGCAGCGTACCAAATAAAGGTTGCGCTTGTGCCCTCTAGCTAAGAAATATATCCATGCGGCTTGCACGGTGTAAACATACCAAGACTACACCGTCATCTCAATTCGTCCAGTAAACATCAGTCCGGATCGGAATGCTCGACTACCCGATTACTAGGTACTTGGGGTCGGAAGTGTTGCAAAGCGATACCCCGGAGCTCCGAGTTCTGTCACACCTAGTATACACGCTACTCCGAAATGTCTCACTCGATTAGATTGACAAATTCATTCGATTACCCGCGGCCATCCGCTGATGCTAGTATACATCTTTTCGGAATACTTCCATCTCGACGATAATGGACACCAGATACGGCATCGCAATGAAACGCAGGGCGAAGTATATAAAAGCGGGCATCAGCGCACGATTGACCGTAGCCGGGGAGAGAATACAGTAACCAGTGCATCTTCTTTGACTGCCCGTTCTTCAAGATTGAGGTCTTGAGAAAGGCCGAGGCAGGCAAGGCACCATTTGCAACTGCGGAATTGCTCTTGTTTACCAGTGTCATTATCGCTGCTGCTGGTTTCAAGAAACCTGCTCCTGTATAACCAACCGAGCCCCATCCCGCACCAAGCGAACCCACCGAGTGCTAACAAGATCATATTGGATAGATGCTCTCTGGCCAAGCAGACCTCTGCTTTGTGGCGGGAAATGCCACGGCATCCTCAATGGCCCAGACGCCCAGTCCCCTTTGTGGTTCGTCACGTATATCCATCCTGATGCGGCGCATGAGATTAACTTGCATCATAACGCGTCGGCGGCTTAGGGTGTTGTGAAATCTTCTCTTGGTGAGAATGGTGGGCTGTAAGTAGGGGGCTAGAGGGTATATATTCGTGGACTGATCCTGTTGGGGACGAGGACTGGTGAGCTAATCAGACTGAGTGATGATCATTTTGTTTTAGTGTGTAAACAACAGCCACTAGATAGGGTATTGTAGAGTCATTACCATTTGATTGCTAGTCACTAAGCAGTCTTTGAGGTATATAAGTGCTACACAGCTTGTGAAGGTCAGATATCTTGTGGCCCATGAGCCGCGTCTACATGATACTGTCTGAAATCGGCAAGACACTCGGGGTTCAACCAACGCCAGGATGTGCCGCTCGTTATTTCCAGTTTATCCCTCTGGTCCACGATGCTCGGATCGGGATATATTGCCGACAATGGAAGAGGACTCTCTATTCCTTCTTTGAACATCCTCAGCCACTCGGGGTTATCGGCCGCCGTCTGATTCCACGGATCCTGGTCGCCATACACTATGGATCGAGACTCGGCCTGTAGCATCTCATCCGTGATGACTGCCCCATTGGCCCGAATATCACTCACAAACTGCGCGAGACGCCCTGTGAGATCCTCGAAGCGCGTAGGTCTCTCCCCTTCCACAAAAGCCTCAAACCGCCCCAGATTGCTCCCGCTGCCGTTCACCGCGCTAAACGGGCATATCTCACGGGACTCATTCCCAATGAGATACGGCGGCATTGCATTCTCGACCGCTAGCGCAACAGCGGGCTCAAAGCCCCGACACCCCTTCCAATCCCGCATGAGAGCACCATCGCAAAAGTGCTTTGCGAGGTGGTTGTTTCGGTCGGACCAACGGGTGAATGTCTGTGCGCAGAAGCCGCAGCGCGATTTGATCTCTGTCTCCTGGGACTTCCACGACTCCATTGATGGGGTGAGCTGGGTGGCTTTGTGGATACTTCGCAGGTGCTGGAGGAGGTGGTCCTTGCGGTAGAATGTGCGCAGGGTTATTGGGTTCTGCAAGCATATGCTCGCGCGGTGAGAGGTTATGTGTGCCTCTGATGGGTTGACCTCGTCGCAAAAGGAGCACCGGTCTGTTCCATCTGCGGCTTGATAAACGGGTCCGGTTGGCGAGCAGGTGAATTTCTCTAGGGAGAGATGCAGGGTCTTTTCGTGTCGCGTCCAGTCGTGCTTTGTGTGGAAGGTGTCAGTGCAGAATGTACACTGGTAGCGGCGATTCTCTGTTGCTTTCGACTCTCGAGTCCGTCTTTTGTTCTTAGGCAGGATCTGAGGGGAGCTGGCTCTGCGACGGCGGCGTCGACGCGCTGGCTCAGTCAGGTAGAAGCGGCCGAAGGACCCCGCTGAACGATTCGAGGCAAAACTGTACGCCGAGGAAACGGAGCCCGAGTCTGAGTAGCTTGATTGCGCTGATCCAGGTGCAATTAAGGGCGCGTGTGATTTGGAATTGATTACTTGCGTGTCTGAGGGCCGTCTTTGCTGTTCACTGTTCACGTCGCTGTCAGCCACGGCTCGCATGATGGCATCGAGGTGTGCAGGCTCGACTTCTGGGGGCGAATTTCTCCATCGCTCCAGTGGTGTCTCCGGAATTCCAGCTTCAAGGTGAGCGTCTGAGAGAGAAAATATGGAATCTGGATCTGGATTTAGATCATTGTCCGACAGCCGGAGCATCTCGCTATACTGCATATCGGAAAATCCCGTTGCTTTCCACAGATCTTGTTCGAAGCCATGGTCGTTTTCAGTGAGCATTTTGCGCAGAAAAGGGGTCTAGTTCATTAGGAAACGTGGTGGATTCTAATGAAGAAGATCACAGAGGACCTCACTCGGACTTGGAAATACGAGCACAAATGCGCCTTTATAGATACCACTTTGGGAATAGCGCGGCCTTTTACTTACTCTCTCAGACGCCTCCAACATCTGGAAAGCTGTATGATTTTCTTCCAATCTAACACATATCTTTCCTTTCAAATCTGTCATCGCCCGTCCAGTGACCCGACGTTGGGCAAATACAAATACACACAGCACACATCCATGATAACATCCCACCATGGATTTACCCCGCGCGATGATCAATTATATACGGCAATATTATTTGCTGGTGTGTAACACACGCCAGCCTGTTTGCTTGCGAGACTCCGCAGCCTAAATCAATCTTGCGAGCCATACGTGAGGATGAAACTACCAGGACATCCAGCTTCGGGATGTCCTTCCTCGATCGTTTAACAATCAATGCAACGAAAGATGGCTGTCGCAGAACAGGCTCTCACAAACCTACGTGCATTCGGCCTGAGTGATGTCCTATACCTCCCTGGAGATGAAGCCTACAACGCACCCATCGCCTCATACTGGTCGTTAACTGCACAGCTTGGGCCGTGAGCGGTTGTGCAACAGCGTAATACAGAGGAAGTGGCCAAAGTACTCAAAGCCATGATTCAGAGACGCAGAGTATCGTCATCACCAACGACAAAACGAACACAGACCTATTTCGAGTATTTAAAGGTGGAGGGAATGATCCGGCATTGTCACACGCTTCGACATGGTACGCTTCCAGCACGACATATCTGGAACTGTAATCTCGTCTGTCCAAAGGAATCCACGGCCGAGGTTGCCTAGGCGCTGGTGGACTTTACAGAAAATTGACGGCGGACCCGAACGACCATGTTCTTGCCCTACGGACCTATATGCCGAAAGCAAAAGATCATTTTATTCTATGATAATGATGAATCTCGATGTTGAAGAGAAGCCTCATACTACGCAAATTCCTTTCTATTCCTGGTCAGAAGGATTCCAAGGTGACCACAGTCGCAACCAAACTCGAGTCATTTTTCGTAAACCCTCGGGCAAGCAGTATGTGTTATTCTTCCCCCGTCATGTATGCGACCATCGCTAACAGAGGACAGAGATACATGGTTCTCTCTAGCCTTCAATTCCAACCCCAGAATTATCCTAAAAGCAGCATCGAAGCCCTAATTACCACCCAAAAACTCAAATCCTCGACGAAGACTTCTACTTCTCGATGGTCCTCCAACCACTTCCAGCCTCCTTGAAAACATTCCGCGGCACGCGTGGGCAACATTCTAAGTCTAGATCACTTTACGGATGACTGCGTGCTTCTCGTGTGGGCGATTGAAGTCGAAACGCCTGAGCTTAATACCAATATTGGAGCTCCGGCACTCAAGGGCGCTATTGATGAGATCTCCGCTTACGCGGCATCTGTTAATGGGGACATTAGTTTTCGGTAACTGAATTACTGTGATGGATCGCAGGATTCGATTGGAAGCTACGGGGAAGAGAATATTCGGAAGATACGCGAGGCTGTGGCCAAGTACGATCCTACGAGAGTCTTTCAGACAAAAGACCCTGGGGGCTTCAAGATTTCGAAAATTGGAAGCCGTTCACATTCCCCAGGGCGTTGAAGTGCAAAAGGCTATATAACACCCCCTTGTAAAAGGGTACGACGCAGCACTTGCGCTTTTACGATATGTTTTGCTTAACGTCAAAACCAGGTACATACGACCACAGGGTGTGGAGAACAGGGCTTCCCGTCCGCTCAGCCGTACTTAAGCCACACGCCGGTAGGTTAGTAGTATGGTGGGTGACCACATGCGAATCCCTACTGTTGTATGTTTTTTTTTTGTTTGTTCCCAGTTACACTGGGAACTCATCCTAAAGCGAGCTCTTCCACCTCTTCCTATACTCCTCCGTCCTCCCAGGCTCATCCCTCGCACGAACCGCATCCTTGAACCCCCGCCGAGTGGCAAGCTGCTGAAACCCAACCCCCTCGGGCGAATTCCTCGTCAGCCCATCAAACACCGTCGCAAGCCGCTGGCTCGCCGCGACCGACCCCTCAATGACACTGTTGACAACCTGCTTCTGCATCCACAGCTGATTCACAGGAACACTCTTGATCCGATCCGTTAACAACGCAACCGCCGACTCCAGCTCCTCCGCCGGAACAGACTGCAACACCAGCCCCATCGCCGCGGCCTCCCGCCCACTCACCAGATCTCCCGTGAACAGCATCCGCTTCGCCTTCTCCGCGCCCACGCGGTACGTCCACATCGCCGTCGTCGGACACCCCCAGACCCGGGATGGAGGGTACCCGATGCGCGCGTCATCCGCCATAACCACCAGATCACAGGAGAGCGCAATGTCGCTGCCCCCCGCGACGGCGGCCCCGTGCACCTGCGCGATGGTCGGCTTGTGGCTGTGGAAGAGCGCCGCGTAGCACTCCGTATACTCTCTCATGGACTGATAGTCCTCAAGGGGGTCGTAGCCCTTGCTGACGTCTTGGCTGCCACTCGTTTGCCCGCGTGTCGCGGTTTCGGCGTAGAGGGCTAGGTCGTAGCCGCCGCAGAACCCGGCGCCGCTGCCCTTGACGACGATGCAGTGTACGCGGTCATCTTGGTTTGCGAGCCGTGTTGCGGCGCGGAGTTCATGGGGCAGATGCGCGTCGATGGCGTTGAGGTGGGCTGGACGGTTGAGGGTGATGTATGCGACCTTGCCGTCGGGGGAGGTGGTGTAGAGGATGGATTTGAAGGGTTGTAAGCCCATGTTGTCCGCAGAGCTTTGCAGGGGGCAGAGCACCAGCTTTCGTCTCTGTGGGATAAAGTAGGCCTGGACACAGCTCAAGTAGATTATAATGATTTACCTCGATACCTAAGAAATACCGAGTCCAAAGCGGGGTTCGGCTATATCTGTCTCGGCAGTCGGCCTACCTCAGGTTGATATTGTCATCATCAGCAGAAATGGCCCAGGTCTTAAGGAAGTCTCGAAGCCCGTGTTTTGAAAGCTGAAGTTCGGTGGACACATAGGTAGTGCCAGCTCAGGTACTGTAGTCCTAACACGAGTGTCCCAGACCCACCTGTCTGGCCATCTCACAACGACAACAACTCAAACACGACGTCAAGAAAACACAGTATACCAAAGTCACTCGAGACCATATGACACACAAGAGCAGTTCAGAACGAGTCCCTTCCGCCTCTCCACAACCTCCAGGCTAACCTCCATCCCCCGCGCCGCCCGATCCATCCGACTATCAGTCGCAAACCTATCATCCTCATCCTCATCTTCACCCATAAATCCCTCAAGTCCATGGAAAAGGATCGCCAGAATAGATGACTTCCACAGCCTTAGACCTCGCCGCCCGTTGGTCAACATTGTCAGACCCAGAAATACAAGACCCAGCGCCACCAGTGCAGATGGGAAGACGAGCCAGAGCCACCGCACGGATACGTAGATCTCTGTTAAGCGCACTGTGCCTCGAATCGTTGCCGTGTTGGCTGAAGCAGCCGAAGCAGCAGCAGTGGCATTGGTTCTAGAAGTAAGCCCGGCCTTTGTAAACGAGGCCGCAATATTTTGTACAACAGTCTCGAGACCAACCGTCGCGATCCGATCGAGAATCGGCGTCTTGAGGATTGCCCCATTGTCAGGCTTCCCGTAGGTTTCTGGAATGTCTGACGGCCCCCATTCAGAGAAGCCGGACGAGCCATTGTACTGCGTCAGTTCTTCGTCGAAGTAGTCGTAGAGGCAGTATGTGTCGACGGACTTCAAAGTCCTCGGACCAGATCCCCGTATACATAATCGATCGAGGATCAGCGGTTAGATACTCCGGGAGAAGAACGACGGTCTGCGGCGCAGCCGCACTGCTGGAATTCACAAACTCGATTTCCCGCACGGGATACCTGAGCAGCTGCTGCATGAAAGGGTCGAAGATCAGCGCGAGCACGATAACCAGTGCGCCGAGAGACACCAGAGACTGGCCCTTGTGCTCGAGAAGGATGAATAAAGAGCCCAACGGACCGCGGCTGGCGGTGTCGAATAGCTGCATGCCGTCGAGGTGCTGCTTTCTCTTCTTTTTCTGAGTCTTGCTGCTTCCGTTGTAGAACCAGGTCCATTTTAGCTGTCCGATGCACTCGCCGATAACGAATATCGGAGACGACTTGCAGGCTGTGCCTAAGAGGGAGACAATTGCATTGAGGGTTAGTCCGTATGCGAAACTGGGGGGTGGTTTTCCGTCTGTAACCACGAGGAGAGAAACGACGGCCCCCAAAGCAGGCGAGGCTGAAGATCATGGTCAGACATTCGTTGGACCAAGTATCGACTATTTGTGCAAGACGGCCCGCCGTCTTTGACTGTGTCTGTGGTTTGGGTGCATGGGAGTATTTGATTCGGTGAGTGGTTCGTACTCAGAGGCCGGGTAGTGGTCCCCAGCCTCAGGGTTTGGTTGGTTGGTGGGACATGTTTGTTTGCAATAGCTCGAGCTGAACGAAATGCAAAGCGTCATTTTGACTAGAAGTTATCTCCTTCTTATGATGTCCCCGTGGGCAAGGCTGCGAAGCTAATTCTGGATGGTGCAGCATAGATGGTTGCACGGCATGAATCCGACTTAACTGCATTAACCTAAAGTGATATAGTTGACTTGCCCCTAAACCGAAGAGGGGGGACAGGTGCAAATATAGGTTCCAGCCTTAGCATCTTCTCTAGCCTGAGCTGATATCGATTGATCCTCGAGTAAGCCCTGGACCATGCGCGAGGAACTCTGTTGCACCCATTATGCGATGTTACTCCTCCTCATTTTCACCAGCCTCCCAGCTAGGTACCAGATTGGTTAGTTTCGTCGGCCCCTCTGGTTTCAACAATTACAGCGAGGCAATAGTAAGCAACGCCGAACCACTGCTGCTACCTTTTGCCAGACCGGGGCAGCTGAGGGGTACGGAGCATATTCTCGACTCGCACAGGAGATGGTTCTTCTTGATCTGATTAGAACCAATCAGTCAACCAGAGTTTCCTCCAAGCTCAGCCATGCTGTTACACAGACTCGGTTCAGACGCAAAGTCAAATCTCTGCCAGTGTCTAAGTATAGGAATGCTACAGGGATCAAGGAAAGCATGAAATCAGCCAAGGCCCAGCCTTGCAGTAGCCTAAACCCACTGAAGAACTTGTCAGAGCCAGTCACCGGATCTGCTAAATTTGGGGTGGATGCCGTGCTACATTAGCGTAAAGCAGGGATCAATCGAGATAACCTGGTTGATATGAGGTTTGATATGACAAATTTGTCCTCTACGTCGGCGTTGATGGAGTTCTCGACCCAGATTATGTGGGTTGTTGGCGGTGCGTTCGATAGCAGCTTTTTGTTCTCAAATGGAGAGAGGTCCGGTAATCGTGTAGACTGTCGAGGCAGACTTCAAAGTGCGGGATTAGCCTGGATGGAAGGGCTGGCGCTCGCGTGTTACGGAGTGTATAATGCCTAGGAGGCCGATCCGCTCGCAGCACCCCAAGTAGCGCTGCGGAAGGTGGTAGAGGCCTCGGACCAGGGCAGTCGAGCAGGAGGAGGAGGTCGGAGATGGGTCCACCATGACAAAGTGTGTGAAAGAAGTATCGCCAACCGGCTATAGTGACTGAAATTGGTCAGTCACATGGACACTCTAATGAGCAAGCCCTAGTTAATAATGTCTTCAAATCACCCCCCCTCTGCTGGATCTGGGTACACCATATTGCTCTTCAGTACTTCGTTCATTTGATCTCCACTATCTTGGCTTCCAACTTTGTGTAGGCTGAAGTGCCTCTAATGTAACATCGACCTAGTTAGCGCACTATCGGTAGGTCCTGCCCCACTAGCCGACCAGGAAGGATGTACTAGCTTAAGAGGCACGAAAGAGAGCAAGATATAACAGTGCAGAAGTAACTGCAGACTAGATTACAGCTCGACATATACAAAGATATAGACATGATAAGCACTCATTCAACCCGAGCCCGCACCAACGGCCAGCGTATCATATATACCAAACAAGCCCAAGACGCCTCAAGCGCCTAGCCTCCCAAACGAATGACCATGTACCCAAGCCCCGCGATAAACCAAACATACAAAGTGATATCCCAGAACGGCGTAAGACAGAGATACGGAGATAGATATGGATATGAAAGTGATATCAGAACAAAAGAGCTTATCATAGATCCTCGGAGAAGCGCGACTCACGGACGGTGCCGTTGCTTGTTCGCTTGCCGACAGTGTAGCCGATGGCGGGCGGGGCCGCGAGCTCGTGAACGTGGCCCTCTGCTTCGTGCCGACGTTGGTCCTTGAGGCCACTGGCTTTTTCGACAATTTCCTGTGAGTCACGTTGTGTGTTGAGGTACTCGCTTGGTGTCATGCCGTCGAGCTTGTTGGAGGTGTCGCCGGACACGTCGGTCTCTGTTCGCTGCCTCAGATCTCGTGCTGTCACGGGGTTTGATCGGAGTGGTGCTGTTCGTGAGTCTCCCTCGGGGGCGTGTGCGACTCCAGATACCGGTCTTGAGCGTTGCTCGCGTTCATGTTCGCCTTCGCCTTCGCCTTCGCCTTCTGGTTTGGTCGGTTCGGTGGGTTCGGTGTCCATTTCGTGCGCGTCTGTATATTCTTCGCCCCTTGTACTGGGAGAGCGAGGAGCGTCTTGCCCAGTAGGCTCGCTCTCCTTCTGCTCTCCTTCTTGCGTCCCAACAGCAGCACCTTTGGGAAGGCTTGTACTGGAACGGTGGCCCATTCTGCCCTTGAACCACGACTTGAACTTTGAATCGCGTCTCGAGGCAGGCTCTGTCTGCCCTGCACCGGAAGCGGCGGTCTGGTCTTCAGTCTGCGTTCCTTGCGAGGGCGCGGCAGCCACAGCTGCCCCATTGACTCGTTGTTGTGTCTGGTCTTCAGTGGTCTCCTTTGGCGGTTCAAAGTCTTGGATATGGCGCGACTTTCGCTTCCAAGGCCAGACCTTTTCTTCTTTAGCCTTTTGCTCTTGTTTCAGTTGCTCTGACAAAGTTAGTATTGTGTTGATGAAGCCAGTCTAAATAAGCGAGGTGACACCCACCTAGATGATGTCTCTGCTCCATCTCTATCTCAGCTTCCCGTTCCCGCTCAAGAGCCAAAAGGTGCTGCCGATGCTCCTCGTCCAGCCGAGCCTCCACCTCCCTTGCCTTTTGACTCTGTGCTAGCTCCTCAATTTCGTCAAAGGTAGGCTGAAGTCGATGGCGGGCCAGGTCCTCTACATCGGCCATCTCCACGTACTTCTGGGCACTGATGTTGACTCGGCCTTCGGCTAGGTACTGTGTATCCATTTCTCGTAAGCCCTTCTGCGCGCGCTCTTGTGCTTTCTCGTCCAAGTATTTCTGCATCGCGACGGTGCGACCGCCCTCGGTGTACATGCGCTTCTCGATGTCCTGCATAGTGGCGTCGACGTTCTTTCTTGCCAGCTCAAGCAGACTAGCTCGGTCCTTCTCCCTTTTCTCATCTACCGCATCAAGCTTCGATCGAAGAGCGGTCATTTGGGTGCGGATTTCCTTGGAACGTTCGGCATCAATTTGCTCCGTCTCGTTGGAGCCTCTGCGTCGGCGAAGAACAAAGCTGGATCGCGTGGGTTGCCGCTCTATTCCGTAGTAATTCCGGTAGCCAGCCGTCTCATCTTCCAATAGAGCCAGCTTCTCTGCCGCCCGCTTCTCGGCGACATCCTGCAGGTTGAGAGCCTGATGCAGCATCATCGTACTTGCCTGCTGCAAAGTCGCAGCATCCTGCTTTGATGGTGACCGCTGGGAACGAGCGCGCGTAGGCAGCCTCTGAGTACCGCTCGACCCCGCTTCCTTTGACTGGCTGGTCGCATACATGTCCTTGGCCATTGACATGGAAGCCGCCTCCAATATACTTCTCCTCCGGTGGTCGTCCAGCTCAGGAGCAACAGGCGGCGTAGCGGTGAACATCTTCCGGTTCATATGGGCGTTCTGTATCCGGCTTGCATTCATATACTTGTCTAAATCGTCAAACGGATCGCTCGGATTATCGATTCTCGCAGCTGCACTGGCGCGCGCAGCCTCAGACGGCGCGGAATCAGCCCTCCGTCTCGTATCATGAGTCGCCGCCGTAATTTGTCCTTCTCGAACAGCATACATTGCAGCTTGGTACGGATATCCCCCATAGCTTGGCGATGCGGTTTTTTGCCGATCGGCGACATGCGTTGCAGGCTCCTTGCCTCCGAGATCCCACTTCCGATGCGCTATCAGCGCGGCTGCAGCCGATGCATTGCTTAACCCAGGGCGCGACGACGCTATCAGTACAATCTAAATCAGCATTCGATTGCTATCGCGGCGCGCATAAGTGGACTCGCTCACAAGTAGGCTCAGGCTTCGTCGGTTCACGCATCGAAATGCTCCGCTCCGGATGGGTAACATAGAGCGCGGCCGTCGCAGCTATCAAAAGTACACATATTAGCGATGCATCTAGAGCGATCGGCAGTAAGGATCACCTTGATCAGCTAGCCGGGTGGACCGGGTGTGCGGGATGCGCTCCTGAGCTGCTGGGTTGTGCTCGACTGCTGCCATTGTAAGAAACGAAGGTTGGAGGCGAAAGTTACAGCAGCGATAGGCATTTCTGAGAGAAGCAGAGGAGGTGAGAAAGCCAGGGGAGGGGCGGTTGGTTAATAGTGGTTGGATGATGGATTGTTCGGAAGCCAAAAAGAGGGATCCAGTCTTTAATGACGTAGTGCATCTGTGCAGGTGGTTTGGGGGAAGACGCAGGAGAGGTTGCACTGCCGATCCACGGATCCTCTAAATCAGTGGCTGAACCTTGGCTGGTCGCTTGGCCTTGTAGATGGTCGAGCAGAGTCTCTGATGTCACGAAATCGTGGAATCAATGAAGAGATGGAAATGTGTTGCACTGCAACATCTCGAGGGCCGGTGTTGACGGTGGGCTGACGGCAACATTCCAGTGGTCGACCGTTTCCGTCATTTCTTCCTCGTTCTTTAATTCATAGTGAGACATTCAGGATCTCAATGGATTTCCAAGGATGAACGTGTTCAATTTGGATCTAAGCTTATCTTTTACCTAGGTGGGACATGGCCGCAGTCCCCAGGTCTAGATCCTACAATATATTATTAAATGGGGCCTCGGCCTCGTCCAATATGCTATCTAATTCAATCATAAAATATCTACGCCGTAGAACAAGTGACGGATATGTCTGATATAGGAGGAGTGTCCATACCTTTCCGATCGCCTTTGTCGAGCATTGGAGCACAACTTGAGCAATCTTGATGGTTCCTTGCGCACTGCAATCGGTGCTGCCTGGTTGGAGGCGCAGCAGGGCCCCAAGCGACGAGCTTGAAATTCGATTCAATTGAGTTGGCAGATCCTCAAGACGATCGAACAATTAGATTTTGGAGACCATGTTTCTTGAACATGCGGAGAAGATCATGGTGTACTGGAACCTAAACTTTATTACTCGAGCAGCCCAGCCAGCCGGGATGAGTATACCATAGTGGACCGACCTCAAATGATTCATGATGCCAATATCAGTTGGCGATGGTATTAGAGCATTTATGTAGGTACAATAAACGAGACATTGCATTACTTCTCAAGAGCGCCCCCCACAATGTTCTATAAAATCGAATCCGACCCGTCACCCAGCCGTACAATTGACTACCACAACCGCAGAAGCTTGAGAATGTCATAGCGTGCGAAGAATGAGCGATTCCATTTGCCAAAGACATCTACCCCGCAAAATTAGTTTAGGTTCAAAGTGTCGAGGGTCGAGGAGAGAACATACACATCGGAATACTCAGCGCACAAATCGCGACCTGAATGCTCGAGATGGCCATGAATGGTTTTTTGACGTATGCTTCCACAAGCCAGTCATAAGTATAAAAAGTCAACACGAAGCTGAAGATGTTTTTGAATATCAACATGCAGGTGAATGCCTCGATGACAATGTTTGCTAGTGCGTGTCAGTAATGACCGGCTTTTCGAGGTTTAGGTACGTACGATGGGCATCCACGATGTAGAGTGCGCTGGCCACTGCGCCCATTACCATTCCAACGACAACAAAGCAGAAGAATATGTCTGGAGGTAACCAGCCGTAGTGCGCCGCATCATTAGCGGTAATGCCGAAGCCGTACAAGCCGATAGCGCAGAATATAAGCTGAAATATCACGAGAAGGATACGAAACTCGGGCTCATATCTTCCCTTATTGAGTTTGATCATGAGGTGATTCATTGAATCGGACAGCAGCCCTGACAAAACGAGTCCGACCATGGCGCCAATGAAAGCCCCAGTGTACATGTATCCGGTCTTGTCCTCTGCAAACCACAGCGGGCCGCTCATGAATATAGCCGCGAGGGTAACGCCGATAAAAACTGTCCATCCGATGATGACGCCTTGGATCAAGCAGGCCTAACCGAGTCAGCCATGTCCCTTGATGGGTACTAAGATCTTACCCAGAGGACTGCAGGATGGAAAAATAGAGGAAATGGTCGCAGTAGAAGCTTCCACCAGTCCTCATCTGTCTTTCGTCCATTGAATAATTTTAGCGTTTGGAGATATGAAACTTTGGCAGGAATGTCCTTTTGTCTTGACGTCTCGTCTCTAGCGACGTCGAGTGAAGACTCCCCATTACTGGTTGGCGACTGCTTTGGCTCTTGCAGTCCTGTATCTTCGGACCCTGGGTGCCCACTCTCTGTTCGGGTGCGCGCAGACCCGTAGTTGGGATCCAAATAATTTGGCCGTCTAAATGCTGTCTCCGGAACCAGGAAGATTGTCAAAGGGAGGGCTGCCGCCGAGAAAATGGCGATAAAGTAGAATGTCCAGGTCCAGCCCAATTCCCGTGTGATCTTACCTGCAGCAACAGGGGTGAGAAAAGCTGCGCCGAATACTGCAACGTTGGAAAGAGCCATTCTCTTCCCGCGCTGGTGCACGTAGAATAGATCATCTACAGATGCATTCACCAGGGCTTCGAACGGTGCCAATGCAACACCTTGGAAGATGCGAGACCACAAGAGACTCTGGTAGCTCTTACCACTACCCCCAGCCCATGCACAGCTTATCACCATCAACACGTGTCCAAGAACGAAGAGATGACGCTTGCCCCATACTCGCGCCGTCGGTACAATGAGGATTCCAGCGATACCCGTTCCACAGAGGTGGTATCCGGTCAGCAGAGCCACGGACATGAAACTCTTCCTATAGTACCGCGAAAGAGTCACGGTATTGGCTGCCATGACGGAGCTGGTTGTCGCGCAAAAAACGGCCACGAGAGAAAGAGCGAAGAGGGTCAAGTCGCGTTTCCATAACGGCCAATTCTACGGCATCTCCGTTAGCAGGACTCGGCTGGTTGTTCTCGACAGTTCTTGGACATACCAAGGGATCGTTTGGGTCATCGCTTGGCTGGGGAACAAGAAGTATTGGAACCGACCCTGAGCGATCGTACTTGAGATGTGAGTGGTAGACAGGAGGCTGGTCATCGGTGCGTTCATTCTCAAGAATATCGACGGTGCCTAACGTATTTGCCATCCGATTAGCTTCGAAGAGAGAGCCTATGAGAACCAATAAACTTACCTGGAACCTGGCGCTCTTTCACATCCAAGATACCGAGAGGCATCTTGAAAGTCAAGTAAAACACAAACTCAACTGGGCTAGAGGCTATACAGTCCACGAGGCACGCTCAAGAGCACAAATGCAGTAGTGTAATGCTCTACTGAATTGCGAGCGAGGGTTTGATCGAGCCTTCAGAGGCGGGGGCGAGCATGCTGCGTTGGATGTTAACCACACGCCGTCCTCGAGGTTTGTGTCGATAAAGGTGGGGTGAAAGTTAAGGAGGATGAATATACAGAATGACGCACCAAAATGCAGAGATCGGCCTCCAAGTTCGACTCCTCGCCAGCAAGGTGTTCATGGAACGGGATGTCGGAAAGAGTGCGGAGAAAGGGTCATGGCAGTCAAAAGTTATGCTAGATCTGGTGATTAATGAAGAACAGCCGTCTACTCGGGGCTAGCCCAGGCTCAGTTTGCCTACCCCAGATATGGTTCGTGTTCCGCTTGGTTTTCAAGATTTGACGAATGCTTCATATCCTCCTGGAGAATTAGACCTAGTATTATTCTTGAATTAAACAAGCAAGCGATTCCTGCCACCAGAGCCAACTGCCTCCTCGAATCCTCTGCTTCCTCCTTAAGCGTGGCATGATAGTTCAGCCCGTGCCTAAATAGGCCTGGACAATCCAACCGCTCAAGCCATCACTGTTCGTGTCCGTGGGGGATTCCTCGTCCCGCGCTAACTCGTACAGAGGACATGTCCAACCTCAACCCAGGGACCTCCATCACCAGATAAAATGCAGCACAGAGAGGCCTACTCACCAAAATACGCGTAATAATTATTCAAGAGGCACCTACCTTCCTTCGCCACTGAGGAGAAGCGTTAAAGCTTCCCGACCCGAGGTCTGGGGTGATCTTCAGGTCGAGGATAATCTGGCTGGCGGAGATATTCAGCTTGGCGTGCTGTTTCCCACAAATCACATGGCAGAGACTGATTGACGCTCAAGCCACCATAAAGGAGTGCCACAAGCTGAATGGCTGGCTTCATCTAGGTTACTTTGACCTTGTTTGAAATGTCACTTTCCCAAAGTTCAATTGCCACCGTTTGGTTTCCCCCGCGCCATAGGCAAGGGGTGAGGAGCTGAATCGTCTCAGCCTTGGAGAGCTCTATCATTGACAACAAGTAGAGGGAGTATGGAAAAGTGCTCTCAAGTACTCGGTACTGGGTGCGCTTCTTCACATAATGGATTTTGAGGGTCCCGCCTTGCAGATCTTGTCATCACCCGTCTGAAGACCGAGGTCTTGAGTTGGCTCCTCAGTCCGAGTTTAGAGTGCTCTGGAAAAGCTATTCAAAGACCTCAGTCTTTCGGGACCGGGCTGCGAAACACTGAGAAGCAAGGGACACTGAGAGGCAAGGCAGACGGTGCTGTTGTACATCCTGGAATAGCGTCTCGATACCCCGGTAAACAGTTATCCGAGTACCAGAAGGCAAATGGTTCCTGGTCCGGAACTGAAGGCTTAATTAGCTCATGGTAAGCGGGGAATAAACAAGGATGTCTGGGCTTGCTTGGTCTGAAGTTTGGGAGGTCTCCGAATTTCTCTCTGACCACCCTCACTTTTCCTTTCATCCCCCAACTCTTCTGCCTGCAACAAACTGTCAAATCGTCCCAACTTTGTGTTCAAGCACCTCATAAGCTCTTTTGCAATCTCGGTTCATCCACCAGTACCAATCATGAAGCTTCAGTCTCTCGCCGTTGCCCTGGCCACTTGCCTGAGCTCTGTAGCTGCTCAGGGAATGAGTGATCTGCCAGCGTGTGCCGTGAGTCAATCCCTTAACTCCAGTGCTCTTAACTTACAAATATCACTGTCCATGTCTGTAAATTTGAAGTTGACAAAGGCCACAGCAAGACTGTGCTATGGGCTCTATCCCAGAAGAGTGCAGCGGAATTAACATTGCCTGCATTTGCGGCACAGAGTCCTTCATCGCGGATATGGCCTGCTGTGTTGGAAAGTCCTGCGAAGCAGATGACCAGGCTGGTAAGTCAAGATCATGTCAATGAACTGAGATTCCTTCTCTGTTGTCTTCTCCCCACAATCGGAACATTGAGTCTGTCCCATGTTACAGAATAAACTGGCATTAATGATTCACCCAGCCGCCCTCGACTTCGCAAATGGTCTCTGCGAGGGTGCCGGTATCACCAATCTCCCTCAGACTGCCACCTGCGCCGGCGACTCGACTTCGACCGCCACCGAGAGCGAGACCGCTAGTGCCACCGAGACTACCTCCACTGATGACTCGGAGACCACCACCACCGCGAGCGATCCCGAGGAAACTGCGACCACCACCACCACCACCACTGAAGACCACGAGACCGGCACTGAGAGCACCACTGAGACCTCGACTCACTCCGCCACGGAGTCTGCCAACGAGACCTCGACCCCCACTGCGTCCGAGACTCCAGCTGAGCCTGAGGAGACCGATGGTGCAGCTCTTCTCCGCGGCAAGGAGCTCGGTCTTGTTGCGGGTATTGCAGCCGGTGTTGCATTCTTGATGTGAATGGTCAATGGCCTGCCTGCTTTGCTTGCCCGGCGGTACTGGTCATGCGATGAATTAATCATGTATCATGCTGAAACGAGGGAATCTCTCCGGCACAGGTTGAGAATTAATGATGTCCCGTTATTGTATTTATTATGCTCTACATCTGCTGAAGATGAAAGATGCACAACAACGTAATCTAATGAGAAAATGGCATTTTAATGATCAGCTCCATGAACTCCACTTTGTGCTGTAATGTATATAGGCAAGACTCCCTCTCACTCCTCTAGTTTTATAGAAAGGAAATGCAGTGTCTATCGATCCCGCTCCGCAAATCGCATCGCAATCTCCTGCCTCTCTTCACGGAGAGTAAGAAATATCTAAGACGAAAAGGTTAGCCAACCGACCCTCGAGCCACTTGAAGAGAACCACAAACCCAGAACCAAAACATCATCTCCATGAACCCATAGGTAAAGACAACGCGATTCTTTAGCTGATCCAATCCCGAAACTTCCCCGGCTGTCGACTCCAACCCAAACCGAAAGCTAGAGCCGGAGCGGGCCACAGCAGGACCAGCCCCAGTGCTTCCCCCAATGGCCCCCCAAGCATCCGGCTTACTCTGGTAAATAAAGAACGACACGGCGAAGAATAGACAGAATCGCGACGCCGATAGTAGTGTCCAAATCTCCGAGTATAGCGACGCGAGGCGCGCGATGAACGGGTTGCTTCGGATGCGGGCTGGTCCGTCGATGGACGATGGGGCTTGAGAGCGTGCGGCTTCAGCCATGGCCAGGATCTCGTTTATGTGTGGGATCTTGGTGACGAGGATAAGATCGATGAGGGCGTCGGCGACGAGGAGAATGCCGCATATTGCGAAGGGGGATTGCGGGCGGGAGAAGGTTGGGGTCGCGTCCTATTATTTGGGAGGAATAGTTAGTCCGGCTTTGCCTTGAACGATCTGATAAAGAGTAGGGTAGATTGGACCAGTTGGAGGAATTCTCCCATCATAAAGACGACATCGCTTTCGGTGATAACCTCGGGGGATTTGGTTAGGTAGACGGCGAGCGTGAAGAGGAAGAGGGCGTGGGCTTTGATGAGGGTTTTGGAGGAAAGAAGGCCCATTGTGGGCGTCTAGTTATTGGGGGCAGAGAATTGAGCTGCTCAAAAGAGTATTCAAAATGAGGATGTTGCGTTGTTTGGTGTTGTTGATGGCAGGCGAAGCTCTGCTGCGTATCAAGCTCGGCTGTGTGGGTACTTTTTTTCTCCGTCGGGGATCTTGATGTGGGGTCATGCTGCTTCTCCGACAACCTCACAAGACAACATCGTTGAACAGAACACGGGAACTACCAAGATATAAACCCAGGGTCCTCGATCTGCTACTTGGACCTGATGAATTTGAATCTGCTAATCTTATAGCAAGGTACCTCGCCAAACTAACAATGTCGGAAGCTTTGTTTACAAAAGAGCGCCATATCAGATATTTCCTCCGATGCCTCAAGACATTCCTGCCAGACTTGTATACATCCAATGATTCCAATCGCATGCTTCTCGCCTTCTTCACTCTCGCCGGTTTAGATTTACTCAATGTTCTAGAGAGCAAAACAACCCCGGAGGAACGACAAGGATACATCGAATGGATATACCATTGCCAGGTTCCTTCTGGCGGCTTTCGAGGGTTCCCAGGAACAGACTTTGGCGATGAGAGGCGTACGCGGGAAAATGAAGCTTGGGACCCGGCGAATGTGCCTTCGACGTTCTTTGCGCTAGTCATTTTGCTCATTTTGGGAGACGATCTGTCGCGGGTCAAGAGGGTCGAATGCCTTCGGTGGCTGCCTAAAATGCAGCGTCCAGATGGGAGCTTTGGGGAGGTCCTTGGGCCCGGGGACAATGTGGAGGGTGGCGGTGATCTGCGGTTTTGCTGCTTCGGCGCTGGCACGCGGTACCTGCTCCGGGGAAAGAGTGATGCTGGTCTTGACGGCATTGAAGATATAGACGTGGGGAAGCTGGTAGAGTTCATCGAGTCGTGTCAAGTAAGCCACTCTCTGTTTTTCTCGCTGAAGAGCCGGAAATGGTACAGCATCACTAAGATTTGTAGGCATACGACGGTGGAATGGCAGAAGGGCCCTTTTGCGAAGCACATTGTACGTCCATACTCGTCCCTGCAATATTAAGCCTGTTACTCATGTGGGAAAACTACAGCTGGTCATACATACTGTGCAATCGGCGCCTTGACGTTTTTGGATCGCCTGTCTAGCAGCCCGAAGAGAGTCCCTCTCATCTCATCTGGCTCTGAGCAGCATGAATCTCTAGTCCGTTGGCTCGTCTCAAGGCAAACGACAGAGCTAGGCGACGAAGAAGACAGCGATGAAGACTCTGATGAAGGTCAAGAAATTGACAACGCGGACGACCTAACCAAGGCCGTAGCCGGGCTCAGCCTTGACGAGAGCATCAGCAAGCTTCCTCATGTACTAGGCCCTAGTGCAGAGACCCTACAATGGGCTGGCTTTAACGGACGGTGTAACAAATATGCAGACACTTGCTATTCATTCTGGAATACTGCAACTCTAGATGTACGTGAGGACACCGTCGCTGATAACAATAGCTAACGCTTGACCTAGATGTTAGGAAAACTGCCACTGGTCGACGCAGCGGGAAACAGGAAATACCTGCTGGGAAAGACGCAGCATCTTGTTGGCGGATTTGGAAAAGGTGTCGGAGAACCGCCTGGTATGTGTGAGATACCCGCTCTTCTTTCGCAGGCTCTAACAACCCTCGCAAACAGACCTCCTTCACTCCTATTTTGGTATGGTTTCGCTCGCCTTTCAAGGTGAACAGGGGTTGGACAGGATTGACCCTGCGCTCTGTGCTACACACCGGACTGTCCAGCGTCTGTATGCCCTTCCTTGGTGGCAAGGGACGGAATGACTTGCTTTGAATTGTACACATTTATAGAGTTGCAATATACCCCAAGTGCACCCAATAAATCACATGAGGAGCTCCACATAAGCAGCAGAGTTGGAGGCGTGGGATGGGATTCGATGCGTGTTCGAGAAGGCGACACGATCGCCTCCAAGCGTCCAAGCCACCCTCCGATGTACACAGTCCACTTCGGCTGTGTGCGTGCGGCGTAGCCTATCCTGGGACCTGGGCTGTGATGCAATCGTCTCATACGACGAACAGGCAGGCCAATCAATTAGCAAACCAGGGCACTGGGGCAACTCCCAAAAGGAGAGAAACTTGCTATCTCTAAATCCTATCCACTGGCGGCAGGCTAGCGAAAACTAGTGGAATATGTCATCGACCTCTGATGCTAAAATTGCAGCACTTCATCTTCAGACTCAGGGGTTAAGAATCCACCACGGGACAGCTGACGACAAGAGGCGCTGGAGAATTAATCGTTAGACTCCTGGTTATTGCGATTCTCTGATGGCGATTTCCACAATTTCAATCCTTCTCACGAGAAAGCATCATTGTGCCTAGGCTACAGCAAAAGTCAAGACTGGTATTGTCGATGGAGTCTTCCTGAGGTAAACAGTTCTCGTTGTAGTCGCAGAACAAGCCCACATCTCGAATCTCATAGATCGTAATCTTAATCCAACAATGACAGAAACGGCCCACGTTTCCCACCAATCGAGCGGACGCCTAAATTAAAGTAGACGTTGATGGAGCTGCACTTGCAGAGTGTCTCGCATCCAAGAGAGCCTTCCCCTCAGTCCGCTCGGAGCTTCGTTGAAACTTGGAAGATTCTTCCCTGCACGTCCGTCTTTCCCTATATTCGTTTCCCTCGTCTATTATTTTGATTGTATGATTCTTAATAATATATCCTCTGTGTTAAGTAAGAGCAGACCACTTAACGTCATCTATTCCTTTTCGCCTCCGTTCCCGCCGACCGCGCTGCCCTGGTTCCTGTTCCTGTTCCCATTCCACAGCCTCCCGCAAAAAAAAAGTCCAACGCTGACAACAACTTCAAATTCTAATCTCCGACTCACCTTTCCCTCAAGATCGAACCGCAGCGGGAATTGATTCAAGCTCGTCCGAATATCCGGCAGAGATAAATGTCTCCCGCCTCGCCCAACTCGGCCGTTTGATAGCTTCCCTCGCCCCCGGACTTGCCCCCGTTTGGCCGCAGAGTCCGCCCCTTCAAACAACGTCTATCCTTAGCCCGTCTCGGTCATTGAATGGCAGCCTCAAAGCTTTCGCAATCGACCGGCGAGCCCATACAGTCCAGTATACCAGACATATCCCGCTCCGCAGGCTTCCCCAGGGTAGGCGGAGCTCCCCTTGGAACACATGCCGCCTCCCAGGACCAGAGCGGAGGTCCAAGCCCAGAAGCAAAAGGAAAAACTTGCCCAGTCCTACAATGAACTTCTCAAGTGAGCTTCGCCTATAGTCGGTTTCCTACGACTTGGAAGATCGTCCCACTGACCGCTTCGCTGCGATTTAGAGAGTTCTCCTCGAAAGACCTCCGGAACGTCGGGAACTATACACTTGGGAGACTGATTGGGAAGGGATCCTTCGGCAAAGTGTATCTTGCTTCGCATAAACTCACCAATGGCTCAAAGGTATTTCATTGTCTCGGATTGCCATACCCTCACCGGGCTTGTCTGATATTGTGCGACGCAGGTTGTTCTCAAATCATCAAACAAGGAAGACACGAATCTAGCCCGGGAGATTCATCACCACCGCCAATTCCTCCATCCTCATATTGCGCGCCTTTACGAGGTTATCGTGACCGAAAAGCTTGTCTGGCTAGTCCTCGAATATTGTCCTGGTAAGAGCCACGCGATTCCAGATGATGGGGCCATCTAACGCAGCTAGGTGACGAATTGTACAATTACCTCCTACGAAATGGCCCGCTACCTATCGATAAAGTCAAAAAGATTTTTACTCAGCTTGTTGGCGCCGTATCCTACGTCCACAGCAAATCATGCGTTCACCGAGACCTGAAGCTAGAAAATATCCTACTCGACAAGCACGAGAATGTGAAACTCTGCGACTTTGGGTTTACAAGGGAATATGAGGGTAAGGCGAGCTATCTTCAGACGTTTTGCGGCACCGTATGCTACAGTGCTCCGGAGATGCTCAAGGCCGAAAAGTATGCTGGAGAAAAGGTGGATGTTTGGAGTCTAGGCATCATCCTTTACGCGCTAATTGCTGGTGAACTTCCCTTTGATGACGACGACGATCAGATCACCAAGTCACGGATTTTGAGTGAAGAACCGGTCTACAACGATAAGTTTACAGAGGAGAGTAAGGCGCTCATTAACTTGCTCCTTTCTAAGCGACCTCTTCTCCGGCCGAGTCTTTGCGACGTTCTCGCCCATCCATTCCTCTCCGATCACGCTTCTGAGCAATTGGCGATACTCAAAATACCTCGGCCGCCGGCATTCTCAACATCTCTGGAAAAGACTACCCTCCAGCGAATGAAAAGTGCAGGTATAAACATTGACGAGGTTGTTGCTAGTGTTCAATCCCAGCGGTGCGATGCGCTAGCCGGCTGGTGGGCCCTTCTGATAGAAAAGGAGCAACGGAAAGAGGCAAAGAGGGAACGGAAACGCAGAGAGCGAGAGGCAGAAGCGAAAAACATTCGGCGGTTAAGCGCAGCCAGCAGTCGTCTGGAAAAGATATCAGCGGCGTTGGTAGAGGTCGACGAGGAAGGACATTCCACTGGCCTTCTTCATGAACGCGGGCGGAGAGACCGGCGAAGTTTGCCCTCGCAACTTGCAGTCCCAGAGCTGCCAATACTCCCCGAACCGCCTGTGCAGTCTCCTGAACTTCCTACACCCCCTCCGCCCCCCGTCGACAAAGACTCAATCCGCTCCAACAGCTCAACTCGTCGCCGTCCTCCAGTGCCACCTCCCAAGGATAGAAGGCGCTCTCGACCTAGCACACTACATGTGAGCGCATCTCAGCCAGAACTTGCTCAACATGGCGGCATTTTCAGGCGTCGTACGAATCGTCGCCAGTATCCAATCATCAGCCAACTGGCTTCTCTAAAGCATTGGTTTGTAGAGTCTGCGAAACGAGCCAAGTCACCGCATCCGAAAACAAATTCAAGCACGCATCGCAAATTCCTATCCGAAAAGCTAAGTCCCGCAAAAGGTCAGGAAGGAACGAAGAAAACCACCTTGGCGTCTTCAACCTCTAGCCAGAAAACTGAGTTGGCGACACCCACTCAGATTAAGCGTGCATCCAATGCAAGCAGCTTAGCTCCAAGCAGTGCATCTTATCCTACGCGTCGCCACTCCTATCCCCGACAACCCCGGCCATTGAGCACCAGTCATGCAAGCCATCGGAATTCCCTTTCGCCTTCTCCACTTACTCCTAGAGGCTCTTATCGACGGTCGTCGGCTGGTTTACGAGGTCGCAAGTCGACATCTTCATCCGTTTCGTCTATCCGGAGCATCCACCACGGCCATAGCCACTCTAAGGCTTCGTCTATCTCCTCCAACAGCATCGGTTCAGTCTCGACCCCAACAGCTCGGACTGCCAAGTCCCCTCACACTTCAGTCAAGGTGCTTCCTACAACACCTAGCACATCAGCTCGCTTCCCTACGAATATTCGATTAGTCCGCAACCCAAACCATGGATTCCGAGACGTCGACGGTTCCGACGGTATGCCCAGCTCATCATCGTTCAACGAAGCTGCCCCCGCGCCCATGTTATATTCACCTTCCTCGAGCCTCGTGTTCGCCCGGCGGAAACGCGCTACATTCAAGGGGCCAATGGTCCACGTAGCCAACATGGCTACTGGAGGATTCGCTACGACTGAATTTCCCAACGGCGATGCTAGAATGGACGGCTCTGCCCACAAAGCAGCTCGACCGGCCGCGCGGAAAAGCCAAATCATCGAAGAGGAAGAGGACGCAGAGGACGAATACGAAGAAGTCGATACCTTTACCGGTACAGAGGAGGAGCCTGCGTCGCCAATCGGCGTAACCAATTCTGACCTTTCGGGCGCGGGTTTCTCCGACCAACCTTCTAAACCCGTTCTTGAACCAGCTCCTGATCTCGATTCGAGTCCTCTCAGGCCTCCGCGCTCCTCCTCACTGAGGGCGGCGCCGTCTTTAGAACCTTTGGTTGGTTCGACCCAACCCGACAAAAGTGTCTTGGATTCTCCAAAGTCAACGGCTTCGGGGAAACGCAGTCTGGACAATACCGCTGAGCCAACTGCCAAATAGAACATTTTTGTCCCAACTACCTTGTTGGTATCATCCGTCATTCGTTTTACCCCTATATACCCCTTTAGCGGCTGTTTTTCTTTGCATTCATGGACTGCACAAATGATAATGGGTCTGATTTTTCTATACACTGTGGGATCTGCTCTCTCATTCTGTTTCCATCCTCTTTTCTCTGGCACGCAATCAGCAGGTGCCAGTTAACTCCGGATACCCCTTCTTTTCTTGTATTCTATTATTCGGTTCTTATCTTCCCCAGATTTGGCTCCATGTATTTGTGGTTCTCCCCAGTGTATTTTCTGGAGGTTTCCTTTCCCCAACGTCTACGGTTCCCCATCTCTCACTGCTTCGGCATCATCTGAAAGGTGCCTTCCAGGCTGGTCCTGGAGAAGGCGCGGGAATGATATCCTGTAGCAACGCATGCTTTCTCCTGTTATATAGACCCGACTTATAGACTATATCCATTTCATTTATTGTACTTGTGAACGTTATCTCATTATTGGGGTCGATCTGGAAGCAATCGGCCAAAGTGAAACAGCACAAGAGAATATACGGAAATCCATCTCAGAATATAGACAGAGGGCAAAACTAAACCGCCGTTAAAGCGGCATGGCAGATGATGTAGGAGGTTGAAAGCCAGCAGATAACCACCTCTCAGGCTCCATTTATTCAGGCGAATAAACAAGCTTATTTCACGCTGATTTGCGCTCATCCAACCTTGTCAGTTCATATTGTCCCTTAACCGCCTGCAGTCCACTGTTTTCGGCGCTGGTGCTCGCTGGAGCCGTTTTCTTCCTTCATCCAACCGCTTCCCAGTTTTTCCTTCTTTATCCCTTTTTCCCACAGTCATAATATATATACCTTGTGCTATTCATAATATTCTCACCAATCCCCTTCCAACCCGGTCTCCTTTCCGCTCTCCTTGGGGCACCATTCACAAAACATGGCCTTTGCCACGATAAACTCCGCCCCCCCAACGCGTGCTCCCCCGAAACAAAAACAAATTCACATTCCAGCGATTGAAGATGCCTTTGCCGCTGAACCCGCTCTGAAGAAACAAATCTATGATGCGATCGGTACGGACTTGTTACCCAGAAGCGCACCTCCGGAATAAGCAAACAATACTAAGAACAACCTTTTCTCCCATCCAGGCTCAACCCCTCAACACGCTCCTCTATTTGAAGATATCGCCCGATATACCTCCAGCCTGCGAACAACGAACGCGAACATTGCTCAACCTGTCCAAGTGCCCGTGCACGACGGACCCGCCGCCAAAAAACGCAAGATTGAGAATGGCGCGCTCGCCGCTGGGAGTGTTGATGGTGGTGCGCAGTCGCTGGCCGATCTGAAGACGCACGGAGAGCTACAATTCTACATGCAGGATGTGTCCTTTGCGATTCCGCAAAGGAAGAAATTGATGCTGGAGATTACGGCGGGCAAGAAGTTTCTTCGGGCAAGGAATCAAGCCTCGAAGGTGGTGGAGTTCGGGGTTCCTCTGGATCGCATTCGTATGTTTTACTGTGCCGCGTCTGCTTTTTCTCTTAACGTTAGAATTTCTGCTAACCCGTTACAGAGCACGTATTGTGTCTTCCAGTTCCGGAAAAGAACCAGCGGCAGTTCAACTTTTGCATCATCCCTCGGTATGCTGATGGGATCACCACGGCACCGGAAGGTGAACCTACACCCGAGACGATTGTTTGGATGGTCAATGACGGGCCTCCGAAGGCTGCATATTCGGGTTCCGGGCAGCAGATTGGGAATGGGCAAGGGGAGACGGCTGAGAATGTGGTCCGGCGGGTGCTGAATGATAACTTGTCGCAAGTTCGGGTTGTACGTCCGGATGCGCAGGAGTTTGTGAGCGCCATGCCGGAGGCGCATCGAAAGGGTGAGAAGGCATATCATGTCAAGGCATTCCGGGGTAGTAAAGAAGGTATGTATCACGGTTGATGTGTGAGAGGTGGAGAGAGGATTGGACTAATTTGTGCTTGGTAGGGTACCTCTTCTTCCTGTCTACGGGAATATTTTTCGGCTTTAAGAAGCCGCTTCTCTTCTTTGGCTTCGAGACCGTCGAGTCAATATCTTACACCTCCGTTCTTCAACGTACCTTCAACCTCAACGTCACGGCGCGCGCTCTCGGCAGTGATGAGACGCAAGAGTTCGAGTTCTCCATGATCGACCAGGCAGACTACGCAGGCATCGACACCTACATCAAGACGCACGGCCTACAGGACGCCAGTCTCGCGGAAGCTCGCCGTGCGAAGCAATACAACATCAACGGCGCCAAGACAGAAGAAAACGCCGATGGGGATGCTCAAGGCGCCGACGAGAGCGAGCTGCAAAAGGCTCAGCGTGAACTCGAAGATCAGGAGGACGAGGAAGAAGAGGACTACGACCCAGGCAGCGAAGGTGATAGCGACGGAAGCGGCTCCAGCAGCGAGGACGACGATGACTCGGCGCAGGACGACGACGACGAAGAGGGGAACCTGGTGGCTAACGAGCTAGGGAGCGAAGCGGAAGACGTTCCGGATGATGAGTTGTAAGAGCTGCGATTTGTACGAGTATGGATGAGATGGCGCCTGCAGTCAGCTTCTTATGATTTGTTTGATCTACTGGTTAGACGTTAGATGGCGTGTCGGAGGCTTATCAATTGAATGGCAGAATGTGCTTGTTACACATCAACTGGACCGTTGACCGTGTCATAGATTATCTCTGGGCAGTGAGCTGTCTCCACGTAGAGCTGATTTGTCCCAAGCATTGTGCACAGGGCAGACTTTCTCCCACGACACAAGTGCAAATGTATGGCTTGATCTGTCCGTTTCAGTCAGGTGTTGAACCCAGGAATTCATTGGTTGCTGTGGGTCGTCCTGTAGACGTGTCAGATGGAGAAGCCCTGCGGAGAGTCGGATGTAGGGGGCATGTCGGTCTGCGTCTGGGAGAGGTGAGTTTCAGCAGGTACGCCTGTCAGCCCTGGAATGTTCCTGGATCTTGGTTTACGGGGTAAATATTGATCTTGACGATACGGATTATGACATAACAAACAGAGATCTCAGATCAATCCAGATTCCAGGGCATTGAAATTAACTATGGAGATTGCGGAATCGCGGATGGAGACCTCGGGACCGTTGGGAACTGCCCATATCATACCAGTACAGTATTTACCAGACAATACCTCTTATGCGCGGGCTAAAGCAAAAGGAGAATGGCACTCTGCAATAGCTCACTGGTCAGGGGTATCGATGAAAGAAAAGGAAAACCCAGATAATTCAGCTGCGCGCCTGTCTCTGGAGACTCTCCCTGGTAAAAAGAGAAAGCAATTTATGCGCAGATTGAAAAGTCCAGCCTGCATTCCAGAGGGAGTCACCACAGTAACAGGATCTGGCTTGAATCCCTTACACAATCCAGATCTTGTTCAAAGCCATGACGTCGGCATTGAGTGTCCACTCCGCCCTGTCTTTGGCAGTTGATACCTGATTGCGAATCTTCTTGGGCCGGGTGAAGGGGGGCTAAGATCAATATTCTCTGGCAGGAGAGCTTATTGCCAAGATCGCCATCAACAGGACTGGAGAGAGAAAAGCTTCCTGTGGCCGAGACTTGAGTTGAAAAGAACACCGCCTGCGCTTGGGATCCGCTTTTTGGCTCAACGCCCGAGCGATGACCCGAGCGATGAGCGCTTTTTGTGCTTTCTGCTGCTGACACGATTGTTCCTCATTGTAGAATATCGCATTGAAGAGGCTATTGGCTCATGTAATATTGATAGTACGAGGTATTTGGCTAATTGGGTATCCTGGAGAATCGAGGAGGCAAATGATTGATACCTAAAACAAAAGTTACCATACCGCCTGGGCGCAGGCCAGTGCTGCCAGTCGGGTACGGGCGTTTCGCCCTTACCAGACTAGACTGTCGCTGTTCAGATCACACCCCGTAGCGTCGCCCGTTCAGACTTCGGCTGCTCTCCTGCTTTCGCCTCTGCCTCTCTGCCTCTGCCTCTCACAGATCCCTTCTTCTCTCTCCGCCTCGTTTTCCCTTTTCCTGCTTCGGCCTCCCCTTTACCCACTCGTCGTCCTCCGTGGATCTCCATTCCATCTCTCTCCTCTTCGGCTCCTCTCCTCCTTCCCCTTCACCTCTCTCCTCCCCGTCTGCCTCTCCGTCCTCGTCGAACCACTGCTGGCTGCAGTTCGAGAGACTGCCGCGCAGCTGGTGCAGATTCCTTAGGAGCTTCTTTTGATTTGCCTCTTTGAGGGATTTTCTTTTCCTTTTTTAGGAATTGCACCCAGCTTCGAGACCTCTCCGCACCGTCAATTCCAGGACTCAGCCTCCGAAGACGCCTCAACAGCTCGATCTCTCATCCCGACGCTTATCATCTCCACCACTCCTCTCCTGCGCTTTTGAGCATTGTTTTGCCATCAATATTAGCGTTGCTCGTCGCTGTCGGCGTTGTCGGTTTCCGCGCTTGCGTACCATCTAGTCGTTGGGTTATTGCATGAATGGTATAGCATAGGACATTCGGACGTTTCTGTAAGCTATCAATCCCTTCCGACATTGCATTCTTGATTGTGCACTACACCCATCATCGGCTTTCCTAACATTAACATAGCCTTCACGTGTTTGCCGCCCGTCGAGTCTTCCGCACGCTCGTCCCGTCGTTTTCAAGGATTCCCGACTCTTCGTCCCGCGCAGACATGGCTTCCTCGTCGTCCAACGTGGTGGGTGTCCACTACAGAGTAGGAAAGAAAATTGGTGAAGGGTCTTTCGGTGTCATTTTTGAGGGCACAAATCTTCTCAACAACCAGCAGGTTGCGATTAAGTTTGTGCGTTGCCCCTTGGACTTAACGGATTAGAGTTCAACGACTAACGGCACCAGGAACCCCGGAAGAGCGATGCTCCTCAGTTGCGTGATGAGTATCGGACGTATAAGATCTTGGTTGGATGCCGTAAGTGCTTTGCCTGGAACTCATGCGGATCTTCTGCTGACACGGTCCAGCTGGCATTCCCAATGTCTACTACTTTGGCCAGGAAGGTTTGCACAACATACTAGTCATCGACCTTCTCGGCCCGAGTCTCGAGGACCTGTTCGACCATTGCAATCGACGCTTCTCCGTCAAAACCGTCGTCATGGTCGCCAAGCAAATGGTGCGTAACCTTGTACACCTTTGCATGAATCTCACTAACCTGATCAGCTTTCCCGTGTGCAAACTATCCACGAAAAGAACCTCATCTACCGCGATATCAAACCCGACAACTTCCTCATCGGTCGCCCAAACTCCAAGGCCGCCAACGTCATCCACGTCGTTGACTTTGGAATGGCCAAGCAATACCGAGACCCCAAAACCAAGCAACATATTCCATACCGTGAGCGAAAGTCGCTGTCTGGAACAGCACGCTATATGAGTATCAACACCCATTTGGGACGCGAACAGTCACGACGAGACGACCTTGAGGCCTTGGGCCACGTTTTTATGTACTTCCTACGAGGTGGCCTGCCGTGGCAGGGCCTGAAGGCTGCCACCAATAAGCAAAAGTACGAGAAGATTGGAGAGAAGAAGCAAACCACCGCGATCAAGGATCTCTGCGAAGGATTTCCAGGTATATTCCACAGGTCTGACCATATTTTACGTCAACTAACGCGCCTTAGAAGAATTCAACAAGTACCTCAGTTATGTGCGCAACCTTGGATTTGAAGACACCCCCGACTACGACTACCTAAGGGACCTGCTCACGCAGGCGCTTAAGAACGCCGGAGAAGTCGAGGACGGCGAGTACGATTGGATGAAACTACACAACGGCAGAGGGTGGGAATACAAGTCGTACTCGTCACAGCAGGCTCTCCATAACTCCGCCCTTCCTACATCTGCCAGAGATCTCCACGGCCAGCCGCTTCGAAACAGCTCAAGGCCCGGCGTAACCGCAGACCGTTTAAACGCCGCGCAGCCCCCGCCCCCCTCTCCAGCGAAACCCGGAGTCGGGAAGACGCGCGAGCAGCAAAACGTCAGAGGCGGCATTCCGCCGAAACGCCAGAGCGGGGGATTCGATGCAACTCCAGCCGCGTCGACCACGGCGCAGTTCCAAAACTCAAACGCAAACATTCCGGGTCGAGTCGGCAGTCCGGCGAACGCGACGAAGAACCAGCCATCGCAGGCCGGCCAGCAGGCGAGCAATGAGCCGCAGCCCACCTTTGTCCAGAAGGTGATGAAAGCGCTATGCTGCGGTAGGTGATTATCCTGCTACCTCCGAAACTTCTCGTGTCATGCCAGCTCATCTTACCCAAGGTTGAAAGGTTGATGACACAACTGTTCTAAGTACGGAATCTGTGTACTTCTACGTAATTATCCTTGGTGTTGGATTTTGACTCTTCTTTCCTTTTTCTTCGTGGTGGGAGGGTTGGAAGGGCAGCATGGTCTACACACAGTCATGGCTCGGCCTCTCGCCCTTCTCTTCCTGACGAGCATAGTGTAACTTGCAGACGCTGCTGGCAGATGGACACTATGTGGATTAGGGCAGATATATTGTTTTATATTTCTCTCGACGACGGGCCCTTGAGCAACCACTCCACCCGCCTTGTTCCGTACCTATTCGACAAGGTCAGATGGACTTATGAAACGGGCTGGACCTCTAGGAGCAACCCTCCTTCATCCTCTACATCCTCTCGTCATTATCACTCATTATGGTGCTACGGCTTGGAACGGCGAACTTGCGTTTGTGTGTTTTTTTCTCTCTCGCCTTTTGGTTGTTTCTGCACTGCTTTGTCCTGCATTTGTGGCATGAGCCATTTAATTCTAGATTTCTTCTTTCTGAGTATATGATCACTGCCTCAGTACCTGACCTTGCCGCGAATCATCCGATATTACCCCGCGCTGTCTTCAGCCTTGAATGGCTTATTGACGGTGTTGCCGATACTGCAGAAAGGCGTTTTCAATGAGCATTTGATGGATGAGACCTTGCGTGTGCTCAGGGCCGTCGTCTATCTATGTGGCATGTTTAGCATATAAATGGTTTCGTGTCTCCGCGGCCTGTCGATACCTGCAGGAATGTCGTTTTGTCATTGACCAGGAGTTGGAGTTTTACGCCAGCCTGATCTAACTTCTTGCTTTTCTTGTCTCTGTCGTTCTGTCATGTCAATTCAGACAGCGTCTCGTCGACCTTCCTACCTTACCTGCCTTGTCCATTCATCAGCTTTCAATCTAGTGTTCTGTTCTGCTTGTTCTGTACATTGGACAGCGCAGCGAGTTGGCCTGTTTTGGAATGGGATCCTGTCAGTCTATATCGGCAGGCGTGTGAATAGATAGTCAATGCTAGGTCATATCTCTCAATCCTGAATTGATGAGTACTTGATACTCCCTTTGTCACAATCCAAAAAGCTCACTATCGACGATTCATATCGCGGCTACTTTATCCAAAGAAGACACCTCAATCGCCAGTCCACCTTTCTCAATTCCAGGACATCCTCCCTTGGTAGCCATCTCACTCGGCTACACGCAGGCCTACCTACCATGGACATCAATGCCACAACCTACATTAGGACGCAGTGAAACAGGTTAGCTGCTATTGCATATCTTCCACCCACCTACTCCTCTCGAGCAACAATCATGATCTCGGCATGGCCGAAAGCTTACGGTTCTAAATCACACGTACACTCATACTCACTTTCTCCCCTTACTTTGCCACATGAACCAGACCGCAGCTGGACTGGACTCTACTAATAATGTTATATCACTAGCAAGGCAGGGGTGCACTACCTTGCAATGCATTAACTCGCAGCGCCGAACGCTTCCGTCGGGGCGATTAGAGTGGGTATACGGATGAGTACATGCTAGGTAGGTAGGGAGGGGGGGTGGGGGGCAGCGATTGTAGTGTGACATAGCATAGCATGTGTGTGTGGTGGGTATATGTTTCTGCCTGCTGTGCTCCATAGAGGTTGGGAAGGACCATGGAGACACTGCTCGGTGGATTGCTGGCGGGTAGTAAGTAAGTAGTGTCTGCCTACCGTAGCAGGGCATGTGGATTGGGAGAGGCAGCAACTGTTAAAGGGGTGTAGAGCTCCTCCGTATGGGTGATCAAATCTGAAGACTTGGGTTTTATAGTTGTCTTGCAATTGTCTTGGGTTATGTTCCATAGATCTGTATTGAGTGTTGGGGATTTGGGTCGATTACTATATGGATATATATAATATATCCTTGCATAGATGATTCATGATGAGGCCACGAGACAGTACATTCCCAGATGTTTGCCATGGTGATATGGATTTTCCATGCTAATTTCATTCTTGATGATTTATGTCTGTCGCCGACTCGTGTAGGATAGTGGACAAAGGTACCTACCGGCTGGGACGAAGTCCGTTGTTCGGGGGGGATCGTGGAAATCCCCAAAGGTGGAAGCGAGGGCGAGAGCAAAGCGAACTTACTTCGAATTTGAAAATTCGCAGATGACAAAACAAATTCACAAAGGAATCCAACTCACAAATCTTACCTGATCCTCAACATTTCGTTCATTGAACTTAAGTCAAGAGACAAAAGAACGGTCTCACATGACCATCCAAAGCCCGCGAGGCGAAACCCATCCAATGTATCTATCCATGGGACAGAATTCGTCCAAGCCACAGTGTGTCGGTGCTCAAAGCGAAATGTTGGTTTTCTGGCTGAGATCCAGCCACGACTCAGGAGCGCTAAGCCGAATTGCTCACAAGGCTAAGTAGCTGTTTCTTTGTCCACGATGCTCCAGAGGAGGAAACTGGAGCTGAACCGGGCGAGAAGCAGCTGATTAGCTGGTTGGCATCCGAAGAGCGGGGGGTGGGCTTTAGACTCCAGAGCTTGCATCATGTTTGGGGTAAATTGTCATCGGGCCTTGATGGAAGTGGAGTGATTGGGCTGGACTGGCAACTGCGCTGCACTGTGCCAGTTGTGTATCTCCGGAGTTCATCTCATTGGACTCTGGGAGCTGTGTGTGACTGTGGATGGATTGGAGCCGGCGGGAGCGGGGTAGGTAGTCGGCGGCTTGTGCTGTTTGAAATACAGAGCTTGATTTGTAATTGCCCATCTTTGAGGAGAGACACCTGGGACATGTGAGTTGGCACAACTCTCGTCCAGACCCGAAACGACACCAGTGCGTTCAAGACATGTGTGAGCCTGCGAGGTGTAGATAAGCGGAAGCTTGAGGTCCGGAGAGCTGAGTAGTTGACTACAGCACCCCTTGTACTTGCCGATGCATTAGCAGGCTCCTAGCGAACAGCTCCTGCTGCAGCAAGCAGCAAGCTACCGGCTCCCTCAACAAGCATCCCTTTCCGGATCGACGTAAGTCCGTCCGAATCCAGACTCGCCAGAATTGGCATGCATGAAAGCGCAGGCGCCTCCTCCAAACAGAGCGCTAGCCTTCCTGGAGACCCCAGACTCCAGAGCCCCAGAGAGAGCAAAGCGGGAAGTCCTTTTCTGACACATCTCTTGCGCTATCTCGGCCTGAGCAGGAGCCCGACTCACGCAATACTGCAGCTGCTTGTCGACTTCAGTTTCAACTTGATCGTCTTCTCCGCAGTGATACGAGCTCTCATGGAGATGCCGTCATTGCGCAGGAGGCCGTTTGACCAATCTCATCGACGAAAGCGTTTGAAAGGCTGATGCAGCTCGGCAATTGAGCGGGGTAACACAGGCGACTCAGCCACGAAGGCGAGGGGAGCATTCAAAGTTCAGACTGACTGGTGTCTTTGTTGGCTTCGCTCTGGCGATTGGACTTTTTGTGGTTCGTTCGGAATCGCCGGATCGTTGCCCTTGTTTGCGGGATTGGCGATAAGCGGTGCGTGGCGTGAAGAGTAAGACAGTCAAACAGTCAGACCACGTGATTTGGCGTTCGCCAAGAGATTCATGGCGAAGAGACCGAGGATGATTCTCATCGCTCAACCACCACGTCGCGTGGGATGGCTTTGGCCGTCTCTTGTGTCAACACGGTTGCCCTCGTATTCTGCCGGAGGCTAGGCCATCACCGGTGACCGGACTCTGGAGTAGAGTAAGTACTAGGGCATGGATAGGCGAGGCCCGGGGAGCGCACAGGCAGAACCAAGATATGGAGAAAGTTACATAAAGGATTTCCACGGTGGAGCAGACATTGCGACCAAGGCTCGGAAGGTCCTCCATGGTTTCAGACGACCGTCTTCCCCACTGAATTCTAGAACTGGGAACCCTTGGGCAGTCTCGGATAGCATCGGCATGAGGTGAGAAGACATACTCTGGAAGCACTGGGCAGACAAGTGGGGATGGGATATTTAGGCTATGCTCCGGAGAAAGGGCCTGTCTAAAAGCCGCTCAAGACTTCTAAGTCGGAGTTGTCAGCATAAGCATTGAATTGAAGACCTTTGAAGTACGTACTGTTGAATGATTGGGCTTAAAATCCATACCGAGGCCGGGAGATTGGGTTGCGAACCGAGAGAGCAGAGGTGGATAGAGGTGGACCGCAAGTCCATGGAAACCTGTTTGCAGTCGCAGAGATGGAGAGATCCATGGAATTTACTTCCTGCCGGTTTGAGGATAGAAGCATCGCATCATCGAGATCGAAAAATCTGAATAATCTCCTGATTCAGCTCGGAGATTTCAGGAGAATTTACATGCAATGCCCCGACTCAGGTAGGCTGACTATGTTGGCATGAATAACCTTCTCTGGTATTTGACAGAGTAACGTTACACTATCGAAGTTGCCACCTTGACGCGAGAAAATTTTCTGGTATACATATGCTGAATGGGCGCGTACTATTATGGTGTGGCGCTGGGCTCTTCTAGCAGACTTCTAGAATCCGATCCCGCGGAACAGATCACAGTTATCAGACACGGAGTATGTCCAGCACTCCGTAGTATTCCGTAATCTGTTTGTTGTCATCGGGTTCAAATCTTAGCAATAAATGATTGTGGAACTGAGTCAGATATTGAAGAGGATCTGCATGTGCCTCTGAGATAAACTCTTGAAACCGGCGAAGATCTCGAACAATGACGTGATGAAAGCTTGTACCTGACAAAGCCAAGCAGTGCCATTCCATGAGATACTTCTGGGACAGTCTTCTCGAGTCTTCTGCTGTGTCACGCAACGTAAACTCTTGAGCTCTGCAGTGCGACCCTTGTCTCCACGAGTACGTAAGCATATTGATGCAGATGTAGTCAACGTCGAGCAAGAAAGGCCAGAAATCGCGTGAGCAGTAAGGAGAGGGCGAGGGATCATGTTGTTGAAGACCCGACTCATGAGTTGCGCCCGGTGTGGAGCCTGTGTGGAGTCACTGTGCGCCACCGCCGCTCCTCCCATTGGCCGTCTGCAATTCTTCCACGCCCCCGCCGCGTTATGACCACGCAAGAGTTCTCTCACACTGAGGTCTGACCCCGTGGCCTGCCACTGCTGACTGGTTGGACGGCCGGGCGCCCAGGGTGTCATCTGATTAGCGGGTCTGCTCAGGGTCATCCAAGGCGCCCAGGGTTCCTTTTCCCTAAAAGAAAATTTTTCTTTTGAAATTCTTTGGCTGTTCTGCCGCGTTCTGGAAGATGTTAGCCTGGCTTTTTCTTTTCTTTTTCTTGTTTCTTTTTCGCCGCACACCAACCCAAAGCAGACGCGGCTCCACCCGCCTCTCTAATCTTGCTGCTATCTCTGACTCGATCGATTGTCACTGTATTAGACTGGTAAAACTTCGAAGGCGACCGACATCGCTATCGTATTCGACGCACCATCAGAGATAGCGATATACCAGAAGCCCAGTTGTGACACATATGCTGTAGAACTGATCCTGCATCGATGCCTGCAGGCCCTTGCAGGCTCGCACGCTTGCGCGCTCCGTTGAAAGAAAGCACCAGGCAGCAGGCCTTGTGAGTGGTGAGAGCACAGCGCCAACCCAAACGCCTGTCCTGGCATTATTTTTATTATTATCGAGCCTTGAGGCCAGGATCGGAGGTCTTGATTGAAGAGACCAGATTCCTTAGCTGCGACCTACGACGCTTGTGGCATAGCGCGGGTCAGATTAGGCAGGAGCGGACATTGAAGTCTGAGCAGCTTCAACAGTCTCAGGGTTTGGTGAGACCAGGTAGGAAACGCCTGATGATGCACAGCAGCCTGTCCAACTCCGGCCGAGATGCGCTGCACTGCAGCAGTTTTTGCCTGCGTGTCTCAAAGCATAGCTATCCCTCTCCTTCCGGAGTTCTCTGGAAGGGCTGTTGACATCTTGAGGAATTCCCATTCCCTGCTCCCTTGCCTCGTCCTGCACCGTCTTCTTGGCGATCCGCAGATCCTGTACATTGTGGCCAATCAGGGTCCAGGGCAACCCCGGTCAGGTCGTCGTGCACCCCGAAGATGAATGGAAGATGGACTGTCATCCTTAGACGCCCAGAGGCTTAACGTGTTTTTCTTTGAGACTTCAGCCCTTTCTGGGGAGACAGATGGGACGACATCTGATTCTTTGCTTTTCTTGTACAAGCAGCTCGGTAGTCGGAACTCGGAAAGTTCATCAGTCCCACCGCAACGGTTTGCAGATAAAGTCAGCTCAATCTTTGACTCTGCCGCCGGAGCACCGCCAGCGCAAGATAAAGAGAGAAGAGCCTTGTAGAGGCTGATTCAAAGCAATTGATCCAGGCGTTGCCTTTCATCTCGGTCCGTACTACGTATATAACCAGATCCCGTCACCCGACTGGGCGTTGATTTTCGCATAATTTTTCTACAATCTTTGTAGCTTGTTGCCACCCGAACGGTTTAAACCACGGCTTCTGGAGCTTCGGCTTGGCTGTGTCCCTACAAAAGCTGCAAAGGCCCTGTTCCTGGCGGCTATGATTATTCATTATACTTTTTTTTATACGACGATTGATCTTCTATCAACGCTCGAGCATCTTCTGGATACACGAACCTAATAGACCTGATTCTACTTAATCCCCTCGGCGCCCGTCGAATTATCTCTCAAGACCACGGTGACTCTTCCCTGAGCGATTTACAGAATTCGTCAACTTTCGTCAACGCCGATTCCTTGCAGTATTTTGCGGTCACATTGCATCAGTGAGTGTTTTTCTCTGTTTTTGTCTGGTTCCGAGTTCTGGCATCCAAAAAATTTGGGAGTGCCGCCAATGCAGCATGATCTTCAAGGGCTGGTATCTTTTGCTTTGGCAATGACATCGCGCATGGCATCATTCTGGACCAATGGCTCGGTCTGGCTCTGGCTGGCTCCGCCCGCGCTGGCCTGATTAGCCAGGCTGGCGCCAGGAGATCGACGGGGCCGGCGGCTGATTGGACGCGTCCCCTCTTCGCTCTCCGTTCTCTCCTCCTTCTTTTCTTCTCCCAGCAAGCGTAGTCTAGCCTAGCCTAGCCTAGTCTTGCAGGCCAAGTGGGCCCCAGCAAAGTTGGCTGATCAGAGCCCACTCTTGCCTGTCCATCACATCACTCTTCATTTCTCTCTCCCAAGTGCCCACCCTCACTCTGACTGCTACTATTACTCTGGCGCTCCCTCTCCCCAGTTCTTCTTCCAGCACTGCTCGTCATTGCACCCTTCCTTTATTTCCCTTATCTCTTTCCTTTTTCCCTCGCTTCTCCTTTTTTTGTATGACAATTTGGCACTGCGCTTATCCTACCAATTACCTCGTCCGCCGCTCTTCGCTCTCTTCCTCCCAGACTAACCGCCGCCTGCCTCTTCCTCCCCAGTCAACTTTCACGAGTCTTGGGTTCTCTCACCTCCTTCACTCACTGAACCATACTTTCCAGTCCTTGGTTCCAGCTTGGTCACACCGACTTCCATCTTTATCACGGCTTCTCGCATCAGACACGCAGTATCGGTCCTTGGTCGACCACCACCGCCGCCGCCCTGCTTCAAACCACCGGCTTCCGGGAAGCTTATTCCCTCAAACCTACCCTCTCCGACCGCTTCAAACGCTCCCAGCGAGACAGGTTCACTCTCCCTTGTCTCGGGTACGGGGGAAGAGTGTGCAGCTATTTCACTCTCAAAATTCTTCCAAGACAGGGGACGAACGCTAAGCGCGATGCTGAAGAAGAGGTCCCTACACCCCCCTCTGCTCTTCTGGTCCAACTCTCCCAGCTCAACACCTGAACTTTCCCCGACTTCCTCGTCATCGGATACTGAGTCGGACGAGGACATGGACCCTTCCGGTTCACGTCCGTTAAGTCTGGCTGTTCCCCATGGCACCTTTTGTCCCATGCGACCGACTCTCGATGAGGTGCTTGCCAATACAGCACCTGCTCCCTACACGCTCAGCGCTTTCATGGCCTACCTATCACAGAATCACTGCCTGGAAACTCTGGAGTTTACACTGGATGCAAAGCGTTATCGGGAGGCCTACGAGGATCTTAGCCGCCAGCTAGGTCAGTTCCCTATCGCGGCCGATTGCCCAGAGAGCCGCCATTTGCGTATGCTGTGGCAGCGACTGTTAGCAGCATACATTCTCCCGGGTTCTCCGCGCGAAATCAACGTCTCCAGCGAGGTTCGTGAAGATATCGTCCAACACGCCAACGCGTCAGTGCCTCCACCACCTTCGATGCTTGATGCTGCGGTGAAGCTGGTCCATGATTTGATGGAGGAATCGATCTTCATGCCCTTTCTAAACGCCCACTCGTCGTCCGCACACGTCTACCCTCTCTCGGAACCGCTGTTCTCCCAGGATGACGGACTGACGATAGTTTCCAACCCAAGTCTAGACGAACACGCAGTCAAGCGAGTCAAATCAAAAGGAGGTCGTCTTTCGCCCCGCACGTCACGAGAATTAGGGTCGCCAGTCTCCTCAAGCCCACCATCCAGCCACCTATCTCGCTCCAACTTCTCTCTCAACGCAGTCACGTCTCTCGGCAAGTCGTCCCACCGACCGTCGGGCCAGACTTCAAGTACAACGAGTGGTGATTCTGGGTCTGCTGGCTTGACCGACGACTCTGGGAGCGTGCAGTCGAGCACTGGCGAGCCTATGACTCCTCCAACAACCCCTCCTTCCAGCGAGCCCAGCATGCAAGCCAGCAGTCCCAAGAACCGCGTCGACAACCCATGGAAGAAGATGGGCATGAAGCTAGGATTCAAGAAGCGAGGCACAAGCAGCCAAAACTTGCGATTCCCTCCGGACGAATGACTAGGGCGTGCCAAGCGCCCTGGCGCTTTCTTTCCTACATCTCCGCTTCAAAACTTTGCACCTTATAGAACGTTACGACCGATTTCGTACCACGAACTACTACCCACGATTTCCTTCTGGTCCCATAGACCATGTCCCCGATACGAATGGACGGTGTAATGCACGGGCATTTTCATTTACACGGAAGCATTTTCATCATAGCAGGCGTTATCCAACAGCGAGTGAGCGAGCATTCGGTTTTCAAAAAGATAGATAGAACGGTCAACATGGGATGGGAGGCTTTTTGCCTGGCGTTGGTTTTGTCATTTTCATTTTCATTTCTCAAGGAGATCGGGCACCATATTCCTCTCCTTTTTTCGATACATACATGCATGCACAGGATTCCACATTACCCGCGAGACGCCTGTCCGCCGGCTGAGCGCGATGGCAACACTGTCGCAATTGTTTTGTCTGGCTGGCATATACGCTCTTCTCCTGTGTGTTCTAGGTCTTACGAGACGACATTGGCATTGGCATTGGCATGGATTGCATTTATACTTTTTGGTACAGTATACTAGTCTAGATACCCAATGTGCGATTAGTACGACGAACACTTTTCCTTGTATCTTGTGTAGATGAACCCTAAATTGGACTGAGCAAGTCTTAAGTACTGATATCCGGCTTATATATATAGCCTTAACTAGACCAATAACCATTATTTCCGGAAGTTATATACACCCCAGTAACCGAGCTGCTTCACAGGTATGCGAGCCTAAATACCTATAAACCCATATAACCAACAATCTACTCAAGAAACAACAACCCTCCTTCCAACCCTCGTTTCCAACGCCGACACACCACCCCCTTCAACATCAACCTCCCACCCCTTATCCCCAAGTGCCCCAATATACCCCTCGAATCGCGAAGATTCATTCAAGAAACGCAAAGCCCTCTCGAGAATCGAGAGGGCAGTTTCCGTTTCCGTGAAACTCTCGTCTCTCTTCTTCCCATCCTGCTTTGATGGTGCTGGCGTGGAGTAAGACCGGGCAAGAAGTCGCGCGGCGAGAAGGGCATGCATCCATGCCTTGAGGTGTGTTTTCGGTGTTGCATTTTGCTTCAGAAGGATTTTCGCCGTTGGTTTTAGCATTGGACCCAGGGCCATCGGGGTGAAGATCAGGATGTAGTCTTCGTTGTTGAAGAGGGACGTCAGTGCCGCTACCGGGAGAGACGTTGTTAGGGAACTGTGTGAAGTAGAGATTGACGAGGGCGACGATAGGAACTTGCGCGGCGAAACGCCAATCTGGCAACTCCCTAGGATCTCAGGCTTTGCGGGCCGTTCTTCTTGTTCTCTGAGGGAACAAGGATACCATTTCAAGGTCCCGGACGCCTCAAAGATACGCTCCCGTCTGGAGACTTGGGCGGGGGATGGGATTTGCAGGTGCTTCTGGTTTCGGTCCGCTGGTTCTGCATAGTTACGTTGGTCCAGCAATTGGCCTGAGTTTAGGAGTGCAACGTCCGGGTCTGACGAGAGCATATATGAGAAGACGATGTTCGCTCGTTGTCTGTTTAGGGTTCTCATTTGGACGGAGCGGACGGCGGCGTAGTTGAGGGATAGGTGGAGGGTTAGGAGAGCGAGGAGGGTGACCCATGTTGCTGTAAAACTGGTGATGTGCGAAACGACGAGGGAGCCGACCTGATAGTTCAGCTGGTTAGGTTTGGGCTTTGTGGTGTATTCAAATAGGAAGAGCAACGTGCCAGCATTCCGACGAGCGATATGACGGTTTCTTGGGACGAATCTTTCTACGAACATGTCAGCTTCCCCAAAAACCGACGACCATCGCCACTATTGATCCAAATGACGGGCAACCCACTGCATTAACCTCCGCAAGATTCCCCCACCTTGCGAAATGCGCACTCAGACTCGCTTTCGAGCTTCCTCCCGCAACACCACACAGAGCACGAAGCACGCCTGCGGCGCTGAGGACCGTCACGCGGCTGATGCCCGCTGGGATCATCGGCGAGAGGCAGTCAAGCACCATGGCGAGGTCATTGAAGATGTCCGCTGCGAAGCGATACATCTTGCATTCCGGCTCGAGGGCTGTGCCGACGCGGTGCGCGAAGAGGATCGTCGCGATCCGCCCGGATGTATCCTGGAGGATGTGCAGGAAGAGAGCAGAGGTTGGAGAAGCGTCTGCGTTGCCCACTCCGACGCCTGTATTTGTTAGACTGGTGACTGTGTGAAGTAGGTAGGGATTGCTGACCTTGGAGAACTGCTCTTGAGGATAGGAGGCCGGCGATAGAGCTGCTGAAGGCTTGGAGGGAGTCCTATTGGGGCTGAGTAGGGTGTTGTATGGCATACAAGCATGTCATTCACTTACGAATATCTGATATCTGTCGAGCATTAGCGTTGTTAATCGTGGAGGTTTCTATAACTCACGAAACATAGTCTTCGCTAACACTATGCGGATACCCAGCAGGAAGAAACACATCGGTAAGAAGGTTTTGTATAGACTTCATAGACCATAGCGTCGAAACACTGGGAGCATGCTGATTTGCGTTAGTACATGATCTGAAATAAGGTGCAAATGTACTTACGGATAGATCCACGCGGCCTTTGATCTCGTTCCCCGAGCCGTCCTTAACAGAACGCCCTGACTGGACCTCAGAGTAGATGAGTGTCGATGCCGGGTTATTCAATTCGTCGACCTCAGTAAAAGTGATGGTGTTTCCACCATTGGGAGCCATTTGGGGCCAATGGTGCTGATTAGTCCAGATGGATGCTGTGTTGTGATGTTGAAGCCAAGGCCAAGTGGCTGCGTGGCTTACAGGGTTGGCGATCAGGTGAAGCACGTGTGCTCCCATCCCAACTGCCGCAAGTGTATCTTTATAAACTACCACAGATTTACGCTCTTTCGTACACCAGTCAACGATCAATTATTTTGACCTTGTATGAATGACTTGTATAGACATGAATGTGCGTGGGCCAAGCCTGCAGCATTCCAGACTTTTCAGAACTAGCCATCTATGACCTCAAAACCTGATATCAAATATATCCCGCATAGTGCGCGCCAGAAGAATATAAACCGCTAAGCACGAAGACTAGCAAACCGCCTGCGCCGTAAGAAAAAGAATAGAAATGAAAAGAAAAGTGGTATCAGGTCATGGTCAAGCCAGACCGTGAATATAGCGTTGAGGCCCGCAACCACTAGGAACTGCTTTTCAGCCTCGTAGATCTCTCAGATCGGAGAAGCGACCGCCAGAGTGTCCTCTCTCGCGTCTCAAGCACGTCACTCGTCCATGTGTCTCATCTTTGACCATCATCGTGTCATCGTTGGGAGAAGGGGTTTTCGCAAGACTGCTCTCAAGTCCCAGACTTAAGCGAATAGACTGGCGCCGCCAGTCTCAATGGCTTCAATCTCGGCTTCAGTGTAGGGCAGACGGTGGAAGCGGTTGGGAAGGTCGGTGCGGTCGAAGAACTCGCCCTGCTTGGGCTGGATGGGTCCGAGGGAAGCTCCCGGGCTGCGGCCGACTGAGCCTTGAGTGAAAGATGCACGTCCGAGAGGACCGTGTTGCTGGGCCTTGGCCCGGTAGGCGGCGAAAGAGTCGGGGAGAGTGCCGGTAGGAGAGGCCGGGTGAGCACGGGGAGTGTGGTCAATAGTCTCTGAAAAAGCTATTAGCGACAGAACTCTCGGGCGGAATTGCCATCTAGAACATACGAGGGACAGAGCGCTTGCCGACGAAGCGGATGAGCGGGGTGCGGGTAGCGTTTCGCAGAGCAATGGTAGCATGCATTTTGAATGTAGTTGTTGGAATTGAAAAGTTGGATTGGTTGGATTTAAAGTTTGCAAGCTGGTTGTGGAACGACCGGGAGAATGATATGGATAGGGAAGAAACGGATTGATTAAGATATTTACAGTATATGGCCTGGAGACACTGGCGAGAGACGATTGAGAGCGAGAGAGGGTGGGATGGAGAGGAAAGAGGAGGAGCAGGGGCGGAAGCGAGGAGAGGAGGAGGAGGGCTTGATAAGTACCGAGTTAGGTAAGCTCCACCAAAGTGGTGTGATAATAGGAATTACCCCTGCGTATAATGTCTCCCGGCTAAGTAAATCATAGTCCAGAATCCGATAATCAGATGCTCCTCCTTCTCCAACTTCAAAGACTTGTTCGGCGCGTCTTACCCAACCCGCATCGCCGGTGAGGAGAAAAACTTTCGAATTTCGTGGAGGATCATTGAATTGCTTCCCCCGCACCAGCGCACAAACCCCCAAGAATCTTGCGAGGTTGCGCGCAGCCTATGAGTTTTTCATGAACAAACCGAACCCTCGATCTTGTGCTCCGCACCTTCTCCGGTCTCAGAATTACCTGCGAAGACAAGCTCCAGTTCAGCGCACGTGACTAGGCACGTAACGAATCGAAAGCCGAGACCGCACTTGCCTCAATTCCAAGCCGAGTCTCACCATTTCACCTGCAGGGTGATCAGAGTTTGAAGTTGGAGATCCCGCAGCGCTTGTCATCAATCCCATCAGTGGATTACTCAGAGTGGAATTCCGAATATCGAACCACCGTCCATTCGCGCCCTTCAACGTCCGGTGCGCTTGACTCGGCACTACTGGAAATCAGGCTCTGGTTCCGTATTTTTCCTTTGAATCCCTTCTTGCTCCGGCCATAGCACGGCATTCTCCGGCTAGCTTTCTTGCCAATATTATTGGACCCGGGCCGGTCGCTACCTGGACCTTGCTCTCTAACATGCACGAGCTTTTGCTTTTCGCCTCGGTTCCCGCTCATCAACACCATGAATTATTGCAGCAGCTCGCTGGCCTGACGGCCATGCAACCCCGTCATCGTCTGGAGAGGCGCTTGGTCTTCAAAGCTCACCGAAAACCCGGCCTGATCAACGCCCGCGGAGGGACTAACCAGGGCGCTGACATAGTACGCCTCAATAAGATGCTCAATGGGGGCATGTACTATACGCAGGTCGTCGGGCCTATTTCCGAGGCAGATTTCGACACGCAGCCCTCGTCATCTGGGGACCCGGACGCACCCATGTCTGGGACGGATGAAGCTACAGGCTGCGCATATGATTACGACAGTCAACCCTGGAAGCTCGAGTTCAGGGACATTCCGGAGGCAGGTACTCGGTCGACCATTACGGCTCGATTGGCCGCTAGTGCTACTCTACCCAAAGGTGATATTGTGACTCCCATGAATGCCTGGGGGTATAGGTCAGTTCCCCCATACAGTTGCAGTTCTGACAAGCGAGTTACTCAACACGGTTTTATTGACACACCCAACTAGTTTTGTGACTGAGTACGTGGTTGAAGGAGATGCCTTCATCCATAATGATATTGTGATTTTTCTTCACCGTGTGCTGCAGTATCCGATTCATGGACAAGAACCACATGGACCACGGCGCCAGTTGCCCTCGTTTCGAGATATGTCGCCCTTGGAGAGGTCCGGGAGTTATATCCTGCAAGCTGCTATAACTGTCCAAGACGGCAGTAATCAGGAGCTTATGAGGACGGCATCTCAGCATTTATTTGGGCTACGAGAACAGCTTAAATCAGCGGTCCGTCTAGAACACGCTGATAGACTTTCCTTGGACACTCGAGCGAAGTAGTTATATTTGCTTTAAACTATACCCCGGAGCATAGCCTCTAAGTAAATCTCTTTCAAATGTGAATACAGGTTTCTGATTCATGATTTTCCAATCTATGAATCTGAAAAGTGAATTGAACTTGAAAGTGATTTGGATTCAATAAACCTGCTCTTTTGCCCCGGTTCTTGGTAGAACATGTGACTTCGTGACAGTCAAAGTTCAGTGCAAACGCGCCCAACGCGTGCCTGGAGCATCCAAGTCATCCTCATCAGCAAGACACTTTCCACGAACTGGCTTGATTTCCCTGCATCTTAAAACACATCAGGACATATTAAGAAATCTGCAGCGTCCCAAAGATCATGGCTGGAGGCCCCCTCAAAAGGGCGGCTTCGCCAAGTCGACCAATCTCACCTCCACCACTTAAACGCAAACCTGGAACAACATTAAAAAGTAAGTAACCTATTGCTCACCTGCACTGAAATCTACGATGATGACTTATGCTTTACGAAGAGACCGCCCAGCAGTCTTTCTTTCTCCCGAACTCACAGAAGAAACCGGAAACCATCAGCTGGAGAATTGTCAACAAAAGCTTAGTAGTCGGGAATCACGCCGCCGACTCGGCGAGTGTTCGACAACCGAGTTCAGGAAAGCCAAAGATTGCTGCGTTTGACTTTGTGGGTTACCTCCCTTAACTTTCAGTGTGGCATAGTAGTTGACACTCGGTTAGGACTCTACGTTAGTATCAACTGTTTCGGGGAACAAGTTCCCTAAAGATGCGAAGGATTGGAAATGGTGGAACCCAAGTGTTCCGTCAAAGCTCCAGAGTCTACACTCCGACGGGTAAGTGAGATGTGTGTTGCTTCGTTGCACTGCTTCTTGACTGACCGTCTTGAGGTATCATGTTGCTATTATCTCGAACCAAAAAGCCGTCAGCCTCAAGAAAGAGAAGAGCGGGGCTGATATGAAGAGCCTCGCAAATTTCAAGGGTCGAGCAACAAGTGTTATGAAGGAACTTGGAATTCCCATCAGCATTTACGCCGCCACAGAGGACGACGAGTTCCGGAAGCCAAGGACTGGTATGTGGAGGGAGCTGCTTGATGATTTCGACTTTGACGTTACCGGTGTCGATTCTTCGGCGTCGATATTCGTTGGTGATGCTGCTGGGCGGCCAAACGATCACTCCTCGGTTGATAGGTGAGTCAGTCCTCGAGAAGGGGTGAGCAGGGCCGGCTAACACAAAGAAGAGGATTTGCAGTGAATGCTGGCTTGCCGTTCAAGACGCCTGAAGAGTTCTTTCTCGATGCGCCACCTGAACCAGTGGTTGAATCCTTCGACCCATCACAATACATACAGCCCGCCGACTCCCCCGACGATGGTATGGCTGCCCCGTAGCATCGCGAATGCCTTGATAAAACGAATACAAATGCTAATGATGCTGCCTCCACAAGTCTCGCCGCCATTTTCTCGCAATAGTCCCCTCGAGCTAGTGATCTTCTGCGGCAGCCCTGGCGCTGGGAAATCTACTTTCTACTGGAACTACCTAGAGCCACTGGGCTACGAGAGAGTCAACCAGGACATTCTGAAGAGTGTGCGTCCGCCATATCTGGCACATGCAATAAAGCTTCACCAAGCTAACGAGTAACAGAGACCGAAATGTATCAAAGTCGCCAAGGAACACCTTGGGGCGAAAAGGTCCGTGGTCGTCGGTACGTACGCTCGTCTCGTCAAGTCTAGTCCTTTCCAACAGAACATCACTCAAACCTTCATCACCACCTCGTTGTGCTCGGCCGGTCAGACCGGTTCATGCAAACAGCACCATACAACTAGCCCTTGCATTCCTGTCTGACGCTGGGGAGCAAGCACCGCCAAGCAGAGCCACTGATTGCAAACGCAACCGACCTGCTACCCACCCACCCTCTCAAACTAGATGAACCATTGAAGGATAGAGTTTACGCCATTTATTCACTGACATATTTTTTTTTCCTCTTCACAGATAACACCAACGCAGATCAAGAGACGAGAGCCTTGTGGCTGGACGTCGCGAAAGAGTTCAAGGTCCCCATTCGTTGCGTCTACTTCTCTGCCCCCCCGGCTATCTGCAAACACAATAACGCGGTCCGTGCCGCAAACAAAGCCCTAGTAAGTCGTGTCAAGGCAGCAGGCCTCGCCTTCCTAATTCGCCGATTGCTGTGTACCCTGTCCCGCGCCCGCTGCGTCGTTCAGACCCTTACTGTACATCGTCACCTCCACCGAACTATATCTATGATCCACCCTGATTCACACCCGCACATGCATTTATCAATTTATCCACTCACTCACTATTTCACATCGTTCACTAACAATCAAACCCCAAAACAGAATCCCGAGTCCCGCAACAGCCTTCCCGGCATCGCCTTCGGAGACTTCGCGAAGCGATTCAAGCAACCAACGCTGTCAGAGGGCTTCCAAGACATTATCCGCGTCGACTTTCGTTTTAAGGGTGATGATGAGGCGAAGAAGCTCTGGGGACAGTTCTGGATCTAGCGAGAGCTACCCCTCTGCTTACCTGTCCTGTTTGAAGTAATCGAGTCTAGCCCGGCCAATCCGGCCTAAGACAAGACTCCGAAGCTAGCTAATATGTCGGCTTAAACTTAATCCAACTCTCATCACTCATTACGCGAACCAGGACCGACCAGACCAGACCAGACCGGGCACGGGGAGATCCAGATGAACGATTACGATCCGAGCGCGGCTTATACACCCAGTCCACAACGACCCGCTCTACTAGTACTTTTAACTTTCGATATATGCTATGGTTGTTATGCGTGGTGGTGAAGAATAGCAGAAGCATGCTTGCATACAAGACGAGACGCATCGCAACAAAACCAACATCTCCGTTCATGCGAGGTATGACGAAACTGCCTATATGTATGTGCAATAGAGTTTATTAAGGCGGCCTCAGGCGGATACTACCTGCTAGTTACCCAGTTCTTCGACGGACGGGTGGGGAACAAGAATATGCATGCAGCGTTGATGATCCTCTCTGTACGACGTTTCGCAAGCTATGAGAAAGCTATGACCTCCATGAGGTCCGGTTTCTGGTAGCTGTCTTTTCTTTTCTCAGATCCTCGATGGCTGTATTCTTCTGTGCCTACAGGTCCTACAGCTACAGTCCTACCTCCGGCTCCCTGAGTCCTACTCGTATCCCGATTCAACGCCGCCCCTCCTGCAAGGGTCTTTTCATGTCTCGGCTAAATTCTTAAAAAAGCGAGTGGAAGTCAGGTCTGAAATTATTCATGTCCATTATGGGATTAGAATATGCTTTATTCTATACAGGTCCTGCACGGACGGACAAATCGATAGCCATCGGCCACGCCCTTTGTGAGATGCACAACGGCTCCAGGTATGAGGTACAATGGGCCACAAGGTCTCAACCAGTGTGAAGTTTTCCTTTTTTTTTTTTTTGTTTTTGTTGGCTGCCCTTCCGTTTCCTCACGGGTATCATAAAACAAAAGCCTTGCAACCATACCTCTTTCCTGCCACTTCTTTTTCGTTTTTTTCACCCCCTGTTCCTAAGGGTAGGGGTTCCGCCCATTTTCGTGGTTCATGCAATGTATACAGGTGTAAGGAACAGAACTGATCACAACGTACAACCGTATCACTAAGACGGATGTAGGAAGACAGTCCATCGTGTAATCATGCCATAGGATAGAGAGACAAAGGAAAGTGGTATCAATGTGTTCATTAAGGAATGGACTGCGCCTGGCGAGTCAGTAGTCGCGGGCGCATCGAGGTCATCAAGTCATTAGTGGTTCACAAATCGTAATGTAAGAAAAATGAAACATGAGGTGGTTGTAATAGATGGCATTGGGCGTGAATATAGGATCGAAAAGAAGTTGGACATTAGTCATCACATGCTCATCCGAATCTGTCGTCGTCCTTCGGCGTTTCGAAAGGCATGGAAGCCCTAAGATGGTGTACATCCAAAGCTTCAGCTTTTTCTCGAGGAGGTAGAAGCGGGGCCGTGGCGATTTCAATTCCAGCGGGGGCAAATATGGTCCTTCTCCTAGACGCGCGAGACGAGGTCTTGGAAGAATTTGAAGAAATTTCGCTTCAATGACCGATTTCGACATTGTCCGGTTGCCGGTGCGATCTTCATGGGGCCGACGATCTCGCCATCACCCAACTCGGGGAACTTGTTGTCGTTCAGCGTTGGAATCTTGACTTGTTCGCACGGATCGCGGTGCGATTCAATCATGCTCAGTATCGGCCCGTCCAATGCCTCGAGTTGAGCAAGCATCGCCTCGTAATGTCGCTTCCATTCGCGGTTAATCGACTCCCATTTTTCCTGCGTCAACTTGTAAATCTTCGAGGTAACTCCGTAATGCTCTCCGGTCCGGACTAAATGCTTAGTGAAGTTGCACTGCGCCAGGTCCCATTGGCTCCGCAATTGCTGGAACGAATCGATGTCGTAGACTTCCGGAACATAGGGCTCTGGTTGGATCGTGAAGTTGGCATGACCGAGCTGGATGGCCCACTCGTCGCTTGGATCGGAAAGGGTCAACGGAGGGACATCTCCGGATACTGTTCGGACCGTGTTCGCTCGTGGCCGGTTGAAAGAGGCAATTGAAGGTTTTGTGGACAACGGAGGTGATGGAAGACCGGCTAGGCGAGGATTCGATTGTGTATCTGGACTGGCGTTTGAGACGTCGGCAACGGAAGGTGATTGTAAGGGAGAGTGTATTTGGGAAGCGGTTGCATATGTCGACTCGTCGCCCATGAACGGGGGGAGTAAAGGAGTAGTAGCTTGCGGGACTGACTCATCATCATTGAGAGCCTGCTGGTTTGCTTTGGCGATGTCTATTGGACGCGCGCCTGACTCGCTAAGGCGCTCTTCAAAGATAGTCCTTGCAGGGGAGGGAGGAACCTGGGCAGAATCACCCCAATTCATGGGCCCGGCGGTAGTTGGGCTAGCAGCGAATACCGAGGCGGACGAGTTAGTTCTGGAACGCATTTGCGGTGAGAATGACTCTCCGTCGGGGTCGTCGGATACTCGTTTGGAGCGCCAACGGTTCGATATGGTGGATATGCGGGAGCCAATGCGAGAGAGACCGTTTGCAGAGGCATTGTCAGAGCGCCTCTTTTTGGGAAAATGGATCGTGTCCATACCAGCATCGGTCAAGTCGTAGCCGTCGCAAGTAGAGACCGTCGAAAGGTATGACTCTTCAGCGACAGACAACCCTTGGTCGAAGTGCTCTGCATCAAAGTTAGCTTGGGAATTTTTCCTAAAAAACACCGAGGCGCAAAACGTAGAAGAAAAGTGGGAGAGAGCGAGGCTGGGAACAAGGGCAGCATACGGAAATATTCCTCCTCTAGATCTCTGGCCGGTGACACGAAGGGTTCTTCTTCTTTAACACCTGTCAAGGGATTCCGCGAGGGAATATCCATGGAATTGCCATGGCCAGGGGTTGACACCAGCGAGGACGCGGAGCTTGAGAAGCGCGTGTGGCCCTTTGCGGAAAACAAAGACACGGCGGGTGAGACTGGAGTCGACGCGGTCAATGGAGACTGAGGTGGCTGGCGAGAGAGCGGCGAGAGGTCGCCCATGGTGTCGAAGCTCTCGCGCCGTTTTGCGTCGAGCAGCTGCGATAGCTTCAGCATGACAGTTACAGTCACAGTGCTGTTTTATGCAGATTTTTTGTCCTGGTTCTTCAAAAAAGGTTCGTCAAGTTTCAAGGTTGCGATGGCGGATCGGCGACGCTTGCTCACGTGCGGCACAGTGTAGAGAAGAATATAAGAAGAATTGGATTGCTTCACGAAAAGAGAGGCATGTCGCGTGAGGTAGATAACATGTATGAAGTGTAGAGGGGCAGGCAGGAAAAGAGAGAGAGAGAGAGAGAGACGAGAAAGAAGAGCCGGATGACTGCTGATGATGGGATGGTTTTCTGACTCTTAACGCGCGAAGGGCCAAAGTAGAGGGAAAGACGTGGCGGTCAAAAAGGCGACGGACTCTGGAGAAGAAACTGCAGGAGCTCTGGGCAGGAAGCGGCAGGAGCCAGTGCAGAATTGCCTATTGCCCTCCGTGACTGCGACTGCTGCTGAAGAAAGCGCTGGGAAGCAATCAAACTGTAGGGCAGCAGTCAGTCCGCGGCCGACTGGGAAAACGTGGAGCACTAGAGCGCGCGGAGCCTGGTGGACAACTCACAACTCGCAGACAGCTCAGACAGTGCAGCAGACGGGCAGACGGGCAGACGAACCCTGTGGCACTCTGGCAATAATAACAGCTGCTTGCTCGCGCGAACTGATTGAAAGAACTGAAGAATCTTCAATCAGATGGAAAAAGAAAGAAAGGATCAGGTCAGGGCTCCATCCAGTCCCGAGCGTCCCATGGGTCCGTTTGTGCTTTGCCACGGCCCTGACTGGTGATAGTTTGTTACTCAGTATCACCTACATCTAAACATGGGTTGACACTCCAGTTGCTTGTGCTTTTCCTGTCTAGCCCGCTACATGGACATCTATCATATCCTCCTACTTTATCAGGGGCAAAGGTCTCAGACACAATTCATGGCGCTCAACACTACTGCACATCACAATCTCACACACACAACCCCAACACAGGGCCAGACAGATTCATCGACACTAAGACCATCTAGACTCCAACAGACTCGACTTGTCCATCTGCCCGGTGCGACCCATCATCCGGTGCTTGAGCGCTGCCGGTTGTCCAAAAATACACTGAGCTATCAAATCGACGACAGACAATGACTGTCGCTGCAGCAGTACAGATGATGTACGTCTCAAGGGACTGGTCGAATCTTCAATTGACCTCACAGCGTCAGTGTGAAACGCGTACCGATGCTTTCTCCCGGGGGCGCTGCCCAAAACTCTGGGTATCCATGGAATTCTCCCGGCGCCAGGGACTTTTTCCTTTTTGTAGGTCAATGACCATCCGTCGCTAATAATATTCGCTAATACTACGTATTAATAACGTCCGGACGGCCGACGGTGAACGGCTAATCCAGAAATTTTCTGTGCCGACGTCAAACCCACATGGCGAGGGCGGCGGCACTTGTGGTTCGCCTCATGCTTTTTTTCGAGACCCAAGGCTCGGGATGGAACTCTGATGGCGAGGCCCTGACAGCCACAGACTTGCTAAGCGGACTTTGCTTCCAGAATCCTGGGCTTGTGGGCGATGACCGAAGCCAAGACTCTATTCGTGTGGGATGGCGTCAGCGGTCACCCTCCATCGCAGTGTCTCTTCCGACACCTTCTATCCTGTCGCCTTTGGAAGACTTGCATCCTGGCTAATAACCGGAAGAATGACCATGCGGGACGGTTGTGAGACTGCTCCATTCTCCCACGACTGGCCCGACCGCTAAGCAACAGGGATAGCTGTGTGTGAAAGTTCTCAGCTCTGTTAAACCGACGATCCCAGCATTAGATAAGGATGATATACCCGCAACATGACGCCGATGACGACGGTGGTGACCCTGACTCCTCGGAGGGAATCGTTTGGACTGCTTGAATCATTCCCAGAAGCCATTAATTTCTTCGCCGCCGCCAGTGGTCTCTGGCGATTTCCGTAGCTCCCGGAGGCGGTGTTTATAGTGCTGGACAATAGTTCAAGGCAGCCAGCTACGACTTGGCAAGATCCGTGGCTACCAATTGTTCCATAGACGATACTCACTTGGCCTCGATACTCATTGACTTCTCGAGCCTGTCAAATTGCAAGCGCAATAAATCTCTGTACATACCATGTGGTTCTTTCAAACGTTGAAGACGATCGCGTGCGCGAGAGTACCTTGTGGATCTCCCCGCGCTCAAGACATTGCGACATCGCAACTCCAACTTACTCCGAGTCCGAACGCTTCAACTTCACTAGTACACTGAAAGGTCAAGGAGTGTCGTCGAGACCGTCGGCAATGAAGCTTCCATTCCTGGCCACGCTGGCACTGGCTAGCCTTACAGCAGCCGTGTATCTTGAAGAACAATCTGCCCTCTCGTCGAACCTAGACAAGGACCTAAACCACCTCATCGACTCCTCGCCCTTCCTCTCCCTCCACCGAGACCTCGTCTCAACCCCCTCCGTTTCCGGCAACGAGTTCGCCGTCGGCGGCTTTCTTGCCTCATACCTTGAATCTAAGGACTTTACCGTAATCAAGCAGCCCGTCCCTGGCCACACATCCCGCTTCAACGTCTTCGCATACACCTCCTCAGCGAAGCCCCAAATCCTACTGACAAGCCACATCGATACCGTCCCACCATTCATCCCCTACTCCGTCTACAAGGACAATGATTCTGACGACGTTGTGATAACCGGCCGCGGCTGCGACGACGCAAAGGGCAGTGTCGCCGCACAAGTCTTCGCGGCTCTCGAGACCCTCTCCGAACACCCCAACGCACCGCTCGGCCTCCTCTTCGTCGTCGACGAGGAAGTCGGCGGCGCAGGCATGCGCGCCTTTTCATCAAACACAACTCTCAACCCACCGCCCGGTTCCCCGTCCGATATCGTTGGCGACGGCTACGGCACCGTCATCTTTGGCGAGCCGACTGAGCTTGCCCTGGTCGCAGGCCACAAGGGTATGCTAGGCTTCCAAGTACACGTCACAGGCAAATCCTCGCACTCGGGATACCCATGGCTCGGCGAGAGCGCGCTAAGCGACATCCTCCCCGCCCTTTCGGTAGTCGACAAGCTAGGCGATACCCCCGTGGAAGACGGCGGCCTTCCTGCGAGTGAAAAGTATGGCCGGACGACGGTGAACATTGGCCGTGTGGAAGCCGGCGTCGCAGCGAACGTTGTCCCAGCTACAGCGTTTGCGGAAGTTGCGGTGCGTCTTGCAGCGGGGACACCCGAGGATGCGATGGACATCATTTCACGCGCTGTGAGAAATGCTACCGGGGATAACCCGCATGTCGTCGTTACGTTCTCTGAGGGTCCGAACGGAGGCGTGGGCGGATATGCGCCGCAGGATCTGGATACTGACGTTGATGGGTTCAACGTGACGACTGTAAACTACGGGACTGATGTGCCGAATCTCAGGGTCTACGAGGGGAGCCAGGTAAAGCGGTATCTATATGGGCCGGGAAGTATCTTTGTCGCTCATGGTGATCACGAGGCGATCACGGTTTCCCAGTTGGAGGAGGCTGTAAGGGGATATAGGAGGTTGATTGATGCTGCTTTGGAGCGTCTATGATTCTTTCTTTTCACTGGAATGACGAGGTTGGAAGAAAAGCGGGAGCAATGGAATGCCTCACAGCCATAACGAGTACTTATATACATTGACCTTATCACTAGAAAAACAGTTACAGCGGCTTCTAACTCCAAAATGCAATTGTCAAACTATACTACAGACATGAATTAAGGCTGTGGAGGCTGCTGAGGATCAGCAGCAGCGGGATCAGCGGGAGCAGGAGGCGCTGGTGGAAGCCTCGTCCACCCCGTCTTCAGGTCACCTGTGGGCCTAAACCTAGGCATCGGATGCGCCTCCGTATTAAACACATTTTCCTCAAGCGAGATAAAGTCTCTGTCAGAGAAGAGAAGATAGAAGTACTTTAGCGTCTCCGCCATCCAGAAACTTTCCATGTTATCACGCTGAATAGGCGGGATGACATCTGCGTTCGAAAGCGAGGTGAAGCTGACAATGCGCGCCCGTGGGCCATCGTCGACATCGGGATCCGTCTCGTCAATCTCGTGCGTGGTGATTTTCTCGGTGACGGCCGTGTGCTTGATAAAGGATTTGAACATCTCCCACCCCCAGTGTCGGTACGTCTCGTCACCTGTGATCCGGTACATGTACAGGAGAGATTCGACAGTCTCGGGGCGCTGCAGGTTATGCCTGTCCTGGGTGTGGATGTTGATATCGTGCTGCCAGGTGGCAGACTCTGAGTTTAGAGGGTAAATAGCTTCGGAGTTGAGCGGCAGGTCCTTGCCAGCGGCTTTGCCGTTCTGACCCATCGCCAGCGTGGAGCTTGGGTATTTGTCAATTTCCGAGACGTGGGGTGTGTTGATTTCGAAGTAGGTGATTTCTGCGGCGAGGCCGGTCTTGGTTGCAAGATATGTAGCCCAGCAGGTTTTCATCAGTTCCTTGGCGAGGCGGATCTCCTCATCTTGACGAAGGGTCCATTCGGAGGACTTTTTAGCGTCAGCGAGCGGAATGCCGCCGGTGGCGCCGAGGGCGATGGAGCCTGGAAGGAAGCAGGCGAGGTGGTCCATTTTGGGGGTCAAAGGGCCCCTGAGGCCGGACTGGCGCTCACCCAGGACGGTGAGCTGGGCGTTCTTTGAGTACGTGATGAGGTGCTTGCGGATTCCGTTGAGTGCCTCGTCCCACATGTCTTTATAGATGTCTTCCGAAGTTTGAAGATATTGTTTGATCAAGTATTCTAACCATTGTTAGCAGAGAAATCGACGGAGGTTGAGATACGTACCATAGTAGGAATCGCCTCTGCTACCGAGGCGTATATTCTCTCCTCTAAACTTGCCTGTATCGGGGTATATATAGATTGGAAGCAGACCGTCTGGGCTCTGTTGTGCATCGATCACCTGCATCACCTTCTCCACGATACGCCAGTACTCGGCCTCCCCGGTGAGCTTGGCTAGGTACTTGAATTCCAGCTGCACTGTAGTCGCTTCAGCCGTAGACGAGGCGCCACCGTCTGCATGAGACGGTATACCAGATGAGGTATTGAGGTTCACACTAGCATATGGGATACCGGAGTTGGACTCAAAAGCACCGAGTAGCCTGTCTGCCAGATCAGTGGCTTTCTCAATGTATAGATCCTCACCAGGAGATCCAATGTCATCATCTGAGATCGGAGCAAGACTGGGGTATGAGGTTGAGAGGTAGTGAGCGGAGAGCAGGCCACCGAGCATGCGTATCGTCGTTTCAAAAGTGTTGACATCGTGATTCTGATTGTACTGTAGTGAGTTGTAAATCCAGGTGCGGGCGTGTTGAACGCGCGAGGTCAGATTCATGATCATCATCGTATCTAGCGCATCCACTATCTGCCAGCCCATTCCACCCTCAATCATATTCTTGCCCTTCTTGGAAATTGGGTGGTATTCATCAAGACCTTTATAGTTGTGAGTAACCGAACATCCATTATAGCGAAAAACATACCCCAAGCATACTGCTCGTAGCCATCCCAGCTAATAATAAAGGCATCCCGGACCTTCTCACGCCGTGACTCCCAGTCAATGTTCTTCAGCGCAATACCGTCATAAGTCTGCTCTGTCTGGTCCAGCGTTTGCACCCACTTCCAGAGCTCTTCACCCTTGGCCGAGTCGGGTGTCCATGGAGACCCGCTGGGTGAAGAAGTATAATACCACAGACTGACCAACACGAACACAATGATCCCAAGATAGAGCGCTCTCCTCCGCCTGAGTCGTGGGCCCGTACGTCGCGGGGCAAAGTATGGCTTGTCTTTGTACATGGGGAGGGTGCGATCACCCGAAAAGAAATTGTTCAGATTGTTTGTGACACCGGCAGACTGGGAGAACCCATAACCGCCTAGCCCGTTGGTTCCGGGACTGCGGCTTGCTTGCCAATACTTCTCCGAGGGTGAGCGAGAGGTAGGGTAGATGGGATTGCTGTTCGGGTTCGGGAAAGACATCGTCGTCTTCCTTTCAGGAGACCGGGTATAGATCCCGCGGAGCGTGAGAGGGGGGCTATAGCCGACAGCCTAGCCTAGTAGGCATAGGTGTGTTTACTGCTCGCGACGAAGGTGGTTTTGACTGTTGAAATCGTGGAAAAAGTTTTAAACCTTCAGGCCGAGAGAGTGAATCGTTGGTTTCCTGAGATTGGTTTCCAGGAACAAAGTCGCAGGGATGCACGAGGTGGCCGCACGAACGTAATGCGCAGCCGGAGCTTCGTTTGGTAGATCTGCACGTGCGCTGAGGCAAGCCCCCCGACTATCAGGATCAGGCGCCTTGTAACGCTTGAGAAGAAATCGGCGTTGTCTTGTTGAATCGTGGGAGTGGCCACCTGTTCCGATGTTGCGATCTCTCTCCGGGGTCGCTTTAATTGGCCGCTTCCCTCGCAGAGCAACCGTCTTGGCATCAACTATGCAGCCTTTGAAGCTGTTCCAAGTCCGAGTCACTACACCGAGGAGGCAGTTTACTAATCCTAGATTTAGTGCCCATATTCAAAAGGGCCGCTTTATGTTGTATGAGTAGAATTATGTATGTTTCAGAGCATGGCTAATTTTGCAATAGCGATCCGTGAATGACAATGCTATCCGCGCGAAACAAGTCTACAGTTTCTGGTATTCGAGCTTGCCCTCCAGCTTCTTAGCCTCTGCAACCTTGCGGACAGCTCTGTTGAAATCATCCTGGTTAACCGCGTCCCGGTAGTCTTTGATGGCAAACAGACCACTAATTAAAGGTTAGCAACGTATCAGGAACTAAGGGGAGCAGTGGCATACGCTTCTGTGACAACGTTACGGAGATCAGCACCATTGAGGCCATCGCTCATCTTCACAACACTCTCGAAATCGATATCACCTTCCAGCTGTACGGTGCTGGTGTGAATTTTCAAAATCTCAAGGCGACCGACCTCATTGGGCAAGGGGATCTCAATCTTTCGGTCCAGACGACCAGCACGCAGCAAGGCAGGGTCGAGTGTATCAGGTCGATTCGTAGCCATAATAATCTTTGTCTTTCCCAAATAATCGAAACCATCCAGCTGGTTGAGAAGCTCCATCAAGGTTCGCTGAATTTCACGGTCTGCGGAGGTACCCTCGGAAAAGCGTCGCCCACCGATGGCATCGATTTCGTCCATGAAGATGATACAAGGCTCATGCTCCTTTGCGTAGCCAAACATCTCTCGGATTAATCGGGCGGATTCACCAATGTACTTATCGACGATAGCAGAGGAGACCACTTGGTTTCGTCAGCGGACTATGAAATCTGCGGTTACTCAGGGCAGTATACCTTTCAAGAAGTTGGTCTCCATAGAACTTGCCACCGCACGCGCTAAAAGTGTCTTTCCAGTGCCAGGAGGCCCATAGAGCAAGACACCCTTGGGTGGCTTAATACCCACCCGCTGGAAGAGCTCGGGGTTCTTCAGCGGCAGCTCAATCACTTCACGTAGCTCACGAATCTGGTCATTCAAACCACCAATACCAGCAAAGTTGATCTGTCCGGGATCCTCCAAAGACATGTTGTACACCAAAGGATCGACTTCTCTCGGCAGCATCCTCATGATCGTGAGAGTCGTCATATCAAGAGCAACACGTGTGCCTTGCTTCAACTTCAACTTGTCAACTTTCGAGCGGCAACCGACAACGTATCTGGGCCCTGACGAAGCCTTGACAATGACTTTTCGCAGGTTAGCTGCTGTATAAGTTTACGGATTCTTTCACAGGTTACTGTACATCTTTCCTCATCGAGCTGCTTCAGCACCTCTCCGATAATCTGGCCGACGCTTTGCAGAGCCTTGATGTTTTCTTCTGAGATATCAAACTCCCTCTGCAGGTCCTTGATGCCCATGCGAAGTGTCTTGAGCTTGGCCTCCCATTCCCGGAGATCCAGTAGGCTCCGCTTGTAATCCTCCAACGCCTGCTCCCTCTCGGGGTCCGAGGCACCGTTCATGGTGGATGAGAGAAATCGACGGTCCGGGTTATCGAGTATCGGGAATCAGCAAGCTGTTGGGCGTGACAAAAGAAGTATGATTAGCGGCGGCGAAAATGAATGGTGACAACGGAGGTACTTGCCAGAGGGTATCGGACAGCCTTGAGAGCTCTCGCAAGCTCACGGAGCCACCGCCAAGGCGCTATCACATGACCAAGGCTTTTGCCTATTTCTTAAGGCCACAAGCCGCCGGAGTATCTAATATCCGGAAGCGGCTCAGGCAACAAGGTGTCTATCCTCAGTGTACAGTACTCCATCTTCGTTTTCGTCCTCCTATTACGCAATGAAGTTGCCGAATTGCCATGGCCATTGAACGACATTACTATGAATGAGGATTGTGACGCATGATTACGGCTGGTTCAACTGAAAAGACCCACCTTGGCTCCAAGTATGAGATGTCCAGACGCCATAGTTGCCATCATGTGAAGCACAATAATAATGGGCAGACTCCGTAGTCTCATAGGGTATTAAGCTACTTAGGCTTTCGAAGATGGAGCCACGATAACCTCAGCCCTGTTTCAAGATGAATAGTTTAGATTGACTCTCATAAGCATCCCATCACCCGCCTTACCCCGAGGGTACACGGGAGATCTCGCTGGAGAGTGTCAATGAAGCGTCCTGAGCCACCAAACAGACAACTGCTGCCCCACCATCACGTTGGAAAGATTCGGAGGACGAGACCTTGAGCTCTCCGTTCCTTGAATACAAGAACCAGCTGCTTCCAGCCCAATTGTCATCCCTTAGTAGTTCCGATCATTGTTGTTGCTTTGCTTATCCCTCCATCCCCAAAGCCTGGTAAGTTCCATCTCTTTTATAGTTCTTCTTCCAGGACTTTTTACCCCACCATCCCACCATCTGAGCTTCACCCCTCCTCACCCTCGAAGTAAAAGCATTGTCATCATCACCGCCACTTCATCTCGATATTGCGTTACTGGTATGATCCCTCACAACAGCACGTTTCTGAGTAAAGTGAGCCCATGTGGTCTCGACCGGTCAATCATTGACCGGACGACTCCATCTCTCACCTGCTCGCCGTCACTCTTTTTGGGCCATCGGTGAACAGCCTCCCCCGCCCTGCTAAGCCGCTCCCAGCAACTGTTTGCCTTCCGCCTTTTGTTATATTTGTTGACGATTCCTGCTTTTGAATTTTTCCTCTCTTTCTCTGACTCCATACATACAGTTCATCACAATGCCCATCTCCAAGATCCACGCCCGCTCCGTCTACGACTCTCGTGGTAACCCCACTGTCGAGGTTGACGTCGTCACCGAGACCGGTCTTCACCGTGCCATTGTTCCCTCTGGCGCTTCCACCGGTGCGTTGCTTTGGCCGCAATCATATCGCTTTTGAAAAGAGTACGTAATGCTGACTCTCAGTCTTAGGCCAGCACGAGGCTCACGAGCTCCGTGATGGTGACAAGTCCAAGTGGCTCGGAAAGGGTACGTCGTACAAGCATAATCTCAATCTTTAATCAACACTGACCGTGTCTTCTGGGATAGGTGTTCTGACCGCCGTTAAGAACGTCAACGAAGTCATTGCCCCCGCCGTCATCAAGGAGAACCTCGATGTGAAGGAGCAGTCCAAGGTTGATGAGTTCCTCAACAAGCTTGATGGAACCCCCAACAAGTCTAAGCTCGGTGCCAACGCCATCCTCGGTGTCTCTCTTGCCATTGCTAAGGCCGGTGCCGCCGAGAAGGGTGTCCCTCTCTACGCTCACATCTCCGACTTGGCTGGTACCAAGAAGCCCTACGTCCTCCCCGTTCCCTTCCAGAACGTCCTGAACGGAGGTTCCCACGCTGGTGGTCGTCTGGCCTTCCAGGAATTCATGATCGTTCCCGAGTAAGTATTTCGTCCACAAACGTCACAATTCGTTCTAGTTATGCTGACTGTGATAAGCACTGCTTCCTCCTTCTCTGAGGGTCTCCGCCAGGGTGCTGAGGTCTACCACAAGCTCAAGGCTCTTGCTAAGAAGAAGTACGGCCAGTCCGCTGGTAACGTCGGTGACGAGGGTGGTGTTGCCCCCGATATTCAGACCGCCGAGGAGGCTCTTGACCTCATCACTGAGGCCATTGAGCAGGCCGGATACACTGGCAAGATTAAGATCGCCATGGATGTTGCCTCCAGCGAGTTCTACAAGACCGAGGAGAAGAAGTACGACCTTGACTTTAAGAACCCCGATAGCGACCCCTCCAAGTGGCTCACCTACGAGCAACTTGCCGACCTCTACAAGTCTCTCGCCGCCAAGTACCCCATTGTCAGTATCGAGGACCCCTTCGCTGAGGATGACTGGGAGGCCTGGAGCTACTTCTACAAGACCTCCGACTTCCAGATTGTTGGGTATGTACTCGCTCGCCTTTTGATTCTATGAGAAGCTCTAACGATTCTCGAATAGTGATGACCTGACTGTCACCAACCCCCTCCGTATCAAGAAGGCCATTGAGCTCAAGTCCTGCAACGCTCTCCTGCTCAAGGTCAACCAGATCGGCACTCTGACCGAGTCCATCCAGGCTGCCAAGGACTCCTACGCCGACGGCTGGGGTGTCATGGTCTCCCACCGTTCCGGTGAGACTGAGGACGTCACCATTGCCGACATCTCCGTCGGTCTCCGCTCTGGGCAGATCAAGACTGGTGCTCCCGCCCGGTCTGAGCGTCTGGCCAAGCTCAACCAAATCCTCCGTATCGAGGAGGAGCTCGGTGAGAACGCCGTCTACGCTGGCGAGAAGTTTCGCAACGCGGTCAACCTGTAAATGCAGCCATGGACTGTATGAAGTTGACACCTGCCAATAACTCCAATTAGACCTACGTGCATTTTGGAGAGCGATTGTGTTGGGACCCCCGAAGGCTATGCTTGCACCTCATTTTAACCTGGGCGGCTGTCTATTCCGGCTGCGAGAGGTGGCCAGGAAGGGAAGGGGAAATTTTATGATGACGAATCTACCAGCCAGTTACATGATATAGTGGCTTAATGAAAAGTTTTCAAAACATTCTTCACCGTAGCCATTAGCATTATTGTAGAATAATATCAGCCGCATCATTGTTCTACCTCACAGTGATCTAGGAGAACCTGGTCCTGAAAGATCGGGCACCAACGGTAATGATTCACGTGACCGCTCACATGCCCCACCAGGTTCATTGATCAAGGCGTTTCGCAGGCAAAAGAAAAGGACTTTTGCCCACTCTGAGAAACCCCGGCGATCGTCTTCCTGCCACGACATATCCCCTCTTGGATACTCCCTCTTTACTATCCCAGCGGATTTCAGAGCCATCGCTACCTCGTCTCCTCCATCTTGACATCCTGCCACCATGGCGCCATCTAAGTGGGGTAAGTTCAAATTATTGTTCAGTTTCTTCTCACATTTGCCCCGCGAGCGGAGGAGTACTAATTCTGGGTTTTGTGCTACAGACGAAGAAGAGGAGGAGAGCGTCTCCCCTCCCCCTGTTGCTGCTCGTCGCCGATTTGATGATGAAGAAGAGGACGATGTATTTACTCACCCTTTTTGCTTTCTCTTGTAGGGTCGCTCTAACACAGCATGCTTGCAATAGGTTCTCGACTCCTGGGACGCCGCGGAAGACAGCGAAGTAGAGCGCGAGAAGGCCGCCAAGGCCGCCGAAGCAAAGGCCAAAGCCGAGGCTGAAGCCGCTGCAAACAAGAAGAGCAGGGGCCAACGGGTAGCAGAACACAAAGAGGCACGCCGGAAAGCCGCTGAGGAGTCCGATGACTCGGACGAAGAGTCGGAAGACGAGGCCGACAAGCGCGCCCGTCTCCGCCGCACGGAGAAGGACTCCGACCTCAAGCACGCGGAGGACCTCTTTGGGGATATCGACCTGAACCGCAACCGGGGCAAGAACAAGACGATTGTTGTGCACGATGCTTCCGGCGACCCGACGCAAGCAGTCGACCTCTCTGCGATGGCGCTGTTCAAGCCAACGACCAAGGACCAGTTTGCGAAGTTGACGAGTACCCTTGCGCCGCTGCTGAGTGCGCAGAGCAAGAAGCCGCAGTATGCGCTCTGGTTGCCGGAGTTTGCGAAGCAGCTTGCAAAGGAGCTGCCCAGTGGTGATATCAAGAAGGTGGCCAGTGCATTGACGACGTTGAGCAACGAGAAGATGAAGGAGGAGAGGGCCGCCGATAAGGGTAGCAAGAAGACCAAGGCGGCTAAGACAAAGGTCTCGCTTGTTGCCTCGAGGGATAACAAGATTGAAACCGCCTCTTATGACGACGATGGCTTGGATGATGATGATTTCATGTGATTTCCGTTCCCTTCTTTCCCTTCATTTTCTTTACCATAATTTCCTCGCCTCAGTTTAAAGTCATACGCAGACCATAGATCGACATTTGTCTTCTCTCCTTCCATCTATTGTATATCCAGGCTTACGAACATACTTCTTTACGGACGCACTTAAGTGTATCCCATAATCAATAGAATGGCAACTATACACGGCAAGCTGTTTATGATCCAGGTGGCCGACAAAGTTGCCAAATTGGTAGACCCCAAAAGTACAAAATAAAAACCACTGGACGTGTTCCTCCTCCAGGTAAGGTTCGATAGCGGTTCAAGAGTTGTCTACAACATTGGTTGTTCGTGTGATCACATTACCCGGCCTATGTAAAAGTAAAGACGATGAATTCGAGTCTATCAACTTGCTACCGACCCGAATACTGGCGGCAAGGCAGTTGGGTATCGCACCTACACCCGAACACGATAATCAACTACTTGGATTCAGATATGTCAAGCCTGTGGCTTGTGGTTGTAGGGGAAGCAAGAGGAAAGGGGTAAGGGGGTGAGGTCGAAGGCGAAAACTGAGAAAACGTGGACTAACACATTGTATCTTGCTGGGGTGGGAATAAAAAGAGAGAATAAAAGAGAGATAGATAACTTCCACTCAACCCCTTTCCTTTCGCTCTCCGAATGTCAAACTCCGCCGGCCGACCCAGATAATCCCGAACAGGTGGAAAGTGCCGGTCCAAACCCCGTCACGCAGCTAAAAGAGACCTTCGTTAAACACTTGCAAGGGGGAGCAATCGCACGTCCAGGGAGGCACGCCGAGCACATAACGCGGTTTTTGATACAACAAAGAAGAAAATCGACAATCACCGCCTTTACGACTCGGCAGCCTTGGGTTCCTCAGGCTTTTCCTCGGGAGCAACGGCCTCCTCTTCAGGCTTGTCCTCCTTGGGAGCAGACACATTCTCGGGCTCGTTGCCGTCGGATGAGGTCCACAAGGTAAGGTTGTCACGCAGCAATTGCATGATCAGAGTGCTGTCGCGGTAGCTCTCTTCAGAAAGAGAGTCAAGCTCCGCAATAGCATCGTCGAACGCCTGCTTGGCGAGATGGCAAGCACGGTCGGGAGAGTTCAGGATCTCGTAGTAGAAAACGGAGAAGTTCAGGGCGAGTCCCAGGCGAATGGGGTGAGTAGGAGTGAGCTCGGTCTGAGCAACATCGGTTGCGTTCTTCGCCAAAGAATTAGAAAATTGACGTTTGATTCAACGATTAGAATAAACCCGTACCTTGTAAGCCTCGTGGGCGGCAGTAGCAGCAACCTTGCGCTTGTTTCCAGAGGCGAATTCAGCAAGGTAACGGTGGTAGTCACCCTTCCTATTCTTGAATCAGTCGCTGGGTCTTTGACATCATCTTGGATGATGAAAAGCAACGCACATCTTGAAGTAAAAGACCTTGGACTCTCCAGTCTCGGCCTTGGGGATGAGAGACTGGTCCAGCACGTCAAGGACATCCTGGCAAACCTTCTCCAGCTCGGTCTCGATCTTCTGACGGTAATCGCGGATGATGGTAACGTGCTGATCGGAACCCTTGGATTCCTCCTTCTGCTCGATGGAGGAGATGATACGCCACGAGGCACGGCGAGTACCAACGACATTCTTGTAGGCGACGGATAGTAGGTTACGCTCGTCAACGGAAAGCTCGCCTCCGATCTGAGATGGTGTCAGTTAGTGGGCACGCGATAGGGGTACGTAGGAACAGATGCTTCGTGATGCTTCGTGATGCTTCCTGGGCACTAGACGGGGGATATGCATACGTTGGCGACTTCCTGTATGACTGTCAGTGGTAATGTTCATGGATATGCCGGTCGATCATGAGTGGGCGGCTAGCGACTCACCTTCATGTACGTGACCATCTCTGTACTCGGAAGTCACCCGTTAGTACTCGAAAGAAAACACCATCATTTCATAAAGAAGCGCGGGATATCTTACCATCGTAACGCTCGGCCTGCTCGCAGAGGCGGGCGAGGAACGTCTTGCTGAAGAAGGAGGAGGGGTGTTAGTTCGGTTCTTATCTGGGGCACCCAGAAAGTCTAGACCCTTACTTCTCACGCTGTAGAAAGTTGAAGACTATTAGTTAGAGGCATAAACTCAATAAAAAGACGGTTTTGGGACAGACTACAATAGGAAGGAGATAGGCAGGGACACGAAGAGCGACAAGATCATGCACCCCCATACTGGACTGATAACACCAGATGGAGGGGTTGGGCTGAGAATAACATACCTCAGAAGTCATAGTAAACGATTGGATTGAGATCGGGAGGGATATGGGAGCGGGTAGATTGAGATGGCACAGTTGGGGTAGAAGAAACGTTCGATGGGGAACTGAGAAGCCAGAAGCACGAGGAAGGTCAAGTTTGGGGGGGAATGACGAGAGGTTTTGGCAGATGCGATCCTCACAGCAACCAGGAAGTGATGGAACAACGGTGAGTGACGACCTCTCGCTAAGCCCAGTTGTTTGTGTTTGTGGTGTTTGCATGTCTATCTGAGGGGGCTTCTGCCTGAGGCAGAAAGAACAGCCAATCTCATTGAAATCACTCGACTCCGCTGAATCGGGCTAGTAATTCAAGCCACTGCTATCACATGATGCGATCACCTGATATTGCTCGAAGCAGCTCCACAGCAAGTTTCTTGTTCGTCAAGTCACGACTCACTCGGACGACCAGACACACTACCCCAGACTCCCAGAGACCCGAGGGCAATGGAAGAATAGTTGAACGCAAAACAATAATACCTTGTACGCCACACATTCGAAGCGCTTCACGCTGCCTAACCGATGTACACTCGTCACTCAGACCTGACTTTGGTCCTGTCGTGCAGCTCTGGCTCTGTTTCTGCGTCGACCCGTCGAGTCTTGACGCGCTTAAGCAGGGATAATTTGACCCATCACTGCCCACAAGCTCTTTGGGCTTTCACCCAAGAGTCCTGACTGGCCCTTGAATCAACTGCGAGCCACTTTAGATCGGCTTCGTTGTGGATCTGATACAAGGCATCAACATTTCCATCCGCAGATTCTGACGACATACTAACATGGTGACACCTCATACTCTTATATGGCCTTGAGGTATATGATGATCAAAGTAATGGTTTGAAAGGGATGGTCAAAAATCGTATCAAACTCTAGAGTGGTCTTGTATCCTAAACCCCTATATGGACGCAGCAGCAAAAACCGCGCGGCAGAAGGCGAAAGCAGGGATCAAACTGGGGTATAATACTGTTCAGCCCTGTCGTTTTATGTACCGGCAGTTTTCCGCTAGAGTCGAAAAGAACACGTTGAGTACCTGACTCCGTCCCAGATCCAGCTTATCATCAACCAGACTTGGAGAGCGCAGATTTACGTATCCCTCTCGCGCTGGCGGGGAAAAGGCCCTTGAAGTCTTTCGATTTAAGTGTACTTCGGAGACAGAAAGTGGCCGGACGAAGAAGTCAGTTTCTTTGGCCGCATCTCGTCTTATACTACTATCTTGAGTTTGCCTCCCTTGCCAAGGTTCCGTATTCTCTTCTAGATCTTTCCCGACTGGGTGTCTCCAAGCTTCCCGGCCTCCGCTCACTTATTAAGGTATCGCTCCATTTGGCCACCTGTCCTGGCCTTCTTGTCCTGATCTTTTCTGAACCAACTTTTCTCTCCTCTCACACCCTCTCCGCTCCTTTGGTTTGTGTTGCTCCCGGTTCTGGTCAACTATCCGGTCTCTATAGTCGGCCATGGAGCGTTCTTTCCTTCAATCGCCGGAGGAGGTGCTGAAGTACTTTGGCGTCTCCGAGCGATCTGGTTTGTCTAGTGCTCAGGTTTCAAGTTCAAGAAAGAAATACGGTCCAAATGGTGCGTCGCTCTATTTAAGATCGAGAAGACTTGGTTGACAACAACTAATTTGTTACTTCTCGGCTTTTAGCTTTGGCGGAAGAACCCCCAACCCCTCTATGGGAGCTTGTACTCGAGCAATTCAAAGATCAACTCGTTCTTATTCTTCTGGGCTCTGCAGCAATCTCTTTTGTCCTTGCCCTTTTTGAAGAGAGCGACGACTGGACTGCCTTCGTTGACCCTGCTGTGGTATGTTGTCTGGACTATTCGAGGCTATCTACAATGTTCTAACCGATTTTTGCGCGCCTATAGATTTTAACCATTCTAATCCTCAATGCGATCGTTGGTGTGACCCAGGAAAGCAGTGCGGAAAAGGCAATTGCGGCGCTACAAGAATACTCTGCAAATGAAGCTACGGTGGTTCGGGATGGGACCGTCCAGCGCGTCAAGGCTGAGGATCTGGTTCCTGGAGACATTGTTCATGTTGCCGTTGGAGACCGTGTGCCAGCTGACTGCAGGCTCATTGCTATCCATAGCAACAGCTTTCGGGTGGACCAGGCTATCCTTACTGGCGAGAGCGAAAGTGTGTCGAAAGACGCTCGTTCGGTCAACGATAAGCAGGCTGTCAAGCAAGATCAAACCAACATTCTGTTCTCAGGTACCACCGTCGTCAACGGAAATGCCACAGCTATCGTTGTCTTGACTGGCTCGTCGACCGCTATCGGCGACATCCACGAGAGCATAACCTCGCAGATATCAGAGCCCACCCCCTTGAAGCAGAAACTGAATGACTTTGGTGACATGCTCGCCAAGGTTATCACTGTCATTTGTATCCTGGTTTGGATTATCAACATCGAACACTTTAATGACCCGTCCCATGGGGGCTGGGCCAAGGGCGCTATCTACTACCTTAAGATTGCCGTGTCTCTTGGAGTCGCTGCCATTCCGGAAGGGTTGGCCGTTGTTATTACCACTTGTTTGGCTCTCGGAACCCGAAAGATGGCACAAAAGAATGCTGTGGTTCGCTCTCTGCCTTCTGTTGAAACGCTGGGGAGCTGCAGTGTGATCTGCTCTGACAAAACGGGAACCTTGACAACCAACCAGATGAGCGTTGAAAAGATAGTTTATTTGAGCCAATCTGGTGCTGATGTGGATGTTATTGACGTTGAGGGCACAACTTTTGCACCGGAAGGCAAACTCTTATCCAACGGCAAGGTCGTTACAAACTTGGCCGCCTCTTCTTCTACAATCCTACAAATGACCGAAGTCATGGCTCTCTGCAACGGTGCAAAGATCGCGTGTGACGAGAAGACCGGTGCCTTCTCGTGCATTGGCGAACCTACTGAAGGAGCTCTGCGCGTTCTGGTTGAGAAGATTGGTACTGAGGATGCTGCTATTAACAGCAAACTCGTCAACCTGCCCGCCTCGCAAAAACTCCATCTCTCGAGTGGTCACTATGAGGCTCGCCTGCCTTTGAAGGCAACTTACGAGTTTTCGCGTGACCGGAAAAGTATGTCCGTTCTTGTTGGCACTGGAAAGGATCAACGACTTCTGGTCAAGGGTGCACCGGAGTCTATTCTCGAACGGTGCTCGTACGTTCTTCTTGGAGCGAATGGCCCGCGTGTGCCCCTTACCAAGACTCACTCTGATCTCCTGTCTACTGAAATCGTGGAATACGGAAATCGCGGTCTTCGTGTGATTGCATTGGCCACTGTGGATGATGTAGCCGCCAATCCCCTTGTCAAGAAGGCCAAAACGTCTGAAGAATACGCACAGCTCGAACGGAACATGACTCTGATTGGCCTTGTCGCGATGCTTGACCCCCCTCGCGTAGAAGTCGCTGACTCTATCAAGAAGTGTCGGGAGGCTGGAATCCGAGTCATTGTCATTACCGGTGACAGCAAGAATACTGCCGAATCGATCTGTCGTCAAATTGGTGTCTTTGGAAAAGAGGAGAATGTCCAGGGCAAGAGTTTCACTGGGAGGGAGTTCGATAGCCTTACCCACAGTGAGCAGCTTGAGGCTGTGAAAACGGCCTCTCTCTTTTCGCGAACCGAACCTTCTCACAAATCCAAGCTCGTGGATCTTCTCCAGTCTCTTGGTCACGTCGTTGCAATGACTGGTGATGGTGTCAATGACGCGCCTGCTCTGAAGAAGTCCGATATTGGCGTCGCCATGGGCACCGGTACTGATGTTGCCAAGCTTGCTGCCGATATGGTCCTTGCTGATGATAACTTTGCCACCATCACCGTTGCCGTTGAAGAAGGACGGTCGATCTACAGCAACACTCAGCAATTCATTCGGTACCTTATCTCGTCCAACATTGGAGAGGTTGTGTCAATCTTCTTGACCGCCGCCTTCGGTATGCCTGAGGCCCTGGTCCCTGTGCAGCTTCTGTGGGTCAACCTGGTCACGGATGGTCTGCCTGCCACTGCTCTTTCCTTTAACCCCCCTGACCATGATGTGATGCGCCGACGCCCAAGAAAGCGCGATGAGCCTCTTGTTGGCGGCTGGCTCCTCTTCAGGTACATGGTCATTGGTACTTATGTCGGTGCGGCAACTGTCTTTGGTTACGTCTGGTGGTTTCTTTACAACCCAGGAGGCCCTCAGATTTCCTTCTGGCAATTGGTAAGTTCGATTCCGGGATTATTCTTCCTCTACAGATGCTGACAAAGCTATAGTCTCACTTCCATAAATGTTCCGCCGACTTCCCTGAAATTGGCTGCGAAATGTTTACAAACGAAATGTCGCGGTCTGCGTCGACAGTTTCGCTCTCGATCCTTGTCGTGATAGAGATGTTCAACGCAATGAATGCTCTCTCGTCTAGCGAATCACTCTTTACTTTTGGTCTTTGGAACAACATGATGCTCGTTTACGCCATTATCCTCTCTATGGCACTCCACTTTGCGATCCTATATATCCCCTTCTTGCAAGGGCTATTCGCCATTATTCCGTTGAACTGGATCGAGTGGAAAGCGGTCTTGGCCATCAGTGCCCCTGTCATGTAAGCATTATCCTGCTCACTTCCTTTCCTTCTCCTGTTCGGTAGGCTAACTCACCGTGGTAGTGTCATTGACGAGCTTCTCAAGGTGGTGGAGCGTCGCTTGTATAACATTACCGCTGTCGCTCCTGCCGAGCAATCAAATGGAGCCGCATCGAAGCCTAAGAAAGCATAAGGTTGGCTAATGAGGTGATGATTCATACGTCGACGGGCGTCTTTGTGATAGATATAGACATTGACCCTCGCATTGTTGGTCTTTCTTTACTTTGGACACGTTATGCATGCATGTATGATGGTAGACGAATATACTGAGGATTTTATATCTCTAGTCTGCGGTATGAGCCGGTTGCTGATGGTTCATTGGAAGCCACCTACCGCTCCTCATGGGCCTTTCCTCTGGGTGGCAGGCTTTCTACTTACCTCAGATCCACTTCTATGTACACGAGCTTGGAGCTCCCCCATTTCTATCCATAATCCACCCTACGATTCCTCTATCGACCCTTGCCGATCCTGAAATGGATTTACCCGATGAACGGGGTTCATCGCGACACGAGAGCGGCCATTGGACAACTATTCCCGATAACGCGACCTGTTCTATTTCTCGAGCTTTGACGCCGCTTGGAATGCGGGGGAGATAAGCCCCCGGCAAGACCACCTGAAGTTCTGAACAGGAACGATGCGAGTCTCGGAATATTTGTTTCCCGCCACTTTGCGCACCCCCGTTACCCTGACTTATCGGATATTTTGAACGTTGCAGGGAATGTCTTGAGTAAGACCTTTCAGGCAGTCAAGCCGAGCCATCCCATGCTTGGGCCAGCCAGGGTGTGATCGTGCGATATTCCTCGCTGTTACCGGCGATCTTCCCCAGAATCAGATTGGACGGCAGTCTGGGGAACCAGCCAGTACTTCCACCACTTATCGTCGTTAGCGTTTCCCCAGATCATTGAGGAGTAATTTCAGGATGGGGAAAGTGAGGAGAACAGTGTATTGCAGCAGTGATTTACATGGGCTTGATTGGTGACCCTGGACATGCGCTCACATGGAGCATACTGCCAACCCATCTTCATTAGCTCTCGTGACGTTGGACAGGGTGAATCCACAGCTACATAAGGGCCCTGGACGAGCTGCCATCTTACCCCGTGCGCCGCTCTTTTCCCCAATTCTTCGTCTCTCGGATTTGGCCTGTGCAGCAACCTCTTGAGCCTACCTTGCACTCCCTCACATCAAGAATGGGCCTAGGAGCGTTTCTAAAAACCGGCTCTGGGTTAAGGGTCGACAATAGCAAGACTACCTCTGCTGCGAACCTCACCCTGCGGCAAAGTCTATGGCCCCTTATACTTGTCACCATACTTTTTTTTCTCTGGGTATGGAACAAGCCCATGAGAGCATATTCAATGCGCGTTGCTCACGCACTATAGGGCTTTGCCTACGGCTTGCTTGATACTCTAAACAAGCATTTCCAAATCACCCTCCATATTACAAAGACACGTTCATCCGGTCTACAGGCTGCTTATTTCGGGTGCGTGCTGTCTTGGGCTTTTTAGACGATGCTTTAGAGCGCATCGCGCTGATATCTGATTGCAGCGCCTACCCACTTGCCTCCCTGGGCTACGCGAACTGGTTACTTCGTCACTATGGATACAAAACTGTGTTCATCTTTGGACTAGCCCTTTACGGTATCGGCGCACTCTGCATGTGGCCTGCTGGTTTGAACCGCTCATTCGGAGGCTTTTGCGCTGCTACATTTGTCATTGGCTCCGGTCTGGGATCTCTCGAAACAGCCGCCAATCCATATCTTGCTGGTAAGACCGGTTATCCTCCAGACGCCTGCAATGCCAGCTAAACAGACATTTAGTTTGCGGCCCGCCAAAGTACGCTGAGATCCGAATTAACCTGGCTCAAGCGTTCAACGGAATTGGCACAGTCGTTGCACCTGCTCTAGCCTCGTACGTTTTCTTTACGGAGACTGAGGACGATGTCGACTCGCTTAAGCGCGTTCAATGGGTATACCTTGCCATCGGTATCTTTGTCTTTTGTCTGGCCGTGGTATTCTTCTTTTCGACGATTCCCGAAGTCACGGACGAAGACATGGCATTCCAAGTCGCGGCCACTCACGTTGACGAACAGGAGAAACCGTTCTGGAAACACTATAAGCTATTCCATGCCACACTTGCGCAGTTCACCTACACGGGTGCTCAAGGTAACCCTCTTTCGACGCTGAGAACCGATCAATTACTGATATCGAGGTAGTTGCCATTGCATCGTTCTTCATCAATTACGCTACCGAAACATGGCCTGGCACGGAGAACTCTACAGCCTCCAAGTATCTCGCCGGAGCCCAAGCCGCCTTTACTGTCGGTCGCTTCCTCGGTGCCTTCCTGATGAAGTATATCAGACCGCGCTGGGTCTTCCTCGTCTACCTCTCATGCGTAGTAGCCTTTTGTGCAGCCGCCACGACGCAGCGCAACGAATCCGGAATAGGTATTTAATCCTTAGCCCTACGTTTCTAGAACCCATCGCCCCTTCTTCTCCGTCCTCAGACCCAACTAAGCCTTATGTTAGCAATGCTCTTCCTTACCCTCTTCTTCGAATCCGTCTGCTTCCCAACAATCGTCGCTCTCGGCATCCGCGGCCTCGGCCGCCACTACAAGCGCGGGTCGGGCTTCATCGTTGGCGGCGTCAGTGGCGGCGCTGCAGTCCCGCCCATCCTAGCGCACGTCGCTGACCAGCGCAACGATACGGGGTTCGCGTTTATCATCCCGACGATGTTCATGGTTGTCGCGTGGACGTATGCGGTTGCGGTGAATTTTGTGCCGTCGTATCGGGATACGGTTGATAAGGTTGCGGAGAGCGAAATTGGGCTCAGGAGGGGGGGTGATGGTGATGGGCCGAAGGACGTCGAGGCGCTGGGTGAGGTTGAGAAGGTCGAGACTATGCATATTCGGTAGGGATAGCCGTGCAATTATATAAGTTTAGACCTAGGGTATGCCCAAGTGGCTGCACTCGACCTCGATGAGTGATGGTTGGAAAGGTGTATAGCCCAGAATTTTCCATCTTATACATTCATTCTCTATGATACAGTAGCGGGAATAGATACACCGAGGATGTGGATAAAAGTAACGCGCAAGAAGGAGGCAGAAAAGAGGTAAGAGGTGCTCGGATCAAGAAGAAGGTTGCGCCGTCAACTTCTGCAAAATCGGCGCTGGCGTATGCTCCTTCATGTACCTCTCGATAAACGCGTCTGTCGCGGGGCTAAGATGTGCCTTTAGCGTTCCGTTCTTCCTCTGTGAATTAAGAATCTTCTCCCTCTCAAGGTGTTGGGCCCTGAGTTGCTCCTTTGGCGTCATGTAGCTCTTCTGTATGTACTCTTTCTTCAAATCCTCGACGTGCTTCTTCGCCACGTATTCGGGGTCGTGTCGTGTACGGTATTTGGAGTATTTGTTTCTCAACTCGTCAAGAACGCTAGAAGGGAAGGGTGCGTTTCGCAGCGAGGGCACCCAGGTTGGTGTCTCGACTTCCATACGGAGGGTGTCCAGGGGCTCGTCTTTGAGGTTTGCCGGGTCTGGCCGCGGCCAGGGGATCTCAATGTTCTCGCCGGCGATGTAGCGGGTGTGTTTGGGGATGTCGAGGCCGTGTTCTCGCTCGAGGTAGGGTGCACCAGCAGTTACGTGCTCAACTAGGACGTCGCGGGTTTGACCTGTTACTGGGTCGTCGAGGGCGACAACGAGACGGACGTCGTCGATGGGGATGGGGAGGGGGATGGTTTGGAAGGAGGACGTGTTGCCGTATTGCTCGCTGAGCCACTCGGGGAAGTGAACATCGGACTGTAGTCATATCATTAATATCCTCGCTGTGAAGGTGGTCGGCACGAAAGGAGAGTAACATACCATATTGAGATCCTTGACGGTAACAGTCTCATTCTCGGGATCAACCCGAACAATCTCATTGATCTGCCCCTTATCCCTGCCCTTCATGATACAAACACGATCCCCTGGAGCAAGATTGATAAACTTCCTCCGCAGATGCTTTGGAATGGCCGGCGGCTTCATCGCATAGGGATTCAGCGCCCCGAAACTCTGCCCAGCAAGTCCTGCATCCCGCTGCGGCGCAAGCGGTCCCCGCATCCAATCCTCGCGGCGCCGTAGTCGTTCAGCGCGGACATTGTCAATTTCGATCCGGTTAAAGGCGAACCGTTGGCGCAGGCTGTCCTTGAGGTCTTCGCGTCGAGCCTGCTTGTTTGCGAGAATCGCCTTTCGCTTAGCCTGATTGCGGGCGAGCGCGGTCCGGCGAATGACTTTCTGCATTTTGAAGCAGACGAGGCCCGGCAATGGCGTGTGTGGTTGGGTGTACTGCGTCAGTTGATGCTCGTGGTTTGGGGATATTCGCGAGGGAAAATTGCGGACTGGGAGGTCACGTGTGTGCTCGTCGGCGGAGGTTCGGAGACCAGAACTAGGTCATGTCAACAACCGCCTAAGCTCAGAGCCTCTACAGTTGCTGGGAGAGAGAATCAGTTTATCGTGAGTCGACAGCGCTGGTCCATTCCACTTCTTCTACGAATTTTAGTAGTGTAGTGTGTCTCTAGGGAACTACGTCGTGCCATACAACATACAACAAAACATGTACAGAAAAAGCTCCATCACCATCATGAGTTTCTTTTAAAGACCTCACAGGATACTGATACTGTTGTACACAAAATCCGCACCTCCTCTAAGAACAGCTCCTCTCCTGTGTCCCAGAGATCCGTGCAGTGACCCACCTAATAGAAGGGCCAATTCAGTCAAATAGCGCCAGATACTGCGTAAGCTCCTCTGCTGGCTTGCTGCACTCCAGGCTGGATCTGACGGTTCCTCCTCGGGAGCCTTGCAGCCTCGCAGCGAGCTGTGTCGTATGATCGGATAGAAATGAGTGTTTGTCGACAACACGTGTTCGACCATGGAATGCCTGAAGCTGAAGCTGGATTCCGTTGTCCGAAAGAAAAGGTAAGAGAAAGTCAGCAGTATGGAGGTGACGTTTGCAAGGCCAGATAAAGGTACTCCTGTCTGATAGTGTGGATTTATGGGGTCTTAGTTTGTTTCTATATTTGCGGTTCCAGACCCCAGTACGGAGTACGTACACTATTCCTCAAAAGCACGTATTTTTGTCCATGAGAGATAGGGGTATAGATACTTGCACCGCCACGTAATTTTCCCAAGAGAGTATCTCTGCTCTGCATGGATTGGGATTACAGGAATGCCTCGGAGCCTAAGAACGCCTCGTCGGAAACGACAAGGCTTCTTGTGGAGGGAATATGGTTCAGCAGCTCGAATGGCCTAGGAAAAATGGAAGTGAGTTCTGTCAGCTCGAAATCGGCTTCTGGTCAGAACTGGTCAGAACTGGTCAGAAACGTATCAGAGGAAGGTGAAATGCAGATTCGACTTCACTCCATGAATCTGTTGGGGACATCTGTCATACAGCGAACGGCGCCGGCGAGGTTCTACATGGATAATTGGCTGCGAGCCAAACAGCACAGTCGGCGGGGCTGACAAGTTCAAGCCATAAGGGTCGGCGCAGCCTATGGGACATATCAAAGTTCAAGCGAGAGGTTTCCGGAAGCTGCCCCAAAACATAGGGCGCACTGAGATCTTTTAAGCTTCTGCCATTGGCACGATGATGGAGAGCAAGACTTGGCCATGGCATCGACGTTCTGGTAGGAGCATTTAAAGCCAAATCAACATGCATGGTTCGGTTTTAACGAGTGGGCGAAAACAGAACTGTCTGCCGTTGTTGGGTTCGGGTTATGCTGGCTGCGCCTATAAGAGGCTCGTCCGGCTGGGCTACGAAGAAGCTCAAGCGACCAGCCAGGTTGAGCTCAAACGCTCTTCTGGGTGGTCTCAAGCTCGATAGAATCCCTGGTGCCAGGCTCGAGAGGCTTTCATGATATCTGGGGAAGATCTAGTCAAAAAGAGAGAGGATAGCATCGTCCACATATCTGAAACCTGAGCTGTCTCATTTGACAAAGAGCCTTTGAAAGAGCTGAGAAAGGCTGGTATGGACGGAATGACTACGCCACAGTGGCTTGTCGCCTAGGCACCAGGCAACAGGAAAAAGGGGAACGAGACGCTGAATTAACTTATTTCAGGAGAGGGAGACGCTTGAAGACGCGAAGGATGAGGTTATCCTTCATTGAGAGCGATTTTCTGTGAATCAGAACATTGAAGTGATTCGGTTGCTGGGGGAGATTTCATCATTTAAGAGGAACACAGCCACATAGCTGCTGCGCCACGTAACAGTGCCGTTTCGGAGTCTAGAAAGACAATCTTTGAGTAATAATTTTTCTTTCCTTTTTTTTCCCAGGTTACTTAGTCAACCTTGGAAGAGCTGCTAAACTCGATAAGGGGTCAAACAAATTGAGTGCCGATAAACTGTGGTCGGTCGTCCACACCTTACCCAGCGCTGCTTAGGGACACCACTAACCGCCTCTTCCCAGTGTCCACTCCTCCTCCTCACTCTCACTCTCCCATTTATCAAGCATCCTCTGTCCTCGTCATCCTCGTTCCCCTGGGACTTTTCTTTGACTGATTTTCCAGTTTTCTTCCATCTTTCTTCGTCAAATCTTCTCTCTACCAACTCCCTATCTTAATCCGCGCCGTTGCGCCTGCTTCTTGCACCGTACGTCTAACCCTTTTCCCTCGGACGTCTGACTTGTCCCTTTCTCAACCGTCAACAATCATCCACCATCCACACCTCACGAGCCTCATCACCTTTTACCACTGCCGACTCTATCATCATAACCATCGTCTACAAGTCGATTTATTTCTTCCTTTTCAGTCAGCTAATTTTCTTGCTTTCAAGATGGCTGAGATCCGCCGCAAGCTTGTCATCGTTGGCGATGGTGCCTGCGGTAAGACTTGTCTGTTGATGTAAGTTCTTTCTCCTTCGCCCTCTCGAAGCAAGGCCTAAAACTGTCCATCAACTAACTATTTTATCTTGGCAGTGTGTTCTCCAAGGGCACTTTCCCTGAGGTTAGCTCCCGTCGTCACCCGTCCGCCATCGAATCCGGCTATTGACTTGCGTGATCCGTTCCTGATCTAACATCAACCCTCTTAGGTCTACGTTCCCACCGTCTTTGAGAACTACGTTGCCGATGTTGAGGTTGATGGCAAGCACGTTGAGCTTGCTCTTTGGGATACGGCTGGTCAGGAAGATTACGACCGTCTCCGCCCTCTCTCCTACCCCGACTCCCATGTCATCCTGATTTGCTTCGCTGTCGACTCACCGGACTCGCTCGACAACGTTCAGGAGAAGGTGAGGCTCTTTTAAAACCAACTTTTGCCTCGGGCGCGGCTAATCCAACGTGCAGTGGATCTCTGAAGTTCTTCACTTCTGCCAAGGTCTCCCTATCATCCTCGTCGGATGCAAGAAGGATCTCCGTCATGACCCCAAGACAATCGAGGAGCTCACCAAGACCTCTCAAAAGCCCGTTACCCCCGAGCAGGTATGTTTTACCTTGCCGAGGCACTAATACAAAACTTGGGACGCTAACACTTTTCCAGGGTGAGGAAGTTCGCAAGAAGATCGGTGCCTACAAGTACCTCGAGTGCTCTGCGCGAACCAACGAGGGTGTTCGCGAGGTCTTCGAGGCTGCCACCCGCGCTGCCCTCCTGACCAAGACCCACAAGAGCAAGAAGAAGTGCCGCATTCTGTAAACTAGTCTATTCCCCCCACCTTCGCAGCAGGTCTTTTTACGCGGAGATTATACGAACGGATAAGCGTCTCGAATATTTGACTGTTTATGTTTTCTTATCTTACAAGGGGCGAGGGATTTCCGTTGGTGCTTGCGTGAGTGTGCCAAGATCCGCACGAAGCGATGGTTAATATCCAGTCGGGCGCATGAGCATCATGGGATTATCTGGCTATGCTGTTAGTCGACTTTCTTGTTTTGCAGAGTTTTCTTCTAGGGAGGCGTTGTCATAACCTTGTGGGCTTTTCATTTTCTCTTTACCCGTTCTCCATAGCCCCCTCGGGGCGGCTCGATTCTGTATGGCGAGAGGTCTCCTGACAGAGGATCTGGTCTACATTACTTGACAAAGGTGTTTAGACCGGCATCTGGGCAACTGGGGATGACATCTCGCATAGACTCCCAGCGAACAAGCCTGGAGGGAGTGATCAAGCAAGTTGGAATTTCGTGATCTGGTAGAAATTCCTCTCCCGTTCGGCAAACTCCAATTCCCTCTATTGTTGTTTCTTTTCTTACTTCTTTTGGTTAAAGAGAATGCATGGAATTTGTCTCCTGTTCTCGGGTTCTTCTAATGCTCTAGTCTCCAGCCAGTCTTGACTCTAGTGCCTTGAAGCCCACAGACAGCCTCGCAGAGTTCATAAAGGATGCCAATCAGTGCACAGGAAATCGTATCAATTTAATCACCTGTCTTCAACATTATTTGTACAGAGCTTATGCCTATATGTAGTGTTACACTGATGCTTATAGCTCTTTAGTAGGGTCTATCTAATCCATTGTGGTTGAGCATACCTAGATACAATCATGCATATGCAGACACCCACCAAACATGTAAAATAAGATACCATCTATCTATTCAAACTAAGCAAACTCTCAATATACCTCCGTGCATCTATACCCAACCCCTCGACCAGCTTACCGGGCCCCGTATCCATCCGCAAAGTCTGTAATGACCCCGGCGACGATGCGCCGCCAAGGTCCCTGAAGAAGCGCGCGCCACTGCCGCCGCCAATACTACTTGTGTTACGGGCGTGGCCCAAAGCAGAAGAAGCGGCGTGATCGCTTGCTTGTCGAATGATGAAGGCTTCCTGATGTTTCTGTTTGAGGTTGGATTGGAGATCTGGATTGGCTTGAGAAGGCGGATACGAAACGCGGACCCAGACGATCCACCACCCGCGGCTGGTTTTGCAAGTTCGTTCAAGTTCGAGGGGGCGGGAGCGTGTTTCGATGTAGGTCGTGAGGAGGCGGTGGTGGACGCTTATTGCTTCGACTCGGGAGAGGGCTGAGGGGTCTTGGACCTGGGAGCGTTGAGGTTGGATTTGGGAGATGAGGTTTGGGATGTTTGGGATAGAGGAGCGGATCGTGAGGTTGTGTGGCTCGTAGACGAGGTCGTAAATGGGTTGGTTTTGCTGCTGGGGTTTGGGGATGGATTCTGGGGTGTGAGAGATGCGGGATGCTGCTGTTGATGGGGAGGTGGATATGCTTAGAGGCTTTTGCAGAGGGCCAAGCTGATGATGGATGCGATGGTAGAGGGAGGGGTCTAAGAGATCGGGTGTCGATGTGTCGAAGAGGAAGGTGTATATGAATGGTCGGTGCTGTCGTCGTTAGTTATGGGGTTTTTGAGGAGGGGGTGAGAACTTACTACGTATACTACAATCTGGAGCTGAACAGAGGCTAGAAGTCATAGAAATCAGCCATGAGGATCCATACTGTCCTGCATATGAGCTTACCTGTGGATTCTTGCTGAAGAGTCGCCAAATGGACATGTATAGTCCGCTTGGCTATTTTCTCGTTTGATCTCGCAGAGTCTGTTGGGTCGGTTTCTTCCAGGATAATATCCGGACTTGTCTCGTTGTCTTGTAATCCAATAATGTACCTGCCACGGTTGCGATATCGCGATTGATTGTTTGCCATTGGGGCTTCGCTGCCTATATCATTTGAGCCATCTCCACCCTTCGGCGGCTCAACTTGAGGGCGTGGGCTAGACGACCCGGAAGAGAAACCCCAGGACGAGCCATAACCGAGAGTAAGATACTTCACGAATGTCTCTGTGCCCGTCGCCATCCACTCACTAGCCTTATCACCTAGGCCCTGGTAGCTCTCATCGTTGGTTTGCTCTTTTGATTTCCTTTCGGGGCCATCTGGAGGAGGCGGAGGTGACAGTGTTCCTGTAACAAGTGGTCGCGGGATACCTGGGGAAAATGGGCGATCAGGAACAGCACTTTGGGAGGTATCGGAAGAAGCAGATGGTTCTTTATTAGTCTTTTTAGTCGTCCTACCACGCTGCCGCGCCCTTCGTTTCCAACGCCGTGGGGATGTTGGGTCCTCGCCGACACCATACGCATCTGGGCCATATCGATATATCCATTCTACCCACTGGGATATGGATACAAGAGACTGTCGCTCAATTGCTCCCACGCCTGAGAATACGACTCCATCTGAAGGTCGTGGATAAGCATCAGAGCCAAGCCATCGGTCCTCGGCGGCGCCTTCTGGTTCGCTTGTCGTTTGAGAATCGTGCGTGGATTCATACGGATCACCAAACCGAGATACGACCAAATCCACAAGTCCATCTGTTCTCGAAACAAAGTCTTCAAGCACCTCCCGTTCTCCGGAACCCCACTCTTCTTCGCCTACCCCAACCCCGAGCTCTCCTCCTGCAGAGAGCTTTACTCCATTATAGATTTCGACAGCAGGATTTCCGAAAAGGAGAACGTCCCAGTTCCACGCAAACTTGAGCCAGAAATTCTCGAGAAAGGTACAGAGTGTGGACCTGCCAGCACTCTTGTATAGGGCATCAAGACTCGGCGAATGGTGTAGGAGGAATATTGAATGCGCTCGACGGAGCTGTTGGATGAGCAGCTGCGGGGGAGTCAACTCCCGCGAGGAGTAGTTGAATACAGGCTCTTTAGACTCCTTCTGCGAGGAGGATCCATTGTTAGAGCCAACCGGCAGCCGGGTCAGGTCGACAGACTATAAATCTCTCAGCAGCCGTTTCAGATAGTCGCTCTAAAGGGTGGGATGCATACTGCTAGAATCCACCAATCCCTCTCTAACTCATGCAGAACAATCTGCGACCTTTCCGTCTCTATGTAATCAACGGCCTTCCCCTCTGAGAAATTCCTGTATACCTTAGCATTCGCCCTCTTATATTGGCGAGTAGCGCAATTCCCACCTCGCAAAGCTCACCATGCCCTGCGCCAGGCCTATCTGGCGCAACCTTTCATTCCAGATCCCATTATCTTCCTGGCCCTCATTCGTAGCAGTTAAACTACCTTGTCGTCGTGAGAGGTCGGGCCTTGAGGTGTAGAAAACCACCTGCTCTCGGATCGTCTCGTCCGTGGTTCCCAGCTGTGGATTGTAGATAGCGAGGAACGAAAGCTGCGCGGGGATTACCGAAGAAGAGTCGCCCTCCGGCATGGCATCGTAGTACGGCGAGTCCAGCTCACGATGTCGCAGCAAGATGTTGTTTAGGTTGGTCCCCGCGATTCGGCTTGAGGGACGGTACGTGGTGACATCACGTGGTGGGTTAGATTGTCCATCGGGGATCGGTAGCTTCACTCCAGGGAGTTGTATGAGGAGCGCAAACGCGATGTTTCTTCCAAGAGGCCCTGGGCTGCTCTGCTCGTTGCGACAGACTCGTTTATTCCCCTCACTTACAACCCGATCCCTGTCCACAAAGGCCTACGACCCCCTCCGAATACTGTTTTGCGGATCCGACCAGCTAAGCATAGCTTCGCTGAGAGCTCTTCACGCCGAGCATGTGAAGCGCCCTGACCGCATCGCATCGATTGATGTCGTTTGCAGACCTGCCAAAAGGGTAGGAAGAGGCTTGAAGCAAATACGCGAAGGTGATTAGCACGAGGAGGTCCATACGAGCTGCCGCATCTGATGTCGTCGTTTACCAGTCCCGATCAAAGCTGTCGCAACTGAATTGTCACTACCAATACACGAGATCGACACCTTTACAGGCTGGAAGGTAGGAACACTAACTTTGCCTGACCGTTCACATCAATCCATATTCACTGTTTCAGCCCCCAGTTTTCCCAGACGGGCCCATCAACCTCATAATTGCCGTCTCGTTCGGTCTGTTTGTGCCTCCGCGAATTCTCAATGACGCCAAATACGGTGGTCTCAATGTCCATCCCTCGATACTTCCAAAGTATGTCTATGCAGTATATCTGAGCGAATTTTCCAAGCTCACCTACGGGTTTCATAGCTTCCGTGGCCCTGCACCCCTCCATTATACTCTTCTAGCTGGCAAAACCACCACTGGAGTCACCCTTCAGACGTTGCATCTTCAACACTTCGACCACGGGGCAATCGTTGCGCAAACACCTCCTCCAGGATTTGAGATACCAAACCCCGATTCGTGTACTGTCCCACAGCTCCTAGACCTCGTTGCCCCGAAGGGCGCTGAGATGCTGGTTGAAAGCATACAGAAAGGGTCTTTTGTCCCCCCTGTTGAGGACGCAGGCTGGTATTCGCCTGACGAGAAACATAACCTTACCCATGCGGCTAAGATAAGAACGGAAGATAGGCACATTGACTGGGCCAATTGGACCTACACGGACATTAGCAGACGGCATAGGGTACTGGGACCGCTGTGGAGCAAGTCCCTCGTTGTCAGCGACAGCTCTGGCCCCAACCCAATATTCCAACAACGAAGAGTCATCTTCACTGAATTTGAAGAGGCAAAACCGCTTAAGGGAAGCGAGGCATTTGCCTTGGTTCCGGGGCTACCGTTCGTAGACGGCGAGCATACAGTCAGGCACGATTCTGGGCAGGGGGTATATGTTTATACACGAGACGGAACGCTGATCAAAGTCCATCAAATGAAAGTGGAAGCGCAGCAAAATGCACCTGCTCTCAGGGCTGCTTTAAAGGCTCGCATGATAGGCAGCCGCACTTTCTCTTCACACGACGCTTCATTTGCCCCCTTCCACAATCCTCTTTGCTGAAAAATGATAGAGGAATTCGGTCTATTTCTACCTACGGCCAACGACCAGTTTCAGCCGGGACTCCTCGCGTCCACCAGGTCATGATACACGACGAAATCAATACAGAAGGGCTTAGAAGTTCATGGCAAAGCCCGAATCTGCAAGATTAGCTTTGATTGAGGTAAGATGATTCAGGAGTACCTACCGACTTGGAATGCTTGCCCAGTCATCGATGAGTTCTTGGCCAACGTGATGTATGCATCAGCCGTGTCCTCGACCTCGGGCTAGTCGTGCGTGAAAGTGATCAGCATTAACCTTCACTGGAGACGGCAGGACTTCATACCACAGTGTTTAGGGGCGCCTTGGCTTTATAAAGCTCGATCTTTTCCTTGGGAAATCGCAGACCCTGCGTTTGTTTAGCTTCGTCTTTTCCATGCAGAAAGACTTGAGGACGCACCCATTCTGTCAGAAGAAGACCTGGAAGAACCGCATTTACTCGGACCTTATTTCCCTGAGTCTGCGCTAGACACTTGACCAAATGCAAGCCTGCCTTTTCTCAGTCACGTTCACGCATAACTTACACCAGTGACACCTACCTGCAGCCTTTGTGACTGAATATGGCAAACTACTCCCTGTAGACGAAACAGCCTAAAAAAAATCGCTCAGCAGTTTTCCCACCTACCTTCAGGAAGGCTACTCACTGCGGCCGACGAAGTAAGGAGGAAAACACCACCGTCAGGGTTGGCTCTGAATCTTGGCAATGCTGCCTTGAAGAGCCACAGGTGCCCTTTTACGTTGGCAGTCCAGCACTACAACATCAGTCAGTCTCCGCAAACATGTTGATTTCTGGAAATCCCTTTCACATACCTTATCCCAATCCTCATCGTCCATGGCATCCAGATCATTAAAGACAGTAATCTTGGTCCAGCCCTTCTCACGAATTAGATCTATTCCGCGCAGGTTCAGGCTGAAGCCAACTCACAGCGTTCGAAACCAGTACATCCAGCCCGCCGAGCTGTTCGATCGTCGTCCGAACCATGCTCTCGCAATCGCTTTTTACACTCGCATCCTGCACCGAACAAACATCGTATCAGCCCTGCCACAACCCGTACACATAAAAAGACAACACATACACCCTGGATCGTGATCGCCTTGACGTTGTGCTGAGCCTGGATATCGGAGGCTATCTTCTCCGCAGCTTCTTTGCTGGAGAAGTAATTGATCGCAACATTGCAGCCCTCCGCTGCGAACTTCTGGGCGACGAGAGCGCCTAGTCCTCTAAAGCACGAGCAAACGGTCGATATTAGCAATCATGCCCCCAAAATACACCAAGCCTAATGAGATTTGAATTGGGTTCGCGTACCTTGATCCTGCAGTAACAAGGACATTGCGGTTCTGCAGTGAGTATGGCATAATGTAGGTAAAGAACCAAACAATCCAAGCAAGCACGAATATTCAATATCCACTGCTAAAAAGAGTGGCTTTCTATATGGTTGCGAAGAAGGGGGAGAGGATAGGGCGGGGTAGTAAATAGTGGTTTTTGGAGCTGTGTTGGGGTCAGCACATGTAAGCTGTTACACGGACGGCGAGCGAACTCACCAGCGTGCTTTCTGTTTGGGTACATAAATGAAACTCAAATGATTAGAGCAAGCTACGTATATGTCGGAGCGGCCGCAGCTCAGCGGGTTTTCCGACGCCGCCGGCCTGCCTCTCAATCTCAGTATGAGAAATGAGGGGCATGGGGTAAACCTCGGCTGCGGAGAAGGCCCATCCCCATTATTATGGAGAACTACGATCAATTGCATAGCTGACGAGCATTAATCCCCATTCGAGTGCTGTGCGAACAGACTGCCCATAAAGGTACAAGGAGTACATGCTTGGTGACAGCTACAGTAGAGATTCAATCTACTAAAAACCCGACATATTCAGCCTTCTTTACTCCCCACAATGCCTTCTTTCCCTCCAAGGCAGGCCACTGAACAAGAAACCTGTCCGCAAACGGTAACAGGATCTTGCCTGACAGACTCAGCGTCGTGACTCTCGCCCAAGATTCCACAAAAATTGTCCGGAGTCGGAACACCCCCGAGTGCGGAGTCGTTCCGTCCGCTGCTGGGCCAGCCATGGATCTCGGGTGCGAATGCAGTCTCTGGGGGGATAAGAAGCTCGAGAACGAATGGTACAAACGTAAGAGTCTGGCAGCTAGAATAATGCAGACAGCTATCGCGGGGCCATTAGTAAGGATGATGTCTGGGTAAGGCACGGGGAGGAGATCCGCTGGCCAGGATTGTTGATCTGGATGGACTCCGCGCAGGACGAGGAGGCAGGAGTAGAAGGACCGAATCGTCGAGAAAGGCGCTGTAAGGTAGGATTGGTGCACTCTGCGGGCGCGAGGAACCGTGACTATGTTGTAGGATTGTGGTTCTGCGCCGCGGTCGACGAGGGTAGACTCGAACTCAGCTGCCTTTGTTGCGCTAAAGTTGTCGCCGGAGCTTACGACGTAGGTGCGGTTGGTATATTTAGCCGGGTCGAGCTTGATGTGCCGGAGCATGGAGAACATCTCGGCTGTATGGCCGCCACTACCCAGGACGATGAGCAGGTGAACGCGGGAGTGCTGGGAGCGCCATTTTGGAACTGGCGTTTTCTGCGAGGCAGCATGAGCGAGGAGGCACTGGGCGGTTTTCTGTATTAGTTGGGATTCTCGTTGCTGTGAAGAGATGGCGGTACCAGGATAGCTGTCATAAAACCAAATAAACCACAGAAGAGGAACCAGGCAAGAATGCCACCGAGGGGAGACTCCATAAGTGCCATCGGGGCCACGTTCATGAAAGGGCTGTCGGGTGGGAGGTCGGATGAAACGAGAGGTTGTATGCATCATGGAAGAAGGTCGGACATGACTACGTTGTTAGGTCGACTCCCGAGACAATACATCCGCCGAGGAGTAATTGAGAGCAGATACTAAAAATCGAGGATCTGACTAAATCTGGGGTTATGGTGAATGCTTGTGTTTCGCAAAGTGTTGGTGTTCACGTGGTCTGGTGGTGTCCTTCCTAGACTTTGTTTTTTGCTGCTCCAAAAGAATCCCCAGACTTCATCTCTCGTCCTCACACCAAATGTCCTCGCCAACATGGCTCCTCTCTTCTCAAAGCGATTAAGCTGCTTCTACTGCGGCCGTCGCTCTGTACAGCCAAACAAAGGGCTTGTGCGAAAATGGCGATGTAAACATTGCGAAGCTGTAAACTACTTGGACGAGGTACGTCACTTTGCGAGTCCGCGCTTCCCCGCCACTCGACTAACAAAGCAACTTCTTCTAGAATGGAGAAATCACAGATCCTCCTACTGCAGAGACGAATCCCAATCCCTCTACCCTCGGCCCCTCAAGCCCTGGCTTCGAATCCGCCGACTTCACGTTGTCCGGCTCTGGCCTGTTCTGTGCTCAGTGTCTCCGCAATCAACATCTATTTACCAGTGCTTTGGCGTCGTATCTCCCGTCTTCGGACGATCCAAACTACAGGGCCTATGAGCGAGACTATCCTAAATTTCGAAAGAACCTCGAGGAGCGGTACCCTCAAGTTTGCGACAAGTGTGAACCCCGGGTAAAGGCGCGCATCCGCCAGACGGGCTATGAGGCAAAATCAGACCACCTTCGAAGGATGATGGACCGGAGCAAGGCAGGAAAAGCTGCACGGAGAGCACGTCAATGGAACTGGCGAAGTCTGCTTGTGTTTGTGGGCGCCATCTGTTATTGGGCTAGTATTGCGGGTCAGCTGGCCTGGGACGTGACGAGCGCTCTAACCATTGAAGAACCGGCTGATGACATGGCCGAGTCTCCTTCCGCCGCATCGCATGTCCAGATATTTCTCGGATTACACCGTCTACCGCGCCAGTGGCTTGTCGATCCAGCGCCATATGCTGGTTTCGCTCTTGTCGCTGGCATTCTTTCGCTATGGTGGAACCCGAAGTTGCGACTGAAGGTCCAAGGGAGAGGCGGTCGCTTCCTGGGTCTTGGTGAGTACTACAAAGTTCAACTTATAGTCATGGTTGTCCGATGCGCCTTTTGGGCTGTCCTCAGAGATCCTTCCTCCAGTGGTCTTGATCCTACCCTACCACCGGCTCTCCACTCATTCATGGTCCTCTTCACAATCCTAGTAAGTGCATCTTTCACTTCATTGATTCCACATACTTATCTATCTCACTTCCAGTCTGTCTTCATCTCACGGCGCGTAGTGCGCTACGATACTCGTCCGCTGGTTAACTGGTCTGAGATAACTCCCACCGCAACTCCAACCCGGAAATCAGCCACATCTCCTCAGCCTACCACGAATGGAAAACAGCCATTTTACACTCCTCATGAACGCGCGCAGAAACTTACGCCACGGTTTCCTCTTGAAAAGCTTGCTACCCCGAAAAGCGCTCATCAAGAACGTGCAATCCCAACTCCTCCGCCCGAGGTTGACGACATGGACTGGACACCGTCTATAAAGAATGATCTCCGACCCACTTCAACCATTCATCAGAGAGACCAGATATCCAGTGCCCTCGAAGGCCCTACACCATTTTATGGTTCACTTCCTCCTGTACCGAAACCTCCGTCCTGGAACCTGCGGAACCTGCCCCCACAGCGCCAGAAACCAATTGAACAAGTCGTCGAGCGGAATCCCTTTCACCGCAGCCCTCTACAATCCCCTAATACATGGGGACGCAGTACAGGCTCATCAGATGCTGCCTTTGCGCAGCCTAAATTTTTCCCAGTTAGCGACCATGCTTCAACCGGACTGGAGAATCTCTTCGATCGAACTTTCACCATCAAATCACCAGAGGACCATGAGGATGAGTGGCAATCACCCCACCACACCAACACAAGGCCCCGGTCTACACAGGCCGCAAACGTACGAGTGGCACTCGTATCCCAAATTATTCGCCTATGCCTGCTACTTGGTTCTCTCATCGCATGGAACCTCTCGCAATATAGGCTTGTCTCCATCCCAGGTGATTACGTCGAAATTGCCTCCTTAGGGAGCGCAAGCCTCACTGCCGGCTTCGCCCTTCTAGAGTGTCTGAAGCAACCGATTCTACAGTGGAATGGAATGGAGATCCTCGTTTATTTTGCAGAACTGGCTGCAGCCGTCCATTTGGGAGGGTACTTACCTGGGCCATCGCATGAACGTCACTACTTTGATAGATATGGCAAGCTTCTCTTGATTTTCATGATCGCCCAAGAAGTATTAGCTGTGGCAACTCTCTATCGTGCTGCTTCAAACTCCGGTTCGTTGCGAGACCAACAACCGCACCGTCCGTTTTCTCCAACTGCCAACAGTATGGACGGCTCACCAAGGTCAAGGGCAAGCAAGCACACTGAATACCATTCCTTCTCATCTCCAATCTCCTCCACTGGACCCTCAACACTCTCTTTTTCCTCTACAGCGGCCGGCTCAAGTTTCATGACGCACCAGCCAGAACCTCAGTACCAACTTCCATCCCAACCGTACGACAAAAACAACGCCTCGTTCTACCACAATAAAAATGATCACAGCTTCAGCTTGAAGAGCCTTAAACGCCAAGAAGCCAATGCCTCCGACTACGACAACGATCGCGAGTCGGACACGGAAACAACGATGACGTCCGCCACAAATGCAACAAACAACACAATAAGAAATATCCGTTACGGAGGCACCAGCATTAGCACCAGCATAAGCACCATAAACAATGCCCTTTACTCCCCAAAGCGCTCTGATCTCGGACCTGGGATTGGCGGCCTCAGTCTTGAGGATAGCATCGACAGACCCTCCAAACGCATGACACGGAGCCAGTCTCAGAGACTTCCGGGTCAGGGTCAGTTGGCTAATGGAGTCCGCAGGAGGGGGCTTCCTTAGTCCTTGGTCGCCTGATGGGCGTTGCATCCCTCCGTTCCTCTATACATACTGCTTTCGCATGTCTTTTCCCTCATACTCATTTGTTTTCTTGAAATCATGCGTTTCAGCGATATCATTTCCTAGCATGGCCACAACTGGAGTCTCCTGGTTTTATTCCCTTGTCCTTTTTCCTGAACGGCGAAGACCTGGTATCTACTCTGCGGGATGTGCTCTTTACTTGTTAGTAACTTTCTTGCTTTCTTGGGGCAATAGATAGGCTCTTTTCCACGCTGGGGCGATCCAGTCTGGTTTGTGTTGGTTGTTGTTCTTGGATTTGTTCATTGCTTATGTTGGGCTCGGTTGATATGTGCTTCGCCTTGTTTGAGTTATTTCGTTGCCTGCCCTGTTGATGTACAACCATACGGACATATCTAGTACAGTACTTGTATGCATAGCGAGATACCATGACGAGACTAGGGCCTAGGAAGGGGCAAGAAAGCATGGTATAAGATACGAATTGATGAGGAATTATGAACAGCGATGCATACTACAGCAACGTGTTTGGTCCAGTGTACAAATGTATAACGAATAACGACCAGAACTCAGCTGGCAGATACCTTAGATCAGCTTGTAATTAAAGTTACACGGCGCTATTATAACAAACCCCATACATATTTATGCTGTTTTAGTTATAGTATAAGGGTATCTATAGTAGAGGTAGAATGCCACGTGCTGGCCATGCCACCTGCCTAAAATCAAGTTACGACTCATTTTTCTACAGGGGAGATCTTTGTAAGGATAATTGCATTATCATCGTATTGCCTTATCCATATAGGACCTTTACCACCTGCCATGACTTATAGGCTAACGACATGAATAATTGACCTTGGAGTTTTATCACCATGGCCATGCCTGGCTGCTTAAAGCCTTAGAATGCTTGCGGTAATTACGCGGATTCCTAATCAGGAAGGAGACTTTAATTCTAGTGGCGGTTGCACTCGTGGTAAAGTCAAATTCCATTTTTGCGGAGTGGGCTACAAAATAGGTTGCCATATACACCGCTAAACCGAAATGACAAATTAGTGATTCATTACAGCTGCTACATACTGCTTTATCAATAAGTAGCCCCTCCATCTGATACAGCCGGCCCTTTAGCCGCTCAACTGGGCCATTGGCAACTAAGAGGGCACAGCTGGGTATTCATAAAACATGCGAGACAAAAACAGATCATATCCCTTGGAGAAAGTAGAGATAAAGGCCTAAAGCAACCAGGTGAGGCCGCGGAGGCTTCTATACCGTCTTCTCGATGCGAACCTCCTCGGACTTTTCCGTGGGGGTGCTGGGGGTGTCGTCGGGGTGCTCCTTGGTGTTGTTTGTGTGAGTGACGCCGAAGAGTTCGTCCATCTTCTCGAGGGAGAGACCTGTATGAAGAAGATCTTTGGTCAGTCTGATTGTACAAGAGTGGAATGCTGTTATGGCATGTAGAATCATATAGAAGAGAAGTAACGCACCCTTTGTCTCTGGGACGAAAAACCAGACGAAGAAGAACATGCTGAGACAGAAGCAGGAGAAGATAAGGTATGTTCTAGTAAGCTCTTGTCAGTTTTCGCTTGCAAACGGGCTGATATATCTTGGTACAGAGGTGGCGAGGGAACGTACCCATATCCATTGGCACCAACAGTTGCCAACATATTCGGCACAGCGCGGGCAACCACAAAGTTGAAGAGCCACTGTGTGGCAGCAGCAAACGAGACGTTCAGACTGCGGAGCCGGATTGTCGGGATCTCAGAAACATAGATCCAGCAGACGGGACCCCAGCCGAACTGGAAGACGGCGGCGAAGAGGAAGATGCACACAAGGGCAACGTAACCAGCGGGAATCACGGGCTCGCCTTCCTGGGGAGGTGCGATGCGTACATAGAGACCAATGTACATCATGGTTAGACCTTGAGCAATGGAGGTCCAGAGGAGAGAGCGGCGACGGCCAAGGGAGTCGGCGACAAAGACCAGGAAGAACGCACAGCCGACGACCTTGACAATACCATAAACGCCAGTGGCAAAAAGACCGTTGGAGCTACCAGTAATACCCAAATTTTCGAAAATTTGAGGAGCGTAGTAGTTGATTGCATTCGTTCCAGTCATCTGTTGGCAAACCATGAGGAAGATACTGATGAGGGCACGCTTGCGGTTACCGGCAATCAAGAACATCTCCTTGAGAAGGTCCAAGAAGCTGGAACCGCCAACAAGTTGACGCTCGAACTCAAGCTGGCGGACGATGTCCTGGAATTCCTCTTCCACGTAAGGGTGTGTCGATGGGAGATTGCGGACGCTAGAGAGAGTTGCACGCGCTTCCTCCCAGCGATCTTGCTTGGCAAGCCAGCGAGGAGATTCGTTGCACAGAAGCATACCAATAAAGAGGAGGATGGCAGGGAGAGCCTGCATGGCAAGAGGAACAAGGTACTGTGCCGTGCCATTAATGTGAAGGAGCGAGCCGTAGTTGATCCAAAAGGCAAGCATAATTCCCATTGTGATGAAGAGCTGGTAGAGACCGGTGAGACCGCCACGGATGGCTCGCGGGGCATTCTCAGAGACATATAGCGGGTTGACCATGGAGGCGAAACCGACACCGATACCGCAGAGCAGACTGTATAAAGTCAGACTTGCCTGCCTTTCCAATCATGATAGAGAGACTGTCAGGGGACTTACCGTCCGATATACATAGCTTCCAGGTGGCCGCTGGCGGCGACCTGCATGATGACACCAAGAATGGCCACGAAGGAGGCGGTCATCAGACCGAGTCTTCTTCCGAACCTATCGGCAACGAAAGAAGCTGCCAAGGCACCGAAGAAGCAGCCTGCCTGGAGAGTAGACACGATATTGGCGGAGAGATCAGCGCGCTCCTTGTCACTCTTGTTGCTCAGTCCGTATTTCCTAGTCAAGCCTGTTAGCAAAGCATGGCATGAAGGGAAGCACCACGTACTCTTTGAACGGCTCCATGGTAAGGACACCGCCGATAATTCCAGTCTCAACTCCAAACAGCATACCTCCAAAACAGGCCTGAGCGTTCAGTAATTGAGGCTAAAAGTGGACGGGTCGCGGGTAATAAGACTCACCGAGCATGCTAGAGCATACACCCTCCATCCGTAGATCTCGGGGGGATCCGTTCGCATCGCGTCATTGTGGACGAGCTTCTTGAGAAGGAAAGACATGGTTGCGAGTTGTGGATGTCTGTGTAGGCGTAATCACAAATCAAGTGGAGGAAAGGTGTCTGGCTTGGGTAGCGTTGTCAGATCCTAATGTGCTTGCGTAGCAGGTTCTCAGCAATCACAGTGTGCCTCTGAACTCTCAGTCAACGCAGGTCAGATAGGATATCAGGCCCAGTGTCAAACTTCTCACAGCCAGGGGGTCGGCCCGGGTAGTTATAGGATTCGAGGCGAACCACGCTGGATAACCGACCGACCAACGATACCAAGTCAATGCTAACGTCGGTCTTTGATTTCGAGGCATCATGAGAGACTGTTGACGGAGAAACCATGGAGAGAACGCAGAAACTAGATTCCACGAATCCCAGGGTCAAGGCAGATGGCGACACCCCATGTTCAGGCAAACTTGGCATCAAGCCAGCATCAGCCGGGCCAGTGAGCTCTCAAAGGAAGAGATGGCGCGTCAAGTCCCGTCTGGGCAAGGGCGAGTGTTGACCATGTTGCAGGGAAGGTCAGCAAAAGGAGGTCACGCCGTGGTGAGAACAAATTAACAACCGGGGAAATGGAGCCAGATGCCCCACAGAAACTGGTCCTCGCCAGTAAGAGGATGGCGAGTCGGATGGGGTAGCAACCCAGGGTCTGGAATTGCTGGGGTTGAATGGAACGCCGGGGAAAAAGCGAAACCAAACCAGACACGAGAAACTGGCCCAAGGCCCTTTGCGGGGAAGCAGCGCGGGCGCATCTGTGGATGCGTGCTGATTGGTGTAGATTCTCTGCATTTAGCCTGCCTTGCGCTTCACTTGGCAGCATTGGCGTGCGAAAAAGACCATCACTCACGCTTCGGGGAGATCAAGTGCTGCTCTGAGAGAAAACTCGGGGTCCAATGCCCGTCCACCGTGATACCTTGGTGGAGGAGTCGTCCAAGAGGCGCCAGTGCTGGCATACAACACTCCGAGTCTGGGGAAATGATGAATGGCGGCGAGGGGACTGGGCCCAGGCGCAGCTAGCAGCTGCCTTTCATCTCCACCACTGAGGACCATCTTCCACCAGAATGCTAAGCCCGACCATGGGCAGTAACACCGGCGGAAAGGTCGATTACTGGGCGTCAATGCCCAGAAATATGCGAATGGCTTATCTTGATAATCTTTCCGCCCATTCTTGGCCTGCTAGACTCATGTCCACTCTCACAAGATTGACGGCCAACATGCATAAGCCTGACCGAGTCACAGACGCGCTTGTTTGATGAACTGAGATGACAAGCGATAAACTGGAGAGCAAGCAAGTAAAAGGAAAAGAGAAGGGGGAGTCTACACGGGCAAACGGGACTACAAGATGCCACAGCATTCCTTTCATTAAAATTGCATACGCACGTCCAGTTTATCCTCAACCCTCGACCAGCTGCTTCAACCATCCTGGGAGAACCGGTGGCTTATTCCATTTCTCGAGCCAGATATCTTCCCAGCCCTCTCCGTTTCCATGTGCTGGTAAGGCAAACACCGCGCTCACAAACCAGATTTCCGTGCCTGATTTTAGATCAGCTGCGAGGGATGGTAGGAGGGTTCGGCCATGGAGCAGATTCGAGTTTGGGTCCGCCAAGACAACTCTCCCTGAGCGATCCGTTGACTGTAGTCCTACGATGCCAACTGCACCTGCTAAGGACACGGTAAGTGCACGTTGAGCTTCCGCCAATGTCCCCTCAGCTGACAGGTTGGAGAAGTCGGGGAAAGGCGGAAGAATGCGCCCATTGCTGCTTTGGCAGCCATATATCGCGAACGCTCCTTCAGAGGTCTGGAGATCCCGCCCGGTGCGGACACGGTGAGCCCGAATGTGCCAGTTCTCGCTTCCGTCGACTGGAGGGATAAGGAACGTCTCGACCTCGACATCTGACCAGGGCTTCCAGGTGGAGATGAGAATGGGAACGTCGTCCCGGTACTCGATACGTGCATCCTCAACAACTCTGCGTGTCTGCCAAACCTCGCCGCCATCCTCAGAGAGAGCTAGCATACTATCGGGGGCATGCTGTTCCAGCTGGTATCCCCCAGTTGGTACCGAGTATCCAAAGGATGCACTATAAGCGAATTTGCCATATTTGGCCTGAATCGCTTTGACGGGGTAGTGGCAAGCCTGTCCAGATGAGAGTAGGAAGGTGTGTCCGCCGCGGTGAACCATGATATGCTTTGGGTATTTGAGAGCCGCCACAGCCGAAAGGGACGTCGGGTATGTTTCCTCTTCAGCGGCCCAGAATGGATGTGACTCTGGTAAAGCAAGAGGTACAAAGGACAGGCAGCACCAGTATGGCGAGCCTGGCGAGTTGTAGTTCTCCGTCAAGTACATGTTGGCGTAAGAGTACCCGAGGGTCAATGTTCCGTCGTTGTTGAACATATCCTCTTGGGTTGCCCACCATCGGAAATGACGAAGCAGTATGCCCTTCACTATGCCCCAGGTGAGCGGTGCAGGAGGAGTGACATCCGCAAAAGCCAATGCGCCCCAGAATCCAACCATGGCGAAACGATATGTCATTGATCGCCCGAAGGGGATTGAACGTCCATCAGGGTCGAAGTAGTAGACAAAGTCGATCGCAAACTGCTGGGCACGTTCGCGATACTGTTCTGCACGCCGCTGATCAAAATCCCCGGCTAGTTTGGAGTAGAGCAGTTGCAAGAACTGGATCGCGAAAGACCCAGAATAGTAATCCATTTGGTGATGGCTTTTGGGGCCATCATTGCTCCAACCTCCGCCCACATGGAATGTATCTAGGTGATCCATATCAGCCTCGATACGAGACAGTGAGTATGGGGCCCCGTTCCGCCGCAGACCCAGATTCGCAAACACTCGAAACCATAGCCTAAAAACAGAAAAACGTGTAAGTATCATCCGCTCAAATCGCCACAGGAAGGGAAGCGGCTATACCAATTCGTGTTTGGCATCTCACGCTCATTGATGCTTGCTAGCCACTTTGCCACATTCTCCTTCTGTTGACTAGTCAATGGATCCCAAAAGACATGCGGAGCAACCGCCAGCGCAAACCCGATCGGGCACATTTCCACCATTCGCTGATCCAAGTCCTCGATATCCCCCCAATATTCCGGACTCGCGGGATCCGTCCCTTGTATGAAGCCGTCGCGCCACCGAGAGGCCGCCAGATAATCGCCCTCACCCCCTAACAAAGAAGCAAGCCCCCATAATGGGCGGGCAAATCCCTCGATCTGCGCGCCGCCCTCGTCAAACCGAGTCGTCGAAGACCCGATCTTTACACGACTTCCGCCAGGCGTGAAGCGGGGGACGAGGGGGTCGAGGAGCGCCTTGCAGGCATCCTGGAGGTCACTGCGGGTCCGAAAAGGGGACTGGCAGAAAGGTTGGGCGGGTGTTCTTCCGTTCGCGTGAACGGACATTATGAGTGGTATACAGAACAATTGTGACGCAAGTCTGGGGTTCCCTCAGTAGCTGTCTATATAAGTTTACATGCATAGATCGGGGTTCGGGTCAAAGACCGACGCAGTGGGGGAGGAAAGTCAATCGGCCATTTGCCCGAAGTTGTGGAAAACGGAACATCGTAAGATCCTGGGGCGGAAAAGGGGGAGCTCAAGAAATCGGAAAATACTGAAAATGGTTGAGGACTCATATACCCCTCCAGCTGCAGCTTAACACTGGACAGTGGTCATTCCGATAGGTGGAGCGATATTTTCCCACCCATCGTCGACAGAAAGAGAGCCACCCCAAGAGCCAAGGGTCAGAAGATGCGGAGTATGGTCAGGCGGGGGTTAGTGGCGTATGTCAATCTCATGCCAAAAATATGTCCATGAGTTGTCCGGCCCTATGAAGTGGACGAGAGCCGAGATGGTCTCCTTGGAAGTACTCCACGCGGCCTGTGTATGAATTTACCACTGCCATCGCATCAGCATGCGCCTTCGCCGGACAGCTATTATGACTGCGGACAGACGCACACTCGGACCTTGCCAGATCTCCTATTCCAGATAATGCAGGACTTGACTTGGCCCTTTCTGGCTCCTGAAGAGGCACCTCCAGCGACGGGAAGTACTTCTTCCAGGACATGTTGGCTGACGACTGGCTTACTAGCCCCACAAGGCTGGCGAGCTTTCATTGCCTCTTCGACCTTACTCCGTAGCTGTTCTTGTGTCTCTTGTATCGAGTGGGAGCTAGTTGTGAGCAGCTCTTGTAGCTGGTCATATCGGGCTGTCAGAGTCCTCTCCAGCTCGACGGCTAGATTGGGGTTGTCATTTCTGTTGCTTTCATCAAGTTCACGTTTAAGCTCGGCAATGCTGTTCGCAAGGCCGCTAAACTGGTTGCGGAGTTCTTCGTATCGTTGTCGATGGTCGTCTTCCAGTTGCTGATAATGTTCGTTCAGATTTGTGGAGGCTGAGTTGTGCTCCATCATCATTGAATCCAGAAGCCCTTGCTGTGCTTTGCTCAGCTGCTCCAATACTTCCTCCTTGGATTTCCTGATTTGATCCAAAATGGTGTTTTTGTTCGTCGTCCTCTCTGTGATCGCCGCCCGCAGGTCATTGTTCTCTCGCTCGAGGCGGCCCTGCTCGTCGAGTGCCTCTTTGAGCGCGTTCTCTGCCTCGGTTTTCGCTTTGTATGCTTGTTCTCGTTCGTTCTGGGTTTCCTCGTAGTGGGCCTTGAGCTCTTCGAGCTTGGTTTCGAGTTCAGCTTTACCTGCGCGCTCCTCCACGAGCTGTTTCTCGAGCGATTCCGCGTTCTGTCTGGCCTGGGAGGCGAGCGCCTCCAGATCAGTGCGCTCGTTGGCAAATTGTTCGTATCCCGCTTTTCTCCCGCGTTCCTCGGCTAGTACTATATCTTGACTGAGCGTTTGCACTTCCCCAGAGACCGCCAACAACTGAAACCCTAGGTTGTTCGCCCGATCCTTGAAACTGATTCGCTGATTTCGCTCCTCGGCTAATTGTTGCTCATGCTCAGAAACCTTCTTCTCGAATGATGTCCTAAGTGATGCAACATCCCTTTCGAGTTGCGCTTTATCGACTTGGACGGCAGTGAGCTGACGTGCAGTTGAGTCTAGCTGGCGTTGAAGCTCGGATTTCTCGTTCTCCAGTCGGATGCGAAGCGCACTGAAGCTCAGCTCAGATTTGACATTTTCAGCCCTCAGTCTTGCCAGCTCTCTTTCGGTTGATGCTGCCCTTTGCTGGTAGCGCTCGATGGCCGCGCTTCTGTCACCGAAGCCGCTGTCAAACGTCTGATGCCGTTGGGTCTCTTGCTTCCAGGATTTGGTGACATGTGTAAGCTTGTTGCCAGAGCGACTTGGAATATTGGTGCTGATTTGGACAAGAGGTTTTGGGATCCGAGATGGCGATAAGGGGAAAGGTGTACTCGAAGTTGAGTCCGCTCGTTGATGTCGAGTCTGCTGAGCCATGATGCTAATGCCAGATTGCGAATCATGGAGAAGAAAATGAAGGTCCTGGTGATGGCGTAACAATATCGAGAGGGCTATCTGTAAACATGTCTTATAACCGTGTTACCGGGCCCGAAAAGGAGACATTGTTTTGGGTTTCTGTTCTCTGACATGGCACGGTTGCCATTGGAGCCAGCTCAATGCATTGGAGCAAACATGCATGAATGATGTACTTGGGTACCGTCGGGCCATTAGGAGACGATGGAATATTATGAGGCTGAACAGTCCAGGGTCTGATTGATACGAAGGTGTCGCATGATAATTGAAGCCGACGAAAGGTAAGGCGTGAAAAAAAGCAATAACTATGACTTCAGAGCTCCTCTCCAGAGTTGGGCCCGATGTTGCCTTTCTCGTTGTGGATCTGCCCATGTTTTGTTCAAAGGTTCCGAAAACATGAGCCTTAAGGAGGCCAACCACTTCATTGGCTAGGCATATGCAGAGAATTCCCGATTGTGTCTGGATAGCCACCGATATAAATATCTTCAATCGCCGCCTGCGGGTCAAGAACGCAACGTCCGTCAGCATCGTTCAGGCATACATCTGCGTCACCGTGCATCGAGGACAGCAGTGTGACTTAGTGAATTGGCAATCGAGTCCTCTATTTTCTCGAAGCGTGTATTTGATTGAACATCCAGGCGGAGAACAAAGTGGCAACCGGCAACTCGGCGCATTATTCGTTGTATCCGTTAATCACCCGTACGCGAGGGCATCTACCTAACCTACAGTCGCGAACTACGAACAACCGAATTGGCTCGCAATAAATTTTGTAAGCTCTCGAATGACTGCCGGTTCTTCGTCCGGGGACAGCCGATTGACGAGTATATCTGTCCACTGCTGCAGCTGTAGCTCATGTAAATTCCGCCCGTTCAGGGCGCCGTGGACCCGACTCGCCTGTTCTGCAGCGAGGATTGGTTCGCTGGAGACGGATATACAGCTTTCAATGATAGCGCCATGCTTCAGGCGTAAGAATACACGCGTCTAATACTTGTCAGATAATCAGCTGAAGGAAGACCTTAAGTGAGCAAACTTACCGAGGAGGGTACCGACGGCGGGAGCGCCGGTCGTTCGCGAGGGTCTTCCTCAATAGGGTACGTAGAGAACGTAAATTGTGGGGTCTGAGTGTACTTCCACTCCAGCGACTAGCATGTCATATTAGCAACCCAAGAATTCCAGCCCACTAACTCGGGAAACCTACTGTCAGCTCGTCCAAGCCCTTTTTTATCTCGGGCACTTGATACGCTTCAGGATCACCTACAGCCCCGGCAACCCAATCATCTCCAGCATAAATCTCGGACTCATTAGCATGGGACCGTTGAGCCCGGCGTACCGCATCCGGATTGGTCTGATAAAGAATCGCAAACTCCTCCATTACACTGGCAATAACCGCCTGGATTGAGAAGGGAGCCGGCGCATCCATCATTGCGGACGACACATTGGCCACCGGTGACCGGACGCTCTCGACACCCTTGGCTTTGATATAATCCCTAGCTGGGGAGCGGAGAAAAGACCCAAGGCTGTCTATGTTGGGCGAGTCGAGTAGACAAGTCCCATGGTGCAGGGCGCGGAACCTTGTCAGCTTGAATGCAGACCCGGAGATCTTCCGCGGCATATTCCCATTCAGGGACATGACTATATCATGGCGGTCATTGACACTCGTATTGACCGCGCCGACGCGATGCAATGCCCGCACCATCATCTCCGCATGTTTGTTTCGCGTGAAGCTTGTTCGCGGCGATATCACGCTGTAATTAAGGTTGCCGGCATCGTGGAAGACGGCACCACCGCCGGACCGCCGCCGAACGAAAACGGCATCCTCGCCTTTAGATTCATAGCTGGCGCAGTCGCGATCGCGATCGTTCTGGAGTTTCCGCAGATTGGTCTCTAGCCAAGGGTTCTGATTCCTGCCGATAACAACGCACGGTCGATTGACGTATAGAAATAGGACTGCCGATTCTGGCGGAGCATGTTCAAGCAAGAAATGTTCGATGGAGAGGTTGACATAGGGATCGCTCGAGAGAGATTGATAGATCTGGTGAAGGGAGGTCGGGCGAGAAGCGAGTTGAGCGAATTGGTCGGAGGTGAAAGAGGAATTGAGCCTGGCGAGGAGGCCACCACAGCTCTTCCTATAGCGGGAAGCTTTCCGGCATGAGCTTCGAGGGAACAGAAGCATTGATGACGATTCCGAAGGCAGGGGTGAGTTCAGAGAGTCGTCCCACTAATTTGTCTCTCTCTCTCTCTCGGAATTGGAGCTGCGCTGTCAGACTTGAAGTTGGAGAGCTCCGAGTCGAAGTGTACTGTAACTGCCATACCAAACCTGTATTATTACGGAGTAAACAGCAGTCATCATCATGCCATTGAACTCCGAGTTGTCAGGGACTTCGTTGGAACTCCGATCCCGGCGGGAACTAAGCCGAATTCGGCTGTGTTTCATGACCAGAAATTATTACTGCCATGCCTTCGAGTCACTGTAGATAATCACAAGTTGACCACTGTATTTCGACGTATCCAATTTATTGCACGACAGGCGCATCCGGCTTGATTGCAACTCAGACCGCAACCTCGAGACCCAGTCCACCAATCTAGACACCCACCAACCGCCCACCATGTCAACGTGGGGTGAATACTTCCGCGTCACCACGTTAGTTTTATCCCTAGAATTGACCCCCGCCATGCAATTGCGCCAACTAACGGCGATTCTCTCAATAGCTACGGTGAATCGCACTGCCGCTCCGTTGGCTGCATTGTCGATGGCTGCCCTCCAGGCATGGAGCTCACCGAGGACGATATCCAACCCCAGATGACCCGCCGACGGCCAGGCCAGAGCGCCCTGACAACCCCGCGTAACGAGAAGGACCGCGTCGAGATTCAATCAGGCACAGAGTTTGGCGTCACTCTAGGTACGCCGATTGGCATGATCGTGCGCAATGAGGATCAGCGCCCCAAGGACTACGGCAACAAAACAATGGACCTGTTCCCCCGCCCCAGTCATGCGGATTTCACCTACCTCGAGAAGTATGGCGTCAAGGCTAGCAGTGGTGGTGGGCGAAGCAGCGCTCGTGAGACAATTGGTGAGAAAAGAAACTTTTCAGATTGTATAGGGATCTACTAACGCTGGATGAACTACAGGCCGTGTCGCTGCTGGGGCCATCGCCGAAAAGTACCTGCGCCTTTCGCACGGCGTCGAAATCGTCGCTTTCGTCAGCTCCGTCGGTAACGAGCACCTCTTCCCTCCCACCGTCGAGCACCCCTCCTCATCAACCAACCCAGCCTTCCTCGACTTCATTGAAAAGATCGACCGCAACACCGTCGACTCGTTCGTCCCCACCCGCTGCCCCAGTGAAGATGCCGCAGCCCGCATGACCAAGATCATCGAACACTTCCGCGACAACAACGACAGCATCGGCGGCACGGTAACCTGTGTGATCCGCAACGTTCCCGTGGGACTCGGCGAGCCCTGCTTCGACAAGCTCGAGGCCAAGCTCGCTCACGCCATGCTCAGCATCCCCGCAACCAAGGGCTTCGAGATCGGCTCTGGCTTCGGCGGCTGCGAAGTCCCCGGATCAATCCACAACGACCCCTTCATCGCCGCCGAAGTCGAAACCAAGCTTGGCTCCACCAGCTCCTCGGCGCAGCGCCTCGTCACAAAGACCAACAACTCTGGTGGAATCCAGGGCGGTATTTCCAATGGCGCGTCCATCTACTTCCGCATCGCTTTCAAACCCCCTGCTACAATCGGCCAGGCCCAGCAAACAGCCTCCTACGATTTCGGCGAGGGTGTCCTAGAAGCCAAGGGTCGTCACGATCCTTGCGTTGTGCCCCGTGCCGTCCCCATTGTCGAGGCCATGTCTGCCCTCGTCGTCATGGACGCCCTAATGGCCCAGTATGCGCGTGAGAGCGCAAAGGCTCTCCTCCCCCCGTTACCCAAGACCATCCCTACCCGCCCTACAACCGGCACAAATTAAAAGGAAGAAAGAAAATGACCAGAAGTATCAGTTCCGGGTGTTATGCGTTCTATGACTTATTCCCTCACTTTTTGTCGAAAAGTATTCATCTCGTGTATCTCGTTTATGCTACTCTCGCATAACGTCGATAGATTGGAAATATCGCTTGAGTAATTCAACTTACTTCTCACACTTAAGCAGCGGCGTTCAACTACGCTACATGTTCCGAAGAGAGTGTTCATCATCGCTTCATCGATCATGTTCATTTCCAATCATACAATCATTCCGAGTAGCATATTCTGCCTGCAAGCCAACACAGCAATCTCATAAAACATCAGGGAGAAGGGAAGAGAAAGGCGGAAAGAATTTGGGAAACGAAGCAAAAATACCTGAAAGTGGCGCTCCGACGTGAGAATGTGGACAACACAGAAATATCCGGGTTTCATATCGAAATCCAAAAGAGGGGAATAATCCAGAGAAGAAAGGGGAGAAGCTCACGATACCACCCTACTTGCCCAATCGGGAACGACAAAAGGAAACCAAAGTTGAGTCGAGCTTACGATGAACTGTTGCTGCGACTAACCGAGTTTACAGACAGATTGTCCATATCACTCGCCGTAGCATTGACGACCCTCAGCTTCTCTCTCGGAACAGTGAAAGTGACTTGCACTCGGCGGCCCTCGGCGGCTCCCTCAACGTCCCAGTCCTCGTCATTGTCAAGTTCCATAAGTCCAAAATCGTCGCGAGTTGAACGGGCAGTCCGGAAACCTGACTCGTGCCCATTACTCACACCCCAGTCCTTGGCACCTTGCTTTCGTCTGAATAACTCAGCCGATGCACTCACGGATCTGCGAGGAAGTTTCCCTCCCACTGTAGCTGTAGGTAACCCGATAACCGTATTTCTACCGTCAATGCCGGATGCGCGAGTTACGGTATTTGAGCTTTCGTGCGTGGCCGGTCGCTTCCGTGTTATCGAGAGAACTCGTCGTATGCCCCCAATCCACTCTGATGCTCTGGGTCGCGTCGAGATAGTTGGCTTGCTGTTGAAAAGATCTAGGAAGTGTGATGACTCCGGGTCTTCGCGAAGGAGATATTCGCCCTCTGCTTGCCGTTGAGTTAGTGTCGAATGCGCGGTAGAGTATGAGTCGGATGAGTAACGTTTCTCAAACGACGAAGCCGCTGATGTTGAGCTATCTTGGCTGCGAACAGCATCCCTCTTGTGACCGGACACAAAAACAAGTTTGTCCAACGAGTTGGCCTCGTCTGCACGCAAAGTCGACGCGTTGTTTGATACTATTCGAGAGACGCGGGCTGACTTGGCGGATTTCGACGATGTCGAGGAGTCAGAAAGACTGGACGATGTCCGTTCATCTTTCTCAGGTGGCAAAGCGCCGTTATTATCTCCTCCTGCTCCAACCACAACTTCAGAATGCTCAGGCAATACACCGAGAATGTGTGTGCCATCTATCTGTGTGTTTCGAGCTGTGACGAATACCTGCTCTGTAGTTGTCTCGGCTGTATCGCGCGTATTTATCCGTTCCACTTCGTCCTCTTCGCGCTCGTCAATAGGGTGGATATTACCGGGAGTGTCGCTTCTCCTATAGTCGCGATACGGAGGCCGGTAAACACCAGCGTTCAATGCAGGTCGTGTAAGTTTCTTGGACATGTGGACATCGCCTAACAGCCCGGTCCTCTCCGCAGCTGCATCCCCATTGTCCTTCCAGCTGGGCTTTTTACCAAGGCTCCGAGGCTTGTTATTGCCCCAGGGGTAGTCGCTGTTGAAGGAGTCTCTCATCGAAGGAGGATTTCGGATACTGCTTGCCAGTTCCGAGTCTTCTCTCCCCCAGAAATGAGCCCTCTGTGCGCCCAATGCCAATTGGCGAATCTCACTGTCACGCGTCCGGCGCACCCTACGTCTGCGGTAGTGATAGAAGGCGAAGAGCGCAATCCCAGCAGCGGCTGGAATGCCCAGACCAATGCCCACACCCAAGCCTGCCTTTCGAGAGGAAGAACTTTGTTTCGAGGAAGTTGAGCCAGCGGAGCCAATGAAGTTTGGATTTTCGTATGTAGAAGGCCAGGTGTTGGAGTCAACATCGTACAGGATTATCCTTGAGTTGAGTTGTGGCCCGTCTTCGGATCGCTTGGATAGTTGTGTCATCTCGTACCCTCCTGCAATCATCATAATCCCCCCTGGAAGCATTGTTGCGCCGTGGCCATATATCCCTGACCCGTCAGGAATTCCAGAGTCTTCCATTGAGGGTATTTTCCAGGCCCAATCCCCGGCGCCACTAAAGCCACCCCCTATTTCAAGAACAGCGAGCTGAGGTACGGCCGGGATGCTGGTATTTCCCACCCAGCCACCGAAGACAATCACCTTGCTTCCGTCCGATGAGAGGACCGAAGTGTGGCCAGAACGAGGCTCGATAACAGCAGCGTCGCGAAATGCGAGGTCTGTCCTCTGCGTGTCGGTGGCAGAATCAACAGTGACGAAACTCCAGCTGTTCTGTGGGGCTGAGAAGATAGCTAGCTCGGACATGTTGATGAATGCCTGTTGGGTATGCCCGCCGATGAGGAGGAAACTCTGCTGTTGCCGTTGCTCATCATCAGAGTAAGAGTATGTGGCTTGAAGGGGTGTGATGGTAAAGCCTGCCTCGGGAATCGGGGGTGCCCTTTCGCCTGTAGTTGAGCCTTGGTAGAAATTGTCTTCTCTAACAGGTTCCAAAACCGTCATAGACTGAGAGTAGTTCGCGGCAGTGATCCATGAGTTACCGCTGTTGCCCTGATATGGGCACATTCCACCAAAGGCGAAAAGAGAGCTCTCGGTTATGTTAGAGGGAGAGTACGTGAATCCAGCTGACAGATAGTTCGGTCCGTGAATAGCACCTCTCTGTCCGTCTTCTCCACGTACGGAGAGCTTCTGCCACGTTCCGTTGCCCGTCGGACTGTCTGAACTGGGCTCGAAAGTCCATACCATAGGCGTATTCCCCGATTCCCAACAGTCACCTGTGTAAACCTTCACTATGCCATTCTGGTCAACGGCCCCAATATAGGCCGATATCTCACCCTCATCGTAGAATGGCACCTTGTCAAGTAGAACCGTATATGACGGGTCGGCAGCGTCGACCTTCTCCAACACATTCATCGAGAGGAACTCCGTTTGAGGCCGGTCCGCATTGGCCGGGCGCAGTAGGTAAGCAAACGGGACATTTTGCTGAGGAGGGTAGAAGAGACTCGATGGCGTATAGGGTATTTGCGCATAGCTGTGGGTGGTAAACTGAAGGACGCAGAGGAGTGCCGACACCAGGTTGGCGCCGACTACCCTATACATTCGGGGTATTCGACAGGACCGACCATCCATTGAGAGATTCACGAGGCTCGAGGAATGTGGGTAATCATGCAGTGGCCGGCCGAACTCTGAGACATCAGAGGCTGTCGATCGCCCGATCGGAGGGTTGGAGAATGCGCGACCGAAAAGGCAGATGTCACAAAGAGATTTCTGAAGAGTAACGCGCTTTCCCTATAAGTCGCACAAGTGTGCAGAAGCCCACAGAGACGGATGTGAGATAGGTTTGCAGAGGGCAGAGTTGTTATGATGGCAGGTGAGGACGACGCGGGTCACCTGTCAACGCAAAGCGAGTACATACGTATACCATGCAGTTGTTGCGGGCCACAATTCGATCTAGATCACCTGAAACCCAACTCTGGAGCCTAAATTGATTGAAGCTCCATAGCGCCCAGATAGATCTTCTCCACGATGTGCAGTGGATTTGACGTGAGTGGATGAGGGGCCGGCCGAGCAGCGAAAACATCGGCCGTTGCGCCAGCAACGTCGAGGTCAGCCGTGGTGCAGAGCACAGGAAGCAGCGAAGGAGTAAGCCGGGTCATCTTCTCTGTACAACACAAAGGACCTCGACCTGGGCTTGATATAAACATGCTGTGAAGCCTGCTCTCTGGTTGGGAGTCTCAGTGTTGTTCACGACCAGTATAGATCTTTGGCTTTGACCCGTTGCTGAGGGAAAACAGAGATCACAAGTCACAGGATTGGTTATCGAGATCGAGGCACAACAGTGCGGCCGCTGTGATCATGCCATAGTTACTAGTAGCTCTACTAAATCATGGGCTATCTACTCTCCACTGGCAGTTCATCCCTCCGACTTATTTTATGCTACTTCTTGTCTCACAAGCAATATCATGCACATCTCTGCCCTGAGGTCAAACAATAGTGTTGTCTCCGATGCATCAACACTGCGTAGATGAGACGTAGTAAATATTCAAGGGGTTCGTACATTTGGAGAGGCAGCCTCGACATCATCATCAAAATGGAGCAGGCAGCCTTCAACCATGTCCTTTCAGACATAGAATACTAATTCGCTTCCGGGAGTACTCCGGATAGGCATGAGGTAGCAAAGAAAACTACCATAACTTGCCAGCGTTCCACGTTGTGGCGCATCTAAACTGTGGGCTCAAGTGGATCTTGGGAAACCACAACCTGCTTTTCATCTGGTGTCTCAACACTTGACATTCCAACCTCCTCGAGTCAAGCACACTTTATCAAAAACCATCACCTCCACGTCGCCACTGATCATCGGTGACATTCAAATCGGTCTGCCCTCTGCCCATAGCTAAGTCTTATCTATAGAGTACATCCAGACCCCGAGAATTGCGACGATCGCATCCATTGTTCGTGGAAGCGTGATTAAACTCTCGATGAGACATGCCGCTCAAAGTCTATGCTACTTCATCGATTGGCCGGCAATCTCACAATTTCGCTAGGGGCAGACTTAAATCTGCTGCGTTGGCCCCATGTTTGTTTGCTTTTCTCCACTCAGCTCTTCTAGCAGTCTGACTCGAGATACCGGCATTGGGGAATCAGCAGGCAGGGGTAGAAAACGAATAAAGGTCCCCGACCGTGACTGAAACGCGTCTCGACCAGTTGAGGTGATTGAGCACGTTCTCTCCTTCGCTAGAGGATTCAGCTGGAGCTGTCGTTCATCCCACTCGCAGCTCACAGACCTTCCTCCTGGATCTGAGGGGCGAAGCTTTGAATGCTGCAGGGAAATCGCCGGCCTGCGGACGCCGGATGGGCCGCCTGAAGAGAGAGATATAGCATGGACTGAAACATCTCTTCGTCCTAGGTTTATGATCCTCCGGCGATGTTGCTTCAGGCTTGTCCAGTGCAGGTGTGTGCCACCGCTCAACATGCGAGGGCTCATCGCCTCACACTGTTCCAGTCCGCCAAGATTATGGGTCACAGCGGGGCTCTTAGTTATACTATCCTGCAGTCCGTTCTATAACTGACGTTTGACAGCTGGTAGCGAATTTTGTCAAACTGAGTCGGCTAGTATTCCGCTCCTGACTCCTGCCGCACAGGCCCATCAGCCTGCTCAACGTGTTGGGTGGGAAGAAACCGCGGTCTCAGCGCAAGATTGAACAAGCTACCGAACCAGGATACGAGTCAGATGTCCTCCAGAGTCATATAGCGGGAGGCACTGTCTCCCTCGAACAGCCGCGCGCGCTGTCTGCTCGATCTGGGGAAATAAGAGGAAGCGAAACAAAGCAAAAGTAGACGCCACCGTCGGTGCTCAAGAATCCACTTCGTTCGCAGGATCCAGGCAGGGAGTTCCCTGAGCTTTGAAGAAATCCAATGGCAATACGAGTCTGCGAAGGTCAGAGCGCCCTCGGAAAGACCCGGTCAGCCGCCAAGGCCAATCGCCTATCGTCGCCCTGCAAATGCATCAACGGGTTCATCGCCGTGTTGCCCAGGGCTGGGGAGATCAAAGCGGCAGTCCTCCCCTATTCATTGCAGGGGTTGCTGCTGAGGTGGCGTACACGAACCTAGACACAAATGAATTATACCAGCTCCTGACAAGTTAAACGCAACATCGCATGTCTGCGAGCAGGAGGGTTGAAGGGATCCCGCATCGATATCAACGCTATTGGACACACGTCCCAGCCGCCTCCATGAGTGCAGATGGGCCCATTCAAATGTGATGCAGGAGTGCCATCCGGAGCTAGTATAAACGCTGGGTCGAAATTAAATAGCGCTGGGGCAGACTGCAGAGACTCCGGCTCCGACACCATCAACAAGCTGCTCAGTGGCTTCAGCCGCTCAGCTTGAGTCGTCAAGCCTAATCATTATCGTTGTAGCCGGGCAGATGCCACACACCTTCGGAAACTCGGACTTCGCATGTCAGCAAAACCAAGGACAGGTCGACAGCCTGACAATAAACATCTGCAGACAAGTCCACATTCGAACTAGTCACCCTTCCTCCCTAGGTAAACCTGGTAAGTAAACCTCCGTACGGAGCGTACTGGGGGCGCGAACCCTAGATACCACCTACTCTCATGCCCTCGTACCCCCGTATCATACCTATCCATACCACCCCGTCACAGATTACACCCTGAGCTTGCTCAAAGTTGCCCCTTAATCACCCGGGTAATTGCATTTGGCAGGACACAGGATGGACCAAAAAGCTTGGTTGTATATCCTGTGGCCAATCACTCGCGCCGCTGGAAATTGGTGTCAAGCCAGAAGGAGCTAGGTGATATGCATGATGCCGAAACCAGTATGGCAGCACGGAACATTAGCGGGAAATTGGTCTGCCAGTCCCAGAACCAGGTTGCCTTTCGTGAGGCGAGATATCAGTATCAGATTGTCAGGTTGCCATGTCGTGTCGCGTCACGTCATGAAATTGAAGCCGACTGGTTAGCGATGGTCATAGAGCTAAGTATCAAGAGTATATTCGGAGATTGCAAGTGCTGCCCAGGAACGTTCAATGAGGGTTGACTTGGCCACAACGTGGCGTCTTACTTTGAGGCCATAAAATTATTGGTAGATGCGAGGATAGCTCGACTAGTGTAGCATTTGAGATATTTCTTGACATTGCTGCCGTGGCTGGGCGTTATATATGCAATCTAGTACCTTATCATACATGGTTATAAATGGTTATCATTCTCATCAGGCAACCGTGCTGTATGATACTCTGGGTGTAGTATGTGTCCTGCGTCAGATGTAGTCTAGTGGTAAATATATATAGTTAAAATGTCATGCAGGCAACTCACTAGCTTATATACATATATGTATGGAAGAAGTATGAACAGGGTTAAACGCCTGTCAGGTAACGTCAAAAGTTGACTGTCAGCGGAATCGGAGGCCATCTACTTGAAGCAGGCGTAGTACTACTTCCTCGCAATTAGCCATGATTCGTCCAATACAGCGCATAGTGATTCAAGGCAACTCATGGCACTAAACAGGTTACGGACTATTTCGGAGTAACGGAGTGAACTAGCCGGAATATCAGCAATGTGGGTGCGTCAGAATCAATGAAGACTCGTGGAATATCCATCAGTATCCCGCTCCCTTTGAGCCCCTTGCATTACTCTTTAAAACTTACCCACCAGCAACGGGCCGAGAGAGTCTGGGAGGGCCAGTCTAGATAGGTGTTGATCGCTAAGACTGGTTTTAGCCTGTGAGTAAGCGCCCTTGCAGACCAAGGCTGTGTCAAGGAATGTCAAGGCTTTCGAGTTTCTGTCTTTAGTGGCGTTCCCCCACGAAGGTAGAATGGGAATTGATTGGTAAAGTTCAGATATCCTCATGTACCTACAAGTTGGGCTTCCCATTGAGTTTCGCTAATCTTGACTCCCGGCTGCGAGTTGGGCTTCAATGACGTCTAGACAACTCTAGTTAGACGAGTGGATCCAACTCGTCATAATCGCAGATACGGAGTAGGCCAGTTTCGAGTTAAGAAGGAAAAGGACAAGCGCTTATCCCTGACGTCCAAGTTCCCGCGTGTTTTAAGTCCTCTGGTCCGTGTGTGCCGTGTTTAGATCGGAAGGCTTGCATTAGGTGAAATCACCAATCAAAGTCCTCCACTTGAGACTTGCATCAGTTGCATACCAAAAGCAGCGGGAATCGAACCGAGGGAAACCTTGGAAGGCAAGGTGGAGAGGCCCGCTGCGCCTAATTCAGCCACTCCTCGTGGGCCGATCGGGCTGCTATGCAGCAGCAAGAGGCCAAAAGCAAGTTCAGAAACTGACTTGGATCGTCCAGAGCGAGGAAAGTGAGGCTTGTAGGAGGACTATGAGGCCTGTGTGCATGGCCAATCAGCGAGGCGCTTCCACTTTGAGCATGAAGCCTATCCGATGCATTCGTGCATCGATCTCGAGGACTTGAGGCTCGCAACCACGATCCTTGGAAGGAATCGGCCGAGCATGGTGGGGAGACAACGAGGAGTAACAAAAGCGAGAAGAATTCGCAAGGCACGTATCTGCTGTCAGTATCTTCTCTGCAACGTAGAAACGACGTGCCACTCAAGGGAGAACTGGAGAACTGATCGGTTTGCCACCAGAACCGCGGACTGCCAGTCCTGTCTCCAGGTTGGCTGGATGCTCGCGTGGAAGCTAACCTGTTAGAGATCACAGACCTCTTGCTGAGAAGCTCGCTGAGGAAAGCCAAGGTAGATTTCTATTGGGGCTGCTGGCAAGACTACTGTAGGTCATGGAGACTAACGGCGGAAAAGAGACCGCATTGGCTCTGGAGGCCGTGGTCGTCAAAATTACCAAGATGATCAACTTGGGACGTTGGGAGAATTTGGGACAGAATGTCAAAGAAAGAAGTGATGATGAGATACGGAGTAAAGGTCTGGTCCCCACAATGTGGTCGAGAACGCGATGAGCTGATGGCCGATCCGCGGAACGCTACCTTTGTACCCTGATTTCCATTGAGGCACGGAAGTGTCAGATCTGGGTTGGTTCGCACATATGTTGCGGAAACTTAGACTCCAAGAGACTGCCAACAACGTGCAGAGAGGCGAGGGTTTTGGATTTGGACCGAGTATATCTGATCGACAGGTGGAAAGCAGGCAATGAAAGGATAATCTGCTAGGGGTAATTGCAAATGGAGTCGGACTTTGGAACATCGTTTGGGATCCATCAGAAGAATCCTCAAGAAGTACCTGGGATATTCTGTACTGTGCTGTAGGGATTTGGCAAAACTGACGGACGGCCACAACTCCAGATCCATCGAAGCCACGTAGCTCCTCAAGAGCAGATCGGTGTCGTTGTGGCTTGATAGAGTCGTAGATAGACGGGGAAAGCCCCCTCTTGAAGACGTCACAGACTTTGACCATTACATGAACCCTTGAACCTTTTTTTCCCTGGAGAACTTTACTCCGGTGTTCGTTAGCTGGGAAGATACTCAGGAGAGGCAACGGCGTTCGGTCACTCTATGCACGAGGATCTTAGCGAGGACAAATATACCCATCACGACAGCAGGCTCATCCCTTCCCTGTTGGTTGGAGCCATGGATGGGAGAGGTGGAGGGCTCTGCACTCTTGGACTCTTGGACTCTTGGACTCTTGGACTCTTGGTGGAAACCAGCCGGCCGAAGCCTAACCTTGTTAGTGGTATTTCTCGAAAGATACCTGTAAACTGTGGTATGTAATAATATCCAGAGGAAATAATAATAGCATCAGCCAGTCGATCCTCATCCATCTTGACAGGGAAGAATCCACTGGGAGAGGCCGCGGTGAGGAGGAATCCGAGCAGAAGTAGACGCAGCGACTTCAACATGATTAGTAGTGTTAATTATCATCATATTCCATTTTCCCAGCAGATACAGAAGCCTTCAAGAGTCTTGTAAACCATAATACATGGATAAGAGAGCCCAAGATTGTTGTGCCCTTCGCTTCTCCCCTCCCATTGCTCTCGCTTTGGTATCCGCCTGACTGAGCGACAAGTCTCTGGACGACTTGGATGACACTGCTCTCCTCGTCTTCGCCCTCCCCTCGTCACTACGATCGTCCTCTTCTACGACTCAATCCTCCTTGACTGTCCTCTCCCTCCTCTTCATCCTCCTCCTCTACGACCTCTTCACTTTCTTCCTTTTACCCAACCTTACCCCTCCTTTTAACTTTCTGCTATCTTTTCCTCTTCGCCTTTTTCTCCTCTTCCCTTTAATATATTCTCTCGGAGACGCCTGCGTCGCTGCTCTCTCTTAGAACCTCGTTATATAGGTGCTGTCGCTTATCGCACCCTTGTTTCTATACCTTGACGTTCCCTGGGCCTTTCTCCGCCCCTATCCTCGAGTCTTTCCTCCCTCCGACCTCGCCCCGACTTCGCCGACCACCTCCGTCCACGGTCTCTCAATCCTTGCTTCTTACCGAAACCGCAACCCACTGCATCCTGGCGCTGTAGTTGGGGGACTGGTTGAATTATTATTTCGTCCGTTGTCTGGCACACGGTTTTCTCGCCGCAGGTTTTATGTCTTCCACCGCTTCCTTTCGAGTCGAACTTCGGGAGTAATGCCGACTCATTCGACCACACAATCGGAGCTTCGTATCGGTTCACCTTGAATGCCTGGCTCACCCAGTCAATATAAGGATACCAAAGGAAAGGAACAAGCGCAACGAAATAACATCACGAGAAACGAACGCAAGGGATAGGACCCGGAGGATGCACAGTTTCGACCGGGATAGTGGCATATTCACATAAAACGACAATGAAGATGACCGGTCGGCCGCCTTCAGAGTTCAGTCTTGAGGAATCCACGAACGTGGCGGCTCACCAGCATGGTCAGACATCGGAAACGAGCCTTCGGCCGGGAACGAGGAAATCCAATGACACTCTCAACGTTTCTCGGCCCTCATCAATTGAGACAGACGCCGGACATGTCGTCGCCAAACCACCTATCGCAAAGCTGCCCCAGCCGAATGATGTGCTAGACAACCAAACGCCGCTTCGGCACACGTTTCCTCATCTGTATCATTCATCAGGAACTTCCCGCTCGCCATCCACTAGAACCTCGTCAAGCTCACTTCAAGCACTGAATGAGGATGCTGTAGTTGATGCTCGGTCGGATCAAGGTGCTCTTGCACGAGGCTCCTTGTCGCGGAGGACGTCTTACATGGGGCAATCGGACACTCAAGCCACCGAGTATCCTGTCTACCCTGACCAGTCCTATGCCGTCCTTCAGTCTCAGACGCAGCATATCCATTACCCTCCACTTTTACGCGCACGCAGTTCTTATCCGACTGAGGCCACACCAAGGATCGGTCAGTCTCGCGCTTCCCGTACTGCAGGCAATACTCCCTTATCTAGCCCTGGCTTGTTTTCTGTCAAGACTCCTGCGTTGTCGCCATCACTGCAATGGGACGGCGAAGCCCAGACGGGGGCTTCTTACCTCCACCCAACCCATCTTCAACCACCAAAGGAGTAAGTTTCCACGTTTATCCCCATCGACCATCATTACTGACGCATTTTTTAGAACCCACATAGTTCAAGTAAATAAGGACAACGTGACTGGGAACAAAGTCATCAACAAGTATGAGATTCTCGAGGAGCTTGGGCGCGGTGAGCACGGCAAAGTGAAGCTGGGCCGTCATGTCGAGACTCGCCAGAAGGTGGCAATAAAAATTGTGCAACGGTATTCCAAACGGCGCCGTTTGGGACGGCTAGGAAATGCCGAGGACAAGGTCAAGAAAGAAGTTGCCATTTTGAAGAAAGCCCGACACCCTAATGTGGTCAGTCTGTTGGAGGTGATTGACGATCCAAATCTACAAAAGGTCTATATAGTGCTCGAATATGTCGAGAATGGCGAAATCATCTGGCGGCAGAGGGGGCTTCGAGAAATCGTACAGGTTGATAAGCGACGACTGGAGCGCGAAAAGTCTGGCCAACCCGACACACCAGCGTTTCTGGAAGAAAACAGACAATATATAAGGACGGCGCAACATATCAGACGTCAACGAGAGAGAGCTTTGGAGCGACGTCAAGCGCAAGCAGAGTATGCGCAACAAGGGCCTATTCCTGCCTGGAGTTTGGAACACGGAGCGGAGTCGGACGATGAATTCGGTCCTGAACTAGCCATTACCCGCACGGCTAGCCACTGCATCTCAAACCAGGAAGAAACGCATTCTTCTTCAAGCCACTCTCTCCCCTCTCAAGATGCGGCCTTGGAAGGCACCATGTACGGAGCTTATGCCGACTACCCGTACGATAAACGACGATTCAGCACGGCGTCGAGTAGCTTTGGCTACGCCGCTTCCGAACCTGATTGGCTTCCCGATGACGACGATATGGCATATGTTCCTTGTCTTACTCTCAATGAGGCAAGGAACGCCTTTCGAGATTCACTTCTCGGTCTGGAGTACCTCCACTTTCAAGGCATTATCCATCGCGATATCAAACCGGCGAATCTTTTAGTCACTAGCAGTTACCGTGTGAAAATATCTGATTTTGGAGTCTCCTATCTGGGCCGGCCAATTAGAGACGAAGACGAGGAGCAGGTCGATGAGACGGACGCAACAGAGCTAGACGATGCTCGTGAACTATCCAAAACTGTGGGTACTCCAGCGTTCTACGCTCCCGAGCTTTGCTATACTGGAGAAGACTTTGTGGATAGCATTGGCGGCCCACCTCGAATTACTGGCGCCATTGATGTCTGGTCTCTTGGAGTGACCCTCTACGGAATGATATTTGGACGGCTGCCGTTTGTTTCGGACGACGAGTATAGTATGTTTCAAACCATCGTCAAGCAAGATGTCTACATTCCACGAAAACGATTAAAACCCGTTCAGTTGGAATGTGATACTTACAGCCAATGGCCTCGCGATACGCTAGACACCAAACGGGCAGAGGACGAACTGGCATATGAGGATATCGATGAAGATCTGTGGGATCTTCTGAAACGACTACTCACTAAAGATCCGGTAAAGCGCATTACAGTAAAGGAGATCAAGCATCATCCCTGGGTCTTGCACGGCCTTCCCAACCCTAGGGCATGGGTGGAAGAGACCGATCCCGGCTATTTGAGTAAGGGCAAGAAGATTGAGGTTTCCAACGAAGAAGTGACGACAGCCGTCAGCAAGGTGCCATTATTCCAACGAGTGCGGTCCAATGTGGCAAAGTGGTTTGGAAGGTCGAAAGATCGGGATAGTCGTAAACGAAATTCGAGCACGACCCCTTCTGTCGAGTCGTCGTCTACTTCAAGCAGTAGCAACACATTTGGAAAGCAACTCTGGGATGGCCGTCGACTCAGTCTTCGCGGAGATGAAGACCTCTTTTCCAGGTCTAGTCGGAACCTTAGAGATGGCGAACATCCACTCTCTCAAAGCGTGACGGTAAGCCCAACGGCTAGCTTCGACGACCAATCGTCCTATTTCACCCGGGACCCCGACCTCTCGTCCTTTGATCGCACGCCTCGCCCCGACCATCCGGAACGAGCAATTTCAACTCTCTCGACTGCAGAATCTCTGAAAACTGTAAGGGCGTCTGACCTCGGGAAGGGATTCTCTGTTCCCTTACGCCCTGCTACACCTGCTCGATCAGAAAGTTCAGGGACAACAAACATCAGCGGTGTTTTCGGCGGCGCAGGCCGCCGGTTGGCCAGGGGACTTCAGCCAAGTTCCGATAAATCCGTCTCCGGCGAACTCTCTATGTTAGATGGAGACCATCACTCGGAACCTAGTCTAGCTTTGAGCGTCACTGCGGCAGTTGGTCAGATGCAGCCATCACACTGGCAAGCGGATGGTGGTTCGCTTGTCTTACCTGAGAGCCCAGCGTCAACACCTGGGCATCGGCGCAAAACCTCTCATCCTCTTTTGGGTAAACTCTCCGTCGAGCCGCTCAACGTCTCCAAAGAGAGTCTCTCGCGAAAGCAGCGTAATGTTGTGGACCAACCGCCACCACTGGAAGGCCAGTGTCGGTTGTACGAGGGGCCTATCTCACAGGCTGAGTTTGGGCATCGAGGTTCAGACTCCAGTGTGGAGAACAACACTAGTGACCATGTCAAAAGCGAGATAACCACTTCTCCCGCTTCTGCAGCTACTATGTCTTCTTCCTCAGTGGATGAATTCACTAGCGGCATGTCGCAAAGCACCTCTCATCCCAGCATTCCGTCTGTCATGTCAGGAGCGTCGTCGCTCTCGGATGGGGTCGTCAAAGAGACCGACTGCGAAACTACTCAAGTTCCTTCCATGCTTCGCACTGGTGAAACCGTCAAAGCGAGGCGGCCGAGCAAACCGCGAGCACCCGAAGATGACGAGTCTCGCTACTATTGTGATGACGAGGAAGAAAGCGGCGACGAATCCGAAGACGAGGGCTTAGTTTTTGGCAAGCCCAAACCCGCTTCCCAAAAACCAGCCATCCGTGTGGGCCAAGTGTCCAAACAAGGTCACGATGCAGGTTAATCGTGGCCTTGACTCTCCCGATCATCCTTTGCCCTGACCCATGGGCTTCAAGACACGAACTACTAGACCCTAATCACGACCGCCGTGGCCTGTTCTCAATGCAGTGCCATCATGATCACTCAAACTCCCTGGTACTTTTCTTAATCCGGAGCACTGCGCAGGTTATCATCTGGCTCCAACCCTTGTGTGTATATCATTTTATTGGGAAGACGTGCATGTTCTATTCTTCTTCACTCGCATAACAGGAACCTGCACGAGGCTGGCTAAGTTGTACATATATTCGCATTGGCGGCAGGGTCCTACTTATCGTTTCATTTTCATGTTTCTCTGGATCGGTCTTCAAAAGAGAGGGCGTTTGCTTTTTTTTATCATATCTACCACCCCATCTGATTCCCTCTATGGCTTTATATATCGGGTTCTTATTTGATGCAAGGGATGGAAGGCTCGGGACACTTGAGAGTGTGTGTGGATTTGCTTGTACGTAATGCCCGCTGGGAGGGAGAGTCTGAGATATAGTGCATTGGCTTTATGATGGTATGATGACTGAGATGGACGGTGGGTTATATATTGGGATCAATGGAATGGGACGTCAAGTCTTCGATAACTGCCCTCCATTACTTGATACCTTTCGAGTCGATATGTACTCTTTGCTAGCATGGCATGTACACCCGTAGATATATATTTCCTAAAGGCCTCTTGTAAAGTAGGCCATTCGTTAGGCATCGGATACCACTTTCTCTTACGAGGTGGTCATCCAGTACATAAGCGTCATTGTACGCATTAAAGCCATACACCTGTCAGTAACAAGACGAGTATTGCGTGTAAAAGTCGAGGTTGACTGAGATTAATCACAGCCTTGACTCCGCGCAATTCAACAATCAGCCCTAGTGTTATTCTGTCATCTTGTCATTGATATTATTAGTACAAGATGATGCTAATAGTGCTAACAAAGTATCCATAGAGAGGTACCGAACATCTAGCGTAAGACCAACATCTTTTTGACGGGAAGCATTTGGTCGTTGTTGGGTTGGCATTGGAGGGTATGTCACCGACTCACCATCGGCTACTTTGCTTAGTCCATTTGAACTGGCGCACAGCCTGGGCAATTGCATGTTTGAGAACCAAGAAGTGGACATGGGTCTGGCGGCAATCCTCTAGTCCTGTAAGTAGCTACCAGCCTGGTGGTCTCATTAGGCAACTGATCTAGTTCATAGCACTTGACTGTCGCGAAACCTGAGTATCTCAAACTTAGGATTGGTCTGTTCATCCACAGCCTGTGCATAAGGAGTGTTGTTGTTGTTGTTAGCTGTGGACTGCGTCTCTCTCTCTCTGTCTCTCTCGCCTTTCGTATGAAAGAGTCGTCACCCAGCAATCCTGATTTCGGCCAGGCCAGGAACTCTTCATTTGACATCAGCATGTGCCTGCCATAGAAGAAATTGACCAGTCTGAGCCGAGTATACCGCCTGTCGGAATTTGACGGGCAACGGAGCAGTGGTGTTATAGCTGGCCCTACCGGAGTATACTCTGTGTGTGGTCTAGCCGTCATGCGTCGTGGTGCCTGCTTCCTCGGGCTGCTACCTGGCGATCATTCAGCGAGCCAGTCAAGCGAGTCGAAGCAAAGGCTTGCGTGATGAAACGACCATGAACTTTGAAGTGCCTAATCCAACGACGAGCCGTTTCATGATTTGCTCCGGGCTTGAGTTTCAGCTGGGGGGCTGTGCAGAAGGAGCTAACGGTTGGCAAGGCGGGAATCCACCCAGCAAGAGTCGGTCAAGGGTTCTCGATAATTTGGGCCAGAAGCCAGGTCTCAGTCGACGTAATATTGACCCTACAACGTTGTATGCTCGTGAGAAAGATGGAAAGATCAACTCGTCGGGCTGATTTTCGATGTCTAGGTTCGATCCTTGAGCGATCTTTGCACTCTGGGGAATGGGGGCGGAAATGAAGATGGGATGACGTCTTGCGCTTTGGCAGGCAAGGAGCTTATTATCGGGTTTGGGCTGTCATCTCGATTTCGCAAGCTTCGTTGGAGTCGAGTTGTGCAATGTGCATGAGTGATGTGAGCTTCTGGCCAGCATCAACAGTACCTGGTGTAACATCAGCCTTTATGATCCTGCATTAGCAAATGTACCCTGCCCTGGGTATTATTAGCAACCTCGTCTTCCAGGGAACCCTGAAATCCTGAAGAAAATCCTGGATTTGGAGTTGTGGAGCGACAAATCTGCCTTGGGGGATTCTTCTGCTGCGTTTGCTGGCCGAGAAGCACCTCTTCACATCCGATTCCGCCTTTGTTCCTGAAGATTAGCAGCTTATCCTTATATTTAATTTTAGAAATGCTTGCTCTTTGATATTTTAAGCAATAACTTAATTCTCGATTCTCCGACGCTGGAGATTGTTGGTACAGAGCGATTTAGGTTGCAAGGCACCGAACCGTCCTAGTCTGGCTGTCAGTCTTGACATTTCGACTCCGGTCAATTTGAAATCATTCAGGAATTCTGGGACTAGGAAATCATTTCGATCGAAATAACACTACTCAAAATCAAGAAATAGATTCCCAGCATGAGAACTGCTCAATAACCGCACTGTGCTATCTTATCAAATCGAGGAAACACGGGGATCCTTTGGCGCCCGCCGCGAGGCTGAATCGCAGACTGCCTTCCCCTCTTGCCTGTCCGTCAGGCCTCGCTCCCGAGCTCCATCCCCATCTTTCTCCCCTGCGAATGAAATTTTGGGTTCGGCATTTCGTCTCTGAACACTCGATATTTCTACTGCCTCTCTCCTCGAGGGAGATAGATACATATCGGTACCTGCGCCTCAGCCCGACCGTCCCACATCCACCGCTGGTCTCCCCACCTTCTCTTTCATTTGACCCCCCTTCGTTCCTCAACCTGGATCGCCCTGCCATCATTCTTATTCTTCCTTCACCTCGCTCAGCCTCCCTTCGCGTGGTATCTATTCTGGGACCTTGAAACTTTACAGCGTCCGCCATGGATTCCCAGGACACGCTCCAGGACCTGGGGCAAGCTCCTGGTCTTAAAAACCGCAGTGTCAGCCCTTCTGCCCATCCTCACCAGCAGTACAATCATAACATCGACTCCTCCGGCTTGACAATTGATCCCTCGATCACTACCCATCCTTCGTATCCTCCCTCATCTTTTGCCAACCCGACCACTGGCTCCGACGCCTATACTTTCCCATCGAGCTATCTCGCTCCGACCGATCAGAACTTCAGCCGCCCTAGCCTACAGATCCCACAATTTGACCAAGGCCTATCCCACCAGACGCAGGAGGATAATTTCTCGAACCTACTCAATTCAAACAGTAACGACTTCGATTTTGGGCTCTTCCAGACTCCTGGCCCCAGCACCACTGGCACCGATTACCCCTCCTCCCTTCTGCTCGACCCCCAACAACAGTCGGCCAACCAGGCCGTCAACCCGGTCGATCTGGTCAGCCAGATTCCCTCCCCTCACCCTTCTACCTCGTCGCAGACCTCTCCGCTCGACCAGCAACCTCAACACTCTTCCCCGAGCGCAATGTCGCCCCCTGCCTCTTCGCCGGGGACGTTCTACACCCCACAGCACTCGCGTCACACATCGCTCGACCCCACTAGCGCCGCATACATGACGAACCACCCGGACTGGCAGGCCGTTATGGCCAATTCTTCCTTCCACAATCATCGGCGTGCCCCGTCAGAGGTGTCTGAAATATCATCCGCCGCGCATTCGCCGTTCCTACCACAACATGACTCTTTTGATATCGGGGATAACAACCCATCGCCGCTGCTGGCACCTCAGAACGACCCTAGCCTCTATGATAACGCCGCCCTGGGAATCGAATCGTTCACCCTATCTGAGCATCATCACCACCACCACCAGCAGCAGCAGCAAGCATTTAGTCCCCACCATAGCCCGTACATCTCTCCGCAATTAATGCCTCAACAAGTGGCAGATATGGTCCCCAGCGGGCCCTTTATTTCAGCTCCCGCAACAAGTTCTCCCTACCCGACTCCTCCAACAGAGGGTTATGCAAATGCAGAAGGTTTGCTGCCACAGGGTAGCGCCTGCGGGGATATTGGACAAGCATCACAGATGGCTCCGCCGTCTATCAACGTTGAATTTGCGCCTCCTGCAAAGTCTCAAGTTTTCCCAAGTGACAAACCTATGGGTGATATGGATACATTGAGTCCACCTCCCTCGCTCCGTATGAATCTTGATTGTCTCTCTGAAGATAGAGCAATACTCACTATTTGATAGGTACCTCTCGTCTCCGTAGCAAGTCTGATCCATACACGCTCCCTGCCATGTCTCGCCCGCGCTCGCCTTCTTCACCCGCAAGCAATCTGGATGCCCTGGCTGCTTCATCCCCTCGGTCGTTGTCTCCATTCGATGTTGGCCGGCATCCTTACAGTAACCCTAGTTCGAGAGAGCCCTCTCCCGCCCGCTCTGCTCGACGGCTGTCGACGTCGTCGATTGATAGCCGTAACTACATTCTCGGCCTTGCTGACCCGCAGCGCCCTGGGGCTAATACGAGCGACTCTAAGCGTGTACAGAAACATCCCGCAACATTCCAATGCCATCTCTGCCCTAAGCGCTTTACTCGGGCGTATAATCTACGCTCGCACTTGCGAACGCACACCGATGAACGCCCTTTTGTTTGCACAGTCTGTGGGAAGGCTTTTGCGCGACAGCACGATCGGAAGCGCCACGAGGGCCTGCACTCGGGCGAGAAGAAGTTTGTTTGCCGAGGCGATCTGTCTCGCGGTGGGCAATGGGGCTGTGGCCGCCGGTTTGCCCGCGCGGATGCACTGGGTCGTCATTTCAGATCTGAGGCTGGTCGGATCTGTATCAAGCCGCTGTTGGACGAAGAGGCACAAGAACGAGAACGCACACTCGTGGATCAGCAACAACAGCACCTGCATCCCGTTCCTCAGCCCTTGATGGTTCCTGGCCAGGGTATAGAGGGTCAGCATGGTGGTAATTTTATCTTGCCTGCAGCACTGCTCGCACAATACCCTGCTCTTCAGACATTGCAATGGGACCAGATACCTGCGGGTGCTGATGACCCAAGCGATATTGGCGGTCGCAACAGCTTTGATGCCAGCTCGGGCGGAGAGTATGGTTTCGACGACGACGAATCGGGGATCAGCGTCTCTGGCATGAGCGGAGGCTATGCCAGTGACCACGGCAATATGTATGGAGTGGACCCCCAGCAACAGATGCTGGGCTTGAATCAGGGCGAGTCCTACACCGATTCGAATTGGGGTAAATAACATGCGTTTTTGAATGTCCTTGCCGTCTTCGCCTTCACTTTCCTCTTCTGCCATGACTGTTTCAAACGTGCAGAAGCCTGTTTATTGTTCAACTTTATGGTTGGGTTTTATTTATAGAAGGGGTTTGGCGCTGAGGGGTACAGCATGGGAAGTGGTTCTACCCTGGTTCTTCATTGCCTCCTTCCACCACTCGTTATCTTCTTTTTATTGTCTTTGTTTGATTCCCCTCTGGTCCATCCAGTATTCTACGTGTTTATGACGAGCTTGATTCATACCCCTGGGAGAGTTTTATTTTATTTGTTGTAAGGGCATAGATACCCTGACATTAGCTTGAATTACATTAACATTATCTATACATATATCGCAAAGGTTCCATTTCCATGGGCCTGACACTTTCATTGGATTTATTTGACAGTGATGTATGAGCTTTGCGAACCGTAATCTTTTCACTTCCTACTACTTCCAAGCCATCACTTTTCCAGAGGAAAAAAAAATCAAACGCCACCAAAAACTAAGCCGTAGGAACCATTTCAACCAACTTTCCCACCTCCCCAACCCACTTCCTTGAGAACTCTTCCTCCGTAAACCTTAAGGCTGACTCCCTCGCCCGCCCCCTCATCGCAACCCTCTCCTCGACACTCAGCGCCAACGCCGCCTCAAAAGCACTCGCGAAATCCTCCTCGCTCGTCGCTCGGAAGCCCGTCGCACCGCCGCTCGGCCCTCCCTCTTCTGTCCCAGGAAGATCAACGACGATGTCCTCGCGCGGGCCACCGGAGTCGTGGACGACAGGGATTAGGCCCGCGGCTTGGTACTCGACGACGCAGATACCGAAATGTTCGTTCCACATGGCGTTTACGCCGATTGAAGAGGTGGTGAGACAATCGATGATTGTAGGCCAGGAGGCGTCGCAGAGGAAGGTTGTGTTGTTGCGGATGCGGAGTTCGTGGGCGAGAAGGCGGAGGTTGTAGATGTGGGTCTCGTCCGGACTGGAGGGGCGGACGGTGCCGATTAGAAGGAGTTGGGGTTCTGTCGATGTATCGGTACTCTCTCCTGACGAGTGTTGTTGCTTATGGCGCTCAAGGAAGCAGGCGAAGGAGCGGAGGATGAGAGGGTGGTTTTTTTCCGGGCGGAATTGTGCGATGTAGAGGATTGTAGGTGTGCGTTTCATTTCTGTTTCGTGGTTGACGTGAATGGTCGATTGGATTGCCGAGACCGCGGTTGGGGGAAAGACGACGACGGGGTCTTTGTATTTCAGCGAAGGCGAAGATAAGAGGGGCTGCTGTCGGGATGGGCCCCAAATGGTGCGAATGTGCGCTGATGTCCATGAAGAGTTGCACATGACGACGTCGACGTGACTCCCCACCCAGCCATAGAGACGGGCAAAGGCAAGCCAGTACTTTCGCTTCAAGGTGCCCTTTAGACCAGTGCCAGCGCCAGCGTTGACGCCCTTTAGACCAGACTTGTCGTCTAGAGACTCAAGCATATCTGTGGAGATGGTGGGATAGTGGACGTAGGCTCCTGTTGGAACGGAGGGGAATAGTAACTTGCAAAATGCTACGGCGAAGGCGTAGCCCATGGTGTCGATGAAAATGTCTGGTGCAACGAGTGTCAAGGCGTCATAGGCAACTATCAACGACCCTAGAGACTGGCCTAGAAGAGTCATGTAGGGATACATGGTACTTTGGACATATTTGCGAGTCGATAAATAGAGCAGCTCGACTGTCGAAGCGTGCAAATCAATGTTGAATCGGTTCTGTTACATGGTTAGCAACATACCTGCCAAAGCCGGCCAAATACTGATGCTTACCTGGACCCTTTCCAACATGGCAGTTTTAGTAACGTCTATATCACCAGTGTAAATGGCACAGATAGCTTTGGGCCATCGCTTCTGCGTCGCCCTGACAGCTTCCCAAAGGACACGTTCTCCACCTCCACCAGCGTTGCTTTGAGTCAACCGGTCAGCCTCATCGTTCGACTATAGATACACAGAACGACTTACCAGAAAGGATGGAAGAAACCTATAATTCCTGTCCATTCATCATTTTTTGACTGTCGGGAAGTCTGACTGCCGCTTACGCCGGAGCTTTCCCCCGAGTTGGATCCATTGGAGGTGTCAACTTTCTCCCAGTCTTCGTCATCTGCTGATGTCGCGGTAGAAGTAGATTTTGGCTGCCTAGAGAGCAGTTCCTCCTCGTCTGCCCGCACACGAGCGAGAATGGCGGCCCTGCGAGCCTGTGTCCTCTTGCGGATGACCCAGCCCACGCCACGGAGCACCAAGCGAAGGAGTCCTAGGGGAAACTGTGGGAGCAGCACAAAGGCAGCGAGGAGGGCAATCACAGAGATTACAAACTTGAGCAAAAACATCATCACTGCCTAGATAAGTTGGATATCATAGTAGCTGACACAGAACGCAGGTTTGCCTGTTGCTGAGGGATGTTTTGGATAGAGTTGTTCGAATGAATGTTTGCTGGTCTTTTCGCTATCGATAACAACCTCAGCTCAGGCTAAGAATGCGTATCGTATCGTACGGTATGGTATGATGCCGATCTCAGATCTATAAAAAACCAAGTTGACCGCCCACGTGCTGCCAGTCACCAAAGAGCTTCTGCTTGGGTCCTTTTCTGCCGTAGAAATCTTGTGTTGTTTATTCCCCTGTGTGAAAGTATTCTACAAGTAGTAGTCTCTTTACTTCTGCTCATTCTGCTTTGCACCTGCTTTCTTTGTATCATATTGTCGTTGCTCGGAAAAAAAGACCTTCATAATGTACGCCAGTCGGAGTCTCCTTCGAGTCAAGCCTCTGCAGCAGGCAAGGCGATTCCATCAGACCAGACCAGCTCCGTTCGTCAGTGAGGTGCTGGAGGTCTCATCGAGCTTCATCCACGGTGTGCACTCTGTCAGCCATCTGCCTTGGGCTCTGTCACTTCCATTAACTGCATTTCTGGTCCGTATGGGCGTGGCCTTGCCTCTACAGATCTTTACCAAGGTCCAAGCTCGCAAAGACTCGGACCTCACGCCTGTCCTTATGGCCTGGAGACATCTCTATCAAAAGAAAGCACAGGAGAAGGCAGCTTCTGGTGTCCCGCCTCTCCGGTCAGAGGCCATGCGACAGTTGTCCAAGGATACCTTAGAGCAGCATCGGACTATGCGAGAACGCTGGGGCATCTACCGCTTCTACAGATCCGCTACCTTTCTCCAGATGCCTGTCTGGATCATGATCATGGAAAGCATTAGAGGTATGAGCGGGAACACCAACGGTCTGGTGCCCTATTTGCTGTCCCTCGTATCTTCGTCGACAGAAAGCAGCGCACCCATCATCCCTGTTGAGCCCACACTGGCAACGGAAGGCGCTCTCTGGTTTCCAGATCTATTGGCTGGCGACCCTACGGGTATTCTCCCTGTAGCCATGACATTGTCGATCTTACTGAATGTCCGTATGGGTTGGAACTCGCCAACGTTGAAGGACATTTCATACTTGCCGCGCATGGAAATGGCGAGAGAACTTACGTGGCGTGGTCTCAGGTTTTTTGTCCAGATTCTCGCTCTGAATATTGGTATCTCATCCTACATGTATGAGATGCCAGCAGCCCTTATGATATACTGGATCACTAGTGCCAATATCGCGACTTTGCAAACCTTTCTTCTGCAAAGATACATGTTCCCCACGCCCTCACTGAAGCCTTGGAAAAAGGTACACATTGGCTATTCTTGAAGGAGTTGAACGTCTATGGTACAGGCTTCAAAGAGAAAACAAAAATGAAACACGGCGCCATGAAGGCACAAATACCTGAAAAAAACAAGCGATATGTGGCCGAACTCGCCAAAAGAAAAGTCTGGGAGCGATATTGTCCAACGACGCGGAAATAGAACGACAAGAAAATGAGCAAACGACAATTTAGATAAAAGCAGGAAGCGGTGCAGGGACATCATCGGGGTAGCTTCCAGGAAAGCTGTTAACGAGCACCTGTCGATGAAGCTTCGCGGCATTCAGCTCCCCCCAGCTGAGGTTCAAGTGCGGGATTTGAGCCATTCTGATGCGGATGAACTCAAGGCCTGGGGTATCCGAAAACACCCAGCCGTATTCGCGTTGAAACACACTTGGGTGGTCGCCTATGTACATGGCTGCGAATGCGTCGTCAGCACGGTTCCAGTTAGGCGGCGCCCAACAAGGCAGAGCAGGGTCAATATATTCAAAATCTCCAGGATTCGATTGCTTGACATCAAGTTTCTGGGTCCCCCAACGGACATCAGGGTTGGATATGTTGGCTTCATAAAGCACGCAACGGGCCTCTGCGAGTTGCATGGAGTGAGTCTCGCCAGGAAGGTACTTGCGAAGAAATGTCAGCTGCTTGTATGCATTGATCCCGCCCAATCTTGCGGCAACGAAAGTTTCTTCGACCGGAGGGTCAAAAGCAAAGACCGCCTGGAGATGGTCGGTAATAACTTCCACGGAACCGCGACAAGACCAGAGGAAATAGTCATGGTGCGTATCCCAATTGGTGGGCCAGGTAGTTGGATCTGGTTCTGTGTCCAAGTGACGGGGCGAGGCGATCTCTGCAGCCCGCCGCTCTCGTTCGATTACTTCGTGGCGCCCTCCAAATATTTCCTCCCAGGTCGGAATTTCAGCCGGTGGGCGGGGAGGTCTGACGGGTGGTAGCCGAGGACGGCGTCTTTCACCTTCCCCACCTAAGGACTCGAGCTGGGTCTGGATATTGAAAATTGCGGCTCTACTAGCTTCGATTTCGGTCTGGAAATTAAAGGCTGCTGCTGTGCTAGCAGCTGCTCCAAAAGCCACATCGACGATCCCATGCTGGTCACTCACGAACGAAGCTGGTATCGCCAAAGGAGACATGAACTCTGGGCTAGTATCTCCTGAGCGGCTACTGTGAAACGCAACGCCGGCAACAGTTCCCTCGGATTGCAGGCAGTGCATGAGTTGAAGGGTAGCATCGAGGTCGTCGAGTTCGCTATCATGTTCGTCACCGGAAGAGTCGTTGTGATGCCCGGGAGTTGACATGACGAACCGACTGTTAAAGTCGCCTGGTCAGTCAAAACATCACAACAGCAGCTCAACGGCAGCACGACATACATACCTGTAGGCGATTATGGCACTTTGATTCCCGTCGTCGTTGAGATATATAGCCAATACTTCTCCCTCTCAGCTTGTCGCCGATCTCAGCAAGAGCCATAAACACAAAACAACACAACATCAGCAGCGAAATCTCACCTGTGGCGACTCACCCAGCAACCAGCCTCAAGCAAGTTCCGATCAGAGAGAAAACGAGCCAACGAATCACGATAGCTATCCTGCCCGATCAAGGACGAAAGCAAGATATTGGATGAACAGAGTCAAAGAAGAACACAATGTGTTTGCAGCTTATGCTTAAGGGAAGACAAGAAGAGATAGAAGCGAGCGGACCGAGTACCAAGGCTGTGTTTGCCTGCTAAACAAAGGCCTCATTCATCTCTTCACTTTCCGCTGTTGCTGTTGCTGTTGGCGACATCACTTTAAGACAGAACGCTCACTTGTTCTCCTCCCTTGAATGGGTGAATTAGCTTGAAGGAATTCACCTTCACAATCCACTCTCTTTCTACTCTCTACTTTTGCACAATCAGCTTGTCTGACTGATGACTATCATCTGGATTTCTTAGACCCTGTTGCACCCAGGTATCAGGCTACCCATGGTATTTTGTTCTGGTCCGTCTCGAACTACTCAGGGCAAGTCAGCTCACGTGATACTCTCCTATAGCAACCATTGGATGTTTCCAAATTGGTAAAAATGTACCCAGGTACCTAAGTCTCGTGTGAATTGCTATAGGCCAATGACATGATGTACATGATATTATATCGGCGGATTTGGTCATCATATCTACTCAAAACAAGGCAACCTCAAAAGCGGCAATCCGATCCCAAACGTACAGAGGAAAACAAAACGCCAAAGTATCTGCCCATAGACTGGCCTGAGTATCTGAGCTGTATCGTGAGAGTTGCTCTAGGATATATTGAAACATCGTAATACCTGCGAAGAAACGAAAAGCGAGTAGACTAAAAAAAGAAATGGGTATTGTGTGTGTTCAAAGTTTGGCCTTGACCTTTTCTTCTGATGCGCTGGCTTCTTCGTTGATTGAGATTGTGCGGTTGTCGGGGCTGCTACCAAAGAAGATGACTTCAACGGTTACATCGTCGCTGATCGGACGTCAGTGTATTCTGTCCTGGTATGTTTTACGAAGGGAATTATTGGCTTACCGATATCGCCGAGAATAGGGACTAGGAAGAGTTAACAAGGCGCAAAGCATGTCCTTGTCCTTTCCACCCATTGCGTTGCGGACGAGATGTGTGGCCGCATTCTTGTCCTCTACAACGAAGCGGCTGGCGGCACCTGAAATGTCGTACTGCTGTTGACGGATGGGGCGGCGCTGGCCATCCGTGCTTGTCTCTTTCGGTGTTTCCACAGGCAGCTGGTTTTGTTGGGAGCCGAAGAGGCTCTTTACCCAGCTCTTGTTGCCCGCTCCAGTTTGCTGCTCTTCAATCCATTGTCCGACCAGACCGACAACTTCTTCGTTGCTCAGCATTTCCCAGAGGCCGTCGGTCGCGAGGACAACAAAGTCCCCTTGACTGGGATCGATCTTTGTAGTCGTGATAATGGGCTCAGCGGTGACATAAGGCGGCGTCTTTAGTAAGGGGTGCGGAGTACGACCAAAGAACTGTCGCTTGATCTTTTCCTGCGTCTCCTTGCTCCATTTGTAGAATGCATCTCCGAAGGAGCGGCTGGGCTCTAGCTGGCCAAGAATGCGGCCATTACGCACCACATTGGGCTCGCCTGGGTGTTCTTCGCGCAGTCGCTTCATTTCGGAGGGCGTACCGCCAGTTTGATCTTCCGAAAGTGCTGTCGCTGACCATTTCCCGTTCGCACCGCGACGGCCTAGAACCGCCCGGGAGTCGCCGGCGCAAGCAACCTTCAGGTCATTGTTTTGTGAGTCGTAAAATGCAAGTAGAGCACAGGAGCCTGAGAGAGCAGGGGCAAGTAATTCGGCGGCGGCGCGGCGCGAGTTGGATTTTAGGACCTTGTCGACGCTGCTGTGAACAATATCGTCATCCAACCGGACAAAACCCTGCTTGATAGCGGCATCAACGGCCGCGGATGTTGGCACTAGGAGCGAGGGGTCGGATGACGCAGACTTGTAGGTGCTGTTTAGTTCTCGAGCGACGTAGGAAATGAGTACGTTGCGCAGCTTAGCAGAAGTTGTCCAGCCACTGAAGACGAAAAGTTAGCGACAAAAAAATACTTTGTAGTTCTGCAGAACTTACGAGTGACCATCAAACACTGCCCAGAACATCCAGTCGCTGCTGGACTGCCCTTCGCTAGCCGCAGCTGTGGTTGCCGGCACCTCGACTATCTTCTCCGCATGATCGTCTTCAATTGGGGAATTACTCGGTACCTGAACGATGTCATAGCGAATAACCCCTTTACCCCGGTTGACCAAATACGATTCCTCGTTCTTCCTCAGCTTCTGCGTCGCTTGCTCGGGGGTCAGCATCTCCAGAACTCGACGATCGGAGTCGTCGGTGTTTTTGTGCAATGGCTGCTCTCCGGAGAGGGTCGCGGTATAGAACTGGTCGTTATCTACTAAAAGTGCGCGGCGAGTAGGTTCAGCAGCGCCCTCAGCAAGGGCACTTGACGTTAATGATCGGAATTGAGAAGATGATGCTCCAGGTGCGGCGGGCGTCTGCTGGGAGCTATCCCCCTGATAAGCATACCAAGCCCCGGAGGCGACTACTGTCGATATCACTGCGACAGAGAATGTCCGTAGATGCATCGAAGACTGTAGGGAAGCGGAGAGAAAGGCAGGATGTCTGGCCGAGGTGTAGGGGCGGAGGCTAGAGTGGCTGCTTGTGAACGATAGCGCAGGCGGTTTCCTACCACCGACCCGCCATACTGGTGCACGACGAGCAGTACGAAACGCTTGAATAGCTGCACGACGCATTGAGCCAGCGGTAAAAGAGAAGATAGACTGAGAGCACGGAGGCTTTAGTGACACTGAAGCCTTGATGGAAAGGAGAAATAAGACAAGGAGATGAGGACGGGGCTGCGCTGCTGGGGTCTCGTGAGTGCGGTGAGCGGTGAGTGGAGGGTGTGGCAGAATAGTGAATGTTACTCCGCACTAAGCCCAACTTGCAGTGTCGTCATTCCCCGCAGTCAATTTTCAAGAGCTTCAGCTATTTACTCAAACAACCGCGCAGTCGAGTGGTCAGTGTTTATTTGGCCTCGAGTCCCTTTCCTTCTACTCTGACTCTCCTGAATGTCCTCACGTGCGATCCGCAAGCTGCAAAAGCTGCAGGACCAAGAGTCGCAGCGAGCACAACAAGAAAGCCATGACTCAAGCGAAGATGAATTCGTCGCAAGACCGACAAAACCGAAATTGAACGCCTTTGATCTTCTAAATGCCGCGGATGAAGGTGACGATGATGAACAGCAGTCAGATAATGAACCCGTTGAGGTAGTGGCCGAGCCGATCCTGGATGTATCCCCCACAACAACGACGGAATCCGGGAAGAAGAAAAAGAAAAAGGCAAAAAATAAGAAGAAGAAGAATGCACTGAAACAAAAGCATGCAGATGTCAAGTCAGATGATGAATTGGATGAGATTGATCGAGCGTTGGAAGAGCTAGCTGTCCAGTCGAACGGAGACATAGCCGTCGGAACCCGACAACCCACAGTTGACGATTCTTTCCCAAAAAAGCCCGAAGACCTTCTCTCTATTGAGCCCAAGGCCCTCAATGCGACGAATGAGATGCGAAAATTGTTCGGCAATGTTGTCTTGGAGAACTTTGATACGGATTCTAGCTCGGGTCGAAGGCGGGACAGGGCACGAGAAATGGTAGACCTAGGCCGCGCCTTGACGGGTAGATACAGCCCGGCAAGCCGTGGGCAGAGCTTAGGAGGAGTTACGCAGCGCCGTAACATTTTGTTCCAAGGCAAAGACGAATGGCCACGAGCTCCTAGTGGTGGTCTTGGGATGGAAGTGGTAGAATCACTTCCAAGCGGCGCTACCGTCTATCGTGTCATTCACAATGCTGCCTATCAAGATGTTCAGAGGCAGTTTGAACTTTGCGTGGAGTCCATGGATCCGCAGAGAATGATTCAACTGCTACAGTATAACCCCTATCACATCTCAACCCTCCTTCAAGTGTCGGAAATCGCGAAGCATCAAAGCGACTATGCTGTATCCGCTGACCTACTCGAACGAGCATTATTCAACTTTGGACATTCTGCTCATTCTTCTTTTGGAAATCGGATAAAAGAAGGAAGAGCTAGACTCGACTTTCTTCATGCAGAAAATCGCGAGCTGTGGCTCGTCGGGTGGAGGTATATTGCCAACTTAGGAATGAAGGGAACCTGGAGGACTGCTTATGAATGGGCCAAGTTCCTTCTGAGCCTCAATCTGAACGATCCTTATTGCATAAGGCTCATGATTGATAATCTGGCGCTGCGTGGCAGAGAATGGCTCCATTTCATCGAACTGTGTACGCAGACGAGACTAAGTACGGAGTGGAAATATCTCCCGAACATTCAATGCTCCCTGGCGCTGGCTTATCTAAGGCTAAATAAGCCTAAGGAGTGTAGGGAGCAGCTCCGCGTTGCAATGGCTCGTTACCCATGGGTGTTTTGCAAGATCGCGCAGGAGCTGGATATCCAGCCAATCCCGAAACGCATTTGGGGTAAATTACCGCCCACTGATGGCCATGAACTGTTCACCGAACTCTACATAGTTCGTACCAAGGATTTATGGAATACTCCAGAAGTGGTTTCCCTCATCGTGGAAGTGGCAGATACACTAGCGGAGAGGGATGAGCCCATTGAGCCACCGGAGATCAGTCTTGATATTGCTCGTCATGTGGTACTCTCGGATATACCTCGCGTTACGACGCATCTGCCAACACGTTTTGTCTCTGGCCGGATTTCCGCGTCGGATCCGCTCCCACCATACGATTCAGAAGCATTTCGACAGCAGTCTGACCCGACCCCGTCTTATGTGCAACAGATACCCGAGGCAGGGCGACCTCAGTGGCTTCGAAACCTATTGGATCAACTCAACAACGGCGCCATTCACTTTCCCCGCTTCCGGGCCGGGGGCGGAGAGGAAGCCGGAGAAGATGATCCTTTGGAACAAGGACCAATAGAAGATCATATACTGCCAGCCTCTGGTCCTGAGGAGCAAGTAGTGCTCGAACAGTGGCTTCGTGGTGATGGATTGCACAGTCTTGACGCATTCATCCGCCAGTATGGTGTTGACCGGGGAAATTGGGATCTCGAGATTGACTACTCGCCACTACATGAGTATGCAGACGCTTTGAATGCGATTGAGCCAAACTCTGCCCGACAAAGGTTGCTGGACGGTCCGATCCGGGAAGCTCTTGGCTCAATGGTCGTAGGCTTGCTGCAGGAAGAGTTGGAGTTTCTGCGGGCGGGCGGCGATGAGTGATACTCGAGCTTTCTAGGTAGCTATACGAGAGAGCTCTGAAGTTTAGGGTCGGCACTCGCTCCGACTCTCCAAGTCGGTAAGCGCCGACTTCTGCGAGTTCGTAGAATTACGGTGGCGCCGATTGGCCCTTCGAAATCCTCCACGCGATCGTCCCACGATAACTGCAGATACGTCATTATCGTGCATATTGGCTTAAACAATATAGAAAACCAGAAAGGAAAATTTCCATATATGAATATTTGCGACAAAAGACGATAAAAGGCAGTATGCCTCTAGGGGCTCCCCCGCTTAGTCAAAAAGTCACTGACTCACGGCGGATCCACCCCGCAATCGGCCGTTGGAGAAGCTTCAAGGATTCCTCTTTGATGGAAATCTCTGCGGCATCAGTCCATACTACCACGTCTACTTCACATCCATGCGACTCACATTCTTTCCTATATAACCCGAGCTTTTACTCTTATCAGACGTGGAACCCCCGCACAATGACGGGAGAATCAGTTCAAATAACCCCACGAGAAGCTGCATCAGGACTGCTTGGGTCAATATCATTAACCTGTTGGATATTTCTTCTGGTACGCTGACCTCCAAAGTTCCCGCTGAATAAAACCCGCCAATGATGAAAGAAATCCTAACCTTGCTTAATTAGGTACCTCAACTCATCGAAAACTACCGCAATGGTAACGCAGAGGCCATCTCCCTTCTCTTCCTCTTCGTCTGGTTCGTCGGCGACATCACAAACCTCGCCGGTAGCGCCTGGGCCGGTCTCGTCCCCGTGATTGTCGCGATCGCCGTCTACTTCTGTATCGCAGATGGCGTCTTGATCGGGCAATGTTTATACTACCGCGCTAGGAATTCGCGACGTAGCGCTGCGCTCGCCGAGCACTCTACGACCACAAACTTGGAGCCCACAACGCCGCTTTTAGGCCGGAGATCAAGTGATGCGCTTGCTGAGGCGACAGCTGGCCGGCGACGGAGAGGTTCTAGACCTTCATATAGTGCTATCCCCGGTTCCGGAGCAAATGGTGCCTCTCAAGGGCCTGATGATACGCTTGCGAAACTCGTCGAGGAGAATAGCGCAGGCCAGGGTGTCTGGTTCAAGAACATGAGCAGTGTGTTGGCGATTTGCGTGATTGGGATGGTGGGTTGGACATTCGCCTGGCAGACCGGCGTATGGAAGCCCGCGCCGCTGGAAGGTGGGAATGGGGGAGTCGATATGGCGCCCGGAGCGCAGGTCTTGGGATATATCTCTGCCATTTGTTATTTGGGGTTCGTTCACCTTGATTTAACTCTTTCTATTGGTCTCATCTGCTGGTTTCCGAGGTTGACTGACAGGATCGTCATTTAGTGCTCGACTACCTCAGATATATAAGAATTACTGCGACAAATCCTGCGAAGGTGAGAATCGCATCTTTCGCATCGCGAAAATTTGGTAGCTAACCGTCCTCATTGCAGGCCTGTCACTACTTTTCTTTATCCTCTCTCTTCTGGGTAACTTGACCTATGGCGCTGGAGTGAGTCCTCTCTTCCCTTGGACGAGTTGCGGAAGTTTTACTAAGATTGTCATAAGATCCTCTTCCATTCCACGGAAAAGAACTATATCATTACGAATTTGCCTTGGCTGATTGGTTCGTTGGGGACTATGGCAGAGGATGTCACGATCTTCGCACAGTTCCGTCTGTACGCGGTTCGCGATTCGGACGCGGCCGTGGCGTGAGGCAGGGTATATGCGGCTGACGCGATTGTATGATTGATGTTGTGATTGGGTATGAAATGTATTGTTCACTGGCGTTAGCGTGTATGTCGAGTGCTACCTAGTATTGCTTTGGCTTTAGATGTACGGTGAGAAAATGGAGCTTTGACTTTTTTAGGAAAGTCCGTTTATCGGGAAAGGAAATCTAGTGCAGACGGAAACCTTTTGTTCATGGTCGCATGACGGACATCGAATAAGAGCTGGGCACCTAAGCTCCAAAAATATCAAGTAGCTGATCAACATATATCAGATAGAGATCCGAAGGCGGCCAAGCAGAGCTCGCCCGTCGACTACCATACATGTTGCCTGTCCGTCAACCATTATGCTCCTAACAGCCGAAATCCTAGCGTCATTCGATCCAGTACCTCTGCCATGACGGAGTCCATCATGCAAAGCATAGCGCCCAGTCCCAAAGATGTCCTTGTCCGTAGATTTTTCTTTTTTGCGTTTTCCCTTTTTTGATCTTCGCGCAGGTTGCGGTATATCGGGTACAGAGAGATGTGAGAGGGCGGAAGAGAGGAAGCGAGGTCGGAAAGAAGCGAGGTGAGGAAAAGAAAAAGGAAAAATAAACGGGAAGCCGAACGGGTTGGCGAGACGCTTAGTCGAAAAGACCGAAGCCCATGTCCTCGTCGGACTCCTCCTTCTCTGTAGCCCATATGTTAGCCACTGAATCGAGACCGGATTCTTCTTCTGCTGGAATCGTTGTTTACCTTCTTCCTTCTCCTCAGCGGGAGCAGCAGCGTCACCACCAGCGGCGGGGGCAGCACCGCCAGCGGCAGCGGGAGCGGCAGCACCAGCAGAGCCGACGTTGGTCAGGAGGTCCTTGACGTCCTTGCCCTCAAGAGCCTTGGCGAAGATGGAAGTCCAGATGGGCTCAACTTCCTGGACCTTGGCAGCAGTCAGGAGAGTCTGGAGCTTGTCGGCCTATATGTTCCAGATCAATCAGCCCTTCATATTCTTTCAAGCCCAGTTTGCGCCGCCCCAAACGTCCAATCCCTCGATCAAATTCTTCATTTCCAACTCCATCACCGTATGCGACAACCCTCAATCTCCGATCACAGTTCCCTGAGCAGGGTATAACGAGGTTATACGTACGGTGATCTCAATGCCCTCATCGGCAAGGATGAGGGAGGCGTAGGAGCAGGCGAGCTCGGCGGTAGACATGGTGGTCGAGGGTTGTCGTTGGACTGTACTGGAGTCTCGAGAGGAATGGGGGGAGGAGGAAGATAAAAGGACGGATCGACTTTGAAGAGCAGCAAACTAGGCCCAAAAATTGAAGTGCGCCGCTTCGTATTTAGGGTTCGTTTAAGCACGTGACTGGATTTTCTTCTGCCTGAGGCGCTGACACGGCTGTCCGCCACCAGGCCGGATCGGGAAGGCACGTCATAGGTGGGCAGCCCAGCCTGGGAATAGTGCCCGGCTGCGGACCTGTGGTGCTCCTTTACAATCCAGTATAGAGAACTGTACTACTGCGCACTCCGTACTCCGAACCTCCGTCTCAAGCTTTTCTCTTTCCTTTTCCCCCTATTTCATCGCTGCTGCCTTATCAAGCCGCTGAGCTTTATCTCTCAGTATTTATCTCCGACTCGTACTCCGTGATGGAATCCCCCGCCATCTTCACCCCGCTTGATCCGAAAGAACAGCCGATTCTGGAATCCGTACTTCGACTTCGGGATGCGCTCCTTTTATTAAAGCAGGACAAATCGTCCTATATTCGATCCCGCGATGTTCTTCCGCTCTATGAAGAAGTGATTGCAGAGGTGGAAAAGCTCAATACTTTTCGGAAAGAAAAGGATCGTCGTCTCGCACATAACCGATGTTAGTATCCCCAGGCGCAGGCATATTCCACCATAAATTATGCTGACTATAGTATCTTCGGGTACTGTACAGTGGACTACGTTCTAGACGACTGCTTTCAACTTATCTCGCTGCTATTTTTGACTGTTGGGAGGAACAACGAGGCTCCGGCAGTGTAAGTACCTCCAAGATCGAAATTGGAGACCGCCGCTAATATAGCTATCGCATGGCAGATACTCTCTCGCAGCGACAGTACAGGTACGTTCGCAAAACACCCACTCTTCCGTCTAGTTCCCGGACGCTGACTGGGCTTGCAGCGACTCCTCGACCACTTAGAAGAAGCTGGATTCTACAGTACCAAAGACCTTAGCTCGATCACAAAGACGCTTGCGGATATGCATGAGACATTAGACCGCGGTCGGGACACCTACTCACCAGCCCTGTTGACACTCTTGGAAAGCCGTCTGGATAAATGCAAGATCAAGTTGGAGAAACTGCAGAGCGGGCTTGCCAAATTAAGCCCTGAACTTGCTTCAACGCACGAAACGCTGGTATCAATCCTCCGGTCAACCTCGGCCGTAAACACTCGCTCCAAGTTCTCTGCTTCGGAGGTCAATGGGCTTCGAGAGCAATTGAAAAAGATAGAAGATACAACAAAGGACGGCACCTTTGTGGACGCAAGCGGCAACCCATTACCAAACCAGGAAGACGTCAAAATGCTGCTGCATCGTTGTTGGCGCTGGAGTGACATAGTCCTAGAACGGTCGGTAATGACTATGTTTGTTGAGATTGCAAGAGTTGGCTAACAGTTCAACAGCGAGGGTAAGATTGATGAGCGGTTTCAAGAGCAGTATGAGCAATTACTCGATATCCGCAATCAGCTAGATAGACTCTCGGTCACGCAAGCTTGGTCTCTCCGCGAGACGGACCTGTTCGTATACCAGCGCAAGCTCGATCGGATTGACGAATCTAGAGTCAACGGCAACTTTGTCGATTTCGAGGGAAAACCAGCAGATCTTCATGCGCAGCGGGTAAGGAGCCCTTCCAAAGGCAGTTATATTAACGTGCAGGGCTAATTACCAAACAAATAGACTCTTCTCTATCTCATTAGAAGGAGTTATGCATATGTGTATGCCCTCCTTATTTCATCGGAGCCAGTCTCGGAGGCACTTCTCCCAGTGTACAACCAACTCCAGACGCTACGCCGTTGCTTGTTTGAAGTCAAAGAGTCCGGCGGCGTGTCCAGCCCGCGAGAACTCTACCCTTACAGTATGAAGGTATTGTTCAATCCAGGTCACCAGCGGTATTCTCTGTCTAACTCAATATCAGCTCAACTCAATCGACAATATGCGCGTCGACGGCAAATTCTATGTCGGCAACGATATCCCAGAGGGACAAGGCGGCGTAAACGCCTTGCTAGCGGAATGCTACGATCTCGTTTGGGAGCTGCGAGCGGCTGTAGCAGAGGACAAGGAGTAGCTGCAGCCCTTTACATTCTACCTATCTTCTTGCTCCTCTCTCTATGCTCTCTTGTTATGTGTTTTCTTCCTTGATGTATGATGATGACCTGGGATTGGGAGGCTCGTGGTGATTTGGGCTTCTCTGAGACGGCGTTAAACAGGCGCCATAATCGTGTGGATTTCTCAGTTGTACTTTTTATTTTCTTCAATGATATCTATGGAAATGCTTTAATCTCTAATTATCTGCCCGTTGCTAAAGCTTGGCTGATTTTTTCCTCGGTTGTGTGTGCATCCAACATCGACAGTCGAAGGATATCATAATTAATTCAGTTTCCCCTTGCTAAGAAGGCAGTTGATAACCATATGTACTTGACACATCATTCATTGTCTAGACATGAAATTGTTAAATTGTTCAAAAGGAAAGAGTCTCGTTCGTGGTAAGAAAATCATTACATGAATCAATGAAGAGTAATTACTGGAAGTAGCTGCGGACCGCCGCCTGGTTGTCTGGGTTGACACCTGCGAGAATCTGGTCCGCATTCAGTCCTGTTGCCTGCACCAATTTCTTCGCGGCATTGGCCACACGCCCGGCGGTTTGGCCCTGAAGAGTCTCGGCCTCCAAAGCCTGTACAATATAGCCAAAGACCTTGTCTGCGTTGGACATGACCGCGGGATGTTGTCTAGTCGCGTTAGTCAAGCGGTCAAGGTTTTGTCTCAGGGATGTTACTTACTGGTCAATCAGCTGTGCTAAGAAGGAATACGCATAAGGTGCAGCCTCTTCGTCGTAGGTAATGGGCAATGTGGAAATCCAGTTGCCGGCCATCTCTGCCGCATTGGGCACCTTGCTGACGTTGTAGTGCAAGATCTTGGCAATACTTGCGGACGCGTTCTCAGTAGCAAACACATGTTCCTCAGTCCGTGACTGGCTAAACTGTGTGACCTGGAAAAGGCTCGGAAGGCAGGCGGCAACGAACTCGCTCCATGGCGCACCACCCTTGGAAGCAGCCACTCCCACACCATAAGCCGCAGCCTGGCGGTTGGCTGCATTGGCGTCCTGAAGTCCGGCAGCCAATGGCTGCATGATATGGTCCTTGTAGCGCCATGAGTCTGGGCCACAGAACTCAAGCACGTCGTCCATGATACATAACGCCCATTGTCGCTGGGTAGGATCCTGACTTGTGATGAATGCGTCGTAGAATGGCATCAGCTGCTCCCAAGTGGAGAGAAAAGATGTGCCTTGGTTTTTGAAGATTGTGTGGAACGCCTTGTTCATATCACTGAGAAGGTTCTGGTCATCCTCTATGGCATACTCGTAATCCGGATTTTCCTCTTCGCCATCGTCGGCTTCCGCCTTCTCCTCTGCCCGCGCCTTGACTCTCAGCTGGTAATCCTCCAATGTCGACTTAGCGGATTGAATAAAGGCCTGCAGGTGCTGTTCAGATAAAGAGTTCCTGCCAACAACCTCAACGGATTCGTAGAAGCATTGATACATCTCGGCGAGTGTGTCTACGGTCGGCTCCGCACTCAGGACCTCGATAATCTTTTCGGCAACTTTGACCCACATGGCGGCGAACCCGGCTGACTGCACGCCATGTGCCTTTTTATATGAGTTGAGGAGCTGTGGAATTAACTTTGCTGATGACACTCGCACCGGATCGTGGAAGAAAAAAGCCAGTCCTGGGACGGCAATTTTCTCCATCGTCTCCAGCACATAGGGTTCAAAGGCAGCCTCCAGGATCTGGGCGTAGATTGTGATAAGTTCAATGGCGGTATTCTTGTCTTCCAGGGCGCTGGTCTTGATTCCAATGATCTTGCCCTTGAGTGGCACGAGCTCCCAGCCCTCATCCTGTTCCACCTGGTCGATTTGGTCCTCGTCATCGAGCAGCTGAATGTCGGCTTTGGCAGCAGCAACGGCCAAGAGCGGCGGCATAACACCAGGAAGGTAAGGAACAAAATCTTGTCCAAGAACTCGGCACATCCGTCCCCAGCAGTGAAGCAGATATTGCGACTGTGGGTCGTCGGCGTCGACAATGTTCTCTTGGATGTTTCCAAGGAGCTGAACCAGACTCAAGGCATCCTGCCCCATCTTGGTTTTGCCGACGGCCAGTGCGATAAGCGTAGCGCATTCCATGGCCTTCGCACGGAGCAGACGGTACTCCTTGGACTGCTCTTCCTTCAATACGTTGAAAAGCAGCGGCATCAGGGTTGCGTAATACTGCTCAAAAGCGGTCTCGGCAGAGTCGGCGATTGTGGCGATCGTGGACAATGCTTGTTCTTGAACATAGCGCTTTTCGCTGCGGAGGAGCTGCAGCAAGTGCTGGAGCAGATCAGCAAGGTAGGGTTCAAGAATCTTACGTTCCGCCTCCTCACAGAAGTTGACGAGCGCAGCGGCCGCATGGGCCTGAACACGAGGCTCGGCGCTGTTGAGAACTGGAATGATGTTGCTGAGCACAACTTGATGATACTTTTCTTGCATCGTACCCGCAAAATCCGTACTCATCTGGCCAAGAGCATTGCAACCAGCGTATCGAACACGTGGGTGGGGGTCCCGCAGTGCAGGAACAACAAGCTGGAGGACTTGATCTAGTTCACCAACCATCAAATCGCGGCAACCTTCCGAGATGGCAGAGATAGCCATCAGTGCGGCATGGCGATCGCGCCAAGCAGACGAGGACATCATTTGAGGAATCCATGCAAAAGTCGCCGGAAGGACAACCTGGCCTCCAAGCTTGTTGGCTAGGCGATCCATGCATTGTTCACCCGCAACATGGTTAAGGTCACTTTCCTCAAGGTCGAGCTGCGGACATTAGTACCGACATAAATCGAGGCAAAGCAAAAAGAACATACATCTTCAGAAGCATTCCACTCAGAGGCATCATCATCATCCACACCAATGTCGGTCATCAGGCTCAAACACTGAGTTACCATCTCTTGCGTGAAATCGGGGTCCTTTTTGCACGTCGCAGGGGCATAGTCCGCAAAAGTTGCCATCAACTCCAAAGCATTTTGCCTGACTTGATCGCTGAGTTCTTTGTCGGCGATGACGCTGACACTAAATTTGACCAAGTTGTTGAACAAGCCCTTGAACATCTTCGGGCAGATTTCCGCCAGTTCGATCAAGGCAAGGAATGCTGATGAAAGCTCCTCGCTCTCAGAAGCCTCTTTCAGAGGAGGCAAAATGTTAAGCAGGTCGGGCATGAGCGGGAAGAACTTGGGTTGTGACTTTTTGGGGAGAGAGCGGAAGAATGAAGTGAACGCTTCTAGAGCTGCGATGCGAACCTATATGTCGTCAAAACCAGTGCTTGCAACAAGGAGCTGGATACATACCGACACAACTTCGTCTTTGATCTTCTTACCGAAAACGCCCAACACAGCATCTTCATGAGGCTTCTCGATAATACTAGGGGTAGTTGAGAAAATGCGGAACGCGGTCTCCCGTAGACCTGCTTCAGGGGATTGACTAGCCTGGAACAGGATACCTAGTAGTTCCGGCCATTGATCGCCTAGCAAAGAAGAAAAGACCACTCGTCAGATCGAACATCTCTTGTCACCCAATCATTCAACCCCAGCATTGTGTGCATACCGTTGTCGGTGTATTGTCTTGCAATCTCAGCCACCGCGTCTCCAATCTTCCTCCGAACGTCATTCGCAGACTCATTGGTGAGGCAAGCGACCAGCTTCTGCCGGATAATCAACTTCTGCTCGTGGTTGAGAGTTGAGAAAAGCTCTTTGGCCTCGTTCGTCACGGGATCTTTTCGTGTTTTGGTTGCGATTCTTCGGAATAAAACAGCCGCAAACGAACGTGTCTATGACAAGCCAACTGATTAGAATACGATCATCGCGTTTGCTGCGGGAAAGTCTTTGACAACAGCGGCGACAAATGGTGTTGTGTTTGGGCCTCGTCTCGGAAACAACCCCTCAACACAGTTCTTTCACCCAGATCAAGCACTTACCATAGTACTTTCTGCGCCCTCAAGCTGCTCCGCGAGGCCCATTAACAGGACATCGGGACGGTTTTGGATCCAGTCATTATTCAGCTGCTCCTCAGCCTGAGACCGGATTGTGTTATCTGCAGTGCTCAGTCCGCTCAGCAGCTGAGAGAGGGCGGAGTGGACTTCGGGAGGCAGCAGCGACATCTCGCCTGCTGTGCTCAACCTCAAATTCCAGACCAAGAGAAAGAAAGAAGGTCAGATCGCGTTCCCAAAGGAAAGTCGGAACGCGGGCCCAGAGTTGTAAACCAAGTGGTCAAGAGTAGCGGCGGTGGTGTCGAGGATATTTTTTTGCAATTGTTTTTGGTGGGGCGGTGGGAGGTCAATCTTCAATGTACTTTCGAATTGAGGGGTTGTGTCAAGGTGGTCTACCACCAGATATGAGACGAAAGAGATGTGTTTCTTAGCAGCCGAGTGAAGATAAATACTTAAAGAAGAGAGAAAAGGAGTGACCGACCATTGAAAGGATTAAACTCGAGGCTGATGCCGGAGCGGCTCTCATTCAAGACGTCCCTTTGTGATCACGTGTTATCCTGAAGGAGTTATATGGAACTAGTCCTAAGGCCAAAATAATTGGTGCCTGAAGATAACCTTGGAATGTGACTTATCGATTGCGAGTTGCCTAGGTAGAAGCACCAATAATGCTTCATGTACTCCTCAGTCAATCACCAATGTTGGTTTGCCCTTTTCCCTCTGTTTTTGTCTATCAGAAAGTCTGAGCCTCCTTTCTGATTAGTTTGATTCAAGAGGAGAAACTCCAATCTTGGACACTTGGAACTAGGCACACTATCATGTGCAAATGGCTTAAATTACCAGGGAAACATTCGAGAACGAGTGCTTTCATGTACGCCAGGCCTTGCGTACGGGTTTAGAAACATTAGACTGCAACATGATCTTTATCGTCATTTTTGGTATTGTCTTATTGAGTCCCATACCCCGAGACTAATTAAACCCTTTTCAACCCCGAAAGCGAAATCCATTCATTTCGATTGAACCGAGTAAGAGTCTGGTCACAGAAAAAGGGAAGTGTAACATTCAATGTCGTTTAAACTAATTCCATTTTTTCCGGAACTTCCTTAGAGAGCCTTAGCGGCCTGAGGGGGGTTCAGCTTCTTGCCGTCCTTGTTGTACCTGATGCGAGGGGGAGGGGCACGGTTGCGGCGACCTTCCCGGGAGCGGACACTGTAGATAATCGTTAGTATCAGCATTGGGCGATTGTCGGTTGTGGCAACTGGGAGGAGTCGTACCGAACGATCTTGCCGTGGATAGCGCACGAGACGCAGTACTGCAGCTTGAGGTACATCTTGGGGACGGCGTAGTCGGTGAAGACGGAGGCGTCGGAGATATCACCTATAGTGAGCAGAAAGAGCCCAGGTCAGCCTCAATCTCATTCGAGATATCCAGAGCCTCCGATCCGAGCGCGTTGTTGTCACTATTCATGCCATTCTCGAGTTGCAGTCCGATCATCCTGTCCATCTCTTCCCAGTACAGCAGCGCGCGACGGATCGGAGGTTCTTGTTCGTTTGCGGTGTGAACGTACGGATGGCAGCGGACTCAACCATGTTGCGGATGGTGAATCTCTTGATGGCCTTGTCCTTGGGAGTGCAGCGGGCGCAGTTGGAGCAGCGCACGGGCTTGACGTGGCCGCGGCCGTTCTTGTTGCGACCGCTGTAAAACTGTTAGCCTATCTCATCCTTTCCTTGTTGGCTCGGCATAAAAATTGTTGCAGAATCGATTGGCCTCTCTTCTATCTCCGTCTGGATCGCTGTGACATGGGGCCGACAATGTATTCATAGCGAGTATGTGGCAGTTTTCCATCGGCGTCACGTCGCGAGGTCGATATATTGAGGTCCAAATCGTGTTGAAAAGGGAAGGGTTGCGGTCTTACTTGTTAGCCCTCTTCTTGACCATTTTGACGGATTTCTCTGTAAAGCCGAGTCAGAGAATGTTAGCCAGAAGTTTGGGGGTTGAGAAGAGAGGCTGTCGTACTTGGGTGTCGGGGTTGGTTGTCGTAAAGGCTCCAGGCTCCAAACACTCAAATCTCTCAGGAGGATTTCGATCCGTGGGAGTCTCGGTAGGGCTTCAAGATTAAGCGAGTCAACGGAGTGAGTGACTAAGCCTTGGCATTGTTCTGCCAGAGTGGAGAGCACTCAGCGGTTGGCACGGAAAAACCATTCAGCGAAAGTGCGGATCCCATGATCTCATAAATAGAATAGCGTCCGCCCACGCCAATGGATTTGCGCGGTCAGCCAATACGGGGATCTTGTTTACTCTGACCAGACCTCGATGTCAGGCCACGCCAGAACAATAATGTATCGGATCAAGATCACCTGGTGTGAGCACTTGCGGCTAGATAAGATTTGAGGAAATGACCATACTTGGAACGTATATATAGAGACTAATCGCGTGAAGGGGTTTGTGTATCTCGAGTAGATAGTTCCTCTGCCGCAAATCAAAGCCAAACTAGGCGGCGGACAACAAATAGTCGAGCTAGGCTAAAACCTCCACCAGGAACTCCCCCCTGTCCTACCCGTATCTTTCTCGTGGGCTCGCATCTTTGTCTCTCTCTCTCCGCCAGTTACTTCTCTTATTCTTCCTTTCCTTTTCGCTGTTTCACTCGAGGCGGTCGATCCTCGAAAATATCCCTCATCCCCTTGTCCCTGTCGTCCTAATCTATTTCTGACTTCCTGCTCTGCCCGACATGTCGTCGACTCCAACATTCAAGGGCACGGTCAACCACAGGACTGTCGGACGAGGCAGGTTGCCTGATTTCGAGGGCAGCTCAGCATCTCACATTCCTCGACCCCGTCCCGAATCCTCCTCGACCATTACATCCCATAACACACCATCCAGCGATATCGGCAGTTCCACAATGAGTGCTGCAAGCAGTCGACAGAGGCAGAATCAGTCGAAGCGAGATGAGGTATGGACATTATCCTATGAAAATCTGGATGAAGGGCTGGATGGAATAATCTTTGAAAGAGTCTGGCTCTAATCCGCTATGCGTGTACCAGGCGATTCGACGGAAAATGGAAGCGGACCTCAACAAGAAGAGACAAACCCCAGCGAGAGCGAATCGTAGCCGTAAAGCTCCTCCCGGCACCGTTCTCGCATTGAAACCCAGCCAGGCGCTTCAAATCAAGCCCTCGACTACTATTGCAGAGGCCGCACAACTGATGGCGGCAAAGAGGGAAGACTGTGTTTTGGTGACGGATGATGACGATCGGATTGCCGGAATCTTCACCGCAAAAGACCTTGCATTTCGGGTGGTAGGAGCTGGCCTCAAGGCTCGAGAAATCACAGTTGCCGAGATCATGACCAAGAACCCCCTGTGCGCGAGAACCGATACCAGCGCTACGGATGCTCTCGATCTGATGGTTCGCAAAGGATTCCGGCATCTACCTGTTATGGACGAAAATCAGGATATCTCGGGTGTGTTAGATATTACCAAGTGCTTCTACGATGCTATGGAGAAACTGGAGCGCGCATACAGCTCATCCCGAAAGCTGTATGACGCGCTGGAGGGTGTGCAATCCGAGCTCGGCTCTAGCCAGCCTCAACAAATTATCCAGTACGTGGAGGCTCTCCGTTCAAAGATGTCGGGTCCGACACTCGAGACTGTCTTGGATGGGCTGCCTCCGACCACAGTCTCTGTCCGGACCACCGTCAGAGATGCTGCTGCGATGATGAAGGAACACCACACGACTGCTTTGCTTGTGCAGGACCAAGGGTCAATCACGGGTATTTTCACTAGCAAGGATATTGTTCTCCGTGTCATTGCTCCGGGTCTCGACCCCGCAACTTGCAGCGTCGTCCGGGTTATGACCCCTCACCCCGATTTCGCGCCGAGCGATATGAGCATCCAGGCCGCTCTCCGAAAGATGCACGGTGAGTCCCTCTATAGAACCAGTTGGAGATCAGGACTAATCATCTATAGATGGTCACTACTTGAACCTTCCCGTGATGAACGAGGGCGGCGAGATCGTTGGAATGGTGGATGTGCTTAAACTCACATATGCCACCCTGGAGCAGGTTTGTAAACATTCAGTTCAACCCACAAACCGCTATCTAACCATATTTTTAGATCAACTCCATGCAAACCCACGATGACGAGGGCCCAGCGTGGAACAAATTCTGGCTGTCAATGGACCACGAGTCTGACTCCATGGTTTCTGGCAGCGCTGCCCATCAGCCCCACACCCCGCATAGGTCGATTGTTAGCCCCGAATCGCCAAAGGCTAGCTTCGATGCCCGAGATAGTGTGCTTCCGAATGAGTCTGCTTCTCATCACGGCGGAGACGAGCACTCCGAGTTCATCCACGGCGAGCCCATTCCGTTCCCCTTCAAGTTCAAGGCGCCCAGCGGCCGGGTGCACCGAGTCAACATCCTTCCTACTGCTGGTGTCGCTGAATTAGTCGCGCAAGTTACCGCAAAGCTGGGTCCCGAGGTGGAAGCCGTTGGTGGGGCGGCTACATGTGAAGATGGCACGCTCAGCAACACGGGCTACGCTCTAAGCTACGTGGACAATGAGGGAGATACAGTATCTATCACCACCGACCAGGACCTAGCCGACGCTGTGACCATCGCGCGCCAGGCTCGGAAGGACAAGGTAGACCTGTTCGTCCACGATCCATCTTTGCCTCCAGTCCTGCCTACCCCAGTTGAGCCTGCTCCTATCAAGCCGGTTGAGGTCAAGACTCCAGTCTCCGAAGACCAACTGTCGGAAGAGCCACTCGTAGCTAAACCCCGGACGCCCCAGTCATACCCCGCCCATCCTCCCGAGGAGCAGTTCATTGCCGGTGTTCCAAATGAGCTACTGCTCCCTGGAGCAATTGTCACCTTAGCCGCTGTTATCGCAGGAGTCTTTATCCTCAGCCGCTCGACCTCGCGGTGAACAAATCTTTGAGCGCTGATTTGGCTTAAAAAGATTAGAATTATGCATCTACACCATTTTGTCTAATAACTATTGTCTTGACCATGTTGTACACCCCAATAGCGCGCCCTTGTCAATTTATTTATCTTTTCTGGTGCTTCGCCGCTTGATCATAGTTTTGTCTATCAGATACCGTAGGTAGTTTGGTAATCGCATAGCCTAGTGCTTGTAAGAGTTGGGTAATTACATCATATTTCGTGGGTTCCTTCCATCTCAATCAGTCCAGCTGACCAGTATTGATGATCTATAAATCACACAAATTGTTTCAAGGGTACAAATACCCCTTCTCGAAATAGTTCCCATACATATCAACCATCCCTGTTCGCCCTTTCGGTGTCGCATTCCGCACAATTTTCACCTCTCCTTTCCAGTGGCCCTCAACATGGTGGGCTATTGATGTAACAGGTCCGGGCGCGGGACTCGTCGCCCGCTGAATGGGTGATAGGGTGCTGCTGCCTGGGCCTGCGGTGTAACAGGACTGGGGCGATAGGGCTTCGCTCATACTCCGTCGCTGATAGTTTTCCCGTACGGTTTGCTCATACTGGTGTTTCATTCTGCGCCGGAAAGAAGCCAGTTCAGCCACGAGATCGACAACTGGGGCAGCTGCAGGTGTGAATGAACGATTACTAGTCGGGGCATGGGAGCTCTTATTCGCCGGCAAGCCCGTTCTGGATTGTAAAGATAGTTTTGTGGGGAATGAGGCTGCCATTTCTGAAATGTTTCTGTCTGTGTCTGGTGTGAGTGTAACCGTCTCGTTAAGCGCAGCTATAGGAAAAGGTCGCGATTGAGCAAATTCGGGAATTCCGCACTCGGTTTCGCCAAAGAAACTGAAATCGTCTGATGCCGCGGACCATAGCCGCTCTAAATCCCAGTCACCAGTAGTTGACTTCTGGTGCCCTAGCTGGGAACTAACGGATTTCCAAGCTGTCGGATTCAATGGGAGCCGTGAGTTAGTCACGGGTGTAATTTCGAGAACCAATCGGCGTAGGGAGAAGAGCGATTTTGCCCGCTCCTGTTCAGCTCTTGCCCTATCTTGTCCAGGAGGCAGGGAGTAGTCTGTGCCTGCTTTGAGAGTCGCTAGTAACGCTTCATTCGAGCATGCTGTAATGAATTGGATCAATGACTCCAATATCGGTGAGTCAGCAGGAACGTGAGACGGGACGTCCGTCAGCACGAGAACCTCTAAGTTAGGGACGTGAAAGGGGTGAAGATAATGGATATAGCTTTCCCGGCCGTCTCGTCGAGGTTGCTGGGCCTTGGCTCGTTTCGCAAGTAGCTCTTGAATTTTTCGAGCTCTTGAATCTTCAAAGGACACTGGTGAGCTGCACAAGATTGGTGAGCTCGAATACACATGGCGAGATTTCAACGGGTCTAAAGCTGTGTCCTCAGAATTCGTAACATCGTTGGCTTCAGATAGCACTTCAGGCGCATAAATTGACCCTCGTCTTGGGATTAGTGGCTTTTTGTTCTTATCATGACTGTCGGGCTTTTTCGGTGACTGGGGAACTGGTGCGCTTCCTGGGAGTTCAAATACCGGATTCGTGTCCGCCGGCAGCTCATGTATCTCTGTGGACGCCGTGTCTAGTTCACTAAACCCTTCCGTTCTATTTTCTGCTGGAAGTTCGGGTAGGAAGTCTTCGGGAGGTTGAGATCTCTCATGTGGAGCAGTGGACGTACAGATAGAATGGTGTGCTCGAAAGTAGGTCAGCTTTTCTTTTGCACGCGTTCCCAGAATAGGTATCAGCTGTTCAGCACTGGGGTAAGCTTGCTGTTCGGGAATTTGGGATGCTGTTCCGCGGTTGACATGTGCGTTTGTCTCAACAGTCCCAACATCAAGTACATGAAACTGGGCTGTCGCCAAAAGACTCGCTACACCATCAACAGTGATTTGATTTTCCGCGATGTAAAGGTGCGTAATGCCCGCATTTGGCAGATCTTCGACCCAAGAACGGCCAGTCAAAGGAGTAGTTAACGCTCTCCGAAACTCCTCGTCCAACATGGGCGAACTGAGGAATTTGGAGATTGGAAGCTGATGGGGGAATTGATTTAAGAATGCTGATGCAGGGAGCGTACGACTTAGTGGGCCTTGTCTGGACGCAGCATGGCTGGGCAGCAAGAAGCAAACGCGAAGTAACGACCGTACAGCCGTGTCGGTAAACTTGTTGTTCCGCACATCGAGGTATCGAACTCTTTGCCCAATTGCGTTTGCCAGAAACTCTGCATCGATGTCCCTTAAGCCGATGCCGCGTAGCTTCAGCACCTGCAAGCGCTCGAGCTGAGAAAGTGCAGACAAAACCGTCTGGTCTTTTGCAGAGGTCGTATATGACAGGTCGAGGTATATCAACTCCGGAAACCGTATCAGGGTTTCAGCTATACCTTGGGATGTTGTATTCGGCTCCCGCTCGGCCACAAGTAGGCGGATATTGTAGGCTCGCGAGCTAGCTCCGCTAGGTACGGCACCTCTAAGAGCCATCATGGAACTATGGTCAAAGAAAGGCAACTCAGAGACTACCAATGACTGCAGACATGGCAATGACTCGAAAATCTCCCTTAACCATTCCGGCCGTGGACCGCCATATATTTCCGACAACGCTGGGGGCATATGAAGAGTATGCGTAAGCATTCGCACCTCGAGACGAGCATACTTGAGGGTTCTCCTGAACCTTGTCAAGGCGACTGTTGGTCAAGTAGTGTTAATATCATCTATGTAGAAGCAGTTGCATGTGGCATACCGTAAACCTCATCATTTTCTGTGCCAAAGTGAGACGCTGGGTTCCCCCACAGAAACGGCAGAAAGACTCGGTGCCATCTCCGACAAACTAGGGTAGCGGCGCAGAGGTCGCTTGAAGGGATGTACTCAGCTATTATAGCCCAAGCATCTCTGGTGGTTGCGGATTGATATGATGGAGGCACTGTATCCATCATCTAACTTTAATCGGTGATCCGTTGAATTTCCAAGTCGTAGTCGCAACACAAGAGGACATGTCGATCATTTGCTTCTGTACGTTTCAAGAGATATCGGATGCATCAACAAAATAGACAAGCAGGTGAGAGATGATGTTGGCTAAACGGGACCAAGGAGTCGGGCTATCGTCATTTTATAAGTTGGCCCCAGCATCGGTCGAAATCAATGGCACTGCCACTCCTCGTGATGGGGTGTTTCATTATCGGGCGCATCTGCCCCGACCTCTGATCGTGCCCAGGTGTTGGAGGCAACATCAACCAATCAGTAAGCAGCGCCATTGCAGTTAATGGCGAAAGTTGAGACATGAAGCCATACTTAGATGCAATTCCATGGGAACTTGAACTCAAAGACCCGACAGAGAAATATTATGCCCATACAGTACAACAACCTCGTAGAGGAAAGCAGCTTAAAAACCGTATGTACAGGTATTTTACTAATGTTGTAACGGTGAGTAAGCGCTCACATGACGTCATATAAACAAGCGCCCAACTGAGAAGGGGAACAGAAAACAGATGATAAGCACCTTCAGTCAACCTCACTTCCCCTGCAAAATGGATTCCTGGCATCGTAACGTGCGACTGCTGCACCAGATTGATGAATTCCTCGACGTTGATTCCGCGCAGCCGCATAGTGTCGCGGATTTTATCGCCCTTATAGACGCCGTCCGCGAGGGCCTAAACCAGATCGACGAAGACATCCGAATTCCCGACTCTCAAATCAATCTGCATTTTCTTACCAAGCTCAAATCGCGCTCAGAATGGAGGGACTGGGCAATGACTATGCTGCGGGATAGCCGCATCAACACTTCCAATCTGACAGACTGCATGTCGTTTCGGGAGCTCGGGGATCTTGCAGTCAAGCAAGAACAGAAAATCTTACATGATCGTCAGGCAAAGCGCAGGAGCGGCTCTGGCGGCAATGGGCATGTTTCTCGGTTGGAAGAAGCCGCAGCGCCTCGAGCCCTCACCCAGGGCGACATCAACACGTTCGTCGTCCAGCAGATGAATCACCAGCGTGCGTCACGACGTCTCAGCCAGGACTCCAGCCGCAGCTTTCGTGGACATACCAAGCGGCCCAGCCAGGAGGAGATCAATGACTACGTTATCCGGCAGATGCGGCGAGACCAGGAGCAAGCGGCAAGGGCACGCAGCCACAGCCAGCCAGAAAGGCACAGAGCAAGCCAGCCCCATTCAAAACCGGCAACCCTACGCTGCACATTCTGCGGCGACACCTATCATCAGTCAACCAATTGCTGGCGACGATGGCGAGTGGCTGCTGAGGCCTTACAGGGGACCGCCGCCCCGAAGTTGGCTGACAATCGCAACCAGGCATCTATTCAACCACAGATCTATCTTTCAGGTCTTTCCACATTTTGATTGAGTACTGGCTTTGCATGCACATAGACATGACCTTTTTTATTATATTGTTTGTATATACTTGATGGATATAGCGAGGCGTTTCAAGAAAGCGGGCATTATTCTTCCGGTTTGTTTCGGTCAAGCATATTGAGTCCTCTATATATGGTTGGTTACATTAATGTCTTTGAATATTTCTTGTTCCGAGTCAGCTGTATGTGGTCAGTGTCAAGTCTTCGTTTCCTCTAACATATATATAGTTATGGGCATCAGGTAGTCGATAGCGTGGGAAAGAAAGATTGTCACATATTGGTACAATATCTGTCTCACTTATAAAGCACAATATCGAGTTTGAACAGCTATCCCCGTACTAGATATCATAAAACTGAAGTATTCATGATATCGTTGTATATATTTCTTATTTCCTATAGTACTACCCTGAGAGTACTAGGGTTGCGGGGCAGGGCCTGATTCGTCACCGCCTGGGAGGTCAACCAGAAGCTTGGGGAAATTTTGGTCGAGAGCATTCGGATCACTATTGACGGGCCACTTTGCATCACCCTGTGCTTTGCCAACGCCCCCTTTTTTTGTTTTCGCGTACTCTAAACTTTAGCTCTATCATTTAATTCTCGCAGTACATACGACACCATGGCCTTCGCCGGCCAGACTCCTACTATTGTCGTCCTCAGAGAAGGTGGGTTCCGCCCGCATGTCGAGAGCCCCTCCTCGCCTTTGTGTGTTGAGATTGTTGATTGTTGCTGACCGAGGAATTTTTTCTCTCTTGCTTAGGTACCGATGCCTCACAGGGAAAGGGCCAGATCCTCTCCAATATCAATGCCTGCGTGGCGGTTCAGTCCACGGTTAAGAGCACTCTCGGTCCGTACGGAGGAGACTTGTTACTCGTTGATAGCAACGGGAGGCAGACAATCACAAACGATGGAGCCACGGTTATGAAGGTGCGTCAGGTGATAAAATATGAGTCGAGGGCTCGGATGCGTTTTGCTTACCAGCCACTTTTTCTGCCTAGCTTTTGGATATTGTTCACCCCGCTGCCCGAATCCTCACGGACATTGCTCGTTCCCAAGATGCCGAAGTGGGTGATGGAACAACATCAGTCGTCGTTTTGGCGGGTGAGATATTGAGGGAAGTTCGAGAGTTGGTTGAGCAGGGTGTGAGCGCACAAACCATTGTCAAGGGACTGCGAACTGCGAGCAGAATGGCCGTCAACAAAATCAAGGAGATTGCTGTGGACATGATCGACTCCTCTGACAGCGAGGAGAAGAAGGTGGAGACCCTCCGACGGTTGGCTGGTACTGCTATGAACAGCAAGCTCATCAAGCGGAACTCGGACTTTTTCACTAAGAGTAAGTTGCTCCCTTTCGTGGATGCGCGAAGTCGGGAGAGTCGGCTGACATATCGTTTTTTGCTAGTGGTTGTGGACGCGGTTCTTTCTCTTGATCAGGACGACCTCAACGAGAAATTGATCGGTGTCAAGAAGGTCACTGGCGGTGGTCTCCAGGACTCTCTCTTTGTGAACGGTGTCGCTTTTAAGAAGACCTTCTCCTACGCCGGTTTTGAACAACAGCCCAAGTCGTTCAAAGACCCCAAAATTGTCTGCCTGAATGTGGAGCTGGAGTTGAAGAGCGAAAAGGACAATGCCGAAGTCCGCGTCGAGCAAGTGTCCGAGTATCAGGCCATCGTCGATGCAGAATGGCAAATCATTTACAACAAACTCGAGGCTATCTACAAGACCGGCGCCAAGGTTGTGCTCAGCAAGCTGCCAATTGGCGACCTGGCTACGCAGTATGTATTCAATGCAGCGCTCTCGTGCTTGTGCTCTCTAACACCTGTTCAGATACTTTGCGGATCGTGACGTTTTCTGTGCCGGACGTGTCGCTTCAGATGATATGGACCGTGTCTGCCAGGCAACTGGCGCCGCCATCCAGTCGACATGCAGCGATATCCAGGAACGCCACTTGGGTACATGCGGGTCGTTTGAGGAGCGTCAGATCGGCGGTGAGCGTTATAACCTATTTTCCGAGTGCCCCAAGGCAAAGACGTGTACCCTCGTGCTACGTGGAGGAGCAGAGCAGTTCATCGCCGAAGTCGAGCGGAGTCTTCATGACGCTATCATGATCGTCAAGCGTGCACTGCGAAACACAACCATTGTTGCAGGTGGTGGGGCATGCGAGTTGGAACTATCCGGATATCTCCATCGGTATGCCGACCGGAATGTTCCCCACAAGCAGCAAGCCGTTGTCAAGGCTTTTGCCAAGGCTTTGGAGGTTATTCCCCGTCAGCTGTGCGACAATGCAGGCTTTGACGCCACGGATATTCTAAACCGTCTGCGAGTGGAGCACTACAAGGGTAACACCTGGGCAGGTGTAGACTTCGACCATGAGGGCGTCCGGGATAACATGGCCGCGTTCGTGTGGGAGCCGAGTCTGGTCAAGGTGAACGCCATCCAAGCAGCTGTGGAAGCTGCTTGTCTGATTCTGAGCGTTGACGAGACCATCAGTAAGTTCTCTCTTTATTTGATTTTATGGATACTGTGCTCACAGGTTATCAACAGAGAACGAAGAATCCGCTCAACCTCAGGCACCCGCCCGTGGATTGCCTCCAGGTGCTGCACAACGGGCTCTCGGTGGAGGCCGAGGCCGTGGTATGCCGCGAAGGGGACGATAGATGCCACGGCATGCAGGGTGGCTTGGACGGGTAAGAACCGAAACTACTTGTGATAAAGATCAAAATAGTCAATATTAGAACAGCTCGTCGGTGCATATCACCCTCAATCTCAACATCTAATGTTCGATTTTTTTTTAACCTGCTGGTCGCGGACTAGCCTAAGCCACCCATCTGCCCCTGAAGGCCAGATGCATCATGCATGGCTCAGGGCTGCAATGGCAGGCAATGCGCTCTGATTGATCAGCGCCATACACACATACATACGTGGAGTGCAAGTCTGCTGGAGCTGACTTGCCAGGTGCCCGAAATGGTGCCGACAGGTCTTTGCCCACAGGGGTCACTGCGCTGTGATCAGGCATTCGCATCTTTCTGGATTTTTAGTCCTCTACATCAAGACGCCTGGACCTCAATTTTGCTGGCGTTTTCACTCGTATGTGATGGCTGGCCATGAGCGGATCTCGGATTCTCCAGAGCTCACGTGGGCGGGACCATGTCACGGTAAGGCTGAAGAGAGGAACGGAACAGGAGGCGGCCCAAGTTTCAAGGGAAGAAACAGATAAGATTTGCTGTCCATCAAAGGAAAACTCGCGGATCTCAATGGCTCGCGAAGTGCAGGATCAGCGACTTGATTGGATTTGGCGAGCTTGGGAGGATGACACTAGTGGCCTCGGCTGGCTGAGGAGTCGGCGAGGCCGTGTTGGCTCAACACCGGCTCTTTTTCCTTCAAGATGTGAGCAGGGGAGAGAGAAAGTTCGAGCCCGAACCTGTACTGTAAGTAATGTAATAATGAATAATGTGGTAATCCACTCGCGCGGGTTCTTTCCCCACTCGATCTCAGGCTGCATCTTTTCTCGCCCGCTGTCTTGTTCCGCGATCCCATCCCAGCATCATCCATCACCAAGCACTACTGCCTCTACGGCCTCAGCCCTGCCGCTCCTATTTGTCTAATTTTGGCATCGTTTTCTTGTCTCCGGCCTGCCCGTCTGACTTGTCATGTCCTACTACCCTCCTTATTCCGGTGCGCCCGGATACCCCCCGCAACAACCGCCGCCGCAACAGTATCCTCCTCAAAACTACAGTTCCCCGCCCCCATATCAGTAAGATTCGCAAACCTCTTGCTTACTTTCTTGTCCACTACCGTCCACCGCTCCCTCTGCTTCTGTCGCCTTGCTCTCGGTGTCGCTCTATATCAAGCGCGTACACGAATACTAATCCGTCTCCGTCAACCTTTAGACAAATGCACCACCACCATTCACAACAACCGTCGTACGGCGGCGGCTATCCAGGCCAGGACTACCGTCAGCAACAGCCCCCTCCCAACCCTTACCAATACGGCCACCCTTCCCCTCAGCCATATCCTCCGAATAACGGGTATAATGTATGTAGCGCGTTCTAAATGCTTCCTCGGTTCATTGCGTGTTGACCGTTTGTCGTCTAGCGTCCTCCGTCCGGCTATCCACCCTCGTCTGGCCCTCCCCCTCAGGGTAACCAAGTATACCATGGGCGAAGTATGTCAAGCCGTGCTGCTTGTCTGGTATAAGGCGCTGACCATGGAATAGACCCCTCGTATCCTACTCACCATTCTGGTGGCCCGGCGCCTCCGCCCTCGCAGCCTCAAGCCTTCGGTCACGGTGCGCCCCAAGGCTATAGCTTTCAGTACTCCCGCTGCACTGGAAAAAGAAAGGCTCTGTTGATTGGTATCAATTACTTTGGCCAGAAAGGGCAGCTGCGCGGATGTATCAACGACGTGCGCAACATGTCTACATATCTGAACCAGAACTTTGGCTACGCTCGTGAGGACATGGTGCTACTAACGGACGATCAACAAAACCCAATGAGCCAACCGACAAAAGCCAACATTCTGCGTGCGATGCACTGGTTGGTCAAAGATGCTCAGCCCAACGACTCCCTCTTCTTCCACTACTCTGGACACGGTGGACAGACGCCCGATTTGGACGGCGATGAAGACGATGGCTATGATGAAGTCATCTACCCGGTAGATTTCCGCGTGGCGGGCCATATCGTTGACGACGAGATGCATCGGATCATGGTAAAGCCACTCAGGCCAGGCGTGCGGCTGACAGCTATCTTTGACTCATGCCACTCAGGCTCTGCCCTGGATCTACCATACATCTACTCTACACAGGGTATTCTCAAGGAGCCTAACCTCGCCAAGGAGGCAGGCCAAGGCTTGCTGGGTGTTATCTCATCGTATGCCCGTGGCGATATGGGCAGTATGATGTCCACTGCTGTCGGTTTCTTGAAGAAGGCTGCCAAGGGCGATGAGGCCTACGAGCGAACCAAGCAAACCAAGACCAGCCCCGCAGATGTTATCATGTGGTCAGGAAGCAAGGACTCGCAAACTAGCCAAGACGCCCAGATTGCTGGTCAGGCCACTGGTGCAATGTCGTGGGCCTTCATTACCGCCCTCCGCAAGAACCCGCAACAAAGCTATGTGCAGTTGCTAAACAGCATTCGAGACGAACTGGCAACCAAATACTCACAGAAACCACAGCTTAGTGCTAGCCACCCATTGGGTACGTATCCTGTTCCCGATTAGAGAATTTCTGTCTGGGAGCTTTTCTGACGGATATTAGATGTGAACCTACTGTATGTGATGTAATAGTTGGGGCTTCATTGGCTGGATTATCGATTTTTTAGGGTTGCTTGGAAGGTCCGGTGTCTTTTCTGCGTTTCGCAATTCATACTGCGAAGAACCTGGATTACGTTTCGTTTATGCATGCTTTTACTCTTACAAAATATCCCTTTCCTGCATGTCATAGTTCTCGCTTCCATTTCTCTACTTGTTAACTGGCATGGTTTCTTTCAAGAAGGTCGCGTTTTTGAAGGAGCATAACCCAAGAATACCACATTACACATTGCATGGGATATGTTATGAGATAGTAGCAACTGCCTCGATTATGACATGTTTTAGGATTCAAATTGATTATATTCATACATTCATAACAGGTATACTATGACTTTTCAATAAACCCTGGATAAGCACTAGTAATATTACCATCTTTTTGGCGCATTAACAACTGTTCTTGAAAACGAGGCACTAAACGTCTCTTTCCCTTTGTTCCTCGACGCAGCTATGATCCCCGTTCGGTCCGTGACAGGAGTCGCGTTAATGATGTTATCAAAAGCCTCATCATCACTCTCACCTGCCGAACCAGACTCTGCATCGGAATCCTCCAGTGACCCGGGATCTGGTCGCTCGATCTTCTCCGGCTGTGGTTTATCGGAGGATGAGGGATTCTGGAAAGATTTTGAATTGAGGATTTTGGCACGAATGGCAGCCATTTCAGCTTCGTCTTCCGAGTCGTCGGAAATAGCGTATGGGTCTTTATCTTCTTCCCCCTCTTCCTCTTCATCTTTTTGGCTTCCTTCGCTGCCGCTATTCTCTTCGTCGTCCGAGTCTGGCAGGGTTCGTCGATTCGTATTTCCAACGGTCCACATGTCGTCCGCGCCGCCCTCTCTGCTCTCCTCGTACTCCTTCTCGATCTTAGCCAGCCACTCTTCTTCTGTCCGTTTCACATCCTCTTCTGTCTCGCAGGCTGCATATCGCTTCAAAAGTTGTGAATTGATCTCTAAGAAAGCTTCACCGTATCGGAAGTGTTTTAAAACCTCACGAGCCCAGTCTTCGTGTCCGCAGATGCAGAAGCAAGCTGCTAGAGCTTCAACACAATTCAATCGCCAGGGTTTGCCGTAGTTAACGGTGTTTGCTGCAATGAGGTAGGGTACTGAAACCGTCAGTATATGATAGATATATGGCCAGCAATATTGGACGTACAGAGTCGTTCGCATTTTCCACCGATCCGTGACCAGGGTACTTCTTTCACCCTTACCCAGGAACATTCCACCACCGCGGCACCGAACTGTTCGAGTAAATCTTTATCGGCCGGAGAAACGACTTTCTTCGCATTGGGCCTGGGATCCGATATGTTAGCCACTCGTTTCCAGAATATTTTTCGTGGCGCAACATACGAAACAACAACACCCTGGAACTTCTGTCCTATCGCCAATTCCCGCATCATACCGAACTGCATCAACCTCTTTCCTGAGCATCGCTTCGGGTCGCAATGACCGAGATCCCAGCAAGCGGCCTTGAAGGGAGGCCTCGAGGAGCCGGAGTCGTCTTCATCGCGGGGTACTGGGCGTGGGCGGGGATTGGAGAATTTCTTGCCTCCGCGTGCAAAGTTGTCTTTCTTGTGGCGGACCATGGTATTCGGGTAGATGATAAAGGTAGTCAATGTAGTCAGCCTAAGAACAGAAGGCAATGAGGAGGTTTACAAGAAAACTTGGATGGAGAGGTTGAGCCAGAGAAATGCTTTGAGCCACACGTGGAATCAGAGCTAAACGGCGCCAGGCTCACTCTCCGGCCGGCGATCCATCGGGCCTCCTCAACTTGAACTCCACCACATCTCCCTTCTCTGTCGGGTCCGCTCATCGTTCAAGCTCTCAAGAGCTCTCGCCCTTCCCGGGATTCCTGGAATTTCTATTTATCGCTCTAAACCTGGCCTCCTGCCCTCATCCTGGAGGCCGCTTCAGCACGGATGGCAGCTAGGGACCGCTTTGGTGGTGCCTATGCTGACCTAGGCTTCACCCCTCTCCAACGGGCGATTCGTACGTTCTCACCGCACAATGATGGCGAAATCCGATGCTTACCTGTATACGCCTGTTTATAGGGAATGCCTGCGATCTATCCCACTACGAACCGAATCTCGCTCTGAACCTCGAAGTTGCAGACCTGGTCAATTCCAAGAAAGGCAATGCGTGAGTCCCCCGCCGCACTGCTGTTCAATTCATGCACAGACACCCCTCTGACGCACGTACAGTCCCCGAGAAGCAGCATTTGACATTGTTCGCCTTATAAACTCCCGGAATCAGAATGTTTCATTACTAGCTTTGGCGGTAAGAGCTCCTCGCTGTCAAGCTATGGGCTGGCGCATTGGCTGACGGGCTCGCATTTCAATAGCTTTTGGACATATGTGTTAAGAACTGCGGATACCCCTTTCACCTCCAGATTAGCACCAAGGAATTTTTGAATGAGCTGGTCCGCCGCTTCCCCGAACGGCCGCCTCTGCGGGCCACCAGGGTCCAACATCGCATCCTCGAGTCGATAGAAGAGTGGAGACAGACTATATGTCAGACATCCAGGTATAAAGATGACTTGGGGCATATCCGTGATATGCACCGGTTGTTACTCTACAAGGGCTATGTGTTTCCTGAGATACGGCGCGAGGATGCGGCGGTCCTGAACCCGAGTGACGTATGCACTTTCCCTCTGGAGCTATTTGCGAACTTTATTGACTTGTTGTTAGAACCTCCGTTCCGCGGAGGAAATGGAAGAGGAGGAACGAGAGGCGCAGTCGGCTAAGTTGCAGGAGTTGATTCGGAGAGGTACACCAGCAGATCTGCAGGAAGCGAACCGATTGATGAAGGTCATGGCTGGATTCGACACCCGGCATAAGACTGATTATCGGGCTAAGGCGGCAGAAGAAGTTGCTAAAGTTCAAGAGAAGGCCAAGCTGCTGGAGGAGATGCTACAGAGCCAGGCGCCGGGTGATCGAATTGCGGAGGGTGATGTATTCGAGGTAACTTATGACAAACATTGAAAACGAAACCGTCTAATATGTCACAGGAACTGGCAAATGCCCTCCAAAGTGCGCACCCCAAGATCCAGAAGATGTGCGAGGAGGAATCGGACGACCCCGAGGCCGTGCACAAGCTGTTGGAGATTAATGACAGTATACACCGTACCATTCAGCGATACAAGCTTGTGAAGAAGGGCGACCACGAGGCAGCGTCAAAGATCCCGAAGGGTACCTTGGGCACTACAACGGGAGTGTCAAAGAACGCGAACAACGAGCTGTCCTTGATTGATTTTGATCCGGAGCCTAGCTCTAATGGCAACGCGGAGCAGCCGCAGGGGTCTAGCTCTATTGAAAATGACCTACTAGGATTGTCCATTGATGAGCCAGCTCCCTCCGGAGGTATATCGTTGGGACCCAGTATGTTATCCGTCAAGTTAAATAGTTCGTGGCTAACGTCGGGACAGCGAGTCCGCCCATGCCTCAGATTCCCCAGAACCCTCCTGCATATCAGCAAAACTTTGATATTCTTGGTTCGTTAAGCGCATCTCAACCTCCGTCTCAGTCATCCACTCCAATCCCTGGATTCCCGCAATTTCAGAACGCTACGGCGACGCCTCCACCTCCTCCAGCCGACCCATTCGCATCATTAGTGTCTGCTAGTCCTCGACAGCCAAGCCCACTTCCCTCTGCGGCTTCCCCAAGTCCTCGACCGCCCGCCTCCTCTTCTCTTCTCGACCTCGCTGGAGCAGAGCCGAAAGGCAAAGCCCCGGAAGACGACGAGTGGAACTTCACGTCGTCCCTTCCGGAAAGCAGCACCCTGCCGAGCCAGAATCGAGTGCAAGTGCTGAACTCGTCACTGAAAGTCGAGTTCGTGGTGAGAAGGCATCCGCAACAACAACGACAAATTCATATAGTGGCTCGCTTTTCAAACGGGACAAGCCAAGCATTGAACGATCTTCATTTTCAAGTCGCTGTAGAAAAGGTAATCTCATGTCCACCTGCCAGCAATGCATTAAAATGCTAATAGATATTCTAGGCATATACTCTTCACCTGCGTCCGCAATCCGGGCGCGACATTGCACCCCTTCAAACGAACGGCGTACAGCAGGAAATGCTCATTGACGGCATCGACCTGGGCAAGGGCAACTCTGTCAAGATCCGGTTCCGGGTGTCGTACCGGCTGGGCAACGAGTCGAAAGAAGAGCAAGGAATGGTTCCAGCATTGGGCATTGCATAAACATCCATTTCGAATCACCTATCCCCAAACGTCGATTTTAAGCACAGTTATTAGTAATCCTGTCCTGTTCCCCTGTCAAGGGTCCTAGCCCTGCTTTTCTTGTCTATATTTTCTGAATCTATCCGAGACTCGAGACCCAGAGTTATTCTTCATTGGCGTTGGACTACACGATTCCTCCCCCTACTACTTTCTCTTCACAGTCTGAGCAACAAACTGTAAGCTATATAAGCTATACAAGCTAGAAACGCCCCGTCACCCAAGATAGACCTTCTGAATTTCCACGTTGCATCAAAATTCATACCAAAGCCACACACACCCACCATCCCGGATAACCTCTCCAAGAACCCAACAAAGGTCAAGATCAAAACATCAAGCCAGCAATCCGAAGCGACAGCCCGAGATCTAGACCCTCGTGGAACCACCATCTCGTTCCAGGGTAGCGGCTAGCTGAAGGGGGAATTCCGAGGATTTCCCGGCCTTGCGGCCGAGATCTCGGCTGCAGCTTCGCAATCTCGAAAGTTGGAACATATCAAGAGGATATCTACTTACGAGTATCGATCACTAATGTGACGCTACTTGATAAGATGAAATTACTCGAATCGCGATGAATCGGTTCGTTGGATCAGTATGTTGAGTCGTTGGCGAGGGCGATGGCGAATCGCGATGGTTTTGGTTTAGCGGGATCGATCATCGGGAATCTATAGTCTGATCGATTTCTCGAGGGAACTATACGTACTCACGTAGGGCCCCCGAGGGTCTCGATTCTCTTCCTATCAGTAGCACTGGAGTGAGGTCATAGTATCCACGCGATACTACGGAGTACTAACTACCTAGGCACTATTGAGTAGGTAATATAGCCCGTCTTCATAGCGGCATAAGTAGAAGCTGGTTTTATTGCCTCTAATCACAAGAAGGCAGTATGGACCGAATTACTGGCACTGCGTTATTTAGGGTTGGTAGTGCTACCCCATGTAATACTTCGTACAGCAGCATCGATTATATGTACAATATTATGCATCAACCCAAGCGATAAAGACGAAGAAGAGAGTAATGAGTCTATGAGAAGACAAGCCGCAAGGATCTATATCTATAAATTATGTTTGCTTAGACGTCACGGCTCTAGTTGAACATGAGGCAAAGTGGATAAAGTAAACCACCCGCCCTAATCATAGGGATGGCTTGAAAGAGGTATGTGAGATAAGAATTAATACTATAGTGCTGGACACGCCGTCACCACAACCTTCTCTGTAACCCACACGGTATGGTCGGGCCTTGCGGTCACTGTGCCTGGGATATCGCCTCTGCCAATAGTAGTCGGAACGGGACCAGTACGCTCAGGGCCAGGTACACTCGTTGCTGTTTGAGATACAGGAAAGACGGTCGTCAAGACGAGAACAGTCTAGGTAGTCAGGTATGTCGTCTGTTAGGAGGCCGGGCAGTGAGGGACAGAAGAAAGGCATGCGGTGACCATCGCCGTCTGGGTTGAGAAGACGGTGGATGTGGCCTCTGCCGAGTTTGTGGACACGGTCTCGGTGACGGGGCAGATGGTTTTCGAGACGACGATGGTTTCAGTTACAACGCTTGTTGTGAGCGAAGCGGTGAGGCACTTGGGGATTGTTGTAGGGCAGGCAGTTATTGTGGAGGCGCGTGTTGTGAGAACGGTGGAGGTTGCTAGGTCGAGAGGTGAGGTTGTAGTGACGGAACCGCCTGTGAGTGTGTTTCCTGTTCCCGTGGCTGCACCGACGCCGGATGTGTCTGTGGATGTAGTAGTGGAGGCTGTCCTCGAAGTAGTCGTCGAAGTTGTCCCCGCTGGTGGAACAATCGGACCTGAAGGAGAGATTGATGGAATCACAGGCCTTGGCGAGGGGGTTGACGGCGGGGATTGCACAGTTGGAGACGAAGCAGATGGAATGGGTGGAACTGGAGAGCTCGTTGGGATGACGGGCCTAGAGCTGACAACAGAGCTGGATGAAATGATTGCCAGGGTTGAGGGAGTTGATGTAGGAGTGGCGATCGGGATCCTAGCAGGGAGCGTGGTTGGAGGTTGGGGAGTAGGGGTAGGTGTTGAAGTAGGCGTATCAGTCACACAACTGGTGGTCTACCCCAGTCATCATCAAGTTGTCCAAATCGAGTTCCGCGTTCGACCAGACGCAGCCCCAAACAAAATAGATCTTATGGATCGAAGAAGTCGGAGTAAAAGAATAGGTATATGATTGCTAGGTCGCGTCTCCACCTGTAGACACGATGGTCTGACGGTTGAGGAAACCAGACCAGGCGTCCTTGGCCCAGCCCAAGTAGCAATAAGACTGCACGGAAGGACTACCGGTAAGGGAGGCAATACGGTAATCAACGGATAGGGTGTAGCTCTGGGTAGTATCTAGGTCTGTGATGGTCTGGGCCATAGAGGTCCAGGTATTAGTGCTGCCAATGGTGCTGTGAAAGTCAACGTACTGGTCTATAAAGCTATAGGAGATAAACATACTAGTAGTATGAGCCATCGGTAGCATCTCGGGCGACGACGGTCCCGTCGGAAGGCTGATTGTTGGCCATGAGGGCGTCCCAGCCGGTCAATCGCCGGTCTCAAAGGCTGGATTCGAAAAGCCATTGACAGTCTCGGTACAGGTGACAGTTGCCTAACTGAGCGAGGCTGACTAGCAGCGGGCTGAAGAGCCAGTGCAATTTTCCCATGTTGGGCGTAAAGAATGACAGTAGGAGCTATAAAAAGGTAAAGACTGAATGCTCGAGAAGGAATGACCGAGGTGAGATCAAAGACCAAAAAGAGAAGTGCCTGATTCATATACTATGGAGTTGGTGAACTGTCTCCATGTTTACCTCGTTTTGGCGTGCAATAGTTCCTGCGTTAGCGCAGCCTGCATCTCAACCGCCAGGATCTGGCGAAAATAGACGAGAGCCTGTGTGAATGATGGGCTCTACAGTGCAGCGGAGTCTCGTGGATTCCACGAGCCTGCAGGTGGTGTAGTGTGTACGACCACGGACATCACCGAACAGCAGCTCGCACTTCAGCTGGAGGCTTAACTCGCCGCTGCAGGACAAATCTCGGCTGTGGCGGCCTATTCTCGCCAGGCTCAGAGAATGGTTTCTGGGGTTCTGAAGGAACCAAGTCCCTGGCTCTCGACGGTAAAAGTTAGAAAGGGTGGCAAGGAGGTCGCTACGGGGGTACCGACTCTCTGGATTTTCTGGGGCACAGAGCAGAAACTTGTGAAACTTGGAAGAGAAGGTCATGGCGGATTAGGCGCGGCGAGAGCTGACACCCAGAAAAAGTGGGGGAGCCCTCAGAGGGAAAGTGGCGATCAGTCACAGGGTGGGTCACGATCCGACTTGAACAGTGCGTTGGCTGATGCTTGGAGACGACAGAGCTACGTGGTGTTACTATGTACCAGTACTTCCTGGCCTGCTCCAGTGTCGCGTACTGCAGAATACACTGGGAGTAGCATATCCACTGCAGGTAAAAGAGTTGGGTCCTTGAAGAGCCTCGAAGACTTCAAGAATAACAGCAGACAAAGAATGCAAGTAATCTTCAGCAACCCGGTCAGCACCAGCTTCACGGGACCGGGCAGAGGGAGACTCGGCTATCAAGTCTGTGGCAGCAAACCCCAAGGGGGCGCAGGCTCTTCTAGACTGCCAGAGGGCGTGAACTGGATGAGGGGATGGTTGAGGAACTCTAACAGTTGCAGTGCCATGGATCCAGTACAGGGTGCCAATCCGTGGATGGCTGTCTGTGGCCCGGGCCTGGATGGGAGAGTGGCCTGCCTTATTTAAGCTCCCTGCTCACTTGCTTGATGCTCGCTGTGCTAGAGAGTTCGCCGTTCGTCACTTTACTATATTCCTCCTTATATACTGCGCTGAGGTGACAGTATGTCCCCCACTCCCAGCTTCGATGTCTCTGCGAACCACCGCACCAAGGAGGAGAACCAAGAGCGGTACGTCTTTCAGCTCTTTCCCCAGTTCCTACTATGTATGCTAATTGCTGTAGCGCGTTTATCGCCGCTTCGAGGCGCAAAGACCGCAGCTTAGATGCCCGCATAGAATCCGCCAACCGTGCATCGGCCCTGCACAAGAACCGTACTGGGCGAGCTCTCCACATCACTAGATCAATCGTCGAAAACGAGGCCATGTACGAGGAAGTTGACTCGAACTATCAGGTCAAGCTTCAGCGCATGATGCAAGCTCAGACCATGCAGTTGGAGCAGGACTTTGAAAGAAAGCTCTTTGTCGCCATGCGCAACAACCCACAGGCGCTGCATCAGCGCCGTGCGGGCAGCCTAGCATCTCAAGGTCCTATGCACGGTGCTCGGAGAATGAGCCTTGATCTGTCTCAACTGCGAACCACTCTACCAGAGACGATGACCAGCCCCTTGACAAGCAGTCACTTCTCTCCGAGGTGGTCCATCGCTCCAACCGGGCCCCATATCCAGTCTCAGACCCATGCGCAGATACCATCCTACGTTGCTTCAGGGACCCCCACCTGGATGCATCCAGAGCAGCAACAACAGGTGATGCAGCACTGGGATGGACTCTACAGCAATCCGATTTCTCCCTCCGCCATAGGAGGACTTCCTATGCCTACACAACCGTTTCGCGACCGTCTTGCATCCGCCCCATCCATCCCCGTTCAAGGACAAGCCGCCAACATCCCTGCTACCCCTCCTGCCTCTCGCGGAACAAGCCAGCATCTGCGAGTTCGGTCGGAACCTGGCACCACTACCAAGCCTGCTACGACCCCAGCATCAGCGTCTTCTTCATCTTCTTCCTCGTCGTTGCAAGTCGGAATCGCACCATGCACTAGCTCCCCGGGCCTCGACCAAAGCTCTTCTAGTGACATTCTACCGACGCCAGACCCCTGCGCGTCTCCACACACGCCTGCCTCACAAGCATCGGAACCCAACAATTGCCCTGGTCTAGACTTGGCCAATATCGGCACTGGCCCAGAGAAGTGGGGTGCAGATCTGTTACATGAGCTTGATCTGAACTTGGGCTTCGAGGCTTTCTCTCATGAGCCTGCGGATCAGGACTATCTTGATTTTAGCCAGTATGCGTCGACCATTGACAACGGACATTTCGCCCATGCTCAGGCACACGCACACATGCAGATCCCCATGCAAATGCCTGTGCAACTGGATCTATGCCGTGCCGCAGAAAGCGGTATGGACGATATGCCGGATATGGATGAGTATACGATCACCTCATAATGTACATCTTGAGTCTTATTTTGATACCTTATTTCCTGTTGTGATTGTATCCAACTAGCAGGATTGCTTTGACCTTTTGCATTACCATCATTATTCAATCATTTCTGTCATTTGCGTTGTTAATCTTCTTTTGAGATATCTTGAGATTCTTTTCATTGTCCTGTTCCAAGGATCAATACCCACACATAGTTTACCTTAGGTAGCTGCTGCCGAATGCACGATGAGAAACGATCTTCAAAAGCCCTGCAGAGATTTGCGGAGTCCAAGCTTTCGCATTCTGCAGCCTGCAAGCCATGATTTACACAGTGTTGCATTTGTCCCCACAGTGCCTTTCGTAGCCGCCCTGACCCGACCTGATCTCAATCTGAGGTAACTGGTCCGCAAACGGAAGTGACATTTCTGTCATGCAACACAGGCCACCTGAATCTAGGCTACTGGCTCTTTGTCAGACTTATAACAGAGAGTTTTATATACCTAACAGTCGATAGACTTCCGTAATGATGTGGACTGAGCTCGCAACTCCTAGATTGTATCCCTGCCCCTCGCAGATTCAGCACAGACTCCCGAGCAACTCCAAGCCCCAAGAATCCCACGAAAAACCCCCACTCACACTGCCTACTCAAGGTCGCGAAATATCCCACGGTTCCAAGAAAAAGAAAGTGGACTGTGCAACACTTCCTGCGAGCCTCGCGGCGAGCGCAAGTTATGAACCGTGGTTGAGACTTCAAACCTTGAACCTTGCTGCCAGGTGAGCTCCAGCTCATCCCATTGCAGAGCTTATGTGGGCCCGCAGCCGAAGCCCCATGCGCCGGCACGACTGTATCACCATTGGTCAGGATGTTCTTCAAGGTTTTTGTCGATCGCAAACGAGCTAGCTGTTTATGGTTAATGCGCTGGGGGTCACGGTTCCACCGTTCCAGGGTGTCCACTGAGTCTGTCGGGGGTTTTTCTTTGCTGTGCAGTGTGCTGTACGGAGTCGTCCGTGTCCAGAAATCTGCAGGTGCTTGACTGCTTTCGGCGCTGAGCTTGAAGATCTGGACTGGGATGTCGACCAGGGTGGGGTTTTCTGGAGTTTCTTCCTGGTATCGGGATTGGGGGTTGGTGGGTGATTCTAAGCTAAGGATTGGCCTTCAGTTTGGCCTAGGTCCTCCGCAAGTACGGAGCAAATACTACTAGAGTTGGAGAAGGAGGCCTGGGAGTTGGATCCGCTGAGCTTACTCCTCCATCCTCCTTCTCTTTACTACCACCTTCACTCCACGTACGGTAGTGGGAGGATGGGTCTATCGAATGTGCTCAAATTGGCTCTCGCTCTCACGGACTCCGGTGCTTATAAACCTTGAGAATGGTAGCCACTCAACAGTTGCAAGTTCCCATGTGTATGCAGTGCTGTCTCATGGGAGAAAGAAGACGACGTCTTCGTCGCAGCCCCGTAATGCGATTGGTGGCATTTATGTTTGACTTGGTACTTTTACCTCGTTCACTACAGCCCAGCAAGTGATATTACTTCTTCTCTGCCTTTGCAGTATCAGGAATCGAACGGACATAACTAGGCTCAGTGCAATAACCCCGCGCAGAGCCTTTGGATCTAGCTTAGGGTGACTGATGGGCCGATGGCGATACAGTTCTCGCGACTTTGGTCGCGGGGCTATGTATTTTGAGTTTTGACCCCGGATTTTCGTTGATTCGATGCTGGGGTAAACTTAGTATCATGTACTACCCGGCGAAGTCTAGAGAGACTACATAAAGTTCTGCTAGGGCTAGTAACCTAGGCATGAATGCGGTCCAATCGGAGAACTTGTCTGGCGATATTAATGCTTCCGTTCGATGGTTGACTGATATTTTGCATATGGTGGTTGTGGTACCTAACCTGAGAGGATTTGGGTAATGACTATATGCTATAATTCTGCTAATCCCTGAAACGAGCGTCCTTGAATATTGCGATAGAGGGTGCCAATCTAACAAGAAAGGTCATCGACTGAACAGCTCCCGCCCGATTTCTCCGCTCCGCCGTACGCTCAAGCTCGAGCTGCTGCTTCGGCGCCGTCGGCTGCGGCTTTCTGCGGGGTCCGCGGGGCTCAACCCACTGGCTCGTGCGTGCAGATTCAATATATCTGTTAGGCTTACGACGCCTACGAGTCGCCCTGAGAGACGTGCACCGGGTAGGGCTGACGCTGGGATAGACGGCGCCCCCAGGGGTGGTGGGGCCGGGTACTGCGCTGGGGTCGGGAGATGCGGTGTGCCCTGATTTGGGGCTTGCACATGCGATGCAGGTGGGGCGGGAGATTGCGGTGGTGACGGTGCAATTGCACTACTGCTGGTCTGTTGGAGAGGGATATGCACCATTGAGTGGGAGGGAGTCGGGGGCCCTGATGACGATGGAGACAGCGGATCGGTAACCCATAAACTTGAAACCGTTAGCTACGCCTTAGCAGCGAAGAAGGTGGCATATACCGGTGAGACTTGGTAGCCACCACTTTAGCCACTGTGTGTGCTAGCGTCGATCCAGGATGTACGTGGAAGACTGGGAAAGAATCTTTGCCTTCTTGCAGACCGCGCGTCGACAGAATCACAGAGATGAAATGAATGCAAGTATTTTGGAGGAGGGGAAGTGACGACGATCTCGTAAGTAACTGAGACCATTAGTGGAACACCTGCTGCCGGAGCAAAGCAAACCGTACCTTTACATCAGTAGTAGATATATTCCCGACAACGTTGGCGTGGTTGTCAATCACCGCGACAGACGAAATGCCTTCGCTGTGCATTAGCTGGAGAGCTTCATAGAGCCGTTTATCGCCACTACAAACGTTAGCATTGGACCTTGATAGCCATGGGCCGGGAACACACTTGATTGAGATAACCGTATGAGATCCAATTTTCAAATCTCGCAGCGACTGCGGGTATAGTTGGTCAAGAACCGGAAAGCAGCGTCCGTTCTCCCACAGGAACTTGACGAGTCGGAATTGACTAAAGATCCCCACCACTTCGTTGTCCTTTTGGTCATCAATCACAATCACACGATGCACGCCACCTCCGAAAGTCTCAACGGCCATCATCACACTTGACGACGCTGGAAGCGTGGTTAGCGGATCTTTCCTTCCCAGTTCCTTAACGTCTTCCATAGGAATTGGTATTCCCTCGCGAGCTTTGCGGGCAAGCTCATCATAAGCGGGAAGCAGCTCCTCGTCTGGTCTGGTTAGCCCCGCGGCGAGCAAGAGGTAGGTGTTGAGATCGTTGTAGTCGAAGGTCCCGACAGCCGTCTTGTGCTCGGGCGTTTCGCGGATCAAGAGCACCGGAGCACCAGTATCAATGAGAATCTACCATTTTCAATGTACATTAGCTTGGTGTACTTGCAGGAACGCAGGTTGCCTCACATTTGTAGCCTCTTCAATACCAGTATTGAGCTCCACAAACTTCACGTCGTCCGGGCTCACCAACTCCCCAATTGAAATCTCTCGCCAATCACGGTCAATAAACGCAGGATTTATATGATTCGGAGCCGGAGGATGGTCGATAAGGCTTTGGATAGCGGCCTGGGTGAGCGAGGGCTGGCGCCGTGCACGCGGGGATCCGGGGGCAGCGCGGAGAGACTCGCTGAAGCTCTGTCGGTGTTGATGGTTCGACGAAACGTGTGACAGCCGTGGAGTTCGTCCTCCAACGGATGGCGGGCGGGAATCCATGCTGGATCGGGGAGACGTCACATTTGACCCATTGAGGCCCTCTGCTCTCTCTGCTGCTGCGTCGAGGGACTGGCGGTCGGCCATGATTTCTGGAAGAGCAAGTGCTGCTGCGGGGGAGACTTGCTCCTCAAACAGCCGGTTCTGAGGTTATCACAACTCAAGGTCTCAGCCTGCGCACGCTCTCGATAAGTGAGCAATATCGTAATGGAAAACAGCGAAGAGTCTTGAAAACGACAACGATAATTCCGAGACTCGACGAACCCTGCTGAAAGTTGAGCTCTCTCGCCTCATTGCCAATCACGCGGCGTTGCGGGGACTGGGCCAATCATGGCGGGGCACGCTATCGTGCTCCAAAATTTGGTTGGGTGGGCTGTACTACGGAGATAGTACAGTAGGTACAGCTAGATGCCCTTTAGAAGGATCCCGTCCATTCAATAATATGATTATGGAGTACTAGAAGTGGACGGGGTTGACGGGGCTTACTTCGTTTGTTCGGTACACAACCCCATATGACTTCATGGTATATAGTCAGATTAAAAGTGGCTCCAATCTCTACAAAACCCTAAACACTTAGTTTGCTCTGTACATAACAGAATCAGATCTCAAAGAGTTTTGCCCAACAGGAAAGCGTACAAGACACTCGGGTAGCTGATTTGACTTGGCGAGCACTGCTTCCTAGAAGAAATCACAAAGCATATCGCCGATATCCTTCGTACGATTCTTCATCACGGCCTTTCGCGGCTGCACTTGTTCACTTTGACTTGGATGCGCTTGGTGTCCCTTTCGTTTCTTGGTGTCGGAATCGATGCGCTGAAGATAGATGGCGGACAGACGGTCTATACCCTTGCCTCGTTTGCGACGGGGTGGAGGCGGCATTTGCCCAATTTGAAAGTCGAGGATTGGGGCTGCTAGTATCGATTTGTCTCCAGTTAATGCATCGGAACAGGCCTTATAGAACTCATAGAGCGTGTGCGGTGGATATGGCTTTTCGTCCACTACCATCCAGCCAGCTAGTCTGATCCTGGAAATTTCGGGGATCAGCTTGGGGCATCCATACACCACGAGGTATTGCACAGTGCGCAGCCTCCACAAGTAGATAAGTGATGATTCGGTCAATTGCCACTGGTTTTTCAAAACTACAATTCGAAGATATCTGAATCGATCACTTGATTCTGCTTCTTCGTTCCAGCACCGAATGATTCGGTCAGTCAGAGCCGTTGCTGGTGGCTTGGTTACCTCGATATTTGCTGCTAGATGTTCAGGAGTAGCAATCTCAAGGGCAACCAGGTTTTTCACAGATCCGAGACTCGCAAGCTCGTGCACGTCAGCATATGATTGCCCCAGTGTCAACACAGTTTGCCAGCTAAGACCATCACTCGTTGCTAAGCGCAAGTAATCTGTCATTGAAGCCTGGGGCCCTTCAATTTTCATAGATCTGTACGGCTCGACCTTGAAAAATTGGTCAGGATATGCAGTCGCAAACACTTTCCACATGTGTAGAGTTCTCTTTTTACTGTAGGTGTTAACGTGAACTGAGTGAACTGCGAAACGAAAATGAGCACTCACCTTCTCTCTAGACAGTCCCAAAGGTAGCTGGCAAGTTGCCACGGCACATTCTCAAATAAATTTGAAGTTAGAGTCCGTTGGTCTGCGAGAAGCTTTTTCATCGCGATATGCTTGAGCGGTAAGGCCCCAAAAGGACTGCCTTCCTCCCACCCCTCTGGCCAGAATGGGGATTCATGAATCCAAGCTGGGCCATTCAGAAACCTGGCCGGCACTGAGGCGATTTCCGTGTATACCTGGCCAGATAAGTTGTCCACCACGCGTTGAGTCATTGTTGTTGATGAGCCGGGCTTGTCGCAATTGTCGCCGGCCCTCCACAGCGTGTCACTCAAGATCTTCGCTCAGCTGATGCTGATATTGTATTTTCAGAATCAACCAGCGGAATGTGCAAATAAATCAGAGTTAAGGATTGCCCCAAATTCTGTCCGTTCGGACTCTTGAAATTGGGTAAAGTTAACCCCTCACGTGACACAGTTCCCTATAAAGGACGCAGGCGTCTCCGCAACCTTGCATTTGCATTTGCATCTGCTTCTTCAAGAATACCGTATCAACCGACCATGGACTCATGTTTAGTGACTCAGCTTCAGAGCGCTTTGCTACAAAGCCAACTATGGATTTCACTGACTGTGGGTTGATTTCACGAGTGCATCTTTCTACCATCAGGGCAGAGATTTGCCGCAACACTATGGTCACCAATACATGGAACGAAGACTTATAGCCCATGCTGTGATCGTTGCCTATGCTCTGGAGTGCTGTCGCAGCTTATGCTTGAAGAAAAAAAAAGATATATTCCGAATGCCATGTTTTGCATTATGTCCTTACACAACTGCTCGACAGAGTAATCAATCTTCTTCCCAAATTGCCTCGAAGAAAAACACATCTCACATACGAGCCAAAACACAAAATAAAAGGGTCTGGCAACTGACCATCTCAAGAATCATTTTCTCTCGCTGAAAGGCCGTATTGAACGGTCAGGCGCCCGGGCAAGAGCTGCTGATTTTGATAGGGTCACAAGCATCACGAGGCTGACATCACGCAGATTTGGGCGCCAAGCGATAGATTATCACCGTCCACTGTTTCCTTCACCCAGAAAGGCCCTCACCCTCCTTCATTGATTCAGCTGACTCATAGGTGAAAGAGAAAGTGACTCAAAATAGGCTGTGCCTGGCACACACCTTCACTGCCTTGTGGCTTGGGGCTCGAGATGTGAAGATCAGCCGAGCAGTTCGCCCAGGAATTGAGGCCTTGTATAAGAATAGCACCTGGCGCTGCTACACAGGATTAGAGATTCTTCTTAATATCTTTCTACCCCAGGTTGACTCCATCCAAACGATTGCTCTAACTAGAACGAACCCTTGTCCTCCTCACTGCGCTCCATCGCGACCTTGATTGCGGGGTATACCTCAATCCTTCTAGGCTGAAGTTGGAAGATTACCTAGGGTAGCCTGCCGCCGCTTTACTTAAGAGCTATGGGTTCCCCCGTTTCCCGTTCAAAGGACCCCTCAGTCCCCGAGAAGTTGGAACGTTTTTCGCACTCATGGAAACGATATTCCAGCATGCTACGAATCGTCTCATCCACCCTGTTGCGACAGCCCTCACAGCTGGCAGATGGCCACCTGCATACGGTTTGGTTGCTCGACAATACAGCTTATCGGCACCCGGCTTCGCATGTATCTGGTGAACCTCACTCATGGCGAGTAGAGGTTGTGGCTTGTGTATTTCGAAAGGATAGCCGACGAGACATTAGCAAGTTTGTCGCCGTGATTGCAGACCTCGCTGGACTCGACGGGGAGTTGGGCACGGAGAAGGAAATACGACGTCGAATTGCGCGGCGCTTGCAACCTTTCCTGTACCATATAGTGCCAGAGCATTATATGATGCTTGAAATACCCCTACCTAACCACACCACCCAAATCCATAAAATCGGACCAACAGAAGAAAACGGCATCGTATCGCAAGTCATTAATACCGGTGTCCGCCAAGTCGCCGACGGAGCCCGAGTACGTTCTCATGTCCGTGGAGTGAGAGAAAAGGCATATATGGAAACAGCCTTTGCCGGTCCTGAAGGCTGGCTGGTCGTATCCGACGTTGACGATACTATCAAATATACCAAGACCTCAGACACCACTGGAATACTCCGCACAACGTTTGCCGAAGAACCAAGACCAATCACTGGAATGCCCCAACTGTATTCTCGTCTCGAGAGGCATTTTGAGCCGACATGGTTTTACCTTTCTGCTTCACCTTACAATCTCTATCCTTTCCTCCGTGGTTTCCTCCGTGACCATTTCAGCCCCGGAACACTCATCCTTCGGGATTCTTCCTGGCTCGACATTAGTGAACTAGTCAAATCGTTCACCGTCAACACACTGGAATACAAGGTAGACCGCATCAGAAAGATCCGGCGATGGTTTCCGCATCGGCGAGCTCTCTGTATTGGAGACTCCACCCAAACCGATCCCGAGGCATATGCGGAGATCTATAGACGACATCCTGAGTGGGTCCATGCCATTCTCATCAGAAAAGTCATGGATGTGCCCCATATGGAAGAGCAAAACTCGCCGGCGAGATTCGCAGAAGCTTTCAAGGGTGTTCCAAAACACATCTGGAGGGTTTTCGAACAACCCAGAGAGTTATATAGCGTGCTTGACGAGATCAGAGCGAGAGAAAATGCCAGCTTCTCTCCTTAGACATCAGATACCCATGTCTTGGTCGTCAATACTCATTTTGATTTGTCTTTGTCAGTCATGACTCGGGTGTTGATCAAAACTGATGTCGAAGTCTGTTACGTCAACGCAACGTTTCAAGACAGTGGCGAACCCAACACAACTTTATATCGGCTGTTCCCGAACAATCACTTAGAGGATAGAATAGCTTGCATTACTTTGTTCTGCGAAAACTGAAGCTTATCAAGCTAGGTATCGCTGTTTTAAAATCGTTGAACAACCCGACTATTGGTTCGTTAAACGACCATGAAGCCTGCTAAGCGACGCTCCACGACAATGGACGAACAGACATTTGTTCCGGACACGATGAGAGCTTTATACTGGTCTCCAGCCTCTACCGCACTCCTGGATGACACCTCTTTAGATGAACCGCGGGTGGATTCTGAAGTGGTTTTTGATACAAATTTCCCAACGCCAAAGCCTTCGCCACGCCAGTATTTGATCAAAGTTCAAACTGCTGCCTTCTCGCTCGACGAACTCAGAGTCTCCAAAGCAAAAAATCCGTCAAAGTCAATACCCCAAGTTCCGGTACACAGCTTTTGCGGTACGATTATCAGTACACCGACTGAAGATCACGAGAAGCCCGACGGACCAAAATTCAAAGTAGACGAGGCTGTTTTTGGATTGATCAGCTACTCTGCCGACGGCGCAGCAGCTGACTATGTCCTTGCGACGGAGGACCAGATCGCTCACAAACCAAAGAACATCTCAGCCGCAGAGGCAGCCACTATCCCTCTACCTGCGCTTACAGCCTGGCAAGCTCTCTTTAAGTATGCTGGCCTTGATCCTGGAAAGCATAACAAAGAGACTCACGGCAAACTCCGTATCCTCATCACGAACGCGCGTCCCAGCGAAGTTGGTACACAAGCTCTACACCTGCTCCGGTCTCCTGACCTATTTCCCCACCACCCTCCGTGGATTTGCGCAACGTATGCTTCCAAAGACGAAGAAGAGATGCTCCGCAATGAGTTCAAAGTTGACGAGACTATTCTCGCTCCTGAACCTGCACCCAAGGATTTTGACCTGACTTCCATCTTCCGCAAGAACAAATGGGAGCCCGTCGACGTTGTCCTAGATTACACGGGCGAAGACATCCTCCACCAGGCCAACAACCCGGCTATCGTTAAGGATGGTGGTGCCGTTCTCACAGCGGTGGACGCCAGCCCAGTATTCAACATAGTTCCGAAAGGAAAGGACGGCGAAGGACCGTCTACCAAGCTTGTTTCGGTGGAGCCAGATGGGAAAACCCTCGGCCTGATTTCCAAGATGGTCGAGGATAATATCGTTCGCGGAAGGGTCGAGACTGTCATCGACCTCGTCGACGGAGCGGATTTCCTGTCTTCCGATGCTCCTGCTGCTGGTGGTAGATCGAGAGCTGGGATTTTTGTGTTTAGGGTGAACCCTTGATTTTCTTCATTGCATCTTTGTTTCCCCCTCAGCCTCCTGTTTCTGCTGCGCGATTTAGGTTGAGAAAGCGCACATTGAGTTGACGTTATAAGCTCAAGCATGATGACACTGAATGAAGTAATTCAAATTTCAACTCGAGCAACAGCGGGTTACAACATCCTGTACCTGGGAAACCTCAACCATATCTTTATTAGAACCTCGGTGAGCCCTCCGAATGGCGGCATCCAAACGAGAGCCTTCCGCCAGTGGAAATAGCTGCTTCTGTCTCGTGCTTGTATATGGACTCGCTGGGACTGGTAACCTGCTATCATGGGCATTATCGACAGGCGAAGTACAAGAATCGAATGGCGGAATCTGGATTATAGGAGATATGAAGAAGAAGATATTGAAGCTCATGGAGTAATACATTGTCTCGCTTTCGCTAGTGGGTTCATATTAAACACTGTCCTTTGCCCAGACTTAAACCTCGGACGCCGACTATTTCAGATTGAAACAGCGAGAATTTTTCTCCGGATCCCGGAGTGGAAACAAGCCTGATTGATTGTTGAGATGGGCATGCGGACAAGAATATGGAAGGAGAGAATAGGATAATTTGGCAATATATGGAGAAAAAGGAATCAAAAGTACGTGGTGAGACTAGAGGAGAGAATCGAGCCTAGTAAAAACGCTGAGACAGGCGGCAACAACCTAGGGATTATTAGCATTAGGTGTAAGATGCCCGAGTAGAGGAGAAGATTACCTCTAGTTGAAGCTCCTTATCCTGGACTCTGGTCACTTCGTCGTTAATTGCCTGGGCTAGATTGGCCCCAATCGCCTGGGAACCGCCAGGGCGTCGAGCAAATGGCCATTGTGAGTACTCGGCCAATAATTCATCCACCTGTGCAAAGGCTCTCTCTCGGGCTTCGTGGCTCATTGTGACGAGTGCATTCTCTAGTACGTTTGCTGCGTAGGCAGCACACACCATAGTAATGGTGCGCAGGTATCGAAATTCGGTATCTTCAGGGAGCCATTGGTTGGCGGGAAGGATTACAGTGCGACTGCTGCAGATATTGCGGACTCGGCGATTAAGGTCTTCTTTGGCGCCGCCGTCGGCAACGGGATGAGTCGCCATATCGAACAGGAGAAAGTTGCGTTTTTCAGTTCGAAGAATGCCCTTATCGACAAGGCCCTTGGCAAGACGCTCGCGCACTTGCTTCAATTGATATCCGATCTTCATCAAATTCCATGTCTCTCCTGTAGTAGGCGTACTGCGGTCAGCGCACTGTTTCGGATAGCCTACCAATAGTTGCTATACATACCACTCATCAGGTCGATCCAGGAGTTCACACTCATCTTCTCACTTGACTTCATCATCTTCAAAGCCTCGTCCAGCAAGACCTCGCCCGTCAATGTGTCGTCGATAACTTCAATCACTCGATCGGCCAAGGGGAACCTCCGCCGAGAAGAATCCTTCTGCATGCTAACTCGACCGCGAAGCGCCAGCTCAATGACAATGCATCCTCGTAAGGCGTACGAGATATTCTCATTCCAAAAAGACAAGTATCCCTGGAGCAGTTTGAGCGGTCCGTTAGCATATGCGCATGCCGCAGGAGCGCATGTTGCTTCCAAGACAAGGTGGATATGCAGCTAACCTGTTTATCTTTCAAACCCAGCAGGAGAACCTCCTCCATAAGCGTGAGCTTCGGCTGTTTGCTCCGTTCCTCTGTCTCGCTGATATCCCGGGGGTCAAAGGCGATTTTATGCCCATTTTCGGAGTTTGTGTATGACGTCTCGGGGGTGCGATTGTCCATGGCGGAGCCATTTCGAGAGACAGGGGAAGCAACTCTGCTGTCATCGTGCTCGTCTGAGCCAGCGGCTCGCCCGCCACCTCTCCGGCGAGTCAAGCCCCCGGCTGAGGCCATTAGGATGATCGAACGTATGTGTCGGGAGCGGGGTGGAGAAGGAGGGCGAGGCTGCAGTCGGAGTCGAGGCTAAAGCGAATGCCACTGTTACCGGTAGGTTAAGATCGTTCCTTTGCAAGAAGCCGGAGGCAGTGGGCTGCTAGGCGGGAGATCGTTTCAAAAAGGCGATGAGGGGGTGGAGTTATAGGGGAAGTTGAAGAGCAGGCGGGAAGAGTGAGAAGGAGACAAAAAAGATCCGCCCGAAGCGTGTTGCGCAGCTCAGACAGCCAGCAACGGACCGGCAATACGAGATGAGTTGAGTCGGAGGTTGCACCAAGAGGTCAATTCCAATCAAAGAGTAAGCAGTAATGGGAGAATTGCAATGAAAGCTTCAGCTCAGACGTATTATTTCCTTGCGCGACGAGTCAACGACAACAATGCCAACCGCCCCAGTCTCGGCAAAGCGCTCTAGGCTATCTGGCTCGAACTAACGCGCGTTTCAAGCCGTCATTTGTGATGACGAGCCTCATCAGCGCCCTGCAATTAGCCATTTTATTTTCTTCTCTTCCATTTTTGTCGGCTTGTCGTGCGAGCTCAATTTAAAAAGAACATGGGTAGTCAGATTTTGAGTGCGTCGTTGATCAGAGTCTACGGAGTACCCTGATTGTTACGGAGTATACCAGTGGCTTCGATTCGCTTGAAGTCCCTCCATGCGACGATGCTCCAAATCAATCAAAACTGCATTGAAAGTGATATACATGTTATAGTAAAGCGAATCACCGAATGTATCAGCATACATATAGCGCCACGCTACCCAGATACTCCGAATCTTAAAGAGTTCTGCGTAGCTGCACGCCAGACATCCCAGGATTTTCTATCTAGCACCTCAAGCATCTCTTCCCAAGCCTCGCATTAAGAAATCTAGTGGGCTAGTTTCGAATAAGTGGATGATTCAGAAAGAACGTCAGGAAAGGACGGGTGCTTACCATCGGGCTGAGCAAGGATGTACTCGACAGCCTTGTCCACTGTAGGAAATATATTATTAGTGCCAGATTTCAGCTAAGATCTTTAAACACTTACCGCTATGGATAGTGTCCGCCTCCTTGTCAGGGATCTCAATGCTGAATTCCTATCGAAGCAAGTCAATAACAGTGTTCCGCATAAGATAGCAACCGAGCTAGGTCGTACCTCCTCAATAGCCATCACCACCTCAACGGTATCCAAGCTGTCGAGTCCGAGGTCGTTCGAGAAGTGAGAGGCGCCGTTGATCTGTTTGGTCCCATGACGTTAGAACTTTGCTTCATGCCGGAAATCAAATAGCTATCGTGACGCACCTTGTTGGCATCAGTGACCTGTGTTCGCAAGAGACGTCAGTCGTTTCACTCTTGAAGTACTCTCTTTTGAAAATATGACGACAATGGACGTACCTTGTCAAAGTTCTTCAAGAGGTTGACTATCCGACCCTCAACCTCATCCTTGCTAAGGCCAGCAGGGGCGGAGTAGAGACGGACAGCCTGGAAAGCAAAGCGAGGGGCGAATTGAGCCGGGCGAGCCACGGGAGAGCTACGGATCTGGAAGGCAGCCTGGGGCTTCATAGCACGAGGCACGGAGGCCCTCAATGAGCGGACAACAGCGGAACGGAACATGACGACGGTGTGGGAAAGGAGGGGGCGCGGTGACAGATTGCCTAAATTGATATCAGAAACACACGGGCCTAGTGGTAATATGTGATGAAGTCAAGCTTGATTACCTCGGAAGAGAATGGAAGAGCGACAGCGAGAGGTTCGGATGAAGTCGTTTTGGTTGCTTCAGAAGTGAACCTGAATTTGGCGTTGCGGCTTCGGGGAAAGCAAAATCCCTTCAGCCAGCCAATCAGCGGGCGGCAGAAAGCAATGACCTAAGCCGCTGCAAAACCACTCTAGCAACCACCGAACTTCATGCTCTCTGAGGTGCTCCAGTTGCTCCCCTCCCCCAATTGATCTTCCCCTCATTCCCCTCTTCGCTTTTGCGACTTCTCTTCATTCCTCGATGGCTTCATCTAGATCCGCGGCGAGGTTACTCGCCTACCGACGTCCCATGCCCTCAGTCGTGTCCCCGTCTTCATTCATCCCGACCGCAAACTTCTCTTCCTCGGTGAGCCGGGCAGCCACGCCAGCTGGGCCTCCGCCCTCCGGTTTCCGTATCCCTCCCCCGAGGCGATGGGACCAAGACCCAGAGTCCTCGCTGGACAAGGCAAGCAAGTACTTCCTCATGGCGGAGATCTTCCGGGGCATGTACGTCGTTTTGGAGCAGTTCTTCCGGCCACCGTAAGTTTTCCTCAGGACCCGAGCTATGAAAAGCACGATCAACGGCGGACAATTTGACGGATATATCAAATATTTGTCTGGGTGCATGTCGTTTCTCGACTTGTAGCAACACCCGCTAACTCCAGCCGATGCTAGTTACACCATCTTCTACCCCTTCGAGAAAGGACCAATCTCCCCCCGTTTCCGTGGTGAACACGCTCTTCGACGCTACCCTACCGGTGAAGAGCGCTGCATCGCCTGCAAGCTATGCGAGGCCATCTGCCCTGCCCAGGCTATCACCATTGAAGCAGAGGAGCGAGTGGACGGAAGTCGCCGGACGACCCGATATGATATTGATATGACCAAGTGCATCTACTGCGGGTACTGCCAGGAGAGTTGCCCAGTTGATGCCATTGTTGAAAGTACGTTTTATCACTTTTATTAACTTGAGTGGTCACTAACATGGTACTGTAGCCGCCAACGCTGAATACGCCACCGAGACCCGCGAAGAGCTGCTCTACAACAAGGAGAAGCTCCTCGCTAACGGTGATAAGTGGGAGCCTGAAATTGCTGCTGCTGCCAGAGCCGACGCTCCTTACCGATAAACCACTGCGGTGCCTTGCTAGATGATATCGAGGAGAAATTTCAGTCAAGACAAAAGCCAGCTTTTTCCTACCGGAGGATGTCCCAGGACCCTCCACGCGCAACCCAGAGAGTCTTTCTCTTCCCACTTTGTACATAACACCCACCCTACTTTGACCCGCCTCACCCTCCGTTATTATGTACTCGACGCAACCGTGGGAAATTCTGGTACCCCGGTTTTGCGTCAGTTTTCTTTGCTGTACCTGTGATGTTAGAAGAGTTTTGTGTTATAATATGTTTAGGGATTCAACTGAGCCGTTTCTTTTCTTTGCTCCTGGCGTAATAGTTTTAGCAATTATACATAGTGTAGTGCATGGAGCTTTTGAGGTCCTGCGAAGGTCCTGTAGTAGTATCCACGCGCAAGGTAGGTAGCCTTTGAAATGAACTCCTTGAATTGTATCAACAAATCGCTACCAATGCATAAGTATGTGCGCATGAAATAGATAGTGACCCCGAGTAAAACAAGATGCCAAAACACCATATCTCCAGTGCCTACCCTCGGTTTTCGGTTCGCGCCAATCCATCCCATCAAACCTCTTGATGAGGGAAGAACTGCTCCTCGTCACGGATAAGAGTATACACATTCATCATTAGATACAGCATCCCCTGCAAACAGTCTATACTCATTTCTTTTTACCACCGCCAACCTTGGCCTTGAAGCTACCTTCGAAGCCAGGTCGGGGCTTGCCCTTTCCTCCTCCCGCGCCTGCCTTTTTCCCTCCCTTATTCCCCTTCTCTTCTCGCCGCTTGCGAAGGTTCTCTTCGCGCTTCTGTTGTTTCATGTCTTTGCCCTTCTTGACGGTATCGATGCGGTCCTTCCACTCCCGCTCAGACCTCTTCTTGGCGGATTCCTTGCGCTTCAGCGCCTTCTTCAGCAGTGAGGTATCATCGCGGACTCGCTCGCCGTGAGCGCGCTTCTTGGCGTTGAGCCACATGTCCTTCTCTTCAATGTCTGCGCGTTTCTCCTCGTCCATGCCTGCGAGGCGGGCTTGCTTAGCCTCGGCGGCCTTGAGGGCAGAAGCCGGGTCCCGGGGACCATTAGTCTTGGGCTTTTCGCGCACGTTTGATAGGGAGGCGTCGGCTATTTGGCCGTCGGAGAAGACGACACGGCCAAAGGCGTAGCTTCCTGAGCCGACCGAGTCGGCTGGTGATCGCGGAGACGCCAACAACGAGCCGGAGCCTCCTGGGGAGAATCGCCGAGTCATGGCTTCGTCCTTCACCCGTTGCTCTTCTTCCCTGGCCTTTTGGCGCAGCAACTTCTTGTGTGCCTTGCGTTGTTCGGCTTTTTGTCGTCGGGCTTCGATCAACTCTTGTCGATTGCGCGCTGGTTTTCCGTCGAGGCCATCTGCGTGACGGGCTGCCCGCAGCTCATCCAAGCGCTTCTGGAGTCGTTGTTTTAACTCTTCGGGTGTGGCTTTGAGGGGTTTCGGTTCGGAGCTTGAGGTTTTCGTAGCATCATTCGGCGCAGAAGCGGGAACAATGGAAGATATTGAAGAGCTCCCGGATTGAGGATTCGAGTTGTCGAACCCCGGGGATTCTGGTGCAGAGGAGAGTGAATGATCTTCGTTGAACTCGAGGGAAAGGCCTTCAGCGACAGCGCCTTCGTCACCGTCAACTTCCTCAGCATCTTCGTCTTCGGAGTGTTGCACCTGTTCAACGGCCTTGCTGCTGCTCTCAGTTGCGTCAGGCGCAGAGTTTTTGGCCTCCTCGGCTTGTTTATCTTCTTCTTTCGCTTTCCGAGCGACTTCCTTCGCCTTCTTCTTCTCCTTTTGATTCTGCTTCTTTTGAGCCTTTTTTTCTTCCTTCAACTTCTTGCGGGCTTCCGCTTCTTCCTTCTTAGCGTCAGCGGGAGCATCTGCTGTTGTCGACTGGACCTGCTTCTGCTTTTTGGCGGCTTCTGCGCGCTTCAACCCCTCTTTTGGCAATTCAGATCCTAGTTCACCGTCGTCGGATGACTCGGCATTATCTTCTTGTTGGTCTTCTTCCCGCTTGCGCTTTCGTGCGTTCTCGTCCATAACGTCCTTTGCCGTTTTGGCGGAGTCTGGGTCCAATTTCGCTCGCTTGGCCTCTCGTGCCTGTTCCTTCGTCTGCTTTTTCTTCTTCCATTGATCCTATGGAGACAATCAAGTCAGCATCATGCACAGGCATGAGCATGGAAGAGGAAAGCGTTCAAGCGAAAGGAAATTGGTTCTGAGAAAAAAAGACTTCAGGTGGAACGTACACTGCCATCTTCTCCGTAATAGAATTTCGCAGGAATTAATGAAAGTAACCCATCGAAGGCCTGGGCATGGCTTCGCAGCCTGTCCTATTTGAAGACAAAAAGAATTCGTCAATCTCGCGAACAGGACAGACAAGACAGGACAGGGAAGGATGTCTGAATATCATACCTCGATATCAGCCATAGCCGCTCTCCTCACTGTGAAAGTTCTAAATTCGCAGAGGCCGACAATAGATATATATGGATATAGTATCTAAACCCAACACCGGAACCAGGACGTGCAAAGGGCTTCGCAACGAGTCGGTCGAGGGAATGAAAACCGCGAGTTCACTATCTCGAAAAATTTGGGTGGGCGGGTGAAATCTTGGCATGTCTACTTTTTCTCCGCTCGGCTGTGGGTTCTTCACCGCCCACTGTCTTTGCAAATCGCAAATCGCAGGACGGACTCCGAGTACGTAGCGGGCGAGTGAGAAATGACTCTTTTTCGCTCATTGCGCTTGGACCTTTCGATGGCTCATGCACTAGACTATGGGACTACAATGAGCCCTGGTAACCCAGAAACAGACTACGACTTTATAAGTATACCAAGAAGGGATGCATGTTTTAACTCTTTTGAAGCTGATTATAAATTCATTTTGAGCCGAAACAATCCAAACTTTTTAACGGTGACCTGCATCAGCAACCACCGAGAAACACGCAGATGATAAGCTTGTTGTTAAACCCCGAGATATGAAGAGATAGGAAGAAGAACGAAATACTCTGGCTCTGGTATCTAGATCAAAAATGTATCAAGTCATCAAGAAGAAAAGGAAAACTTGACCGCATGAGATGTCGAGTCCCGTTTATTGAGCAGAGGTTCCATTGGCGCTCTTTGACTTGTTTACTTCGCGTCTGGCGCGGACTGCCTCGGCGAGGTCTTCCAAGACAGTGACGGTGGTCTCCCAGTCGATGCAGGCATCCGTGATGCTGACACCCTTGGCGAGTCCTGAGGGGCCTTCGGCCGGAACCTTCTGGTTGCCCTCGTTGATGTTGGATTCAATCATGACACCGATGATGGCATCTTGGCCCTCGCGGAGCTGATCACCGACCTCCTTAGCGACAAGGGGCTGGTTGCGGTGGTTCTTCTTAGAGTTTCCATGCGAGCAGTCAACCATGACGACTTCACGCTGCTTCTTTCCGCGCAAAGCGTCGCGAGCACCCTGGATACTTTCGCGGTCGTAGTTTGTGCCCCTGTTTCCTCCACGAAGAATGACGAAGCCGTGCTCGTTACCGGATGTCTTGGTGATGGCTGCGAGACCCTGCTTGGTCACACCGAGGAAGCGGTGGGGGTGAGCTGCCGCGCCGATGGCGTCAATGGCGACAGTGAGGTTACCGTCCGTGCCGTTCTTGTAGCCAATGGGGAAACTGAGACCGGAGGCGAGCTCACGGTGCAATTGTGACTCGGTGGTTCGGGCACCGATGGCACCCAGAGAAATCAGATCGGCGAGGTACTGCGGGGAAATGGTATCAAGCATTTCACTAGCAATTGGCATTCCCATGCCTGTGAGGTCGGCGTAGAGTTTACGGGAAACGCGAAGACCCTTGTTGATGTTGTAGGACTCGTCGATATCAGGGTCGTTGATCAGACCCTTCCATCCAACAGTTGTACGGGGCTTCTCGAGGTAGGCGCGCATGATGACGCACAAGTCGGAGGAAAGGCGCTCGGAAAGTTTCTTGAGACGGTTGGCATATTCGAGTGCTGTCTCGGGGTCATGAATGGAGCATGGGCCGACAATCACTAGGAGACGGTCATCACGCTGCTCGATGATCTCAATGGCCTGGGCGCGGCCAGATCGGACGGTTGCGATGGCATGAGCGGGCTAACCAATAAATTGTCAGTATATCGCCATTATCGATGTGAATGGATGTAAATGGTAGGTTATATTGGATCAAGCTGAAAGCAATCAAAGTATGCATGACTCACAGATGGGATCTCGGACTGAAGGAACTGAGGAGAGAGTAAGGGATCGTAACCGAGGACTAAACGGGTTCGTCAGGAATGGGAAGCCCAGGTTAGAGGACGCGTGATGATACTCACCTCGAGTATCCTCGTTGACTTCGGTGGTGTTGACAAGAGGCATTGTGAAGGAGCAGCGTATACAGACAAAGTGGGGGTATTAAATTGAAAAAAATGTATATGATCGAGAGAAAGAAAGCTTCAGACAGCAGAGGGCGCCCACAATATGATGGTGCAAAAGGCTGCAGTTAAATCAAGCAAGTAGAGAGCAAGTCAGAATCAAGTACTCCGTAAAACAAGTATCAAAGGGAGAAGAATGATGTTTGGTCCCCTCCGCAACTTTTTATAAAAAGCAACCGAAATCGGTGATCAAGATGGGCAGAAAATGCATCTCTGGTGGGCCAATGACATGCAAGGTTTTCCACACACTCGACAAAAGTTGGGTATTTTTGGAGCCGTATGATACAGTATGGCCGATCACCGCCCTTTGACATTCTTCAAGTCATGCCATGGGCCAATTCTTGAACAAATTGATGTTCTGGAGTGCCAAACGGCCTAAAGATGATACTACTGGTAGGAGAGTCGGTGCCCAGGTCAAAGGTGCTGTGTCAGATCCTGAAGCCTAGACTATTAGTGGCCCTAGACTGCCATATCTCATTCATGTCTCAAAAGCCAACATACTTTATGTCCATACTATAGTAGTACCTAGTTGTAATAACGACTAACTAGTACTAGTTAGTTAGTAGGTACTCTGTCTCTGAGTCATATTCGTACTACTAACTAACTTGATAACTGGTCCTTTTTAGTATGCTCGATGTTTAAGCATGCAAAATATGGATGAACCTCGGAGTTTCAAGCTCAAGTTGCACCCAGTATATCGTGCATACTGAAGGCTAGGGCATGACTTCCTTTCCATTCCAATCCCAACATCGACCCCGTCCCTCTTTGGGCCCCGTACCCATTGAACATAGAAGCTTCAAGAGTAATGTAGCGGACTCTTCTGGCTGCAACATTGACCTTCCATCCCAATAATCCTTTGTAAAATCGGTATGGACTGTTCCCGGATGCATAGCAACTGCCATGGCACGCTCTCGGCTTTGAGACTGTAGGTACAGGTCGAACGTCTTTGCTAGCTGGAAAACTGATGCTTTGCTTGCACGGTATGAGTACCAACCGCCCGAGGTATTATCAGAGACAGAGCCCACTCTGGCCGCCATCATCGCATAAATAGCATGCGATTCGGGTAAACGCCACTGCGAGCTATCCTGGCCCGATACTTCCTCGCTATCTTGGAATGGGGGTGACGATGCAGTAGGCAAGAATGATGACAAATGCTTCATCAGTAGCATGGGACCGAGGGCATTGACTTGAAAGCTACGCAAAGAATATTCTGCGTCGATTTGACTTGGGGATTTCTCAACATGAAGGATCCCAGGAACAGTGATTGCCAGCCGTAAGAGCGTTTCTGGGTACATTTCACGGGTTGCGGATGTCATCTCGGATATCGTAGATTCATCTGGGGAGCCATTCAGATATGATCATAGCGTCGACAGCATTGCGAGGAAGGATGTACCAGTAACATCTACCTTGAAGACCCTGAGCCGCCGCTCAGCATTGAAGTGCTCAGCTTTAACACTTTCAAGCAACCGACAACGCACTTGGTCGCAGTTTGTTCGTGCTGTTGCGACGATAGGGAGGCTGGTATGGGCTAGAAGTTGTTGTGCAAAGGCAAAGCCTAAACCCCTAGAGGCAGGGGCCACAATGGCAAAGCCACATCGTAGTGCCTCCATTTGGACACCTCATGGGAAAGTTCAGCTGTGATATGGCATGTTTGTACAGTAGGGCACGGTGCATTCCTCAGCTTGAATATCCCATGACATCATCATCTGCGGATGGAGTATTGAGATAGTTAAGGCGGGGTTCCAGGGAACGTTCCTGATCAGGACACTCAAGCATAAGTGTTTAAAACATACATCGTACGGGCGCTAATTGTACAACATAAGATTTGAAACTGCCCTGAAATCAAGAGATATGGGGCGGGCCTTTGTCCATTTAGTAATATTGGTGATCAGATTCTGTCAAGGTTGAAGCCCGTAGAAGCCCATCCATCAATCAGGGCCTTGGCAGGGTCGGGCTGTCACATTCAAGTGTGGCACATTGTCAGGCTGTGGTACCAAACGATACGATACAGAAAGTGCCACTCCACCATTGCAGGTCCCCATAATGAGCTAACCCATTTTGTAGTAGCTTCCTCTTTGATGTGCCTGGCAGCTCATGCTAACACCAACAGTGACCTGCTTTCAAGTTCGATGGCCAGCCAAACTTTCTGCTCGGAGCTGTTGTTTATCTATCTGTATGGTTTTGACCATCAATCCCCGCGTTGCCTGTCAACCACGGGTCCACCGAAGCTTACTTCCGACTGCTTTGTTCAACGACAGATAGACAATATTTCCTGCTTAGCCCACCCAGTGCGACATCCAGAACCTCATGGCTTGCCATTCCTCGAAGCGCCCACGGGAACTTGAAGAGATTACGGCCTACAATGAAGATACATCCAGAGATACCAAGGTTAGATCTCAGTGGACCTGTTATTTTGAATCAACTTTGAGGCTGACAGGCGAGGTTCTAGAAACACCGTCCTCTCCCTCTTCGCAGTTCCCCAAGGTCCAGCCAGCGACTGAAGATTGCCGAGACTGTCAAGCCAATCTTCTTTTCGGCGTTAACCCCAGTTGATTCCTCGGAAGATGAAGATGTGTTCAGCAAGAGATTTCGGACCGAGTTGGATAAGGCAAACGCTCAGCAGCCCCAGAACTTTTATGCTCCTAAGCAGGAACTCGATGCCTCGATGGATATAGATACTTGCGAAGACATTGAGGATATAGACCAAGACAACTTCAGTCCATCACCGATTGCTGGATTCGACAACGGTATTTCTCAGTCATTACATAACCCATATGACGTTACCTGCCAGCCCCCAAGTGCTGGAAATATCCCCCAGTTGCCCGGTGCGAGGGATAGTCTCTCGAGGACAAAGTGTCTCTTCCAGAGTGATGATAGTCTCTGCCCATCTGAGCTACTCCGGGGTACTGCCTGGCGCAGTCCACGTTTGCCGAGTCCAGTGAGCGACAACGGTGATATACGCGGCAAAGACGCCACTGGTGATACGGAAATGGCTGATGATAGGCCGTCTCAGCACTCTCCTCCGGTGATGAATTCAGCAGCCGCGGAAGCCGAGGCTGCTGATATGCGGAAACGACTATCATCCTTGGACCTACCAGATCAGGGCAACGTGGAGCCTACTTCCAGTGTCAAATCAACCAAAAAGCTGGCATTTTCAATGGGATATCGCTCTGACTGTGACAAGTGTCGGCGCAGAGTCCCTGGACATTACAGCCATATCATTAGAGGCTGATGCCTATTTTTCCTCCTTCTTAGCGCTTCGTTTCCGGATTCAGCAAGAGGGTTCATGTGCGCTTTAGGATACATATCCTTACATACATGTTGTTATGATGGCATGGCGTTAGCTCGGCGGCGGTTTTTTCTTACCTTTCTTATTTTTTCTTCTTTATGGTCAGAGGAGTCTCGGAGTTTGTATACTGCCACGGATAGAAATACCCAAAATCAGAATCAGGGGGTCAATAATGCGATAGAGCATATTGCTACCGAGATAGATACAAAACTACTCTATAAACTTACAAAGTAGATACAGCACAGTGACTTTGAAGGACGGACCCCGACGCCTTCCGACTACCGGTTCCGAACCAGCTGACATAAGAGGCCGCTTCCGATGCCTCTTGGACCCTTCGACATTTCAGGCTGTTTGTCTTCCGCACAGGCGCTCTGTGAAAAGCGGTCTTGTCAGATTCCAAGTTATAAGCCTGCAACGTTCGTAGGGGCTGTCTATAGGAGACAGGGGCATCAGGTATACTTCTAAACATGTCCCAGGGACAGCCGCCTCGGATCGCCTCCTAAGACGGTTTGCCGGTCGTCTTCCCCACATCATCCCCATTTCTTTTGGCGGGATAGCCCTTAGCCGATTTCCATTGCCGGCAATTCGATGGCAACTTGAGAATGGTGCTGGGGTGTATAAGATGGATTCCGAACCCCGGAAATCCAGCCGGCCGGCTCGATCTCAAATACAAGTACCCGGCAGCGTCCTGTCCCTTCGGTGAAGTGGTTTCGAGCAAATTCCGTTCTCCTGAGCGTCTCAAGTTTTTCTCTCGGATATACCCCTGTGAGTCCAGGTCTTTCAAAATCATCACTCTGTTCGCGACCACTAATGCTCCGTTCCGCTTAGAAAATAATCTTCTCATAGCTGCCATGGCTTCTCCTGTGCCGCGAGGCCTTCGTCAGGTCCTCCAAAAGTCCCCCTCGGACATCGTTATTCTCTCGTCTCTCCGCACGCCCGTCACGCGCGCAAAGAAGGGCGGTTTCAAGGACGCCTATCCCGAGGAGCTCCTCGCTCATGTGCTGAAGGCCACGTTGGAAGCGAACCCCAACCTCGATCCCGCTTTGATCGAAGATGTCTGTATTGGATCTGTGCTCCAGGAACTCGGTGGTGCCAAAGCAGGCCGCATGGCCCAGATTCACGCGGGATTCCCTCATACAGTTCCTTTCCACACAATCAACAGACAGTGTTCATCGGGTTTAGCTGCCATTTCGACTATCGGCAATAGCATTCGTGCGGGTGCCCTTAATGTCGGTGTGGGTGGAGGAATGGAATCCATGACCCGGAATTACGGCTCTCGCGCCATTCCTACGGTTCTATGGCCCGAGCTCAAGGAATCCCCCTCAAAGGACTCCAGAGATTGTATCATGCCTATGGGAATCACCTCTGAGAACGTTGCATCTCGGTATGGTATCAGCAGGGAGGACCAGGATGCCTTTGCTGCCAACTCTCACAAGAAGGCATCCGCCGCGCAAAATTCTGGGTTGTTCGACTCGGAAATTGTCCCCGTGAAGACTCTCTCTTTCGACGCCGAAAACCCCGAAGCGCCTCCTAAGGAGATAACTGTGACCAAGGATGATGGTGTTCGCCCAAACATCTCTGTCGAGAAAATGGCGTCCTTGAAGCCCGCCTTTTCAGCCACTGGTTCCAGCACTGCCGGAAACAGCTCTCAAGTCAGCGATGGTGCTGCCGCCACTCTGTTGATGCGTCGCTCCACCGCGACGGAGCTAGGCCTGACTTCATCAATCAAGGGCCGCTGGGTCGGCACCGCTGTTGCCGGATGTGCCCCGGATGAGATGGGTGTCGGCCCCGCAGTTGCCATTCCCAAACTTCTCCAGCTCCTTGACGTGAATGTCTCGGATGTTGGCATCTGGGAGCTTAACGAGGCTTTCGCTTCTCAGGCTCTCTACTGTGCCCGCAAGCTGGGGATTGACGAGGCCAAGATCAACCCTAAGGGCGGTGCCATCGCCATCGGCCACCCTCTTGGTGCTACTGGAGCTAGACAGCTTGCAACCCTGCTTCCCGAGCTTGAGCGCACTGGCCAAGAAGTTGGAGTTGTTAGCATGTGCATTGGAACCGGCATGGGAATGGCTGGCATGTTCGTCCGGGAGTAAATGCGCCTAGTATTCGGTTGTTATTCTTTTTTTAGCGTTTAATACTTGTATATAAGCAAACATTCATGAAAATACCTATAATATCTTACTCGGAATGTAACCGTCCCTTCAATTACCTAAATGAAATTGATTATTGCAGCATTAAGGCAAATGGTTTGATATTGCCAAGCCTGAGCGAGCATGTCACGTGCTCAGTTTTCGGCATCCCCAAACTTTTCGTGTTGGAAGATCCAAGACAAGGTGTGTAACGGCCCAACCATGCGTTCCTCACTGCGATTGTTGAACCTGGAGGTTCCTGCCTCTCAGTGGTCAAGAACTCTCTATGTATGTTCAGTTTGCAGACACGAAGCGCGCCCACGCCCGTTCGTTGCCCGTCAATTTTTGCGCCATGCCTCCGACTCGACCCCGATCACAGAACGTGTGCGCCGAAAGCTCTGGGGTACCGACAATCCGCCAGGCTTGAAGGATCCATATGGAGGGGAGGGTGTCTTTGAGAGGAAGTTCAAGAGAGGCCAATCCGCGCCACAGGAGAATGAACCAGAATCTGCGACAGAGGTTGCGGAGGATGCTGTATCTGAGGATTCCTCTTATGAACCCGCGACAACATGGGAGGGTCTTCAGCGTGTTGGACATTTGGGGACATGGAGTGACTTGCCTCCCACGAAGGCTGATGCATACACTTCGTACGTTCCCTTGACTTAGTCCTTTCCTTGTCTTCAACATACTTCTTTGGCTTTACGCTCAATTGAACAGGGACACTTGCTAACACCCCATACAGCTTCTCTCTCAACCGTCGACTCACAAAACCGGTTCACTTCTCCCTAGCTGCCCACCAAACCGCAGTTGAACTCTCCTTGCTGCATACGCTGAAGAAGCCACTCACGAACATCTGCGACGTGATTGAACACGAACAGCCTGTCTTCAAATTGATCAGGAACTGCAAGATCCAGCCAAGGTCCAGCGACCAGTGGGACTCCGCTGTTGTATACCCGGACAAGGAAACCGAGGAGGCCCTTGTCTATATCTTCGAGCAGATTGGCGGAGCTCAGGAAGCTGCTGCGGAAGTCGCTACGGAAGTCGCCCCTGAAACGGCAGAGGATGCTGAATTAGCCGAAATCGAGGCCGCCGAAGCCGAGGACGCCGAGTACGAGGAAGAAGTCCCCTCGACTCCGTCGCCGCCTTTCTTTGGATATCGAGATGTCAAGGATAAGGGCTATCTGGATCTGTCTCTGAATGACCCAATCACGAAGTTTGCTGTAATTCTTTCCACCCTTCCTTTAGTTGACTGTTACTAACTACGCTGCAGTTCCTGAAAAGATTCTCGCAACTGACTGGTCACTTTTTCCCCGATCCGGTCATCCATCAAATCTCCTCAGTTCAGCACGTCATGAAGCATGTACTCGCTGAACAGAACCCCAAACCCAAGAAACTGGCAGACTTCCTCGTAGCCGACGCGAGTCTCCAGAGTTTACCGAACGTCAAGATCTTCCCGAAGAAACAGAAGCCTTCGCACAAGGACGAAGAACTTGGTCGGAAAAAGCTTATCGACGCTGAGCTCCGTGAGAGGGGCCTTATTTGAGTGTTTGCATTCTGAGGTCCTAAATCACAAGCGATGTACTGCTGTCCTGGCTTAGCAGGATTTACTTTCCGTGTACTATAGAAGCAACCTTTCCAGTTAATTCTTTCAATGATATATATTTGTACATTTCATGAGAAAAACAAAGCATGACCCGTCCGAATGCTAGATATAATACTCCCAGGATGCCGCACCAAACGCCGGCGACAATTGTGATCATTTTCGAGATGTAGCAGGCATAGTAAAGCCCCTAGTCATAAAATCGGTATTTTTGAACTTTCCGTCTTTGGGTTCTTTCGTGAAAAGGCTGCTTATATTGTCATTCGCACCGACCAGTTTGCGCCGCTTCTTCTTTTCATTTTCTTCTTCCAAGACACGTGCAGTCAGCAAGGCTGTTGCGGCGTTTTTGATACCACTCGGTGCAGAAGGCGTCGGCGTAGACGTATTGCTTCGACTAGCGGTTGCTGATGGTAAGACTTTGGACGACGTGTGCTTTGAAGAGTCCCCGTTGGGAATTTTGGTCTCAGAAGTGGCGGCCGCCTCATTTGTGCCGTTCTTCTTCCGCTTTTTAGAGCCGGGCGCCTTCTTTAATGAATGGGTGAGACCTTGCTCGGCGAGTCGTGTAGATCTAGCGATGAGCTTCTGCTTATCGTCGTCTTTTGTAGGGAGTATCGGAATGACGTTGTCTTCCGTACAGGGTTCGTTACACTGCGCCTGTTAACAACGAGAAAGAACTAGGTGTCGAGGCGACTGACCTGTAAACATTTATCCTCCTTCAACTGCCGAATAGCCTCCTCTGAAAACACATGCCCACAAGGAACAAGATACACCGACTTGACACTGGGGCCCAACTGCTTCGCAGTAACCGGACAAATCCATCCTTCGCGCTTCTCGGATTTAGCACTCGGGTGCCCCTCGCGCTCGGTATCAATCTCAAACTTTAATTCCACAACATCCCGTAGTCCCTTGACTCGACCGGCCAGGATCTCCTCGCAATCGGCCTTGGAGCTAATCCCATCGACTTGGTCGCCAGGAAGAAGAAACTGTAGAATCGCATCCTTGTTGTAGAGGTTCCCCGCACAGTCAGAGACGACGGGTCGTAAGAGCGCTTTGTGCGATAACGGGCAGGTTGTCCAGAAATGTTCTAAGAGTTCGCGCTGGGTTTCTTTCAGTTGCGCTGTGCTCGGAGCGCGGGCGGCTTCGCGAACGAGCTCGCGGCGAGTGGGAATACTGTAGGCTGTAATTAATACAAACATATCATCTTCAAGAGTATAGAGCACTTACCTGCCACCATCATTACCCATTTTGCAGTGTCACTTTGCAGTTAAGGGAAAGTATAAGTTTCACACCGATTTGCGTCGCCACAAGAACGGACCAATGACTAAGCGGCATAAGTTCCCCGGATTAGCTCCAAAGGTTATCAACAGCTGGCCAGAAGCTCTTATATATCTCCGCATTGTCTTCTTCTTGTTGCAGGGAGTATTCCATCCCTCTCGGAAATTCTAGCTACTCGGCATTGGACTGCAAGCTCAATGTGGTAGCCATGATTTTTTCTCAAAAGTCGCTCCTCCTTGTGGGAGTAGCTGCGTGCTCAGCGCTTGTGGCTGCCGGTGATGATTCCGCTCGGCCCCGCGGAGTCGGACCTGAATGTAAGTACTGCTTTGGACCTGAGTAGTGTGTTTGGTCGAGGCGGCATTTGGACGCAAACTATATATACATTTCGATTGTGGGTCATGGGCACAACTACTAACCTCATCTTCCATCTGACAGTTGCCAAGTTCTACAAAGACACAACGACATTCTCATGCATCACTCATCCAGCGATTCAGATCCCCTTCTCCGCTGTGAACGATGACTTCTGCGACTGTCCGGATGGCAGTGATGAACCCGGGACTGCGGCTTGCGCTCACCTGTCCGGTAACTCTCCGCTAAACGTCGCTCATCGCCCTGGACATAGCAACGATAACCTCAAAGCGGCGCTTCCCGGGTTCTACTGTAGGAACAAGGGCCATAAGCCGTCGTATCTGCCCTTCCAACGGGTCAATGACGGTATCTGCGACTACGAGCTTTGCTGCGATGGAAGTGATGAATGGGCTCGTGTTGCGGGCAAAAAGTGCGATGACAAGTGTAAAGAGATTGGCAAAGAATGGCGCAAAAAGGAGGAGAAGAGGCAAAAGTCTATGACGGCGGCATTGAAGAAGAAGCGTGACCTTCTTGTGGAAGCGGGGAGACAGCAAAAGGAGGTGGAGGATCGTATCCAGAGCCTCACCACGGAGATTGAGGGCAAGGAGGTGCAGCTGAAAGGCCTAGAGGCTGATCTGGAGGATATTCAGAAGAAAGAACAGAATAAGGTTGTGAAGGGCAAGAAAGCTGGCAAGGTGAACGTGCTGGCTGAGCTGGCCAAAGGCCGAGTGGAAGAGATTCGAAACGCCTTGGTGGAGGTACGCAAGGAGCGTGATGAGATTCGATCTCGGGTGCAAGAACTTGAAGACGTTCTATCCAAATTCAAGGTTGAGTACAATCCGAACTTCAACGACGAGGGTGTCAAGCGCGCCGTCCGCAGCTGGGAAGACTATGCTGCTCGGGGCACGGTAGATACGATACTAAACAGCGCCCGCGATCGTGACTGGGAGGCCATTGCCCAACCTGATGATGAACAATCAGGGATCAATTGGGAGCAGTGGGAAACCGAGGGCGATGAGGAACCCGATCCTGGTATTTACCCAAAGATCCAACTATCCGAACACAGACTAACAAAGTATAGTTTACAAGCTTGCAGCGTACCTACCCCCGTCGCTTGTTAGCTTCATCGAAGCTAGGGTTAGCGATGTCATAAGCTTCCTAGAGACCAGCGGCTTCCTGCCTCACAGGGACAAGCCCTCAACATCCGAATCCAAAGCTGTAACACAGGCGCGGGAAGCCGTGAAAGCTGCGGAAAAAGCTATCGGAGATCTCAAGTCTCAACTCAAGAGCCAGCAGACGGATTTGGAGACCGACTATGGCACAGCTTCTATCTTCCGTGCCCTGAAAGGTGTCTGCATCTCAAAGGACGCTGGAGAGTACACCTACGAACACTGCTTCCTTGACCAGACAAAGCAGATCCCAAAGAAAGGTGGATCCTCCGCACGAATGGGCAAGTTCGAGCGCATCGGCTCGGTCACTGTCGACGAGCTGAGCGAAACTGGAGAAATCGTCCCGGTCCAGAAGACGTCCCTGGAGTACACCAAAGGTCAAGGCTGCTGGAATGGACCGGCACGCTCGACAACCGTCGTACTTGAATGCGGCGAGGAGAATGAGATCTTGAAAATTGCCGAGGATGAAAAGTGCGTGTACTCCATGAAGGTCACCACGCCAGCCGTTTGTGCTGGCGGGGAGGAACCGGGAAACGTGGCTCCGAGGGCCAAGGATGAGCTGTGATGGAGATGAATGTACGTATACAAATACTCAGCATATAGTACACTCTGCCTGCTAGATTCAATTGCATAGGGCGCTTGAATTCACGATTCAACTGAATTCACGAAATGGTTTATCGCATGGTCTATTCACTACTATATGTCAACCCGGATTACACTACAGAGAAAAGAACCTGACCACGACCAGGGATATAGCCAGGAAAGTCAGCACTTGGATATCGTATGGAGTTCGATTCACTATTATAGCGTCCACGAAGAGTACATGCCAGTACGTTATCAAATCAACCGAAACGAACAACACCCTCAACTACCCCTTGAGCCTCCGAAAGCAACCAGGAATTCCTTCCTCATCATCACCAGCGGGTGTTAAGTATTGAACCCGAGGTGTTTATCGACGGGAGAGGAGCTCGCTCGAAGTGTTCAGGAACAACTTTAGTGCTGTTTGTCTGGTTAGCTTCATGGTCTCTTGGATCCTTCCAAGTACAAGGAACGGTGGCGTACAGAGCAGCTGTTGCAAGCGCAGGAGTTGCACTCGCCGGAGCAGCAGTTGCAGGTGCAGGGAGACATGGTGATGTTGGTTTGGGTTGGTATAGAAACCGAAGTAGATAGTTCTTTGTTTGGACGGGTTGCTTGGGAAATCGCGGGTAGAGGATGAAAGAGAGAAGGAGAACTGGAGGGATGAAGGGGGGAGAGGTCTTTATATACCTGTCTTCTAGTTATTGCTTCCTTAACCTGCCCCCACTCTATCTGCCTTGCTCTGCTTCACGACTGCTTCAGAGTTCACCACGCTGACAGATGCAGCTGCACATGCACAGTTACGCATGTCAGCGCCCACGGGTCATCGCCTAGGAGATCCATCCTTGGTCGTCAAGCAAAAAACGTCGCAGTAAGTGGAGCACATCCAGCATCGCGGCGGCCAAGGGGCCTGCAGCAGGTGTGGATGGCACTCATACCGCAATCCAATCGAGCCACGCAGAGGCATCGGTCTCCATCGCCAGTTGGTCGTCCTCCGATTTGTTTTCTTCTACTCGAGGAGGCCCCTGCTACGGTGGATAAAGTCATGCTGAAACTCAAACACTACGAGCCTATTTTTGCTTTTTTTTCCATTGTCGGAGAATAGACGGAGGAGGGGAAGATAGCTCGCTATTTGCTGGCTGCATGCTGTTTAGACGACGTATGGTGTGGGGGCTCAAATGTGCCCGACGCAGTGTACTCCGTCTGTACGTAGCAGAGCGGACGTGTATCCGTACCATGATGCGAGAATCAAGGCAGTTCTGATTGTAAGTTTACATTTACATCTCATGATAGGTTGGATTCCTTCCCTTCCTCTTTTCCGGGCTTCTTGGAGGGGAAATGCCGATAACTACTCAAGACGGTTCAAGTCATGCCACGTTCGAGAAGAGGAGAAGATTTACCAGTGAGAACGTGTTGGAGGCGGTTCTCCAGGGCCACAGAAGAGCTCAGAAAGTGAGGCTAGCAATAAGAGCGCATTCTGCAGTTCCAGAGAGCTCACCAGTTACGATATCTTATTAGTAGTTACATTGTAGGAGACTGCCCACTGGACAGTCTATGTTGTTGCTGGTGCCTTAATAGCGTCTTTTATGCGCTAGACCTGCACCATCTTATCTTTTACATCGTCACTCACGAGTGGCTATTGGTGAGATCCGTGTCTCTGATGACCAGGGGGGTCACCTGGAGCTTAAGCTCGGACACGACTCGCTTCATTTAGCACCCCTCTTTTATCTTTGACTGGGGCGAAAACATGCAAATACAATCAGCAGAGATGGGTGTTACTGGTGGAACGAAGATGGGAGCGAGAATGGCAGTGATGGCAGGGTTCAGACGGTGCCTGTCCCCTTTCCTCCGGTAGGCGTTCCTTGCCATGGTGGGGTTGGAGTATGGATCCTCCGTCATGGATGCCAGTATTTCCTGCATTAGCGATAATGGCGCAGTGGCCCTCGCGTTCTTAACCCGCAACAGCCACACGGAGTGAAGATCGGAGGCAAGTCGTGTTCAGGCCAATTTGTGGAACTTCTAAGCGCATCTTGTGGTAGATCCTTCTGTGACAATGGGATTTCATTGTGACTAGTCAGGTTGATACTTTGTGGAGGGAAAGCTGGAGTCAAAATCCATGCTCGGCTGGCAGTAATCTATTTGGATTTTTGTTCTACCAAAATCATTTCGTCAAGTCATCCCGTATCCTCATACAGCATCGCGGGTTATCCACTCTCCTTCCGGTAACCAAGGGCTCGTCATTGGCAATCTACCCTAGTTCTTCTGTTTATCCAACTCCGTTAGCCAGGACCGGGGTAACAGTCATGAGATGGCATACAGGGCAGTTGCAGGCACCAGCAGGGCACTGGCAAGAATCACCGCAGGAGCATCCGTGGGCTACAGATTGCGGTGTTAGCACTGGTCCATTTGTTGTAAAAGCAAGGATGGGATGATGCTACCCCGCCATCCGACCCCGCAACAGGAACTGAGGAGACGCAAAGGCAGTAATCAACGTACCCATTTTGAAGCGTTGTAGTATTTCAAGAGAAGACTCCTGTCAAGCTTGAAAGAATACTGGTAGGTGTTTGTTGTGAGACTTGTTCTTGAATCGGGTGTTGAAGGAGAAAAGAGGGAGGAGAAGAGTAGGGTAATGAGGCGGGGTCATGTACCGGGTATTTATAGGCCGCCTGCTGGGGCCATTGCGACATCCCGATACGGCTGTAAAAGTGAGCAGATTTCTGCAAGAAGGCGGATCTCTGTATTTTTCTTTCATGATTATGAGAGTTCGGGTTTAACGGAACCGACGGGTGTCCAAAGTCTCGCGGAGAAACCAGTTGGGTATACCCATGCCCGGCTAACACAGGCTGCTGCATCACTAACCAGGCGTGAGAAGCGAGATAGACTCGAGTCTCGTATAAGACCCCGAAAGACCCGAGCTACCACCCACGCTTCGTTTTCAAACCTTCGCTGGCAGACAGATGAAATGCTATACTCTATCTCCTGTCTATGCACCCAAGTGGTACAACAGGTGCATTTGGATCCATCCAGTAACCGCGAGCTAAACATCTGCCACTGTGCAGCATGTCAGGCTGTTTCTGGTCAGATTTGTACTCCTTACTACCTTCTTCAAGAAAATCCACAGTCTGAGAACCTCGCCAAGTATCAGCAGTCAGACTCTGTTAGCCGCTACTTCTGTGGGACTTGCGGTTCTCATGTCTTTTCCCATTCCAAGCATAGCGGCAACTGGGTTGTTGCAGCAGGGCTGCTCGACAGTCCACCGCAGACCCAGCGTATTCGGCACTGGGGGGTTGACGGTACACAGGACGGAGGCTTATCGATTTTTGTTCCTGGAAGCTCAGGTGACAAGACTGTGTCATGCTGGCTGAATCCTCAGACAAGCATTCAGGAGACCATTTTCGGCCAGCTCAAAGCGGCAAGTCGGAATTCATCCGAACTGCTCGCTCGATGCCACTGTGGCGGTATAGAACTCTATATCACCCGCCCGGACTCAACATCAGAGGATCCGTGGTCCCATTGGCCCGACATAATCATCCCCTATAATTCAGGAGTCTCTGCGGAGAATGAAGAGGATGTAAAATGGTGGCTGTGTGCTGGGAAAACCAAATATATGGCAGGTACTTGCGCCTGCCGGACCTGCCGTCTCGCCAGTGGCTTTCCCATTCAAACGTGGGCGTTCATCCCCAAGTCCAACATCCTCACCGCACAAAAAAAGCCGCTGGCTTACGATGTGGGCACGTTGAAGCGATATGAGAGTTCTCCCGAGGTGTATCGAGACTTCTGTAGTCGCTGTGGGGCGTCGGTTTTCTGGCATTGTGACAAGAGACCGCAGCTTATCGACGTGAGTGTCGGTCTGCTTCGTGCAGACAGTGGCTCAAGGGCCGACGAATGGCTCGAGTGGGCTACAGGAAGAACCAGTTTTGCTGAGATGGCAGTTGATGTGTCGTTGATCCAGCAGTTGGAGGCTGGCTTGAAGACCTGGAGACAGCAGTCATAATTTGTATGAGGACCGTCCAGTAGTACGTCCCTAGAGCGTTTGTTCGGTCAAAATGAAATGGAAGTCCCAAGAATGAATAAGATAGTACTATCGGAAAACTAACTAACTTAACTGACAGTGATTGTTGAGATGATAAGAGTCTGACCACGCGGTTGGTAAATTGTGAACACACCGCCTTATTCTGCCACCGAAAAAAAGACAGGAAGCAGAAACTGCTATGGGATCATTTAGCGCACTCACAGTCCCAACAAGGTGTCATGTTCGATGTTCTCATGTCTGCGTCCATGTGCTAAATTCCGTGCTTCGAATTCTATTCACTACATCTATCTCATAATGCCGCCACCGGCTTTCCAGTTTCGGGGAGGCAACCAGCGTTCTTTACATCAGCCCAAAAATGAATTCACCTTTCGATACCCGCGTCCGGGCACGTCAGAGAGGCCACTTCTACGAACACGTAGGGAAGTTACTCCGGAGCTACTTACAGGATTCGATGGAGGTGCCGAAAAACCTGCCATGAAGTTTGCGCGATTGGAGAATCTCAGCGACAGCGAGGAAGCAGAGATGGACGTATCATCATCGGATGACGATGAAGAGACACATCCTCGCAAGAAGCGCGCGCCGGAGAACGACACTGCTTCTTCTGCGGAATTGGTTGCTGTAGTTGCGCCCACGCCGAAATGGTCCAACCCTGATCCTTACACTGCCCTACCGCCCCCAGATGAGAGCCAAAACAAAAAGGTGGACGTGGTAAAGTTGATACGAAAGGCGCGTCTTGCTGCTAGCGCAGCGCAGGCCGCGCAGACCGACGCTGTGGTTTCGAATGAGGACTTCATATCCCTAGCTGGCTTGGTGGATGAGAACGAGATCAACAGGGCACCGGAAAATGCACCCGCAGGCCCCAGAGCTGGGAACCGGAAGAGGACTCGTGACGATGAGATGAAGGGCTCGGCTAAATCGATCGGAAAACTGGGAAGCAGGTATCCTCAAGACGGCTCGATTCTGGAAGAATGGAAATCGCGGCATTCCGAGTCAGGGTCTCCCTGGCTTACGCCACAACCCACATTGAGTGTGGGCTCAAGGTACGTTCAATTGCTTGCAAAAACATCATCGCCCATTCTAATACATAGCAGACTTCATAATGAGATTATATCTTTCTATCACTGGGTGAAGCCCGTATCCTACGAGCAGCTTGTGCGAGAAGATCTTGTAGCAAGACTTCAGGCTGCCTTCCAAAACCGCTATTATGGCGTGCAGCTCCGGTCATTCGGCTCCTTTGCTTCAGGGTTATACCTCCCCACGGCGGATATGGACCTTGTTTTGCTCTCGACCAGTTTTATACGCGCTGGCGTCAAAACTTTTGGCGAGAGAAAAGGGCAGATTTATGCCTTTGCTGCTTTTCTCAGGAACCTAAATATAGCTGTACCCGGATCCATCGAAACGATTGCCCATGCACGTGTTCCCATTCTAAAGTTCGTGGACAAGTTGACTGGGCTCAAAGTGGACTTGTCATTCGACAATGACAGCGGGCTCATTGCCAACAACACATTTCAACAATGGAAATCGGAATACCCTGCAATGCCCGTTATCGTCGCTGTTATCAAACAGTTCTTGCTCCTTCGGGGCCTCAATGAGGTTCCTACTGGCGGGCTGGGGGGATTCTCTATCACTTGCCTTGTGACAAGCCTTCTCCAACATATGCCGTACAGTAACATGACACCAAACTTGGGCACCGTGTTGATGGAGTTTTTCCACTTTTACGGTTATCTCTTTGACTATGAATCAGTTGGAGTTCGTCTGAATCCTCCAGGCTACTTTAACAAGGTTAGTGCTCTTCCATTGGAACCCCAACAGTCGCTGACTAGTATATTAGCGAGTCTACAACAAAGATAACAACAAACCTCGCCTTTGCATTGAGGACCCTAACAATCCCGATAATGATATTTCTGGCGGTACCCGTGAGGTGCCATTGATTTTCGAGTCGTTCGCAGAGGCATACCGTTCACTCCAAGAACGCATGGTGTGCATGGCCGACTCCGATTTGGCCGCGGGTGAAAGTATTTTGGGTGCAATTATCGCCGCTAATTTCGAAGAATACAAGGAGTCGCGTTCTCAGTTACGTGATGTATTTGAGAATGACCCCAGATTCAGGCATCATCGTCAGCCCTCCACGCCTCCACCTCCACCATCACAGAGTCCGCCACCCCCGCCGCCTGCCTCGGCAAAGTCTTCACATCCTCTACCCGCGAGGCCACCACTGGGCTCAAAGAAGCCTCAGGAACAAAAGGAGAAATCAAGCAAGAAGGACAGGATCAGCAAAAACCAAAAGAAAAAGCAAGCATCGCAGGATCGCTCCGTTCGTCTGAGGCGGCTCCGTCCTGATATCAAAAAGATACCGGCTTCTATCAGTAACGAAGAAGCAATTGCGTTGGGTGGCTACAGCACACAGTCTGAGATGGACAAAGACTTGCTCATGCGTGAGAAGGGACTATCCGTTACTAGCTGAGGTTAAAACCTTGGCAAATGCAGGCATGCAACGTGCCGTGATGTCTCTTATTTCCGTTTTCCCCTTCCTGTGTTGTGGTCTCTTCATGTATTCTACGTTGGCATCAGATACCCTTTTGTTGTGGTGTTGGGGGATTTTGCATGATTTCTGGGGACAATTTAACTTGTATTGGTTTAGGGCTACTGCTACTGCCGGTCCCTGCGAAGTCGGCGGGGAAACAGTCGTTTCCACCTAACAACGTAAGCAGCTCTTACTCTGTCAAGGCGATGCTGAGCGCCAGGCATTATCAAACTGTTCAAGGTATTTGTTCCCTTGAGGGCGAGGCAATTTGATGCATCTCGTTTATCCGACCAAACACACATCTCGAGTTTGGGGATCCCTGGCAATGGATGGTGTATTTACTTACCTATTTACAGGTAACCTCTCGATTTCGCTGAATTGAATATGAGCTAGAAAACAAATCCGATTTGGACCAGTCCAGAATGGGACTTCACTTCTCTTCTCCACCTCCTCATCAAGGGACCGCTATATGCGATTGCTTGGAGAGGACTAGTGAGCAGAAAGAAGTCCATGTCCCAGTTCGAAGGAACATACTTGCTGGGATATCATATATACGTGTGTTCATCTGCATTCCGGTCTATCTGCCTATCTCGGGCATCCATAGACAACAATGCAAACCAAAGAATCTGTAAGGAGTTTATTTATGATACATGGGGAGCATGAGAGCGGAGAATAGTATATCACTGGTGAAAGAAAAAATATATATCAACATTCGCCCATCCTCCATTCCTCAGCTTGACAAGTACCCACACCTTGCCGTCCGCCGTCACCCGCCTCGGCTGCGGGATAATGTACAATGTAAGAAAATGCCGAAGTTGGATATCATGTAGTAAAACAGACGAGAATGGCGGCGTGAGGGTAGCCTGTTGGAGTAATGGAGCTCCGATTCGGGTAGCATTTCGGCCTCACCTCAATGTGCACCATAAAAGCGGGCTTCCCAAGGATCGGAGAACGAAAACACCAAGGAGGTCTAGTTTTTCTCCAATCCGTATGCTCGAATCACCAAAAAAAACGCCATGCTATGCCGCGAACAAAAGAACTCCAGAGATGATCGACAATGTGAAAAGAGTTGTCCATCGGTAGAGCGTGATGAAAGTAAATCACCGATCCTTGTAAACCTTTGGCTTCCAGCCTTCACGCAGCTCCTTCTCCTGCGCGGCAGCTCGCTCGGCCTGTCGAGCTTCCATCTCTATCCGCTCACGAGCGCGTAAGATCTTACTCTGCAGGTAGAAGCTACCGCCCTTCTGAGGATCGTTGAGGTCGAACAATTTCTTGAATCGCTCCATTACTTGTTCCAGGTTCGCCTCGCCGTTTTGCGGAGGCTTGACATTGAGGATCTTGCACGCTTCGTCAAGAGTCAGCCCGGAGGAGGCAAAGGAGTTTCCGGAGCCGCTTTTGCCGTTTTTGCCTTGGTATTTGGATGCTGCAGAGGCTTGTTTGTAGGCTTCCGCGAAGGCGCGACCAAAGACTCGTGCGCCGGTGACGACGACTTGCGTAACGATGCGGTGAGCCTGTCAATTCGAGTGAATGGTTAATCATCTACTTAGAAAATTCAAGGGAAGAATAACTTTGAAAGGTACTCAAGAGGTTTAACATACCATATTGTGCAAGCAAGACTTGACCCAACTAAGGGCAATCTGGGAACGCGAGAGGAATGGGCTTCGAGGATAAATCCGAAACCTTGGATATCGGAGCAGAAACGCTAGGGCTGAATGGTGAGACTCGGTCGTGTCAAACGCAACGTGGATGGTGATGGAAGCAGACCGGAGGTTGAAGCCGCAGGGAAAAATTCGGAGCACGGGATTGACCGACCGAGCCTACGAGCCTCTGCCAAGACCCGCTGTCTACAAAATGGCCGGCGACATACCGATGTATTCGACTTGTTTTAGGGTGCAACAGCTTTATTTTTTTAATCAGGCATCATATACCGAGAGATAATCATAGTATAAACATGCTAGACTGTTTTCAAGCTATAGAATCTCTATATCTTCGACCTGACCACTGCTTCGCTCGGTAATTCGCATCACAGAGCAGATCACATGTCCAGAAAAGCTTCAACTGCACCGCGGGTCTTTCATTGCTCCCTGCTTCTTCCCCCCGCAGTGACCCTCTGCCAACTCCATCGTCGACCTTGTCCGCGGGTTTTCCCTGACCCTTTTTGTTTCCTTTCCTTCTCTCTTTTCCCTTCCGCCGTCCGCGATGACCTTCATGCTTGCATATGACGTCTCTGTTGGATGGCAGCACTCGGTATGTGGTGATTACTGAATACAATGCGCATTCCAGTTCCTTCCGTGCGCGAAACGGCGCTTTGAATAGTATAGTGGCCCTTAGAATGCTCATGCTGATGACCGAGTAGAAGATATCCCGTGGATAGATTCCATGGCCCCAACAACTTCCCACGACCATGCTGACTCTCAGCCCCCGACGGTCGCTGCCTTCTCGCCCACCACGATATCCGGCTCGTCCTTAACCTCCAGGCAGCGATCGAGCATCATCGTACATCGCAAATCCCCTCTTCTAGTGGCCACACCTCCGCCCGTCACGCGAGCGCTAGCCTATTCGCACCCGTTCATCCTTCCGCTGAACAGGCTTGTTGGTTTGCTGACATGGACTACGGGCGACTCTTACCACAGCTTCCTCCTCGTCGCGGGATTCTGGGCGGTGGTGCTATACGGGGATGTAATCGTTCTCTGGGCCGGGCCGCTCTTGGTGGTCGTCGGATTGATTCTCGGGATGTATTGGAGGCGCTACTCTCCTCTATCGACCAGGGCATTCTCAACCGAGAAGCACAACCAATCGGCGGCTTCTGAAAGCTCCGCTCAGCGTCATGAGAGCCTGGATGAGATTGTTGAAGCGATGAGAACGTTCACTACTCGATGCAATATGCTACTCGAGCCGCTCGTGGACTTCACGGACTTTTTATCGACCCAGCGGACGGCCACCTCTGCGACCACGCGGCCTGCCCTTACTACGCTATTCGTCCGCATCCTTTTTGTCACTCCAGTGTGGATTGCCCTAACTCTGCCCCCTCTGTATCTAATTACTACTCGTCGTGTCATCATGGTAGTTGGCACGATCATCCTGACATATCACTCTCGGACAGCGAGAGTTTGCCGGGTAATACTTTGGAGATCTCTCACAATTCGCCGAATATGCGCAGCGATCACAGGATTATCGTTTTTGCTAGACGCAGACAAGTCTCATATCATGCAGAGCCACGGTCACGCCGCCAACGTTGCCACGAGGCGCCGCGGAGATTCATCCGGTGTGCGCTTTACCTTTATCATCTATGAAAATCAGCGTCGCTGGCTAGGTATCGGTTGGACATACTCTTTGTTCCCTTCCGAGCGCGCTGCCTGGACCGACGAGCATCTGAATCCGGTCCCGTCGAAGAATGAATTTGACCTTCCTGAAGTGCAAAGCGGAAACGCGAAATGGCGATGGGTGGAAGGCAACGATTGGCATATTGACGGAGCCGATGACGACACGTCAGACTCAAGGGCATCTGATGGCGGAGGTTGGATTTACTATGATAACAAGGTTTGTCTTTCAAGGTTACTGTCGTGGTTGTTGAAGCGCTTATTCTCTAACTCGTTGATATCTTGCAGTGGAACGACGGTCGCCGTGGCCTGGATGGATGGGACCGGTATACCCGCCGCAGAAAGTGGTGTCGTGATGCCGAACTTGTTGAAATCACCACCGACGGCACCTCCATAGAGACACCATCTGCGCTCACACAGGCGCTAGCGAAGGAAATCGAGGCAAACAAGAACAAAAAGGAGCCCGGCAACCCCGACGCCTTCACGCCCGATGCTGATTCCGTGAGTCTCGCCCCGTCCACATCCTCCAAAACGCGGCGACGACGATGGTTCGGGGGAACGAGGAGTGTAAGCGACAGGAACGACAGCAACACCTCCTCCGCACCACCGATCTCTAGCAATAATGATTCCGAAGACCTTGGGAAAATAACGTCTGCCACTAGTTATAGTAGCTCCTCCATCAGAAATCCGTCTAGGCCCGTGAGCATCCAGCGGTCGAGGAGACTGTCGGGGCTCTCCGGCGGCGGCGCTAGTCACGGTAGTCCGCATGGCAGTACAGCTCATAGCGATAGTCTGAGCATGCGAGAGAAAGAACTTACGGACGCCCAGGATCGTCTGGATCGTTGGGGCTCGAGGGCAGCTGGGGGCACAGAAAGGGCGGAGAGGGAGCTAGGGCTGGGAGATGAAGTGAACATGGGATTGAGTTAGTCTTATACCCTTGACCTGAGAATGGTGTCTTTTGTTATTCTTTCTCCCGTCATGGTTGCTAAACGTGGCTTTGTTATTATTGATATCGTTATTCTTGAGGTGTCCCCTCGTAGTGCTGCTAATTGACCAGGTTGTAAGTACATCTAGCCAGCCTGAGGTTAAAAAAAAAATAACCATATATAAACTGGGTATCTACGCAAGAATCAAATCCCACCCTAGCCCCTCCAACACATCCATCCAATGTGTCTTTCCATCAGACCGCCATAGAACCCCCAACAGCTCCTTCGCCCTCTTAACATTCCCAATCCCGAAATTAACTTCAACCGTAATCAGCGACTGCAAAACCAAGTCCCTATCCGTCTGGAAAGTCGCCTCGCATCCTGCTATAAAGAGCGGGAAAGTGAGCGCTGAGTATTCGCAATTGTTATCAATGGGGTTGTCCTTGATTCTTTGGAGGAGTTTCTGAATAGCAGCAGGTTTCGAGCGGGATATATCAAGTGTTTTGCCCGGTTGCAATGATGGTGGCAACCGTTCTATGGCAGAATAGAGGTAGATGTAAGCCGCATCGCGGAAGGAGTCTGCCACCATTCGGAGGCGGGCGATGGCAGATTTGGTTATGCCCTTTGGAATAATGTAGGTGGTTTTGGTGGAGGTCCAGGTGCGGAGCAAGGTATCTCTGTGATAGATGTTAGGGTCTGCCTTCTTTTCAAATTGTGCCACGGGCTTGCAGGGACGTACATTGTTTTTATTTCGGTTTCTAGTGCTAACGGGTCGGTGGCTAGGAGGGGAAGGTCTGCTATTCGCGCGCATATCTTGATGAGCTCCTCGGTATAACCAATGTAGATATCGAGTTTTCGGGTGCCCGAATGCTCAAGGAGGGAGACGGGCAGTTTGATTGTCCGTTGGTTGGTGATTTTGGCGACATTGTTAATATAGATCAATCTGCGCGTGTTAGCTGCGATCTCCAATATCGGAAGAAGGCACCGACAGTCCTTGGACAAAATCCGCCGTGTCATCGTCGAGATGACCGAATCCTCCTCGAGAAAGGACTAAAGAGTCGAGAGCTTCTAGGTGCACTGCCCATTGCTTCACGCTGCCTCGTGTGATTTCATACTTGCACAGCAGAGCGACAGCGAGGATAGCATCATCCTGTACCGAGGGGCTCTTTGCAAGGGCCGTCCGAAGTCCGCGCATTGTGTCGATGTAATAGTTGGCTCCCTCCTGCTCTGCGGACCAGCTGTCGTGGGCACGGTTAGCGAAATGAGTGGCGGAGAGGGCGCATAGCGCGTTCATGAGAAGTGGCGAGGATAGCGCTCGGGGAATGAGCAACAATCGCAGGGGATTCTCGTCAGTCTCTAGGTTTGCCAGCAGCCTTGAACCGTATTCCAAATGGTACTGGAGGTAGTGCGTATTGGAGTTGGAGAGATGGCTTATCAGTCTGGAAGGGCTGGGAGGTGCTATCACGAGGTGGTTGCTCTGGTTCGGTTCTTGACCGCAGTCAATTGGCTCCCTGGGACTATCTTGGTCTGAGGGTGGAGATACCGGTGTGATAGGTGTTTGCTCTGCAGCGGGAGATCCAGCAGAGGAGCAACCTGGCGACGTCTGTCCTGGTGATTCAGTAGAGCTAAAGGACGGTGTGGGAGATCGACTTGGTGTGCGCTTCTTGGCTGGTTTTGTCTGCTTGAAGACGCGAGCCGTTGGACTGAAAGGTGTTGCCCACATTGAGCCATAGCCTTCGCAAGCGAGGCCCAGCCTCATGCAGCTTTGACAGCTATTCAAAAGTCAGCCGGTCATCCTAGATGCAGGTGTCACCACAACGGATGTGATACCTGGGTTTAGCCTCATCGCAGCGCTTTCTTCGCCTCTTACAGGTCAAACAACCAGATCGCGTCCATTTAGCGCCCTCTCGCCTGCATCGTTTTTTTGCTGGTGGTTGATCATCACTTTGCTGCGGGATATTGGCGGTTCTATCGGCGCCAGTCATTATTGCGCTGGGACGCTGGTACCAATCTATATAGTTCGGAAGTGAGCCGATACGCCAACGGAGGGCAAGCGTATAAGGTATCAGTATATGGACCGATGTCTCCCCACAAAGATCAATTTTGAAGAACAGGTCATCGCATCTCATTTTTCTTTTGAAATATCTTTTGCAGCACCGATCAAGGATGAGGGGACGACAGACGTGCTAATCCTGTTTAGGAAAGAGTTACGCTCATCTACCAAAGAGCATGTAGCCTTCTGAATCTCTGACAGGCTTCAGCTACGTTCCATTGAAGATGTGCTAGATCTAAAGACATAATTCGAACATCTCAATCATTCAATCTTGTAAGGTGAGTCAGCCACCAATATCAAACTGTGCTTAGTGTTCGACTTTCGGTGATTCGATAACGGACTGCCTCTGAATCTATCTCCAGCATGCAGCGATAACACCTTGATGAATAACAGAAACGTCCATGTTTGCCCCAGTCCCGTGCGAGTCCCCGAGAAATAAGCGCTTCAAGCCTCGTGCAGCCATGTCTTCGTGTCATGCCTCATCTTTTGCCGCCATCGCACCGTTTACACGCGACCCACCTGGGGAACCCAGCTAGCCGTGACCTTCCCGAACAGGCAGGTCCATCCTGGAGTGACCCGTACGGGCCTGACAGCGATCGATCTTTATCTGACTCTATATCGCCTGCGATTCCCATAGGTGCTACTAGTATCATGTCTACCAAAGATGACAATATTTAAGTCATCCCCTTTCCACGATTGAAGCTCTTGGAACTCAATCTACATTCACACCTCCGATACCCTCTAGTTTGGTATGCAAAGACTAGTTCTTTTGTACCTGATCTAAACAGGATATACATACTCCTACGACAAATACCTCCATCATATACGTAGCAACCATGTCCATCACCTCACAAGGATCTTCGCTGGCCAGGTCCATCAACCCTCACCCGTTTGATCCTTTGACGCCTCAAGAGATTCGTCTGGGATTCCGCATTCTGCAGTCGGCTTTTCCTGGTGTACAAATCCGAATCAACCGAATAGACCTCCAGGAGCCTATCAAAAAAGATGTCATTCCTTATATCGAAGCAGAGCGGCTGAGGAAACCCCTGCCGCCGAAGCCTGCCCGCCTACTATACGCCTACTTTCATCGTCTGGATACTGGTGCATGTTGCAAAGCTTTGCTTAACGTTGATAATGCATCGGTTGTATATGCAAAGGAGCTACCGGCTGGCGTTCAGGTACCCCATCCGACTACCCTTATGCTCAGATGATTGAGCTGACAAAAATCTCTAGATTCCGATGGATGTTGATGAGATCACCGAAATTGAGAAGCTCTGCGATGAGCATCCGGCTGTGCGAGCAGAAATTGAGAAACTGAAGCTCCCACCAGGTGTCAGGGTGTGCAATGACCCTTGGATGTACGGGGCTGATAACCCTAATGAAACACGACGGCTCTTTCAGTGTTTTATGTACATCGTGGTCGTGGATCACCCTGAAAACAACCACTACTCCGCCCCATGCAAGTTCTCTCCCGTCTTTGACGGCCATACGCGTGAGCTAGTTCGCATGGACTACCTCCCTGGCGGTGCGGACAATCAAACAGTGGAAACGCAGCCCTGGAAGCCTGTTGATACCATTCAATATGCCCATGACCTTCTGAAGGAGCCTCTTCGCACTGATCTTAAGCCCTACATTGTCCAACAACCGGAAGGAGCCTCTTTCTCGGTGGAAGGTAATCGGGTTTATTGGCAGAAGTGGCGATTTAGGGTCGGGTTCAACAACCGTGATGGCCTGGTCCTATATAACCTTACTTACGACAATCGAAACGTTTTGTATCGGCTTTCGGTATCCGAGATGACTGTTCCATACGGAGGTGAGTTCGTGCCAGAATTACATATTATCCGGATATACAACGGCATTTGCTGACGAGGTTGCTGTAGATCCCCGAGCTCCCTACCATCGAAAGCAAGCCTTTGATGTTGGAGATGTTGGTTTTGGTCTGAATGCTAACCAGCTTTCATTGGGTTGTGACTGTTTAGGGCACATCAAGTATTTTGACGGCTACAGATCAGATTCCAAGGGCCAACCAGTCCTTCTGAAGAATATTATTTGCATGCATGAACAGGATAATGGACTCCAACACAAGCACACAAACTACCGGTCTGGGGCCGCTACTGTTGTCCGCAATCGTCAGCTTGTCCTCCAGATGATCTGTACTGTGGCAAACTACGAATACATCTTTGCATATATCCTCGACCAGGCAGCGAATATCGAACTGGAAATCCGTGCTACCGGAATCTTGTCAACAGTCCCCTTCGACAACCAAAATGGTGAAACCGTTAGATGGGGAACCAATGTGGGCCCTGGTGTCATGGCTCCCTTCCATCAGCACATGTTCTCGCTGAGAATCGACCCTGCGATTGATGGCTTCAACAACACCATCTACTATCAGGATAGTGTACCGCTCCCAGAGGACGAAAACAACCCTTACTTCGTTGGATACACTACAGAAGAGACAGTCATCGACAAATCCGGGACTGCTGACACTGATGTTAGCCGCCACCGTGTGTTCAAGATTCGAAATGACAACATTGTGAACCCAATCACTTACAAGCCCGTGGCATACAAGCTCCAAGTTGCCCCAAGCCAGATGCTGATCATGCCCAAGAAGGCATTGGGATACCAACGGGCCGAATTTGCTTCGAAACCAATCTGGGTAACCAAGTACCAAGACGACGAGCTTTATGCAGCAGGGGAGTTCACAAACCAGAGCAAGCGCGCACAGGGCGTGGAGACATGGGTTCAGCGCAAGGACTCGACAGAGAACGAAGATGTGGTTTTGTGGCATAGTAAGTTGACTCTTTTCTCGTATCTAGTGGATAAAGCTTCACGGTCTGACTTGTCTTCCAGCATTTGGTCTCACCCATAACCCCCGCATTGAGGATTTCCCTGTCATGCCGATGGAGCGTATTAGCGTCATGCTCAAACCCGATGGCTTCTTCACCAAAAATCCAGCTCTGGACGTACCGCGGTCGAGTCAGAACTTCAACAAGTCTACTCTGCACCCAGAATCATGCTGCGACTCGGTGAAAAGCAAGATATAAAGGGGCGGAAGTAGTCCTATCTTTGACGCCCTGGATACTAGATATCTCCTCAACTTAGCATATTTTCTGAAGGCATTAGAAGTTACCTTAAGAGTCCTGGATACCCTTGTTCCTTCTGAAACAGGGAAAGTAGTATATAGACCTGGAATCATCATACAAGAAGATAAAGAAAACATTCAGCGGGAGAGGAGAATCCCTCTATTTGAGACGCCTATTCATCTTCCGTGTCACCACCAAATCATATCATGATACACCCCCTGTGCTTCCCTCATCCTGACTTTTCACCCGCCCCTATCTCTCAGCAGGCCATATATACTGATCCATATTGCCTTTTATCATCATACCCATCCACAGTTGAATGCCAAATCTTCAGAAAATCCAGGCAAGCCCTTGATTTTCTCTTCTAAGCCTTAGTAATGTGAGCGCTTGGAACAGAGCCGTTGCCAACATTCGCGGCAGCGGCTTCTCGGGCGCCGGTGAGACCGTACTGGCTGTTGATGCCCTCGACACGATGGGTCGAGTTGATGTTTTTGACAAGGGTGATCTGCCAGCAGGTAGCACCACCCTGGCGGGAGGTGATGGTGGAATAGGCGAGGAAGTATTCCCAGATCTGGAATTGAAATCAAGTCAGCCACTAGAACCACTTTGACCTGAACGAGGAGAGAGAGAAGCTTACCCTAAACCATCTCTTGCCGTACTTCGCCTCGACTTTCTCTTGGTTACCCATCCAGTTTCGGTACCAGCGCCAGAGAGTGGCAGAGTAGTGAACGCCAATGGTGTCGATGCCCTTGATTTCGAATCCAGCGGCCTCGAGCCTGTCGACGACGAATCCGAGGGGGGTGCTCGCATCAGCACCAGGGAAGATGTACTTGTTCATGAAAAGACCCCAGATGAGATCCTCATATTGCCATGACTTGCGGAGGCCAGCAATCTGCAGGAAGAAGACACCGTCGTCGTCTAGCATGTCGTACACCTGAGACAAGAACGAGCTAAAGTGGCGTACACCAACGTGCTCCGCCATCTCGAGACAAGTGATCTTCTTGTAGCCACCGGAGATACGAGGAGCATCGCGGTAGTCGAGACACAAGATGCGGCTCTGAGAATCATCAATACCAGAGTTGCGAAGGCCCTTGTTACCCCAAGCGGTCTGATTCCGGCCGAGTGTAATACCGGTGACTTGAGCACCGTAGTGAACCGAGGCGTACTTAGCAAGAGTTCCCCAACCGCAACCGAGATCGAGGACGGTGTCACCCTGTTTGAGACCAATCTTTTCACAGACCACAGCAAGCTTGTTGTCCTGGAGCTGCTCCAGGGTCTCCTCCTTGTTTACATCGCTAATGATGCCCGAGGTATAGATCATGCGGGGGCCTAGGAACCAAGCATAAAAGTCATCGCCGCGGTCGTAGTGGTCACGGACCTGCTCCTCGTCTACCAGGGATTAGACAGTACACAAGCTAATGGGGCAAGAGCAAATTACCCTGAGAACGAGAGTGAACCAACATCTCGGGAATAAAGCCAAAGAGGAAATGCTTGTAGAGTCCCATCGTGAAGCGGAAGTTGGCCCAATCGTGCCTGAATTCCAGGGCTTCCAAAGCGTCGGTCTTGAAGTCTACCTCACCATTGAAGTACTTTTCGTAGAAAACTTCCATGGGAATCTTGCTCTTTCCGCGGTAGGTAGCACGGTCATGTTCGCTGTGGAAGTGCAGATAATGCTCGACGGGGCGACCAGCGTACTTGGCCTTCTCGTTCTTGCGGGGAGAGATGGAGGAAGCCACGGACCAGAAGGCCATCAAAATCGGGACGGTAGTGAAGATTGCGAAGAAAATGGTTGTATAGAAACCACCACCGATTTGGCGAGCAAGGTACCATGGGATTAGAAGCAGCAGGGAGAAGAGCAAGGTGTTGGAGAAGCTGTCGCTGCCAGCAGCATCTGCTGGGACGGGAGCATTTTTGATGGCCGGGTACTATAATACATTGAGGAAGACGTCAGTGTCTGATGAACATGTACACGGGCCTTCGAAAACAGTGCATTTTATAACCATTCTGAGCAATGATTGAAACTCACCGATGTTGTCCGCACGCCGCAGTCCTCCGCAGGGGTTATGTGTGACGCAGCAGGCGTTTCGATGAACTCGAAGTCCTCGGGGGACTCAGGGTGAATGTTTGCCATTGGGAGCGAGACAAACCGACCAAGGCGGGAGAGGGGGAGGATAGGAAGGGGGAAGGGAAGGGGGGTTGACAGGAAGAGGTAACGCGAAGATTGACAGAGGAGGAAGATGGCCTGGCCCTCTGGACCTCTGGATACAGAAATTACGCGTGGGCACCGATCATCCCGAGGATCAACACACTACGTCTGATCACAAGCTTCCTGGCGGCAATTGACTCTGCTACCCTTCTGGCCGTTTGACGAAGTTACTTTAGTATTCTTTCCTATTACTTTTGACCACAAGCTTGCTAACATCGGAACGAAGATGATGATGTGGCAGGACCAATATTTGCCCGCAGGACCAATATTTGCCGTACCGAGTCCTAAGGTCGACGGGACTCGAAGCTGGTTTTAGTTCCTGACGATGTGGGCCCAGATTAGCGCACCCGAATCTCTAGCGGTGAAGTGACAGTAGTCTTTCTAAACTATATGAGAAATGCCCATCCCTCCTGTAGCCCATACCCAGAATAATCCAATACAATAAACGCCTGTCCCTGTTGGTGCACCTGAAGGATTCGTTCATTGACGTCGCTCAAATTACGCCGCCCTATTCCCCGCAGACACAAATGATAGCATGGTTGGAACGCCAGACGCAAGGATAACGATAAGAAACAGCGTGGCCGATTTGACTGACATTCCATGATCCAGACCTCTCGAGATTACAGAGTGAGCTGGAAGTTCTGGGTTTCTTCATCCTCTTCGTACTGGGGAAACGACTCCCCCACAAATTGGTCGGTTTCTGTGTCGAGGGAGGGGCTGTCGTCGGGCCGTAGATAGGTTTCTGGAGACAGAATTCCAGGGGTAGCAGGTTGAGAAGCAGGGACTTTAGGTTTGTCGTGCAGTCGAGATGAGACTTCTCGACCTTTCGTATAGCCCACAGTCGTGCGGGAGCCTGCAGTAGCAGCAACATGGCGCATGGTTGACGGGTTGGTTGGCAGTCTCGTCTTTTTGGAAGGGAACAGCGCCGAAGCAACCCTTGCTTTCGGCTTCACAATTGGAGCAGCTCTAATACGTGGAACTGAGCGCTCAGTGCCGGAAAGAGCGCTAGCCGCATCCCGAGCTCTGATAGTGGAAACGCCGCTGGGATATTTGGTTCTTCCCACCGTAGTTCTTGGGCGCTGCGTTTCAAGACGACGTCGCGGAATCTCTGCAGCAGATGGCTTGCTGGATTTGTCATCATCGCTGGGTTCATCAAAGCCAAAACTTTCAATCTGTTCTAAGATTGTCTTGTCCATCATTTTATCGTACGCTGCGGAGCACTCCTGAAATTTGCGTTGTTTCTTCGTAAGGCCATCATTTCCGATCTCATTATCGCCGTACACGCTTTCTAAACCGAGTGCCAGGTTCCTGGGCTGAAACTGAGGGAATGAGGTATCGTATGTGATGTCGTCGGGGTAATCCGGGAGTTCTGCTTTGGTCAGACCATCCTATGATAGATGAACATAGAGCAAGCAACAAATCTCACCCTTCGGCTTTGGTGGCATGTACTCGATATCAGGAACGTCATCCTGTGGCGGTTGAACCTTCACCTGCGGCTGCGGCTGCTCCACAAATGGGGAAAATTTCTTAACGCGCTGTGTAGAGCCCTTCCTGACTGTCTTCTCTGGCTTCAAAGTTCCCGCGGGAGCCCCGGGTGTCTGGAGACCTTTCGCTTTGGCATTGGTGGTTTTCATGCCCAAGGGAGCACGATTGCGAGTGTCCCCTATCAATGACAGTTAGCTCTTGTTTCACAAAGATCGAGAATATTTTCGGCGGATTCCAATGCCTTGTGCATACCCATGGGAGTAGTGAAGGCATCCTTGACGGATGGTCTGTTGTTCTCATATTGCTTTCCGAGGGTCTTTATCGTCTGCTTTCCAAATGCCAGCGGGTCATTTTCATCCTTCAATGGCACTTTGAACGGTGTCTTCGGAGCTCGGGCCCCTGGAGTCTTTGGCTGGAGCTGCTTGAGACTCTGATTCAGCGGTTTGGCGGCAGCCACGGTTTGGTGGGCGTGAGTTAGGTTTTCCTGGTCGCGAAGAGCCAGCATTGTGGCGGGTGTTGGATGATAATAATCATCCAATACAGAGCAGTAGAGTGGCCTCTGATGGTGTGAATGCGAGCTAGATAATTCTGTCTGATAACGCGCGTTGAATGGCGATACGAGTTCTAGATGCGGGTAGAAGTGGTTGTTTTCTTTTTTGCCGGGGTTGCCCGTGGAGACAGAGGCGGTCCGCTGGGACACACTGACGCGGATCCACGGGAGTGGCTCTCTAAAAACGGACTAGCTGCTGACGGCCTCAAACTTCAGGCGACAGCTGACCGCCTGGCGGAGACCCAAAGCACTATTATTATCATCAGGAGTGTTGGTTCACTTCTCCTGAACCCAACTCTGTTAAATACACTTGCATCTCCATCCGGTTCATCGCTGAGCGACAAGCCTTCTGTCACATCCTTGCTTCCTTATCCGTCTTTCATCTATACATATTCCGTCGCCGTTACACCGTCACCATGGAAAGAATCAAGGAGGTATGTTTCCCCCTCCTTCCCCCCTGCTCTTGGTGGGGTAGCTCGAGAGCTATACCCATATCCTGCACACGCACCACCGCCACTTGATTTTGTCCTTGCATCGTTGTACTTGGAGATCCAGACTTAACGAAACGCTGTATTGGCTTTCGGCTTGACAGATTGAAAATATGATCAGATTCAGGAAAAGGGTGAAGCTAACTAGTGTCCTCTAGAAAATGTCCGCTCTCCGCCTGGAGGCTGATGAGGCCCACGAGCAGGTTGAGGAGCTCAAGGCCAAGGTCAAGACCCTAGAACAGGAGAACCTGGCGAAGGAGCAAGAGATCACATCCCTCACCCACCGCAACCAACTCCTTGAGGCTGAGGTGGAGAAGCTGGAGACAAGCGTAAAGGAGGCCAAGGATGCCGCCAACCAGTCCGCCCAACACGACACTCAAAACGAAGCGCTTCAGCGACGTGTGCAGCTATTGGAAGAGGAGAATGAGGAGGCTGACCGGAATCTGCGTGAGACAAACGAGAAGTACGCTCAACTTACCGCCCCGCTTATCTCCTAACAGAGTGATGCTAACCCATGAACTCAAAAGGCTCCGTCAGACAGATGTTAAGGCAGGTCATTACGAACGTAAGGTCCAGGCTCTAGAATCGTCCCGTGATGAATGGGAGAGCAAGTACGAGGAAATGGCCAAGAAATACGCAGAGTTGCAGAAGGATCTTCACGAGCTAGAGGTCACTATGAGCAGTGTCTAAAGACAAGGCCGTACAACAACATGCATGAGGTGGAAGGATGTATTCAGCCTTCTCTCCAATAGTTTCGTCGTTAATTCTTCACTGCACAGCCCATTCTTTTATACTTGTATCATTGGCCCGCGGTGGGCAAATCTCATAGCATCCTTCCCATGTTGTTTTCGCAGTTATATTTCTCATCCATCTGGCACCAAACTTCACCTCAAGGCTTGTTAACAATATGTGAAAAATCCAATCTGCAGTCCACTGAATGATCTCGAGTCTCCATGCGAAGCAGGTAAACCTAATAGTACTGATTGGACTGAGCAAGGATCTCATCGTTCTCTCCGTGCTTTGGCTTTCCTGTGATTCGACTGTCGCTCTTTCATCCTTGTCACTTTTCGTTCCTCCTTGCTTTCATATCGAAACTTCTTCTTTTTCTTCTTTGGCTTCGTGTCCGAGTTCTTTCTCGCTTTGTCGGATTTCTTCTCTGGCTTGGCATCATCTGCGGCATTCGGTTTCGCCGGTCGCTCATCCGAGCTATCCTCATCAGATTGAAGGAGTGCTTCCTTGGACGGATCCATTTCCTCTACCGTGACCGTAGTGTATTTGTCCTCGTCGATGTATTCCGCCTCATAGTCTACCGGCGGAGGCTCTGCGATCCCATTCCACTCGTCTTCATCGTCATTGTCGCTCGAAGTATTCTCCTCGTCGCCACTTTCCTCCGCTTCTTTGAGTTTCTTCAGCTGCCTCCGGTGCTCTTCAAGCGCACGTTCGAATTCTGCAGACCGTTCTTCCCGCATCTAGAGGTTAAGATCGACAGATCAGTTACATTCTTGGAATGGGAGAACCGCAATCTCTAGCACCTTTCTTCGATCCTCCCTCTTCGCTTCCCGGGCCTTCTGTACTGCAACCTCTTGCGCATGTTTTATTCGCTGCTGTTTTCGTTTGCGAAAGCCTGTCAGGAATTGTTGGCGCGCATCTGGATCGAAAGTAATCTCTTCCACCTGAACGTTCAACTTGCGCTTTTTCGAATGCGGACCCATTGTATGATTTTCGGAATTAGGGCCAAGGTCATGAATCAAAAGAACAACGGCACTTGCAAATTGTGATAAAGTTGAAATCAATGCTAACAATGTAGGTGAAGCGAGTGCGAACCTTGGAAAAAAGTTGGATGTCCAAATCCTCCGCAGCTTACAAAAAAGTTGATTGGTCTGCCGGGCCTCGACCGCCTCCTAGCTCCCCAATCCACCAGCCTGGCTCTAAACATCATCCTTCCGCGGACATCACTCCTCGTCGTCGCCAGACCAAATTCCACAGCACACTATGCGTTTGAGCCAGTTCTCGTTGCTTGCTCTGGGAGCAGCAACAGCTAGCGCATTCCGCGATACATCTCCTTTTTTCCTTGCGTCGACCTCTGAGTATGTCACTTGGAACGTCCCTGAGGGCCGGGGTTGCCGACCGTTATAGCTTACAGGTTCCCTAGGCTCCTATCTGCTTCAGCACAGCTGAAATCTGCCACATCTCTTCTCGATGACCTCTCTACAACACTCAGCACGTGCCCAACGGACTACTATGTCATTGCATCCCAACCCGGTGTTCACGCCACCGACTTCAGTGCACGCAAATCCGCGCCCCGCCTCGCAGCAAAGTTGACGGGTCAAGACGAGACAATCCGGTCAGCTACGATAATCAATGAAGTTGCGGGTATTCTAGAGACAAAACAGATTAGGAGTATCCTTGAAAGCGGATGTGGTGCCCAGACCACGGTAATCGATGCCTCATGTTCGTGGTCCCGGATTTAAGTTGGAATCTGGCATTGGCCTTGTGACTGACGTTTCCATGTAGCTGGATCTTATCCGACCGAGTTTGGTGCAGAGCCACGGGTTATCATTGTTGAGTTGTCGTCCCTTCCGCTCGGGTCTGAGCGGGAGCAGCAACTCTTCGATAATGGTTCGTTCACTTGAATGATTGCTCTATTAAAAGTTTACTGATTATCATAGACGCTTTGCTTTCTGACATCGTCAGCCGCCTGCCGTCAAAGAAATACACTCTTTTCTACCTTACTACTCCTAGGGAGTTCGAGGAGAACGATTCCCCTGTTTACCAGCAGCAGAGCGACCTTTACCAAGACACTGTGCACATTGACTTGAAGCGGGACTATGCTGTGCATTCCCGCCGCGAAGAAACAATCAATAGCTCCCTGTTTGACGAATATCAGTACTTTACTCCAGGTCCGTGCTTCCTCAGTTACTCCAATATGGCGGCATTCTAACAGGCTATAGGTCTCTTCATGGGGCTCATTGCCGCTTTCTTTTTCTTCGCTATCCTCTACGTCGCTTTCAGTGCTCTCCTAAGCCTGCAGGTTCCATATGCGGCTTTCGAGAAGGACACGTCTACTACCGTTCAGAAGAAGCAGCAGTAACGCCGCATGTTATTACATATTTCTCTGGCACTAGTAGCTTTTGATGTCTTCTTTCCCCATTTTCAACGGACATTATTATCTTATTATTCAGGTGGAACTAAGATATCCACTCTTGGAGTTCGGCATTGACTGAATGTATTCTATGGCAACGAGAGCGGGCTATTCATTTTGCATCTGAAACATTTACAGAGGATTATTCGAAAGTAGTTATTATCTATATAGTGGATAGTATAATGGTAGGAGTATCCTTTGCGCCTCAGGGTCCAGACTTAATATGCCACGTGATCTAGATGCCTGAATAGCGCCTAAGGCTTCAGAGCAATCCAGCCTCTGGAGTCCACCAGTCACCACACATGGATATTGGCGACGGCGGCTTTTTGAGCTTTGCATCGTCCTTCCCTCCCCATCTCTCGTTCAAATTACCGCCTCCGTCTTCCGACCTCGCTGATTCATTGCGCCGGATTTGCGTCCGTCACCCTCTTTATCTCCCTGATTGTTCACTTGCATCTCATCCTTTGTTGACTTGCCGGCTGGTGGAGACGCATCCGACCCACGCCCTTACTGAGTTGAGTTGCTTACCAGGAGAACCACCTCCAGGTTCCCCGATACAGTCTTCGCAAAGTTACCTCCTAGCGCCTGGAATTCTGCTTCTGCTCTCAGTGTTGTTGTCCGCCTCTGAATTTCTGCGCAGCGTTGAGAAACTGATGTGCTGAACGGATACCCGCGGGCTGAATCAGGGGATTCTCCAAAGCATCAAACCCCCTCCGATCGCAGACTTTCGAGCGGCTCGTACACACAAGATGCTTTTCCTCCCAATGGGCCGTGCAAGGGCCAGACGACCCTACCTACTGCTTTTTTTCTTCCTCTCCCTCATTCTATTCGCGCAAATAGTCGCCGCTCAGGACGATTCCGATTCATCGAACAACAATAATGATAGCGACAGCGACAGCGACACATCTTCGACTACAACAACAACAACAAATAACTATCCTGTTATAACTCCGCCCCCGACAGATGGTGCGCCGTACATGCAGAAATCGAGTGCGCCAGAAGGAACAGTCTTCATCGCCGTGGGAGCCGTTTTGGGTGCTATGGGCCTCTCCGTCCTGGCATGGCGGGGCCTCGTAGCATGGTCTGTCAACCGATCTGTTCGCCGAGCGGCGTTGACGCACTCATCCGAAAATAAGGGCCTATTGAGAGGCAAGAAGAAGCGATCAGGACGACCCCGCTCCCATGGACATGGTCACACCCATCACAACGCCGTCTCCTTGGAGAAGATTAGCGGTTCCCGTCACAGCACCTATAGGGATCAGCGAGGGTCCAAGATCCCAACCTCTGGCAGCGGCCTCTTCTTCTCCCCCACCGCGGGGATGAACAACAGCGGGAACAGAGGCTCAAACTACCTCCCCGCTGGATACTATGCCGCGGGAAGTGCCGCAGCGAGCGTCGCCCAGAATGTCGGCCTCTCCGCTGAGCACCTCCCGCCACAAGCCCGGGGATACACCCGCACGGGCTCCGGCCCTACACCCCCAGCCACGCCACTGTCTCCTCCAACGGGTATGCACGAAGCTCAACAGTACAGCAACAGCAACCTGCGCCAATCATACACAGCCGCTGCGTCAACAAGCAGTTTGAACCTTACATCCCCGCCGCAAGGGAGGACACCTAGTGCATACCTTGAAGATCTTTTCGAGAACCACCCTCCGCGTTCTCCAAACAGGCATACCTAACGTGGGCCAAGTCCCCTTGTACGTGGAACGACAGCCTCCCATTGTTTTTTGCTCTTTTTCTCTTGGGTCTTGTATTTACCATTTTCTTGTCGGACGGAGTCTAGTAAACCCGTATTTGCATGGGCTGTCCTGGTCGGAGTCCTCGCCTTAGTTCTATTCTTTTCCTATTGAGCTGTATGTTGGTTGTCATTCATGTCATATACTACTTTGTACAAGTCCACTGAGTCTATTTAATCCATCTAATCTGCATACATTGCCACCGCATCTTTGTCCCTGATTATCTTCAGGATGCTATATTGGTCATCCAGGAGTATAAACTCCGATTGATGAAGACCGCTTAGGGGAAGAATCTCTCATAGTGTGAACTTCCAGGCTTTTTCTATCAGATGAGTCACTTCGTTGATAATATGTTCATTAAGCGGGCATATCAAGCCCCTCTAACCATTCCGCGTGTCATAGTGTAGTGAATAAAGATGAAAAGCAATGAACAGTGAAGGGTAGAAAAAGCAAGCATTATGTCCGGGTACCAGCTCCGCCAACGCTCTCACCCATATGATACATCGACAAAAAGAAAGGTAGAAAAGATGCAAGACGCACGATGAGTATAGCAAGTAGGCTCAAGGCGGCGAACAAAAATAGAAAATGGTGCTTAAGCGCGTCAAAAACCCGAAAAAGAAGGCAACAGGACAGAAAGGATGAGGCGCAAACATGAGCCCCCAGAAGGGATTTGTCCTGTTCTCGCAATTGAATACAAGGTCATATCTCTATATAACGCGATGGGGAATATGAACAGTTCGTCTGGGGTTTGATTGGCAGTTCTCAGTCAGAATCAAGTTTGCCATTGAATTCGCCAAGTAGCACATCGTTGGGGGCTGGGCCGCGACTGTTCCTGACTGTAGCAGATATTAGCCGCCATATACATGCTATTTCGATCTGGACTTACCCCATTCAGCTTCTGAGCGAATGAAAACCCACATCCACCGGCGTCCGACTTCGAAAAGCATGAGAAAGAAGAGTCCAACTTCGGTTTCAGTGAGCCAGACAAAACCTGGCACGAATCGTGACATCCATGCAAAGCGAACAGCGAAGTCGACAGCCATGGCCGTGTAGTACTGCTGATCTGTGAAATAACGGTAACGACGTAATCCAAACGGATACTCGTTGTCATTTCGTGACTCGGTGAACAAAGTCAAATCCCAATCCTTCGTTATGTCCCAATAGAAGGAGTAGGAAGAGTTGATAAAGGAGAAGAGATATCTGAAAGTAACATGTCAGCTTGATCGCTTCCTAGCCCGACTGGTCCACATCAACTTACAGTAGCCTTGTGAGCGTCACCTCACTTATCCCATAGAAGAGGAACGGACTGTAGTTCCTCAATTTAGCTGCAAGCATGATGACCGGGAAAGCGGTTGCATATTTCAAGGCGTTGGCCAAGTGCTGGGCACCAGTATTGCCGTGTCGGAAGCCCGTCCGACGTAGACGAACATATTCAATCAGACATTGTCGCAATCGGATAAGACTGGGAATGGCGATAATTAGTGGAATCAGATAATCCGAACCACAGTGTCGGTCTGGCTTGGATGTACTCGACGTCTCCGCGTTGAAGAACATGCAGAAAGTGACCACAAGATCCGCGATGACTTTCGCATAACTTGTAAGAACATCCGCTAGTAAGATATCGCCGAATTTGCCATCCTGAGCTTCTGCTAGGCCGCCGATGCTAATCCGCCGGAGTGTAGATAGGAATCTTCGGCGACCGGACCGGGACAATCGATTGAAAGGAAGGATAAGGAGGATTATGAGTATGAAGAGGTATGCTTGAGGAACATAGTCGACGGATTCAACTCGTTCTCGAGAGCCGTGTGTGAGTGGCCAAAAGAGGAAGAGCGATAGAAGTAGAGGGACGGTTAGGAGACCGGCGAGATGATAAGCGGAGACGTGGTGCGGCCGATGGTTCGGAGATTGACGTGCAGGGTACCGTATCAGCGCTGGAAGATCCTGGTGGTAGTGAGTTTAGTGGAAGTCTAACGGTTGAGGTAAGTTCGGAGAGGGGTTCACATACGATATTGTTCTGGTGTAGATACTGTAGATTGGCTCCCCAACCCCAGAACCCTAACAGTGGGATTAACATGTCTTCTATGAAAGATCTGAGGCCAAAGATGATTTACTTACCTGCTACAAAAAGCACAGCCACGCGAGAGGGAAAGGGGAGGAAGAGACTGAAGCCATCCAGTTGAGCATGCTGATCAGGACCCATATTCCATTGAAGGAGCGGCGCCGGGGGACTCCTGGCACCTGCACAGAGATAAAAAAGAATATGTTATTAAACAGAGGAGGTAGTATATCACCAGTTCCTCTGGAGTAAAGAAGGAAACAAGAAGGGAAAAGGAGAAGGCATTCAACACGCAAAGGAACGACTAGGGGTGAGTCTGGCCTCTGGAAAAACTGAATATTCAAGAGGCCTGGGCTGCATCGCTCAGGGACAATCCAGGTCGAATGCGGTCTTTCGATGGGGTTTCCGCGCGGCTTCTCGGTTTGGGAAGGCGCTTGGCCGCATCCAGCCTAGCTGATGGGCTCTAAAATTGGATCCAGACCCGGTCACGTGCAGCATAACCACGTACGTAATATCAGCCGAGGCACTGGCTCGCGTCGCGGCTTTCCGGGGTAACAGACTCCAGCGGCGCATGGTTCTTAACAGCATCGTCCGTCAAAGTCAAAAGATATTCTTTCTCCTGAATCAGCCTTCTTTTTGTTCCGAATGTGCTATAAGCTTCCCTCCACTGCTTCTATCCACTAACAATGGCCGACGAAGACCTATCGCTCTCGACCACGACCCCTCCTCCAACCAGACCCTCGGCCCATTTCTACCCGTTTGCGACGTCGCCGGACATTATCCGTTCGCACGAGAAGGATGCCTTCCTTACTGCCAACTTGACCAACCAGACACAGTCCATCGTTCGAAAACTTCGTGGTGCTCGCTATGCGCATACGCACTCGGAAGCTATCAAGAACCTCACCGAGCTGTTGTATTTTTCCCTGACGACGCTGATCGGAAACCGGACTCTGGGAGAAGAGTATTGCGACCTTGTCCAACTTGAAGATGACACCCTACAGCTGCCGTCAGTAGCCAGGCGCGCGGGATACATTCTGAGCAGCATAATGGTGCCATGGACACTACAGCGGATACTGCCCGGTTTTCGACAGCGTCTACGCGCTAAACTAGAGCGTAGTATCGCCCGACAACAACAGAAGGCGCAACAGACAAAAGGAGCAACTGAATTTGCTTCAAACGGCAAACCAAGGAAGCAGTCATTATTCACGAAACTACGTATCCAGAAGTACATCTTGGAGCATCTCGATTCCATCACATCCTTATCGCCAATTTATGCACTCAGCATTGCAACTTTCTACTTCACAGGCTCTTATTATCACCTGTCGAAACGGGTTTGGGGGCTTCGTTACGTCTTTACGAAGAAACTAGAGCAAAACGAGCAGCGCGTCGGCTATGAGGTACTGGGAGTACTACTTGTTCTGCAAATAGCAGTCCAAAGTATTCTTCACGTCCAAAAAGTTACTACGAGTGCAGGCCAAGAGACCTCAGACTCGCTTTCCGATTCTCCGGGGCCCCGCGGCCAAGAAGATACTCTAGTACGCTCGATTGAGAACCCATCCACGCTCCCTCTTCTTCCTGCTTCTAGCGCTCGATATGATCTCTCAGAGGACCCTGACGCCATCCCTTGGATTCCCACCGGACAACAACGCAAGTGTACTCTCTGCTTGGAGTCCTTTAAGGATCCAAGTGTCACGACCTGTGGGCATGTGTTTTGCTGGACATGTATTTGTGACTGGGTTCGCGAGAAACCCGAATGCCCTCTTTGTCGACAAGAAGTCCTCGCTTCTAAGGTGCTGCCCTTGAGAGGCTGAAGTGGATAATACTAAAAGACACCGAGATATGACGCTGTACAAAGAATATTCTATTCACCACTTTTCGAGCATCGACGCGTGTGAAAGATGCAGGCCTTGGTTAGCCAAGCTGTAGATATACCTTCCTAATCTTGAACATCTCATGGTATGTGCATGGCACGGACTTGGTAGTCAGAGTGTTATGGGTAATGTTAGTGAATTCGTATACACATCGTAGCGCACTCTCAGAGCGCAGACTATCGCGGATACTTGATATTACATACAGCCTCGCACACAAGCTAGACGGCCCTATCGTGTGGCTCGAGAAATCCTAGCTCCTGTACGGCGTTTCGTGATAGACGGCGTAAGGGCCAATGGTAAACGGGGCGTTGACTTGGGCATAACTGATACCTCCCGTTCATACCGTCGAGGCACAAAACACTGCAAGAGATAAATGAGCAATTGCGCTCCCAGACAGCCAATCAAATGGATCAAGAAGACCCATTAGACCTCCCTGGGCTACTTACAGGCGCCACACCTCGACTTTTGACGTCAACAGGATCCTTAGAAGTGGTTTTCTTGCTGTACATTCGTATCGGTAGGTTCAACTCGGCGTGCGCTGGCAACGGCGGAGTCGGAGACATGGCTTTTCGCTTCGCATCCATGATACAGAATAATTGATAGCCGGCATATGCGTCTGCAGCGGCGTCTTTGTGAATCCCAATTAGAGGGTGCTATGTCTGGTTGGGTTGATTTTTGAGGAGAAACTTACAGTGGATTTGATCCTCGGTCAGCGGAGACGACCAGTTGCTGCATCGTACAAAGGGATCTTTTCGCAAAGGCATACCAAAATGCTCGTCAACCTGCTTGCTCATACCAACAAGTTTCTTGTTGATCAGGGAAGGGGTGTTGTAGTATTTGACAAGACGATATAGATGACTAAGTTCAAAGATCCCACGAGGGTTGATTCCGAGATGCGTTCGAAGACGGGTGCTATCTGACTTGACAGCCACGCCGGTTTTAGTAATGTCTGGACTTTCCAGGATGCGTTTCAACGTGGGGGCCACTAAATCCTTTATCGTTTCCCCCGGAGAGAATAGGGCGATCTGGAACAGTGCGATTCTGTCGCAGCCGGCGAGTTGGATGAGTGAAACATTGTTCTGTATCTTATCGGAACTGGTGGCTTCGGGCTGCCATTCCATGTCGAACCCTAGTACTGTATCGTTCAGGAAGAGCTGTGCCACCCGCTCGGTGCTTTCGAGGGTTTGGCAGTAGTGTACAACCACATCATCCCCCGTCTGACTCTTGAACAATCGATGGCTCCAAAACTGTGGCGAGACATCATTTGTAGACGTGGAGCATGATAAGTCCTTCTGTGGTAATAAAGGAGGTCCAGTGATATTTCCGTTTTGTGAATAGTTACTGGAAAAGCCATCATCTTTGGAAGGTGTGGAATGGTGGTCTTTGTCATGGTCACTTGGCGCGAATAGCCTAGGGCGATTCCAAACCCAGGAAGACAAATAGCGAGCCGCAGCTCGTGGACTTTTGGACGGAAGATTCATACATTTTCCCGCGAGCATACAACCATTGCTGCTGCGACACAGGAGGTTGTGATCTGACGCGAATGGCGAACAAATGCGGCCCAAGGTATCATTTGGGGAGGCATGTAGTGTTCGAGTGCCAGTACCATACAAAGTACTGTAGCATAGCCTCCAGAAATATTAGAATGGTCCTCAAAGCAGGTTTGAAGAAACGTACCCAATATTTCCAGGTCTCCCAAAAAGCGTGTTGCCGCTCCTATTGATAAGTCGCCCGGTTGAGCGATAGAGGCCCATCAAAAACAGATCCTGGGGCCCCTAATAGGTACGCTCCCCATTGAACAGAATTATCTTTTAAAGTGCCTCCTCAAACTGTAGACTGCTTCATACGCGGGCTAAGTAAATACTCACGAGTGGTGTTGGAATTTGATGGACACACGGGCCCTAGATCCCCGGAGCGGATAAACACAGTATCCGGGTATCGCCAAGCTGAATGGAATCACCCATCCAGCATTAAAGCTCCACCGAGTCCCAACTAGAATTGCTGCATTCCGTCTCGACAAGCTCACTATCCTCGCACAAGATAAATACCACAGAAAAGGGCCCATATCCTCAGGGTGGTATATTTCTCGCGCATAATGGCGTCTCAACTTCTGCCTCTAGGTGGGAAACGTTTCCCTATACACATCGGCATCCGCTAACGCGCTTGTTAGAATTGATTGATAAGTGTGTTGGATCTCGGATATGGATTGTCATGAAAAACGACAAAGGTTTGCCTACCCTCTCATACTCTTACATGCGAAAAGCTACGAGGCTTACGCCCAGGTAGAATTCTCAGGCACATTGCTCGGATTCGATGACTACGTCAGTAAGTGTGATGTTTCCCAATAGACTCTATCTCATAAATCTAATGCTCTTTAGACATGGTATTGGAAGATGTGACGGAATTGTAAGGGTTTCCTTGTCCTCTACGAGGCCCATGGTCTCGAAACATTGGCTGTCACCTTATACTAAGATTGTCGCAGTGATTACTCTGGCGCCCAGGTCAAGCTGCCCAAAATACTTCTAAACGGAAACAACATCTGCATGGTTTGTAATGACCAGCCCCATTATAATTGCAGACGCTCTAATAAGTCCTCCAGCTTATTCCAGGTGGCGAAGGGCCGGTTGGAAGCTCCTGATTGACGCCGATTCATGTTTTCATATTGATGCGGCAGACTAATGCGACAACTGCCATTTCCAATCGACGCTACCATTGACTATACGCGGACAATCATAATCAACTTAGTATTAATGGCGCAGCTACGCAGGCCTTCTTCGGTCACCAATCTCACGGCATGCTTCTAAGAGTAGAGCCATTTGTGGTACTTGTTTTTAGTCATATAGATGACTGCATAGGTACAGTGTCCGCCTCGAAAACATTTTGGGAGTGAGGAGCATAAGATTGATGTCTGCCTCTACATGTACTGATGTCCAATGATGGGATTGGCTCGGACTGGAACAGGCTGGATGCCCATGCTTTAATTAAAACGAAATCTAAAGGCAAAAAGCCAGCCTTGGCAGAACACGGCTCAGTAAACAATTATAACATGGTTTGTAGTCCACGCTTAGATACTTTTAATCTTGATAGTAGAATAAGTCGGGAGAGGGTTGACATAGTCGAATCTCTCGCAGTCGAGACACATGAGCTTTTCCAATCAACTAACGGTTTTCAGGTTAGTGCGCTCTGGTTGGAGTTATCAGCCAAGCCTTCGCTGGGCCCGAGTCATCGTCATTTTGGTTATCTCCCAGGAGCACGTCTGATTCATGCCACACGTCCAGTCTTCATGGCAACTCCCGTGCCAGTCCATTACCCGGACTCTTGAATTGCACTTAGCCGTCTGTTATAGCTTAACTCCTCTCAAAGTCCCCATCTTCGCCAGAGCTCCAAATATAGACTCATCGATCCGACTTGGGCCCCGTTACTCCGCATCCTAATTTCTTATCGCGAGCGGCCCCAAATACCTAGGGTACTATTGCCTGCCTGCCCCTTTGAGCTTTCTGCTTGAGGTGCCATATTCATCATCTTCACTCAGATTCTACCTTTGCGGGCAGAGTCACAGAACACACCTGTGCTCCTATAGATGAAATCGGAATATGGATAAAGACTTGTTGAAGGCGAAAGCTGAGCGTTCGGCATCAGCCGAATCGCCCCCTGCCTACGGGGAGTCTTCTTCCAGACGAGGGAGCCTGGGACAGCGGATCCTCGAAAGCTTTCAAAGAGACCCAAACGCTCACGTCACTGCATTTGCTTCCTTCTCGGAGAGCAAAGGATACGATATTGAAAATGCGGCTGAGAAAGCCGCGACCTCGCCGTTACAACGTCATCTAAGGGGCCGTCACCTGCAAATGATCGCGATTGGAGGCTCCATTGGTATGTTCACTTTATTAACTATATGGCTACACTGTTACAAATAGCCTTTCGTGCTTGGCGAGTCCCCCTGATGATATTGTTCCTAATTTTGCCCTTCTAGGTACTGGCCTCTTTGTTGGTTCTGGACGGGTCCTTGCAACTGGGGGCCCAGCGTCGCTTCTCATCGCATATGCCCTGATCGGATGCATGCTTTACTGTACTGTGCATGCGCTTGGGGAGATGGCCGTTATATTTCCTGTGGCGGGGTCCTTTGCACACTATTCAACCCGATTTATCGACCCGGCTTGGGGATTTGCCATGGGCTGGAATTATGCTTTGCAGTGGCTGGTAATTCTACCTTTAGAAATTGTCGCCGCATCAATAACAGTCGATTATTGGGACTCGAATATCTCAAACGCAGCATGGGTGACTTTATTCTGGGCGGTCATTGTCTCCATAAACCTCTTCGGGGTAAAGGGATATGGTGAGGCGGAATTCGTCTTCTCGTCCATCAAAGTCATCGCCGTAATAGCCTTCATGTGAGTAGCATCATCAATCTTTTATAATCTCATCTGAAGTCCCATCACTGACATCATTCAGTATACTTGGGATTATCCTGAATTGTGCTGGGGGTCCGAATGGGAGCTACCTTGGTGCCAGGTACTGGCGGGATCCTGGTGCATTTCACCATGGGTTTAAAGGCCTGTGTGATGTATTTGTTAATGCTGGGTTTGCCTTTGCTGGAACTGAACTCGTCGGCCTCGCGGCTGCTGAAACAGCCAACCCCCGCAAATCTCTCCCCACTGCTGTCAAGCAGGTTTTCTGGCGCATTACACTTTTCTATATCGTGTCGCTCACGTTAGTCGGCCTTTTGATTCCTTATACGGATCGTCGATTGATAAACGGGACCTCTACTGCCGATTCGAGGGCTTCACCCTTTGTGATCGCGATCGAAAACGCTGGTATTGAAGTTCTGGATTCTGTGATGAATGTGGTCATCATGATTGCTGTTCTTTCTGTCGGAAATTCAGCTGTTTATGGTTCCTCTCGGACACTCGCGGCCCTTGCGGAGCAACGACAAGCCCCTCGATTTCTGGCCTACATCGACCGCAAAGGCCGCCCCTTGTGGGCTATCGGTATTGCATCGGCTCTTGGACTTCTGGGATTCCTAGCCGCAACAGACCAGCAAGAGATTGCCTTTGAGTGGATGATTGCGATCTCCGGCCTCTCATCAATTTTCACCTGGGGCTCGATCTGCCTGGCGCATATACGCTTTCGCCGCGCATGGCGGCTACAAGGCCACAGCCTGAATGAGTTGGCATTCCTCTCTCAACCAGGATTGATTGGATCATGGGTAGGATTTATATTCAACTGCCTGATTCTTATTGCCCAATTTTGGGTTGGTTTTGCGCCAATCGACTACGAAACCATGTCGACTACTACTCTGATTCGCAATTTCTTCTCAAAGTATCTGGCGGCACCGGTTGTGCTTCTGTTCTACATTCCGTATAAGCTGCGGTTCCGAACCAAGATTCTCCGGGCGAGAGACATGGATTTGAGGACAGGCCGGCGGGAATTGAATGTCCAATGGCTCATGAAAGAGGAACGCGCCCAACAGGCGGCCTGGCCGGCTTGGAAGAAGCTATACAAATTCTTTTGCTGAAGTGGCTGAGGAGCGGATACGGCACACTTGGATTTTATTTTTATTTTTTTTGCCTCGCTTCTCGTCACGACCTCATGATATACCCAAGCCTGTATATAAAACTTTCTTTCATGGTTTTTCGAATGGATACTGTCTCCCTACATTCTCCTCAATAGTAGGTAGACTACAGTGGGGACTGTTGCTGATTCCTGACGAGAGAGTACTACTACTAGTAGTTAGTGATGTCTCATCAAAACACCAACGACTGAAGATGTTGATGCTGGGAGGTGGTAAATTACGGTATGGTTGGCCAAAAATAGCACCCTCACGTGATGACTGGGGCGGCAACGGCGCCGTTTCATGTCCCGTAAATTACTTACGTATTGGCGATTGGCAACTGGCAACTCAGGAACTGCATGCTCCAGCTCACTGTGCGTCGACAGCCTGATGGACGATTTCTCCCCTTTCTCTACCTACTCCCTGATCCCGTCGATCCCCTGAACATTATACCACCGACCGACTGTCATTTTACTTCACTTATCTGCCTTCTACTCTGCTTTGTTTCTTCCCTTGACGGCTCTTGCGTGCGCTTACTTTGCCCGGTCCCTAGCCGCCTACGCAATCTTTCGTGGGTATACTCCTGGCCGAGTTCTTTCATGCTCTTAGGAGTCGCATTGGCATTGCTGCTGTAAACGGCATTCGACACTCTTTTTCCCCCTCTCTTTCGTCTTATCTCTCGCGAAGCCCAGTGCTGGTTTGAGTCTGCGCATTCCGCTACCCCGGACGAACCGTAGTTTCACCTCCGCGCGTCCAACCACTGCTCCGATTTACCCTCCTCCAGGCAGTGCATCGCAAAAGTGAACACCGTACTACCCGCTACCTTCAGAGCTAATCTCCGAATTCGATTTTAAAGCACCAGCTTCCACAATGCCCGGATTCGCAGATTCCTTCTGGACCCCGGATTACGCCACAGGGCTCGGGGTCCTGTACGGGAAGCTTCAGCAGGGAGTCGTGGAAAATAAGCAGATACTCACTATTGCGTCGATGCGTGCGGATGCGGAGGAAGTGTATAGCCAGAAGCTCGGGGACATTGCGCCGAGTGTGGATAGGATGGTAGCTGGGTTCGCAAAGGATGATGGTGCGAGTGTTAGGAAGGTGAGATAGGTTTGAAGCCTGTATCGACAGACTTTATGAAGCTAATATGCGATTTACCTCACACAGGCCTATGAAGGTACTCGTACCGAAATGGTGGAAGCATCCAGGAATCATCAGAAGATCGCGTCGAACATCCGGGAATTAGTCGTTTCGCCGTTTCGACGCTGGTGCGACCAGCATGAGGCTCGGATAGAGAACTCCCACGATGACTTGCAGTCTCGCATCAAGGAGCACACCAAGCAGGCGGACCTGGTGAAGAAGCTGCGGAGCCACTACTTCAACAAATGCCGCGTGCTTGAGGATCTGGAAGAAGAGAATAAGCTTGCATTTCAAGCGCCTGAAACAAGCCCCAAGGTCAAAACAACACCTAAGATCATCCTTCCAGATAATCAGGCAGAAGACGAAGATCCGGTGGAGTTGGGAGACCGGGTGTATACCCCAGATGACTTGAAGATGCTACTAGTGCACATGCTGGAAAACATCAGGATGGGTGAGATTAAAGTACCTATCATCGGTACCTATCAGAACACGTCAACCGGTGCAGACATCGTGGAATATACTCAAAAGTACTTGAACGCAACTAGCCTCGACTACGCTGAGCGGATTGGGCAAGATCTCGTCGACAACGGCTTTCTCCGATTAGTCGGCAACATGGGCAGCACATTCGCCAATAGCTCAAAGATGCGTTACCAGTGGCGCCCGAAGACCTTCCAAATCTCTGGTATACCTGAGAAAAAGACACCCTTGATGCGCGTGACCTCGGTTGCCTCAAGCGAAGATGGTATCGACTCTCCTATTGCTTCTGTGTCGGAAATGTTGGCGGGCTGGAACCCTCTCAACAACCCATATCCGAATGAGACCCCAGCAGAGAAGCTCCGCAGAGAAGCCCGCGAGGCTGATGAACGTTACAAGGCCGCTGTGCGGAAACTTGATATAATTAGGTCCAAGCTCGAGGAGGAAATTGTCGCAAACCTTCGATTCATGGAGCAGTGCGAGTTGGACCGCCTCAAGGCTATCAAGGCTGTGATTCTCGATTTCTCTGGGGCCGTGAGCAACGTTATCCCAAACCTTCAGAGTACCGTAGACCACATGATGCTCTATCAAGAGACCATCCAGCCACTAGGTGATCTCCGGTACCTTCTCGAGAACTACAGAACCGGCGGTTTTGTGCCCAAAGTGCAGGCTTATGAAAACTACTATGGCTCCGTCGAAGGTAACTCATCTCAGCGTCTTCAAACACCAGAACCTTTCTTATTGACGATTTCCCAGATCAAATCTTCGGTGTCGACCTTGAGGCTAGGGCCAGAGCGGACCGGAAAAGAGTACCGATCATTGTGACGACTATCTTGACCTACCTCGACAATTGTAATGGTGCCACACTTTCCAGTACCGTCAGAGCTAACAAAATGACATAGGCTACCCCGAGTTGGAGGGAGACGAATCACGACGTGCTATCTGGCTTTATGATGTCCCTCTTGCAGTAACTCATCGCCTTCGCCACGCCTTGAACAATGAGAAAGGCGATTATTTTGATGTGCTCCAGAAGTTTGAGATTCCTGTAGTTGCCAGCGTGCTGAAATTATACCTTCTTGAGTTGCCAGGTACGAACCCCAACAGATTGCCCAGCTCATAGAAAAGGCTCTAACTCGCGGCCAGACTCTCTTGTTTCTTCCCAAGTTTACGAAATTGTTAAGACCATTTATTCCACGACTGCAAATGAGACCACGGAGGAAGGACGTATCAAGGTCCTTCAAAGCACACTTGGTCAACTCCGGCTCAACAACATTGCCACGCTTGATGCTATTATGACCCACTTTACTCGCCTGATAGACTTGACCTCCGCTGACGAAGCCTACATTTCCTCGCTCGCCCAATCGCTATCTCCTTGCATTCTCCGTCCGCGCAGCGAGAATAGTCTAACCATGGACGAGCGTCACAGCTACCGTCTGATCCGTGATCTCTTCGCTCACAAGGACGCAATTTTTGGCGAACTGAAACGTCAGTCAAGTGGTCTTGTTGGGACAGCGCCTCGGCCCCGCGCCATCAGTACAGATGAAAGCAATCGTCGGGCCGCCATGGAAGCCCGCAACCGTGCCATCATGGATCGCAGCCGCGCCAACAGCCCAGCACCGCCTCGGAAGCATCGGCGCGACCGCTCAAGCGGCCCTGACCCCGGTCGATTCCCAATTAACGTCTCCAGCGAGAGGAGAAATCCAACCACTCGCAACAGCTTGGACGTCCCCAGCAGCGACTCCCCCACAGGCGCTGAAGAACTCTCCAACGTGAACATCAACGCCACAGAACCTATCTCCAACGGCGCCAATTCTGAATCCCCCATTTCCACGGGCCCCATCAACCCTTCAGACCCGTCCACCAGCCCTCCTCCAGCGAACCGATCAGACGACTCCCCTACGCCCACCCCTACATCACTTACAGATGACAAGCGCGCCTCATTCACCCGCTCCAGCGCTGTGCATTCTCGCAAGCCTGGCCTTGGAAGCCGATCTAGCTTTCCCATCGTCCCTTCGGAGGCCGGATCCGACAGCAAGCGAAGCAGTTTCGCTGAAAGCGAGCCGAAAGGTGTCACGCTGGAGGATAAGCCAATGGACGACTAAGCCCCTGGTTCCCGTTGAGATCCCGTTCTAAGTTAGCGAAACCCCCGTGTTGCAGCGCCGTTGAGAATGCAACGCATTTGAGTTGCTGTTATTTTCTCGCGAGTCTTTCTGAACTTGGAAGTGGTCTTTCGTCTTTTTTGCTCGCTTCATCGTATAAACCATATCCCTACATTTTGCATACCCTTCTGTATGTCTATTTTCTTTCTCTGTTGTTATTTGCGTTTACATATGCTCCTTGAGCTGTATAGCACGAAATCACTACGATCCTATATTGATATCTATAATGCCCCGTCCATCGGCTTTCATTCCCGTAGTTGCGGCGTATGACTGTGATGGTGTATTCAAAACAAGTAATAATGTCTGTGTCATTACATCTACCATGCTTTAAGTAGACGCTAAACAGAAATGCTTGGTAGGAGAGCCACTGTGTGGGTGCCCAATGACCGTTAAAAGACTCCGATAATGCTCTAGGTAATGCAACAAAACAAAGTTAAAGGCCTTCCCCTGAGAATATTCTGCGAAGGATGCCTTCTCCTGGCCCAGTGATCTGGCCTTCAATCTCTCTCTGTGAGACGAAGCAGACAAGGCTCTGTTCATCCAATGCCTTGTTCAGTGAAGATCCGCCTGACTTTGAGGGGGTACGACGAAGATCCGAGCCGCCAGCCACAGTGCCACCCCGACCCCGACTTTGATATTCCCCAACTAATCCCAAGGTGTCTAGGCTACCGAGGACATCTTTGAATTCCGTTGAAGTCAATGGGTGTAAGATGTTGTCTGTCCTGCACAGCTTGCAATAAGCGTCAAAGATTTGTTTGACCGTTGGTGCCGACTGTTTCGACTTTGACGGAGTTCCGAAGACGTCATATTCTCGTCGTTTTCGATCCAGAGCCATAAGAGCACAGATCGCCGCTTTTTGCTGAAGGTTGAGACATTGTAGTCTCTGTGCCGTTCCCTGTCCGAAGACCGAAGAGGTGATTTTAGCCACATGTGCAATACTAGCCCGGGGAGCAGTAAGCACCGTGTATGGGACTACTGGCGCTTGCTTGGGGGATGACGAGAGATTGATGTTTTCAACCAATACCGTTCTCGACGGACTGTCCAGGGCTTGCTTCTCGAGCTTCTGTAATGTTTCCTGTTCGATAATGTCGATGGCTCGTTTGATCAACTCGAAAGCCTTTCGTAGATCCCCTGTTTGCGATGCAACCTTCTTTGCACATAGTTGAATGGCTGCAGGTTGTACAAATGGGATGAAGTTGGGGTCGTCGGGTTGATTGTCTGGGAGCAGCGACCGAAGGCGGCTTATGATCACATTCGCAATATGGCTGGCGTTATATGGCATGAAAGGAAGGAGTTGAGGCTTCAAATTCTTCGCCTTCAACTGTGGTAAAGACCTATCTGTCAAATCAAGCGCATTGGCGATCCCAACCAACATCACTTTCGACTCCTTCTGCAACGACCACTCAAAAAGTGATTGGAGAACTCCAGTATCAGCGGTCAAGAGGTGGTCAATTTCGTCGAGCATGACTAGGAACATGCTGTGTTTCTTGGCCTGCTTTCTGTCAGGGATGAACATGCATCTTAATCTCTCGACTTCGCTCTTTTTGAACACATCATCATCGTCACATAGATCTTCGATGAGCTTGCTATAGACATCCCGTGCCGTTCTCATACTTGCGCAGTTGAGTTGGGCGACTCGCACCAATCCGAGGTCAATCTCATCCAGAACCTCCCTAACGAGGGCGCTTTTGCCGGTGCCTGGGGGGCCGCTAACGTACATACACCCGCCCTTGAGTGTTTGCATACCGCTCTTGATGAAAGAGGCTAGCTTTTCCCGCTCCGTGTCGCGACCAACTATTCGAGTAGAGCTAGCCCCCCGCGCAAATAATTGGCGAGCTTGTGTATATACGGTTTGAACGGTTGTCGGAGTCGCTGCTTGTCGTGGCGTACGGGGCGTGCGGGGTGTAAAAGATTTCCCACCCACTTGTACTCGATGCTTTGGGGTAACTGGCGGCGATTCAAGCGCATTCCTAAATCGGGCTTTTGCTGGAGTCTTTACTTCTGCAACCTTGGCATTGTCGTCTGACCCCGAAGTGACCGGTGCGGCATTCTCGTCCGAGACGGGCGGCGCTTCATTGCTTGGTGCGTTGACCTTATTTTCCCGTTCAACCCTAGATAGACTCTCTTTGAGTTTCGCGCCATTTTCCTGTTCAAGTTCGTCGCTAAGTTTTGTCCGGGACCGAAGTTGGCGTGTTGGAAGCACTGGCTGTGGACTGTCTCCACGAAGAATTCGAGGCGGTTGTGTTCGGCGCTTGCTCTTACTCCGTAAGGGTAAGGCTGCCACAGAGACATAAAGCTGTTAGCAAGTCGGACACAACCTGAACCGTGAGGCAAGCACTCGTACCTTCCGACTCAGCGGCGCCTCGATGTCGCTTTCCCAGTACCGTTGCAGCCATAGCGAGAATAGCGGAAAGAGCAACCAGTAAAGGCAACTATAGACAAGCGAGCACTTTCCAAGCGAGAGTTGGCTTTGTGATTGAAAGGGATTTGAAGCGATATAAAGCTGAACACTACTTCTGCAGGGCAGATTGGGAAATGGAGGCTTGTCCAAAGAGGCATAATTGAGGTGCGCGTCGATTTGGCGCGTCACGCGTTCCTGATTTACGCGTCGGCGCAGTCACATGTCATCGAGATTTTATCCTCTGCATAGATATGGGATATTTCTCATTACTAATTGTATGCAGATATCGGAAAATCAAAGGTCCGTCGTAATCACATATGACAACTGCGTCACTCTCAGCCTAAATTGCAGCTTCAAGTTTAGCAGTCAATTCAAATATCTCAACACTTTCACTGTCTTTTTGCTGTCCTCTCCAAGTGCTAGCTTGCTCATTGCTGCTTGCGTTTTACTCTCTCGTCTTCTTCTAGATGCTAGAATTTTCATCGCAACTCGGCTCATCTCTCTGCAACATTTCATAGCAGTTTGGTGGGGTTTGCACCTGTTTGCACCTACATCTCGGACCTTGCGAAACACAACACAGCACACAATACCATATCGACGTTTTATTTCAAGGAGCGTTTCACAGATCTATAGTCGCCATGGATGGCGATGTCGTGGCCCAGTTTTCTGAGTTCACCGGCTCAACTCCGGAAATTGCAGCCCAATATCTGCAATTGACGGAGTTCAACATCGAGCAAGCGATGCAGCTTTACTTCGAGAACGACGGAGCCCCACTAGCACGCGAAAACAACGCATCAACTTCCACGCCCTCCGCGAACCCACGCCGGGCTGGATACGAAGATGAATCCGGAGTCGTACATCTGGACTCCGATGATGATGATGAGGATAACGGTGTCCGACTTCCGCCGCGAGGGCCGTCGGTGGATAGATCGATATTCGAAGATGATGCAGCCATGGCACGTCGTTTACAGGAAGAAATGTATGGCGCCCAAGATATGACAGAAGAAGTACGCGCGCCGATGGCTCGTACGACTGAGACTCTTGTTGGGCCTGAGGCGGACTTTGGCGAGGGTATGCACGACAGTATCTTAGGCCAGATCCGTGCTCGCCAGCGACGAGGCAGTTTGTTCCCCCGGCTCCTAACTTGGCTCTCAATCTCCTCTAACTTTTTTTTTCGCTTTAGATCGACCTGGCATCTTCAATCAACGAGACACAGCTTCAGTCTGGACTGGCGAGGGCGAGGAGGACGCTCACCGTGAGAGGCTTGCGGCGGCGACCGGGGGCGCTTCCGAAGCTTCGAACAAATCCAACATGCTCGCCGAACTGTACCGCCCTCCTTTCGAGATCATGTCTAGGTTACCTTGGGATCTCGCTAGAGAAGAAGGCCGCGAGAATGAAAAGTGGCTGCTGGTGAACATCCAGGACCCTTCCATATTCGATTGCCAGATCTTGAACAGAGACTTGTGGAAGAACGCGGGTGTCAAGGAAACCATCCAGGAACATTTCATCTTTCTGCAGTACACAAAGGATGACAGCCGTGCCGCACCATATATACAGTATTATTTCCAGGCCAGCGAGGCTTCTGATAACTATCCCCACATTGCCATCGTCGATCCCAGGACAGGCGAGCAGATGAAGGTCTGGTCGGGGCCTCCAGTGGTGAAGGCACCGGATTTTCTAATGCAGCTTCATGAGTTCCTCGACCGTTACAGCCTGAAACACAATGTGCGGAACCCCGTGGCCAAGCGAAAACCAGAGTCGAAGGAGAAGAACATTGACGCTATGACGGAAGAAGAGATGATGGAACTGGCAATGAGAAACAGTCTCGGCGCGGATGCGGCGCAACCACGGAGGATGGAAGACCCAGATGACTTGACACGGAGCTTCGGCGATGTGAAAGGCAAAGGTAAAGCATTGGATGAGGATGTCAGTATGGGCGAAATAGACCAACACGGAGCAACGGAGGGCCAACCATCTTTGTTTTCATCTATTCCAAGCGATCAACCACACACTGAGCCTCCTACCGATCCTGCCACTACGACACGGATTCAATTCCGGCACCCTACTGGTCGGATCATCAGACGTTTCAGCCTGGGAGATCCGGTCAGAAGAATATACGAGTGGTTGAAGGCTGACCCTCCCTTGGCGGACAAGGCTGGGGTTGAGTTTGAACTTAACTCCATGGGCCGCAACTTAATTGATGTCCTTGACTTGAGCGTCGAAGCTGCTGGTCTCAAGAACGGTACCGTCATGATAGGATATATCGAGGATTAAGACTATGAATTGCCTTGCTTAGCTGGTCAGCGTCTCGGTCCTGTAGGGTCGGAAAGACTCTTGTATCTAGCAAATAGTCAGAGAGCCTAGTCAGACAGGAATAATGATCGTAGATCCTCTCAATTAAAGCCACACTTGATATTTCCTACTGGTATCCTCCCTTGGCTGATTCGTGTACACCGCCCTCAAACGCTCCTACCGCCAGGCAGAATGAACCCCGCGGCCCCAATCATCTATTGGCCTTGATCTTTGTTGTGATTGTCGGGTCCTTGTTTTGTCGTCCTCATCGTTAGCTCCCTTGTGGAAACGATGCAAGGGAGCGCTTAATCCGAAACCTCCTATCGTCAATACATTTCCGATACCCCAATGCCGCAGTCCTCGAGTTAGGCAAGGAAGCGTTGGCAAGACCCCGTCCTGCTTCCTCCAAGCCTCAGCCGCTCGCTCACCCATCCACCCCCACTGCCTTTTGTTGACATCAAGGGAACTCACCAAAACAATAGTAGGTGGAGCTGCGCCAACTTGCTGCCGCTGCTTATTTATATACTAGTCTCTTTTCCTTGGACCATCGTGGTCTCGATTTCCCAGTCTTGCTTATATTAACCCTTGTTCTTTCTGTTCTTTCCAAGCAATATAACCACTAGCAGGTCAGTTTTCAGGCAACGATCATTCATATACAGCACTTTCGGCGCCAGTCTCAATATGAGCGCTGCTGGAGTTGCTTTGAAATCATTCCGTTACTTACTTTTGCCCTGCGCAGCCTCGGTGTATGATTGTTTGTTCAACAATTGAGAGGCCGTCAGAATGGAAGGCCTGGTGGATCCGGAGACGCTGTACATGAAGCAGAATTGCATCGGTATGTTCCGATGACGTCGACTGGCATACGTTTCTAACCTAGCTTCCAGGTGGCGGAAGCTTTGGACGGGTTTATAAAGGGTATGACATTTAGTCTTCTCCACTCCCCCAAGACCAATTCTTGATACGAACGACGTACTACAGTGTCGATAAACAGACGGGGAAATCGGTCGCGATCAAGATAATCGATGTTGAGAATGCTGAAGATGAGGTGGAGGATATCATTCAAGAGATCGCCATCTTATCCGAACTCAACTCTCCATACGTGACCCGATACCATGGGTCATATCTGAAAGGATCTAGCTTGTGGATCGTCATGGAATTTTGTTCCGGGGGTAGCTGCTCAGATCTAATGCGCCCCGGTCCTATTCCAGAGGAATATATCGTGATCATCATACGGGAGCTTCTCAAGGGGCTCGACTACTTACACAGAGATAAGAAACTGCACCGAGATGTTAAAGGTATAATCAGCTACGCCCGAAGCTAGTTAACCAAGGGGCTAACGATGTTTATGATTGACAGCTGCAAATATACTTCTAACATCGAGCGGTCAGGTGAAGCTGGCGGACTTTGGGGTCTCCAGTCAGCTGTCAGCTACCATGACCAAAAAGAATACGTTCGTAGGGACCCCGTTTTGGATGGCCCCAGAGGTGATCAAACAGTCAGGATACGACTACAAAGCTGATATTTGGTCCCTTGGCATTACGGCGATTGAGTTGGCCAACGGAGAGCCACCGTATTCCGATATACACCCTATGAAAGTCCTGTTTTTGATTCCCAAGAACCCTCCTCCTACACTGCAGGGCGAGTATAGCAAGACATTCAAGAACTTTGTGGAGCTATGCCTACGGCGCGACCCCCGAGAGCGGCCAACCGCCAGGGAACTACTTGAGCATCCTTTTATCAAACGAGCAAAGAAAACCAATTACCTGACGGAGCTGATTGAGCGGTATGAGCGCTGGCAAGCAGTCAATGGCAATAAAAGGGGCGATGAAGACGATGAACTAGAGCAAGAGCCTTCAGACTTGCCAACGGCTACTGAGGATGACGACGACCTCTGGGATTTCGGTACCGTTCGTCCTGTTGGACGGGGAAACGCTTTGAATCCAATGAAGGTAGCCGACATGAATATTAGGAGCCACAGGACAAAGGGCCGGGATTCCAAGACTGAGCCTCGAAAGGAGGTATTGAAACCCAATAATCCTGCACCTGCATCTTTTGCTCACACCAGAAATACGCCTATTGCTGCACCTAAGCCCGCGTCACCATCAAAAATTCCATTGCCACCGTCTCCGGTGAAGTCGACATATGTTGACAATTTCCCTTCCACACCGTCGCGTATCTCCGAGCCAGTGTCTCAGCAGCTTAAAGAAAGCCCCGGTAGCGAGTATGACAGAGTCTTGCAGCAGTCTCTTGCTCAAGATTTGGGATTCCTCCAGCTTGACCGCTCACCAGGCACTTCACTATCGACGTTCATTGACAAAGACAGTCCGCTTTCGAAATTATCTAACCACCAGGTACGACCGTCACCGTCAATGGAAGCGCCCACGTTACAAGGGCGTCGTGTAATGGCGTCCCCATCCCGAAAACCAACAGAGCAGCAAGGGAGAACTGGAACAGACCCATCACGTCCCCAGCCTCCACCCTTTCCCCATCCGATGGTCCAGCCGCCGTCCCACTCACCCCCTCGCCCTCCGCCAACACCGAAACACACATCACCACAGCCGCAGCCACAATTGCAAAATCATTTACACACCGCGCTACCCAGTTTACAACCGAGCCATCACAGCCCAAATCAGCAGCGCACTCACCAGGGAGCAGCCATTTCGAACGAGAATGGTGCGAGGGGTTCTCGAAAGCCTGAGGACGTCACGGCGCTGAACAGCGTTATTATTCCTGCACTGCGAGAAGCCCTCCATCGACGCGCCCGCCGTCTTGAACTTGCCACCCGCTCCACAGTAGCTCATGATGGTGAGAGTCTCAAGCAGTCCCTTGAGCTCCAATCACGGCGGGAATATGCACAGGAAATGATTGAAAGCCTCTCCAGCGACCTGGGTAGTATCCTCAGTAGAATCGAGCGCTGGGATACCGATGCTCCTGTTGGTATGGGTGCCGGTATTCCTTCTTTTCTAGAAGGGTTCCTCGAAGAGATCCTTGTTAGGATTGAGCCAGATGATGATGGCAACGTGCTTCAATAGGCTCTACCTATGGCGTATATTTCTCTTTAATCTCGTTCTGAAACACGACCGTGGGTCTCAATTGGGGTATAGACTCGCCTCGCTAACCCTTTCTTTCGCCTGTCTTACTTTCTTCTGATTCTCATCGTTTACTTCGTCTTCATTTTCAAGATGGTAATTGCATCGGTTGCGCTGGAAAGGAAGACGATCACATGTTGGTACGCGATAGCTAGAGGCTGGATCTGCTGCTGTTCTTTTTACTTTTCGTTTCGCGGTCTTTCCACCTCTTCACGTCTTCATACGGGGCTGGACCCCTAGAGATTCTCGTTTTGTAAAATATTGAGCAAAGATATTCTGCGGGTTTTGAACTATGTTCATGGTACACAGTGGATTAAAATTTTAGTAAAAGGCTCTTAGATACGGAGCGCAGCGTCTCCCTTCTAGTTCAACAGGCTAACTGCGAGATCCAAGCAAGACCCCGTCACATGAGAAGCAGAGCAAGGTTACTGTTCCGCTAGGACGACATATTGTGACAATTCGACAGGGAAGCGGTGGATTAATATTCGACGGCCGTGAAACGCTCGAGAGAAGGTTTGAATGAGTATGACGGTGTATCGGAGACCCATACGCTCATCCCGGCTATGAGGCGCTTATATTCTTGTCACGAGAGTGGATATTCGTAGTGAGTCTATAATAAATGATCACGATGTGTTGTCTCGTTGGTAGATTGGAGCGATGCTTGAATATATATGGTGGAAGTCGAGCATGTCAGGCTATCCGCCTCCAATTCCATATTTGCCCACTGCAGCCCGGCCTGCCGTACGATAGACCACGGGCCAGACAAAAATATCCCAGCTTGACCGGGGCTTGTACAACCATCATGTCTTGAGCCACAGGTTGCCCGCGGCTATATTGGATCCAGCCGCTATGGCGTTGCGCTGAATATGGGCATTAGTTGATACAGACGAAGGGGACCGATGATTGACGGGTGGCGAGTACAAGTGAGATAGGACACTCTGGAGTGTCATGCAGATAGAGCATTGTCCGAACGGCAGAAAGTTACAACAGCGACTGCCTTGGGCGACGGGCTGTTAGGGCATTCAGCTGAGCGGAAATGATTGAATTGAGAGTTATACCTAGAGCCGTATAGAGCGAGAACAGGTTTGGCGCGTCCTATCTCGGCTATAATTAGCCGGCAGGACGGAAAAGCCAATCCGTTTCAGGCGTTGGGATCAGGTAGTTGGTGATGTTGAACTCATTTGTGTTCGTGGGTGTACCATCCACTATCGAACCTGGATTCCCAGTTCCAGTCAAGCCATGGATTGACATGGGGTTATTGACAGCTTCACTCATATCCAGGCTATTGATGTCAGGAGCCCGCCCGGCGGGAACCCGGGGGACATTGAAGAAACCGAAGACATCCAAGTATTCCAACTCGTTCGGTGCAAGGCTTCTCGAGAGCATTCCGGTTGTTGAAGCTGCTGGCTGACTCGAGGAGGGGGATGAACGCGGTTGTCGCGATATTAAAAAGTCAAGGTCAAAGGCACATCGACGCATATCCGCGAGAATCTTTACAGAAGACGGGGTCGAACGGTCACCATCAACTGCTCCTGACTGTTGGTATTCACCGTACTCATCGAGCACTCTCTGCAGAATCGAGCTATAGCGCTCGGCCACCTTCCAATATTTGCCCATTCGAGAAAGAGTATCGACGATGAACATGATATCAGGACTCACGGTGTGCGCAATTGTGGAGCCGTGGACAAGTAATAAGCGAGCAGAAACCCAAAGTGTGAACGCAAATGGCGGTCCAAGCTTATCGAGAATCTGGTTGTTGACAACAAAACGAGTCACCGAAAGGATATTATCGACTGCGAGCAAGCAACGTTGACTGGCGCTATATGATGGTGTGAAGATCGGGGACCGCGTGGTAGGATAAGCTGCCGAAGAATGAAGACGTATCACCGCCCTGTTGATGGTCAGCGTGACTATTCAGGTATATGTGGGTAGATTATTGTACTTACGTCTGGTAAACAGAATGTAGTTGGACCCAATCGCAATGATGCCCCTTGTGTTTCGACCCGCTGAAGGCACGAGAAGCATTTTCGTAAGTATATTCGGTAGGGAGGTTGAATTCCCACGTAGTGAGCTCACTGTCCAGTTTGCGATATGTTGCCTGCCAATCCTCAACATCAGACAGTGCTCCGATATCCACTGGCCGTTTCAGAAAAAGATGGATCCGCGAAAGAATTCCAAGTATCTCCACATAGAGGCCAAAAGATCCAACATTCTCCGAACGAATGAGATGATCTGGACGGTCGTTCAGGGACTGGAACCACCTGGTCTCGACAGGTTGATTCTTGATAAAATATTCGTCCTTGCAGGGAAGTTTGCGATCAATGTCCTTATCATCCAATGAAAAGTCGAAAGCCGTTGTGATGGTGGAATATCGGTCAAGAAGGTACACCATCCAGAAGAGTCGACGTCTGCCTTCATCTTCAATCCAAGATTCAGACTCGGGTAGGGTAACGGCTCGTAGAGTGTAGATACTTGGGTAGACAGGAGATATCAACGTCGACTTGGCTTCCACAGCTAGACCAAGTTGGACGACCGACCTCGTTATTAAGGCCAAGAGTTTCCACCCGGGTGGTCCATTAGATGATCCGACGAGGTCGAGGGCAAGAATCACCAGAGCCTGGAGCGCCTTTACAGACGAGCTTTCCAAACCATAGAGCAGAACCTTTTGCTTAGAGGAGTCATGGTATCGTTTTCGGTTCTGCTCGGTAAGTCTACTGTCGTTGGAGAAGCGCAGTGTAGTTGCGACAATAGCATATAGTACCATGCGGTCAGCTTCTTCAAGAGGAGACGGACCGAAAAATGTGTCCAGCGTTGTTCGTCGGTGAAGGATTGGGCACCAGGTGTTTAGATGCTCGAAATAAAGATCTACCAACGCGTATAATAAGTCGTAAGGTGGAAGGTCGAGCTCTGGGTCTGAAAAAGATTGTTCTTGGTTGGCGAAGAGACTGACAGGCACCTTCAATGATGATTCATTATCATTGTAGTCGTTTTGCGGCGTAGTGTTTGAGATTTGCGGCAAGGAAGGCACCGAGGAGAGGCCGCCAGTGAGCTGACTCTGGATAGAGTTTTTCACCGATACGTCTGTTGGACTCGTGATAGACGGCTCGGGCGGACGGGGAGCTGAGGGCACGGATGTGGGCTCTTGGAAGTAAAAAGGGTTCCGAGGACTAGGTCCATGCGCCGCAGAAGGCTCCGATGGGGAACTGTACGACAGAGCTGTTGGGTGAGAGAGATCATGCGATAGTCGCGGTTGGCCCTGAAGAATATGGGTCTCTATGAGGCGCGCCTGTGCTTGGATGACCTCCTCGAGCCGGTCTAGTCGTCGAGTAAGGACAACGCCAGGCTACCAGGGAATAGTAAGTGTACATACCAAGTCGTTGTTCTAGTTCCTTGCCGTAACCTGCGCGCAGGCCTGGCTTCTTCCTCTCTTTGTACTCGCAAATCTGGCCATTGCGCGTACACCACCCACAACTCGGTTGGGCACGGTCTACATAAGCTGCTAGTCAACAGGTGACTCAAGAGCACAGAGATGAAGAAGAATGATAAAAAAAATAGTTTCAAGGACAAGAAAACAAGGCAATATACATACCACACTTGACTTTTCGTTGCTTGCATAGTTCACAACTAGATACATTAGTCTTATGGCTCAGAAAACACGGATACTGCGGATGGCAAGCAAAGTAAATTGACAAAGATATGGGAAGATGGTATTTATTGCCAGACGGTCGTAGGGTGCTGGACGCTGCGGGAGCTATATTTGGCGGGTACATACGAGACAGTGAGCGGTCGTCGGCGTTTCAAGCCGCGAGAGGACCCATTTTGTCCAAGACCAGTATCGCTGTCAACAGCGGACCAAGACTCATCAGCGCTATGGTCTTTATCCTGATCAAAAGTCGGATTCAGATTGAAAGTGGGTGGCGGCGGACTTTGTTGTGACAAGGCCACCGCGGGAGCAGCGTTCGGCATGGTGTTGAGCGAGGTTGGGGTTTTAGGGGAACAAGCTCCATCCACCTTCAATAGCGGGAGCGCATGATGGGACTGCAAGGTGTTGGACTAGGATTATAATCGGACGATCGCCGATAGCGGACGGGTTTGTTTTTCCTGCTATCGAGAGCGCAGACGGAGACGGGGTAGAGCTAGAGGAGAGAGAGGGAAGGAAGAGTCTGAACTCCAGAAACGAGCACATGTCGCACTGTCAAGTGGAGGCACCACCTGAAGGTTCCGGGGAAAATAGGCCTGAGGCATCAGTCTGCATTATTGGCTCATGCGACCGTGACTAATCCAGCACGCAACCCCCGCAAAAAACATCCCCAGATGCACAGCAAACTTACATACAGGCTACAGCACCTGGAACAAGCGCTGGCCTGTCGCTTATCAAGAAGATCAAGATATGTACATGGGCGCAAGGAAATACCACCTTGCAATTTTTGGATAAAAATGGTCGGCATCGGCAGCAGACTAATAGCCGACTGGCCAGATGTTTCCACACTCCTCATTGCTGATCTCGGGTGAGCATTGCCCCGAGCATAGGACTTTCTCCGAAGGGTGCCACGCCTTGCCCCTCCGTCCCAGCCAGAGCGAGTCCGTTCAAATAACGCCGCTTCCCTCGTCAAGTGCCTCGTACTTTGTTTATTTCTCTTCCTTTATTCATCTGCCTTTTTCAATAGATTTGTCTAGTTCTTACTCTCATCATGGGCTCTACTACTACCACTGCGACGTTTCCCCGCATCAAAGCCATCCGCACCTTCATCATCGATGGCGTTGGATCTGGTGGTGACTACCACAATGTACGCCTCCCTCTCTCCCCATTGCCTTACTCTCGCTGTGTCTGACGCTAATTGGTACTCGTAGGTCAAAGGTGGCCACTGGCTGATCGACAGCGACATCTCCACCCCGATGACCCGATGGGCACAATATCGAGGATCGCGAACATCCTGGGGTATCAACGTGCTGGGGTCTTTCTGCGTCGAGATTGAAGGCACAGATGGTACAAAGGGTTTCGCCACTGGCTTCGGCGGCCCCCCTGCTTGCTGGCTGACACACCAACACTTTGAGCGTTTCTTGATTGGCGCCGGTGCGTCGACCTTGACGTTTCTTTGAGTGAATATCTTAAACTGACATTAATCCATAATAGACCCCCGCGACGTCAATGAACTCTTCGAGAAAATGTACCGTGCATCCATGTTCTACGGCAGAAAGGGTCTCCCCATTGCCGTCATCTCCGTGATCGACCTGGCTCTCTGGGATCTTGTCGGCAAGGTGCGCAACGAACCAGTCTACAAGCTCATCGGCGGAGCCACTCGCTCTCGCCTAGACTTTTACTGCACAGGTCCCCAGCCTGCTTCCGCCAAGGCAGCGGGATTCGTTGGTGCCAAGGTGGCTCTACCTCATGGGCCCGACGAGGGTGTCGAGGGACTCCTCAAGAACGTCGAGTACCTCCGTAAGCAGCGTGAAAGTGTTGGCCCGAACTTCCCCCTCCGCGTGGACTGCTACATGTCCCTCAACGTTCCTTACACGATCGAGCTGGTCAAGCGATGTGAGGCGGAAGGTCTTCATATTGACTGGTGGGAGGAGTGTCTCAGCCCCGACGACTTTGACGGCCACGCCCTCCTCAAGCGGGCGCACCCCACAGTCAAGTTCACCACCGGCGAGCACGAGTACTCCCGCTTCGGATTCCGTAAGCTTGTCGAGGGTCGCAATATCGACATCATCCAGCCCGACGTCATGTGGCTTGGAGGCTTGACCGAGCTACTCAAGGTGTCTGCCCTCGCCGCAGCCTATGACCTCCCCGTTGTCCCTCACGCCTCCGGCCCTTACTCCTACCACTACGTCGTCTCGCAGCCCAACACCCCCTTTCAGGAATACCTCGCCAACTCCGCAGACGGGCACACCGTGGAGCCGGTCTTTGGCAACTTGTTCCTCAATGAGCCTATCCCTACTAAGGGTTACCTTGACGTCTCTATCTTGGATAAGCCCGGTTTCGGTCTGGAACTGAACCCCGCCGCGCCCTTGATCCCCGCCGCTTCGATCCTGACCCCAGCACCGCAGAAGAGCCTAGCCCCTCCTCCCACGGAGGAGCCCAAAACCGAAACAAATGGCATTCATTGACCTCACTACATTTCTCGCGAAATTGACCTTCTCACGATTACATGTATATAATGGCGTGTTCTTTGCTTTATTTTCATAATTTCTACATTGGACTTGATAGACGGAAATATTGAGATCCCCTTTTTTTTATTCCAAATCCATGCTCCCCTTCTATCATTCACAAAAATAAGGAATTAGCGTCAACACCTCGCTGTTCGTCCCGGTCCGGACACCTGGCGACTGGCGAGCCGAGGCTACCGAGCGACTGGTGGAAGGTGGGGTTTCTCGGGCCATCAATGGCACGAGATCTCCGGGCGGACCATCCCCTCCAGTCCAGCATTTTCTCCACCAATTACATAAGCTCTTATCGGACCGTCTTCCAAGGACAATATTGAGGAACTGGTCGGTGAAGGACTAAATGCGACTCCCTTTTACGCTGTGGTGCAGCTTTCGAGTGTGGGGGGCCGGAGGGGTCGCTCATATGCTCGCGTGTACTTAGGGCTCCGTGGTTTCCGATGTAAATCCGACCGGCCGGATGTGGTCTACGCCACACAGAAGAATGTCGAGACATTATTTGTCGACGACTCACATCTAGCATCTCAATGATAATAATGCCGAGGGTAGTATATGCTACTACTTGTTGTGTCAGTAATGGTTTTATTAACTGGCTATCTCCAAAGTATATTGAACTGAGAAACTGTCCAAAGATAACACGAAACCCTATAGAACACTGCCCTCGGCGAGATAATATTGCACCGGTGTAGTTGACGCTATTTTGATAATCAAGTGCTATTATAGCAAAGATCTCTCAAATCCCGACGTCGAGCTAACTTGGGTATGCACCCCCCTATAGCATTGCCTGTTACTGGCGCTGTATCCGTCAGCTGGCCACGTTTGTATGTATGTACCTTTGCTATCTCGCCAACATCCCGGCTAGTAGTAGGTAGACAGATGCTCACTAAAACACCCCTCGCTCAGAACTCTGCATGTCGAGATAACTATATGCTGATAAAGTCCAATGGCTAGTAGTTAGGGGATCCCATGCTTACAATCCCCCTAGAGCGTCCTACTTCGCAGACAATAGGCACCTACCTTCAGTCAGCTGGGGTTGCTAGGCTACTCTTATTGGGCAATGAACTGGTAGGGTGTGATGCCTCAGTGGCCCGTTCTGGTTGTTTTCCTACATGGGATTCCCTAAATAGTACATAATTTAGCATTTCCTGACCGTTAACATGAGTGGCATTGTTTCTGGGGGTGGGGGATGCGGGGGGGCGGGTGCATCTGTGCAGATGTTGTATGCATGGTGTTTTAGTAGTCTGGCTTGATATGCATTTTCCTTGCCTTTTCCAGAGCTAGATGTCTGTTCTATGAGACCCGTTCGGAAGAAAATGCTACTTCGAGTAATCAGAAGCTAATGCAGTGGAGTCCAGGATGTTGCCTATACCTTGGATAGGGCGACTTGCTATGCTACTATTAGCAGCCATACTGTACTCATTCCGTACTACTGTAATGCTTTTTATGAGAGCTTGACATTGGGCGAATTCGTCTAGAAATCGTCTTATCAGCCTGACTCGCATTGCATCTTCCATACTGGGAGTTGCAAGGATGTAGGGTTGGATTTAGCCCTAAATACCTAGTAACCAGGTCCAACAGGCATGTAGCTCGAAAGTTACCCCCAGCTAGCATGTCAACCCCTTCATAGGCCTCTAAGTCTTCATTGGCGCAGAACCCTTGAGATGTGATGACCAAAGCAGTGAGTTTACCTTATTATTTCGTACTTCGCCCGAGGGCAAGGCGCAGGACTGATGCAAGACATTAACAATCGTGAGCTGTCTCTGTGAGGCAATGATTGCTGGAGTCTTAACTCGGGTGCTAGCTGGCGGATCTCTGGGCGGCTCAGAAATATGTGGAGGAACCGTGACACGCACTCTAAAATCAAGTATCTCTTCCACGCGCCGGTCGTAATACCGTCTGATACACTGATTGCCATATGCTCAGGCACTGAGGAGGGTCTTGGATAAGGTGGTGTCGGGTCGCGTGGCGCCGCCGATATATGAAAGCGTTCATATCTGGCTGCGATGAGATTGGTATCGTAACCCCAACCGCTGTAGGATCTTCTATGTCAGTAATCTTGAACGTGTTCGTACTGACGAAAAAAAAGAATCGGAACACACCAGGGGGGTTTATCTCCAAGCCTGAGTGCTATGACAAGTATGTGACGATCCATTGTAGAAGCAATAGAGGCTGACTATGCCTTCTTGAAAGATGTGAAAAGACTGCAAAGTGTATGATTGATAAAAAGGGAAGAGTCTGGCATGCAAACTGGCTTGCGGGCTTCTGGTGTCTCTTATATAGCGCTTCGTGGAGAGTAAAAAGAAAAGGGAAGAAGGAAATGCTGTCCAGAAACAAGCATGATGCTAATTCTTTGACCTTTCTGATGGTGTCTCATCTGTCTCAGCCCTCTTCGAAGTTGATTCTGCATGCTGCTCACAGAGTTCAGGCAGTGAGGCGAGGGCGCTGGGTGTGTTCCTGAAGGGAACGACCATGACGTGTTGAACACTGCTCGGTGTGTCTCCTAAGCGTGTCTGAGTAATTCTTCAAGCGCAGGTAGCTCCGGACAGACTTACAACCTACCATCTTAGAAAGTCTCCAGTATCTTGTCCAAAACAGCCTATACTGTCAGGTGGTGATGAGGCCACACGAAGCTGGTATTTCAGCAAGTGAGTGAGTCGGGGAGGTGAGAAATCTTAGTAATAGGTCCATGTTGCGTATTCACCTGGGGGATCGGTTTCAGTCAGGTGCTGTGTTTATCAGAATAGTCAGATGCTCGGACAGCGACAATCCGCCCACTCTTCTTAGCAAAACAACCAGAGCCCTCCCAACTTGGAATTTTTTTTCGATTCCGTTGTCTCCTCAGGGCCCTTATTTGCTTTTGTTATTTGCAGACTTAGAGCCCTCATGGCCATTAGACCCTGGCCATGACGACAACAGGAAACATCGTTTTGCGGGCCCAGCCCCAACGATGAAAGACCAGGACAAAGAATCTACCCAGCGCCCCATGAAAACTTATCCGCTCTATCCCAAGTAAACTCCAGTCTACTCGGGCTCTTTTGTGTTTGATTGCCCTGTAATTTTTAGTGTGCTCTTTCTCCACCATGGCTCTGGATTCAACAACAAAGCCCAGCCCTCCTGTTCCGGTGGCCATCCAATCTATGTAGCAATATCTTTGTCTGCTAAAGTGACTTGATAAAAGGCAAACATTTTCTCGAGGAAAAATCTCATTTCTTTCCTCAAAGTCTATCATCATCGTGATTATCCTCCGACCGCGCCTTGGATTCAATTTCTGCCATAGCCAATATTTGACTTGTCAACGGGAAAGCCTCAGAATGGGCAAGAGAAAGTCCCCTTGCACCAAAGATGATGACGAATATTGGCTCTTTGAGGTATCTAAACCTCCCACCCTTTTTTTCTGTTTCTGGCTAACGTCGGCTATCTCCACCCTAGAGCCCAACGTCTTCAACTTCTACGGCAAAGGTTAAACGAGGAGCGCCAAACAAGGGCGACTTCGCTCTAGGCCATGTGCCGGATTTGGAGGATCCAGTCCTTGACCCAATCAACTGGGAACGTCTAAGGTCGGACGAGCCCCAGCTACCATGACTGGAGCGATGTATCGCGAACTCGACGAGCTTATCTCTTCCTGGGCGGAAAAAATACGCAGTGAATGGTGTCCACGAGATTGAGGCCAGCCTGTCCACGGAGCAAAAGAAATCAATCATTGCATGTTTGGAAGGGTACTGCGCACAGTTATCCTGGAAGACCTTCACAAGCGAGCTTCCAAAATTGGTCTATCGGAATCTTCCAAAACTGTTCACTCATGCGATAATCGCCAAGAATTTGCATCAGAAGATCTTATGCAACCCTTTCTATTATCTCGACGATTCGTATGCTTCTAATGTGCCACTGTTCGCTTCCAAACCCCCACCAGCTGGAACTGCCCTTTTCCTCAAGTTCCTCCTGCGGGACATGATACTTAGTAAGGCCATAGTTCGCTGATTAAAAGGGGGGAAGAACAATCCACGACTAATACTTTCTCCAGCTCGACGACATGACGCCCTTGAGTGCCGAAAGCTGATGCTGCGGTGTCTACATGCGCCAAATTTTCAGTCAAGGAATGATCCAAGGCAACCGGACTATCATATGTGGCTCAGGAACAACGCTCAGAGAATCATTATCGATAACCTACTAAGCGACCTCGACCTGCGTGCCCTACTCAAGAACAAACAGCCAACTGACAGCGAGAGGAAAGACATGGATCGCATTCATTCCATGGCAGATGAATTGTGCATTAGAATGAACATGACCACCAAAGATATGCAGTTCCGTTATTGGGAAACTCTCCCACTTTACGACAGCCACTCCAGGATTACGGAACTTGCTCCAATCAGCAAGACTGCTGACCGGGAAAGAAAGCGTGTGGAGAAGCATGGCGGAACGAAGAATAAGAAAGCTGGTAACAGAAGCAATCCAGCAATCAATCGCCGCTTTGCGCTTCTGACACTTCGCCCAGCATTCAGTTACTTTAATGTCCACCCGAATCATTGGAGAGGCCTCGACGAGATGAAGACGAAAGCATCATTTGCGGAGCATCTGTTGTGCAAACAAAGACGGAGGCGTCTCTAGAGGGTGGCGTCTTCTCCAATCTCCCGACTGATATTCGAGCGGAGTTTGATGAGAAATGCCGTCCATTTATGGTGTACTACGATAAGCCATTGGAGTCTCTCGAAAGTGGCATAGTTGAGGAATTAGGACTACGGAGCGAGTGGCCTGGTAATGGGCCATGTGCCAGGCCGGACTATCGGATATCTCCTCTTTGATGACACCCCAGGTCCGAGTATCCCTTCTTTTTCGTTTCTTCCGGGTTTTGACATATTATATAGTATGCCTCTGTCTCTCTCTCTCTCTCTCTCTCTCTCTCTCTCTCTCTGACAATTATATTTTGTCTTTCTTTTTGGCTTTGTAGTGGTCATTTTCTTTTTGTCAAGTAGGAATAGATGTACCAGTCTCAAATTCTCACACCGTAAGCTCTCACAGCGACTTGGCCCCAGACATCGGCCCTCTGTTTAGTATCAAACCTCCCTCGCTCCAAGGTACTCTCTACAACGTGTCTCCATCGGTCCCAAGTAACCTGATTTCCACCGCCACCGACATTACAAACCGGCCAGTCCGAGCCGAACATGACTCTCTCAGGACCAAAGGCGTCAAAGACTACGTCTGTCCATGGCTGAAGTCTTTCAAGCAGCTGAGTCATGTCCGGCTCCGTGTCTGCGGAAAGGGGAGGAATCTCAGAGAATGCGCCCGATAGTTTCATGTACGTTGACGGATAGTGAGCCATCGCGGTGATCTGGGACTTCCACTGTAAAAATTCAGGATGGGCGGTGATTGAATCGCTGGAAGCGTACGAAAGGCGCAGATTAGGCTTGCACATATGGTCTTGAAAAGACATTAGCAATACCACCGAAGAACAACCTGCCACGCGATACGTACTTATCACAACCTTGACTTTATCCCCATCATCATCAACACCTTCATATACCATCCGCAGCATCTGAACCGCTTCCTCCAGTTGCCAGATACCGCCTTGCCGAGCATCGACGCCAAGATCAAAAGTGAGACCCTGCCTCCCCAACCATTTCAACCCCTCTACGAACTCAGACCGCAGCATTACTCCAGACGGCTTGTCTTGGACCAGGTACCGCACACCACGGACCTTCTGCCATACCTCGTCTGACCCTGTTCTCTCCCTGGCCAGCGCCATGTACTTCGCCAACGTCCCCGGCCCACCCGGCACAGGCGCCCAGGGGACAATCGCCAGACAGAGACCACGATCCTCGGCGCTGTGTCCTTCCCCAGGGATAGGAGAAACCCCGCTAGCAATGCGCGCGAGGAACGAAACTTCATCGAGGGCATGACGCCACCCATGTGTTGTACCCGGTTCAGACTCCGATTCGTCTTCTTCAACAGAGGAAAGGCGATCCGTTTCGACGAAGATAAACCCGCGCAGATATGTGGGCTGTTGTGATTGCGCCGATGTGGGGACGGATCTTGTTGCCTCGCGATATTGATCGATTGAATGCTGTGAGCCTAGCGGGCCTGGATTCTCGGGGCTGTACCATGCTAGAGTGGGGAGGTGAGATTCGGGGAACAGGTGGATGTGGGAATCGACGATGGGAATTGGCATTGTGACGAGAGGTGCTTCGATGAGTTTCCAACGGCGGGAGTCTGTGAGCGATGGCGACAAAGCTTGGGCTTGCAGGAAAGAGCTGCATTCATATTCTGTGTTGTCGGGGGTAAATTAGCAGCTCCAATTACCCGTCGGGTGTTTTTACACCGAAGTGACGAGCTTCCATCATAACCTCGAGTTTGGCGCGGAGAGCAGGCAGAAAGGCCACGAGACTTGACTGGATACAAAATGACTCCAAAGGACCCAAGATACTCAGTAGGGAAGTCATATAAAACGAACACTGTCCTGGCGTCTGCGAAGTGAAGCTCCTCCCTTTCTCTTCCCCGCTACCCCGCTTTGAGCTCTGCTTCCCTCAACTCATTTCAATCCCCACCAGGAGAGTTCATTGCTTGCCAAGGGCAATTCGTCTATCACCATGGTCCAGCATCTATAACTGATCATGCCATACAGTCTACACGACGGGGATACAAGCCCTCTGTGAGACGCTTCTACCGTAACCGAGGCTGTAAGGCGTCTCACGCGCCTCCAGGAGCTCCTCGGTCGCAACCCCCTCCTTTTTGGCCACCTTCAGGCGAGCATGATTGGATCCCCGGTATCCAGCGAGAGTTGCGTCCCAGACGTAATCGTACTGAAACTCGCAGGAACTGCGGCGTTTCTCCACCATTTTCCCCTTGGTTCCAGCCCTTTTCCCCTCCCTGGCGCGGAGATCACCTTCCCCTCATTCCCCAGTCTGGGAGATCAGTGGTCGAGCACCTGTTGATTATCGACTTGGCGAAGCGTATCTTGATAGTCAGCCGTCGTATATAAAGAAGGGTGTCTGGTCTTTTCTTTTTTTTTTTTTTTCTCTCTGTCTTCATTTCTCCCATCTTTCCCTCTGTTGATACCCAATCTATGAACATGGCGGCCCCCGAGATTCCCGCGAAGCAAAAGGCTATTATCTATGACAAGCCTGGCACAGTCTCAACAAAAGTCGTAGAGCTTGACGTACCGGAGCCTGGTGCTAATGAGGTCTTGATCAATCTGTAAGCAACCCCGTTCCCGATTCATGGCCAAAGCTAATATGATGTCAGCACTCACTCCGGCGTGTGCCATTCGGATTTCGGCGTCATGACTAACACGGTAGGAAACACCGTCGACTCATATCATTTATCTTCATTCTCACAATTGTAGTGGAGCATCCTACCCTATCCCACTCAGCCCGGACAGGTTGGTGGCCACGAGGGTGTCGGAAAGGTCGTGAAGCTCGGCGCAGGCGCCGAAGCCTCAGGCCTTAAGATTGGAGATCGAGTCGGAATCAAATGGCTTGCGAGTACATGCGGACAGTGTGGTGAGTACATCTGTTCCCAAAGTCCCGAACGCATGTTAAGGAGCATAGCCCCATGCCAGGATGGTGCGGACGGCCTCTGCTTCAACCAAAAGGTATCTGGATACTACACTCCCGGCACATTCCAGCAGTACGTCCTCGGACCAGCTCACTACGTTACACCAATTCCGGATGGCTTACCCTCCGACGAAGCCGCCCCCCTGCTATGCGCCGGTGTGACCGTCTACGCCGCCCTCAAGCGCAGCAAAGCCCAACCGGGCCAGTGGATAGTGATCTCCGGCGCTGGTGGCGGCCTCGGCCACTTGGCGGTCCAGATCGCCAGCAAGGGCATGGGCCTGCGCGTGATTGGCGTGGATCACCCTAGCAAAGAGGAGCTCGTGAAGAACTCCGGCGCCGAACACTTTGTCGACATCACCAAATTCCCCATTGACGACAAGTTCGAAGCCATCTCCGCACACGTCAAGGGGCTCACCACTGCTGGTCTCGGCGCACACGCCGTCATTATCTGCACAGCATCCAACATCGCCTACGCACAGAGCCTGCTCTTCCTCCGATACAACGGCACAGCAGTCTGCGTTGGGATCCCAGAGCACGAACCGCAGGCCGTTGCGACCGCGTTCCCTGGCCTCTTCATCGGCAAGCATCTCAACCTAACGGGCTCAGCCGTGGGTAACCGCGCTGAGGCTATTGAGACGATGGAATTCGCTTCGCGCGGCGTGATCAAGGCGCACTTCCGCACGGCAAATATGGAAGCGCTGACTGATGTGTTCAAGCAGATGGAGGCAGGCACGCTGCAGGGTCGTGTCGTGATCGATCTGTCTTAGCGTATGTTATGTATATTATAGTTGCAGTCGCCTGATTTAGCCCCGCTTCTAGTTTCCTTCTCGAATCTTTCTCGAATGTGCGTGTCTCATCCTCGAACTTCTGTTAGTACGTATGATCATAACCCTTCTTTAGTACTACTGTGCCCTAGGTCGGAGACTAGCGCGACACATCGAACTTAGCTAGGTAAGGTGTATATGCACTATAATGAGAAGTCGTAGCAAGAAGCCCTAAACAGCCACCGTCATAAAAGTCATGTATCAGGAGAGACTCAAGCAAATCGCGCGGTAGACATAATAGGCAAGGGTATCGGCAACATCGACAAACAAGACATGCTCTCATGAGTGCGAGCGAAGACGACAACCACCGTTGACAAACACAAGGGGAAAAAAAAAATCCAAGGCACTGAGGCAAAAATGATAGCGATATATATCGTTCATAGGACGGAATCGTAATCATCGCAATCGCTTCCCACTCCCCTCACCCTGCGCACCTTCGCGCCCTCCAGCAGAACGTTTCCTCGCTAGCCCTACACCGATTCCACCCGTCGCTGTGCCAATTTCTCCAGCCTCCGCGGCGCGGACGAGGGCGTCGAGTTTTAGTATGTAAGCCCTCGGCGCTCGGTTGACTTCATTCCTATTCAGTATAGCCCTTAGCTGGCTTTTGAACTGGTGGAGATCCGCACCCGGTAGGCATTCTAGGGCGTCAAGGATAAAGTATGATTCCGTTTCATCCGTTGTCCCAATCAGCTGGTGGTAGATGTTCCGCGTGTCTTCATCTTCATTTGCGAAGGATGTCTGGCCGTATTTGTTATTATCCAGTGCGTCTTTGTTCCTGTTGCTGATGTCTCCGAGGAGCGTGACGAGTGTCTTGACGGCGCCGAGCCTGCCGTGGGGGTCTCGAGAGAGGATGTTGTCGTGAACGCTGTCGACACTTCTTCGAAGGGTCTCCACGACGGCGTAAATGCTAACATGATTTCTCGCCTTGTCCTCGCCCGGGCGGCCGTAGTCCCAGCAGAATCGGTCGAAATCGGCGAGCAGCTTCCTGGACCGATCAAGGACCTTGTCAAAGTATATCGCTGCACAGGCTCCGGGGGGCATGGCCTTGCGAAGACTTGCAAAGACCTCGTCGTCATGTACGGCTAGTCGGAGTAATGTTGCCTCAAAGTCTCCCTGGACGACGCATTGCTCTGGTGTCCTACGAGTCCCGGGAAGTACCTGGTCTTCGTATCCGTCTTCGTCTTCGTCAACCTCGACAAGATCGACTCGAAACTCCTCTGGAAGAACATCGGTGCTAAATGCAGATAGAATATCCCGAACCCTTTGCACACGGGTCATGTGGCCTTCATTATCGGAGTGCATATACGGCCACTTTAAGCGATCCGCTATAGCCTCTATTGTGTCCGGCCCATTGTCATCAAGGTCTATAAGGTGCTCGATCCGCGGCTCCGTCTGCGAAAGCTTCTGCACGTGTCCGTCTCGAGATGGGAGGTAGCTGGTCGACTGGGGATGGGAAGGGGTCTGTGTGGAAGCAAAGTAGCCGCGAAGCTGGTCGAGTAGCCACTAGAAGTCAGAGTCAGAACGCAGTTAGCCACCCGCAGAGAGACACTCGATTCAGCTAACTCACAAAGATATGCTGACATGCAACATCAGGCTTCGTCCGAAACACCGCACAGGTACACGTGTACTGACCACCTCTCGCATCCTTGCGCCGAGAAGAGTCAGAGCCGATGCGAACACGCACCTGCTTCCCAATGACAAACTCCCACCCTGTTAGAGAGGAAGAGCACCATCGCACATCGAATCCAGTCGTCAGTCCGAGGATAGCTCTCGCCTTTGTCTCATCATCCAATGCCGATTGTGTGAGGTCATATAGGAGCCCCGCAGAAGACCTGACAGCAGACAGGTCGAACAGAGGGTCAGTCGCAGCCATCGTCGTGTCCTTGAATCGTTTGCGCGTAGTAGCCGGAAAAACTTCTCTGTCGGTCTCGGTCTCAGGCTCGATCGCAGCAGTCTCTCGCGAGTCTCCACGAATGGAGAGACCACGGAGCTGCCTCGTAGGCGTGGACATGGCCGCGATATATAGAGGAGGAGGAGAAGGGAGTAGAGCACGTAAGGCGCTCCTCCGCCGCTTTGGCTCCAACTCCAGCCTCTGCTGGGGAATTCCGGTAGTAGTGTTTGTTTGGGTTTGAGTTTGGGTTTGGCAGTTTGCTCTTCCTACCCGAGCCATAACCATGGGAATGGCCGTCCCTAAGTGGATTCTGCACCGGGAGTCCACTCACTCTGCCTCTCTTTCACCTTTTTCCTTCTCTCGTCGCCCGTTCTCTTTCTGATCTCTTTCAGCAATAGATAGAACCAGCTGAAACTCGGCTGGACTGCTATCGTATCGGGCACACAGAACCACGAGGCACAAAGAGACCCGGGCGTGGTTTTCAGGTTCCAGGTTGCGGTGTTTTGCGGTAGTGGAGTAGACCAGATTGATTGACCGCGCCGCATGACGACACGGCGACGGGTCGAGTCGATCGACGCTTCTTGACAAGAAATGCATTGCAAGATTGGTTGAGAATGGAGCACAAAGGCTTTAAGCGCCGCAGCAGGGCACATTCGGGACTGGAGTTCCCAGCTCGTTGTCTAGCGTTTACAAGTCAATGGCTGCGGCGCAGGCGGCGCGGTAAGTAGATGGGCGTTGAAACTGTGGGGACTGACATGACCGCATCACGTCTGACTGAGCTGAACGAGCTGAATCTTTTTTTTTTTTTCGGTGGATAAAACGCGAATGAGAGAGTCTTGTGGCGGTGCGGCTCTGCGCCTGTCGTGGTTGTCTGTAGTGCATACAAAACCGCTAAGAGATCTACCCCAGGGCACGTCGATCATCATCAACTACCTATACCAGGTGAACCTTGACCAACAACATGGTATATCATTGCGCTTGACTAATGCCACTGATCTATAAAAACAGCACAGGACGACGAACAATCATACATCGCCAAATGGTACCAAACGGGTATTCGCAAGAGAATTCGTGAGTCATAAGCTATATACTATAGTTATCGCAAATTATTCCTTCGAGACAGAAGACGAGTGCTGCCGCACCGCATTGCGCTTCTTTGCGTCTTCCAGGGCCTTGCGCAGCCGCTCCCGATGCTCCGGGTCACCACCATCCACCTTCCTCGCCGCCACGCTTACCGTACTGGCAGGTCTGGCGGGATTGGGCAGCGAAACGTCATACAAGTGGCTAGCGGGGATAACATCTTTGGGAACTGGCTGTTCAGGGAAAGGCGTCTTGCCCAGCGCCCTGAGCGCATCATTGATACTGTTGGTGATCTTCGCAGGTCCAACACGAACGCTTTGCAGCTTGGCCCGGAGGTTGTCTTGGATTTTGGCGTCCTCTTTCTTCTTTTCTGCCTCGAGCTGGCGAAACACGTCCGGCTCCGAGTTGGAGTACCGCGCCTCTGCGACGGAGACGCTATAGTCTGCATTGTTGAGTGCCGAGTCGGCCAGACCGAAACTGTGTAGGATGGATTCAGAGTCCTTGCGAAGGGACTCGACTAAGCTGTACACGGATTTCAACACCTGCTCAATCTCTGCGTCTGGGAGGCCGGAGGACCGAATAGCGGCCTCATCGGCGCGTGTCACCTTGGCTGAGAGCTCATCGAGAATAGTCTGGTTTTCTCCAAGTCCGCGCATGATGGCATCATCGAACAAATCCATGAGCTTATTGGCTCGCTCATCACGGGCTCGAGCGGCTTCGAGAATATTCTGTTTCTCCATCTGATCAAACTCACTGTCGAGTTTCTTCAATGCCGCAGAATCACCCATGAAAACGAGAGGCCGCCTCTCAGCCTTTTTTCTTCTACGCTCACGGTCTAGCGCAATTTCCAGTCGCTTATGGTGTCTCATTTCCAGTCTGTGGTGAATGTCGTTTACAATCTTCATTGTATGCGACATGCTGTGCTTATCATTGCCCTCTTCCTTGTTCCTGTTCTCGCGGTCAAGCTGGCCAAGTGCGGAATCATAGTGAACCTTGAGTGTCGAAATCTCCTCCTCCAGTCGCTTGTCGACCGGGGTAAAGACATTGGCTATAAAATCCTCGAGTTCTCCTCGTTCTTCCTCGAGCTGTGTGCGTGCTTCCGACTGCCGGAACTCTTCCTCCAGTATGTTGATGTCAGCATACCCAATCTCCTTGCCGTTGAACAGGGTATCGATATGATTCTCCGATTCCTCCTGGCGCTTGATGCGCTCCTTGTCAAGGTTCTCCCTGCGGGCCTTGTTGGTAGCTTCCCACGGCTTGAATATTTCTCGGACATAGTTGAAATCGTTTGGGAATTTTTCCAAGTCTTTCCGAACCGTCGAATGCCACAAACTGTCCGACTGTTTGTTACCAGGAGCTGAAACAACGGTACGCAAGTCTTCGATCGGGCCAGGGGGCTTCCCTTGCCGAAGCAAAGCCGGCAACGGTGGCGGCGTTGACGTTTGTGGCGGCTTTTTCCGGTAGACGACACTCTTTTCTCTGATCAAACCAACGAATGTCTCGTCCGGATCGTTCTGCACCGAGATCACAGAGCTGGATCTCTTCCGCTGGGCTTCAGTTGGAGCATCTGCCATCACACGCCCACTTTCTGCAGATGCCTGTCGCAAAGCGGAATACGCTTGGTATGCTGGGCGATCGAATTTGAGCTTATCTGAACCTCTCTGAGGGCCCTCGGTGTAGCGGAACGGCGTGTAGATTCGCTGCGGAGGATTCGTCGTAAGGGGAGTTAGGACTGATTGCGGTGCCACATCGTTGACCATAGGCGGCACTGAAGTGGAGCGCAGGGCGTGAGCAGCAATAGCATGATTAGCAGTATACTTGTGACCACCAGGGTTCGATGCTGATCTTTGCAACGATGGAGGCGCAGGAGTATGGAGTCGAGGAAGTATCGGGCGTCCTCCAGGGCTGTAGCTACCATCTACTTCTTCTGTGACTTGCGAAGGTGTAAAGTAATCCTCCTCTGTCTCCACGGGTATCAACCCGGAGTTGTCCGGGGGAGAGGGTTTCCCCTCGGGCTCCTTTTCTGGGGTCTCCGGTTGGGGAGTCGCCGGTTGCTGCGGGGCAGAAGCTTCAACTTTGGGAGCATGCTCAATGCTATATAGGATCTCTCGAAGCTTTGTTTCCTTAGCCATGAACGTTGTGAAGAGTTTGAACCGCTCCTCGTCCGAATCTGCAACCGCTTCTTTTCGTAGCATTGCTACATAGCGTTCCAAAGAAGACTGCGACCACGAATCAAGATCCTCGTAGCGGTCGAGTGGTTTAAACTGCGGATGAGGGCTTTCAGGTTTCCGTACAGGTTCGCTAATACGCTCCTTGGAGCTAACCTCCTGCTCTATTGGGGTTTCCTTCACAGGTGCCACGGGCTCGGGTAGTTTTGCTGGGAGAGTCTCCACAGGGCTTGGACTTCGCGGGGGAGATACTGGTGCTGGATCAAATTTGGGGCTCTCTTGGACTGTAGATGGCTGCACCGTGGGGGTCTTGTTCTCCGCCAAGAGCGGCTTATTCCATGCTTCAATAAGTCCGTCAATGCTTTCCGCATTCGCAACAGTAGATACAGTGCTATATTCCGATCCCGTAGTGTCGACCCTAGTCGGCTGAGGCGGCTGGAAATCCTGACGAGTACCAGGGCTGATAGGAGACTGGGCTGGATGAGACTGCACCTGGTTATACTGCGTTGTTTCCGCGTTGATTGCATAGTTCGTAAAGTTTGCATTTGGCGGTGGTGGCGGTGGTGGCGGTGGAGGTGATGGGGAATGGCTGCTCAGTACCCCGACTGGATTGCTCACCTGTTGACTCGGAGGTAGCTCATGTACGACATTCGGAGGAGGGTCCCTTCTCGGTCTGAAAGCAGATACATCATCAACCTCCCCGGCGATGGGCGAAAAGTGTTCCCAGTCAGACGGCCCACCAGAGCCCAGAGCAGAAGCACCCGTTGGGATAATCAAAGGGCTAGCTTTCGGAGGCAGAGGCGGTCCATTCGTCGGATACAGCGCAGGGGTCGGAGATTGAGATATGGGTCTCCCCAGAGGCGCCTCTGCAGGTGCTGAGATGATTGGCGGAGTATTCATTTGTTGCGAGAAGCTGTGCACATGCTGAATCGTGGGCGCATGAACCGGAGGAGGGCTCGGTCGATTAGATACAGCATGTGGAGGGTGGTACTGGCTCTCTGGAATGTTGGGGTACGACGGTGGGGGTGATTGATGCCATCCTTGTTGAATCTGGGGTGGTGTCGGCGGAGGAGGGGGTGCGTGATGCTGGTAGGATGGCACATCAAAGACTTGCGGAGCGGCCGGCGGAGGCGGAGGCGGCGGGGCCGGGGGTTGAGGAGGTATGGAGCTGACAGGAGTTTGCGATACATAGGGAGGGCTCGTCGCCCACGGCTGGTAATGCTCGCCTCCCGGTGCCTGGCCTCCGTAGCTCGGCGAACCAATTGAAGGCTGGTGGGGATCCGGGGTGCTCACTACCGGAGGCGGGGCGGGCGAGGGTTGGCCAGTTGTGCTAGCAGGGCGAGGCTTTGGAGTGAATCGTTAGTATCACAGCAGCTAGAGTCGCGCATGACAATGGAATTCTCACGGGTAGCGGAGGAGGCGCATAGATGGGATATTGCTGCCTGTTGTAATTGACTCCCCAAGTGGCCGTGTTGAGCCCCGCATAACTCGTCGGAGGGGGTAAATTTGTGCCCGTGTTTCCAGTAGGAGGTCCATAGCTAGGCGGATGGGCGCTATTTGTATTGTATGACGGAGGAGGCGGAGGAGGTGGGCTGGCAACGCTCGAGGGCCTTTGCGGAGGAGCCGGCACTCGCCATTCTGGTGCAGGTGGACCTGAGCCTTGCGGTCGATGCGAACTCGAGAAAGGGTGCGAGCTAGGCATCGTGCCTCGGATAAGATGCGTGAAAGCGCAAGGCGCGCTGTGTCGCTGTCGCTCGGTGAGCAGCGTGAAGGAGACTCCAGCCAACTGTCTGCTAAGCGCAAGAATATGCGAGTGCGGGGAGCGGCAGGTCCGAATTCGTTCAGCGACAGACGAAGGGAGCTCGCGCCCAAGGGATCTTCTTGCTCTGCAATATAACGATTGCCAGGCACAGCCCCTCAACGAGGCTTGTGTACCTTTGAAGCAGAGTGAAAGAAAGCGAAGCGAGGTGTATCGTTGAAGGCTTGAAGCAGACGAAGTGTCCGCCAGAGAATCACCGCTGAGCCACACACACGCGCTAAACTACTCTCTCTCCAGTATAGCTCCTCGTATTGCACCCCACCGATCGTCTTTGTTTCTTCAATAAATGCAGGATTGGCGCTTGTTCTTCAGATCGAGAGTTCTTGATGTCGGAAGATAATTTCAAGTTATCTTGACCAGACTCCACTCGGTCCCTGCTCTGGTAGTGCTTGGTGACATTATCCGAGATCGACTGACGCTGGTCATGCTGAGTGAACCGAGTCACATGGATTTTCTTGTCTGCCCAACGTGACCTATTTATAAACAGTGCTCCGAGATAATGATATACAATTCCATTATATGCATACAGAACACACTCGAGAAAGCCAGCAAAGAGTAAAGTACAGGTAAAAAATCCGGAAGTCTATCCCCAACCTCGGGTAGATCATAGCACGCAATCAAAGACGAAAGGTGTGCTCCATCTACGCAGCAATTCTCAGCCGTTTGCCAATACGCTCAAGCTCACCGATCACGCCACCACCGGCCAGAGTCCACTTCTCGCTAACCCACTCGTCGCTGATGGTCTCTTGGAGGAGTCCACTGCGCGCAAAATATTCCATAAAGCCTCGAGCTTCATCATGAGTCACGCCGCCGAGTATTTGATGTTGCAGCATACCTTCCTGAGCATGCTTGGATTTCATGGATTCGAGTACCTCGAAAACACGCGGGTCAGTCTTGCTGTACGGTTCGGGTTGAGGGAACTGAGGAGAGGAGGATTCTACGCCAGCGCCACGAGCTGCAACCTGCTTGAGGGCGACGTCCAAGCTGTAAACATAGGGCGGGTTGTTGGTGGTCGATGTAGCATAGAGAAGAGCTCCGCCGTTGGGAAGAGTGGGCTTATCTTGACCGGGCTTCAGCAGGGAAAGGAAGTGCCGCACAAAGACAAGGTCGTGTGCGTGGATGAGCTTAAACTGGGCGTTGCGGTATTGTGACTCGGTCATCCAGTGGCCAAGACCGTCGACCGTCACCAGAATAGGAGGGCGGGAAGTATAATGCTTTTCGAGACCAGGGGCCGGACCGGTTGCCGTGAGCTCCGTCCACAGCGCTTGGAAGACTGCCCAGGCACTTGCTTGGTCCTGAACACCAGTTTTGGCAAGGTCCTCCAGGGTCATGCCAGGCTTAGCGGCCGGAACAGTAGGGTGGTTGTGAGAGACACGGAGCCCGGAAAGAACCTCCTTGTTCGCAGCGACGGTGCGGGACAGCAGAGCGGCCGTGGCCTCGTTCTGAACGTACAAATTTGGATTCTCCTCGGACAGCGGTGCGTAACTGCTGGTAGCAGATACTAATTCTTGTGCTGCAAGCGTTGTCAGTCGCTGGACAGAATACAGATCCCGGTATATTACCTTCTGGTATCGTAAACACAACCCACTTCTTGATAAAACCCATGGCCATAGCCTGAAGCAGATGAACACTCTTCCCTGATTTCCTTGCCCCGCCGACAATCTTCTTGATAACAGCTCCCCCACCTTCAGTGTCACCGGTAACACCGTCGAAGAATCTACCTAGCTCCAAAGTTTCGCGTCTCAAAACCGTGCATGGCCGACGGAAGATCGACCAGCCCTGCTTGGGCTTGAACGCCTGCACAGCTCTCAACTGATCTAACATCGGCACAGGGAGAGCCAGCACCGTCCCGCGGAGGCGCGAGTCTACCATTGTCTCCTCCGAGAGTTCCTGCAAGCCCTCAACTTCAAGAGCATTCGGGTTGCTAAGGACAATGCGTTTGCGGAGCGCTTTGCGCTCGCCGACGGGCGGGGGGCGTGCTTTCTCCACGAACTTCTTCTTCTTTTTCATCGTGGAACTTGCTGGCTGGCGGAACTTCAAGACTGTCGAGCCTTTTTTCCCTCCTTGGGATGCACGACCCATAAATTGGAGAGCGGCCGACGTGTGGAATGCTGGTCCTCGGGACACCGCCGCGCTCGGTGACGGTAAGATGGTGCGAGACGTCTGGCGAAGTGGCGTAAGGCAGCCCCAGCAAAAGGGGGAAACCATTGTGATGCTGATGCACCGGCGCGATGGCCAGTTTTCCCTCACGGACAAGAGGAATCGAACAGCAATTGAGTCGGCGGTAATTGAACGGCGAAGGAGGTTACTGGAGGAGCCCGAGAGAACTCTGGAGATTCGGAGCACATTTTTGGCCGCTGGCAGGTGGACTGCCGATCCGGGTTAGCACCCTTGCCGCTAGAAGAAGCGGTGTGCTCGTTTCTGAGCCCACTCTCTTAAAGCGGCCTCCTTAGATTATCCCCGAACTTTTTTTCTTGTTTTTCCGCCTTTGATGAGCGGGCATTGACACTTTTTTCCAGCTTCATATTAGCAAAACGGAAAATGGCAAACTCAGCAACAGAGACGACGTCCGTATCCAAGGCTAAGCCTGAGAGGCTGTAAGCATTTCTGGTCCTCTGCCATAAAATCCCACCAGTCTGGCTAACATGACTATCTTAGTCCCATCACCGTCTCAAAGCCGACTCCATACACATTCGACCTGGGCCATTTGCTCGCCAACGATCCAAACCCGCTCGAGCTTCCCAAGTCCGAACCACTCAATGTCTCTCTCAAAGCCACCGCCCGAGACGGCATTCAAAGCCTCCTCAACCAACTCCTAACAGCCTGCCCCATCACCTCCACGCAACAAGGCGTCCTCCTCTCTCTCCCTCCTCCCTCAACAACCCTCCCCCGCCACAAGCCCCTACCGACTCCCAAGGCCCCGACCAAGTGGGAACTATTTGCGCGCAAGAAGGGCATCGGAAAATACAGCAGCAAGCCTGGAGCTGCGCTTGCGGATAAAGAGCGCCGGAAGAAGTTGGTCTACGATGAGGAGTCTGGCGAGTGGGTGCCTCGCTGGGGTTACAAAGGCAAGAACAAGTCTGATGATGATTGGCTGGTGGAGGTGAAGGAGAGTGACTGGAAGAAGGAGGAGGATGCGGCGGCCAAGGGCAGCTCGATTCGTGGCATGACACGCGCTGATAGAAAGGAGAGGATCCGGCGGAATGAAAGGAAGATGAGAGCAAATGAACGGAACTCGCGGAAGTCTGGATCGTCACGATAAAGCATATTATATGCATTTTTGAGTTTATCGGGTGTGCTGGATTTATCTAGGCGTCTGGAGTGAGGTCTTAGGTTTCGAGGTCGCCTTCGTTAGGGCTGAAAAGCAATATTACCCTTCTTGTACGATTTATGCATGCCCTCCTCAGGTCATTTTATCCACCTCATTCTGGTCAAAAAGATCCCAAATAGACTTACTAATCCTTAAGGAGATCGGGTATTGCCAAAGAAATGATAGATGGGACCACGGAGATACCAAATATATCTTGCCGCTATCGAGTAGGATAAGCATATGGGTGAAATGCTGTGACACAGCTCCAATTGGGAATCAAAGGATAGGCTAGGTGCAGAAGGCTCCAAAACACGTACATGAGAAAGAGAGATCAACGATGTCGCCAACGCTACAACATGTAGTACAAAATCAACATGGAAGTAAAGAGTCCCCAGAACAAATCGAATCTACAGGCACAGGAAGATGAGAGATGACAAAAAAAGTTCGACCCAGGATAACCGACTCCAAACGCGCCAGACATGCAATGTGGGAAACAGAAAAAAAAAAAGAAATTAGAGAGTTGCGATGAGGCACAGGTTAGTCGAAAACGAAATAGAAACCAAAAGGCTGAACAAAATCGATAGGTAATCATCAGCAAAAGAAATGGCAACGAAATCTTGAGAGACGTATAGTGTACAATCTCAACCACGGTGTTTGATCTGCGGTTCCGGCCGGAGATCTTGTACATGGGGCGACCTAGATGCTGGAAGGAATAGATAATGGTGAAATGCAGGCCAGCCTATAAGAGGATCGAAACAATCGGCTTCATATTTTATGGGCGACATGCCGGTCAGAGAGCTGGCACGTTGCTGATACAGAGAGTTCCGCACGGCACATCATATTTGGATGGGAGAAAGAGGCGGACCAAGTTCGGGTAGCTGAGATATACTCCTTGCATGGGCCGTTTCGATGTTGCGCGGCTTTTTCTTGATAGTCTTCGGGGTCTCAGGACGAGCAGGGGAGTCGTAAGTGCTGGCTTGGCTGCTGCCAGAAGAAACGGCCCTTTCGTCGACGTTGGGAGAATGGCTCTCGCTCTCCTGGGCTGCCTTTTCTTTCTCATCCATTTCTCTTTCTCGCTGAAGATATTCTTTTTCTGTCCAACACCCTTGCCAACAATTTTTCCAGTCACAAACCAAGAAATGGAAGCAAAAAGAGTCGATTTTCATGCACGGTTGGAAACAGATGCAAAGGTTGCGGTAATCCATCTTATTCTGGTCAACATAGGAATGAAGAAGGTTGAGGTGGCAGGTTATGGCGAAGAGAAGGTAATAATTGTACGGCGGTAATTTCGAGAGTTCATCTTTGAGCATCTGAGGAGCAGTAGTAGCTCCCTCGCATTTTTGAGCTATCAGGGCCTGTGTCTCCTTGGGAAACAGTTCGTCGGGTAGTTCTCGAAGCCAAGCTTTGAACATGGATCCAATTATGTTGATGTCATATAATTCCGGTTCATCGAACAAATTAATGTCGAGTTCTGAACGGAGTGGTTAGCTTATCGCCGGATTAGGAAATGAATCTGGCCTACCAGTATCAAAGCGTCTTTGCCAGTGCTTCACTTCTTTACCACTACCTGGCACACGATAGAGGCCTTCTTCTTCACAGCCCTTAAAGTTTAGGTAACTATCTTCCAGTTAGTCTGCTGACAAGCATTCATAACAGTGTGACTTACTCTATGCAGCGGTACGGCAAAGCAGGCATCCAGAACTCCGTCTTATCTCTACAGTCTTCAAGGCGTTTAGCGATGCGTGTCCGGCGTGCTTGTTGAATCAAGGGCAAATAGATAACAGAGCAGACATAGTTATCGTCTGCCACCAGTTCACGTTCGTTTGTGCTGCCGCTCCTGGTGATCTTGCCGAAAAAGCCCTTGCCAGCTTTTCCTAGCCGATCGGCTGCTCCACTTGATGATTGTTTGAGATTGTTGAACAGGGCAGCCGAAGCTCCCGATACTTGACTCAGTGATGCAGATGGTACCATCGAACCGCCGTAAGATCTCTCTTTTCGGAGCATCGAGCTACCGTTCATGTCCGCGGGCCGATCGCCCAAATGGCTCCCAGATGTGCCGTTTGCGGTACCCTTGTGCCCACGTTCAGGACGAGATAGCTGTTTTGCTGCTTCTTGCGCATCCGGCTTCATGTTTTCCTCCAGCCTCACAAGGCCGGCAGATGGACGTCGGTTTAATGCTCGGTTCAAAGAAGAATCATCCACCCTGATTGACCGGGACCGAGATAGCAAGTTGGCGAAACGCGGCTTTGTTTTCTTGACAGAGTTGTATCCATCGGATTCCGTACCGATCTTCTTCAACTCCGACGGTTGGGGTTCGAGTTTCTTTTCCGATGAATCGCCGTCTTCTTGATGAGCAGCGCGTTCAATGGCTCCTGGCAAGTCAGGTGTCGACTCATATAGCTTCGAGGATATTTGGGCTCTGCGATCTCTGGAACTACCACGGCTTTTTGGCTTTTCCGCAGAATTCCCAGAACTGTCTGACCTCTGCGCTTTGTGAGAGTATTTTGGTGCCTTGAGGCTCGCAAAGAAAGAGCGCGACGGATCCCGCGTGTGCTTCGGTGATTCTCTCGGCGACGGCGGGTATGGGGGGATTGCCGTGAAACCAGGTGTGGGTGGCTCTGTAGCTATCCCGGGGGAGGCAGGAAAGGTAGGGCTGTTCGAGACTGAGTTGGAATCTTGCGTGACAGGGCGGATGGTGGCTCCCTTGAAGAACGGCGAACTGGAAGAAGACTTGGGAGAATGCGGCGTTAGGGGACTGAGGCCATCAGAGCTCTGGGCGCCGGGGGTTAAAGGAGAAGAGGTCTTCCCGCCCGCCTGGAGAGTGGACGAGCTTAAATCTAGGGTCGGAACAGTGGAATGTCTAGAAGGCATATTGGCTCTGTTCGGCGTGGGATCTGAGTCGGCGAGGGGGGCTCGGACGTGGGGTGGAAATGAAAAAGGTTTCAGAGAAGATCAAACTTCGGTAGCCTGCTCATAGGAAAGCAGTTAGCAGACGAAGATAAGTCAAATAGCCGTGTATTTTTGTTTCCGTCCGTCAGTAGGAGAGGCTGACCAAAGAGATACAGTCTCAAAAATCCCCAAATCGTCTTGAATACCAATATCGAGTTGTGCGGGACGTGTCGAAGTCGATTGGATTGGAGCCAGCCTTGCCAATCTTACTCGCGAAGAACGCCCGGCTGGTGACGAGCCAGATGTGTTTGTTTGAAACCGTTCTGCTCAATCAGATCTGTATGCAACCGCATAAGTGTCAGTGAATCATTTGTGGGCGCCCCGGTAGGTCTGGCAAAAGATCAAGCAACGAGAAGCAAAGTGTTTCAGATATCACTGATTTTCAAGGCATAATGAGATCTGGAACGAAGAGTATCATGAGTTTCCCCATCCCTTGAAGGTGCTCAAGGCGCAGATGCTCAATACCCAGGAAGCCGTTTCAGGATACAATGGAGATAGACCGAAACTTGTGCCGCCAGGAGGTTAATGGGGACCACAACATACCAATCCGCGCCCCTCATATTAGGTGTTGAAAACACTTCCAAAAGTCCTTCCTCTTCGCCGGCACACTTTGCTTCACCTAGTGTTCACCAATGCCGTCCTATCAGACGTAAATCCAAAACAAGCCCTGCGAAAACGGTCGATTATTTCCTCGTCTATTCAAAAAGACTTTCTGCGGGCGGTCGAACAGGAGAGAATGTGGCAAGGAGATTGGCGCTAGTGTTTTGGCAAAATGCAGGAAAACAGACGACAATGAAGGACTTGAAAGAGAAGAACAAAGCAAGAGATTTGGTCAGAAGGGCCTTTGCAAGGCTAAGAGAGGAACTGGCAACAGGAGAAAGTTGAGTCCCGCACGGGTCTGAAAGTGCTCAAGAGTCAAATGTCGTAGCGACGACACATTCCTTGATAGCGCGATGCAAGCGCGGCTGTGTGTCAGACTAATGGCTCCGTCGCCTCCGCTCTTTTAAGGGGGAACCACCAGTGGAGATGGCGTCGTCCAAGACTGCAGTGGGCCAGAAAGAGAACAATTTCCAGTGGGTGGCTTTTTTTGAGCGCTTTGACAGCCTCTGAGAAGGTGATGTTCTTCTGCCCTTCCAAAAGTGATTGAAGTTTGAAGTGAATCCCTTGCTGGAAGGATAAAGTCTCGCCGATCGGTGACGACTCAATCATCGACACAGAGTACATACTAATCCGTTATATTTAGCTTCCCTGCCCATCACCCATAGACAAGAGGACTCGCGTTCTTGCACAAGGACCCTTTTCAATGGTTATACTACACTCAAAGCGCCGTGGTAGACAGATGATAAGAAGTGGCACATCCTGTCATCCTGGTTGGTGATCAGAACCCTTCCTACGAAGGATTGCGCTGTCCAAGGCAGAATTGAACTGAGCGGCGAGGGCGTTGCGCAGCGACAAGCGTTCCTCTGAGTGGCCGACTCGTAATCCCTCATCGAGGAGGCTCTTGGTCTATTTTGAGCGCAGCGGCGACTCTACTATTCTTACTCACGGATGACAGTATTACGATGGTCAGGTAGCTCCAGTCCATATCAACTCTTCATTTTGTGAACCGCAACGCAACACACCGAAACAGTGGGAGGACCCATGGAAGACCAGGGAACCCAACGAGTGGCTGGAGCAACAGCGCTTGGGCGGGATGTGTTGTGTTTAGTGCCAGCTAAGAAACAGTGATAGAGACAACGGATTGGCCAACCAGACACTGCTCGAGGGGAACCCAAATGCTCCAGCGAATCAACTGCGGACAGGCGTCACGAGTACCTGACGAGGAGGTCAAAGCGACACTGTCAATAATCCACTAGGGCTGAACGGTTCTGAGTGACAACACAGACATGCTGAGGCATCCTTGACTACTGAGCCGAAACCCTGCTCAAGGGTTCAATCTTCAGCGAGCATTGAGAACAATCATTGATGTTGTTCCTATTGAGCGAGAGAGTGTTCCTGCCATGGTGTGTTCTGCGCAATCAGCTGATCCAAGCCGGAGCAGTTCAACCGTGGTTCAACATGCCTTGATACAACCGGGTGGGGTAGATGCAAAGAAAAACCAGTTAAGCCGTTGTCAATAATAGAGGGAATCGGGATGGTCAAGCGCCGTTAGGGACGCCTTCTTCATTACTCCGTACCCTATTTACACGCCCCTTTGATAAAAATAGCGTATGCAACCCACGGTAGGTGACTACCTCCTCGTACTGGATACATATATCTATCGACGGAGTACCATAAGCTGATTCTGCCTTTGCCCTCTGTTCACAAAGCTGAAAACACGGTTGACGTTGACTTGGGATCTCTTTGAACTTCATCTTATGTCAAGCCTTGTATAACATTTGAAAAAACACGTGGGAGAGATTCTAGTCCCTGTATCTGCGTTTTCCCCTTGAACTTTGCTGGGGTTTCCCGGCGAAATACTTTGTACAGTCCATTACTCATCAAAAGCGTCATAAACTCAGGGGTAATAATTATGTGTATTATAGCTCCAGCCTGTCCAAAGATTACGTAGGGTTGTCTTCAGAACTGCAACCACATTTCACCGCCAGACTTGACAATCAATGGCCGTCTTCAAAATGTGGTCGTAAGCGCCAGTCTGAAACATGGTCCACTTTTTTCTTATCCGGAAACCGGCCCCCTTGCTTGAGCACGCTAAGTCACGTGTAGGACGAACGACTAACCCTGCTCGTCCACACAAACCGTCTTGACCCCTCTGCAAAAATTCGGGAGCCTGTTGGCTAGCCTCCTGCAACACCATCACAGAACGAGCCTTGTGGCTTTTTTTTTGAATCCCGATGTCATGCTAACCTGACAGACTTGGCGAGGCGCTTGTTTTGACTTGGTCTCGACTCGAACCTCAAATTCTCTTTATTGCAATATTTCGGCGGTCCTGGATTTCTGAGAAGATTCCAGTCAGCCACTCATCTCATTAAATAGATCTTTCTTGCATAATGTCCCTGGTTTCTGGTCCCGGCAGGGCTCCTAACACGCTATCCGACCAAAAGCTTTGCATCGAGAAGCATGTTGAATATATCAAGAAATTGGATAGCGTGCGTCATCCTCAAATTAACATGCCACTTCTCTTCGCGAGGAGACGGTTGACAGGTGATGGTAGCGGAAAGATGAGTTAGAATACTGGCTCACGGAGCATCTGCGACTAAATGGGGTTTATTGGGGTTTGACTGCGTTGCACCTCTTGGGACATCCCGACGGCTTACCCCGCGAAGACGCCATCAACTTTGTGCTCTCATGCCAACGGGATAATGGTGGCTTTGGTGCTGCTCCGGGCCATGATGCACATATACTGTACACGGTCTCGGCCGTGCAGATTCTTGTGACCTTGGACGCCGTTGATGAGCTGGAAAAGCGTGGGTTAGGCGGCAAGCGGAAAGTCGGTTCCTGTATGATATGCTCCCAAATATCTTCGGTCAAAGGCGCCTGGCTAAGTGTTTTTCAGTCATCGCAGGGCTACAGGACAAGGAAACCGGCTCTTTCATGGGTGACGAATGGGGAGAGCTAGACACGAGGTTCCTTTATGGGGCTTTCAATGCCCTGTCCCTTCTGAATCTGCTAGACTTAGTGGACGTCGACAAAGCTGTTTCGTACGTCCAGCAGTGCGAAAACTTGGATGGCGGATATGGGGTTTCTCCAGGGGCTGAGTCGCATGCCGGTCAGGTCTTTACTTGCGTTGGGGCACTGGCTATCGCAGGACGGTTGGATCTCATCGACAAAGACCGCCTAGGAGGATGGCTTAGCGAGAGACAAGTCGATAACGGAGGATTGAATGGGCGCCCAGAGAAACTCGAGGATGCTTGTTACAGCTGGTGGGTCGGAGCGAGTTTAGCCATGATTGACAAGCTCCATTGGGTCGATGGCTCCAAACTCGCTGCTTCTCTTCTACGCTGTCAGGTCAGTCAGCTCCCGTTGAATTGCATTACCTTCTCGCTAATATCTTCTAGGATCCAGAGGCTGGTGGCTTCGCTGATCGCCCTGGTCATGCTGTTGACGTCTTTCATACCCACTTCGCTCTTGCTGGCTTGAGCCTGCTAAAGTATGAAGGTGTCGGCGAAATAGATCCCGTCTAGTGAGTATAAAAACGACACCTGACACAGAGAGTCTTTGCTAACCATAATTCTCAGTTGTCTGCCGAGATCCATCACAAAAAAGGTCCTATCAACATAACGATCTGCCTCCCACTTGGAGACGTATTGTCTGCCATGTGATATTCGTAGCCTCCACCTCCTGCAATCTAATAACCCATTCTTCTCTATCAATGGATTTTGGGATACAAGGCGGGAGAAGATTGACTTTCAGGCACTGTGACTTATTTCCGCTTCACCCCTCTACAATGGCCTGATATTGGCCGTTAAGACACAGTGGCACATCATGTACGTATGTAATAACTGCATTCTAGTCGAAGACAGTATCATTCCACTTGAGATCTAGTTCCTAAGCGTCTAATTGTCGAGTTCTGCGGCTACTGCTGCTACCGATCGTGCCTGTCCCGTATATCCCGTAACGGCAGGCACGACCTCCCCATTTCGGACGGCCGCGGCTTCTCAGAGAGTCGCTCCTGCCCGTCACCAAGCAGCACGGCCTCTTTCCTCTTTCTACACCCTCCGGGTGACAATGGATTCTCAAGGCAAGTCCCTGGCCAGCTGACGGCCTTCCTCAATTGTATCGCTTCCTTTTCGTTGCAGGGAAGGTCGCTGTCTCTATCTCCAGGAGCAGTCTTTCTACATTGGTGTCTTGTCTTGTGCTTCGTTATCGTTTATATGAAAGCTACGTCTTGCAACTTGCTGCTTCCTCAACCTGCGTTCATCTGTCATCGACCTGCCTGGAAGCGAGGGCTCTGAGAGCTCCAGGTTGCCTACCATGGACGCCGCAGCACTTCTCTGCAACATATGTCCAAAGCGTCCCAAATTTAGCGATGTATCTCACCTGCTAACCCACGTCGCCTCGAAGGCCCATCTCTCTCATTACTTCAAGCTTCAAGTCCGCAGCCACCAGGAGCCGCAAGCTGAGGTTTTGCTCGATGACTACAACGAGTGGTACAAGGCCAATAATCTGGCAAAACTCTTGTCGGATCGCATGTCTTCAAAGGACTCGCGCAGAAAGAAGTCCCTGGGAAAGAATCCCGTGCCAGACAGGGTCCCGCACCAAGAGGGGGACGAGGGTCAAGACGTTACGCCTCTGCAGGCCTACAATCCGCGCAACAGTCTTCCTGCCTACATTGACCCGCGCCTTTCCGATCCATTCGTCAACTCGGACATTGCTACAGGTAGAGAGCTGCTGCTACGCTGTTTTACAGTCATACCGATTGCTGACCTTTGGGTTGAGGACTAGGGCGTGGTCGAGTTCCCATGCTTTCACCGCACGATCAAGTGACGAACGCTATACCCAGTCAATGGAAGCAGGACGATGGGGATGACACGGGAAACGAAGAGCCGTCCACACCACACGCTACGCCGTGCTGGAGCAGGACTTTCCGGACCCAAAAAGATCGAAGAACCCAGTCCACCAGCGGACCATTCATCTATGATCCCTTTGTCGACGACAATGACAGCTTCGAGTGCTCGAATCCCGGCGAGATGGACAAGGACAGGGCGGATGAGATTGCAAGATTGAAGGGAGTCTTGTGGCCAGGAATGGACATCTTTGACTCCGCTACTGAGCAAATGAAACGGAAGCGCAACCAGAAGAAGGACGAGAGTATCTTGAAAAAGATGGAAAGAACGTCAATGGGCGTGGAGCCAACCGAATTGGTCTTCTCTCCGACTGGGATCCTGCGAAAGCAGCGTGTGATCTCAGGCAATGTCGAAGACAGCAGTCCCCTAAAGGGGGAGACACCGATTCCAAAGAAGCGTGCCACTCGCCCCAAACGGGTACTTGTTCAGATGGACCCAAACGCCCAACGTGCAGGGGAGGGGAAAAGGGGGAAGAAGAGCATCAAGCGGGATGCAGATTCCCTCGGCGGCAACGCTCACCAGCATGATATGTTCCCTCGACCAGCTACTGTTCCAGGGTTCGGTCAGCACGGCGGGCAATTTCCCGTTAGTGATGATATGGAAGAAATTGCACTAGCCCTTCGTGACCATGACTTCAAACCGCATAACAAGTTCGCTGTGTTTCGTGACATTCCAGCCTTGCGGGAGCCTAAACTGGAGGGCCAGCACACATATTTTCACGGGGACCCAGTTGCCTCTCAGTCGGTTTTCTTGCGGCGAGAAATTGCAATTCACGACAATCCGAATTCTCCACGCTCTGCCGGCCACGCTTCAACTCTCCTCGAGAGAGCTTCCCACCCCACAGCGAAAAAGGAAAACGTGGAGCCACTTCTGAACGTCTATGGCCGTCTCGACCCTCTGGTGGGTTGGCATTCTCCCGCAATGAAGAGAGCCGATAGAGGCCTATCGCCACATTACCTCTTCGGAGAGGCACAGTACGTTGGATACAGTCCGTTCAAATGTCATGGAAGCCCAACAGTGTACTCATTTAACCCACTGGCCGGCTCCCTCGCGAAGCTGGCGGCGGATGAGAACCCAATATACGCGGGTGAGCCTGGATATGCAATGAAAGCCCCATCTGAGGCACGAGTCGGCTCTCCCGACGCTACAATCTCCGAGGTTGAGGATGACGATTTCGACCATCTGTATTTGGACGGAAACTCCTGCTAATTCGTCATTATTGACGTTGCATGCTCGACTTTGTGCCAGTCGTTTTGTTGCATTATCTAGAAGCCAGAGCATAACATTGCGGAGCGAAGCGTTGATATCGGATTCTTGAGAGAGCATCGTGAAAGATTATCATTCCCCTGCCATGGCGCTGCATGGTGACCTGTTATATAAGTCGCTATTACTGACTGTTATACGGCATTGATACTGGTCGGCTCGTTGATGTGTTGATGCCTGGCCAGTCGCCGACGGATTATAATATGTTACTTGCTTTCAGTATAGATAGAGGTCAAGGAAATCGAGCAAATATCACTTACATGGGAGGTCTTTGCATGGGACAAAAGACTGTTAGGACTCTCCGTAGTTGCTTGTAATAATCAATTAATTAGGTAATCAACACGGTTGACGCGCATTGAAGATCGCCCTCCAACGCGTCAAGCTCCGAGCGGCAAGAGACAAGATTGAGTTGACTGGTGTTCCCCCTACAATTCTCCTAGCTTCGGCATTATATCTTCATAAGATATGGAGCTCATTTTGACACTGGGAGTCTGAGTCAATATCAAGTCTCCACAGGGAATCGCAGTCCAGCGCCCTTAAAGACCTGAACCGACTTCTGCTGAAAGCTGTTAGCCCTCGCACCACTCCCGAAACCATGCCTCCGCCCTCTTCGCAGTCATCTGCCTCATCCTCCCCAAGCCTCAAGCGGAAGCAGCCCACTATCTCCAACTTCTTTACCAAGAAACCACTAGCGCCACAGCACTCGCCGAATGAAGCCAGCAGTCCGCCAGCTAGTGCTAGACCCAACGAACCCGATGAAACCGAGAACGCAAACAAGCTGGTGGAGCATGATGATGAGGATGTAGTAGCCCCAGCGCCGAAGCGTTCAAAGACGAATGGATACCAACCAGAACAACTACCACCGGCCGCAAAGCCGAAGCCGGCCACTTCCCAGCAGGCACCGCAACCGACAAGCAGCCAAAGGACTGAGCTTCTGAAGTTTACTAGCTCCCCTGCTGTTGCTTCAGAGTCAGTGGAAACAATGAAAGTGGATAGGGAGGAAGTAAGACAGCGGCAGAAAGAGAGGGAAAAACTGCATCAGAAATTCGTCCGGAAACTTGGTGGCGCGGACTGTGCTATTGGGATCAATCGCAAGACCACCAGCGAAGCGACCCCTACAGAGGAGGCTGCGGAGGGCGAGGATGAAGAAGAAGCGCCACCACCGGTTCAGACAAAGGGGAGAGCGTCGGGGAAGAAGGGCGGCGGTAAGCTCACGCCAATGGAGAAGCAGATAATTGAGATCAAACGGAATCATATGGATACGATACTACTGGTTGAGGTTGGGTACAAATTTCGGTTCTTTGGAGAAGATGCGAGGATCGCCGCAAAGGAACTTAGCATTGTATGCATTCCGGGCAAGTTTCGATTTGACGAGCGTAAGTTTAATTTCTTAGCCTCTATCTATGGATTGAGCAGGATATTGATGTTGCGTAGACCCGTCAGAAGCTCACCTCGACCGGTTCGCCTCTGCGAGTATACCAGTTCCAAGATTACATGTTCATGTGAAGCGTCTCGTTTCCGCTGGGCATAAAGTAGGTGTGGTCAGACAGCTGGAGACTGCCGCACTGAAAGCTGCCGGAGATAACCGCAACGCCCCGTTTGTTCGCAAATTGACCAACGTGTACACCAAGAGCACATACATTGATGATATAGAGGGCCTGGAAGGATCTACTGCTGGGACGTCTGGTGCTTCGGCCACTGGTTACATCCTGAGTATAGCGGAGACAAATGCTAGGGGCTGGGGAAACGATGAGAAAGTTCATGTGGGAGTCGTTGCCGTGCAGCCGACCACGGGAGATATTGTCTACGACGAGTTCGAAGATGGTTTCATGCGGAGTGAGATTGAGACGAGACTACTTCATATTGCTCCGTGTGAACTGCTTATCGTTGGCGAGCTTTCGAAAGCTACGGAGAAGCTCGTCAAGCACTTGTCAGGGAGCAAAACAAACGTCTTTGGCGATCAAATTCGGGTCGAACGGGCGCCTAAACCAAAGACCGCCGCTGCTGAATCACACAGCCATGTCTCGAGCTTTTATGCCGGAAAGATGAAGTCAGCGGATGCTTCAGACGATGAGGTTGCCAGCAACCTACTCCAAAAAGTGCTTAATCTTCCAGATCAAGTTACAATCTGCCTCTCTGCAATGATCAAGCATATGACGGAGTACGGACTGGAGCATGTCTTGGAGCTGACAAAGTACTTCCAGCATTTCTCTTCTCGCTCGCATATGCTTCTCAATGGCAATACCCTTACGAGTCTTGAGATATACCAGAATCAAACAGATTATTCTGCAAAAGGCAGCCTGTTCTGGACACTGGATCGGACACAGACTCGGTTCGGACAGAGAATGCTTCGGAAATGGGTCGGGCGGCCATTATTGAATAAACGGCAACTCGAGGAGCGAATCAACGCTGTGGAAGAGTTAAAGGATCCTCAGAATACCACAACTCTAGAGCGAGTCAAGTCTCTACTCGGAAGAGTCAAGCATGACCTGGAAAAGGGGTTGATTCGGATATACTATGGAAAGGTAGGAGCTAGGGTCGTTCCTCGTCTTCATCGTACTAACAGTCACAGTGCTCCCGGCCCGAACTTCTCAATATTCTACAGACCATGCAGATGATTGCACAAGAATTCAGCGATATCAAGTCTCCTCTGGATACAGGATTTTCCTCGCCAGCAATCAGCCAAGCAATTGCTTCCCTTCCTACCATCCTCGACGACGTTGTTTCGTTCCTGAACAAATTGAATATGCACGCGGCTCGGAATGACGACAAGTATGCTTTTTTCCGTGAAGCGGAGGAATCCGAGGATATTAGCGAGCACAAGCTTGGAATTGGTGGAGTTGAGCACGAGCTCGACGAGCACCGCTCAGAAGCTGGACAGGCTGTGGGAAGGAAGACTGTCACTTACTCGTCTGTTGCCGGTATTGATTTTCTCATTGAAATTGAGAACACCTCGGCAGCTATGAAACTAGTGCCAGCGTCCTGGGTGAAGATCAGTGGCACAAAGAAGGTGTCGAGGTTTCACACACCGCAAGTGATCAAGCTGATACGGCAAAGAGATCAACACCGGGAGGCGCTTGCTGCCGCCTGCGACAAGGCCTTTTTGGCCTTTCAAGCCGAAATAGCAGCTAATTACCAGACTCTTCGAGACTGTGTACAGTCCCTGGCGACGCTGGACTGCCTAATCTCCTTAGCCACTATTGCCAGCCAGCCGGGCTACGTGAAGCCCGAGTACACAGAGGAAACATGTATTCACGTGGAGCAAGGGCGTCATCCGATGGTGGAACAACTATTACTCGACAGCTATGTACCCAATGACATTAACCTGAGAAGCGACAAAACACGGGCCCTCTTAGTGACGGGCCCAAACATGGGCGGAAAGTCTAGTTACGTGCGGCAGGTAGCGTTGATATCCATTATGGGCCAGATCGGCTCGTATGTCCCTGCGCAATCCGCGAAACTCGGAATGTTAGACGCCGTCTTTACACGGATGGGTGCCTTTGACAATATGCTGGCGGGAGAGTCGACTTTTATGGTGGAACTTTCCGAGACAGCAGACATCCTAAAGCAAGCAACCCCGCGCTCTCTCGTGATTCTCGACGAGCTGGGCCGCGGCACGTCCACGCACGACGGAGTGGCGATCGCGCAGGCTGTCCTGGATTATATGGTGCGGTCTCTTCGCAGTCTTACTCTTTTCATCACACACTACCAGCATCTCTCATCTATGGTGAACTCATTCCCCGACGGCGAGCTGCGGAACGTACACATGCGATTTAGCGAATCAAAGAGAGGGACAGACGAAGAAATCACCTTCCTCTATGAGGTCGGAGAAGGTGTAGCGCATCGCAGCTACGGATTGAATGTTGCTCGCTTGGCGAACCTTCCGTCTTCCATGCTGGAGATGGCCAAACAGAAGAGTGCGGAGTTGGAAGAAAAGATCCGCCGTCGTCGACTCGCTGGACTTGTCTCGACCGTTGGAAACGTAATGGAAAGCGCGGATGAGGCCTTGATTGAAAGGCTTGTCAGCACCATGGAAGACTTGTAATAACTTAGGGATACTCAATGTACCAATTATTGACCAAGCCAATCAAGTTTGCCTATTTCTTCACCTGCTCGCAATGAAATTGTGTGCCTGAAAGGTCAGGCACTAATGGGGGGCTATTGCTGCCTCAGGCGTCAATGCGGCCCCGCCGAAGATGCAATTCGTTCAGTCATTCTCCTCTGGGCCTCCTCCGCTGCGTCCTTTCTTCTCCCAATTCTCTCATTTGCAAGCGCAATCTTCTTCGCTCATTACAGGACTGTCTCATAAGGAGCGCCATTCAATTGAGCAGTTTCTTTTTCTTCCACCGTGTTCGAAGCAGTTCTTTTCCCACCATTTCAATCCCAACCTACCCCGCGCCCAATTCTTCTCTAGCTGTCCAACATGGATCTGGTCAACCAGTTAGTCAATCGAAGCGTGTCAATTTCCTCCAGTTAGCAGAGATAATAATGAAGCATTCCAGCCTTGAAGGAAGACTTCTTTTCGCAGTCCCCAAAAGCAAGTTCCCCAAATCTATGTCCTCGTCGCGTCTGAGTCATTCAGTCATTCACAGTTCACACAAATGAGTCCCCTTTCACAACCAACAGCAACTAACAAATCAATCTTTTGTGTTACAGAGGGCCGCCTGCAACAAGCAACCCTCGACCTCCTCTCCGGCTGCGACATCCAGTTCCGCCGCGAAAACCGCCTAGACATCGCCCTCGTTAAAAACCTGCCCATCGCCCTCATCTTCCTCCCCGCCGCCGACATTCCCACCTTCATCGGCGAGGGTCGCGTTGATCTCGGTATTACTGGGCGCGATCAGGTCGCCGAACACGATGCGCAACTTGGCTTGCCCGCTGGCGAGGAATCCAATGTGCAGGAGGTCTTGGATCTAGGATTCGGCGGGTGCAAACTGCAGGTTCAGGTTCCGGAGAAAGGCAATATCCAGACCGCGAAGGACCTGATTGGAAAGAATGTTGTGACAAGCTTCACTGCGCTTTCTGAGCAGTTCTTTGCGCAGTTGGAGGGTGCTGCTCCTGCTGAGAGGAAGACCAAGATCAAGTATGTCGGTGGAAGTGTTGAGGCTGCTTGTGCGCTAGGCGTCGCGGATGGAATTGTCGATCTTGTCGGTGCGTACCCTCTCACTCTGCTTTTTTTCTTTCGCGCCTGTTGTTGGACAATTGACTCACTAATTCCTTCAGAATCCGGTGAGACCATGCGCGCCGCTGGGCTCAAGGCTATCGACACCGTCGTCTCGAGCACAGCCATCCTAGTTAAGAACCGCAACACCAAGAATCCGCTCGTCGACCTTATCACATCTCGTGTCCGTGGTGTCATTAGTACGTCGCCCCTGTCAGTGACCGATAATCAATCAATGCATACTAACAACCGTTTGCAGCCGCCCAAAAATTCGTTCTTTGCCAGTACAACATCCCCCGCGACAGCCTCGCAACCGCCAGCAGTATCACTCCCGGAAAGCGCGCGCCCACGGTGACGGCCCTCGAAGAAGACGGCTGGGTCGCAGTGAGCTCAATGGTCGAGAAGAAGAAGATCGCAACAGTGATGGACGAGCTGACCAAGGTCGGCGCAACGGATATCCTGGTGCTCAACATCGCCAACTCGCGAACAGACTAGACATCCCCTGCTTACCCGTTATGATTTTCCTTCTTCGTACATTCATGACTCTTGTTTTCTATTTGATTTCCTTTGGCCATGTTATAGAAGTTTCTTTTTTCTTCTACTTGTTGTCCATTTAGTCCCTTTCTTTTTCTTCTTCATTTTCTGGGTCTTTAAATACTTCTGGGATCCGTCTCGGGCTTGGTTATGCGTGTGCTATCCGTTTTGCCTTTACATATGCCCTTGGATACCTACCGTTGATGTTCAGATCGGGCAAGCTTTCCGCGCCGCCTTTGGAATTCTTTTTTCTTTTCTTGCCAGAGAGGGTATAAAAGTCTAGGGTTGGTTACATTAAGAAGCACGATTAACATTAAGATTAAGATTCAGGTACAGATACAGATAGACTCGATTAGAAAATGGAAAACTCAATTCAGATTGAACTCTGTTCAAGTTAGGGTTAGTGTTATGAAGGAAACTTGGTGGGGCATGTACTATCTATGTACTAAAGTCTAAGAGGAATAGTTGGAGTAGACGGAGTACTAGTTGTAGCAGTAGGAATGTATGTATCCGATATAGTATGTAAGGGATAATGTGATAGGGACATATGTATACGTATCGTATGTATAGAGGAACGGGACGGGTAGGGTATCAATAAGGACAAATCCCACACCAGGCCAGACAGAGCAGAGCAGAGAAGAAAAGAGAACACCATGCCTATCCAAGACAACCGGGCGCCACGAATAGAACACCAACAAACAAACAACACGACTACTACAAAGCAGAAGGGGAGGGAGAAGAGACAGGGGTGGGGGAAGTGGCAGCTGATGAAGGCGAAGGCGAGGATGAAATGCCAACGCCTTCCCGCCGCCCTTTCACCAATGCCCGTAGACACACCCCGATTCCCTCCAAATCGCCCAGTAACCCCACGTGCCCGCGCTCCGACTTGACGAGGCCATCGCGGATCACCTTGTACCCGTGTGGAAGCATGGCCGCGCTGGCGAGACAGACACCGTCGCCAGCCGCGAAGGCTAGGTCATCGTAAGCGTCTGCACGCTTGATCGCCTCGCGGGAGGTGACGCGCGCGCCGTAGACGGTGGGAACGCATTTAGAGTACAGCACGGCGAAGGGCGGGTATTTATTGGATTCCTGGTGCTGTGCGTTGTGCAGGGTTTCGTGCTTGAATGCGGCGATCTCCGCGAGTGTGCGCTTTAGGTACGCGCGCGCGGCTTCGGGAGGGATTGTGACGGGTTGTTGGGTGGGTGAGATGGAGGAGGAGCCCTTCGGATTTGCAGTGGGACCGACGAGGCCTTCGCCTGTTGGCATGATGTGCGAGGGCTTGAGGTGTTGTTGAACACCAGTCGTGCTGGAGGAGTTGTCGGTTGAGTTTGGTGTGGAGGTGTAGAGGTCTGCTTCGTCTGTTGAGGTGATGGATGAATTGGAGAGCATGGTTGAGAAGCGCTTGCGCATAGGGACATTCTTGTCCTTTAAAGATAAAGAGGAGCCGGTGCGGGCCGGCGTTGGCGCGGGGAGTGGTGGGTTAATGCATGGGGAGAGGCGGTACTCGTCCCAGACCTCCGGATCAAAAAAGTCGAGGCGGTATTCTTCCTTTGTGTGCTTGTTGATGAAGCAGTGGCCCTTTTCGGGAAGGAGGGCGAAACTAGTCCGGAAAGTGAAATTGACCTGCGCTGTGAGGACGCGGGAACTGAGGAGTACGTCATCGCCGTTGCGAAGGGGTCCAAGGATGTTGACGCAGTGCTGAGGCACACCGGCATAAACAACGCCCGCGAAGAGCTCTGGCCGTTGGTTCACGGCGTGGCGGGTGATAAGACCGCCCAGGCTGTGGGCGATAACCCATGCGCCTCGCTTGTGCGGCGGCACGTCTGGCGCGTTACATGGAAGTCCCTCGAGGTAGCGGATTAGGCGCTGCGAGAGAAGATGCGGGCTAAGGCGCCAGTCGTATCCATAATTGTGGACGCGGAGGTCGCCGCGGACGGTGTTTTCGCATTTTTGCAGCCGTTTGAGAAGACGGCGGCAAATGTCGACCGGGCCGATGTGCGAGAGGACCCCGTCGGGGATGATCGTCTCCTCCATGCGCTCTTCGTCTTCACGTGTCAGACCGACCTCGAGATCGACTTTGCGGAGATTCAAGCCGACCTTCATCGGCACCCAGAGCTGCCGGTGCGGCGGCTTGGCGGATCGCAGGATCGAGCCTCGGTAGCCTCCCATCACCACAACATCTCCGGTTAATTCGCTCATGGCATCGTAGAGCATAGGATAAGTCGCAGCTACGCTTGAGCGGGGCGATCTAGTTCGTGGCGGCGGAGCCTCCTCGGCAAGGGCACGAATTTCGGATGGCGTTGCCGACGTCGCTGTCGAGCCAAATGTATCGTCGGTAGCATTGGTCTCCAACCTCCGATGAGAGGCATCTGAGAGGAACTGCTTGTACCCCCAATCACTGCGCAGGTCCTGGAAGTGAAGACTCGGCATACTCAACAGCCGACTGCTAGAATCCTGCAAGGTATCCTTGATAGCTTTGAACCGGCTATTCGTCTGAGAATGGATATGCTCGTATTGAGGACGATGCTCGAGCGATGAGGCCGTGGAGGAAGCTCGTAGGTACAAAGATTGGTCCGAGGATGATCGCCGGAGTGCATTGTTTGAACGCACAAACGAATGTTTACCTGGTGTCTTTGCAGACGGAGCTTGCAACGGCTTCAACTCCCCAATGGGATCTTCTGCCGGCACACCAGCCGTCGCGCCATTCGTGACTGGTGAATCAGGGCTGGGAAACGCTGCCACGGGCGACCTCGAAGCCGCAGATGCAGGAGCAGGCGAAGTCTCCTGCTCCAGGTTTAGCTTCGACGACCAACTGCGCGGCCTCCGCGGCGCCAAACTCGCCGTCCGCAAATGCAGCGACGGAAAGAACTTTTTCAAGCCGCGATAACCCGTCGAACTATCCCCGGACCACGCTCGAGGTCTTAGCGGTAGCGTGCTCATCAACAGTGACCGGGTGAAGCTGGACCGCGAACCACCGCCAGCCCCTTCTTTCGAACCCATGGCTGCTGAGGTCTTTGCGCTGTCCTCCTTATCGGCCTTCTCCCCTGCATAGGCTACATTGGCAGCATCCGCAAAGTCCTCAGGCTCTTCCGTGATTTCCGGCGCAAAGAGGCCGTCTGGGTCGTCGAAATAACCACCATTGCGCTCCATGATGCGACTCCTTTCCTCAGCGGGGGTTGAGCGCGCCTTAAGACGGCTCTGGACGTAGTTCATGCTCACCCCAATCACGTCGTCAGCTTCGTCAGCCGCACCACCAACGGGCTGGCCAGGAGCGGACGCGGCCGCATCCTCGCTATCGGAGGGGCTCAGCTCCCCGCTGCTGGCATTGAGATTGGCAATGGCAATGGAACCCGGACGACGTGAGGGACGCATGGTGGGATTGAAGAGGGAGGAGACATCCCAATCCAGGAACGCCCGAGCAAATGATAAATAGCAATAACAGTAATGATAAAAAAAGGGAAGGGGAAGGGGAAAAAAGAATCTCACTCGGAGACGAAGAGCAGGTCGGAGCGCCGGGGATGGAACAGAAAAAGAAAAGGGTCCACTGCACAGCCTTCCTCGGGTCTCCCGGAAGCAAACTCCAGCCCAAGGGTCTTATAAATAAGCTGGAAGCAATATAGCAATTGAGTTAAGGCCCGCTAGCAGCCGCTAAGGGCTTGGAGTTTAGGTCGCTCCATGTGTCTGAATCTCGAATTCGTGGATGGGCAGCGAGATATGCTCTGCGGCTGTTCTCTGGTATAGTCGTTCTGCAGCGTTAGCTGCCTTTCTTGCGGGAAGCTTGGGGTCAGGTGACAGTGCTTATCGATTCGTGATGTCACTATGCCGACTGAGTCAGGACGACTTCATTGATACATCACTATGCACAGGAACCGAGGTACAATCAGAACAAGGCCGCAGCTTACGGAGGAGCCAATAGTACGTTGTGGGCTTCAGAATTTGTTGCTTGAAGTCGCAGTAAGGATTCAGAATGTGTCATACGGCAAGCTATTTACAGGATGGTTCCTGAACAGCCAATCATCTAATATGTCTCCACTCGTATTCGTTTAACCAGGACCGAGCAGGACTGATCAAGACTATCTGGGTTGCGATCGAGGCAACAGCGATCAGGATTGAGATCGAACTTTGCCCGCTTCTCGCACCTCGTTCATGAACCCATCCTCGTCGCCAACAGACGACATGATCCAATAGTCGCCGACGCCGCCGTTGGCCAGTCCACCAAAACCAGCAACGGGCGCAGCGGGAGCGCTCCGACGCTCTTTGGGTTTGGCTCCCACGTCGTGGGGTCCCCATGCAAGAAGATTCTTCACCGCCAGACGGCTGTGGTCGTCCGGCTGGGTAAAAGTAAACAGTTGTGGCTGCAAGCATCCGACAATTGCAATGGCGGCACGAATAATGATGCGATCACCCTCAAACACCCAGCAGTCCCAGATGCGACTGAGGCGCTCCACGTCGAGGCCGTTACTAAGGAGCGATTGAAACATGGGTTCAAAGATTTCTTCATCCGACAGGCGCAACGTCTCGTAAAGGTGGGTGCTCAGGCGAGGAAATTTGTAGCGAAGAGTTGTTGACGCAAGGGAGTAAGTCCGGTTCATCGCTCCACGATCCATGGTCATAAAGGCAACCGGCAGGGGGCGGTTGAGCGCATTGGCCATGGCCAAGAATGCAGACGAGGGCGACGGAAATTGAAGCACTAACAGTGCGGCAATGGTCTGAAAGGTTTCAGCTTAGATCTTTTTCTGCTTTCAGGGGATACTCACATGAAGGCCACTTATATATCCGACGTCACTCCGGTACATGGAGTACGCTTCCAAGACATCGATCAAGGTATCGCGCAGGGGTCCTCCTTCCTGGAAGAGGTTCAGGTCAGGGAAGGTTTTGGAGGCGTCATTCTGGATGGTGTCAAACCACTCCATCATCTTCTTGTTACTCTCGCCAGAGTCACCCTCGGATTTGGCGCGTGCCTCCTTTGCCCGCGTAAGAGCCTTATTGTACGTCTCATCGGAGAGAGCCAGCTCATTTCCAATGGCACGCTCCCAAGTCGATCCCCGGATGCGCGAGGGAATGCCTCTCCACCACAACTCGCGAGTGCGAGTCTCACTAATAGCTTGTCCCCAGTTGGGGTACACGTATTCGTCCCAAATCTGCTGAAGGGTCTCGCGCGTATTGTCTCGCTCGCACTTAGCAGAAGCCTCCCTAGCAGCTCGACGTTTGTCTGCTTCCCGTGATTGTTCCATCATTTTCTTATATTCTTTGAGGTGGCGTTTCTCCTCCTTCTGATCCTTCGGCGGAAGCCAGCTAGGCCGAGTGCGGGTGAGTACCTTTTCCTTTTCCTTGCTTATAGGCAATGGGTCGATCATGATGTTGGATTTTTGGACAGGTGGCAGCTCAATTGCGCCCTTGGAATCTCGCTTGGACTCATCGCTAGACCTCAATGAAGAGAGCCCACTCTGAAGACTATCTCCACGCTTCCGGTCGTTCTCGTCGGCGTGGTGTTCCAAAGCCTGGGTGAGGTTCTTTGCTTCTTCTGATAGGTCGGACATCATACTGTTGTAAGAGTAAAGCCGCGGATTACGCGGGGAGATCTGACCCCGCTCGGGGCCAGCAGAGCTAGATCGCATCAATTGCCGATTTGCTCGAGAAGTGGCCGGGGATCGGCGCGCTGGTGTCGCGGCAATAGAAACCTCGGAGACCGAATGCGAGAGAGGGAAAGGACGTGGTCCGGGACTCTGTCTGTTGGGGCTATGCTCCCTAGATGCGGAACGATCCTCCACAGGCCGAGGAGAGATGGGTACATTCCATAAGCTTGCATCCTCCGGGAGTTCCTCGTCCGAGTCGTGGTATTCTGCCTCCAGGTCCTTTAGCGACTTGCGGCTGCGCTGCCACGAAGGTTTGCGATTGAGAGGTCGAGCATTGGCTGGAGACAGTGCCAATGTCTGATTCGAGGGGGACGTGGCCAAACCGGGTGAAGGCCGAAGGGGTGAGGCAGATCGGTTGCGACGAGATCGTGATTGTGGTTGCGGGGTCTGTAGGTCCCGCGCACCTGTCATTAGCTTGGGGCCCGGCCGTGCCTGAGGGGGATATCCATTTCTCGGAGCACCAGCTATCAGATCGCGTGTCGTCGTCGTAGGTGCCTTCGCCAGCATTCGGGCCGTTGAAGACCGCGCAATCCCCGGAGCTCGGCCATAAGGGACAGGGGAAGCCTGCATATATGGCATCGACTCGTCTTCTAAACCAATTTCTTCAAAGTTGCCGACATCTGCAAAGGGCTCGTCGGGGCTGGACATGCGCGAGGAGGATCGAAAGGACGAGGACTTGGAGGACTTGGACCCCGATAGTTCGGGTGGGGAATTCGGCGCTGCAAAGACAGCCGTCATGTCGTGACACACCGGTCGAGGCGGATAATGCGGATTAAGATTATTACAAGTCAATAGTGTTGGAAATTCGAGAAAATCGAGTGAGGGCGAGTAAAAAAAAAGCGATTTGATCGCGTCGTGAAGGTGTGAGGAATGTGCAGTCCGGCAGCAACACACAGAAACGAAGGACAAGCGCAGGACTCGGCAGCGCTGTATATTAATATCTCACGAGGAAGTTCAGGGCCATCAACAGCCAGTCAATAATAAATCAGGACTGGTATCCAGGACTGCGGTGGACTCGGAAGGTATGCAGCCCCAAGAGGTAAGAAGGGAGAACAGGGGTCGGAGGTTTAGAAACAGAAAAGAAAAGGGAGGAGCGAGTGGTGAGCGGAATAGAAAGGGCGAGATGAAGACGTAAGAGAAGAGAAGTGGGCGTGAAAATGCAACGAGTGACGAAAATGAGCGAAGACTTCAACTTGGACAGGAGCGAGAGATTGATCATTGAGTCCATCACCGAGTTCAGCGAACGATTTCAGGTTCTCAGCCGAGAACAAACTCCTCCCAACCGGAAGCAGGGAAAAGGACTAGACTTGACTGGGCCGGCCACGGCGGGTTGCTTGCGTTCTATTCGCCGTGTCCGGCGATCGACGAACCGGTTTAGGCTTAGCAAACAGGACAGCGCATGGCGACGTTATCGACGCAGCGATCCTGGAGATGAAGGAGGGCAGGCTTGCAGCGGCTGTTCCAAGGCAACGCCACGCAGAATCCACACGTGCCGTCTTTCATCACAGCCAGACTCGACAGTCTCGTCGACAGGTCATCCTTGAAGCTGTGTGTTGTTGGCTTTGGTGAACAAGCATAATATCAAGCATTGATTGTTGATTCCTAGCGATTGCCACCCCCTTTCCTCGTCCTCGGCCACTCTGCTTGTTGTCCACTGTCAGGCGTTCCATGGGAATTATATCGCACAACAACCATATCTTACAATTTAACCAGCCAACCATGGAACCATTCATCTCCATTTATTATTAGCTGAACAGTGCATTGTAGACCGCGCCGTGGCCTTTCATCTTTCCACCCTTGTTTTCATTGTCCATCCCTTGAAGGCCCGACCCCTTAATCGTTTCCTGGGCGGCGCCGAATGGTTCTATTTCTGCTCTAGAACTTCGAAAGATGTCCTATCCTTGATCCCCCTGTAAGGAGTCTTGCAAGGTCAAAAACGCCACCCCCCATACGTGACATTCCCTCTCCGCACTACCTGTGCCAACACCAGCAAGACGCCGTTGTCCGCAAGGTTCTGCCGCGCCTTTTCCATGGTTCCATCCAGCCAACGCAGCACACTTGCATACCGAGTCTGTTTCCGCCCCAACACAAGGTGAAACGCCGCCGCCCCTAAATACTGAATTGTGGCTGCACACAAGCCGCGTTGACCCCGAACCATTCGGTATCCAAGCTGGATCACGTCGCGGATTGTCCGAACCACTACCTCGGGTCGGGGATGCACCTGGTTCGGGAGTGACCTTGTGTATCGGTACATCTTCATCGCGGCCGTGACCATTGTGGAGTAGAGGTTTGAGAGCACTGCAGATTGCGAGTTGTGGCCCGTGTCGAGGTACATTGGGTGCATAGTAAGCTTGACTGATGCAAGGGCCTTTCGATGGAAGGATCGTCCCGGGGCGCGCGATGGCTCGACGCTAAGGGAGTTTGTAAGGGCCGCAGTGACCGACTCGGCTCCATCGAGGATGCGATCTTGATCTTTGAAGATCTCCAGTGTCTGTGTATCCACCAGGCTGCCGCAATACGGGAAGAGCGTTGTGTCTACCAGCCGCGGGATCTGTGCGCCATCTATAGATGCTGCAAAATTTACCAGGCTCTTGGCTGGGTTGACGGAGATGCCGTACGCCGGTTGGCCCTTGAGCATTAGACGTAGAAAACGCATCGCAACTCCAGAGTCTGGCGTGACTAGTAGAAAGTCGTCTATAAGACGCAGAAGCAGGACCGTGACGTCGTCTGACTGCAGAAATCCCATAACGTCTCTCTCCATCTCTGCGTAAAACAAGTTACACAAGAGACTAGAGATGACTGAGCCTTGCGGAATGCCATTGCGCTGTCGAAAATACCTCTTCCCAATTTTGACAAGGTTGCTTCGTACATGAGCGTCAAGAAGGTCAAGCAGAGCAACGCTGCTGTGTTCGTGTTGCTTGACGGTGTCAACAAAGACGGTATTCCTCCTGCCGGGCACACCCCCAGTAGCAATAGAATCCACCAGGTGTTCTGGAGTCGCCGTCGCCCTTCCAAGAAACTTGCGCAGTGTCTTGCACTGATCAGACCCCTGCGGCCACATACTAGCAAACTCATTCCCAGGCCTCATGGTCACGTAGTTCACGTAATGGTACGCCTCCTCGGGTACCAGGCTTTCAACAAGCCGCACAAGGTTCTGCTGCGGTATCGTATCAAAGCAGGACTGGATATCAACCTTTACAAAGTAGAGTGGCGTATTCTTATTCCAGCCCTTTGCAATCAGCGACTCTTTGAAGGCCTTTAACCGAGGATGAATATCCCCCACAGAGGTCATGCCCGAACCGAGTAGGTGATTACGCCGCCTGCGCTCAAAATCCAACATCCCGTGGATAGGCGCAATCGTTGAATTCACACTATACCCGAGTTTCTGCTGCTTTCTTCCAGCTCGGGTAGTCGTCATGATCGGCCGCAGTTTCAGGTTCAGGATTGGACGGATGCCTGCTGTCTTGGGAAGGAGTCGCAGGGAGCCATATCCTAACTTCCGGTTGCTGAGGATCTTCTTGGCTTCGTCTGTATTCAGCTCCTCGAACATGGCAGACTTGAGGTTTGCTAGTGGTCGTGTGGTAATGCGGCGCCAGACGTCGTGGCGAAAGTAGAAGAGACGGTTTCGGTGAAGTTGGGATTCAGTTACATAGAAGTTACCGCGGATAAGTGGCATAAGGATTGAGGTGAAGAGGTAGTAGATGAACTCGAAGAAGATGTCTTTGCGTTTCTGCAAGTCTGATAATGAGATCTTGAGCTGTGAAGATGCTGAATTGAGGCTTTGGGGGACAAGCCAGGGTATCTGTGTGATCTGCGAGGCGTTTAGCTCGAGTTCGAGTTCACTAGGTGAATGTAAATCATAGTCTACCGACCTTTATGCTTTTGCAGACATCATCAAGGCTTAGACTCTCGAACCTACGCAGCCGTATGAATCTATCAACATGGCCTAGGATAATCTCTCGGTGGGCACATCCCTGCTCCCCAGTTCCGAAGAACTCGGGTGGTACCAAGTTGTAAATGACCCCTTTGCAAAACGCTGATACAGATGCCACGGGTGTAGCATAGTCTGTCAGGTTAACTCTTTGCTCAGGTTTAGTGTTTCGGGTGCTTGAAGGAGCACCAGTCACTTGTGGAATGTGTCGCATATCATGGCGAGTGATGGCTGCTTTCTGGGTGATTAATGGTGCTGAACTTAAGGATGTAGAAGCGATATTTGATGCCTCGTCCGTATCAGGGAGTTCCATTGTCCAAGGACAAGCATCCTATAACATTAGCTATTGCTATGTAGCGGCACTTGGCAGCACACCTGTTCTGGGCAATAATAGCGCAAGAGTTCCTTGACTGAGCACCGCCTATTTCTATTCTGGAGCCGGCGAACCAACTCCACAGCAGTATCTCGGAGGCGTTTTGGTACGTACTCTAATGTCTGAGACTCACCAGGTGCTCGTTGAGCCTGTTTCGAACGATTTTGTCTTGCAATCTCGTCTTCGCGAGACTCGTTTCTGATGCTGTCTTTGCGGCTTCTGGGATCGCTTGTGAGCACGCCTCGCAGGCCAAATTGGCCTGGAAAGATATATTTCATTACATGCACGGTTTGCGGTAGTGAGCTGGAAGAAGGGAAAAGGCTGAGGACATCTATAGCGCTGTCAGAAGAGTATGATCAGTTTACGCATTGACTCACGATTAGGCATGCCGAATTCTATCCTTCCCTTGGGATCCAGACGGGGACGAGCGTAGCAGGTCTGTCGGATAGAGAAGAAAACCGTGCTGGGGTTTCGTTTATTGCTATTCTCTTTGACTCCTTTTCTAGACGTTTGGGGATTTACTCTCACCAGGCAGGGCTGTTCGCATTTCGTTATAGGCTGCGAGGATACTTTGGGTGTTTGAATGGGGTCGAGAGCTGATAATGCGCGTCCTGGTTACAATGTCAGAGCCTGTCATCTTTCTGGTGATACCCTCGGAGTATATACCACTCAGCTGATAATAAACACCCTTTTTGGCATCAATAGGGATAAAAATACCACAATCGAGCAAGAGCTTGATCATTATGTCGTCACCGTTGGTCCCAAGAAGGCCGAGGACATCTGCCCAGGGCGCTTGTTTCAGCTTCTCGACATTCCTATTGGGAAACTTGGCTTCAACGCCCGGTATACTGCACGGTTGTAGGTTGCCATGGGGGAAACCTCCGGCCTCCTGGAACCCATGAGTGAGAAGATGTTCTGCTCTTCGATACGAGTGGCCCCGGTGATCAAAGAGTGACCAGATGACAAAATCGACGAGCTATAGTTTTGGATTAGAGCCTGTGGTAATCAAGAGACAGTTTCCTACCGCTGACTGTGGACTCGCAGGCCCAGTATCAGTTCCAATTTGAGTCCTCTGAGTCTGGGTATAGGCGATGAAATCCCGTCGGCGTTCCTCGCTCTGAGCCAAGGGTAGTTCAGTCCACACTCCAACTAGAGTTGTATCGAGAAGATGGGCAAGGGATTCTTCATTCGTCCCCAAGTGAGTGCCATCACTTCGGATAGCCGCGATTCTCCGTCGGCGCCCCTTGGACGATTGGGGGATGCGCTGCAGAATGAAATGCCGCAGTGTTACCACTTGGCGGTAATATTGGGATATGACCGGATGGGAGATCTCGACTGCATCGGAGTCGTTGATCCTTGAATGAGAAATCAATGGGGCCTTGATGGGTTGTTTCGATGGTTTCAGGCGCGCCTGGCCGCCCTTGACGGGCCTCTTGCGTTTTTTGCCCATGGCCCTGCGGTGCGAACCAACATTAAAGATTAATCAGGTAATGGAAGTTTTCATCGAACTCGTTCGGGTATTCAAGTGATAGGCGGAGGCGGCCTCTGAACTGTCTACCTCTTCGGCAACGATGCTCAAGGGAGACGCGCCGCGACGCGGGAGCAACGCGATGAAAAGTGCTCAAAGACGGCCGGCATCAGACCAACACGCCGTACCACTGGGAAAAAGTCAATAGGATCGTACAGTCAAAGCTCGGCTTGAATCAGCTTACACTGTGCAATTGACTACGCGAAATTATTAGATGGGCATGGAGGTTGTAAAAGCGTAGTATGCCGGAGTATCTTGGCTCCCGCGATCAACCTGATCAGTGCTTAATTTATATTTGCTTCTCTGGGTGCATCCCATATTGAAGAAAGTTCAGTAGGTTGTTTGTGGTGATTTATTTGAATTATATACTCTTGTGGTATGCTTGTACAGTGAGGATTCAACACATGCGTCGCAATGGCATTATCCCTGCAACATCAGGTGCAATATCTATATATATATATACATATATATATAGAGATAGACGCACTCAACATAAGTCATTGGAAATGAATTTTGGTATGCTGCTCACCTCAAACTGGTTGAAATATTTCGATAGTTCAGTCATACCACAGAGATAGCGCTTCGAGGATATGCTGGTTGCGCATAGTTCAAAGCAAGATAAGGCCGTTCATGCAGGGCACAGAGGCCCAAATTGCGACCCCACGGCCCACGGAGTTCACAGAGAGATGACCCGCATGCAAGTCTGTCTGGAGTTTTAGACAGCTTAATTACTAATTGTCCGGAGATGCAGTTCCTTCCTGATAGACATGTGGCTGCTTCGGCAGCGAAATAGTGCATAGGGTGTTCACGTTGCTCCAATACTTTTTTCTCCCTGGGTTAACATCTAATCAAACATAATGGAGCGACTAGTAGCTTGTAATCAAACTTCATAATATCAGAGTCAGCATTAATTGCAATAAATAAATGGGCGCATTGATATTATTGGATTCACGTTGCATCAACTGATTGGGGTTGAGTTGAAGGCAACCATCATCAGGGTAAATCAGGCCTAGATAGCGGCCTGACGGAATCCGGCTGTCAGCAGAAATCAAGAAGGAATAACAGACAGCTAACGGCTGCCGACGATCTTTTCTTGACCTGGAAGTATGTATTTCGGACATGCCAAACTATCGTCTATGTAGACCGCGCCAGCGAATGCTATGCTCGCTGTAATATATCCTCTCAATGGACCAAAATTCTGCACGTCGCACAGTCTGGGGGTTATAAGCACTTTATCTGGCGGTTCAACAACATTGACAACACAGCGCGCCAAACCTAGAAGTCACATAAACAAACTTGGTGTGGAAACAGCCCGTAGAACGGAGAACTATCTCTGTACCAGAGTACGGAGGAGAGATGGATCAAGTCTTTCCCTGGAGTATGTAGGGCGGCAGGAGGGCGTGGTCACAGATGCAGGTGCTGGAAGAGACTTTCATTCCGCGGGCCGCGGACCCGTCCTGAACCTTGAAAGTCGAGTTAAACTCTGACTGCCGATGAAAAACAGCCGATGCCTGGCGCCTTTCCCGTGATTGCCGGGACTGACGGTGCGTACATAATGTAAATAAGCCGCCGCCTCATAGGTACGAGCGAGAGAGGTAGACAAAGTGGAGATTGACGAGATGAAGAAATTTCTTGACGAACATTGGAATCTCAGTGTCGATCAAATGGTCGAAGAATCGAAGATGGATTTGAGAGGAACCCAGATCCATGGAACAACGGCGGCCAGGAAATGCCCCCACCACAACACTTGCAGCGAGAACAATGTGGGCTGGTCCAGGCCGGCGATGAACTGCGTCCGAGACGACTGTTCCTGGACTGACCCAAAGATTGGGATTGGGTGACCTCTCGGTCATCAACCAGAAGGGAAGGAATAAAATATCGCTTGCTTGCTTAAAGTATGGGTCGCAACGTCACATATTTCACCAGAGGATTTGGACGGATCGCTTCGTCATGTTATCGATCATAAGTAGAGCTTCAGCTTCGAACCAAAGAGGACGAAGAGGAGTCAGTTTGAGCGACGATTGGTATCATTCCGGTATCAATCGGTCAATCTCTGGCCTGCTTGGCCTTTGTATTCAGATAAAAAAAAGGCTCAGATCTAGCATCATAATGGATGGATCGCATTTCTCGAAGAAAGTGGACCAGGTTCTTTGGATCCAGGCCAATCATTCGAACTTCCAGAACGTCACAGTCAGACACACCACACGAGTCGGCAGACTCTTTATTCTTGGGGCTAGACTCGATGGAGAGACAAAGAAATACTGTACCGATCAGGTTCAAGTTCTCGGGTCATCTTTGTTTCGGCTCGAGAGTTGGAGAACTCGACGCCTGTGACTTAATCAACTTATCAACCAGTAGTCGTGATAGCTAGTTATCAGTAAGGGAAGGAGGTCTCACCTTTCAAGGCGATGGTGGTTTGACTCTGAAACCACTGCAGCCAACAATGGACGTGCTCGAGCAGCCTTGAAAATAATACGGCAAAGTAGAGGCGCAACGAAAGACTGGGCAGGGCTAATCGACAGAGTGGCCGGCCCACTGGCGACTGGAGTTTGGACGGAGTAGGTTTACTACTTGGACAAGGCGATTCTGGGCTCCAGTGACTGTGACGCCAAAGGACGTACCTAATTGCCATTTTGACTGCCCATGATTCTGCTCGTTCGCTTTCCTCGTCTGCTTTTCCCTTATTCCTCCATTTGAATCCCCTTCTTGATCCTAGTCCCAACTATTATTACGACTATTGCTGCTATTATTATTGTTCTTGCTTCCGATCCAACCCCTCTCGGCCCGCTTCAAGGTCGTGACTGCGACTTCCCCTCAGCGACACTTTGCACCTCCACCCCCTGCTCACTCCTGCTGCTGCTCACTGCTCACTGCCCAATTGTCCTCTCATCACCTCGCTGTCTCCCCATCCCACGCCCCTTACCACCACCGCCCGATCGTTAACTTTCGCCCTCCGCTCTGTTTAGAACTGCTGCACGTCAATCGCTTCCTGCGTCCTTCCCGGATCCAGGCCTCGGATCACCCGCTGAAGCTTGGTGATCTTGACCTTCATTTCAAATATGACGCCGTATTGGGGTAGTACTACCCGGTGACGATTGCCTTGTAGTTCTGGCTGGCCCATCTGCAACACTGTCTGTGGCCGCCAGCCGTGAACAACGCATCGCAAGACTAGCATCCTTGGACAGAAACGATCTCCGCCAACCATCTGTTTGAAGGATCGCCCACAGTCAGAATACTTAAAAATACCAGCAAAATTTAAAACGAAAAAAAAAGGGCGCCATCTCTTATGTATGAAAAATGTCCGGCAGCGATGTCGAACACGTTTCGGGCCTTGTTGACGGCGACTCTCCCCAATCTCGGCGCCTATCCTCCTCCTCCGACTGCTTCTACGACGCCCTTCCCAATGGCTTCCACGACACCCCGCTAACTCTACCGTCCTCTCCACCGATTTCCTCCCGGTCAGGTACCACATATACCACACAGCTAGGTGTCTCAGGCCCACAACCCTTCGCTTCATCCGCGGCCAGTGCTCCGAACGGCTATCCCAACCGTCACCACCGATCCTCTCCCGACCCTGACGAGTATTACCGGCCACATCCATCGACCTTGCTTGCGGAGGAAGACACTGGGATTCGAGGAGGAAGCGGTTCCTTGTCTGGATTCACAACTACAACCCCGGAGGCGAGCTCGGTATCTACGTCGCAACCAGTGCCAGGACAATACCGTGCCACGGCCGACACCTCTAGACGGGGCCGGCCTGGGTATCCAACCGGTCCTTCCTTCGTACGGCCGTCTGTAACGCGCCCGAGACAAACCTCTTTCAAAGATCTTGTCAACAAGTTCAACAACAACCCCGATCAAGTCCTCCCGCTCCCACTCCCTTCCACCTCCACCTCCGTCTCTCGGGAGCAGTCCAGGGCATCGAGTCCTGTCGATCATAGTATACGAACCAGAGCGGCGTCTCGCAGGCGAGATACCGACGGATCAACGTCATACCCCACCCAAGATCCCTTATCACAAATCGGTCCACCCTTCTCGAATCCGATAAGCCTCGACGACGGCTCATTTCGCCCTTTGAACTTGCATCCGCGCCGTCGCTTGTTTGGCGAGTTACTCACGGTCGATACAGGGTTTCAGGGATATGGGATACCGTCACATTTGCGACGTCGAGGTTCTGAAGGAAGCATCCCTAGCCCGAATCCTGCACTTCGAGATCATTTTGAGCCGGGGACCCCATTGACCCCTACGGCTTGGTATCTAGGACGGACACCATTTTTGGAAGCTGTGAGCACGGGCGAAAGCTCGAATCGCCATCGCCGGACAAGGAGTGATATTCCAGGGAATTTACCAGAGGGTGTGAATTCGCACCCGCCCGATTCTGACATGGCGGTCTCCGCCCCCTTGCAGCTAGGCTCGCGAACGTACCTGGACAACTCGCATTCCAAGTCGCGCATTCCTATCTCCTCCCGCCGCATAGCTTCACCCTCCGCTTCAGACGACTCTCCATCCTCCCCAAAAGCCCAATCACCAGTGAATAGCCGCTTCGATACGCAAACGCCCCTACCACCAAAAGGCGTCAGCCGTCTTCCTAAACCATCACCCCGATCTCCACGCGACTTGGCGGCCCATGGCCAGTCGACGCTTACAACAACTTCCACCACTACGCCCATACCTCGCGGAAGGCGAGAAATGGGCTATGGTCGAGCCCGAGGCAAAATTCCCGAAAAGAGTCCGCTCCTCGAGGCATACATAGCTGCACCGCCCCCAAAGAAATCGCCTCCTTTGCGCAGTTCTCGACCCCGCCAACCCGTCTCACATACTGCTTCGGCGGCGACACGATCGAGAGTCGGAGAAACAGTGTCAAACCTCCAAAAACAAATCAACCGAGAGCGAGAGTTACGAAGCTCAAGGCCGCGCGAGCGAAGATTACCGGAACTGGGGAATGTTGATTTCGCGACCAGACGCCAAAAGATCCAGCAGGCATTTAACCGTACAGTCAAGGAGAACGAAAGAAGGGAAGAGGAGGCGGCCGAGCTTCGCCGTCGGGCTCACGCACAGGAAAACGTTGTGAAACCCGAAGCCAACCAATCACTCGAGTCCGTCCGGCCTTTCGAGACTGAAGCGCGTGAACAGTCGGCGGAGCCAGAGTCTTCTGCCCAACCCGACGATGCGGCAACCGTCATCGAAGATTCATTCGAACCTTGCGAGGATGAAATACCCGAGAAAGACAATCCACAAGCTATACCGCGACTCCATGTCGACACGGAAGTTCAAACCAATGACACACACGCGATGACCATGGATTCTCCGACTTTAGGGCACCCCATTGTGGTGCTAGAGAAAGAGCCTGACTCTAAACCTTCCGACATGCCTCTAGCCTCATCCGCGACTTCGTGCTCCGAGGAGTCGCCAGTGACGACATTTGATCCAGAGCCGCAAGCCGAAATATCCCAGCAAGATGTGCATACTTCTCATAGGACTTTATTGAGTGAAATCATGCGCATTCGTGAATCCAGTCCCAGCAGCTCGTCATGCGATGAGCAGGAGGCGTACGGCTTTTCCGACAACGACGATAAAGAATCAATCCCGATCGTACTAAACGACAAAATAGGATTTGATGATCTGATCCACGGTAGCGAGCCGCAAGAAAACCCGGATCTATATGCGCAACCTGCACCAGCCGCTGGAGTCGTGTCGAATCGATGGAGTATAAGTTCTTGGTCATCATCTTTACCTAACCGTCATTCTACCGACAACCAATGTGAAACACACGGGGACGAACAATCCATAGAAGATGTTTCTCAACAATCCATAGAAGACAGCGAACTGGCAACTCAGTCATGCTCAGCTTCCTCAGATGGTGACAAGCAAGCCTCTATTCTTTCGGCTGATATAGTACATGAGTCGAGACAAGAGGATGTGCCTCTCCGAAAACCCCATGGACATTCCAAAACACCCAGTCTGGCGAAACTTGGTGGATGGGATTCGAAAAAAATCACCCAGTTATACCTCGAAGAGCTTGCACGCGGTAGAGACCACAATCTTCCCCTTAACGTTCGTGCTTCTCCAGAACCACCCTTTTCCAAGGCCGGTTTAAGGGCTGATGGGCGGACGGACAGTCTCACCGATGATCCAGTCTTGGTTTCTAGGTTTGATGGTATGCCCGGGTCTAGTCGACATTCCCATACTGCTAGCTTGATACTACGAGACGACTGGGAACATGCATCTCCTTCGATCATGGATTGGATGCAAGTGGCAGCCGACGATGCAGCTGCACCGCAAGATCAGACGACTGATGCTAGTCCTGAAGATAACGCCATACTAACACCAAGACTGGTGACTTCTAATCCTCAAACCTCGTACACAGAAGCTCGCAATTCAGGGCTCGGTTTGGCCATCAATATTCACTCACCTCAGCAGTCCGGACTCCAGGAGCCTGTTCCTCCTGCGATGCCCCACCGCGAAAGCCCTCCGCTTTCTGCGGAAATGCAAACGGAAACCAGCATCATCCGTGAGTCAATTGATCGCCCATCAAGTGTTCAGCCTATCCCCCAACCCACAAACGTCCCGGCAGTTGCTACCTTCGCACCCCTGGGGCCTGTTCACAGTACTGGCAGCAGCGAAGATTCTCTCAGACGCATTGGACCTTCTCCGTCTCCTCAGGCTCGGGGCTCATCTGCAACCTCCCTTGTGCCCTCAAGCTTGGAGCAGCCGCGTACGGATACTTCCTCTCCTTCTCCAGATCAGCGGCGCCTGAAGAAGCGGCGCCACGTGATCAAGGAACTTGTCGATACAGAGTACACATTTGGGCGAGATATGAAGGTCGTGGATGATATCTATAAAGGAACTTCAAGTTCTTGCCTGGACCTCTCTCCAGAAGATATCAAAACACTCTTTGCAAATTCGGACCAAATTGTGCAGTTCTCAATGACTTTCCAAGATGCATTAAAAGAAGCTGCCAAGAGCGTGTATGTCATGCCAAAATCGCAACGGTGGAGTAGCAAACGCAACGGGCGGAATCAGCATGCTCCCAAGCACGATTCCGAATCTTCCGAGGGAACGGGGCCTTCAGAACTGGAAAAAGACAGATTGACCTCCATCGGCGGGGCATTCATCACTCATATCTCCTATATGGAAAAGGTCTATGCCGAGTACCTGAAAAACCACGACGCTGCGAACAAGAAGCTTCAAGTACTACAACGAAGTCAAAACGTGTCAATTTGGCTGAATGAATGCAGGGAGTGGGCATCAGATCTCACAAGTGCTTGGGATTTGGACTCCCTGCTGGTGAAGCCGGTTCAGCGCATCCTCAAATATCCGCTCCTAATTTCCGAGCTTCTCGACTCTACCGCCTCAGATCATCCAGACCATGCTTCGCTCGCAAAGGCTTTGGAGGAAGTCACCAACATATCTGTCCGTATCAACGAGATGAAGAGAAGAGCAGATGTGGTTGAGCAGGTTGTTGGCCGCAAGAGGAAGGACTCAGATGTGAGGATGGGCCTGTCAAAGGCCTTTGGCCGTCGCACCGAAAAGTTGAGACAGCAAGTAGGCCTGTCCGACATGGTCGCCGATAAGGACTATGACGCCCTATCCCAACGGTTTGGGGACAATTTCTTCCAACTACAAGTGGTCATGCGCGACGCTGAAATGTATACACGTGAAACTCAAGCTTCTATGGATCGTTTCCTCGAATTCGTCACTGCAATTGAGGCATTCATTGATGTTTTCCAGACCGGTTATCCCGAGCTCGAGGGGAAGTGGCGCGTTTTCAAGATATCAGTACAAGATATCATGGCGGCGACCTTACCCGAGCATGTAAGTCTTGTCTCTTGGTTACTGGCTCTTTATGGACCTCACTTACTAATTCTACTCATAGCTCGATGTTGTCAGGAAGAGTGTGATCGATCCTATGGTCACATTGCTCAAGCTTCACGATGGTCCGCAGAGGGTGATGAAGAAACGTGATAAACGTCTCATGGACTATGCTCGCTTCAAAAGCATCAAAGCACGAGGAGATAAATCGGACAAGAAGACGGCCGAGCAAGCAGACCAATTCGTCGCCCTAAACGAGACCCTCAAGGACGAACTTCCCAAGCTCTATTCGCTAACGGCCAAGTTGATGGAGGCATGCCTAAAGAACTTTGTTCAAATCCAGACCACGTGGTATATCCTTTTGCAAAAGAAGATAGGGCCTTTGATCGACTCCTTCCCTGAGAACGTCCAGAAGATCATTGATGATTGGACTACGCGGTTCAGCTACTCGGAGGCACAGGCTCTTTCGCTTGGGATATGCAATGGTTCCTTACTTGCGGACACGGTTAGCTCTGTCAACTTCAGTACTCCCGGCGTTAGCTCCCCGCGCCGACCATCGACAGTGCATAGTTCGAGTACTCGCGCCCTGGAAGAGTCTCCTAAAGTCTCTCATGACTTTAGCGCTAGCAATCACTCTTTCCAATCTCCCAGTGTCGATGGTCAGTCGCAGGTATCATTTGGTCGTCATCGCGCCGACTCGTCCTATTCTGGCTGGCCAGCTCCCGAAACATCGGAGCTGCCTCGAAGTCAAGCGCTGCAGCAGGTCACTAGCGCGTCATCAGTGTCAGTACCTCCACCACAGATGCCCACGGAAACATTGCCCAGACTTCCGAGATTGAGCCTCGACTCTCCATTTTTGGCAGACGTTATCCCGCCCTCCAATACTGATACCACGGGTGACGAACCTTATCCCGCCTCTCCGGCTGGGCGCTATTCGGGATTCTTCTCTTCGGCAATGCCCATGTCGGACAGCCCTCAGGAGAACGCTAGTCAGGCACCTAACCCTACCAAGGAGCCTGCAGTCCTGTTCCTTGCTGCAAGCATCTATGAATTCAATATAGATCGAGCCCGCCGCGAGGCTGGATATCCTTACCTGACATATGTCGCTGGGGAGATTTTCGATGTTATTGCTGAAAAGGGCGAACTCTGGTTAGCTCGGAATCAAGACGACGCGACTCACCAAGTCGGCTGGATATGGAACAAACACTTTGCGAAGCTTTCTTCCTGATATGATCAGTAACCACATTCTTTGGGTGGCCCCCTCTCTAGAGGATTGGAACACTAGTCTGTGGGAACCATTCTCTTTTGCCCGAGTCTCTAGACCGGATTTACTTATGATGTCTGATGAGCCTGTTTGTTATTTTATCTATTATTATGGGACAGACCCGACGGGACAGAGGTTGTCCCCTGGCTTGCCACTTTCCTTTGTCATGTTGTGGAGTGACTTGGACCAGTTGCTGGCAGAATGTCTGGTTATACTCTATATCCTTTTGCCTGAGACATCTAGCAAGCGAGTCATGATTTTTTGTTCAGCGGGAGCCGGTGTTTTGCTTGTCGGCCAGTTTGACGGGAAGAAATTACTCCATACCCGCAAGGATGGCCGTGGAATGTACATCTAGATACCCATTGACAACAATTAGCATTCTGACTTATCATGGTCGTTCTGTAGATAGTTGCCTGTTGCACAAATTCGTAGTCAGCCTTAGAAGGGCCTGCGCCACAGGTGGAGATCCATGCGCCACAACCTTCCCCAGAAAGGCAGCCGATCGCCATTCGTCAGAGTGCGTCACAGGCAGACTCAAGTCTTTCTTTCCATGGGCTGAAGTCGCCGCCGGTCTACGCTCGGTCAATCGCTCGTCGCATCGACTTCATCTCCGGTTCTCTTGCATCTTACCAGCGTAATTTCCTCGTGCGGCCTCATTTTCGCGCCGTCTCACTTAGTTGAGCTACTCCCCGTGCTCTTGTACATCCTCTTGCGGAAATCCACAGGCTCGGGCGGGCTTACCAACGCCGAGGTCATCATTTTTCGATCCAGTCCGCCGTACATATACGCCGTCCAGATCCTTATAGGGAGCGCCGGAATCTACGTCTTTCACATTCCTTATCTCGCCGTCGTATATAAGTTTGGGCCTTTCCGGGTGTCCAGAGGAGGACATTCCGGTTCGTCGATAAACATGCGGGACGGCGGACTAGGAAAGCTTCACAAGCGGATGCGGCGGTTTGGAGATACGGTACGTTGCCAGGCGGCGGGATGCTTCTTGACCAGTTGCCGGTTGTACTCTGGGTTGAAGTCTAATTGGAAGTCTAGTTGAATCCAGACGACGCTTACCTTAGCTGTAAGTTTTGATGAGCACTTACCATGACCTCTGCGGAGTTCTCTATGCGATTGAGGAGTTCTGACTGGGCCGGAGTTCACAGATCATGACATCAGGTGTATGTTGCGGAATCAAAAGCACTCTGGCAGGGAAGCAACGGTCACACTAATCCGTTTTGCTCTCTAGTGACAAGAGGCGACCTGCAATCTCTCAAGGATGACTGGCTTACAGATAATGTTCGTGTGACGTACAAAGGCTCTGTACACTTGATGCCGGTGCTGACTTGCTGCTTCTAGATTATATCCTTTTGGGAGGAGTAAGTCGTCTCTAAGTTGCTATATGGCGCGTCACGGAAAACTGATCGTCCCCAGGTACTTGGAACGGGAGTTCCTCGTTCAGTACAAAACCTCCAATATTGTCCTTCTTCGACCGAGCATGTCCTTTATGATTCTACAGACGCCGAACCCGCATTCGCTGCGCGATGCTCTGCCGGACTTTAGCCGGACCACGCACGTCTTTCTTCCGATCAACGACTGCCGAAATGTCACAGAGGCCGAAGGTGGTACGCACTGGTCTTTGCTACTAATATCAATAGTGGATGGAATAGCGTTCCACTACGATTCCCTACCGCCAGGCAACTACTGGGAGGCGAAGACCGCCACTGCGAAGTTTGGAGCTCTTCTAAACCGTCCTATCCGGTTCGTCAACCTTGAGGACTCACCCGTACAGGAGAACGGCAGTGATTGCGGCGTGTTCGTTTGCTTGAGTATGCGGCACCTGCTGCTGAAACGGTTGCTCAAGGCCAACTCGACCGAGAAGATTAGTATGAGCCTGGGTGGGTGGAAGGTAGACGCGCGCTCGGGGCGCAAAGAAATAGCCAAAACGATCGAGGGCTTCCGAAAGGAAGGTGAAAGGCGAAGATCGTATGTTGCTCTCAGCCTGGTTCCTTTCTCTTTGCTCACATCCTTTCAGGGCAAGTTTAAGCCCCGCGGGCAAGAAATCGAACAGCCCTCCGCGGATTGAGTGATAACTTACCACTTCACATCTATGCATATAGCTTCTTTGACGTGGCGTACGAGGCTGGGTGAAATAAACACTGCACTCAGATACATCAGGCGTATTGAGGTTGGGACTGATTTGACTTGATGCGGCATGAACTCGAAACATGACTTATGTGGACGACTGGAAAGACGTGGGCAGGTTGTCCTTGCACTGATTGATTCAATTACGTTATTCATCCCCAACTAATGTTGTTAACCCGTGGTTCTGTTCTGTTTCTGATAACTAGGAGCGCATATATCTTACGGCATACATGTTTTACGAGCGTACTGCTGGTGCGATTGATTGCTGTCTTTTGATACGTTGAGCTGGTAATGCATAAGTTATCTCACAAGTATAGACAGGTATTCTATGCCGCAGAAGGTCGAAACCCGAGCAGCGGCTTTGGATCATCGTGATCAGGCCCCAAGGCGAGCACCGTCCTTGGCTCAAGTATAATTCGGGGCGTTGTCGGATATATGAGTCGTTTTGCTTCTGATCCTCCACCCGTCATTGTATCTCCCCTCATATGAGGGACTGGCCAACCGAGTTGACCTATCCAAATCTCTCTCATAACGTTTCTATAGTTTCCAGGAGGCCAGCCCATTGAAATCTTGTTTGCTGGCTTTATTGGTCCCTCACTATTAAGCTATCTCACAGCGTCATTCTTTTCTCCCTATTTAGATAATATACGGCGCCATTGGTCTCCCAATATCCTCTTCTAAATAGTTCCAGGTGGTCTGCCCGCTGACCTTCTCTGATAGTCAGTCGAGACCACTAAGGGTCGTGGTCACCTAGGCCGCGGCTCTGCTCATTCTGCTTTGAGTGAAACATTCACGAACGGGGCAGCTGTGTGATTGTTCCAGTTTGAGCATATTTTGAGCATATTTTGGTTGCCACTGATATTCCGCTCAATGTCTCCGTTGCCTTGACAGTGCAGACTCTTCTTCCCATATTTACCTTCATCTTCCTCTGCCTCTTCTTCTCTTCTCTCCTCACACCTCATGGTTGTTTCGATTGCTAGTTTCGTGTACTCACGTTGCGCTGGATCGTTCTCCGTCTCTGGTGCTTGGCTTTCTTCGTCACCCTCTTCCACCTTACCGCTTGACCATTCTGCAAGATGGCTCGTCTCTGCGTTCTTGGAAGTGCCCTGGGCCCTCTTTTCGACGCCATCCGGCCCAAGAACCAAGCTGCCCTTCGTTCGCTCTCTCGCGCTTCTCATCTGCTCATGCCAGCTTTGATCCCTCGAGCCCACGTCCGCCCCTTTACTGCATCCCAGAAGGGTTCTCGCCTCCCTGTTCGTTTGATCCCTCGCCCTTCTCGTCTGCTCATGCCTGCCTCGATCTCTTGTGCCCGCGTTCGCTCACTTGCCGAGTCCCAGAAGGGCTCTCGCCTTCCTGTTCATTCCCCTCCCCCAGTCCCCGCTCGTCCAGCTCTTCGTCCTTCGTCTCGTTTCACGTCCCTCCTTGAGGAGAGAAAGGCGCCTCGACAGGCACGATCTAGACCTTGGGTCGGCAAGCTCAAGTCTCTTTTGACAATCCGATCAAACCTGTCCTCAGCTAGCCCTGATAAGCCCTCCAAGCCAGAGATTCACGCTACACACACGAAGAAGACCGCACGAGTCGACAAAGTCCACGCTAAGCCCGCGATCTCTGTCAAAGGCCCAAGCAAAGACAAGTCGGCGAAGAAGTGTGTTCGCTTTGGGAAGACCTCTGTGGTTTCCGTCACCCGCTGGATCGAACGGCAGGACGATGTGTTTGACGGTCCCCCGGTGGCCATGGGCCATCTAAAGGGCTGGTCAGTCACATCTCTATTGGAGCCCGATGAAGACGGGGAGGAGGAAAAGTACATCACATACTGGGGCTCCGGCTCCTTTTTTATGATGACCTCCAACCACACTAAGGGGCCTCCAGACCGTTGTGGATGCCCATGGAGTGCGTTGGCCTGGTTCCAGGCTAGACACCCAACATGGCGTCCTAAAACGGTCTTTGAGGCGTGGCGTCGTGAACGAGAGAGAATCCTGGAGCAGAAGGAAATAGTCTTCCCACTGTCATTTTGCTGTACTGTCATCTCATGTCCTTCGTTAATTCCTCCCTGAGATTGCACAACATTTCCCTTCTTCCCCTTCTCTGACTGGCTCTCGTCTGTTAAAGTCCATCCAGGTGCTGCTAATGGTAAATAGATCGGGCGAGCGTCAATCCCGCTGTCATATTGGCGGCTCAATCTCAACCGCGAAAAGGTAAGTCTACCTTGTCACTTGCTATAATTTCTGCTAATATCCGCGAGACAAGGGCCGTCCGGAAGACCGTTCCCTTTGTAGGGCTAATAACGCACACTTGTACGCGGGATCTAAGTCGTAGTCCGTCGCCGAAGCGCTAGTAATCCCGCCGACGCCGCCGCACGACGATCGACGACCGGTATTACTTTAATCGACTGGAGGGCGACGGGGGTATGTTTGATCTTCTCGAATGTCTATGCTGAGTCCTGGAAGATATTGACGATTGCATAGTTGGTTGGTGGGAAACGTCGCCGATCACAACGTTTGTGATGTGCTGAAGTGCTTGAAGTCTTCTACAGGTGAGCGGTCGTACATCATCAGCCAAGTCTCACCAAGCTGACCGTGTCGACTGCACAGGAGATTGCCGATGTTGATGTTGAGGGTCAGTGGCTAAGGGTGAGGTTGGTTTTGGCTTAGTCAGAGGGTGGATTGGAAGTATAGAAGTGGGACGGCCATGCATGTTTATTGTATTTTATCCGGTCATTGGGTTGGATGTATTTCTGTGTTCAGGGATTGACTCTGTTCAATATCATTCTCCTATCCTGAACACGATCATTATTGGCTTATTATTCACAAATCTATCCAACACGAAATGATCTGTTACACATAGAAAGGATAGCAAAAGTCACTCAGGGCCTCAAGTAGTATTGAATATTCGTCCATATTTGATTCCAATTACAACAGCAATTCCTACAGATAACTGCCAGTTCTCCTACTGTCCCTCCCCACCTCCAACCTGCTTCCCCCTAAGAATCCCCTCCAAATCTCCAATCTCCGTATGCCCCCAAGACGACTGCATCCGATGACACCACCTCACCTCCCCACTCTTCTCAAACAAAAACTCACCCCCCTGCTGCTGGCCAGGCCCAGCACTAAACACCAACCCACTAAAAACCTGCCGCAATCCCTGCCATATCCCTTCGACCGCCAACCTCGCCACACTCTTCGAGATATAGCCCGGCTGCTCGCCGACGTTCCACGAGGTGATCATGCCAAGCTCCTCGTAGAGTTTCCGCGTTGGATCGGCGTAGATGGTGTAGGGGGTCGAGGACTGCGTTGCATAGTAGGGAATTAGCTCTGGGGAGCCGCAGCCGATGATTATTATCGAGGTTGGCGGGGTTAGGGCTGCGAGTGTGTTTAGCGGGAGGGCGGTGCTGAGGCGGGTGATGTATTCTTGGCAGCTCTGAAAATTGTATATGGGACTTTGTCAGCGTTTATTCGGATTGTATAAGGGATTATCAAGGGCTTATGTGTAGGTATAGATATATACGCCCAGAATACGGGAAGTGAAAACCCAAAACCCAAAAGAAGGGAGGAACATACCCCGCAGAAGAAATGCCGTACAAAGACTATGAGTGTTCTCTCCGTCGTATCCGGACCTGCGTAGAGATCCTGGAATCTGTGCTCCTTGCCGTCGCGGTCGAGGACGGGGTAGGAAGCAACCTTGGAGAGGAGGGTTGCGGAGGGAAGTTCGTCCGGGTTCTTGGTTGTTGTTGGCATCTTGATGGCCTGTGCTGTGTCTTTGGTGAATATTTAGGGTAGCAAACTTGAGGACTTGGGTAAATAGGAATCTTGTATGAGGAAGAGAGGGAAAGGGCGAGGTAAAAGTATATACCCTACGGGTGGAGGAGGGGAGAGCTGAGGATACAGCACCTGGACAGGGCTAACGCCGAGCGGAGAGAGGATGGGCGCGCATGCTCCGCGCTCGCAAAGGTCTAGAGTTGGCGCATGGGGGCCTAAAACTTAAAAGGGCCATGGAAAGTCAATGCGGTCTCTGTCCATTCAACTTAGTACCTACCTGCGCCTCAGCTGAAAGCAGCTGATACTCCTTGGCTGGCTGGCTAGGCCAAAAATGATGTCATATACGCCTTGTCATCACGTGACAATGACTGCTCTGCCAGTATTTAGTCTCATAGTCCAAGGCGTCGAGAAGAGAAACGAGTAAAACCGTGAATATTTATAGGTAGTAAATGACACAGAGCAACCCGAGTCGGAGACAGTAATAGACGAGGACCGTACCAATATGCTGCAGTGAGAGTTGAAGAAACCATAGTCTATGCATGGAGAATAGGAGGAAAGAAAGAATTGCGCAAATGAAAACGGTCGCTGAGAGGAAGAACAATATAGAGACAGAGGTATCAAAGAGGAATGTGCGATGCCAACCTTTGTACCAATCAAAGAGGATGTAGTTGTGGAGGAAGTGTACGTATAATGTCAATCTAGTAATGTGGGAATAATAGGTTGGTATCTGCGCTGCGCTGGACTCCGAAATAGAAGACATAGATGAGGCAGATAAGCATAGGTGAGGCAAGCGTATACTAACGATAGCACTAGGATTTCGTGGCGATTGGAGTCCGACTAAGGCGGCGTGGGGGTCTGACGGACTTCTGCATGGTCAGGGTGGCGCTTCTCGCGGGAGCGCATGTACATCCCGTCCGACTCGGGTTCCCGGCTCGTGGGAGCTGGAATCGGCCGAGGCAGCCCTGATTGGGGCGGTTGCTGTTGCTGAGCTATAATTTCACGGGCGTAAAACTCCACGAGCATGGTTCCATATGCTTCTAATTCCTCGACGGGGATCGAAAGGCGAAAGTCGTTCAATAGAAGGAACTGGAGTTCTAAATGGTTTAATTCCACGAGGGGAAGGCCGCCGACCTGTGATTTCAATCATAAGCTGGATTTCAAGACTGCAAGCATGGAAAGAATACCTTTGCGTATCTCGAGTTGGTGTAAAAGACGTCGGAAAAGAATTTACTGGCGCAGGTCACTCCAGCAATGACTAGTCGATGGATGTTGAAACTGTCAACAACAAAAAAGTGCGAGAGCTGGTCCTCATCTTGCTGCGGATTCACGGTTGGTGAGATGGGCGACGGCGACGACGGATCTTGCGCAACGATACCGGCAGATGACGGCGGAGTCACCATGGGCGAAGTATGCATCCTTTGTGCTGTGGAGGTTTCAGAGGACCTGGGCCTTGTCGGTTCCGTTTGCAGGGTGTCTGTACGATTCCAGCGACGGCGTAGGCGGTCTAATTGGCCCTTGTTCACCATTTCAGTCATGCGGTCAAAATAAACTAGTAGGCTGAGAAAGACCTCATAGGTCGTAGGGCAATATTTGTGGATTCGAGTCAAGTAGCTCATGATGCTTATACTCGGGACGTTCTTGCCGTGGAATGCCAGCACACTTGACGCTTGTGGAGTAAGATTGCTGGCCCCTTCCGGAGGGGGAATATGTCGATGGACCTGCTCATGATGCGAATCGTTGGTGGTAGTGATTTTGGTCAGAAGCCCGGCAACCATTTCGATAATGTCCGTGACCGGCATGGAACTAATTTCGAACTGGCGATCCTGAGCCCACAACCCTGGTACATTGCTGTTCCTTTGCGACTGGGCTAGAAATTCTTCGCTGGCAAAACTTTGGATATGGGAAAGATCACGGATCTTGATGCGGCTAGGAGAGCTCGCCTCTGAACCACCTAGCGACCGAAGGGACTGGAGCGTTGGCCTCAGCTGTGGGGAGGCTGGAGATGAATGGCTTCCCGTATGCCTTCGCCCAGATGTTGTAGCCATATTACCTGACTGGCCGCCATAGCCGGACGGATGGGAGGAATACGCAGCAGTCTGAGGGCTTTGTTCACGGCGCAGCGGGTGGCCAGATGTTGTCGTATTCATCGACACGGTTTGATGCTGTACAGGTGTCGGTCCAGGCGTAATTGTCGACGACTCTGAAGACGACTGTGAGCCGCTGTGAGAGGACCGGTTGATATACGCCGGAACATCATGGGAGGGAAAATGGGCTGAACCTGCGGCCGATACCGATGGCGGGGCAGCGAAGGTGGGGGTAGTGTTGGACGAGGTGGATATGGAGTTTCCGGCGTCGAGATGTGAGGACGATTGGGTAGATTGACGCGATGATGGTCGATAGACAGATTCCGAAGGAGGGACGGCGCCTCCAAGCATGGTGTAGGAGCTATCAGTATGGTTCAACTGCGGCTGGTTGAGAACGACCAATCCCATGTCCGAGCGAGAAGGATTATTGAGAAAAGGGAACGGAATCGCGCGAATTAAGAATATAATACTGAGCCACGCGGCTCTAAAGCGAGTGTCAGCGGCAATACATTTGAACGAGATGGCAGTAGTAATGAGGGGGTTATGGTTTGTCGGGTAACCAAGGGTGAGAGAAAGAGGTAATGAGGGGAAGCAAGCGAACGACGATGCCGTCAGGAGATAAGGGAAATGACGCGGGGCCCGATATACAGTCAATCAAGTATTACCAACGGAAATGGCAGATTTGCGGGTGTGAAAACGATCGCAAAGGGCCAGAGCACTTGGGATGCGCGCAGCGAACGCCGACCTAACTGGGCAAGCAGGCTTCAGGCAGGCAGAGCAGATTCACGGATGAGAGACGGCAATCAAGGCACCCATTGCGATACAGAAGAGGGAATTGAATTTGGGGAAGGATCGGAGAGGACAGGAAGTAAAACAGGTTAAGGGGGAGGGTGAGGAGAAGCTAACCTGTTGGTGGCGGAGGGAACACCTCGATGAGCAGGAAAGTGGTGATGGCGACTGGCGACGGACGATGATGGACGATGACCGCTGGGTTCCACCGGGACAGTCAGCAACTTGTATTTGTATCAACTCAACGCAACTTGGACAACAGCATCCGTCTGAATAATGGTGAATAAAAGATAACTAACTGATCAATCCAGACTTATAACAGTCTCGAAGCTAGCTAAGCAAAAGTAATACGGCAGTGATCAGCTACTACTGACTGGCCCGTCTCCTCCATGAAACGGTGAGTACGTACTGGACCTCAAACGATCCTCTGCGATTTGTCTCCCTTTGAGGCTTTCCACTGTCCAGGTTCTGGTCCTGTTTTCTTTTTCCCTCAAGACCCCTGGCTCGTCGCTACTGGTGGCTTTGATCCCACATGATCGATAGATTCCGAATCCGAAAGACAGGTATGAAATTCCAGATCCATGCCGGGCATACATAGACTGGAACCGGCGAATCGCGGCTCAGTGGAAGCGCACCTGGTGGTGATGGTCGGATGATTGGTGGCGCGGGAGATGGTCGTGATGCCGAAACCCACTCTCATTGAGCTCTGCTGCTCCCCGCTCCTGATGAGCTCTATACGGGCCCCGGACGACCCTCCGGAACCTGTTCTCTTCAGCGTAACCCCTTTCTTCTACTTATACATACATATCGATGCTGCAGGGAAGAGAGCCGCTGCCCGGCTCATCCTCTGCGGATAAAAGCAATGTGAAAGGATGCGAATCTTACTGGTACCACAACCCGCCAGATCTTGCCTGGTTTCTCTCATTTCGCGGCATGACGCAGACCCGTCGCCATACGTACGTTTTCCAACAGATCATTCTAGGCTTCCAGAAAGATACCTCCAGTGGCCTTTTGCGCAAAGCAAGGGGGCGGAGAACGATCAGATATAGACTTTCAATTGGTAACTAGCATCGGTGATACGGTCATTGTCCTTCGTGGATAGCTTTATCTGGTGACTCCAGGCCCGGTATAGTCGGTGTCTGGCAGATACAGGTGTCGTTGCGCTCCGTTGGCCGTCAGGACGACCAACCTGATCACTCCGCCGGAGCTGCCGTCCCATTTGATCGCCTCCCGTAGTGCTCCCCGAACGAACTTGATACCTTCTTCCTCCGTCATGTTCTCCCTCCAGTTTGCGTCACAGTAACCGTAAATATAAGTCGAGCCAGACCCGCCAATTGAGTACGACTGCTTGTGCAGCGAACCGCCGAGAGGTATCGAGTATACTTGGCCGCCATGTCGAGGGTCATAGCCAGCAATGATGATTCCAGCGCTGTAGCAAAGGATTAGGCTGTGGATGGCTCCAGCTGATTTCATAGGAATTGCCTACCTTAGCATGTCCTTGTTCTCGTAACATAGCTCTTGGAACAGCGCTGCTGCAACCTGGGTGCTTGGGGGCTCGTTGTTGACGATGGAGTACATGTTCAGGTGGTACGAGACAATGTCGGCAACGGCTTGTGTATCTGCAGCTGATCCGGATCGGCAGCACCAAATGGTATCGTGAACCTGGGTCAATTTATCGGTAACTCGATTGGCAATGTACGCTCCGGTTGTTGTCCGACTATCCGCGCCCAGTATAACACCGTCCTTGAAGTTGATGGCCATGCTGAGTAGGTTCCATCGTGTCAGAGGATTGTGGATCAAGTTTGCGGCCGAGATAACTTACATGGATGTTCCTAGGCTGAAAGAAAGCGGTGTTAGTAGCTAGTCATAGAGGAGTTCTGAATTCGGAGAACGTACTTGACCTCGCCGCTTTTCAAGTGATTCATATCGACGTGGATTCCATCTGTAACGAAAGTTAGATACTATATATGATAGACTTTAGCAGTAGCAAATAGCTCCAGACCTTCCCCGAGCATCCCCGTGAGACCGTGATTGGCGACCATCGTTTCAGGAAGAATGAAGGGACTGTGTGGAAAATGTTTGGAAGGCTGAATGCTTGGTAATTGGATGAGTGTGTTTGTCAAGGTAAGAGTCCAAAGGCGGCGTGATGTATGTGCAGCTGTAAGTTGAGAGGTTGAAGGTTTGAGAGAAGAGCTTCAGAGCTCAAGGCAGGCGAGCCTTACGTGGGCGACGAAGCTCGAGCTGATTCCGCCGGGCGGTGAGAGCGAAGGTCATTCCCATTGGACCGCCTTCCCGCTGTCCTCCCCGCAAGCCTCCTGAGTGTCTTGGGATCCAGAAGACAGATTCATGATCTATTCCTCCATCTCTTATCGCGGCGGTATTTAGACTTTGTATCCACCTGATAGGGAGCCCCAGTCCGTCGTTCGTCTATTAGTCTCTCTCTTGCTCTTTTTACCATCTTAGACTGTTCTTACAATCTTTCCGTCAATCCCTCGTGCCACAATGTCCGAGTCTCCGCCGCCCCCACCGTCGTGGAGTATAGCCAGTATGGCCAACAGTGCCGTCCAATTCCTGCGTCTTCCCATGATAGCATCCTCTGGCCTAGCCGTTGTCGCCAGTGGTCTTTTGTACTTCAAGCAAAAGTTCGTCTATGACTCCACCATTGCTTTGTGACCCTATCCATCGCCCGCCAAAGTCTAACTTTTGTGCAGTGAGCTGATCTACCCCCGAAATATCCCCGCTGATGCGCGCACCAATGTCCCCAAGCCCCGCCAATTTGGAATTGAAGACTATGAGGAGCTCCAACTCGGCACGCCGGACGGCGAATCTCTGCATGGCTATTTCATTCGTGCACCTTTTAAACGATCAAACCAGAATCTTACCGTCTTGATGTTCCATGGCAATGCAGGCAACGTGGGTCACCGGATTCCGATCGCAAAAGTACTACAAGATTTCCTGGGTTGCCATGTTCTGATGGTCGAGTATCGTGGATATGGCCTCTCCACCGGTGTGCCAGATGAGGCTGGGCTCAAGGTAGATGCTCAGACGGCGCTTGATCATCTGCGGCAAAGAGCAGAGACGTCCAGGTCCCAGATTATCGTCTATGGACAGAGTCTGGGGGGTGCAGTGGCAATCAACCTCGTGGCAGCCAACGAGGACAAGGGCGACATTGCCGGCTTGGTTCTCGAGAACACGTTTCTGAGTATACGAAAGTTGATCCCAAGGTGCGTGGTAGTCTGCTATCAATGCAATAATAGCGTGTTCCGGTCGAATACTAAGTGCCTCCAGCGTCTTTCCCCCTGCCCGTTACTTGGCGCGCTTCTGTCATCAGACCTGGACAAGCGAAGATGTGCTGCCGAAGATCACCCAAATTCCTATTCTCTTCTTGAGTGGACTCAAGGACGAGATAGTCCCGTAAGTGTCACCAGCTACCTCAAGCGATAGCAGCTAGGTCTAACGTTACGTATAGGCCGTCTAATATGACCCAATTGTTTGCCATTTGCAACTCGAAGCGCAAAATCTGGCGAACTCTTCCAAATGGTGCACATAACGATAGTGTCGCTGAGCCAGATTACTTCGAGCATATTCATTCTTTCGTCAAGGAAGAGGTGCTCGACCGATGATCAACTCAGCAGCTGACGACTTATGAATACGCCGGTGCCGGAGCCCGCGATATACTCCTTCATGACCCGAGGAATGCACGCTAGATATATGTCCGACCTTTTTCTCAACAAAGATCACGGTGTGGCGGTCAAGTGGTTTGCATATCCTCCGACTTTACGACTACCTTCTACTGTACCTTATTATTTCTGCATAGCTCCGCCCTCCGTCTGCCCTTTCCCCTATGGACGTCTTCTGAATACAGGGCGGAGCGTGTTTAATCTTGCCTTCTTTGTCCCTATTACCTACCATTTTGAGCGGCTACCGGCTTCAAGACGAGACCTCGGATGTTATCAGCTGCTATGTGAATGTGAACCCGGCGTTTGTTTTTCGATCTACATTCTATAGGCGCTTGATCCTGGAGTTAGGTTCCTTTTGATTGTTTAGGAACTTGTTTATTTTTCAATACCACTCATCGTCATTGACTCTTAGATTTTGCCAATCTAAACCGTCTATCAACACACAACTCAGATGGGACGTAGGTGTAATACAACGTCGAAGTGAACAGTAAGAGAGAATAATTAATAATCTTACAACTTCTCCGCCTCAGCCATCAACTCATCAAGCTTGAACCCTTCCGCATCTCCCTGGGTGAACATGCGCAGCAGCTCGCCCTTTCGTCCACTCGCCTGGCCACCAAAATCATAAAAGCGCTGCACGCAGCTAGCCAGCCACGTAGCCTCAGTAGTCGAGACACCAGAGTCCGGCATAACCTGCCCGTGCATGAGCACAAGACCCTTGTCATCCGCGAGGTCCAGATGGTGCGTGATGGTGGTATGTGGCTGCGCATACGCCCCATGCAACTTGTACGCGGCCAGCTGCGTAAAGATGATGGTCGAGATATGCGAGTTGATAGCCGTCGGCGCCGACGCAGGGGGGTGGAATGCCCATTGCAGGAAGTGAATGTCGGCGCCTGTGTTTGCGTCGGCAGCTTCGGCAGTCTCGGCCGTCTGGCCTTCAGACTGCATACGCGGGAGCGGGAGGATAAACTGTGGGTTCTGGCGCGCCGCGGAGACGATGCGTTGGTATGTTTCTAGGGGAATGACGGCGCAAATGGAGTGGGAGTTGGAGGCGTGGCGGAGGCGCCAGAGGGCCTCGATTTCTTTGGGTGGGAGGTCGCGGATCTTCTCGACATCGACGTAGGAGCTGAGGGGTTTGATGCCGGTTGATTCAGAGGCCTGGGCAGCTTGTGCTTTGGGAGAAGGACGGGGTGTAGGAGGCGCAGGCGGGCGCGAAGTTGCGGAGGGGGATGGTGGTTCCGGAGTGAGGACTGTGGAAGCTTCGCGGCGGAGTTGATCAATCTTTTCCTGGTGCGCGGCTTTGAGCGATTCGACAGACTCGTGGCCTTCTCTGTGTCGTTTTTCGTTAGCAATGAGGGATTGAGAGCATTGATGGCTTAGCGGCGACTTACTGTTGCGCCTTCTGGTGGAGCTTCGATCGGTATCTATCCAAGACCTGGTTAGGGTCGCGGTGTGTCGCGAGGAAGCGAATATCGTGAACTTGGGCCCATCGCCGCTGTTGAGACCGCACGAATGGTGTCCGGTTTCGAATAAGCGACTGGAAAGCGGTAGGTCTGAGAGAGGCCATCTTTGGTGGTATTGAGAATGGGTTATAGAACTCGGGGAGTTCAAGGCCAAACAAAAAAGGCAGATAGATCGGCACGCGGTTATGTAAGCGTCTCCCCGCAAAGAAGCTATGGGCCGGAGAGCCTCCGACACCCTTTAAACCATTGAATGGCGAGCTACGAGGGTATCGCTGCCATGAAAGAGTAGTATCAATTGACTATACGTATAACGCAAATCTCGAAAAACATGACTCCGTTTGCTCGCATGTCTTGCGAGGGGCATGCATAAGTTGCATAGTGACTAAGCATCACAAAGCCACATGCATTCCACATGGACAGTTCCATATTCGAAACATTCCCTCCAGCTCCTCAGACCACTGTCGCCTCATGTATAAGGAGGATGGACTGTGGCCTCATCTTCTCAACTTCTCTCTGATCTTACTACTATACATGAACACTCAACTCCTATGTTTTGACTACTTTTAATGCGTCTCGCGTCGCTCCTTTCGCACCCTTGAAACCACCTGGTCATTACGAACTCGATTCCGGTCATTCATATCCTCCTACTCTCTCGACCATGGCGAATCGCCAAATCACTAGGCGCATCCTTATGAGCGCATCTATTCTTATATTTATTCTTTTCGTCTTATTCATTCAACCCTACGGGCCACCGAGCCCCGCCGTTCGAGCTCCGGGCCATCTCGAGAAAGCTCCGCAGGTCAAGGATGACTTGATCAAGGGGGACATCGTGATGCCCCGCCTGGGAAACGAGACCGCTAAGTATGCAAACTCACCTAGACTTAGTAGGGATCCCTGCTAATCATCTGAAAAACTAGGGCCGAACTAGGCCGGGCAACATGGAAGTACTTCCACACCATGCTCGCTCGATACCCCGAAGAACCCACGGAAGAGCAACAAGAGACACTTCGCTCATACATCTATCTATTCGCCCGACTCTATCCATGGTATGGCTTGCCTTAGTTTGCCCACCCCGCGCGCCAAATACTAACAGTGAACTAGCGGTGAATGCGCTTCGCACTTCCAGGGACACCTGAAGAAATATCCGCCACAAGTTTCGTCGCGCAATGCGGCTGCTGGATGGGGATGCTTCATACACAACGAAGTAAATACGATGCTCCACAAGCCGGAATTCGACTGCAATAAACTTGGCGATTTTTACGACTGTGGTTGCGGGGACGAGCAAAAGGAGGGCGAAAACGAGACCGCTGAAATCGGGGAAAAGACCGCTCGCGAAGACAATGGTACTAGTGACACCATCTCGCCTGTTGAGATATCCCGGGAACCGTCAGTGTACCACCCTTACCTTACCCTGTGAACCTTGACTGATAGCTTCCAGTACCACACGCGGTGGTTAGATCTCTTTTACGCAAATCCGATCGTGGAGGCGCTCCGCATATCCTCGCAATATCTCTACTAATACAGTCAATCAACGCTGGCTCGTTGGATTTGCATCAACTCCTATTCCATCTGTAATATCAGTACCGGGATTTTGGCCAGGATAGGTTTTACAGCTCTTAGTTACGGGACTGGCATTGAACGTCGTGTGAATTCTCATACAAGTCAAACCAAGGTTTGTATGCCGTCAGTGCATCCGGCCGACCCGGGCGACTCATTAAGAATGCGAAACAAGATGCATAGTTGTGCGCATGACTCTGCATTGTGAGGGTTGCCGTGTCTGTGACCGGCGCAGCTGACCATGGCGAAGGAGGCTTTTACTGTTCAATGTAGTCTTCACCGCCATTGCGATTTTCCTCAGGTTCAAACCAAAAGGTGGGATCAGACCAGCTCGAGATTTCTATCAGACGCGCACTTAGCTCTGAGCGAGGTGCGACTGGGACATGCAATGCTTAGCCAGTACTACGTTTGCGCGACACTCGGCGCTGAACCGCAATTTTATATTCCCAGATTACCACATCTTGGTGAAATAGCCAATCCGGCCCGCAAAAGAGTAGATCGTGACGACGTTTGGATTGGGATAATCTGTATACCTCGTCTATATGAGCATCCCCCGTCCGCCTCGTACAAGGTCCAAGCCGCATGGGCCCCCTGGAGCAAGGATCAGACAATGGCAGACACCATCATCCACCCGAGTCAATGCACGAAATACTGTTATTTTAGGTGAAACCCACTTTGTAGGCGGAGCTCTTATCTTGCATCCAAGCGCCGCACTAACAGTCAAAGGGAGGGGCGGTCCGAAAGAGCGCGAGAGCAAGTCTCCTGACAGGCTCATAAGTCTTTAAGATCCCTTGTGGAGGGGCGTATTGGGGCGCCCACCATCCTTCAGGGTTTGTTGATCGTCGGTAGTGTTGCCTAGCCCAGTTCGTCCTGACTGCAGTGACTGCAATGCCTCATTTCATCTCCGTTTTTATCAGTGGTTGCTGATGATGGAGGCTTACTGAAGTAGTGATACAACCAAAAGGTGTCAAATCTTTCTATAGAGGGATTACCTGAGATTTGACCCTCAACTGAAGAGAAACATAGATGGTCGAATATTAACAGGACCAGAGTATGGTGTGGCAGTGTGGGGAAGCATGGATAGCGCCTGGTTTCCAAGGCAAACCCCGCGGGCCCAGCGGCGGATCCTCTTCAATCCGAAATAGGCATAGCGGCCCATTTGCCTCTGGTTTTCTTTTCGATTTTTTGAACGCGCCAAAGCAGAAAACTAACAAGAAGTGCGCAAATTGAAACAAACTCGAAGGGCAGGAGCTGCTTGGTCTGAGAGTCGCTTGTTTATATTCCGACGCCTTTCGCGCAAGACTCCCGACTTCCTCATTCGTTCTTCTTTCTCTTGTTGCCTGCCAGGTTGACTTTTGTTGTTCTGTCAACAAAGGGCAATTCCCTTTTTTTTTCTTACTTGCCTTCGTCCTACGCAAAAGATTACCTGTTCTTACTGCGGGGTTGGTGCGCTCTTGTTCGCACCTTATATACCAGGTTAAAAGAGATATATTATACTCTTGCGATCGTCTAGAAGCCCGTCGTCTGTGTTATAAACTAGCTACTGCCAACATGGTGTCATTCTCATGCGAGGTAAGTTGGTGGACTCTGCAACTGATCACTTCTCCCTTGCGGAAATGATGTCGCTAATCCTCAATTATGATAGGCGTGCGGTGATGTCCTGACGAAAAAAAAGCTCGACCCTCATCGTAACCAATGTCGCGGCGCAAGTTATACCTGCATTGACTGCATGGTCCATTTCCAAGGAACCTCCTATAGGTCGCACACGGTACAGCCTCATCACCATTTCGATTCGTCAATGCCGCGGGAGGATATAGTGTTGGGTGTCTCGGACTCCTAGCGGAGAAACCAACCGAATTCCTGCCCTCGGCATTGTCTTGCGCATGACGGCCTTCCGCCAACTCGGCAAAGCGCCTCGCCATGATAGCATGATAGTCTTTTGATCTTAGACTAGCGGCTAACTTTATTATAGTCATGCATGAGCGAGGCTCAGAAATACCAGGGCGCTCTATACAAAGAGAAACCAGCCAAGAACGGACGGAAAGGCAACAACAACAAAAATGATAACAAGCAACCCCAAAAGCCCAATGCCGGCCACCGTGCTCCCTACGTCGAAGACGCCCCCGATTCCCAAGTCAACCTTCCTTCGGCTCCCACCCCACCCGCCCCCACGGATACGAAGTCAGCGCCATCAAAGGAAGAGGCCAAGGTCAATGTCTTTGATTTCCTGGTCGACGAGAAGACACCAAATGCATCCAAGGTCTCCATGGCCCAGCCCAAGGAACAAATGAAAATGGTGGACCATGCTCCCTCTGTCTTCGAGCCTGGACGGGCGAAGGCGCGTATTGACACTGAGGATGACGATGAATCGAAGGATTACGATGTCGCCTACGAAGAGAACGGATTCTCTTACGGCTCCGGACCGATCATTGAGGCACCTTACCCCAACAACAAGAACGCCGCTGTCTCAATGGAGTTTATGACCCCAGCGCCAAAGAAGAAGAAGGATCGGTTGCGCAAAGAGAAGCAACAGTCGCCTCCTACTTTGTCAAGAACTACGAGTGATAAGAAGCGAAAGCGCCACATTGATGACCACGACGCTGAGGACGCAGATACGCCGATGTTGGAAGCTCCCTCCAGCGTGGTCAACCACCCAGGGACACCGATGCTCAGTCATTCCGGTTTGACAGGAGGTCTCGACCGTATGCTCCGGTCGCCGTCATTAGACGACGATGAAAGTTCAGAGAACCCTCGCCGACGGTATCAGGACCCTTCGTCGCCGCTGAAGCGTACCCGGCGCGATGAGAAAGAAGGCCACGGAGATGCAGGCCTCGGTATCTCAATCAAAAACCGAGCTGAGCGTCTAGTATCTTCTATGTTTGCTGGCTCAAGCGTCTCCGGAAGCAGTGCTGCCGGCGGCGATATTGAAGTCCGCAAATCTAGGAAGGCCCCCAAGGTCCGAAATGCATCAAACGGACAAGCTTCGTCCGACGTAGTCAAAACCAAACGCAAGAGCAGTGCTCAAACAGACGGAGATCGCCCATCACGGCGTCTCAAACAAGTTGATCACCCCGAGCGGTCATACTCCCCACGAGACGACAGCGGCCGTGAGGTAGTCGTCTACCGACAAGAGAACCATCCGGACGAGGTGCAGCGCGAGATGGCGGCGCATTTCTTGTCCCTAGTGACCAAGGGCCCTGAGAGCTCTCGAGGCTTTTCCGTGAACAAAGTCCTCAAGCGGTTCCACAGGGACTTCACAGACGAGTTCGACGGTGACGACCGCGGACGCGGTCAAGGCCGAAGCCGCGCAGACCGCGAACGAAGAGTCGACGACGAGAAGGATCTGTGGCGAACGCTGCGTGTGAAGCAGAACGAGCGTGGGGAGATTGTTTTGTTTTTCTAAACGTATGAACATATGAACATATGGTTACAGGAAGATTTTTTGCATGGCGATGATATTTCTTTACTCCTTCAGGAACCGCATAGCGATGATGTTTAGGATTCACAGTACTACAGTAATTTGCCAATGATCATTCTTCTACTTCTCCGCAAGGTCAAAAAAGCAGTCCCACTATGAGTAATTGTGAGTCGAAGGCCCAGCCAGACACGGGCGCTTCTGCTGCAGAGTATGACTCATGTTAGCAACAATGTTGCATTGGGCATAGCCTTGGATCCTTGATTGAGCAATGACTGTGAATACCTTCAGCTCAGACTTGATGATTAAATAATAAAACATGTAACACCCATAATAGTCGTCCCATTTCGTAACTAGATTCGACCCAGGACTAAAACTCCGTCCCTAACAAACGCCAGCTTCAGAGCCACACAGAGCTCTCGCCACACTCTCACCTCACCTTAATAAGAATCCAGGACCAGGAACCTTCACTTTTTCCCTCTGCTTCTCCGTTTCCATTCTTTCTTTTCTTTTTCGCCTCATCGGGCTTCGTTCGCCTCCAAGACCGAGGCCACTTTTCCTAGTTTCTTTTCTCCTCATCCCTGGTGTTCATTCCTTCCCACCTCGACAATTTCCGATCTCCGCAATTTTCGAGCGGGGGAAAAGGACCCGATACCTCCTTCGCTGAGCGCCGAGTGTCAAATTTTCCCAAGCGCAAGCTCAACACCAACGCAAGTCATGTCAGCCAGCACGGCAACGTCCACGCCTGCGCCCGCGCCCGCCGGAGACGGTACTGGTGCTCCGCGAGCTCCGAGACAGTTCAGACGTGGCTATCGAGGTCGCAATCCGCGGAATAACGCCGAGCGACAGACTCAGACTCAGACACAAACGCAAAGCGAGACCTCAACCCGACCTCCGCCACCACCGGCATCGGCTCCGGGAACCCAGACACAGCACGGTGAGACGGCACCACCTTCGAACACGACGAATGCTTCACAGCCACAGCGGTCTCGGCGAGGGCCAAGGAGTGGGCGGAGAGGAGGACGGGGACAAGGACAGGCACAGGCACAGAATGAAACGTCGGAGGGAAGGCAACGACAGGATCGGGGCCGCGGTGGCGATCGGGAGCAGCAGGCGCAAGGACAGTCACAATCACAATCACAACCACAACCGCAGCATTGTCCGCAAAATGGCCGGCGGAGATTCGAGGGCCGGTTGACGAAGTCGCATCAGAATTCGGAGGACGATACACCAGATGGGCAGGTCGACGATATTGGAGATCAAGGATTGAGGGGCGATGCGCCGACATTTGTACCTGGGGTATCGCAGCCAAATGGCAAGAGTTCCGCCCCGCCTTCCAAGGGCAAGACGAAAGCGAAGAATCCCCGGACGCGGCCACCGAAGATTACGACAAAGTCCGAAGCGGAGGATATAACCACTCGGATCCACGAAGACATCGCGCACAATTTATACGAATGTCCTATTTGTACTATTGAGATTGGACGCAAGTCGCGAGTTTGGTCGTGCGGGCTCTGCTGGACTGTTTTCCATCTGAGCTGCGTGAAGAAATGGTCAAAGAACGAGGGCGCTGCGGCGCAAGATGCCGCGCGCCGATTAGGGGAGGATGGGGAGTCGAGTGGGCCTCGTGCATGGAGATGCCCCGGGTGCAATCTCGCCCAGGAGGTATTCCCGTCGAGCTACTCTTGCTGGTGTGAGAAGGAGGTCGACCCGCGCTCGTTCCCTGGGCTTCCGCCACATTCGTGTGGGCAAACTTGCTCGCGGAAGCGAAAGGGGTGCCCGCATCCTTGCGATGCGACTTGCCATGCTGGACCATGTGCGCCGTGCACAGCGATGGGACCGACTCAGGATTGTTTCTGCGGCAGAAATTCCTCGACGAAGCGGTGTCAAGATACGGACTACGAGCGGGGATGGAGCTGCGGCGAGGTTTGCGGAGACTTGCTACCCTGCGGCGAACATACCTGTACTCGACCGTGTCATGAAGGTCTTTGCGGTGCTTGCGAGGTCAAGATTGATGCGCGTTGTTACTGTGGCAAAGTGCAGACTGAGATGCTCTGCAGTTCGAAGGATGAGGAGTTGGACAGTGAGCTGCTACATGGTGATGATGTTGAGGAGTGGACGGGGTGCTTCAACTGCGGAGATTCTTGCAGTCGACCGTTCGATTGCGGTGTACACTTCTGTCAAAAGAGCTGCCATCCACAGGACGCCGAGGCGGCACATTGCCCGAGATCGCCAGACGTGGTCTCCCACTGCCCCTGTGGTAAGACGCCCTTGGCTGATATTCCGGGCTACACCCCGCGGGAAACCTGCGACGACCCGATCTCGAACTGTCAAAAAGCCTGTGGCAAGACCTTGCCCTGCGGACACGCATGCGAGAAGATTTGCCACACCGGACCTTGCGGTTCATGCATGCAGATAACTTCGATAGACTGCCGCTGCGGCCGTAACACCTTCACTACAGTCTGCCACCAAGGCCAAATTGAACCCCCTCAATGCTTCCGAGTCTGCAAAGCCGGCCTGCACTGCGGGCGACACGCATGCGCCGAGCGGTGCTGCCCCGGCGAACAAAAGGCAATTGAGCGTCAGGCTATGCGGCGAAAGCTCAAGTCTCACCTCCGCCCTAGCGACGAGGATTTCGAGGCCGAACACATCTGCACCCGGGTCTGTGGCCGTATGCTGAAATGCGGTCGGCACACTTGCCCGGAGATCTGCCACAAGGGACCCTGCAATACCTGCCGAGAGGCGATATTCGAGGAGATTTCCTGCAATTGTGGTCGGTCGGTCTTGTATCCACCTTTACCCTGTGGAACACTGCCTCCTCCGTGCTCGTTCCAGTGTGAACGGCCGAAACCATGCGGCCATCCTCAAACGGCGCACAACTGCCACACGGACGACGAGTCTTGTCCAAAGTGTCCATACCTGACGGAAAAGACATGTCTGTGCGGTAAGCGGACGCTGAAGAACCAGCCTTGCTGGCTATCAGATGCACGATGCGGCCAGATTTGTGGCGAACCGCTCAAATGCGGCTCTCATTTTTGCCAGAAGAACTGCCACCGGCCCGGGGAGTGCGAGGACGCTGCGCAGCCTTGCCAGCAGGCCTGCGGGAAGACCAAGACTCTCTGCAGCCATCCTTGCACCGAACCTTGCCACGCCCCTTACCCCTGTTCTGAGAAGACACCTTGCGCGTCCACAATTGCGGTAGCATGTGGCTGTGGACGCCTTCGCCAGGAACGCCGCTGCAACGCAGCAAAGGCTGTAACGACCAAGGGCCAACTTCAACAACCCCAGCGCCTCCCCGCAGCAACACCACTAACCTGTGACGACGAGTGCGCGCGCCTCGAGCGTAACCGCTCCCTCGCAGCCGCCCTGGGCGTGAACATCAACTCCTCCACCACGATTGCCCAAAACACCCTCTCCTCCACAAACCTCCCTTACTCCTCCGAAACCCTCGACATATACATTCAGCTATCATCAACATCCCCACTTTCCACACTGCAATCCATCGAATCAACTCTGCACACCCTCGCAACAAGCAATACAACCCGCTCCGTTCGCACACAACCCGCGAAGTCCTCCCTGCGCGCATTCATCCACTCCCTCGCCGCAGACTATGGCTTCGCAAGCGAGAGTTTCGACCCAGAACCCCACCGCCACGTCTTCATCCTCAAACCCACGACTTGGACAGCACCCGTCTTCGGTCTGGGCAACGGCGTCTCCGCAATCGGAATCGCCGGGATGAGCGTCGCAGAGTGCGTGAAGCTGCGCGATCGTCATCGCTTCAAGGAGCGCGAGGCGCAGCGCCTCGCAGCGGCCGAAGTGAAAGCACAGCGCGACGCTGCGAAAGCACAGGCTGGTACCGAAGATGGCGGTGGCGGCGGTGGCGGATGGGCGCAGGTCGCTGCGTCGAAGCGCGGGACTGGCGTGAACAACAGTCCGCGGGGAACCCCGATGTCCCGCACACCAACTGCCCTGTCGGGCTCAGGGTCCTTGTATGCGGCTCTTGCAGCAGTGAACGATAACGGCGAGGCGCCGGCGTTCAGGAAGGAGAAGCTTGTTCTGAGGTCTGGTGTTGGTGCCGCGAAGCAGGCTCGGACACCGCCGGCTGAGGTTGCGGATAGTTGGGAGGAAGAAGAGGAGAAGGAGGAAGAGGAGGAGAGGCGCAAGAGTGGGGAGAGCGCTGAGGCTGAGGCTGAGGCTCGGCCGGCTGATAATGCTGAGGCTCGGCCGGCTGATAATGCTGAGGCCGATGCCGATGCCACCGGTGCCGCTGATGCTGCTCAGCCTGTTGATTCGGGGTTTGCTCAGGTTGCTGAGTCCAGCCAGGCCGCTGATGCTGCGGAGACGGCTCCTGCAGAGCAAGAGCATGTCTCACATGATACCATGATCAGGTCATGATTTCTATTTGTGTTTTTTTGCTTTTTTTTTTTCTTGCATCTTGCAAATCTGCATTGAACGTCCTCTGTCTAGCACTGGCACTATGTAGCATAGCGAGTTCAAGCGTACTGAGTTAGTACGACAACACTTTAGGCGAGGCGCAAGGGTAGTAAAAGTCCTACACGATAAAATATCAAAGCAATTTTCACTTTGTGAATCATTATCAAACCGGAGTAGTCACTAACGAGCTCAGAGTACTTCCATAAATGGATAAGAATCCGAGACCGGCAAGGGCTCAAGAAATCTCGTCTCACCTCGAGACAAACCAACGCAGCATAAGCCTCAACATAGGTCCACAATTGCGGAGGAAGGACCACGAGCCAGTTTTTATCCATTCTTCAAGGATGCATTTACTCCTGAGCCACTTGAGCAGTAAGTACCCTTCCTATAGCTCAGTTTGTTTCAAGGTTTACTGTGAGCACGAAATCACGGACTGCAGGGACGGAATCAGATCCATTCCCACCTCGGCACGGAGGATATCTGGCACTCCCCGGTCTACCAAGATATCTACCGAGTCTGCTATGGGTGTTTCACTTGTCCGCTTCTCGTATTCTACTCCCTTCCTCTTCTGCTACCCCTTTCGGACCTCCCTGGACACTATATCCTTTCCCACCTTATGCATTCTAGCCAGCTTCAAGCCTTAACAGCCCCCCAACTCCCCCCCCGCTTCCAGCTACGCCCATACCCTTCTTCAAGTTCCTTTCTTCTGCCCTCATCAACATACCACGGACACATCACACCAAGCCTTTTAACAGACTGTCCCCTCCGGGAGACAATACTGGATCGCCGGGCTGAAGCCACAGCACTACACACGTCAGTCCTTTTCCGGAAAAAAAACTCTAGCACAAACAAAGGCAGAAAGTCAAGACAGAGGAACTGGGCAGGTAACATACAACAGGGAGATCCTTCGGACAATCCGCCTCCGTCTTGCAGCGGATAGGCTCAGGGTCTTGCGTTGCCGTTGCCGTCACGGCGAGGAGGGTAAATGTCAGGAGGGAAGTGATGAACTTCATCTTTCGTTCTTCTGGAGTGTCTTGTTGTTTAGTTTGAGTGTAGGTAAGAAGATTGTGCATAAGATGAAAAGGAAGAAGAAAGGAGAGGGGGAATGAAGGGATGAGGGTGGATACTTATAGCCCTCGATGTCTGGGGCAGAGTACGTTAACTTTCTTCCTCTGATACCCTGTAGACCAATACATCAATGTCTTCAGATGAAGGCTCCGTATCTCTGGCTTCGTATATGAATAACAGGGGAACCGGACTTAACGAGTACCAGCGTCATTGCGGAGCAGAGACATGCTCCTGGGATTGACAGGGACAGGGGTCTTGAGGACGCTCGTATTCTCGCCCAATTGCCCATTCAGGACGAGTCCGAGGCTGATGAAAATCCTGGGAAATGAGCAGAATGTCTTACTTGCACGGGCTGCAGGATCTGATCTGCATGGTCAGATGATGGTTGAGCGTGTGCAGGATCCGGGGTAAATAGGTCTTGGATTTCTAGACTAGAAGAGCTGAAACGAACTACCTAGATGCTTCGCCTACCCTGTCGATGGATGAGTATGCAGTAGTCTTCCTGCCTCTCACGCCTCTCAACTGGCATCTCAGCCAGCCTCGTGTGAGCTTTCAGCACGCCCCTCGGGCGATCCTCCGTTCTTCATACGGCTCTCCAGACACGGGCGTGTGTTCTCAGGCACATTCAGAGTAAGCACCCCAACAGCAAGCCTCTCATTCGGCATCTCAACTCCCCACAGACCAACAATCTTGTGAACAAGATTCCGCTGTCGCCACTGATCCTTCTCGTTCCACATAACATGCTGGGTAGTGATGTCCAAACAGGTCCGTTGGAGGTATTGAAATGGACTGGCCGTAGTCATTTTCGCGCGGAGTGGTGGGAACGAGAAGACGAAACCTCCAATTCTCCTTTTTCTCCCCATTTTCATCGATTACGTAGGTTTCATTGTGTTCTCGTCGACAGTAAAACTACTTATGTTAGTCAGGCAAGGGTTTAGAAGTGGTCAAACTCACAATGATCTGGGCCAAGCCTCTCCTGTCTTCTAAGATCAGAATTCTCATAATCTTGTCATCGTCTCTAAAGGAAACCGGCTTATATGTTGGCCCAGTGATGTCGCCGCCTACCACTTGGCTAACGCCAGAAAGGTAGGTAGCCCGAAACCCTACGACCAGATGTTTGTGCTTGCGGCCATGATATGCAGTTACAGAGGCAAGCATGTCGTGTTTGTCAGGCTCCGCCAATAGCACGCTTTGCAGATTAGCCCATATTGCTTGACACTGTTTCCACCGAGGCTCCTCAGAAAACTACCTTGAATGCCAAAACGAATCCTGGTGTTTGGGGTCTTGGGGCTGGACAAGACACGGAGGTCATCCAGATTTCGGTTATATTTCCATACAAAAAAATCCAGCTCCTCGGGATGATTCTCCCGGATCCACAGAATGACATGTTCATCGTCGTTGATTTGGGCGCCCTTGGGGTGGGATATAGCCTTGGATAAGGACGTAACTACTTCCATCCGAGCCACCCGGCCAAGATGAAATGGTCTCTTAATGGAGGCCGTTATCTTTGAGAGCCTGATAGTGATTCCAACTATTCTCTCCCCTTCCGATAAGTCCATGGAGTGGCCACCAGGGAAGCACTTGCCAAGCTTTGAACTAGATCCTTTGTGATAGTCGAAACGAAGCCCAGGAATCACTCTCTGGGGCTCTTCTCCCTCCGGATCACCACCTGAGAAGTGGATTTTCTTGATCTCTTTCAGACTCGCCTGTGGATCCACAGATTGTGATGTTATCTCCTCGCACTGCAGACCAAAGGACTGGAAGGAGTAGTTATTGGCCTGTCACTCATTAGCGGATCTCGACGTACTAACAGTTGTGCACTTACTGCAAGGACGGCGGTAAACCCGGTTATACGCTGCCCGAGGGCCGGTTTTAGCTCATTTGATTCCGGCACACATCCCCCTGTCGGCATCGGAATGCTTAATTTGGGAAGAGGAGGCCGGGCCTTGATTCTAGTCCAAGCCTATACGGCATAGGTCAGAATCCAATCCCCGACCATAGAGTGCAGCCACATACCTGAACCAAAAGGGCACTCTGCGCCTACTGCTCGAACTTTATAGCCGATATTCTCTCACCTTCAGGGCCGTCGATAAGCGTATGAACCCTCTTTCTTCCTCTGTTGCCAAAGTTAATGGCCCTTTGATTGTTGAAATAGAACGAAAGCCCTACGGTAGCTGCCGAATTTTTGGATAGATGTGCCACCATCTTGACAAGATGCACAAGTCTTTCCCCATACAGGCCACCAAAATCGATGTTCAAAAATGGACTGAAAGTTCGAGGTGGACTGATGCGCGGCTGAGGCAAAAGAGCAACCGTTTCCCGCGGATGTGATGGCGGCCAGACCGGTTGAGGCTTCAGAACATGCCGGATTTCCGTTTCTGGAACACTGGCGTCAACCACCCCAAGTCCAAACATCTTCAATGACTTGTGTTTTGGTCATTTAGTGGCTCAGCAGCTTCCGTCGAACAGAAAAACTCACATCAAAGCAAGCAACAAGACGAACTCCTCGGCGTGCATGCCCAAAATTCAAGGAACCTACCGCAACCGGGGCCTGTCCGTGGCCTTGAACCCCAACCCAGGGAGGTCGAGCACCGACACAGTCCTCCTCCAGGATTACCTTGACCGCTTGGATGCCACGCGCACAAACAGCCAACTCAAACCCTGTCACCCGATTCAAAGGATCAACTTGTACTGTGTTGCGAGTGGCAGGCACATATCCCAGAGAAATTCCCTTCTCGGCTCCAGTAGTGAGATGACGAAGTCTGAAACGGAGCCCTGTGATGAAACGGTATGTGCTTATGAGGGCGCTGCAGACCAGAATTTCAGTTATTGCATATTCGTCCAAGGGTAGAACAACGGCTCTTTCATGGAGCAGCCGGCTTCCCTCTACAAGCCGACCATCAGAAGCTGTAGAAGAATGGGCTGTTATTTTCCGTCTAGCTGGATAGTCCGATGCCGCCGGTTGGGCTTCAAATAAGACGTCTGGGCTTCCCAGAGACGAGCCACGGAGAGGCGATCTATCAGCCATTTGTCCAAATAGCTCTGAAATGGCCCCGGAAAGGTTCCGTATCCTGCGGCGGTTCCAGAGGCCCATCGAAGCAGATCCATCACGAAGAGCATGTTTAAGTACCAGGTATGCCTCTGCTCAATGCTGATGCTCATCGGTATTGACTGGCCTCGCAAACCCCATTTCCTAGTCGAAGTTGAACTTTGTCATACAGTAAGAATTGGTTTGAGACCTAGTAGCCGGTCCGGTGGCTTGCCCAGCCGGTGGATCGGCAGGCCATTTCAAACCAGCTTTGACGTTCCCACAAAGGTCGAGTATCTCTCGTACATTCTGGGGCAGTGATGGTTCTGCCGAAAGATACTCGCCCAATCTTTCTGGAGCAGGATCTTTGGTGAGGTATGGGCGATCGAAGCTGAAGGCAGTCCAATGCGCGTCACCGGATTGATTCTCATCTGTGGGTGTACAGTGAAGGAAATCGAACATGAATGTTGAGAACAGTGTTAACGCCTGCGCTGCTCCGGGTGTCCTCTGGACCAAAATATCCCAACACAGGGCGTGGAGACAAAAGTGCCGCGGCCACGAGCCAGGGGGCAAGGAGTTTACCTGTATGTTTGCATCGGCATCTTTCAATGAGTGTGAGTAGCTCTGGGGAACAATCGCTTCGTCCAAGGCATCAATGTAGCCCACGCCGCTGAGAGTCGTAAGACCGTCCTGCCTTTCGCGGCGAACTGAGAATCTAAGCACTGCTTCCAAGTCTGTCGGGAGGGGTACTCACTGATATAGAGCTTTTGGTGCCATTCAAGCGGTTCCTGTGGCAAGTCTCCAGGAAGAGAACCTGTTCCGCTGATAGGGATATCGCATATCGGGCAACAGTAGAGTACCCGACGAATCGGTGGCACCGCCTGAGACATCGAGGATGGCAAAGAATAATCTCTATAGAAAACAATAGATAGGTAAATATGAATATAGTATAGCTGAGTTGCGAAAAGGTAAAATTGCAGAAGGCAACAGTGAGAGAATCTCAAGCCAGACTCTCCTCTCACCACCCCTCGTGCCTGCCTATTCAGGAACAACCGCTATTCTAGCTAAGGATCGTCACACCATTACATATTAAGTACATTCGGGTATAGTCGTAATTTTATATAGCATCAAGGATCTGATTTCGAAATTGCATCCAATCAGATGATGATTCCCTTGTTCTGCTTCTTGTCGACGTTGTAGTTCCTCCATACGCCAATGGCAGGGATACCAAGGACAAGGAGAGCTGTAGCAGCAATCGAGCCGTACATCTGGCTGCGGCCCCAAGCGTAGTTGATCGCATCGCGAGCGGCAGAACCAACGGGGTACTCCTTCTGCGCAGTGTAACCGCCCAGATTGATTGCGCTGGCCTGGTCCTTGAGTTCAGCCGGCAACGCGGAGCGGAGGGCATCAGGGAAGGCGTTGTTGTAGATGGCCGCAGCCACAGCGTAACCGATGGCACCTCCCAAGCTGGAGCAGAGACCGAGGAGGGACAGCATCATGGGAACACCTTCTCTGTCGGCAGAGGCCATGACGGCCATATCCTGACCAATGACGATCGTGCCGCCGCCGAACGCGATAAAGATCTGGCACATTACAATGTAGCCAATCTCCTCGTGCTGTCCCCGGAAGTGAATCATCAAGCCAGCTCCGAGGATGAGGAGGGGAAGGGCAAAGCACAGACAAGCATACTTGAAGTGTTTCGACCAGCGGATGTAGAGACCGAAAACAACACCCCAGAAGCAGGATCCGACATTGTAGATCTGCAGCATGTAGCCTGCCATCGACTCGTTCAAGTCGTAAACCACAATGCAGAAGTTGTAGAAGTAGAGATCCCAGCAGTAAAAGGCGAAAAAGGACAGAGCGGCCATGCAGCAGGCGCCCAATACGGTGCGTTGCTTCAAGAGCTCGTACTTGATGAATTGAACACGCGCACCCCACTTCTCCCAGGCGGCGAAAGCACAGAGGAGGACGAAACCAACCACAACCTCGGCGATGAAGGCGGCATCTCCGTACTGGGTACGTCCGTTTGTCTGCAAGCTGAATGGAAGGAGCAAAAGAACCCAGCCGGCCATCAACAGACTGGCACCAATCACTGATCCAGTTAGCATGTTGACCAAAGACAAGGTATTCAGTGAAAGACTTACAGTCAAATTCATGAAAGTAATGGGAGATGGACTGCATGATCGTGCGTCCGCTCCGCTCCCGCTGATACAGTCCCATCTTTTCGGCCTTTTTCTGGTAGAACTTGAATACGACGGCAAGGGGGAGGAAGGCAACAGTGTTGATGATAGCAAAGGCGCCATAAGCCCAACGCCATGTAGCGATCTTCAGGAAGTGCTGGCCGGCCAAGGGGCCAGTAAACGCAGTGCAGATGAACGGGGTTTGCGAAAAGGCAAAGGTAAAGGCTCGGTTACGCATGCCAGTGGTATCGGCCATGAAAACGTCCATAATTAAGAAGAGCGCGTTATACCCCACCCAGAACAGAACGTAGCCAGCAGCGTACGAGTCGGGGCCATTGCAACTCGCGACAATGATCAGGCCGAGAATGTAGACTCCAAGGAAGACGAGGAAACCTTCGGCACGGCCCCAGAGGTTGAGGGTTTTGGCAATAGGCAGCTTGAGCACACCACCGATAATGCTGTAAAGAATGTTGGCCGTTGCGACTTGTGGGGCAGAGCTGAACGAGGCGTAGGCGTTGTTGATAACGGTGCTGCTAATGGCTGACTGGAGAGCCAGCAAGAAGAAACACACCCAGATCCTGTTGTAAGAATCCTCGTCAGTAACAGCCACAGCTTGAGTATTGGAAAGGAAGCGCACTCACCAGCCGTAGGTTGCATAAACAACCTTTTTGCTCCAAACCATGGCCGCAGCCTCGGCCTTCTGCACACCAGCATGGGCATCCTGCGTGACCTTGTCTGGATTTTGCTCAACTTCCTTCTCATTGCGAGCGAAAAGGCTGAGATCCGACGAGTCGCTGTCTTGGATGACACGCTCCTGTGGCTCCTTGGTTTCCCGGGGCTGAGTCTCAGATGGAGCGCGGTCGCGCGAGAGAATCTTATCCAAAAAGGTCATTCTGAAGGAGAGCACCAAGTAAAGCGAGAACAACAAAGTGAGGAGGATAAACAGGACGAAGAGAACGCAATAATGGCAAGGGAGAAAGAGCGTCTATATAGGAACTTGGAACTCCGGGCGGGGAAAAAAAAGAAATCGGATACAACTGCGATGAGTTCTTTTCAATGGCACTGTGCTCGGATCAGATAAGCCGATGGGGGACTTGCACCTTGATCAGATAACTAATCACGACAACACTTGGTTCCACGGGTGCAAAACGGAGATTGGCCCAGAGCGGACGGCATGACTCTGTTAGTGCGTTCGCTGTTGGAAAATTTCTCTCCCATCTGTGGAGTGGACCCCAAGGCCATGACATGATTGTCGGCATCCCCGGCTGCATCGACCTCTCCATTGCGACCGTCTACGGAGGATGGTCCATCTCGTCGAGCATATTGTTGCACTAGCGAGCTCGCTTCCGAGTTGCCGTTCATCACGTTGTTCGAGCTTCTGTGGAGGATGGGCTCGAGTCATTTCAAGGTTCCAAGGTGCCCTCTCAGCTTCGTCAACATCACCGTCACCACCTTTCTGACAGAAAGGAACTCCTCTCCGCTAGCGTCCCTTTAGCTTATTCAAATCATATGGTTCTCGAAATCCTCCATCCATGGTCCGGATATCTATCCACTTGAGCAAACATCGGCCAGAACCTTGAAGAAACTTCAACTGACAAGCATGCGGCTTCGGTCAAAGCATACCACTGATTCCGCACAAACTCAAGCTTTTCACGAGCCGCCATACATCATATCTTCCATGCAGCATTCAATCAATTGCCTCAAACTCCAAACTGAAGGATTCGGCTTGGGCGTCAAAGGATTTTCGCAGGGTGGTCTCGGACTTCTCCGGAGTGGCCAACCGAGAACGCCCCAAACAAACTGTGGCTTCAACTGGCTTGCTGCTTGATTTTCTCTGCAGACGCCCAGGCCCTTGCCAACAGCTTGGTATTCTGGGCTCTGGATATGATTGGCGCGGCTGTATAAAACGGTTACTAGTACCTTGACGACTCGGTTGTCAGTTAAACTGTTGAAGATTTTACTCCAGAGTAAGTTGGAGACAAGAAAGGCTGGTTGCGTGAATAAAGTTACAATTGGTCATGTGTTTGTGTAGCACTTACACCAACGTACCTACTCTATAGCCTATATATAATGGTGCTCGGTAGGCCTCGAGATGCTGCATTTGAGGTCATGCAGATAATAGGCGTGAACTAGATTTCTCGGGACCTCGCACAGCTTCGAGCTCTCTCAGAAAGCACTCTCGAGTTGTGAGGCTGGAGTGGCCAGGCAGAGGACTACTATGTACCTCAAAATCAAGCCACGAAAAATCCCTGCAGACTCCAGAGCTCCATATTCATGTGCCTGGCCGCCGCCACATGGCACATGGCAAGACATCACGACCCATATCCATGGGGACGCACTGGCGCAGAAAAAAAAAAAAAAAAAAAAGTGGAAGGGAAAAGACAGCTCCCGATTTAGTTTAGCCCAGACTGACTGCGGAACTCTTCCGGAATTCCCAAGCGGAAGCGAAGACGGAAAAAATAGGTTCCAGGAAAAAAAGAAAGATGCTTCCAACGAGAATCGAACTCGTGCTTGCGGATTGCAATTCCTTTAGATGGGAACTGTCATATTTCATATGAGACCGCCGTCCTAACCACTAGACTATGGAAACTTGTTGAGAAGTCGGTTCTGGTCAGCATATATAGCCTGCACCAGCGTTTCTTGAGGAGATTTGTGATTATCGTTCGTGCTCCAAGCTTCATCCCACATTTTGGCAATCCACTTTTTTCTGACCACACTATCTATATCAAGATAAACATCGAATATAGACTTGTTTAAATTGCACTTTGATGTCACGATGCCGTTTCCAATGATTGTCAGGCCCTCGCAACCACAGAAAGCAGTTGATATCCTTTCACGCCCTTCCTCGGCGCAAATATATATAGGTCACAATGTAGACCCATATTGCCCAGCATCACCGTGAGTGCTACGCTAATACAACATTACACAACTACCTACAGGTGTTGCGGCGTGTAAGTGCATGCCTGCAAATGTTTCAACTTTAGATTGAAAGATATAAAAAGGGTTCCGCCATCCAGTTCGCTCTTAGGTTCGTTTGGGATGGTAACCAAAAACACCCTGTGGAAGTAGGGAGGAAGAGGAAGAGGAAGAAGAAGAAGAAGAAGAAGAAGAAGAAGAAGAAGAAGAAGAAGAAGAAGAAGAAGAAGAAGAAGAAGAAGAAGAAGAAGAAGAAGAAGAAGAAGAAGAAGAAGCGAGGGCTCAAGCATTCATCATGAGGTTGATAAGGCGAGTTTTCGTAACAGCCATCAATATTCCTTCATAAATGGTACGCATCCAAGATTTAATCAGCGGAAGTTGCCTTCACTACCATGAGACCGGTCAGATTCCATCGTCAGCTCAGCGGTCCGAGACTCGATCCCCTCAGCCGCCACGCGCTGATCACGCAAATGATCATGGAACTGCGTAGTCATCTTTAGCCCGCGCTTGATATGAGGAAACCTCAATTTCCCGTCGGCGTTGTCCTGGTTTTTGGCCAACGCCATCGCAGAAGAGACGATGTTTCCTATAAAGTGAGATTGCTAAGTTAGGTACAGGCTGATCTGAATGGAACTGTATACGTACGGATCTGGCGCCCATCGATCTCCTCGTCAAAGTCCCCCTGAACCAATTCACCAACTCACGGTAATTGGCAACTTCGCTTCTTCTCTCATCGATGAACTGCATGAAGAGTTTGCGCAGCTCAGGTGTTTGCACGTTGCTGTACCTCACCGCGAGATGTACGCGGAATTGGACGGCCACGTCAAAGGTTCTGATACGGTTGGTCGTGACGGTCGTGAGGAACGGAATTCCGTCGTAGTACTCAAGGATGCGAAGGAAGACTGAATATGTTAGCTAGGGTCGGTAATTCTTCCATTGAAATGGTCGTACCGGTAACTAAGGAGTTGCGATTGAGGTCCCCTTTGTCCATCCCGCGGGCCTCTAGGAACACATCTGCCTCGTCACTTTGGTTGCGTTAGTCCACTGACCGCTGGAAATTAGAGCTTTCAGTGGACTTACAATAACAGAACCGCCTCCCACCTTACAGCGAGATTGAATACCTTTTCCAGGTTTCCCTCCACCCTCTGCGGGTCTAGCCCTATATCACTGACACTTACTGTAAACAGTGGTTTACCAGTAGCCTGGGCAACGCTCTCTGGTGACTATATCAGCTTCTAGAGGGAATCGATCGGCGCTCGGGCTCATACCTGCTGTTGACGTCTTTCCGATATTAGTGGGACCTGCGCCGGCAAGAATCAGCTATAAGGGTGAAGGCAACGTACCGTGAAGGAGGATGACAAGGCCGCCACCTTTACCTTCAATCCAATCATCCGCACCAGCCCTCTCACAATTTTCGAGAATTTTTTTCCTTTCGTGGTTGGCAACCAGACTCTTAATGAGCTGTTTCTGGTTGTGCTCCAGGATCAGTTTGCCAAACTCATTTGTCCTGATCCTCTTTTCAAACTCTTGCACCTCATTGACTGGTATCTGGATCTACCTCTTCCGCTGCATGCTATGGCCCAAGAATCTGGGAGGGCAAAGAACATACTGGTCATCGTCGAACACATCGTTGGGACCGGCGTTGTCGTAATGGTTCTTCATCAAGGCTTTCAATTCATCGGACTTTCTGCACTCTGAGCAGGCACATTCCAACCAGTCATCGGAGACCTCCATGGCTCCCATGGGTGGTGGAACGTCATTGCTCACAGTGTTCTCAATGAAGGACATGTGTCCACAATAACATTCCCCTTGAGCTACCCTTGCGTGTTAGCTTTTTTTCTAGAGTAACACTGGCGTGCCTCACTTACCCGAACAGACCGACGAGCACTTTGCTCCACAGAGTCGCTACCAATAGTGCTGGCAACGTCGAATTGCTGCTGCACCGGGGTCAGTGTGCGGTCAAGGCTAGAGTGGGATACTGACATGGAAGTTGCTGTTCAACAGAGTACCACCGTACTTCGCATGAAGCAAAACTGACCCCTCACAGTAGAACATCTGGGAACCCTTCTGAGCGCAACAAATCTTCTTGAATTTCTTGCCTCGTTCAATGAGCTTATCCCGTAAGGTTCTGTCTGAGCGATCTCCGTTTTCTCGATCTGGTATTTGGCCGGGTAAAAGGCCAGCGTGTTGATGGGCTTTGCGTTCTTGTACTCATCGATCTTCCGTGTGCCAGGTACGCGTTTGAACTTTTCGCCGTCCCAATCATAGGACCAGCAGTTGACAAGGAACCTGTCCTTTTTCCTCCCGTCCTCGGGACCGTACTTGTCGGTCCAACATTCTCGAGCAATGAAAGCCTGGGGTTCGTCAAAGCACAGCCGGGAATAGATCATCCCACCCTGAGGGAAGAGCGTCCAGAGCCACTCAAACTCAATCTCGCCGCTTCGCTCCCACTCGACACGCTTCTGAAAATACCGTGGACGGCTGCAACATTGGATCCGCTTTGATCTGTCCAAGGAAGAGCCGCAAGTCACTTCTCCCGGTTTTTTCCTCCTCGGTCGCCTCATCGCCACTTTTTGCTGCCGCCTCTTCCAAAGCATCCCAGTTCCAGATGATTGTTTGAAAAGTCCCCGAGAACTCGGTATAGTTTGTCCAGTAGGATGGACGACAAGTGACCTTGATCAAGCTCTCCAAGCCTGCATAGGTCACTGTTGCTGTGGCCCCCTCGCACCTTTGATTCTCACTATACGTTCGTCGCCATATGAAAGCATGAGGCTGGCTGGCCTCGGGCGTCTTTTTTGCCTCTAGGGGATCCGAGGGCACGTCTTCATAGACGCCTTTCGCTTCATTGTACTTAGAGTCAAGAAGCTTGATTCTCGAGCCCTCGTCAATGACATCACCCATTTTCTCTTGCTTTTCAGCCTTTGACTTCGAGTCTGCTCCAGAATTCTCTGCCTCGGTGCCATCCTCTGTGTCAGGTTTCTTTGCAGTCTCCGAGGCATCTGCCTTCTCGTCCTTGGGCTCATTCCCAGCCGCGAGTGTTTTCTCCAGACGGGCGATTTTTTCCTCTAGTAATTGAATATATTTTCGCTCCAAGGACTGGAGCTCATGCATACAGCCGTCTTAGCAATCATTTGCCAATTACTCGCTGCCAGACCCGGCCTTTTGAAAGATACATCAGTCTTCAAAGATAGGGACTCCCAGCTCAAGAGTAACAAATGGCACGTACCTCAAATAAAAGCTGCCTGTGATCTACTGGTTGATGTGCTGAGCGGCTTGGATAAGGTATACATGATCCTTGATCGCCCAGAGACAAACAGGAAAGGCGATGCAGGGATCTCGACGGTCTTGGGGAAGACTGCCCGGGCCAAGTGCAAGTGCATTCTGAAGCTGTTTATCGTTGTTGACCAGGAGACATCTAATAGCGAAGTGGAAAGCTGGAGAGAATCCGCGGAAGCAGGGAGTCTAGATGTTATTGATGTGGCTTGTCAGCAGCTACTTGATTACATAGATATGGCCTCTTACTGCGCATATTACTTCCTCTTGTAGTGCATGAGGCACAAAGGGTCAGGGTACGTAGCAGGCCACTATCTGCAAGGGATGTGTCGGACATTGATAAGAGAGATGTGGCTGGTAGAGGCATATTGCCTTGATATACGCCATTTGAAGGTAAGCAGACATATTATTCATTCGGGCAGTACAATGACTTGAAGAAGCCAAAATGGTCCATTTTCTTCTGGTTAAAGCGAAAGAGCAGGCTGGCTACCTAGTAATACGGAAACAAGCTACTACAGAGCAGTTTCTGTAAGAGATCTATTGCGCAGCTCGACACTCGGGACTTGGATATAGACATTGCATCAAGGCCAAAAGTACATAGTAGAATCACAATCACTCCATCAGAGTCCAAGGATATAAAGCGTTCTGTGCTTAAATATCCATAAAGAGACAATCACAGACCCATCCAATGAAGCCGATCAAGCAGGTCAATCTGAAGCCACGAATCCCGGCCCAGTTCATACTATAGCCACGACTATGACGACTATGACCATGGCCAAATCGCAAACTACAGTCTTCGCACGGGCCATAGTGAGCCTCCTGTGCGACTAAGCTGTGGATTGTCTCGTAGGAGTACTCCTGAGTCCTGAACCGGAATCCGAATCCGTGGAAGGCTCGGAGTGGAATAAGAGCCCACTTGCCGCACAGCGTACTCCGTAGTATCCGCGATAAGGGCTAAGTAACTAGTTTCGACTCTTGGATCTCTGAGATAATAGCCTGTGGAATAATGTGGACACTGTTACATACAATCTAGGAACAATATTGATCGGGCCGGACTCCGACAGACCGGAAAGTCGGCTGAGGGCGGATGAAGACTGATGAAGATCTACACGTCTGCATAGGAGTAAGGGTTAGGGGACCCGACAGAGGGGAAATCGCCCCCAAATCCAATTCCCCAGCCGTTGATGTACGGAGTAGAAACACTAGCTTGCATGTTTTGGAAAAAAGTACCGGGTGTCTAGTGTTCGATCGTTCGGGCCTAGGCCGAGACGGACTGACGACTAGTGATTTAGTAGTCCTCCTGGTGGATCTACAAGTTTGCTATGATCGACGCGCTACGAGTCGGTTAGAGAGCCCTATTCTTGAACTGGCATACTCGTCCGTCTTGTGGTGATCGTTCGGAACATGGCCGAGGGATAACTGCCGCGAGAGGATCTTCGGATCTCCACGATCCATGCTCCGCGAATCCCTCATAGACTTTAGGTTGATGATTTGGAATCATGGAAATCTTCGTATCATTGGCTAATATGGAGATCTCGGAGACAATTGTCCTAGAGTCACGTAATCTATCTATTAGGTCAAGAAGGTAGTAAGTTATCAGAGTTCAACATTGTGCACACAAACTCATATAACTCGTCACCAAAGTTGGGTATCTTTGCTGGTAATTGAACACATAGGAAACGAAGAGACGGAAAATTGGCCTCTATACCAATCGAAGAGAGAAGTGGTGTAAGAATATCATATAGGGTAAGCGATGAACCGCGCTACCCTGGAAAAGACAAATGGTCATGGAAAGAATAAGCCGCCGACGGTATGAAGGAAGGGAACCGGGGATGAAATAAGGCCATCGATTAAAAGGCGTAAGGAGAAACCGGCATCGGGAACGCAGACACGAACATGACAAACCCCACCGCGGATTGAATAGAAGCCAAGTCGTTAAAAAGTGGTCGTCTGATCAAACGGCGTCTTACCTTCCCCACCTCCTACCCTGCGCCGAAGCTCTGCCTGTCGGTGGTAGAGAGTCCGCACTCGACCTACCGCCATCGTCTGGGCTGGATGACGAAGGATATGCAGGTTCGGACGTGATCTGGATGGTGGTGTGTTGGTAGACTTTGCCCATAGGGGCCATCTCGACGGCAGCCGTCTGCATAATGTCATCTGTCGAGCCGTCCCGAGTGAGGCCATCTTCGTCGCCGCCTTTCAATGTCCGCAAAGCACTAATGTCCGTTCGCATGTTCTTGGGGTCTGTTGTCATGGGATAATCGCCACCGCGGTTTTTTCCGCTTGGGAACTTGTTGTAGCTGCGGTCAGCACTCGGCTCGGACTCTAGGATCAGATTCTTCCGAGTGAGCGTGTAGAGTAGCACGTCGACCAAGCCGGAACTTGTAATCAGGGCACCGGAAACGCAAAAATATACGACACCTGGTGTGTCGCCTCGTGCGGTCGCCATACGGCCTGCCGCTAGCGGAAGAGAAAGTACAATATAAGCGATTGGATATATAATCATGTATCCGACGACGCGGCGGAGACGTCGTAAACTCTCAATGTGGGTACTACCGAGGATTGCGGACTGCTTGATACGTCGACGAAGCTGGAACCATAGAACAGCGTAGAGGGAAACCGTGCCGAATTCGGCGAGGAAAATCCAGACGTAGTGCGTCCAGAGGCGGATGGGTTCGAATTCTTCGCTGATCCAGCACTAGAGAACGTCAACCACAGAGAACTATACAGAAACCAAAGAAAAACATACCCAAGCTCCGGCCGGAACAAAGACATCCTTTCCATGGGACCCCAGCGGGATGATGACAAGGATAACAACAAACACCCAAAGACCGATCACGATTGAGACGAATACCTTGTAGCTCAACTTACGGCCCAAGGCGACCATATAGAATGTATGGAAGGCGATGGCGAGAACAAATATTCCACTGGCCGGGTCTCCAATCTGAAGCCAGAAGCCCTGGAGGAAGCAAGCGGCCGTCGAGGCTTGAACCTTGTTGTCCGCATACCATTTGACACATATTATGAAAGCGAGTGACTGGATGAGATCCGCGATGACCAGGTTGTAGATGAGGATGATATACTGATTATAACCAATGTACCGCGCATAGTTTGAGCGCCAGAAAACCAGTCGATAAGTAATGAATCCAATCAAGGAGAGTGTCGCGATTGTAGAGAGGAGGGCCATAATGAAGACGGCAACAAGCCCTCTACGGTGGTCGTGTGGGAGGGGGTCGATGCTGCCTCCACCGTTATCACCCTCTGTGTAGGCCACCCGTGGTAAAAGCGCATGGTTGCTGTCGTAGCCACCGCCAAAGTATTGTACAACTTCGAGAAGACTCATTGTCGGACGTCTATGATCGTGGGATCTCTGGAAACGCCGCAAACATTATTGGAGGAAACTCGTTCGGCTGTTGCGCCCTGAGCGAACACGTCTTGGTGTGCCCTCAAGTTGATCGGGTGCTTGACGAGAGGGCGTGCAGCAGAGATTTTTGCGGGTTCGAATGACGAGTTTCGTGGACCTCCCCCTGGCTCGTCTCAGGTCCGGGAGTTGAGGGATTAACTACTCGCCAAAAGTTTAAAACGAAGAATGAGCGACTCAGCGACAAGTAGGAAGACGAGGGATCAAAAGGGAAGAGGTCCCGCTAACAGTGGAAGATGCTTTAACTTGAAACAGAAAGGGATCGGACATATAGCACTGACGTGCGTCGAGAATTCCGGCAAAGCTTAAAGGCTGGTGCGTATTTGAGTTTACAACATGCGGCGCAGCGTCTCGAAGGCGACAAATCCTACTCCGTACGAGCTGTACCAGAAAACTCAGCCGTGTGGATCTAGGTCGCATAAACCGGCATAAGCCGCTAAGCCCGACCAGTATTGATTGACGGAGAACCTAGCGATCAGTAATACGTATATAGGGGAAGTTTCGGTGAGATTGAGGAACGATTTGGAAAGGGGAAGGTGGACGGAGAAATATGGGTGCTCAAAAGTATTTCCCCGAATTGGCCGTCGGATTGGGGCATTCTGGAAGGTGGAAAGCGTAACAGTAGAGCAAATAGTAATCCTGGTCAGATATTTCTGGCGTCGTATTGGAGGCCTTAAAGCCAGTAATGACAAGGATTGAGCGCTTGAGCCCCCCACGATGGAGTGGAAACCATGCTTATGGGTTGATGGCTGTGAGATTTCATAAGCGAGGAAATAGTTATCTGCCACGGTCTGTATGCTCCGAGCTTGAAAGTCGTACAACTCAACCAGCTTCTCAGCGCCGCGCTGCCGAGGCCTGGGGTCGAAAGCTTGCGCGCGGGTTTCTCACAAGTCCACGTTGTCCCATTCTGCGTGGAACCCCGCAAGGAACGAGAGTTGTAAGATTCAGCCGGCCACGAGCTAACGGTGCCTAACATGGCAATCCAGTGCAAATGCTGCCAATGACAGGCTTTTGTGCGTGGGCTTCTAGAACCCACAAGGACCCGCTTTGCCGATCGGTTGATTCTGAAGCAACAACCGGATAACATCCTTGTTTAGGATAAGTCGCTTTGAAGATCTGTGCTCATCAGTTCGAGGAAGTGTCAAAAGCAGCGTTCTCGAGCGACGATCTGTGCAACATGTGGGCAATGTGCAGCTTCGTCGACTCGTCAGGGTGACAATCTCTATCATATTTATGTCTTCAGCCGCTTGGATCTGCAGTTCTATCCGCTGTATGAACCATGGAACGTCCTTCCGAGTAATCTTAATCCCTGACAAGTGTGTCTCTGGCGGGATTCAAGGCAAGATGAGGTGTACATGTGAAGGAGGGCAGTTTTTATCTCCAGGGCAAAGGTGAAAAAGCTTCGGCAAGAAGGCCAAGTAGTATTCATGAGTCCACAATATGCGACAATGTCAGCGTTGTATTTTCCGTCATGGACATCGGATTGGGTTCAATAGTTTCGTCTTGTAGGCCATCCTCAAGGAAGCCGTGATCAAGCAACAAGAAGGTCTTCTCGCGAGCGCCGTCGATTCCAGCGTGTTGATAAGATAGCGGGGTAAACAGTGTACAGCAGTACATGGCTGCCTCAGACATGGCTCATGGAGTGAATCTCAGGAATGACAAAGAGTTGATGAAGGAGCGAACCAAACCTCGAAGCCAACTCGAAGCCAAACCAGGAAGGAACCCCGGAGCGACTCTTTCTCCGCGGCTCCGCTGTCAACCTTCTCACCGGCCTCTGGGATCTCTGGTGTTACGTTGTGCTCTCAACTCTCTGGCTCCCTGGGTAAAAGCATGACGGTTCGCCATGTCATTATCTGCGTCTCTCCGTCGATCGAAGCAACGCAGTAACCAGAGAAAAGAGCCGAAGCTGTCAAACCCCGCACTATCTACGGAGTACGTACGATGTACTCCAGAGTTGAGGAACCTCCGATCGCCATGCAGGGATTGCCTACAAAAACGCGGAGGAACCCGATACCAGATTCAAATTAAAGTGCAGCTTTAGGAGTTCTCTGGCGGCCGTTCTCCGTGTGAAAGCCGCTCTCTCGGCTGCAGACATTGTTCTCCGCGTTGAATGAGATTGTCCATGGTTCAGCCACAGATTAGGTTTGCCGGCCCTCGCGCCTTTGACTATCATTCTGTCAGTTGGAACTCTCAGCTCTTCTTTTGACACACTGCGTGACAGCGAGCCTTGACATCTATCTCCACTGTGGCGCACCCTTCATACGACATCATACCTCACGACTTTCCCTTTCTATACTAGTAATTGCGCTAGCGGCAGTGAGCGGACGTCCAGACTCCAGCCATCAAAAGACGCTTCGAATCTCGCCCACAATATCACAAGAGTACCTTGCATATCGAGACACTTAACCGCCCACTTCCTCCGCCCTGCCAAGGACGAGGGCCACGTCGGAGCAGATCTAGACCGCAACGGTTAAATTGCATTACTGGGTATCCCAGTATATGCGATCTCCACGAATATCTCATCCTCAATGCTTCTCCTCATTGCCTCACATGCAGATACGTCGATTTCGACAATCCGGGAATAATGAACCAACAATGTCTCAGTCCCCGGAGATCACTGGCGTGACCACCCACTGCCCGCATTTTTGTTCCCCAGGAAATCACTCACTAGTCTCGCCAATCTCTAGAATAAGCGATCGAGACTATTTGCTTGGCACCCTGCCAAGCTCGAAGGAAGAAACTTGACCGCGGGCGCTGATAGCTGCCTCGATAGTCGCGAATCGACAACTAGATGGACTCTAAACGCCACGGACTCCTTCCCGCTTTACCTTGTGTCCCTGAAATCCTCCCGTTAGAAACAAGAAGAAGTCCACTTCAGGCCAGGTATATGATTGGACAACAACATGCATTATTGTTGGAATTGCTTTGATGCACGCATCGTACCACCATCATCTTGGCGTGGGGTCGAAAAGGGTTCATTGGACGACTTAACCAGGGCAGAGGCGAGCGAATTAACTGCTCGAAATGAAGGATAGCCCGACTCGCAGTGAGCGATACTCTTTGAATGTGAGTCGCAAGATGAAGGCAGGACTGGAGTTCGTCTAATAATTCTCGATCGGGTGGGCACACGATCACTTACCCCGGCTAATTTGACACCACAATCTGGACTCCCGAAGAATTCCCGACCGATTCATTTGCGCTGGAGGCTCGAGTGGGACCTAGACCACCATCATGGGCTCTGGTGCCAATCGGGATTTTTGGGGTTGGAGTTTGTCCCTTCGTCGAGTCTCAAGCTACTCACGCTCTAAATCTTCTCTCGCATTCAGAGGCACCACGAGGGCATAATTGACTAGCCGTATCAGACAAAATCGCAGGCATCGTACGAAAACCACCTATCTAGATCCTATCTAGTTGAGAGCGAAGCCAGCCAAAGTCCGATATAACCCATTCAGTGTCATTCTATGTATCCTCCCACCCCAAGTGTAACATACAATAGCAAAGGCACAAATACAACTCAAAACGAGCGTGTATCCTTAGCCATCGAAAATAGAGAGACTGGGTATAAAAAAAAATCACCACGGAGAGGCCAAGGTATGGAGGTAGAGAGGTAGGGAGGTCAATCTGCGCCCACTCCTTTCCTGTACAGAAGTACAAAGCAACTAAGTAATCATAAAGCAAGTCAAAGCGAAGCGAAGCGGAGGAAGCAAAGCCAACTCTTAATATAATGGAGTATTGGATTGATTCTCGGTCTTTTCATGGCGTTTCTTCATAGGCATAGGTTTGCCATATACAAGAGCATGCATATGCGCAGCACTGTTTCGTCTGTTCTTTCGTTCGTTCGTTAAAAAGTGTTGTCATCACGCTGAAGACAAGATGAAAAAGGGAATAGAATGTAAAAACAGAGCTAAAGAGAGGGCCGATGAGACGATGCGAAACAAAATCGGGAGAAATTATAAACACAAAACCCAGTCAGATGCAGTTTGGGTATTTCCGAGAAGAGACGAGACAAAATAGGGGGAGATAGAAAATCGGGAAAGTTGAGAATGAAGTTCGCTTCTTTATCTCCTCCTCGAGTTCCGACTATCTCGTCGCCCAACGTGCGAGCCCTCCTCGCCCTCGTCTTCCTCTTCCACGGGCGCAGGGGTGCGGCGCTCAGTCCGTCGTTTCGGGCGGCGCCGTCGGTTGGAGCTGATATTGCTAGCCGAGTCATCAGGCGCCAGGGACTGAGCGTCGTCGAGGAAGTCGTCGTCCGTGCCGCTTTCCCAAGGATATGCGGACGCCGGTGTACCAAGCCGAGCTTCGACGAATGTGCCCCGACGGTTCTGGTTGGCGATTGAGAGCCCGGCTCCGCGTTCTCGGAGCGCGAGGCGGACGGCTTCTGCTTTGCAGTGGAGCGCCTCGAAGGCATCTTCAAGCGCTTCCATCCCCGCGTAGATTTCACGCTCCACTTCTGCCAGAGCTGCGATTTCCATTTCCTCGTCGAGGGCAATTGGGCCGCCGAATGAGCCTGGTGAGCCTGGACCGTATGGTTGGCTCATTGGGCGATCGAGAGGGCTGGGGGTTGGGCCTCGAGACATCCGTCCTCCGGTGCTGAAGGGAGTTGTTGATCGGCTGTGCCAGCGAGGCGGGGTTGCGCCGTTGGCGGGGAACGTGTCCTCCGCTCCGCTGCGAAGGAATCCGTCGAACCGGCCTGAGATTAGAATGTCCCACTCATCGTCGCTAATAGCTGCAAGCGTGGCTAGTACATGGTGAATTCCGGGGTTGTTTAACATGTACATTGCAGTTTCGGGATCTCGAGGGGTAGACGACAGGCGGTACAGCCGCTGGATGGCAAAGGACGACGATACGAGAGCAGGGGGCCTTTGTCGAGGCTGGCCATCCGGTCGTGGAGTTGGCGATGCCGAAGAAATACCCAGCAACGCGCAGAAAACGGGCCTTTGCTCGGGTCCGAGGTGGGTCAACATGGCAAATGTCAGTGTCTCATCATCGACCTCTTCCGGTGCACTTGTCGGCTGGTCGACTTGTTCGTTCAGCCATTTATCAACGGCGACTTTTGTCTTGCGAGATTGCCGCAGGAAATGGTCGCGGTACTCTTCCGGAACGTCAATGTCCATCTTCTGCATGGGAATGTGCTCGTCACCGGAGAGATCCGCGGCGCCGAGCTCTGTTGTGAGGATGAAGGGCGGCCAGTTGGGAAGTTCTCGACGACCGGATACCAGCTCCAGTACTTCGCCCCAGCTTACGCCCGACGGCAATTCCTCCAGCTGCTCACGCTGACACATCAAGCACTCGCACGCCTCCGACGAGATATCACGGGCGAAAACAGCCTCTAATCGGTCGAGCAGGCGACGAGCTACCGAGCGAGATCCAGTCGCTACAGCGAGAGAGCCGTTCTTACCCACAACCTTCTGGTAGTCGTCCAAGAGGCGGTTGAAGGGCTCAAAGACCCTACCAGCGGCTATATGGGCGGGGAAGTTGGGATGCTCGGCGAAGCCAGCGCCTAGCAGGAGATTCTTAGGTACCGGATGATCCAGACCTCCGTTGTGAAGCAAATAATCAACGCGGGGGTTAGATACTGGAACTTCTGGGGGCGGGGGCGGAGGTGGTGGGGTGCCGTATGTGGAGTTGACAGTCGGCGGTCGGCCATATTCCATTGCAGCCTCGAACGGCGTGCGGTGTGCGGATATCGGACGATTGGACATGGAAGACCGAGTTTGGTTGCGGGACGGAGGCTTCTCTGGGCTCTTTGTTGTTTTTCTTGTAGAAGGGGAATGGCGAGGCGCGGCGATTGTTGCGTCAGAGCCGTTGGCAGATTCTAGACCAGCATCGCGAACAGTTGCGGGCGAACGGGGAGGAGAGATAGATACAGCCGCGGGAGACCGCTTGCGTTGGATATATTCCTCGTCAAGCTTTGATTTGGAAGGCTTGTGGCTTGTGGTGCGAGGTGGAGAATCTTTGCTATGACTTGGACGTTTCGACTTCGAAGGGGTCTCCGGTCGGACGGTGCTCTTGCTCGTCTTGCTCGCATCGTCCCTTTTCGAGCGTAAACTTGATGACGACCGGTTCAAGTCTGTCTTGATTCGAATCTTCGCCTTGTTATCCTTCGACTTCGTACCAGGTTTCTCTTCTTTTTCTCCGACAACACTTCCCTTGCGTGAAGAAACACCAGTCAATGGCGGACTCGGCGGTGCATTTTGGTTGTCGGAGTGTTGTTGCTTGCTATCATCTTTATCTCCACCATCTTTATCCACCTCGGTCAGGTCGGTCGGATCGGGGGTAGGGATTCCCGGTTTGTTAACGGCCTCCCTACTATGAGCCTTCGAGAACGTAGGGTATGGCAGGCTGGTTCTCGACTCGAGGAAGGAGGCCGTGGCGGGGCGGCTGGCGCTGTCGATGCTCGGCATGGAGGACCGACGTTTCTTACGGGATTTGGGAGCGGAGGCGGAAGGGGTCGAGGCACGGACCGTGGGTTCGGGTTCCTGTTCTTCTTCTGGATCCTTGGTTGCGGGCTTGGAGCGACCCACAGATGACCTTTGTTGACGGTGTTTTGACTTGAGAGAGGTAGATGACGACGATGAGAGTTTCCTAGTCTGTTTCCTATTACGATCTCGGTCATTTAGTCTTATGGGCAGAAACATGACGTGTGATGACGGGCCTCGAATTCGGGTTCGTGGTGGGAATTGGGAGGTAGGTAGGTAGGTAGGCAGGTAGGTGGTGGTGAGAGAAGACGGACGGACGACAAGAATGAGGCTGTTGCCCTTCCCCCGTCTTCTCTGTGCCGAGTTTCGTTTGTGGTGACTGTTCTAGTTACCTCGTAGATTTGTGAACGATAGAAGGCCGCTAGGTCGGACACCTCATTGGGAGGGACAGCCACGGGCGGGAGAGCAATCGAGTGTTCAAGCAAGGGAGTGTGAGTGTTGTTTGTCCCGAACCGCCGACAGTCGTGTTCTCGATACGTTGGGTTGCTCGTCTGGCGCTTAGGCGATGCTCGGGATGGCAGCTCTCACTGGTCGGGTTCGTAGCGAGGCGCTTATGTCACTGATTCCACCAACAGCTATCTTTAGAGTCATGCGACATTCCGTCGCTCATGGAGGGGGTGCGGGTGATAGAAAAGCAAGGCTTAGGAGGGACAAGGAGCCAGGAACAGTGCAGAGGAGGGAGAAACGATGAATGGTTGTCGGATTCGACGAGGATTTTGCGGTGAGAACTGGGAAGGGCCTAGGCGAATCCCCGCTGAGACCCGTTTACTCGAGAAATGGCGGGCTTTAGTTCGACGGCGGGCTAAGAGCGAAGGGATGAGTGGAGCGACGTGGTTATATGCTGCATGGAAGCCCGACGAAGATGTTGGAGACGTTGGAGAAGCTCGAATAAGACTGTGCAGTCGAATCTGATGGACTTGAGATGAAACGGTCCAGAAGAGGGGGCGTGGGATGATGATGATGTTTGCTGGTGATGTGTTTGTTGCTTGCAGCTCAAAGAGTTACTAGGTAAGCGCCCTTAGTTGCCTGATCTGGTTCGCTGCCTGAGGCGACCAGTCCAAGTTGTCCCCAGTTGCCCAATATTGTTGCCTCAGGCAAGGTCTAGGTTTACAACCCAACAAATCAGAATGAGCAATGTATTCAAGTACTACTTAACTTGCTTCGCTGGCGACATCTCCAGAGTCCAGTTACCTTCCTCCATATGAGCGGTCCCTCCACGCCGAGCAGCCCGCATAACCTTGTCACCAGCTCTAGTTGTCTTCCCCGTCTCCCGATCCCAAACCCAGCCTTCCTTCAGCCACATCCATGTCAAATAAGCGCGCAGCTCCTTATCCTGAGGCAACACGGACTTCCACTCAGGAACAAAGTCAGCTGTTGCAGCCCCGTTCCCTTGCCAATCCTTTGCTAGACCTCGTAGCTCGTCACGACAGAAAATTCGCCAACTATCCAATGCATAGGCGCCGACTCCAGGGAGATGTGCAATTTCCCAAGCCACGCGGGTATCATTGTCATCGATGCATTCCCTTGGCTTGACGTCTCGACCATCGAGTTTTTGTGGGTAGTTGAGCTTCCGGTATCGTTTTCCGCGACATGGGGGAGAGTCGAGCCATGTTTGTGCTAGAGTGATGCATTTTTTTGCACGTTGATTCTGGAAACCTAAGCAGTTGATCATGGAAGTCAAGGTCGACGGTTCCGCTGTAGCCATGGCCTCAATCGTGGGGTAGTGATCAAAAACCCGGAACAGAACTGGTAGAGCAACTCCTCCCCGGGTTCGATTGAGGAAGATGGTTGCAAGCAGCAGACGGAACGGGTCGTGCGCGAGTTGTTCTTGAATCAGCCCGAAAGCTGGGGCGTCAATTGGGGGAAATGGTAGGCATGAGTCTGCGTGAACTAGAGGGCCTGGGAAATAGGGTGATATCTTTGACAGTTTTGTGCGTGGCTTTTTGCGGTTCACAACGAGAGTATGCTTTGACGGAGAGTCGAATTCGGGCGGGATTCGTTCCCTTGGAGGAGTGACACAACGTAGGGGTTCAAAGTTGACAGCTTCATCAGAATTCTCAATGGTGCCATCAGGCCTGTCAGCTGCAACGGCGGGCTTGCGTCGAGATGGAGTAGGGCTATCCGGGAGGGAATCAAGGTCACTCGGTACATCACTCAAGGTCGAATCGGACAAGAAAAAATCAGAAGCAAAGCCAGCATCCTCAACCATACAGCGTACATCTTCAATGGGGAAACGGCTGGGACTCTGGGAAGCTTCAGCGCGGACAGTAACTCTGGGCTTGGTTCGCGGATTCACAAAATACTTCGACCTCACCTCATCACCGGTGGCCAAATCCCGGGAATCATCGGTTGTTAAAAATCCAGCAAAGTGTCGTCGCGATCCTTCTTTGGAGTATTGAGCTTTGTCGATGCATCTTTGGAAGAAGACTTTCTGGCCTTCATCTTGTCCTTGCGGTTTTTCTTGTGTTTTCGTACCCTTCGGAGTGATGCGTGAGACTTGTCGTCAATTTGGGGTTTGTTCGTTTCAGCGTTAGTCTCAACAAGGTCTGTAGGTTTCGCCTTGGGGTCGTCTATTAAAGTTAGCAATAGCCGCAAAGTGCAATAGAATGGATGTCACATACCGAGAGGCAGGTCTGTACCGACGGCCACTTCCACAGACTCTTCATCAAATGGCTTGCGCTTGTTCTCGTGCTGCACCGGCTTTGTCTGGCTCTCGACGGGGTTTATACACGCCTCTTCGTGGTCGCCTGAAAGAGTCAGTACCAGTGCGGAAGAGATACGAGTTAGGCCGTCGAATGGGCTCACATACCGAGAGGCTCGTCAGTCTCGCGAGACGCCTCCACACTCTCCTCGCCACGGCTCCGCTTGCGCCTGCGCTTCTTCTCAGACTTCGATAACTTCCCTGACTTCACCTGACTTTCGATGGGGTCTACACACTCTTCCTCAAGCTCGCCTAAAGAGTCAGTAACAGTGCGGAAAAGATGTGACATGCACGTCGTCAAAGGAGTCCACATACCAAGAGGTTTATCAGACTCACGCGGCAACGCCTCCACAGACTCCTCGCCATGGCTTTGCTTGTGCTTGCGCTTGCGCTTCTTCTCAGACTTTGCCGACTCCGCCTGCCTCTGATCGTTATCACTAGGGGACTCTGAGAACCGGTGACTAGGACTTCCTCCGAGCAGCGCAGCGATATCCCTCAACAGCTGAGACGCAGACTTCACAGACCCTACAGCCCTCTCGAACTCGTCAACCGCATCATCAACACCAGACGCCTTGCTCTCACTCTCAGTTTCCCATCCTTCCTCATCCCCATCTTGAACACCATCTCCAGTATCAGTTTCAACATCGCCATCCTCAACCCGATCCCCAACAACAACAACATGATACCCCGCTAAATCATCAACCTCCTCCCCAAACCCACCCCCCTCCTCATCGAAGACATCGGCCCTCCCAACCCTTTCGAGAAAGAACCTCTTTACATCAACAAGAACCCTCTTCACAGCCTCATCACTATATCCGAGCAGCCCAGCTTCATAATAGACATCGCGCACGAAGCGGATGCGCGCGGACTGGCGCACGGGGTACCGCGCCTCTTTGATGAATGCGTGGTTGCAGATTATTGTCAGGAGCGGGTTGTACGAGGTTTCGAGGGAGGTGTAGAGGTCGCGGAGAAGTGGCGGTGCGGGGGTGCTGGGAGCTGGCTTCGAGGTGGGGGATTTGGTCTTGGTGGCGCTTTTGCCTTTGCCGTTGTTGTTGTTGCTAGGCGGGGTAGGCTCTGCGAGCTTCTCCGAAGGGCTCTTCGAGAGGAACCATTTCTGACGGGGTTTAGGAGTGGGAGCCATCTGCTTGAAGGGTCGTGTTAGTTTTGTTTTCGCCGGTGGAATGGTGGAACGAAGGGAAGAGCGCAAGGGTGAGGGTAAGGAGAGATGTGTTGGTGAGAAGAACTTGAAAAGCAAAGGACAGCCGAGCGGAAGAGACACTTCAAATACAAAGAATGGGTAACACAAAACAGACACGCGAAGGGGAAATGCGCTCAATAATCTATTCACTCACAGACCAGATCTCAGGCCACCACCGCGGCGCCTGCCTTCACCGGCGACTCTCTTCGCTCCCTTCCGCGTCAGCTTTTCGAAAAGACGATGGTCTTAACATTAGGAGGCATCGATAATAATGAGAACTGGTAACATTTCGAGACGATAGAAAAGCCCCCCTGGATGAAGAGCGGGTGCGGCTTCAAAATTTGACATCTGGAGGAATTTGGGTCCCGCTGATATTCCGGGGTAGCGCACGGACCACGTCTTCTACCACTACAGTACGACCACGACCATATAATATGCCGGAGTCGCGAAAGCAAGCAACTGTATACGAACCAGTCCATTCAATCATAAACCCATCTAGTCTCTAGGCTCTAAGGCCGGTCTTAAACTCTACACGCAAGTTCAACCCGCAAACCTAAACCGCAAACCCCCCGGAATCCCTCTGCCTCGGCTCCCCCGCCGCATCAAACGTTCCATTGCGTAGCACCCGAATCGCCTGCGCCGTACTCGTCCCGGGCGCCATCCACGTAACATTATGCCCGCGCTCCCGCATGAACTGCACAGTCGCATTGTCGAACCCGTACTCGAACTGCACGTGGTTCGGCACGAGCTGGTCATGCAGCCGCGGCCGCGCGAGTGTCTCGGCGGCCGAGAGTCCCTCGTCGATGGCGTGGATGATATTCTGTACTGTCGCCGTGATGATCCGGCTGCCGCCTGCGGAGCCGGCTATTAGAAAGGTTGTGCTCCCGTTTGGGTAGGTGATTATCGTCGGTGTACAGGAGGAGAGGGGGCGTTTTCCGGGGCGGATGAAGTTGCTCTCTGAGGGGATGTAGCCGAAGGAGTTGGAGGAGTTGGGGATTGAGAAGTCTACAGCTATTAGTTTAGATGGGTTGGTCTAGGAAGGGGGGAGAAGACGTACCGTCCATTTCGTTGTTCATTATGATGCCCGTCTCGGGGACGATGACTTTGCTGCCGAAGAGGAGGTTGATTGTGGTGATGGCTGAGATGGCTAGGCCTGAGTGGTCGATTGTTGCGATGTGCGAGGTGCCGGGGCTACCGGCGCGTCAGCCAGACCTAAAGTGAGGAAACCAGGAACAAGACTCACGTCTCCAGGCTCTCAATCCCAGCAGGATTATACGCAGACACATTCTGCGTCCGGAGATCCGAGATCTTCCCACGGATATCACTAATAGTCTGCGCCTCCAGCATCCCCTTTTCATACTCGACCAACCCCTTGACGAAATGCGGATCTCCGAGTTGAGTTCTCTGCACCCAGTTAGCCATCCATGTCAACCTAACCACTGCACCGAGATGCACGTACCAATCCATATCCAAACCGCATCGCCTCGTCCATGCGATGCGTACTCAGATTGAAATTCCTCTCCGTAAACAACGGCTCGTACGTATCCAGCACCTTCAACATATTCAACGCAACGACTCCGCTCGACGGCGCAGTCGTGCTGGTAACCCGGTACCCGCGATAATCGATCTGCGCAATGCCACGCACGGCGACGGTATAATTGCGCAGGTCCTCCAGGGTCATGGTTCCATTCTTCGCCTGCAGCGCACTGATCATAGACTCTGCAATCGGGCCCGTGTAAAAGGCGTCCGGGCCGTGCCCGGCGATCGTCTCGAGTGTGTCTGCGTATCGGCCTCGAGTAATCGTGTCGCCGAGCTTGACACGGGTGCCGTGTGGAGCGAAGTCGACAGCCCAGGCGGGGTCGTTGACGAGGAAATCCTCGTCGTCGCCGACTGCGGAGTCCATGTAGTGGACTAGATCCTCGCCGACGGGAAAGCCATACCGTGCGGTGTTGATGGCCGGTTGGACGACTACAGACCAGGGTAGAGAGCCGTAGTTGTTGTGCAGGTATTCCAGGCCACGCAGTTCACCGGGGACGCCGCTAGATTTGTCAGTGGTGGTTCGACGTGAGCTGGATTTGGCATACCTTGCTAATCCGCCAGATGTGGAGGCTCCAGTGTTGTTGTTGAACATCTCCTCGAAGGCCGCTGCCGGGGCAGTCTCGCGAAAGTCGATAGACTCAAACGTGCCATTTGGCGACTTGACCAGCATAAAGCCTCCGCCTCCAATGCCACTGTGATACATGCCTACTATTGTTAAAAGCTGTCCACGAGATCTGTTCTCAGATGGGTACTCACCAACAACTCCAACACAGAGCATCGTCGCGACCATCTAGACCGGTTAGCAAAAAGCAAAACCCACGATAAACAATAAACAATAGCAAAGAAACTCACAGCATCAGCAGCATTCCCACCCATCAAAATAATATCCGTACCATGCCGACTACAAATCGCACTCTCACTAGCAACAGCACCCCTCTTCCCATCCTCAAGCTGCAGCTCAAGCTCGCTTGACCTGCCATGTGGACGATCAGAAGCAAGGGGCGACGGGAATGCACCAGGGAGATACAAAACCACCAGGACCAAAAGGAGGGTGGTACAAAGCGAGAGCCTCAAGACACGAGACATGGTCGCCGACGAACGAATGGTACTCCTCGCACGCGTATGCTTGTGAAACGGGGCGGAAGGATCTCTTTGGGAATGCTTGGGGAGGAGTGGCTGGGTGACACCATCATAGCTTAATATTAGCATTCCGGGATCGCTGGCCGGGTTGCCATTCCGTGCTGGGGGAAACTGGGGGGCTACCTGTTTCTCCACATCTTGGGCGCTATACCCCTGCATCTTGCGAGCCACGACGAACCACTAAGAATAAACACCACACCAGTTTAGAGAGAGGACGCAAAACGACTGGGAGGAGCGAAAAGAAAAGGACATTTTGCAGAATCTGGAGATCTGAGGAACAGGGAATTGATAAGCAGACTTCCAGTCGGGCGCGCACGGTGAGTGGTTGATAAGGAGTCACCCGCTCTTCTCCAACCTGTGGATCAGCCGATGGGAGCTCTCACCGTTCGTCCAGCCCAAGGTTCGAGGCGTAAACCATGTGCCGAATTCCGCTGAGAGCCTGAGACCCTTTGTTCCAGTGGCTTCTTGGCTCCTCGGGCTTTTGAGGGTCCAGCTCCAATATTAGACTATATTATTACCTTGGGTATAGATAGTCGTCAAAGATACTCCGACCCGGTACTCCGTAGATCCCCCGCAATCGTCTATAGAACACAAGTCTTCTCGCCCGTCTCCACCAACTCCGTGCCCTCCACCTTAACCGGAATGCCCGACTCATCATCACCATCCACATCACACCCCACCGCCCTCCTAGCCCACCTCACCGTGCCCTCCCAAGATGGCGGAATCTCCTCCCCAGGCTGCAGCACCGTCGCAACGAGCCGCCGTCCCCAGATCCCCACATACCACTTATTCGACAGCAGATGCATTCCAACCCCATAATGCAAGAACAACATCCGAGCCGTCCAGTCGCCCTCCTTTAGCCGCGCCATGAACTCCTCGCTGATGTGGATCGGGAAGGCTAGGATCCCGCCCTTGGCTTTGCCGAGGGGCCACTCTTTGATCATCTCGTCGAGCGTCGCCCAGGTGCTTTGGTACATGGTGCGGTGAGGGCTGTCTGATGAGGAGATTGCGCTGTGGAGGTTATCGAGGGATTTGAGGAGGTCGCTACGACCGTTAGCATTATGGCCATGTTCATTTTTATGGTGATGAGACATACCGTTGTAACTCTTCCAAAGCGGAGTTATCCTGCGCCCTGAGGGGTCATCAGCTCTCCATGTCAACACGAAAAGGAAAAGGAAGGAAAACATACTCCTCAACAACCCCATTCTTAACAAAAACCTCGGGCTGCTTATAAACAAGCCATGCGCGCATCTCCTCGGGCTGCTCCACACTATCCAGCTGCTGGAACAAAAACGCACAACCCACAAGCAACCGGTGAATCTCCAACACCTGCGCGAGCGGATCAAACGTGTCCCGATTCTGCGACACACACGGGTACGCAAAAGCGCACAGCATGATGAAAATCGAACAGATAAACGCCGGACCCAAGCTCTCGGGGGATAGCCCCGCAAGCACCTTGCTAAACGCCGAGCACGCGCGGTTCTGGTACTTGAGCGCGATCTCGAGCCACTTGGCCTCGCTGGTGCCTTGTTCGAGGAAGGCGAGGTGTAGTGCGGAGAATGCGAGGAGGATATCTAATAAGAAGGGATTCGAAGATGCAAGCCGCGGGACCGCGACCTGGAAGTGGCCCGGGTCAAGGACATCCTGCCGCAGCGTGAACGAGGCGTCGATGACGTAGTGGTGGAAGAGCTTCATCTCGAGCAGGCGCGTTTGCACGGGCCACTCGGCGTCCGGGTGTGTGCTGTTCTCGGTGGCGCTGCTGCTGCCCTGTGGTGTCGGCGGGAATTGGCCATCGCCCTCGGTAGGAGGGGGGTATGTACACTCGAGCCCTCGCTTTTTGCACAGTGTGCAGCGCGGAATGTCTTCGTCGCACTGGGATCGTTAGACTATTTCATCCATCAGGTTCGGAGAGGGATACGCACCTTGACATGTCTCCGTTTACATTGGAAACATCCCCTTCGGGACTTGGTATGGCTGCGACGCGAAGGCATCCAGAGCGATTAGCTCTGTTTCGCCCAGAGTAGCACAGGAATGAACTGAAGGTTTCTAGAGTATGGAGCCCCAGAAGAGCTCATTCAGGATAATAAAGTAAGAAGAACGGATTGGATTCTCGAAACAAAGCTTGGTAGTAGGGCTAGAATGAAAATGTCGTATTCGTCGTATCCCCAAACGCGCAGGTCCCAGGAGCGCGGCAGCAAGCTGGAGTCCAGATGCACGCGGGTGATACTGATTCTGTGCCGATCGGAGCAAGATTTGCCGGGGTGACTAATCCAGGTACCAGCGATGAGACCAGAGAGGTACGAGAGAGAAAGATGGGCGGGAGAAGCTGTTGGGGGCCATTTGGTGTTTATGAGGCTCGAGCTTGAAAAGGAGGAAATTGCTGTTGAATGGCCGTTCCCTGAGATCCTTTAGGGAAGGCGCTTGAAGTGATGCGGTTGCGAGGATACATGGCGAGCGAGAGAGTACGTATACGCCGCCAATAATTGAAGCGATACCGTTGAGATAGTTGGCCAAGATAAACGCAAATGCAGGCAGGCGATACGGATACGGCCGAGGCAGTAATTATCATGGAATAAGGAGATTGACCTTTGAATAAAACGAACAACGGAAGTGAAAAGAAAAGGCACAGCGGTTGTGGCGGGAAAAAAAAGAAAAAAGATAATGCTTCCAACGAGAATCGAACTCGTGCTTGCGGATTGCAATTCCTTTAGATGGGAACTGTCATATGATATGAGACCGCCGTCCTAACCACTAGACTATGGAAACTTGTTGAAGGATTAGCACACTTATGTGTATATATAGCTTACCGAGAAAACAAAGTTGCCATCAGACGATTGCAAACCGCATGGTGCGTGTCTTGCCGTCCACAGTGTGTAAATCTTTGTTCCATCCCAATACCATATTGTCGCTGAATGAACTCAGCTGGTGCCTTAAGACTCTTATTCTTTCTATTATTTCTTGTCGCTCTCGACGACTAGTGCCGCCGCTGGATCTGAATCTATTGGTCTGTTTCATATATATTTCTGCATATGCTTACCACACTGGACATGAGGAAAGCGCTGAGCTTCAAACGAGCAGATCGACGCATGCAGGAGTATCTCCTGATCCTGATTCCAGAATACATCGCTAATTCATATAATAACGATATATACTTCTCAAAACCAAACGCGACACCCAAGGTCGCTCCAACAGACTGAACTCCCGCTACAACAATCCGCCTTAGCCTGCGAGCTTGTGATTTGGCTGGCCATGGCGGCCCGCGCGAGCTGCCAATCATCGCCACACCTCTTCGTGTATCATGATGGCACGAGCTCGACCAGCAATCGTCGTGTAATACTTTCGTTGTATAGTCACTACCAGGGACTATCACACCAGGCACTAGCTGTGTACTAGTGAATGATCACCTTGAATAGGTAGTACAATGCACGTAAAGTTCAATCCTCAACAGTCCCCGGCGCCACAGCCAACCCCTCCATCGCCAGCAAAAGCTCCTGCAGCGCATGCGCCTTGAACTTGGACCCGCCCTCGCCCTGCCCAGGAACATGGTGCACAATATACCCGGCCGAAAGCGCCAAGGCATCACTCTCCGTCCAGAGACTCCCACTCATCTGCGCGAAAATCGTCGTAACCTTGGGCGGAACCAACGACGGCACTTGCGGTTTCCTCGCTTTCAGGACTAGTTCAATCATCCGCAGAAACGCTTTACACAAGCGTCCCCAGCTCAGACTCATATGCCAGAGGCCGACGACGGAACTTTCGAGAACAAGGCCCCATTTTGGTTCGCGGGGATGGAGTTTTGAGATGGCGTGGATGCCTGCGACGCAAAAGTAGTGTAGCATTACGATGGGAATAGATTTCCAGCCGTGGTAGTGCTTATACAGGAGGACGAGGGAGCCGATTGTATCGAGGCTCTGGGATTTAATAGGTTCAGGGTCGAAGCGGGGTGGCTGTGCTTCGGGGGAAGATTCGTTTTGGAGGAAGATTTCGCATAGCGAGACGGTTGTGGCGTGGTAGTATAGGCTAAAAAGGTTAATGATTCGTCCTTAGAGTAGGCCGGGTGACGAACTGTAGGCATATGATATGAGGTGTTGTGTTGTGCCTCGGGAGGACACTCCATGGTAGTTTTGCGTTCCAGCTGAGAAGTTTCTGATGCAAGGTATGGCCATAATCCCAGTCATCGCAGTTCAAGGTTGAGGCAGGAAATTTCAGCGCGAAGCAGGCGATGTCGTGAACTATAGCAACCAGCTCACTTCTAACCCAGGACGCCGTATAGTAAAAAGGTTGCGCAACAGGCGACTGGATGGGATATGGACACCATTCGGCACCTTCGTCTAAAAGAGCCGCTTCCTCCTGAGAAAACTGTACGGCCGGAGGCTCATCCAGAACAGGTGGCTTCCTGTATACCTGACAAGCTAGCCTATGATAGTTAGCGACGGCAGCACTGGCGCGAGGAAAACCAATCCTTACGCGTGGATGTCAAAAACAGCCCATGACACTAGCTTCTGGCAATTCAGGATTGCCGCTGGGTCATCGTCAATGTCCCAGAAGAAATACGCAGAGTCCTGATTGTGAATACCTAACCGCGCGCTTATCTCCGCTCCACGAGTGATATACTGTGTGCCGATTTTATCGAGGCCAAAGGTGCAGCAGAGGAGCCCAATTAATATACTGGATTGTACTGTAGGAAGGTCGACTCGGTCTTTGTCCTGCTGCCAGAGGCGCTGTATTGCCGCGTAAAGCTTATCGCCGAGGACCTTTTCCTCTGAACGATCTGTGATTCGAGTAAGATTATACGAGAAGCTCTGTGGACTGTTAGCGGAATTTATCCAAGTATGCGATGTACTTACACAGCCATAGAACAACAAAATGTGGACGAGAAGAGAAGAACAGAACCTCGTTCGGCCACGTTCGAGGTCATGCACAAATTGATTCTGATCAACAAGCTGCCATATTGGATTCTCCCATGTAAAATAGAGAGAGAGCAAATGGCTGGCAACGTCGTCGTCAACAAGCGACGTCCAGTGCTCGATCGAGGTCACTTGTACAGGTGGCTGCTGCGCAAGGACCAGCGCTTGACGATTCTCATTCGCCTGCCACGCTTGGTGCATCCTCCTCAACGACAATCCCGGCCTCGGCAAGGGTATGTGCTGATCGAGAGGCGAGTTCGCGGCGAGAAGCGTCGAAAAGAAATCCGGAGAAGCCTGGAAGCGTCTCTAACCAGGGAGATAGCGAATTAGTCCTCAAACTGGCAACGTATGGCGCATAGAGAAACACACGCGTATGGCATCCTGGATCGACAGGCGGCTGTCCTGGGTATTATTCTGGGAAATGATTTCCTGAAGAAGAGATTCGTACGCGTTAATCCTCTGCTCGAACGACTGAAACTGCAGCTGCTGGCTTTCGCGCTTCGACTTGGTGTACGTGCAGATCGCGCCCGATCGCTCGCAGAACCGACACTTCGGTTTCGCGCCGTCGCATTTTGTCTTTTTCTTCTGGCACTGCGCGCAAGCGCGGACGGTCCGGGGTTGGGTTCGAGGTGTTTCAGGCACTGGTATTCTGGGGATGGGAACTTTGTTGGCGTCTGATGTCGCTGGGCTTGTTGGGGATGTGGTTGGAGACAGCGAGGGAAGATTAGAGGTGGGGAACTGGAAAGAACCGGAAGTTCCGGGGGAATCTAGAGGTGTTGCGAGGTGCGGTGGAGGCGCGTCAATCACATTGTTAGCAGGGATGGCACTCTTCATCCTCAAAGCGTCGGAGCCTGCGGAGCAACATGAGGAGGAGAAAACGTTTTGTTGAAGCTTGGGGAAGGATGAAGCCGGCGGCACGGGTCGCAAGCCGCCAAGACACCAGACCCTGATCAATGCTTACGCTTGCGGAATGCCAGAGACTCTGGTTGTCGTCATCAATTGTTCGCTTCTGTATAGATAACGTAATGCATTCACAAGTGCTGCATTGGTAAAACTCGGTTTTCGGTTGACCCACACAAGTGGGCCGTCGCCGAGCGACTTTTGGGCAAGAGCAGACGTGAGTCCTTCATAACCCGAATAATGAGTGTGCTCTACGGGGTACGCTCATGACTCGAGATCAATAACCATGCTGACACAATCTCAAACAGAGCGAGCTAAGCAAAGCGAATAACATAAGGACATGGTGTCTCCCCGAACCCAGAAATGCTGTTCTCCTGCACCTTGTTGACCCGATCGTTGGGAGCATTCCACATGCGATCGCCCGAGTCCCTAGGTAGAGCTGTCAGCGATATATCTTAACGAAATATAAGCGTATGGAATCATACATCATCAATCCAACATGGTGGATACTGCCGCTGGCATTGCAATCACACTCCCCACCAAAAAAGACGGCATCACCTGCCTGGCGCTCTTCGTACGGGTATTTCCTGGGGCTGTATTAGCAATAATACCGACGGTGGTGCAGTTCTGAACATACTTGTACCCAAGAGTCTCCTCGCTGGCACAGTACATGGAAGACGTGACGCGGAGACCCTCGGTAAAGAGATCGCGGCCAGTGATCTGACAGACAGCCCAGCAGACGAGACCGGAGCAGTCGTACCCAACGTCGCCATAATCATATGGCGGCTGGTCGCCGCTAGGACCATCACAGGAGCCCCCGCCCCAGGCGTAGGGAGTCCCTTCAGCAGTCAGAGCCTTTTCGAGGATAGCCTGGCCTACAGTGTTTTCTGCGGAAGGAAGGGCTCTGACAGCGCAGGCGAAGAGGGAGACGGCGGCAAGATACTTCATACTGATGTGCGTTCTCTGCATGAATCTGATGAGCGAAGGCCTGATATCGAGCGGGATTTTTGGTGCTGAATATCCAGACTACAACTCTCCGATTTGATGGCCATTTTATATCTGCCATGCTGGAGTCGGATGATCATCGAGTCCGCCGATCATCATCTTGCTGTGCCATATTTGGCGAGACGAACAGCCTGTTGTTACATTGATCGTATTAGATGTTGATCAGGAACTTCAAGTTCTCGTCGCCCGATGGCAAACACGAAATGGATCTTCGCAAACACGAGAAGCTGAAGGCTGAACACATACAAATCTGTTCATTCCTTATCACCGGCGACACGGGGACAGAAAATCGTTGCTTACAGTGGTCGATCGACAGAAGCAGAAAGTTTGTTACCCGACGAACACAAAGCGAGGAGTAACATGTGTTCAGGATCATTCTCATTGTTCATGCCCCCAAAGTCGAAAGTAGAATGCCCTAGTGCAGTTGATTCGCTGCCGGCCTATTACAGATGGCTGCTTGGCGACCGATGGGCTCTATTTTTAGGTCTCGATTGACGATCCGATCGATCTACGACAGAGGAGAGTGTCAGAAAGCGTTCTGATTTCAATCACTGATGCCCTCCTTTTCCGGACGCTCAGGAGACGTGGAATCGTCTCCCAGGGGGGGCTTCTATCCCGTACTCCGCGAGAGTAGATTCAATTGTACGTTGCGTTGATCTCGTGGCGAGTATGGACTAGCGCCTGCGAGACTGAAAGTATACAGCCGAGCCTGAATTACCACCTGCTCAGTTATGTGAATGATCCTTGATTGAAGTAGACATATAGGGCAGCTTCAATGTCGCCTGTATCTTGGGACTTGCCCAGTGTATATCGATTGGCAATTGTTCAGCAAGCCCTGCCGGTCTTGCTAAATGCGCTACCTTGCGTACCTGGTAGGGAATCAAGCTCAACTCTACCATGAACTTGACTGTGGTAGAAGAAAAAAGTGTAGTATATGGTGTAGGCCTCAGGGTGCAGGGTGAGCATGAGTTCTTCAAATAGCTGTGTGGGTGCGTGGTCTTTCAAGAGAATTAAGAGTCTCTGGCCACAGGAAACTCACCCTTCTACTTGACTCAGGGAATTAGTTTCTAGAATGATTGTTACGCCAGTGTAATTAATGGCTATAGATACCCATGTTCATTAAAAGTAGATATATAGATTATTTGGAAGCACTAGAAATTATCCTCAAGAGGGAATAGAATGGAATAATGTCCAAAAACTATTAACGCAGCAAAGTCCCACACAACCGCCTGTATAAAAGCAACCTACAAAACCCACTCCCTCAACATACAAGACCCCTTCCCCCACTTCCCACTTTTCCCACCACACTCACAAAACTTCTCAACGGCCCCCCTGAAATCTAAAACCTCCCAACCTTGACTCTCCTCCATCCCAAAAAGCACGTGCAACACCGTCTCATTAACAGCAACCTTTTCCGGAAAATCCACAACAACACTCAGCGCCACAAAACTCAACGACCTGTTATACGTCGTCACCGTCGAATCAACGCCTATCTGCGCCGCCGTCTTCGGAAAGGCATGCTGCAGCCCGAGACGGAGCAGGTCGAGCATGAGCTGGATCTGCGACTCTGTTTTCGAGTCCGAGGGGAAGTGCCGTGTGAAGAGGTAGGGGTGTTTGTTCTTGTGACGGCCGTGCTTGTCGAGGGTTTGGGCGCGCACGGGGAATTTGCTGTAGAGGTCTAGATAGAGGTTGAAGCAGGGGGCGCACATGGCTGTGAGTGTGAGGTCTTTGAGGTGGGTTATTGGGAGGGCATGGTAGGGGGGCTCCCTGTCTTGGGGGAAGCCGTGGTGCGTTGGGCTGGGAGGGGTGTTGAGGGCTTTGTAAAAGGGGGAGTGGGGGTGGTTGGTTGGCATCTTGATTGTGTATATCTTGTATATATATAGGAGCTGTGTAGGTTATAGAATGCTGTAGGTGGTTGATAGCGAGTCGGGAAGTCGCTGTACTGAAAGTGTAGATGTTTCTCTGCAGTAGGACTCGGTATATTTGTGGCTTAAATAAATAGTGGTCTTTGTAGCATAGTATGAGATGAGGCGCAAAGAAGACCAATGACCTTTGTACAGGGAGTCTTTGATATCATTGTTATTAGGGTATTGCCAGTTTCATCTTTCTTTCATTTGCCTCTATACTCCTCGAGCTGTAACAAAGCGAACAATCCTGGGCGAGGGACCGCTTTGGTCTTAGCCGACCTTCGAGTAGTCTTGCCTAGAGAGTGACGCTTTGCTTTACTTGGGCTGTTTGCTCTCTTTAGTTCTGGACAAACTGGCTGCACAATTTTGAGGCTCAGTGTTCTTTGCTATCCTCCAATATGGCATCGTACATAGTATGCTTTCTAGTACCAAACACTGCAAGAGGCCTTGGGATCAAAGAACTCCTCAAATATGTGTTATGGAGGGGCCTGGATTACTTGACTTGCAACGATCCTGTCCAGCCGAGAAGGAGTATTCACGCCATGCTGGGAGAGATGCGTGTATAAGCTAGCCTGATACTAAGAGCAGCTTGAAATACCGCCACCGACACCTAGTATGGAATAATGCATCTAAGCAGGCTATTGAAAGAGGATAAGGGTTTCATAGAGCTGGGCTACATTACTATCCTAGAGAATCCCTTCTTGAATCTACCATCACGAGCCCACCGTCTTCTATATCACCTCCTTCCCACTCGAACACTGCCCAACAAATGGTACAAAGCAACTTTCTTGGTAAGAAATTGTTTGCAGCATACTGATCAGAGCCTATGGAAGAACATGTGCACATGTGCATCGAGCCTTCCATACTTGACATACCCGAGGTCGGTCCTCCCTTGGGTCATTCTGGGCTATGCCTCGTTCATCGTGGGCTGATCACCTCGCAGGGAAAGAGTGAACGGCGACCTCGACTCGTCAATTATTCCTGCTTCTAAAGACCCCAGCCGCCCCGGCTAGACTGGAGAACTGTATGCATCTATGCCCCAGTGAATGCACACCGCTACTCTGTCACAAGCATAAAACAATGAGCACCATTATTGCTGATGTCAGAACCAAGATTAGTTCGCGGCTCGATAGACAATTATTCTATTGGATAAATAGCCGTCTAATCGCCGACCTATCACCCTGGTTCATCGAAATCCCCTCGGGGAACAGGAGATGAGGTCATGCTGGACGAGGGATGCCAAGCCGGGGTGGGCGTCGGGGACCATCTCGGGTTCATCTGCCCGCAGTGTTTCTCCTCGCATCAGACATCATTTCATTTTTGGTTCTATGCCTTGCTGACTGTGCTGGCAGTGATTTCTTCGGTTTTCAGCCACGGAGACAAGGTGAGAGATTTACCCTGCAGCACAAAACCTTCGGATGGGTTCATGGCGGCGCCCCTCAGAACACAAGTGCATCGTTACACTGCTCGATGGCTGAGTCAAGGCAACACATCAGGTCATCGTGGGAGAGATGAAGCTGCGGTTTCAGTTGCCTCGAATGAGATGCATTGAGCTAGGTGGCGCTTCTCGTCGCCTATTGTCTTCATTCGTGCGCAACGGCAGGGCGGAGTGCGGACTCCCTCTGATCCCCGGGCTCGACGCCGCCGCCCCCACCGCGGGGACCTTGCGACCCAGGGGGATCACGCCTGGCCCGAGCGTCAAGCGCTCCAGAGGTTCGCTTAGCCCAGCCTTGCAGCCAGCCTAGTCTAATTGCGGCCGCAGGCAGCGGGATACAGCATTATGCAGATGCGGATCAGGTATTGGTCGCCGATCGGGGATCTCGGGTTCGAGCGCTTTGGGAGGGATTCACCCTCGATCAGAGGCCGAACTGCCGCGAGCCTCGAGTCTTGCCATGGCTCTACGTGGCTGCTAGAAAATGCACCATACAATATTTGAACATGAAGCTCGACATTGCTTGTTCCGTACGTCCCCCAAGTCACAGCAAAATGCAAGAACACCACGACTCTCCTCAGAAGCCCTCCTCGGTGGCCTGTGTGCCCTGCCGTCGCCGCCATCTGAGATGTGATGCTCTCATGCCGGTGTGCACTCGCTGCCAGACAGCCGGCACGGAATGCCACTATGTCCGCTCAAGACGAGGGCGACGGGATCAGTCTCGAAGAGTCTCATCTCGACCCGACGAGGAGGGCTCTTCTGTCTCCGCGGATGCCTTTTCCGACTGGCTCAACGCCACTGCTTTCTCTCCCGATCTGAACATACTCGTACGGTGGACACCCATACCAGGTATATCCAGGGAGAACTGACATGACCAGACAACCCACGACCTTTTTCAACCCCTCGACCTTCAGACATACCAGAACTTTCCTCTCCCCACTGATACCGTTGATACCTTCGAAACCCCTCTCACAAGCCGCGCCACGGCGCACGAACCCATGATCCAACTGTACTACCAATACTTTCATCCCTCGCACCCTTTCATCGTTCCACGAAGAGCCCTGAACTCGCCAGCCGCCCACCTCATCCCTGCCTACCTGATCGCCGTCATGCGTTACATTGGCGCTCACTATTACCCAGACCAGTCATTGAAGCAAGCTCTGCGACAGCCTGCATATAGCTTCCTAGCAGATCCGTCGCTGCGAGACGGGTTCACTGTGCAGGCACTGCTGTTGCTGGCAATCATCGACCATTCAAGCTGTCAAGAGCAAAGCGCGCATCGACTGCTTCAGATGGCAGTCAATCTTGCTCTCGAGATTGGGCTGCATCATGCGTGTTTTGCACTGGAGCAATCGTATGGCCACCCGGTGCTCGAGGAGAGCTGGAGGCGGACGTATTGGGAGCTTTATATCGTGGACGGGCTGTTGGCCGCCATGCGTGAGCAGAGTCCATTTCGACTATATCGCCAGGGAGCGAGTGTGCTGCTGCCATGTGCGGAGAAAATGTATACTTCAAACAGTGTAAGGCAGCGAGCCTGATCTCTTAGGTGAGGAAATACTGACGAGCACAGGCGAGACCAAGTGGTCAGACTCTCGACGACCTGCAGAACGACTGGACACTCGCGCAGAATTTCTCAACATTCACATACCGGATAGACGCCGTGCGGAATCTCGGCGCCGTCCTCGAGCTCAATCGCTCGCTCGAGGCAAATATCGAAGCCCGTGTTGAGACTATCGATGCGCATCTTTGCTCATCGTTGATGACACTTCCTGCGCTCCACGGAGACGGGTATGACAGCTCATGCCACGATGAGATGGTCTTTCAGGCGCAAATGACGCTTTACTTGTATGCATATCCGGCTCATCAAATGTATTAGACTCCGCTGACGAATTAACTGCAGAGCCCTAATCTACCTCCACCACCCACGCTCCAGCATGCGATTTGCCTCATTCCATAATACCACTGAAAACCCACCATCCCCCTCCTCAACCTCCTGCACCCGCCTCAAACTCCCCGAATCTCATCCACAATTGCAATCCAAAACGCCTTCTCATCCTTCAGCATCAATATCAGCGACCCTCACGCAGCCCCCGTCTCCAACCCTCGACATTCACTCGCACAAGCTCCTCCGCGCCGCAGACCTCCTCTCCAACCTCGCAACCCTCCCCAGCACAATCCAGAATCGTTCGCCCTTTTTCACCTGCGCGCTGGCAATGTGTATAATTGTACATACGGCAGCTCTTCTTGTTGTGGGTGGCTCGACGAGACAGGAGTCGCTCAAGGCACGGGTGCAGTTGAGTATCGGGGCGTTGAAGGTCCTTGGAAGGGTGTGGCCGCTTGCGAAGAGGGTGAGGGGGGAGATGGTGGGGATGTATAGGGAGGTTGTAGGTGGGTAGTTAGAGGGATGTTTTCTTACCACTTACACATAGAACCAGGAATGCGTTTGGATGGCTGATGCTCATAGATCACATGGCCATCACCTACGGTTCATTATTATATTTACTGTCCATCAGCTGGAGATAGAGGATGTCAAATTACCTGCGTCTATAATATCATAATAAAGAAATAAAGATTACATCATTCATCAACAGCCCCGCCCAAAACCCACCACTGCCCCTCAGCAGCCTCAGTCCTACTCAATGGGACCGCAGGCCCTATCCCATCCTCCACCCCCTCCCTCAACCGCCCAGAAAACAACAAAGTCTCCTCCTTAGATAGAAACCCATACCACCGCCCGAGATATTCCCCTGGATCTATCTCCCCTCCCCCTCCTCTTCTACCTCTTTTACCCTGATTCACATAGTTCTTGCGACTAAACTCCATCTCCATTTTCCGCCCCTCCCTCCAACCGCATTCAACTTGCTCAAAACACCCCTGACGAGCAGGACACACCCATGTACATCCAAACTCAGACCCAGCGCTAGACCTGAGCTCTGAAAGAACAGACAACACTCATCCCTCCATCAAGTTACCCGCACCTTCTATCCCGAACCCCCCTTCAGGAGCCCCTGGATTTGCCAAGCGCCAGAGAAACGAACACGCCCTCTGTGCTCGTCCAGCCCGGAATCCATTCCCTCGTCCCACTTTACGCGTGAGCCCGAGCGCCGGCGATTCCGAGTCCGAGTTCGTGTTCGCATTTGTACGAGTGCCTGAAGCTCAAGAGCAAACCTATTCTTTTTCGCGGCATCCAACTCGCTGAGAAATACCACGCGCCGGAACAAGAAGAAGGGCGCGCGTTGCGCTGCTTTTCTGCCCAGGATATGGTTCAGTTCTCAGAGTCGAATCCGAGTGGACTGTTGCCGGTTGGGAAATCTAGATCATTCCGGATGCAAGTCTGTATATACATATGTGCCACACCACAATATGCACGGTGTGCGTAAGGCGAACGAAGCGGCGAAGTTCATACGCTGAGGGTTAGCACCAGCACCAGCACCAGCACCAGCTAGCGGATTATCAGGTTCAGGTTCAGGCTCAGGCTCAGGTATACCCCATCCCCATCCCCACCTTCGCGCCGTCGCACAGCTATAGCTAGACCATGAGGCCGGATTTATACGCAAGGTAAGAATCCCCTGCATGAGTCCGCAGGCGTGAGCGCTGAATGCCCTACGGAGGCGGGGCGATGATTTAGACGCGACCAGAGATTTAAAAGCTGGGACAATTGGTGAAGATGGAGATGAAGAGGTTGGTTGAGAGGGTGGGGTATGGGGCGGGCTGGGTGCCTGACTGATGCTGTAGAGCGACGGGCCATTTTGCGGACGACGCTAGGATGCTGTATAGATGATTTTGGGAGCCGACGCGGTGATGGATGGAATAAATGAAGTGAATACTCTGAAGAAGCAGGGGGAGCCGAGTGAGTCATGGACCATGCGTACCCTCTTCAAGGCTAGTAGTAGCTGGGGCTCGATCCTTGAGCGAATGCTGCAGGGCAGGGCCTATTGATCAGAACATTCGGCAGGGTACAGAATCTGGAATACGAGATGCTGACACAAAATATCAAACGCGTATATACGGTCCTCGTTGCTGCCTCGGCAGATACTAGTAAAAAGTGCCCCAGGCGATTTGGGGGAGAAAGTCTATTGATTGGCGGGTTGCTTTGTACCTTTCCAGGACGTATAATATCAAACCAAACGTCAAAGACCCTGTTCTAATTACGAGGGTATACATAGTTGTATGGTGTGGTGTAAGCAATGCTTTGCAAGACCGGACACACTGGGCTTTCTAACTAGGTCCTCGTAGCCCTAATCTGTGACATGGACTAGGAGCCCAAACTCGAGGTCAAACAGATTCATGCAGGAGAACCTACTGACCGTGATGGGGATATTCCAGCGAGGCAGCGGATCGAGGGATATACTGTAGGTACTTGACAGTACTAAGGATAAAATCTCATAGGCGATTGAATAGCATTGCAGCGCTATACAGTATCCAGAATCAAAAAACGAATGGAAACACCCAGACTCCGACCAAAAACCAAATAGTACAAAAAAACAATATCTACCAAACAGGGCCCAGCCCGTCAACCACCCTCATTTCCAAACCAAACGCACTCGACCCGAAACAGCCCTACCCTACCTAACTATCCCTCCTCGCCCTCTTCATCGCCCTCCCGTACATCCCCTCCATACTCCTCCTCCCCCTCTTCCGCCCATACTCCAACTCCCCCCTCCACCCAAACACCTCGATCCCCCTCGGGACGATCTTCGGAATATCCGTCATGTTCCGCTTCGCGCGCACCGCCTCAACACGAAACCTCGGCCGCGAGTAATCGTTAAACGGCGCCTGGTCGCCACCAAAGAGCAGCCGGTGCGGCTCATCGTACTGGAAACTCAAATGCGGGTGCCGCTCGGCCTCCTCGACGAAGGCGTCGATCGGGAACGGCCCGTTGATGTCCGAGTCGAGGGTTATAGCGCGGATGCCGAGCGAGGCGGCTTCGGCGATGAGGTTTCTTTCCTCCGTGTCGAGCGGGAAGATCGCGTCACGCTCGATCGAGTTGTTTTCTGTGTACAGGGCGAGCGAGATGAGGTTGGGGGGCAGGTGCGACGCGAGCTTTGTGCCGTGGTAATGCGGGCATTCGTTCCCGTGGAGAATCAGGGGCGTTGTCGCGAGGTATTTGAGTTTGTCGAACTTTGCAAAGGGCGCGCAGAAGGTTGGGTCTTTCTGTGCTTCTGCGTTTGTGTTTGCCGCTGTGTCTGCCGTGTCTGCCGTGTCTGCTGCGGCGGCCGCGGGGTTGAGGATGAGTGGTCCGCCGGGACGTGAGATGAAGTCGCCTTGGTAGATGTCGAGGTACTCGAGGGTATCCTGGAGGTGAGAAAGGACCTTCCAGAGCTTGTGGTGGAGGAGGAGCCCGTGCTCATATGCGTCGCGGCGCGGGAGGACCAGCGAGAGCTGCCGCAGGTTCTTGAGCATGGAGAAGAAAATCGCGTAGTCGAAGCGCTCGTCCTGGTGGATTTGCAGGGTGAGTTTCTGGATCGGGCTGTCGTGACTAATCGGCCAGGGCTCGTTGGACCCGATCCGGACGCGCGCGGGCATCATGAAGAGCTCCTTGAGCTTGGGCAGTCGGTAATAGCAGTTTTGCAAGGTGATCTCGCATGGCCCGATCTGCTCTGCTGATCTGGCTCTCCCGTTGGCGTCGACCGAAATCGCGGGCTTGATCGAGATGCTCTCGAGTTTCTGGAACGCAATGGCTTGCGGACGATTCGCGTCGGTGGCACCGAATCCCGACCAGCAGATAATGTCAGCGTGGAAGACATCGGTGGGCGCAAGGTGTGCGTGGGTGCGGACAAGGTCCGGGCAGTGAGCGTGGACGATAGCGTATAGAGGCGCCAGGTAGCCCTGTTTGAATGTGCTCTCGACCGCCAATATCTGGCTCTCATCGAGGTCCAGATTGTTATAGTCCAGGTTGTAATGATCAAATAGACTGCGTTTGGCGTAGGCTTCGAGGGTGACCTCGCTGGAAAGGTCGGGGAGTTCACCGCTTGCTTCCAGGGCGTCCCGGCAATGGGTGAAGAAGGGGTTCTGGACGTACGGCCTGTCCCAGCCGACCTGTTTATAGGCACGCTTGATTGATTCCTGGTTGGTAGTGTAGAGGTCCCTGAGGTGGCGGAGAAAGGCCACTGAATCCGGAAATCCGTGAGGGTGTTGGAATCCCTTGGTAGTGAGATCCAACTGACGGACAAGTCGTGCGAGGGCGGGACGGGTTACAACGGTTCGCGCAAAGAGCCAGAGAGACTCTATCTTTGTCGGGTGACCATCGTAGTGAAAATTGGCGTACAGGAAAGGCGTCACGACCTGCTTCCAGCGGCGGCTCACCAGGCAGAGTGCGCTTGGAACACGACGGTATACGTATGCACAGGGGTCGGTGCGTGGATCGCAGCCTACCAGCTGAACCACAATATGGTTTAGAAGCTCGTTAGGGAGCGAGTCGATTGTCGTGGGCGCCATCTTGTAGGTGGTGTTGATCACAGTTGTGAGAAATGAATCGGTTGAGAGACATGATGCGCAAACCAGCAGTGATCTGATACTTATGTGACCGTTTCAGGGCTTTGAGTCCATGATCTCGATGTCGAAAATAGATTTCTTTAGCATCGCCCTGTCCAAGTCGCCGCTCGAGCGTCCTTTGTGTGGCCGCGCCGCATTTAGCCTCGTTCATTGTTGCTTCCACCTCAACCAAGACACCCACGTTACCGATTGGCTGTACACGCCAATTGCGCCCTGGGTCTGTTAGCGTGTTTCGTCGAGGTACCAATGGAAAGAGCAGCGGCGCCTCAGAAAGGTGAAAGAAGTTCATATGTACCTTGGTATATCCATGGAGGTAGGATATGTGGTCGCATAAGCCTGTAGGAACCTTTGTCCAGCTTCTTCTGCCATTGTCGCCTTCGAGGAATGGCGCGAACCTCGAAGACCGTTAGCGACAATACTGATGATCGTCTGGTTACGCGGACAGAACCGTTAAGAAAGGCAGAACACCAAAGAGCGTCGCTAATACACCAACATTGCATAGAAATAGAAATAAATATATAAAAAAGTCTATTGATATAATAATCTAACCCCCTACATCCCCCGGTTAAACTCCACCTTGCCATACTTCCAAAACTCCTCCTCAAGCGACGTCGCGCTAATCGTCTGCCTCTGCGGGAAAGCACCCAGCGCCAACGGAAGCGCAAAGAGCGACGTACCCAGAATCAACGCCAGGTTGATCGGCGTCACCATCCGCGGCCGCGCCTGCAGCCACTTTGTCTTCTCCAGCTGAACGAGGATCAGCGGGGGCACAACCATGATCGGCGTGGCGTTCAGCACGCGGCTCACGGCTGTTTCGCCGACGGCGATTGTTGCGGCCTTTTTGCTCTTTCCGAGGCTTTGCACGGGTTCCCCGGCTTCGGTCTGGACGGGGTACACGTCGATGCCCTGGCGGATCTCCTCCCCGCGCATGAGGAAGACGTTGAGGGCGCTGGCGCTGGAGACGGCGGCGAAGGGGACGAGGCGGCCGAGGATTAGGCGGGTGTTGGGGTTTATGTTCTTTAGTCGGGGCACGAGGGCGTTTAGGCCGAGTGCGACCGAGCATGATGCTGAGACGGCCATCAAGTATGACTTTGCCATCTGAGAGACTGAAAGAGGGGTCGACTTGTTGGCGTTGGCGTTGTTGATCGCGACGTTGAGCGATTGATTCGCGATTTGCCACAGCAGGGTCCCAGTTGTCTATATCCGTTAACTTGTATCCTGTATCCTGCGCCGAAGATCGTATCGTACCTGAAGCCCCGGTGTGAGCATACCCGCCGTAACGACCAGATTGGAAAGAACGTAGCACGACATGCGGAAAGGAAGGAAAACTGGCTCGCCGGTGTCTATGCAAGTGATCGAGTTAGTCAATGCCTTGTCATGCCTTACATGCCTTTCATGGAGGGGCTTACCAGGATGCAAGGTCGAGTCAACGACCTTTTTCGCCTTCCACAATTCCGGCGTCATCGAGGGGACCTCATGCTGCTTGTACGAAGCAATGAGGCGCTTCGCCTGTTCCAGACCGGCTGAAGAGACGAGAAGCATCCTATAGAATCAGCAACAGATCGACAGAATCATGACAATCAGTGGCGCAGACCTCGGGTCAGAAATGTCGGCCGCATGGCGGACCCGACCCCAGTAGGTGTTCAAATCATACTGGGAGGAAGGGGGATCCCGATTGCCGGGGAGCGAGGAGGACATTGGCAGCAGCGGAGCAACGAAGGACGACTGTGGTGACAGGAGAGAGAGGAAGAAAACAGGTGAAAGCGAAAATGATTCACAACATGGCGAGAGTTGGTGGAGGCGGTGAGCCCGATAAGAGGGGCCGGCCAATGAAGAGTGGCGGTCTGCGGGGAAGTGAAAATTTAAGGTTCAGGTTCGAGTGTTGTCGCCCCAGGCCAATTCCTGCCGAGAATACCCGACCGAGTTTCCGAATCTACGCGGCTACGCCCACGCACCGACCAGGCTCATACAGAACGCTCCCAGGAACACCAGCACACATGCCATGACTCTCTTGCGCCCGCGCAGCACGCGCCAGCTCTCGTCGCTGAGAAAGTCTTCTGACAGGAGCTCGACCAGTGAAGCGAAGATCAAAAGACCGGCCGAAATGGCATTCATCGTGCCGACCAGCAAGAGACCGACTTCGGAGTCGGGGCTGTATAGCGAATGAGTTGCGATGCCGATTGCCTGGCCGATTGGGGTGCTGCGCAATGGTTAGCGAGGGCATGGAGACTAGACTAGGGAGACATACGTGCAACCGTAAGCAAGTGACATGAGCCACGGCTGAGCGGCTTTGGCAGGCCAGTCCAAGCAGGCAATCCGCGAGCCAAGAGCAAGGCCTTCGAATGTTTCTGTCTGTGTTAGCGGAACAGCTACTGAGGATAGTTGGAAGATCAACTTACGGTGAAACACAATCGCAATCAAGAGAATGACAAACTCATTCCCCACCGACACGCTGAGCGACATGCCGATGAACACGCTGTGAAACAGAATACCGACTTCGAGCATGAAAACCTGCATGACATCTTTGTTGTGTTTCTGCTTCTCGGACAGCTGAAGCTCATCCTGAAGACTTCCCTGACGATCGCGGAACTGCTTGGCCTCGCTGACCTGCGGAAGGGGAGTGACTTCTGGCGCTGACGAGATGCGGTATATCCGGTCAGATTCTTCTCCAATCCGATGAATGGCCCGACTGAAACTAGATGACCGACCAACCAAGGGGCCCTTTGGACGCAATTGCGATGCGCACTCGTCGTCGCGAACCGCATCCTGCGGGACACCTAACGCTGCAACGGGTATAGTGTGCGTGTGCGCGTGCGAGCGTATTACGGCAGCTTCGGCCGCCGCCTCTTGATCGGCTGACTTGTGCATACGCCGGGTGGCATGCCTAACGGGACTAAAGACCATTTCGATCAGGGTGACGAGGAAGATTCCGCCCAATGAGATGGCACCCGGCATGGCGGGGTAGTCTTCCGTCCAAAAGCCAGAGAGACATGGGTCCCCTAGCAAGGTGAAGGCCGTAGGCAGCAGGTGCACAAAGGCGGTCGCGATGAGGACCCCGGTGCCGAAATGACGCACGAAGAAGAGGAAAGCCGTGGGAATGCGTAGGCGGGAGAAGCGGATGATCAGAATCGGCAGAGCACAGGCGAGAAACGAGACTCCGAGGATGATAAACAGGGCTCCCACGTGTAGAGAGGTGTTGTAGATCTCGCTGTCAACACCGCCGGATGCGCAGCTCTGTCGCTTCGTGTGACGCCGCGCTGGCCGAACTTGAAATGCGTCGTCCAGTTCGGGTGGCGATATACCAGACGGCATATTTGTGTGCGAGAAACTAGGAATAACCGGTCTCGCGCCGGTCAAGTAGTCGGTTAAACCACTCGCAGAAAAGAAAATGGCTGTGCACAAAACAGAGAGCAGCCATAAGAACCAGCTTTTGAGCTTGTCCAAAGCGGATTGACGAGAATCCATATGGAAGTTCGGGCGTCCTTTTTAGGCGTTAATGCATTGATGATTGCAGTTTTCAACTGATCTGTCATATATCTACGACCGACCGTGAGATTTCTGTGCAACTTACCTGACAGAGTCAGGGACGCCCCCGGGTGCAGCGACCGGAACGCATCGCACTGCGATTTGTGCGAAGAGGGCAAGTCTGCATCGTGCAGACAGTGCCGAGCCGAGCCCATAATCCCGGCGCCCTCTTTGAACTCGCGGACATTGGAGATGCCATTGAGATCCTGACGGGTTGTCAGGTCAGGTGCGAGGAATGGCGGATTCTGATTCCAGTCGCAGTGCGGGAGGGTGTCATCGGTGCGGGATGGGCAGTTCATGGCGAAATGTTTGAAACCTTGGAGAGCAAAAAGAGGCGAAAACGTGCAAGGACAACAACAACAACAACGTGGGGAGGGTTGCAGCTGGGATGCGTCTGCTTACGTTGCGAGTGTGTGTGTGGCTTTCCGCTCTGCTGCGCTTCACATGACGTTTCCGGCCGCCAAAGAGACGCTCCTCCGCCCGAGTCCCGGCCTTGGCCACAGCGACGAGCAGGGATCGGCCCGATTCTTCCGGTTTCCGCCGGGTCACGTGGCTCATACTGGATAAGAATTTTGCAGCGTCTGATCAAACTGGTGTTCATCCTTGCTATATCGTGTTGTAAATATATAGTGGGATGCAGCTAGTAGTATGAGTGGCTCATATTGCATATTATGGTTGCACAACATTCCCGATTGAAGCCTATCAGCCGAAGAACTATACCCGAAGCGCCAATCCCTGCTCAAGTTTGACAATTATTGTTTCAGACTTTAAAGGCATTTTCTAGAGAGGGAACTAACTAATTGGCTCTTTTACTTTGCTCTCATGTTCCATTTCTTCCGCGGGTAAAACTTGCCTAGTTTCACTCTTCCAATTTACGGCATCAAGATTCGCACATCGATTTATATACATCAGTAGTCTAGTATCACAAGACCCGTTCTCGAGACAACAAAGTCCAGACGGCTTGTTCGGAAGATAGCAGTCAGATATCTATATCCAATCCCTGGTTGAGAAGAACCAAAACATCTCCGCTAGATGTACAAGAGACGATAAAAACATGTAGCCGATGAGCTCCAAGGGAGTAAAATACAAAAATAGCTCTTATTCAAATACGTCTGGAAAAGTACACTTCCAAGTAGAACCCGTCCATCACCACCAAACCCACCACTCCCTCACAAATTGGACCTAGCGGACCTAATATTTAACAACAAACTCCCCCTACAGCCTGAAATCCCTCGAACTGGCCCCAACAAACACCTTGTATTTCCCAGCCGCAACAACCCACTCCTGCGCCTCCACACTCCAATACGAAACATCCCTCCTCGTCGACTCAAACCTCACCGTCCCCTCCTCCCCCCTTTCAAGATAAACCCTCTCAAACCCCCTCAGCTGCCTAGCAGGTTGCCCCGCCTCCTCAGGGAAAGAAAGATACAGCTGCGGAACCTGGGCGCCAGCACACGTGCCGTTGTTCGTTATTCGCGCAGAGATTGTTCCGACCGTGTCCCACAAGTCGCTGGGCCCGCCCACGGAGGCCGTGCCTTGTGGTGTGCGCGGGACGGAGGGGTGGATGTTTACGACCAGCGAGCTATAGGCGAAGGTTGTGTAGGAGAGGCAGTGGCCGAAGGGGTAGCGCGGGGTTATATCTTGGGCGTCAAAGTGGCGGTAGTCGAGGTAGACGCCTATTTGCGTTGTTTAGTTCCTGTGTCTAATTTTATTAGGGGACGGGAGGGGTGTACGTACCTTCGGTAAAGTCGCACTGAGCAGTATAGCACAGTTCCACATTATAGTCGCTCTCATTCTTCGCAATGGTATACGTCAACCTTGCGGACGGGTTAACATCCCCATACAGAACATCCACAATCGAATTCCCCGACTCCTGGCCCAGAACCGACCCATAGAGAAGCGCCGTGGCATTCTCATGCTCGATCCAGCGGTCCACAAGCCTCGGCCCAACCGCATTGACAACAACAACAACCGTATTGTTGCAGTTATCCGCAACGGTATTGACCATCGCATCCTGATCCGCATTATACAGCTCCGCGCGATCCGCACCCTCCCCGGAAAGCGCATTCAAAAACACCATACACACATCCGACCCCGTCGCGTAGTTCTCAAACGTCACCTGCCCAGACGTGCTGGTTGCATCGCTGGCAATCAGCGTCGATCCGCTCGAACTATACGTATCGTTTATGATCCACCGCAGCATCGTCCCCTCGGGCGCGGCGCGCATGCTCAGCGCCATGTGCGGGTCGATCACGTAGGGGAGCGACGCCTGGCCGGACCCCGTGCCGCTGGCCAGGTGGCCCTGGCATGTGGGCCCGGAGCCCTGGACGTTCATGGCCTGGTTGGGTCCGCCGAGGGCGGGCCCCGCGTGGGGCGCCGAAGACGCTCATCACGCGGGGCTTGGAGAGCGGGAGGGCGTTGTTGGTGTTTTTCAGCAGGGCGAGGGATTTGGCGCCGTTGGCGCGGATGAGCGCCGAGTGGTTTGCGCGCACGTCGACGTGCGCGTTTGTGGCTTGGGCCTCGGGCTGCTGGCCGTCGTCGAGACCGACATGGTAATGCGCAATGACGTTCCGGATGGCCATGTCGTCTAAGCGAGCCTGCGAAAGCGTCCCTTTCGCCAGGAGAGCCTGCATCGTCTCCATGCTCCAGATACTGCTCGACCCGTAGTCCTCGCCGCCGAGGGCGGACCCCTGCGCCGTACTCTGCCCGTTCACATCGAGCCACACCATCCCCTGGAACCCGAGCTTCCGTCCTGAGGGTCTTCATCAGCAGGTCCGAGTTCTCGCAGCTCATTATCCCGTCGACTTTGGTCATGGCGCACATGACGGCGCCGAGGCCGTTCTTGACCGCGTCGTAGAATGGCCATAGGTATGTCTCGTGGATGGTATTGTCGTCTGCGTTGGAGGAGTAGGGAGCAGACTCGGCGTCTGCAGAGCTGGCTGCACGACGGCGGAATGGACTACCGCTGGGAGCGCCTCCGGGGCCAGACGCGGTGCCATTCCCAGGGAACTCTCCCATCCCACCACCACCACCCCCCATCCCCGCCGTCCGATTCGTCTCCTGCTCATTAAGCAAAAACATGCTTCGCCCCAGGAATAACCCCCGCATCGATATACGCCCACGTCGAAACCCCCGTCGCAACCCCATTCAGGTACGGGTCCGGCCCAAACCCCTCGCCATTCCGTCCACCCCAGGGGGTTCTCCCCAGCGGCTGCGACGTCGGTCCCGCAACGACCTGCACGCCTTCCCCGTAGAATTCCTCGCCGACGGCCCTCGACTGCGCGTAGATGGCGTCGCGGTCAAAGGTCATTGCCAGCGCAGAGGAGAGGCTGAATGCCGAGACGTAAAAGTCGTTTTGCGGGCCTATGTCGCCGTCTAGGACGGTGAGGGCGGCGAAGGTGTGTTGGGAGTTGTGATTGAGGAGCCGGTGATCAGGGAGAGTTTTTGGGTGGTGGTTAAGCTGGAGATGAGGGTTGAGGCTTTTTCGTAGGCGGTTTGCCAGGAGTCGAGGGCGACTATTGGGGTTAGCATGGTGCTGAGGGGATATGTGGTTGCCGTTGGTGTACGTACCACCATTGGCTTTGAGGATGCCCAGGGTTGAGGATGAGGCCGAGGTGGTGCCAGTAAGGCCGAGTAGGGCTGCCCCGAAGGCAAGAGAGAGGACTTTCATGCTCACAGAACAATATACAGCTAGTAAAACAAATGAAAGATTGACGAATATAGAAAGAAACAAGGGTAAAGATATTCGCAGGGTCGTATGCCCTATTTAACCAGCATTATGACGAAACGCAGAGAGCACCAACAGAGTCTCCATAGCCTGTAGAGCGTACGACTCCCTCATACCCTTATGGCCATGGAATCTGAAGGACGGCCCGACTTCTTCATCACAAGCGCCAAGTCGGAAAACCCGAGCAAAGCAACGAGGTGAAACGGGCTGCAGAACCCCAATTGTTCGGGCCGTGATGACGAAGTTGGGTCCGGTGACGCGTCAAAGCCCTGTGAACCGCCGACTTAACAGTCGATAATACCCATACTTTTCGGGTTGGGATTCCACTCTAGCCAGTGGCTTGCTAGAAGATCGGCCTCGTGGTATCAAGCATGCGCCACCATGTGCCAGGATCCAGGAATTCTTCAACGATTCAAGGTTGCATGCCGACGGAGAGGGGCTGTGGACCCACTTTGTACTGAGCTGAGCCAATTCGAATTCGATCAGATTAAGGCTGGTGCTTCGAGATGCTGCTTGTAGCTTAGCATCTTCTGCCGGAGTGTAACTTCCAGAATCACATGGGCAGCTCACTACTCATATCTCGAGCGTTGAACACTGATCCACCAGCCTGTGCTACCGACACCCGTCCTATCTATGTGCATTGTGCTCCACAGCCTTTTCCGAGGTCGGAATTGCATCGACAGGCAGACTTACCCTGCATTTTTAGCAGAAAGATACATGTAAAGTAAAAGTAATAATCAAGTATGCGTTGGAGTTTGCTCAGCTAGCGGCTGATGCATTATTTTGTTACCAAGAGCTAGGCAACAGGTGCGACGTGGAGGAGGGGATGCGGACGCAGAAGAGCAGGACTAGCAGTTTTTCGAGGCTGACTGTGAATGAGAAGTCGAAGACGGTTTGTGAGGCACCCGAAAGCTTGGTATGTGTAGGTCTCTTTATTTAGCTATGTTTCTGGTACTGTTTGGCTCAAGAGAAGAGAGGGGCAAAGCAACCAGTGTCTCGGGCACTTGTTAGTTGTATTTGAAATGATATCTAAGAATATGCTAGAATATCACAGACTTCCTATACCTATAATAGCATCAGCGACGCGAATAGTTCACTAAATCATTTAGAAATCGTCTGGGAACACCTGACGCGTTCTCTCCAACGAGCCGACCTTGAACCTGACGGCTCGGCTCGTTCTTGGAAATGAAAGAAGAAGCTTACAGTGGTCTCTGATAATGCCTGTTTCGCCTCTTCCTCTAATCTGCAATCTTCTTGGCCTTATTGGCGTTGGCTCGGCGTCGCTAGCACTATCCCTCCAAGGCTCGACGCATTTATCCTCTTTCTCATTCCCATCACCTCTCCTAGCAGTATCCTCATCAGACTCACCTGGCCAGGACACCTGACTCGATGAGTGAGGAAATACCATGATGGCGAATAGGTACGAAAGCAGATGCGGGTCTTTCATTACTGTATCTACCATAGGTACGTTCAAATGGAGCAGGGCGGGAAGAGGCAGAACTGGCTCGCATTCTACTAAGATTAAAGTACTCGGTGGGAGACAGAAAGACCGGACAGGATGGCTTGAAAGGTCCTTGAACGGACTCGGCCCAGAGCAGTGTCAAGCTACCCAATCAAAGTACAAGGCATAACCATGGCTTTGCTTCTATTACACCGATACCGGCCCCACTCAATCGTCTCTGTAAACCCTGATAAAATTAAAGCTTGTAGGGCCGTGGGGAATTTCGTAAGGGCTTTTGACCAATAACTAGGACGATCCATCAGCCAAGAACCAACGCTAGCAGAAACAACAATCCAAATCAAATACTGACTGACTAACCTCGTTCTTCTCGCTATCCACAACCCAACAGCCCGAAAAGGCATCTCCAATACTAATTCCCTGTCAGCATCGCGCCAACACGCACCTATATACTGACGGTGCCATGAAAGGAAGCCGGAGAGGCGGGGGATGGTTAATTAGTGACGGGGCTACCCACCGGTATTCAGAGTGGCCAACACTTGGAGAAATTGGCCAGGCTTCATGTTTATCTTTGGACACTAGGGTCAGGGCGTTGTTGCCCTGGGCAAGGTACTTGTCCCCAACTCTGATGGAGTACCGGCCATGCAAGTCTTCCTCAACATCGAACTAGGGAGCCATTAGTATACCTGGATCAATCATTCGCACTTTGGACTGGACCGGACCCGGGGAATAGAGGCGTACAATGGTAGGATTCTCGAGTGAAGTTTGCAGGTTCACTGCGCCGTCCTTTTCGCCGAGTAGACTGCCCGGGCGATATTGGATGATGTATGTACCGGTTACGCTGGTCATGGTTGCAACAGACTAAAGGGTTTGAAGATTGAGGTGCTTGAGTGCTTGGGGGGGCGTTTCTTGAATGGTTGAGGTGAAGAGGATGGGGGCAAGTGGGCGGGCGGTCTTTAGCTTCAGCTAGTTGATTTTGTCGCCAACTCGATTATCGGCATCAAAGTTTCGATTGACGTGCTCCGTCCGAATAGCTGCGGGTGAGTGGCTGTTCTGCTGATTGTGGAACCATGGTGACGACAAGAGGTATAGTGATGATGGCAACGCAATGGGCGTCAGCCATTCCAGTAATGTCAGTCGGGTGGGAATCTACTCCAAAGTCCGCAGCAATACGTCACCATAGAGGCTCTGTACGACCTCGGACAGAGTGCATCTGGAGCAAATAAGCGCCGGTAGCAAGTTGCTGAGCGCAAAGTACTTCGTTGAATGACGTGGTTATCATTTCCTTTGCATAATAGGGCATCTGATTTGTGCAGGCACTGGAATGATGACATGGCCTTTTTCAGTCAAAAAGCAAATGCCAAGTGGAGATCAGAATTCACAAATTAGAGGTGAGTGTGGGATTCATGTATCCTCGGGAATGTGACATGTTATTACCTGAGCTATGCACATACAACTTAGGTTTCTTTAATGGCTGCCACTGTGATGAGCCCGGAGATGGTACGGGGCTGCATGATCACCTGGGGGAATGATCTGTCCGCACTGTCCCTAGCGTTACAATGTAAGATTAATGACAAAAGTCACCACTGGAAGCTGAAGTCCTACTATCGATGGTAGTCGGAAGCTGCGGAGGTCCTAGCATAGATGGATGGTGGCCTGAAGCCTCAGGCCGCTCCGTGACAGTTACCTCCACTAGTAGAAGTATAGGATGCTCTAGCCTCTAGTTACTATCAAAGATAGTCTTGTATAGCCTCAACAGCCTAAATAACTATAGATAGTTAATAAGCTCTGACGAACTGTTGCCTCAATGTACACAAGCTATGGTCTCGAGTTGCGAATCTGCGCCCTGAAAAGGTTCGAAACACTGCTCCTCAGGCTGGTTTGGATTGATCGGCTTGATCTCTGTGATAACCAGCTGTATTCTTAAGCCCCACACCAAGGTTCCTGCCAAGATGCCTATCATGGATAGTTCTGTTACCCGGGCGATGGGCCCTTCTCGTGATATCACCTCTGCATAAGCCATCGCAGTCGCGACCATGCTGCGCAATGCCTCCAGCATTTGACAGGTAAATTGCGCCTGCTGCCATGGAGGTCTGGGCTTCGCACTCTACTAGCCAGCTGGGCAATATCTCTATGCAGCCGAGAATCGACTGGCTGGAATATCATTTCTGGGGAAAGGCTACTCGGTCATGGGCAGTTCAACGCAAATATAACCATGCCACCTGGATTGCTCAGCTTTAAGCAATCCATTCTCCATAAATTAACTGGGCTTCTTTTCCTTCATTTGTACAAGCTCGAGAGACTCTATCAGTCAAACCAATTGGTCGTCGCCAGGGCCTTCCGAAGCAGCGCCAAGGTAGCTTCGGTACGACTCCGCCACTCACCTGGGATTGGTTCGAGACATAATGGGCGCAAGTGATGTTGATGATTGCACTGGCTTGCTAGAGGGAGGCCTTTGGTCGTTTGGGCTATTGTGGGAGGTGATTGGCTGTTATTTCGGGACACATGTTGCATCTCTAGATACAGACAGGCTAACCAATTGGGAGATAGCCAAGCCTGACTATACCACTCGTGCATCGATATTACTTTGGCGAATATTGCTTGAGCACTGCTAATCACCTCACCAACTTTACTGCATATACTACCCTAATCATCTAGCAGTTCTCGCTACACTCAATTCGCACATAAACACGTAGTATATGACCCTTGCTCTGAACTAAACAGAATTCAATTTCTTTGATCAACTCACCAAGACCACCATGTTTGGAATCTATCAGCTTTTCGTCCCCCTCTGGGTGGCCTGTACCACCTGGGCGTCCCCCTCGCCCTTAAGATCCGATCCAACTCGGAGCCTATGTGCGCGACCTCGGGGCTGTCTATCGATTCCGCCCGTATGGGAAGCACAGTTGCATCCGCTGACATCGACACTTCAGTCGACCACCCATTTAAATTCGTCGACCTGACTGGCCAGACTGCTTGGACGATCACGTCTGGGAAACCGGCCCAGTCTGGATCCGTCAATCACGGTGGCATCCTGTGACACCCAGCAGCTCTAGCACGAAGCGGGCTGATGCAACCATGCTCCAAAGTCGCGCCGAGGCACAGTACGCCGAGTTTCTCCTCCGGCTCAAGGAGGCTGGAGATGCCGAATGCCCCTCTAAGGGCTTGTACTATGCTCCAATGGGGGTATGTCTGAATCTTGAATTTCCAACGAGGTAGGTTGAATTTTGATAAATGGATCGATCCGCAACCCTTCCAGTACGGGACATGCTAACAACCCCAACCACGTGTCCTCGCTCCATTGGCTATATTGCCAGGGGACTTGTCGACATGGCAACGACCACAATTCCAAAAGTGAATGTCGATGTGAATGCCAACTGCCAGGAATACTTGATATCGATCCTGGGAGATGAGAATTGCATCGCCAACCTAAACAAGTATTTCTTTTCGCTTCTTCCCTTTAGCGTAGTACTCGACCATTATTAGATGTCGGAGGGGGCGTTATATTATAAGTTATTACTTAAGCCCAAGAGGAATATGCGCAGCATAGGGCTGCCAGGAGGCTCTATGAATTATACTGTGCTCTTGATCAATGAAGCATCAGTGCAAGGCTACCGAGGCTTTCTCAGGAGGTAATGCGGTTGGTATGCATGCTCTACGCGGGTACAGTGATATGGTGGGTTCAACTCGAGGGATTGGCGGGGAAGGGGTTGATACAAGTAGGCAGGGATGTAGTTGAAGACAGTAGTATACGGACTAAGAGACATGCAAAGATCCTACTTTTATTGTGATAACGTGTTATCACAACATGTCCTTCAATGGACATCGCTAATTTGGTAGAAATTCATCATCTATCCTCTTTTGACGACTTGCTTTGCGCTGAACTTAGTGAGGCATCTCTGGTTAGATGGTAAAGGTGACCACAGCTTTAATAATAACGGCCTTTGTTGTCTGCTTCCAAATGCCCAGCCAGCATCAAGAGGACTCTATATAGACTCTTTGGAAACCTGCATAACTGTGAATGCCCAAGTGGGAGCCCAACCTCGTTAACTACTTTTCTAGAAGGAAAGCTGACGCTGCCTAGAATTGTGGGACGTGCAGCTTGACACCTTGTAGTAGTGCCAGATCTCGATAAAAGTGTTGACTAGCTACTCTGCTATGCTAGAGTCGTACATATTTAATGTACAAAGCGGTAAAATTGCTCAGCCAATTGATTGGAAATTGCCCAGATCCACAGCCGTATCGACACGGCTATTGTCAGTCCTTGGTCATCTCAGACGCATACGCTCGACTTTTGAAGGGTTTATCCTGCGCACCTTCAAGCTATCAAAGCCCACCGTTTTCCTAAGGCATGCTATTGAGAGCGCAAATCGTGATGACTGGCTCTGATTAGATGAACCTGCTGCGGCAACGGCGGGACGAGGTGCGACAGCCCCCGAACCCCATCATCAACAAGGTCTCGAGCTCCAAGTCCGATCTGAGGAACACCGCGGTTGATATCCCGTGCTGTTTGGAGCTGTACAATGGCCTCGACTACGATCCATCAACCAAACTGAACCACCCGACGTCTTGCATGCATAGTGAAGAGTATGATTTGGCGGGGACGGGGCTGCAGGATAGGATTAGTACTTATCGGCGACTTGCTACCGGCTCTGATTATGGGCACTGGGAAAGGTCTGTCACCCCTAGCGGGTGATTTGAGGGTTAGCTATGATTGGTGGTAGAAGATATGGGAAGAGGACACGGGAAGCGCTCTCCTGTATATCCTGAAATAAAGGCCCCGTCTTATATCCCTGCAGTAGATAACGTAAGTACTCGTTGGTGTATACTCATGCCGAACCCGCTTTACGAGATTTGCACAAACAAATGAGAGGATTAGAGGAGGATGGGCCGTCTAGGTCTTTTCCCGTTCTCGTTGGCAACATAACCCAAGCATACTCGACAGTGTTCGTGCATCAGTGGTGGATAAATTCCCTCGCCGAGCCGTGGAATTAGGCGCCGGTCTCTAAGTGATAAAGGTCTGGTTGGGCCTGCCTCCAATTGGAAGCTGCAGTAACATGCCCAAGGCACGTTTTGGAACCTCTATGCAGAGTTACCCTGGTGGGTTGGGCAAGGCTCACCTTGTTGACCTTGACGGCGTTTAGATCTATACTCAATAACTACGAGTCTTTATGGTCCCACTTGTGCTTCTACCCTTTGAATAGCTACACAAAAGTTTCATTAACAATGAAACATTCTAGATTAACTGTTCAGAAATCCTATGGATATCTTGACTCTAGGTTCGCCATACATGACTCCCCACAATCACCAGCCAAACTCCTCATGCTTCCCCTCATCGTCCACAATCTTTAAAAACAAATCCTTATTGTCTCCCTCCACGGCAGCCCTCGCAATAACCCTGCCCCCCTCATCCGCATCCTTGTGCCCATGGTAATTTCCAAACGCCGTCCGACAATACCCCGGCTCAACAAGCACCGTCGAGATCCCCTCCTCCCGCAATGCAATCATGTCCACCGCGGAGATCATATTCACCGCCGCTTTCGAACTGCGGTATACGGGGAACTTGATGTTCCACGCATTGTACGGCGAACTCTCTGTTAGGGCTACGCCAAACATTCCCAGGCCGCTGGTTACAGTGACGATGCGGCGCTGCGGGAAGGTGGAGGCGCGGAGGAGGGGCAGGAATGTCTCGTTCATGACCGCGACGCCAAAGACGTTTGTTTCGAAGACGGCGCGGAGGTTCTCGCGCAGCGTCGGGTTGGGGTGCGGGGACTGCGCGATGCCGGCGTTGTTGACTAAGATGTCGAGGTGGCCGAATTTCTGCTTGACGATCTCGGCGGCGGCGAGGATGGTTTCGTCCTTGTCTAGCTCGATTACGACGGGGGTGAAGTCTGCAACGTCAGAGTTGCTGTCTGCTGCAATAGTCTTGACGGCTTCGTCGGCTTTGGCTTGGGAGCGCGCTGCAACGATGAGGTGGTATGCGTGTTTGCGGGCGAGGGCTTTGAGGGCTTCGTGGCCGAGGCCTTGGTTGCCGCCGGTGACGAGGATGATGGGCTTGGAAGACATGATGTGGATAAAAGTCAGTGAGTATGTGTGAAGTACGCGTGTTCTATCTTCTAATCAGAGAGGGTGTTTTGGCGAGGGTTATATATGCTGTCGTCGGGGTTTAGGAGTCGGAGATATGGGCTTCCCAATTGGGAAACCGCTTTCCTATTGGTTGACGACAAGATTGTCTCATCGGCCGTGGAGATCCGCCCCGCCGCCCTTTGTTCATCCTGTCGATCCGGCTACGCCACCGCTGCGCCGCATCCTATCAGGACAACGTTGTCGGGAATCACGGTTCGCGCCTTGGCCCCTTGCACATGGTGGAGTTGTCTAGACTCGAACGTGACTAGCGATAGGTTACGGATTGAATTGGGCACAGCAAAAATGACACAGACAGTTATTAGTTTATCGAGTTCGGGTTCTTGAGCGAGCGTCGATGGAGTGGCTATGATTTGAAATACGTGTGGGGGGCCATGGTGACTGTTGGGGAGCTTGCAGGGAAATGCGAGGCTCTCCTGTTGCACTACTGCCTCACCATTCTCCTCTCCCCACCACATCTTACCAATACTTACTCAGCATTAAGCTCCGCGGCTCGGCCATCCGTTCGCTCCGGTCTCTCCCTAGAAAGGAACCGGCTTCTATGTCGGGAATGGCGGCTTGCGGATTAAAAATTAGTCGAAGTTGGATACTCTGCACAGTCCGGGACAATCCCAACATGCACTATCTGCATCAAACCCATCGCCCCTATGCGGGGCCATCCCTAATTACGTTGCTAGAATACTTGCACAGTCTTGAGAGTCCACTGTTGACTTGGCCCTCCCTCATCATCTTGCCACGATGGAGCTTCGTCACACCCATCGCAGGTATGCTGGGAGTCTGCTCGATGGACCAAATTGCCGTCACCATCCTTGACATCCCAGGCCTTGAGCATTCATGCTGTTCTCTGGGACGGGCTGACGAACCTAGCCGGGTCCTTGGATGGGCTATTTGACACTTTTAGATTTTTAGTTGAAAAGATCAAGGAAGGGCAACTTGACTGTTCTTAGAGCTGCTTCGCTTTGACCATTCTCAAGCACGCCGCACCCCCCGAGTACAGCCTTCCATTTATCTACACACTTATACCCTGAAGCCATATATTCCATCTATCCCATCCACTCACGCATGCCCATTATCATCAAAAACAAAAATCCGTAAGACCGCCTTGGCAACCTCCACCCCATCATGCTCCAGATCCGCCGTCTCCGCCGCCCGATCCGCATGCTCCAAATCCTTAATGCCCCCACTCTCAACGCGGATCTGAATCTGCCTCTTCACCATGTCCTCATCAAACGCCAAATGCGCCTGCGTCGTGAATAGTCTGTTTGGGATATACAACCCCTGCACGGGCGTATGTTCGCTGCGGCCCCAGACGGCGATTTCCGCGTCGGCGGGGAGCAGCTCGGGCCCTGCAGATGCAGCTGTCGGTGGGGAGAGGACCTGGTCCTGGTGCATCTGGTGCAGGTGGATATAATCGTCATCCGTGCGGAAGAGGCGCTGGCCGACGGGGGTGAGTGTGATCCTGCAGTGCCCGAGTTCCCAGTCCTGCGTCGGCGCAGGCCCGACATCCCCGCCGAGAAGGCGCGCAAGGAGCTGGTGGCCGAAGCAGACGCCGAGGAAGCGGAAATCCGGGCGGGTGATCCAGAGCTTCCGCAACAATTCCAGCAGCGACAGAATCCACTCGTTGTCTGCGTGCGCGTCGTAGACGCTCCCTGTGATCAGGAGCCCGTCGAACCCTTCGAAGGCGTCTACCGGGGGGATCTCCCCGCCCTGTTCGGTTACGACGAAGACCTGGTCGATTTCGACGCCGAGGGGTGGGTGGTGTTCGCGCCCGGCTTTGGCAAAGTGCTCGTGCACGATTTGGCCAAAGGAGCCGCGCTCCGAGTATGTGTCTGGGTGGGGGACGTCGGTTTCCAGGACCATGATGCGCACCATGGGCGCGGAGGGGGTGGGTTTGTAGGTCTGGTCCATGGTGTTCTTCTTGTTCCCTGCCATGGCTGTAGCAGTTTGACGATGTGGAATGGATTTAGTGGGGGTTTTCTTTTACGATGAATCTGCACCAGGCCGGACGGATTCAAGTTCAGCCTTAAGGATAAGAGCGAAGGAGATCTGACGTCAGTCCGCCTGGGTCTCAACGCCGAGAAGCTCAGTACCTGGATAGTGGAGACCGTTCGCGCGAGTCACCCCACCAGCAACGACATTGGACGTCATCACTTTTGAATTGTAGAAGCAGCGGTCGACGGCAGTTACCCACAATTCCGCCCAGGGCTGATCTTATGTCGGGTCATATCGCTCTTGGCAGGCGCCAGGCTCCAACATTCGAGAAACGTAGCTTTTTTGCCAAGGAGTACATAACAAGTTTTCCATGGTACAGCGGGTCTAGATTCCCCAACCTCTTCAGGCCGTAAGCTGTTCCGCAGTTAGGGCTGAGCGCCTCCGAGTCGAGGATTCAGAGCAACAAGCACTTTGGGCGAATAAACAATCTTTGGCCGAATTTTAAGGCTGATGAAGGCTGGAGCATTTACCCCGGAATATATCCCCCGCTTACCTCGCTTCAAAGTAAATACGACTCAATCCCAGCCTGGGCTGATAACTTATCCTTCTTCGGTCGTCACCTTAGGGCACTCTCTTCCGGTAGATCAAGGTAAACAATAAATAGCGGTACCGGAATGTTGTGGATCGCATATTACCACGTTCAACCCAGCTCCGCCTCATGCCAGCTATCCCGTGCCCTGCACATAGGAAGCGAAGAAGACTTCAGCTCGGTCATGATGCCACTCTAGAGGGTGGTCAAATCCGCGCACAAAGGTGCTTCATCTGTCGGATTTTGCTTGAGGGAGTGACGAAACTCACGGAAGACTTTGTAATTCCTTCGCATCTTCCCGGAGATGAAATCATAACACCTAATATTAGGTCTGAGGCGTTTGTTGACGGGGGAGTATCGGATAGACGGGTTCAATCACCGTCATCGTTGGTGCTAAGGAAGGAGGAACCTGATGTAGCATAACTTGAAGTGTTTTGCTTGGAAGGATGGTCTGCTAATCCCAGTTTCTGGACATCAGTCGAGTCTAACGGGTAATTCTTTCAGATACACCAGCCACCAAGTGGTCTTTAGTGGGCCCAGCCCGCGACGTGTGCTAAGATACTTCCCAGGACTGCCGTATTGCCTTGGCAGAGTCCTAGATAGCCAATTGCGTTGAAAGACACGGGGAATATAGGCGCTGTACCGACCCTGTCATGCCATGCTGATTGATACACGTCGGGAAGAAGCCGCCACTCCATACCTTTACGTGAACAACCCCACCACCCGCGGAAAATAAATACTAAGTCCCTGTTGGGACGGAAAAAGACCACAGAGTCTTCAATCCATACGCTTGAAGGCTTTGTTCAACGCATCCCTGATGCCGCCTTGCCTCTCACATTCCAACGTGCGGTCGGGGCGTGCCAAAGCTTGGGGATTAAATTCCTCTGAATTGACTCTCTGTGCATCATACAAGACTTAACGGGATAACGGCTTACACAGTCCACCCAGATGTACGAGTCGTATAGTAATTCCTAGGTTACAATAGCGACCGACGGTGCAGCGGGTAGCACGCAGGGAGTCCTGCGAAACTCAAGAGGGATAGTGGACGACAAGGGCTTTGACTACCCTTGTGATGGAAAGGGCGAGGCGCCGACTAGTATCTTTATCCGATGAAAAGGCCTCGGGGGCGTAATTAATACACCCAGTCACCATCAGGGCAAAATTCAGTGAGAAGCAGCTAGACGGCGCTGTGTTCCCGGATGTGCACGGTACAGAAGATGAGATTGTTCCCGGTAGCCCGTATTGCTTTTCGCCTGTTGGTAATGCGGCCAATGGTGTGTAGAGTGGCATACTGGTCAGCAAGGATCAAACTCTCCGCACTTGTTATAGATGCGTTGGACGGGTGGATGGGATGAATCTCGGCTATCTCAAGTCTATGACGATGGCTGCATGGAAGGGAATCCAACTGATTTGACAGTTCTTGTTCTCTTCTACTCGGTAGTTTCTTGATGCCTGGACGATATGCATGATCTGTCGTCCCTCTCCTGGGAAGCTTTCCCCGCCTATGGCATTAACCTTAAGACCAGATAGTCTCTGTCCTGTCTCTTCCCAACCAATATATGACATTCATATTCCGTCTTATCCATAGCGGCGACGCTCTTTCAGAACTTCAACTAAGTCCGCTCTGTAAGAAAGCTAGTAGTGGCGATGGAAGCCTGAGGGCGTAATGACGCAAGGTGAGGGAAAATGGGCCCTTGCGCGACAGGTTTGCTGTGTGTTTAGGCATCCAATCAAGGTCTCCAAACACCTAAAACAGGCACCAAGGGATATATGAGTCCAAAGACTTTGATTTTGTTTTCTGTTTCCTCTGCCGAGGTTGGATTGCGAAATATTGTTGCGGCCTGGGCGGAGGGTATTCTATGGGGTACCATGGGTCCTGATAGCATTTGGTATGGGAACCAGGGTATAATGTGGGTGTTCGAAAAGGAGGAATGTAGACCTGCGGTGATTTGATTTATTTATACTGTCCGAACTCATCCATGTTCTTTGCAGGCCGCGGCAAGAGGATTGTGGGGTTTTTATCTGCAGTTACTCCCCCAATGGCGGTTATCCTAGGATTGGAGCGGTACCCTGTTGATTCAGACACGAATATCCTCGAGAGGTATACGGATACCGTCGTATTATCAAGTGCATCTTAACCTCCAAAACAAAAAGTCATCTGTTAGCTACCTAGTAATCATGATCATCGTTGTACTTCCTCTCGTGTATTCAGCTACTACCAGACCAGGAGCTTATGTTCATAATGGCTGGTTTGACCCGATGAATGTTGAGGTCAATTTGTTGCGGATCAGCCAAGCGTAGAGGCCGAGTAACGAGCTCAAAGGTGTCGTGAAGCTCTTGCAGCTGCTCCGGGCTCAATTCTGGATCTCTCTCCTCAATCCAGTCTATCATCCCCTGGAGGATCTTTGCGTGTTGTGGAAACCAAATACCGAACAAAAACCGCAGAGATATCTGAGGACCTTCTTGAGCTAGTAAGTCTTTCAATGCTGGTGTCAACAAAATGAAAAGGATAAAACCCGCGGTTTCAATGGGTCTTCTCTCCTTGCCGCAAAACAGGTTAACATCGACTGTATTTCCACCCTCATACTGCGTGTCAAAGCGAAGGTAAAATCTTGGATCCCCACCTCGCAAGAGGCAGGTTGCAAAGAGAGGAAGTACCAAATGAAGATAGCCGAATCGTCCACGGATCAGCACGGTAAATATAGCTTTGTGCCACGATGAAATGTCGACTGGAGAGGCTGGGAGATTTGGTGAGATCTCGTGGAATTCAAGAATCCTCATTAATCCCTGCGCAGTATTATGTTCCGACGAGGTTGCGGTCTCGGCTATTAAAGGAGCCAGAAGCTGCGGCTTGAAATTTTGCTTCATAATCAAGCGTATTCTGGGCTCATCTTGCAGCACATATTCATGGACTCCGTAGAATGCAGCCAAGAGCACAACGCGGACGGTGGTGCTACCAGTGATTGTCTCCAGTCCTTCATGTATGGGGTCCCTAAAAAAGCCGACCGGGTCGCGGATGCCGAACATCCCCTCAATCGACGGAACACAGACAAGTACATTGTCTATGAACGCGCAGAGCTGGAGAGAGTCATGGCTGATGGGATGTGAGACAGATGTCTCGAAGACAGTACATAAATCGTATTCCAGATTAGGCAAGGGGGTAGTCAGGATATAAATGCAGTGAGCCAAGGTTGAGTTTTCAGACATCACGCGTCTGCCGTAGTAGATATCGGGTAATTGTACGGCTTTGACATGGGCAAGGAGAGTCTGGCATAGTAAATCCAAGAGGTCGAATTTATCCAGGCAGGTATCAATCTCTGCTTTGATCTTCTTGCTCGTCAAAAACTCGAAAACGGAGCGGTGTGTGAACTTCACGCAGCGTTGGAATGAGCTTAGGCTTTCTCTTTCAGCGTCTATCTTGTTGAATGATTCTTCACCAAAGTCATGTGTTCCAGATGGGTACTGACTAGAGTCACTATGATCAGAGTCATACTCAATTGAGTCGCTATTATCGAGGTTCAGTTCAACAGAGTGTATTTGCAGAAGTCCTTTGCACTTCCCATAGACCTTTCGTCGTGCTCTTTGCAGACGGTCTGTAAGGAGAGCACCACTCAGCTGCTGAATATAGCCATACGCAAACTCCGGATTCTCCAAATAATCCTCAATGAAAGAGTAGCGTATTAATGGCCAGTCCTTCAATGTTTTTGTTTCAGTTGCTAACTTGAACATAGCATATGCTTCCTTGCGATCGGATCTGTGAATGGAGTTGAAAAGGTGCGAAAACAAGTCCTCGAGCTCAGTAGGCAGTGAGTTGATCTTCACTACAAGTTGTCGGAGTTGGTCTCCACTGAAGAGGCCGTCTTCAATCACTTTGAGAATGAGAGAGACCCATAGGAACACGCCATCAGACTTGTCAGCAATCTCATGTTCGAACCAATCTCTGAGCTTTGTATTTTCATCGCCCCAGATCTGTGCATAAAGCTCAATCGAAGCGAGGCTGTGATGAATAAGACCAAGTATGTCTTCCCAGGTGACTTCATGCAGTCGAAAACTAGGGTAGCCTCTGAAAGACTCTTGAAATACCATCTCCTCTCGGCTCGAGACGCAGATTTTGACATCATTAGGTCTCCGCGACGTCCAATCTTTCAGTTGTCCGATCAACTCTCCGTGATTCCCGTCAAACTCGTCGAGTCCGTCGATGAAGAACACGAACTTGTGATTTGTGTAGACGGCATCTTGACAGATCATCTCGTTGAAGACACCTTTGATCTCACTGTCGGTGTCAAATATGATACTTGTGTGGTTTTGAGCTGCATCCCACTGTTGCGGGCAAGCGAGCGGGATCAAATCTGGAGAATCTGACAGGACAGAATATAGTAGACTTCGAATCAATCCGCGAATATTCTTCTGAAGCGTTGTTCCGGGTTTCCAAAAGAAGAATTTGCCGACAACTAAAGACTTTCCGGGTCCAACCCATGCTTCCAAGTGTGTTCTGGTGGTCTCATTGCAGCACACATACTTCATCAAAGTCGATTTGCCCGAACCAGGCTTGCCAGATATATGGAAGATGCCATTTCCATCACGGAGCCATGAGGTGAATCTTTCTTTTGCATTTCGTTTCTGCTCGTCCTCAATGTCGCTACTCTTGGTATCAAACACCCATTTGAATGTCTCTTCGTGAGCTGTGGCCACTTCATCAAACCGCTCGTTGACCATGTCGAATCGCAACGCCTGGAGAACGGTTGTCTCGCGCACCTTCTTCGATGCATTACCTACCGCTGTAATAAAATTCTCGAGCTGTTGTCGAGCGTCCGGACCGATAACCCCAGCCTGCACAGCAGTCTGAAGAGCCTTGATGTTGTCTTGCAGCGAGACCATTTCTGCCTGGGTCGACTGGCCATACTGAACTAACTCGTCAAGACGCTCCTGAAAGTCAAACCTAAGGGACATTTGTTAGCAGACTTCCTCAAACACCCGTTACGGTCTCCTTACCTGTCAGTGGTGGCTAATAACAGCATTAGCTCGCTGCGATACGAGATCAGCTTCTTTTCTAGTTCGGCCTTCTCCTTGTCCTTCCACAGGTTCCTAAGCGTCGCAGACATGGCACTCCGCTTTGACTTGGCGTTTTTCGCTTTTAGCTTCAGCAGCAACTGCTCCAACTCATTGGAAACGCCACAGCATTTCACGGCCAGATCCTTCAGAGCCACTTCATCCGGTCTCAGATTTACGGCTGCCAGGTTCTTTTCGATGGAGGAAGCCGCCGCGAGGAATCGGGCACCCGTCTCACCCAGAGCCTCATTCTCAGCAGTCGCGCCAGTGGCCGACCTATAGGTCTCATTGGCTTTCGAGACCAACTTGCAACCGGCGTCGATAAAGGTGATGATGTTGCCGATAAGACCGATGGCAGTGAACGGCTCCATCGTTGGCTTGGGGGGCAACCAGCTGTGACTTGAGCTCAGAGCAGGAAAGTGCGACTGCTGACGGCGGGGTCGTGCTGTGTTTGCGCGGCTGAGCCTGACCCCTGCCATTGAGGGCCAATCATCTATACACCACGTGACACCAGCGACACGAGCCAATCTCGTTGCATCTGCTGTCTGATGTAGGTGTATGGCTTTTGGAAAATTGGAGCTGACGTGGTAGTTGGTTGGCAATGTGTATGGCCTCTTGCTGTACAAGTACTGGCATATGACTGGGTCCCTCGCGGACCCAGAAGAATTACCTGAACAGCCAATTCCCGTTCTAACATGGAGGAGGGCTCTCCCACTTGACCTCTACCTTCTTGTATGTGCGGGTTTGCGCCCCTTACATAATTCAACATATCACATTCAGGTTAATGAATACGGACTACTTATATAATATTCCTAAGGAACATTAGAACACAGCTAATCTAGACGCTATAGATGAGGTCCACGACGAGTAACGCAAACGCCCTGTCCGCCAGTGGGTGGATCTCGGGGCAGTTGGCAGAGAAGTCAGTATCAGTAGCAGATACAGAAAAGACAATTATAATCCTAATAGGCTTTTGCGAGATAATCTACTGTTGATTTCCTAGTATTCTTCCTCCAATCGTCTAGTCACCCGACTATCACTTCGTTTTGTCCAGCCACTCAGCATTAGGTGGTCATGAATGAGACTCCTTACAAAGTTGAATTTGGATCAGGCATATCTGTGTCGACTTCCATAACTGATTGCGTTGCAGTCTCCTATCCACAGTTAACAGAGATGGTTGAATTTAACCCCACTATGAGGAAATGGTATAGCTGACAACTGCTATACATACAAGACTCCTTGTTTACGATATGATACTCTACTCTCTAAATACTACCTACCCCCAAGCGTTATATGTGACTAAAGATCCGCCCAGCAGAAGCTTGGTTGACTAACTCAAATATAGTACAGAGGATATAGCTGTATGGTACATCCTAATATCACCTCACGCCCGGGCTCTCCTAGGACAGCCTATCAAGGGCAGCAGGGCTTACCTACTGGAAGTCTGCGACATCCATTGCCTCGTATATGACGAGGTCTACTGACTAAGACATAAGATGAGAAGAGGTAGAACAGTCTAAAGCAAATAAAAGACCCAAATACTTGACAGGCGCGTGTTATGTAGAGCCAGCTACAAGCTCACAACGTATATCTGATCAATAGAGCCCAACTTCCTTCGAAGCCATGACTATATTCATCAACAAAACTCTGGAACGAGCCCTTCATCACCACATGCACCTTCCCAGCCTCAGCCAATATTTCTCACGCATTTAACGCGCCTCCCAGGGAAAATCCTGTCGAGGTTAACGCATTCTTGCGGCATGACCCCCAAAGCAACTCCCTCGCACCCGCTGCCTTTTCCCGAAATCCAACCCAGTTAGTGCCGGCAAGATAGACGGAATAGCTATCATCAGCCATGGTAACATCCCTAAGAAAAGGTGAATGATGCTCAAAGTTTGCTAGACCGGAACTAAGGTAATAAGAGTAACATGATTAGCATCCCTCATTGCCAAGTGACGTAAAAAAAGAGGCGCGGCTTGGGCATGCCGCGTAATAACAAGTTGGACGGCCAAATAACGGGGGATTTGGCTATTAATAGATCACCCACGAGTCCACCCTAAATATCAGCTCCCATCTCAACACACAGTTCTCGATTAGAAGATTCCCCGGCCATGTGTATATAGCACCAATCTCACCACCTTCTTCTATCACACCGACCGGGAACTCGTCGGAGCTTATGATATATTTGCTCAGCGTTATACCCAGCCAGTTCCGCCTCGGAGCTGGGCGGCTGAAAGTATTTACGATTATCGTGGTAAATTTTATCAGTATGTGAGGCACCAGCTACCTGGTGCTAGGTATACACAAGACTGCACTAGCTACGACCCAAGTTGTAGTTACATTGAGAATACGGGATGAGCGCCGGGCAGGTAAGCTTTGGTGCTTGGAGGAAATGCGCTCATGGATTAGCATCAGGGCTGCTTCTCGCCGCATCATAACCCGCATCGCTTCGACAGAGTGCCGATTCAGCGCTTGTTAGCCTCGACACACTATCTGGAGGGGCTTTTACTGGTCATGGCGACGTTGCTTGGGAGGTAGAGATGGGGGCTGATATTGCTGGAGTATGTCGTTATTGCCCTGGGTACGCAAGTGTGTTGCGCCCAGGGCAACTCCTGCCTCAGCAACAAACTCCGCTAAGTGTAATGTAAACATCACGTACCACTGTGCATGTAGGGATAGAACATGGCATGCAGCTAAGTGTTTGCATGCGAGTTATAATCGTATGCATCTAATGTTTCCCTTTTGTGGAATAAAATACGTGGCTTAGTGATTTTAGTATCATGTTCCAAGGCTGAATCAAGCGCATGCACATGTGTATGAAAAATAGATAATCATAAATAGATAATCCTAGCTTCTGGGCAACCTTCTTCCTCTGCAGGGAGGAGAGGGAATTAGATGGTCAATCTAGGGCTCTGCTAGTGGTTGTTGCGAGTGGGCTAGTTATTAGTCTATAGGTTATAGAGGTCTACGCACGTAGATTAAAAGAGAAGGGGCAGGCACAGGCCCTAGAGGATTTTACTAAGGAGGGTAGGTCAAGAACCAAGCATATGAACAATGCACTATGGAGTGCCAGACAAGCAACAATCACCGACGGAGTTGGATTCCGATTGTGGGTCTCCAAAAAGAAATGGAGAGACTGCGTCTTCCTCTCCCAGTGATAGGAGTTAAATTCAAGGTTGGTTATCCATCATAGGGTCTCGTGATCATCTAAAATGACAATGGATACGCAGCAAATCGATAATAATAGTGCCCACCAACTTACATCCCTCGCGATTCTCCTTTCGCAATCTGATTTCTGGAGCCTTGCAATCTGACTAAATCAGTATTATCTCCCTGGCTTTCAAGCTTATAGTACAGCATCCCCATGGCTAAGCCAAAACTCGGCTGATAGGTTTGTGGTCGATACACACTCCTCCCTTTGCTTATGCTTCTCAATGTCCGCCTGTCAACATGATTAGCTGACGGCGAGACTTTACTGCAAAGTAAATCCGATTATGATTCATGCCATCGCAAGGCACTCATTGGACCAACGGGACTGGATGTAGCCTCACCCCTTTGGGCACCCATTATTCCAGATCCCTTTACAGGTTTCATTCGGTACTCGTAGTCTTTGGGGGTGCTGGAATGCGGGAGCAGCTGAGGAGAGAGGAAAGCCTGTTCTCCACATCCTGTGGGTATGGATAATCAATCGTCTCCTGGAGAGGCATTGTGGAGATAGAGCCCTGATAGTGATGAAGTCCGGAGATTCCCAGCCTCTGAACCACGTTTTAAACGGATCATAAGGCTATGTGTTTTGTTACAAGATCTCAACACCAGTTAGGTCTACATGTTCTCCCACGAGAAGATAGGGCATGACAGGCATTTAGAAGGTACCTCTCCTGATTATAAATACAGCCAAATGGCTTATATAGTTATTGGTTCAATGCCTGCCAATAAACTCATTACATACCCTTGACGACTGAAATAGCAACTATTCTCCGAGGACTTATACAATTGCTAGTAAGGTCGCCAATCACCTAGAATATCGAAGCGTAAGCGCATTTTAAGTAAGCACTAAAACTGAACACAAAGAGAAAACTAGAACCTTTGAATAACCGGAACAGAGGGGGAATAATCGCGGGGATCCCTTCGGACCGCCCGCTCCTCAAGTCGCCGGAAGAGCCTCCACACACCAGGACCAGAATATCCAATTGCTCCGTAGTATACTCTGTGGTTGGGAAGAGCGCCAGGATTGGTGCCGTTGCCGTTGCCGTTGCCGTTGTGGTTGTTGTTAGGCTGATGCCGCTGATGGTGTAGCGTCCATGAGAGGACTGCGCCTTTGGGCCCGTCTACAATCATGGTTCCTGGGATATATGAGACCCCGAGGTGGTCAGGTCCTTCGAACAAACGCTCCATGGAGAATTCCTGCAGCGCGGAAAATCCGCCCTGGCGCAGGGTGCGGAAGATTTCGCTCCAGCGGGCGTGGTCGTGCAGGGTCGAGTCGGAGAGGGCGAGCTTCCTGAGCGTGCGGCGGTGCTTGCGGAGGGCGTTTAGGAAGGCTGGCATCTGGATGGGTGTGCGGTGCATGCCGCTGATTTCAAGCCGCTCTAACTGAAACCGATTAGCACACGAAGACAGAACCTTGAAGGAGAAGCCATCGGGGACGCCTGCCAGCTTGAGGCTTTTCAGGGCTCGTGCGGAGGCGAGGAGGTTCGCGAAGCGGGCACCATGGTCGATGTGCAATATGTTTGTGAGGGCTAGAGACTGCAGATGTGCCCAGGGAGCCGGGCGAGTCCTTTTATTTCGACTAGGGGAGGGGAAGACGCGGTCAATGCGGTTCTGTTTGGGGAACGTCTCGCCAGCGGATTCTAGTTCCCAAAAGTCCACTGTGTGCAAGTCCAGAGACTCTACGGGGATCCCCACAACCTTGAGAAAGAGCATTCCAATTGCAAAAGCCTCGTAATCTCTCAAGTTCGATTGTTCACAGCCCCATCGGATGCTTAGATGGCGTACACGGTGTCGGCCAGTGCGAACGGTCCTACACTTTACCAGGCACCGGAGTGCATCGACCCACTAGCGGACGCGTCCTGGGTGAGATCTATGGCTCCATCCTGGCGGCGCTTCCAGTCAATCCCGGCTCCAAAACCAGACCTTTCGCATTTGCGATCCACAGGCTTGACGACCAGGGTGGTGATCATGGCAGCAGACTCGGGGTGCCGTGCTAGTCGCCGGACTCGGTCGAGCGCGGCTTTGGAGAAGTCGATTGATGCTGTGTGCAGATAGTTATTCACAAAGTAGTAGTGTGTGTATCGGGCAAGGAACCTGCATGTGGCTCGCAAAGCGCAGAGCGTGGCCATATCGAGTAAAAGGGCAATTGCTTCCACGAGCTCCAGGGGTAACTGGGCAAAGGATTCCGAGGATGGAGTGAGTGTTATATATTGGGTCTTTGCGTAATCCACGGTATCGCCACGGACGAGAGACATTTTGACTGATATTGTCGTGGTTAGATTGCAGTACTGGTGGTCGTAGTGAGAGTTTTATATAGCAGGGAGACCGATCAATGAGGGCTTTCAACGGAGAAAGGGACTTGTTGTTGTGTTTATGGTCACAATGCATTGTCATCTTCATCCTTTGTATGTTCACTAGTTACTTTGTCTGGGATCCTGTTGGGCTTCATGTACCAATCCTCCTTTATCATTCCTACCCATGGCATAAAGATAGGTGTAGGTCTCCCTCGTCTATACTATTACCCAGATACGTTCAAAACGTAAACCTCCACTAGGCTAGGGAAGATAATAGGAAGACAATATCGAGGAATTGGAATATGTGCAAGTGTTTGGTAAATGACTTGTATTTCCATATATTTCTTGCGGAGCAGATCAGGCGAGTTACATACACTATACAGAGCTCTCTGGATAAGTACTAATGGATGCCTCTGCTGATAATTGAGATTTAATCAATTGAAGATCGATACGGAAACCACAGGACTGGCCCATAGTAGCGACTGTGATATCAGCCAAGGTATAAGTACCTGGTTCTATTGTACCCTTCACTTTTACCTTGATTCAATAAGTCTGCTGGGAAAATTTGGACTGGGTGCATAATAATGGGTCGATAATGCCTCTTACGCAACAGATTGCAGAAAAGTCCTACAGAACCAGCGCAACTGGACCCTGCGGGGCCACATGCGGCCGTGTGGAATACTTTTGGCCCCCATTCCATTTTCCAACTCCGCTGCCATGTTTTGCTATGTTCCTAGATGAAGCCAAGTAGCCAAGAGGTATGTCTCAGGGGCCAAAAGTAGGGACTACAGCCTTGGAGGGCGGACGGCGCCACGCGGCGGAAACCAGCGTGGCCTCCAGTGCATAAGGAAGTTGACCTGATTAGTTCTGATCCATAATACCAAGAATTGTGTCGAAACTGCTGCAACCTTGGCTGACGTCGATCGTTGCACTTTCGCGATAACTGCAGGTATGTGGTTCTGCAGACATACAGATCTACAAATGGACTACAAGAAGTAGTTAGCTATTATGAAGGCACGGTGTACAGCAGAATGAAGCGCAATGCCCCCGAGCAAACAGAGAAATCTATAAAGGCAGGGACAGCCCCCGAGGTATTGACTGATTCTTCAACCAGCTCAACAACCCATTCCTCTCAATTACCAAGCGATCTTCTCTTGATTGTCCATTGAACATCAAGCCCAAAATGAAGACTACCGCTACCTTCCTCGCAACCGCCCTTCTGGGGAGTGCGGTCCCTGCCCTCGCAGGAGACCTCTGCCTGTCGTCTGCCTGTACCCTCGCAGTCCCAGACCAGGGACCTGCATGCGGCTGGTACCAGATGTGGTCACCAGGTGTCGAAGTCTGCGGCCCTGGAACACAGGCAATTCGGTAAGCTCCAGCAGCCCTAGTTCACGCCCTCATGGATCGAAACAGAATTCCCTCAAGGCAGTACGGACTAACATGTACCCAACATCCAGGACCAGCGAGCACGACGATCTCGAAGATTACCTCACCGCGGTCGGACCGCGAATCCTAAACGACATTTGCGGGCACACGGTTGCACTCTCCTGGGGTGATGGCGCGCCGGTCTTGGATTATGTTGATGTCGAGGGCGGGACTTCGTGGTATCAGGCGGCGCAGAACATTGAGGGCGAGACTACTTGCAACTACAGTGGGACTGATTGCGGAAACGCCGGGCCGATTTTCAGTAACTGGTACTGGCCTGATCTTCCTATCTGCTAGATAGCCAAAGGTGATGGGTGAGTTAGGGGGTGAGTTAGTTGGCAGGCAGACTAGACGGGCAGGAAGGTGAATCTTGGTTTTATTATAGTATAGACCTGTCTCGACTGCTGGCCTTACTAAGGGGATCAATACAGATATTAGCCGGATTCGATGCATTGTAGTCCGGGCTGGGCTATATATGCCCTCATTATCATATAAGCACCTCTACTGCTACATTACTGGTGAACAACGAACGATAGCTCAGTCTGTGAGGGCCATACATGTATGATTATTGAACTATGATGGTTGAATGATAACCAGCCCGGCCTAGCAAGTCCGAAGCGCCGAGGCTTATTGCACGCGTACTATTAACCAGGCCCATAATTCTCAAGAACATAGTTCACATCTTTGTCACCGCGCCCTGAAAGATTAACCAGAATCCGCTCCGACAAAGGCCGCTGCGCCGCCAACTTGAACGCAAATGCCAGCGCATGCGCACTTTCCAAAGCCGGGATAATCCCCTCAAGCTTGGCCATCTGGAAGAACGCCCTGATAACGTCCTCATTCAAAACCACCGCGACAGAAATTCTCCCAGACTCATGTAGCATGGCCATCTCCGGCCCGACGCCGGGGTAGACGAGCCCGGACGCTACGGATGAGACGCTTGCGGGCGTGCCATCCTTCTCCTGCAACATGATTGAGCGCGCCCCGTGCAGTGTCCCCGGCGTCCCGTAGGACAAGGTCGCGGCGTGCTGTCCGAGCTGACTCGACTGGCCTAGGGGCTCCACAGCATGCAAGGTGACCTCGGAGTCATCCAGGAAAGCAGTATACATCCCCAGCGCATTCGACCCGCCAGCTACGCACGCAACCACATGCTCAGGGAGACTACCCTCCGAGAGTGCAAGAAACTGCTCGCGCGCCTCGCGGCCAACAACAGCCTGGAAGTCTCGCACAATCATCGGGAACGGATGGGGCCCAATCGCCGACCCGATTGCATACAACGCGTGCGCGTGCTGCTCCGCGTACGCGGCAAAGGCCGAGTCGCTCGCCTCCTTGAGCGCCGACTGTCCCGTCGACGCAGCCACGACGCGCGCGCCGAGGAGGCGCATGCGGCCGACATTAGAGGCCTGCTTGCCGATATCCACCTCGCCCATGTGCACCTCGCAGTCGAGCCCAAAGTAGGCAGCGGCCGTCGCGAGGGCGACGCCATGCTGCCCGGCGCCTGTCTCGGCGATGAGCTTTGTCTTTCCGAGTTTCTTCGCGAGGAGCGCGAAGCCGACGCAGTGGTTGATTTTGTGCGCACCGGTGTGGTTTAAGTCTTCGCGTTTCACGAAGATCTGAGCGCCGCCGAGCTGCTGCGAGATGCGTTTGAGGTGGTGGATGGGTGTTGGGCGGCCTTGAAAGGTGGCGCGGACACTGGTGATCTCGCGCTGGAAATCGAGGGAGTCGCGTATCGATTCATACGCCTGGGCTAGTTCATCAAGCGCGGGCTGGACTTTGGCCGGGTAGTGGCTGCCGCCGAAAGGGCCGTAGTAGCCATCGGCGTCGGGATAGCGCTGGGAAGAGGGAACGTCACTGTTTGGCATTGTGGTATCTGATAAAAAGGGCCGTGACTACATGTGTTCTTGCTCTACTAGCATGAGCAATTCGAGGCCCTTGAGACATTTATACCTGAGCAGCAAATCCTCTAGAGCTACCATGTAGTACTATGAAGTAACATCATAGCCAGTTCATGATTGGCCAGCCCGTGTGTCACCGATGGAGTAAATCTGAGCATTGGCGAGATGCGCCTTGTGACAAGCTCGCCAAGAAGCATTCGCAGCCAATCACATGAACCACCGAGGAGCCTGGAGATGAACGGGAAAACAGCCTTGCAGACTTAAGTGCCCACCCAAGGTTGCCCAGTGGTAGCCCGGAGTAGTTGACTTTATTTGAGATCCTCTATATCTCTATCAACCCCGCACGCCCCTCCCACCCCTGACAGCAGGACCCTCATGATCGAGGACTTTTGTCTCACAAGGTCCATGCATGTCATCATCTGGTAGTTCAAAAATCTGCATGCAGGGCACTCCTCTTGGTCATCGGTTTCGGTGTGGTTGCTTCTAGAATAGGTGACTACTTGCCGTGTGCAGCCCAATGGATTCAACTAGGTAGATGCCTTCACTTCTCGAGTCGTAGGGTTCTCAGACGAGGGATCGAGTGGTATTATAGAATTGTACCCGCAAAACAACTAGGAGCGGAGACGTACTATTAAGCTGGTTTGCTCCCTCTGAATGCCTGGTGAATATAGTTTCACCAAGCTCCTGGCGAGCGAAACCTGCACGTCTAAATCGACCATACAAACGATCAACGCCTTCCGCTCTAGCCATCAGGGCATACGACTACCCTAATACTATCAAGCTTTTGATTTCAAGTCACAGTCTATAAACACCTGCGACTTGGGTTCGTCTTCCGCTTGCTCATGTTCCATCTCATCGCATGAAAACCAACTTTCCCGTCTGATACCGAACCTGGACACTGACGTTGGCAATTATACTCATGTCAGAAGCAGCATACATACATAATCCATGCTTCATCCTTTATTCCCGGCATTAGAGACAGGTGGCGGGAGCAATAGTGTCTCGGGTGGAGGGGTTAGATGTTCTGACCGCACATTCAGGGCAAAAGTCGCTGGGCCTGCCACATCGTAAGGCTAGCTTGCGCTCGTTGGCGCCGGTATGCGTGTGTTGTACACTTCCTGAAAGTCATATTCTCGCTAGTAAGCTCCTACACTAGCAGTCTCCGACCTAGTTAGAGGAGTAAAGTAACGGACAATACACTACCATATAATGTTCCATAGCTGTGACTGTACAGGGCCTTAGTTATCTAGATAGGCGGGCGCAGTCGATATGGTCATCACAGTCTGCCAAATGGCTTGGTTTCTAGCTTTCTAAAACCCTAAACGATGGGATCTATCATCACTTGGACAGAGTAATTATGCCCACCTAAGTATCTGCATTGTTCGGCTCGGAGCACGGCATCTCTTGAAGATATATAGACATGTCTAGTGACAATAAGTTACAGAGCAACTGAAGTAAGTATTAAGAGCCATGAATCATTTGATAATTGCGTGAAGTCTATCTGTGTTTGTACTTTGCTGTTGATTTGCTACAAACATGAACCAATCAGGATTATGGCTACGTCTCGGTGATAGGGGGCGGAATCTTCGAACTCTCCATGCGGCTCGACAAATATAGACGGGCCAAGAGGACTTACATAGGTAAAAGTACCATGAAGATGATTGGCAGTAAATCGAGGTGAAGGGTGCTTGGCATCTGAAGATAGTAATAGACATTAAAACTAGTTATAGTGGTAAGAAGGATGCTAAATACTAAATATGATCATATTACCTAGATCTATATTCAGGTATCATTCGTCCAAGCAGTCTATCCACATATAACTCCCTTTCGTTCTCATACGGGCTCGAACCTGGGAAAGTGTAGGCCACAGCAACAACGACAAAAAAAAAAGGAATCCTAGGATTTACCGAACTTGGTGTTGGATGTGTAGACAGAGTCAACATGTTTCAACACCTCGGTTTTCATCAATGATGTTTCGGTACGGGAGTTATTGCTAATTGCCACCGAGGATACTACTAGCTCGATCAGGACCTGCAGGATCGGACGTCGCCTACCATTAACTAGTCATATTTCAGGTATCGTGCTACTGAAGGCCATTAACCCATGGCTACCATACATTGCTCGAAGGGCATATACAGAAAGGACTCTGGAAACAGCCTATGGGAACAAAACAAATGCTCATTACACCAGGTGTCAGGAATCATGACTTTCCCCGCAAGGACCCCTGCCTCGCTTAGATACCGTCTCCGTCCTTATTGGGTGAATAGTCGACGCTGGGGGCTGAGAGGTCTTGTCCACCGGCTGGATTCGTTGCTTGCCGGCCTGAACAGCTGGTTTAGGTATAGCTGGGACTCGGCATTTCTTGGACCAGCGCCATGCAATTTGGCTGCCGTCCCAGCGCATCCTTTGCTTGCTTGCTTGCAGGGACTCTCTTCCATGTGTGTACGATGATGGTAATTGATATACAGGCCTTGTGACTTGGCTCCGACTCCGGACCGGCTACCGGACCGGCTGTCATTCTCTATCGTGGGCTGTTAGGGTCGTGGTCTGATTTGTTCCTAATCAGGTAGATTCAGGGTCTCTTGGAATTGTCCAATGTAAGCCTTGTGGGTGAGAGCGCTGTGGATTCTGGTCGGAGACAAACTACAGGTGGTTGTTGCTCTTGCACCATACACTGTGACAAGCAGCGGCCCACAGACTCCGGGCTGTGTAGGGTGGGCCTGCGGACCTTCCACGGTGGAAGCACTACCATAAAAAACGACACTGTCTTATTTAGCGAGCACTTCAGAGAGGCTGAAACGGAAGCTGCCATGCGGGCGGACATGGTATAACCGGCACCCGAGCCGGCTCAGATTGAAGCCACGGCTCAAGGGCTGAGCGTATCGCTATCTACCTCGCCATGTCTGGCCTCTGATGGCGATGGACCTTATTGGTTGCACTGTGGCTCTACTCGTAGCTCTGTGCAGGGGCCAAGCTTGATCTGTATACTTGACAACAATCACCGCATCGCAACCGGCAAAGGTCTAGCTTCCTATGGGGGTACCAAGGATAACTGACCGCATGATGGGGAAGCGAGCCGGGGTGTCAGGGATCCCCCACCGGCCAGAGGAAGGCTTGGCTAATTTTGTTCTTATCTTGTGAGCTGTTTCGCGGTGTACAAGCGCCATGGAGAAGTGTGAGTCTCGCGTATAACTAGCAAGACTCGGACCAGCTTCTGTACTCGGCTGCCTTCTACCGCTATTTCGAGGGGCCGTCCTAACCATTGCCTTCTCGAGTGTCACTTTTATTCAAGCGACTTTACCTACTCCCCCTTTCACTTTTCAGCGATAGTCAATATGACAGCCTCAGCGATTGCACCCGAAGGCCCGGACATCGAGGCGACAGCCAGCGAGAAGCTCCCTTCTGAACCATACAGCAAGGTACCCCCGGTCGGCAACCTTCATAATGGCCTAAACGACGAACGGTACGAACCAACAAAGCGGGGTCTGAAGAGTCGCCATGCGCAGATGATTGCGCTTGGCGGTTCCATCGGGACCGGCCTTTTCGTTGGGTCCGGCCAGGCGCTCGCTGTCGGAGGCCCTGCTTCCCTCTTCATCTCATACATTTTTGTTTCGGCCATTGTGTATGGAGTGGTTACGGCCTATGCCGAGCTGGGCGCCTATCTCCCTACTCATGGCGGTACCATGGGTCTTCACGGCCACCGATATGTCTCTAGCAGCTTGGGGTTTGCCATGGGCTATCTCTACTGGTATTCCATGGGAATCCTCGTGCCATATGAGATTGTTGCCGGGTCCGTTGTCATTGACTACTGGCAAACAGATGTCCATGTTGGCGTATGGATTACAATCCTCCTTGTTGTTATCGTTGGCCTCAACTTTCTGCCCGTCAAGTTCTATGGCGAGACCGAGTTCTGGTTCGCTGGAATTAAAGTGATTACTCTCCTGGGGCTGTTGATGGTGTCGTTTATTCTCTTCTGGGGCGGCGGTCCCAAACGCGAGCTGCTAGGGTTTCACTACTGGAAGACCCCGGCAGCGTTTGCAGCGTACGCTCCTTACACCGGGGGCGCAGGACGACTCGCAGGCCTGGTCAAATGCCTGATGCGATCCGCCTTTGGGTTCATCTTCTCGCCAGAGCTTGTCATCACGACGGGGGGTGAGATGGAGTCACCCCGCCGCAACCTCCCCATCGCCGCCAAGCGCTACATGTACCGCCTGATCTTCTTCTACATCCTGGGCTCCCTCGCCATCACCGTCATTTGCCCTTCAGACCACGCTCGGCTGACCAACGGCGGCGCCGGTGCCGGATCCTCTCCATTTGTCATTGGCATTCAGAATGCCGGCATCCCCGTTCTCAACCACATCATCAACGGCGCCATCCTGACCTCTGCGTGGTCCTCGGGGAATTCATATCTCTACATGTCGTCCCGTAACCTCTACTCGCTGGCCATGGCCGGTAACGCGCCGCGCGTCTTCAAGGTTACTAACCGCTGGGGCGTGCCCTACTTGGCCGTCGGGGTGTCGGCACTGTTCTCCCTCCTCGCCTACCTGAGCGTCGGAACCGACAGCTCCATTGTTTTCAACTGGCTGGTAGACTTTACAAACTGCAGTGGGTTTGGATCATGTAAGGCTTTCCCTTCACCATTCCTCATTTCCTCCACGGGATATCTCCCCTCCCCATAGTCCCATCCCACAATACCGACCTCACAGACCCAACCATACCAACAACTAACAACACGTTCCAGGGATATCTGGCATGATTGTCTACTGGCGCTTCCGCAAAGCCGTCCGCGCCCAAAACATCTCGATTCCCTACATCTCGCGCATCCAGCCCTACGGCTCCTACTTTGCCTTTTGCGGCGCGACCTTCCTCCTCCTCTTCAACGGCTTCGACGTCTTCTTCCCGTCTGTGTGGAGCGTCGCGAACTTTTTCTCCGCATACTTTGGAATCCCCGCGTTCTTCGCATTCTATTTTGGACACCGGCTGGTGTATAGGAAGGATCCGTGGGCGTGGGATCCGCATGCTGTTGATATGTATACGGGGCTAGAGGAGATTGTTGCTGCGGAGAGACCGGAGAGGGTGAGGGATACGTGGTGGAAGAAGGCGATGGCTGTAATCGAGTAGGCTGAGGGGAGTAGCATGTTGTTGTTGTTCCATTTGATGGATTCGAGGTGCAGTTGAAGTGCTAAATATTTCTGCTCCTGTGAGAGTGTATGTAGCTGCCAGATATCAAGAGAAATAATCTATATGCAGGAGTTTCTGGTAAACTAGGTAGGCCTGCAGCGAGACATCGCCGTTGGAGCCTGATAGTAGTAGACTCTCAACTGCGGAACAAAACAGAAAGTCTGCGTGGTACCAAAGTAGTATACCGTACCACAGGTCGGATCGCAGTATTCTGTCTAATATACTAGTCAAACCTTTTCTTCAACAAAACAGCAAGGGTAAAACCTGCTCTTGAATAAAAATGCCTTGTGTTGCATGATGGCCAATGGCGGCTATGACATCATTCCCATGTGAGAGTGGCTTCTTGTATAATAGCCCCTACATGCCTCTTTCTGTTCGCCTAATTTAATTTTCGCCGTCTTCCCGTTGTCTTATTATTTTTTTAATGGTATTTTCAGCTCAATCAAGGCTCAACACATGCTTCTCGAGCTAGATACTCTGGTCATTCAGGGCATTGTTGATAACAAGGTCGATCCCTTTACGTCGCCCTCGGCAGACAAGGTATACTGATTGCCACGCCCTGATATGTTATGCTCTTGAGTGCCCATTGGTAACTGATAAATGGACTAACAGACAAACTCCGTTTTCAAAACGGCAAAGGGACTTTCTCTTGTTATTGTACGTCCAGACCCCACATTCACGAGAGCACGCGATAGAGACTGAAAAGCCTGTCAGGTTTCCAGACTGCTAATAACCTCCCTTGTAGACTGCCAGCAAGGGACCGCTAAGCCACACAGTTCTATTCGATACGGGCCCGGACCCAAAGGCGTGGGTCCATAACTATACACGGCTGAGGACGGAAATTCCGCCTGTGGAGGCTATCGTGATATCGCATTGGCATCCCTACAGCTCAGGTAGATACTTCATATGATAGTAGCCCTACCGCGACCACGATATATTCTGACGAGAAGTGAGGGCAAACAGGAGTGCTCATTGACGTACTTCAGACTATCAACGCGTCCGTATCCAATCCCGACGAGGGCAAAGCAGCACGGCCACCGCTATTACCCGTCGACGCCCCACCGATGCAACCTGCCTCTGCTGGGCACCACTTCCTCTCTCCTCGCACCCACAGCATAGACCGTGCTGGAATTGCAGGCGCTGGTGGACAGCTACTCGAAACCAATGAGCCACACACGATCCTCGACGACATGTTTCTCGTCACCGACCCGCTACCACCCGCACAGAGACGCCAGCACGCAAGAAGTCCCAGTCGGCTTTTCCCACACGCCGACGGGAATACTCATGACCAGCAGCCTCAGAGTGGGCGGCTCCTTCTTTGCAAGTTAAAAGGTTCGTTCCGCCATGTGATTCATTCTACTCTGTATCCCGTCCCTACTTTCCTTCCGACCTTAAACGCCAGCATGGTATCCATCTCCTGACCCACTTTCTGTGGCATGTAACAACAGATAAAGGCCTTGTCATTATCACTGGATGCAGTCACGCGGCGAGGCTAAACGAAATGTCCTCACACGCCCTCGACCTAGTCCGCGAGGCGGAAGTGAAGAGCGAGAGCGAGACCCGCGTGCACGCCCTCGTAGGAGGCTTCCACATGGAAGAGGCCGAGCAAGAGGAATTGAAAGCAGCCGTTCGAGACCTGAAAGAGATTAATGCTGATTATATACTTGCTGGTAACTGCACGGGGCTGCGATTCCAGCTCGAGATTGAGGAGAACCTCCCCAACAGGTTTGTGCGGTGTTTTTGTGGTGGGGAGTATATTTTTTGAGTGAGACATAGACTCGATACAATCATGGTCGCGCATGCAGTGTGCTGGTAGTTGCAATTGTAGATATGGCTTCGACGTCTACTAATGCAATGCTTGTGCGACTGGTTACCTCATGACCATGGCTTAAGTGTGGCCCAGAAGTTCAAATACGGTATAAAATAGCAAAAGGAAATATACAACAGCAGAAAGAATGACTATCGGATGTCGGATTAATGGCCGTGGTTCATTCTGATGATATTCTTTTATCGTTGGCATCTTACCAAGGCTCGATATTCCACCGTTTACTTGCTTGGTGACAGACACTATCGTCTGGCGCCAACAATGGCCAAGCAATCTTCATATCAAAGTTGACGCGGTCTAGCCTTTACCAAGGCGCCCGCGCTGACTCTCGCCAACGGCGCCGAGACCATCGACAGCAAAAGGGCCAATATGGTGTGAGGATTCCTGTCAGCTGCTGCATGTCTTACAAGCTGCTTCTGAGGCTTGCGACCGTCAAAATCCCGCCAACGATGTTAGAATACGAGATATGATGTATCCACCCGATGAAGTGGCATTGCTCAAGCGGCTGACACGGTGTCTGATCGACTGGATTTCCGTGGCTCAGCGAGACAGTTACGAAACTATAATTAGACGAATGTACCGTTGAAAGTGGTGGGATTCCGCGCTCGGAGATCAATTGGCTGGCTGGCAGCTTGAGAGCTAAGGCTGTAGATTTGCCTTCGGTACATATATCGGGCGTTTTCCTTGCACGATGCTCCCATCCTTCCCTTCAAGTATTATCTATCTCTATAGGCAAAATGAAGACAAGCACTATCCTATCGGTGGCGTTGCTTGGATACCTCCAAACCACTCTAGCCGTGAAGCTGGTACTCCGCCCGAGTCATCCCATCGGTCCCCTCCATGCGTCTTTGCACTAATGATTGCAGAACATAACCGAAGTCAAATACACAGACGGAAGACCCCAACGCAACGCAATCGTTGACCTCCCGTACATCGACGACTCTATCCTCCCCAAGGACCAGCCTTGCCCTGCCCTGCCGTTCTTGTGCGGACACATCCTCACCCCTCGTCGATGCTATAGCTAATCAGGTAACAGCACCCGCGAGATACGACTCATGACCGAGACCCTCACTGTCCCGACCAAGTGTTTTATTATGACGTACGTGTATCGTAGTCGCGAGCTTGGTCCTGCCTCTTCCGACGCTAACAGATGGCAGCGAACAATGCCACAACGGGCTGTATATCCTTGATGACGAGGAGCCGTATGTTTATTTGATCAACGGGGCCGCTAAGACCGTGAGATGCTTTGAGGATGATGAGTAGGCGTGCTGGATCTAAAATGACCAGGAAGTAGATTATGCCGTTGTTGTTGAGCTTGGTCGATATAGAACACTAGGTTGAGAATTCTTGACGAATGGAATACATCACCACACCCTACTAGTCCCTTGAGCCTTAAAGCGCGTGAGATGTCCTTGTTCTAATCCAAAGTCTATCTGGACTTTGGCCAGAACAAGGCTACGAGTTCAGATCAACCTCTCCTATCTGCGATTATGAGTCTACCGAGTGCCCCTCACAGATGAACGTATCCACGCTGCATATCGGATTCTCAGCTCTCACCTGGCAGGGCCCGGCTCGAGGAGATATATTCGTATCGACGCCTACACATACGAAGGACCAAAAAAACAACATTCATGTTAGATCAAAGGTCATATATCAAGTTGTGACTGACCCAGCTCATATTTTGAGGTTACAAGTATATCTTATGTATCGCTTGATTCATTGCTGGTCCATATTCCTGTGCTGGCATGTGAGAGGTCAGTGGTGTTTGTACATTGGAAGCTGTGTACTGGGTACTCTGACACACGTCGAGTTCTCAAAGCCTACGGGTCAAGGTCCCATTAGGAATAAATCATAACCCCCTCTCACCAGCCTCACAGAGAACGACATTCTCTCGCCATTGCGACTGTAGCATACCCACTGCCGTGATTCGTTTCTCTGGGACAGGCTCTAACAACGCATAGACGGCTTTGCGTCGTCTCTATAGTCAAAGCCCCGTCAGAATGATCAAATCTCTAGAGCAAAGAACATCGAAAAACGACGGCAACGCCAAGTGGGCTGGGGAAACTAATGGGGCTTACCTCTCCAAGCGCCTCGATTGGCGCATACCCATCGTCATCGCCACGAGCATTATTACCACCTGCATCTCCACCCGCACGACAGCGCAGGTAGGCGGCGTATTTCGGATCTTGAGGTGCGCGGCGCGCGCTGACCCAGGGCAGACGGCCCGTGAGAAGAGTAAAATAGATCACACCCGTAGCCCAGAGATCTGCTGGGCGTGTGTCTTCAACTCTGCTGGCGATATCCGATTTCCTGTTCGCTGGTGCCGCCGCTTCCGCTGCCCCGGGCAGCTCGACCACGGCATCGTGGTACCAGCGGTGGAGGGCGCAGCGGAATTCCTCGGGCGCCATATACGGTAGCCGGATGCCCGGGAATGAGGCTGTGGGTGTGATGATTTTAGGGTGGGTGGCGCGGAGTGGAGAGGGCCGAGGCCGATTGAAGGTTGGGAGAATGGAGGAGAAGGACCATGCTGATGCTGGAGGGAGTGAGGAAGAGTGGTGATAGTAGTCTTGTGCTTCTTCCTCTTGTTCATCGCCTTCCGACTCGGCGTCAGACTCGGACTCCGACTCAGACATGGTTGACGCGGCGATACATCTAGCCCATATCCGATGTACATATTCATCGCCAAATCCAGCTAGTTTGACGGCGCCATTCTCGGTCAATAGAACGGCCTCGAGCCGCATATCGCCATGAGCCATGTTCTGCTCATGGATAAAAGCGAGCGCCCGCAGAATCTGAACCATCAGGCAGTCGACTTCAGTGGCGGGGAGGAGGGCGGGTCTTTTGCTCATGAGGAGCTCGTGGAGGTTCCCGCCTCCGCAGTAGGGAGTGACGAGACACAGCTGCGACTGCTTGTTGAACAGTAGATTCGTTATCCGGATAATGTTCGGGTGGTGTGATTGGAGAGCAGCAATCACAGCAGCTGAGAAACTGGGACTGGTTTTGCCTGCGAAGCTTCTCATGCCCCAGATATTCCTTCTAAAGACCTTGACAGCAAAAAGCTGGCCATTGTGCGAGCTGCCTTCGTAGTCTCTTTGCTGGTGAAGACGCACTGTGGTGTTGAAGCCGTAGTGCAGGATCTCTAGACACTGGCCGTACTGATCCGCGAATGATAGATGTCGCCTTGGGGACGAAGCCCCGTACCTTGGACACTCACCACAAGAACTGGATCTTATGAGAGGCTCCTCCATGATCGTTGACACGGAGGCGAGCGTGTCGCGGTGTCTGTTCCAAAAGACAAACCAATTTCCCCTGGCTGCGCTTAGACACGAGTCGCTCACAGCCTTGATCCGTGACTGGTCCTGGGGTACGAGTGACCACCTAGACGGGGAGACAAGATGATCGTGATCCATTGTACCAGTTGCTGGCTCACGCAGTTCAATGGTCCCCGTAGCGCTCTGTTGCTCATGGTATACGTGCGCCATGGCCATCTGTACAGTCCAGAACTAACGGGAGTAAAAAAAGAAAAAAAGAAAAGAAAAGAAAAGGGCGGAAACGCTAAATAGACCAGTTTGGAATTCAAAGGAAAGATTTAACAACTTGATAGCAGCTGCCAGATCACCCTTTTCTATACGGATATCGCTTTCTGTGCGCTGTTTATGTGCACCCATAGAACAAGACCTCGCTTATCTGAGTGGTAATATCCCCAGAGCTATATCTCCATCTAGCCCGAGTCCAGTCGACATATGAAGTTGAATTTCTATGACTATTGGATAATAAAGATGATTGGACCCAAAAAACCGCTCCAATGCTCCTTGTCTCGTTTGGTTGTGGCTTTGCGGCTGAGCGATTTATCATGCCAAACGGATCGCCGCGTGGAGTTGGAGGCGGAATGGTGGAGCAAAGACTGTCAGTTTGTAGGGGAAAATAGCGCATGCAAAGCAGCTGATCCAGTATGGTCATGAATGCACTGCATCTCCATATGCCCGCAAAATCCTGTCCAGCTTGGAGTATATGCCGCGAGACTTCATACCTCGGTCTTGAGTATTGTTAGGTTGACACCCACCTTGACTACACACACATCCCGCCAATGTAATCAGGCTATGAAATATCCTGTCTCCAAAATCCCCTTGCTCACTCTAGAGATTCCAGCCTATATCCCAATTCCACCCTTAGCTGCGTAAATTAACACTAGAAAAAAAAAAAAAAAAGAAAAGAAGAACCGTAACTAGAACCAGAAACTTACCCTAAACATCCTAACTATCTAGGCATAAGTTAAAAGGCCCTGTGAGATGATACGGCGCGGGAATTTCTAATTAGCTTTGAAGAGCTGTGTACTTAGTTGGGAGTGTTGCGAAGCTAGCAACACCCTCAGGCTTGCTAGCCAGGTCAACTCCTCAGTAATTATAAGTCATTTTCGGAACATGCTACTATATCATGCTGAGTGAATTTGTTTTGCATGCCATCCAGCACCACATTCCATATAGTCTGCCACGCCAGGACACGGCCTTGGTCATAGAAAAAGGTCTGAAGTATCGACAGAATAGGCTCCCATGTCAATACATCCCCTCGCATTAAGCAGAGCCATCTAAAAAGCTCACGCTGCACGCCGTAAAGTGTATGTTCCGCATTCCTTGGTGTCAGAGTCACCATCCAGAGCCAGACCAGGCAGTCACCCAGAGACGGATCATCCCACACACGCTGCATATTCTGAATCATGTCTGCTCGCTTCGTTGCCTGCCTGTAGATGGTAGCCGCCGGGTGTAAGGCGATATGGCTAATGTCGTCGGCTAAGCATAACAAGGCAATAAATATGCATTTTTCAATGGGGGTTAGTTTCTTGAGAGGCGCGGGGTAGCGTCAGATGGGGGCTATGCTTGGGTCTTGGCCCCCCTTGCTTATTCTGCCATCCGGAGAAGCTGTGCAGCATCTCGACTGAGCTGTGCGAGAGACGGCCTCGCTGGATAAGGGCTATAAACCCCCACGGGAGGTCTGGCGGGATATGAAGTGAAAGGGGCGGATCCATAGTCTGCGTGTATAGAGGAGGCTCGGCATCGATAGCATGGACCAGTAATAGGCTTCTGACAATCAGAGTCGACACTTGCACATCATTCCTCATGGCCGGAATCGACGAGCCCAGCTGGTTATAGCCGCCACGCACCTCGATGACGGCATCAAGGCCTGTGAGATACGCCCGGCTATACTCGACATGGCCAAGGTAGTCGTCGACTGCGATTAGGAGAGAGAGGGCGGAGATGAGAACGTCGTCGACAACATGGCCAGAGAGCATCCGCTGTACTTCACCAAGTAGCTTTCTGCGATGGTATCGGATTGCACCATGTGCGCGGTCGTTGGTTCTTTGCTGCGACTCCAGAGTACACAGACCCCATGCAACAAGCCCGTGTAAGACGCTCTCTTGACTAGAGGACCAGTATAGAATCACTGATCCATAATATTGTCCCTGGGAAGGGCCGTGCCCAAGAGCGCCTGAATTCCGCGGGGACATCTCGTCAAAGTCTACTTTGATGAGTATTCACCATATCCATCCAAGGGGGTTTGTTGATGAGCTCACAGTAGGAGAGTCCCCTCGATGTAAAAGGCCCTTGAGACTGCAGGTGTACGGACTGCATTAGGTAAAGCTTGCCGGCAGCGACTGGCCTTGCCATAGTGGGCTGCAAGTCCAGGCCATGAACGCTTTCATCCGGAGGGCTTGACGCATGATCACGCCGCGGATCCTTCTGGCTGGTCATCGTCCAATCCGCAAGGCATTCCACATTAAACATTGAACTCTGGACACGCTTCCGTTTTCGGGCCGCCTGCACAGCAACGAATGTGCGAATTGCTCGACGGGATACCTTAGTGTCCTCATTGGAGCGGATATACGGTATAAACATTGGTTTTGGATTGGCAGTCTGGGGACAATTCAATGATTTCTTATCCTGATGGAGTTGAACACGTCACTTGGCGCCAGCGGCATGACTGCTACCAAAGGCTCCGAATCATCAATTCCTTGATAGAATAGTTAGTTACACTGTAGAGAGCATGGCTTTGAATGCTTAATGCAGAATCGCGCGTATCATGAGGTTGGTAGTCTCCAACCCCCTGATATCGGTTCCAGAGATGAAATGTCAGCCCCACAAGCGCTTATATAAGCAGTCCATGCCTGCCCTCCCCCCTCCTCCCCACCCCCTTCCCCTCCCTTTTCAGTTGTTATCAACCTTATCCTCTTCTTTATGCCGCTGCCGATGGTGTCAAGGCTGAAGCTGCCATTGGGGCGGAAGATCAAGATCGCGGGGGATTTTCTGTTAAGGACGATGTGGGTTGGCCCTGCTGTTTGTATCAATCAGATGGGAAAAGAAGAAAAGAAAAGGCACCTATAGACAGCTTGCAAGCTAACCATCGCACCATCATTAGGGTCGTCGTTGTCAGCATAACCCGAATGGTTATGTACATCCGCGTCGGAACGACCTTCCGCGAACACTACAACGACATGGCCTGTAAGTCGCAACGGCAGCTTACCCTCAAATATCTCCCTTTCCCTCTCTTTCTTTCTGTCTCTCTCCATATCCCCCTACCAAGCAATTACCCTTCCCCCAATCACTAACGCACAATCCAGTAGACTACACATCCCCCGTCTTCTTCTGGACAAACATCAAGATCTCCCTCGCCGTCATCCTCGCCTGTCTCCCGACACTGCGCCCGCTCTGGACGGTCCTTTCAAGTCAAAGCCGCCGTGCAAGCAAGGCAAGTAGCAACAGCAAAAGCAACCTACACCGTCCATACGATGAGCTCAAGCACGATGATTGCAGTCGTGAGCGTGAGCGGGAGCGGGAGCGGGAGCGCAGGATCTTGGAAGGGAAGAAGCAGCCGACACTCGATACGCTTGATCGGCTGGAGAGCTTTACTCTGGGTGTGGACGGGAATCGGCGGTCTGGGGCGGGGTGGTGAGCTACCTAGTAGCTAGTTGGCTCTGGGGTTTCCTTTCCTAAGCGTAAGTGGGATTTGCAATGCATAGATTAAGGGGCGTTTTATACCGTACATCGAACTATACTGTTTTCTCCATGGCACCAAGGCACTTAAGAGGATGAATTCATGGCCGTATGTTCATCAATGACTTACCCCATAGTATGTTGTTTCAATGCCCGAGGTTTATGGCAATGGCATCACGGCAATGTGTCGTGTTGAACAGGGTGTTGAAGTTATGCTAACCCCAACCTGCATGCAATCTAGAGTAACGTTGATTCGGCATTTCTCCCTTCTTAGAGAGTAGTAAGTCCAAGACGTTTAAGCCACGCTAAAGGTTAGTATGAAGTGTGTATCTCAGCGTTGGATTTATGGGAGTGAGCCTGATGGGCTTGGAATACTAAAAGTTGCTTTGCTACGGTTGAGAGATTTTTTCGATAATATCTATAGATTGCTACATGTAGAACAAGGTTTATTCCTTTGCGAAACTACTGCTTGTACTTTTAAATCATCGTCTTTGTCAAGAATGACTTTCTCCACCCTCTGCACTTGTGGCCTTGAAGCCAATGTAAGCCCTTAATCTACCATTATGGCTTGCAACGCCTGAAGAATACCTTCTAGCAAGTGCCTCGGTTAGATGCATGGTAGGTGAGCTAACGAGCAGGGACTTCTTGAATCCGAACGACTCGAAATCCGAATGGCAGATCGCCCGTAGCTAGGTAGGGATGGATGCGATGGATTTTACCGCGCTACATTCGTACATTGATATAGAAAGAGAGCCACATAACCTGTTCTTCTTTCCAACCTCTGGGGCTTCCTGAATCTGCTCGCGCAGCGCATGCGCAGCCAGGAAGGGTATGAACCCCAACGCTGAAAGGTAATATCCACCCTACTCCCCTACTCTAAGAACCCTCCCACCACCCAACCCCGTCTGCCCGCCATCACCATCCCCGCCGCCAAAGCCATGACACCCGCAAGACGACTGCACGGAAGACGCACCGCGCTACACTCTGCCTCTCCTCCCTGTCCCTCCTGGAAAGCACCCGCACTAACCCAGCACCCAACAACCCCCGCGAACCCCCAAGCCCCCAAGATAACCCCATACTCACGCGCGAAATCCGCACCACGTGGTAAGCGGCGCTTGACGAGGCCTGGGAGACTACTGAAGCCGACGCCGTGCGCAAAGAGGATTGTGGCGATTGTGGCGAGGCGCATGTAAAAGATCAAGTTCCGGTTCAGGATCTGTGGGATCTGCAATGATAGCGAGAGGAGGATAAGCATGACACCGCGGATGGAGAAGAGGGTTATGAAGAGGGTTCGTGGGGACAGTGCTTTGGAGAGCAGAGGGGTCAGGAGGCCGCCTAGGGCGAGGGAGGTGAAGAGGAGGGGGGACGTTGTTGTTGTTGCACTAGATTGGTGGTGTGGACTGAGGGGTGGGAAGAAATTGCTCAACAGCGTCATCCCCGGTAGGGCATTAAAGAACAGCAGGATTTGGAACGAGCCGCGGGTTGGAGGCGACGATGAAGGTCGACCGTGTTGGTTTTGTTCCTTATTCTTCTCCTGCTCTGGCTTCTCCTCCTTGGTATCCCCAGCAGTACCAGGACCAGCTGCTGCGGCATCCGAGAATAACCCCATAGTCAACCCCCCCACACTCGCAATCCCAACCCCAACCCCTCTAACTACCGCCGCGAGCGTTTGCACATTTAGAAAATCCACTCCTCCCCAAACACCCGCAAATCCAACCACCATCGCCCCAGCCGAAAACCCCAGCGGCCCAATCGCCGTGCGCGCAAGCGACCCCGCAGGGAGAATTTGGCTCGTCCAGACGACGGTGGACAGGTATGTCCAGCCGACGCCTATTCCGCCTAGGAAAAAGGAGAGCGAGAGCAGAAGCTGCACCAAGAGGTGGCTAGAACTCCAATGTGAATGTAGTAGGGTGAGCGCGCAGCCCGCGGCGAATAGTCCCGCTCCCCAGAGGGTGGTGCCCACTCCTGTTACCGTTGCCGGGGAGGAGCGCTTGAGGAGACGGGGGCATGTTGTTACGCCAAGGCTGAGGCCAAAGGAGGCGAGAACGAAGGGGTTGAGTAGGGTACCGCACCCATATGTATCGACGTCGAGGAGTCGGGGGAGTTGGGACTGGAGGGTGCTCAGCGCATAGAGGGTGCCGATGCTGAACATGTTGGCGAAGCTGGCGAGGGCGACCGGTGTCGGGGATTTAGCCTGGGACATGATTACCGAGTATCTGGTAGTAAATGGCAGAGAAACTACCTTGATTGAGATTTTGGTCCATAACGTATCTCGGGAAGAAAAAGGTTGCGTAATATAAGAGAATCGAGGCGGCTTTGGCGGCCCGCCCACGAGTCCTAGCGGCGGAGGGGCCGCCATGGACCCACCCACGGCATCAGCATAACTTCCAGGTGAGTGAATGCAATGCAGTGGACACTCCAGACAACCCGGAATGAGTAAGTAGAATATAATCGCTCCCTACACCCAGCATGTCATTCAAACTCCCATCTCAATCAACAGTGCAAAAAAAAAAAAAATGCCCTCCAACCCTCTCGACCCCGAAATCACCTCCGTCCTAACCTCGCTCTCCCTTGAGCAAAAATGCGCCCTCCTCTCTGGCGCAAACATGTGGACCACCACGCCTCTCCCCTCGCACGGCATCACCCCCCTAAAAACAACCGACGGTCCCGCGGGCGTGCGCGGCGCCAAATGGACATCCGGAAGCCGCACAACGTTTATCCCCTGCGGCATCTCACTGGCAGCAACATTCGACCGGGAAATACTACGGTCAATCGGCAAAGTGCTCGGCTCCGAGACAAAGAGTAAAAACGCACACGTCCTCCTCGCACCAACAATGAATCTCAGCCGCTCTCCCTTTGGCGGGAGGAACTTTGAGAATTTCGGCGAGGACCCGTTCCTCACGGGCACTCTCGCCGCCGAGTTTATCGCCGGTGTCCAGAGTATCTCCCGCGTCGGCGCCTGCATGAAACACTTTGTCGGCAACGAGCAGGAAACGCGCCGCTTCAACATGGACGAGGCCATTGACGAGCGCACGCTGCGCGAGATGTACCTGCGGCCCTTTGAGATTGCGCTGCGCGCGGATCCCTGGACGGTTATGACGGCGTATCCGAAGATCAACGGGGTGCATGCGGACTGCAGTGGGGATCTTGTGAGGAAGGTTTTGAGGGAGGAGTGGGGGTTCCGAGGGCTGGTGATGAGTGACTGGGGTGGGTTGAATGATACTGTGGGTAGTATACTGGCGACAACGGATTTGGAGATGCCGGGGCCCGCTTTTAGATATGGACCGAAGCTTGAAGAGGCGGTTCTGAGCGGAGATGTTGAATTGGAGATTGTTGATGAGTCTGTTCGGCGGGTTCTAGCGACGCTGAAGAGGGCGGGCTGTCTGAGCACGAGGGACGACGGGTTACCCGAGACAAGCTCAATGAGCAGTGGTTGCAGTGTCATGGAGCATGAACAGACTGTCGACAGACCAGAGTTCCGAGCCACGGCGCGCTCAGCCGCAGCAGATGGCATCGTCCTGCTCAAAAACGAACAGCAAATCCTCCCTCTACGACCACCGAGGCTACGCAGACTCGCCATCATCGGACCAAACGCAAAAATGCCGACAGCTGGCGGCACAGGGAGTGCGGTGGTGAACCCTTACTACGTGACAAATCCCTACGACTCCCTGGTCGGGGCTGTGAAGGCCCAGAACCCAGACGTCGAGATCGTCTACGCGCAGGGCATACTGACCCATCTCAATCTGCCGCTGATGGGCAGCATGATTCGGAGACCCGATGGGCCATCATCACCGCAAGGCCTGCAAGTCGACTTCTACCAAGGCCACGAATTCGCAGGCGACGTCGTCGCCACAACATTCTGGCAAGACTCGATGGTCTACCTGATGAGCGACGGCGACATTCCCGGGGAGCTCCAGGGGAGACCATTCTGTTTCCGCGCGCATGGCACCTTCACAGCCACAGTTATTGGAACATACGACCTCAGCCTAACCAACACGGGCAAAGCCAAGCTTTTCATCAACGAGACCCTTTTGATCGACAACACCGAGTGGACGCAGATCTGCGCACACTTCATGAACTGCAGCAGTCCCGAGAAACGGGCCACGATGCACCTCGTCGCAAGCGAGACGTACACCCTCCGCATCGACAACGTCGTCGTCCCGCCGCCAACAAGACCGCACGATAATACTCTCTTCCACCGCATCGCGGGCGTCCAGGTTGGAATGCTTATCCGGCACAACGAAGAGGATATGTTTGCTGCCGCGGTCGACACCGCGAAGGAAGCAGACACGGTCGTTCTCGTAGTCGGCCACAACAACGATACGGAGCGCGAGGGCTGCGATCGGACCTCGCTCTCCCTCCCAGGCCGAACAGACGAGCTTATCCAGACCATCGCATCGACAAACCCCAACACTGTCGTCGTCACGCAGTCCGCCTGTGCAATCGCCATGCCCTGGGCCGACGACGTTCCCGCAATCGTGCACGCGTGGTACCAGGGCCAGGAAAACGGGAACGCGCTCGCGGATGTGCTCCTCGGGACGGTGAATCCATCTGGGAAACTGCCCGTGACGTTTCCGCGCCGGATCCAGGATCACGGGTCGCATCCGTGGTTTCCCGGAAACGCAGAGACGGATCAAGCGGTGTACGGTGAGGGCGTGCTGGTGGGGTATCGGTGGTTTGACGCAAAGGAGCTGCAGCCGTTGTGGCCGTTTGGGTTTGGGCTTTCGTATACGAAGCTTGAGATTGGTGAGGTTGAGGTATGCGGGTGTGTGGTTGTTGGCGAGGATGGGTCGAGTGCTGCTGCTGCGCGTGTCTCGGCTGTTGTTAGAAATACGGGAGGATGCTTTGGGAAGGAGGTGGTGCAGGTGTATGTCTCCTCGTCGGATGCGGTTCCTGAGGACCAGAGGGTTGTCAAGGGGCTGGCTGGCTTTGAGAAGGTTGGCCTAGCCGCTGGGGAGCAGAAGCACGTTCAGATTGAACTCGATTCAGCTGCATTTGAGTGGTATGACATCAAAGTTCCCGGATGGAGGTTGGACCCAGGAACTTACCAATGCTTTGTTGGGAGCAGTTCACGGGATATCTGGGCCACAGTAGATATTGTGGTTATGCAGGCATACAAGGTATAGAATACATTAGCTACGTGTGATGTAATAAGATTGAACTGAAATCACTCCATCATCCGCAAAACGCGCCCTTTGTCCTTGACTGCAATCGCCAGCCTAAGCATCGCTTGGGCGCTGGACCCCGCTAGTGCCCATGGCTCGAGAATGGAAATCGCCTGGTCTTCTAGACTCTCCATGTCGGGGACATGGTCACGCAACAGAGCGCAGTACGATGCAACGGCGAGGTTAACAAGCGCAGCTAGGGTTCTGGTACTATTAGTAAAGCCTTACGGAAGGGTTGAGTTGACTGGCCAGACGAACGCATGTAGATAGATCCCAGCCGATGGAGACCGGTGGCGAAGCACCCCTGAGACGATACGGAGAAAGGCACGGCAATGCTCAAGACAGGTAATTGCCTGGATCATGATATTGTTATCAGGAGGTTGTGTGCTGCGAGACTGCGAGCAGACGTAGTGGAGAAAGGGGCGGCAAATGATATCGCCACAGGCATGGTAGCGAAGCAAGAGTATCGCTTCGCCGAGGCTAGGATTGGCCGTGTTCAGGTCCGGTTTCACCGACGTTGGGACGAGGTCCCACCAGGTTCCGAGCTGGTGGGCGAGTTCGTCTGATAGCGCGAGAATTGGGTGAGAGCGATGGCCGGGGTGGGTATCTCCAAAGGCATTGGAGGCGTAGATGGTGCAGTGGATCCGGTTGAGTAGCCTACGCGCAGAGATGTTTGCCAGCCATGAGGACTCGTACCCCTGCGGCACTGAACCGCAATCAGGGTAGGCCAGCTGGTCGATGAGGTTCTCGATGCCGCTTCTGGGCAAGTGATAGTCCGCCACGAGGTCACTATCAATTTGATTAGCAATAGTTATCAGTCAGTGAGATTGCCATACCACTCGAGGACAAACACAGCCCAGCACGTCCTGATAAGATCCTGTTGCTGTAGACTAGGCCGCTGGAAAAAGGCATGCTGAATGTTAGTCGAGGCCATGTGGACAAGGCGCCACGCCTGGATTGGGCGGCATAGGCAGCCATAGTATAGGGCGGCAAGGAACAAGGCCTGTGCCAAATGAACGTCAGTGTGGCATACGTCCGGCCAGACCCGTAAGATGTACTGCAGACCTGGACGGAGATACTCGATGCCTGGAAGCTGACTCTGTGATACAGTTGGTTCCACGTGGGCCGCAGCGACGGCTAGAACCATCAGGACCAATGCTACTTGAGGAGAATATTCACCCATATGCTCATTTGGAGAGCTGACTATCGTATCAAACTCATCTCTGCGGAGCACTGGGTGCCCCGGATGGACTGATTCAAAGTAGCGCTCCACCAAGGCCTCGACCACGGAGGACTCGAAAGACGGCAAGGGGATGTCCTCCATCTGAACGGAGAGAGATAGCTCACGGGGTAGCTCGCGCTTCTGTTCTATTCGCAGAAAGATATCGCTAGGGTAGTCGCCCACCATTGCGCTAACAGGGCGCATCTGCAAGAGATCCCCTGTGGTCGTTCCATGGCCGATAGGAATGGTCATGGGGCCCAGGAAATCCACCGGAGTTCCCATGTCCAGTACGGGCAGCACCGTGGCCGGGGTTTCCGCCTCGACAGCCGCATGACGATGGAGGAGAGAGTCGTTATTTGCAGAAACATGAGTTTGCTCGCTCAGCGACTGGAGGATTCGGGTGTGCTCCGCAAGGACCGACTCTAATTGAGCTAGGCGGTCGGGGTTGGTATCGTTACTGAGGCTAAAAGTGGTCAACTTGAACCTGGGATCTACCTATGCTCACGACGTACCTATTGCTACTAGCAGCTGGATATACGCAGCGTTTGTCCGCCGATCGGCAGAGGGAACAGATCGGCTGGGCTCCATCGCAGCGGCGTTTTCTTCATGTCAGGTCAGCTTCAAGCTGCGCTGCGGTGAGGTGGAGAGTAAGCGGATCGATCACCTTTTGCGACAGTAGCTGCAAGCAATAACCGCTCGCTTCCGCACAGCTGGAGCGTCCATGGTGCTGCAGTGGCAGTGGGCGATGTGGAGGTGGCGGCGGAGGAGGAGGAGGAGGAAAGGAAAGTGGACAAGAGACGGACAAAAGCCGCCAGCAGCCGCCTCTTATCTTCGGTTCCACTGGCTGAGGTAAGTTCCTTCTCCAACTTTGAACTTTATCTCATTTCTCCAGGTCCAACCCCGTATCTCTCCGCAAGATCCTGATTACTATACAAGGACTATAAAAGCCGTCAGAAAATGCCCTCTCCTGCCAACTCAACACACCGACAATGGCTTCCGAGGAAAACTCCGCTCGCCCCAATACAGCTGAGACTGAGACTGGCCATGAACACCCAGGATGGTGGGAGCATGCCCATCTGGCCAAACTGAATATTGGCATCGTCTGCCTGACCTTTTTGTGTACGTCGCATTCTCCCATATGATTGAACGCAGCTAACACACAATAGCCAGCACAAACGGTTATGACAGCTCCCTCCTCAACGGCCTCCAGGCTCTCCCCATCTGGCTCGAGTTCCTCGACCAGCCAAGCAGCGTCTGGCTGGGCTTCATCAATGCACTCTACTGGATTGGCGCAGCAACCACGACCGTGGCAGCCGCGGTCGTGGCTACCCGCTACGGGCGCAAGATCCCCATCTATCTTGGCTACTTCTGCCTGGTCACCGGCACGATCCTCCAGACAGCGGCTCCGAATCCAGCCTGCTTCATTGTCGCCCGCTTCTTCGTCGGCGCCAGCATGGGTTGGATGAATAATGCCACCCCGGTCCTCATCACAGAAGCGTCGTATTCTTCGCACCGTGGCATCGCCAGCGCCCTCTACATGACCAGCTATTATGTTGGCAGCATTGTCGCGGCATGGGTCACTTTTGGCACACGCTCCTGGGACTCAAGCTGGGCCTGGCGCTTCCCCTCCATCTTCCAGCTATGCATGCCCACTCTGGCCCTCCCCGGCCTGCTGCTCGTCCCCGAGAGTCCTCGCTGGCTGGTCTCCGTCGGCCGAGTTGCCGACGCCCGAAAAGCTCTCGTCACCCACCACGCGGGCGAAGACGAGCAGTCTCCCTATGTCGACGCCGAGCTGCACAGCATCCAAACAGCCATCACCGCAGAGCTCGAAGCGGAGAAACACTCCACGTACGCTGAGCTGTTCTCCACTCCGGGAAACCGCCATCGCCTCTTCATCAGCATCACACTAGGCTTCTATGACCAATGGGCCGGAAATGGGCCTCTTTCATACTACTCTCGCTCGTATTGGGGAATATTGGGGTCACGAAGACAAGCGACCAGCTTCTTATTTCTGGATGTCTGCAGATCTGGAACCTCATCTTTGCCCTTGCTGCGGCGCTTTCCGTCGACCGGATGGGCCGGCGCACGCTCTTCCTGCTTTCTGCGGGGATCATGCTCATGAGTTACATCGTAATGACGGGACTCAGCGGGTCGTTCACTGAAACCGGGAGTACGCAGACTGGAATCGCAATGGTCCCGTTTATTTTTATTTACTTTGCTGGATACGATATTGCTCTGTTGGTTTCCCCTCCACTCACTAATCTCACCCTGCGTCCACTAACTAATTCTCAATGTAGAACCCCCCTCCTAACAGCCTACCCCTGCGAGATCTGGCCCTTCCGCCTCCGCTCGCGCGGGCTGATGGTTACCTGGATGTCGTGCATCGTCGCCATCATCTTCAACACCTTTGTCAATCCAATCGCCATGGACGCGATCGGGTGGAAGTACTATATCGTGTATGTGGTGCTCTTGGTTAGCTGGTGCGTGATCACGTACTTGGCCTATCCCGAGACGCGGGGGCTGTCGCTGGAGGATGTTGCTGTACGATTTGACCGGATTGAGGAGGCTACGCACGGAAGGGAGGTGGAGGGCGACAAGGAGGGTTGTGAGTCATCAGTTCAGGTTGAGGGGAAGGAGGAGAGGTGAGATTAGACGACGGGGGCTGGGGGTTGGCGTGGGCTAGTTTTCGCCAGCGTCAGGTAGGATATATGATGTAGATGATGTAGATGGTCGGTAAGTAGCCGGCGGTATCAAACCTATATTTATTGACAATTTGCGTGCTTTTCGCGATCATGCTGCTATAGTGTCGTGCCCCTCTCCTGAGGGTTACCATCTTACTAATGACTCAAAGAATCAGGCGGACAGTCCAAGCAGAGAATCAAGGGCAGCAGAGTGAATATACTCCTTACAAGTTGGCAGATTATCAATACCGTGACATGTCCCTCTACACCTAAGCCAATTACCCACTCCAGTCACCCTCACCCTCGCCCCTAGGCCCAAAAGCCTGTGTCTCCTCACCGTCCCGGTCACTAAAACCAACAACCTCCGTTCGTTCCCTCCTCACTCTCAAATCGAAAACATCCCCGCGCTGATACCCACCAACAACATCATGAAACTGCTTCCCCTCAACACACCGCTCCAAATCTAGATCCGCATACAAAAGCCCCTCTTCGTGCTGTAGATACTCTTTCTCCTCGGTCTCCCTACTATCCTTATTGACTATAAATGCAGGGTGTGGCGCACCAGTCGGATCAAGAAACATGGTCACGCCCCGAGGCGAGCTCTCGAGTGTGCGCCGTACGGTAGTCGGGCTACTCGCACCCTCGGCGATTATATCGATCGCAAGCGCGTCGAGGACGCCTGCGCACAGGACACCAAAGCACTTGGCCTCGAAGCTGTGTGCCGCGGCGCGTGTACGGTTTGCCGCTACGTTGTCGTAGTTTTTCCCTGCTGCGTTTCCTCCAGCAGCAGCAGCAGCATCATCACCGCGGCCTGCGGAATCCAAAGGCTCCTCAGGATCTACGACCCTCGTCGGCCAAACGGGCGGCCACGTCGAAACATGAATCTGCTCCGCCTGCGCCATGAGCGCAAACCGTGCAAGCGGGTTCGTATTCTCGCCGCAGATCAGCACGCCCACATTCCCACCGCTTTCCATCCTCGCAACCCTCAGCCCGAACCCATCCCCAGGCGCCCAGGTGAGTTTCTCAAAGAAAGTCGGGACGAGCTTCCGATGGTGCACGAGGACATTTCCATCCGGCCCAATGAGTATATTCGCGTTCCACAGCGTCGCGGTGCTACTCCGCGCTTTCTCGGAGAAGCCCATGCTCACTGTTGTCCGTGTCTCGCGCGCCGCCGCTCGGATCGCAGCAATTTCGGGGCCGTCGGCGGAGATTGATTCGGTGACCATTCGCGCAAACAGACCGTGGTTTTCTGTTGGGGCGCGGAGGGCGCTCCAGAGGGGAAATGCGGGGATGAATGTCTCTGGGAAGATGATTAGGTGCGCGTTGTTGGCGGCGGCTTCGTGGATGAGCGTTAGGGCTTTTGCTGTGGTTTGTGCTGCGGAGAGGAAAATTGGGGAGGCGTGGCAGGCTGCGACGCGGGTTAGGGTGCAGGGTGGAGCCATTTTAGTAGATCGAGCTGATAGGCTGAATGAATTGAATGCAGAATAGGTTCAATGGCATTGCTTGGGCTGCAAGGTAGGCTGGCTTGTAGTTAAGTATGCGACGAGGCGGGAATGGCCCGCCTTTGCCGCTCGATCCTCGTGGCGCATCCAGATCCACCCAACTCTGCTATCACTTAGGTATCGACACCATACCATGCCTCCCATTAAGCTGTTGGACGTTTCGGATTTACTGACGCATTGCCCGCCAGCCACAATGCAGACTCCAGGACTATGCTAGTGCTCGATATATCCCGCCCATCTCGGGATACGCATGCCCTCAAGCACATGTGGCATAAGCCCTAACGAAAACATATAAAGCAAGGATATTACTTTTTAGGATCCAAACAACTTATGATATAGATGGGTAACGAATGACCATTCATCTATCTCTTGCTGTTTGTGGAGTACGTTATGCACTTTGGTCTATCGCGATGCTTATCATACTATGCATATAAGCATGGCCCATATTGCTTTTTGCGTTTCAGTTGGGTATATATAACAGTGATGCAGAGACTTTTATTCTAGTAAGATGGACCCTTGATTTCTTGTGCTTTCAAGCCACTTGTAAATCTAGATAAAGCTAGTTTCGCTTTCACAGCTAGATCTATGAACTCACGCAAATTACGGATGACAACGGATGTACTGGCCCCACGCTGTATCCCTACGAGTACGGCCTCGGAATGCCCTGGTTTAGGAGTGGTGTGTGAGTTTAAATACAGACTAAACACTTCCTAGCTATTAGATAGCTACCTATTAGAGCACCTAACTTGCTTGGATATAGATATATGAGCACACGGAATCAATTTTCGAAAGAACGCACTAGGAACCCCAGAGGCATACTGGAAGTTAGAGCACGATGTGGTGACAGAGACTTTGAACAGTTCTTCGATCATGGTCCCAGAATAAGTATGGTGAAGAGCAAAATTAATGTAACAGACCAGCTAGGTAGTGTAGAGGCAAGGAATATCGAAGTCCTGCACCATTCCGTAGACACTACATACACTACCATTTACCTTGCAATAAACCCATCAATGAAGTTGGTAATCTGTAATAAAGGGAGGGTAAGTACTACTAAGAGTAGTAAAAAGAGTTTCTCCATGCTTCTTATATTGTTGAATACGATTCTATTTCCAACGAAACGTTCCTTACAAACCTCCCCCCCCTCCAAAGCCTTACGAGGTCTCTCGCCGTACACACTGGGCTGATGGAATTTTAACAAATTATGCCCATAGTCAGACCGCTATTAAGGGTAGATGGCTTTCAGCAGTGGGTCTAAAAGAAATATAAAGATACTTTATTGAAGAGGAGATGCAAGATATGTATTTTAGGCATTGGTGAATCATCACTTCATCACCTTCAGGATGAACAGGACCAAAAAACCATAAAAACCAAAGCTAAAACAAATCCAAAAGCAATGTACTTTGTAAGACAAATCAAGAAAGCAACTCATGCCATTCACGCAGAGCCAGACTCCCTCTTCGAGAACTTGCCCATCAGCCCAAATGCCTTCTTCCACCGCACCTTCTTCTCCGTCTTCTCGATAGCGTGAGTATTCGAGACGTCCTCCGGATTCGCATCAGCAGCGTCATCCTGCAAGCTCTGACCGAGAACATCCTGAGCCATAACGGCCATATGTCCCAAGAAAGTGGGCCGGTCCAGCAAATCCTCAATTCGAACCTGGTAGCCCTCCTGCTGTAGAAGCCATGTAGCCTGGCCGAGGGCAAAGAGGTCGCCGCCTAGATCATAGAACGACGTGTCGAGCTGGAAGGTTTTCTGGCTCGCGTACATGCTCGGGAGGACTTGTTGCCAGGTCCGGCTGAGGATCGCCGAGTGCACGAGGATATCGGAGATATTTTGGCTCTTGAGCTGGGATGCTAGGACTTGCTGGTCGGTGACGCGAGGCAGATCAGGAATTGTCTGTGGTGGGAGGGATCGGAGTGTGCTGGGTGATGGGAGTTGAGCTGTCGGGCTCGATGTTAGAGTAATCATGGCGTCGCACACTAGTTGGAGAACCCTCGACGCGAATGCTTCGGTGATTGGACCCTTGGAGGAGTAGCCCAGCGAAAGGTCGACTTGATTTGCAGCCACAGACTTAGAGACCAGGGTGAAATCGGCGAGGTTGTCAATGACTCCGGCTCCACCGACACGATACTCCTGATTATCAAGGTTCATGTGGCCTTCGTAGTCGATGTTTTGGTGGAGAACGGCGGTAGAGAAATATGTACCGCACGGCCAGTCGGTGCAACGCTGGATGATCTCCCGGAATCCGAGTGCTTCGTACGGCATCGTCGCAACAAGCTGGTCTTGCAGATAGCGGATAAGATCGAGGCCACTCCACTTGTTGCCAAAGGCCACTCGCACGGGGATCATGTTCAGACATGGCCCAACAGTATCCTGCACACCGGGAATAGATGCGTTCCGACCGTTGATGGTCAGACCAAAGACAACATCAGAGTCAGCAGAGAGTCTCGAGAGAGCGAGGGCCCATGCTGCCTGCACGAGGGTGCCAACGGTAATGTTTCCGATCGTAGAATTCTGAGCGATGCTGATGGTCGTCTTGACTTCTGCGTAAGAGCCCATGGTCTGGTACGTGTTGGGATACTCTCGGGAGATGACATCTGTCATTCGAGATCCTTTCAGCAGCTTCGTCCAGTACTCATAGTGCTCTGGAGTGATGGAACTAGGGAGCAGTCGCATGTAATTGGCATATGACATGGCAGGCGCCAAGGTGCCACCTTCATAGCCCTGCTTGAGCGCGTCGAAAATCTTGGAAATACACATTCCATCATACTGGGCGTGCGATAGTCGGATGAGGATGCGGTGCTGATTGGTGCCTCTGCGTTTCGCGACAATAAACTGAACAAATTGTTCCCCTTGGTGGAGGCCTTGGTCACGGTCCCGCTGCTGCAAGCTGGCGGTGAATGTGTCCAAATCGGTCTGGGTCTCGTAAATGACAAGCGTCGGCCGGACTTTCTTGAGGATCACCTGGTAGAAGTTCTCCCCTGAACAGACAAAGACAGTTCGCAGGATGTCAAAGGCGTCGACAACACGAGCACAGCTTTCTCGCAAACGCTTCATATCCAGCTGCCCTTCACCATCAAGGTAGAAATAGTTCAGCATCCACCTGGATTCGAAGAGTTGAGCGGTCAAGGACAAGGCTTGGAAATCGGTAACAGGAAGGACATCCGAAATGCCGCCCTTGAAGAATCCGATCTTGGGACAGATATTGGCTTGCACGAAATCGGTTGCGACATTGGACTGTTTGGCGAGCTCAAGCGATTGGCGAGAAAGCGTGCCAGACGAAACGACCTCGTCAACCATCTCGCCTACCTGTTGAATTGGCGCGTCTTCTTCATCGATGCACACACTCGAGACACTCGGAGCGGCATGGACAATATTTGTGGAGCAGATGACACTCAGCATGTCTTCGAAGATAGGATTGCGGAACACATCAGCGACAGTCAAAACAAGGCCTTCTTCCCGGGCGGCACTGGCCATCTTCATTGCCTTGATGCTGTCACCACCAACCCGGAAGAAGCTGTCTTGTTTGTCAACCATGTCTGTAGGCACATCTAAAGCGATGGACCACAGCAAGAGAAGTTTCCTTTCCAAGTCCATGGACATGCGACGGCGGCTAACGCGGGAAATGGTTGACAAGCGGCGACGAATAGACGCCATTCGGGATACTGGAGAAATGGGCGGCTCTAGGGAGTCGAGGCCATCGGATTTGGTCTGGGCTTCGTCTGGTTGTGCGGTATCCGTGTTCAGAACGGCTGCCAACTGATCCGGGTTGAGTAGCTGACTGAGGATCTCGTTGACCCGTTGATCGATGTGTTGTTGAACTTGCGGATCACTGATTGACAGCCTGGGGCTTCGTGATCGCACACTGCTGCGTCGCCGAAGACTGGTGTGGGACTTCAATTTTTCATCTTCTTGCTTAGACACGCCCTCGGGGATCGATTGGTTTAGTGTGGATATGAGGCGGGAGGAACCGTCAATAAACGTTGCCAGTACCTTGGCAATGCCTGCTACCAGGCGGTTTGCTTGATCGGTCGAGATTGCGTCTGTCCAATACCGAAGAAGGATACCCTCCCCGCCTTGGGCGGTTACAACGTTCACGGTAACAGGAAACTATTGCGGACAAGTCAGTGCTCCGAAGTAGATATTGGTACGAAAGAGACCTACCTCACTTGGATCGTGAGCCTCCTGGATATCGAACGACAGTGCATTGCCCTGCGAACCGGCTGAAGGCATTTGGTTCTGGATGGAAAGGGCCGTATTGAACAGCATCTGGCTTCCAAGACCTAGCTCGCTTTGCACCGTCGCTAGAGAGCAGGTCTGGTGCGGAATGCTGCGGAAGAAGTCTTCCTGCACAGATTTGTATACATCGGCAAATGACTGGCCAGCAGACAACTGAACGCGGCAGCAGAGCATGTTGATGAATATTCCAACAGCATCCTGGATTCCAGGGACAGGAACGTCACGTCCTGCAGAGAGATAGCCGAAGCAGACGTCCTGACTACCGGTAAACTCCCCAAGCACAAGCGACCAAGCGGCGAGGACTAGATTGGCAATGGTCACTGATTCTCGTTGGCTCAACTGTCGCAACTCGGAGAATCGGTGGAAGTCCATTTTGACGGACTTGAGCTCGCGCGGGCCATGTGCAGATACTGGAAGATGACAAGGCCGAATACCCCGGAGATACTGGGCCCAAAACGTATTGCCCTCTTTTCTGGGGTGCGCGAGCATGTATGCGATGTAATCGCGGTAACTTGGACCAGGCTGCGTCGAGAGCTGGCGTTCGTATGCCTTGGACAAGTCTCTCAGCAGATTGCCAATTGATGCTCCGTCAATGATGGCGTGATTCATTTCAAGTTTCATCATGACTGCTCCGGTGGATGTTTTGCAAACTGTCAACTGGTGCACTTCCTTCGGAGCACGTTTTCTGTTGGTCTCTTCGAGGGACGCCTTGTTCAGTTGCTGAAGAATGTTGGAATCCTCACATTCTAGCTCCACCAAGTTGGCGTGTAAATGCTTTAGCACCACCTGGTCGAAAGACCCGTTCTTCGAGTTGCTGTCGACGAAGATGGTTCGCAAAATCGAGTGCCGATTGACAACCAGCTGCCAGGCCTTTCGCAGACGGGGGATATTGATTGGTTGATTATCCCTGGTGTCCCTGATGTTGAAGATAGTGTTGAGCATGTAAGCGGAGGGATCACGAAGTTGACTGAACAGAATTCCTTCTTGCATGGAAGAACAAGGGTAGACATCCTCGATTTCATCGCGGCTGTGAACACCAAGTTTGGGAAGGGTCTCACTAAAGAGTGCCTGCAAGCTGTTTTGGGAGATTGATAGAAGCGGGTAATCGGATGGCATAACCTCAAGACGAGATTCCTGCTGTAAGATGTCAAGAGCTTCATAGAGCGTCATCTCGCATTCCGAAATCCAGCTGGTGATCTGTGCTTGTTGCCGCATCTTTCTGTTGAAGGTAAAGGAGAACTGGAGCTGGTTCTCGATAACAATTGCAGAGATCTCGAATAGGGCAAAGCGAGGGGTTTCAGGGCCCATATCTCCTGCAATAATAAAGTCGTTTTCATCGTAAACGTTGCCATAGTGCTGGAATAGAGAGTCTTCCCTTTCGAGCTGCTGTAGCTTGCCGAGATAATTGAAGACAACCTCGACTGGGAGGGCAATAGGCGACGACGACTGCTGCTTCTCTGGAGCAAGGACCTTTTGTGCAAAGGACGAGGAGCCGTTGTTGACAGTCTTGCGGCGTGCCTCTTTGACCATCCGTAGTGTCTCGATGATATCATCTGCAGAGTATATCAGTTATGGGAGTCTGTCAAAGACACTAAAAGATACATACCAGGCCCCAATTGGAGGTGGAGCGGACAGAGAGAAGTGAACCACCCGACAGTGCCGGACAAGTCGATGTTGGAATCCCACGCTTGCCGACCATGAGTCTCATTATAAACCGTGGGCAGCTGCCTATCAGTAAAGGTGCGCCGGAACGAATGGATTACCACAGCCAGGAATAGATCAAGGGGCTCCGTTCGCAAACGAGCGTGGCATTTTTCCAGAGCCAGAGTTGTCTCCTTTGCGCCCAGAGAGAACTTTTTGATCCGAACGTCACCATACAGATTCGAGGTGCCGTTCATACCCCAGTACGCGGGATTGGCAGGAGTGATTGAAAATGGAAGGTGAGAGCGGTAATCATCGGCTTGACAATGCTCAGCTTGCATGCTGCACCAGGTCTGGAAGGACAATTGTGGTTCAGATGATGTCGATCCTGATTCCAGGAACTCTTCCAGATCTTGCAGAATGAGCCGCCAGGAGACCATGTCAATGGAGAGATGGCTTGCGACCAGGAAAAGGATTTGATCCACTCCGGGTACCTCGAAGAGATTGGCCGTAAATGTCGGGCCATTCTGAATGTCAATTGAATTTTGCGTTACCGCGATCATTCGCTTCAAATCATTCTCTTCTTGCAAGGTGGTCACCTGGAACTTGTATAAATTCTCCGCAGCCTGTGATTGGGTACTTTCGTTAGCCCAATGAGGGATGATACTTTATTCAGGGACTTACTGTCATTATCATCTGCTGCCATTTACCATTGGATTGTCGGAATCGAGCTCTGAGCATTGCGTGCTTGTTAACAATGGCTGTGAGACCATTCTCAATGGCGGCCGGCTCCACACGACGAGGTAATCGCAGGGTGACACTCTGGTTGAAGCGGGCTGACCCTTTAAACTTGGGAGCGTACTCGAAGTAAAACTTTTGTATAGCGGAAAGATCAAACCAGCTATTGGGCTGTTCGATCTGGTTGATCTTCTTTACTCCGGCTTCAGCTTCCTCGACGAGGAGTTGGACAGACGAGGCTTGGAGTACTTTATGCAACGACAGGGTGATCCCCTGCTTTCGAGCATGGGACACGATTGCCATGCCAGTAATACTGTCTCCTCCTAGATGGTTGTTAGACTCCTTCGTAGTGAATAATAAAATCTCTGGGGGGCTCACCTAAACTAGTAAAAGACCGCCCCATGTCAACCTTGTTGGTTGGCACGTTCAGAACGCGTGAGAGGATATCTCGAAGAACTGTTGCAGTGTCGTCTTTCTTTGGCTCAGGCAGCAGCTTGGGTACAGCAACCTCGCCGCGCTTTATCTTGTCATAATCACCCATGATACGGTCGAAGGTAGCTTCGTCAACTGATTCAACCCAGGCGGTAATTTTCTTCCTATCAATCTTGCCCGAGACAAGCATAGGAAGTGTCTTGACAACGGCCCATGTCTGCGGTACCATGTAGGGTGGCAGCTGCCCTTCAAGACTAGATTGGACCTCCAAAAGCTCAGGCATACCTTGTCGCAGCATCGACTCCTCATCGATGAGACAGCAGTTGGAAGAGGAAATGAGGCTTGTCTCCCCTGAAAGGCTGTTCAGTGAGAGAACAGATACAAGGCGCTTCTGTAGCCGCCCAGTTTTCGGAAGGATGACAACAACATGCCGAACATGTGGGTGCTCATGGAGTCGGTACTCGATTTCACCAAGCTCCATGCGCTGCCCGTGAATCTTCACCTGGTGATCTTTGCGGCCGACATATTCGAGAGACCCGTCGGCGGCGAGCCGAGCCAGGTCCCCTGTCAGATAGATCCGTCGAGCCGGCTGACCTGGACGAGTCTGCGCCCACTTGGGGTCCGTGATGAATGCTTTCGCTGTCTTCTCGGGGTTCTTCAGGTATTCCCTTGCAAGAACCGGACCCTCTAGCGCTAGCTCACCGACAGCGCCAATGGGGTAGAGCCGATTATGATTTTCGGGATCCACAATCCAGGCCTTTGTGGAAGGAATGGTGTGTCCAATGTTCGCAGGGTTGCGGTTCTTGCCTATGTCCGGATTGAACGATGCATAAACCGATGTTTCAGTTGGGCCATAGGCGTTGATGAAGTGGACTTTATCTGACCATTTTGTCATGGCTTCATGGGACATCATCTCACCACCGCAAACAATGACCTTCAAGGAAGGAACAGTTGCGGGTTCCATGATGCTAGCCAGCGATGGTGTGCAGAAGAGCCAGGAAGCATCAAAGCGCCTGATTGCGCCAGCAATGTCGTTGAGCCGTTCGTCGTCGCTAGGAATACAAACACATCCACCGTAAATCAATGTACCCAGAATCTCCATGACAGCGGCATCAAAGGTGAGGGATGCAAATTGGAAGACACGAATTCCGGGCTTGAGATGAATGATGGGGCCGTATGCCATGGTACTGCTTGCAAACGCACGGTGTTCGATGATGATCCCTTTTGGCCGCCCGGTGCTCCCAGATGTGAAGATGGAGTATGCAACGTTGGCGCTGTTCGCTGGCTTCCTAATAGCACCAGATCTGTCTCGGTGTTGTTGTACTGCTTTCTGGTCGACGCCGAGGACTGTTGGAACTTTGCCAATATACCTGCTCGAGTACTTGGGGGTACAAAGAACAATTTTGGCCCCAGTCTCCTCCAAAATCTCTTCGTGTCGGGAGGTGGGATGTGCTGGGTCCAAGGGTACGAAGGCCCCGCCGGCCATGAGAATACTCATGATGGTGACTATCATCCAGACGGACTTATCCATGCACATGGGAACTAGTACTTCGGGGCCGACGCCCAGCATCGACAGATGGCAAGCGAATGTAGACGCCGTGTCGAGAAGTTCTTGATAAGAGAGGTTCCCATCCCAGGAGGCGATGGCCGGTGCATTTGGACGGAGTAGGCGTTGATCATTGACAAGGTCATGGATAGTTCGTTCCACACAGGGCAGGGTGTGCTGGTTCCACTTGCAAAGGTCCTGCTCATCCTCAACAGAGATCACCCGAAGGTCTGACAAAAGAACATCATCAGATGCGCTAGTGTCCGCCAGCTGGCGCAGGATCACTTTCAGTTGACCAAGAAGTCGCGCAACGCGCCAAGACGGAATTACTTGTTCGTCGAAGTAAGCCGTAATCTCGATTGCGTCAGCTAGGCGGCACTCGACGGTGAGTGGGTACGTGAGGAACTCATGCTTGGTCTCAGTGCTCTCAGATGTCCAGATGCGCGGATTCAGCTCCTGCTCGCCACTCTGGATTACCAAAAGGTTCTGGAAATCACATGCGGCATTGGCATCCTCGCTGAGCTTCCTTATCCGTTGTAGCCCAGTGTGCTGATGAGGAATAATGCTGGCAGCGGCTTGGTGAATGCGGTCCAGATATTCGGTGATTTGCATCCTTGTGTCCACGGCAATTCGGCATGGAACCGTGGTCAGCAAGGGGCCTGCAATCCTGGTCGCACCGGGAAGATCAATGTTGCGTCCCATGAGGGTTTCACCAAAACAGATATCGCCAGATTCGGTGTGTAGTGATACCACCATTGCCCATGCTGCTCGTATAAAGGCCGGCAAAGTAATATCCTTTCTCACTGGAGTGATCTTGGCCGAGCAGTACTGACGGCTTGCTGCATTGATATTTGATGTTAGCGCGCTTTTGCTGGCTGGGAAGGCAGGCGAGGACACGCTGCTGAGGTAGCTTCGCCAGAAGTCATCGGAAGCTGCGAGATCCCGCGTTTGAAGATGATTAATGAAACGGTTGTAGGGGACCATTGGAGCCGAGAGGCATGCTGTCGAACTATTGCAGCAAAGTTCGTAATTTTTCTGCACTCGTTGCAGGACCAGGGGGATGCTCCAGCCATCATAAAGAGCGTGATGGATGTACCAGGTAAACAACCGAGAGGAGCCAGTATCAGTTATGGTATAGCCAGTAAGTCTACCTCCGTTTTGGGCTGCAATATCTTCAGCACTCGATCCCCAACAGATTGGCGATGGCTGGACGATAACCTGCACAAAGTTTGCAGCGACTGTGTGCAGAATCCGGCTTCGCAGAGTCTCAATCTCATTAACTGTCGTTTGCCAGGCTGCCTTGAAGGTTGGTATGTCGACCTCATTCGACAGGGCGAAGACAGGGTTGGCGACATAGGCGCCCGGCTGCTGAATCGACGCGGTAATGAGTCCTTCTTGAAGTGCGCTACACGGATGAATATCGGAGATGGAGGCCTTCGTGACTTGGCATGTACTGGCAACTTCTTCGAGGAGCTCATCCAGGTTGGTGCCGCCAGGCAAAAGACTGAACGGTTGAAGGGCTTGGGGGGCTTCGGCTGGAGGCTCCGATGTTTGGCAGCACGCCACCATATCCTTCAAGGCAGGGCTCTGGAAAATCTCCGCCACGGAAAGTGTGAGTCCCTCGGCTTGGGCGGCACTCACTAAGCTCATGGCTGTGAACGAATCACCACCCAATGCAAAGAAACTGTCGTCCGCGCGAAGTGAGGTGGGGTCAACTCCCAAGACATCACCCCATAGGTGGCGAAGTTTAGAGTCTAGGGTAGGCTCATCGAAGCAAGGTTGCCTATCTTCGATAGTAGCAACCGAACTCACGCTGGACAATGAATGGAGATCTGCCGTCGAGACCGGGATTTCACTGCGACTGGTGGCTTCCGCTACATCCTCCTTTGTAGGCACAGGACTAAGGGTTGTCGAGGCGTACAATTGGAGTCGGTCGTTGGGGAGTTCCTCAACAGTTGCACGCAGTCGCCGACGGTCGATCTTTGCAGAGGTATTGCATGGAAGCTGCTGGACCGGGAAGAAGAGGCTAGGAACCATGTACGGCGGCAGATTATCGCGAGCAGTATTCCAGATTTGTGCAGCCGTGAGGCTTCGAGATGGAGTTGAATCCAAGAGAAACTCGTGACTTGCAGGCTCCGCGCCGTACTCGGGGAGACAGAAGAAGACAGCGAGGCTCCTAACAGTCTTTCCTTTTGGTGCGACCACTTCCACAACCAGTTGGCTATCCCGAGGCAGTGCTTGAATGCACTGCTTCTCGATTTCTTCTAGCTCAATACGTTGCCCGTTCAGTTTCACCTGTGTATCCATCCGGGAGATGAATGTGAGTGTCCCATCTGGATTATATCGGACCAAGTCTCCAGTGCGGTACATACGCTCTTGGACAGTCATAAAATCCTTGATCGAGACGTGGGCTGACCAGCTTGGATTCTCCATGAAGGCACGTTCGGTCTTCTCCTTGTTGTTAAGATACCCTCTGGCGACGTTGCAACCTTCGAGGACAAGTTCCCCAGTAGCCCCAACTGGAAGGAGACGTTGCGGGTTGAAGGGATCGACAACCCAGGCGCGGCAACAGACCGGCTTGCCAATAGATGCGCGGCTCTCTTGGGAGAAGTTCCCTTCTCCATCCACCTTCAGACTGGCGGTAGCAATTATCGTTGCTTCCGACGGGCCGTAGGCGTTGATGACGCGTCGATCGCGCCAACGCTCAATGTGTCCAGGAGACATCTTCTCACCGCCAGTAGACATGGTGACTAGAGATGGAATAGACTTTGGATCAAGCATGTTCGCTATCCCCGGGGTGCCATTTAGGTGGGTGACATGCATACGACGAATCGCGCCAGCCAGATCATTGAGCCGCTCATGTTCGCTAGGGACACAAACGCAGCCTCCGTTGATCAACGTTCCATGAATATCAAGAACGCTTACATCAAAGGTGTAGCTGGAGAATTGGAGAGCTCGTGTGGTGGAGTCTAGTCCAAGGACATTGGCCAGACAAATGGAAGTTGTGCTCAGAGCCGTATGCTGTATAACTGTGGCTTTGGGCATGCCCGTCGTTCCCGAGGTGAAGATGGCATAAGCGGCGTTTGATGGAGACACCTGCCGAGTTGCGATAGACCGTGAAGGTGTGGGCAGTTGTTCGATGGTCTGTTGATTAACAACCAAGGGCTGTGCTCCTAGGTTGGAGACCTTGTCCAAGCATGTGCTGGAAGTAAGAATAATGTTGGCTCCCAAGTCAGCCACGAGGCCTTGCAGGCGGCCCTCCGGATGCGCAGGATCGAGTGATGCGAAGGCTCCCCCAGCTTTAAGCACCGCAAGCTGAGCGACAACCGTCCACGCAGACTTATTGAAGCAAAGGGCAACAAAAACTTCCGGCCCAACACCGAGTCTTTGGAGGTGCTGCGATAGGCGAGTGGCATGAGCTTCGAGTTCGGTATAGGTGAAGTTGCCGTCCCACGCACAAATTGCCTGAGCAGAAGCAGGAAGGCGTCGAGTTTGCTCCGCGATAAGTTCATGAACACATCGTTCGCAAGGTGCAGGGAGGTCGTGATTCCAGTCTCTTACCAAAGCACCAGTAAAATCGTCAAAGAAGTCAATATTCCCAATGGTACCGTGGCTAGCCATCATGCCCCTGATTTGTCCGAATACATGTTCGAAGCAGGCAGTGAGGCTGTCAGCGTAGGTCTCAGGGAGGGCTTCGCGAAGGAAAAGAAATTCGACAACACAGGTGCGCTGCGACAATTCGGCTCGTACGGTAACGGCGTAATTATCTTTCCCAGTTCCTCTCATGTGGGAAATACGCGTAGACGACGAGGCCTTGCGATCTTTGATATAAATCACAGTGTTGAACAGCTCCGAGTCGGGATTGGTGCATATGTGGAGAACTTCGCTGAGGGGCATCCGATGTTTCTTCCCCTCCTCCAACGCCGCTTGAATCGTTTTGACAGCTTCGATGACCTGGTGATCGTCCTTCAGGGAAAGGCGGATTGGGAGTGTCCCGTTTTGGTCGGACTCGGAGTAGCCGTAGCAAATATCGGCGAGACCGGTGAAGCAGCGGAGCACAAGTCCCCAGGTAAGTTGGAAGACAGCGGACGGGGTGATGTTGTGTATCTGGCAGGCCTCTCGCACGTCCTCCACATCCTCAATAACTAAACGAGCGAGGCTGGTCTTGTCGAAATGATCGGAGTCGTCAGAAAGGGATGGGAAAAGGCATGGTTCAACCTCAGACAGGTGAGTCTTCCAATAATCCGTATTGGACAAGAGCGTGCTGGATTGTGGTGCAGTGTCTTCTAACAATGGCTCTGAGGGGAACGGTTTACCAGTTATACCCTGATAGATGAGCAAACCCCCTTCGCCATACCGGGCAAGAATACCCGTCTTGAACACACGGCGGGCTGTGAAAGTTCCCTTGGGGCTCGTGAGGCTGAACCATGCAGCATCATGAATAAAACTATCGCTTCCCTCAACGTCGCCGAGTTGGCCTTGAGTCATTCCTGGACTCTCGATAAGAAGCTCGCCTGTCGCACCGACCGGTACGAGGTTGTTGTAATCAGATGGGTCCACCACCCAGGCCTTAGTACCAGGCATCGGTTCCATCGACGTGCGATCGGAGGTAGACAAGCGAAGGCATGCCGGCGAGCACTCGGTAGTGCCATAGAAAGTGTGCGTCTCAACAAGCAGAACCTGTTTTCGTTCAGTCATGAGGGGCATGGAATCGCCCGTAATGATGACCTGTCGCAAGCAAGGGGCATCCACAGGAATAGCGTGCTTAGCGACAGAGGAGCTCATTACAACTGTAGTAACTCCCGGGCTCAATATAGTCTTGGAAATATCATCAAGATTGTCTTTGCATGGGGTGCAAACACAGCCGCCGCGAGCCAAGGTGCCAAAAGCCTCGAGGAGAAACTCATAGCTGGAGGAATGCGCCGATTGGAGCATACGAGTGCTCCCATTGAGCCCCAGGCCGTCAGCAAATGACTGACAGCTTGAGGCGATAGCCCCGTGGTCGAGTACAAGACCCGTAGCCGCATCTTGGGGAAAGACGACGAATGCACCGTCGGTCATTTGGACTTCGTGCGCGGTCCCAGTTTCCGTCTCTAGACTCGCCAGCAAGTCTTCTGTTACTGGAATGACATAGGGAGCCACCTCCTCAAGCACGATCGATCCGTTCGGACACGACAAAGCCACCTGCAGATCGGCTGCTAGCAGCCAAGTTTCGAGCTCTTCGTGCAATGGACTTGACGGAAGAGGAAGACATCTGCCACCCACCTTCCATATTGCGAGTATCGATGTGATAGCCCACAGAGACTGGGATTTTTCGAAAGCGATCGGCACAGTGGTTCCAGGCAGGACGCCTAGATTGACGAGATAACTTGCCAAGGCCGAGGAAAGCTCGTCGAGTTCGGCGTAGCTCAGCTCCAGTTCTTCAGTGACAATGGCGATACTGTGGGGCATTCGCGCTGTCTGATCCTCGATCGCAGCTTGGATTGACAGGGTCGGTTGGGGAATCTCCGACTCGTCGTTCCATTGACAGATCTGGTTGATATCCTGCGGATTTGCACTTTTGCCGAGGACTGGTACGGGTGCGGCGCTGATATCTGCGAGAGATTGCAGGAAAACATCCGCCACCTTCTGTGCTTGTGTATCTGAGAGCCAATTGTTCCAATAGTTCAGTTCGACTTGCGCATCGGAATCAGTGGCTTCGACGTTGATGTAGACGGATACCTCAGCTGGGTCGTGGATAAGCCCCATCCCCTTGAATTCAATGGGATATGAAGCTTCGCCAGCCGGCGGAAGCTTGCGGTAGGAAACGCCGGTATTGAACAGGGAGATCCGAGATGCCTTCATCGCGTGTTGAATGTCGATAAGAGAAACGTCCCGGTGGGGGTAGTTCTCCATATAGTCATCCTGGACCTGTCGCATAATATCCAGAACGTGCCGTGAACCAACCTTGAGACGGCACACAAGAAGGTTCATAACTGGGCCAATGACAGATTTGATCCCGGGAACCGACGTATCTCTCAGTGAAGTCGTATAGCTGAAACAGACTTCCTCAGTGTCGCAGAAACGAGCAAGTGTCAACGCCCAGGCCGCATTGAACGCATTGGCCACAGTGATATTGTTGCTCGCGCAGAATGACTGCAGCTCTGGAAATCGCCCAAAGCTGAGGCGCATTGAGCTGAGGCGCTTGCGGCCCTGTTTGGTTCTTACGTCGGACGGGAGGTGACACGCCTGAAGATCTCGAAGATATGTACACCAATGGCCGAGGCCTTTGCTAGGAGACTGCGATTGGAGGTGTGCAATATAATCCTTAAACAGAGGCTTTCTCGTTGCATTGAGAGTCCCTGCATAGGCCTGCTGCAGATCGCGAAGGAGCAATGAGATGGAGGAGCCATCCATAGCGGCGTGACTGAGCTCTAGCTTGCAAACAACCTTTCCGGACGAAGCTTGGCACAGTGTGAAACGATGAGGGGGGGAAGTTGCGCGATAATCTGGCCGTGGTTGAGCGTCGAGTGTCGCCATGATATCCTCATCACGAGTGCACTGCAAGAGGACTGGAGCAGAGGCGTACTTCTTCAGCACTATGTGACTAAATGCATGCCGTCGGCTCAATCCAGTCGCGAATACAGTCCGAAGCATCGCGTGGTGATTCACGACCGCGTGCCATGCATTGACTAATCGCTGTAGATCTCGCTTGGGTGACCCCGGTGCTGCCTGAACCTCCCAAGTCCCAGATACAGCGTAGAGCAGGGGATCTCGCGCTTGGCTGAGAAGGACACCCTGCTGCATTTTAGAGCACGGATAGATATCTTCCACGTCTTCGATGGAGCGAACTCCGTACCGGGGCAGCTTCTGCATCTCCAGCACGGATAGCTCTTTGTAGGTCATTGCCATGAGGGGAACATCCCCTATGGTCAGCCGGGGTTTCAGGGTAGGCAATTGGATCGTGAAAGATTGAAGGGTCTGCTTGCACGATTGTACCCAGTCGTGAACACGCTCCTGATGCTTCATGGACGCGCTAAACGAGAATACGAAGCGCAAGCAGCCTCCTACAACGACTGCCGAGACTTCAAAGAGGGAAAATCGAGGTGTGTCTCGACCAAAGTCAGCAGACCCGCCGCCCTGACGAGTCTCTCCAGCCATTTGATTGGCGAGTTGGAAGAGTCCGTCCATGCGTTGAAGATCTTTGTGTTGCCCCAGGTAATTGAGGTTTACCTCCATAGGGCAGTCGTGGGAAGGAGCGCGGCGTGCAAAGGCCGAGCGACCACTATCAGACACTTCGCGACGACGATCCTTTACCCTAATAATCGCATCGATCGGATGACTTGGCCTATCAATAATGACCGGGTAGAGCGTCGTGAACCATCCTACCGTCCGAGAGATGTCGATAGAGGCATCCCATGGTTCACGACCATGCCCTTCATTGTAGATAACCGGCAGTGGGTGATCAGTGAAAGTTTGGCTGAAGCTGAAATGCATCGCTGCGAGGAGAAGGTCCACCGGCTCCGTCCGAAGACTGTTGTGGCAGTCAGACATGAGTATCGACGTTTCGCGGTGATCAAGATTAAACGAAGCACAGCGAACATCGCCGTATATAATTTGGCTCCTTTCCAAGCCCCAATAGGCAAAGTCTGGGGCGGGGGGAGTTTCCAACTCAGCCTGTTCCTGCTCGCACAGCTTGGTGTGTTCTGCCTGGAGCTCAAGCCAGCTCTGGAAAGGTAGAGACGAGTTGAGCTGAGGCGGGACTGATGGGCTCGCAAGGATTTCCTTGAGATCTTCTAGGATAACTCGCCACGAGACGATATCAACCACCAGATGGTGAGCAACCATGGATAACGTTTGTTTGTCTCCACTAATATCGAAGAGGTCAACCGCGAGAAGTGGCCCGGAGAAGCAGGAAAGGGACGACTGGCTGGTAGAGATGGCTTCATCGATGGCGCGCTCAGAAACAACTTTATGATGGCGCCAGCGGTAGGAGGTTTGGACTTCATTCGTAATACGCTGGCGGATAGAACCGTCCACGCTAGACTTCTCGAAACGGGCTCGCAGCATAGAGTGACTGAGGACGAGTGTCTCAATCGCCTGTCGAAGAGTTGTGGGCTCGATGTGTTGGTTAAGGCGCGTGACAATACTTTGATTGAAGTACCCTTGGCCCTCCTGGCGGACCTTGAAGTGGAGGGTCTGGATGGGCGAGAGGTCGAAAGGCTCCTCGACCTTTTCATGATAAGTGGCGGAAACATAATTTGGCATTTCTTTCGTACGAGCAGCGAGATCCAGAATCGAGCTGCTTTTGAGAATATCCTGCACGGTGACAGCAATTCCATGCTTCTTGCACTCGTTCATGCAAGTCATTGCTGCGATAGAATCTCCGCCGAGCTTGAGGAAACTGTCATTCAGCGGAACCTCGTCGCTGGGAATGTTGAGCAGTCGGCTCCAGATCTGGATCAGGTGGCGTTCCACCTCAGTCGTAGGCTGTGCTTGCGAAGCAGGCCCTTTGTCCGTCATTTCCGTCCGGTAAGGATCTCTATGTAGGCCAGTGACCCAGCTGAGAATTGTCTTCCGGTCCAGCTTCCTCGAGGGCAGGAAAGGCATATCCTCAACGCAGACCCAAACTGCAGGGACCATGTATGAAGGTAATCTGCCTGTTAGTTGCTCCCTGAGTCTCGCCACAGTCTGGCTGTGGACGTCCGCCGGAATCAGGCCCATTGGTGTGCGTATAGTGTGCTTCTCATCCCCACTGCTGAGAGACAAGACGGCTGTAAGCTTTCCCTTTGCATATCCTTCCTTTGGTAGTAAAACAACGCAGTGCTTGACCGAGGGACTCGCGTTCAAGCTAGCTTCAATCTCTCCTAATTCAACCCGTTGACCGTGAAGCTTAACCTGGGTGTCCTTTCTTCCAATATAGGTCAAAGATCCAGAGTCGCTGTTGTACCGCACAAGGTCGCCTGTCTTGTAAAATCGACGGCGGCTCTGCTCCATAGTGGAATCCCTGGACACGAACTTCGGATTGTAGATAAACGCCTCGGCAGTCTTTTCAGGATTGTCGAGATAACCACGCGCGAGGGTCGGCCCCTCGAGCAGCATTTCACCAACAGCGCCGACCGGAACGAGTTTGTTATGATCGTCGGGGCCAACAATCCAGCAGCGGGTATTGAGGGGGAGGCCTATGTCTTTGCAGTCGGTTGTCGCAGTCACGTTTGAGTTGATAGCCGCAGTAACCGAAGCTTCAGTAGGGCCAAATCCATTGACCAAGTTAATGGTTGACCACTTGGCCCTGTGGGTCTCACTCATCGCTTCTCCGGCCAAGACAAGGGTTTGGATTTCTGGCACCATTGAGGGCTCTATGAACTCAATGAATGAAGGCGTCAGAGATGCGTAATTTGCACGTAGGCGTTTGATAGCTCCGACTATGTCGTTTAGCCGGTCCTCTTCACTTGGGACACAGACGCACGCTCCGTGCATAAATGGCGAGATTGATTCAGCCAAGCTAGCATCGAATGTATGGGCGGCGAATTGGAGAACTCTAGACTCTGGGCGAATAAGAAGTCTCGGGCCATGGACCATGGCGCTTGAGCAGTAAGCGCGATGCTCAACGAGGGTCCCCTAGTTTCACAATCAATACCTCGACGGTCTAGTCCGCGTATGGGACACAACTGACCTTAGGCTCCCCCGTCGACCCTGAAGTAAATATAACATATGCTGCGTTGGTGCAATTCACCTCGTCCGTTGAAATGAAGCCAACCGGTGCAGGGCGGATCCTATCAAACGTAGTCTGCGACAAAGGGATGACAATCTCTGAGAGGCCGAGGAGGCGATCCGCATGCCATTCGGAGCATAAAACAAGCTTCGCGTTCACTTTTTTGATGAGCGACTGAAGACGAGCTGGAGGATGGCTGGGGTCAAGCGGAACGAAGGCGCCTCCTGCTTTCAATACAGCAAGTACCGCAACAAAATACCACATCTACCGGTCGACCCATTAGACCATATCGTGACGAGCCATTTCAACATATTACTCACGGATTTCTCGAAGCAAAGCGGAACCAAAACCTCTGGTCCGACCCCTTGCTGTTGCAAATGATAGGCTAGTCTTGAAGCCTGATGGTCAAATTGCTGGAAGGAGAGGCTTCCGTCCCAGGCACAGATGGCCTCATCATGAGGCTGACGGACCACCTGGTCTCTAATGATATCATGAATACAGCGGTCATGTACCTGGGGCGGAGGGCCGTTCCAGCCACTTATGCGCTGCCAATCGATGTCTGTGAAGAAATTGAAGTCCCGCACCGGTACGAGTTCCGGTGAAAGGACACGAGTTAGTATATTCTGGAAAAGAGTAGCAATACCTTTGACGTGTTCCATCGACATTCCGTCGGTCCTCCACTCAAGAAACATGCGGACGTTTTCCTGAAGCACCTTGACGTGGAGCCGAAGCAGGCACTACATGCGGCGAGTCAGTCCTGTCAGTGTTTCGTATAGAAGGTGTGTTGTATCTACCTCCTTCGGAAGAGTAAGAGCCAGCGCAGAGGGGATTGTTGAAGCAGCAGCTCTTTGAAGGTTGCCCATATTTGATCGGATGAGCACGCTTGTGTTATATGGCAGGTCGCTGTCACCGGCGGCATTTCGGCCGTCGTCAACAGCAGGAGCTCCCGCAGCCATCATTCCCTTGGCTTTCTCAACAAGGGTAGTGGCGGTGTCTCCATCGCCAATAACTAACCGCACAGTGGTTAGGTTGAACAGATCGGATGCTACTTCCCTTGAGGCGACCACTTCGTTCGCGTCGATGTACCGATAACCGAAGCACACCTCGTCAGAGTCCATGTAGCACCTAAGCACCAGACTCCAGGTAGCCTGAATCACCGCAGCCAGCTTCGAATCACGCCAAGCAGCTACGAGGCGAGCGTCGTCACCAGTGTTGGGGTTGATACGTCGAGACATGGGTCTCTCCAACTCTGGGGTGCCAGAGGTGAATCCAGAAAGGCGGCAGGACGTCCTCTGGGCCATCTTGTAGGTATAGAAAAGCTTGTTACGGGGATATGTGAAAATGTCAAGGGTTGTGTTAGAAGGGAACTGGTGGTTTGAGGCCAGTTGAGGACAGAATGGACAAGAGCGATCAGGTGCGTAGGAAGGTGCGATGTCTGCGTCAGGGTATCTCAAAGGAGAACAACAAGAGGTATCGAGTGTTGTTCGGCAAATATTAGGTCGTAGTAGAATCAAGTCAGAGTAAGTGAGCTGGAGTGTAGATCTGGGTTCATCTCGCAGATCGTCGATGGGCGGCATTATCTATCAACCAAGGTTGATTGTCCAGGCTTCGCAACAGCCGGCTTCCATTCATTCCCATCTCTAATGCTCCTAAAAACAGCTCAAGTTGTCGACCCCAAAGCAGCCCCCGTCGAGTTGCAATTTAGCTCCATCGCGATACGACGTCCAAGTGGTTTGGTCACGGACAACGTCAAGCTACCAAACTCAGTGTGTCCTGTTCTGTCATGGCACTTGTCCAGCGGGTACGAGATGAGAGCTTCCATAGGTCAAACGTTTCTGCATAGTCCGTATTCTCGTGTTCCCCACATTCTTGAGCCGTCACAGCAAGATACTCCGTATCGAGGGAGGGCCTCGTATTCGAGATCGGCGCTCATCAGCCACCCCGTTGCTCCAAAAATAACTCCATGCCACGAAAAGTCTGAATCACAAAATGTTGCATTAGTTACCTGACCAGGACTTCTTCGGAGACTCTGTCGCGTAGAATGCTCGATAAAACCCATGTAGCCCGCGGAAGAGGTGTAATATTGCTCGGACACCGCGTCGTTTCGCTTATCCTTGACACCATTCAGTCATTGATGAAGATTGAGCCAGATCGGTATGCAAGTTTATCAGACGGCAATGACACATCAAGAGAACCCCTCCGAGAATGAAGAGATGACGGTCGGTGGACGATCTCCAAGGAAGCTGCGGGGTGGGTTACGTTACACCTCCCCAAGCAGAAGATCCGAGGATACGAGGCAAATCCCTGCTTAATCTCCGCCTCGTTAAGAGCCAAGCCAGATTGGCGTGATCTCTGCGCCATTTGACACGGAGCTAACAGCGGTTGACACCTTCCACGATCAATCATACCTGATAAACTCTGGCACAGCCCCACGGGAACGTGCCCTGCGGTAGCAAATCGGGACCTGCGTATCTTGCCCTAGCCTAACACGGTGGTTTTGCTGTGGGATTGCCGGATGCTCGTCGAGGTTTCTATTCTCCCTTGCGGCTGTTGGTTGTGTCAGATCACAAAAGTTGAAGTATCACGACACACGCTCATTGGATGAAGTCAGCAGAAAAATCAGAAAAAAATTCCGTTACGCATCTGAAGATTTTGTGCCGTAAAAAAATAATCATCGCGGGCTTCTATAAAAAGTTCCGCCACGAGATCTAGGGGCTACCTTATCTGCTTAACCAGTAGTCCGCGCAGAATTGGCACCTTAGCTCCATGTGCCGACGCCCATTCCAAGGTTGGCAATACAAGCGCGTGTATAGAGCTGTTGAGTTCCCATGCATCTCATACGAGGTGCCATCCACTAGGCTCGCGCCTACACGGGATTTATACTCGGTTCCGCCAATCCAGCCCGTATCTACCTTCAGCAGATCTATACATAGAAGGATCTTCGACAGCTGGCCATGGTTAGAGTTCGCTGAAACACGATCTTTGGGGGCCAAACAGACCATTGCACTTATGTGTCGAATAGCTTCAAAGGGCCATGATGCCAGAAGCCAAGAGCGAGCCGGCACTGACCAACCACTGCATCTCCAGTTTCGTATCCGTACTGCAGTCCAGCCGGCCGATCCCCTGCCGGATGATATACATTACTCAACGATGAGAGCCTATCGTCGACTTCAGCAATGTGCTCCAGGCTTGCCTCCTCGTGTTGGAGAACCATCTGGCAAGGATGAAGACCAAAATAGATCTCCTGCGAGCATGGGACCTTCATTTACCGAGTCAAAGTTAGGTTCATCCGTTTATCGAGCTCTCGTTTCTTATATCTTCAGCATCCCCCAGATGCATGTGAGGATCTGCATAGCTTTTCCCCCATCAGTTCCTGACACCCTACCAGTATAAGCCTGGGACGAAGTCAGCATGTCGACAACATCAGGCTTCTGTACCAGCATCGACGACTCTTGGAGAGTCCATGCACTGTCCTGCCGAGGAGGATTCGACTTCACCATGACCTTTGAAGAAATCGTTCTCTCCATCTTGCCCATTGCCCTTGTTATCCTCATAGCTCCACTTCGGATATACACTCTGCTCCGCACAGGAAGTAAAGTTGAACCATCGAAGCGGCCAATCTTCAAAACGGTTCGTGCCTGACTCCAATATCCGATCATATGATGGTAGAGCTAAGACATTTCGCATTTCCAGGCCGGATGGCTTCTTTGGAGTGCCCTGCAATTCCTGCAGGCGATTCTGTGGGCATTGCCACATTCTAAAAAGACCCGAGCATCGATCGCTGCAAGCTTGTTGATGGGTTGTGGAGCGCTGATTCTCTGCGTCTTGTCGTACATGGAGCATTCCCGCAGCGTGCGTCCGGCATTTCTGCTAGAGTTGTACCTGATCGTCACGCTGCTCTTTGACATCACGCGCACCAGGACCCTCTGGTTACGGGACGCCGGCGACTCTGGAAAATTCATAGCCATCATCGCCAGTTTTGCTGTCGGGGTCAAGGCCATTTTGATCCTGCTCGAAGGCTGGGAGAAAAGGGCAATCCTCAAAGACAAGTACAAGAACTATCCTCCCGAAGCGCGTGCCGGGCTTGTTAACCGGGCGTTGTTCTGGTGGCTCAACCCGTTGTTCTTCAAGGGGTTTTTTACAATGTTACGGGTGGAAGATCTGTACACCCTAGACAAAAGATTAGAGTCAGCACGATTGCGCGACTTGTTGGATGGTCGATGGACGAAAGGTGGTTGGCTGCGAACTACCTGGATCTTGAAATGAGGCTAACCATGTATGCAGAGAATCAAACCGGGAATGCGTCCCTTGTGGGCGTCGTCTTCAAAACATTCAAATGTTCGATATTGGCCGTGGTGCCTCCCAGGCTGTGCCTGATAGGCTTGACATTCTGCCAGCCGCTTCTTCTCCACAAGGCGATGGAGCTCTCTGCGGAGAAGGTGACGGTCGAGTCAACTCATGTTGGGTACGGACTAATTGGTGCCTACATCTTGGTGTATGTCGGCATGGCGGTATGTCAAGAAATCCGAGCTTTCAGACAAGGCTTTTGGAGGCTGATACTTGCGAATGCAGATCATGATGAGCCAGCAACAACACCTGACCTACCGTGCAATCAGCATGGTACGGGGCGCAGTAGTATCGCTGATCTATAGGAAAGCCAGCATGCTGTCGATCAAGGATGCTGATCCCGCAGCGTCCTTGACTCTGATGAGTGCAGACATCGAGCGAATCGTCCAAGGATGGCAAACAATGCATGAAATCTGGGCCAACACTGCCGAGATTGCGCTGGCCATTGTCCTCTTGGAGAAACAACTCGGGATCGCGTGCGCCGTACCTGTTGGCGTCTCCATTTGTAAGTCGTCCTTTTGACCCAATGACAATTCTGACAATTCATATATACTGATCCCACTGTGACACCCTAGTTGCCCTCGTGTGTTCCTTAGTTGCCATGTCTGGTGTAATGGCACGGCAAGCGAAATGGTTAGAGGCAATCGAAAGGCGAATCTCATCCACAGCAGCGATGCTTGCATCTATCAAGGGGGTGAAGCTGCTAGGACTGAAGCCATCTCTCATGAGTTCAATCCAGAACTTACGCTTGGAGGAACTAAGTATCTCCAAGGGCTTCCGGAAGCTCTTGGTGTGGAACATGGCGTTTGGTAAGTAAAACGATAAAAATCATCTATCCTCGAAATGAGCCATCTAACCCGCAGTGGTCAGCCTGGATGACGCGTATCTTCGCGCCAATTGTCTCTTTCGCCGCGTATGTCGCCATATCCGAGAACGCAGGGCGCGGAACTTCCCTCGACATCAATATGGTCTACACCTCACTATCCCTATTCGCCCTCTTGGCGGATCCGTTTCTGTCGCTAGTCATGGCCTTGATGGGTTTCCTCGGGTCTATCGGCTCCTTCGCGCGCATCCAAGAGTTCTTGAACAAGGAAACGCATCACGGAAGCCCCGAAGCGTCCCGCCTGAGCACTCTGACGAGTCTGAGCGAGGGCAAGGAGCGCCATCTATCGAACACATCGAGCACGTCCACACTCACCGAAAACAACATGGCGGAAGAGTTGAAATTCGCCATCCCGTTCTTCGACATCCTCCTGGTTCAGGGAGCAAGCTTTGGATGGGACCCAAAGGCGGACCCGATTCTGGAGGGTATCAACCTCACTTTTCCTGGTCGGAGTTTTTCGGTCATTGTAGGCCCCTCAGGGTCAGGTAAGTCCATGTTGCTCAAGGGTCTGCTTGGGGAGATTCCATGTCTTGAGGGGAGGGTGAAACTTTCCTCGGATAGCATCGCGTATTGCGATCAAACCCCCTGGCACATGAATGGCACCATTCGAGACAGCATCACTGCCATGTCAGAATTCGATCTCCTTTGGTACACGACCGTCATCAGGGCTTGCGCGCTGGAACAGGATCTGGCACAGTGGCCACAAGGCGATCAGGCGGTAATTGGTAGCCGAGGCGTCGCGCTCAGTGGTGGACAGAGTCAGAGGATTGTATGTGGGCCATTGTGGCCGCGCGTTTTGAGAAGACTATGATTGCTAACGCTGGTGCAGGCACTTGCCAGGGCAATCTATGCTCGGAAACGCATTCTCATCCTTGACGATGTGTTTAGTGGTCTGGATGCTGCGACGGAGAACCATATCTTTTGCAGCTTACTCGGAGTGACCGGGCTGCTGCGAGAGGCTGGCACTACTGTGGTTCTGGCTTCTTCCTCGGTCAAGCGAGTCCCATACGCGGATCACATCGTCGCCTTGGACGAGCGAGGAAGAGTGACCGAGACTGGATCATTCAATGACCTAGCCGAGCAATCCGGGTATGTGTCGAGTTTCTCTCTCCCGGCCCCCAATTGGGACTCCACAAGCGAGATGGAGTTCGTTCCCAAGTCGAAGCCGTCTCGCACTGAGGTCTTACCAATCAAGAAGGAGGATTGGAGCGAGGAAAACGTGCACAAACATACCGGTAGTCTTGCAACCTACCTGTTCTACATCCGCGCAGTCGGTTGGGTTCCTACCATGATCTTTCTTACGACCATTGCAGGCTTTGTGTTTTGTATCTCCTTCCCAAGTAAGACCACCCTATTCCACCATTGTCACATACTAACGGGACCCTGAAGGTATTTGGCTGAAATGGTGGGTTGCCGCGGACGCCGCAGAGCCTGGAGAGCACACACAGCATTACGTTGGAGTCTATTTCATGTTGGGCGGAATCGCTATGATATGCTTGATTGTCAGTTGCTGGGATGTTGTCGTAACTTCAGTACCAAAATCTGGAGAAAGATTCCACCTAGCCCTGTTGGAGACGGTACTAAGGTAAGCAGTCCTAGGTGAGCAATGTGAGCCTGTTCATATAACTGACACTTATATAGCGCACCAATGCGCTTTCTCTCAACGACAGATAGTGGATCGATCCTCAATCGGTTCAGCCAGGATTTGCAGCTCATCGATATGGAGCTTCCCATCGCGGCAATCAACGTCGTCGCCAGTGAGTATAGACCTCGGCCTCGGATTCCGGGGGGGTATTGGACCATAGATTGAGACTGACATGATGTGCACAGCGTTTTTCTTGTGCATGGCGCAGATGATCCTCGTCGGGGTCGCGTCCGTATACGCAGCCATTGCATTTCCCGTCGTTCTGGGATCGTTATACGTCATTCAAAAGGTGTATCTGCGCACATCCAGGCAGCTTCGGTTGCTCGAGATTGAAGCCAAGGCGCCACTTCTTTCCCACTTTACTGACTGTCTGAGCGGACTGGTTACGCTGCGAGCCTTCGGTTGGCAGGACGCGATGGAAGAGAAGAACTTGAAAATCCTCGACTATTCGCAACGTCCGTTTTACTCCATGTACTCGGCTCAGCGATGGTTGACACTCACTCTGGATCTCGTTGTTGCCGGTATCGCTATCGTCCTGATAAACCTTGTCGTGGCGTTGAGAGGTTCGCTGAATGCCGGGTATGTTGGAGTTGCATTGTTCAACGTGATCCTCTTCAGCCAGACGGTGAAGCTTCTGGTTCAGTTCTGGACCAACATGGAAACACATATCGGATCGGTTGTACGAGTAAAGGACTTTACTGAAAATGTCGCCAAGGAAGATCTGCCGTCGGAGAATGACCCAGTTCCATCTTCGTGGCCAAGTCAGGGTGGGATCGAGTTTGACAACGTTTCAGCATCGTACGGGTATGTGGATACTGAGGAGAGTCTAGCGACCTTGCAGCTAACCTTTTATCTAGGCCATCGGACCTCGTGCTGCGGAATGTGTCACTGTCAATCAAACCTGGGGAGAAAGTCGGAATCTGTGGAAGAACAGGAAGGCAAGTCTCCTCGGCTAAGATCTAATTCCCTTCAATCGCACGCTGACACGATAAGCAGTGGTAAGACGTCGCTCATGCTCAGTATTTTCCGCATGGTTGAGCTCAACGCCGGTACTATCTCCATCGACGGACTCGACATCTCGACAATCCCTCGACAAGAGATTCGGTCGCGCCTGAATGGTGTTTCGCAGGACGCGGTTTTCATCAAAGGCAGCGTTCGTCTAAATGCCGACCCAACGGGCGCCAGCTCCGATCGGGCCATCTGGGATGCTCTGAAGAGCGTCCAGCTCTTGGCCGTAGTGCAGGAAAAGGGTGGTCTCTCGGCGGACGTGGACGACCTGCATCTGTCACACGGGCAGAAGCAGCTCTTCTGCCTTGTGCGGGCGATCCTCCATCCGAGCAAAATCCTTGTATTGGACGAAGCCACCAGCAAGTATGTTATCCCATTTTCTTTCCTCCGCGCGTTGTGTTTGGTCCCAGGCCGAGGCTAACGGAGTTTGTGCTGTAGCGTCGACAACAAGACAGATCAGACGATGCAGCGGATTATCCGGGAGAAGTTTGCCAACCACACGATTCTCGCAGTAGCGCACAAGTTGGACACGATTCTTGATTATGACAAGGTCGTTGTGTTGGATGCGGGTCAGGTCATCGAGTGTGAGGATCCGTACACGCTCTTGACGCGTGACTCGGCGTTCAGTAAGCTGTATGCCAATTCTCTGGCTTCCGAAGAGGAGCACTGAGGGTGGAGGCAGGGTTCGAGGGAGATGACTGGTGTCTAGGCGTTTGCAAGGGCCCAGCAATGTGATATTTTTATTGTTTTGTTTTCAATCAGATGACGATAATGAATAAAGAGAGACGCGTCTCGATCTCGACGCGTCGCTTGCTTGAACAATCTCCGAAGTCAATCATTACGCATCAGCTTCGCGTTGGACGAGGCGAACATAAAGACTGGACGATAATGGTCAAATTTTATACGTAAAAAAACGCGTTTATCGCCTCCTGTGGCATTGGGTTGCGAGAAGTGACGGGGTAATGTAGGTAGTGGGAGGAAGAAAGAAGCGGGGCACGTCCGGGTGGATGTCAAAGATATATTTCAGCAAACAGCAGCAGACCGCTCGACACCGGCACTGTTTCCTGGCACTAGTCTGGTCTACAGCAATTTAATCCAGAGCCTACTACATTCAACTCTAGAGCATCAAGAGGAGAATGTGGACCAGCATCTCAGTTACAACCTCTATCAAAGAGCCGATATATCTATCGCAGGGCTCAGCGAAAGCCTCATAGAAGTGCACGACGCGGATGGATACACCGTTTCGAAAATCCTATTTCCTAGGGGCTCACCACTTCTAAAAAGGATGGCATCTTGGCATGGGACGTAGGATGCTTCAGCTGAGAATGAAATTTGGGAGACCCAGACGCTCCTTGTAGCGGAGTCTACCCCCCGAGAATAGGACATCACCATTCCAAGACCCAGTCATCACTCCACGCTCCGTTTCTTGTAGTCCGTTGCAAGTCCACAACAGTCAGAACCTGGAATGTTGAATTATAATGTACAGAGTGGTGGAGTTCACGGTCATTAAATCTGACCTTCTCCGGCGTTTCCTGGACACCCATAATCGTCACCTTCTCGAGGGCATTAAGTTCTCTCCACAACCCAGACACTGAGGTAGACAGCTGCCTGCCACCGGCAGTGATCTCAACTATAAGGCTTGCCTCGGGGTTGAGCGATTCCCCATCATCCATGTACAGGGTTCCTGAGGCGCGCCCATTGTTATCAAGAGCCACCAGTAATGACCAAGGGGTGTCCCGCGCGGCGCGGGTGGTTAGTGCAGGATTTTGCATAGGGAGGATATTTCCGCCACGAACAAAGACGGGAATATGACCCAATGGGGCATCGATAGTGGTATTAACGCCAGGAAGTGCGTGATCAATACTTCCCTGGGTATACCAGTCATACCACTTCTCTCCGTGCACGAGGCCAGGGAAGACTCCGTTTACCGTTTTAACGAGCGGCTGCAGGACAGGAACGATCATGAGAGCAGGACCGACCATAAATTGGGTCTCCACTAAGGCAAGCGATGGATCATCAGGGAACTCCCAAGAGAGCGCCCGCATAACAGTTGAACCCGTTGTGTGAGCCTGGTACATCAGAGTATAAAAATAAGGCAATAGTGCGTAACGAATCTTCATTGCCTCTTGTGAGGCTTTCAGGACTGAATCCCAGCGATAGGGTTCCTGTGGGATGGTAGCCAGCCGGTTATGATTCCTGTAGAAAGGAAAGAAGGCTGATAGCTGCATCCAGCGGTTGCATAGTTCTTCATCAGTATTGCCGTCAAAGCCGCAAGTATCAACACCAAACATCGGGACCCCGTAGAGGGAGAACTGTAGTGCCTGGGAGATAGAGTAATACATATATCCCCACTTGGAATAGTTATCACCACCCCAATGGCCAGCCCATTTGCCGGATCCAGCAAATGTGGAGCGACCAATGATAAATGGTCGCTTTTTTGGGCTTATAGCTAGCAAAGCCTGATATGTTGCGTTGATGGTTTGGTGACCATATAACGAATGGACATCATATTCTAGTGTTCCATCTGCATGTGAGGCATTGGGCGAGATTGCATGAACAGCGAGATCATGTCCCGTTTGAACATGATTCAGAACATATGGTGGCCAATTGACATTCCGAATACCTGGGGTAGGGCTAGTGCGCAGATATGGCGTTGCGGTGGTGGGAGCAGCTTGCTGTGCAGCGGAATTAGCTGCATCCTGACTCGCGGCTGCGGAAGATGCAGAGGCTGCCTCCGTCACATTTGTAACATTGAATGCTTCGGGGTAGTCCAATATCAGATACCCAGGATCACCTGGTAGCTTGAAAGGAGGATGCGCAGGATTCAGATGAATGGAGTCGGAACCACAGCTGCCAACACAAAACGACGAGGCTTCATTCATATCCATCCAAATACCATCAAACTCAACGTTTTCATGGTACAGGGCCAACTCGTTTGCCCAGTACTGTACTCCCTTGGGATGGATAAAGTCGGTATAGACGGTATAACCAGGCCAGACCGACCCAATGTAGGCGCTACCATCCGGATTCTTGAGCCAAACATCCAAGGCTGTGCCCCGAGTATATGGCTCATATCTGTTCCATGGGCTGTCAATTCTAGCGCTTTGTAAAAGGATGCTGGCCAGGTCCCACTTACGCGTCAGATGCATTGTCAGGATTTGGGATGTAAACACCTGTGTCCAGGATTGGAACATAGTGGCGACCAGATTGATGCAAGTCTTTCAGGAATTTCTTGCCTTCTTCATACGAGAATCGCTCGGGATCATTTTCCCAGTTCCGATACCCCTTCATGTGGTCAATGTCGGTCCTGTGGGATAAATGCTATTAGCTGAACTGCAGGAAAACTGCGGAAGTATTGAAGTGGCAATTTTCGCACCAGATAGTTTCCAGCGGGATATTGAACTTCTCAAAATTTGTCACCACCTCCTGCAGTTCGGTCCAGTTCCTATAGCCCCAACGGGATTGATGGTATCCAAGAGTAAAGTACTGCTGCATTGCAGGCAACCCAATCGTACTACGCTGGTAGCTTTGTGTCACTGTGGCCGCGGTAGGGCCGGCATAAAAGTACAGGTCTATGCTGCCGCCGATGGTGCGCCAGGTCAGACGGCCAGGCTGGAGTTTGACCTCATGGCCATGAGCATTTCGGAAAAACACTCCATGGGAGAAGGACCGATATTTCTTGGAGGCATCCACCTTGTCAGTCGTAACAAGCTTGTATGGTTCGCAGGCAGAAACTTCGTAGTAACGAGTATCAAGGTAGAATGGGTGGAAGCCATACAGGTTCCTGATTGAGACTTCGTGTCAGTTAAAATATCGCGCTGCATTATTGCGGTTATCTGGGCCGAATACCTGTCCAATGGCTCCCCAATATCCGCCGCATACGTTGTGAGGGTTGCATTGTGTGGAAGCCGCAATCCTTGAACCCGTTCCCCCAACCCATACAGGTTATAATCATCCGGCAATGCAGTGACAAACTCAATAAACTGATTTTCGTAGACCAGTTTCGTTCCCGTTGTGTCAAACAGACTATGACCTGTTTCTTTCCGAGTTACCTTGAAGGTAAAGGTCGGTTCGTTTGACCAACTGACCACAAGGTCGCTGTATTCACGGCACATGCCCTCTTCCGCCTCCGGCTTTGGTACAAGCTTGGGGGAGAGAATATACCAAGAGGTTTGGTCGGGCTCAATGTCAGCCGGAGTAATTGCAATATTCAGCCGATCCTTTGCCTGGTACTCAAACGAGAAGGTCAAGTATTCAGCGTCTATTCCATAGACATTGCAGGGCTCCCCAGCAAGTTTGAGCGATCCGAAGACGCCCGAGCTTGTCTGACGCACATCATAAGCTTTGTAACCGGGGCAAACAGTCTGTGCATCGATTGCCTCCGGGTCATCGATATTGGCGATCAGATTCTGGCCGTTGGTGGCTTCGGTGGGGATGGTATACTGGGCGACAATGCCAGTGCTGGTTGGGGTAGGAACCGCAAGACCGTGTGCTCCCAAAATAAGACCTGCACCGGAGATAACCTTGAGTAAGTAGATCATCATGGGTCACTGGCTTAAAGGCTGGTTCAGATTCTTAGTGACACTTCTGCATGGAAACATGCTCTTTATCTCCTTAACTTGGGGCACATCTACCAGAACGCGTGTACAAGAATCTGACATATCACCCGTTGGCCGAATCTCCGCTAAATGACCGGCAAGCTTCAAGGCTTCTCCACTTGGAGCTCGTATTCTCGGATAGCTCACAGTCGCGATGGCTGGATTCATGGATTTGAGACAACGACATGCGTAAATGGTACCGAGGTGAAAGTCCGTAATCAGATAAAAACCATGTCAATCCGCCAATCTTCGTAGGCTGCCTGGATATAGCGGCTATTGCGTATGAATTTCATTCGTGGAGCCGGATGTCCAATCATTGAGGGCACGAGGAGACATGCCCCCGGGATCCTGGTCTTTAGACCTCTGATCATTACCCCAGCTATTCTCCGCATTTGATTCCGCATGTAGAGCAAAGATGGTTTTTAGTGTTCCCTGTGTTCGATCAGGCTGCACGCCACTAGATCACTGTTATTATTCGGACAAGGACTGGCCTAATCAAAATCCTGACATGAGTTCAAGCTCCGAGCATTATAGCCACATTGAAGACTAGAAGTTATCCAGCTGGCCGAATACAGGTCAGAACATTCAAAAGTCCACGGCAGATCGGTTTTGGTTTTCAGGGAAAGGACGTGATTCTGCCAGCAGCTGAGACAGTCTCAGCCACAGGTGGAATGAGTCGCGCTGACGACATGACTCCTCCAACAAATAAAGTGTTAGAAGTTAAGAAGCCTTGGGATTCGGCTTACAGATCTAAAAAAAAGTATCTACGTTGATATTTTACTAATTCATCCATGCTACTTACTGCATCTCCACAATTCCAGCTATAATTCCGGAAAGTTTCTGTCTCATTGAGGCTTTGCCACAGTGTATTACTAGCATGATATAAACCAGACTTTTACCAGCATTATAGATAGCTACAGTGGTCAGCTATCCCGAAGTAAGCATTACTCGAGGATGGAAATGTTCTCCAGCCCGTATATAGTGGGGTTTTGTGATCCTTCAGAGATGGGTTACCTACAAATGGAAGGGCAGCTCATATAATGTCGGGCCGACATTAGACAATACGAAGTAGTGACTAGGTAAGGATATTTGTCGGGAACACGGGGATAAATACAAGTGCTGATTCTTTGTGAGGAGTGCGGGGAGTATCAGGGGTCTTGACCATTCAGTCTTACCCAACATAGCTTGACTCAAGTTATCCTCGACTTGAGGCCCACTTGTACTCTTAAGCCTCTACTTACTGTGCTGGTGTCCAAGAAGTTGTTGACAGGCTCCCTCTAACTTGGTATTCATCAATAATCGGCGCTTGGATTTCGTCCATGGCCAGATCATGATCAACTCGGACTAGGCAGATCTATTACCTCTTCAACGCCTCTTCATTTGCGTGCGTAGAGAATAAAAATGGCTGTCTATACCTATAATAAAGCCCAAGAGATGGGGTACCCCGTCTATCCCATGGCCTAGGGGTCGTCCCACCTGCAAAGACCGGAGTTAGGCCCAAGCCACTAGCAGCATCTGATTGAATATTTCCGGATTTAAAGGCGAAATATGATCCTTCGGAATCATTGGTAGGGGTACAGGACTGTTTGGCAGGATTCACATCTCCGCAAGCTCCACCGGTAGCTGCCTGTCATGTTATGCTACATTACAAGAAGGTCCACGCCGTGGTATATAAAAGGGACTGCTCACGCCAACTGAATGATATCTCTTCAGTGAAAATCTCAGCAGCAAATCTCGTCTATCTTCTCAGTGTTTGACTTATACACAATGCGTCTCTTCACACTGGCCACCGCGTTGGCCCTTATTGATCGACAGGTGCTAGGATTGAATGCGGATGAATGGCGTAGCCAGTCTATCTATTTCATCATGACAGACAGGTTCGCTCGGACGGATGGCTCCACGTCCGCTCCCTGTGATCTCGGCCAACGGGTAGTCATTCCATAACATTGTTTACAGTTGCTGACATTTCCCAGAGATACTGCGGTGGCAGCTGGCAGGGCATAATCAACCAGGTATACTAGACTTTATTTATGTCCTTCCTAGAGTCCGTTCTGACTGTCTAGCTTGACTATATCCAAGACATGGGATTTACTGCCATCTGGATCACACCCATTACTGAGCAAATCCCTGAAATAACCGGAGAGGGAACAGGCTTCCACGGCTACTGGCAGAGAAATATGTATGGAATTATTACTTTGTTGAATATGGAACGTGGTTAACAGAAAACTAGATATGGCGTTGATACCCATTTTGGAACGGCCGAAGACATTCGAGCCTTGTCCAAAGCCTTGCATGACCGGGGCATGTATTTCATGCTGGACGTTGTTCCTAACCACATGGTAGGTCATGAGGAGTATAAGTTGGGAAATGTGGACCTTAGTTAACTTTCTTTTCCTAGGGCTACAACGGGCCTGGAGCTTCAACTGACTTCAGCACCTTTACACCATTCAACTCGGCGTCCTACTTTCATTCCTACTGCCAAATCAATGATTATAACAATCAATGGCAAGTTGAAAATTGCTACCTTGGCAGTGACGTTGTCTCCTTGACCGATATTAACACCCAGAGCTCTGAGGTTCGCAGAATCTGGTACGACTGGGTTAATGATGTGGTTGGCAATTATTCAGGTAAATGCGTCCGCCTCCTGTCTTGCCTAAGACTAACAAGCCGCAGCTGATGGTATTCGCATTGATACTGCCAAGCACATTGAGAAGGACTTCTGGCCAGGCTATACCCAGGCTGCAGGCGTCTACAGTGTTGGTGAAATCCTACATGGTGATCCTGCATATACGTGCCCTTACCAACAATACATGGATGGGGTTATGAACTATCCCGTGTAAGTCTTTACCGTTGTGTGCTTGGTGGATATTAATTAATATAGATACTACCAACTCCTTGATGCCTTCAAGTCCTCGCGTGGAGGAATGGCCAACCTTCAAAACATGATCAACTCTGTTGGTTATCATTGTCAGGACCCAACTCTACTTGGCAGCTTCATTGAGAATCATGATAACCCCCGATTTGCCAGGTATGAAGCTCTATTGTTGGACTATAAAATTATTATACTGACTTGAAACAGCTACACCCAGGATATGGGCCTGGCCAAGAATGTACTTGCATTTGTTTTCTTTGCAGATGGAATCCCCATCATTTATGCTGGACAAGAGCAACACTACGCAGGCGGGGGAGACCCTTATAACCGTGAGCCGGTCTGGTGGTCCAGCTACTCCACCCAGTCTGAGCTGTATAAATTCATTACCACCACCAACAAGATCCGAAAGCTGGCAATGTCGAAGGATTCGACTTATATTACTGCACGGGTACGCTCTTGGTTAACTCTGCAATATGGGTGCGGTACTAATTGTAACAGAACAACCCTTTCTACAGTGATAACAATCATATTGCTATGCGTAAGGGCACTGCCGGTTCCCAGGTTCTCACTCTCCTCACCAACTTCGGCACCAATGGCGGTTCCTACACCTTTAATCTCTATAATCACGGGTACAGCGCTGGTTCTAAACTGGTGGAAGTGTACACCTGCTCCTCCGTCCAAGTCGGCTCCAATGGAGCTATTCCGGTCCCAATGACCGCTGGCTTGCCGCGAGTCCTTATTCCCGCGTCCTGGATCTCCCAAAGCGGACTGTGTGGTAGTTCGCCAACTAGTACAATAACCACAGCAACTTCAACTACCACATGCGCTTCAGCTACCGCTACAGCACTTCAAGTTGTGTTCGAGGAACGTGTGCAAACTAGCTATGGGGAAGCTATCTTCATTGCTGGTTCCATTACCCAGCTCGGAAACTGGGACGTGAAAAAGGCGATTGCCCTCTCAGCAAATCAATATACGTCCACAAATCCGCTATGGACCTTGACTATGGAACTGCCCGTGGGAACTTTGTTTGAGTATAAGTTCATCAAGAAGCGGCAGGATGGGTCAATTGTCTGGGAGAGCAATCCGAATCGGTCTAACAAGGTGAATGAAGGATGTGCTGGATCGAAGCAGACAATCAGCAGCTCTTGGAGATGAGGATCTGAGGTGTTCCTGGGTGCATCCTATCTAGTTCAAGACGTCATTAAACCTCAACAATAGTCTTGTTTCTTCAGGCTTCAATCGCTAAAGCCAATCATACCTCAATTACTACAAGTGAAGCAATGTCAAGAGTAGTAGACTTTGCCACTGCTCTTGCTGGATCCTGCATGATATTATTTAATGTGTTCAGGGTATTGCCCCGAAGATAGAGAGAATCCCGAATTGATTTCTGAATCACCCGCGAGGATATACCGTTATTCGACTCCAGCGTCGCCAGATGACCGGCCGTCAAAAAAGAGAAGGGCCTGAAGTAGGGCTGGCTCTCTTCCACCACCACGTACTCATTCGTGTCCCATCAGTATATAACATGCTGCGATTGTATGGATTATAACTAATTTAAGTCAGCTTTGACTGGCCGTTTTGGCTCCCAGAAGTTAAATATGCCTACAATGGTGGAAATACAGATTCATTGAATCTGTCATATGTATAGCTGGTGAGGAGAAAGTGCCAACAAAGTCTTAGTTGAGATAAGCTTTTAGCGACCACATTTCAGAATGAACAATGCCTTGCGCGGAATATTCTGTGGAGGACTGGCTCTTTATAAATAATTCATCCTTTCCTTCGCTAGCCTTGGACTGAGTTGTACCTGACCCTCAATTTGTAGACGATTAGCAGGCACACAATTGCGGGTCTTTAATCGCCGAATGGATGATTGTTTTTTTTCTTGCGGTGATAATTCCTCAGAAGGAAACTTTGCTTTTGATTTCTCAGCATTTTATTCTCTGCGCAATCTGCCCGAATGTCTATAAACAGAAAGGCTGTCTCTTGTTTGACGTGTGAGCCACTGCTTCGCAATGGCAAAATCCCGGGGAACGCAGGGGATTTGGGAAGGCAGACGAGTGAGGCGAAGGGGTTAATCCACAGGACGGCTCGAGGGACGGTGTGCGAAAAACCAAGGAAGATAGCGATTTCGGCGAAAAGGACATATTGTACGCTGGTTTCAAGAATGACCGTAGAGGTTTTGGTTGATGCTCGAGATCTCAGCGTTTGGAGTGAGGCATTGGTTTTCTGTGACTTGGTTGAAGTACTCAACCAGGAGAGTGTCCTGAAATGTGCCCGTGTACCAAGAATTTCTGGGTATGCTCACGCACCAATTGGTAGCCATTCACTGTGCATCAGACTGGGTCTAATAAGGTCAAATAAGCATGTAATTACTAGTGCTTTGTGGCGCATTGCATAGTGTGAAAAGTGACTATCTTGCAAAGAAGAGTAGGCTCATGTGCCCTGTGTCAGTCAGGTTATCTTCCTAACATTTTTAGACGACGTGGTCCATGGTACTGCAGATTGTTTATTTCAACCCGCACAATAGCGGAGGGTTCGAGTGTACTAGTGGATTGGAGGGTGAGCGAGTGAGCAGGTGAGAAGAGATTCGGGTTTTATTTTTTGCTTTCCGTGCATTGTTGATGGTTTGATTCAACAAACATGATTGCAAGAGAAGCATAACCTGAAAAGGAATAGCTTTAGTTTCGCGGTGTTGACCACTAGGAAGGAGGTATGACCTTTCTTAGCACAGCCTACCATCATTCTTGCGCTGACGACAGCTTAGCATAATCCAACATTGTCCAATGGCATGTAAAGGATGGAGAATCAGTCTCATGAATGCCAAAACCCCAGAGGATTTTGGATCGAGTTAGGTTGACTACACAATAAACAACGGTCTTATCCATGCTGGCCAGTAAAGGATGCCCCACAGCAGGAGGATGGCAATCGTCTCGCTAGTCAGAAAATTGTATGATGATATCCGTGTGCCATAAATTAGCGGAACATACAGTCAAAGTGCCGATGAATTTGTGCAGTTTCCCAATTCCCGGGATTTCCAGCCTTAGCGCCTGTGCTCGGCTTTGCTCAACGGATCGGAAAACATTCATTTTCCGCCCATTTGCATGGTTGGTAAGCTATCTCTCTGTGGATCCGAAACCACACTGTTATTGGAAGGACTCTAGCTCCATTAGACAATCAGTGGGCCTACACCACACTATTCCATATAAGAATTGCCTTCACTAACCTGTGATTGGTCAGGCTCAATATCGACCTAAAACCTTTTCTGTCTTTCTGTGGTAGGGAGTCAACAGAGAGCATGGCTAGTGTGATTAGTAAAGATTTGCCTTGAAGTCACGTATGCTCTAGTCTCCTTTAGGGAACATCACACTGCCCTCCGCATGGCCCAAAATCTCAAGTTCCTATGATAACATTCATCAACTGACCTATTCAAGGTTCCGTCAGGACCCTTAGAAGATTCGCACTAACCCCTTCTCGGCGTCCTCAGCTTTCATTCTCATTCGTCGAGTAGGAAGTATACCGATTAAGTTTGCCATTGAGTGATATTCATGATTACTCTAGAGTAATATTTAAAGACTGCTGCTCCTGTTTCCTCTCAAGAGAGGCTTCATCAACTCAGATTTTCGCCGGTTATCACTTTTAATATTTTTGTTTCCTATCCTCGGAGAAAATGGAGAACTACTTCTGTTCCAGCTCGCAGAGTCCAAGTTCAATTTCCCCCTTGCCCCTTCTGCTACCTTCAAATAAAAGCATTGATATGCTCCTACAACTAGATGAAGCGTCCGTAAGTGCCGTGTGACTGCGCGAATCCCAAACTTCATTGCTAACCTGAACCCAGAGCCGTATGCAAGGTTATCAGGAGTTCAACTTCATTCCCGCAATGTACCCGGAAAATTCCAATAGCCAATCAGTGATGCGGAAACATTCGGATCCCGGGCTCGGACTGGAGCCGGCCGCAGGTCTTCAGGCACTTGGCCCGAGTGCTTCTTTTTCTACCACAGTCTCGGCCCCTGTGACGCCGACCGGATCAGTTCCAGAATCCCTGGGAGAGTGCAACCTTCGCCGCTCATATTCTACCGATATGACAGGCCAATCATGTGTACGCTGCCTCTGCGACTACCTAACTGATCTTTCTTCCCGCATTAGCGCTAACCAGGCAATCGAACAGATGAAAAGGCGTCTGCAAAATCGCCAGGCACAACGCCGGTTCCGCCAACGCAAGGAAGAGCGCCAACAGACACTCGAGCAAAAGACAGCTAGTCTCCAGAGCAAGTACCAGGAGCTCTTGGAGGAATTCAATAGAAAGTCGCAAGAAGCATCCGAGACCCGCAGGGAAAAAGAAGCTCTGTCAGCAGAAATAGAGGACCTACGGAAACGATGGCGGCTGATGGTCTTGCTTCTATCACGACCGAACGGACTCCAGTCCCTGACTATGCTGCTTGGCAACGGACCAAATCAACCTTTATCCGGTACCTCCATCACGGCCGGCTCTCCAATGTTAAGCAATTTTGTCGACTGCTTGCAGCCTTTGCTGGCGCCAAAGGATGCACCGCAGATCGCGGTAAAGTAGCAAAATTCATTCGCGCGGGGGTTACACCCCCGCTCATCCGCTATTTGCCTCTGCTACCCCTTCAGCGAGTTATATACCTTAATGTTCTTGATCTTTTAGCTAGTTCTAGGTAGCGCGTTAGGAATTCAGCGTTAATAGTACGAAAAATCCTATGCTGCCGCCTCAAGATTGTATGCATGAAGTATGCGGATGCCAGAGCTTGTCAAATACACAAAGGATGGGAGTGTCTACAACAAGTCCAGTAACAAACTGCAAATACCAATAGACTTGCCCAACTCGAGATCAAATTTAGCTCTGCCTCTGAACTACATAGTCCGACTGCCTCAGAAACATCAACGGCTACAGCATGCCTCTGGGGATGGTGTATCCGGGAGCTGAGCTTGAGAGAGTGTGGATGGCTTAATAGATGTAGATATAATCGGATGAGATGTATGTTATTTAACTAGTATAACCAGAAAGGAGTGTCTACTCGTCCTCGCAACCGTTCTCATCATCGTCGTCCACTGCCTGCCACGGGACATATTCCTCAAACGCATCAACAGCCTTCTGGTCCCTGCCTACCGCAACGAACTCCTTTAGGTTCATTTCATACTCTGTTTTCAAGCCTCCACCCTGGGTGATTGTGTACTCCCTATCCAGGTGCCGCTTGTCATCACCGCAGGCAAAGTGTGGATCTGTTATCATCAACGTTTTCCCCTCTCCCGCGCTCCGATCCGCCCCCACTGCCCGAATCTTCAAAACCCCAGTCCGACTCGTGAATACCTCAATGTCAACCTTAGTATGGTTGCCAGCGCCGCAGACAGCGTCAATGCCAAACTCGGCCAACAGAGTATCCCCACCGCTAGGTTCGGGGACATACGCATTGCCTAGTTCGTACATCGCATCATAATCTACACACGGTACACCCCGCATGTAAACCTTCACCTTCGCCGTATTATCACGACACGCTAGATCGACTGTCGTGTTCTGGTAAGTAGGAAGAGTCTGACACTCGTTCAAAATCTGAACTGATCCACCACTGCCATTGGCAACCCAGAGAGGCGGGCGACGAGTCGCACAGCAACACGGGACCCAATTATCCCCCCCTTCACCAGACATCCACCCCGCAACAAGTGTCGCGCCCCAGATTCCTGCATCACCATCCCGCTCCGCGTTTGCAACTCTTGCGCTTGGGAAATAGTTCCGCAAACTCTGGTAAACGTCATGGTATGGGATACCGTGTATTATAAAATCCGTGATATCATCTCGTTTCAAGTTCGCGGTTGCAAGATCTTGGTCAACCACAGGGTAGATTTCGTCCCTATTCCGGTAACCCAGATCCGTGCTGGTCGTTGCCAAACGGTCAATCATCCCCGTGTAGATCTCGAGCACCGAGAATTCCAATACGGTTGATTCGACGTACATATGGAGCACAAATCGGTCACTCGCGTAGGAGAGCTTGTCTAATCCCATTGACAGAATGATACTGTTTTGCTCGGGGATTTGGCGGATCACAGGTAGTCCGATGCTCTCTCCGGCGAGTCGCAGGTGTTCGCGGTCGATGTCCCGGAAATACGGCGGGACCGTAACAACTGCACCCGTGATGCTGGGCCCAATGTGCGTCTCTGCCGGATCGTGCAGTTCCTTGAGAACAGTGGCGTAAATGTGATCTGGGATATAGGCGTAGTCCAAGTCGGGTGATTTAGAGCGAATGATATTCTCTTCCAAGGGTTCGCCCAATCGGTAAGAACTCGTGTGTGAATCAATATCGGTCTGCTGGAAGATTCCAGCTCCTTGGGCATTGGCTCGGCTGTTTCCGTTGACCGTCAATGTTGGCGTCTACTCTTCTCATGACTGGATTGCGGAATGGAACGCGCGGTCAACGTACCTCAATTCCAGTGCGCTCAGGAGCAAGTTAGGAGTCCGTGCGAACCCATCACCGCTGGACCATTTTCCGTAGGGTATACATGATCCACGTAATAATCCTGCTCAGCCCCGTCTTTTAGGATAGTGACTTGGCCGTTCTGGATCGCACCGACGCGGGTCTCGAATGGACGATGTGTAAGTTGGATACCGATTACTAGTAGGAGCGGGTTAGCAGGGATTTAGGAGTCGTATAGGATGATAGTGATATGTGCGTTTCTCCCTTGGGCTATTATCCTGCCAGTTTCCGCATGCTTCTGCGCTCATAATGAAGAGGAGGCTTAGCAAAAGGAAGATGGAGAATGGTAATGATTGCCCCGACGGGATGTTATTGATTCGATTGTTTCGAGGTCCCATCATGATGAATTGGTCACTCCGGGTCCAGAATACTGTATATAGTGGTTCCTTTCTATCCGGTGAGATTGTCTTCTTTGCAGGCCCCAGGATATGATAGCATATCTCCCCGGTCGAAAGTCTTGTGAGTTCCGTGGTACGGCGTCCTGCGCCGCATTGTCCTCGCCAACAACAAATACAGGTGCCATCTCTGATTTGGCCTGGTGAACCGGATGAAGACCCCACACATACTGTAAACGCGCGAGTTTGTGATCCTGGGACGGCTCATTCAGCCATAGACCTGGAGAAAGAGTCTTGGTATCAACCTGGACATCCAAAAGATCTCTTACCTCCAAGAAGGTTCATTTTGCCGCAGTAAATGAAGGTATTGCGATCTCTTCTGAACGAAGACATCTTTGGGACGTTGGTTTGTTCGTCACTGTTGCAGTGTTGAAGCTCTCTGGGAGGTTACTAGTAAAAGGAATCTAGAGAGTAGGCTTATATCACAATATAAGTTGTATATGAAATATTCACCTGCTAATACCTATGTCAGTGAAATAGTACGTATTCACCCTCCTGGCTAGAGGAGAATCAATATAATCATTCACAATCTGAACTATATCAATTAATAGTACAGCATATAAAGTGGTCCTATTATTGTGGTATACACCCTTATTGAGGATGCGGAAACAACAAACACAATCTAAACAATAGTCAATAACAACAAGACAGAACAGCTTCTAATGTGGTGTTACCCTGGATTGTATCTTCGCAACAATGTAACCACCCACATGAAACACAGCTCAATCAACCCCAAACTCCCACTCCAAACGCTGCTTCATACTCTCTCGCTCCTTGATCAGGTCGTCCTCGTCATACTCGCCAGTCTCGTAGGCATTCTCGTACATGACGTCTTGATCCCACATCAGTTCACTGAGACCCCGAACAACGGTGAGGATCGACTGGTGGAAGTGCCACCGCAAGCACTCGTCACTGACCCTGTCCAGTCGCGTCTCGTCCATTGCTGTCGGATTCAGCGGTTTGCCTCCATAGTCCCTCTTGTCTCTGCAGAAGGTCACGGATCGGTACCCATTCTGTACAGATATGCCACCTGTCAACTCATTTCATACACGCAAGCTGAACAGGGAAGAGGGCGGAAGGAACCAAGGAGATTAAGGGTCAAGGTGTAATGTAATACATACATCCGGATCAACCGTCACCCGAAACACATCCCAGTCCAGCTTCGCCGCCACATCAAGCAGGAGCCCATTCTGCGGCGAGAAGAGCTTATCCGGTTCCGCAAGGCTCTTCCCCTCCGCATCGTAGTCGTCCGGATCCTCGCGAATCCACGACGCGTCGTACCCATTCCGCACACACGACTCGCGCATCGAGAGCGGGAAGATGTGCGTGGCCTTGAGCTGAAACAGCCGTTCTCCTGGTAGCTCGCGTTCCCCGGTGATTGCGCACACTCTATCTCGGGCGATGAGCCGTTCTTCGAAGTGCAGCTTGTTCCGCGGGTATTCTGGGTCGGAGGGTCTGACGTCTGGGATGTAGGGGTCGTCGGGGCCTCGGGGTGCGGGGGGTTCGGGGGTTTGGAGGCGGTGCAGGGCTGGTTCGGTGCTGATGCTTAGGGGGATCAGTTGTGCGGATGGCGAGAGGATGGCGTAGCGGCCTTGTTGGAACGGGGATGATGAGGCTCTTGGGATTGGGGCTGGATCGAATTCATTTGAAGCGGTGATGCGGTGGATGCTCCATTTGTTTGGTTGGGCTGAGGGCGGCAAGTTGATGAAGTGGGTGCATATTCTGTACAAGGCTGCGTTGGAGACTTGAGGCGGGTCGTTGACGGAGAGACCTGGTTTGATGGATGGGTCAGCGGGCTGATTTGGGATGAGTGTGAGATACATCATTCATACCTCCTAGGTAATCTCCATTCCCTGCAAAGATGTGCGCATTGCGATGTAGTATTTGGGTCTCCGGGGGCGGGTCAAATGATGCCATGGCAGGGCCTTTAGCAAACAACAGGACGCGTCTTAGGGGTCGCTCTGACGGACAACCTGTTATAATAGGATAGGAATCATGATATCATCTCGATCTCGGAAAACGTCTCCGCCTGTGGGCTGATGTAAGGAAAGTTTACCACCGAGTTCACAGAAAGTCAAACATGTCCGCCTTTTCCTCCCAAGTTGTGGCCATATCTTCCTGGCTTGGTCAGCGATGGCATTCCTCAACGTCCGCAATCCCATCCGGTGAACGCCGAGCGCCAGGATCGCTCTACAACCACCATTCCACTCATCAAGAAACTGTGTATAGCAATCAGCTGAAGTCGGGTCGGTGCCAAATTATACTGAGCCACTGTCTAAACTCTGCTACTCTGGCGTCCTTTTCGGGCGGAATCTTGATATCCCAACGTTGTCCGTATTGACGCGGTCATTTTACACTCAATTAGACCATCTAGCACCTATCTCTATTTAAGTTACAGCCGGACTTTCGACATTAGCTAAATCTGATCGAGATTCCAAATAGCAATCGAACCAATCAGGACAGTTCGCTGCTGGGAGCTCTGCTCAAGGACTTCCATCGTGACATGAGTATGTTTGCTGTGATGTGGCTCTACCCTGAGCACACTGAAAGTCGAGAACTAAAACGTACATTTTTTACTGCTAAAAGGCAGTTGAAATTTATCCATGCGCCTACCGACAGTGAACGAGAATAGGGCTTCCAACTTCATTAAGAGGACCTGGTGGTACTAGAATACTCTCATGAAGGCATCGCACGTCACATCCGTCGGACTCTGATAGTATTGACTTGTCAATTAGGCCGTCGCATGGTCACTCGAATGTAGATATCGCCAGCCTTTGGGTAGAGCTCATCACCATGACTGCACCACACCTCCCAGTCGAGTCCAGTCTAGCAAGCACATTCCCAGCCCACAAGCCTCGGCATTTATTTAAGCCTGGCCCAATCTATACCCCTTGAAGTTAGATTGTGTTTGATTATAAGATAATAACAAGCTCCGCTAAGATCATACCGAAACCGCCAAGGACCTCTTCAGTCCTGTCACTGAGAACGTGCCTCCATCACACCACGAAACCCCTGCCCAGATTATCCAATGAGCCCCGAAAACCATTCTGCATGGAACCCTTCCACGGCGAGTCGACGCATAAATTAATCTAAATCCCGAGTCCGGCGGGGCCTGTCGGGCAAGATTGCGATGCTGCAAAGCCCAATGAGCGGACTCGCGTCTGGCACGGGGAGCCCTAGCTCACCCGCGGTCTTGGCGGGCAAGCTATATGAACAGTCGGATGCTCAGGGCGATTCAAAGGGAATTGTTGCAAAAAGTAGCTAAACACTGACAGGATGCGAGTGCTAGCTACGATCAGCTCGCTCTTCGCCCTTTCCCGGGTTGGAGTTTGCGCCTCCTCGCCGGCGGCCAATCTCTCCATCTCGGCCCTAACCGCCGAAGTGGAGTCGGACATTACGGCCCTCTACTACGGTGCCAAACAACGCGACTCGCTCCTCCTCGGCAACGACGGAAGCGCGGGGACCGGTGGATTCCGCAGTTACGATCTGCTTGATCGGAACCTGACCGAAACGGGTCGACGCACGCCGGGTCGGACCAAAGTCGTGGGCGTGCTGTACGATGTTGCCGGGCGCGATCTGCTCGTTTCGATTACGGCGACCGAGTCGCTCATTCGGCTGTATGAGATCGATGGCCTGAGGGAGATCCCCGGTGCGCAGAAGAAGGCGCTCGGCGACTGGTCTTGTCTGTCGACGTGGCGCAGTCCGCGCGGGGCGGATTACTTTTATCTGTTTGGGAAGAAACAGGCTATCCAATTCTTGGTTCGGGAGAACCAGAAGGAGGTCGAGATACTTGAAGTGAGTTCGCATATCATCAGAATCGTGTTACTGGATGTGCTCAAACTGACGACTTAAGATCCAAACGTTTCCGATACCGGTGGAGCCGAGCTCTTGCGCTGTTGGTCCGGAGGGAATTGTTTACCTGGCTGCTGAAGAGACCACCATCTATACGTTCCAGGCCGCAGAGTCCACCGAGGCTCCCAAGGTCAAGACTCTGGGAGAGGTTGGTGATGATGTCTCTGGTCTGGCTGTCTACGTGTCTCGCCGATCGCACTACCTGTTCGTGGCGCAGACAGACGTTATCGAGGTGTACTCGCCCGATCTAAAGCTCAAGGGATCTCTGACTCTCACTGGAGCCGAAGACATCGAAATCGCAGGAACATCAATCTACCAGGGCAGTTCGAGCAAATATCCCCACGGACTAATCAGCTACGCCATCGAGTCCGAGTCAGGCACGGGATACGGCGTCAGCTCCCTCGAGCCCCTCTTCACCAAGCTCCGCCTAGACCCCAACACTCGCTACACACCACGCCCATCGCATCCCTCACCCTCCGGCCCCACGCAAACCGGCTTCAAGAACCGCAACGGCACCCTTTCCTGCTTCGCCGGCTTCACCGGCCGCAAGTGCACCCAGGTCACCTGCCCGAACGACTGCTCAGGCCACGGATCCTGCGTCGGTCCCAACACGTGCCAATGCCGGGATCCCTGGGCTGGCCCCGACTGTTCCTGGATCGGCGTCGCGGCCAAGTACGAGACTGACGCGAATGGCGGCGACGGCGATGATCCCGCGATCTGGATCTCGCCTGTGAGCCCGAACCTGTCGACGATTATCACCACGACCAAGTCGGAGGTGGGTGCGGGACTTGCCGTCTTCGATCTCAAGGGGAATCTCCTCCAGACGATGACTGCCGGCGAGCCGAATAATGTGGATGTTATCTATGGGTTCCAGATCGGGGATCGCACGGTTGATCTCGCGTATGCTGCGTGTCGAGAGGATGATACGCTATGGTACGTTCCCATGCTAAACTTAACCTTGAAAGCCTCACTAACCCACCGTAGCCTCTTCGAAGTAACACCCAACGGCCTCCTCGCCGAACTCCCCGGCGGCATCCAGCCCGTCCCAGAGGACTACACCGTCTACGGCTCCTGCGCATACCGCTCCGCAGTCAGCGGAAAGCAATACCTCTTCGTCAACGAGAAATCCGGGCAATACCTGCAATACGAGCTGTCCGCCTCGTCCAACGGAACACTCTCCACAACGCTCGTCCGCGAATTCACCGGCGGAACCGGCGGGCAGCCCGAGGGGTGCGTCCCCGACGAGGAGAACGGATACATCTTCCTCGGCGAGGAGCCCTACGGCCTGTGGCGGTATGACGCCGAGCCCACGGGCTCGGACGAGGGGACTCTGGTCGCGAAGACGGGCGACGGGACGCTCTTTGCCGATGTTGAGGGGGTTACACTTGTCCCGGGCAAGACGGCTGACGAGGGCTTCATCATCGTCTCTGCGCAGGGCGTCAGCGCGTACTCTGTGTACCGCCGTGCGGCGCCGCACGAGTATGTGATGACCTTTACGATTGGGGAGTCGGGTGATGGGAGGATTGATGGGGTGACGAATACCGATGGGGTGACTGCTGTTGGGACGGCGTTGAATGGAGACTTCCCGCATGGGTTGATTGTTGTGCATGATGATGCGAATCAGTTGGCGGAGGGGGGTACGGCGGAACTCGCGTCGTTCAAGTTGGTTAGTTTGGAGGATGTGCTTGGGAGGATGGAGGGTGGGGAGGAGTTGTTGGGGGAGGTTGATGCGGGGTGGGATCCTAGGGCGAATCTTTGAGGGTCTGAGTAGGGGTCAAGTATCCTGTTGAGCTGGAGTGGTATAGGCCAGTATGATTGAATATAGCTGATAGACTGTAGTAGGTAGCTAGATAGACTGCACATATAGTTCTCATAGAAGAGTTCAAGCCATGCAACATTGGCCTCATTACAAGCCGATACGTCAATCGGCCCATACGAAGCACTGCGAAGTAGACCCGAGCAGATGCCATATCTCACGACGAAACCCACGTTGCAAATTAGATGGTCGGAGTTGGAGAGTCTAACCATATACATATGCAAAGGCGGACGGAGCTCCGTACCCAAAACAGAGAGTGTGAGACGGAGCCCCGTTTCTTTGGCATTTGCCCAGTCAGACTGGAGCCCGCCTCAAGGACCCTCCTCAAGCAGGCATTCGAACGGTTCCAGAAGTCGTCGTGAACTGTGACTGAGCGTATTCTTCCAGGCTAGTGACGTATCGTAAAATCTGGGGTTTCCCAAGCGTAGTGAGCCAATTGATGACTAGGCAATCACTTTTTGATCATTGCGATCATTGCAGATCATTTAATCCTCTGCGGGAAATTTTGTTGCGACTGGTCGGGCGTAAACGTTTAAGAATCTGACATTCAGGGTTCTGACCCGAAATTGCATCCGAAATCATCTCCCGAAGCTTATTGGGTCTTGGATTGTACATGGTTTAAGCGCCAAGAAGATGAAACTTGATTTCAACGCGACTGTCGAAGGCTAAGCTATGTTCAAATCATCCAAGTCTTTGCCCTCGTTGTTTTGAAAGACAAATTATGTGTCGAGGCTCATTCTATTCCTGGTCATTTTGTCGGCGTTCGCTGGCTAGTAGCGTAGTGCGGTGCAGCCACTGGTCACATCATCCCAATTTAGGTGTTTTTGGCCGAGGCTGAGACCTTGAGAAAGCATTAGCAACCTGGGTATTATCTATCAACCATGCAGCCGCAGGCCACCTCGCTCCCTATGCTCGATGTTTCAACCCCAGCGACGGCTCGTCCAGCTCAAATATGAGACCTCTTGTCGGTTCCTCGGCTGAACGCCGGGAATAATGTCTCTGCCCTTGCAGTGAATGTGAGTCGTGGAGCTCAAGGTGCGTCTCCCGCCACTACCAAACTTTAATTTGTGGAACAACAGCGTTGGCCAGCTGGACTCAATGAGTTTCTTGGTAACGACGTGCTCTTCCCCTGAGGGCATCATGATTGGCGTAGTAAATCCTGAGGAGCGGCTCTGAACCAGAGGAACCTCTCGGGCATTGGAGTGTACAACTCGGAGCGACACTGTTCAATATGAAGGGTCAATTAAGGCCTAGGATACTGGTTGTGAGGTCTCAAGCCACCCTGAGCAGTCATTTTTCGACCCCTTTCTGGTCCTTTCAATTCGGGACGTGGGATCTTGCTCCAGGAAGTCCAGTGTTGGGTGTGTGGCAGGGTATATGTAGTCCGTCGAACGAGACCCCTGTCGCTCGGACTGATCATTCCATACTCTGATTGCTCTGCTGGCCATATCCCAGCGCTCTGGTGTGCATATGACGTCTCAGTCTTTCGTTTGGTTGCGTTGGCAGATTAGGCATGATCCTTTGAGAACATGGGGAAGACCGTATTACTTATAAGTGATGGCATGGCGTTGATTAGAGTGTTCTTCGCGCAAAGTCCTACCTGAAACAGCAATCTCAAAGTGGCCCCCACGCGTTCGGATTTTCCGTGACGCGCGGCGTCAGCGTCAAGTTGGAGACCACAGCCAAGCGTTCAAAGGCTAAAATTCCACGTGTCGCCCTGCTCAAACTTCTGGTACGTTCCAACCCCAGATGCCAAAACGTCCAGAAAGTACGGTAATTGGATTAGACGGACTGGCACCTGAAACTGCCTCGCCACAACCTCTCCAGTCCCACGGTTGGGGCTCTGGCTGCCGCGCGGTGATTGGGGCGGAGCAACCAAGTCGCCTCCCTGCGGGGAAAAAGCAGCCGACAAAACAAGGAGGCTTAGACCAGAGCCCACAAAATGCTCGTCATCTGATTCGCCCATCCAAAATAGACAAGCCCCCCGAAAACTTTACGCCGATGGGCCAGGGGCGAGTTAAGCCTCTCCAGGAAGGAAGCTGTTGGACTGATCGTATCCTCGCAAGCGCTAACGCGTTTTGAACCTAGGGGCGTGGTTCGCCCCCCTAATCCAAAGTCGGGCAAAAAAGTTGCGATGGACGGTTGACCCTGATTTTGCGTCCCACACTCCCCTCAAAGTGCAAATCGCAGGCCTCCCATATTAAGGATTGGCCTTTCCAGTTTCTCAACCATCAAGGCAACCCAGTTTTTGCAGCCAGTTCACAAAACGAGGGGTATGGCTCATGCGGTCTTCTGGAGATTTACGCATTTCGAGTAATTGGCTGTCAACGGACTGTCAACATGTCTACGACACTACTTCCCACACATAATGGCCCCGAGGAGCGGCTGTCAATAGACTCGCAGGAGCTGCACGAGCTCTACGAGACAAAACTCCAAAGCGAGCAGTCATTCCCCGCACGAGTATCGCACGGGGTGTCTTCGCTCTTCCAGCGATTCCCCTCAGTCAGATACTCGCGTCGCCATGATTATACAGCGTTGGAATCAACCTCAACATCAACATCAATACCGACGCGGCGGTACTACAGACACCTGCGCCGAATCCCCTACTACCTCTCCATCTTCATCTCAATCCTCATCGCCCTCACTGCCATCACATTTACCTTTTTCCCTTCATACACATACCCCCCACCACACTATCTTGCCCTACGAAACCGCGTCCTCAACACAGATCCAACTTCAAACCAGTCGGGTCGCGGAAACATCCACAATGAAAAGATCTTTATCGCAGCCAGTCTCTACGACCCCACGGGCGAACTCGCCCGCGGCCACTGGGCGTCCAGCGTCCTGGATCTCATCACCCTTCTTGGCGAGGAGAATGTCTTCCTAAGTATTTATGAAAACGACAGCGGAGAAGAGGGCGAGCGTTCGCTGGCGGACCTCGACGCCCGCGTCCCCTGCAACAGCTCTCTTGTCTACGAACATCTAGACCTCGACGAACTGCCCAAACTGACGATCCCCGATGGCGCAGAGCGCGTCAAGCGGATTACATACCTCGCAGAAACGCGCAACCGCGCATTGAAACCACTCGATAATTCATCAACCACTTTCGACAAGCTCCTCTACCTAAACGACATCGCCTTTGACCCGCTCGATGCGCTGCAGCTGCTGTTTTCAACGAATGTCAATGCAAAGGGGAAAGCAGAGTACCGCGCCGCGTGCGCGGTGGATTTCATCAACCCGTTTAAATTCTACGATACGTACGCCACGCGCGATCTCGAGGGGTATAGCATGGGCGTCCCCTTTTTCCCGTGGTTCTCGGGCTCCGGGCAGGGACAGAGTAGGCGGGATGTCCTTGCGGGCAAGGATGCGGTTCCTGTGAAGAGTTGTTGGGGTGGGATGGTTGCATTTGATGCGAGGTTCTTTCAACATGTTCGGGAGAACAACACCGATGTCGAGACCAACGGGAGAAAAAGCAGCGCGGATACAGCTGGCGTTATAACGACTCCAGCGCGCTTCCGCGCCCTAAACGACACAGACCTTTTCTGGGACGCGTCCGAATGCTGCCTGATCCACGCGGACATCCAACGCCCGCCACCACACCCCGAATCCTCATCCTCATCCTCATCACCAGAAACAGACTCAGTACCGGAAACAGGAATCTACATGAACCCGTTCGTGCGCGTCGCCTACGACCCCTACACACTCTCCTGGCTGGCCACAACGCGGCGCGTCGAGAAACTCTACTCGGTCATCCACAACATCGTCAACCACCTCGTCGGCATGCCGTGGTTCAACGCGCGGCGCGAGGAAGTCCCCGGGGAGATCTATCATGATACGGTCTTTGTCCCTGCAAAGGAGGAGGGGGGTGTAGGCTCCTTTGAACGCCGGGAGCGCGTGGGGCGGCATGATGGTTTCTGTGGACGGTCTGGGCTGCAGGTTGTTGTCCCGCGGGAGGAGGAGGGGGAGACGGGTGGGAAGGGGTGGTGGACTGTGCCGACGCCTGTTGAGGTGGTGCCTTGAATTTGAGTTTTCCAGGGTGTACGAGTGTGTATAGATAGAGTTCTTTTAATTTATGACGATTTCACGAATGCAGGCATCGAATCGCATCAAGTTAACCGAGGGTGCGTCCAGCATTTCCGGGTACAGGAAATACTGCAAAAAAGCCGTCTTGGTACGGAGAAGAGCAGGTAGCGCAGACAGCACAGATCAAGTGGCATCTGCATGAAGGTGAAGACACCGAAGGATCTGTAGATTTATATCCTGTCCCTCATCTCCATCACGCGAGGCTGATTTCTCTTGTCAACGAAAAGCGGGATGAGTGATGGAAGTCGAAGGCTGCATATAATGTTCACAACTCTGGAACGACATGGATGTTCCGAATGATATTAGCTTCGTGGATATCACAGTACAGAGGAACATCCATCACTAGCTCTCAATATCCTCTTCTGTATCCCGCGAGTTGACTTGACAGATACTCTTCGCCGTGGACATACAGGCTTTGGACAATGTACAAGTATTTCTCCAGTCTTACATAGAGTCAGCTACCATGTGAGAGGGTCCGCAGAATAGTCATCACCCTCTCCCTGCTCATCAAAGACATAATCCGCATTCTCGACTCGAGCCGCGGCCCAGCAGCCGAATATGCCCAAGTAGTCGCGGACCTCGCGGACCTGGACAAAATCCTGCTCGAATTTCATTCTTTATCGCGAACCTGCGAGAATACTCCCGAGTATGCCGTCCTCGGCAGGATAGCAAGGAATAATGAAGCGGTATGAAAGGCTAGGTAGCGGGAGCCTGTCCTCGAGTGGAAGTAAGAGTCTGAGAGTCTTGGAGGACCCATATCTAAAGGTTCATTGGAGGGTGTGGCATACCGATTCTCTGGCGGAGTTCCGAAGACAGGTGCAGAGGCATGTTCAGGCGATGAGCGCGGTTGTCGCGACGGTGAACCTGTGAGCTCGCTAGATCACCTGCGTATAATGCTTTTTTTTCTTGCTCAGACTAACGACCCATAGACAGATGAATATCCTCAAAGACCAAAAGTCTGAGCATCGTCTAAAGGAGGCGCAGAGACGACGCCGTGAGGTCAACACTCAGCTTAAGCAAATCAAAGGGGTTGTGGATAACACTGAGAGGTTATATCAGGGGCAGGTGCCTGTGAGCAACGACACGGTTAGTATGACTCCTTTTATCGTTATTGGTCTCGCACTGAATGTGACGTAGGAAATCCGTAGAGGCCATGAAAACCACTCTCACCGGTACTCTTAGAATGATGTTGTATGGATCACCTGGAGAGAATAATATGCAACTTGTTTCAGCTAATGATACTATATAGGTTTCTCAGTCTCGACACATGGAGAAAGGTCAATGCAATGCATGAGAAAATGCCAAAGAACATGCATCCTTAGTCTCAAGCAACAGTACTGCTTGAAGATGTTCTAGGTTGGGTTATACCCGTACATGTTGATCTGATAGACTCATGGGAGGTACTGATTACGTTTGTCCCAGTTCACGGTGAGCTGGATTAAATACTGACGCTGCGGATTTAGTTCTCCGACAAAATCCTGCTTGCAAAATTCCAAGGCATGCCATGGCTTGATATGATTTCCGAAGGCCATTTTATGCTCGAAGACACCGTGACCGGGAAACAAATACAGACAGGCTTGCAATGGGAGAGCACCTTTCTCCCGGGACCCCGTGTGGCGATGAGCATGGTATTCCGCCAGAGAGAGCCTAGACGGTCACTGGGGATTGCTCTAGGTGTGGGAATCTCACTTTCGGGGTACGAGTAAGAAGTGAGGAGTGGCAGCTTTTGTGGTAAATACAAGTACCCCATCCGGGTTGAATCCACGCTTTACGCCGCTAACCTGGAGCTTAAAGTCACAACTGTATCAATGTATCTCACAAGCCCGAAGTTGAAGCAGACTATATGGGACCGGATGGACTTGCAGTTGAATCTGAGAACATGCGGATATTTAGGCGCGTGCGGCTCATTGAGTCATCACTACCTTCTTCACGGGGTGGCTGGTGAATCTGGTACAGGTGTACAGGCAGGGAGCTTGGAATTGGCGAAGGTTGCTCGTCCTGCTGTCACACGGAATGTGATCATCCGTGAGCAGACTCTCGACTTTACGCCGATTCGAGATCCGGTGCGAGCGGGAGAAATAATTGATCAAGCTGGAACTTCTTCTGTTGCAGGTTGTTGTTCCAAGGGAGGGGGATGGAAGGGGTGGTGGACTGCGCCGAAGCCTGTTGGGGAGGTGTGTTGAGTTCTATAGGCATTAATGCAGATAGATGGATAATGGTATATAATTCTACATACGTTCTGCCACATAGGCTCAAAGGAGGATGTCGATCATAGGTGGTGAAAGCGAAACCAGAGGAGAAAAGCAGAGTTATACGAGCACATAGAGTACCCTTGATATACAGGCGGGCGGGGATACTTGGAATTCGCTAGTGATATCTTTATTAGTAGGTTATAGTAGTCTAGGGTGGTCGATGACTCAATCACGCCTTGGTTCAGGAAACGGACGCGTCCATAGGCCGTGGACTGCGCAGCAAACCTCTTAATAAATGCGTATACCAAAAGCTAGGGGTTGTTGCCGTGATCGGCTCTAGCGTAAGGACAGGAGGAAGAGAACAAAGAAGGCGCGACTACTGTCATGTACAGTTAAGCAGCCTTTGGCAAGATCGCCGCAGAGCATAGCATTGAGTGGCCAACAACTACCGCTTCGCTGGAATTTGGAAATAAACCACACTCACCACGCGAAACGTATCAAGGGTCTCCACGCCCTTTCTGGCCGTGTTGGATCTCATAACAGGCGAACCGATTGCCTTCCGGATCATGGAAATTCATATACCACCCAAATGCACCCTCCGCGGTCCTGTCTATAACGGTCATCCCACCATTCTCCTGGACTCGCTGCTTGGTCTGTTTTGTGATTTCCCCTTCTGATTAGTTTGAGGTTCTTCAATGTTATTGGAGCTCAATGATAGGTAGTGGGCTGTGGACACCCTCACTCGCCTCGTCTAGAGAATCAACCATGTAGTAGACGGTCATGCCGCTACCTGGGAGTTGGGCTGTGCAAGGCGAATTATCAGAGACTTTGACAATTCCCCCAGAGAGGCCTATTTCGAAATGATATAATTGCTTTAGTTGTGTTTCTCGAAAATATACTGCAAGGCCATAATGTTTGTATACCAGGGGCCGTCTCACCATTATGGTCAGCAAAGCTGTATCGTCGGACCGTGTCGTCATCATCAGTCTCGGGGTTCGCGGCTCTCCAATCCCACAGTGGGAAGATGGCTGCGTAAAAGGCCTGACCGATTATCAATATTTGTAGTCTTGTGTCTTTGTCTTTGGAGACGTAGGATGTTCATTTCTGAAGAGGCAAAAGTAGTCAACGAAAGGAAATGGAGCAGACCTTTTGCTTCTCAAGATCCCGTCCTGGAATTTCAATCCAGCAGGGAGAGCCGTTGAGGGGGACTTGCCATTCGGCCGTAGAAGAGTCTCCAGCGGAACTTGCCATCGTGTGTACTAGTACGCTCAACAGGAATTCGGATCTCGAGAGTCAAGCAACAAGTTCGTTCCGGTTATCGCGTAGGAACGAGGCATAAAGGTCCTTTTATACACCTTTAAAGGACAAGACATTGCCGAGCAGCGTCTTTTGGGAATACGAGCTCGCCACCTCGAGATCTCGAGACGTGGGGGATTTTTTGGAGATGAGAGGACCAGCCCCGCGTCCAGTTTTCTCCTCTGGCTCCACTTGAACTTGGTACTCGTATTTGGCGGGGACCAAACCAACCCCCGCACCAATGGAAGGCTCAGTGGGGACAGTCTCTTACATAGGCCGAGACAGCTACAATCACAATCCCAGTAGGGGAGGTCCTGGAATCACACATTTGTGGGAGATTGCAGTAGGGGATTTCTTTTACTAGGGATAAGAATCGTGGAACAGAGAGGCCTTCCGTGATTTTAAACGCCTGTTAATCTAGCCTCTGTTCCTAATGTTTAGCTTGGACTGGGAAGACAAAGACTTTGACCAAGTTCTAACTCAAACCATTAGAGGTATTCTCGTATTTAGAGGATGTAAGGGTTAAATTATTTATCCAAGACTAATCAGGTATTTTTTTAGGGACATATAATGAGAGCATTTGGTCATCCAAAAAGGATGGCCAAAAAGGATGGTATGTCACTTTACTCCGTACCAATGCTATACTTGCGAATCTAGAGTTTGAGCTAGGACAAGATCTGAATTAGTTATCATCCCATACAGCCCTAAGCAAGATAGGGAGTGGGGTTAGTTATCTAGCTCTAGTATTGAAAAACCTCCTACAGCGCTCGCCAGCCTAGCCGCGGTCAAAACGCCCCTGGACGCTGGTTACCTACCTCCCCGACGTACTCGACCTGTTGCCCTCGAAGCTCGACCCGCCGCTGTCCAGCATCCGCTTGCTCTCATCCGGATCGTCGTCGTAGGTGCTATCGTCGTCGTCATCGCTCATGAGACCGCGCAGTTCAAATTCTCCTTCCCCAACGGGCACAACGCGATCATCCCCGGCAACATGGCCGTCTGGGTAGTCTGTGACGTTGTTCGGCTGGCCGTTGGAGAGACGATCATAGATGTAGATGAGCACGTTGGCGAAGAGAAAGACAATACAGGCAACGGAGAGAAGGACAAGGATGTACGAGACGTGGTCGATGGATGAGGCGTCGATGAGCGCCATTTGCTCGGCGTTGGCGCCCATGAGAAGGAAGCCGGCGGCGTAGAGGCACTAGAAACAGAGTCAGAACATCACGGCCATGGATACCCGGCCAACCTCTCAATATCGCTTGGTATAGAGCGGGGAGCTGAGCAGAGCTGGGGAACCTACAAAGATAGGAAGAAACTGAAAGCTATTCCACCCCCACCCACCATCACCATCCGCAACAGAATGCTCGTCCCGCAGAACAAACGCAATCTCAACAATCCTCGAAACCCCCGCCGCCATCAACGCAAACCCAAACGCAGCGTGCGTTGCAGCGCTAACCATGAGCTCCTGCGGATGTGCAGACATGGTCCACCCGGTGACGAATAGAACCGCCCCTGGGATGAAGTTGCGCTTTGGCTTCTTGCTGTGATGGTCCCAGCTCAACCACATCCCAACCACACCAGCACACCACCAGATAATCCCGATGGCCGTGTGCTGCCAGTCATTGCGAACCCAGGCTGTGCCCCAGCGGTGCTCGGTGAAGGTGTTGATACAGCCGAATGTAGCAATGACAGCGCTATCGTAGAATTCCTGGGATCGGCCTCGTCGCCGGAGCCAGAGCTGGCCGACGAGGAGGACGATGGTGAGAAGGATGCCATAGCCGACGAAAGCGCTGCCCATGATAAAATGCGCGGCGCACTGACCGAGATAATCACCCTGGCAAATCCCCAACGCTGTTATCCCGCCGAAGACCATCTGCGTCCATGCTACGATTGGCATGATCTTTCCCAGGACTGAGTGACAGGGTCTGAGCAGTGCGCGCAACGGTCTGTTTATCCTTCCTTCCTCCCAGTGCCCCTTGAGATACAGTCCCAAGACAATCTGGGCGCCAAGTAGGATCTGGAGGATCCAGGCAAACGAGGCGTGGATGTTGTTGGCCTTGTACTCGCGGCCGGTGTGCGCGTGGCCGAGGAAGAAGCCGGCGATGGCGAGGGTCGTGCCGAGGACTTGGGTTGGGACGTGCCAGCGGGACTTGCCAATCTATGACAACAGGTCAGTATATGGTCTTTCAGAAAGTCGATGGGCAGGAGAGCATGCATACACCCAGGACCATGCCAATGGGAAAGACGACCCCGTATGCGAACATTTGGATGAAGATGTGGACCCACATGACAATGCCCTGTTTGTAGTAGGATTCATCAGTGCAATTCGAAAGCAACACAATGCGACTCACCAGGGGCTCAGGCGAGATAGTCTCGCCTTCTGGGATCTTGCTCCCGCCGCCATGATGATTGTGAGCCGTGATGGCGGGAACGACCGCAGCAGCGCAGAACAGTAGTCTTGTCGCCGTCCTCATCGCTTCTCCAGGACTCTAATCGCCCTTGTAAAGAGAATAGGTAAGGTTGAAGAGAAGAGACCAAAAAATGTGGGAAAAAAAAAAAGATCAAAAAAACAATCTAGATGTATCTGGGTGGACCCAAAAACTTCAGCGAGTTGTTGGGCACATTCTGCGGAAATTCCGGAAATTTCGAGGATCCCCGAGAAGCCACAGGGCTGAGATGCAGCCTAATTGCGGCTGACTGGTTTGTAGCATGCTGTGAGCCCTGGTTGTTTGTTAGTGCAGCTCTGTGGTTCGTTCCTGGCCAGCCACGTTCTCGTCGCAAGACTTGGCCCGAAACAGGAAATACACCGCGACGACTCGGGGACTCGGCGTATTCGTACCCACGTCATTTTGCGAGCAGAATATCCAGCTGCCTCAAAGAATCCAGGTGCCTGTTGTACACAATTCGCTACATATCCATTTTTTCCGGCCGAACCCCGTGGAAATATAGCTACTTTCCGGCCTCTGTATATTCTGCGGGATGGGGATCTGCAGGCGACCCTGCGCCAGGGCAAAGACAAGGTGCATCTACTTATAGATGGAGGGAGAAGGTGAGACTATGTGCAATAGGTGAAGCTTTTATCTCGAAGTTAACTAGTGCCTTATCTAATATGCAGAGCGTACAGGTGCCAGAGTCTCAATATACCCTGCGCACAGCAGATACGCAAGCCCAGGAAGAAAAGGCACCGCCAAACTCTCGTGAGTGCTTTTTATGCTACCAAGCTCAAGCATGCCTGCATTTAAGTTATAGCTAGGACTATCCCAAACCTCGTGATTCCACATAACAATATCAACGGCACCGCAGACCCAACCCAGAGCCGCTGTGGGCCACCCTCGCCTGCATTCCCAGGCAGAGGTAGCAATGCAACAGCCAATGGCACCTCGCGCACCGATGCAGCAGAGCCAGAGACCAATACTTACATCACGCAAGTCAGGGCTAAGTGTACTAGGGCCTTTAGTGTCCCTACTTGGCTACTAGGGTTCCATGCATTTCCCACGCCCACCTATACCTGACTAGTAGGAATCAGATGGTAAGCTGAGGGATGACCTAGAAGGCACCCTAGAGTCTAATAAAGCTCTCCTCTTAATCTACTACACGCGGCTAAGTCCCTAACTCCCATTTATAATTATCCCTAATAGCCTTAATACAAGTAAACTACAAGGGGATCCTGGCTGTTCCCTGCTAAAATGATCCAGATAGTAGTATTACTACAAAATCATTAGTCCATGTGGAATTAGAGTAGGTTACTATTATATTAGAGCTCTAGCTCTATCTTTATAGGGGCTAATTAGTTCCTAGACCTCCTATAAGGTATTATTATTTTCCTTGGTTTCTATCATTATTTCTATTTTGCGCATGAGCACCTCAACAAGCTTGCACACTTGGCTTCCAGCATGATCGCGAATATTAGACTTGACAGACCAAGAGTAAGGCCGCGGCTGAGGAGAAAGCATCCGCAATGGATTGATCTGGTGGAGCCCAGGGCGATGTCGAATGATGAGAGGCGTGCAATTCCTGCCGTCTTCGTGGCCTCCCTTCCAGTTCTCCAGCAACTCATTTCTAAATCAATCTGCTAATAGCTCCTCCTTCCTCTTCTGTACATTTATTGTAGCCTGACATCTTGGTCATTGCTAGGCAACCGCTGCGAGTAAGGACCGACTGACACCCGACATCGATCCGACCTCGCTGCTTATAAATAATCAGTTATTATGGTTGTTAAATAGCTTTGAATATTAAAAATATATGCGGAATGTGTTCAAACATGTCCCTCACGTTCAACTACACCCCACACCAAAAAGAATTCACCCTACAGGCGGATCCGCCCCTCATCCGCACCCCAACCCCAACCCCCAAGCCGAAGGCCCAGCGCAACACAAAGAACAACCAGCTGGGCAATCGCCAGCGCCAACCACGACCCCGCCATCCCACCCACAATGAAATATCTCATCCACCAGTCCCAGCTCCGCATCGTCGGGGGCCCTGTATACCAGCTCGGACGATCGTCTGGCGGGAGCCCCGTCCCTCTTACTCTCCATCCCTGCGAGGCACCCAAGGCGATGAACGCGACGACCTGCAGGCCTAGAGTAAGCAGGCTAAGGCCGCGGCTGCCGTGGTTAGAATTATCGCTGTTGGCGTCATTGCGGGACGGGTGACCATGAGCTTAATCTGCGGGATTGCGGCCGTGAACGAAGTGAGGATGCCGGTAAGCCGAAGGAGGATGCCGTAGACGCAGTTAAAGAAGATAAGGGTGGGGTCATCATCTTCATTCCGTGTGATGAGATCCAGGCAATGAATAGCAAGCGGGAGGGTAACAACTGCGTGCGTAAGGACTATAGCGAGGATCGTTGCGTTGGAGGGTGAAGTAGTAGTAGTAGTTGAAGCAGGAGCTATGCCTCTCTGGTTGAGACCAGAATGTTCCTTGCTATTATTACCAGGAGTGCGCTGATTTGCTTGAGCGGGGACCGACACAAAGACAGCCAGCATGCTAACTGCTGCTATCCAGTGGACAAGTGGCTGGGAGGTAGACCACAAGAGCAGAAAAAAGCTCAAACCCTTTTAGATCACCATGGCGGAAGCAGGACCAGGCATCGCAAGTAAATACGCTTTTTATTCGAGTAGCAAGGTGGGCGGTGGCGCTGGTTGTGAGAAGAATCATATACCAGCCAGAGAGGTCTTGTGTGCCATTTATACTAAGTGCGAGAAGTTGAGGAATATAGGACGCGATAAGGAGTAGCGTGATGAAGCTGAATGATCCAATTCATGGGTCAGTTATCGAGGTGAGCGTCGGATTATAGGGCCAAGGGCAAATACAGATGAATTGTTGTGGCAAGAGGGGTTTGCACTTCACCAGGACAGTCCCTGATAGGCATCGTGTGTGGACTGGGAAGGATGTTTGCGGGGCAGCAGGGTGCGCCGAGGAAAGATGATATATGTTGAATAGTTGGTTCCTGCTAGGCTTAGTGGGGAATAACCCCGGCAGGTTGTTGCCGGAGGCCCTGGTCAAGCTGGCCCCATCATCCGACTCCGCCTTTGGGCCTGCGAGGACGGGTGTCGGATGACCTCAGTTCCTTCCAGATTATATTGTAGTATGTATATACACGAAACGGCCCCACCTGCCAGAAAAAACACGCATTGATTCCGGTTGTTGGATTCTCTCGGCTCCTTTGGATACTCACAGACAATGGCGTGCCTGGTCGAATCGATCCAACCAGCACGGCATATCCGATTGGGCCTGGTTTGGGTAGACCTTGGAAGCCCAGGCTTCATGCTTGATTTGGGTGGTGTGTTGGTGTGCAAGGTCGCGAGCAGGGCGCTTAATGGCCCTGTAACCAAAGCAGAATAACCAATCAACAACCAGACGAGTGCACGTGGCCTGTGCTAGCAGTCTGAACTTGTGTATCGGCAGAAATCGGACCGGGGGTCTGGGTTTGTCTCAGACTTGTATCTTGGTAGTAGTTTTAGCAGTAACGGGCGGGGACCGCATGATCATGATCTCCTCCTCCCGATCCTTGTGGCACAGGGCAGGATCCGGGGATGCCTGCGCATTGACCCGGTGACTATCCTATAGCCGAGCAGACTCCACGGAAACAACATAATGGCCTACCGCGGGAGGTAACATCCCCGAAGACAGAATCTGTAGGGGATTTCTGCTCTTATATCTTGATACTAATACTTGCACACACAGTAACCATTGAGAAAATGTTAATCTGCCATATTCTACCTGCCAGGCCTGACGTTCCTCGCCAGGTGGCTTACTTGGTAGATAGTTTTACTCCTTAATGGCCCTTGCTGTTCTGGAGCCATTTTTCCATACTTTATACCCAGGTCTGCCGCAGAAGACTTGACAGCACCCGACCACGCCGGTTCGTTTTAGTCCATATTGATATCACCAACACCAAAAGCGAGAGGTTATGTGATAGGCCAGCAAGTGTGATTTGCCATGCGCACTCTATAGTACTAGGCACGTATTTTCTTGACCTTGCCCTTGTTCACTATTCGAATTGCAATCGCCAGTAGAATCGATGTGACGCTGCTAAGAGGCAAAAGCCTGCTTGGCACCTATTACTGTTTTGGTCACTACATTCCCAGGAACTCGTGGCCCCCAGTCAATCTCATATAGAACTAACCTTATCTCAAGACATTATCACATTTACAGCGCATTCACTGTATGCCGTGAACAGTCGTCCTGTTGAACAAACGCGGCTATCTAGCCTGCAACAGGTATAGAGGCTAGTTGTCTGGGTCAGGCCTTTAACACTCGACTCAATTTCCGTTAGGTGTTGTGTTAGCCCTAGAGTTAAATCTAATGCTCACCTATTTCTCGGAATTCGCGCTACTTAGATATACTGGCGGAACCTTCAGGGTCTAGTCCAGGCCAGACCAGTGAGCTTGCATTTTCGTGGCTTGGCATCGGCAAACACTTGTTAGAAGGAAGGCTACTTATAAGGCTTGAGATTGCTAATAATATATGACAACGCCAACAATAATAAGCACAACCCAGTCCAAGACGTATGAGAGAATAACCTTGACGGAATTGCGGCGGTGGCCATTCTGTGAGGTTGGCATTTTTGGTACGGGTGATGGCGCAGCTGCTGTCGCAACGACCAAGCCCTCCACGATGGAGCTAATGAAACGGGCGATGAATGTGCATAGTCCTCTCCTTCCTAATTTGACCGACGACCGTCCCCAAACGAAACAGTACACCCTATGATAATTAAACAACGATATACAGGGTGGGAGAGCTTAAAAGCAGGAGGGTTATATGGTTTTCATGTCTTTTAGTCTTCATGTATCTCTATGTGTGCTAGGGGGTCGTGTTAGAAGCCCTGCTTATTACTCCTTTGCCTTTCATGGAAGGTTCTAGCACACATGTCTTCTTTCATGGCATTTATCTATATCCAGCGATCCCCTAGCTAGATAGCTTCATCGTTCCTACAGACATCTGAATGCATCATCGTTGACTATGCCTGAGCTTTCTGCTGGAGCCGTAGCGCGCTCTGTTACAGAGTAGCTCTGTGATATGCATGCCTAAAGCTATATCAAATTCGCTTATACAGATACGCAGCGGTCTACTGTGTTAATACTCAAATGTAAGATCCTGCACTTGGATTTGAAACAAGAGCGAACCCCTATGCGAATTGATCGCTGATCGGCAACCAGAGACTGCCGGCTTTAGCGAGCAGCTTCTCGCTTGCGAGCCTAGGTTACACAAATGCTCTATATACATCGCCACTAATTGATAAGTGCATGCAAAAAGCTCGTTAGTTGGCCCGAAAGTATTGTATTAACATAAGACATCAGCAAATACTTAAGCAAGAGCATCGTACGAACAGCCGAAACGAGAAATAAAAGTTCATCATAAGCTGATGCTCCAACACCAAGAGCGGTCCTAGGTTAGAATTACGCCAAATTTCCCGTATCCGCTGCTTGTACTCCATATCGACCTTTTTGCCCTCCTCCTCCTCCGCCTCGTCGTCGTCGTCGTAGTCGTAGTCGTAGTCGTCCTCGGTCTCAGAAAGAACCTCTTTCATACGTGGCTTCCAGTAGTCTCGAATAAACTCATGCAGCCCAAGCCCGAGCGAGGTATACTGGTGGTTGAAGTCGGTAGCCAATTCATCCAGCTGTTCAATGAGCGGAGCTTCTTCGTCGCGTAATTCGTGCATCTCTTCTGCGTCCATTCGTTCGAAGACCACTTCTCCATAAGAGAAGGACCCATGGCTCTTGCATTTATGACAGGTGTGAGTCAGCTTTAGACCTTCAAAGGTGATGTAGCGTATAGTTTGCTGACAGATGCCAAGTATCTGATCCCCCGAGAGCAATCCTGGTGCAAAAGCTTGGAGCCCGTCAATCATGGCGGCGAAAGCGTCAATGGAGGTTTTGTCATAATCCCCGTCATCTTCGAACCGGTTGAACGCGCGCTGTATCTGCTGCAACGAGCAGCATCCATGATTTGTACAAGCGCATTGACAGTCGTCCTGGGTGTCGTCTGTCATGAGCAGACAAAGAAGCTCTCTGCAGTACGAATGTTTCTCCATGAGTGATGTTAGAGTTTGTCCTCTATTCTCATACCACCTAGACCACATTCGAAGATTATCACCGAAACAGTCTGCCAGATAATAGACTGGAGGGTAGCCTTCGTGAGAGAGTTGATAGAGGCTAGCGCCTCTGCAAATGAACCAGCCCGCGTATTTTAAGAAAGTGAAGGGGTCTGGTGGATCGTCGTAATTATTCCACTGAAGTTCCATGAAATGCAAGATGCTATTCCCATCACACTGATTGAAATCAGTAAATCCAGCCGCGTAGAGACGTTCGAAAATCGCAATGTCGTATCCCACGTGCTTATATACGGAGGACTCATCATAAAAGTGGGGGCGCACTTCAATCTTGTAGCTTTCCAATCTCTCATACACTTCAAAGCTTTTGGTATCCAGGAGGGCGTCTGTTGGCAATGAAAGTGAGCACAACTCTTTGTAAGGTAGGTGTTGAAGAGCCAGTTGCTGGATTTCATTCCGGGATTTGACGAGGGCCGGAATTAGTTCAGTTAAGACAGAGCTGTCCATCATCTGGGCTGCCGCACTCAGATGTTCGAACTCAACGGATCCATTATATTTAAGAAGAATCAAGGCGCATTCAATTTCTCCCTCATTGCACGCTCTCACAAAACAGTGTCCAATAGGGCCTCTGGATGCGAAGAATAGGCGGCGTAAAGGTGATTCTAACAGAATGGCCAGCCCTTCTGGCCACCCCAGGGACAGATCAAGAAGCTTGGAGTATCCACTACTAGTTATTAGGGCGTTATTTGGATCTTTATAATCCTGTGTCATCAAGCAATGCTTCAGTGACACTGCCGACCTGGCTAGGATGGCTATCTCGATCTCAAGAAATTCGAACCCTAGGAAGTCAGAGACACAATCCTAAAACTTGACTGGCTTTATACGAACCGTGGGCATAATTATAGAGTAGATAGCGCGCAGCCTTTGATGAGGTATAGCTCCACATCCAATCATGTCCGGCCGCTACTAGGGAATTTAGGTATACCCCAGAGTCTAGCAGCATTTCGAGAACGCCCAACGCTTCGCCAGATATAGACAATTCATTTTGCTGATCGTCAAGATTATGACAAAGATGACGAATAAGCGTTTCCAAAGTCGTCTTGCCACTGACAGTACGCTCGTTGAAAGACACACCAGCATCAATCAATGACCTTACTAGTGCCTTGAACGAACTTCCGGACAGGGGGTCTTTTCTAGCTTCACGTTGGAAACAACTAGAGAGAGAAGAGGAAAACAGTGCCTATAGTACTAAGTGAGTACAAGCGATAGACTCTATAATTAGTATACCAGGAAATATCAACCAGTGAACTCACGTGTAAGATTGTGCTGCCATCTTCAAGACGATCGGTTGGGGCGGCCCTTCTATCATCGAACATCTGCAGGAGTGTTGTCGCGACAAACTCCATCGGGCTATCGTGCATTCTTAAACAATATAAATCGTGGTGAGCATTCTCCAGGAAGCCAAAGGCCGGCGAAAATCGGCCCACGATAGCCTGCACCCGAATCATTGGACTAATAACAAAAGCGCCTGCACCCCTCGTCAATGTCATTATGGCCTGAACCGAGAGACCAAGGAATCTGTTACAGATGGTATAGCTTCCAGCGACGCCGACGACCTGTTTGCCGGCCTCATACAATGGGCAGGGCTGTTCATGCAGCGAAAAACTAGAAAATGCCGATTTTGATGAGTACCGTGGTTTTAGTCGTGGCGCCTCCCGGCAAGTGCAGTATAGTAATATCTGCTCTATTTGTGAACTAGGTATCCTCGGCTTTCGTCGTAACCATGAATTAATAAGCTGTTGTTGATCGCAGAGGTCCCGTAGTGTACTCGGTTCCAGCATTTTGCGAGACAAAGAACCGGTTGTACTCGAAGCAGTTGATGAGTGCTGAAGAAGAGCCTGGGAATTAGTGACAGGCGTCGCTTGCTGCTCCACAACCGTCAATATGCTCACGGTTGTTCGGTCGACAGATTGGATCTGCCTCTGCTGTTGACTGACTAGAGCCCTTGGATTCTGATCAGTACCAGCTCCAAGTTTGTTAAACCATCTGAAAGCACTGCATCTTACCCAACGAGAAGCTGAAGAGCGAGACCCAGATTTCGCGTAAATTAGACACCAATTCAGAAAGCGTGGTCAACGTCTCCTTCTTGAACGGGTATGCCACCCTTTTCAGCCGCAGCCAGTCATGCTTCCGCGCAGGCGCGCTAAGATGTTGCTTGACTTGCATTCAGCCAAGATCTTCTCCAAGCAGTGGCATGCTTCCTCGCAGGATGCTAGATTTTTTAGCACCAAGGTCCGGTACTGATCAGGGACCTGTAGCTCATTTTCTGGAGACAGAAAGGTGTCAAGAGCGCGTAACGTGTGTAACAGACCGTCTAATTTGGTGGTGAACCCTCGAATTTCATCATCATAATCGCGCCATGGTGTGTAGAACCGTAAGAAGCCTTGGCTAAGGGTGAGGCCGAGAGACACCACGCCTACCACGCCGGCGCTCACGGAGAATGGGTCGGTCATGATACCGGAGCTAGATGGGGTGGTGTCGTAGAGAAATCATGAAGGATACGAAGGCGGGGGACGACGGGCAGCTTGTTTTATCGCTCGTGAAATCCAGCCTTGCGTACCAAGACTGCGACTTGCAGCCTGTGGCCTCGCTAGCTCACTGGGAGGAGGTCCATTTAGCCACGTCGGGTTCAGTGGCCGCATAAGTTCGATAATATGACAGGAAAGGCGAGCCCCAAATGCACGTCACCAGGCTGGAGGCGCAGTGCAGGACTCGCTGGTCTGGATTGGGTCCACATGGACAGTGATGTGGCTGAGTTAACACGACAAAGGACTACCGCCAACCAAAACCGCTCTTTGCTGACTGCGCCAGTTGGCCGGTTTCCTTTCTTTTTGTGCAGGTGAGGAAGAAGTGTGTTGCACTGAGCGTGGCTGTGATCACTGGGCTTGTGAGTGCGTGGTCCAATCATTGATGCTGCTTGCAGCATGGTGAGGCTGAATGCCCAAGGACTATAATACACGTCTAATACAGGCGCGTAATTCATTCCTGCCTGGCTCCTGAGCATCAGGCTTTGTCTCCTCTCGGCCCAAATGGGTCTAATATCTGTCCATCATTCCAGACGGAGTAAGCCCACTAGGCAAAGATGCTTATAGCCCCGAACAGCAGCACCATAATAAGACGCTCGCCCACAGTAGTCGCGGTTGAATGAGAGAGATGAAAGCTGGGAAGCAAAGAGCTCACTTCCTAACTTCGAGTTTCCGCCACGCTCTGAACTCCTCATCCCGTGTGTGTGCGCTGTATATACTGTTAAACTTGTATTTCCTGCCTTGTCCTATGAATTTTAGGGATAGCGGTTCGTATTTCATGGACAGCAATTGGCTCCATGTAGTGTCATTGGAGGGTGCAAGCGAAAAGATCCCTCCAAGTCGGCTCCACCAGTTGAATTTCTCGCGCCACCATATTAGCCGGATCAATTCCTGGGATCCTGGCGTGTTGCATAGACCCAATAGTCCCTGTAGAGAAACTATCTTTTTTGTCGATTCGAAGCTCATGTTTCCATCGCTGCCATGGCCGATTAAGAAATATACATTATGATCGAGGGAGGGGTCCAATGTTAGAAACTCATGGATGGTTCTGGCGTGTGTAGATGTGTCATTATTCAACATTTCCTGGGCGCAGGCGCTGAGTATCACGATCCACAGGGATGCCTTGAGTTCTCTGTTGTTTCCAGGCATCAGCACGGGAGCATTGGAATGGGGCGAGACACCGTTCTGGACAAGCAGGCGTACAATCTCGGAATGGCCGGCAATGGCTGAAATAAGAAGAAGAATGCGGGGAACGTGAGAGTTGTGTAAAAGTTGAGTATCCGCTAGGATTGCGTCCCTAACATACTGGACATGCCCGTAATGCAGTATCAGACATAGGGGATGGAGTGGTCGAAAAGGAAAGGGTTGCGAAATGAGCAACGGATGGCCACCCTGGATCGTGAGGCAAGGCGACTCTGGCTGGTTCCCCGATAATCGCAAGAACCCATCCAGGTATTGCCGAATGATTGGCGAGCCTTTGAGATCCTCGAGAATCTCGAAGTATTTCAACTGGCAAGACCAGAATTTCAAAGGCTCGCGCACCTCTGGGTCGCGCTCGCGGCACCATTTCAAATACCCCAAGAGCAAACGACAGCAGGCCTCTTGAACATTGAAGTTTGGGACTTGTTGCCGCAGGTGGTGCGCTTTTGAATCGCAGATGTACTCGTAAATGGAGCGATGAAAGAATTGCACGCGGTACTCATCATCGATCCCGTTGTAACTGGTTTGCAGCTCGAGCATTCCTTTCGTCAACGAGTCCAGCTTGCGCTTGACAGACTCCACTCGTCTCGTTGCGTCCTGCAGCGTTCGTTCACACTGAAACTGAAATGGAAAGTGCGGGTCGTCAAGGTCATCCAACCATGAAAATATTATAGCTGGCAGCTGGTGAGAGACTAGTCGGACGGCAATAAGCAGTAGTTTTGCGGCTCGCAAACGATTGAGACTGTCCACTCTGTCTAGCATTTGATCGAATAGCGCCATTACATCGTCGGGGATGGACTCCAGCTTCTGACGAAGCGTGTGACTCGAATCGTGATAGCCAACTCCAGCGAGGAAGGAGCGAGTCGCCAGTCGCGCCCATAGGAAAACGCCCCGCGCCCTTCTGACAATCTCTTCGGCAAACTCTTGGTAGTCTTCTTTGATTGATTCAAACTGAGGGTCCTTCTTCATCATTGCCTGGCAGTATCCACGGATGTCGGTCTCGGTCAGCGTGTGCAAGTGGATCTGTTTCTCGGAACAAAGGCCGAATGATTGAAGAAACTCGGTATAGGGTCGACTGCTCACACACATCTTCACGCTTCCAGACTTGGTCCATTCGTTTAGATTTTTGGCAAGGGTCCAGTAATCAACACTGTCCCCTTGATATTCGTCAAGTCCGTCTATAAACAGGCAAATTCGATAATCCGATATATCAGGTAAGTTGATGAGCCTCAGGAACGCCGCTTCGACCTCTTGCTGGCGGAATGGTGGCAAATGTCTAATCCTCGGGTCACATCTTGGTGAGGTATCACTTTCGGGAAAGATGCGAAGGATGAGATCGGGACATTGCCTCAAGACATCAAAGAGGATAGCACGGTACAGACCTTGCAGAGACCGTTGCAGTTCATCGCCACCGATCCAAAAGAAGAACCTGGCAAACACCAAGACCCGTGGGCCAGCCCAGCTCTGTAGCTCATCATGAACGCGGGGGCTGTCGCAGAGCAGTTTCATCAGTGTTGACTTGCCAGACCCTGCCTTGCCGGAGACATGGAATATTCCATCCCCAGAGTTTAGCCACTTCAAAAAATTCCTTCGTGTGTTGCCCTTGCTTCCCCATACCTCCGCCGAAGTCTTATACATGCCTTCACTATCATAAACATGGTCGACAAGCCATTGGAATGTTCTTGCTTCTGAGGGCGCCACGGCGTCCTCCCGATAGTACAGCGAAGGAAAATACAGCCGGGCGAGGAGCTGATTCTCGGCGGGCACACGAGCGGTCAGTTCCCGGAGCTGTGCCAACAAGGCGCAAAGGCCCGTCACAGATATGCCGCCAAAGCTGTTGCCGTTGTCGGCGGACTCTCTCTGGGAGACGGCCTGGAACATGTCTCGCATCCGTCCTATCTCGGCTAGCAGCCCCGTTCTCAGAGTATCAAGCTGCTTCCCATGCACATTATGAAAGGTCTGTGCTTGCATCTGAATCTCATCGAGGCTGGCCTTGAAAGATGACTGCTGCTGTCTGTGCTTCTTGTTAGCAGCTGACGAGCGAACCGTCCCTGGGAGGTGCCTACCCAAGCATAAATTGCAGGCGAATAAGGATCTGTCCGCGATAGCTGGACAGCCTAGACTCCATAGAAGTGATATCGCGCTCCTTGCGCATGCTAGCCCACTTTGTCCTGAGGCTCTTCCATTTCCGGTTCCCGCCACTGACCTTTAGTTTTGCCAGAACGCCGGATAGTTCCTGTGAGAGCCGGAGGCAGTCTGTGCTCAATCGGAGTAGAGCCTTTTCATTCGAGGTCGTCGCTTTCAGATCAGTCACCAGGCCTTGCGAGAAGTCTTCTAGATCGACCAGTATGGATTCGAGCGTTGCGTTCTCAGAGGTTCTTCCATCTCCGGATTTATAAATATCCCGTGCGCCCGTGATGAGTTCACAGGAGAAGTCGATGAAGGAGATGATATTCGAAGCCAGACCTACCGCCGCAAGTGCATCCATCGTGGTGTTTCCGAATCTGCTCCAGTCGTTATGTGGTGCAGGGCCTGCTCTGTGTCAGAGTCCAGTTCGTGAATGTTCAGACACACAAAACACCAGCGACCTTCGGCTGGACCAAGGTTGGGATCCGGACAAGGCTTGGTGAGGCAGAATCTAAGGTAGTGAAGAAAAGCCGCCTCGTCTCGCCCAGCCGCGGGGGCGGTGCTGGGGCTGCATGAACCACACAGACTCCCCGCGTATAATTTCCCAACGAGGACGAGTACGAGGCTTGCCTCTCTAAGGAATTCAACCCACCTTCGACACGGTTGTGGCTAATGGACACAAGACCAACTTGAGAGCCACTTGGATTCTAGTATAAGTGCCCCATCTCTGGATCTAGTCCAATTCGAGCCTGTCCTCTGCGACTGTACAGTCCGCGATTGCATACTCCAGCATTTTCGAGAGCAGGTATATCAACCTTGCCATCTCTTCCCACGTACCCCACACGTCTGCAGTGTCTGCCCTTGTCCCAGAATCGGGGCAAATGTGCGGTCTTGAAGTCGTACAGCATGTATTTTAAGCCATTTGTTCAAGTGGTGGTATATCACTCCCCTTGCCATGGTCCATGTCCTCGAATAGCTACAGCAGCCTGTAGTCAGTATTGAGATCCAGGTTGGGGGCAAGTCAGTCTGCAAGTCAGGCACTTGGGCGGGCTCCGTAGCAGAGCTTTTGGTCGTCTTTACTGTGGCGGTCGGAGTGTTCGCCGTTGATCGAGCTAGGGTGATACCGTTGCTCAACGTCAGATTTGGAAAGGAAGATGCAACTGATATTGAAGCAAGGGTATAGAAAACACAAACATGGCGCTGCCCGCCGATCACATCATAGGACCATCACATAAAATCATCCAAGAAATCTGCATCGCGATCCTGGTTATTGCTCGCCTCCATATTCTCCGCACTGAACAAATCATCATACGCATGATCCTTCTGCCACTTGAGCTGCTCGCGCTCCCTCTTTTCCTGCTTGTCGCGGTTCTTCTTCTCCTCACGGGCCTTGCGCTCCTGACTCCGCTGCACCTTCAGGTATTCCTCCTTCTCGGCGCGGAGGTCCGGGAATTCCTCGACGCGGGTTTTGTTCAGTCGGTTGACGATCGGGTTCTCGCGCTGGGGCACAAAGACCTTGCGGACGAGCTTGTGGTTGTGGAAGGAGACTTGGCCCGCGGCCATGGAGCCGTCCTTCATGAGGTTCGACCAGGGGGTGTAGATTATCGTGACGTTGTCCTTTTTGTTTCCTGGTCCAAAGTTAACCACGGTGTTGAGCGGGGTGTAGTCAATGGACGGAGGGGGGCGAACCCTCGATTGAGTTTGCCTTGGTGAGCTGCGCGCAGTCGACCAGGAGATCTTCCGGGATGTTATCCCATGACTCGCCATCGCGGAGCCGGAGGTAGACGTGGGCGCTCGAGAGGTTATCGACGTGGAACTGCAGGGTTGGGGGGGTTAGGTTCGGAGGTGGTGGTGGGTTTCGTGGAGATATTGCGTACGAACCCTGCATGTCCGAGATCTTGATTAGCGTCAGCTCAGAGAAGAGGTGAGGGATAATATAAACAGTACCAGACGTCCTTTTCCAGCCCGTGCTTTATTAAATCCTCATCTGTCGCGAAGGTTAGAGCGGTCGAGAACTGAAACACAAAGTCGCGGCGCCGTACTCTCGAATTTGTCCTTGCCCACGTAGATAAACGCCGAGGGGCTGACGACGTTTGATGTAAAGTAGTAGACCATGGTGTTGGCTGTATAATTTGGAGCAATCTTGAAGTGCTCGTCGCGACAAAAAGTGTTTGCTCTGGAATCCGGCATGCGGCACCGGCGCGGAGAAATATTTCGGCGTGGCGGGGCATTGCCCTCCTGCCTAATCGGGTCGAGCCCTGATTGCTGATCATTCTAGTGTCTGAATTGTGATTTTGAGAGCTTGTCGCAGTTGAAACAAAGCTGCCGATATCACCAAGTGCCCAACTCGAGGTTCTTGCTGATTACTGGGCTCGATCTCGACATACCCCAAAATCCGGTCCAAGTGGATCAACGATGTCAGTCTGATGCGAGGATTCGGTCGTCGTCCTACCATCCACTTGATCTGCACTCTCAGATCGAGACTTGTCGTGCTTAATCGCTTTCCTGGAATTTCATTCGCTCGATCATGGAATTCGAGATCTTGATGTTTGAATTACCTTGCTTCTCATGTTGATTGACTTTTGCAGTTTCCACATGGAAATATCATCCAGGCCGTGGAATGGGGGCCGTTGGTCAGGTCAGATTCTGCTTGCGGTGCGCAATTTACTTGACATCAGAAGGATATCAGAGGACTCTGTGACTGCGCGGTGATCTCATTCTTCGCATCTCTGGCAATATATAAACCTGTATGATTCTGCTCGAATTCTCCAAGTCAATCACAAAACTACACATAAGCACACCACCAACAAATTCTCAAATCTTTCAAATCTATACCATATTCCACCACCTAAACCCGCCAAAATGGTCCAGGGATCAACAGCCACCGGCGAGAAGTACAAGCCTAGCGGTACACTCCATCCCCAACCCCAACCCCTTCAGACTCCCCCTTTCCACTTTCATTCAAACGCAGACTAACAAAGTCCAGAGCACGGCGGTCGCCGCGAAGACAACAAGCCCGACAAGCGCACCCAGCAGAACCAGTTTGCCTACGGCAAGGTCGACCCCCACCAGGCCGGTCACGAGGGTGGAAAGGTTGGCGGTTCCGCTGGCGGCCATGCCTCGGGCAGGGGCAGTGCAAAGGGCCAGCAGGATGAGCCTGAGGAGTAAAGAGATGCGAAAGTGCACGTGACGTTGGTTGCATTGTGAATGTACAGTACAATTGTTGTTTGAATTATGGCCGTTTGTGATATTCGGGTCTGAGCTCGTAGTTGGATGGACTGTATATTGTTGGATGGGTGCTTGCCCAGCGGGGACCGAGTCACTTGGACTTGGCTCCAGCTTGTGGTAGGGATCCAGACACTCGAGTTTACGAATCATCAGCTCAGCCGAGACATCGGACAGAACCTTAATCCCATTATTCATTGAACAGCATCCCTTCTACCCTACTCCCAGTACACCGCCGGATGGCCAACCCCGGAAGCGGCATGCACTCTGGGAGACCAAACAGCGATCCGTGCCGGTTCCCAGACTTGTTAGAGTGTGACACTCGACTGCAAAAACCTTAACCGCGGGTGAGGGTTGGCAGAGGCCGAGGCAACCTGGCGACAGCAGGGGGCATCCAAGCATATTGCAGAATCAACTTCTCATCGAGTCTGCGCCGCAATCGATCTTTATCTCAGAAAGTAGTTTTGATTCATTGAGGCCTGATATCTCTGCGTTTTGGACCATAAACTTCATCACCACGTTCCACTCGATCAGTTCCATCTGCGTAAAGGCTGACGTCTGCGGCTCCTGTCTAGACGAGATGAGACTCTGCAGCATCACTCAAACCTGTTTGAGGACCCATGACAAGTCTGTACGACCTTGCTAGAGACGAACAGGAGAACCCTCACTAATGTCAATAGCCGGCCGCGAGCATCCAACACTGAGGCTCGCCTGCACAGACCAACAGGTGACCAACGCAACTAAACGCCCCCTAAGCGGTCTCCCCGAAACGGACAGCCAAATCGTGGACTAGGCCAATCTGAGTAGAGTGCCATGGTTGGTGGCGTTGTTTTCTTTGTCCCTGAATCCTGCGCTACGCATGGGACCCCTGCTGCCGTCGACGCATTTCAACTCAATCGACAGATCGAGTCCTAGAGTCTGCACATTCAATGGCTGCTTGCGTAATTTCTCTTATTGTTGAGGATGAGTTTGATATTGATAAGGAGGGGGGAGCGCGCGGACCAAGGGTCGACAGCCAGGATGCTGCATATGAAGATATCAATCCATGCGTCGATCATGGACTCTCCCATCATACTTTGTGAAACTCCAGGCCTAATAGGCCCTTGGCCATTTATCCCCCCGGGTCCCAAATCCAGACCCTCGTCAAGCCAACAAACAAGCCAGGCATGCCAGAGCAGCAAGACGGCCCGCGAACCTCGCCCGGCGGCGAACACAACACGCCCTCCGGCCTCGCCTTCCTCAACATCGCCCTCCTTGCGATCGCCGCCTACAACACGCTCGAGCTTCTCATCTGCATCTTCCACTTCTTCAAGCGCCGCCGCGGCCTGTACTTCTGGAGCATCCTCACCTGCACCCTCTCCGTCGCCCTCTTCGCCCTGGCCGCCTTCCTGCAGTACTTCCACCTCGCCCCCTTTGCATTCACGGGCGTCGTGATCGCAATCACTTTCCCTTCGCTTCTTGTGGCGCAGTCCCTCATCTTGTACTCAAGGTTGCATCTGATCTCGACGCCAGGAACTCTCCTCCGCTTCATTTTCTGGGGTATCATCGTAACCTCCATCCTCTTCCTCACCCCCTTCGCCATAAGTCTCATCGGCCTCTCCGCGGGAAATCCCATCTTTGCACCGCCGCACCGCTACATAGAGCGATACATGGTAACCGGCCATGTCGTGCGCGAGGTGCTCATCTGCGGACTATATCTGTACCAGGTGGTGCGGCAGCTGCGGCCGATAATTGAGATGAAGGGGACAGCTGGGCGCCGCGTGATGGTGCATATCATGCTCGTGAACGGTGCGGTTATCATACTCGATCTGTTCACCCTGCTCACGCTGTATCGGGGGAAGAGCGGCCTGGGGTCAGCGTATACGTGTGTGTCGCATAGTGTAAAGCTGAGGATGGAGTTTGTTGTTCTGAATAGTTTGTTAGAGTTGCTGGGGGCGCCGATGAACGGCCATTCTGGCGGTTTAGGGTGGGAGACGGGGGATGGGAGTCGGATTGAGATGGTGCATGAGAGGGAGAGGGGCGAGCGTAGGTATGCGCCGGCGCATCAAGGTGACTGGCCGACGGTCCCTGGGAGGACTTGGGGAGGGGATAATAGTAGAGGAAGTGTATAGAAACGTTCCGAAAACTTGCCTTCCTTCGATCGTAGGCTCCCAGATGCTCGTAGAAGCAGACAAGTGTAGGGATGCTACTGCCGATCCCGAGCTGCCATAGAGCTCCTCTCCTCCCTGTCAAACGGCAAAGTCCGGGGAAGGAGATCCTTAGTTTTCTCCTCCTTTCCCTTGAGACCAATCTCGGCGAGGAATACCCCGAGTAATCGAACAATGTGCACGGCGTAGTAGATGAGGAGGTCGAAGAAACTCGGGTGCTCGACTCCCGAGCTCGGGATATCCGGAAGCAGTCCCTTGGGCGGAATCATCTCGATACTTTTCTTCAACAAGCGGGAAAGTGTGCGATTCTGGTGGAGCGGAGTAGAGAAATCTAGTTCCTGTTTCTGGGCCGGAATTGTTCGTCTTCCGAGTATCACGCGCGGGGTATGGGCGATCGCGAAGCTATATGGTACTGTAGAGGTGGTCCGAGGATTAGATTGATACAACAAGAAGAAATGCTTGAATTTGAACTATCTCCGTAGCGGATTGAGTGACGATAAGTTTAGGATGATGTTCATAGTGTCGAAGGGTTTCGGAGCGAGATGAGGTTCTTATGGACAGGAGCGCGGGGGCCGTTCGCGCCTTCCCTCACAGTGCCAGCCCTAACTCTTCCCCGCCACGTATGTACGGCGCTGAGAAACTCCGCCCGCGGGGCCAAGCCCGATTTTGTACGAGATTTCGCTGTCCGAGGAGTATGTCTCGGTATTGTTGCGTCATTCTGTAGGTATGCGGGGTATCGTGCTTTTTTTTTTCGGTCTCCGGAGTTTCTTTTCGGGCATCCCCGCGGCCATCATCCCCGATACACCATCGACACGTAACCATACACTCACGAGTCAGTCTGTACTATGAGTTCGTCCTTGAGAGTCTTCCTGTTTTATCTCCGGCTGGGCATCTGCCCCTCCATCTACGTCAGAGGATTGAGCCCGGGCATTGGTACCGAATGCCGGCCCTAGGACCGAGAGTGGTCTGCCATAGAATTTGGTTGGAAAGAGCGGTATACGGCAGTTATCTATATTGTCACTCGGTGTCGTTCGTCTCGACCTGAGCCCGAAAGTATGGGCGAAACAATCACTCCTTGCGACAGCGCCCGAGAATGGCAAGTGGATTTGCCAGTTAGGGCTAGATTTTTTGGAGACCTATGGCTCGGTCGCGAGACTGCTTTGATTTAAATTTATAGATTGATACTGTCCATGACGTTGGTCCATTTGTATCCGTCACTCCTGTATCGCGTACCCTCGGTTCTGTGTCTAGACGTTGGTCCATTTGTATCCATCACTCCTGTATCGCGTACCCTCGGTTCTGTGTCTAGACCAAACATTACTTCCGTGTTCACCCGCAGACAGTTTTGTTTGATAGATTCAAAGGTACTACGACTGCAAATTTTTCGGCGAGACTCGTATCAAGTAAAATTCGTTGGTATAAAGATTCTGAATATGGTTCACTTCAATGGCGCACATGTCCCTTACCCGGAGGTCGACATATGGAACCAAACAATATGGTTGTCGGCCGTGGCTTTCTACATAGGAAAAGAGATTCATAAGTATTGATCGAGCCTTATATACTCTCTAGTTGCAATCTCAATCACTGCAATCACTAGTCAATACCAACCAATGCGTGTCCCGTGACCTCGCTAGCCCTCGTCTCTTGTGCAGGGATGCTGCCTTTCGATACTAGCAAGCATTATTCAACGTAGAAACCCCGGTATATATCCCCAAGTGACTTCTTGAAGTAGTCGGGCTATATCGGCCGATAATGTACCGAGCCACAATATAGCTCACGTACAAGCTCAGTCCATCCCCACACCAACCCACATGAACCCCCGCAATCCACGACCACACTCGGGATATCCGAACCATATCAACATGACTCCCCGCATCATTTGGACCTTGATTTCCGTAAAGATTTCACTCCTTTCCCTATCTCCCATTTGTCTTCCCTGGCAATAGAACAGAGAAAACCAAAATGCCGCCCTCCTGGACAAAAACAACCCCCTGGCTCTGGACGCCAGACCCAAGCTACACAGAAACAGACCCCTCCACGCCAGCGCAATTCGTCCTCTTCAGAAAGACATTCGCACTCCCAGAACCAGCCCCAGAATCAATTATCCTGCACATCTCCGCCGACACGCGCTACCGCCTGTACATAAACGGGCAGAGCATCTCCTTTGGCCCTGCGAAATCCTACCTGAACGAGTGGAACTACGAGACCGTTGATATTGCGCCGTTTGTCAACCGCGGGGGTGAGAGGAATGTGCTTGCGGCGCGCGTGTTGAGGTATTCGGGAACGCAGGTTGGGAATACGAGTATGGTTCGGGCGGCGATTCCGGGGTTCTTTCTGTATGAAGATTTTGGGATTGTAGGTTTCTTTCCTTTTTGTCATCTGGAATCTCCTTAGATAGAGGCTATATGCTAACCATGTCATGTCCAGGGCCTAAGCACATCAACCCCCTGGCTCTGCAAAGTGGACCGATCCGTGCGAATCCTGCCGGCCTCGGAATGGAACCGCGCACTCGGTCCGCCATTCCTATGCATAAACGAAGAAGTCGACGCGGGCAAGGAAGAACGCGGGTGGCTGCATGCCGATTTCGACGATAGCCACTGGGATACGGCCGTCAGGTCCTCGATTACAGTTCCTATGCTCCCTGTGAATGAGCCCTGGAGACTCGTTCCGAGGAGTATCCCAGCTCTTCCGGAAATTGAAGGGAGGTTTCAGGGTGTCGTTAGGGTTGATTCCGCTTCCTCTCAAGCAAAAGGTTGTGACTTTGCCCATGAGGCAGAGGCATGGACCGCCCTAATCCAAACTGATACCCCCCTAGCAATCCCAGCGAATACCACAACAACCGTGATCCTCGAAAGCTCAACACTCGTCACAGCCTTCCTCCACTTCACCTTCCGGCGTGGCGCCGGATCGAAAATCCAGATCCGCTGCGCAGAGTGCTTCGAGTATCCGCCCGCAGACGGGAATCCGAACCCCTTTGCCCGGAATAAAGGGGACCGCACGGATTCCGGGGGGATTCTCATGGGGCCGGATGATTTCTATACCCTCTCCTCCTCCACCTCTCAGGAGGAAGACATCACATACAGCCCCTTCTGGCACCGGACATTCCGCTTCCTGCGGCTGACCATAACGACTCTCTCGGACCCCTTCCTCGTGACAAAAGCAACCTTCTCCAAAACACACTACCCGCTGGAGATAACAACGACCCTCCCCCTGCGCTCCCTCGCGCAAACCGAACGCCAGAAATGGTCCACGAGCCTCACGACGCTCCTCAACTGCATGCAGGAAACATACACCGACTGCCCCTTCTACGAACAGAACCAATTCGCCCTGGATACGCGGCTGCAAGCGCTCTTCAGCTACAATCTGTCCCGCGACGACCGACTCGCCCGGAAAGCCATCCAGGAGTTTGCCGCATCGCGGCGCGGATGCGATGGGCTCGTCGAGACGCATTTCCCGGGCCCCTTTGCGGGCGCGGGCGTTGTTATCCCTGCCTTCTCGCTGTTCTGGGTCCTCATGCTGCATGACCATATGCTGTACTTTGGCGAGGAATCCCTCGTGAGGAGATACATTGGCGCGGTGGATGGGATCCTCGACTACTTCGAGTCGAGAATCGATCCGCGCTATGGGATGGTCGGCCGCTTTGACGAGGACGCGTGGGCGTTTGTTGATTGGACGCGCGAGTGGTCTGCCATGCCCCCGGGAGGGAGTTTTACGGACCTCGCGGTGCCGCCGGGGTATCGCCGGTGTGGGGCGATTAGCTATGTGAGTCTGGTGTATGCGTATGTGCTGGGCAAGGCGGCGGAGATGTGTGAGTTCGTGGGGAGGGGGGATGTGGCGAGGGAGTATAGGAGTCGGGCGGGGCGGGTGAATGGGGCTGTTTTGAGGCATTGTCTACGGCGTGTCCGGCGGGCAGAGGGCGAGCAGGGATGCGGAGGAGAAGACGAAGAGGGCGAAGAAGAGGAAGAGTTCTTCCTAACCGACTCGCCCGACAGCCCAGAAACAGATACCGAACTAAGCCAACACACCCAGGTCTTCGCCATCCTCTCCGGCGCCGTGACGGGCCCCCGCGCAGCACGAATCCTCCGCCGCGCGCTGGCGCCCTCGACAAACGCCTCTTACGCAAAATGCTCCTACGCACTGTCCTTCTATGTCTTCGAAGCCGCGGTCCAAACAGGACTCTACGAGGAATTCCGAAACGACCTCGTGAAGCCGTGGGCGGATATGCTGAGTCTGAATCTGAGCACGTGGGCCGAGTCCGCAGCGATGCCGCGCAGCGATTGTCATGGGTGGAGCTGCGTGCCGATTTATGATGCTGTTGTTAATGTTTTGGGGGTCAGGCCTGTGGAGCCAGGGTGTGGGCGGCTGAGGTTTGAGCCGAGGGTCAACCTTTGGAATGGCAATATAGCGGCGGACGTGGAGGAGAGGGAGAGCGATGGAGTGCTTGAGGGCGTGGTTATGGTCAAAGGGGGTGAGGTTAGGGTCTCTTGGGAGAAAGGGGAGAAGGGAGTGAGGTTGGCGGTGGATTTCGATGCCGAGGTCGAGGTCAGAGACGGGGAGGGATACAAGGTGGTCAACCTGGAAAAGGGGGGCAGTTTGACTGTGCATGGTTGACAAAGGATTTAATTTCTAGAGACAGCAATGAGATTGTGACTAAAGAGCGTAGTATTCGGGTATTATATCTATGTACGTAGATTGCTAGGTGAATACCATTCACGCAAAGTGAGGAGCGTTCAAGAAGAGTCCCATGAGACATCCAGCCAGAGTTCCAGCAATGGGAATAGTCATGATCCAACCGAGACCGAGCAGACCGACCCGCTGCCAGTTGACGGCCTTGATCGTTCCGTTGCAGAGACCGACACCAATGGTGGCACCGGTGATGCACATCGAGGTCGACACGGGGAGCTTGTACTGGGAGAAAACGAGGACGGTAATGGCAGCGCCGAGCTCCATGGAACATCCTCGGCTGGGCGAGTGGTATGTAATCTTGTTACCCATGACTGGTGATCGTTAGCTTTGTTCATCTGAAGAAAACGAGGAGGCTTACCCTTCATGATGTTGTATCCATAAGTAATCAAGCCGATCGAGATCATGATGGCCAGAACCGCGAGCTGCCAGACAGGAACCTCGGCCTTGGACTCGGAAGGCACGCCGGTTCTCCAGGCGGAGTACAGGACCGCCCATGGGCCGACGGAGTTGCCGATGTCGTTGGCACCGTGAGCAAACGAGGCAGTGCAGGCGGTCAAAATCTGGACGAAAGAGTATGTGTGCTCGACTTCGTTGGGGTACTTCTTCGCGTGGGAATAGACACGTTCCATACGGGCACCTTCGGGGGTTCCGTGCACACCAGACTGGGCAGCGTGGATGTCGTAGTGAAGACCATACAGAGCACCAACAACGACCATAGCCGGGAGGCGCTTCAGGAGAATCTTGATGTTGTGCAGTTCGTAAATCTCGCCGGAGCCGATAGGGTTGTCGTGGAGAGTGCGCATAGCCCAGGCCAAGGGTCCACGACCGCGGCGCAGCTTAGCATGGAAGCGCTCCTGTCCACGGGCCATGAGCTCCTTGTAGTCGAGCTGCTGTGCTTCGACAACAGTGTCGCCTTTCTCGATGGGATGGGCGGGCTTCCCAATGTCTTCGGCGAGGGTGTCGGGAGAGTCGGGAAGGTCGTCGTCCTGCATAACGGCATAGTTGGGCACCTTGGCGACCTCGGAGGCGGCAGGGACAGGGCGCGTGAAGAGCAGAGGACCGTAGATGAACTCGTACCACTTGATGTTGGGGTCCTTGCGAATGACACGGGTGTAGGCAAAGGGAACGAAGAAGAGGGCCGACAGCAGGCAGACAGCACCACCGGTGCCAAGGGTCACGCCAACAATCCAGCCAGTGGGCTTCTTGCTCAGACCCAGGTTCGGCGAACCCTTGTAGACAATCGAGAGACAGCAAATGGTTCCAGCAATGAGGAAGAAGAACGGAGCAGTCCAGACGGACCACGGAACAGGGTTCTTGCGCATGTGCACCACCACCTTGATGAGCATGAAGATGATGGCACCAAAGCAGCCAGAGATAGCAGGAGCCATGCCCAGACCTGCAAAAATCGCACCAAGACCACTACCCTTGTTCCAGCCCCATTGCACAGACGAGGCACCAGCGGTTGCAACACCCACACCAGCGATGGCCGAGACGAGCGAATAGGTGGACGAGACGTGGGTCGAGTGACGGGTGCACCACATCACCCAGGACGAAGCGGCAGCGAGAGCGCAGGCAAACGCCAACATCTGCACACCAGCATTGCCCTCGAACGCCTCGGGGGGGATGATCTTGTTTTTGATGGTATCAGCGGTACGAGCACCGACGGTCACGGCACCGAGAAACTCGAAGATGGTGCCGAAGATCATCGCCTGGCGGTACGAGATGGAGCGAGAGGACACACTGGTGGCCCAGGAGTTGGCAACATCGTCTGGAGAGTCAAGTTAGCACGAGAGAAACAAACTGTAGCAAGAGAGAGAGATCGGAAAAAGTCGTCAAGACGTACTGGCACCATTGTTGTATGCATCGAGCATGGCAAACAGAGTGCCAATGGCAAAGATGTAGGTATGCTCGTGCACCATCTTGAAGGCGGGCGATCGAGAACAGGGGGAACAGGAGGTTGAGATGCTGAGAGGAGCTGCGACGATCGATTCACAGTCCGACCAGGGGTGAGACGCTTTTTATGTCCAGCACGAGGGGTTGCATGTCGCCCACGTGCAGAGGAGGGTCTCAGCATCAGATGGAGTCGGCGGGCGCAGAATGGCGGCGATGGCGAGCAAACAGGCCATGTAATCGGGGTCTCCGACCAGCGGGCCCTTTCTCGAACGACGCATGGAATATCATTCTCGACGACATGCACGCGATGCAGGGCATCATTGGCCGCAAAGACTCCGGGCACCCCACGTCAAATGTGACACTTTCCGATCTCGAGCGTCGCGAAACGGGCAGGGTGAGGCAGGGTGACAGCAGGACACGCTCCCACGTTCCACGACAGGCGGCCGCGATTCGACGAGAGCGGAAGGTTGCTGGCGTCAGAGCAGAGCTTCGAGTTGGATCCAAGGGACTTGGCAGCTTGGCGGGCGTTCTGGGCAGGGTTTAAAGAAATCTTGATAGCCAGCAGTCTGGCCTGACTGGAGTAACACGCAGCCAATCTGGACCAGCTGGGGCCGCACGTGGTGGGGCCGCACCCTCTGATTCCACGGTTGCTGCCCGCCCAGGCTCTCTCCTCATCAGCCAACCTCGCTTGTTTGCTCTTGTCTTTCTTGTCCTTCTTGACTCGAGGCTTCACCTGGCTTGGCCACTGCGGTTGGAAAATGGGCACGTGCGACCCTGTTTCGAAGGATTGGGCCAAGAAGAGAACCGTCTCCGAAGCACTCGCCGCGCGTTCATTGGTAAATCTAATTGTCTCAGCGCCATAGCATCACTAGTATCATCCTCTGTTCAAGTGCAATCGGCGTAGAGAGAATGTCGCCTTCGTATCAGTATCCAAGTCAGCTTACAGAGTAGATATACCCTAGTGTGCCACCTACTCTACCAATCGCCACCACATTACATCCTATAGACCAAGTCAAGATGCCCGCCTCACAAAACTTCTCCCCGTCCCCATCCGACACGAAAAAGCTCATCGAGATCCGTCCAAAAGGTGCTACTTACATCATTCCTACGTCCTCGTCCTCTTCATCCGGGTCGAAACGCTCCGTGCTAACAGTGATCATCCATCTCTAGGAATCCTCCTCCACTCGCACACATCCCCCCTAGACCATAAACGCAAACGACACGCCCAGACGCAGAAACACCAACGCGACCGCATGAAAGCCGCTCTGGAGGTGCTGGCGAACACACTTGAGGCTCAGGGAGTAGGGGCTACCGGGACGAGGGTAGGTCATTCCTCAAAGGGAATCGCCCTGAAGGCTTGCTAAGTCTTGTAGGCAGAGGTTGTAGAATTGGCGGTAGAGTACATACTTGAGTTGCAGAGGGAGTTGGAGGGGTTGAGAGATCGAGATAGTGACAGGAGTGAATCGCCGTGACTATCTTGTTATGTTCTAGTTATGAGGTCAGAACAGCGAAGCTCAATCAACTATAGGGGTGTCTATTCCTGACGGGCTGGTCCCGGGATAGGTGAGCCTATAAATTCTATCAATCTCCAGAAGACCTCCAACTTGGAATAGGAGCATTCGTAATGTTACCTACCGCGGCGTAGGGTCAATGACCAGAAGCTTCCACGAAGGCTTGGGTGTACTGAGTTGTAGTGAACCAATGGACATCAGTATCCTGTATCCAATGACAAGTGACTTTCATGATCTTCTCGAGATACGACGGAGCCAATACATATTATTATATACATTTTCGAACTTACAGAGCACTTGAACAGGGCCGGTGCCCTTAATATTAGTCCTGGTAGTTGAGGTTGAGCACATGGAGCGCGGAAATCGGTCAACTTATATTCTATTATATATTTATGACGGTAAACGCAGTGTTCGAGAGCAAGGCCGGTTAGCATCAAGCAATTTATCTACAGTTTTGTTCCATCCACATCCACGCATGATGGGAAGACATGGTGCTTATATATATAACCCCAGGGCGGTTACATAGTGCTGACTACGCTGTATCCCGAATAGAGTACGAAAGTAACTTGTTTCTTAACGAAGAATATGATACCCATGCCCGGTAGCCCACCACTGCTTATTGAAGTAGATCAAGCATTTGTAGAAGCTTCTGGTCATTGACCTTACCCCATGGCAGGTTGCACGTTCAAACGCGATGCCTGGCTAACTTGGTGGTCTTCTGGCGATCTGCACATGGTCCAGACAGCAGGGAATAAATATATGACTTGGCTAGTGAGATCAACCCAGTTTGAACTTTATCAGCATTTGTGGTGGTGAAGTGACAGCTCTCAAGTATATGGTTGATCATCTGAAGCTTTCAGGTCAACCTCCGGGCTGCGAGTATTTAGGTAGGCGTTGTGTACCCAGGCATAGTACTTAGTTAACTGAGTGAGTAGGTACTCCGGAGTAAGGTACTGTATGAGCTGAGTCAGGTTCCAAGCCTTCCTATTGGCTAGTTGGCCTGCTCTTTCTCCAATAGGAATTGCAGGAAGGTACCTAGGTAGGTATTAGTGTGGGGCTCTGCCTAGGGAACTGGAGAGGAGTGATTTCAGAGTTACATAGTTCTTATTATTCTTATTACCTCGTAGCAAATATGCCGAGGTTTTGGTTGCATACATGTACCAAATAATTGCACAAAGCTCAGAGACCCTAATCAGACTCTACTTCAACTCTATCGAAAGGGTAATATCATGTTTCGCCCATAGACGTAGCTTTGCTGCATTCTATTCTATAAATTTATGCAAAAGAATCTTCTGGATCCACCATAAACGCCTCAAAGGCCTCGTCACAGTACGTCGGCCACGCGTCCAGATTGCCCAGTTCATCCCAGAGCCATAGTGGCTGTCCGTCTGTACTGAGGAAAGGACTATTAGGTGTATTGAGAGCGATAGGAGTAGTGGCAGTAGTGGCAGTGGAAACTGCCTGATCCAGAGCGACGGGGTGAGCTGGCTCAGAAGTCCGAGACTGCAGTGGGTGTTCCTCCTCGGAATCTTCCCTTACTGTCGTTGTTGTCGCCGACGTAGGAGGATGGAAGGGAGGAGGGTCCGGTGTAATATGTTGACCATCTTGACCCCCCACCAACCCATCAACCTTCCTACCCAAATACCCCGTAAGCACCGCCGCGCGCTTCGCGGCCGCATCCCCACCCGCAGAAGTGAAAACCTCCATCGCAAGATCCAAGCAGCCCCTCGCCCACGCGCACAGCTCGCGACGAAACGGGTAGGCGAGCATGAACCCGATGATGGTGATGACTGCGTTCCACTGGTATTGGTAGATCTCAGCGTGCCCGTGGTGGATATCATGCGTGGATAGACGGGTGTGTGTGAGGGTTGTTAGAGTTATTGCGTGGTGGAGGGCTGTGAGGGCGTGGGTTGTGGATTTGGAGGTTGGGTTGCTGGAGTTGGAGTTAGAGCTTGAGCTCGTGCTGGGGAATTGGATGAATGTGCGGTGCAGGGTCATTGTCGTGTTGTGGTATTGGAGGGAGAGGAGAGTGTTTTGGAGGGCAAGGATTGGCGAGCCTGCTAGTGTATCTTGAGGGGTTGACAGCGCATCTCCTGGTTGAGGCGATGTTTTTGTTGTTTCAACTGCGTCGAGCTGGAGATTCGCAAAAGGCTCCTGACGAGGTAACTCATCGCGCCATAGCTTAAGGAGGTCAAGATGCTTCAACAAGACCTCCGCGCGTGCTTCGATATTCGCAAGCCCAGATATCCCCTCGCGCGGGGAATTTAGGTCCATGGCCTCATTTATAGCCCGCGCAACAGCCGTAAGACGAATAGACTCGATGTGATAAGATAAGCCACTAGAACAGTCCATATCCAGCTCCTCCCTACTAGGACCCAACCCAACCAAGCCATCTGCACGACTAGTAACCGGCTTGCCAACATGTCGCGCGCAACGAAACTCCAGATGAATCAGCGTCCACCAAACGTGACGAAAGGGCCGACACTCCTTGTACCAGCCGTTCCGAGAGTCCATATAGTTGAGCGACTGCGCAATGCGAAGACCCAGTCCCACCATAATATATGCTGCCTGATACTGGCCCGCGTCAAGCAAATAGAGAGTCAAGTAGCAGTAGCATTGCATGACCGGTACAGAAGGACGAGCGAATGTGGCGAGTTGCGTGACGGCCGAGAGGGCGCGTTGGAAGTAAGGGAGTCCGATTTTGGACTTCCAATGTTGGAATTGCGGCCAATTGAGGCCGGCGAGGCGCGTGTGCAGGCTGGAGTTATGGATGTATTGTAAAGTGTATACTGTAACTGCATCTTGGAGAGGCTGGAGAGCTCTATTCATTCGTTCGGGATTGACTTCGTCCCATTGCACGATCGGCATTAGTGGGCGAAGATGCGACCAGAAGGTCTGCATTATACGACCAGTCTGGGCTGGAGACAAGTCGCAGTCGGAGGCCTGCGTCTCCTGTACCCCAGAGAGAAAAGGCAAGTCCTGTCCGAAAGGTGTATCACCAGATGAAGCGGTGCTCGCATACTGCTGCTGTCCTCCAGAGCAAAACGCATTGATCCGAGCAATGAATCCCAAGATCGAATCCGTTTTCTGCGAAGTCCACGCCAGATTTGCCGACGGCGACGGCGTTGGAGGTGAAGACTCCTCCACAGGTTGAAGGTCTTCTAACAATGTATCCGCCGAGTGGGTGCCTTTCTGTTGGCGACGACATGATTCATTGCTCCCCTTTGTCCCGTTACTCCGGTTCCTCCGCGGAGTCTGCGGAGTCTGTAGACGAGTTCGAACGCAGGGGACATTATTCGCCTCGCATGGGGGACATGGGGTGACAGCTTCACATCGCACACGGTGCTCGCGGCAAAAGTTGCAAGCATGACCGACCTTCCGGCGTCTTGGAACGAGGCCGACCTGTGGGAATGGCATTTGGACATTGATTCAGCGAGTAACGAGCGCTGGAAGTGGTGTGGGAGAGTGGGAGATTTGCTGTGGGTGCCGCGTCTGGCCAATCGGAATGCGAGGAGCGAGGCTGAATAATGGATCGATACAGATCCCAAGTGACAAATCATCATGACGAGAGTCTTGTATAAAGACAGGGAGATTTCCGTCTGAAATCTCAATATCCAGCTCCTCATCCAGAAAGAATATACTACAATTCCCATCATGCCTCAACAAACCGTCTTCCGCTTCCCAACCCGAACTGCCTTCGGCGACCTCACCACCTACCAAGAACCAATCCCAACCCCATCCAACCACGAAGTTCTAATCAAAGTCCGTGCAGTCGCCCTCAACTCGCGAGACTGCCAGATCGCAACCTCAAAATACCCTTTCCCCATCAAAGACAACGTCATTCCAGGCTCAGATGCCGCCGGCGACATTGTGCAAGTAGGCGACGCGGTGCACGATTTCGCCAAGGGCGACCGGGTCGTTGTATGCTTTGACCAGAACAGACCATACGGCCCGGCCAAGCATGTTGTTGCGTATCAGAATGGTGGCGGACTTGATGGAGTCATGGCGCAGTATATTTTGCGTCCCGCGTCCGCTGTTGTTAAGATCCCGGAGGATGCGCCGCAGTCGTACAGTGAACTTGCTTCGTTGGTTTGTACTGGGGTGACGGCTTGGAACTCTTTTTATGGGAATAATCAGCTGATTGCAGGGCAATCAGTCTTGATTCAAGGTACGTTTCTGGCGTTGCATAGATATGGGCACAAGTTAACTCGCAGCCAGGCACCGGCGGCACATCAATGACAGCGCTCGTCCTCGCCAAAGCAGCGGGCGCAACGACGATTGTCACCTCCTCCAGCGATGAGAAGCTCCGTGTCGTCAAGGAGAAGTTCAACCCAGACTACTGCATCAACTACACCAAGACCCCCGATTGGGCTTCCGAAGCTGTCCGGCTGACAGGAGGCAAAGGCGTGGACCACATCATCGAAATTGGTGGCGTCGGGACAATCGAGCAGAGTATCTCTGCGATTGCGCGAGGAGGCGTGATTAGCATCGTCGGGTATCTGGCCGAGTATGATCCGGCACGGGTTCCCAATGTCCTGATGCTTGCGCTGGGAAAGGAGGCGGTCTTGCGTGGGATTCAGATTGGGCCGAGGTGTATGTTGGAGGATTTGGTGACTCTTGTGTCGAGAAGGGGGTTGAGGTTCCAGATTGATCGGGAGTTTGGCTTCTCGAGGGAGGATATTGTTGCTGCTTATGATGCTCTGGCTTCGGGGAAGCATGTTGGGAAGATTTGCGTCGTGGTCGAGTGATTGCTCTGGAATAGAATGGAGGCCACTGTGGCTTTGAATAAACTTGCTTTCGTTTATCCTGACGAGTTATGGTTCTACGAGGCCGAGTTGTGCTGCAGAGCAACTCTACCCTCCCAGGGGTGGAGCCGAAAATAGTGCAGCAGTCGTATCGTCCTGGTTCATATATTGACAGTGCCAATGTTCGCCAGCATACAAGGCTGACAACAATAAGGAAACGGGAGCACTGGGTGCAGCTACTTCCAAAACAACACCTTCGCAACGCTACACAAGCTATGATTCGACCAATCCTTATACTCCCCGCGCTCGAGCTTCAACCCCGTCAAATGGGAAACCGCCTTTTGCGCCGTCCGCACACTATAGCTCATATCCACACAGCTATGCTGCGGCATATCCGCAAACTGACCCACGAGTCCGATATTCGCGATACACCGCGGGTTGATCATTGGTCGGTCGTTGACGGCGCGCGCGAGGAGGATGGCGCTCATGCGGGGCATCACGCGCGGGACGGTGACGGTGCGTTTCTGGATATGGTTTTCGTCGAGGTTCAGATGGTGGAGGAGCTCGATCATTATTTCCGCGCCCGAGCAGTGGAGCATCATTTTCTGGACGTATTTGCCGCGGCTCTCGGGGAAGTTGGCGAAGCCCCAAAAGACACGGGTGTTGTTCGGTTGTTCGGGGAAGACGGGTTGCGTGGGCAGACAGAGATTCATGCGCCAGGGGCTTTCTTGGAGGGAGATGAAGGCGCCGCATTGTGGGGGGCAATGGGAGATTGAGCAGAGGTGCTCATAGAGGGCGAGGTCTTCGGTCGTTATGGTGAAGGATTCGAGCATGGATTCGGAGACGCGCGTGCAGAAGTTGTAGGGGTCGCCGAAGCAGCTGTGGTGGGCGCCGAGTTCGAGCCAGAGGGACCAGTTTTCATCGAGCGCTTCGTTTGGTTGCATCGAGGCTCGGAAAGGTGGATTGTCATTGTTTCCCGTTGTTGAGCCGGAAACTGTCGAGCCTAGGGTGGCAATCACGATATCATCTTTTCCAATAACCTGGCACAGCTCGAAGCCATTCTCTAGCAGGTTGATGCTTCTAACCACTCGTTGTCCGTTGCGGACGCTCGTGACAATATCCTTGACCTTGGCATCGAACCGGAAATCAACCTCCAGGCTGCGCAAGAAGTGGTATATCGGTATAAACGTGGACTCAAACTGATACCTCCCCGTGATGTCAAGACAGCTGAGAATCTTCAACCCGTGAAAGTCCCGTAGATACTGCCGGATCGTCCGCCGAAACTCACTCGCGCTGTGCCACGGCTGGAACCCAAACTGTGCCGACCATATCGCCCAAAACGTGCCCTCGAAGAAGCTCTGCGGGAGATAGTCCCGGATCTGTTTTCTCTGCAGACTCTTCTCCCCTTTCAGCATGAGTCTGACTAGTGCAATGCGCTGTCGAAACTTCAAGTTCAAAAAGTTGGTCGGGATATTAATGAGCGCGCCATCCTGCTGCACGAGAAACTGCGTATTCAAGTCCTTCCGATTGTCTGAAGAAGCGAAGTATTCTGCATTTTTGATCTCATCGAAGACGGTCTGGTTCTCGTCTCGCACAGATGGAACTAGTCCAAGGAGATCTTTGAGGGGCTCGCCGACGGGGACAGGAAGGCATCCGGGAAATTGGTCGTATCCGGAAGATTGGTTGCCGGTGTTGTGTACAGCTAGGGCAAGGGATTCATGCCAATCGAGGATGTGTACGTTGCCGGGAGAAAAGTTGGCGAGTCGGATGAGGTAGAGGGCTGATGCGAGGGCGGCAGTGCCGCTGCCGAGGATCCAGGCCTCGCCTGGATCTGGGGGCCTTTCCCGGCAAAACCTTCCCTTGCGTAATCTTTCCTTTCTCATGGTAACATTGTTGCGGGGAGTTTGTTTGCTCGCGTTTTGTGGATCGCTTCGCTGTTGATATATACCAAGGCGCTTTGATTAGGTTGGTTCATGACGTAGAGAGTACCGCCGAAGCTGGAGGCGAAAGCCATCCGCTTCGGCTCTGGAATTACGACCCCGATAACTCCCATAGGTCAGTTGCATCAGGCTTGTCGCTGATGGGTCGGAAGCCCTGCGGTAACTCGGTTCCTTGAAGACAGTGAGAGTCAGTGTACCTGAGGGAACTTGATTCGACGCCGTCTAGATGACAATAAGAGGAGCCAGCAGATCAAAATGTGGGGATCGTGTCGGTCATGCGTCCAAATCTCTTCAGGTTAGATTTGCAGGCTGGCAATCGTGTAATCTTGCGTTTTTGGGAGTTCCGGCAGACACTTTTCACAGTGTTCGCCCAATCGCACTGCATAGTACCAGGAAATTATGGCGTCTGTGGCTTATAAAATGTATCAGCGACAAGATGCCCGACGTCATTTCCTCAACAACTGGGTCAAACCCGGGGGACTGGGTCTCGGTGTGGTCGGGACCGTTCTATGGAAGCAAAAGCACGAATGGTATGGAAGGAAAGTGCCGTAAACAGCCCAGCAACGGTTTGTGGTACCGAGACCGATCTAGGCTGGTCCATCGGCCATCAAACCGAAATTAGTCTGCCAGTCGTCTGGGGTAGATTCATATATTCAGGTATTATGGTGAGAAATATACAGGGTAAGCTCTTAGGCTTTCAGAGAGAAGCAGCTGCACCCCTAATCAAGGGAGCAACTTGCTTCCTGCTCTTCGACACGTTGGTCTGCACCCACAGACGCGTCCAGAGAGACCCATCTTTCGAGTCTTGCAGTGTAGATTTGATGTCTTGAGAATGGTCTTCTCCATCAAGTGAGAACCAATCTTCCAAGCCCAGCTGTGAACTCGATTCAGAGATGAAAGCTTTCAACGCAGCAATACCTCGGTCGCTGAGCGTGTAAGCGTGCAGTTCTCGGGAAAAGTCCCCGTCCGCTGAACTGAATGCAGTCATAACGATGACGATATCTAGATTGCGCTGAGAAGCAAATTGTTTCAATGAGTCCAGAAAAGCCGAGGAGCTCCCTGCTTTTCGGACCACCCACGGAATTGATTTGACCATTGAGCAGATACCAATCTGTATCGGGGGCTGATCAGTATGTCGAGAAGGCTTCTCAGCCCATTCTTTATAGTCGCGGTCCAGAATCTCATCTACAGTAAGCAAGTCGAGGCTGTTCTCTTTCGTTTTCTGGATCTCAGAATAGAACCGACTCGAATCCCACGATGAATCGCTAGTGGTCGCCTTGGGTAGTAGGAAATCATAAGCCGAAGTATCGAACTTGGTCACCTTGTCTTTATTAGTCAGATTTGTGGTGTCGATAAGTATCGGCGCCAGAGCCAGTTTGGCCATTTCCTCTTCGCTTGTAGACACACTCTCTGCATCCGATTTCCGCCAGAGACCCATCTTCTCTAGCATTGCGACAACAAGCGAGGTGCACGACCCCGCCGGTTCCACAATATGAGGTTGTGTATCAGGGATAGGCGGGAGGAAAGTTTCATCGGCATGATGATCGATGCAGCCCACAACCCTAAACTCAACTCCTTGCAGGCCTGACAACGAGCCCTTCCCCGACTGAGCCTCAGAAGACCTTATAGGCAACGCATTCCAGTCCACCAGAACCGACTCCGCCTGTGTCTGGTTCTTCGTAGCCTGCTGTATCTGTGCAGATAAATCTGCTACAGTTAGAAAATGATCCTTGAGCAATAAGCTCTCATCCAAAGTTTCCCCCGCATTTTCCCTCGAAAGTTGTAACGCTTTGACAAACTCGGGCCGCAACCTTCGTAGCTCGGAGCCAGCAGGAACGTTGTCGAGATTGATTATCGGCACATGAGGTCTCGGATAGTCCCGTGGGACTCGATTATTCGCAAAATAGGAGTAGACAAGCGCGGAGATGATCGAGTCGAGGTCCGCGGAGGGATTTCCGATGACGTAAATTGGTGACTCCGCACGCGATAAGCCGCCGGCGATGAAGCGTTGGTGCACCTGCAGAGCTTTTCTGAGGAATTGGAGAATACTGTGGTCGAAAGGAGTGATTCGCATCGTCAGTTTCGCGCCGGTGGTTTTTTTCTGACTGAAGTCAACAAAAGAAGCAAAACTTGGAGATGCGCAAATGAGGGGTCGGAGCACGGAGAATAGAGACGCCGAAGACACCCCTCCTACACCTTACTCAGGCTTATCTCTGCTCTTTCTCTCCTCAGAATACTAGAGAAATATGTCAGGACGGTTGAAGGCAGCAATTCTTGTGGTCTCCGACACGGCGTCGCAGGATCCGTCCACGGATAGAGTGGTCGGAACTCTGAGCAATGTGTTTACCACCGAGGGGCCGAACAACTGGGACCAGCCGATCACCAAAATAGTCCCGGATGATGTGCTCCAGATCCAGAGGACTGTCTGTGACTGGGCTGATGGGCCTAATTCAGTCAACTTGATTCTTATCAGCGGTGGCACGGGCTTCGCGGTCAAGGATAATACCCCAGAGGCTGTCTCGCCCCTCCTCCACCGCCATGCGCCTGGTCTTGTGTATGTCTCAATCTTTCAGCTATGTGACATGCTAATATGTAGACAGGCACGGCATGATCGCCGCCTCTCTGAGTGTCACACCATGTACGTCCCTTCAGGTCTCGACTTCGACTATCAGCTAACCAACCCAGTTGCAATGATGGCCCGCCCTGTCGCAGGAACCAGAAACAAATCCCTGGTCATAACACTACCCGGCTCGCCCAAAGGCGCCAAAGAGAACCTAGAAGCCGTGATCAAGTTGCTACCCCATGCATGCACGCAGGCAGCAGGCGCAGACTCACGCGCCCAGCATGCCGGCGGCATCAAGAAACTCGAGGCCGAAGCAGGCGTGAGATCCGATTCCCAGCATAGCCACAGCCATCATCACCATCATCACCACGATCACTCTCATGGCCACGGCCATGGTCATGTCGTCCCAAGAGCGCATACATCTCCATCTGAACGACGGTCGAATGACCCCGCGGCAGGCGCGAACCGGCGGTATCGCGAGTCGCCGTATCCGATGCTCTCGGTGGATGAGGCGTTGAAGATTATATCTGCTCAGACACCCGACCCCGAGATAGTGGAAGTTCCGGTCGATATCAATTTAGTGGGATACGTCATTGCAGAAGATATCTACGCGGCAGAGGCTGTGCCCGCATACCTAGCCAGTATCGTCGATGGGTATGCTGTAATAGCTCCCAAGTCAACAGAAGGCCAGAGCACCAAGGGCATTTTTCCAGTGGCTTCCATTACCCACGCGAACGAGGGTGGGACTCTCGCGCCGCTCGAATCTGGTACGATTGCTCGGATCACGACAGGCGCTCCTCTTCCACCCAACGCAAACGCGGTGGTCATGGTCGAAGATACCCTGCTAGCATCTTCAACACCCGATGGCAAGGAAGAAGCAACAATAGAAATCCTGACCGGTGATATAAAACCAAACGAGAACGTGCGTCAACCTGGCAGCGACGTCCAACTAGGATCCAAAATTCTCCAGCGGGGTGACCTGATTACTCCCGTCGGTGGCGAGATTGGTCTCCTAGCAGCCACGGGAACAAAGACTGTCAAGGTCTTCAAGAAGCCCACTGTGGGTGTGCTAAGCACAGGCGACGAACTCGTCGAGCACAACGACCCCAGGCAACTCCAAGGAGGACAAATCCGAGACTCCAACCGACCATCTATCTTATCATGTCTCAAGTCCTGGGGAATCCCAGCAGTCGACCTAGGTATCGCCCGAGACACACCCGCCGGCGAACTCGAGCGCAGTCTCCGGGACGCCCTCCGTGGAGTGGGAAACGCCAGCACGAGCGTCGATGTCATCATCACAACGGGTGGTGTCTCAATGGGAGAGCTCGACTTGCTCAAGCCCACCATCGAGCGCTCACTCGGTGGGACAATCCACTTCGGCCGCGTCTCAATGAAGCCCGGAAAGCCGACTACCTTCGCCACGGTGCCGTTCAAGCCATCGTCGTCGGAGGGACAGCAGGAGCGCAACTCGCGACTCATCTTCTCGCTTCCTGGGAACCCGGCCTCGGCGCTCGTCACGCTCAACCTGTTCGTTCTCCCATCTCTTCATAAGCTCATGGGTCTCGGGCAAAAGCAGGCTGCGCTAGGTCTGGCTCCCTCACTGGGTCTACCACTTGTTTCGGTGGCATTATCGCACCCTTTCCCAGTGGACCCGAAACGCACAGAGTATCATCGCGCTATTGTCACGGCATCCCGCAAGGACGGACGCCTCTACGCGACGAGTACAGGTGCCGAAGGCGTGGGGCAGCGGAGCTCACGAGTCGGCAGTCTCGCGAGTGCCAATGCACTCTTGGTGCTTCAGCCGGGGAAGGGCTCGGTTGCACAGGGTACCTTGGTACAGGCTCTTATGATGGGGCCTGTCGTACAGGATGAGTAGACTCGACGAACCATCGATACACCTAGACCTTTTTAACGAGACTTTGCTATGAGTTCACACCATTACAAGAACGTTCTCTGTTTCCTCTTCACTCTTTTCTCTTAACAACAGCGCTCTCCCACCTCTCCTTCAGACTCCTCCCCACCCACTCCTCATTCAAAACATGCCTTACACTCTCATGTGCTACAACTCTGGGTCCCCAACTCGCGAACCCGGGCGCCCGCTCCCGCAAAGCAGAGACCAGATTCCCGCTCAGAACTCCATACTCGGTCTTCACCAATGTAAAGATCCAGAGCAGAAACGGCCCCACTAGCACCTCGGCCAGTGTAAGAGTCTCACTGCCACCAAAGAACCTCTCTCCACCGTCACTGGTCGTCGATACAAGCAACGGCTCGATCTTCTCCTTGATTACTTCAACTAGCCCCTTCGTGCTCGCCTGGTGGCTTTCCCCGTTCATGATGATACCTACAAGGACCGGGTATACCTTCGATACCCACGCATCAACGAAGAAGGAGACCCTTGCACGCTGAATCGCGCCGCCGAGCGAGCTGGAGGGGAGGAGTAGTCCCGCTTTTGACCCCTTCTCCGTCTCCAGCGCAGGATGTGCATCAGCGAGGAACTGCGCGACGATCCCGGACTCAGTGATGATTGTCCCATTGTACGAGAGGGTGGGGACTAGGCCTTTCTTTATATTTTTCGGAGATCCTGAGGTTAGTTGCTGGCTTTCATGCTCATATATGATAACAAAAGTAGAGACTGGAGGAGGAAGGGAAGGGAAAGGAAGAGGTACAGGGTTGATAGCCAGGTACCATTCCTCGCGCGGTTTCTCAACGTCAATGAAGACTTCTTCGTACAGGAGGCCGAGCTCTTTGAGGGCGATGTGGGCGCGCTGAGCCCAGGGGCAATTAGGGTTTGTGTAGAGGATTATCTGGGGCGATGCCATTGTTGTCGATTGAGGCTGGGCTTGGTTTGTTGGTGATGGGAGTGCCGGGCATTGCCCTATATATTCTGAAGGTCCCTTAGTGAAAGCAGGACCTGTGTAGACTAGTGATTTATAATCTACACAGGGAGATTTGAAATCTTATGCCGAGAGTTCTATATGAGGTACAGTGTACTATTGTCTAGATAGTGGCGTAACGAATGGCTGCCTTAGAGCGAACTATACGAACTGGTGGCTACGATCAAGGTGCAAGTATGGTAAGACCGTATCGCGCTGCCGTGATTGGCAATCAGGTCTCAGATTTCTTCATCTCGTTCCATATAGAATGGATATACACAAGGCAGAAGACGATTGATATCCTTTGGCAATAGCGAATGCCCTAATCGAGTGCTACCAGGCAGTCTGCAGTTGTAGGTAAAGGGGGGCTAAACCATCAATCGTTGAAAGTCCAGCTAACCACCGAAAGCACCTCTTGCCGCCGTGACCACTATTACAGGGTCCTTTAGAAGTGCCTGCAGGCCGTTATAAGTATCAGTGCTTCCCCCCTTGCCTTCCGGCTATAGATCGAGAGAATCTGCTAACCAACGGGGTGTAGATCAGTGGGGAGATCGCATGACCGAAGTCGGATTCCATGGTTAATTAATTATAGATTGATCGGGAAAGATTGTTCTTTCTCTCTTTCCCCCCCTTTTTCGTACCCAGGTGGTCGTACAGAGGACGGAGTAAGTTGTAGACTCAACCTTATGGAGCCTCTGAGGTGGGTGGATACCATGTGGCCCATGAAGACTGCGCTACTCCTATACCGGCTAGCGCAGAATGACTCACCTTATCGATAAGATCTCCCAAGGCCTGCCTGGCCTTCATTCTTTGAAGCTCTTCACGACCAGCTGGCTGCGTTTGCTCCCACCACTTGACGAAACAAGTTACTCGCACCTATCATGGAGAATACACGTCCTTCAACACCACCGCCTCCAGCAGGCGGAGCTCCGAAGAGCCAACTAACCCCAGAGCAACTGAAACGAATCGTAAGCTCTTTGCCGCGTTTTCTTGAACCTCGCCACTCCCTCTCACACATTCCCAGGAAATCAACCGCATGAAAGCCAAAGCCCTCCGTGAACAACGCGAGGCCGAGCGCGCCTCCGCTGCCGCTGCCGCAGGCCCAACGAAGGGCGTCAAGCGGACATTCTCCGCCCTCACAGCCTCCGAAACGCCCGCGACACTCCGCGATGCGAACAATGCCTCATCGGGGGGCACCGGCCCGCTCAACTCGATCAAACCCGCGCGCAACTTTGCCAAATTCGTCGAGTATGACTTTAGCAAGATGACGGATACAAAGGGTGGATTTTTGACCGAGGAAGACGACCCATTCAACAAGGCGCTGCACGTAAAGGACGGTGGAGAGGAGAAGCCCGCGAATATGACGCAAAAGGAGTGGGAGAGGAAGCAGTTGTTGGATGCGTTGCGGCGGGACCGCGCGGGGCCATTTGAGCCGGGGATTAGTGTGTTGGATGATAAAAGCGAGCAGAAGCGGTGTCGCGAGTGCGGGAGTTTGGAGATTGATTGGAAGTGGGAGGCCGAGTTGAAGTGTTCCATTTGTCATGGGTGTAAGGATAAGTTTCCGGAGAGGTATAGTCTTCTGACGAAGACGGAGGCCAAGGAGGATTATCTTTTGACGGATCGTGAGTGTCCTCTACTACTGTTGTCAGTTATCAGGGTGTTGTACTAACAGTTCCAGCCGAACTCCGCGACGAAGAACTTCTCCCGCATCTCGAACGACCAAACCCTCACAAAGCAACCTGGAACAACATGATGCTCTATCTCCGATACCAAGTCGAAGAGTACGCTTTCTCCCCCAAGAAATGGGGTTCACCAGAGGCTCTCGACGCCGAATTCGAAAAGCGAGAAAACGAAAAGAAACGCCGGCGAGAAGTAAAATTCAAGTCCAAGCTGGAAGACTTGAAGAAGCGGACGCGCGTCGAGGCGTACCGGCGCAGTAGACAGGGAGCCACTGGGGGAAGCTTCGGTGATGAGATTGGGAAGGCTGGAAGACATGTACATCAATGGGGTAGATCGATTATGGACCCTGAGACGGGGATCGGGACGAAGAAGTGTGTGGACTGTGGGATGGAGGTAGAAGAGTTGGAATTCTAGTGAGTTACCGGCCGTTGCGGTGTACTAACGTTGTGCTGACTGGTGCAGGACCATTCATATGGGGATTGGCGCATTTACGAAAGACCCTTGCATGTCTTGTGCTCTTATAGAGAAGATTCTATACGCCACCATAGCAATCTTGCACCGTCTACCTCCCGGCTATGGAGCTAGGCCAGCGTCTAGGACGACGCCACAGCATTGCTGACCACACTGAACGACTTCGAAATCCATCGTCAGATACTCTCCAGCAAATGATTTTTCGGAAGCCGCAAGCCACTGAGCTACTAGCATACCGGATTTTGTGCAACTCAGCTCTATATTGATATTGATATCGTTTCCGGTTCATGGAGCAATGCCAGATTACCGCGGTCCCGGAGAGATCAACGCTCTAATCACCCAACCACGCCACATACGGTGGGCTTAAAGTGTCTGTGCCGTCAAATATTATCTCGCAGAGTGTCGACTACCGAAACCCTGAAAGCAGGAAAACAAGGGGCGTGTGATGATTTGCGAATAATCCGGTGGCAACACGGGGGATTCGGAACCGTCCGTCTTCTGATTGCATACGTGTCGGATATATTCACCCAGGCTATATAAAATATCAGTGGTGCCTAGTCAGCGTGGACCGAACTTTTGTCATACCTCTAACTATAACTATACAATGCCACTCAACATAGCGTACCTCCATGGCTGGGGGCCGAACTTCAGTATGCCTCTCCAACACTACTCCGTCTTGTAGCTGGGGTGGTCAGGTGGTTGGCAGTGGGGGTTATATTGGCTTTTAGACAGGTTTCATTCTCTTTTTCTTTGTTCTTAGATTAGGTTTGGTCTCATTACTTAGGTTCGGCTTGGTCTGGTCAAGGTATCATGCCCTTAAGAGACTCGCGTCAGAGCGGGTTTAGGCTCTATAAGCCTACAAACCATGCAGCGCCATGGTGCCTTGAGCTACCAGTTTTTACCGGTCAAGACATTCAACAACCATTGGCATCGTCAACCATGGAGAAGACGCATATCGATTTGCCACCTATAAACGCTTACAGTGGGGATGGGTGGGTGCAGTCTGAATGCTTCAAGAGGGAAACGGTACATGAATAGGAAGAAATGGTATTTAGCTAATTGCTAAGAACAATCCCCCTCGTATTGCAGCCCCTGCAACCGGTTCATGAAAGCGGGCTATTGACAGAAATCCTTCCCCTCCAGTCGTATGCGTCGGCAGATAGAGCTAAGCCAGGCTACAAAGGGCAGATGACAAGACAAAATGAAACTATAACACGCCTGCAAGACAAGACGAGGAAGCACATAGACTTTCCCAAAACGACGCACCGAAATCGAACCGGGCTAGACTCCTATATAAAGCAAGGTATCGCGCATCGACAGACAGACAAGAGGCCGCGTAAATCATCAAAGGATTATCATGAGAAGCAATGCAACGTAAGATATGGTCAGCTTGAGCTAGTTTACCTATCATATGCATGATCTAACCCCCGACGTCGGTGTTGGAGGGCTCCTCTTTCGGTGCTGAGCCTGTTCCCACTGATATCAGGGTTGGCGCTACTCGTCGCTTCTTTGGTGGCTGCGCTGGTTCTGCTGGGGCGTCCTGGCTCCCTTCTTTTTCAGATTCACTCCGCTTACCGAGGACGGTGCTGCCGGCGTTGCTCTCGCTCTGGGAAACGGCAGACATCGGAGTCTCAGGTGGCGTGGTAAGCGGCAGAGTAGCTGGAGGCTGCGCTGAGTGGGTTGCAGTTACTAACGGCACCGACCCGAGGGTTGGGGTAGGATTGTTGATAACTTCTGCTTGCTGTGACGCGCGCTGTGTTGCGATTGACGATACAGAGTTGGATCGCGCAGGGCTTGCGGGTGGTGGGGGGACAGTATTTGGAGCGGGAACAGCCCCAGTTGCATGCGTTGGGGTGGGCAGTGCAGATGTTGGTTGTGCTGCAGAAGCACTTGGTGGGGCCGTTATTTGTGCGGTATATGGCTGTCCCAGCTCGCCTGGAGCAAAGGATAGTGCAGAGCAGAACCCATCTGAGGAACTCATGATCAACGTCAAGCCATCGTTCGACCTGCTGAAAGTTAGAATATTTTCCTATATATTAGAGTTCAAAGGTGATTTACCACGCCAGATCAGTAAACGTAGCGAAATGCAAGTTGCTAACAATGCAGAGCGGCGCTTGTTGCTGAGTATCATACACCAAAACCGCATCTTGTGTAGCAACGGCATATACCACTCGATATGGCAAGGCGAACACAGGGGGCGGCGCACTGTTTGCAGAAGCGGCTTCACCTCCCGAGGGTTTGGCTAATGTACCATTCTTCGTGTCACCAGCGTTGAGCTTGGGCGTTGGAGGCTCTGCGGTATTTACCACCGCGTCAATTGAGCGAGATGGCTCTTCCCCAGATGAGGTATCCAAAGTGATATGTTTAGATGGTTCGGGGGCCTTTCGTAATGTGTAAAAGACCGGAGAGCACTTGACTGCCACTGAAGGCTTTTTGTGGCCAGGAAGATGGGAAATAGGAGGTTTGTTGAAACCCGCGCGGGTATAGATGTAGACAGTGTTCGTGATCTCGTCTATCGACTTTCCGGGATCTGCTGAGGAGGCATGTGACGTTTTGTACTGGCCTGCTGGTGTGAACAGTAAACTTCCGTCGGGTGCGAATGTCAGTCGCCGGAAGAAAGAGGTAAATGTTTCATTGGCGTAGATGTTCGCATTTCTAACGCCCAGTCCACCTAATCCCGGCGATGTCACTTCTAGAGGTTTGACGGCAGGTAGAGGTAGTGATGGTGCTGGAGACGCGGAGCGGCGGATATTTGGCGACGAGCTAAAAGATGATCGTCGACTGTGTGACATTGGGGGAGGGTCCATTGGCAAATGTGAGGTCATCGGCGTCCCCGGGGTAGACGGAACGGGAGAAGCAATGGCCATAGAGTTACTGGTCGCTGGCTGTGATCGGATGGAGAGATCCGGGGGTGCAGGGCTGGTGCGCGAAATCCGCCTTGCGGGTAGGTCCATCTTGAAGAATTTCCCATGAGAGGTGAGGGTGAATTGGCCGTCTTTCGTCTTCAAGCTGTAAATATGAACAGACCGGTCGGAGGACTGTGTCGCCACAAATTCGTTGAGGGGATCCCAGGCTACTCCTTGCACATAATGCGAATGTTCCGCGATTTGACGCACCATTTGACCTAGTAAGGAACTGGTCAGCAACAGATCGAAGCACCTTGTCAATCGGAGATCTGGAAAGGAGAAGTGTACCAGTCTGTGCATTGTAGATTCGAGCGATGTTATCCATGCTTCCAGTAATGATAAAAACTCCATCTGGAGACCACGCCAAGTCATATATCTCAGCACCGGAGGACCGACACATATGCTTCACCCTCCATGTTTCCTTGTCGTCGGATCGATCTTCTCCCAATCCAGGCTGGGTTTGTAGTTCTGAGGGAACCCACAGCAAAACATTTCCATCGTCTCCGGCCGATGCCAGCATCTCGCCTAGAAGAAGTTAGAAAAGCGAGGAAGGAAGACGCCTGCTCAAAAAAAAAAAAAAAAAAAAAAAAAAACCTACCCTTTGGACTGAACCGGACAACATTGACAGCTTGTGTATGTTTCACCAGTGTGCTCAAATATGACACTTTTCGCTCATTGCCAACGGTCTCCACCTTCCAAAGCTATAGTTCCTCCGAGGTCAGAACAATTGACAAACGGTCATCGGGGGTAGGAGAGGGCGAACGCACGCGGACATTGTTGTCGCTAAAGCGGAGATAGAATTAGCTAAACTGCAAGATAGGATAGGTCGACAAGTGATCAATAAACATACTTTCCAGCTGTAGCCAGGCGACCCTTGCCATTGGGGTCGAAATGGACCGAATAAATGGGGGCATTGTCGTTGTGCCACGCGATGAGTAACGGAGTGGCCTTCATACTGAGGACAGAGCCCCCGACCGACAGAGGGTTGGGGAAAGAGAATTGATCAGGCGAGATGGATGCAAGCCAAGTAGCAGAAGATATGTGTTAGGTGAGAAGATGAATCTGAATCAGAATGTGGCACGACTGAGAGGGGAGAGCTGCAGTCGGCGAACGAGAGAAGCTCGCGAGCAGAAGGAAGTGGTGAGCGTCGGAGGATCAGCAGGCTGCCGTCAAGTGGTGCTGTACGCGAGAGGTACGCGCACGAGGGAGAAGGGGATGGTCCAGAGCAAAGATCGCTTGAGGAAGAAAGTTTACGTTCAAGGCGAGTGGTGATGTCGATACAAAGGATTCATTTGATCATTCAACGGTCGAGCTGCGAGTGCTTGAGCTCGTGTCGTTTTGGCGTCCTCAGTTGGAACGCGCGCCGCCATTCGCCAATAAGATCCAGTTCCGGCGTCGTCTCACCAATCCGCTCACTGCGATTCCAATCACATTGGGTTGTATTGACACCACCATCATCTACCTGGTACTTCTGCTACTGAGATTATAATGGAAAACTGATTCAGTCAAGAGATACTTGAGCGACCTGATGCATTACGCTTACCGACTTTCGCCCCATCGCGACTTCGAAGACCTAGCAACCGCAGTCAGAAACAACAGGAAAGAAGCTCAGGATAAATTGGGGCTAGCTTCCGTCTTTCTATTATACCCAATGTAGATTAGCTCAGTTTGGCCATCTATCGATTCATAGTGTCAAGCAGTGGACCTGCAGATGATGAGACATTGGATTTAATCCAACTGGGGTCACCGGTAGCTAGACAGTCTATTGTTTGGCTGGGGCGTAACACATTCTTCTCAACGTGCTGACTGTGACTTTTAGAAACATGGACGCGGCTGGCCTGTAGGAAGGAGTATAATCATCGCGACGAGACCATCGTTGGATTAGTATGGGATTATGTAGCATTGCTGAGTTCTAGGATATAGCTATTACAAAGTGATCAAAGCGAGCCATATCCCGCGTAAGGTATTTAAAAAGAGCTTCGGGTATATGTGGTAGTAGTGAACGGGTAGATATGGTTCTATGCGTTCATCCTGAGAACAGTTGAAGTGCAGATCGAGCAGATCATCCTATTAGCAGTATTTGAGGCACCTGTCGTAGCCTTGACGGCCTGTTATGGCGTAGTGGGAGGTGTGAAGTGAGAAGTCATCTTTCCATCAGAAGGCACGGGGTACATTGGAGTCATAATGGGTGGTATCAAAATCAAAGATAATCTTGAACGGGTCACGGGCACGACAAGACTATAACCAAGCGAGAGTCCACAGTGCCGGCAGGTTAGGCCACTTCTCTTGCCATGATGCAAGAATCTCAGGAACCTTTTCGTCGAAACTCCTTCGAGCCTCGCCAGTGCCGTTCTCCCAGCCCTCAGCACCGAGTGCCTTTTGTTCCTGGGTAGCAGTCTCGTTCAGTCGTGTAGCTAAATCCAGGATGGCCTTGCCGCCTACAAGAGCTTCCTCGTGGTTATCGCGGATGTCGACATTGAACACATGCACGGGCCGATTTAGAGGAGAGCCTTTGTTCATGAGGTCATCCACAACAGCATCCCAGCACCGCTCCTCGCAGGTGATGATGACGTCTACTACGCCTCCTTCAGTCCCCTGAGCTCCCTTGTCTCCTTTGGAGACATGGTCTATCCGCGGCAGCCCAGGCACCCAATCCTGGAAACGCTCAGGCCCCCATTTCACATTGCGGTTTCGATCGAGCATGTTCAGAATACCGTTATTTCGATACAGACGCTCATCCTTGGAGAATAGCTCTTCGTACATTTGTGAGTACGAGGTTGAGTTGAAGTTATAGACATTAGGTTGTGTGATAGAGGGGCCTGGTAGGCGGACTAGGGAACCCGTTCCAAAGGAGATTACAGGGAAGGGTGACGAGGCGGTAGATAGACGGAGATGAGCCTCCATTGAGCGGTTCTGGTTGGAAGCACATACAGTGCAGAACCGGAGTTTGTAGGAATCTGATTGACCACCAGAGCTTGAGCTAGCATTCGGAGCTTGAGCTGTCTCCGCAGGAGGAGGGGGGGGTGTTGGAGCGTTCTGAGCCGCAGTGCCTGCACCGGCTAGCCGTGGATCATAAGCCATCTTGCTAAGCAATTACCTACAAGAGGCTTCAAGGAGGATGGTATGTTGTATGAGGATGGATTGGCGGAAAAGTTTTCCCACACGGCGAACTAAGGAGGCCGGAAAGTATGTTCACTGAAAGGTTCCTGGAATGGCTGCATTTATTAGCAAGGCTACACCAGTAGACAAAGGGAGTGATGCAAGTGCATTGAGTAAGATCAAGTCAGAAAGATAAAAAGCGTATTTAAGAGGTTGTCCGCATTGCGAGCTCAGACAGCTCCAATAATAAAAATTCATCATGAATTTGGGTCTGGGCGGATTGTATTCGGGTGTCGCATACCTTTGACAAGTTTATCATGATATTCATAGAAAACTACGGTGTAAGAAATGGTGGTCACGAGAAAGGGCCGCAGCCCTGATGCTGGAGAGTGAAAGAGAAAGCTGTGCGAAGTTTGCTTGTTGTGGTGGGAGTTTTGTGTTGCGCTGGCTGAGTCAGCGACTCTATAAATCGTCAGACTAGCCTCTTCCGTCCTAGCAGACTCGAGCACTTCCTTCAAGCATAATGTTGAAGCCAAACAGATAAAGACCCCAAGATACGGAATGCAGCTGTCGCTTCTTTATCTCTGATGGGAGGTCTCGTGGATTCTGTGAGAAGACCACCGTGTTTGGCTTATGCCCAGCACCCGTTCTTCCTCACTTACAACCTCAACTATCACAATGAAAGCTGCGTTGATCGTGGTTGATATGCAAGAGGACTTTTGTCCACCGGTAAATACAGTTCTTTTGTGCCTCTCACTCCGTTACTCATACTGATCATCTCTCTTCCTGGGCGTAGAACGGATCGCTCGCGGTACAAGGTGCTCGCGACTTGGCCCCGACGATAAATTCGCTGCTTGCACATCCCGGATTTGCGGTCCGTGTCGCATCTCAAGACTACCATCCCCTGGATCACATTTCTTTCGCGACGAATCATCCCGCGCCCAACAACCGGCCGTTCGAGTGTAGGTTCGAGATGGTTAATCCGGCTCCCGGAAAACACACCGAGACGAAACAACAGACGCTATGGCCCGTGCACTGCGTTCAACAAACTCCAGGCGCGGAGATTATACACGAAATTGACGTCAGCAAGATAGATCTGTTCGTACAAAAGGGTATGCATCCGCGCGTTGAAATGTATTCAGCGTTCGCAGATGCATTTGGGAATCAGGATCCCGCGATCGTGTCCGTAAATGCCGATCTCCAGACTTTTCTAACAGACAGGGGTGTCACGGACGTTTTTGTCGTTGGGGTCGCGGGGGATTTCTGCGTCAAATACACAGCCCTCGATGCTGCTGTCGCAGGGTTTCAAAGCCACGTTGTGCAAGATGCGACCGAGTGTGTGGTTCCAGGCTCTGGGTGGGAGGAAACGATCCGGGAGTTGACAGCAGCTGGCGTCTCAATTGTCCGGTCTGATGGGCCTGAAATCGCAAGTCTTGTCTGATTTGGCCACTTGCTATCGGAATTTACCAAGACGTATATTACACAGTATAGTTTACTTTACCATCTATGTAGGCTTGATTCAGCATGGGGAGCAACAGTGTTGCCAACTATCTATGACGACGACAAGATAAGGCCGGCTGCTAATGCAGGTGGCGCCACATGGTAGATACCTAGGCAGACGAGTTCTCTACATAAGGTTGTTTTGCCCCCCTTTTCTTCCGGTTGATTCAACCATGTCTCAATTGATGGATCCTTCGTAAGGATCCAATACATATTCTAGCTCTCCACCGAGGCTCCTTTTATACTTCCACCTTTCTTAAGGGCATGTCAATCCCTTCTGGAAACGTCTGGGGGCGGGTCTGGTGCGGCTATGTCCTCCGCCCATTCACCAATTCAGATGAACAGTGAAATATGTTCAGCGATAATGTCTTATTACGACTCACTGAATCAACCCCCTTGAAGCTTTGTTCGGCTCATCCTCCTCCCCTGTCTGTAGCATCTCACGCCCTTTCTCCGACGACCAGTACCATTGAACCGTGTCATGTCTAACACAGTCGCCACTCTTACAGCTGTGGCTGAGAAATGGGAACCCCGTCAAGCTGTGAGCGCACCCTCCTACCAAGCCTCGGAGAACAAGATTCCCTACTGGAATGTCAATGTTCCGCCGGCGCAGTGGACGACTGATTGCCCGAGCTTTCTGCGAAACCAGTCCGAAAAGAACATCAGCATCCTCTCAACACCAGACGAGCAGTATCGGAGACAAGGGTGGGAACTGGTGCGACAGATAGTTGGTGCGTTGAACGGTTCAAACTCAACCCCTGTCTTCAGAGGCTCCCGCTGATGGGCTTACTGTGTTAGAAACCAACCAGATTGATCAGTTTCAACGATTGCCCAGCGACCTAAGACGTTACCTCGAGTACAAAGAGCAAATTATCGCGAACTATGGATCGATAATGCGGTTTGTGGTCAAGGAAAGACTTCGATGGGGAGACGGCATTGCAGAGGACCTGAAGCCCAAGGGACGGCCGTTCGAGTATGCTGGTAAGTCGCCCATCACGAATGCGACACGGCGCATACGCATGGTTTTGGCTGACAGTGAAATATCGCGAGCGCAGAGGATATTCGGATACTACACAATGACTGGCCCTATGGCTTGGCCCATGGCATCGTTCACTTGGTCGTGTGGACGAAGTTCGCGCTAGAAGACGACCCGGCGACAGATGACCTCACGCCCCTCGCGAGGAAGGAAATCGATGATTATGTGAAAAAGACGTTTTGTTCGCAGATATCACCGAGCCAGGTACGTGGATCTGCGTGGCTGGTGTTACACACACTATGTCGTTTGCGTGGCTGAACTGACGTTTCGTCTTTCTGCGCTTCCAGGTCGTGTGGTTCAAGAACTGGAGATCGCTCAAATCAGTACATGCCGTCGAGCATTTCCATGTCATGCTGCAGAACCCGAATCCAAAGTTTGTCCAAGAGATTACAGGAGGAGATGTGCCCTGGACGTTGAAAGGGATCTGAGCTGCGAGCTCTTCCGCTCTGACTCTCATTATTATGTCGTTTTCCCCACTAGGTACTATACCCCTGGGCGGAATAGCGGTCTGTTTATTCTCGCTTGCAGGAGGAAGAATAATAGCTTTCTTCGAATCTTCCACAGGGTTTCTGCCGCAAAATCACCCCACTCGCCAAGCTATGTGGCTCCCTCTGATAGACGAGAAAACGGTGGACAGCAAAACAAATTATTATGCCTTTGGACTCTGGACTGACAAACCGCTTAGCCTGTCTGGCGTCACTTGAAAGGTGGCGGGGTGATCGTCAAGTGGACAAAAACAGCCCATATAAAATGCGAAGACCCTCCCGAGCAGCGGAGCCCAAATGACCTCAGTCTTCGTCTTTCTTTTTTCTCACTACTCAGATAGACTCAAATAAAGCCCCTAAAAGACCCCTGCCCACCAAGCGACACGCCATAGAACAAACACCAAAGCGAAGCACGCTGTAGCCATGCCCAAGCTTCCTGTTGCGCATATCCGCCGCCGGTCATCGCTCGCGAGTGAGTGTGAACTTTGCCGTCATCCCCCAACGTCATTTTCGCTTTCCCCTCCTCTTTTTTCTCAACACAGCCTCCCTTTTGCTTCCCCTGTCGTTCCGAGAACAGGCATCCTTTTTTGCTGTCAATTCCATGCGCTGCATCTAAGCTCATCGAGATAATCTCGGTTTTCTCTCATCTTGTCGGCCATCATGTCCGCTGACTGGAGCTATCTCTGGGGTTCTTCAGGCAACCGTTCGTCGACCGAAGACCCAAAAACTGACCCTGGGAGCGGGGAAGATGAGGTTGTCGAGCCCGACCAGGGAAATGGTATGTGCTTTTCATCTTCATCCAATCGTATAGATTCGTGCCGAGCGTTCTCTGACGAGTCTGTGTTTCGCAACAGTCCTTACCCACATTATTTCCCAGCTCCGACCGGGGGCCGACCTCAGCCGGGTTGTTTTGCCCACCTTTATTCTAGAACCCCGATCTATGCTGGAGCGGATCACAAAGTATGTATCGATCTCCGCTGGTGTCAAGAGCGTCCCGTGAATCCCGTATTGTGAAATCAACATGGCTAACCCGGATCTAGTTTCATGGCACATCCCGAAACCCTACTTCCTATGGCCGAGAACGATGACCCTCTCGAACGCTTCGTCTCTGTTGTCAAGTTCTATCTTAGCGGATGGCACATCAAACCTCCGTACGTCCTGTCTCTCTATACTCCGGTCGCGGACGCGTTCAGCTGATGAATGGATTATAGTGGTGTCAAGAAGCCGTTGAATCCCGTACTTGGAGAAACCTACACCTGCTCCTGGAAATATCCTGACGGTACACATGGATACTATATCTCCGAACAAACCTCCCATCACCCGCCCAAGTCAAGCTACTTCTTCATGGCCCCAGAACACCATATCCGAATCGACGGCACACTCAAACCGCGAAGCAGATTCCTCGGTAACTCCGCCGCAAGTATGATGGAGGGTATCGCCATTCTACGATTCTTGAACCGCGGGAAGGATAAGGAACGGGGCGAGCGATAGTATGTGGAATGAACTGTATATGATGGTAGCTAGGCTAACATTCGCCCAGCATCCTGACACAGCCGAACATGTACGCCAGAGGCATCCTGTTCGGAAAGATGAAGTATGAGCTTGGAGACCACAGTTTCGTGCGGTGCCCCGAAAACGACCTTGTCGCGGACATTGAATTCAAGACCAAAGGTTACTTCTCCGGTACTTACAATGCTATCGGTGGGACGATCAAGAATGAGAAAACCGGAGAAGTCTACTATGAGCTTTCTGGCCTCTGGAACGGAGAAATGCATATCAAGTCCGTTCATGTACGTCGACTACCCGAGTTCGCCTTGCAATTTGGTCCTTGAGCTAACCTTCGCAGTCGCATGACAAGGAACTTCTCTTCAACGCTGCGAAATCCAAGCCAACCTTCCCTACGACCCGTCCTATTGACCAACAAGGTGAGCGCGAGTCGCAGCGGTTGTGGCAAAGCACAGTCAAGGCCATTATTGCGCGAGACCATGAGACTGCCACAGACGAAAAGACCAAAATAGAGGACCGTCAACGTGAAGAAGCGGCCAAGCGAGCTGAACAGGGTGTCGAGTGGCACCCCCGCCTTTTCCGCGCAGTGCACAGTGAACCTGGCGGCTCCGAGGAGGGCGAAGAGGGCCTCGATTGGATTATCAACGCTCACGTGTACGTTTACCTCGGCGCAAGGCAAGAGACAGCAGCGGACTAACTGATGACCTTAGTGACTCCCATGACCCTGAACTTGCCAAAAAGCAAATCAAGGCGATTGCTCCGATCTTTGAAGGAGAAACATGGGACAACTTCGAGATCCCCGCCTATAAGTCTCACTCCATGAACGGCGCCGATATGGCAGCAGCCGTCCAGTCGGAGAACGAGAAACCAGAGCCCCTCATCCCGGATACTAAGCCAACAGCAGCCAAGCCGGAAATCAAACAGGAGGTCGTGGAGCGCACGGACTCGAAAACCAACGAGGTCGACAAGTACGTCGACGCAGCGGAAGAAACCAAGCCGTGAGGCAGTCCCCGTGCTCCTGCCCGCAGTCCCGTTTTCCCCGCGCGGGGCGCCTCCAGTGCGCTACATGGTTAAAGGAAAGATAGTAGGAGGGCCAAAGTATATCTTCTTCCCCGCGTCTCACTCTCGCTGCGATGGCCGTGCCGTGACGTAACTGCACTGCCTCGTAGGCATACGCCCGCTTACTCCGTACGTGCGTGACATACCTCGATCGAGTCTAGACGGCCTTGTATACTCCTCCTCTTCCTCCTCCTCCTCCTCCTCCTCCTCCTCCTCATCATCATCATCATCAACTAGTTCTCTGGGACGGATTCGGATATTCATTACCAATCCGCTACCCCACACCGCCATCGTCATCAACTGACCTGACTTATATTGGATACCCGATCTGCATTTTGTCTATGCGAAGAAAAGTGAGCCAACCTTCAACATAAATAGTACTACAAAAATAAAACTTGAAAAGACTGAAAACACGTTATAGGAGTAAAAGGAAGGGTTGATGAATGGGTGGCACTGGTGATATATACGGGTATCTGCTTAGTTTCGCGGTTCGCTGCTGAGATACAGTACAGTATGTACCTTAATAAGTAATGTCCATTCGGTACCTATACACTTCTCACACCTGTAGTAATCGTATACAAACTGCATGACTTCGAGGCAGGCGCTGCAGGAGTATCTAGCTGCGGGTGCAATGCACGCAATGTCTTTTCGAGTTCCAGACTCCTTTCGCCAGAAAATGCATCAGAGGTATCCATCCAACTGTCGACCGACTCATTTTTCCCATAACGCCATTCCACCAACACCGAACTCAATAATTTGACGAAGCGACGAAATCACGAATACAACTCCCCCTTGAGTCCACTCCCCTTCTCTGCATCCCTGCGTCTCGAACTCTTTCCAACACCATCGTCTTCCCTCTCCTCTTCCAACCGCGCAATCTCCTCCTCAATCTCCTTCTCTGTATCCTCGCGAAGCCCCAGCAGATCTGGCGGGATAACCGACATCTGCACGCTCGGCGCAGTCTGGATATACCTCAGCTGCTCGCGGATCGTCTGCACGATATTCTGCAGGTACGCTCGGGAGTTCTTATTCTCTAGCTTGCGCATCTCGGAGAGCGGCGGGAAGAGCGAGAAGTCGGGCCCAAAGTGGTTGCGGAAGGTGACGTTTTCCGGGATCTCCGGGTCGATTTTATCCTGGGCGTCGATGAGGATGGAGGTTTCGTGGGCCCAGGCGCGGGAGACGTTGCGGGGTGTGTAGCCGCCGCCGCCGACGACGAGGAGGGGGAGGTTGAATGTTTTCACAAAGGCGACGCAGGCGCCGTGCGCGGCGACGTTTAGATTGAAGCAGCCGAGGCGGTCGCAGCCGAGGGAATCGGCGCCGCATTGGAGGACGATTGCGGAGGGGCGGAAAGATTCGACGCAGGCACCGATGACGTCGTGGAAGAGCTGGACGTACGAATCGTCGTCGATGCCGTCGTTGAGGGGCACGTTGACGGCGTGGTGTGCGCCTGGGTTGAGCGGGTGCGTGGGGCCCGTGCTGTCAAGGGGTCCGGTCCCTGGGAAGAAGTTTTCCTTGTCGTATTTGTGGAAGGAGACGGTTAGAACGCGGTCGGAGGACCAGAAGGCTTGTTCGACGCCGTCGCCATGGTGAACGTCGATGTCGATGTACATGACGCGCGGGTGGACGCGGAGAAGCTGGAGGATGGCGAGGACAATGTCGTTGATGTAGCAGAAGCCGCTGGCTTCGGCCTTCTTCGCGTGATGTAGCCCGCCGGACCAGTTGATTGCTATGTCGGCCTGGTTATTGCAGAGCTTGCGGGCGGCGTCGATGGAGGCGCCGGAGTAGAGCGAGCAGTATTGGAAGAGACCGTCGAAGATCGGGCAGTCGTCACCAAAGTTGAAGCGAGCTATTGACTCGCTCAGATCGGCTTTCTCCATATCACCAGGAATCACGTTTTGTAGGAACTCGAGGTAGTCGGATGTGTGAAAGTCGTTGAGCTCTTCGGGTGTCGCGGCGCGCGAGTGGTATAGGTCCATTGCATGGTGCATGCCATATGCAAGGACGAGTTGCTTGGTGAGGGTGAGTCGCCATGGCTTCATCGGGTGTGACTGGCCAAAGTGGTGCAGCTCTACGGCCGGGTTGGCGTGCCATGACACTCGGTAGCCCGATGGACGCGCGACGATGCCTTCATGCTGGTGCTGGGCGGTTTTGCGGTCGACCGAGAGCGTGGGAGTGGGGTTGTACTCTTGTACAATGGCGGATCGGGGCATGAGAGTTGACGCTTCTGTTTCTCCTTCGACAGTTCGACTGGACTAGATGGAGCAGGTTCGACAACTGGAGACGGCGATTTGTGCAGAAGAAGCGCTCCCCAAATCACAAGACGAACGATCGCCGGCTTAGCTAAGCTTCCGATCTCGCCCTCGGCTTCTTTTCTAGATCCCATCTCTATAGCCGTTGGAAGTGGCGTCCTCTTCCATTCTTCTCTACACGTCTAAATTGCAGCTGCACTTTCTTGGAGAGGACTCTATCTGATGAGCAAAGCATTGCACAGTCTTCAAAATGAATACCGGCGCCTCGAATCTCCGCAAAGCCCTCCAGGACCCTAACGCGTTCATAACCGCGCCTGGTGTCTACGATGGCCTCTCGGCCCGCATTGCTCTCAACGTCGGCTTCGACGCTCTCTATATGGTCTGCCCCCTTGATCCGACGTACAAGATAAAGTATCCAGCTAAAATCGAGGACGAGATAGACCGGCGCCGGTACAGCCGCCTCCGTGCACGGCCAAGCCGACCTCGGAATCTGCACGCTCAACGACATGCGGGCTAACGCCGAAATGATCAGCAATCTCTCTCCCTCAACCCCAGTGATTGCAGACGCCGACACCGGCTACGGCGGACCGATCATGGTCGCCCGCACCACGGAGCAATACGCTCGCTCGGGCGTCGCAGCCTTCCACCTCGAAGATCAGGTCCAGACGAAACGGTGCGGCCACCTGGGGGGTAAGATCCTCGTAGACACCGACACATACGTCACTCGGATCCGATCAGCTGTGCAGGCGCGCAAGCGCATTGGCAGCGACATTGTCATCATCGCTCGCACAGACGCCCTCCAAGTAAACGGGTATAAGGATAGTCTTGCACGACTCCGAGCTGCGCGGGACGCCGGTGCAGATGTTGGCTTCCTTGAGGGTATCTCGTCCATCGAGATGGCTCGTCAGGTCGTCGCTGACCTTGCCGGATGGCCGTTACTCCTCAACATGGTCGAGCATGGCTCGACGCCACCCATCACCGCCGCTCAAGCTCGTGAGATCGGTTTCCGGATCATCATCTTCCCATTCGCTGGACTCGGTCCGGCCTGCGTGGCTATTCGGGAGGGAATGGAGAAGCTCAAGCGCGACGGGATTCCGGGTCTCGATAAGGAGCTAACGCCGCAGATGCTATTCCGAGTTTGCGGGTTGGATGAGAGTGTCAAGGTGGATGCTGAGGCTGGAGGAGCTGCTTTTAGTAGCGGTGTAGATCTCAAAAAAAAAAATAAAATAAAAAAAAAAAACATTTTGCATGCCCATGTGTTGAATTGTGTGCCACAGAATCATCACTACATTCACTCGATTCAAGTGTGCGTCTGCTTCGCTGTAGGAGATATGTAGTGAGCATGACAAAGCGACATTGCGCACGACTGTTTAAGAGATCAACAACAAATTCAACAACAAAACAGAGAGAACGAGTGACACAGGAAGGGTAAGAATTGAAGTCGAAGTGACAGCAAGAAGACTTGGTGAGGTGGTCAAATGTCAAAGTCGTGATTGACTAGCCCGAAGTAGACTGGCTCTGTGTTACAGCGCGAGCCTTCAAAAGGCTTCAAGTTGGTCCCGAGGCATACAACATAGTAGTACATTGTGATTCGTGAATGAACTTGAATTCCAGAAACAGTTGCTCCTTAAAGTGTACCGAATTCCACCAGCAACACAAGGCAATGACTCGCAAAATCAATGCCGATGGGCACCCGGCCCATGGTTCCCATCAGAAGAGTTTAATGAGAGCTGCCCAATTTCAAGAGCCTTCAGCCTCTCGCCCAGCGTTTGCGATTTCATCAGTCATTGTTCCAGAATTACTGGCCTATCATTTCTTCTGCTCAGGGCTTTTTTGCACGGGTAGTACATTGCAGCCATGGATATGCCCTTCCTCAACCACGGATCAGGAGCCCAAGGAACCGCTGTTTATTTTTATACTCCACACACAAGAAAATTGCATTGCACCGAGTCCCGACAAAGAGAGAACTCCTTTATCAAGGACCAAAACTGCCCAGCAACAAGAATAGCATGAGAGCACAAAGTACCAATTCTCACGAATTGGATCCAGAAGCTTCGAAGAAGCAGCCAAGCCGATTCTCGAGCCTGGACTGATCAGGGCTAGCGAGGCGAGTTTCATGATCCGCTCGGGCAAGGTCCGTTGGCTGCGGACGGCAGTTGATCCAAATCACGGGCTAAAATAGCGGCTTAGCCATCGCTGGCCGTCTTTTCGACCCGCTGCTCGGGGCCAGACGGGTCGAAAACTTGAGGGTGAGAAGGCGTTCAAGCGAGAGGACGAACGACGAAGTCCGGAGTTGGATAGAAACGGAAAGATGTCAGTTAAGGTGGCATAATTTTAGCAGTCATCTCACTGATCTGAGAACTTAGGGGTCGAGGAGCTGAGTCAGGGGCTCTGGTGTTCGTCTCAAGGCGAATGGCCCGGCGTTGTCCCGCTCTGGGGCCGTGGAAGCCACGACGGGTACCTCGAGCAGTGGGCAACTCGATGCCACAAAGCGCACAAAAGGCGGTCTTTCTTCGAGTCAGAGACAACGTTCGTGGCTCAGGCACGGAGTACAAGCAGCTTTTCGCAGTCTCGACCCCTCCTTCTGTTGAAGGAAAAGTGCAAACACTCATCTCTCATTGAATCCGATGGCACCCGTGGGTCTGACGTGGCGAAAGGCACACACCGTAGATCCTGATTCATGCCACCTCGATCAGTCCAAGGGACGATTATTCAGACATCACAGAGGGATCAGGTCCGGAATTGACGGAGAAGGAGGGCTTTGCTCGAGAAGGGTGGTTGAAAATCGATTGCCTGATGTTAGGCACAGTCCCTCTGCGGAGACGTCAACCCATTGGCAACGATGGGAGGAACCAGTTCGTTCCAACACGTCGCAGTCTTTCATTTCCCGAGCGATGCCCTGGTTTGCCTGTCAGAAATGTGCTGGGCCCAAACAGAAGACGTACCTGAAGTCCTGCAGGGTAATGCTGTCAGGGACTGGCACCGCACAACAGAGCCAACCCCAGCGATTTGGGACGTTGAAACCTCCGTATCCTTACCACCGGGATACACGGATGATCCCTCATATTGAGCGAGATTGGCTGTGATGAGCAAGGATGGTCGAGGTCTAGACTGACGAGAAGTCCGCGACTCGTCAGACCGGTGGGGATTTAGACTTGGCTCTCATCCAATCGATGTCCCACATTACCGTCATTCAGGGACACTTATTCAGACTTGACCAATTGAAAGTAGTCTTTATTGCTTTTCCCTGAATATGCCCCGTTTTAAATTAGCCATTGTGTGTTTCAGAGTTACGGTACCTGACTGCCTCCACCACCAGTGGGTATACTGTGTGGACTGCACAGCGCAGAGAAGCGCTTTTAACCACTGGCTCCTCCCTCCTCGCCCTCTTGTTCTTTTTCTCTCTTTTCTTCATCGTTTTCTGTATCTCATCGAGACTCGCAACACACTCCTTTCGTTTCCGTCTTTCGAGAGAATCGCTGGTGCGGCCTCTCAGTCATTCATTGTCCAGGAAACATCCACTCTTTGTCCTGCGTTTCAGATCTGAAGAATCTCTTTCACTTGGTAATCGCGATATAGATTGTATATATAGTCCGACTTGACGTTGAATCCCCCGATCGACAACAGCAAAAACACATCAAAGATGCAGCTCAAGAACTCCATGATCCTTGCAACCGCCTTGACGGCTGGTTCGGCCGTTGCCCGCATGCACGGCCATGAGCGTCGCCATGCTCATAAGGCCCACGAGGAGAAGCGCGCTGTCGGCGACATCGTCACTGCCGTCATTGACGGAAAGGTCGTCTCTTGGACCAACGAGTACGCTGGCGGTGCTGCCGCTACTGCCACCGCCGATGTCAATGTGAACGTCGCTGCTGCTCTCACTGTTGCCGACGCCACGACCACTGCCACCGCTTCTGCTACTTCCACCTCCACCAGCACCTCGGACTCTTCTGACGACGACGAGACCGTCTCATCCGCCTCTGGAACTTGCTCCAACTGGCACGATACCTCCGACTCCTACTCTCGCAGCGGCTTTGGCGAGGCCACCGTGGCCAACCTCCTCGAGTACATCTGGTACAAGGGCAACGTCGGCAACCCATGGGGCAGCAACATCATCGAGGTCGATGAGGACAAGGCCTGCAAGTACAAGTACGTCGTGCAGTTTAACGGTGCCAAGTCCGACGCCTGGACCATCGTCTTCTGGAACAAGTTTGGTCCCGACGGCAAGCTCACCGGCTGGTACGGTAACTCTGCTCTCAGCCTCACCATCAACCCCGGCGAGACCAAGTACGTCGCCTTTGACGAGGACACCCAGGGTGCCTGGGGTGCTGCCAAGGGAACTGCCCTCCCTGTCGACGAGTACGGTGGATACTCTTGCACCTGGGGTGAAATTGACTTCGGTAACTCTGGCAACGACGGCTGGTCTGGCTGGGATGTCTCTGCCATCCAGGTTCAGATGGCCAAGCAGGAAGTCCAGGGCATGAAGATCTGCTCCCACACCGGCGACGGCTGCTCCTACATCACCAACCTCGCTACCAAGATGCACAATGCTTACTCCAAGGCCGAGGAGGGTGTTGACGGTATCGGCGGTAACAGCGTTGCCGGCCCCGTCCGTCTCGTCGTTGACATCGACTACTCCGAATAAATCTGCGGCTCCTCTTCTTTTTGTCTATTTGCACTTCTCTAAATCCTGTTAGGGACATGCTCTTCAACAGCGATCCTTCTCTTCGTTGTACATAGAATATACCACTGCAATTCGTTCTTCCGTTCTATTTTAACGAGATCATGTGCATGCCTTCTCCACTTGGTTGCTGTATCTGGACATACAATACCAGATACATAGACCATTCCGCTTCAATAAAAGCCTCATTATCTAGCTCATCCTCACTCCACACTACGATAGTACAAATAGAGAAGCTTAGGACTTGTAATCTCCGTTGTTTCTCCACACTCTTCTAGTCCAACCTCCTCATGAACGCCGTGAACTTCTGCTGGCCTTTTTAACCAAAGCCGAAGAAGGAGGTCTCGCATACTAAATATATCCAAGAGGCGGGATGGCTTGCTTCACCAGCCGCCCACGGCAGCCAGCGTCTATATATAGCCAATACGAATCATTTCTTGGTCTCGCGGCCATTCGAACCGCTGAAGAACAGAGCAGACCAACCCATACCTTGAACATTCAACTAGATCATTCAAAGAAGTACTTATACACGCTATCTCCTTCCACTCTAGGTACGTTGCTAGTAGATAGCCTACGGCAGTGAAGGTGATTACGCAAACTCAGCCTCTAACCCTCGGGATCTCGGGGTCTCGGTTGCAACCCCGGGCCGCCCCATCTCAGCTCAACTATGTGTTTACCCCTGAAGAAAGTTAGAAACAGTCATGAGTTCGACTCCATATCTCGGTTGGATCCTATCGGAGTCGCCTAGCTTAGCCCATAGTCGGACAGACTAGTACAGCACAGCCTCGCCCTGACTCCGTAACAGAGCAGTCCGAGACATACGGAGTACAACAACTACTATATACTCGCAAGGCAGCAATGTTCTGCAGTTGTCTCACCTATATATAGATCCCAACCTTGAGTTAGTCGCCAACAGCGAGGAAACCTCACGTGCTGCAGAAGTCACCGCTTGTGAACAATGGTTTGATCTGCGATCTGGAAAGAGGTATAGCGCCTGAGACCCCACGGGTGTGATTGCTGGTTGAGCTGGTCTATCTCAACCACACTGTTTCTTTGATTACCGAGCTTCGATGACATTGAATCTTGCTCGGAGCGTAAGATATACCGCCGGATATTGCAACATCTAAGTTCCACCATCTTTCCGGGCCTGCTTAATGCCATCTTAAGATACTCTCGGCTGGGAGTTAGTCTCTTACTTCTTCTCCAGAAGAAAGGGGAGACATGAATCTAGGACAGGGAAGGAGCTCTGGGCTACCTAGATAGTTGCACCGTCCCCTGTTGATACAGCATCAAATACTGGGACGGAAAGAGCTACTCCGTAGATGTCACCAGTCGTTCCTTCCACCCTTAGCCCAACCCCAGGTCGTTCCTGCCCAATATGTCTACTCAGTGTGTTGGGATGAAATGGGAAGGATTGACCCAAACATAAGGGTACCGGTCGTGCCTGACTTTAAGATTAATCCTAGGTTGCTCCTACCTGATACACCTACTCGAAGAAAGAAGGAAAGAGCACCACCATGGTCGCAACTTACCTCTGTTCTTCGCAAGCAGCTCCAGTTGACTTTAAAGGAAGGAGCTACCCGGCCCCGGGCTGATTGTACCTTCCTTCTTTTCTGGGCCTTGCATATGTGGAAAGAAGGAGCTACCTGGTCTCGAGTTCATGGTCTTGCCTTCTATGTTGAGTACCACACCAGGTCGTTCCTTCCTTGTGGGGTACCCAGAATAAATTCGGGAAAGAGCGGATGGTCGCACCTTCCTTATACGCCGGATCCTACACTGGATAGGGAAGGAAGGAGCTACCCACAAGACCACCGGTAGTGCCTTCCATCTTGGGCTCAACCTGCATCGGTCCTTCCTTGTATAGTACTGGAATGGTTTGGGAGAAAGCAGGTGGTCGCGCCTTCCCTACGTGTCAATCTCTGTAAACGAGGAAGGGGGAGCTACCCACGAGGTAGTGGTCACCGGTCGTACCTTCCATCTTGGGCTTAACCAGGGTTGCTCCTAACCAGGACATCTGGGGTTGAATAGGAAGGAGCGTCCGCGACGGTCAAATATGATATATAGGGATAGAGCTACCCAATGCCCGGAACCCTGGTTGCCAGTCGTGCCTTCCGTATATACTTGGGCGTGTTAGGGTAAGTGCGGAAAGAGCGGTCATGTAGTGGTGTGTTGCACCTTCCTCATCTGCCCCATGAAGCTTAAAAGCACCAGAAGGAAGGAGCTGCCCGGAGGGGCCGTGATCGTGCTTTCCCTCCATCAACAACGTGACATACAAGGAAGGAACGACTCACGTAAAGGTCACGGTCGTGCCTGCTATGTTGGGATGCCTGTTGGGTCGTTCCTTCCAAAGGGGCTTGGAATGGGATTTGGAAAGAGCACTGTTGCCGCGCCTCCCTCCGTCTGGAATCAGCTTGACTCTTCTAGAAGGTTGAAGGAAAGAGCTAGTACTCACCTTGGGAAGCTATATTCACGCCTTCCTCGCTTTATCTGTTTGTTGGATACAGGGGACAGAGCAACGTAGACGATCAGGTGCTAGTAAGATACATGTCCGTCTTGTATACCGATCACCTCACTCTTGGGCGATGTGGAAAGGCGAGAGTTGTGTGTAGGGCGTAGATGGTCGTCCGATGAAACCTCGAAGGTGACGTTCAGTCAAGCTGTAGTCGATTGCTGGAAGATGCGAGATTAAGTCCATCGACTGCTATCTGATGAATATATCCCATTGATTGATGCCATGGTTACCCCAACAATGCTAAATCCAAGTTCTATAGTACACGTCTGCGCCATGCGAAGACATTAAGCCAACAAAAAACCAGGCCAGATGAGTCGGGATCTAGCTCTGCGCCTTGAGACTCCCTAGGAAATCACCAGCGTCTACAGACTCGGGTATCGCAAACTCGTTTTCCTCTTCCTCAGCCTCTTCTTCAGGCGCAGAGAAGATGCCGATATGGACCATGTACCCGACGAGTGCGGCGAAGCCGCCGACCACCGTTGCAATGGAGATGAGGGTGTCTTTTCCCTGAAGTTTCGTGTAAGCTGACAATGCCTGGCCCTCCGTCTCGGACAGCCCGGAGTCGGCTGACTCGGCTGTCTCACGTAATCGGTTGTTGACGCGGATATCCTTCAATATCGGGGTCGAGTCGGCGAGCGTGTTGAGGAGCGTTGATCCGATAGTGGCTAGTCGGGCGCGCCCCGGGGCCTGCCATGGGAGTGATGATTGCCCGTCATTGGTGAAGGCATCGGAGACGCTGACAATTCCATATAGCTCACGGCGCATGCGCTCGATATACTGCGATAAGCGTGGGGCCTTGCGCAGCATTAAATCGCGCAGCCACGTATGGGGTAGTTCCGGAACCAGGGCTAGGCTCAGATAGCCTATTGCAAGACAGTCAAGGCTTGACGGCGCCTTTGCCAAAAGCATATGTGTCTTATCACCGAGTAGCTCCTCCAACGGCTCAAACAGCTCCCCTGTCAGCGCCTCTAGTCGGAACTGATGCTGTTGTGACGTCTTGCCTAGGAGGCTAGACACCGTCTCCCGGGGACGCCGGATGAGATTCTGAGGGATGCGCCCAGCCGCAATGTCGGCTGAATGATCGCGTTTCTGTTGTTCCCGCACGGCTTCCAGGTCCAATGACGACAGGCCCAGCGATTCCGTCCGCGATTTGGCTGCGGAGTGCAGCTGCGGGGGAAGGATCCATTGGTTGGGCCATTGAAGGATCGCACCATATGCCGGGGATGTGGCACTATAGTAATTCTGGCTGGTCACGTATAGGGATAGGTCGATGAGGGCTTGGGCGCGGGATTCGACAAAGGAGGAGAAACTGTTGTCTGATCGTTAGTCGTGTGACATTTCTCGAATTGGGGAGCAAATCGCGCATACGCAACATTATCTGCCTTCTCCAGCGCGCTCAGATCGCGATCCAAATCCCACGCCCCATTCGAGTATTGGCGCAGATAATCCACGATATTCCGGAACCGGCTGACCCATGTTGAGCCATTCTTCAGGGCGGGAAGCTCCTCTGCGGGGTCGAGCAAGGATCGTTTCAGCCAGATTGCAGATTAATCGAGTGATGTAGGTAGGGCGGAGCTCAACGTACGGGTTGGAGAGATGGTTGGATCGCTACTTGCGACGAGCGTCCAAGAGTCCCTGGGGACAAGGAGAGAAAAATAGGCAATGGTCGCGAGGCATTGGGGATCGATAGAAGGCAGCGAGAAGCCGGGGCCCCAAACATGAAGTTCCAACACCATTCTGCGCGATTGAAGTCTTGTTTTTTGTTGTCCCACGCTTTCCCCTCACTCTGTTTTGAGGGGAAGGGTCAAAGAAGCTCGCGGCTGGAGGATGCCGAGACGCATCACGTGGAAATAATCCTCAGGCTTCCGGCCTTCCATGACTCAGGCACAAAGGCATCAACACGGGAGAGCGATGCATCTCACGGCATCAAGAATCTGCGGACTCCATCCCTCCGTGATCAATCCGGAATCTCACAGGGCAAACGCGCTGATTATTCTCGAAAAGACAGAGAAAGAGCCGACAACTCTTTCGACGGCTGACGATGTCTCAGACAGCAAGATTTAGTCCCGATATCCCGCAGGTCAACCCTCAGGTAGATTGAATGGATGCAGCTGGCAAGCCGCAAATGGCGTTATCAAATCCCTGCCAGCGCAACGATCCCTGCAAATTATCGCGGCGGACTTAACCGTCTGCCCCTCGTACCTACATCCGCCCCTCCATCAGTTCTGGGTTAGTGAAAGTCAAATTCACCGCCAGAAATGGTCCCTCGTACAGACCATATGCAGGACGAGTCAAAAATAGAGCCGCATCCTTTGGCCTCTCTCTATCTAACGTATCGGAGCCAAAGTCAAAACGCTCCGGCGGACGGCTAATCTTCAACCACTTAGCACCGACCGATAACTACCGCGGCGGCGTATGCACAATTCAGCTGGCATCATTCGCAATTGCAACCGCAAAGCTCACCGCTTGCTCCGGGGGATGGAGGTGCTAAACCATCTCTGGACAAAGGTCAAAGAAGGTCGCTGACGGTGGTCTCCGGGATTCAGCCGAGGCCGCCCTGGACCAGTAACCGCAGGGTTGGAGCTCGGCTGCAAGAACCAAGTATTCGAATGACCGCCAAACTCGGACCACCTAAGCAAGCACATGGCATGACAAGATTTACAACGTACAAGCGTGGTGAAACCTGTGGTGGAAGAGAGAGTTATTTCCCGCAGCCCCATCCTGGCTGCTGCGGGCACCTGTTGTGCTGTGCCTGTTTGTCCATGTCCATGCGCGAGCCAGCTGACCTGCGATCGGGGCCCCGTACAGAACCTTATTTGTATGCGCTGGAGGAAGTCCGGCAGCGCCGGCGGCGTGGTGCCTTCGTATTGTTCCTGAGACCTGACTCGATGGTGTAAATGGATTACGGCGAGACTGCGTCTCACTGCCACACAGACAACACAGTGCTCACGCTCGTCTGACACGAGCATACTATGATTGCTCCATTATGGCATACTCTCGGTCGTCATACTGACATCTCGGACTTCTCGGGTAGAAGAGAGGAGAGCGATGCGCAATACTCCTGTCGTCATCGCCAACCCCCAACAGAGGGGTGCTCTACGGAGTAACAGCGCCGTTGATCATGATGTGTCCTCCGCCCAATCCAATGCGCAAGCTTAGTTCAGAGCTGCGCATCTGAAGATAAGTCATTAACCCGTTAGCCGCCCGTGGCTGTAGCCGTAGCCGAAGATTGGACCCCAAGCCTTGTCATATTCCATGGAAGAGCAGAGCGAGCGGTGCCTGCCATGACCCATCTGAAGCCCGCTTAGCACTAAAACAGCATCATAGATGTCGTACATATGCACGCGGTTATCGTCAAATTACGTACAGGCACCTGAAGCTCCACCAGCCAGGTAGCAGCAGCAGGCTGCAAGCCCAAGCCAAACCAGAAACAAGGTCTGGGTACAGTATAATTCGAAATAATATCCCTGTTTTATTTCATTTGATCCAGGTTTCTTGTTCTTGTTCTTGAATAATGTATCCACCGCACTGCCCGCACGCACTCGCAGCAACCGGAGCACCGCACCGCAGGCAGCATGAGCGTGGGGATAATAATTGCTTTTTGTCATGAGGAAGTGAATGCCGATGGTGAGGGGTTGGCGTCGGCGACTCAGTGGGCGACCAGGGTTATGACTAGTTAGCCGTGTACTAGAGCCAGGAACTATTTGATTCTTGCATCGCGATTGCATGCAAAAGGAAATTACTTTTAAGAAATCCATGGACATTGGATTTTGAAACTTGGAAGTGGAATTGTCATAAACATGGAAATGGGAATTCTAATCCCGTTACCCCTCATTCTTTTCATTCCAAGGCTACTGGCTGGAACAGAAATTTAGAGCGCGGATAAGGCCGTTGAGCCGATAACATGTCAAAAGTCAGCTCAGCCTGAGCCTGAGCTTACTGACTTGTTGTCCGAGCCCACTCGGTGACTCGCTCCCCTGTCATCGTTGCCAGTTAGCACGAGGCACCGCCCACCATCACCATGGGGCTGAGGACAAGGATGAGCACTAGCTCTGGAGTATCAACCCATAATCCCTGTTTCAGCAGTTTGAGACTTGAGAGCTATTGAGGGAAAATTGCGCTTGGCTGGCTGGGATGGGGTCATTGTTGCACATTTTTTGTGCGCGGATGGATCATGGGGCGAGGTAGGGTTGTATGCAGGTAGGGTTCTACAAGAGGACTTGGTAGGAAGTAAACGATTTAAGATGAAAAAAATTGGTTCTCAGTAGTAAATGTCAAGATGCTTGCGATATGCTGTTGGGTATATTAACTCTATTATACATGCCGTTGCTTCAATCATGTAGATGGCAGTCAATGATGAAACGAAAATAAGAAAATAAGAAAGATAAGAGAATAGAGAAGAGAAAAGAACAAAAGTAGCAAGGCGTTCTCAGGTAAGCTTCACGAGATTCATCCAGTAAATGGGGGCTCGGTATGAGTCAAAGCAAGAGCGCGCTTTGACATCTTGCGTGGACTTGGGACGATCGAGCGATGGATCCTTTGCCAGTAAATCGGGTCGGTCGAATCAGTTCGCACGATCGGATCCTGACAACCACATGCAACTGAAACGGCCTGGCGCCGTTGTCATCATGCTGTCATACCGCTTGCGGGGTTGATTTGCTGACAGGGCTGTTGGCTGCTGCACACAGGCCAATGTATGGAATCAGCCACCGTCCGGGTGGGGTGATTGGCCTCGATAGTGATAGTATGGCCATCGTCAAACAAGGCCCCCTGCACCCTCGATGAAGATCGAACACCCGCGTGTACCGAAAGTCGGGAATCCATGGCGTAATCTGAGAACAACATTGCAGAATCGGGACAGTACGCCTGCGCCTGTTCCGCCCAGGATAGAAGAGTTGGAGATGGTGGATGAAATCGAGTAAATCGAGCCGAAAGAGGAAGATTATGCGCCAGCAATCACAAATATCGTTGCTTGCGATTGAGCTGGTCTAGCGGGTCCGAAGAGATTACAAAAAGTGAAAGACCGGTAGGAAGGCGTAGGAAATTAGAACCGGTGGTAAGGTAGTAGTAGTAGCGAAGTGATTAGAAGGCCGTGGTACAGTTCCGGGAGTGGTATTCGTGATATCCATGCGAAAAAGTGTCCCCTGTGCGACGCAGGCCGCGCAAGTTCACCTGAAAGCGTTCCACGAGGGAGGCGTCCCATGATGGATTTCGAGTCGGTTGGTCGTCAAGTTCGTCAGAAAGCCGTAGGCATGGCTTACTTTGGAAGAGGAGGCAGAGGTCCCTTTGGAGGAGGTCCCGGGCAGGGAGGAAATTGAGAAGTACCACCGACGGAAGGCATGATGTGTTCTTGTTGTTGGTTGTTGGTTGTTGAGAGAGACGGGATAGACGCGATGAGGCTAGAGGTATTGGTCGAGGATTGAGTGTGTTGTATAGTCTCGGATGTCTTTGTGAAGAGAAGAAAGAAATCGCAGAGACACGGCAGTCAGCGGTTATTATATCGTGCTCTGATCTGTAGCCAACTTGATTTAATCTTTTTCGAGAAGAAAAAAATCGAGAAATTGAAATATTATATCTCCGAGCGGAAGCACCCAGAAAATCAAATAAAATAAATAAAATAAAATAGTTGACGCCGAAAAAGCAGAAAATAACAAGACTAAGACATATTAAGGGCATCCCTGTGTTAGCAGCCAGAGATGAGTCTCCACTCCTGCCGGACAGAGGGAAAACCAACGACGTCAACACTCGCAGGCTGTGACACTAGCCCCCCTTGGACGGTGGGCTGCCATATGGCGGACCAGAGCCTGTCCGCAACCGGAAATCCCAGGGAATTTTTCTGGAAGCGCTCCCTCACCGCCAAAGGGGTGTTTGGGATTTTTTGCCTCCCCCTTTTTTCCAGCGTCCCACTGATCATTTCCCAGATCCCCAAAACTGTCATTTCAATCCAAAACACAGGGCAGAAACAAGAGGCAGAGTACTGGCGCCCCACTTTTCGCGTTGGTGATTGGGGAACATTTTCCTTTTTGCTATGGATGCTTCTTTCAGCTTCTGCCTGGTGGACCAGGCAAGAAAAGAGACCGTCGTAATGGTTACGCTATTTCTGGAGACTCATTTCCTGGGAGCCTTGACGCAACAATTTCAACGATAATTATAGGAACCCGGTTGAATGGATAGGTATCAGCTGGACAAGCTGGCCCTTGACGAGGATTTATTGTGCATTCCTACCGACACGTGCTGGTTCGTAGATCCTGGGATGGGCAGGGATGAGGCACTGCTGAGGCCAGGAGACAAAGGAAGCGGGTTCCCCTCGTAGATGCCAGCCAATCTGCTCGACCTTTGCTTGCTGACTGTCTGAGCGTCGGAGCCGACTAAGACGATGAATCATCATTCATCAGGATTTGAAGGATTCTTTGCAAAGAGCGCCGGAGCGGAGATCTTAGCCTCAGCCAGTCTGCCAGAATGCTGGGACAAGTTATTGTCCAAGCCACCATACCCTCCGAAAGCCTCAACGCGCCTCTTCTAGGCAAGGTTCCTCGCTGATCACCCAAATCTTAGGCTTCTGGAGTCTAGGAAAAGAGGCGACGTCCGCCCTTGCAGCCATGGTCAGGGGTGGTGTCAACATTGCAACACTCAGGGGAGTTTGGCCAGATTCTGACAGGTCGTTTCATTGACAGTCAAGGTTGTACAGGAAAATGTCCGTGATCATGAACCCAACCAACAGGATAGAGGCAACCTATCTCTTGCTTTGCCGTTCACTGCCGATTTGTTTCAGGGGGGTGTCCGATCAAAAAAAGTGGCCCGTCCCCGCGCAATGCTCCCGCCAAAGACAGATTGCTCGTCCTTGCAGGTGATCATGTTAGCAATATAATCCATAATTATCTTCGTATTCAACAACATCCTTGATCCATGTTCTCGCTAAATCGACCAGGGTGAAGCGCTGCCGATGCCTCGAAAAGGTATGTCGCTGACCAAAATCGCGGGGAGCCTGCCGATGCTGGTCAGTAGTGGTCCCGTCTCGCGAACAGTGTGCGGGCAAGCAACGGGTCAGATTTGCTGGGATCAGAGCTGTCATTTCTTGACATAAAACTGGCGGGGGGATCGATTTGCCACGTTCTGAGGTTCATTTCTGCTCATATTAGGATATTCGTGGCGGTGAGAGGCTGAACTTTGGAGTCTGAGAGCTCTGGGATCTTCTCAAGCCATTCTACACTGAGTCTACTCTCAACCTTGATCGAAAGCTAGCACAAGGCAAACACACCACCACGGCAAGCGCAAGTCCCAGCGGTGAAACAAGGCCTTTGCTTCGTTCGATGCGGACTTGGCACCTTGTCCCCTCGATGCCGAGGGTAAAGATAAGGGACAGTTTAGCTGCATCACTCATCATGCAATAATCCCCTAGTCCGGCTATTCAATCCGCTTTTCTTCTGGCGAAAGACTTATGCAGCTCTTCGGGCTTCAATAATTGATCCCTGCTGATGACCACTCGCTATCGCACGGGCCAGTCGATCATCTGCAGGTAAAAGCGGCTGGGGTAAAAGACACTCCGAGACAGGTGTCTGATGGGCATTTTTCTTTCCATTATCTCACCTATGGGTGATGTCCAAAATGGCCCTCTGGGACCTGCATGATCTTTAATTGCGACGGGCGCCCATACTCCAGCACGATCGCACGGAGTTTTTCGGCGCCAATCACAAAGATTATGATCACCATTGCAGGTGATGATGAGGTTATGAGCTGCTCTGGAGGGCAAGGCTTGAGCGTCGGGAGCAATCTCTCGGCGTATCATCTTCCTTGATTCGGCGCTTGGTGCTCAATCCTGAGAGCAACCGCGTCATTACTAACTCATAACTTGATCACATGGATCTCCCGAAATTGGAGCCTCTCTCGTCTTCAAACAAGTCATAACCTCCCATCTCCAAACTAGCCTAGCGCTGTGGCAAACAAAACACATGGCAAATGTTGGCGCGGGTTTTAGGTGGGGTGACTAGCGGCCTTGAGAGGAAAAGTGAAATGAACGGTCCACCATGGAGGATGTTCATTCCGCACCGTTGGTGAAATGGAGCCCAGGCGGGACGTTGACTGGACCTCAGGAGAATTCCCCTGATTCGGGAGGGTCTACCTAAATCCTTTAGCAGCTTGGCAATCTGCCAGGTTGGCTTTCCCTCCCTGCAAGAATTCTTCGCACCATGATAATTAATCATTGCCATTGCTAATGGATTGATCATCTGCCAGGATGATGATGGCTCCGTCAATAAATCGGAAACTTGTGCAGTTAATTTTGAGAGTGTCGGGATGTCGGTTTGGTGCTCGATAATCCACGATTCGGATGCCTCGGGAAGCGACGCGCTTACGCCGGGCATCGGGCGAACTGAGGTATCTAACTTGGCAAGGCTTCCAGGGACAAACTCGTCGAAAAACAGCCCGGAGTTGGCAGTCAGTCCGGATCGCGACTTTATCAGGAACTCCCGAGTAGAATATGGTGATCAACCGTGGTTCATCCGCCGAAACGTCGAATCTACCTCTCCATGGCTCACCGCTGCTCTAGCGGACCCTGAAGGCAGAAGGCCGTTGAAAAACCAAATGGTGAGCCGTCAAGCCTCGGGCTTCTGTCCACTCGCCAGTCACCAATTTGTCTAGATTATTAATGGATTATCATCAGGGCTTCCACGCAATCGCAACCGCTCTCACTTCCCGTCCAGCGTCAGACGGTCAGCCAATCTGGCTTTAGCGCTTCTTTCCAGAACGAAGCGGGTTTCTTCTCCCGTTCCCGTGATCCACACCCTCTCGCGCGATGCGCGGACGAGAAATGAGATTGAAGATATTTCTGATCCGGTGCCGCACCAATCGATAATGGTGGCCTCGCTTCTCCGACGATACGTCTGATGACTTGGCAGCCTCGCCTCGGATCCGCGCGGAGTACCGTTTCACGAACACGGAGATCACGGACTCATGGTGAAGGTTCATCGACGAGATCTTCACTGCGTTGCTTGTAGTAAGAACGACACCGGGTCTTTCGATTGGTGGCTTGGCCTTTCAAGGTCCATTTCGCACGATACTCCGGAGTAAGGCTCGATTTCAAGAATGTAGCAATAATGACGTTTTATGTGCCTCATATGACTACCCGCGCTCTCCCAGCGTAACAACGGCGGTTTCAAAGAGATCATGCCTGGTTATTGATTTTGAGTTCGAATCATGGGTATATACCATATGAGTATCGAAGCCGGGAATAAGGAATGGCTGGCGCGGAAATCATTGTGCTGCGCTAAGTTTCAGAGATGAAACGCTGCAGACCATCTGTCTCCCCAGGCCTTAACAACAAGGTTATCATCTCTGTTGTTACATGCATGAAGGGCTGCAGTATCAAAAATGACATGCATGCTGCCAAAGTCTTTATTGGTACGCCTCCAGCCACACCTGCAGAAGCTCAAGCCATGCTTTGGTCCATGCACAATCACAACTATATTATCTTCCAAGTAGCACTTGGTCCTCAATTGGACCATTGCACATTTCGTAGGGTCCTTAGTGATACATTGCGGAATCAGATTGAAACATGTTGCGTGACTCGGTAGGCCCGAAAGCATGCGCAGCTATCTGGAAACGCGAGGCGTGACGCGTCAGACGTAAAGCCTTCAGGGAAAGCCAAGTGATTTCAGAGATCATAGCTAGTCGCAGCCACCTTCAACCCTGAAGTGTGTCCTTTACCGCATAAAGGTGGGCATTTTCGGGCAGGGTCAAAATCTTGTGTAGCTTGTCCACTGCGACTGGATATCGCGATACCCTGGCGATGAACCAGAGTCGTTCGAGCAGCGGTCCACTTGCTCTTTTGATAGCGCGGCGGGATCCCGGTACTGTATTCGACACAACGATAACGTGAAATATATAGCATCCTCCGCCATAGTCCGAAAATACTGAGCTGGCAGGGTTCGTCATCAAAGGCATTCGTCGTTCAGAGAGACCCTCTGGAAGACGAGTTTCCATCAAGTCACACTGTTCCGTGCCTAATGTTAATATACTCAATGCTTCTGAAAGTCGAGGTTGCGGCACCGTAAGCACATTTCGGACATATTCCCGGTCTAGTCCTCGTCAAGGTCGCCATGGGCCTGGGTGGAAATCCATTCCTCCATCAACACTTGACGTTTTGGTTCAGAAGCCGCTGCCTTGGCTCTTCCCTTATCTCCTTTCCGAGTAACGAGTAAGCACAGTATCCAGCCATAGATGTTGAATCCTTCATAGTTCGTGCTGAATCGCAATTTCTTGTCATCAACCTCGGCCTCCCCTTGCAAGGTCTCGTCTCTTCTCCGTTTAGGGGGCCGACCCTCAGATATGCTGTCTTCCTCCTCATGACCTGCCTGTGGTAGGGCAGTTATGTTGATTTCCGACTCACTGTCGCTTTCAACTAAGATTCCGCCAGCGGGTTGTTTGCCGTTGTCGGAGTTCGATCCTATGCGCGTGCGCTTCTTCTTCTCAGATTCTTGAAAGTTCTTCTGCCGTGTCAAAAGTGAATGGCGGGTGCGCGATTCTCGGAGAAATAACGCGACTTCAAAGTCATCTTGGGTATGATCAGCTAGGAACAAGCGAACACAGTTTGCTATTGAGGTGCAGTGAGTCCGCACCTTCCGCTATCACATCCTTGACGGGCTTTCCTTTCTTCCGCGCAAGTAGCCTTTCGTTCTCCTCTCGCAGTTTTGGGAGGACCAAGGGCCGAATGGAGGCAAAGATGCGTGGCAGGATAGGGTCACGACTGTCAAGCAGCCATCGTGAGTCTGAGGGATCCTCGAGATAGATTCGACACTCAAGCACAGAGTATTTGCTGACTCGCAAATATCGACGAATTGGCGCCATCACAAAGTGTTAATCTGCAATAATACACTCGCGCTGGTCAGCAGCGAAGCAGTCGTGGAGTCGGAGCTAGACTTATGACGTGCACTAAGATTGTATTATGTAAGGAAGGAACAGCTCGTGCTTCACGTGACTATGTGCGCTCTTGCTCCCCACCTTTCTCCCAAGGTCCTCAAAAACTCGTTGGCGTCAACTTCCGGTTCTGTCTCCAAGGTCCTCACTCCCACTGTAACCTTATCGCCCTCCCGAAATCTGAAATCATGGACGATCTGCTTCTTCCCCCACCACCAACCTCGTCAATTCGCATCAATTTGCAGTCTTGGGCTCCTCGTCACAGGTATCCTAGCTTTCGAGACGAGCAGTGCCTTTTAAACCGATCTTCCGATCCCCTCTCGTGACAAGTGGCTTGCTGCCGTTGCGTTGTGCAACTTGCATCCCACGACTGGCCACGAAGGTCCTCACGCTAGATCCTGTCGTCCACCACTCTTGACGCATGCACAGCTCTTGATAGGCCCAATACCCTCCGAGCCAAGTCAAGAGAACCCCTCTATCTGTACAGCGATAATTTCCGCTTGAGACGCTGTGATTGTGCGTGGGGGCCGTCATATAAAGCGTATAAGAAGTGCCAGACAAGAAAGACCAAGGAAGACCAAGCATACCAAGCATACTGATCACCATCGCAAGAGACTTGGCCTCTTCCACGTGGTTCCGATTCAAGCCGCATCTCTGTCCGACCTTTGACACTCTCAGCCGATCAGTTCGACTTGAGCAACACAATTGGCTGTGTTTGCTTGTTTGCCTGTTCGATAGCCGACGCTGGGGCTTCTCGCGGGCGTCTGTTGCATTTCAGTCGTGCGACCCAGGAAGAGTGGTGTTACATTCGCTTAGAAGAAGTATTCTCGTCGCATATCAGACACGATGAATCCCATTCATGCTCTCGTCCGTCGGGCGGAGGATGGAGCTCTTCCGTCTTGCGAGACGGGCAATGAGTACGATGGCCGTATGGGACTACGCATCTCCTCCATCTTCGTGATCCTCGTCGGATCTACCTTCGGCGCCTTGTTCCCCGTCTTCGCCAGCAGCCTTCAGAACTCTAAGGTCCCCGGGTGGGCTTTCTTCATCGCCAAGTACTTTGGCTCTGGTGTTATCATCGCCACCGCATTCATCCATCTATTGGCTCCTGCAGAAGAGGCTCTTCGAAATGAATGTCTCACTGGCCCGATTACCGAGTATTCTTGGGCCGAAGGAATCATTCTTATGACAGTCGTAGTCCTATTCTTTGTCGAGTTGATGGTCATGCGATTCTCACGTTTTGGTCAGAGCCATGCTCATGCCCATGATTCGCCAGCACATAGTCATGATAGTGATACCGATCACACGGTACGAGCAGGGGAAATCAAGGGTCACATTCCCGGGCAAGACCACCTTGGCCATTCTCGAGAACATCGCGATCTTGAGCTAGCTGACAAGAACTCCTCTCTTGAGGAGTACATGGCTCAACTTACCTCCATATTCATTCTGGAGTTTGGAATCATTTTCCACTCGGTCTTCATCGGTCTCACCCTCGCTGTGTCCGGAGAGGAGTTTACAACCCTCTACATTGTCCTGGTCTTCCACCAAACCTTCGAAGGACTGGGTCTGGGATCTCGGTTAGCCACCATCCCTTGGCCTCGCTCCAAGCGCTGGACCCCATACCTTCTTGGACTGGGCTTCGGAATCTCAACACCCATTGCCATCGCGATTGGCCTGGGCGTACGCAAGTCATACCCACCGGAGGGTTTCACAACACTCATTGTCAATGGAGTCTTCGATTCCATTTCCGCCGGCATTCTCATCTACACTGCGCTTGTGGAACTCATGGCTCATGAGTTCATGTTCAGCACGTCGATGCGCAAGGCCCCGATCAAGGATGTGCTCGCGGCTTTCGGTCTTTTATGCCTAGGTGCCCTGCTGATGGCACTGCTCGGCAAATGGGCTTGATCTTTATGAGTTGAATCTGTGCATGTATATATTGGATGTTATTTATGGGTGGGAGTCATCATCTGAACTTCTATCGAGAATCTCAATGAGCATTCTACGTATGAATAAATATTTAGGATATACCCTCTGTTCGTTGTGATATCAACAGTATCAGAAGAGTAGTTCGAAGTTATTGTTAAAAGCTTGGCGACGATGTCCCAAGACCAGACCTTCTTGTATCTATCTTGTACATATCTTTACATATCCGCCACTCGAGTACTTCTTGCTGGGGAAGATGGAAGGCCGAGGGCCCCGGAGTAAGACATATATCATCAGTCTCTCTCCGCCCGACCTAGAGTGCCCCAATCGATTCTTCTTCATAAGGACTAAAAGGATTGAAATTAGGGATCCACCTTCCGAGTCCCATTGAGCAGCCTGCACAGCCTATGTTACTGTGCTAAGAAGTGCTGGGTATCACGTTGCATTGTTGCCAAAATCTATGGTACGGGTATCATAGCCTCAGCCTGTACATCTGGCCGTCTAACTATATATCTAATATGTATAATCTTCTCCCTCGCAACCAGCCGGAGAGCAAAGTCAATCCATCTCGTCAAGCTTATTCGGCTCCAAAGCTTCATTCTCCGAAACCAAGATCCCGACTAAGCACGCGCCCAGGATAGCATCCCAGTTGACCCAGGGGTGGATCTCGAGGAATAACTTGCCAGAATCCTTTCCGGCGCCACGGAGTAGTTCGCCCTTCCCACCTGGGTGGTAGGGGAGGTAGGGTGTGATGTTGTAAACCTTTCCTTGGTACGAGGTCCAGGCGTCGGTGCCCTTTCGTCCATTCTGGGCTTTGAGCATGGAGGGTGTAACTTTGATATATGTGGAGGGGAGGTTCTCGCCGCGGAGCTTATTGTTCGGGTTTGACGTAAGCGCAGCCCAATCCAGGGGTGAGAAGCCCGGTTCGAGGACTGGGCGTACGGTTCCATTTTTCGGCGGTTTGAGTGTCACTTTCGTTGGCGCAAGCGAGCTACTCGTGCTCGTGGGGCGGCCGCCTGGGGGCACGCGGAGAGATGCTGCCGCCGAGGGCGGCGGGCTAAGCATGCTGCTGCTGGGCCTACCGCCTAGCTGTGGGGGGAAACGCCCAGCTGGTGGAGCGAGGGTGCTCTTTTGTTGTGACTGCGGCTGTCTTTGTGGCACTGGAGCGTGGAGCCGTGAGGGAGGAGGCGGCGGGGGCATGAGGGAGGCTTCTTTTGCGGCGGGGATCTGCATTGTTGAGCTCGGCTTGGTTTCGGCCACGGTAGGTATAGATGGAGTTGAGGGAGCGATGGTGCCGGATGATGTCTTGGACGGTTCAGCTGTTATCCGCGGTGTATCTTGCTGAGCTTTCTGGGTAGCACTGCCGTTGGTATTGTCGTCGTTGAGTTGGAAGGAGGGGATTTTTAAGTTTGCCGGAGTTGCAGCAGATGCTTTAGGGGTCGTTTGTGAGTCGTCTATAGGTTCATTCTCAGCTTCTGGTCTTCGCGTTTCCTCTGTAAGACTTGTGAGTCTTTCTTCATCTTTCGAAGCTTGAGGGAAGGCCTTTTCTTCCAGCCGGGGCTCGCGGCGGGCTTGATCGGCAGGAGGTGGTTCTGGAAACCACGAAGCCGGCGGATGTCGGTAAAGTAGGAAGCATGTAGTCGCAACGAGGACGGCGACCCCTACCCAGCCCATGATGGGCAGATAAAGTCCGTAAAAAGGGTCTCGTTCCAAAATGAGTGCGGGATGCCGTTCCTTGAAGCGAAAGACAAATGATTAAAATAGCAGCAGCGGGTGGCCCGTGCATGTGTGACTTACTCGAATCCAGCCTCAACCACTTATCAATCATGAATTACTACCAAAGCTGGGGTAAATATCCGTAGCGATTGGCTGAATAATGATGATAGCACTATATAGTGCGAAAGCCGCTTCTCCAGTCTCAATTTTCTGTCGTATTACCACAACGCTGGTGCGTTAGTGTTCGAGTCGTAGCACGTGATTTCGCGATCAAGCGCGTTTCCCCTCCGAAGAGATATGGATAACAACATGTACCCTAGCATGCGCAACACGCGTCCAAAACTTTCTCATGGATTCCCTCGATCCTATTCTTAATGGCCTAAACACCGCCCAGAAGACCGCTGTAACCTCACCAGCCTCGGTCTTACAAGTCCTCGCTCCCCCAGGCTCCGGAAAGACCAAAACGCTAACGTCGCGTGTCGCGTATCTCCTCTCGCATCATGGATATCGGCCACAAGATGTCATCTGTTGCACATTCACAATCAAAGCTAGTCGGGAAATGCGGGAGCGACTAGCGAAGCTGGTTGGTGACCAAGTGCAGTCGCGGTTGATTCTAGGGACCTTCCATTCGATTTGTAGGAGATACTTGGTTGTATATGGGCATCTGATCGGGTTACGGAGGGGATTCGGGATTGCAGACTCGGGGGACTCTTCGGCCATTATAGCAGTAAGTGAAGTCTGTCTTTTCTTTGGGCAGTTTTGCTCACTGATCTTCACAGAGAATTGTAAAACGGCTCAAGCTCGGGATTGACCCCAAGGTGGCCAGGTCTCGAATATCTCATCAGAAAGCGCATGGAAACTCTCCAGAGGAGGCTGCAGCGAAGACTAATAAAGGAGGCAAAATCCTTGAGCAACGTGAGTTTGTACAGGTGTACCAGGAATATGAAAAGGAACTCGCCACGTCCAACCTCCTCGACTACGATGATCTACTCTTACGGTGTGCAGAGCTGCTTCGCAAGCATCCCGAATGTGTTTCCAACATTCAAGTCGTCCTTGTCGATGAGTTTCAAGACACAAATCAAATCCAATACGATTTGATGAACCTTCTAGCGTCTCGAAACAGACGTATTACAGTTGTCGGCGATCCAGACCAGAGCATCTATGGGTTCCGTTCCGCTGAGATTAAGAATCTGTCTCGGATGCAAAAACTGTATAGCAATACAGAAATTGTGCTCTTAGAGGATAACTATCGCTCGTCAGGCTCTATCCTCAGTTCCGCCCAGGATGTCATTGAACAGGATACGTCTCGACCATCGAAGAAACTACAGCCGACTCATACATTTGGCACGTTACCAGTCTTGCGCAAACTGCCATCGGCGCATGCGGAAGCTCAATGGATCGCGCTTGAAATCAAAAGGTGTGTGGGTATGACGGGGAAGCTGCTAAAGTACTCCGATTTTGCCATATTGCTCAGATCTGCCCCGTTGTCGCGACAGATCGAATCGGCCATGGGAAAGCACGGTATCCCGTACCGGATGGTTGGAGGCAAGAGATTCTTCGACAGAGTCGAGATCAAGCTGCTTCTTGATTATCTACGAGTCGTCAGTCATCCTGAAAACACGGAAGCACTTCTACGCATCATCAATGAGCCGTCGAGGAAAATCGGCGAGGAGACGAAAAAGTCACTCCTGAACAGCGCCGAGAAGGCCGGCAAACCATTCTGGGACTACATCAAGGATGTAGCGCAAGGTCGCAAGTCGACCGACAAACCTTTAATGAAACCTGCTTATCAAGGCCTCTGTGCCTTGGTTACATTGATTGAAAACTCCAGAGAGAAGCTCCGGGAATGTACTGACAGCTCCGCGCCTCGAAGGATACTAGACATCTTGATTGAAAGACTCTCCTTCCGCGAATACCTCACTGCGACTTACGGCTCCAATGACGAAAACAAATGGGCCAATGTTGAGGAACTCCTGGGTTTGGCAGACGATGCGATTGCGTCTGAAGAGCAGGATGCGCGCGATGAAAGCCTTCCTGAAATTGAAGGCCTTGCTCAGGGGAAGGCCCACCCTGGTGAGGAAGCGCTGTCACAGTTCCTAGCGAACGTGGCTCTATCTACGGAGGTCCTCCCACAAGAAGGAAGCGAAGGCGAAGAACAGGAGCAAGAGAAAGTCACTATATCGACCATTCATGCGGCAAAGGGCTTGGAGTGGCCTGTTGTGTTCGTTCCGGCAGTGTATGAGGGTTCGATTCCGCACTCTCGTGCGGAGGATCTGGATGAAGAGAGACGCCTGCTTTATGTTGCTATGACTCGAGCACAAGCCCTTTTATACCTGAGTTGTCCACTCCGGCAGGCCCGGAATAATGAAGAAACTACCGTCACGCCGTTTCTGCCGCATGAGTTGATCAACAAGCGTCTCCGTACGGTTGGGCCAAAATTGTTTGAGAAGATTATTTATGGAATTGCAGACATATTGCGGCGAGAACGCCCGTCAGCCGAAGCGATGTTCGAGGGACAGCTCTCACTCGTTTCCCAGTTCGATGATCAGTGGACTGAAGATGGACAGGAGTTGCCTGATGCGGTTACCCGATGGGATGGCTCTCGAGCAATGGATGATGAGCCTTTTGCCAAGCGGCGACGATATGATCAAGAGCATTTTTCGACAGCCACGACTGTCACGAGTATGTCCTCAGCATATACCTTGAACGGTACCAGTTTCATGACGCCAACTACTATGTCCCTTGGGTTCTCAACAGCCCGCGAGTACATAGCAACTGCGCCTGCGAAACAGGAGCCGTCCATGGAATCAGACCGTGGAGCGAAACGAAAACCATCAGTCGGAATTTCCAGCGGTTGTCAGCCCAGTGCTGCCCAGAAGAGCATCTCGTCCTTTTTCGGCCAGCCCGCACCTCAGACGTCTCGCCAAGACACCCAATCACGACATAGGAGTGCCCTTCCACAAAGCCGATCGCCTGCCACAGGTTTCCCTGCTCCGAGCATATCATTGTCAAATGTACGGTCCAAAGAAGAAATTCCAGCAGAGTATATCAGACACCGAGCCCCGACTCAACATTTCCATCCTCCTCGGCCAATTCTTGAACCGTCTGACCCGAACCGCTACACCTGGTTGACTGCCTCGAAGCCAGCAGAAAAGCCAGCCTTGCACAGTGCCCAGCTGAACAGAGGGACGAATGCAGACGAGAGTCATAGAGGGGTAGTGACAAGTAACGATTTAGGCTGCGCAGGCACAGCTGAAGGAATGAGGCCAGCAACAACGTTTCATATGACCACGATGTCCATGGTACAGTCCGGAGAAACGACGGTGAGACGGACTTTGGGAATTCGACGCAGTATGAACGGTTGGGAAGAACGGATGAAGAGAGCAAAGTGAGGTATCAAGCGAAAAATGGTGACACGGGAGGCACTTGGACGTTTGGGCACCAGAAGCACAAAGACGCCCTGCATGCTGCCCTATCTTTTCGACCGAGGTAGTACGCGCTATGACGCAGTGGCAAAGCACAGCGACAAAACAAGTCAACAGCGGCTGCGAGGGTGATCCAGCAATAATGCTAAACTAATAGAGCTATGTACCACATACCGCTTCGGTATTCTTGAATAATGACCAATTTTCCAAGTCAGACTTGCAGCCATCTCGCCGCAGCCCTTTCTGTTTCGAGCGCCCACAACCACGTCCTGGATGATGAACAGATGTCCCTGAAACAACGCGCATCGCCCTGACGATTGACCATAGTAATACGGAGGAGATGTGGAGAACTGAGATCTAGAATCAATGATTGTCACCGGCTAACCTGCATATCCGGCCAGCCACATACGGAGAACCAACTCCACGTCTAGAGTCCGTGCATTCCTGAGCCCGCCAAAATGGAGCGGTGAGACACGCACGCATTGTTGTTTCGTTGACAGAATGTCTTACTCCTCCGGGGTAGACGGCAGAAAGGCACGGGCTCCTGGAAGCCTGGAGGCTGGTCGGCCGTGGATGCCTCAATGAACAGCGCAACTACAGAACTCTGTTGCCCCGGAGGGACGCTCTCCGCTGTCGCACAGTACTCCGTAGTCTCTCTAATAGCCTCAGTGCTGTTGGATAGTCGAACTACTCCGTCAGCGATGAAATTTAGTAAATATAAGCGAGTGGACAGCCTCAATACGGTGATGCCGCGCAAATTGGGCGAGATGAATATCATTACTTGTCCAGACAGAGCAAGGTAGCTTCTCCCGTCAGGTAGAGCGAGCACACCTACGTCACGGGACCTGTTCTCCTTGGAAGCGTAATTGAGCGTAGTTGGCAAGAGGCATAATTCCGTTGCTGCCAGAGTCATGCTCTGAGTTGTACACTCCCTCCACCAACAAGGCCCCCTTCCGAACTATTCCGGGCGACAGAGCGGCAGAGGGGCACATTTGCTTTTTCCTCGTCCGTCTGGCTCTCCCTCCTTTTACTCGCTAGCCAAGCGTGTCTCATCATCAGCATCCTCTCGAGAGATGGCACCACAAAGCCTCCAGCCGAGTTATCCAGGCGATTATTGATTCATTTCCTAAAATAGTTAGGCAGAGTTCAGGGGGCTTATGTCATCAGGAGACGAAGCAACGCTAGACTGTTCTGGGCTTCGTTATAAATAGGAGGAGCCTGACTGATCAAGTGACCATTTTGGTATCGGGCTGTAAATTTCGCAATAATATACATTTTTGACCCAATAGTAAGCTGAAAATGTTGTACGAGATCGTAAGATACAATAGGGGATCTGTTCTGCTTGGTGCGTCTTACGAAGTGTCCGACTTAGCTGAACATTCTTCGAAGCCGCATATGATGCAGCAACTTTAGAGAAAAGAGGAGCAAAAGAAGAGAGCAACTGCTTCATCTGGCCCCAACGATCATTGTGGCGAAACAGGGTGACATGCTGAGGCTTGATGGGCGAGCAGGAGCCTTGAGGGCGAGACAAGGCGGACAGCTCGACTGCAAGTATGAGAAGAACGGGGCATCCGGTTTGCCGCCTCGTCTTTTTTTCGGCTGGGAGAGCCCCCTGGCAGCGGTGGTGGTCAGGAATGGGCCACACAATCGGGCTTAGCGCAGTGTTTTGGTTCATACTCCGGCGATGCAGAGTCCAGTCCGGGGTCATCCAACCAGCCGGATCTGCTCTCTTCTGAGCTATACCAAAGCAAGCCTGCTGCTAATTTAGTTGTGCTGCTCCGTTCCCTCTTCTGGTTTGAATCCTCATTATTGTTGCTGCTGCTATTCCGCTTTCGAGCTATACCCTTCGCCCTCTGCCTTCCTTGCTTCCTCGAGAGCATACAAAAGGGCCTCGTCCCATCCTCCTCCGAGTCTCTCTTTCAGCACACTCTGTTATCATCAGCTTTCTCCCTTCCCAAGAACACAATCTCCGTGAGATTCAGGTTCCGTCCATCTTACCTCTCTTCCCTGATCACTTGAGCCTCTCAATCCGCCTACCCATCAGCTCAAACTACACACTTGAGCCTTGCTCCGCCACGACCTGTCAACCTTCTATATATATACCGAGTGCTATATATACTCGCCCTTCCCCAGCTTGCTCTCTCGATTCAACATCTTCATCGTCTTTCATACTCCGTCATATTCAACATGCCGCACAAAGTGAACGAGTCAAATTCCACGCTTTCCAGCAGCGACACCAGCAGCAGCAGCAGCGGTGACCAGGTAGTCGTCGTCCCAAACATACGAGGTATGCACGTCTCGATTGAATCGAATCTCACTTGCAAAGGTCACTAACAGGTTCGCTTCTGCATGTACAGGGTCCAATGCTGGTCCACGAAAATCACAGCCCCCGGTCGTTGTCCACAATCATGGCGGTCAAATCTACGACGAGACGAGACCGTCGGACTGGGACAGACAGCGATGGAAGTAGTCGTGCTTTGACCCCGGCTATTTCTTTCGTTCCTTCTGTTTCCTTTCGCGCCGTTCATTTCGTCATCTAGCGCTGCTGGCAGTTTGAGCTCCTGCATTACTCGCCCTATCCGCGCGGCTTCATACAAAAAGTGAGGCGGCGATCGACGCAGGCTAAGTGGACTAAAGCAGTAGTCTGCTTGGGTCTAACCTGACTTATCCTTCGCCATCTCGCGTTCTCGACCGGCCACCTGCACTATGTTGTTTCTGGCCTTCCGTCGTCACCGCTTCCTCCCCCGAGACCCTCCTCCTTTGCCCACTGAGTGCCAGTCAGTGCCCGCGGACTTGGCTTCCAGCTCAATCGCCCCTGTACAATTATTCTTCTCATGGGACGCATTGCCATGCATTGTATGCTATCACTATCGCGTCTTTCTATCCTCTGTTTTTGTCCTTTCGTCCTTTCCACACAGCACACGTGTTACCTCACATTCCATCCGTCGCCTATCTCGAACGAATAGTTCGGGCCACGACAATGTCTCCGACACCCTTGCTTGCTTACTTCCCACCCCAGGTTAGCCAGCGCCGCTCTTCCCCAAAGCTCGAACCCTTTTTCCCCAACCTTGTATATTATACTTTACCTTTGCTTTTTTTCTGGTTCTCGCTTTTCCTTGCTGTCGTTTCTCTGTTCCGCATAGCGTGGGTGGTTATCTCGTTTTCTCCTGGCTGGCTGGGCTGGCTCTCGTTTCTCATGTCATGTCACTCATTCATTCGCCGGCCTGATCACCTCATTCTCGCGTGAGTCGGATCTACCACTATGCAAGAGGTGTCTGCCTGTCGTCTATCTCTGGTCTCTGTGATCAGTCAGTCCGTCCGTCCCTCACATCACCACCTCTCCTCTCTTATCTCTGTTCATCTCACTTGCCAACTTCCAAGCCACCGATTCCTCGCTCCGTCACTGCGCTTCTCCATACCATACCGAATCCATCCTGGATCATATGACAGGGCACATTCGTGGTGCAAACTATGCAGCGCATCAGCACGAGTCGGAGGGGAAGATCGAGATTGAGGTCCATCAGGCCTGTCGCGATATTTTACGATTATCTATTGTCCTCTGTACTATCTCCAGACTACTACTATCTATCTATCTACCCTAGAGAAGAATTTCGGGTTACCAATGAAATAATTATACAACATTATCTTAGAACTTCAGCATCCTTTGCAACGATAGCTTTCCTCATCAATTAACAGCATCTCGACAAACCACTCGCCAAGCCAGGTTTGACTTGTGCACGGCATTGCACACCATGCACCACTTATGAGGCCCGGCCCTTGAGTACTCCGTACTTCGCTTCGCTTGCCTACACCTCTCCCTCGCAGCTCGAAAGACGGTGAGCTCGACTCCTTAGCCTCCAGCTAGGAGATTATCTTAGTCACTCCCAGGGGGTCTTCTTCAGCCAGCCAGTAAAATGCCAGAGTCTAGGCCCGAGCTCAAGCTCCCTTAATTTCGACGTCGTTAGCGCCCCTTCCTTTTTCATTCAGGCTTTCATCTGGTGATATGGATTCCGTATCTACGCAGACATTCCATATAATTGTAGGCCACTAAGACGGGCATGTACTTCGGACATGTCGCATTCTCGTTTCTCTTATGCCCCGAATAATCTCCGGTTGTTTGCCGAGTTGGTTCTTTATTTATGTGCGTACTTGCTACATGCATTGTGTCGAGTAGATACATATATATGTAGATGACGAGACATTGCAGGAGTGAAGATATATCCAATGCCTACCGATCTAGACTCGAACTCACCTCACTTTAACCGGAATGCTCAAACACGCATACGTGGTAGATAATGAAGGGTTGTCATTCAGGTCTCCAACCAGGCCTCCACCGCCTCTTGTGTCAGACTGCCAGTCACGGTCTGGGCTAGAGCTAGAGGGAGAACTACTGCATGCGTGAGCAATGGCACTCACTGACATTGATGACAGGTTGCAGTGAGTTGGCAATGTATGTTTGGAATACTCCGACCAGTTTACAGATGTCAGGTCAGGTTACGGACTTCTTGCACGCAGATTTTGCAGGCGAATACCACGTCGTTGACGTCGTGGATAAAAATGAAGCAAAGCCTACAACATTTTACAATGGAAGCAAAAGTGAAAAAGAGAAATTGATTCGTCTTTTCAATGGATCGATGCTATGCCGTTCCATGGGGAGGGGGGGCCAACTGCCATCCGTACTCTCCAGTTTCCATCTCAAGAGCCGAGAAGCTCAGAGCCCCTTCCTTCTTTTGCTGCTTTTGAATCCTCCATTCCTTTTCCGCAACGTCCATATCCTGAGGGAGAATGATAGTTTTTTTGCTCATTTTGCGAAATCCGTGTTTTGCTGCTTTTTTTTTTGACGGATCCTCCCACCAAACCAAGAACAGTGCGCATCCTCAGTGGGCGCACGTAGACACGAGGGTGGTGATAGAGTGAAGCCACATTATGAGGGTTATATGAGGTGTTGTGAGGGGGATGACAAGGGGCAAGGTAAAATGAGAAATCAGGAGTTGGGACTTGAACACGAGCCCAGGGACTCCAAAATGGCTTCGAAAGGGAATAATGGATAAACTTCAGGCAGTTAGATGCAGTGTGAACTCGAAATGCTCGCGCTTGCAATGCTAGATGTCAAGAATCAAATGGCAGATAGATGCAACTTGGTACACCCAAGGTATGATATGATACGTTAGAACACAAGGAGAGGGGTATGCAATTTTATTTGCAAATGACAAAAAGGAAATGGTAGGATAAAAAAAAATGAATAAATCCAGGCATGTCGGTGTCGAGACAGCCGAAGAACTCCAAAAGGGTTCGTTGGTCGAGGTAACCAGATCGGGTAATTATGGCAAACGATGTATGAGGGGGAAAACCTCATATCGGGACATCGAAGATTATGTCAAGATGTCGACGACGGCGGACGCGCTTTATGATGATATCAAGCCTAATATCCAGTGGTGAAACTCATCTGAGGTTGGAGGTATTGTTGTTGGTATGTTGCCTCTTGTTGGTAGTGATTCGGGGCCATATATTGTACACTTGGCGAAGGAGTTGGGGACGGAGAGCAAGCGGTTGGCATTTGTACTGTCTTGACGTAGCCTGCATTATTACCGTTGGCGAATGCTTCGTTTTCAGGGGTAATTGGCGGTGTGATATAGCCGTGAGGCATGTTAGAGGGGTGAGGGGCCTTCTGAGGAGTAGCCAGCCCGATTTCACCTTCATAAGGCTTGGATTCGGAGGCGACAACGTCGGACGGAGGGCTTGGTGGTGTGTAGCTAGCAATTGATGCCTGGCGAGCGAGGAACTGCTCAAGAATCTTGGACACCCGGGAATAGTGGGACGAGGAATACTTCCTCGAAAGTACCTGGGACGGTTGGTGAAGCTGTTGTGACAGCCCGACCAGGGTCATAGAGTCGTACTGGGCAGCCCATTCCGTGTGACGAGGTTGAGGTCTGTTCAAGATACAGCGCGCCAAAGCCAGGGAGGCCCTCGCGAGGTCGAATGACGGCTTCGAGACGAACTCACGGTGGAATAGCGAAATCTCCGAGATGTACAGCGCGAGATGCTCCACCTCGGGATCGTACGGGGTATCCAAAACTGCCATTTGCAAGAAGCTGTCCACAGTCGGATGTCCAATAGTCCATCCAAGCGTTTGCAGAACATGCCATTCCATCTGGATGAACATGTCATCGTCGTACAGAGAGCAGCACATCGACTTGAGTTCCCGGATGGTCGGTACACGGTCCTTCTTGTCGCCGTATTTGGCAGCAATCAGCAGAGCAGCGCATCCAACCAGCTGGTAGTGCCTCTTGTAGACCACACGCTTTGAGCAATATCGATCGAGCAGGTTGACAGTCAGGAACAATGTCGACGGCAGCAACTGGAAAGCAGTGTGGGCTTCGATAAGGAAATCGAGCAGGTAGGGACGCATGAACCACTGGATCTCGGTCTGGATATCAATCGACTCAACGTCAGGAAGAGTAGAAGCCTGAGTTAGAGGATTTGATTAGCCATGATCTATTGGTAGCGCGAGAACCTTTGGGTTACAAACATCCATGTCCAGCATGTGAGATAGAACGTCCTCACGGTATTCCTCACTCGCAATCCTGGAGAGCTCATCGGCGATGGCATACTGACGCTCGCGAGCGATTAGCTTGGCATGCTCCTTGGCATCCATCCTGGGAACAGGGAAGTCGTCATATGATTCCACGAAGAACGAGTCGCAGGGTTGGTAGCTTGACGTAGGGCGTTTGTTGTAAGCCATGATGTCGAACTGGGTATTAAAAGGAGTGGACCTGAAGAGCACCGTGTCTATCAGGCAACGACGGAATTAAGAGAGTGACAGTCGTCAAATTAGGGTAAAATGATCAAGGAGTGTAATTAGTTGGAACGTATTAGGGAAGGGCCAGCGGGGAGACAATAATCTCTGGGTGCTGGATGGATAGTGGCGAGACAACGGGTTCGGAGCCTTTTGGATGGCCAGAACTAAAAGAGAGACTGTATTAGCGAATGAATTAAAGATAAAAAGAACGAATAAATGCAACGATAGTGAACCATGAAGAGATGATGCGCGCAGCATATAAAGGGACAACTCCTTGGGACTAAAGAGTACTAACCCAGAGAAAAGGCCTTCGGGCAGAGGGCACAATGCAACCCTTACCGTGACGGCGTGTCTGGCATCTAGGCTGGGGCAGGACGCAGGAATGATCCGTCGAGCTTGAATCTGGAGGGGACTAGTTCAAAAGGCAAAGAACGACTGAACGTCTTCGCCCTAGGAACCAGTGTATGTACTGGCAAGCCTTTCGTGTACTCCGGAATGTGGAACAGGAGTACAGGCACGAAACCCTATGTAGGGGTAGGGATATTGTCAGGGGGAGGATCAGAATGCAATAATGTGCACAACGTACAGTTCGCAACCCGTAGTTCTGCTAAAGTGTCCTGGTTCAAGACTAGAGCGATTTGTAGGCTAGAAAGCTGCGGTATATCGAAATCCACATCAAAGGGATCCGGTAAGGTCGAGTCCAAGCAACGGGAATTCGAATGGAAACTGTTCCTAGGACGGGCACAACGATGGTCAGCAAGCTAGTCCCACGGCTTCCATTGTGTGATCCCGTGTCAATTATTATTGCCAATCCCAGCAGGAGCGAGATCAAGTGTTGCTGTCGGTATGTGAGGCCCTCGATCGTCCTTTTCAAGTATGCACCCAGGGACGCATTCCGGCAAGAGCAACCCCTTAATCCAAACCGGACAGAGAAACGAGCATGGTGTTTCTTAAATGACGCTGGGTCATCCACTGAACCGAGTTTGTACAGGGAGAATACACATGCAATCTTCATGCACCCGTACATGACTTCTCGTCCGCTCCAAGTCCCCATTGTATTTTGCCCCTGACGGCTCCAACCATATCCTCTTGGCCCATGCCATTCCTCTCTAGTAGTGCATCTCGACGTCTTATCCCAGGGTCACCGCCACGGATTCCTCAAATGTTGAATTGCAAGGCTCCGGTTCTCCCGACACATACGAATGTTGTTGAATACGTTCGTCGGCGGCCACACCAGGCACGCGATGATCATGAAGAGACTCGTTCGTCTTTCAGTTAGTTCAGGCCGACGCAGGTCGAAAGGCAATACCATAGGTCGAGGTCTTCCGTGTTCCAATTGACATGTATAGGGGTTGGGGGTGAATGGCATGAAAGTTGAAATTGCTCACCTTCCAGCAAATCACAACCGCGATAGAATCATGTACACGAAAAAAAGCGTTGTCCAAAGGGAAAAATGGAAAAGAAATCAGGAAGACCCTTCTTTTTGCTCTTCTAACCGGCAGAAGCTGAATCGGGCAAAATCAAGCCGACGATGCCACGGACTGGATTTCGACTGGCAGATAAGGGGGAAAGGTTCGCCGTTTGAGTTAACAAACGTCGAGGGGTGGAAACGTCGAAGACGGACACGGCTCGACTGGAGAGCTGGTGCAACGGGTACAAGATGAGGCCGACTGACAGGATGTCGTCGACTGTATCTTCACCTGGAGACCTAGTCTCAGTATCTCTCTCCACAGGAATTGACGGGAAAGGGGGATGAGAGATAGGAGGAGAGGAAGGGAAGGGAGACGAAGATAGAAGAAGGAGAAGGAGGAGAGAAGAATGAGGAGGAGTTGACTTCTCTCTCCAGGCGGGTGTAGGGGGAGAAGAGAGAAAGGAAGAGAAGCAAGAAAGGATGAAAGCCGGAGATACAGGTCGAGAGAGGGTCGGCTGAAGCCTGAGGTTAGTTGCTGTATTGTGTATGGTAAAACGTGACGCTTCTCTCCTGTATTGAGGGAGTGGGTAACCCAAGTAAGGCGGGCTCGGGTATGGTATCGTGTACTGGAGCCGGCTCAATTTGTACTGGTCCCCCCGTCCTGTTTCAGCTCGTCTCAGCGGATGCTGGTCTATCGCGATCGTTGAAGAGTTGCCAGTCGCCTGCTGATTGCCCCTCGTACGGCGTTTCGCAGTTGAAACAGATCAATGCATTTGTACCAGCTATGTGTTCTTCAGGTCATGCCCGCATTTCTAACTACTGGCCCACACGCAGCTCTAACAGATTGCATGAATAAAGGGTTAGATGGCGAGCTGTATTACTGGACCCTAAAGAAAGTTCAAGTTGACACTGCTCCCTTTTCCAGAACCTCGCATGGAGCTTGTAAGAGCGAGCCAATTTGTTAGACGCGGCCTGAGCCCAGGCAAGACACCCTTACTGGAAACGCGAAAGTCAATCACAACACTCAAAAGGTACGGGGTTGTTCCTCAGTTAGTATGACAGCTAGTTGTCTGGTAATTTGAAGTACAAACCAGTCTTACTACGAGGTTCGCTGGGCTGCTGGGATTCTGATCCAGGCTCTTCAGAGAGAGGGGCTCGGCCTCATCAATCTAAAGATACACCTACGAAGAAGAATCTCAATCCTGCGACTTGAAAATGACCTGCAATCCAAGATAACCTTTCTGACGTTGCAGTCCCCCTCTCTGGTGGTGCAGCGAAACGACTGGTCAATGTTGGTCGTTAGCTGCCACGCCAGTTGCCGGCGTCCAGCACCCGCGTTCTGGTGGTGGGCGCCTGAGTGGGGAGATCTCCGGCCTCCCCAGCGAGTCGTTCCCAGCCTTTCTGCTCCCTGGCTCCAGCCAGGAACACCTCGGCTGCTTGGCGCATGGATTTTTATTTCCCTCCCTCGTATTTTTGAGCTCGTCCACTGGTAATTTCTAGATCCTTTTGGCCCTTCCATATCAGCCGCGCCCTCGCTAACCTATCCACACTCGGAAGGTCAGCACCGGAGGCTGTCACAGCGTTTCCCCGTAATTTTAGGCAACACTGACCTGTCGATGCCTACGAGACAATGGATGCTTCGAACGGCCAGAAGCAGGAATGTTCATCTTTCCATGAAGTCTGCGACCGCTGCCAACGGCATGTTCTCGGTGCTCTGATCGAGCAAGCTTGGCGACTTGTGCCCATCACTTGCATATCAGGGTGTTGACATGCGATTCGATGGTCGGTTTTCCCGGTAACAATCTACTTTCAGCTGCTGACGACCGGCTGGCAAGACTGGTTCGCATTGGAGTCGCGACTCGCGACTTAGTCTACCTTGACGTGCTCGATGTACGATCGAGACACCCAGTTCGTTTGGAGTATGATCTCACCAATTCATTGGTCAAGCTTCATGATGTCGATTTTCGAGCCGCAGAGTCTCCGCAGAGCTCTCTTATGCCTACTCTACCCAGGAACTCAGGTCGATTGACTTGGGTGACTGCGCTTGCGATGCTCTGAGAATACTTGCTTACTGGTTCGGTGTTTATTCCTGGTTCCAACTTGGAGAAGCCATTTCGACGACTGAGGCCAGGCAGTCCTCAACTTGACTGTCTATCCCGCCAACAGAACCCAATCCACGGTTCGGATATAAAAGCCGCTCAGTTGAACGCCCAAGATAAGATTTCTGTCTCGATGTAAGCCTCAGGTGAGATGCGACGGAGCTTAAGGGTTCTTTTCTATAAGCGTGCGACACGTCCCCGGTCCTTGGAGAAGCTTCGTTTGACGCTTGTCCGACATCAAAAGTACACGACCGATGCCCCTTTCCTCCGACTCATGACAACCTGGCAACAGGCAAATTTGAACATGATCTTCACTTTTGGTCCCTTCGGATCGGTAGAGGCTGATGTGGCTGGCGGCGATGTCACTTATGCCTCCAGTCTCCGTGGATATTCGCGAAACTATCAGATCATCTTGGAAACCATAGCTATCCCTGGCCTCGCTGAGTCCAGCCTTGCTTTATAGTTGATCATGTCCCCATGAGTCCCAGCCTTCTTTGTCGCCGTGCGGCCGTGGTGCGCCGGAACTACTAGTCCTGAAGCCAGCGTAAATAGTGAGATGCTGCCTCCCGTATTTTCCATCCCCATAGGGATTCAAACAGATCGGCTGTTCCACTCGTTATATCCGACTTGTCGTCTGGACTCTGGAGGTTGTTGGTCGTTGTCGCAAAAGGGGTCTGGGCTGACTCATCACTTTACAGCCATCAAGGACAGAATCTCCAAGGGGGAAAGGGGGAGCAAACAAACGCCTCTCGTACTGTAAGATTTATGATGACATGAACAGGGATCAGGCAATCGAAACTGGCAGGAGATTCGTGACTCGTCTTGATGGGGCACATTAGCCTTCTGATTAGTATGCGTCTCGCAGGTCAGCGCCAGCTGCTCTTGCGAACGGAGAGGCCTCCAAGGAAGTCCAGGCGCAACCGCAGTTGTACCAGCCATGATTCCAAGCCTCTCGACTCCTGCAGGGGCTGGGATATCAAACGCGAATTGAGTCTCCCTGCGACGTTCCTGCAGCGTTGCCCATCGAATACTTCATCAGACTTCTCGATTGCAGTCGCCCTTACGCTGTGCTTGTGCACTCCGTACGCTATGCATACCTCCATGCGTACATAGTTTAATTGATACCCTTCAAGTGAAGCAAGTCGACAACCGCCCATCTAAGTTTGGCAGACGATGATTGAAGTACAATACGAATGCCCGTGTAACATCATGATGTGTCCAATCGCCAGGAGGAAATAGATACCTAAATACCTGCAAGGATGATATCGGACTCGAACGTCGATGATAATTGCGAATCGTTATTTCCCTCTATTTCAGATACTGTATGTCCATACTCAATTTCAATCATACATAGTACTTACAGCTATTAAAGTCCACCGCATTCGGGTCCGAAATTACCACACATTTGGTCACATACTACGAGGTTACTAACAGCCTGGCACAACCCACTGCGGAGCCTGCAAAGCCTGGAAATATTGCCAAGTGTGCAGCGGTCTTTCTCGCCTCATGTTCGAGAGAGATTAGGATGAGTTCCTTATGACGAAAGAATGGCTTGACTAAAGTTGACTTGAAGAGTCTAGGAAATGAGTGGTTCCTATAATTAAATTTGAAATAGCCGCCAAAAGGCCATCTTGCCTTTTCCCATCTCCGAACCTCGAGGAGCATTGAATCACATATGTAGATGATAAACCACGACAATATATGACCGGGTAAAACTGGAATCATGTCCATTTTACGTACTCTTCATTCAGCAAGCTCCGTTGGCTAACCGTGAACGATAGACAGCGCATGAAGGAAGAAAAAAAAAGGCCCAGCAAGTGGGCCAGTGGACACTGGAATCTCGAAGAACAGAACGGAGGGGCTGGAAAAGGAAGGTTTCTAGAAGGACTGCAGAACTATTTGGGGACGGAACCGCCGTACTGGTCCGTGGATGTGTCGAAAATCTCAGATGGCTTTTTTTTGCTCCGGTTCCTTCCAGTGTTCGGCTCCAGCTATATCATATGTATGTTGCGTTTACCCCGTTGATAATTTGAAGATCTCCATTCTCGGAGATGGCGAGTCTGAAGATTGTCGTTGCCACTTTGATGCTTTATTAAGGGGGGTCGATTCATCTCAGCAGTAGTAGTAGGCTCCTGGGCTTGTCTCAGTACACTGTATGAAAGTCGACGTAGTACTCCCGGTACTTCATGGACTCCCACAGGAGTCAGCGTACACCGTACAGTGGTTTTTGAGTCTTTTTGCACTCATACGGCGGCGTATACCGGATCTTCGGTGGTGTTCATTTGCGATTACTCAAGCGACTCCATATAGATACAGGAGAAACTCATGCCCGGTGCAGACTCCATCTTAGATCCACCATTCTTTAAGTCGAAAAATTCTCTCGGTGGACGACGAGGACAGATATAAATCATGAATTTGAAGGCCTGCTGTCAACTTGTCGTTGATGTAGCCATGTAATGAATTGAAGTCTAGACTGACCTCGGAATCTCGAATATCAGAAGTAATCAAGACGCCAACAACCCCAAAGTCAATATACATCGTATGCGGCTGAACCACTGGTATATATGCCATTGCCAGGATCTTACTTGAGGCTTTGTTTGTTCAGCGAATGAGACGCCCTCGAATGCATCTTGGGACTTTGCATCTGCTGGGTCTGCTTGACCGCTGAGAAGAAAATGTGACACAAGGACCCTCCCGAGAGAAGTTTTTTTAGCCTCACCGGGCCTGCGGGGTTCGCAAACCGTGGATGAAGTTTTGCAGACGCTGCTTTTAACTCTGTCTCGATGCTTGACAGTGTCTTCAATGGGACAGCAGATTCTGCGGCTTTGGTGACTGTAATACTTACAGAAGGTGGGCGCTTTTCGCATACAAATTCCATACAGGCATACATACAGCTCCAGAGCCGGAGTCGGACAGGCTAGTAAAATACCTCCTTTAAAAGACACCCACGGAAAGAGAGCAGACAGGCTGTAGTGTAAAGAAAACGACTCCACATAACCCCATAGTGGTCTTGACTTCTCATCATAGGTAATTGGACACCTATTTCGAGGGCCGGAGACCGGGAGTTCGGGTCACGACTGTGACTTGCAAACGAGGATATCCCAAACGTGACTCCGCATCGGACTCGTCAACACGAACGCGAACGTATCAACGGCAGAATTGACTTTGGCGTGTTGATCGAATCGATAGATCCTGCGCCCGAGACCTCGGACCAGATCCATGGCGTCATGATTGACTCGCGTCCCACGTTTCCGCCGTTCGGCGTGCCCCATTCTGGGCTTTCGAATCACAGATCATCAAATTGAGATTGCTCAATCTTGGGAGTCAACACTCCAGTCTCCCAGGAGTACTGATACTCTGGAGACTCCCTTGGACTTCATTCTCCCACCTCAACGGGAGCTTTCATACTTCCAGTGCGGCAATTGAGTTCTGGCTTGCCCGTTCACTTAAGGGGCACGCAACGATGACATAAACCGGCGAGGGTCAAAGCCTTATCCGCAACGCTTGGCAGCGACTCAGAAAAGCCCTTTACGCGCGTTGATTCGAGGATCGCGTTAGAGTCACTCGCGCTTGTTGCTAATCTGGCGTGTCTGTTCCCAGTTTTCTTAGCGTTTCTCCAGGGGATCCTGGGCCACAAGAAATTCAAGGAATCCCTGTTCGCCAGCTTGGAACGCGCAAGAGATTGAGAATCAATCCTCCTAAGGGAAGGTCGCCCGTCAAGTTAACTCCTAGACCGCGGAGCTCTGCAAGATGGGCGACGACGACGACTGGGGGTACAATTGCGAATCTGCCAACTCTTCCAAGTTCCGACATGTTGCGAGGAAAGCTGAGTCGCCGCATAAGCCACCTCCTGAACCAAGGGACAATGGCAAAGTAACCTCGTTATCAAGCGAGGCGCCTTGGGCTCATCGAGCTGCCGAGCAAGATTTACCGACATTTGAGTTCCCCGCGGGCGGTATCACATGTCCTGTACTTTGGAAAAAGCATCCAAGTTCCAACTCTATCTGAAATCGCGTGCGACAACACGCGAGTCGCACGATATACTACCCCAGCCATCTGGTGCGGAGAGATTGAGTTTCTCCTCGTCGGCTCATCCACTACCCTTAACAACGGGGCACCATTGTTTCCCTCACGTACCGTATCTAGCTGACGCATTTCCACTTGACCCTGAAGTAACTTTGGCCCAAACTTGGTTGAAACCAAGGCCGCTGACTTTCGAGTATCTGAGAGCTCTGTGCGAAGCGCTATCATTGATTGGGCTTGTTGATTGTGAGACGCCGAATCATCTATATATAAACATCGATTGAACCAGAATCCTGCCTTGCGCCCATACACAATGCTCATATGTAGCTCTCTTCAATCAGAGCCAATGAGACGATGAACCAGAGTCGCTGAACTGATGGAGAGCTGTGGCTTTCTCATCTTGAATCACTTGCAGCTGAGGGTCTGGTCTTTCTCAGCATTACCTCAAGTGGTTGGCCACCACTATAATGCGCGTGTGGTACAGTAATCACTAGAGGGCAATGCATGTCATACCATTTGAAAGAAGGATACCAGAATATCTCAATCCAAGGGGGTGGTGACGACGGCTCAGGCTGATTGCGAACAGGCAAAGATCGTGGCTGATGTCGAGATACCCCGCACTGGGCTGACGATCAACTCCAATTGCAACGAGGCGCGGCCGATTCAGCTGGAACTTGCAAGCCGCACGGGGTTTCTGCCGGAAATGTAGCTCATTAGCAGTCGCGAAGCGCATGCATGAATCCCTCCTGTCTAAGCCCACCGAGTGGTCTCGTTTTCAGCCTCTGTGGTCCTCGAACTTGAGACTGGGCCCTGTAGGGGAGCCCAATCCCTGCAGTATTGCGAGAGTCTTGCCCTATCAGGCCCTCTGACTTGAGGAGCGACATAATTCGTCCTAATGGGATGCCGCGATGGCGGAATCTCGACCGGTGTCTGACTGACGTGGCAGTCTTTCAAGCAATGAAGTCTACCAAAGACATGCAGATGTCTGTCATCCTTTGTCCTCGATACGGCCTTCCTTTTGAAGTATCGAAGCGATTCATTCCTTGTTTTCACCGGCTCAAGATGCCCCATCCTTGTCTCTCTCCTCGATGCAGCTCTTGTGGTGGGTGGGTGGCTGGTCGACGATACTTCAATACGCTATTCGAAGGTCAAACTAGCACTCTGTTCTGTCAGCCATTCCTTTGACGTACAAGAGTACTATCACCTCATTGTTTGCTGGCAAGTCTGAAGCTTAAATATATGACCGCCGTGAACCGTGAGCAATGCAGCAATCTGAACTGGTTGGCTGTCGCTGTCCGGCCGCTCCTTATCTTGTTCCACAGATTCCTCTAGGACAGCTTGAGACTCACAGTCTGCCAATGCCCACCCTCCTCTGACTGCGAGTCATGTCCTCTCTCCGGAGGGTCGAAGGCCAGCTCATAGATAGCCCTTTAACTTTCGGGATCGCTTCTGATGTGCGGTAGCTCGTGGAAAAGCCGATCGCGAACTAGCTATATGCGAAACAGGCTCAGTCAGCAAATGCTTTTGTAGCACAATGTAAGTGCTTTCTACAGATTTGGGAGGAAAGCTAGGCTGAATGTTCGCTTGCTCACTTAGCTCTTACCTGGTCATTGAGCGACACAGTCTTCCTGGTAGCACTCTAAACCTCTCTGTTTGAATGTCAGATCCAGATAGTCCTGCTGTTGAGGAGCATGTCAATGCAAGCGTGTTACTTCTGTTCCTAGGAAATCACGTGACTGATACCGCCGGTGGAACCTCCGAGACGCTAAAATTTGTATCAAGAAAAAAAAAAAGTAGGAACACCGCCGAGACCAACAATCGGCTTCTATAACCCATTCAACCGTACAGTTTACTCTATAACAATTACCGGAATGTCTGTATAGCGGTAGGCTCTTTAACTTGAGCCAGAGAACCGATCTTTTTACACCTCTCACACCGCAAATCACCAGCGTTGGACTCCGCAGAACCAAAACCTTGTCGCCGCAACCCTTCGAGAATTCCAGCATACAAATTACCGACAATGGATATCCACCGCTGCCGCTTCATACCATACAATCCGCAAGCGATCAATGCGCTCGCATTCTCGCACCCGCCCTCAGTTGGGCTCAGCGGAAAGGGTGTGTCCACCCTCCGCCTCGCGGTTGGACGCGCCAACGGCGACATCGAATTATGGAATCCCATGCGCGGCGCATGGTTCCAAGAAGCCATCTTGCACGGCGGAAAGGACAGGAGCATAGAGGGTCTAGCATGGACGCTAGACCAGCCGGAGGAAGGACCGGACGGACAAAAGCTTGCGGGTCGCCTGCGACTCTTCAGCATTGGGTACTCGACGACAGTAACAGAGTGGGATCTTGAACAGGGTCGGCCGAAGCGGCACTCGAGCGGAAGCTATGGGGAGATGTGGTGTCTTGCTGCACAGCCAAGGTGGCAGCCTACAAAGGGAAGGGACATGAAGCCGCTTCCGCCTGCGGAGGGGGAGTTTACGGGCCAGCATCTTGCTGCTGGGTGCGCGGATGGGTCAATCGTGATATTGTCAACCGCTGACGATGATTTGAAGTTCTTGAAGATCTTGAGGCCGTCGACGAAAAGGCCGAGAGTACTGAGTGTGACCTTCCAGGATCGAAATACTATTGTGGCTGGGTATGCGGATAGCTCGATTCGGGTGTTTGACATCCGGAGTGGGCAGCTCTTGCGCACAATCAGTCTTGGAAAGGGTCCGACCGGAGGCTCGAAGGAGCTGCTGGTTTGGTCAGTGAAGTGTCTGCCGGATGGCACCGTTGTTTCTGGAGACTCTGCCGGTGAAGTCCGGTTCTGGGACGCGAAGAACTACTCTCTCATCCAACGGCTACAAGGACACCTGGCCGATACACTGGATGTCGCAGTCAGTGCCGACGGAGAAACTGTCCTTAGTGGCGGTGCAGACCAGAGGACTGTGGTCTACAGGAAGACGGTCGGCGAGAAGGGCGACAAGAGCAGCAGATGGGCGGAGGTGACACACCGAAGGTACCATACTCACGATGTGAAAACGTTTGCTGTTTATGAGACGAAGAACCTGAGCATCGTCGTCTCTGGAGGTACGCATTCCCATGTTACTCTATTCGCCAACAATCGTCAGCAGTGGCTAACATTAAATAGGACCTGATGCCAGCCCCGTTGTCTTGCCCCTACGTGAATTCGGAAAAGAACACCACCGAAACCTCCCAAGCCTTCCTCAGATTCCACCAGTCGTTTCCGCACCTTCCTCCCGCCTTGTGATGAGCTACTGGGATAGAGAGGTGAACATTTGGCGAGTGTCCCGGGGCCCTACTTCATTACATGAAGTCCTTGATGGACAACGGCACAGGCTTGTTGGGAAAGTCATGATTCAGGGCGAAGAAAACATCACCTCCGCGACACTATCCAGCGACGGGAAGATCCTTGTCGTTGCCACGATCTCCAGTGTCAAAGTGTTTTCCGTGCGACGACGCAAGGGCGATGAACGGGGTACACTCCGCGTGCAGAAATTGGATGCCCCAGATACACTTTCTGAAGACGGAGCGCGACTTGTCACACTCTCGCCAGACAGCAGATGGCTTTCTATAGTGCGGCCGAACAGTGACATTTGCCTCGCCAGAGTCAAACCCGCTTCGTCTCCTACAGAGAAAACCGAAATCCTGCCCAAACTAGTCAACCTTTCCAGAGCCCCTCGTCACACTCGCTTTGAGAACATCTCGCACGGAACGCTCGGTACATATGAACGAACTGTCCGCTGCGTCGTCTTTTCACATAACAGCAAGATCCTCGCCTCGGGCGACCTCTCCGGCTGCATTGACACGTGGTCCCTAGAAGAGGCTACCGAAGCCACAACTAAAAAGACAAGTACTACCGCCGAGTCAGACGACGAGTCGTCCGATGACGATGACGAGGAAGATTACCCTATAATCGAAGGCGAGCGCTGGCGCGCTGTCGCCAGCGACTCCCCCATCCCTCGCCTCAAGGCCAGCGTCGCCCTCCTATCCTTCCGCCCCCCCAGCCCCAATGCCACTCAACAGTCACTTCTAACAAACGGCTCTTCAAATGCCACTACGGCGAACACAGGCGAATCCCGCCTAGTGGCCCTCACAACAGAACATCAGCTCGTTGAATTCGATGCCCTAGAGGGCAAACTCTCTGAATGGTCACGACGAAACCCCAAGGCCTTCCTCCCGGCGGACTTCAAGGGCGTCAAGGACCGCGCCATGGGCTGCTTCTGGGACCTGTCAGACGCCACCCGGGAACGCCTGTGGCTCTACGGCACCTCCTGGCTCTGGATGTTCGATCTAAAGCACGATTTCCCGTCGACCGAAGAACTGGCCGAGGTAGCCACCCAAGAAGACTCCACCAACGCCACGGGAACGCCAAAGAAGAAACAATCGCACAAGCGCAAACGCGAAATCACGGAGGACGGCGAAGGAAAGCGCGGCAGCAAACCAAACAAGAAATCCAACACCGGCGCAGGCGACCGGATCCCACTCGCCGAATCAACCGTCTTCTTCGACCAGAAGGCCCGCGAGTTTGTTGGACCAGACGCTTCCACCGGTGAATGGGTCTCGCTCGAGAAGGAGCGTCCCGTCGACGAAGAGGGCGAAGACGACGAATACAATGAGAACAACGATATCCGCCTCGCGCAGCTCAGGAGGGCAGATGGCACCAATGCCACTGGCAGCAGCAGCAGCGGTGGCAAGGCCAAGTCCAACGGCACGCCTAGCAAACAGATTGTGAAATCCTCCGACTCCCAGTCTGCGCCTCCGCGTCGCTGGTGGTTTACGTACAAGTACCGGGGGATTCTGGGAATCGTACCGCTGAGCTCCTCTGCGTCGAGTTCCACTGATACGGGTCTCGATCTCGATCTCGCCGGCGAGTCCGTCGAGGACGCCACCGCCAGTAACGGCGTCGAAGTTGCCGTTGTCGAGCGGCCGATGTGGGACGTTGACCTTTCGGACCGATACGTGCGCGAGTACGAGTAGAGCGAGTGAGAACAAAAGTTTCTTCGAACCGTCGCTTCCCATTTCTGGCCCAAGTGACTTGTGCGGTCTTGCATATACGAACTTCAACATGTCTTTTTTTTCCTGGTTCTTTTCCATTCCATCTCATTGGCGAACAGGATATTTTTTTGTATGCTATGCTACGCTAGGTATTCTTATTGCATTTGTATCAAGTTTTATTCGAGTTCAGAAGTTGAACTTGCTCACGAAATGGCTCCTTGCAATCTCGCTCCTGTTTTAGGAAAGGCCAGCAGTAGAGTAACGGCGGGCCTCTGAAGGAGGCCCCAGGACCAGTCTAGCCCAGATCAAAGAGCGGATGTGGTACGCGCGGGAAGCCCAGACATTGGAATTTAAGCTCAGGCTGGAAGCCAGCGAGGCAGTGTTACTTTTTGCCTGTAAAACCTGTCCTTGGCGAGTGTCGATGGTTTACGGGTTATACTTTTGTGAAAGGTACTGCAATAAGAATCAGGATATACAAGAAAGCGTGATCAGGGGAGATGGTCAGATATGTTTATCATATCCTATGTCCTATCTAAAAGAAACAGCAACCGCGTACTCTTCATGAATCGAGTCGAGATGAGATTTCGAGAACAACTGTGCTGCAAACAACCAACCAGAATAAAACGCGCAATGTATATCCTTAAGCATAAAGGCTCGACCACGGAGCGAGTAGAAGAGAGAAAGTGGAAAATGAGAAACAGTCACACGAACACAAACTTCCTGTCTTTCCTTTCTTATAATGAATAGAATATGCTCGCTTTTGGGCATCTCTGTCTCAAAAAGCTTGTCCGTATAAAGAAAGGAATTCGGTTCCCGCGGCCTTTATACCGTGGTATTGGGCTGTTACAGGGACACGAGGTATCTCATGAAACGGGTAAAGTAATGCTGAACCCCGCGGACATGCCATGTCCCGTATTCGGCAGACTGGGATTATATGAAGCGAGGCGGCTTCTGACTATACAGTCTATTCTGTCGCGTCGCAATAGTGGATCACAATGGCTGCTGCTCGTTGCACGCATGGTACTGACAAGGAATTGGGGCGCGGTGTTAGTGTCAATGTCAGGATAGTCCGGTCGGTCCAATCAACTGAGAAGACTGACTGCACCGATGATGGCATGGGACATTGATTGACCGCTACGTGCTGGGGTCCAGATCGCTTCGATGGTGACATACGGCGGATGCCGAATTCTTGGCATGCCATCACTTGGACGTCTAATAACTTTGGGCCGATACGACGGCGGGCTAAAGGAAGTTAGCAAAATTGCAAAAAGCAAAGTGAGTCTGAGAGGGAACATTGGAAAGAAGGCACAAGACTCGGCAACGTCACACGAGAAGCGGTGCTTATTCTTGGCATTGCGAAGAAGTGCAGGTGAGGAGCAACTTACAGGACTATTGAGAATGCTGTTCCGCTCTTTCCGACCCTTCTTAATATGGTTCTTGAGGGCGGCAGAATCCAGCGGTTTCAGTAACTCGAAGCTGCAAAGCAACTCGCCAGAGACTGACATGACCGCACCCCAGTTATCAAATTCGCCACAATACTAGCGAATCGCAATGGTTAGCATGATAGAACCAGAAGTGTGATAACAGTGGCATTCGAACTCACATTAGGAGCAGAGAACACGGTGACGAGAATTCGGTCCTGATAGAACTCATAACCGTCTTCAACAACCATGTGGGCACGACAGACTAAGTCAAAGTCGTGACGCTGCAGGAAGTTCATGATCACGTTTTTGTTGAAACAGTAGCTCACTCCACGCTCATTGGGCTCCCAATCTTCCTCCATATCGGCAGGATCACTCCAAAGCAGATCGTTCAGCAAGCCATAGTCCGGCACATCGGTCGGGCGGGCGATGTTGCGAATATCATCCATGTGAGAAAGACTCGGGGAGAGGCCACCATGAACACAAAAGATCTTCCCAGCTACTGTAGCCGCGATTGGAAGGCAGTTGAAGGTATCAACGAACGTCTTCCAAATCTTGATGTTGCAGCGCCGTTTGCATTCATCATAGAATCCGTATACACGAGTCACATTTGCACACTCGTGGTTACCACGCAAGAGGAAGAAGTTCTCCGGAAACTTCAGCTTATAACAGAGCAGAAGAAGGATTGTCTCCAGACTTTGTTTACCGCGATCCACATAGTCACCCAAGAACAGATAGTTGGAGGTTGGAGGGAAACCGCACATCTCGAACATCCGAATGAGGTCTGTATATTGACCGTGAACATCGCCAACAATTTTAACAGGGGCTGACAGTTCCAAGAGAGCAGGTTGGCTCAAGAACAGCTCGCGTGCAGCAGTGCAAATAGCCACGATCTCCGCATTCTTCAAGCAAACGGTCTTTGTGACTTTGGCGGAGTAACCCGCATCGAGAAGACGAGTGATCATGTCGTCAAGGTCAATAGATTTTAGCGCTCCCATGCCCATCCCCGGAGAACCGGACGACTCGGAGTGGAGCGGTGTCTTCATAATGAAATCTAGGATCGGATTTGACTGATCTTCTCGCTTGATAAGGATCGATTCGCCGACTTTTTGCTGTGTACCTGCGGGCGGAGCGGCGGCTGGAGGAGCATCGGATACGTGGTCGACCTCGCCACTCTGTTTCATGGCGTTTACATCCTGGTGGCCTCGCTTTAGGCTGCTCGACATGGTGGGAGAAGGAGGTGGATCGGGAGCATCAGCTGGTGCCGCAGAATCCGCTGACGCAGGTCGACTCAAGTTGGTGGAGCTGCGCCGGCTCCCGACGGACTTGAGTGAGGCTGCATCGGACTTGTCATCGGCCTGGGCCAGCGCCGATGTTGAAGCACGAGGACTGTCGGTATTGCGGATCTTCGACCGGATAGACCCTCGGAAAGATCGAAGGGATTCCTTGGTATCTGATTTGGAAAACGAAGGATACGACTGCAGCGAATCCCCAGCGCCAGAATTGCCTTTGGAATGAGATTGACCCATGCTGCAAGGAGATATGTGTGCCAAGATCCGACCCTCACGCTCAGCGGATGCGTATAGGTTCGGGATCAGAGGCTATAAACCCTGTTGGCGTTTCGGAATGCCAGGAGGTCTTGGCCGCAAACCTGTCCACAGATATTGGCGGAAGTATATAAAGGGCAGAGGTTTCCCGCAAAGATACGTTGTTGTAGCCTACTCGAGATGTTATGGATATGAATTCGACGAGAATAACCGCGGATACCCGGCGCTCGTCGAAAAAGTATGATTCGAGGAGGGCGAAGGAGGAAGGGACTCGAGGAAACCCGGGTCAGGTAGCGGGTTTGATGTTGGAAGAAATGGAAATGGACGAGGACGATGATAGCATCACAGCTTACAAGCCACCGAAAGCTAGATCGCCGGAAGGGAAAGCTCCGATTTGCCGACAAACCACTCCTTCAGATGAAGCGGTTAGCAACGAGGCTGTGACAGTGGAGAAAGAGACAAAAGTGGGTGAGGGATTTGAGAGCTGAGAAAGCTCAAATTGGGGATTGCGGAGCGGGTGATGGGGAGAAGTCGATGAGAGAGGAGCCGTGGAAGGATGCGTCATTATGTGGAGGGCCGGAAAGGCTAGTAGGGAAGGGAGGGGCAGACGTACCTGAGAAGCCAGGGAAGGAGGAAACGACAGACGTTGATAATGTGAACAAAAGCTGGAGGGGGAAGCAAAAGCACGAAGGCGTACAGCGATGAGAGAGTTGAAAGAGACGAGGCGTTGGAGCCTTAGTTTCAGACAGTTCGCCTCCAAGGCCGGAACTTGGAACCTGCACAGTGAATGTGATGGTCTCGATTCCTGCAAAGCCACTGCACGGATGTGGATGTGGCAGCCCCCGGATTATCTGTCGGCCCGACTGAGCTGTGCTAATGATGGATGCCTGGAGATCTTGTTTGGACGCTCGGGGCCAGGAGTACGTCGTTCAGAGTACATGTAAGTTAAATAGCAATAATAACGTCGATGTGATGGAGCTGCAGGCCAGAAAGCAGATCAATTAGACTTGGGGGGAGTTGTCGATCAATACCGTCATCATTCCTAAGAGCATGAATTACAGGAGCTAGGTAGGCTTTATAAGTTCTCCGGAACCGGCCCCCATCTCGACCTTGTATTTGCTTGTTCCCTCTATATTATTCGGCACGCCTCGTAAAGAGCCTTTCTAAGCTTATAATTGAAGTGTTCAAATCAACCAAGCCGGTACCTCACCGCACTGGGCGTCAAGCACAGACGTTCAGTCATCGTCTTCTCATCTTTCCCCTCACCTGGTCTTGGCTTCGGCTGTGTGGGCCTCCTCATAGGCCCTCCGTCGCAGAACGCCGTACGTCTAGATCCCACAACTGCGAGGGAATCAAGACCCGCCGCTGACAGAAGATATACCGGTGGTCAGCTTCTGATGAGATCCGAAGATACCCGACTTCGTATGGCCACTCACAGTGGCTGAGGTTGCACAAACGATCATAATTCCCCGTGTTGAGTTTGCTTTTTTCCGCTCATTTGCTATTTTGGTCCTTATCAGGCCTCGGGCTCTTGCCATTGCTCGTTGAGAGCTCCAGAGCGGAGGATAACGGGGATACTGGCAAGGTAATGGAAACGCACACCCATCTGGGCTGCTCCCTGGCTCTTCTCCTCCAAAAACTGCAGGAACACCGCCAGTCCATCCTGGCACAGTCAGAATCATGGTGGATGCTGCCAAGCCGCAATTGTTGCGCCAAGAAAACGCAGATTTATCTGTTTCGTCATATTTCCTCCCTAACCACGTTGCAGTTAGTCTCACTGCTCACATCTAGATCTTGGCACCTCACCGAAGGTGGACCAACAACCAGACAAGAGAGGTCGAAATATCCAGTCAGGATAAGCTTGAGCCTCCTTTTGCAGGGGGGGTACCTGCAAGAGTTGGTAGCGAGAGCCCGCTTGCCCACTCTCTGCGCATGCTTGCGTCTCGAGGCAGCTCCCCAATCAACAACAGCAGTCAATATCACAATTCTCCCACGTGAACGTTGCATATCACATCTGTAAGCAAAGGCGACCCTGAAAAAGAGGTGGTGGAAAAAGCAAAGAAAGGGGCAGTATGAGAAGTTCTTGATGATTAGAGTTCGCCACGGAAGTAAATCGTCAACGGAAGCTGAATAGCGCCACCGTCACGATGTCTGGACTGACTCCCGCACGCGACTTTGTTGCGGGGTCTCCTCCAACTCGATTCTCGTGATGTGTTGACCCGGCACCACCACAAGACCAATAAATCGACTGGTCATATTTAATTTTAGGTTCTGCGTCTCTTCCAAGCTCTCAGTTGTCAAGTGCAGGGCTGCATCTCGAATGGCCGTCGTTGTTGGATAACGATATTCGAATGTGTTGGCGAGAATGACATTCCGAGCCTGGGGCACGATGGACGAATCAGTCAACATAGTTCTCAGCCCTGAAGCCTATTTCTTTGCACCTCCATGCAGAGAAATGACACTTTAACTCGAGACTTGACTTACCGCATCCGTGCACTTGAAGATGCCCACGAAAATGCGAGTGTCTGTTGCGTGCACGCGTAGTGTTTGGCCGATCAACGAGTCCAAATATTGAACAGCCTGGTTGTCATCCATCCTTATCTTCCAATCGATGCGTGAGCTTGATGGGTATCACGATCGGGCGCCTCAGGCTTAGTGAGCTGATGCCAGGCAAGGGACAGGAATAGGAGATCTGAGTTGTTCTGCGCTGGCTGGCTTGCCAGATGTCGTTCCGTTGTCTGCAGAGAGACAAAGCTGAATCCCGATAGCCAGGGTTCTGCTCTAATGTCGTTGGTGGGATCGCGGTTGATTGCCAAGTTTGTTGATCGTGCGAATTGGATGTTGCTGCTTTGGAAGATGTGTTGGGATTTTGATGTTGACTGGTCGCCTAGTTAATCAGGCAGAAAGCTCCCGTAAGCTGCATAAATCCCCGCATGATGCCATTATTCATAAACCTTTTCCGGAATGAGAAACTGGAAGGCACAACCTCGAGCCCGAAAGCGGTACAGTACTTGGGGGCGGCAGCTTGGTCGGTCTTCCACCTATGTATTCGGGATTTTACTTTGAAATATTCAGAGTAACCTCGAGTCTCTCTTGCTCAAAGCTGTGTTTATCCAAAGTCTCATTGCTCAAGCATCGTCCTCCTGCTGAGACAGTTGATCAGGCACACTACTTCAACTGACCATCATGTTCATTTCATTTCTGATCGCTACAGGGCCCACCACGGGGACTCTCGATGACCTTCTTGTTCAAAGGGGTTCAGACAATCCCAAAGCCATTTGGACGCTCGACAAGCACAAGAATATCGGCTGGAGACCGTAGGCACGCGATCATGATGGTCCCTGCGCCGCAGGAATATTAACTCTAAATGGAAACGCTATGAAACAAGCAACCAAGCCGCAGAACAGGGTTCAGTGCGACATCATGATCGCCTGCAATCATGGACTTATCAAAACGCTCGTGAGGAAAATCAAGGCAAAAAGCAAAGAATGGGGTCCAAAAACATGGGACCAGGGTATAAAAGTAAGTATAACAACAAGCGAATCGCTTTGGTCCTGGCTGTCTTGAAGCCAATGCATCACATCCATCCCGGGGTTCCAACCCATTGCCCGGGGTTCTCGGCTGATTCGCCATTGCCCGAGAGGATATCCATGTTCACACTATAGTCAGCCGTTTGAGAAGCCGGTGACACCGTACCGCTAAGTCTCGTTGTGGACGGTGAGCCAACCATCATGTCGCGGCCTTGCAGTGTGTTGGGAATATCTCGTGAGGGACCGCTGGCGGATTGACTTATCGGTGTGGAAGGGCAGCGAGGATAGGATGGTTGCACAGGGCGAAAGAATTGAAGTAGGGATTGTTGACGAGAGTCGATGGCAGTCGGCAATTCCGGTTCCATGTCCTCGTTTTGATCTGCAGGGGGCGTGGGCGTCTGCTCCACCCGCTGCTGTGCTGTGTACAGCCAGCGCAGAGTATTCTCTGTTTCCTGTCAGCAATTTTGCGCTATTTACAAAGACTGGACGCCTTCGATGCCAGGGCAATCCTACCATATACCGTCTGTTCGTCGGGGCGATCATTTCTTACACGCTTCCGTGTCCGGCAATGAAGATGTTTTGGACTGTCATCCATGAACCGTCGGTCGATGCCGGTCTGGGTCGGCTGAGGCGATGCGATGGTCGGGAATGAAGCTTTGCGCTTGAGCGACATGGTGGATCAATTAAGTGAATTAGGTGTTTGCGCGGTAGAGTATTTTCAGAGAGAGGTAAATGTAATATAACCAGCAATGATCCAAGAGGGGGTTTTGAGGTAGATAAGCAAGCCTCTCAGTGTGGTTGGAGGGCGAATTTGGTCTACGCGTGAAGAGCAATCCCCACGCGTGTACAAAAAATGTGCGCTATTCCGCATCCGGCTTAATTGGCCCCCAGTCTGGGAGGCCTCGACATTGGAAATTGGATGAATTGCTCGATAACTAATCTTGGCCTGTATCGCCTTAAGAGATACGAAATTATTTCAAAATGGGATTTAGTGTTGGTAGACTCATGTGGATATGTATCTTACCTTTCCAAAAATCCTTTGTAGGCGACGCTCGAGGCAGTTTGCTTTCGTCAGTACAAAAATATTTGTCTAAGTAAATGCACTCAATCTTGGTTAAGGCTGGTTAGATCAATATGCTCAATATTAGCTGAGGCCGGGTGGCCTAATGGTAAGGCGTCAGATTTCGGCGAGGTAAATCCTCTCAGTCTCTGAAAACTGCGGGTTCGAGTCCCGTCTCGGTCGAACTTTTTTTTGACTAGTTAGATCCTTCTTTTCTTTCCCCATACCCCCTCATGACGTTCCTCGACTTATCTTCCCCGCTTCTCACCCCTCATTGAACAACAACCATCAACACCATCGCCTTTCCCTCGATAAGATTGTCAAGCAGCTGTCAGAGAGCAACGGAAGAATGGCTTACAGAGCAGCATCCCACTCTGGCTCATGGTATTCGGACGATCGCGGCGCCCTTACACACCAGCTCGATCAATGGCTAGCTCAGGTCCCTGATGCCATTGAAGGGGTGGGCTCACTGCCTGTCCCTGGCGCACGAATTATCATTGCTCCGTATGTATTGGACCTAGCTTTATTTATTGTTCGCTTACCTACTGACTTGGGTCTCTAGCCATGCAGGATATAGGTACTCTGGAGCTTGTGCCGCCTATGCCTACAAGGCCCTGGACCTATCAAAGGCGTAAGTGCTGCCGGTCTTGCTTGTCTTGAAAATATTTCAACAGCTCACCCATGAATCTCTATAGGAACCGTATATTCGTTCTCGGACCGTCGCACCACCATTATTTCACGAGCCTTGCCCTGCCGCGACTGAAGGGCTACTATACGCCGCTGTCTGATGATCCCCTCCCGCTCGATACCGACCTTATCGCCAAACTCCGGTCTAGCTCCACTGTTAAGCCAAACGGATCAACCGTCAACTTCGATGACATGACTCGATCTATGGATGAAGACGAACACAGCATTGAGCTTCACCTCCCGTATATCCACCGTCTGCTGCAACTCCAGCATCCAGACAAACCGACGGCAGAGTACCCCCCGCTAGTACCCATCTTGGTGGGAAACACGTCTACAACGACCGAAAGTGCATTCGGTGCTTTGCTGGCGCCATACTTGGAAGACCCGACAAATGCATTTGTCATTAGCTCCGACTTTTGTCATTGGGGTCTGCGCTTTCGCTATACATATTACCTTCCCGAAGCGCCTAAACCCGGGCCAAGGCTGCCGTTATCATCGGATGCCCTACCACAACCAGGTGACAGCGATATAGACGCCAAGATCGAGTCCGCCACTACAGGTCATCATCTGCAGCGGCGAGACCGCATACATAGCCAGCAGCCAACAATCCACGAGAGCATCTCAACGTTTGACATCGCTACCATGGCGGCGATAGCTACTGGAAAGACTTCGAGGTTTGCCGAGTCCCTTGAGACGACGGGAAATACAGTGTGCGGCCGTCATCCTATTGGCGTTATCATGGCCGCCATCGAGAAAACCGGTAAGCAAGAAGGAGGGACAGGCATATTCCACTTCGCTCGGTACGAGCGCAGCGCGGACATCACGGACGTGTCTGATAGTTCGGTGAGCTACGTCTCTGCATTTGCCGTGCTGTAGTACAAGGTCATTGGCATTTCCGTACCGCATAAATGACTGCTGGTCACCCATATTACGGAAACAACTTTCCGGGTTCAACCAAGTTGGATGCTGTGTTCATCGAATAATCTATACATCTACTGAATCAAATTCACTATCTACTTCAGGGTATCTTTCAAATTGCTCTGTTCTTCCAGAACCCATGATCTTCACCATCGCCTTTGTCCATCCAATTCCTCTTGGAGTCTCTAATTAATTTCTCCCTTTCATGATAATTCCACTAACTTCGAGTCTACTCTATTGTCTTCCCTGCTCTCGCCCCTGCACCTCAATTCTCGGGAGCTCAGCCACATCCAACGAAGCCGTCCAAAGGGACTTGGTCGACGAAACCATTTTAGCTTTTTGCATGCAGTCTTATTGCCTGCCCCATGGTGTTATCACTAACGTGCCCATACATAGCTAGGACCGACTCCAGTCTCGACAAAGAAACTTCCTCGTGTGCTTATCAAGACGAAGTCAACAGTCCCAAAGCCGACCAGGGACTACGCTCTTGGCTCCATATTTCAGCATATCCCATCCTCTTGAGTCTTGTGTCTGGGGCTGAGAGCGCTGTTGATGGTGCCAGAGGGGATGCAAGGTAGCCGCTACTATATTTGGACATAGTCACAACATGCAATGATAATATTGTCAGAAGCTTTTACGGCCAGAGTTGATAATGGCAGATAGGCTAAAGACTCGGAACTCGGCTCCGGGGATAAAGGCCAACGGAGCCGATGAGAAGAATGAGCAATAGCCATAAGAGTCTTTGATGGGTACAAGTATTCGACAACAGCTTGCTTAAATCATCCTCCTGCAGACCTCGCAAACCGTAGCACTTACAAGAAGCTTCTCAACCAACCGCAGTTGAAATCCGTTTATACACGCCACTCCGGTTAGAGAAGGCTGCCGAAGGATGACTCTGAAGCGAGATCGACTTAAGCTCCATCCTTTACTCACGGGGTTCGAAGCGAATAGCTTTGGAAAGAAAAGGGAAAAAACGCCTCAAATGCAAGCCAATGGTTAGCAGAAGTTGGATCAAGGATTCGCCTGTCTCATCACATGGTCACTGATGGGAGCCTAGTATGCCGGCGTGTCGTTACACAATGTTATGCTGAAGACTCAACGGCGCGGCGGCGGAGTTGGTGGAACACAGTGCTTAGACTCTAAGACCAGTCAAGGCGGTCTTCGCCATATGTGATGCAACCTGCATACGAGTACAGCTAACAGCACCTTCTCACTTTGTGGATAGCGGCATTAAGAATTAAACAGGCGAATCCGAGTCCTTCAGCGAAGCTGGAAATTGACCACGTACATGTGCAAGTCGTACACAACATCGAAGGATCTTCAGCCTACACATCTTGGCTCTCTAGACGCTGAGAGGGCGAGCAATTTTCCGGGAGTCTGGTGATCTGGCGCGTGGCTGCGATTGAGTTACGGCGCCTATGCATGTCTGTCTCTGTATGGATCGTGAAAGAGTTGAAGGAAAGGCTCGTGGGTAACTAGGTAGCTAGTTGTTTTTGCAATTGCAATGGGCGGAGACGGACGCGTATGCGATATGATGTTGTGCGCCGTGTTCGTAGGTAGAGTTGCATCGGTCGGTTGGGCCTCGTTGAAATTGATGGAAGACTTTTCATTGAGAGGCTCAGATTCGTATGGAGAAGTCCAGGGTACGTTATGTAGAGTGTATTATAATCGACGATGAGGCATCTATCGCCGGGGTATAGGACTGAGGATAACGCTACTGGAGTATGGGCTAGGAGTATGGGGAACTGCGGAGACATCTACACTCAACTCTCACAACTCCATACACCAGACGACCATGGATGCGACTCCCTAAAGCACCATTCTACCAATGAACCCGAAACAGAATCATACCCACCCAATATGAGACTCGATTATCATTCCCCAAAGTCTGCCTCCGCATGCACACCCCGGATTCCTGTACGGAGTACGCTGAGGTCATCCATAGCCCACCAAACAGCAAGGGCAACAATCCTACGTTGTAGCTCCACCATCCCCAAGCACAAATGCAGATCACTTACAATAGAGTATGTGTAATCCAATCGCTTTTTTACTCGCTGATGGAGAGCGTCGATCTCATATGACTCCGTCGCTTGACTGGCGACGTTGGACGGACGCGGAGAGCCTCTCCTCCCTTTGGGGGATGGATCGACACTTTTCCCGGTTGCGGGGACTGTAGGGCAACCGGGACGAGAATTTCGGCGTTGGTCGCGTTTTTCTGCGGGAGTTCTTTCGTGTCTTGTGATGAAGGTGTGAGAATGATATGAGATAATTGTTTGATGTTGTGATGGTCATGGTGGGTGGTGGCTCTAAGGGGACGACGGGGATGGATGGATATATAAGGGGCAGAGGTTGGGGTAATGGAGGAAAAAACCAGAGCCTTTCAATAGAGCCAAAAGGTAAGAAGATAGCTTCCCATCTTCTGTTTCACTACTGCAAGTGCCAATTGAAGACTCGTTGCTGACGTTTCGTGACTTGGGGGACAGCATTCCTTCATAGAGTTATACCTACCTCTCCCACTTGGTCGTCCCTTCTTGAGTCTCTTTAACACTGCATCGGTACCCAGCCTGCTTGCCCATGTCATTTTTTTGTACTTTCGTTGACTGACAGTCCCAGACCATGCATTTGAAATCACTCCTTCTGGCCCTTGTGGCAGGCACCGGAGCATTTCCAACAAAAGACCACAAGAAGGTGGCTCGAGCCAACGACACGAGCACGGATAGGCTGGTGTTTTGTCATTTCATGGTGTGTTGAAGATAAGAGTTCAGTCTTGCTGCAGGATGCTAATGTTGTAGATTGGCATATCGAGCAACCGCCAGAGCTCTGCCGACTACGACGATGACATGATCCGGGCGAAGGAATTGGGGATTGATGCGTTCGCTTTGAACATTGGCGTCGATCCGTACACCGATACCCAGCTGCAATACGCCTATAAGTCTGCCGCAGATAACGATATGAAAGTATTCATCTCGTTTGATTTCAACTGGTACCATGTTGATCAAGCAGCTGCTGTGGGCCAGAAGATTGCGCAATACGCTGGCGAATCCGCGCAACTTATTGTCGATGGCAAAGTCTTTGTCTCCTCCTTTGCAGGAGATGGGATCGACGTAGCAAGAATTGAGTCCAGCGCTGGTACTGACATCTTCTGGGCGCCCAATTACCACCCCGGTCAGGGTAACTTTGACGATGTCGATAGCGCGCTGAACTGGATGGGCTGGGATAACGATGGCAACAACAAGGCGCCCAAGCCGCATGCGAGCGTGACAGTCGCTGGTGGCGATCAAGCTTATATTGATGCATTGGGTGACAAACCCTACCTTGCTCGTAAGTCAAACTTTTATTTCGGTGGACCGTGGCTGATTGAAGATAGCTGCGTCAGGTTGGTTCTTCACTCATTTCGGCGGTGAGGTTCCGTACAGCAAGAACTGGGTGTTCCCTGGTGACTTGCTCTGGTACAATCGCTGGAGAGAAATCTTGGAGCTTGGTCCCCGATTTGTAGAAATTGTCACCTGGAATGATTATGGTGAGTCGCACTATATCGGGCCTTTGTCTTCACCACATACCGACGATGGAGCATCCAAGTGGGTGATGGATATGTGAGTTCTCTCTGGAGCGACACAGCTGCTTGCGAGACTGATGTATAGCAGGCCACATGGTGGTTGGCTCGAGATGTCACGGCCATTCATCGCCGCCTATAAGGCCGGCGAGACCTCACCCGACCAGCATATCGGCGATGAGAAACTGATTTACTGGTACCGACCTACGCCGAGAGACGTTGAGTGTGACTCGACCGACACCACGATGGGAGGGAGCCCAGATAACTCGACTGGAAACTTCTTCCGTGGTCGCCCTGACGGATGGGAAACTATGCAGGACGAAGTCTTCGTAGTTTCCCTCCTCACTTCACCCGGTACGATCCAGGTTACTTCCGGCAGCGTGGAACAAAGTTTCGAGGCATCCGCAGGAGCTAGCGCATTTGCCGTTGAGATGGGTGTCGGACAACAGAAATTTTCGCTTGTCCGTGACGGCCAGACAGTCATGTCGGAGACGAGCCTGAAGGACATTGTGGAAGAATGCATTTGCGGCCTCTACAACTTCAATGCGTACGTCGGAGTTGTGCCGGCGGAAGAGACTATCGACCAACTGGATTCGATTGGCCTCGCAATGTTGACGCAAGGATTGAACGCTCCCTGCCCGACCAACACCTTGGGAGCAAGTGCTTCTCGTGCTACTACTGCCTAGATAGCACATTGCGGGGATGTTCTTGTTTCGTGAGAGCTGCCGGAAAGTTCAGATCAGATCCCGGATGGATTCATTCGCTAACCCGTGTTTTTCGTGACCAAATTATGCCGATGTAAGGCCGTCGTGATGTTGTCGCTTATTGACGGTGCCCCATTCATGTACATTCGTTTGAATATTGTTTTGTTGTTCACATTGCTACCTTCTAGTCAGAACTCTCCGCCAAGTGTACATAGTGAGAAGAATGTATCCCAACCCGTTTCCTTCTTTTAGCGAGAGATACGTCCACTCACCTGTGAGGCTGTGTTCGCCTGGGTCGTTATCAGTGTCGGGACGGGACGGGACGACCCCCTGTCTCCGACTTCGGCCGGTACGTCAGCAAACGCTCGAGCAGAAGAAGACGCAATAGCGGCCCTATAAAAAGGGGATTGATGGTGGAACTAAGTGCCCCGGAGGAATCGTCCGCTGCCAGAAGAGGAATGGGGAACGGGATGGAGCGAGGAGGATTGAGCCGGGGGGGGGAGTAGCGCTGAGTGTTGCTGAAGTCGGGGTTGAACCGGCGGTGTTTTGGCCCAGGGAGATCTTATCCTTATCTCTTCCCATGCTTTAAAAGACAACCAGTTGCCCGGCTCCTTTTGATATACCCTCACCGACTCTTCTGGCTGATACTTTTGCTTCAGTATGAGCGCTTTATCACAGTTCTCCTCTCCCCACCCTCTTGTAACTTCCGATCTTGCGCTGCAAACCTCTCCGGATATATACCGTCGGAATCTCGCAGGGTAAAGGTCACAGCGCACGCTATACCCCGATTCCCCCTCCTCCACAGCCACGTCTCCCCAGCTCATGCATCTTGCGTGATCACGAACGTTTGGTCCCCAAACAGTCGGTCTGAGATTCTGGATACCCATTACTCCCTTCGTCCACCCTCAATCGCAGCCCGAAGACAACAAAATGATATGTTAACGACGTTCCTGCCGATCCTATACCTCTGCTATTCCTGACCTCTCCACATCGCGAACATCTCCAACTTCCGATCGTATCGCCGTCATGGCCCGGATTAAACAGGGTGTATTCTCCTGGGAGGATGTCTTGGCTCATCGGTACCAAAGTCTGTCTCCTTTCGCCTCCTCCTCGTGATCCCAGCCGCAAGGAAGTCGGTGGATGGCATACTAACCAAACTCCGACAAGACAACAAGCCGTTAGCCCTCCCGCGTCCTCGCCGACAGAGCGCACTCTCCGGTCGAAGCCAGTCGCAGCCCAAACAGCCAGATTCGAAACTGAATTGGGATGTTCAGCTCCAGAGCTCGCTTCTCACGAAGCTCTCGCCGGAGTTGCGGGTGATGATATGGGAACAGGTCCTGGGTGGTATGCGCATACATATCATTCAGAGGTCTGATAGACGGATGGGCCATGTGGTTTGCTCGCTTACGGATGCTTGCGATATATGCCGCGGCGGGCTGCCTCCGTCTGGCTGCAGTAGTAAGGCAGGAGGAGACTCCCGCGCAGTGAGCCATCTCCTCGCTTTGCCGAAGGCGTGCAAACAGATGTCCGTTCCCCCGTTTCGTCTTAACAAGGTATGACTAACAAGCTCAGCTACTCCGAATCAATCCACCTCCTATACACGCTCACCACATTCGAATTCAGTAACACCTGGTCTCTCACATACCTCCGTCCCACAATTCCCACAGACCTCTGGGACGCCATCCGCCGAGTCGAACTCAGCTGGGCCTTCCCCGGCCACTGGCTTCCCAGCAAAGACCCAGTGAAGTCGGTCTACTTCTCCGCCGGCCGCCAACAGTGGATCGAGACGTGCTGCGCTGTAACGTGCATGAAGGGTCTGCAGTCCTTCACCCTGCAGCTCAGCAGCAGCTGGTTCTGTGAGCCCGTGGAGAAACTCCCCGTGTTTCTAGAGCCGCTGCGGGAGTTGCATCTGCGACAGAGGTGGGAGCTGCATTTACCGCGGCAGCCCTATTATGTCAAGGAGATTCGGAACATTGACGGGGATTTGCGCAAGAGGGGAATTGATTGTTTGGTTCAGACTGCTGGGAAGTAGAAAGGACAGCAATCAAGCTTGTCTATATAGGGTTCACGGAGAGCCAGTGCTAAGCAAAGCATTTACGAACATGTTACGAAATCTCGGCAATGTTCCGATTAGCGATTGGTTGGCTATACATTCTTGCAATGAATTGAGAGCGCTTCGCATCATGCTCACCATCTGGATGTAGAGCGACCATCCATGAAATCAGATCATCGACCTCGCCTCGTCGCTATAGTTATACAGCGAAGACCCGTGGCAGGCCAAATCTCGGCCCCGATGAAGCTCCTCCCCGCCACCGAATTAAAGTCCCACTCGAGGGTCCCCATCCATGATCCATCGCGAGCCCTAGTCCGTCCAGGCTCCAGCCCCAAGCCCCCAGCCCAGGGGTTACGAAGCAGAAACAAGCACTGCGAACCAAATCTTCCAAGCGAGACGCAGATCGCGGAACCAGTACCGCCAATCTCAATTAATTATTGTACTTGTTTGTCTCCAATAATCCTCCCCAGCCATTGTTACTCCGAGTTGAGAGGGGAAAAACAAGGAGGATCAACCCCCCCTTATCCAGAGTCCAGCCCTGTCGATCCCATCCCGGTACGCGAAATAACCGAACATCCGTGCACAGCGCACGACTACTAGTCTCCTCATAAGGCACAAAACTTGGACATGCTCTAACCTTTGCTGGAATTAATCGCGAGTCGCAACTTGGCTGGACCAGTCCACGACCGGCGGCAGCCGCCAGCGCAGTGCACTGTGCAGTGTGACCAGTCCCGTACAGCGTTGTAGTAACCGCTATTTATAGCCACGAGGTTAGGTTAGGCCCAGTAAAGGTAACCTTCCAGTGAAGTTGAGTTTGTGGGGAAGTGTTGGTTGAACTTTATTATAGGACAAGTATCAGCATCTTGTTTTCTTTTCTCCCTTTTACATTTCTGAAGATTCTGGATGGAGGCTGATTTCTGGTTATTTATTCGAAGGACAGTTCCGCCTGAAGATTCAAAAACACGGGTGCCTGATTCCGAGCGGCCGCTGAACTTTGAAGAGGGGAGGAGGGTCGCAGAGTGAGACACTTGTGCACGAGGGCCGCGCATCATAATTTAACGTGATTCAGGCACCAGGGTTGGAATCAGGGTCTTGCGAGGTCTAGTGGCTCCACTTGACAGGCTTTTGTTTCGACTGACAATGAAGACTTTTTGAGGCGACTAGTGAGTGGCCTTATGTATTTTATGTCGTACAGAAGGGTCTTGTTTGGCAGAAAGAAATATCCCAGGCAAAGGCCTGATGAGATGGTATTTTGAATACGGTGCCCCAAAGTTCCCTTGGGTATAGAACAAATATAAAACATTTGAGCCGCCGAAGCAGATTATAAGGAAGAGAAGGAAATGTAGAATGATGAATCAACGCTGAGCGCCCAAATCCCATGCCGAATCCCAACCATGATATGACCGATTATTGCATTAGTGCAAGTATTTCGTACGCCATGTAAGCATGAGTTTGAAAGTGTTGTGTAGAATCTCTCGGAGAAGAAGAAAAGAAAAAGAAAAGTCAAGAGACTGAATAGGGGTAAGACCAATGGTATCGTCACATAAGGGAAAAGTATAGAGACCGTCAAAAGAAGTAAGAAACGTTGGCGATACCTCGGTTCCATCGTGCCGGCTATGGCGCGAACAAGAAAGTTCCGGGTGTTGCCTTGGATGGTGCATCATGCTGCTGGCCGTTCCATAGAGTATGGAGTTGCTGTTTCAAGCGGCAATTGCAAGAAGGCTTCGGTGTTCATGTAGAGCATCCGATGATGAGCGTAGGCCAGCCGTAAGCGTGTTCATCGAGTATCGTCCATCTCGTTTTCAGCCAGATTTTTCAATCAGTTGAATGAGGTTTCGGTTAACAAGGCTCGGATCAGGTTGACAACGGGATCATGTCGCCAACCTCGGCAATGACACGATCCCGATCCTGGGTGAAATAAGGGTTTGCAAAATATCAGTTATGGTAGGCGTTGTTATCGGCCCTGAGATCCATCGGGCCCGGAATGGCCAGACCTTTGCAGGTTGTTGGCCCACGCCGCTGGGGAATCCGCAGCTTGTGGTCTCTTTTGTTCGTCTGATCGAGTAGAGGGAGGGTTGAGCATCAGGTTGTTCAGTTCGGCAGCGAGAGAGCAGACGGTATACATGCGCATCTCTCGTTCTTCCCTGTCATCTTCTTTCAACAGGCGTTTGTGGTCGTCCTTGCCGAGGTTGTCGCGACGCATTTTTCGGATTTCTTGAATCACCCATACGAGAACCTCCTCCGAAACGCGCGACCGTGGTGCACCATGTTTGGCAGGATTCCGGACATATCGGCGGGTGACATCTGTAGCTCCCTCAATAGAAAAGGCAATGCAGTAAGACATCTTGCGACCCCATCCTGTGGAAAAGTTAGTCAAAAGTGTTTTGAGAGCCAGTGATGATGGTGCGGGAAACGAACCTTCAGCATAGAGGCGAGGTTGATCCCATGCTTCTTCGCACGCGTCAACATGAACCCACCGCTTCTGGTGTTCGGAATAAACCTCAGTCCACACATAATCTTCAGAGTTCCAGACCCAACGCACACGACCGCCCAAGGCGCGGCAGAACATGCTGAAGCAGTTGGCCCATTCTCCTACGCGGCCCCGTCGGGTTTGTAGCAATTGCCAGACGTCTGAGTACCGTGGAAACCGTTCGTATGCGCCGCATGACGGCTGTGAGCATCTGTACAATTCGACTCGAGTGGCTCCGCGGGCTGCCTCGTCTGGTGTGGGAGGGGTCCTATCCTGAGCGATCGTGGGCATGCAGCATCGTGAACAAGGAGGGTTGTTAACCCATTGGAAAAACGACCGTTTAAACCACCTGAAGCGCATGATTGAGTTAATCCCACGTGCTCAAAACTCAATGAGTCGTGTCCGACTAACCTTAAAAGAGCCCTGATGACGCAGTCCTGATAACCCCATTCCGGCCGCTTCTTCAGGCTCCGCGCCTGTGCTTGAAATATTTGACTCTCCTCATCAGCTTCGGAATATAACCTGTCCAGCGGAATCACAGAGAGAGCGTCATCGAGAAGGCCGGGGTTCTCGTATTTTGTCGGCGTTACGGAGAGGACGTGGAGGAGATTTCGGAATCTGACGGCGTTTGGGTCTTGTGGGGGGTGTGGGACAATGGGGAGACCTCGTAGCGAAGGTGATGGCGAAGGTGATGGCGAAGGCGGTCGCGATTGTGTGGTTGATGATGGGGGTGATGGTGGTGCTTGCGAGGGATGGGGCGGTTGCGACCGCAGGGGCGCCGGCGACGGAGATTGTGTGCGAGCGCGAGAGCGGGAGAGTCCATGAAGGCGATCGAATCTCTTATTGCGCAACAAATGTTCAAAGGAACGCGTGAGCTCGGCCGCATCAAAAGCATCTGTGGTTGGCGCCCGGCGGCTGTGGTGGTGATGCCGTCCATCCGCCATGGTGCTAGGCTAGGGGTCAAGGAGACCAGTGGCTGGGTATCCGAAGCTGAATATCCAGATTGAGTCGAGGATTCGTTCCGTCGCCGTCGTCCACTGTTAGAATATGTGAAAACGAGAGCGTGGAATCGACAGTGAGCGATTGGGAGAGTTGGCAGGGAGGATTTGGTGTGTTGAATGGAATCAGGGACGAGTGGAGCGAGACTTGAGGATACTCGGTCACACAGCCCAGCCAGGCGGTCACCACACTTGGCATTAATCAGCGTCCGTACGGTAAAACGGGCTGCTGGAATAATTACCGCTAGCGAGGCACTTGCCAAAAATAACCAAGATCACAGAAACAGATGTCACAGTCGGCAAGGACGCGATCTGAAGGGGATCCTTGTGACCGTTATAGATGCAAACTTGATGGCGGCCGTCAGAAGAAAGAAGAGAGAGAAAGAGCCGGAGCAGAAAGAAGAAAAAGAGCTTCGGAAGAGAGGGAGAAGAGGTGTAATTTTTCTGCTTTTTTCCACGCCAGCAATGAGGGCGAAGCGTCGTCAGCCTGGGGTCTCCTCCCCCAATCAGAGCCCCGCGCCACAGTCGCGGCGACCGCAAGCCGCGTGTGTCTGGCCCGAATGGGTTTCGCTCCTGGGCCAAGATCCCTCTCTCTCTCTTCATACACTGCGCGTTTCTCAGATCTTCGCCGATGAACCACGGGATCTCGCAATGTCAGTGCTGTTGTCATCAGCGAAGGTTTCATTTCGCTGCAACGTGCAACCCTTATTCAATTGCGGCTCCTGGCAGTGCGTTCCTGGGTCCTGTCAAGAGGCACTTACGAGGCTACGGAGAATTAGCTGTCTTCGCGTCCCCACCCAAATATGCTATGCGATATCAGGCCCGTCTAGGTAGCTTCTTCAACCACCGTCGATGTAGGGCAGCTGCCTCTCCACATGCTGATGTACGTGTTGATGCATCCTCAGAATTTTTGCGTGACTGAAGAAGCCTGAAGGGTGCTGACATTCGGATTTTCTCAACGCGACGCAAGCTTTCCAGTCCTAGCCTACGATGTACGTACCTGCACTGTCATGTCGAAGAAAATAATGATGTTGGCTTGACCAGAAGCCTGTCCTCCGCGTAATGTAACTGATCTTGGGCTCTTGGAATCGGCCTGTCTTACGCGGCTCTGATCAACAGGATGAAAATGAATCATGATTCACCTAATGGACCCCAACAGTTTACCTCCATATTCCTTGGAACGGGGGGTATGGTTCGGGAGAGTCGGAGACATGTGGCGGAAGCGCGCGAAATCTCCCAGTACAGTAATAAACTTCCTGTCAGTGGAGATTTGCTTTTTCTTTCCTGGCCCCAAGATGACGAATCCCAGCCGGCTCAGTTGAGATGCCCGCCAGGAAGACTCTCTCGGATTCTCTCCCGAGATATTTCCAGCACTATTAGTGGCCCTTCAGTGGATATACTAATCATGGTGTTGAGTCTTGACAGGAGCTCTGCGCCCAGGACAGGAAATCCCTACGAATATGGCTAGCGAAGCAGGTACGTACATATGCAAACCTCCGCAGACGAGAAGGATGCTCGAGAATGTTAGGTGGCTGATGAGGATGATCATGGCGATCGAACCTTTCTTTGGGATCGAACGTCGGCCTCACCATGAAATGTATCCGAGCTATGAAGCAAGTCAACAGCCAATTCCAGCGTGTTTGACTCTCTGGGAGCTTTGAATTGTGAAAGCCCTGGTGAGTGGCCTCAGGAGGACACGCGGCACCTGCAACCATATCAATGCATATATCCACCCTGGCAGCCAAAATTTATTCCTCTCACGAGGTATGCAAGTGTAAATTGAGAGATGCGCAGGATAAGAGTCCGTGTGCCGATGTAAAGCTTCGTACTCGAGACGGAGATCGAATTGCCACAGGCTCTTGGTCCCTTCATGATTATTCATTACCTCAACGTGATGTGAGGAAGATCTCAGCGCGCTGCGTGTTTCTGCCTGGAATTTGGTGGCCAGGAATGATGTGGCGGAGACGCGCAAGCGTCCGTCTTGGCATTGAACAAGATCTGGCTAGAGCTGTCTCCTGGGGCCCACTGCACTAGTCTCCTTGCGGCTGATCGGCGCCGTGTCACGGGAACTCGACTTGGACCCTTTTCACGCTTCATCCCGGCTGCTGGGCTGGCCAGACCGCGATCCATCGCAGGGCCCGCGCTTTCTTACCATGCCGTTCAAGAGTCAACCCTTGGAACAACTTCCCTTTTGCCTTTGAGAGGACAATACTTGAACCTTTCCTTCGGTTGCTTTGTTATCGGCCATCAAGCGGTCGAAACATGAAGCTGGTTGAGGTCTTAACGTCACCTTGATGGTAGAGACACCGTACAGACTATCTAATACTCTAACAGACTGCCAGTGACGTGGACATCTCGGAGTCAACCACAGCTGATTGGCGCCGTTACCGACCGGTACGAGCTAAGAATCAGCATTCAAGTCTGTCAGCCAAAAGAAAAAAGAGACTTGCAAGATGACCAGAAATAAGGGCAGTCCCTGCACTTCTGCAACGCAAGCCAAGGCCGGGCCTAGTTCATTCTTCACGTCTTCGACCAACATCTAGACCCAATCCCGGGGTTCACCGACCAAGACACGGCATGACAGATGTCAGAATTGCTGTCGCTTGCATCATCGAAATCCAGGGACTCGGGTCTTGGTTCTGCACTCGACAGCCCTGTCTCGGGGGTAAAACCATAGTACGGAGTACTGCACGGTACTCTCGACTAGGGAGCACTTTTTGCAACCCCCGCGGTTTGTCCCCGTACCGTGTCTAACGGCCTAGGGTCTGGAATCGCTGCAGCCCAGGCATGTCTGTACTCTGTACATCGTCTTCCGAGGCTATTCCCGTTATCGTTACCTCGGGTGCTGTGCCTTGCGCCTCTCTGGCGCGGGCGAGTGCAATGTATGTGTTACAATAATGCCACGGGCACGAAGGACGCACAGTGTCCTTCGTCCTTGCGATCCCACCTTGCCATTTGCGGTTCTTCACGAAGCCAGAACGAGCTGTGGCAGAAACCAGTCGTCTGTCTCCCTAACTCGATTGCCCTCGACCCTTCAATTGTCTACGTCACTGTTTCGATCCGGTGCCGTAGCCATAGTACAAGTGCGGCTCATTCGGATCTTTTGAGCAGCGAAATTCGCGGTGCATTGACCTCAATTCGATCCGAAGGGGTCATGAGGACCCTTTCTTGCAACAGTGTTCTCCTGGCCGAATTCTTAACACGGTGCGCGATGGTCCAACCGTGTTCGCCATGATGACATATGCTCGATACGTTTACTTGATGCACCTCGAGTCGGCATACATCTCTCCTGGTTTTTTATTAAGCAAGTGTATTCTGGGCTACCCAAGCACTACAGACGGTAAGCCGGAAAGAGATCAAGTAGACAATGATTGCCAGCTGCCAGCCAAGCGACCTTATTTGTGGCGGATTCAATTTCCTAGTTCAAGCATCGTTAGTCTAAAGGAAGGAAAGGATTCCACTGTGTTTTCTCTTAAACTACATGTCATGCCACACTAGCTTGCCCTTCCACGCATGGTACAAATCCGTCATGAATTAGCAATCGAGGCACCCTTCTTGACAGCGGAAGAGTCATGCGTGATGATAAGCTGGTCGCGAGACCCGCTCGTACGCACTTGACCTCTCTATTTGCATGTGCTGGTGCTGACGAGGACAGGGCAATAATATTGACCAGGTGACGCGTGCACCCACCTGTGCAGAGTCGCATGGTGGAGTCTCCATGGCCGCGTTCCACGTAGAAAAACCACCAGGTCATTAGTAAAAATTAGCCTGGTAGGCGAGTAGCGACTCGAGGCTGCGCCTTTAAATGGTGGGGTGAGGTTCGGCTCTCACTACTTTCTAGTGTAGTTGGAGAGAGTCCTTGGAATATATATCCGGCTAGCTTGTATATGTTCGTATCGACTTACTGAGCCGAACCGGAAGATGGATCATGTCGCTTCATCTTTGATAGGCTCCTCGCCCTTGATAGTCTGCTCGTCCTTAACTTCCGTCTTTACAGAATCCCCTAGCAGAATCTGTCGTCGTTCCCTATACCAACGCTCCAAGCAAGCCCGCCTCTGCGCTTGAGTCATTCCCTCTACAACGAGAGCAAACTCCGTCGCATTTGGGAAGCCGAAGCGCTTTGCCATACTGCAGAACTGCCGTCTCATCACGCCTTCAGGTGGGTGGTATTTGAACTGAACGGGGCGGCCGTCTTTCTGAAAGAAGGCGGGGGAGGAAGCGCTGACGCGTTCATTCTGTGAGCCCGCAAAAACTTGCATGTTGGCCATGTCATCATCCGCTAGTTGCGCGCGCCGGCTGAGCTGTTCTTCGACTTTGGAGGAGCCGATGACTTCGTTGTTTAGATGGGTGTATTCGACGCCCGCGCCGGCGAGGATGGCTTGGATGGGGTCGTGCTTGACTGGTGTTGATGTGGATTCCTCGTCCTCGCCTCGGATTTTAGCGGCAAGCTGGCTCATGACTTCATCATCCGAGAACTGCGCTTTGACTTTAGGGCCGTCTTCGGGGTCGAGTTCGGTCTCGTCGAATTCGACGTTCATAACTTGCACTCCAGCCTTGCTTTCGGCGACGTTGGTCTTGTTGACAATCTCGCGGAGGACGATGTTGTTGTTTTGGTACTCAAAGATGTTGGCCAGGCCAAAGATTTCGCCTTTCTTATCCTTTTTCTCTTGGACACCCTTAAAGTACCGTCGCTCAGAACTGGCGTTGTATCCTATGTTGGCCTGCTGTTGTTTGTAAATTTGCCGGGCGTAGACGATCTCTTCAACGGTACCGGCAGAGATAAGTCGGAAAACCTCCACGTCTCGCGTCTGTCCGATACGATAAGCACGGTCCTGAGCTTGGAGGTCGTATGAAGGGTTCCAGTTTGGATCGACAATAACGACCTTGTTCGCGGAAGTGATGTTAAGTCCAACTCCACCGGATCGCGTGGAGATCAGAAAGACAAACTGCCGAGTGTCTGAATTGAATTCGTCGACAACGGTGGTGCGGTCCTCGTAGTTCATTGAACCGTCCAAGTAGCTAACATTATAGCTCGTGTTCTTGAAGAGCATTTCCAGCATCTTTAGAAGTCGGACACTATGGGAAAAGACAAGGACTTTGTCCCCGTTTGCATGCCACCACCTCAATAGCCTTTTGAGAACCTTCCATTTACCGCAGAACTCAGGATTTGCATAGTTGATAAGCGAATCCCTTGACCGATATAAAGACTCCCACTGGTCGGGCACCGCAATCTCTAGCATTTCCTTGTCCTTTTCCTGTTTCTCACGGCTATCGATCCCCTGCGGAATCAGAATAGCAAGGTGATTGCTCAGCTTTTGCAGGATCTGAATGGCTGGAAATACATAGTTCTGCCATCGCATGCCCGAAGGCAGATACTGCCGACAGCACCAACCGGCCTTCTTTCCGGAAGCACAGTCGCAGGGTTCAGAGGCCGTTTTGATGTAGGTAATGATGTCACTATCCAACAGATTCTCATACGCTTCTGCTTGAGTTTCTGTGAGGGGGCAGAACACCACGCGGTCAACCTTTTTCGGGAGCTGGTCTGCGATCAAGGTCTTCATGCGGCGGAGAAAAAACTGTGGTAGGAGATTTTGCACCAGCTTTTTGGCGGTCACACGCGCTTTTCTCAGTTCCTGCACAGTGGCATCATGCGACTGTCCCATCTTCAACGGGTCAGAGATGGTTCTTTTCCACGTGGTCACAGGGCCCAACCGTCCAGGGTTAGTCCAATTCAGCAGCGTCCAGAGCTCCTCATAATTGTTTTGAATAGCGGTACCAGTCAAGCCGATTCGACAGAGCGCATTGATTTCATTCATGGCTTTGGTAGTTTCAGAACTTCTCTCCTTGATGGCATGGCATTCATCGGCAATGACACAATCCCACTCAACCATGTTCACAGAATCCTTGTTGTTTAGATATGTGGTGTACGTGGTGACCATAATTTCGACACGTCCAGACCTCGCAGCGTGGAGGACAAGATCCTTGTTGCCTCCATGGTAGGCGTCCACATGCCACCAGCCCCAGCGGGAAAGCTCCGTCTTCCAGTTGTTGATGAGGGTGCCGGGGCAGACAATGAGTGTTCGCGGATACCACTCGTTGTTATCAAGCCGCCGCATTTTTCTCATGCGTTTCTCGTCACGTTCATCTCCCGTCTTCCCGTAGGCTGCGGTGAGAAATGCTATTACCTGTACAGTCTTCCCCAGTCCCATATCGTCGCCGAGGATCCCTCCTTTCTGATACACAAAAAGCTCATGCAAGAATGCAGTGCCCTCCACCTGATAGGGACGAAGCCACTGTGCGATGGGGGCGGGTATAAGTCCCAAAGAGCAGGGAAGCGTGATATCCTTGTATTCATTGCATGGCGTGATGTCCCTAAATTTCGGCTTCTCTTGCAGAAATTCCAGATTCTCATCATCGGAAAAGTCAATATGGTCGTAGTCTGGAGGCAGTTTGAGACCAGCGTCCTTATAACGCTCCCTTCGTCTGTTAAACCGAAGCCGGCGCTTTTGAAGATATTCGGGAAGAGTATATTCCATCAGTTCATCTTCAGAAGGTATCTCATTTCCATATTCTTGCCATGGTCTCGAGTTCTTCGCTTTGGTATCCTTCTTGGGTATCCGACCGACGATAGCATCCGCGGCCGCGACTTTAGGCGGCTTGACTTTGCGCACACCGATCGAGCTTCGTTTTCGCTTCCGAGATTTGCGATTTTTGAATTGCTCGTAGACAGCCTGTCCATCATTAAAAAGATCATCATCGCTGACAGATCCATCTGTTGTTTCTTCGTCGAGTGGAACTTTCTCATTTGGTGGAGAAGGTTGTTTGACGTATGTTGATCTAGGGATTGAGCCTATGGGCTCTGGCGAAGTTCTCTCGGACTTCGGGTTACGATATTCGGATTTGACGGAGGAACCTGGAAGATTATCGAAATGTTAGCTTGACTCGAAAGCCTCAGAGTAAGAATAAACTGAAAAGCGCACCGGTGGTTCTTATCGGACACGTCCGGTCAAGATCATCGTCGTCAGAGGAGCCCACCGTGATCGCGTCCGAGAGCTCCAAGTCTGGGCCCGGGGCCATTTTAGAGTCGTTGACTGCTCATCGAAGAGTGAGTTAGTCGGTGGTGGGATGGGGAAGATAAAGTGCAGGTGATGGGCTCTGATGCGGAGAACGCGATAAGTGATAAGTCGCCTTCCGCAGAAGGAAAAGAGCTCGTTTGATTTTGTCCGCAAAAAGTTCCCTGCCGAAGTTCTCTGCCCCTGCAAACCTCACGCTCCTCCACTTTGTTATTATTTTCCTTCAAACTAAGACAGAATTTAGTCGTAAACTGATCTTCTCCTTTACTGAATATTTTCCGCAGCTCTTCCCATCTCCGATCGCACCAGACTCTTACATTCGCCAACAACCCTGAGTGCGGGGAACAAACTTCGTCGACAGCGTTGAACTGAAGCTGCTTACGCCTACTGAAACAAGATTGACGAAAAAGCTTGGTCGAGCCGACAATATGCCGCTCGATACATCTACCACATACCCTCTTACAAAGCTCCGCCTTGACGGTCGGCGATGGAACGAGCTGCGATTGATCCAAGCGCAAATCTCTACAAACCCCGCTAGCTCAGGGTCATCCTACTTGGCAATGGGAAATACAACTATACTATGCTCGGTGCACGGCCCTGCAGAGGGTCGTCGGGGTGACGCGGCCGGTGGTTCTGCTGGAGGCTCGGGAGCAGTGGTGGAGGTAGATGTCAATATCGCAGGTTTCGCGAGCGTTGACCGGAAGAGACGAGCGGGAGGTAGCGACAGGTAGGTTTTTCTCATGGGGAGCGCAATCTCAATGCATTAAGGACACTCTGACCGAGTCTGCTTTTGACAGACAATCTGGGCGCATTGCGTCGACACTGCGCTCTGCCTTTCAGTCGCATCTTCACACATATCTATACCCGCACAGTACGATCAGCATTCATGTCTCTGTCTTGTCGGCGGACGGCTCTCTTCTCGCGGCGGCAGTCAATGCTTGTACACTCGCCCTTGTTGACGCTGGAATTCCGATGCCCGGGTTGTTATGTGGCTGTACATCGGGCATGAGCGGGAGTGCATCTACGGCAAGAGACCCTTTGAACGACTTCCTGGATCCTTTGTTGGATGTTTCCCTTCCGGAGGAGCAGGAGCTCCCTTTCCTGACCGTCGCAACAACTACATCAATCCCTACCGGGGCAGACGAGGACGATGATGATATGAAGGTGTCCATGTTGACCATGGACTCCAAGGTCCATCACACATATATCGAAACAATGTTGGCTGTGGGAGTAGATGGGTGCAAGCAGATTCGGGAGATCCTCGATGGGGTGATCAAAGGGTCGAGCCGACGGTGATGTGGCTTTCGCTGCTCGTTCCAGACCTTCGATACCAAGACTGTTAGCCGCAATGGCACAATCATGGGATAAGAGATCTTTTATACCAATAATGGTCAGCCGGGGAGTTTGGTGTTGGGTTTGTCATATCTTGAACTACAAATAAATTCACTACCGGTGTCCCTCCGCGGCTTCATCCTCTGCTTTCTGCACGCTGGAGATTCGCTGATTGACTTGCCTCTCATACTTTCCCTGGATATTCCAGCTTCGGACCTTTAAATCAGCTGCAACTTGCACAATGCCTATCGTACCACTGGCTCTCGCCGAGAAGTGCCTCTTCGTCTCCTAGCAGCTTAGCTCGAGAAAATGTGCTCAATTCCACGCATCATACTGCATCCTTATTGGTAGGCTTCCTCCACTCTCTGTCACCTCCATCCTTCTCAACTCCATAAGGTTATCTCAAAGACTCAAAGCAAGACGCCGAAGCGAAGCCTTATGTTCTTTTTTTGAGAGTAACAGGCATGAGACACTTGAAGATACCCACAGCCCTGAGTCAAGCCGAGTTAAATCAGCCCACGCCTCGAAAAAGGAGGCGCACGCCCACTGCGCGTTTTTGAGTTAGTTTCTACTGTTTCCTGTTAGTGGCATATAATATATGTAACTAGCTGTGTCGTCCATATATATTCTTATCTGGTTTCCCTGAGAATATTCCTCGAGTCCCTCTTTCCCCCCAAAGGGTAGGCCCTTGTATCTTTTGACATCTTCCGAAGTATATCGTCTTCGGCCCACAACGTTCCCATTTACAGCTCAAAAACAAAACCACAGCCACAGCCAGCATGGATATGAGCGGCGACGACCACGACATGGGGGGAATGGACATGGGCAGCGACGATAGCGGCGCTGCCTGCGTGATCTCAGTATGCCATCCCATTCTACTACTGCCTTGCCATCGACCCCATCCCATTCCAATCCTGCAAAAGACACAATCTAACCCCCAACGCAGATGTTATGGAACTGGAACACCATCGACTCCTGTACGGCCCCTCTCCGCTCATCTGCACATAGCGAATTCGAAACCTTGGAACATACCCCGTTCCGCTAGACTCAGCCCTAACAAACCTCCCCAACACCAGGCTTCCTCTCCAGCCACTGGCACATCCGCTCAGGCGGCATGTTCGCCGGCTCCTGCATCGGAGTGATCCTCCTCGTCATCGCCCTCGAGTTCCTCCGCCGCGTCGCCCGCGAATACGACTCGTTCCTCGTGCGCGACGCGCAAAGGAAGTCGCAATACCAGTCGCAGGCCCAGTCGCACGAACCCAATCTCGCTGCCTCAGCAGCAGGATCATCGTCCTCTGCTGACCACGGCAAGGCCCCTGCATCGACTACTGCCGTTGCCGGTGCTGCTGCTGCGCAGGGATCCGGACGCGGAGGTACCAGTGTCCGCCCTACCCTACTTCAACAGATCACCCGCGCGTTCCTGCACGTGCTCCAGTTCGCCGTTGCGTATTTTGTCATGTTGCTTGCGATGTATTTCAACGGGTATATCATCATCTGTATATTCATCGGGGCGTTTTTGGGATCATTTATCTTTTCGTGGGAGGTTCTGGGTGCTGGGGCGAAGGAGTATGTTGTCCCTATACCCGCTAACGATCGACTACTGTCAGTAGGTAATGAGGCTGACGTCGTGTATAGGAATGACGCGACGGCGGTGACGAAATGCTGTGGTTGAGTAGGTAGTCTGGTAGGATCAGAGGAGCCTGGGACCTTTTATCGACTTGAAGCTCCTATTGTCACGACAGAGCAGATCTATTGATAATCAGGCGGAATATGCACTGTCAGAGGTTATATTAGTAGGAACATGACCTGAATTCTCGGTGTTATTATGGTACCACTCCCGGATGCACAAGGGTCCCTGGGCTCGTATGCAAATATGGACTGGTCTCTGAGAAGTTCCCAGAATCGACACTGCCACTGGTAGACAGCGTGTGACGCACCATGACATTGAGGCAAAAGATGCACGTCCATCGGGCGCTGTTGTCCTGTCCCCCACTTCGCGCAGCAACTCAAGTCTTGTCCCAGGGAGACATCCATCGGCCTCGTTCTCGTAGGCATCGAAAGCGGCCTGTTTGGCCGTGTGCAGCTTATCAAGAGTAATATTCCGGCCAGCCAGTATCTCTCATAATTTTCCCAGGAATATAAAGTCAGTTCACAACGGACCATGGGGTCTCTTTACATACGCCTGATCAATGCTCAAGACAACGCCAAAGGTTGTTTTGTATCTACCCAAATCGCCAATGATCTTTTCAATCTCCGAACCCTGGAAAGGCTATTTGAGGGCTCGGAGACCCCATTTTCGTATTGCATTCTGTGCGGAATTTGGATCAATCGACTTCTGCATGCCCGAAAGGGCTGCGGCACAAGTCTCGAGGTCGCCTCGCAGTTAAAACCAAGTCGCGAGCGTTGTGCTGATAGGCTCATCAAGAAGGTCCTTGAGCGAGCCTAATACCATTGATAGACCACATAGGCCCTGCTGCACGCTGGCGATAGTCTCTGGCATGTTTTGCCTGAATGAAGGAGCTTGGAGGTATGTCCGCGATGCTCTCTGTTAGTTGGAGGACGGCTAAGGTGCCGGCTATAGTCTCCAGCATTGGGAGCCTAAGAACAAAAAGGCAATAGGAATAAATCCATGGTGGGAAAAAAATTAGTACATGATTGCCGAGGGTTATTCTCACATAATACTCGTCGGACCAAGATTTCTGGGGTAAAGTCTGGAGTGGAGAGGGGCAGAGAGGGGTCATCCCACTGGCGGAACCTCCTCAGGTACCGCGGTGTGGGGCAGGGCCTCGGACTAACGTGGATGCCTTGGCCGGATTTTAGAAGACAATTCTCCAAACCATTTTAGAAGTACTTAATAGTCCTAGGATATTATAGTTGTGAGGTATTTAACCATCTAGTTGGGGTGTTGGTATGGTCGCGTAGTACACGACATGTAGCTCTGTTTGACCAGAGACAAGAACGAAGGTTCCGGGATTACTTTACGAAGCGACATGGAATCTTCAAAAAGCTAAGTAAGTTGTACTTTCATAGTCAACAAGTAAAGACAGCCAAAATCTAAGCGCACACAGGGATATGTTATATGGTAGACTCTAGATTACACTAGGCGGGAAAGGCACAAAGTACACGACCCCGACAATTGACTCAACTCCGAACTATCAGGCGCGGAGAGTTCTAGTGGTGTAGAACTTTTTGTTTTAGCGGACTTGTTAAATATTCTATAGCTCACCGCAGTCGACAATGGTAGGCTTGGCAGAAGAGCGGACGGCACCAGACTGGCTGCCGAGAGCCTCAATCTCCTTGACGACCTGCTCGGACTCCTTGTCGGCAACCTCGCCGAAGACAACGTGCTTGCCATCGAGCCATGAGGTCACGACGGTGGTGATGAAGAACTGGGAACCGTTGCTGTAATATCCGTGAGCGATCATTCATAACAGTGACTGCCTGATGTGTAATAACGTACGTGTTGGGGCCGGCGTTGGCCATGGAGAGCTTGAAGGGCTTGTCGTGCCTGAGCTTGAAGTTCTCATCGGCGAACTGCTTGCCGAGTTCAGCGCTTGTGTAGATGGATTCACCGCCAGTACCCTAGATAATCAAAGAATTGCACAGTTAGTACGGACATTCCAATTAGAAACAGCAAAGTCGCGGGGTGGTAGGCGCAACAAATACTCACGTTGCCACGGGTGAAGTCACCGCCCTGGAGCATGAAGTTGGGAATGATGCGGTGGAAGACAGATCCCTTGTAGCCCTGACCCTGGGGTCTTTTCGCAAGCTCGCGGAAATTTTTGGCAGTTCGAGGGACGACGTCGTCAAAAAGGTTGAAGACGACGCGGCCGGTCTTGGCTATAATACGGCGAGAAAATTGTCAGAAAGAACACCAGACAGCAATTGCGCGATACGCATGGCATGATAGCAAAATGCGCAAGCTTATCTATATCAGGCGGAAGGAGGGGTAAATCTACCGCCCACTTGAGCAGTGGATCTAGGTTGAGGGAGTACATACGCGCGCTGGTCCCGACGGGAGCGTACTGGATGTCAAAGAAGACCTTGGACATGTCGGCGGAGGACTGATGGAAGGACCGGAGGGAAAGGAAGGAGGTCTGATTGCAATTGAGGGCAGAGGAGAGGGGACGAGAAGAGAGCGACGAGAAAGGTGGGGTTGTCAACTTCAGGCTTCGGGAGAACATTGTTGCTGGAGGGGCAGAGTCCGGGTCAAGTCGGTCGCCGATGGTCTGTGCGCTACGTTAGTCCAAATGTGCCAGGAGTGCAGGCCTAGCTTCAGCTTGGAAGTTGGGCAGCTCCAGGGTGAGTCTTCCAGATGTTCATCAAGAGGCGCGATGGAACAGAGCAGGCAATCCCAATTGGCGCATTCAGGTACTTGCTGGGCCAAGAGAGCCTAGTAGGGAATGGAAACTTACAGTAGATATTCAAAATATGTTGAGGAGTTTAGAAACAAAAACTGTAAGAGCTGCAGGCGCCTGAGAAGCAGGGAATTTTCCGGAAAAGGCGGTAGAAGGTATGGTACAAGAAGCTAGATTAGAAGGTGAGACGATGATGGTACACTAGAAGTACAAGAACGAAGAAATGAAAGCAGGTTTTCAGCGTGCTGGCAAGCAACGGAGAAATGAAGTTGTCACGGAAGCTGGCAGCTTTTGTAGCTCCCAGACAAACCAGACAAACAACGCACGTGATCTGTCTCAGAACAGAACACATCATCCGAGTATAAGTTGCATCAACATGTCAAGCCTTTGGGAGCTCACTGGTATGATGAAAAGAAGTAAATGATAATCGAAGTATATAAGTCTATGCAAGAAGAGAACATAAAGTGACGGAATTAAGCCAGCCCACAAGTCCGTAAGGTGCTCCGAAGAGACAATTCCAGAAGAAGGGAATCGTAGAGAAGAACGCTAATAGAGAAAGTAAAAGGGCGAATGAGAATGAGAATAGAATACAGACAAAGAAGAAGCTCAAAGGGGAATAGAACGAAATAAGAAAAAAAAGGTCATGACTTCCACCAGGTCTAACTCTTCGTTCCACATAGTTGCTCATTTTACATGCATAATCAGTGCAAAAAGTCGAAACTGCGAGATCAATCGAGTTGAATCAGAGTGCTTGAGAGATGAAAATAAATAGTAAATACGAAGCCAGACGATGTGGCACGTAGGTGACGGCTATGGCTCAAGATCCACGTTTATCGAAAGTCGTCGACTTCGGTGTCTTCATCGACCATACTGTCCAGTTGCTGAACGAGCTCTCTGGTCTTTCGGGCAAGTTCAAAGGCAATGGGCGGCAGTTGTGTGATAAAGGTCCGGGACTCGGTAGGATCCGAGGCTCCCTCGCCTTCAGCGGCCGCGCCTACTAGACGGCTTCGTTGATGTTCGAGGGTCTCAATGCTAGTTCCGACACGTTGCCGAAGAGCGGGGTTCGTGTCCGGCTTGTGAATATAATGTTCAGTCGATTGTGAGACGTTTGTGACTATTGATGCGATTGCGGATACGTGGGTGCGGATGGTCGTAATTGGTTCTTCTCCACGAATACTGGCGACGAGGTACTGAATCGACTGAACAAGGCCATCTGCTTGGTCCTCCACGTAGAACTGTCGTAAAAAGTACGTTAGTCAGGGTTTATAGCACTCAAACTAAGATCAATGTAAAGTACCCACCTTTAACTCTTGAAGCTCATGGTTCTCTTGCTCCATAGGATAAGTGTGGTTCATTCCCAGACCATTAGGGATATGTTCCGACTCAGACGGTGGCCCCATGGCGCTGTAAACAGATCCGTTGCGGCTAAGTCTGCTCTGGCTGGGCGCCACGCTGAAGTAGTCAGGAGATTTCATCTGCGCAGAGTAGTCCTCCTCCTCCTCCTCCTCCTCCTCGTCATTCAATTCATCAGCTGGTGTAGGCCTGATTTTGACTATGCGGATGAGCTCGATGACGCCAGTCGAGAGATGTGAAGCAGCGGCATCCAGCAGAGATACAGGAGACAGACCGCTTGAGCGAGCAAAGTTCTTGGCTGCCGTGATTAAATTGTTTGCCGTTGCAGACACTTTTCGCGTAGCCTTCGTAAAGTCGGGCGATTCCAGACGCTGAGCGGGTTGGGCATCCTGCAAGATGTGGCGTACAGCAATCACAACGGGGTTAACGTGCTGCATCACAAGCTGGTGATCGTCCGATCGTGCAACGCGAAGAAGCTCGTCGATGGAGATTTGGAACTTTGTCACATGCACATCTTTGATAAAGCCGTCATCTTGCAGGAACTCGTTATCCTTGGCGACGGTGCTGACATCGGTACGGAGCTCTGAAATACCAGCAGAGGAAGCCCGCATGTGCCGTAGCTGCGTCTTTGCTTTCGCATACCGACTCTTCCAACTCTTGAGCTCCTCCTCCAGCCTGTGAACTTCCTCCGATAGTCGTTCCTCATGCTCTAACCTGGAGTGGCTCTGCTCTGAGAGCTCCCTCATTTCCGTCAAGAATCCTGCTGCCTCCCGCCGAACTTCCTCCGTCACTTGCTGTTGCTGGCGCAGTTCATCCTGCAACTGCTTGTGCCTGAATTCGAGACTAGCGAACTGAGCCTGCAGTTCAGAATCATCGCTCCCTTTTCTAGAGCCCTGAATATCGCGTTGCGCAGCTTCGTGTTCCGCTCTGACTTTCTCGAGTTCGGACTGCAAGGAGTTGTTTAGATCTTCTGCCTTGGAGATCTTGTTCTCCAGTTCGAATTTGATATCGTCCCATTCTTCCCGTTCCGCGTTGCTTATCTACGCCTCTCGTCAGAAAACTGCATATAAAAAAGTGGGAACGAAGGCCTACCTGTGACTTGTCCTGCTCCTGTTGGTATTTGGATATTTCCTCATCCTTTGCCTTCAGCAAATCTTCCAACTTTTGCACTTCCTGTTGCTTTTCGTCGTCTTTGGATTTCAGTAGTTCTTCTAGTTTGTTGACCTTGTCCTGCAGGGTTGAGACCTGTGACTGAGTCTCTGCCAGCAGTTTTCTTTCCCCGTCGCCAATTGTCGTTGCAGTTCCGCGCCTGCTTCGTAGGAATGAGTCTAGGGCAAATGCATCGCTCCGGGCGTCATAATCGTCCTCGGTACCAACTGCGTCATCGTCGTCTTCCACCATGGTGCTCTTGTTCGGGACAATCGTGTTGCTTTGGAAGGATTTGGCAGTCGGACCATCTCCGTTTATAACCGAGCCGCTTAGAGACATCTTCCGAGGCGGATACGGACCCATTGGACTTCCAGGAGGGCCGCCTGACGGGTAACCTCTTCCTGGGCGGGGCGGACCACGCGATTGGGAACGCCGACTCCCCGGAGGAGGCGGGTATCCCTGAGGCCCGTATGCATTGGGCGGAGGACGGCCACGGAGACTAGGCGCAGGGCTAGCGCGACGAGACTCCTTTTCTGGAAATTGGGGGAACCGCCGTTCTAGTTCACTAAAGACATCCCCAGCCAAATCTCTAAAGCGCTGATGCTGAAGCGAGGCCAGTTTTTGACGCGCCTGGTTGCGCTTTTCGTGAAAATCATTTCGCGGAGGAAGAAACGGGGGTACATCAGGGCGCGGCGGTCGGTTAGGAGACGGCATAGCCTGCTGTCGCCGGAGCAGTTCGTCATAGACATCGGTACTGAGTTCGTGAAACTGTGTTGCCGACAGCCGTAGGAGTTTGTCCTGCGCCTTGCTCGACTTTCTACTCGCCCGCTCGTCCCGATAACTCGAGAACAAGAACCTTCTTAGAGCAGAATAATGCTGAGCGAGAATTTCCTCCACCTGTCGTTTCCGCCTGCTGCGCTGATCCCCCAATGTCCCGTCACTCGATCGCGCGGTTATGGAATTGGGCGGAGACGGATTCCCAGAATCGCTCAACTGCGACGAAGAGCCATTGTTCGGTAACCCAGCACTGCTGGGGGTGCCGCCAGGCACGCCTGAAGTCGGAGGAGTCGCCAGATTGCCGCGGTTCGAGAAAGTAGGGGAGAAGGCTGCATCCGACTTTTGGTATTGATTTAATCCCGACCAGTCACTTCCGTCTACGGAGACGGGCGACATGGTCCCTGACTGACCATTCATGAAGCAATGCGAAGCGGATATGCGTGTCGCGCCGGCAACAAGTGCGTATGCGGGTTCAGTAAAGGTTGTATTGTTCTATTCGACCAATCGATGTGAGCTACTCGTATGCATTCGAGGTACTGGGTCGCACTGCGAACATCGGGGAGGCGGGCAGGAATATCGATTACGGGGAAGAATGCGGTACCGTCGGAAGAAGAGGATTTTCGATCGCAGGGTGGCAGTAATGAGCGAGAGCCGTTCAAGAATTATACAATAAAGAATGGGAATTCCGGCGAAGAAAGGGAGAAGCTAAGACGACAAATGGTAGGTAACAATCATCCGAAGAATGGCGAGTAGGAATGAGAAGTCGCCGGTACGAAGGAAAGTCACAAGAAGAACAAGATGGATAAAGAACAGAAAGGACAGAAGAACAAGTTGTGAATAAAGGATAAAAGGAGAGCCGGCCGTTTGAGGAGCGGAGAGGAGGTACCAAAGTCCCAAGGAGTGGAGGACTGGCGGCGGCGGGAGAGTCTGGAGGGAGACGAAAGGGCAGCTGAAGAACGAAAGACCACAGAACACTGAGAGTACGGAGTAGTATCCAACTCTGACAGTCACGAGAGCAATTCCCGCCGACAAGCCAGGACAGTGGACACAGTGACAGAAAAGCGAAAATTCCCAGCTCTTCCATTCTGACCTTCGAAAGGGGATCAGCATTCATTTCCTCCAAATTAACCATCAGAACTCCCACTTTCCCAACGAATCAATGGCCTCGACAGGGGCCCGGCGAGGCTTTGATACTCCCACAAAAGCAAGTTTACCACTACTTTTGACTATAAGCACCTCACATTCCAGTCTTCATCGACGGAGAATGAAGACTCACAATATTTTGAAATGCTCCAGCGCCATCTCACCCTCCATACCACACCGATACTCTGGTCAATCTGGATAAACTCCTCGATTCAACAGTCCATTCATCACGGCATTTCATGGCGCCAACTCCCACTGGGCGCCAGGAACCACCGATCCCGACTTTTGAGTTGGGCCAATTGCTGTGCTTGCTTTGGTACCACTCAGTGGCTCTGACTATTTTAGGTGCGTTAGGTCGTCCTCGATGTGGCGGTGCTGACGATATGTTGGAATTTCTGGGGGCCAGAGTATTCGGGTGTGCCTCGTCTCCCGGCTTGCTTGGAAATCTTCCAAAGTTTTTCCAAGTCCTTCTTCTGCGGAGACCAGATCGTGGACTGCGAGGTCCGTCTGATGTCACTGCTCGGGAACTTGTTATGTTTATGGGGATCTTCGCTTGCGAAATCTCGCCCGTCCATCACAGGAGGCCAGACTCTCATCATCCCTTTTGGAGCCACCGCTAATTCGGATGGTTGCTCCACATTCCGCTTACTCTGGTTTAGTTCAGGAGTTTCATGGAGATTTTGTCTACATATCTCACTTCTCAATATACGGCACAATAAACATTGGACTTTTCGAGTCCGGGCCTCGGATTGTTTGTCAATTGCATTGTATGTTATTTGGTATATACATAAGATTCGTATATGTGATTAATTCAATGACTATAAGTTATCCATACATACATGGATTCACGAATCTTTCCAATATACCGGTATGGTCCGTTGAGCTCGAGCTCAGCAGCTTCTTTGCTTCTCAATGGTATCTCTGCTTCTGTTTCTTTTTGGTTTCTGTCTTTTCCATCTCCGGTCTCTCCTGTTCAGGTGAGAGCTGTAGCGTTCTATAATGCCCAGACTCCAGTAAAACTCACGCCAAAAAAGACAATCATGACCTATCGATTATGACAAGTCCCCACATATAATCAAAAGCCTCGAAATGTACAATGGAAACAAGACAAAAGGGGCGAATGCACCTAAGAGGGTCGTATTCTATCGTTAAGGAGGACGAGACGAAGAGAGACTGGTACCCCACTGGGGGCTACCGGTGTCTATCGCGAGGAAGTCATGGCAAGTCCTCTGGTAGCACCAACGGCCGCTGATACCGGTGTAGCTGACCGCGTGGTCGGAGCACTACGGTTGTGGGCCATATGCGCTTTGACGAGATGCCCAGCCGCAAGTGCGGAGCACAGACTCAATTCTCCAGCAAGCACAGCAGCACCGACAATCCGAGCTAATTGACGGGCATTGTCACCGGGGTTCGTAGGGTGAGAACCACGAACACCGAGAATGTCAAGCATGGCGCCTTGGGCTTCCAGGATAGTTCCACCACCGATGGTGCCCACCTCAATGGAGGGCATAGAGACAGCGATCTGAAGATCACCATTCACGCTAGGAGGATCGTTAGCACGTCAATATAAAGGTGAAGGCAATGGAACTTACTTCTTCATCGTGGTAATACAGCTGCTGCTCTCAACGTTTTGAGCAGGATCCTGACCAGTCGCGAGGAAAATAGCAGTAACAATATTGGAAGCGTGGGCGTTGAAACCACCCAAGCTACCCGCCATTGCACTTCCAATCAAGTTCTTGCTGGTGTTGAGCTCTACCAATGCATTCACATCACTCTTGAGCACGTTCCGAACAACGTCGCCAGGGATGATGGCCTCCGCGACAATGGATTTGCCGCGACCATCAATCCAATTGAGAGCAGCGGACTTCTTGTCGGTACAAAAGTTACCGGAAACAGAGATCGTGGACATATCATCAAAACCACATTCAGTAGCCATCACATGGAGAGCCTTTTCGACACCCTTTGAGATCATGTTCATACCCATTGCATCACCGGTAGTCGTCTTGAATCGGACATACAGATAAGTACCAGCAAGGGCGGTCTTCAAGTGTTGGAGACGAGCGAATCGGCTGGTGGAGTTGAATGCAGATGTCATGACGTTCTTACCCTCTTCAGAGTCGAGCCAAACCTTGGCCGCTGCTGCTCGGGCGAGAGTAGGGAAACCGACACAAGGACCGCGAGTCATACCATCACCAGTCAAAACAGTGACTGCACCGCCACCAGCGTTGATGGCTTTAGCACCTCGGCTTGCGCTGGCAACTAGGACACCTTCAGTGGTCGCCATGGGAATGAAATAACTTTGACCATCGATAACAAGCGGACCAGCGACTCCGATAGGCAATGGGAGGGTGCCAATGACATTCTCGCAGCAAGCACCATGAACAAGAGCGTAATTGTAGTCTTTGTAAGGCAGCAATGACTTCTCCAACGAGCCGGTGAAAGCAGCAGTCGCGCTTGTCCTAGATACTACTGCCCTGCGAATCTTGACTGCCCGAGTAAAGGCATCCACACGGCTGTAGAGTTCCTCATTCTCCAGTGTTTTCTCCAGGGCGTACCCGGGGAGCTTGCCCTTCAAGGAAAGTGCAATAAGCTCTTCATCAGTCAGGTAAGCTGCCTTTTTGGCTTTCAGCATGGCTTCACATTCCTCCATGCTTCGCATGGGGCCGGGCGGGTTTAGGTCGACCTTGGGGTAGACCTTTGGCTCAAGGGGAGGAGGGGCAGGGGCAGACTGAGGCTCTTTGATACTCCATCTGGCAGCGTTGAAGAGGTAACCATTCAGAACTATACTCAGGGTCAAAACGGCGATGATCCACTTGCTGATGATTGGATCCTCGATACTCTTCAGTAGACCGTCGAGGACACGCCCACCAACAGCGTCTAGGAATTGATCAGTGTATTCGATGTCAAAGGACTGGCCGTCGCCGAGCTTGGCGTAATGTACCGAGGGGTATTCCAGCTTGTACTTGATGGGCGGGACGACAGTGACGATAGTCTCCATTTTCTGGCTCTTGGCGGAAACATAGATGGTGTCAAGTCCGTTTTCAGCAACCTTGAATGGATCAATCGGGGTGGGCGCGAACACATTGCACAGGGGAGACAGGCTGCTGGAGTTCCGGAACGGGATTGTGGACATGTTGACCACATTAACGAGAACGAAACCGCCGACCATGAGAATCTTGAAGCGGCGCACATTGTTCGATTTGACCTTGCGTCCAAAGATGCTGGTATCGTCAGCACTGCCATTGTCTGATCCTGCACCAGGCCAGTCATTGCTCGAGGCGACCTTCTCAGCGATGCGCTCAGGAGTGCCGTCTTCCTCCAAAGCCTTGCGGAGAGCGACGTGACGCCTAATTCGTGTGATTTCAAGCTTGATGCACAGGATAGTGGTGTAGAAAGTGAAGAGCAAGAGGCAGTCGAAGAAGAGAATCCAAGCGGCGAGGAAACAGAACTGTCTTAGACCACCCTGGACACCAGAAGCAGCTCCCGCAACAAGGATTGCAATCTCAATGCAGTAGTCCCTGATGATCCCAAAACCTTGTTCCTTGATCGCGGTTTGAATCGAGTCCTGGATAGAGCTGGGAGTGGAAGCGGCTGAGCCCTGGCGTCTTTTATCAACCGAAGCATTAAGAACCGCCTTGGTAAGGATGATCGGCTTCTCAAATCCAATGGTCACAACAAGGAACGGAAGGCCCTCCGATAAGAGCAGAACATTGATTGGAACGCCGAATTTTGTCGTGACGAGGAGACCAAAAAGGAAGGCGAAGATTCCAGAGAAAAGAACGGTTGTGGCCAGCCAAAATTTCGAACCTAGGCGCTGCATGGAGAAGAAAAGAGAGGCAAAGCTGAGGTGCATAGAGAGATAGCCGAGAGTCATGATGACAATATCAATCGTTTCAGCGTGCTGTTACATGTCAGTAGGTAGCTTTCGAGAGGATCCGAGGCAAATACCTTGATCAAATCAGCAAAGGAACTCCAAGCATCCGCGAGCCAGAGCCTGGCAGCTCCATTGGACCCATAGATCGGACCACGAGCGGCGCGCATAATCCACTTCTTTTGCTCTCCCTCATCGTCTTCAATTGTCGGGTCAGGGAGTTCCTGGACCGCTTTCCAAAAGTAAGGAACCTGGTCAAACGGAAGAGAAAAGGCCAAAGAGGAGTCGTGAGAGAAAGGCGAGAAGAGATTGGGCGTATGAGGGACGCGTTGAGCAGAGGTATTTGCGGGAACGGGTAAGGCGTCTGCAATGGGAGCTGTCGAGTGCGACTTGGATACGGAATCCGGAAAGATGAAAGTCGTCAGAGCAAGGTGCTCAACACCCTATGTTTCAATTGAGTATATTCAACGCGTGGTGCGAGTCATCCAGAATCTCACCTCGTAATCTTCCTCTGTCAAGGAGTCCTCAACCTGCCATTTCCAAGCCGTACTCTCCCCAAGACGGAGGCTTCTGCTCCCGGTAAGGAGCGAGTCCACGTCTACCTGGCCGGCAACATTCTTTGGGTTCCTGAATGAGTCGAACAAGCTTCCTTCGAGAAGACCGACATAGGTTGTACTCGCAAGCAAAGCGATCACGACGATTGTATGAATGGGATGAATGCAGGCACGGCGTGAGATGGTTTGTAAACTTTCGGTGACCTGACGCTTCAGCCAGGAAGGCTCGGATTCATTGTCTCCATCCGCTGTCCGGAAGTTCCTCCTGATTAATGTGGAGGCCATTGTGACTGTGTGGTAGGCAACGGAGGCGGTGTGAGCGTGATACGAAGTGCTGGTGTGAATGGGTCACCAAGCGAGAGACCCTCCGGTTTCTTTTCTGTATACGCGAGTCGTGTTGAACAAGAGGTCGCAGAGAAATTATAATGAGTCTCCGAAGTTCAGTGACATGAGGCGACCAACTGAAGAGCGAATTCGTGGGCGACGAACTCCGAAAGACCTAGAGAACTCAAGAACTGCCGTGAGTATTTTTTTTTTTTTCTGCTCAATGGCCAGCCACTGACAGGGGATGGAGGCGAGTAGGGAAAAGAAGCGGAGAGAAGCGGCGGAGATTGGAGAACGGAGGGGAGGAGCCTGGAGGGCGAAAAAAGGGATGAGAGCATCTAGACATACCTTGAATGCAGCTGTGCAGCCCGTCCGCGAGAAGTCGGTGTAGGACTGGGGCGAGGAAAAATCTCCAGTAATCCCAGTCGTTCCCGAAACCAATTCTCAACAGAGCTGCTCTTGAGAATTGCACACTCAAATCGATCGAGTCGTCACAGCCACAGACTGAACCCCTGAAGATGCGCGAACTCTACAACGAGCTTGAGCCACCCGTGACCCAGAAAAAATTAGCTAAGCGGCGAAATCTGCCGCCTAGAAATACCTGCCCTTTTAGGAAAGGGCGATGTCGCGAAAAGGATTCAGCCAATCAGAAGCCGTATATGAGCCTGTGTAGGCGTTGCACTATTGACTTGGGGACAAATAATCAGTGACTCGGGCCCAGGTCACAAGAGAATGATTTCCGGGGCAGATTGTCGGGGACGGAGCAAGAAGTGAAAGCAACAGAGGAGAAAAGGAACGGAAAGCCAGGGGGGGATTCGGGGGAATAAAAGAAGTTGCATAATGGAAAGCGAGAAGGCTTGGTTACCGGTACTCGTCCAGCCCAAAAGCAGGCTAAGTGGGAATCCGAACCAACGGGCCACAGCTGTACCCCCAGCAGTGAAGATCCCTCTAACAAAAACGTCAACCTTCAGTAATCTTTCGGGAAGGATTCGTCCGCTTGATATGTACAAGAGCTACGGCTACGTGGTTACAGGCTGTGCTCGGAGGAGCTGAAAGCGGTTTTTAATGCTCGTAAGCGTATCATCGGCGATCGACCTTTGCCCGCCAAAAGCTCGAAATGTAAGAGCGGGCACTATATACTCCGGTGCCTCAGCTGTGGAAGAGCGAGTCCATCATTTCAACGCGGACTAAGTCGTCGGTACGAAAATTACTCCGCCGCGATAACGAAGAAAAAGCGTTCCTGTCATCTCCGGTTTCAAGGCCCTAGAGACGAAGGAAAGAGGGAAAAAGCAAAGATACACCAGGTTTCGGGGATCTCTTTTGCATTATCGGGAATGCCGCTCGAGGGTTGTGGCTGCTGATAGGTTCGTAAGCTGGATATGAGTACTCCGTATGGGAACCCCGACCTGCTTCACCGGGCATCGCTATGACGGCTATATTATTACAGTATTAGCTGGATGAACTGGAAGAGGACCTCATCTCGAGAAACAATCACAACTTATGAGCCGCCAACAATTGTTCTGCAGTTGTTCTTCAGTTCCATTGTACTCTTTGCTTGGCTTTCACCCCACCACGAGAAATATACAGTCCAATAAGCAGCCGATTGAGCCCTCCATGACGGACTCCGAGGAGCGACGGGTTCCGACAACCTTGAACCTTACCGTGCTACGAGGAGCGAGGTCCCCTGTTTTCTGCACGGAGCACGTCCCACGTAATAATGTCATTCCCAGCAGTCGATCTCGATCTTGCCAAATGCACAGTCATTCTCACCTACTAGTATTGTCTGCGAGGGGATTTTAAGAGTCGGACAACGATCAGACGTGAGATGGATGCTTCTTTATGTAACGGAAAACCCCCAGGGGGCCCGTTTCCTGTGCCATTGCAGCTCTTACTACTGCCGTCACAATGCCTCTTGAAGAATTTTCCCATCTTCTTGAAGCCATTGGGTTGATCGAGTGGGACATCTTGGGCTTCTGGATTCTGGGAGAGCCACTTCGGAGCTAATCGCTAAAGTACCCACTTTTCTAATCTAATCAATCAATCTTTCACTGCGAAACCGGAGGCGAGGCTGCGAAAGATATTTTTTTACGTTCATTTCCCCAAGAGATCGTTGCAATTGAGACTGAATGATGAGAAACAGGTCAGACATTGGCAAGATAGAGGGTAGCTACTAGCTGTTGCAGCAGATGCATGTCAGAGGTAACGTGAGTAATCGCGGGGAGGGGAGCTGCGTTCATATTGTTGTGTAGCTCGACAATCGAATAATAATACGGACCCAGGTCACAGTCGAAAGAATCTTGGATGCCATAGCCGAGAAGCCGTTCCGTGGGAGCAGCGAAGTTGAACGTGGGTTGCTGAGGGGTGTCGCGTGGGGCCTTTGGATTTCTTTGAACTTTTCTCGTTTTTCTGTTGGTAGACGAGTCAGAGAGTTTTCTCGAGACTTGGAGGTACGCTTTGCCATGTGCCACGGTTGTGAAGTAGTATGTACTGATGTGTTATGAAGATAGGCCAAAGTAAACGCGAAAAATTCCAGAGCTGGCTTCCACAAGGCAAACGAGCCTTTTAAATCTCCATTGCCCCGCCAAATCTGCCTTTTCCACTTCCTCAGCACCGTGCTAAAATTAAACAGCCGGAAATTAAGGACTGGCTTTCCACGTTGCCGTTGCTTGTTTCGATTCGCGCTCTGTCGCCCTGCATCCGTGTCGGCGCTTAGATGCCAATCCCATGGACGACGAGTGGGAGCGCCTACGACCAGTCTCCCAGTATTTTCCCCAAACAGAGTGGCCTGGCTTCAAAGCCTACGTATGTCTTGGCATACTTCAACGGGGCCATGATTTTGGAATGGCGCGTACATGTTTTATGGTATCGGCTGCAGCCCAATCACCGACTTCCCTTTCACTCGACGCGTCCGGATCTGCAACATCCAGAAAGATCATCAAGGGTCCAAGACGTCTCGATCATGCAAAATCTCCGCCCGAGACTAGTAGGCGCCGATGCTATTTCCAGAGCTGTCGTGCGGACGGGAATCGACCAAGCTAGGTGCCTTCATGCAGCAGAGCCCCCAAAACCGAGCGTCTAGAGCCTATCAATACCTGCCCACACCCTCAACCTGATCATGTCACCCGAATATATGCCATACATTGATCGCCAACCATGCTCCATGCGAATTTTACCTTGCATGATGTTGCAGGACAAGGGACTCGATGATTGGCCCCGGTGCTGTTTTTCTTGGATCTCTTTTTCTTCACCCTATGTCTCGTTAGGCGCCATCAAGCTGGTTCCAAGTCTTTCTACTGAGATGATTCTGCAAAGGCAGCCCAGCCGTTGAAGTAACTTATAACAGCTTATTCCTTTAGGCATCAGGCCTGTTGTCCTTTTATTTCTGCCCCGGTCGTTGAAGGATAGACAAAGCGGAGCTCGCTTGACAACGTCTATTGTTTCAAAGGGCATTGCTCTTGTCTGATTCTCTTCTTGGATAACACATTGAGAGTGCTTTATTGACTCTTATTCGGCAGTGTCTGGGGTAAAAGGTCCTTTGTCGCTCCTGCCATTGTCTCAGACAAACCCAAGAAACACAAGAGTCTTTGAATGGAGATACTGCAGCCAGACCCAGAACAATGGACATATAAAAGGTCTCTTACTCCCGCCTAACCCTTCCTAGGAAATTGCATGACATATACTAACCTCTTATATAGCAAGTGATCTCTCATCTAACTCGCAGGCCGGCGTTAGGATCCTTTCTTTGTTACTCTTGCATTTCACGGACAACAAAAGCGATCGAATTTTCTTGCATTTATGGACGGCGCACGCAGCATAGGCGCGAGGTTGATCCTCCTAGCCCTCTTCTTTACCACAACCACCTGGGCCCATTCCTGGGTCGAACAGCTCATGGTCATCGCACCAAACGGCAGCTTTGTCGGCGCCCCCGGCTACCCTCGAGGCAACGTCCTCCGCTCCAATCCCGCATTCAGCGACACAGCCTTGACCTACTTGGCCGAGGACTACCTGTGCAAGGACACGCAGCGCACACAAACACAAACGGAGGGAAGTCCCCGACTCCAGGCGAGCGCCGGCGCCGCCATCGCCCTCCGCTTCCAAGAAAACGGGCACGTCACACTCCCAGAGACACAAGCGGGAAAACCACAGAACCGCGGCACCGTCTACGTCTACGGAACAACCTCGCCCAAGGACGATGAGAAGCTCGCAGATGTACACAAGGTCTGGAACGAAGCGGGGACAGGCGGCGACGGACGCGGCGTGCTCCTCGCCAAACGAGACTACGACGACGGCCGCTGCTACCAAGTCAACGGCGGCACTCTATCCCAGCAACGACAGGCCGAATTCCCGCACGAGGCGGACCAGTACATGGGCGCTGATATCTGGTGTCAGTCGGACATTGCGATCCCAGCGAGCACGCCATCTGGGCAGCCTTACACGATCTACTGGGTGTGGGATTGGCCTACGGCGGCCGGTGTAGATCCGAACTTACCAAACGGCAAACAAGAGGTATATACAACGTGCATGGACGTCGATGTGGTCGCTGCATCTGCGGATCGGTCGCGGTTGGTGGTTGAATATGACCACGAGCAGTCGCTGAACCGGGCGTCAATGCCCGATCAGTTTGCGGATATCTTCAATTCCAGGCCTGAGGACTCTGAGGACTCCGAGGGTGACACGGCGGAAAGCTCGTCTGTTCCTACTTCCTCAAACCCGGTGACAGCTGCACCGCAGTCGACAGGCGTTCCTCCGGTGGCCACGGTCACGGTGACTTCGTATGTGACATCGGTGGTTTGGGTCCGTCCGACTGGTCATGCTAGGCGGGGTTGATCAGACTCATTCATTAAGCGAGGTTGCGATGTCTGGATGTCTTAACTCTTGTGCATGGGCAGCATTTGTACCATATTGGGGTTCGTGATGGCATTCGTGCGCTGCTTCATGGCCAGCAGGCTTGGTCATAGTGGACTCGCGACTCTGTTTATTAGCCGCATGTCTCCTTTGACATTTTCTACTTTATATGATCCCCAAGAGGACACAATACTTGCATGTATAGATACTCTCGTTCGAAATCACTGTCAATTAACCAAGTTTTCTCTAAGATGAGTACTCCATTATAATTTAAGCTATACCGAAACCATTCCATATCGTGAATAAATAAAAATATATAGACCTTCAATATCATTCCCAGAAATTACAACACACAAGGACGAGCCAATTGTGACATAATCAACTCGTCCACTTTCTCCAATCTACGCTTCCAGAGCTTCAGCAAGTTCCACGCCCCATTTCTTCATCTGTCCAAAATCAGTTTCAACACTTGAGGTGTACCACCGGCTGACTTACCGCAGGAATCGTCGACATCATCCAAAAATGATTGCAGTCACCCCAGACTATCTTTATATTCTCACCCCCCAGGAGTTCCTCCCACCCAAGTGGTGTCTTTGGCCTATCGTTAAGAAACCAATTCGCCATCCATTGCTCTTCGGGTTCGAGGACAAGGCCCCTTTCCTCCGGGTTATCCTGCTTGCTTGGATCCATTCCATGCTTCGCTGTGACCATGATGGTCTGCGGACTCTTGCTGCCGGCTAGCTTTGTGGCTCTATATTTCTTCAGCTGTCGCCGTGCCCTTGTGACGCCCAACCCGAACGGCTCGTCGGAGTCGTCCCCCTTCAGTTTTCCAATTATGTATTGTGGCAGTATCGAGAAAAGATAGCGCACAAAGTCATTCGCTAGCGAGGTGTCATTGATAGGACACGCCGTATCAATGAAAACCAGCTTTTCTACCTCATCACCGGCCTCAATGAGTTGCCGCGCCACTTCGTAGGCGATCAAGCCGCCGAATGAGTACCCGCCCAGCAGATACCGTCCTTGACGTTGTCGCCGCTTTATCTCAGCTAGGAAGCTGGCGGCCATTTCCTCCATCGTGGGGGCTCTTGCTTCACGTCAATGGTGGACTGGAATGTGTGGGAGCTGTTCAGGCCATAGACGGGAAGGGATAGAGAGGTACCGGCTAAGATCTGGCCCAGGTCGTTAAAGACAGTCGCATAACCACGTCCGTCCGGAACGAGGTACAGGCCGTGACTCGCTGGGCCTGACCCGCGATGAATGAGGATGGAGGTTGCTTTGGCAGAACATGGCCTGTTTGGATCCTGTGCAGCGAAACCGACTATCACACGTAGGGTTCGCGACTCACGAGTCGAGCCTTCGGACCAGTCGACATGCGCAAATCCGGAGTCACGCATCACCTGCTCCCAAGCCCAATGTGTCTGCAGGGAATGCTCACGGCCGTCGTCAAACAGCCACATGTCATCGAGAAGGCCCCAGACCAGCTCATACCAGGGGAGCTTTTGTGTGAATTCGACGAGGGCAATACACCCGGTGTCAGGCTGCACCAGCTTACGGACATTGGTCAGAGATCGTGTAAGGTTGTGCATCGCGTGTATACAATTACTCGAGATCACAACGTGATACCGTCCTTGCAGCTCCTGGGGCGGTTCTTCCTCCATATTAAGACTCAAGAACTTCATACCCGTGACGCCCTTGAAGGTTGCCTCTTTGGCGCGTGCAACCAAGGAAGCGGAGACTTCCGTGAATGTGTAGGTGAATGGAAGACCTGTGGCTTGAAGAACCGGTACAAGGTGCTTGGTTGTACCGCCAGTGCCGGCGCCGATTTCGAGAATATGGATGGGCTCTCCATTGGATGAATGAATGGCTGTTGAGAGGAAGTCGCAGAGCACCCGAGTGGCAGCCCGAAGGTTCGGAGCATTCGCATAAAACTCTTCCAGCAAAAGGCGGCCACGCTCGCTTCCAAAGAGGAGAGAGACAGGGTTGGCTTGGCCGGTTAGGCAATTCGCGAGATGTGGACCTAAAAGGTCTACAAGGCCGTGTGTTGGGGCGTACCGGGGAAAGTCGGCAATGAGCTTTGCGCGTTGCTTTAGGGAGGATTGCGTCTCGTCAGTCGGGGACGCTTGGCCACGGACAAAGTTGTCGGCAACCTTGTCGACCACGCCGGCTTCCGCTAGGATCTCCCAGAGGCGTGCGACTGGTCTCCGGTATTTCGGGAGCGTTCCTCGGATAGTAGGGAGTGTCTGTCCTGGGCTAAACATCCGGAGAGGACAACCGAGTTCCTCGAAGTCTTCAACGATCAAGGACTTGACCACGCGCAGCTGCCGTGGGTAAAATTGGTTCCAGTAGTCTGTGAAACCAGTGTCGTCGGCATGAAGGTCAAAGCCGCAACGCACCTGCAGGAACGCTTCATGCATCAACCCTATTCCTATACTTCCTCTAGATTTAGGTGCTGATTCTTGCTCTTCCTTCATCGGACTGGATGCACCAGTGCGTGGGGTCTCCATCGCATCATTTACCTGGACTGACCACGGCTCTGGGTCAGAAGAACCAGAGGAGCCGAATGAACCAATATTGATTGTGCTCTTGACCAGCTCACAGAGGGAAAGCACGTCGATTGCTGAAGCAAACTCAGGCGATGATATCTCGGTTCCGAATGCTTCGTTCAAGTTGCCAATCATCTCCGGGGCGATAAGGGAGTCGACACCTAGGTCCTCGAGCCTAGAAGTCACAGCAATCTCGGCAATCTCAACCTCGAGGGATTTGCTGAGGATTTCGAGAATCGTTCGTCGCAGTCCTTCCTCGGAATGAGCATCGGAACCAGACTCTAAACCATGGCCGTCTTTGCAGTCATTCTCGCTGACGCTATCATGATACATCCGGGACGAGATGAGATCACACAAAGCCCCAACGTCTAGAATTGTCCCAAATTCATTGGTAGAAATGTCAACCCTAAATTTGTCGGAAAGAGCGACAAGGATCTCGGGGGCCACGAGCGAGTCTGTACCAAGCTTCTCCAACAATGCGTCTCTCGCAATCTCCGCGACGGGGACATCCAAGGATTTGCTGAGGAGAGCTTGGACGCCGTTCAAGATGTCATCTCCTCGATTAGACGCCTTTAGAGGGGGAACTTGCTTTGTCAATGAAGCAGATACTTGTTGCTTCGGCTGCGCAACCTCCAAGCCAGGAGTGGCAACCGCCAGCGCCTTCACCAGCGCGTTACGAGGGACCTTTGAGGATTTGAGCCCTCTAGCAGACAATATCAATTTGCTGCTTAGGCTGTCAAATGCGAACAGATCCAAAACCGTCTGCTTGCTGTTCTCTGCCACGATGTTCGTGTACGCTCTGTATGTCCCACTCCCTCGAAGTCCATTCAGTGGTCCGACATATTCCATCCCGGTGCAGATATTAGACGTCTCCTTGTCCTCATCCTCTTCAGAAACATTACGAAAAGAGTGGACGAATGCACCCGCCACCTGAAAGAAATTATCCACAAGTGGGACGTCGGCAATGTTCTCGTTGGGCGTCCTGGCCAGAATGCTCATTTTGCTATCCACAGGCATCACAGTCTCCCCTGCACTTTCGGAACCCTTGCCGACCAGGTACCGCAGTCCTTGATACGCAGTAGAGTACTTGGCCATTGGAGCAAATACCTTGTACACCAGTGCGCCGCGTAGGGACTCTGTATCCGTGTCATTATCTAGCAATTCGGTCATCTGCGTCCATTTTTCGAGGTCTGTTCCAATCTCCCTCCTCGTGCGTGCAGAAACACTTCCTGTACTGTGGGTAATCGGCCGATCATTGGCTTTGCCTTTGGCTGTAGAGGAAAAATGGAAATTCCACGTGTCCTCGGTTTTGCGAGTTAGGGTTAGCTTGACCGAGCGCTGCGGATCCAGACCCAGGGGTGCCTTAATCTCAAAAGACTCTGCAACGATTTCCTTGACCATATTCCCGCCATGAAGCAGAGATACAGCATGCGCAACCAACTCAAGGTACATTCCGGCCGGACATAACGGGCAACCAACCACAGTATGGCCACCGACTAGTTCCTGGAAGCGGCTACTGCGGGCATCGATACTGAAATTGAAGACGAAGTCGGACAAAGCTGGGCCTTCTTGAACAAGATATGGAAAGTCGGTAATACTATTGTTGCAATGCGGGCATAAAGCCGAGGCCTCTGTGAAGGGAGCCTGCTTGTCAGTGCTACTTTTGCTGTATTCCAGCCAGTGGTTATGCTTCTCGAACTGATAAGGTGGCAGATCCACACTTTGGCCTTGTGGAGTTAAATAAGACTCGCGCTGGCTTTGGTGAAATGGCCAAAACTGCACGGCACTTGACTTCCAGAGGGTAGCTGTGGCATCCGCAAGGGACCGCATAGGGTCTGTCGCACCGATTGCTATGAATGTATGATCGGCTCTACTCGCGGCATTCTGTGCCATCGCGATGATAGGACCCCCAATACCGGCCTCCAAAAACGTACATGACTGGCCTAGATGGTTAACGATACGCTGCATTGCGCTTCCAAAGTACACAGGCCCACGAGTGTTGCGAGCAACGATGTTGGACCCGGGACCAGTCCAGCTCCCGATATTCTCCGGTGTGTCTTCATGACATGAAATGAAAGGATGAGTTGGACTCTGGAACGGAATCGAGGCGGACAACTCCGCACATGCATCAACTATCGAGTCTGCCATGTGGCAATGGTATGCATGCATGCCCCGCAACACCTTGAAGCGGAGTTTGCCCCTCGGGCCTTGTGATTTTTGATTCTGGAGGTACGTTGCAAGAACTTCGATATCCTTTGTACTTCCCGCAACGACGTAGTTGTTTGGACCGTTGTAGCAAGCAATCTCGAGCTTGAGTTCCAGATGTTCCTTGAGGAAGGGCTGAAGATGCTGGGTCGGGCTCGTATTTGTTGCGACTAGATCGGCTTCTATTGCAACCATGGACCCAGTATCGGCGCCCCAAAGTCTCTGGATAATTGATGCACGACCTATGTGTAGTTAGTAGAGGTAAGTACTGTTTTTCGTTTTCGATTCTTCGACAACGGGGGTTCACTGACTGTATACCAGTCAGATCCAGCTCGACACAGTACTTAGACATGGAGGATGCAATGGTCACATACCCAGTGACCAGTTTCATACCAGGTCCGAGGGTCAAGCCCCCGACACAGTCAACGCCGCCCACTCGCCAAACGAGTGGCCACAGATCGCCTGCGGCTTTACCCCGGAGTCGATCCACGCCATGCCACTGGCATACTGGATAGAAAACAGGACAGCGTGACGAAGAACCAAGTCCGTATCTTCATCGTCATTACCTTTGCTCTCTAATCCATCAAGAACAGCTGGGATTGGACTTGGAAGACCGAGAAGGTGCATGACCTTTTCACATTGTTGCAGTCGCATACGGAACAGTAGTGAAGTCTCGTAGAGAGACCTGGCTGACGGGGTAGTGCTACCGTTTTGGCCGCTGAAAAGCAGTATGATGGGCTTGAGCTTGTTGCCCAGCAGGTGAGAAACAGATATGTGCTTCTCAGGGTCGCGGAGCTGAGATTGGAGATGCTCCACTGCTTTGTTTAATGTCTATTGTATAGCTGAGATGGGAGGGTTTCTTACAAGACGTTGCTGTTGTTGAGAAAATATGCGGGGGTCGTCGGTTTCGTGGCGTCAACAAAGGGATGATATCGGTATGATTTCTGACAACTTCGGTGACGTAGCCCTAGCTGGCAAGCTGAGAGCGATACGCAGATAAACTCTCCGTTGCGCCTGGCCTTTCGTTTTCGCTTTCTTCCAATACTATGCCTGGCGCAAAAAATACCGCTTTTGTGAATGAGAGTGGCTCTTGAGACAGTGTCGCGGGCGTCCAGGCGATTCGGTGAATTAAGTCGGTGCTGATCATGGCTGGCCGTGTGGATAATGGATACAGAGTAATACCAAAATATTAGTATGGTGCGAGCAGAACAGTGGAAGGAGCGTAGTATTTCTGTGCAAAATATATGATCTGACGGGCTTCCAGCGAGGCAAGTGCACTCCATAAATAGCGAGCTTGTGTCGGCACTGACAGTTTCTTAGCTACAGTCTCTAGCAGGGTTCGAGCAAAACGATAAGGTATATGTAGGCTTGTTCTAAGGCACCGTACGGCTACCGTCTATGGAGTCGGCGACATCGATAACAAAATATATGGCCCGAGTGATCCTAAGCCAATGGATCTCAAGTCTGCCCCATTCGATGAGAACAAACGAGTGGGTCTGGGGACATGTTATGTAGGCACCATCACAAAGCTACAGACAGGGATGCCACGGTTACCCCTTCCAGCGTATACTTCACCTGGTCTGCGGATGATTTGAAGCACATGACGGCTACTTACAAGTCTCGTTTCCAATCAAACCAAAGATGCCTTGCTATGAGCACAGGAGGTGCACCGGCAGGACAGGGCGCTGGCTCGCTTGAGAATGAGAAGTAGAATAACGTGGCATCTAATCTGCTAGGACAGGCAGGTTTGCAACTGTTGAGCATTAGATCTTTATCCCCTCAATCAAGTTCCATAATGTTCCCGCCTGAGATCTTCCGAGTAGTAGCAGTTACAAGTTCATGCATGCATGCATGTCAGACAACTGTCCAACGCCGGGCGCCAATTAGAACTCCGATTGGGTAGTGGCCAAATCCGTGACTGTCCTGGTTTATTATGCAGTTAGATCCTGAAGGGTTGAAGAGCCGAAGGAGATCTGATGCTGCAGTTGAAGCCTTCTTCCAGATCGCGCCGAAGCTGACGGCGCCGTCTCCAGATCCTTGCCCTAAGCCAAGACCCACCCACTCAGCGCAGCAAACCCCACAGTCTTCCATTTGATTGTCCCTCGCAAGCTCCTGGTAGGATCTTGCTTATTTCGTCGAATCGCTTTAGCTTAGATGCCCTCGCAGTCTTTTAGGTGGCAGAAATACCTAATCGATTCTCCGTTCATTAGATAGAGTCCGCGCAGAAGGCCGGGCCAAGACAACCATCTGCAAATACGTGGCTATCTAATCAGCAATATACGCACCAGGTTAGCAATCGATCTGATATATGGAGTTGCATTCATCATCCGAGTATTCTCTACGTTAGCCGCGGTCGTATACGCAACACCTTCAATCGAATATTAGATCGTGAACCAACCCAAACATGCATATACAGATACCTGGCTGGATCCCATTGTATCTTTTCTCATGACTTACTATTCCTTTCTCTGACTTCGCGGGATTCGGCGTTCCCTACTAAATACTGAAGTGCTTTCCTGAGGTAGTGGCATTGTGATTGCGACTTCAGGTACTGCATTCTTTGCTTGACCTAGGTAGTCATTGAGTTGGTTGTCTATTGGGTAAGTATTACCTTATATAATGCCTTTGCAGGATGAAAGATGGTCGATAACTACCCCTTCTGAGTATCGGAAGGTGCATCGCCGACTAGCCCTAAGAGACTAAAGTAAGTAAATAGAAGCAACCACATAGCGGTCCGCGTTGCAAAATCTACTAAGCCAAACCCGATGAAACCCCTTATATTACCCAAGCACATGTCAACTGTATCAACCCCAAGTACCAAGACCGCAAAGAGCAGCGTGGATTGAGTGGCCGCCCCTTCCTCCAGAGGACGTGCCCATATCCCAAGGAAAGAGCAACTCTTGACGGGGCTGACAGACGTACCTTCCCAACTCGGACGGCGATAGATATGGAAGGGGCGATGCTCGCGCCTTCCTTCAGCTACAAGTGGTATTTACGGGAGGAGCGATCCAGTCGCGGAGGAACGTGCCTTCCTAATTTGGAGGGCGATAAAGACGGAAGGAGCGACCTGAATTCTGATTAGATAGGAAGTCGCAATGGTGGTCGTTCTTTCCTGCAAGCATAAGCTCTAGTCGAAGGAAAGAGTGTAGGTCGTGAAGGTACCTACCTACCTTCCTTATGGAAAGAGTATTTAACGCTACCTTGAGGGGCAGCTAGGGGCCCGTGGTCTGTGGCATGTACATACTTTCAATCGGTCCTTTCATTATCGTTGATGATTGATACGTCCTTATTGCGGTCAGCGTACGTTCCAAGCCAGTCCGGATCGTCCTTTCTCACGGTTCGTTATAATACTCCGTAGGCCCACGCACTTGAGCATGGGAAGCTCCTGTTGCAATACTCCTGTAACATACTCCTCAGTGCAGCAGCATAATGGTAACTGTAGCACGAAAAAAGCTCAAGCCTCAGAGGACTCCAAAGGCTCAACCCTATAAGCTAGGTTCCTTGCTTTTTGTCATACCCGAAACCGCAATGACCGCCATACCCTGGGGTTTTCAAACTTGACGAGAGGGGAAAGGGAGCAATAACCACCATGCCGGCCCAGGAGACCCTCTCGAGTACCGCAGCTCTGGAGCATATGTCCTTTGCGGAATTCGCACAGAGGTGTGTGCTGTTTGCCATAAGGACTGGGATCCCAATCCAGCTAGCTATCTCAAGGCTTGGGGTTTGGCTATTGTTCGATTCGCCGAGCACGCTCGATGGCGGAGATAATAATTCGAACTGGAGTTGAAGAAAGGCATGTTCGCTAGACGAAATATGCCTGTAGGCGCAACCATGAGAGCTGACCATGCATGTACGTGTGGCTTGTGTAGAATCCAGTGGGCGAGGTTGCACAATTTCATACAATATCGATTCTGGCAAGCGTACTGCTAGGTTCATATAATAGGTCAAATCCTCAGTGGCCAGTATTGGATCAGTTTAGAATTGTTTGTATCCTTTACGTGTTCTCTTCTCTATTGCATCCAGGCCGAAGGTCCTGGGTTGGGCACCAAAAACTGCTCTTCAGCACCTACGGTCGCCCAGATTGATACTGCTAGGTAGTATAGTAGCTGACTCTGTTGCTAGTAGTTCTGCCCGTCCTTTAGTAGTTGCCTACCTTACCGAGAATGCGATGATACTGATCTTTCGCTCGTGTAAACCCTACTCCTAAGCTATGCCGAGGCCACCAGTCCACTAGAGCACGAGTACTCACAGTGAGAACGGCCAAGTCTATGTAGGAAAATCTCCTCATGCAGCCCGCGGTAGTAGCAAATATCAAGGTCATTAGAATCCTACAGCTATTTGAGGAATGGCAGGAGCGGCGACTCGGTGCAAGGTATTAATGACCTAGCGCAAATGGCCAACATGCGAGCCTGCGCTTTTTATAGAGACCTTTGTCAGTAAACCATCATATCTGTATGTTAGCCACGCAGCTTGGACACTTTGAATCCTGCAAAACGCCAAGTATGGTGCGCGGTGCTTTTCGGAGGGAATAATAGTGCTGCAAGCTTCTGGTGTATAATTAAACCATGTTATTCCTGAAACAGGGGCGCATCTACGTTCGACGGTCTTTGGTTCAGTCTTGATGGCGCTTCTTACTGGGCTAGAAAGGATGGAGGCACAGTTGAGGGGGCTCTGAGGGTGTTGAGGTCGGTGGTGGCGGTTCGAGGGACTGTTTGGGGCGGAGTTGGTTGAGGTCGAGGGACTAGAGTCTATGGACTTTCGTTTACTCGTGCGATCAATATAGCAGAATATAAGCGCTGCCTGCCAGGGTAGAATTCTGCCTTGGAATGCATCAGTGGTGTTTAGGGCTAAGATGTAAATCCAATGTTTGGTGGAACGGGCTTATGCTATTTACTCGAGCCCTAACTCCCTTGACAGTTGAAACAACTCCATAACATAGGCTCTGTGACTTTTGCGTACTCATACGCGATCTTCGTCATTGAGAAAGCAGTATATATAAACCGTTTCATACAGATTACCTACTCAACCCCTCTTGGCCAAGTTCTTCTGCGCCCTCTCCATCAACCCCAAAAGCTTCTGCACCGTCGCATTACTGTCCAGAAATTCCACATACCGCTCAATCCTCTCCCTAGACTCATCCATCGTCAGAATAAGCACGTACTCGCCCTCAAACTCCCAATCCGATGCCTCCATCCCCTCATAGTCCTTCACCTCCTCCCGGAACTGGGCTTTGCTCGTCGCCCAGACGACGACTTGGTTGCTCGCCTCGCTTTCAATGTACTCTTTCGCTGTAAAGGGGAACCCGGTCATTATGCTACCCAGGCTGTTGCAGAACCCAAGGAAGGATGGCTTGTCAAAGCCGCGTGGGACGTCGAGTGAGCCTGGGCGGAATTCGTGGTAAAGGTTGGGTGCAAGGAGGGGCTCGAGGATGGTTGGGTCGAGGGAGGCATAGTAGCTGATAAGCTTCTGAGCTGTCAAAAGACGCTTGGAGGTGTTTGTTGTCATCGTAGTCTTAGTGTATGCGGTTGACTAGAATGTTGTTGTACGTGTGTCTTGAGCACGAAGGAGGTAGATGGCTAGATGCACCTCTGTGATGAGGGACCAATTTATATCTTTCAACTCCATGGGAGGCCTGGCGTTGCCTTTGCACTCTAAATCATCCCTAAAGCAGACCCTATAGCTGCACGCTGGGCATTGTACCATGTGGGTCCTAAGACAGCTGAGCGGTGCGGCTGAGACCAACGTTGTAGATGGTCGTCGTATGTAGCACGCCTGATTCTAAGTCAAGACTAGGCACATGAAAAGAGACAGTTCTTTAGAAAACGGTTGATAGGTGGAATCATGAATCCTTCAACGCTGGAGTGGGTAGGTAGCCGTAGTATCTTGCTTGATCTCTGCGGAATCGGGCACAAATCTAACCAAAGGCTGTCCAATCAGATAGAATCACCCTGGCTTGTTTTGCAAATCCACGACCTTGACTTGCCATCGCCAATGAATGCCCTTTTCATGGCTGAATCCTCCAATAATGACTGTGGCATTTCTGTTCGTCAAGAGAAGCGCTTATCGATATGCCGCTAGATCTGTACTCCATTCTTGAGATCATTTCCTCCAGAACATTGCCCATTGCACAGGTTCAACTCGGAGTGATATTAGTGTCATCAATACTGCGACAAATTTTGTGATTAAAAGTAACATATCGACAAATGCGTTGTTCCAGGGAATCGGTGGAAGTCATTATAATATGTAACTCGACGAGTCTTCCATGGATCTTTCAAATGACTTCGCGGCGCATATATCCTTGGGGAGACGCAATGACTTCACGGACAATATATTGAAATTGAAGACGAGTTTGTTTCGAAGATACTTGGGTGAAAGTTGAGATACTCGAGATCCGAGAAATGTCACTAGAGAAAGGGCGAAAATCACGTGTAATGCTTTGTGCCTTATGGCGCGTCACAGCGGGAATCTGAAACACACTAACCTCGAACAGGCCATCACGTGCGGTTCGTCCAGCAGAGCGAGGAGCACAGTCAAAAGAACCATTTGAGGGGATCAGGAAGCGAGATCGGAGATCGAACCTTCTTTGCTCGATTCTTCGGCGTGATAACCTCTTTCCTTTGTCCAGTGCAGACTGTTGCTCTTCAACTAAGCGCCCTGCATAGCAACACCCCTGCAGGGCAGGAATAGATATCGGCACAAGCGAAACCTCGAGTGACGGCGAACTCCACCGCAGGCCCGACTGCGCCTCGTCACTCGCTGGTCCCTTAACCGCTGCGTTTCGTCTCTCCAGAGTGTCCCAGACTGTCGAGATCGAAGCTGAAGAGAGGCCGTCTGCCTTGTGTGAACGGCGGCTTATTCCCCGGTGAGCATCTGTCTTGTTCAGCCCAGAAAAAAGGAAGCAATCGCCTCGCCACCCCGCCGAAACTCTGCAAGCGCTGTCAATTGGACACAGGATACAGCTACTGTGTGTGCAATTAGACGCCCATCCCCTCGTTTCCCACTTGTCGTGCTTTTGTCCCTCTCTCGCGTTTCTTCCTCCCTGTTTCTTTTCCCTCCTCACCTCTGTCCTGCATTGTGTGAGTTGGTAGTCAGCGTCTCTGACATTTACCGGCGCGTACTGACGCTATATTTAGAACCTAGATTTACCCTGGCCACCTCGAACACTCGACCGCGGAAGAAAATCCAATCCGAAACATCTCACTGTACCGAGCGAAACGACGCCTGTCATTGGCCTTCTGCAGTTAGAAGGGTCTTTTGAGGTTCCTCAGTTACCCGCCCGGAGGGAACCGCCACATTGTTGCTATTCCACGAGAGAGGTTGCCCTGAGCTGTGCACTTGAGTACTTCGTCCTTGCAACGCTGACCCATCGGCGGCTTCTTCCACTTCTGCGACTCGCTTGCCTTCGTGTTTATTGCCTCTCTCTGAATCTTGAACTACGTGAATTCGTACCGCCCGCGATAAATACCAAGCGTTGGATCGTGCGTTCACGTAAGGAGCCCGCCAGGTTACTACCCTCCTCGCCGAATCGCATATTTCTCAGATCGCCAATCCTCTCCCACGATTTCTCAACCCTTGACTGCGAGGGCGCTTCATTCTCTTCGTACAGGCTGCGGAATTTCGCTGTCTCAGTTTGGATAAAGAAAGAGTCGGAATACTTGCAGAATTGTGGGCTGGGGATCGCGATGCGAATCTAGGGTGAACCCCCCAACCACCGTCGCCTGAATTGATAATATACCTTCCATTTTCTCTTAACGCGCAATCACCGGCTCCTGGTGCGCTCCTTCGCCACCTGCGAACCCAATGACTGCCACTATGACTACAACGACTTCCGCCCCTTCGTCACAGCAGGCTGTTTCGTCCCCTAGCCTCGCGGTTCTACCTCCCCTCGTCACTGACAATCCAGTCAGACTGTCGGGTCGCCAACGATCATCTTCGTACGCAAAGGACCGGCTCTCCACATTCTCAAACCTTTCCGTAGCTTCTCAGAACCGCTCACGGCCTGGATCACATGTTTTCCCCATCTTCCACTCCAGCTTACCCTACGCTCTGGTTCGGGATTTCGCATATCCACCTATCCATCCCTTCCATTACGGCCCGCTCCCGCTTTCCGCGTCTGGGCTTTCGAGCCCTGTGAGCGAACATCGGCGATTGTCCGACCCCCCAGCGTCATGGGACAGTTCACGTGGCCAATGGTCAACGGCGCCCTGGGGCAGTGATCACGGGCAGGGGCAGGGGCACCAACCACTGCCGGCAATGTCGTTTGGTGATGGACCGCCATACAGCGAGGACGAAGACTTGCACAGCCCTGTGTTTTCTGCGCCGCGCCATCGCAAGAACAAGTCTACGGGAACCGATTTGAATGGAGGGGCCAGGTTTTCTGGCGCCAATAGCTACACGAGCAACATGAGCCACCTCCCGGATAATGAGCGTGGGACATTGGTTAGCATGAATGCGGATGGGAGCGAGACATATTATGTGAACGACGAGGATGCCGCGGAGGATGGACCAGGAGGCGATCTTGTCACGTATCCAGCGGATCAGCGCCGATACACTTATATTGGCACATATCATGACCATCAAGGCTACGCGCACGATGCGGGTTTCGAGTCCGAAGAAGACTACAGCGGAGCTCATCGGTACTCGCGCGAGTTCCAGTTTTCCGTCGGATGCCCCGACGAGGAGATGCACGGCAAAGCGGTTGCACTCTTTGATTTCACCCGGGAGCATGAGAATGAGCTTCCATTGATTGAGGGTCAGGTCATTTTTGTGTCGTATCGGCACGGCCAAGGATGGCTGGTCGCGGAGGATCCCCGCACCGGCGAGAGCGGATTGGTCCCCGAGGAATTTGTCCGTCTAGTCCGTGATATTGAAGGCGGTCTGACTTCGCTGAATGCCGAAGCCGGGTACGAAGAGGATGATTGTGTTAGCCCGGACTCGGTCGACTCTCAGCAAGAGATCACCCCTACCTCTCACTCGGCAGCCAACGGGGGGCTTCCGGCCGACATTCCCATGACAGACCCTGCGGACAGCAACGGAAAAGAAAACACAAGGGCTTTGCAAGATGCGGAGCAAGTGCCCAGCAAGAAACAATGACCTACATGGAACACCTATGGGTGATTCGGCATTGATGACCTTATGGTCGTCGAATATAACTTGTCGATCGATGTGATTTCCTTAATGATTCAGAGATTCCCCGGTTGGAACCTCACAAACCTGCATAAACCGTGATAGAATGGTCATGGCTTGGAATGTCATGAACTGGTTGGTGGGATTGTGCTTAATAGCATATCATATCATATTATTTGGGACCCGCAGAGCCAGCCTGCGGTAACGCAATGCTTGTTACGAGAATGATGTGAGAGATTGTACATATTCATTATATCTTTGGAGTATTGTTCAGCGTCAGCGTCGGGAGGTCATCAATATATCATCATATCATCAAGCATTTCATCTCCACCAGCATTAGGAATCGCGTACGGTAATGATATATCAGGTCAACAGCCTGGGGAGCGCAAATAACCCCATAGCCATCATCCCCGTCTCTCTTCAGGAACAGGCATCTCTGCGATCGCAGCCAACGAGCCCGGTAGCTCCGCCATTCTTCTTACCTTCGTCTCCGGCGCACCCTTTTCATTCCCCGTCGGCGTCGTCGGCGTCATAGCCGTCTCCGAATCCATCTCATGCAGTGCCCGGCCGGACCCATCCAACTCCTGCTTCTCCCTCGACGCCAGCATCGCCGCGCCTTTATCTTCTTCGTCTTCGCGTCCTCGCTCAACAGAGCCTGTCCCCGTCATCGCCCCAACCGCGGTTTCCGTCACAGCTCGGTTATCACCGCCGTCCCCGTCCCCATCTCCATCACCAACATTCTCCCCCTTCCCCAGCAGCCGACGTCTCCTCCGCATCCACCAAACCAGCACAAACACAAGACTTGTCACCGCAACAGCGCCCACAATCCCACCAGCGATCCCACCTTTCTGCGAAACCGTCAACCCCGACGATGAGTTCGAATCCGAAGAAGAGGAACCCGTCTCCGTCGGCGATGATCCATCTGTCGTTGATGATGATGACGGCACGAAACTCGAACTCGAACTCGGCGTAAGCGTCGTCTGCGAACTCGTACTCGAAGAAGACGTATCTGTTTCATTCACCATATCCTCCCACCGCACGCAGCAAACGATATAGGTTGGACCTGGGCAGGGGTAGGTGGGCTTCGCAGAAAGGCATTCCAGTTAGTTTCCACTGCTGCATGATTTACATACTAGATGGATCGCGAAGGAAAGGATTGGAAGGGAAAGGAAACTCGGAACATACACCAGACCCCACGACATACTCTCCCTCGCACGTCTGGTTGTTCCTGTTACGGCAGTATCCGTTACCGGCGTCTGTAGAGCATTCGCGGTTGAGGCAGCACTATATGATATGGGTCATGGAGATGTTAGTGGATGGGCCTATTTTTTTTTTCATGAATTTGCGAGTGGACATGTAGTATGTCCGAGGAAACGTACGTCTTCTCCAGCAGTGTCACGGCATTGGTTTGAGTATACGAGTCCGGCACCTGTGTGGGCGGAGCGAGATATTAGCTACGTACACACACAGCGTAAACAACATAAGAGATAAACCTGAAGAATGCCGAGATAGACGTACAAACAAAAGAAATAATCAAAATGAGATGAATAGCATACATCTAGATAAACACTCTCCAGCCCCCAACCCACCCCAGCACGAACTATCGGTGCCCGTCTGGCGACGAGTGATTGAGAAGAACGAGTCGAACGAGTCGACAGGGTTGAAGAGGCGCATTGCAATTGTAATAGAGATCTTTTTAGCTTGAATGGGAAATATGGTATAAACTAGAAATGAAGAACGAGCAGGAAGAGAATAAAAGTGACGCAAGGAAGGATGCGAGGTCAATATAAGGTACAGTCGACGATTAAGTACAGAGTACAGTCCACCACCACCCACCCGCAAAGGAAAGCAGTGCCCTCCGCAGATCACTCACCCTGTTTGTTTGTCCCTTTCCGTCAATGATACCCCATCGTCGCAAATTGCGCTGCAACAGATGCGCATCTCGCACACAAAGTTACCACCCCCGGTAGGCTGAGACAAGAGCAACGCCAATCAGCCCCCGTGGGCCGCGACGCGGGTGCCGATCCTTGCGGCGCCCGACGAGGAAATACGAGCTCTTGGGCCCTTGGAGTGGTCTGTTGGGACGCTGCGGCTGAGTTGTGCAAGTCTTGTCGGTACTCGTATTCTGACGAGGGTGGTGCCTAGTTGGGAGAAAGGTCTCAGGGTGTTTGTCTTGCCTGGTGCGGCTACTGTTCAGGGTCTGCGGGTTTGAGCGTTGCTTGCTATCTCTGCTTGAGAAAGTCTCGAGGGGGTGGAGGATTCGATTGTGGCAGGACAAGGGATGATCAGTTTGTGGTCTTGGTCTCCGCACCATGCTACAAGATCATGTATCTCATTATATAATATAACAGAAAAATAATGCACCAGCAATGGTAAGCCTCCTTTTAGGACAAGATGGGAAAGAAAATGAAACTCGTTTTGGTTAAAAAGCAATGCTGAAGAATGACATTGTCAAGTAATCATCAATAAACCGATGGAAAAGTGGATAAGCAAGCGAGTTTTATTTCCAGCAAACAGAGGATCAAAGATTTCGCGCAACAAAACAAATTTGCCCAAGAATTCTGCAGAATGCGAGGTAAGGTAGAAGAACAAAAAGCAAGATCTAGCCCAACAGGTCGTCGAACGCGGAGCTATTCGTCTTCGCCCCTTGCTGTGACTGCTGTTGCTGGTACGGCGCTTGGGAAGCAAGGCCGGACGATGCGGGCGCACCCCAGATACCTGCACTGGCCTTCTCCTTGGCCATGCTTGCGAGGTTGGGGCCCTTGCTGGCGTTGGATGAAGATTTCTGCAGTCCTGCACTCGCACTGGCTGTTGACCACAGCGATCCGAATGCATCACCGGAGGGCTTTGAAGCTGCAGGCCTGCTTCCCAAGGAAGGAGTAGAAGCGCTCATGCCAGATGAAAAAGATGATGTAGTTGGCGCAGCTGGTCGGTTACCCGACGGGGCGGTAGGTGTCTGCTGTGCAACGGAAGTGAAATAGTTGGGTGTTGCGGCCTGGTACCCGGTAGGCTTAGACTGCGCAGGCTTTGCGGCCTGGGTTGAAAGTGCAGGCGATGTAAGACCGCTGGATGTGGGAGTCGGCGTCATTGAGGTGAACCCGACAATGCCGTTCAAGTTCGACCCTTGTGTTCCTGAAACAGGTCTAGGTGCGGCAAATTGGGTGCTGGAAGTAGTGCTGACAGTCGATGTGGGCGGTGCGATGGAGAATGTGTTGGACGAAGCCGGTGCTGGTTGAGGCGCAGACTGGAAATCATCGAAGTCATCGTCATCGTCGGCCGGGGTGGGATCAAGCATGTTGAGGCCATTGCTGCTACCCACGGGCTGCTTTCCAGCGGCAACAGAGGTCGTTGGCGCAGGTGCGGCAGGGGTAGGATCGTCATCAAGGAAGTCGACCAGGTCGGGTTCGGGTGCCTTTGGTGCCTCCGGCTTCTTCGTGGGCTGAGCACGGGGAGGAGGGCTGGCTGCTTGTCTTCGGGCCGGGGTGGCATCTGCCTCATCGTACTCATCGTATTCATCAAATCGGTTGGCGCGACGCCCGGTATCCTCGAATTCGCCAGTGCTACCTCCAAAACCACCGCCGTCACCGTAGACTCCTCCGCTATATCCACCGAAGGCCAGACTATCACTGCCAAACCCTCCATAGCGGTTTCCTGAGCTTCCCATGCCGCCTGTGGTTCCAGCTCCGCCTTCGAACCCGCGGAACTTGTTGCGGTTTGACCTGGCCTTCTTTCTCTCGGAACGGATCAATTCAACATCGCCTAGGAGCTTGACCAATTCCTGCGCACGGTTACGCACGTTGATTCCCTGGTCTTTCCCGTTGGGGTCGATGTAGTGGAATTGGCGAAGCATTCGAAGGAGGGACAGGTGGGATCGGGCATCATCGACAACTCGCTCCGAGCCGTTCTTCACGAGGAATTCTAAGAGTTGGAGACCCTAATATCGGCAACGCTCCCCGTCAGCTGATGTTGGTGAGACAGATGTTTGTTGCCGAGCCGTACCTTGTAGATTTGCCGCCACTCTTCGGATGTCTTGTCGGTGAATCGCTTGTAAATCATGGGCATAATCTCGTTGAGTAGCTGACTATCAATGACAAACCACGGCGCGTCAGTGATGTTTCCCTAGATTTGTTGCGACACAACCACATGAGGGGGTAAGGTCGGGCAACTGACTAGCTGTGTGTCCCGGTGGCAATTTCCTGCATCAACGTCGTCGACGCACCCCAAGGCTCATTATTCGTGGCTTCTCGGACCTAGCGGGTATAAGTGACGGGTCCCATACCAATCCACCCACCCCGCGACCAAAGAGCGGAGTGTTTCCGACATCGCAACGGGGGATGGCCGGGAGAGCAACCAACCTTGGCCTCCATTTCGGTGTAGTTCATAACAGCTGGTAGATTCAGAAGTATTAGCGGAATCACGATACAATCCCAAATATTCATCCGAACAAAGGAGCCTGAAGTGGAAGGGTTGTGCTCTTGAAGCCGGGCTTACCATTTTGGACCTTGCGCACTCCCGCCTTGAGATCATACAAGGTCAGGTTGCTGACCTGGTTCTTGAGAGAATCGAAATCCATGTTGTGTGATTGTGGAGAAGAAAAACTGGCGCTCAAGTACAATTCAATGGGCAAAAGACTGCGTAGTGCAGACGAAGGAGAAGAGAGGGTTAGCCTGAAGGATCAAGCAGCGGTGGCTTCGGTCATTGAAGGTCCAGCTGGCAGCCGCTGGTTCCAAGTTCACCTTCAACCCCGTCGGGCCCCAAGAGTCGAGTCACGTGCACCCCCTGAACGGACACTGGATCATAACATTATATCATTCTTATACCATACGTACAGTACATACATTGTTTCATTGAAATCATCACAGAGAAGGTAAGGTCTTGTATCAGAGTGTTCTGATGGCCAGCACGCAGAGAATGAAAGCATAGTCAAGCAAAAGATCGCTAATAGGCCCAACAATCAAGAGAGAAAGCTATCTAGCTGGGCGCTTTTGTCATTGGTAACATGTAATAAGCAAAAGAAAAATTGGGGATATCATCAAGAAGGAAAAATGCAGGGACTAAACAGGGCATATTCATAAGGGTACTGAAGGACAACAACCTCCCCAAGTAGCAACCCAAACACCTGAGGATTACTCATTATAGAATTTCCTCATAATCAGATGCAGAAACAGGTTGACGTTAACCCGCAGGTGTCCGTCGAAAAAGTCAAGGAACTGCATATTGTTGAACTGGGCCTGTAGCAGGTCGTCCAGCGGCACCTGAGCGTTGGCTCCCGGCACCATCATTGGGCCACTGCTTCCATCGAGTGTGAAGACGCCGACTTCATTACTCGAGATGGTGAGATCAACTCGATCCCACTGGCGCTCATTGTAGCCCTTCCAGTAAACGAGGACTCCCTTGTCGGCCAGGTTCCGTGCCGAGTATTTGTACGACCCAAATTTGAACACCTTGCCGGTTTTTTGTAGCTCGCGCTGGTGGTCCCATTGTTTGGTGAAGGGCATGAGGAACCTCTTCTTGCCCTTCTTGTTTTGCAACGTCATCATCGCCTGCTCAATGTAATCGTTGTATGTCTTGAGCTGCTGATCTAACCAGACAGCTTGGTCGTTCAGGCGTGTGAGTGTCATTCGGGCACTTTCGAGTTCGCGCTGGCGTTGGATTCTTCGGCGGTGTTTCGTCCGAATGTCGATAGCGATGGCATTCAAGAGATCCTGGTAGTGATTGTTGCGACTGATCTTTCCGGCGCGTTCAAGCTGCAGAATGTTCTCCAGGGCCGTGCGCTTCAGTTCCGAGTAGCTCATGGATGCAATGTCCACCAGACTGTTGGCTTCAGAGTATGCACTTCGCTGGGTGTTGTGCGCATTCAACTCGTCTCGTACAAACGTCATCCATTTCTCCTCATCTTCCACCGTTGGCGGCGCCACCATGATCTCCATCAGGTTCGCCCCTGATTGTACGCGAATAATATAGAGCACACATCTCTTCGTCTCCATGAACAGAGCCTTGACATTGGCTTCAGGGTCTATGAAGGTCTGTTAGTATTTGTTGCGAGATAAATAGGATTTTTCTTGTCTCACCTTCAACTTGCGCGAGCTTGGGGTTCAATGTCAAGTTGATCTCCGAAGAGTTGACACTCATCAACTCGCTTTCGTTGGATTTGACGTTACCCAAGTCCCGAATAACTTCTTTAAGAATGTCGTCTGGGTTGGCACAGATGTTGTGGATATTGGAAGCCACAAGCTGGTGAATAGAGAAAATATCGGACATCTTGATGTATAGAGTAGGTTTGGTCTTGGCGTAGAGGTCGTTGAATTCATCAATGTCAAAGTAGCTCTCGGCGTCTTGCGTGGAAATCACTGTAGGATGGTTAGCCTCGAATTCAGGTAGTTCGCGTCATTTAACTCACTATCACCCCAGATTTGCCCCAACCTTTGGATAGATTCCGCAATATAGGTATTCAGAGGCTGAAGGTACACGTTCTCTGCACCAAAAAGTCTTCCAGACGACACTTGGGCGACCACCTTGGCAATCTCCGACAAGTTGCGCTTTTGTTCCTGGGTCAACCCCCGGTCCACTACTCCGTACTTTTCAGGCTCAACAATGGCAGGCTGGAAATAATTTCTCCACACCCAATGGCCAACAGATTGAAGAATAAATCCGGGATCCTCGTTGGTGAATCGAGCGAGGAGGCTCTCGTACATCTGCTTTGCGATATACCGGATTCCGAAAGGCATGCGGTACAGGAGCTCCTCCAATGCGGAGAAGAATTGGTCGGCAATATCCCTGAGGTCCTGCAAATGCTGAATAAAAGTAGCTCTTGTCTCGGGATCGCGGATTGCCTCTTCTTTGGGAATATCGAGTCGGCGTCGACTGCGCTTCCCAGTGCGGAGCTCTTCGTTGTTGATGGCGGATCGGTAAATCTGCATTGGGTCGCTCTCCAGGTCAAGCTCGGGGTTATCGATGATATTATCCTTCACAGTGGTGCTGAGGACGTCCCGCATGAACTTGCGGTCTCGAGGGGATTTGATGTATGAAGCAAAGAGTTTGGTCCAGAAAGAGTTGCAACGGAGATATTCGGCGAGGGAACCAAAGCTCTCAATTTCTTCACGAGCGGAACGAGCTAGCAGTTTGATGAGATAGTACTCCTCACGCCTCTTTTGAGAATATCCAAAGAGACCCATCATCAAATGCCGGATCCTCTCATACTCTTTCTCTGGAGTGTTCACTTCACGCAGGCGCCGGAAAAGCTTGGCAAGGTACTGAGATTGGGTCTGAAGGAGGAAGAAGAAAACTTGATACTGCTCCAATTTCCTTCTTGAGGTTTTGTTCAAGGCCTTCAGATCGAACGGGTCCTTTGACGAAATCTCCGTGTTGGACAAAAGATTTCCCACATGACCGCCAAAGTGCTTCTGGTGCTTAACGACTTCATCGAGTGTGATCTTGTTCTTCACAAGGAGGGCAATCTTGATGTCCAGCTGACTGATATACTGCTCGGCCAGTTCGTTCTGCCGGACTTGCTGGACCACCTGTTTCCTGGTCCTCTCCGACTCAATCTCTTCGTCAAAGTCGAATTCGCTGTCGTTGAGCAAGTGCACAAATCCTTTCACGGTGCCCACGGGAGGGTTCTTGCCGCTGGTCAGACTCTTATACGCCTGGCCCTGGATTCTGCCGCGCACGAAACTTTGCGCCTTGATCACCTTCTCCATATTCTCCTGGTAGTAACGACGCTTTTCCTCGAACTTTAGTCTGACCATGTGGCCTCGAATATGAGACTGAAGATCGGTAATGACATCGTCTTCAGCTGCAAGCTCAGCCAACGTCTGGCCAACGTCGACGCGAACTATCATGGCTCTGATATGTGCTTGTAGTTGACTGATCTCCTCATCGCAGTCATCAAGCTCTTCTAAGATACCACCGACCTGGATTCGAAGCACAGCGGCCCGGGCAAGCGACTGGAGTTCTATAATGGCAGGCTCTTGCTGTTGCAGCAGCTCTGAATCGTGCTCCAGACGCTTTCTCAAAATCACGCCACGAGCCATGGATTGGACTTCCAAAATTGAGTCGCTTTCTCGCGCGAGGGCGTCTCTTTGGGAATCCAAAAAAGATCGCGTGGACGTCGCCCGAGCAATGCTCTGAAGGTCAATAACCGAGGAAGTGTGTTGAGTGAGTTCTTTGCGGAGGGAGTCAAGGTCTTTTCTTAGAGTTCCTCCACGGATGAGAGATTGGAGAGTCGTAAACCTATGCTCCTCTTTGACGAGAGAGTCCAACAGAGCGGTCTGTGCTTTTCTAGCCGCAAAGGCACGAGCGTGAGCTTGGATGGAGATCACAGACGGGGTCTCCGCATCGAGCAAAGAGTGTGTATGCGCGGTATCTCGGCGAACGATCATTCCTCTGATAGCCGCCTGGATGATGTCCGCACTGCTTTCAGTCTGCAAGATCTCCTCTTCCTGAGCGGTCAGACTGTGCCGAAGCAGTGCGCCGCGAATGACAGCTTGCAGTTTTTGGATTTCGCACGCCGCATCTCGCGTATCTTCGTACTGCTTCGAGACCTGTGACCGTGCTAAAGCTCCTCGGATAGCGGCTTGAAGCAGCCGCACGTTGTCTTCCGAGTCCTTGGTCGCATCATAGAGGTCGTAGACGGCCCGGCGCTGGAGGGCTCCTCTTAGAGCCGCTTGGATCTGCTTGATCCCTGACTCCTGTTTTCGTAATTGGCTCTGGAGATAGTCGGTCTGCACTCTCGCTCTCGAGCCCCGAATAGCGCTTTGCAGTTTGAGAATATCATGTTCAAGTGCTTGGTAGTTCTGTTTAGTGTTCCTTTGTCGGTGTCGGGCGATAAACCCGCGGCAGAGTGCTTGGAGATTGACCGCAAACATGCGCATATCCATGCGATATTGAACAACCTGTCTTGTCCAGTCACCTCGCAGCCTTGATTGAAGCTCGATGAGCAAAGGCTCAAAGTCCCACAACTCGTTCATCATGTTCCCCAACTTCAACCGTAAAATGGCACCTCTAAGTTGTGCTTGGAATTCCATTATGGAGCTCTCATTCTCGTGTAACTCACGCTGAATCCGATCCTCCTCAGACTCGGGCTCAGGCTCTGGTTCAGGCTCTGGCTCAGCGCCGAAATTGGCAGCCATTCCCGTAAAGCTGGGCATGCTGACGCCAGCTTTGTCAAGGCCTTTTTGGGTCTGTTCGAGCTCATGATGCTCGAACTCTAGCTGCCCAACGAGGTTGCCCATTCGGAAGTCCACCAGTCCTTTCTTGAATAGCAACCAGGAAAGTGCGTGAATACAGTGAATGACTTTGGGGATATTTTTCTTCTCATATAGATCGATGAGCTCAAATCTGAAAAGCTCCGGAAGTTCCACTTCATCGAGGAATCTGAAGAACAGTGCGATATTGTCGGAATGCCGATACTGCAGCCTTGCGTTTCGGAAAATACGCAAGTTTCGGGCAGGGTACATGGCCTGGACAACCTCTGCTAATGTGACTCCGTCACGCAGGGCTTCCTCGAGTTGCACAATGGGAGGGATTTGTTGCTGAATAATTTCCTCAATCCACTCTTTCGCTTCTCCAATGTGGCAGAGGTATTCGTATGCCTGCAAAAACTGCCGCTGTTTATCCATCCAATTTCCGGCAGCCCATGCCGATGCGGTAGGCCGCTGGACGGCTTTTGAGCCATGATTACCCGCCACCGAGCCAGATCTCTTCAACCGCCGTCGCCCTTGTAAACCAACCACGGAGGGAGTGTAAGTGTCGATAGAGAAGTCTTCCGTTGCACCAGACTTTGCAAACTTTGACAGTGCACGCAGGTGGCCAGTGGATGATTTCTGAAAAGTTTCCAAATCCGGGGCGGAGAGTGCCGCGGTCAAAGGAGGTGGATGAGGACTGGACAAGCTATGGGAGTGATGTGACCTGACATGAGGCCTTGTATGTGGCGACCCAGAGTGAGGGGAGCTAGGCTTCGGAGGTGTCATAATGTTGGGCGATTCCCTTTCCTTGAGTGGTTGGACGTCTTGACTGTGGCCATATCGACCCTCCGGTGTTCGTGGGCGATTCTCCTTCCAGACCTGAGGGTTGTCGAGTGTTTGGCTTCTTGAATGACGAAACGCGGCGTGTTTGCTTGACGGGGGGGAGGAGTTTGGGGCCTGAGGGAGTGGGCGCAATGAGCGGCGGACATTTTCGTATGCTGCGCCCGCATTTGACCATCCGGACGATGTTTCCCGCCCCATATTTTGGAGAGTATGTGTTGTGTTTACCTCGCTTTTGCCTCGCTTGTGTCCAAGTCCAGATACTGACCCGACGGATGCGTTTGAGGAGACTGTGCTGGTTCGACTCGGGGTTACAGAATTTGACGAGAGCGAGTAGACCGATGAGTTTGTGGATGCGGTAGAGCCATGGCGGAGAGGGCTCGGTGTTGGTGTCGGCAGGTCGGTCTGCGCACGACGCAGCGGAGCTGAATGCATTGACATCACTAGCGTCGGCTCGAGGACAGGAATGCGAAATGAAACGGAGGGCAAGCGAAGTCAGTTGGGCGCATTGCCGGCTTTGCAAAGGGAAGCTGTCTATCAACGGCCTGAGGCGCAAGTGTCGGCCGGAAAATGCTGATTCTTGGATGGAATGCGCATTCAAGGGAGCTGCATAGTAGCTCCTAGGTAACGGGAGGAACTGGGCGGGAACACTCGGTTGATGTAGAAACGGGGGTTCTCCGTCCCGCAGAGATGTCCAGATTCGAGCTCGCGAAAGGGGCGAGGGGAAAGAGAGACAAAAAAACGAAAAGAAAATATGTCGTCGAGTTGTTTCAGACTCTAATAGTTATTGTCTGCGATCAAGAAGGAAAGAAGAAGGAAGAGTCATCGCAAGTTGGAGGGGAAGGAGGAGAGAGTCCCCAGCCTCCTCACAAACAAATTTCCCGATCGGGCATGGTGGCTGGCTCGCTCTTATCGCCGATCCCAGCCACCGACACAGATCGCTTGAACACCCATGCTCAGAATCAGGTTATTCAAGGCGAGAGGACGAGGCGACTGGCTATTGGGCATCAGATTGATTTCGGCAAGATTTCTTGCGCGGCTAATAGACATGTTGGTACCCGGGTATAAGCGGTATGCACGAGGAGTCAGCTGTAGGAAGAAGCAGCTGAGATAAATCATGAGCCTCATATGGAGTATTTAGATCTCAGGTCCATCAACAACAGAAAAAGATCTAAGCACATCGACTCATGAGATCATCGACCAAATGTTTACTCGAAACTTGATCCGAAAATAAGATCCCTCCATCAACAGTGGGACCGATCTACGTGAGTAGCGCTTTGCTCCGTCCGTTAGTATTTGGCGGTTCCAGCAGTCCATATATATATTCGTGGGTTGATTTCCCCTCCAACATCCACCAAGCTTATCAAGGAGAAAAGCATTATCCTAACAAGCGATATACTACTACACACAATGGTTCCCTCATGTACGCCACATATCATCCCCTTTTCCTCGCACATTTGGGGTGTTTGACTTGGTTGGGCGGAGGGAACTGGCTTTGATATGCTGCGAGATACCGCAGACTGGTCAGCTCATTGAACAATTACCTAGGTAATTAGGTAAAGCCATTGGCTACATGAGAGGACGAAAGGCTGCTGCCCAGGAGCAAAACACGAAGGTACAGAAGGAGCGTGGAAGGGATCTATGGAAAGTCGAAGACCTCCTCTCGGATAGGTGGGACTCGATAAGGCTCGACAAGGCTCGACTTGGCACCCTGTGATCTTTTTCTTGGAATGCTCTCCCACCTCTCATCCATTTCTGAACAAACATCTCAACAACTCTAACAATTGGATTTATTGTCTTTACAATGGCCGGAGCAGAACCCACTTTTCTCTACAAACTTGTCCCCTCGTTGGCACCGGTCCGGGAGCCCATTCCAGAGCGACTTCCCGTCAGTCTCATTGACCAGCAGTCCGGATTTGTACACCTGTCGACAGCACTCCAAGTCCCAAATACACTCAAGCTCTTTTTCCAGGACGAGCCTCTTGTCTATGTGCTGAGGATTCCGTATGATCGCGTGGCCCAAGACATTGTGTTCGAGGACGTCACGGGCAGGCGCGGAACCCGGCCTGATGAGGGTCTATTTCCTGTGAGTATACATACGACTGCGGATATGACTCGCATAATGACGCGGATATAGCATCTCTACAATGGCCTCAAGCTTGGCAAGGACGAGATTGAGAGCATGAGCGTCTGGTCGAACGACGGTGGATGGGAGAAAGCGCTGAACGGGGCAAAGCCTTGGCTCCTGTATTGATTATGGTGATTCGCATTACTCTGCTGCTTCATCTGTTGATGCTACATAGACTTTTATTGCGTCCTAGATATCCCTGATTCTTCGCCTCGGAACTCCTGTTGCATAGCTTGAATTACTGATTGCGAGTGGAAAAGCAATTTCGAAACAGATATTTTCGGGCATCATAGCACGTTTGCATTCTTGCGGCCCTCCAACTCCTATATTCAATGAGGTCTACATTACCGCTTGTTGAGATAGGGTGACATGGTCACGCTACTCGCTGCTCGATGCACCCATGGACCTGCAGCATGCGGCATGGATAAGCTTTTATCGGAATAGGACTCCGCCTCATGATGAACTCGATTCTGTGATTATGCCGGCACTATTTTGTCCCCTGCCAGAAGAACCAACTATTGCGATCTTCTATAATCACTCTCTTCAGGCTACTGCAAAGTGATCCCACTGAAGCAGGCCGCCCGATTTCGCTGTGTCTCTGTCGCCTCAAACTGCGGCGGTGCTTGGTGGGGGGATTGGTCAGCGACTTCCCCTCACACACCGCCTGAAAAAAATCGTCTAGCGCCCAATCAAACCGGGCGAGACCTGGCGGAACTACGCCGGTTCCGGCACTAGCCTGTGCGGCGGAGGTACAGCTTTTTTATCTCTGCTCGAATTTTTTTTCCTCTTTTTTTCTTCTTTCTTTTCTTTGGGAAAGGAAGACCTTCTCCATCAACAGAACGTTTCTATCGTCGATCTGTTGATTACTCTCATTTGCCATCCATTCACATCTACGAGTTTTGATAGAGACCGTAGACTCTTTTTCTCCTCCAAAAATGCCGATTGCCAACGGTGACGCTCTGGGAAGAGCCATGAGCGCCGAGTTCCAGGACTACACCAAGGCTCTGGAGGTCCTGGAAAAGGACTACGCTCAGGATGGTCTGGACGTCGATACCCTGCTTGACTCTGACAAGCACGGTGCTCTGACCTACAATGACTTCCTCGTTCTACCGGGATATATCGGTAAGCCGCCGTGCTGAACCCTTGACTCACGTTCATAACTGAGATCGATGGCAAGGCTTCCCTGCCCACGACGTCACACTGGACACACCGGTCACCAAGCGTGTGACGCTGAAGGCCCCTCTCCTGTCCTCCCCCATGGACACTGTCACGGAACACAACATGGCCATCCACATGGCTCTCCTGGGTGGTCTCGGTGTCATCCACCACAACTGCTCTCCGGAAGACCAGGCCGAGATGGTGAGGAAGGTCAAGCGGTACGAGAACGGTTTCATTCTGGACCCGGTTGTGCTCTCTCCCAAGGCTACTGTCGGAGAGGCCAAGGAGCTCAAGGCCAAGTGGGGATTTGGCGGTTTCCCAGTTACTGGTAAGTTTTGACTTGTTTCCCCCACCGTTTCTCCCTCATTATGATGATTCCACTCTTTTCTATTATAACTTTCGTTCCACCGAAGCGGCGAGAGCTGTAGTGTAGAGAAACAGATCTTATCTGACTCTTGACTTGATTCCGATCAATATCTTCATTGCCATGGGTAACCCAGCTGCTAACGCGCTTTACTTGCAGAAAATGGAACTCTCCGCTCGAAGCTGGTTGGTATCGTCACCACCCGTGACATCCAATTCCACCCTAACCTCGATGACTCCGTCACTGCCATCATGTCCACCGACCTCGTCACAGCCCCTGCTGGCACCACACTCGCCGAAGCCAACGACGTGCTACGCAGCTCAAAGAAGGGCAAGCTGCCAATCGTCGATGAGAATGGCAACCTCGTCTCGCTTCTCTCCCGCAGCGACTTGATGAAGAACCTGCACTACCCTCTGGCCTCCAAGCTCCCCGCCTCCAAGCAGCTGATCTGTGCCGCCGCCATCGGCACCCGTGAGGAGGACAAGTACAGACTGAAGCTCCTCGTCGAGGCCGGTCTCGACATTGTCATCCTCGACAGCAGCCAAGGCAACAGCATGTACCAGATCGAAATGATCAAGTTCGTCAAGAAGACCTACCCTGAGATCGACGTCATTGGCGGAAACGTCGTGACGCGCGACCAGGCCGCGGCCCTGATTGCTGCCGGTGTCGATGGCCTGAGAATTGGCATGGGTAGCGGCAGCGCCTGTATCACACAGGAAGTCATGGCCGTCGGCCGCCCCCAGGCCCTCTCCGTCCGCCGCGTTTCCCACTTCGCCGCCCGCTTCGGCGTCCCTTGTATCGCCGACGGCGGTATTCAGAACATCGGCCACATCGTCAAGGGTCTCGCGATGGGTGCCTCAACCGTCATGATGGGTGGTCTCCTCGCCGGTACCACCGAGTCTCCCGGTGAGTACTTTGTCAGCAGCGAGGGCCAGCTCGTCAAGGCCTACCGTGGTATGGGCAGTATCGCCGCCATGGAGGACCGCAAGGCCGCTGGCGGCAAGACGGACAACAAGGCCAGCAATGCCGGTACCGCCCGCTACTTCTCCGAGAAGAGCAGCGTCCTTGTTGCCCAGGGTGTCTCTGGTTCCGTCCTGGACCGCGGCTCCGTCACCAAGTTCATTCCCTACCTCGTCACTGGTATCCAGCACTCTCTCCAGGACATCGGTGTGCCCAGTCTACAGGCTCTCCACGACGGTGTGAACAAGGGTACCGTCCGATTTGAGGTGCGCAGCGCTAGCGCCATGGCCGAGGGTAACGTCCACGGCCTGCACAGCTACGACAAGAAGCTTTACTCCTAGTGGTGATAGCTTGGAGTAACTAATAATTCTGTTTCTTGTTAATGCTTCCTCTTTCGACTTGATTGATCCACGACGATATGTTTTTCTCATGAAAAAAAGTACTGGCATGAGGTATATAGGAGTTTGACTGGAATGAGATCTCAATGTTTAAGACTTGGTTCAACCATCAGAGTCGAGACTTGTCTATTTTGCTTCGTAGAACTAGAGCGTATTACTTTCTATATAATCACTATAATCACAACCACAACTCTCCACCCCATGACCATCACGCCTCACTTCCAACCTCAACAACCAACCCTCCCTGCCCCCTCCCCCTCCTCGCCCGATTCCACCTATCCAGCAAAACCGAATCAAACGCCCACCACCACCGCCGAAAAACCACGTTCCCAATCTCCCACGCCCCCACCTCAAACACGTCGTCTCCGCGAACCCGCACCCCTTCCCCGCTCTCATCCTCCATGTCGTACGCGAGGTGCATGAGGCTCATGGGGTCTTGCGCCGCCTCGGGACGCAGTTCGACGGGGAGGTTGAAGATCTGGATTAGTTTGTCGCGTGTGCTGGGCCACGGGAGGATGTCGAGGAGCGGGTGGTGTGGGAGGAGGAGTTGTGTTGGGGTTGGGCGGAGGTGGGCTGGGAGGGACTGGGGGTCGATTTGGGTGGCTTGAGCGTGGGTGGGAGGTGGAGGGGTTGATGCTGATGCTGATGCCGAAGGAGATGATGAGGAAGAAGAGGAGGATGTCAGAGATGGAGGGGAGAGTGAAAGGCTGACGGAATTCTGGCTCTGAGATCTATAGAATGGGCTTGTGGCTGTGAGGTCCCAGAGTAGGTGTGCGACGTTAAGGCGGAGAGCGACCTTCACTGCGGCGTTGAGGAGCCTGAGAGAGGGGATTTCCAGCGTGTGGTCGTCAGGGAATGTAAAGGTCGAGGACTGGTATGTCTGCAGCTGGTCGGAGAGGTTCAAGGGTGCATTGATAGCGGTAGAGTGTGGGGTAGGCCAGAACATGAGTTGGTTTGGGTCTGTTGGGTTCAGGGCTTCAGAAAACTGAGCCGTCGACGACGATAGATATGCAAAGGGGTCATCGTTCGCTAGTATTTGGGGCATTGCAAAAGCCTGTGATGGATCCGGCGTCGATATCATTGAAAGGAATGTTGGGGAGGGTGCTATATCGGGGACAGCGAGGTCCAGATCATTCAAGATGGCCGGATCAAACACCGTCTCGGACGAATCTAGACCGTCAGGTAAAGGCTGCAGGGTCTCTGTCAGGATTATTTGAGGATTCGTAGTCGAGTCCGCGGCCTTCCCCTCCGCAGCCTTTGCTTGCTTCTCAACCTGCGCCTGGAGACTCTGCAGGCGATCCTTCTTTCGCTTACCTACGCTCAGACGTATTAGCGTGAATGACATAGAAGACAAGAGCAGAAGAGGATTACGCACGATACCGCCGCTGCGCCAGCACATTCAAGACCCTTTTCCTCTCGGCCGCGTCCGTTATGTCTGGGACAGCCATGTCCCCGCTTCCACGCTTAGCCGGCATTACGGCGGAGTTATGTTTGAAATAGAGGGGTAGATAGGGGCCAAATAGTATGCGTAAACGTTGAACCGGACTAAAATCCGTAAATTGAAGAGGAAAAGTCGATATGGGCTCGTTGTCGAGGGAAAGTGCTGTCAGGGCGAGAGCATAACGTTATGTTCCCCGCGAGCCTCACGCTTGGGCGAATACGAGGTCAGCGGGGATCTTAAGTATGCGCCCTCACGATGACATGGCGTCTGGATGGTTATCGGGCCCAAGCCCCGAATACGAGCTTTGTTTCATTGGCAGCTGCAACCCAGGCTTGTCCATTAAGCTGCAAGGGTCCTACGCGAGACGGTCATGGCAGTCTCGTTATGCGATGGTGAGGCTCTTGAATTAACGTTCCCGAGGGGCGAAGGAGAGCGAGCACGTTGTATAAAGGCCACTGAATTCACCAGGGAAAAAAAAAGACATTTAAACTCAAACATCTTGTTCCCAATACAACAAGCAATAACTGCTCTCATCTTTGAAGTTAGACCAATCCTACCCCTTATCTTAGCCCTAAGTCACTCTGAACAATGTCGGCCCCCACTCCCACCAACTACTCGATGTACTCTATCGTCGGCGCATACGGCATCGGCCTGATTCCGCATGGCTATTACTTCGTCAAGATGATGGCCAACGCAAAGGGTCTTGCCACGAACATCCTGTACGATCTTCCTCTACCCCTCTCCTGCTCGAGCCCAGAGACAAGCAATAGCTAACCACCCCCAGTCCCCGCGAAAACCTTGCAACCCTCAAAGGCAAAGTTAGCGACAAGGTCTGGACACAACTCGCCAAGGCGCGTGGCGCCCATCTCAATGCTATGGAGAACTTGCCTCTTTTCGCTGTTGCCATGGTACGCCACTCCACCCGGCATCACACATAATTTCTTGCGCCTTCTCCTTGCTTTCCCTTCCCCTCATTGATATCGAAATGTGCTGTATATTGACGAGAGAGTCTAGCTCGCCGGAAACGTCGCGAAGATCCCCACAAGCGAACTCAACGTTCTTTCTCTAGAGTACCTCGGCGTTCGTCTGCTTTACATGGCGACGTACATGGGTGCGCGCTCAGAGGCGATCAGTTATCTGCGGACGGGGCTGTGGGCGTGGAGTGTTTCACTCCCCATCATGGCGCTGGTGAAGGCGGGGAAGGCGTTTAATGAACTTGACTAGATGAGAAGGGACTGCGCTTGACGTCTCGGCCAGAAAGTTGGATAGATATTTTGGAAGTCATTGTATATTTACTATGTGTTGCTTTTATGTGTGAATATGACTGGCATAATTTTGTTCATTCCATCGTCGTCTGAGAAGATGCACGACGGGGATATCTACAATGGGAAAATAGTGGGAAGAAGTGATGAATACGATCGAAGAAGATGAAGCTATTTACATGGTACACCCACAAGCCGTCAAGCCCAATGCGTCATCGCCCCCATGAGTTATATGTATGAGAGAAGCTATTAGTAGCCATCCGCACCAGCAGTTAAGGGAAGGAAGGAAAGTAGGATCACTCACTCCCTCTCGGGGTACCAAAAATGTTCCCAGGCCCGACCCTACCACCCACCAAGGCCTGAAGGTGTCGTTCGAAAGGGGTTTCGGAGGGAAGCGTCGGAGAGCGAGCGTATCAGTACCTGAAAGAAAAAACCAAGGTGTCAGTAAGGAAAGAGAAAAGTTGCAAGTCGTGATCTCAAGTTCAGGCATCGGTCCGAGTAAAATGATCGAGGCCCTAAGTGAGAAGGGGAGTTTAGCATGGTCACGAAATCCCAGAAGAAACAAAGCAGAAAAGCGGCAGTGAAAAAAAGGAAAGCTCGAGTAAGAGACAGAGACTTGGTGCATTGGTGAGCCAAAGCTCCAAATAAAACGGTAGTGTAGGTCAGTCCAAAGTGCCAGAAGAGAAAGCAGCCGCAAGAGGTGGAAAGAGCATGCTGAAGAAAAGGGTATCCCAAGCCCAACCCGCCGCCCTCCAAGGCCTGGAAATGTTGGATCAGCAGAGCACCTAGCGATAGTTAGCGTAGTTCGAGGAGGCCATAAAGAAAGTCGAAGTAAGAGGCAGAAAAGGAGCGTGGTGAGCAAAAGCCCTAAGCTGGAGCCGCAACTCCGACGAGGCCGCCACGTTGGTGGGAGAAAAGAAGAAGAAGAAAAAGGGAGGAAAGAGAAAATGGGATCGCTTAAGAAGTCCTTGCAGAGAAATGCAGAGAAAACTCTGTGTTGATGCAAAATCACTCAAAACATCCACCAAGAAAACATGAACACATTCACTACAGCCTGAATTGCCTCTGGTTCTTTAGGGTTGGAGTCTCATTGGTTGACTAGGGCAACGCTCGCCTTCATCTACCTAGGTACCTGGCAGAGACGGTAGCAGGGCTTTTGCGAAGGGCTTGCCATTTGGCCTGCTGCAGCATTCGCTGAGGAGAGAAGAAGCGAAGGCACCTGTGCCTTGAGGTTGCGTGGAACGAAGAACAGACGGGAATTCCATAATAATCCTGAGAGGACTAGAGGCAAATTAGCGGTCAGGGGAGAGAACAGCTTTTTTACAATAACTCGGGATGTCACATAGATTACCTAGGTAGGCTCTCTACACTGCTGCCTCACAGACTGGGCTTTCTTCATATCTTTCAAAGTTGTCCATAACTTCTGCTGAATGAGAACGTTTGCTGGCAACTGTCTCGAGCGCAGCTTGACATGATATCTTCAGCTTGGAGACGAAGTCTTGCAGGATTATAACAAAACCTCACCCTTGCAAGGAACAGGGCAACGCCGACTTTCTCCGACCTGGTCCCATGCGCGGCCGCCAGATTGGTCTTCTTTAGGTGTTGAACTGTCGCTCACAAGGAGTTGAATATCCAGCGAATCGGACCGTTTAACGCCCCATATATTCAAATGCTAACCTCAAATAACACAAAGTCAAAAGGTGTATGAAGGGATGCTCATGGAGAGACAGCAGGGCTGGTCTCTAATTTCAAGCTAATACATTCTCCCAGAATATGTGTTTTAATCTTACTAAAGTAATAGTGCAATTTGTTCTTGCAATGTAGATGCCTCATGTTTAGGAATAACTACGTGTTGCTAGGCATGTCTGGGTAGCTTCATCATTTACTCAGTGTGCGTTGTGCCTGACATGCGCTTGGTTCCAAATTCAGCTCCTGTGACACTCAGACAACTCACCTAGTCGAGTTCAAAATGCCCACCCTAAGGATATTTTGTAAAGAAGCCTTTCGTTTACAGTCTGGCTACTTGATAAGCTCGCCGTTCTTTCAGTTGCAATTGGTCTTGAAGATGCAGATGGCAATTTCACAAGGCAAAACCTCAGTCTCGTCCTCTATGGTCCCATTTTGCATAGTATTGGCAGATTACTAGGACTTCATCGCTTGAGGTAGCCTCCCACCAGCCAGGCCTCTCTTTATCCCCTTTATAAACGACCTTCAAAAGACCATGGGAAGCTAAAATTTCAACCAACAACACTGCAGAATCTGCATACAGACAGCAAAGATCAGACTTGGGAGAGTTTGTGGTTTTCTCCGCCCACTCGGTTGCACGCATTTGACACGCACAGCCATTTCCAAGCCTGGTGTATCCATGCAGTGCCAGCCAACCCATAACTTGCCTCACAAAAATTTTTCCTGCGGTTGATAAATTTGCAAGGCCAGTACATGTTCTGGCTTGAAATGTTTCTAGTGACCTTCTAGGTCTGCTGTCTTTGAGGACGTTCACTTCCCCTGCAATTATGGAATCTATGAGCAAATCTAGTATCCTTCCTGCTTGGCAGAAACTACGGATATCAATCATTTGGACTAGCCCTTGAAAGGGTATTCCACGATTGTGTACGCTGGCCAATTGGGCCCACCATATCAACGCATCTGTGACACTATAACCATCTCCTCCCACTGCTGCTAAGTTCATATGAGGCACATGGTGGCACAGGGGCAAACGCATGATCAGAAACGAAAATAGCGCTAGAAGAGAAGACATGCCAGAGGGCTCGGTATAAATACCTGGAACAGTACAGGTGGTACCGCCACTACCAGCTTACTGCTCTGGCGCGGACTGTTACTCTGACATGAAATGGTTATCAGACGTACCTGGGTTCAGCTATTTCCTTCCAAACCCACCCTCACATCCGCCAACCTCCCTCCTCAACCCGACAAAGCCGTCATCATCACAGGCAGCACCTCGGGTATAGGGCATGAGCTTTCGCGTATTCTTTCCAATGCCGGCGCCACGGTGTACATGGCCGCGCGCAATGAAACCAAGGCCAAAACAGCAATCGAGAGCATCACCGCCAGCAAGATGAAACCAAACACAGTTGGCAAACTATTTTTCCTCCATGTCGACCTTTCCGACCTCCGCACTATCAAGCCTTTTGTCGACTCCTTCCTCGCTCTGGAATCCCGCCTCGACCTGCTATTCAGCAATGCTGGCTGCTCTCGCAGCGCAGCGCTCAGGGCCTGGAGCCTCATTTGGGCATTAACTGCGCAGCCCCATACCTCCTTACCCAGCTCCTCGCGCCCACCTTGGTCTCCACCGCCAAAAGTCTGGCAACCGCGTCAAACAGCGTGCGAGTAATATGGTCCAGCGGCATGAGTCGACGCTTATGCCCCAAAATACGGTAAATATGAACCTCAGTTACGCCCTCAGCAAGACCGGTAACTGGTTCTTAGCCTCTCAGTTGGCTAAGCAGCTAGGTGGCCAGGGGGTCGTGAGCATTACACAGAGTCCGGGGCTCACCGCTACGCCAATGTACGATACCATGCCGCGAGTTTTTGCTTGGATATTTCGGCCTTTTCGATACCCGCCTAGTACTGGAGTCAACGGTTTGTTGTGGGCGAGATTCGACGAGAGTATAACGGTGGAGGATGGTGGGAAGCTTGCCCTTCCTTTTGATAGATGACATCCCTATCCCCGCAAGGATTCGCTAGAGGCAATGGAAGATAAGGGTGAGGGGGAGGAAAATTATACAGGGCGAGAAAATGGGAAGGCATTTGAGGAGAGGTGTGATGGCGTTACAAGAGAGTATCGTTGACTTCGCTGGCTTCGCTGCATATTGCTCCAGTCAACTGACGAGGTGTTGCTAGTATATCTATTGCTTAGTCTTCGAACCCCCATACTAAGTCTTTCCAAGATTCTAACCTTGCGGTGCGATATCGCTAGGTAAAGTGAAGAATCTACTGCGGAGTCTGCATGGCCTGATTTATTTGATATGTCCATACTCCAGCATAATAGCTCCCCAATGACTGCATAAAACCGAGAAGATCAGCTGTATACTCCTTGTGCTAGTCTAGGGACCCCGGTTAAACGCGGGGTAAAACCGAGGTTCCCCAGCGGTAGCCAAGGTTAACCTAGATTCCTCCAGCACGCGCGACGAATTGTGGACCAAATGGTCCCTGCTGTGTTTCTGTGCTCTCATTCACTAGTTAAGGGAAAGAGTCCTCTCATAACCGCCTCGGCTTCCTCTGACGGAGGACATGCGCCCAATTCCCCATGTGCGTCCACGCTCAGCCGCCCGGTTAATCCTCCAACAGCTGGAGCTTGTCCGAGGCCCTGTCAGCAGACTGTCTGCTACAAGTATACATCAACAAGCTTCACCAAACTTTCTTATCCGTATTACGCGATCCTGCTTCTATAGAGCGAGTTCGTCCACCACACAGTCACAATCATCCGCTCAGAAGATGCCGCCCAAGCAGAAGGGGCCGCCGGCCGATCCTCGGCCTAGTTCAAGGTGAGTTGTTGCGAAAATGGATATTTGGGAGTAGCGCGCGATGTGCTAGTTTCTGAATACCAATCCTACTCTTATTTTGAGCGGAAGAAGCTAATGCTCAGCAGCGTCGTCCTGGTTTCGCCAAAGAACGAAATCCTCCTCCTTCATCGCGTCAAGACATCCACATCATTTGCTTCAGCTCACGTCTTCCCCGGCGGAAACCTCTCGCTTCAAGACGGACGATGCCCGCCTCCTGGCGACCCAAAGCGGCATGAAGATGCGCCCTGGTACCGGAATGCCGCTCTCCGCGAGCTGTTTGAGGAGAGTGGCATCCTCGTCGCGAAGGATACGAGTTCCGGAAAGATGCTCGCAGTAAGAGAGGAAGAGCGCGAAAGGGGCCGACGGGAGATTCACCAGAAGAAAACAACTTTTACTGAATGGCTGAAAAAGCAAAATACGGCGGCTGTACCAGATATCGGTGAGATTGGTTCTATACTCCAGAAGAGCACCGCGCTGACAAGACATGCATCAAGATAATCTCATTCCCTTTACGCGATGGGTTACTCCAATAAACGTTCCAAAGCGTTACACCACACAGATGTATATCTACTTCTTGCCGCTACCACTTGAGTCTGAGAATTCATTACTCAACGAAATTCCGGCCGAGGGCGAACGTGAAGAAATTCAAATTCCCACCAGCGACGGAGGCGTCGAGATCTCCGAGGCCCAATTCCTGCCTGCCTCTGAATGGCTTCGGAAGGCTGGAAAAGGAGAGATTATCCTATTCCCGCCGCAGTTTGTCCTACTAAGCCTCGCGTCCCAATTCCTAGATAAGGAGCCTCGGACAGGGTCCCCGGATGAACTTCAGCGCAGGCGCACACAGCTTATCGACTTTGCGCATTCTGGCAGCCCACCATGGACCGAGAAGTGTATTTCGCCCAAGGTCGGCAAGTTTGTAGAGGATGGACGCGCGGTTATGTTGCTCGATCATCCTGGTCCAGAGTTGAAGGATACAGATCGCCGGGGAGAGTCCGAACGGGTTGTTCTCGTACGCTTCGAGGGTGGAGGCGCTCGCGATCTCAGTCTGGGTTGGAAGAAGGATATCTTTGCTGGAAAGAGGGCCAATATCTAGATAGAATTTCTCTATACATAGCCCTAGACACATAGTAACTCACCTTTAATCCAAGCACCCTCGACACCTTAATCTAGACACCTAAATCGTAAGGCATACACGCTATCGGGCCAAGGCAGAAATTTGTCGCACTAAAACCCTCGATAAAAATCACATGACCCACAAAGACCGCCCTGCCGAACTCGCGGCAAGCCAAAAGTTCGACAACGACCGACCAGTCCAACCGCCAGCGCACCTCCGTCTAATTCACCGTCCCGTCACCTCAACCAGACAACCGCCAAAATGGAGAACGAGAAGGGAGAAATCGTCGATCTGTACGTTACACCATTTTTTCTCTGCAACTGCCCTGGGTTTCGTGGCCTTGGAAGGACGAAGAAGGATAATTCGAGCTCGCTCGGAGGGAAGGCAGGACGGATATCGCAGAGAGAAGCCTCAATTGATACCTGGGCCGGGCTGTATTGAACTTTTCGCTCGATCTTCCGCTCCTCGCTCGTCTTTCACCTTGATCATCTGGACTTCGAGAATCGCAAACCCAGGGCGCAAGCACAAAAACCCACACGACACTAGCATACTAACAACTCTTCTTCTTGACAGCTACGTCCCCCGCAAGTGCAGCGCCACCAACCGCATCATCAAGGCCAACGACCACGCCTCCGTCCAGATCTCCATCGGCAAGGTTGACGAGAACGGCCGCTACACCGGCGAGAACCAGAGCTATGCTCTGTGCGGCTTCATCCGTGCCCGCGGCGAGAGCGACGACTCTCTGAACCGTCTCGCCCAGCGCGACGGCTACGTCCGCAACGTCTGGGCCGCCAACAGCCAGCGGTAAATCCGTTTCTTTTCTGATGAAAGAAAAAAAAAATGGGACAGACGGTGATAGGGGTTGGTAAGTTACTCCTCTCTGCATTTTCAGCATCATTGAGACCAAGTGCTAATCGGTTTATTCTGGTTTAGGAATGAAATGGGTGGTCACGATATGATGAACCGTCACTTGATGTGATCTTATCCTACGCCTGATACGATGTTCAGTTTAAGAGACTTCAATTAAAACTCGAAGATTCAATCCATTTCATTTCGTCCTCTATACATATTCCTTATCATATATTCCCATCTATTTGTTGCGTTTATATGGCCTGTCGTGCTGGAACATCTGTTTCGCTACGTCAAACTCGGCACTCGATACCTTCTCACCTCGAGGGCCGGATTGAATGTTCTCGTAACAATCATCTGCTCCTCTCCCATGAGCGAGGGGGTAGACTCGTAACCTCTTTTTTTCTCTTCGTGCCGAAGATTACTACATTGCCGCCTACTGAAGAGCCACTGTTGCAGAGACACGCGCTGGGGCACAGATACGGGTGGAACATGCCTTTCTTCTCATTTTGTCTGCTTGTTGGTACTGGTATTGAGATGCGTAGTATTGACGGGCTTGGCCATGCGCCGGCATTCTGGATAGAGGCCGACTGCAGCGCGGCTCATTCGCGTAGATACGAAAGAAAGAAACTCCTCGATTTATAAACTGTGGTAATTGGCATAGTCACATTAAATGGTTTGAATGGGTATTTCATGATATATTCTTTTTTCAAAAGGTCTATATTCAACCATGAAAGGAGGTATCGCCAACCGCAACCAACACCGCTTTCTTCTATTCCACGTTTTCCATTTATTCCTTTTCTAACCTGACAGCCGGGTTTGTCTCGATGAAGTTGAGATCCACCTTGTGGCCGAGGAGTTCTCGAATATTGCTCACAGCGTATCTATAGTGAACGATTAGCACAAAGTGTAGAGAAAATAAAGCGCAACGGAAAACTCACTTGATCATGGTCGGTCTCTCCAGACTCAGACCCCATCCGTAAACTTGCATGTTCTTGGGCAAGCCCATGGGCTCCAGCATCTCCGGTCGGAACATACCGCTATTTCCGATTTCCACCCACTTGCCGAGTCCCTCGTGGTAACCGAAGATCTCCATACTAGGCTCGGTGTAGGGGTTGTATGCGGGCTTGAAGCGCAGCTGGTGGATGCCCATCTTTGCGAAGAAAACCTCCATGAAACCGATCAGGCCACCCAGAGTGAGGCCAAAGTCGGCAATGACACCCTCGATTTGGTGGAACTCGGCCAAGTGAGTGGCATCAACAGCCTCGTTACGGAAGACACGATCGATACTGAAGTACCTAGCGGGCCGTGGGTTGGCGGCGAGCTTGTGAAGCATGTACGTCGAAACCGACGTGGTGTGTGTACGGAGGACAAGTCGCAACGACTCCTCAGCGCTCCATGGGTAGCGGTAACCAATTGACCCATACTTTCCGTTTTCGTGGACTTGACGAACGTTTTCCCAATACTCCTTGTAGTCGAGCTTCTTCTCCACATTCGTGGACTGGAGCGCCCTCTTAGGGACATGGGGATCATTTTCGGGGTCTTCGCGAGGAGGATCGGCCGTGGGAGGGTCGGAGATGTAGAAGGTATCTTGAAGATCACGGGCGGGGTGTTGTTGGGGCACGTAGAGCGCATCGAAGTTCCAGAAGCCGGTTTCAACAAAGCGGTTGGTCGGCATCTCCTCGAAACCCATCTCGAAGAAAATGCTCCGGAATTCCTGCTTCACCTTGTTGAGGGGGTGCAGAGCGCCAGAGGGAGTAGGGGCACCCTTGGCTTTGAAGTTGTAAGGCTTGAAGTGGGCGGTCTTCCACGATCCATTCTGCAGCATCTCCGCTGTCAAGTCTGTCTCCTCCTTGACGAACTCATTGGCGTACTTGGGGCCCTTGGAGATCTTGAAGCTGATGGCCTTCTGAATGGTGACCAGCTTCCGGCGCTTAAGGTCAGTAAGCGTCTTCTTATCCGCAACGTTCTGCGTCTGCTTGACGTTTAACAGCTGGGCTTGAGTTTCGTCGACGATCTTATCGGTGGTTGCCCGCAAGGTGTCCTTGTCCTTCTTGATCCACCCCCTCTTGAAGGCATTTCCCTGTCCAATGCTGGCATTATCCTTTCCGACAATCCCAGGCAAGTCGCTAATTTTCAAGCCCTCAACGGCAGCAACAACAGCCTCAAAGACCTTTGCTTCATGACTACCATTGGCCACAATATCCTCTCCTTCCTTTGTCAAGACGACCACCTCTTTATCAATTGTTTCATACTCGACCATCTGCCGCGAACCGAGCCGATCGAGCGCACTTTTGACGCTTAGTGAGGGGGTGGAGGGGAAGACTTCGGTCGAGAGAATTGGCCCGTCAGACTTGGACAGGGCGTCCAGAGTGAGGTTCGTGAGGTCGGCCGCCATAGTTGTGATCGTATATCACGGTTCAAGGACCGGAAAGCAGGGGAAGTCGCGGAAGGTGTTGGCGGAAACTCGAACTGCACTCAAGATATTCCTTGACTCAGATGTCCCGCCCACTTCTTTTTCGGGCCCTCATTGTTCTACGGCGGGGCAGCAGCACCAAGTGAGCGTTCACGTGACCGCTTATCTACCCCGCCATTTCTCTCTCGATATTGGCCATACCTTGTTAGGAACCAGCCTCGAATCCCCCGATAACTAGATCCTAAGGTTCTTGAGTTGTGTGTGAGGCCTTCATGTTTCTACCATGTGTATATTACCATCTTAGATCAAATGGAACCTTTACCACCCGCAATCCCAATTTCATCCGTGGCAATACATCTAGTATGCGCCGCGGACAAGGGAAACCGATTCAGGGCGCAGCATGCTATTGCGCAATCGATGGAGGAGGTGGATTTAGAACAGTACGCCCCATCATAATATGGCGACATATGATCGGAGCCCCTGCGAAGATCTACCAACCCGGCTGATGAGGGGTAGAGTTTCCCCTCTCCATCTTACAACTCTCATGAACCTCATCATATAGACTACTCCAAGACCTCTTACACACTATGTCTCTAGGGCGCACCTTCAAGCTCAATTCGGGTTATGACATTCCCGCAGTCGGCTTGGGTACATGGGTATGTTTATCAAGACATTCCTTAGATCATTGATCCTAACGGCATTAGCTCTCCAAAACAAACGAAGTTGAGAAAGCCGTTGAGACTGCCCTCCGCGTGGGCTATCGCCATATCGATGCCGCTGCTTGCTATCAAAACGAGGCCGAGGTCGGCAACGGTTGGAAGAAGTCTGGTGTGCCACGAGAGCAGATCTTTGTGAGCGCCTCCCTTTCGCCTTGATCTTATACCATGTACTAAGATGGGTCTATTCGAAAAGATAACCAGCAAACTGTGGAACACTCATCATCATCCCGATCATATTGATGAAGCACTTGACAAGACGCTGAAGGACCTTCAGACCGACTATCTTGACCTATACCTAGTGTGTTTGGTCCATGCCCTCTTTCGGACTCTAATTAACAGGCTTAGATCCACTGGCCCGTTGCGTTCGAGCATACGAACGAGACTCTTACACCCATTGATCCTGTAACCAAACGATTTCGTCTAGCAAATGTCCCAATAGCCGATACATGGAAAGTCTTAGAGAAACTCGTGGATGCGGGCAAGATCAGAAGCATTGGCGTCAGCAACTTCACCTCCGATAAGCTTGATGATCTTCTCAAAGTCGCCAGGATTCCGCCTGCTGTGAACCAGATTGAAGCCCACCCGTACCTCCAGCAACCTGAGCTTACACAGTACTCGAAGGATAAGAACATCCTGACTGTCGCCTACAGTCCATTGGGGAACAACATTTACGGTGTCGCTCGGTATGTCTTCTTATCTCCGTACGATCTAGAAAGGCGCAGTTGCCCATCTGATAGACTAAGGCGCTAAATATGGCAGTGTTGTCGATGATCCTCTCGTCATCGATATCGCCAACAAGCTCGGCAAAGACCCTGCAGCGGTGCTGATCTCCTGGGCCGTGCAGCGCGGTACGGTTGTCTTGCCAAAGAGCGTCACTCCCGCTCGAATTGAAAGCAACTTCCAAGGTATGCATCTTTAAACCAGTTCTATCTCTCCATAGTTCACTAATATTACCAGATTTTATCATTCCCGATGCCGAATTCGAAGCCCTAAACAGTCTCGACAGGAATCAGCGGTACAATTATCCCTTCCGCTGGGGTGTCGATGTGTTTGGAGAGCTGGGATCTGAAGAAGCAGAGCGCAGGGCAGAGGAGGATGCTGCGAAGAAGCGTGAGGCTGCCTAAGTTTGCACTTGTTCTCGAAGGTGCAGGTTCCTGCTCCCTACGCCCAAAGCTAGTGTAGCTAGAAAATTTAGGTTTAGACCTCTAAACTTACGAGGTATATGAGCTCTAGCTAGCGTATAGTGGATGTAGGCTCATTGATGGCCCTGATTAGGTTTTATTGCATGTATAGTTGGCGAAAGCGGTTAAGGGTTGTCCCCCCAACGGTATAGGGTTCCTTCGAATATATATTGTGGGACCATGGGAAGCAGCTCATTGACTTTTAACCGTACATATGAACCAAGAATTTATTTTAAGTACCAAAAACCAAACGTAGCTATTTGGTTTGATCCATAGTTTAACTTATTTACCCAAAGTAAAATGATGACAAGTAGTATAGTTTGGACTATAAACCCTGCTTCCACGCGAACGCGAACGCGAACCACCTCCCCTCTCATGCCCTCATGCCTCGACGAGATCTGATCAAGGACTCCAAACTTCCATCTGATTACATGTACACGAGTTTTATAAAAGCAACCCCGCGTGCTGATACTTTGTACAAATCTAAAATAATCACTCATCCCAAATTCGCTCTTAGCAACTCCGAAGCTTCATATCCCGCCGAGCCAGTAGCCATGCCATCAGATCGCAGCCACTCAACAAAGAAATCTCGCGCGAATTTCGGGATATCATCTCAAAAGCGTCAGTCTAGTCAGTCTGAAGCCAACACGTTGCCTTTCTCTTACTGCTTCTGCTTCGACCTGATCGCGTGCCCTGTCCAAGCTAACAGCTCCCCAGATAAACCGAAACCGCTCCCGTTAGTCGAGCGCACGAATGCACTATCTCTCGAGGAGTTTGTATCGTTATACATCCCATCCTCGGAACTGAGATTCCAGAAGGCAGCACGGAAGGAACAAGACTCTTCTACCTCGTCTCCTTCACGCCATGATGACGAATTCAAAGATGCTCCCACCAAAGCGGAGAACTTGCCTGCATCAAAGAAAGGGCCAGGTGCAAAGGAGAAATCAGATGCATCTACAGCTACACCTACGTGCACATATACACTCGACATTCACACAGCAGCAACGATCCATGTCGCCGACCTAGATGCATGTTTCGGTCTCATCGAGCTAACCTCCTCAGCCGCGTACAAGACGTCGAGTATGGGATGGTCACCAAAGGAAAAGAGAAAGGAGATGAAGCTACCGGATATGAAGTATATGATTTTACGACGGGCGGTGCTCGATGGCGATGCTGCTGCTGCTGCTGTTGCTGCTGGTGGTAGTTATGAGAGTGAGGGCTCGGACTTTGCAGGCTTTCTCGAATACATGGTTACGTACGAAGACGGGTATGAAGTGCTCTACTGCTACGAGATCCATCTTACGCCGGAGGTGCAGGGGCAAGGGCTGGGGGAGGAGCTGATGGCGCGGTTTGAGCGGGTGGGAGCGCGCATTGGGCTTGAGAAGGCCATGTTGACGGTTTTCAAGTCGAATCGGCGCGCGATTATGTTCTATGAGAAAGTGGGGTATACGGAGGATGAAAGCTCGCCGCGGCCGCGGAAATTACGGAATGGGTCAGTCAAGGAGGCTGATTATATGATTATGTCCAAAAGTTTGCGTTAGTGGCTATCTAGATACTAGTAATAAGGAACATTGTGTGAAGGTTGAGTATATTTACAATTTACACCTGCTTGACGGTCTTGCCGCGCTTGTCGGGGTTCTCTTGTTCCCATTCGTCGCGGAGGGCGGCGAAGATAGTATCCGCAATGATGAGCGAAAGACCCAAACTCCATACGAGAGTGATTGCGTAGAAGAAGTTGGCGTTTCCGGACCCGGCGTAAATCCAGAGGTGGTAGAATGCGGGACCAAGTAATGAGGCGTAGAGAAGGGCTGAGACTGAGAAAAATGTGTAGCGCATCACTGGTAATGTTAGCGAAGGTTAAACCTTGCATAGATAAAGAGGAAAATAATCCTTACAAGGGAAGTAGTGTCGGTATAGCGGAAGAAGGGAAAAATATAGCGAGGCATCTGAAATGCTTGGATAGGGCTTGAAGACTGCAAAAATTCCCAGCAACGAGGTGACAACAAAGAGCGGCTGTCGGCGTAATCGTACAGTTAGACTGCCAGCATAGGCCGTTAGGTGAAGCCAAAAAACGCCGAGGAAGAAGTCGCGGAACGAGTCGAAGATCTCAATGAAGAAGTACCACCAAAGTCCAATGTTAGGAGTGAGATCCGGAACGAGAAGCTGGAAGCCGTAGGTCGCAGAGAGGAGCGTCGAAAAGTCACCGATGATCAATAGAGAGATTCCGAGAAGCCCGACGATGGTGGAAAGAAACACGGCAAGGTGTTTTATGACAAACAGAGCGGTCGATGGAGTGGTACCGGTATGCTCGGCCTGTCGATCGTAGCACAGAAGAACGAGAGGGATGAACAAAAGCGCGGGGTATATCGAGAAGTACGACGCGAGCCCCAATGCGAGCATTGAGTTGAGGGGCTGGCCTTGAACTGCCGCTGAAAGGGCATATAGAATTCCGGTCGAAGTAAATACTCCGGTTGATCGACCGAGGCAGGTTGCGATGGTGAATGGGTTAAACAGAAACCTATTCGCATCAGCATAATCCGACCCTTTCGTGTTCGCGGTATCTCCTACCATGCGGCGACTACAGACCCATCCCATTTGATGTCTTTCCTAATTGACGAGTATAACCTCCCCGACACGGCCTGAGCGGAATCGGAGATGGTGACCAGAGCCTTCGCATTGAGTAGATCAACAAGGGAGTAGAACAGTGCAGTCGGAAGCGGATACTCCTGAGCGTTCGGCAGCAGCGAGAAGATCGGGAGTAGAAGCGGTGCCTTGGCACATCATACATTAGCAGGGCTTGTTCTGGTGTGCTTGATCTGCGCAACCTACTTGATGAAAGACTCCTCCGTCGTAGGGTGACACGTTGCGATTGTAGAGAAATAGACCTTCCTGGACTACATGTGTTATTAGCCAATTGAGGTTCGCTCAAAGCATAATGAGCGACTCACGTCTCTTGAAGCTGGTTACTGGCGTCGACACCTCCACTCGTCCTGTCAGTAAGTCAGGCAGGGAGGGAAACAAGAGCAAAAGCAAGAGTCGGAGGGCAAGTGCGCCACCAAACACAGCAGCCTTCCTGCGATCGACAGGCATGATGACTTCGACCGACCGTCAAGGAAAAGCAATGCAGCGCAAGAATGGCCCCTTGGATGAGGCTGCTCAATGCGTGGAGCAAGTTAATCGGTCGCTCCACCTGGCCGTTAACTGTTCTCACGTGCCAAGCCTCCGCGGCCTGCGGTGCACAGGCCACCCGAGCTTTTCTCAGCGGGAAAAAAAGTTCAAATTTTTGGGTAGTCGAAACGGTTTTTCTTCCCATCTCTCGTCCATTCCACCATAACCGGCTGCATCATGGCGAAAATCAAGAAGAAGGGTACGCATCATTTGTAAAAGTCTGTCAAGCGTTTCATTCTCACTTACACCTCACAGGAACCTCTGGCCAGGCCAAAAACTATATCACCAGAACCCAGGCGGTGCGCAAACTTCAGATTTCCCTGCCGGATTTCCGTCGACTATGCATCTTCAAAGGTTCGTCGTTTTCCACCTCTAAGATTGAAGCGGATTGTGGTGAGAGCGACATTAACCCTCATTGATCGACAGGCATTTACCCTCGCGAGCCTCGGAGTAAGAAGAAGGCCTCCAAGTCAGCGACTCAAAACACAACCTTTTACTACACAAAGGATATTCAATACCTCCTGCACGAGCCGCTGCTGCGAAAGTTCCGTGACCAGAAAGCGCTTGCGAAGAAAATTGCTCGATCCCTTGGACGTGGAGAAGTCGGCGACGCAGCCCGTCTCGAGAAAAACCATGCGCCGAAACTTACCCTGGATCATGTCATCAAGGAGCGCTACCCTACATTTATTGACGCTCTGAGAGACCTTGATGATGCGCTTTCTCTCCTTTTCCTCTTCGCAAACCTGCCTTCCACCAACCATGTTCCGCCTAAGACCATTGCCCTCTGCCAGCGACTTTGCCACGAATTTCAACACTACCTGATCACCACCAACTCTCTTCGCAAATCTTTCCTTTCGATTAAGGGAATCTATTACCAGGCGACTATTCAAGGACAAGACATTATGTGGCTGGTTCCTTACCGCTTCGTGCAGCGAGTTAACGGGGACGTGGATTACCGAATCATGGCTACCTTTGTTGAGTTCTACACAACACTTCTAGGATTTGTCAACTTCCGATTGTATTCTTCTCTTGGACTTCGGTACCCGCCGAAATTCGACACTCGCAGTGACGAGAACGGAGCCGAACTTGCGGCGTTCACTCTCGAAGGACGCACCGTCGGAGACGCCCCGAAGGCCATTGAAGCTGGCAACAAACAATCGAGCAATGCCAACCAGGAGGTTTCCCGTGAGGTTCAAGACAAGGTCGACAAGGTGATCAAGAACGCTCAGCTGGACCAGGCCGGCGAACAGATTACCGAGACAACCGAAGAAGCAACAGACGCAATCGACAAGTTTGAGCCTACCGCTCCGGAAGCCGATACTCTTCCCCAACCCGATCTGAGTGGCGACCAGGCCGGCTCCCTCTTTGCACCCTTCACATTCTACATCTCCCGAGAGGCTCCCAAGGCGCCGCTCGAATTCATTCTCCGCGCCTTCGGCTGCAAGCGCATCGGTTGGGACACCGTTCTTGGAGACGGCGCCTTCACAAACAATGAAGCGGACCCCCGCATCACACATCAGATCGTGGATCGCCCTTCCCTGCCCGAGTCTTCCCTTCCCGCCATCCCTGCCGCCTCCGATAACGGTGCCGTGCAGAAAGTGAGACCTGGTACCCGTATCCCCGGTCGAACCTACGTCCAGCCTCAGTGGATCTGGGATTGCATCAACGAGGGAAAGCTCCTCCGCCCTGATCTTTACGCTCCCGGCGCCACACTCCCGCCCCATCTCAGCCCATGGGTTAAGCCCAAGAAGGGCGGCTACGACCCTCGCGCCAGCTTAGCCGAGCAGGAGGAGGAAGGCGAGGCCGAAGCAGCGGCTGAGGCGGAAGAGGAGAGCGATGAGGAGATGGCCGAGGCCACCGAGGACAAGGCAGCCCCCGCCGAATCCGAATCGGAGGAGGACGAGGATGAAGATGAGTCCGTTGACGGCGGCATGGACGTTGCCGGCACGGACGATGACAGCGAGAGCGATGAAGAGGAGGAAGCTGAAGCCGACTTTGGAGGGTTCGAGGACGCCGACGCCGGCTCCGAATCCGAAGACGAAGAGGAATCTGAGCGAACACAGCACCAGAAGGAACTCGAAGCTGAAGCTGCTGGTCTCCCCTTCTCCGGCGGTGATGCTTCAGCCACGAAGAAGAAGTCTCAGACAAAGAAGATTGCGTCCAAGAAGCGCCAAGAGGAAGAGGAGCTGGATAGACAGAAGATGATGATGAGCCGGAAGAAGAGGAAGTTGCTCGAGAAGATGATGTACTCGAACAAGAAGCAGGCTGAGGAGTCTGCCAAGCTGCGGTCGAAGCGCAGAAAACTTGAGAAGGGCGGAGGTAATTAGAGGAGGAGTGACGTGCATCATTAAAAGTTATCATACATATCCGTGACCGTGATACAATGATATCCATCGATTGTTCATTTGGAGATCGTCGGTAGTTTAGGCGTATTGATTCTTGTTTTCTGTCCATGTCTATAAGATAGTCTGCGCTGTTCTAGATAGAATGCAGTCCATATTTCCAAAAGTACTCCAGCTGCCGGACACTGCACAAGTAAATTACTGGTAACGCCAATAATGGCGCCAATTTCTTGGTAGAATGACCCAAAGCATGCCCTATAACTACCCCTCTTGTCAAAGGGCGCGTTCTGAATACGAGAATAATCCGCTGCGGTTCTGCTTCCCCACGAAGAAATCGTCATATATGAGGAGACGGACCACCCGCAGTTCCCTTTTCCAAGTATTTATGATCACAGTCAAGGTTAACCACGAAACAAGCATGAGATATGGCGAACAGCCCTGGAGTCGAGCAGAATTTGCCGCAAGTTGCTTTTGAAGACCACCTTGATACTTTAAAAGATGCAGTGGCTTGTGATAATTTGGCAAAGACCTGTCACAAACGATTCCAGAACGAAAACGACGATGTATATCTCAATGCGGCCATCATGTGTGCTCGAAGAGCGCTTGAGCTGAGTTCAGCTGAGGATCCGCGTTTCCATAGGTACTGTTTCCGCGTCGCCAATTATCTCAACTCGAGATATCGGCGATCGAAATCGCCTCCAGAAGATGACCTCGATGAAGCTCTTGAATGCTTGGAAATGGCAGCGGAGAGTACTGGGATTGTAAGCGAGCCAGCCCGCGAGAAAGCGAACCGATTGGGGGTCGCATTCAGTTGTCAGTTTCAACTGTATTTGGCGGGGCGAGACGATGCTTATCATGATGCACTCGACGCCTTCAAGGCTGTTTTCAAAGCATGCCTGTTGTGCGGTGACTGGAACAGGACGGCACGGGTACTTTATGATCTATGGACCCTCCAAATCACCAGATTCGACAAAGATTCGGAAAGAAACGCTGAACTCTTGGACCTTCCAATAGATTATGCCAATAAAGCAATCGAGGCAGCTGGCAAGACTGGAGAGAACTGGACACAGCTATTATCAAACAAGATGGCCTTTCTTGAAGAACGAGCAAGCCGCAACGAGGCGAGGAGGGAGGAAGACTATCGAGCCGCCATAGCCATATGCAGGATGCTGATGGATGGAAACGTTGGCTCAGAGGACGACCAAAACAAGGCCGCGAACAACCAGTCTTCGCTTGGACGCTTATACTTCCTACTCGGCGAGGTCACAGGATCTGCAGACGACTATCATGAAGCAACATACAATCTGCAACGGGCAAGCGAAGCCACGCCCAGAGATCGACCCCAGTGGAAGGCTCGTTATGACTTGTTCCAGGCGGCCTTGGAACAATTTGGGACTATGCTTGGTCGACCGCGGGGCCTCAACAGCATTATATACACACAGGAAAAGCTCGTTACCGAGCTACTGGCATCGGAGAAGATGGAAGACCAAGGGGAACCACAAGCGGAGGCGTTATACAAGCTGGCACAGCTGGAGCAGCTACGCTTCATCGAGCGCAACACTATAGATGATCTGATCAGCATGACTGATAACCTGGAGAAGGCAGTCAAAAAGACGTCCGAATCAGACACTGAAAAGCTCACTGCCCGCCTTGGGCTCGCAGTTGAGTGTTATGAGATCCTTTATCAGGAGGAGGATGACCCCAAGTATCTGAGGCAGGGCACACAAGCAGCGCAGACAGCGGTGGATGCAGCAAGGAATACCGAGAAACTAAGCATTCGAAAAAAGGCAGCCCTATACAGCGCACTTGGTCGTTGTATGGCTGCGCTATCAGAGGAAGATGAGGACCAGAAACTTATGGAGAGTGCAGTCGACGCTGGTGAAACTGCAGTAGCCCTTGTGGGAACAGAAGACCAAAGTGACGATGAAGAGAACTACAAGAGTGAGCGACAAAAGTACATTAACGATCTTGAGAACTGGAGGGAATCATTATTAGAGTAGGTAATGGACCAACAACAATGGAGAAGAGATGGTTGATGATGATGGATGCTGGAGGAATGCATACACAAGTATATAGTCATGTGATCAGCTACACAAACAAGTCAAACAGGTCTGGCAGGCTTATCTTATCGCAACCGGTATCAAAAAATTGTCTGAACTACTGCGCAAACACCTCGTGGACATCCACCTCTACAACAGAATCGGTCATTCCATGTCCATGGTTCCGATGTAGGGTGGGCATCTCACGAGCTTCTTACCCGGACTTTTCTTTCATTACCTTATGTGTTATGTATACATCTCTGGAAGGCTCTACCCCAACCAGGTCACGTCAACCTCCCTGAAAGCCAAACTTGGAGACCTGAGGCATGTCATTTTTCTCGGACGAGCAACTTCCGCACTCGAGCGCTCCTCCATCTGCACAGCCTCACAGGTCACTGTTCGGCGGCTCGAGCCAGGATGTTGGCGATCAGGAACGGCTGTCGCGTTTTCGCAGTGATGAGTTCTTAGGTTATACTGATGTCGGCGCTAGCGCCAGTGGTGGCCTGGAGACAGCAGATGAGGGATTTGACGACGACCAAGCGTATATAAGCGAGATTGAGGCGCTTGATTTACCACAAGATGACAACTCGTCATTGCCAGGCCGAGCAGACATCTATGTGAGATCTAATGCTTTATTAAATCCAGAACATGCAAAGAGTTCTCAATCGCCTCCTCCATACCGCCCAAATAGGTTTCAAGGCTCTGTATACATGTGGCTGAAGCTCACACGGGATGAGAGGGAAATTGTCCAGGCTTTGGAAGAGACTCGTGCGGGGGACCTAGCAGCCCACCTGTACAATGCCTTCACTCTTCAGTCACAGGCCGTCGCGAAGCTCGAGAACGTGGATGGACCTGGAATTGACACTCTAGGTGACAAATATCCGTTGAGGAACCTAGAACAATGGACTGCCTGGCCAATGCCCAGTGACGAAGTTCCTCGCCCAGATGAGCGTCTTCGGCGGATCGGACAGCGGGTCAGAACTAATGAAAGGACGTACAAGCTGGGTTCTGATCCTCGACCAAGTGCCGCGCTTGAGGAGTGCATTATAGCGTCTCTACTGAAAGCTGCAAAGGAGAGATTCCGTGATAGGGATTGGGAAGCGTCAACACCCTGGAGAAGTGCAACCTTTGGTCACTTGGAGTTGGATGACACGAAAGCAAAGATGGAAGGACGGCTGAAAATGCGTCGACAGAGTACAGATACCCAACAGCGTGCTCCTGAGTATGAAACAGACGATCGAACGTCAGGCACAGAGTGGGAAACTGATCAGGAGAGTTCGCGGCCACCTCAACGCCCTACCCCACAGATTGATGAGGATGAGTCGCGACGAAAACTGCGGCCGCTCGCTCGAAAAATAATCTCCCAGTTTGAACAGTTACTGATGGGACTCCATCGTTTCCACGGATCGTTAGGCTCTGAAGACCGGTCACGTTCCAGAGGAAGAAAACGCGGACGTAGCTCTTCATGGGCGTCTGACAGGAGCAGTGTCCGCTCTGGACATGCGCCGTCAGAATACGCTTCAGAGGCCGAGAGCAATCCGGGTTCTCTTGGTGTCCCTTCGCACTCAGCATCTGCCAGGAAGAAAGGAACAACGTCAGATCTGGGCAGGAGCCAGTCGAGAGGTCGCAAACCGTTACGAACAGCGTCCCAGCCTAAGCCACGCCGAAACCAAATCGGAGGGGCGGAGCCATCAGAACATCGCTCGGTCTCTAGATACAATAACATCCAATCAGGTTTAACAGATTGGAGAGATGTTTTAGGTGTTGCCTCCATGGTAGGCTTGCCGTCAGCCGCGCTTCGACGTGCTACGGACAGGTTCTCTGCTCTGTCTAATGAGTATACGCTTGATCCCCCGTTACCCGAAGGTTCAAGCACACACTTTATGGAGGATGTACTCATATGGGCATCTGCACGAAACAATATAACAGCAGGCCCAGGCGAGGAGGAACAGGGCTCCAACCTGGCGAGCCAGTCACCGTCGCCAAGCACTTATACCGAAGAACGATCTACTTCTCCAGACGATGAAAGGCCTAAAAAGGCAAAGTCCCCCAAAGCAAGTACTGCTGATAGCGAAAAGACATTGGTTTGCCCTTTCAGCAAATGTCCTCGTCATGAGAAGGGGTTTTCTCGCATCTGGAATCTGAATCAGCACCTCAAAAACATGCATCCCAAATACCAGCCAGAAATCGGCAGATCGCGAAAGCGCAGGGCAGTGCAATCCGGGTGGGACTCGGATCAATCAGAATAACGATGTCTCTTACGGATATAAGCTATCTACCCAAATCTGAGCACTTGACAGATTTTTCAAGAAAAAGACTGGATCTAACCTTTCTCCCTTACGGAGTAGTTCTTCGATTCCTGAAAGGATTCTATCTATATCGCAGAGAATGCCGATAGGAAACTCGGCATTCTGCACCAATCACACAGTCTGCCCCTCACTCTGCGGGGAGTCCGACCAATGACAAGCTGGCGTCTCGGCTCATCATGACGTAAACTCACGTGACCCATAGCTTCTTCGCCGGCGGAATTTGGAGAGAAACGGCGTTGAGACAAGCTATCTGGGCCTGGACTGTATAAGAATCAGTGACGAGACTGGCTGCTCCGATCTCTTACAGATCCTCTGTTTCTAAATCTCTGTTCTTATCTCATAGCGCTGCCCGATAGGTCCAAAGGTCGCGGCGACTGACAAGTGCCCATTTGGAGAACTGATACAAGGAACGGATCGCGAACCGCTTCTCCAATTCTTTCGGTCTTTCTCCCGATGCTTTAGGAGAAACACAGCTTTATAAACATGGACAAGATCATACGCCCTCTATCGAGGCAATTGCTGCGACCAAGACCGCGATACCCATACGCAATGCCTTCAAGCGACCACGCGAAACGACTCTATGTAACAGGGCACACGATCCCTCCGGTGAATAGCACTTTGTCGTAACTGCTAGATCTCTGGCTAATAAGACAATTCTCAGCTGAAAGACAAGTCTCTTTTCATTCAAAAGGCCTATGTCAATGGCGAGTGGGTAGATGCTGAGTCGGGGAAGACATTCGAAATCCACGGTACAGACACATTGCTGAAGCTCGCTGAGCCAACCGCAGCGGACATAGTTGCTGATTGTTGCTTTCGACGTTTATAGATCCTGCTACCGGAAAGCTAATCGGAACATGCCCTGAGTTTAGCGCATCAGACACCGAGAAGGCTATCCAGGCGGCCGCCGAAGCTTTCCCCAAATTCCGCTCAACACTAGCCCGCGAGCGAGCTCGCATGCTCCGAAGATGGTACCAGCTCATGATGGACAATGCAGACGATCTAGCGACGCTCATCACATGGGAGAATGGAAAGCCACTTGCGGATGCTAAAGGCGAAGTGAACTACGCCGCTAGCTTCTTTGAATGGTTCAGCGAGGAGGCGCCCCGAATTTACGGAGACACCATCCCGGCTTCTGTTGCTGGAAACCGAGTCATGACCGTCAAACAGCCTGTCGGTGTCTGTGGTTTGATCACACCCTGGAACTTCCCCGCCGCTATGATTACACGAAAGATTGGTCCAGCTCTGGCAGCTGGTTGCACTGTCGTCACAAAAACACCAGGAGAGACTCCCTTCACTGCGAACGCTCTGGCGGAGCTGGCTCACCGTGCCGGTATTCCGAAGGGCGTCGTTAACATTGTGACAGCTATGAAGAACACCCCCGAAGTCGGCGAAACGATAACTACGCACTCAGATGTCCGCAAGGTCTCCTTCACCGGTTCAACAAACGTTGGCAGGCTCCTCATGAAGCAGGCGTCATCGACAATCAAGAAGGTCTCCTGGGAACTCGGTGGCAACGCCCCTTTCATCGTCTTCGACGACGTGGACGACCTCGACGCCGCCGTCGCTGGCGCCGTCGCTTCCAAGTTCCGCAGCTCAGGCCAAACATGCGTTTGCGCTAACCGTATCTACGTGCAGAGAGGAATTTACGACGAGTTCGTTCAGCGCTTCATCGCAAAGGTCAAGGACTTCAAAGTCGGCGCCGGTTTTGACAAGGGAATCACCCATGGCCCCGTTATCCACGAACGTGCCATTAACAAGGTCGATGAACACGTCCAGGACGCCGTGTCCAAAGGCGCCAAGCTCGTTGCTGGTGGCCAGCGACTCGAGAGCCTCGGACCCAACTTCTACGATCTGACCGTTCTGACGGAGATGTCCAAGGACATGAAGATTGCTTCTGAGGAGACTTTCGGCCCTGTGGCTGGACTGTTCCCCTTCGAGACCGAGAAGGAGGTCGTTGACCTTGCTAACAAGGCCGAGGTTGGCCTTGCTGGGTATTTCTTCAGCGGCAACATCAAGCGCATCTTCCGTGTTGCGGAGGCTCTGGAGGTTGGTATGGTTGGTGTCAACACCGGTCTCATTAGTGATGTTGCGTCTCCGTAAGTTATTCCTTTGCACCTACCCTTGCAGATTAACGCTGCGGAACTAACAAATGTCGCTAGATTTGGTGGTGTGAAGCAAAGTGGTTTCGGCCGTGAGGGCAGCAAGTATGGTATTGATGAATTCCTTGTGATCAAGAGTGTTACGTTTGGTGGCATGGGCGAGCCTCTACAGTCATAAAAATAGATGGATAAAACAAGGTTACGGCGGTCTAGATTCGGCGCCTGAAATGATCTTAGTATATCTCATTAATATGATCGATTTTCAAATATTTCATAACGTGGTCTTGCTAACTCTTGTCTTGAGCGCACATGAATGTCGTACAATGATATGATAGAATGATGGATTCAGCAGATGGAGAAATCGATAGGAGAATCTAATTTACAAGCAAATAATACATCACAGAACATATGCGCCGCGGCCAACCAGTTGGTCATGTCCCAATGAACCGTCAAATATCGAAATACACGAAGATCGTGTCTCTGAAACCCACAGACAATCTGCGGGCGAGGAGTCCTAGCCCTGTACATACTGAAGGACGCCCGGCTTCATTCGAGCTTTCGAATCGAACAAATTCCGCAGACTCGGTTACCTCCCGTTTCGTTGCACACCTTCAACTTCAGCCCTGACCCCGTCTATTTGCCCTGGCGCTGCTTGTGTTTCGGGTTCTTCGAGCTGTACATCAATTCATTAGCACTGATACCGAATAGCCTCGTAAAGTACCTGAGCACGAAAGACAAAGCACAACTCACCAGATAATGTAAACCCGATTCTTTCTCCGCACAGGCTACACATCCAGAAAAGATCCAAGTTAGCCCAGCTCACACAATCCAGCCACGTCACCCCAAATACAACCTAAACCAATACCACCACCATGTATCCGCTGGAAAAGTCCACATACCTTGCACCCATCACAAAGCCTCTTAACTGAAGACCGCGTCTTCATTCCGCGGACCTGCTCAAGCTGCTTCACAGCGCCAGAAACAGCGCCCACCTGCGTTTGACCGGTAGCCGCAGCGGCATTTCCCGATCTCAGGAGCCGAAGACCATTGCTTATCGTTAGGCGCGATAATTGCGAGAATGGGCGGGTGAGGAATTGGAGGGTGGTGTTGTGTCGGGGGAGGAATTGGCGGAGGAGGGCGGTTGAGGGCGATAGGAGGGGGCGGAGGGAGACCATTATTGCGGTCTGGGGTCTGAACGGGTGCAGATAGTGTACGACGAGGAATTGGGAAGGCGTGAAGTTCGTTCTAGTGGTGTTCTTGTCGTTGGGATTGTCGGCGGGTTTGGATGGGCGCGGAGGAAATGATATCGGCGGGTGGGTTTTGCCGGGTTCCGGAGTGGTTTTGTGCTCGAGGTGATTGGCTAATGGGGACCTTGGAGGACTGTATACAACGGTGTAAAGTCAAACGGGTCATTTTTTCTCTGGATGTGCTTTAATTGTGAGTTCTCTAGACATTTGGACGGTTTTGGACCAGAGTCAGTCAATGCGAAATATTATGTATTTGCAACACTAAGTAGATCTTGAATGCAGGATAGAGATAGGCCGAATTCAACTCTATCTACCTGTACAATCGAACCCATACAAACAACACCACTAATACCACCCTTGCCCAGTCCAAACGCCAAAGAATTCGCTCTGTGCAGTTATGAAACGTATAAACTTTCTAAGGTACTCAACGACGAAGGAAAGTCTTGTATGACTCGGACTCGGTTTCCTCGCTGAATGGGTACCCCAAGTCATGCAGGAAAGCCTCCAGATCCGCTTTTTCTGCCTCCGGGCACTGGATACCGGCAAGAACCTTGCCAACGTCTCCGCCATAGTTGCGGTAGTGGAATAAGGAAATGTTTTGGTTGGGACGGAGGGTCGTGAGGAACTTGGCGAGTGCGCCAGGGCGTTCAGGGAATTCAAACATGAACAAACGCTCGTCATTCACATCGCTGCGTCCGCCGACCAGGAAGCGGACATGGCGCTTGGCCAGCTCGTCGTCACTGAGGTCCCGAGGGCTCATACCGCCCCTGACTAGTTCTGCCATGATCTTCGCGAGGTCGTCCCGGCCGGTTGAAGCGGAGAGGGAGATGCCCATGAGAACATCCGCAGATTCGTCGTTAGCGTAGCGGTAGCTGAAGGCGGTTACGGCGTGGGGAAGGATAACTTCCACGAGTTTTGCGAAAGCGCCAGGTTTCTCGGGAATGTTGACGCTGAGCAGCGCTTCCTTTCGCTCCCCCAATGCGGCACGCTCGGCAACGAACCGTAAACGGTCAAAGTCCATGTTTGCTCCGGAGGTGATAGCAACAAGCTCGCGGTTTGTGTGCGGGCTAGGGTACTTTGCAACATACTTCTTCAGACCTGCAATAGCCAGGGCTCCGGCAGGTTCGATGATAGATCGTGTGTCCTCGAAAGCATCCTTGATCGCAGCACAGGTCTCATCAGTAGAGACAAGGATAACCTCATCCACCACTTCACGAGCCACACGCCAGCACTCAGACCCAACAGTCTTTACCGCAGCGCCATCAGCGAACAGCCCCACTTCGCTCAGCAGGACACGGGAGCCCTCCTCTAATGATTGGGCCATGGCGTTGGCATCGTGGGTCTCCACGCCGATAACCTTGACATGGGGTGCAATGCGCTTAAGATAAACACCAACACCAGAGATCAGACCTCCTCCGCCAACGGCGCAAAACACAGCTTCCAGCTTTTCTAGGTTTGCCTGACGAAGAATCTCCATACCAATGGTTCCCTGTCCAGCGATAACGTACGGATCGTCAAAAGGAGGAATGCCGGTCAGACCGTGCTGCTTTTCCAAGCGATGAGCTTCCTCCTTAGCGGCATCGAAATCGTTTCCGTGAAGGACGACGCTACCGCCAAGTCGGGCAACATTCAAGTGTTTGATGGCGGGGGTGCCAGAAGGCATGACGATAGTGGCGGGAATTTTCAACTTGCGGGCGGAGTACGCAACACCCTGCGCATGGTTTCCTGAATCCTTATCAGAGTCTGTACCATGTCTACAAGTTTATTGGGCAATGCTCACCTGCAGAGCACGCAATAACACCCTTCCATCTCTGCTCATGGGACAAGTGGGCCATCTTGTTGTAGGCTCCACGAAGCTTGAAGCTGAAAACGGGAAGCATATCCTCCCGCTTAAGAAGCACTCGACACTCCATACGGTTACTGAGGTTGACGGCATGGTGAAGCGGGGATTCGGTGGTGATTTCGTAAACACGGGAGGTGAGGATCAACCGGAGATACTGGTGATAAGGGACACGTTAGAGGGGTTGAGGGGTACAGGCTCGAATCGTAAAGAGGATAGAATCTCACATCCGGGTAGCCATTGGGAAGCAAAAAGGCGTCAGGGATATCCCAAGAGGGTGGGCTTTCCGGTCCCCTATACTCCTCCTTCTCTGATGTAGGGGTGGGGATCGCAGAGTATTCGGTGAGAGCCAGGCTGCTCAATCGCGAAGTCGGTGTAGACGTCCCATTTGGGGCCGTTTGATCGGACATTTTGGAGCGCCCGTCTAGCATGCACTCTAAGCAAGCAGCAGTAGGCAAGTGAGCAACTCAAAGAGTGAATTGCCGTAATATGAATATGGAGTAAAATATGATAGGAATGTGACTCGACTCGTTCATCTTTGCGGAGACAGAAAAATTCCGTGATCGGCGCGGGATGTTTATGTCATCAGCCCTGAATGACAGCCCTACCTTCCTAATCAGGAACATATTTACGGCCGCAATAGCCGTTCAAGCATTATCTTGCCTGCAGAAGAAGATCTCTGAATCATGTTAATACATCAGTGTACTTGCTGATGTGTGAGTAAGTACTGTCTGGCAACGTATTTGCGGTTTACTCCAGCGAAGGTCTCAAGGATGCGAGTGAGATACCTCCGCCCAGCCGCTGTCACCACCGGGGAAGAAGCGGAGACCTGGACTGGGACCAGAAGTACCAGTTTCAGTGGCAACCACTCCGTAGAGCTGCGTTATAGATTATAAGTAGTCGTTATTCTTATCTGTTATATACTAAGGAATGTGAGGTACATCATACAAGTTATATCAGGGAGACTCGAAAAGGTCTTGCGGCGAAATCTAAGTTGTATGCGTAAATACCGGACGTAAATTACCAGAAATTCTGCAACTTGAAGCTTGAAGAGAATCGCCCAGGGTCCTAACGTCACTGTTTTCCGCTGGGTAATACATCACCGTCAAGATTGGCCACGTTCGCGCATTGACTCGGATTAATCTTGCCGTCCAGGTTATTATCAGCAATAAATAATGAGCAACCAGCCCCTTCCATCGTCGTTCGACGGCGACCCGTACGTTCCCGCCACTGCAGCCCCGACCTTTCGGATGCGCCGGTGATATTCTGACATTTGCTTGGTATCTAGCGAGTTCGAGGAAGAGACCCCACTCCAGAAGTTCCGCAGAAGACTCAAGGAAGAGCCCTTGATCCCGATAGGTGAGTGAACAACTTGCAGACTCCGAAAGGGAAGAATACGTGGGCTGATTCTAACTGCTGCGCATTCTAGGATGTGCCGCCACATGTTATGCACTTTACCGTGCCTACCGATCGATGAAAGCCGGCGATTCGGTTGAGATGAACCGGATGTTCCGTGCCCGTATCTATGCCCAAGGATTCACGCTTTTAGCCGTCGTTGCCGGAGGCATGTACTACAAAACAGAGAGAAAGCAACGGAAGGAGTTCGAACAGGCGCTCGAGGAGCGGAAGAGCCAAGAGAAGCGGGATGCGTGGCTGCGTGAGTTGGAAATCCGAGACCGGGAGGATAAGGAATGGAGGGAGCGTCACGCTGCCATTGAGGCCGCGGCGAAGGAGGCTGGCAAGAAGCCTTCGGCGGCTCCGGTTCCAGCTCCAGCCCCAGAGCAAGATGCAGCTCGCTCGTCTCTCGAGCCTTCCGATGAAAAGTCCATTGGAGTGTTGAGTGCTGTGATGGAACTCCTGTCAAGGCGAAAATGAGGATAGCTTTGCTTCTATATGTATTACTAAATTACTTCTCCTCTTTTGGCTCAGGCGTTTGTGAATATATGATATTACAGATATAGGCCTTTGCTTAACGTAGTCCAAGTTTAGCGCGGACAAGCCTTCGTTGCCCTGTCCTTCTCGCGCGTTTGAATGAGCGAGATTAGTTTGCGCGGTTCTTGTGGCCAGTGTTTGGTCGCGCCAAAACTGAATAGACGCGTCGATGGGATGTCACTTAGGTTGCGATCCAGAGCCGGGGACTCTGCCAGCCTGACGGGTCCCATGCATCATTAAAGAGAGACGAGGAAAGCATCAGGCCGCCTGCTCATCAATGTACCGTCTCATCATGTCGAACTCTGACTTGCCCGTCTGATCATATCAGCAACGAATAACCCAACACCATTGGACAAGTATAGTGTCTTACCGAGATGAGATATCTTATATGTTGCTGAGGCTTGTTAGGTTGTTGGTTCCAAAGCTCTAGCTAGGAAAACTTACAAGATCGGTCACATTTCGATGACGTTCGAACTCCTGGCGAGCATAGTCCCGCAGTTCGCTACGTGTCGGCGAATTGGGAATTTCTTAGGTTAATGTTAGTTTTGAGATCGGTTTATAACGTAGGGCGAGAATGAGTGCACTGACTGTTCAAAGCCCTGACGATTTCACGCCATAGCGCAATGACGCGCTGTCTTTGGATAAACTATACAGTATATCAGCATGCAATGAAGCAAATTCACCTAGTTAGGTCTCACATGGTCGAGACTTATCGTCGGCTTCCTGAGCTTCGACGACCGGGTGGGGTTGACCGCCGCGAGTAGTTTCAGCGAAGAGCGCATTTGGTTAAATCATACCACAAAGACTGTTGCAAGACAATCGATCCATCCAAGCTTGGGACTACATACTCCACCCAAACGATGGTGATGGTGGCGCCATATCAAAGGCGGTGATGGGCTGTGGTATCGTCACTGACGGTCAATTACAGGAGCTATAAATACGAACCAGCACCGTCTGATTTCAAGATGGAATAGACACAAACGCAGCTGCTTGGGAGCATGAATGGCATCGAAAACCGGCTGAAAGCCTATATCATTGCGACAAGACTTGAATCAAACTATTTGCCTCAATTGTCCTCAATACTGTTGTTCGACAAATGAGCTCCGAGTGTTTACCGATCTACAACACCAGTCACGTGAGCGTTCCTGGGCGCGAAACTTTTTTTCGGAGCAGACACGGAGGTTTGCGCCCTGGAGATTGAAGCATCACCATTTGGCCATTCCCGGTAATTGGTCAGCAGCTATGAGGTGTCCTTCTCTTGCGCGGTTGCCATACCGCGCTGCTTCTGGCTTGACGAAATCTCCTGTCCGTCTCCAAACACAGAGTCTACTTTCGAAGAGATGCGCGTCAACGGCCGCTCTCCGATGTGCTACCCCGGTTTACCAATCGGTCCTCAACGGGCGTTCTGAGCAAACTAGATATGCCTCTGCCACTGCTGCTGCCGTGTGAGTATTTACCTTCTCAATCAATTATCTCATACCATAGCTGTTCACTCACTGACTCATGAAATCCTAGTCTGGAGGCTGCTGCCTCCTCACCGGACACGTTATCGCAGGATGCCATTATCCAGAACCTCGATCCCGTAGAGGCAGAAAGGTTGTCTCGGGTCAGAAACATCGGTATTGCTGTACGTCTTCCGGCTGCTGCGGTGGCAAAGGCCTGGTAACTGACTTCTTCTCTTATTAGGCACATATCGACAGTGGTAAAACCACATGTACCGAGCGAGTTCTTTTCTACACCGGCCGTATTGGGGCGATTCACGAGGTTCGGGGCCGCGACAGTGTTGGAGCGAAGATGGACTCCATGGACTTGGAGCGTGAGAAGGGTATCACTATCCAATCCGCTGCTACATTCTGTGACTGGATCAAGAAGGATGATGAGGGCAAGGACCAGAAGTACCACATCAACCTTATCGACACACCTGGGCACATTGACTTCACCATCGAGGTGGAGAGAGCGCTGCGCGTTCTCGATGGTGCAGTTATGATTCTTTGCGCCGTCTCTGGTGTTCAGTCACAGACAATCACGGTCGACCGACAGATGAGACGTTATAACGTACCCCGAATCTCCTTCGTCAACAAGATGGATCGCATGGGTGCCAATCCCTTCAAAGCGATTGATCAGATCAACAACAAGCTGAAGCTGCCAGCAGCAGCAGTGCAGGTCCCCATTGGCGCAGAAGACGAGTTTGAGGGTGTCGTCGATCTCGTTCGCATGAAGACCGTCTACAACCGGGGCCCTAATGGTGAAGACATCGTCATCGAGGATGCAATCCCGGAGAAGGTCAAAGAGACTGTTGAAGAGAGGAGGAGAATGCTTATTGAAACCCTTGCTGATGTGGACGATGAGATGGCAGAGCTTTTCCTTAGCGAGATTGAACCCACCGAAAAGCAGGTCAAGGAAGCCATCCGCCGCTCAACTATCGCCTTGAAGTTTACTCCTGTGTTCATGGGCACCGCGCTGGCGAATAAGTCTGTACAGCCTATGCTGGACGGTGTTATTGACTATCTTCCGAACCCATCCGAGGTGCAAAACCTTGCCCTTGACAAGAAGCGAAACGAAGCTCAGGTGAAGCTTGTTCCCTATAACTCTCTTCCACTGGTCTGCCTTGCTTTCAAGTTGGAAGAGAGCAACTTTGGGCAGCTGACCTATATCCGTGTTTACCAAGGAACACTGAAGAAGGGCTCTTACGTTTATAATGCTCGAACGGACAAGAAGGTGAGAATTCCACGTATTGTCCGCATGCACTCCAATGAAATGGAGGATGTCAACGAGATTGGAGCCGGTGAAATCTGTGCTGTGTTTGGTGTTGAGTGCGCGTCCGGTGATTCATTTACCGATGGTCAACTGGGCTACACCATGTCTTCGATGTTCGTCCCAGAACCCGTCATTTCACTCTCTATCAAGCCCAAGAACAACAAGGATTCTGCAAACTTCTCCAAAGCCATGGCGCGCTTCCAACGTGAAGATCCCACGTTCCGCGTGGCGTACGATGCCGAGAGCGAGCAAACCCTGATTTCCGGTATGGGTGAACTCCACCTTGATATCTACATCGAACGTATGCGCCGCGAATACCGCGTTGATTGCGAGACCGGCCCGCCCCAGGTTGCTTACCGAGAGACCATTGGCCATCGCGTCGAGTTTGACCATCTACTCAAGAAACAAACGGGAGGTCCTGGTGACTATGCCCGTGTCATTGGTTGGCTGGAGCCAACTGGCAAGCTTGAAGAGAACGTCTTTGAAGAACAGATTGTCGGAGGAACTATTTCTGAGAAGTTCATCTTCGCCTGTGAAAAGGGTTTCCACTTGTCTTGCGCCAAGGGCCCACTCATCGGCCACAAGGTGCTTGGAACCAGGATGGTCATCAACGACGGTGCCACCCACATGACGGATTCCTCTGAAATGGCTTTCAAGAACGCCACCCAGCAGGCTTTCCGCAAGGCCTTCCAGGAGAGTAACCCGTCTGTCCTTGAGCCCATGATGAAGGTCGTGGTTACCGCGCCCGCCGAGTTCCAGGGTGATGTTATTGGTCTCCTGAACAAGCGTAATGCTACTATCAACGATTCCGAGGTCGGCGCCGACGAGTTCACAGTCTTTGCTGACTGCAGTCTGAACGGCATGTTCGGTTTCAGTTCCAACCTCCGTGCGTCCACCCAGGGTAAGGGTGAATTCAGCATGGAGTTCAGCCACTACGAGAAGGCTCCTCCTCAAGAACAGTACGTTATCCCTGATATTGATCTTTCAAACCAAATCTAGCATTTAAAAGCTAACGCAACCTCCTTACAGGAAAGCACTCATTGCCAAGTACCTGAAGGCCCAGGCTGACAGGAACAAGAAATAAGCCAGAGGTTGATCACCTCTCAAACGATTTTATGTTATGCACATACCTCTCACACTTTCACGTAGGGGTACCCGTCTCAAAACGAAGCTGCGCCTGTAAATTTCTCCCAAATTCTTCCTGAAACCATGTATTATTTATAGACCGACCCTGTGGGCTTGTTTTCTTTTTTTCACGTTTAACATCAGATTGGCGCTTTGTTTCGGCGAAATAGTTTCATCATCTACGTGTCAGGATAAAGACAGGGAATATTCTGTTGGCAGTTGTACATATATTAATCTCATGATCCTATTTCTCCTCTCACTTGAGGATATACCAAGATTCTTAGGCTCTTAATACAAGTTTCTAGATTTCGCATATCACTATCTTGGTTGTTCGCTCAGGGCCCACCTATGCAACCGACCAAGCCAGCATTACTCCTCGAAAGCTCTCAACACCGCAAGGGCAGCTGATGAAAACGTCGCCAAGCGGTTATGGCCTACCAGTATAACGTCAGTAGTGCTTCTAGATGGTGCGGGACAAACAAACCTCCATAAGCAACTCGTTCCCACCGAACCCTTTTAACCGCACCAGGTTCCTTTCCAGATCGATGTTCCCAAATCATCACCTCACTGGCAGGGTTATTGAAATCCTTCTTCTCATACTTCAGAGCACCCGGGGCATCTTTTCGGCCTTCGCCAGTAGCAGCAGCCCAGACACGCCGTCCCTCATACCAGGGAATCTCGACGTCATTCTTCGCGTGGATGATAGCAAGGTCTAGACCTTTCTCCGCATACGCAGAATTGACATTTAGAGTACTGTTAACTCCCGTCAACCTCGCCACCCTCGCCGCAGTATCCCAGCGATCTACAATGTGGCTTCTAGCCCAATTCTGGAGCCAGGGGTACCCTCGGAGAGGGGAGAGGAGTGGCGGCGTGATTCCCTTCACACTGTAGGACTCAATGACGTTGGTAATGCTGCTGAAGGAAGCGAGGAGAATAACGCCAGCAAAGGGCTCCGGGTCCTTGAGGGCTGGTTGGATGGCGGTTGGGTCCGGGGAGCCGAAGATAAAGCGTTCGGCTACGGCGGCGCTGACGGCTGTGCCGAGGCTTTGGCCGACGATGGCGATACGGGATGGCGGGATATTCAGTGGGGCGGAGGTGAGGAAGTTTAACAGGGTTACGCCGTCGGTGATTAAGCCTTCTTCTGTTGGTGTGCCTGTGGAGACCCCGAAGCCGCGGTAGTCGATAGCGAAGACGTGAATTGGGTTGGCTGGAGTTGAGAGGCCGAGGAGCATGCGGTATGTTTCTGGGCGTTGGGCAGAGCCTAGATGGGCGGCATTGCCGTGGACTGATAGGGAATTGTTCCTTAGTTACCTCGTTGTACCTAGGTGCTGGGCAGAGTCTGGATCTTACAGCTCACAACGACCCGAGCATTGGGATCATTAGCTAGGAGACGGAATGCAGGAGACAAGGTGTATTCGTCTTCAGGGCCTGTTGGCTTGTCCACATCTAGCGCGATTTCATGCTCTCGACAGAGATGCAATGGAAGGAGGTGCCAGCCATAGATCGTTTCGTTATCAGGAGTGACCAGGTTAAAGGGTTGGACTTGTGTCTCTGATTTTGATTAGCTATTAAACATGCTGGGACTTCGATAATATAGTAGAAGTTTCAGACTTACTTAGAAAGCCGAAAGATTCTACCAAGTTGACGTCCTGCCATAAAGTCGGATTAATAAAGTTGGCGTACACTGCACTAAGCCCGACGAAATAATACGTTAGAGCGCATACACAGAGTTGTAGCATATGTAAAGAGGCACTAGTGAATACAGTCTCTGGATTACTGGGTAGGTCAGAGAGCAGACGATGCCCACATAGATCAAACCAGCTACGGCTAACGACCAGTAGGCCTTCTTTAGCAAAGGGTTGAAGTCAACCATGATAGGTAAGAGCTCTAGAGAGACATTAGCACATGTATGAGATGATAATTCAGGACTTCTGGAACTAGATCGTAAGATTCAGGTTGTGTTGATAACTTACACAAAAATCCAAGTAGATAAGGCTGAACAATATGCGCAAGTATATACCTGGATGGGCGTCATGAGAAAGGAAGACAAAACAAGTTCTAATAATAAGAGCCCCTGACGATGTTTCCAATGAAAAATGGACTCATGAAGAAGGATGAAGGAGGATGGGAGAAGATACAAAGTGATGTAGCATCCCATCATCTTACGTTGAGATAGCGCTTGGTGCCTGAGGCTGCAACACTTTTATCTTTTGATTCGGACAACTCCGCAACTCCCTCTCTGCGACAACTCTCCCGACCGCCTACGAAATGCCCTTGATCGACTGTATTGGGCTTCCACATCGTCGTATTCATTGATTGGCGTTCGCATCACGCTTTCTATGGCTGAGAAACGCAGACTTTCCGCCCGCGAGCGTCGCGAACCTGCGGCGAAGCGACGGGTCTCCGAAGCCACCACTCGAGCGTCATCACCAGCTCAACCCCAAACCTCATCAAAGAGAAAGGGTTCAACCCCAGCTGTTGCTTCCTCTCCGGCCTCAACTCCCCTTCCGGAGCCTGAAACTGTTGGACCGCCCCTCCCGACGAAGGTTAAAGATGGAGAAGCCCTTCCGACTCTCCCTGCGCCGCAGCCCACCGAGCTCCCGCTGAAGGAATATCAGTCAATCGCAGAAAGGTGCGTATCGTCCTACACCAAGAACACGTGAATTCTCTGGTGCTTTTCAAACTAACGTATCGTTCCGTAGTGCGGTTCTCCTCGCTTCCCTAGAACGGTCTAAGAAGAAGTGGCTCAGCGACGGCATCCTCGTGCGGTATTGGACTAAACCGAAGAAGACCAAGAGAGAACAGATTGAAGGCAAAAATCCGCCAAAGGAGTCCATGTCTAAAGTCGGACCTTGCAACATCGTGGTTGGACCTCATCTTTTCGATGCGATGCTGTACACGGTTAAGGATCCCAACGCGCCGCCCCCAGTTCAGTACACGCCTACTCAGCGGCCGATGGTTCACTACGGCCCTCCTAATAACTTCCAACAATATCACCCTTATCCACACCCTCCTCAATCAAATCCGAATCAGCGACCACATCCATCGCACCCTTCTCATGGCACGCCAACTCCACAGGGTTATCCGCAAGGCAGCCGCCCGCCGCCTCCGCCGCCCACAAGAACGCCGAACAACCAACCTCCCCATCGCCCTTCTGGCCCTCAGTCAACGCAGCGCCCTGCCACGAACCAGCAGCCTCCCGCACAACCGCCGAAGCCGAACCCGGACCCTGTCATCCAGATGCTTGCGACGCGTGCGGCACAAGATCCTGAACTGAAAGCCTTGATGAGACTGGTTGCCTCCACCAACGCAACGCAGGAACAGCTACGCACTTTTCAGGCCCATATTGACGAACTGAATGCGATCATTCGAGCACGTGAGCAGCAGCAGCGCCGTCAACAACAGCAACAGCAACAGCAATCAACTCAAACTCCGACACCCAGCTCAGCACAACCGCCTCGACCGCCCCAGCCAGCGGCTCAAACACCTCAGCAACCTCCATCTCAGAGACCTTCACAACCGCCAGCAACTCCCCAGCAACAGCCACCACAACACTCACCTCCGCAACAAACACCCACCCCGCAAGCTCAGTCACAGCAATCCCCAGATCCTCAATCTCGGGTCGAAGTTCAAATACCCAAACGTCCCCAGCCTGCTTCTACACCTCAGAATCTAAGTACAGGTTCGCCCGCCTCGCATACCTCAACGTCTCAACCAACACCTGCAGCACCCCAGGTTAAACAGGAGCCCGGTGTAGGCACGGCATCGACACCGCAAGTTTCGAGCCCAGGCGTTGCAGCTACTCCACAGCAAACCCCTGCAACACAGTCAATACCGCCGCACCAGCAACAACCGGCCAACCAAAGACCGGGTCCCCAATTTTCACAGTATCAACAGCCTCCGTACCAAGGCCAAGCTGCGATTCAGTCTCGACCCCCACAATACGGTTCTCCAAATGCGTATTATCGTGCCACACCTCCCCGTCCACCTGCGCCTCCAAGACTGAATTACAAGTCAGTAGTCTTTGAATTCACCTCCCCTCTGACGCCTTATGGGAGCAGCACATCGGGCCACGCTGGGTCTGGTGATCGGTATCTGTTCCCTGAGAACACAATCTTGGAGTGGCTCCCTGGTGGAACAACGGTCCTTGCCTCCTTCTTGGTAGTACGAAAGGTGGATCCGAACACGCCATTCCCAATTGAAACGGCTTCTGACGTTACGACCTCTCGAGCGAAGGGGAAATCGGCCCCGAAGTCGAAGAAGGCCGACAAGAATAAAGATAAAGGTGGCGAGGCCAAAGGTCAGGATGAGACCAATGCGAAGAAGGCCGAAAATGCCCAGAATCCGTCAGACAACAAGGAACCCGCAGCAGACTCCAAACAAGTTGTTCAGGGAGGTCAAGATGCAAAGACAACGGATTCAAAGCAAAGCACATCCGACAACCAACAATCCAAGGACACGACCAATGATGATAAAAATCCCAACCTGAAGGAATACTACCAACCCGTCACCTTCCGAATCTACAGCAACAACCCCAAAACCCTCGAACCGCTAGCCCGCGTCGTGAAACCCCAAGAGGAAGTCCGCAAATACATGAACGAAATCATGGACCGTGCCGAGCGAGCCCCCGATGGCTTCCTCGCGTACCAGCTGCCCCGCGAACAACCCATCGAAGACCACGAGTTAGAGTCTGATAGGAAGGGCGGTACGCCTGTTCCCAGCTCGGTTGTCAATGGACGTAGCAAGCTCTCGCGGGGTCGGACAGTCGGCGAGGACTCGGATGCGGAAAATACAGATCGGCCAATGGAAGATGAAGAGGAGGAGGAGGAGGAACTGAAGGACTTCTATGGGGCGCCTACCGGTCTCTTTACGCTAGGGGTGTGATGGACTTGTGTTTATATAGCATCAGTCGAGACGCCTTTTGCATTTAGATACTTATTATTCGGCGAGTGTATGCATAATATGCCACTCAATTTTTTTTTTTTTTAAAAAAAATAATCTTTTTTTTTTCTCTTGTAGAATACTGTCGAGCTGAGATTTTAATTCTGTAGCATGATCGTGCTCAACCTACAACCTATGCTATATGGAGACCAGATTCATTCTTGACGAGGAAACCAACCAACAAAGACGGATATAGAACGCCATTATCTCCGTCTCAAAATGATAGTAAACACAAGACCTACACACCCAGAACACCCGCAACGCCACAAACACATTTTCCCGCGCGACTTATGGATGACCACACCCATATAGCCCACACCGCATGATAATACCATAACATATCGGCATATCAGCATAGCGGACTACGTACTCCCCCCGGCTCTACCAGCCCCACTATCATCCCCTATAATCCCTGCCGTCTCCAACAACCACCTTGCTGACTCCGCCGCCGAATCTCCAGCACCAGCTTTCAGATTGATATTGCGCCGTCGCTCAGCTTCCCTCGCCTCAAAGTCCCACTTCGCCTGCTGGATCTCGACGGCGCTCTGTGCCCGGTTACTTTGGACGGAAGCAGAGGACGCCGAGGCCTCGGGATCCGGGACGAGACCCCAGATTTCGAGGGTGTAGATGTCGATGGTTGTTTTGGTGGCAGCGGCGTTTCCGAAGTCGGGGGTTGAACTGGGGACGGGCGGTAGAAAGACACCGTCGTGACCGAAGGGGGAGATGTGGAGTTCTGCGACCTCGAGGGTTGTGTTTATGAGGAGGGATCCGGCGCCGTGTGGGGTTGGTGGGGGCTTTGAAGTTCGCGATGCAGGAGGAAGTTGACACCCAATTGAGATGCCGTGGTGCTGTGAGAAGTAGGCGGTTGGAAGGTTCGATTTTGCTGAGAGGGTGCTGGAAGGATTTCCCTGGAGAAGGGTGTGTTTAGGCGATAGTTGGAAGAGGGCCGGTAGGGTTGGGACTGATGTATTAGAGCTTGTTGATGTGGGCGATTTCCAGGGTTGAGGGAGGTAGGCGCCTAATATGAGGGGTGTGTTGGATTTGGTGTCTACTCCTTCGAGGAGGAGGAGGGTCCCTGATTGCCAGGTGAGGACATTGTGGGAGAAGGATGTTAGGGAAGAACCGTGGGCGGAGGTTGAGAAAACGGGGTGCAAGCGAATGTTGCCGTGTAGAATGTTCTGCTTAATGGATGTCGAAGGGAGGAAGAAGGAGAGGTGGGATATGACACTTGCGTTCAAGATAGTCGATTCAAAGCTTCCTGGAAGCATTATTGATTGAGGAAGGGCCGGTGGTGTTGGAGCTGGCGGCGTTTCAGTAGCATCACTTCCTCGCTTTTGAGAAAAGTCGAGGTTCTTGCTAAAAAGAAGATGCTCAAATAAAGGCGTCAAAGGGTCAAAAAGGTAGGGGAAGGACGTGCTAATCGTATCCGCGAATGTTTTATAGCTGATTCCTCCTGAAGGTTCTTCAGTGAAGGCTGCTAGGATGTTATCCGCTGCTCTGCGGACAGCAAGCATCATATCCTCGCCAAGATTGGAAGTATAGACGCTGACATCCTCAAGAGTCTTCAGAGGCGCAATCACAATCAGAAGCATTAGGAGACGACGGAACGTGTTCGTGGAGATCCGCGCCTCAAAGACCTTTCTATCAATGCGCGAACCATGCTTGAACACCTCAATCGCGTCCAATGACTCCAAGGCAGCAAGTGCAAGATCGTCGTCGTCATCCTCATAGTCGTCGTTGGCTGGCTCGTCGATATCGAATCCAGGAACATGAGAAGCCGCCGTGTTGGTGTTCTCCGCCTGCTCTTCTGTCTGCGTAGGTTTTTCAATGTCCTTCCTCCCAACGTCAGCCAGGCTACCGAATAATAGCCTAATCCTGTTTCTCTGCCCTCGGCGGAGGACCTTGCCGTACCGCTCTGTCAGCAGCACAGCTACCTTGACCATCGCCTCAAAGGTCAACACACTCGGAGCAAGCGTAGTCTGGAACGGAAATGCCCCAAGGTAAGAAACCATACGGAAGATGACGGGCCCTGCATCTAGAGGGCAGTGGGAATCACTGTGGTCAGGAATGCCCAGGAAATCCGAGAGTGTCTTCTCGTTCCAGTATTTTAGGCCACCCTGATCCGTTGCACGTGTAAAGAAGTTGTCTTTGAAGTGCGTCAACTCCAAGGGGGTGAAGCATTTTTTTGCAAAGCGTTCCGCAAGTACCAGGCTCAGTTGCTCTATTTGACATTAGACTTGTTTCAGGCGATCATGTACAGCTTCAGATTCGTTCGAATGCAAGAGTAGGCACCAACCTGGAGACGAGGCATGGGCGGCATCTTCATGCGACTGGCCAACCCCCATTTTTGGAACAATATCAGGTCCAGAAAACAGGGTTTAAAAATAACTGGCTTATACAGTCCGAAGGTTTCGGGCCTTGTACATTTATATCCAAATTTGAAACAATAGATGATCTATTGTACCTGGTAGGTGGGTGGAGCTCGGGCTCATTCAGCCCGGGAGTCCGAATCAAAGGCCGAAAGTGTGTTTCATGTAGGAGCATAAGCTGCAAATCAATAGGTCATTCCAGAGTCAAACTAAATGATGAAGGAGTGCTCTGTTGTTATACCTTTGTTGATGATGAGGGGACCTGGGATGAAGAGAGGCGACGTCACCACACCTGGAAATACTGGCGCCTTGCAGCCTGAGGCAGCAGTGTTCCCCACATTCTAGATCGTTCAGGAACCCTGCTCATGAGTACTGTCATGTACACTGGTGCGTTCAAGATCATTGATTGCTCGTTACATTCTTACGCCACCAAATGATCAATCAAAATAAGTACAAGAAGTGGAGGATATCAGCCTATAGCATAACGACGCCCACACCTCCCATTTGCTTCTCATCCGGTAGATTCTTCTCATTAACACCGCCAGGGACAGGGGTAGTCCGGTAGTTGTACAGGTAAAAGTGGAGTTGACCATCACCAGCTCCGAATTTGAGCTGCTCTAGGAAGAGCGGGTTGTGGCAGAGGGTAAGGGCGTTGAACACGTCAAATTGAGCCTAATTCATGATGTTAGTATTGGTAGCGTTTTGTGATAGCGAGTCGGGGGTAGAATCGTACCTTCTTAGCCAAAACTAGAGCATCGCCCATCAACATCAGAAGCCGGTTCTTCAGGGCCTTCGTATCACCTGAGAAAGCGGTTTCCGTCGCATAATAGTAGAGATAGGCCGCCTTCACGCAGTCGTGTTTGGGATGGTCAATTACTGTAGACTCGAGGTTGTAAAATGAGAAGAAGTCCGTGATCTTCTGGGTTTCGGGGTCCTCCACGACATATGACCAGACGACCTGCTCCTTCTGGGGGTTCTCTCGGTGTACGAGCCAATGACATATCTCCTCCCGGTTGAAGGCTTGGTTAAGGTCGAGTGTCTTGAGATAACGTTCCAGCAAATCGTGAACGGCATCGATGTCCTTAGCTTCCATAGGTCGAAGGTTGGGCGTCGAGATATTGCTAGGAAGATGGTTCTTTGTGATCTGGCGAGCCTTGGTGGAGCCAGCGGGGAGAGGAGAGAAGCCCACCTCGTAAAGCTTGAGCCAGTCTAGAGGGCGGTGGTAGTAGCGGCACGATGAAACAGGCGTCGGTAGGACAACACCTGCTGTGTAGATGGCCTGGTAGATACCGTTCAAGTAACACCGGCGGGTGATCTCTTTGATAAGGACGGGGGTCAATCGCTTGGATCGCAGCTTCTTGTGGATGCAGAGAAAGTTGATCTCCGTGACCTTGATCTTCTGGCCGCGCACGCGAATCTCAGTCGGAACACCGCAGATTGAAGCGACCAGCTTGCGCGACTTTGTAGCACGAACACCCACGTGCCATTCTTTACGCCAGCCGGGAGACATCAGAGCCCTGTGAGTGGAAGGATACTAGTCAGCTCCTGAACGACGTCTCCAACTCAATAAGAAGACGGCTTACCAATGCAGGAACGCTTTGGAGTATCTGAACCGGAACATCGCATTGTCATCCTCCACATAGTGGTATGTAAGCAAGTCCCAAAGTTCCCTCAGCTCCTCCTCGTTCGTCAAGTCGAGTGTAGCCCATTCGAATCCCTCAATCAACTGATCCGGCTCCTTTGAAACCTTTTCAGGATCAATCATCTTGATTGGGCCCCCAGCGTCGGTGCTTGCCTCGCCAAACTTGGGAACGGGCTGCGTTTGCCAGAACTTGAAGCTCGCCATGTCCTTCTTGTTCTTGCCCGTCAAGGAAAGACCAGTCAGAAGCTCAGAGATATCCATCTTGCGTATCGCTTCGACCGCTTTATCCTTGTCCATCCCGCTCAGTTCGTTCTGCAGGGCGGGGTTGTTTTCCAGCATGGCTTCGGCTGCCTGCGGGGTCAGCTTTTTGGACGATGCGCCCTTTTGTTCCTTGTCATTGGGCTTCTGTAATAGAAAATTTGATGAGCTTGGTATAAGTATTTCAAAGCGGTGTTACTGACCTGGGGCGCTTTGCCCTTTGAGTCATTGGAATCCGACATGGCTGTTGACAGTTGTAGTGGGGGAGGTGTGGGAGAAAGAAAGCTTGGAGTCGCGGGAATCTTGAAGGTTTTCCAGTTCAGGCCCCACGTCACCGGAAAAGGTGGCCTCTGTGTTTTGCGGGGATAGTATGCGCAAGCGCGGTTCCTACATCCATATGTGTAACAGTCGCATTGTTTCCCTGGGATTATTGGTTTGCCCTTCTCTTGATGTGAAAAGGGTCAAAAATTCATTCGGCTACGTTTGGCCTATCGTTTGCCTCGGAAATCAGTCAGGAACAATCCCCATACTACGTAATTAAAGTGGGCGAGTGAGTAAATATCCACTAAACATACTCTTAAGCCTCTATCTAATGATTGCTCGATAAGTATAAGTCTCGATTCCCAGTCCATATGCGCCATTATATCCAAGGGGATATGCTGTGTTGAATCCGTTGAACGCCACTGTTAGATCAATCCGAGGACAGAAACGCCGGTCCGAATGGCGGTAGACGTATGTGTTGAATCCTAGTACGAAACAGCTGATGCGAAACAGCTGACCGATTGGCCATGATTCGTGCGTAGGGCGGTCACGCGGACCTGAAGCGAGAAACGCTAATTCAACCCCTTTTGACGCCTGGTTTTGTCTCGATTACATCAAGGAATCCGCCAACAAGGTGTAGACTGCCAGTGACAAAGGTCATGATGGGGGCTTCGTCGCCAGCCAGGCGATCCTTCTCTCTTGCAGCGAGTTCACGAGTGAAATCAACGGCTTCTTCAATGGTACCGTAGACTTTGACCTCTGCAGAAGGGTCAATGCCACGCCATTTCTCGGCCAGACCATTCTGAACCTGCAGCTTCTCAACTGCGGCGCCATCTGTATTGATGCTGACAAGGTCGGGTCGATAGCCCGCCTGTTTATAGGTAACGTTTGTGCAGAATATCACATGAGAGAATGGGGTGTCAGAGTTGAGGGCAGTCTTGAGAGTATCAAACAGAGCCTGGGCCAAGGCGTGACTATCACGGGTCTGTTGGTTGAATATCAGGACCCGGAGTTTCTTCTCAGCTGAGACCTCAGATGAAGAGTTGGCCCTGACTTGTGAAACAAACCACTGACCGGCTAGTTTGATGCTTTCCAGAGTGTGGCCTCCATCAATATACCAGCTGACCCGGCTCTCATGTCGAGTCTGGCATCTGCCTTCCAGCCGGGCTTCTTCTAGTCCCTTGCGGAATTCAGGGAGTAGATGTTGTTGCATGAAGTCAGAGGCGACCCTCTGTACTCCGATTCTGTTGAGGAATTCTCCTGCAGTCGCAACAGCTAGGGCAGCATTGCCGTATTGGAAATCACCGGCCAATCCGAGTTTAACACCGCCGCCAACAGTCAAGTCCGGATGGCCAGATACTACCTCTAGCTCTGTTCCCCTTTCGACAGCACGTTCCCGAAGAACCTTCTCGGCGCTGGGGGGTTGAGGCGCACTGAAGCTCTTAGTGCCCGCCTTTATGATCCCACCTTTATGCCACGCGATCTCTTCGATCGTATTGCCTAGAAGTGCCGTGTGATCGATACCTAGACTCGTAATCGCCGTGACGGCTGGGTGCGGTATCACGTTGGTGCAGTCGTACTCCCCACCAATTCCGCACTCAATAACAGCAGCATCCACACCCTCACTCAAGTATGTGTGGAATGCCATCAGTGTCAGGTACCTGAAGTACTGGGGTTTAGTTTGTAGGTTGCTGGGATCCTCCCCAACAGCTTTGGCAGCGTCGTCAAGGCGATCCCAGACCTCAAAGAAATAGCGGGCGAATTTCTCCTCGGAAAGCGGCTCATTGTCGATGCGAATTCGCTCGCGGGCGAACCGCAGGTGTGGAGATGTGTAGAGACCGACTTTGTTGAGCTTGCTGGGCCTGTCCGCGGACTGGGAAGTTGTGTACTGGTAAAGGATGGAGGAAATAAAACTCGAAGTCGAGCCTTTGCCTTTCGTACCGGCAACATGGATGGCATTGAGGCGATTCAAGTCCGACGGCTATGTGGGTGATTGAAAAGCGAGCTTGTCAGTTATACCTGCCGTTGGATTCAAAACATCCATCTCCGCAAGGGCCGCAAACCTGGTACCCTATCCGACGGAGCCACTCCACAGTTTCTGGAAGAGACCGCTGATTGAGTTCATGTCTCGTCGCAGGCTTGTTGAATTCCTGAACTAGCGAAAAATTGGATTGCAAGAGGTTGAGAGCTGCAATCGCAGCCTGCCAATCGTCATCAGTCTCGGTTTTTGAAGCTCGTCGGAAGTGAACCTTCACATACACCGTAATCGCGAGACATCACGGTAGAATGAGACGACAGCGATCGCAATGGGAGAATTTTGGGAAAGCGATGTGGGATGCGAATGCCCCTCATCAGTGTACAAGAGGGGCTTTCCGCTTATGTGACGAATCTGACTGAGGGGCGGACTGGCTGGAGGAGGGACCAGGATACAAGACTATAGCATGTATCACGTGATCGCATATATACATCATGATCACTTGGGATCGGAATTCATCGTGTTGTACATGGACTTCAGAGCCGTCCGCCCCAGAGACTTTAATTAAAGTTACTACCATAATACAGACGGCGACTATGCTATCTACTTCTAAGTGGTGTTCATAGTATAGCTCGGGATTTGCCAAGCAATGCAAAGACGATAAACGAACAAAGTGAAGGAATCGGAAACAGTATAGGGTAATGGACGAAGAAGACGTGAAGGTTTGAAGCAAATATGCCCAGCATAACGAATAAGGGTGCGAGGTAGAGAAGTTTAAAGGGACAGAAGGTATAACACTTGATGTGCGACTATTCGATCCTCGTCTTTCCCTCTTCGAGGAAGCCCAGACGAGCATTGCTATATCCTCGCTGATGCCTTCTAGATGGAAGTAGTTGACCAACAACCGGATCTGCGCGAGCTTTGATAAGTGCATCCTGGTAGCCCTCTGAGCCAGCCGCAGGCGTGTTTAATTTGGGCCAGTTCACCTTACAGCCATATTAGCAAGAAACCAAATTGGAATGACTTTCTCGGAACTTACATAGAGCATCCCGTGCGCAAGAATGAAGCGAGCGCACAAACCCGAGATGACCAGCCAAAAAACAACAAAGATGCGCAACGGCCATACGGCAGAATCCGGAAGACGTCGGGTAAACGTAGCCAGAATTATCATCAAGATTCCAGCCGCGAGGATGTAGGGCATAGCCTGGATTATGAGCGGCCGGCGATCAACGAAAAGTTGAAGGTTTCCAAGAGCGGACTCTGGGGGAAGATATGTTCCCAGGAATACATCAAAGCCATCCTGACGTGGTCCGTCCAGGAAATTGTTTCGAATGTACCGTGTAATCGAATTGCTCAGATCCTGGACCATGCCAGCCCTTGTGCGTTGGCCGGTACGAGTGAAGTCGGTCTTCAACGCACCCGTACCGGAATACGACTTGGAGACAACGTCGGCATTATCCGCCCAGATATTGCGAAACAGGTTTTCGAATTCGCGGTCATCATTGGCTGCTTCTCCCGGACGTAGGACTCCCGCGTCGGTGAGCTGTCTCGTCACAGCCCAGCGGCCAAGCATACTTTGGACAACATTTGTACGATCCAAGCAGTCCATGCAATTTGTCCTGACGACGGTGGATTGTAGAGCTCTTGCCTCCAACTGTCCGCCAGGAGCACCTGGAGTTTCCACACCACGGAAATAGCCACCTTGGGAGAGACCGTTAACTAGACGGTCCATCAGTAGTTCAGCGCGATGCCATCTGAGACCCTTTGTCTCACTGTGGAAGTCGAAGTAAATATAATGAAGGCGGTCCATCTGTTTTTGTGGATGATCTGGTTCGACGACATGTACTTTTTCCGAGGTCTCGGAATCCGCCTCAGTCACTTCGCTGGACGAAGACACCAGAATGCGGACCAATTGCTCATATGCCCTTTTCACACGCTCTTCTCTTCCTTTTTGGTTGACAAGGTTGACCAAGTAGTTGTCACCGTAGATCCCGATCTGCTGAGCAAAGTGCTTACGCGCTGCTTGGACGGCAGTCTCCACACCGCGCACTTGCAATTTAGGGGTATATTTGAGGTTGTTAACCTCCGCCCAGAAAACGGGAACGCTGCCTCGTGTTTGGACAAAGGACATGACTTGAAGGTCCTGGGCAGAATCCCCCGCATTCTCTTTCGTCATTGATTGTCCTCCGGCGAAGCCAGACAGACCGCCAGTTGCGTCGTTCAGGATGACAATCTGTTCAGTCTCATTATAGTTCGATACTTGGCCTTGCTCGTCAATACCACGCGAGAAATACCTAGTCCCAGCACGGTGCCTGGATCTCCGTGTAATAAGAGCGAAAGTGAAAGTGGTCGACTTCACCTTGGCTGGTGTAATACGTAGCATTCCAAAGAAAACAGGTAGAATATAAGGGTCTGCCCCAGGCTGCGGACCATACCGCACACCCGTCGAGTTATGCTCTCCGATACTGAAGTCGATCAAGTCTGATTGAATAAACCGATTCCAGAAAAAGCGATCATCGGCTCGTTTCCACATCGGAAGGCTGGGATCACTCTGCGACTGGCGCTGGAAGCTGTTGGTTAAATCCAGAGCGTACGAGAAGTACATCGGCCCCGTACGAAGCAGCTCCTTCACCAGCGACAGGTAGGTATCTTCGTCATGATCATGGAGGGGCCGTTCTCGCAGAGGGAGGAACTCAGTAGCAGCGACCTTGTAAACCATATGACCGCGCAGCCGGCCCATAGGCTGGGCCTTGGTAATGACGATGATATACTTGTCTACGGAGAACGGAATATTAGCACCGCTGAAACTCAGTGTGACAGACTCGGAACAATGACGTACCTAGTTTCAACTTGATGATACCAAGGATGCCTGCGATACTAGAGATGCGTTTTGCGCCAGACAAGGCACCATTGCTCAAGCGGAAATCGCCTGTTGGACGTTCAACCACGAGCGTCGGGGCATCGGGCGAAGAGGGCGAGGTGAAGGCATAATGAGTCGGGGACGAATGGAGATTGATGTCTCGAAAAGGGAGGATTGAGTGTACCATCGCGGTGACGACCACGGTCTGGGACTATCTAGATGACGGGATGGATAAAGAGAGCGAACCAAGACCAGAGGTAACTGAGGAGGAGAAGGAACGAGAGAAATAGGGTAGGAAAGTAGTAGTTTCCGGAGGCAATATCAGCACATGCTGTGTGAAAGTGAAGGAGAGGCAAGCGAAGGAGATCCGGCGATGAGGTAGGCTGCTACTTCCACTAAGTACAGAGAAATTATGCAAGAAGCATGTGGGTGCTGCGATCTTAGCAATGAACAGCTGGACCAAAGCCAGCAGGTGGCGGCGAGCCTAGGCACTGGACGAGGAGGCAGGAACACCGACAGCAACACGGGCACCGCCCCGCAAGCGCCCGGCGCAGACTCCCAGACTATCCGGACTTGAACCAGTCGGCAACTGTGGCTGAAATCCCCCCTTCGTCATCAGCGAACCGCCTCCAGACAACGTTGCCTGCCATCTTAATCAACCTTCGACCGCCATCAACCTCTTTCAGCATCCCGGTCCCTCTACCTTATCTTCCTCACCCCACTACGTCGAGCGCCGTTAAACTCCTCGACGTTTTTGTTCCTCGCCTTATCGTGATCACCGTTTGAACCTCTGAGGAGAACGTCGCTTGTCCGAACACCTCCATCATGGCCTCCAGAGCCCCAGCAGGCGGCCGTCCAGGAGCTCGGTTCGCTCAATTTAAGCTTGTCTTGCTTGGTTAGCCTGCCCTTGCCTAGCCTCTTGATGTTGTCTTGCGAAGGTGTACTAATATAATACCGTCTCTAGGAGAATCTGCTGTCGGAAAGGTTGATAGCCTTGACCTCTTCTTTGTGTTTTGTCGTTCCACCGGTAGCTGACTTTTTTTTCTTCTCATGAACAGAGTTCACTTGTCCTGAGATTTGTCAAGGTGCGCTTATTACAACTCGCAGATTTACGGTGTTGCTTATGCTTTACAGGATCAATTTGACGACTATCGAGAATCAACGATCGGCGCTGCCTTCCTCACACAGACCATCTCGCTGGACGAAAGCACGACTGTGAAGTTCGAGATCTGGGATACTGCTGGTCAAGAGCGATACAAGTCTTTGGCTCCCATGTACTATCGCAATGCGAACTGCGCTGTTGTTGTCTATGATATTACTCAAGCCGTATGCTCCCGGGTTTCCTGTCTTTTTGCTGATGCGCCTCACTAACGCTTGTGATAGTCATCGCTAGATAAGGCCAAGTCGTGGGTAAAAGAGCTTCAGCGACAAGCGAACGAGAATATTGTTATCGCTCTTGCAGGCAACAAACTTGATCTGGTTACCGAGAGCCCCGACAAGCGAGCGATCCCGACCGCCGATGCGGAGGCTTATGCTCGGGAAGCTGGTTTACTCTTCTTTGAGACCTCCGCCAAGACCTCGTCGAACGTGCGCGAGCTGTTCACGGCAATCGCGAAGAAGCTTCCACTTGACCAGGCCGGACCTCGGAACTTGCGGACAGCACCTCGTCCCGGAGTCGACCTCCGACCGGAGGCACCGGGCACCCAAAGTGGCGGTTCCTGCAATTGCTAGAGGCTATCTCAACCTTTGAGTTTTCTTGTATTTGCTGGTCCGCGATTAACTATTCATGCTTCGCTTTTGCTCTCTAGACACGGAAGATGCACGACCCCTAGCTTGACTGACTCGCCGGGGCCAGGACTGTGCTGCTTTCAACACAATGTTACACATTTTAATAGCTGTGCTGCCGCAGCTTATTGAACTTGCTCCGGTCGGCCAGTCCCATGTTGCTGTGATTTTCTAATACCCGGGCTCCCATGAACCGGTACCTCGTCTCCTCCCTCTTTGCCTTCCGGATCAAGACATTCGATGGATGTTACTGCAGGGAAAGTCCTATACGCTACAAGGCACGATCGGACATGGCTGTCTTTCCACTGCCAAGGCAGATTGAATGTTGTTTTACTATCGCTCTTGTGCTATTCGATGGTCTCGTTTTTGCTTCATGCTTTCGGCGTCCGTATTCTTCCCCGATTGGGTCCAAGCTATGCTACATTTCCTACCTTTATCCATCTACTGTTATAGTTTTCCAGTATGCTATGACTATATAATGTTCTTCCCAAGTTCCTTGCGGCTGGGCCTAATTTAGCACGTGGTAGTCTTTGCGTCACCGATTTGCGACGAGGTTATGAGTACTTACCTCTGGCGGTACACCTCTGATTGAGGAGTAATAGCTATAAATGAGGGCGCAATTGCCGTACATGTTATATAGCATAAATATAGAGAGTTTTCACTTTCAAGGTAAAAGATCAAGCGTGCTTAATCGTTTAGTGCTCGACTTCCAACCGGCACTAGCCACACTATGGCGGTGCGGAATCGGAGCGGACCGCAAAGGTAAAGCGGTATGATGAGTGTTCGAGGTCCCGATCCGCGTTTTCACTCTTTCTATCATCATCCCGTCCGACGACGCCGCCCCCAGTCCTTACCCCCAACAGCTGTGCGGCTCATCATGCTGCGCTCTTCTGTTCTACAGGGTCGGCAAATACTGTCGTCTTCGGCTCGCCCCAGGACAACGCCTCAATGGCTGTCCAGAGCCGGAGCAAGTAGCCGGCTAGCAGGTCAGGTATGGTGACGAAAACACCCGGTTTCTTTCTAGAGCTAGCGACTGACCAAGGCATACGTTGTTTAGAGATTCTTTGCTGATGCGAAGCCTCCCACCCCTGTCACTCCATCATCAGACACCGTTGTCCCACCGGAAACCGTATCGAAACCATCGCCGGGTACGCATATCTTCTCTTCTCCGGATGAACAGACATCGTAATACATTGGATACTAATGTCGATACAGCTGCCGACTCCCCTGCCACGCCATCCCCGGCTCCAAAGCGCAAGACTGGCCGCTTCCGGAGATTCCTCATCTATCTGATCCTGACATCCGGCCTTGCGTATGGTGGAGGTGTCTTCCTGGCGCTCAAGTCTGACAATTTCCACGATTTTTTCACAGAGTATGTCCCGTACGGCGAAGAGAGCGTGCTCTACTTCGAGGAACGTGATTTCTACCGTCGATTCCCCAACACATTGAAGACGCAGAAGCGACTTTCTGCCGCTCGGGATGAAGGCAGCAGGGTCACGATCCCTAGCAAGAGTGGACTTTACTCAAAGGAAGTCCAGGAGTCGCCAACAGGAAGCGATGTGTCTCAACCCGGTCCTCACATGAGTTCTGTCAGTCCAGACCGGAAGGATGAAGCGATTGTTGAGCCTGCTAGTGCGAAGCCCGAGGAAAAGACTGCTACGGTGCAGCAGGCGAAGAAGCAGGCTGCTCCCGAAGAACCCAAGAAGGAGAAGGAAGAGCCCAAGGTGCCTGCCCCTAACCCAATCACCACTCTTGAGTTCGCTACGGTCAGCGAAGGAGACGAGCCAATCGTCCAGGAGCTAGTCAAGACTTTCAACGACATCATCACAGTCATCAGCGCCGATGAGAATGCGTCCAAGTACGATAAGCCCGTTGCCAAGGCGAAGGAGGAGCTCCAGAAGATCGGCGAACAGATCATTTCCGTTCGGGATGAGGCACGTCGCGCCGCTCAGGAGGAAATTGAAAAGGTTCACGCCACCTTCGATGAGTCTGCTCGCGAGCTGATCCGTCGTTTCGACGAAGTCCGCTCCAATGATGCTGCTCAATACCGCGAGGAGTTTGAAGCCGAAAGGGAGAAGTTGGCCCTCGCCTTCCAGCAAAAGATTCAAACCGAGCTGCAGAGAGCCCAGGAGCTCGCCGAGCAGCGTCTTCAGAATGAGCTCGTTGAGCAAGCCATTGAGCTCAACCGCAAATATCTACACGAGGTCAAGGACCTTGTCGAGCGCGAGCGTGAGGGTCGTCTTAGCAAGCTCTCTGAGCTGACTGCGAGCGTTACCGAGCTTGAGCAGCTTACCACCGGGTGGAGAGAGGTAATCGAGACCAATCTCAAGACCCAGCAGCTTCAGGTTGCTGTGGATGCAGTCAGATCCGCTCTTGAGCGCTCAACGGTTCCGCGACCATTTGTGCGGGAGCTAGTTGCTGTCAAGGAACTAGCAGGTGACGATGATGTTGTCGAGGCGGCCATTGGGTCCATCAACCCCACAGCTTACCAGCGCGGTATTCCCTCAACATCTCAAATCGTCGAGCGTTTCCGCCGTGTTGCCGACGAGGTCCGCAAAGCCAGCCTTCTCCCCGAAGACGCTGGTATCGCTAGCCATGCGGCAAGCCTTATGCTGAGCAAGGTGATGTTCAAAAAGGATGCGGCCGCCGATAGTGACGATGTTGAAAGCGTACTGCTGCGGACCGAGAACCTTCTGGAGCAAGGCAACCTCGATGCTGCAGCTCGTGAGATGAATTCTTTGAAGGGTTGGGCCAAGATCCTGAGCAAGGATTGGCTGGCGGATGTGCGCCGAGTCTTGGAGGTTAAACAGGCTCTTGAAGTAAGCTTAATTCCCTTCTCCTGAGTGAGGTACAACGTGAAGAGCACCAACTGACTAAATTTCCTTCCAGGTAATCGAAACCGAAGCGCGCCTCCAGTGTCTACGGGTTGAGTAGATAGATACCATGTGCTATCTCTTTGCTTGATTGTAACTTTCGCCTCCTGTAAACAGGACATGTATCTCTAGTCATTTCCTAGTTGCTAGACCTAACACTAGTAGATTTCGTTTGTACCACCTGGGCAGTGACCGCTCGACTCTGTAGTCCGCTTATCTTATGATCGTCTTATCGGAGCTGTTTGTTGTGTTTGCAAAGCCACTGCAAAGTGCACGGGCAGGAGCCTGAAGGCCAGGCCCGAATGATCATCATGCTTTTCCTGCAGCGCCCTTCTTTTCATCATGACTATCCTCGTTGTCCGTTTGTGACGCTCCTATGCGTCCTGTGTTTTGCGACGCGCCGCCATTCGGTTGCCACGATTTCCTTGCCCACGTTGACCTAGGTGTTCCTAATGCGAAACCACCCAAGATACCGCGGCAAAACTCCTATATGATGTGAAGCGACTATCGATGAACTTGTCGCAGACCGAACTCTAACGTGAACCCCAACATTGACACTTGGATCGCGTAACTGCAGATGAGTAGGGAGCAAGCTGCCAGGGACTCGCCCGGCGGTAGCTCTCGTGGAGAGGAGCGAGGAACCAGAAGCCAGAGGCGAACGGCCAGCTCCAGCGGATTTCTTGTCGACTCGTTTGTACCCCGATCAAAAAGCTTCCGATCCAGTAATCGGCAAGCTCGTCTCTCCGAGTCCGATCCCCGAGGGAAGCGCGCAACGTCAGAAACCGAGCCTGAACCCAAAAAAAGATCGCGGTTTCATTGGGGTCGCCAGCGAGAGTCAAGGGAGTCGGACCCTATCGAACAGGATGTTATAGACGATAAGCGGGCTACTCAGTCACCGAGTTTTCCACAAGATACGATCTCTGAATCCCAGGGCGAGCCTTCACATGCACCAAGTGACAGGGCGAGCCGCGAATCCCAGGCTTCCCCCAGGCTAGACAGGGACTCTCTGCAGATTGTGAACCTCGCACTGAACCTAAGCGAGTCAAGACGAAGGGGACAGGTTGGTTATACAACACCCAATCGTGCTTCAGGTACATGGACATCGTCAGCGGATGGCCGAGCTTCTGCTGCAGGCAGCAATTTGAGTCGCGGCTCCTATGCTGGCCATAATGCCCGTCAGTCTATGGGGGATGATCGTGTGCACTCTTCCAAGTCGCCCGCTGTGTCTTTGTCGACAAACTCTGTACTGAACTCTCTTCCCGAATCCGCAAAGGCCGAAACGGTACCGCAGGGTATATCTGGGGGCACCTTCGCGCGAGCTGCGAGTGCTCGACATCATTTTGAGCTCCGTTATGAATATCTACGCCTTCTGCCTTCTCTTCCACCTCTCAGGCCGCTTGAATCCCAAGCTACCACAGATTCCTCCCGGGATCCACGCGCACAATATCCCCAGCATCGTGCTTACAACCCACTCCAAGCCATCCGCAATCGCAAAGTGAGATTTCGGGAGCGTTGCCCAATTGACACAGAAGGTGATGGCTGGAACGACGTCGACAAAGTGCACAGCTGGATTGATTTAATCGAAGCCGGATACAGTCGCCAGGCGCGAAGCCCGCTCGAGTGTCTCGTTCTCCCGCCTTTCCAACAAGGGCCTCATGATGCGTCAACGAATCAAGGCCCAGATGATGTTGGCCCGTCCACCGCCTCCCCACCATCTAGCGTACGGCAAATCAGCCGCACAGGCAGCCTCAAGGCGCGCAGGCCAAGGTCTGATTGGATCATATACCCTGAAGAACTACTCGCCGATGCGGCCTGGGTCGAAGAGACGCAGAACAAAAGCCGAATCGTGGATAAAGATGGAAATGCCCTCTATCCCAATCCAAGTTCCCTGGTCGTAAATGATTCGCAGCAAGAGCAAGTACAGGGCAAGAACTCTCTCAGTACTGGACGCCCTTCGTCTCATACATCGGTATCCGATGCTCGACGAAGCATGTCGGTAGAAATCATTGACCCCAATCGCGGACGCCAACGGCGCAAATTCAAAGCTCCTCTTTACTTAGCGCGAAGTAGCAGTCCGTCTGACCATGAATCAGCCTCGAAACGTCACAGGTTCAAGATCCAATCGCCGAGCTCTTCAGACTCGAGTGACGATGAGAAATCATACCGTGATCCCTTCAGAACCAATGCCACGTCACGCAGACGGTCTGTATCGCCTTTACGAAGAAAGGGAAATCTTTGGAATGAAAAAAGGGGCTCCCTGTCATCTGTGCCGAGTGCGGATGATCGTTATGATCCCCTATTTCTGGCGAAAATGGAAGGCCGCGGATCTAGTATAGCTGCGGATCCCGTCTACTTTCCTAGCATTGCATCTAATCTGTCTCCTCCGTCGAGCCGCGCTTCCTCGCCTGCTAAGCGAGGTTTGCCCCGCGCACCTGGAAGAGCGCACAGTCGAAGTAGTCATCACAGAAAGGGCGTTGACGACGACAGCTCTGTTGATATCGAAGCTGAACATATGAACAGCCTTCCTGTGACGGAACCTCTCTCCCACGAAACCGAACCCGCGCCTCTTCCCGTCAGGGCCTCAACATTCCATGCAGAGACCGTACAAAGGCCAAGTAATCATGAACGAAGGGATTCCGCTCAGCATGAGTCAAAATTACGTGGCATATTCAAAGGCCCCGGCAAGATTGCTGGAAAGGTTGGCAACGAGGTCTCGAAGATGGGCGACTTCATCCTTAAAAAGGATGTGGCAGTTCATTCACGCAAATCGTCCAGTGCTCTCTCCGATGACAGTGATTGGGATGATGAAGAAACAAGGACCGAGAAGCGTGCCATTCCCCGAGCTATTCTACGCCGCTTGCCTACCTTTTCCGAGGATCCTAGCCGATCGTCACCCAGGAATTCCGACAAGTCTCTCACGAAGAATCCTCAGATACCACCCAGTATAGTCGAGCCTCGACAGAATGGCGATGATACCGAGATTCGGCCAGGCGGTCTGGCTGGCTCTCATGGCCGACTTATGGATCTCCAGGGTGATGCAAGCAATTCCCCCAAAACCCACCGTAGCAAGCTATCTGCCCATTCCTTGATACGTGGTCGTCGGCCTCTTCAGTTTGGCCCTGAGATACATAACATACGAGACGAAATCAGAAGAGGTCGAATCAAAGATGAATCAGTCCCATATAGCATGGCTCGTCCTCCCGTCACGGGTCTTGCGCAGGCGCAACCGACCCCAGTTTCGTCCTCTCGTGACGGCCGTCCCCCATTATCGAGTCAGACCAGAAGCTGGAGTATTTCTGACCGCAGTGTCTCGATTTCCATCGAATCTGGTGTACCAGGAAAGCAGGAGGTGGAGCGCACCCGAGCCCTACTTTTGTCGTCAGGAATCAAGGCTCGTGAGATTGCACGTCGCGCAGACAGCGTACGCAATCCTCCGCCCGAGTTCCTTCAACGCGCATTTGGCCCCGACATGACTGTACCGTCAGTTCCGCAGTTATACGAGCATGAAATCGCCAGTCGAAGACTGCTCAAGCGAATCGAAGCATCTCACAGTTCGTTCGAGGGCTCCATGGAGCGCGCCCCGAAAGCCGCGTTTGCACCACTAAAGACACAACTGACTATGCTGGAGGATCTGATCAATAAGTCGCTCAACACCCGGGTCCGTGCTGCTGCTGAGGAGGCCGAGCAGCTCAGTATGCAGCTCAACACGACCAGCACGCTTGCAGTCAAACAACTCAGCGAAACTCTTGACCATGGCATCCGCAAGCGTGGCCGTCGACTGCGATGGCTGCGACGGACTGGATTTGTAATGCTTGAATGGGCGCTGATTGGGCTGCTGTGGTGGGTGTGGTTGATCGTTGTTGCTTTTAAGCTTCTCCGCAAGCTTCTTCACGGAATGGTATCCGGCGTGAGATGGATATTGTGGCTATAATTGCTGTGTCTATGCTCTTAAATTGCCGCCTGCCGAAGCCAGAGCATTTTTCAATTCTCTCTTGTATATCTATAGTTACGATTTATAATTTGAAGGGCATGTATCTACTTAATCAATGATGACCAACTACTTATGATTCACAAACTATTGCACTTCCTGGGAACCATCCATGGCTCGTTCATACATGTTAGAAAATGATATATTCTAGCAAAACAACATCCAGGCCCCTACACCATCTACGCATTGACTCTCTCCCTCCCTATATATACCACTACACCGCCTCCAGATAGGCTCTAAATTCTAATTACAAACGAAATAATTCCCCGCAACAACCTCCCCAAGCCCCAACTGCCCCACCACCCCCTGCACATCAAATCTCATCCTCCCAAGCCGACTCTTGGGCCTCCCCTTCAACTTTTGGGGCTCAGGAACACCAGCCCCGGGCGTCTGCTTATACAACATAAACACATACCGATGCGGCGCTGTCCCTGGCGGTGGGTAAGCTGGGAGCCAAGGGACGATGACGGGGTCGGTGCTCCTGAGTTCGATTTCTTGCGATTGTTCAGACTCTGCTTCTGGCTCTGGGACTACGAAGCCGGTCTGGATCCAGTGGACGATGGGGCTGAGGGCGTTGAAGGAGGTGTAGGGGGCGTCGATGTCGATTGCGATTAGGGTATACAGGCCTGGTTGCAGGGGCGCTGTCTTGGGGGCGTAGAGGGTCGGTGTTGAGCGGGTTTCTGGATGCTGTTAGGGACTGTCATGTGTCATGTGCCTACTGTGTTTCTTTTCCCCCAGCTCTTTTTTTCGTTTCTTGACGTACCTGCTTTAGGCACTTTAGCGCCTGGTGTGACTGTCTGCGAGCCGACGCGCAGGCCTACCGTAGCATGGGTCCCCGTTTCGACTTCTTGGATGAAAGTTTCATATTGTGATACATCAGGCATTGCGAGTGCCGGTGCTTAGTCTCGTAGCTCCCTGCAAAATTGAAATTCAAGGAGAATTGGGAGGTGGCTGAGATGCAAGCAAATATTCGGAGTTAACGGCCGAGAGACGGAGGTTAGAAGGATGCCCCCGGAAATTGGAATCGGCAGAAGAGAAGCTTATCATGTTGTTGTGGGATGAAGTCCATCCTTCTTATAGTGCCTTCTCTGTTCTTCTAGGTCGTCTTGCTTCCTTGGCAACAGTTGATTATTGATCCTTTGCCAATAGTTTGGAGGTTAGGAAAAAGCAAATATCTACATGTTTGTGCTTGCACTTTATATAGTTTGAAGCCTCAACGTGGTGCAGCTAAGACAGTGAGCAGTGAAGATAAATAAATCCAGATAACGTGGATTTGATTATAGGCTTAATCTGGATATGTTTATCTTTATTCTACTAAGAGATGCAAAAAAAAAAAAAGAGCCGACTGTTCCATTCAAGCTCATGCTAAGAGACCCGTCTACCCCAAGTTATCCGTCTTAGCTACAGGCCTTCCGAGGATATCAGCGACCATGCTCCTCCATGCAACCAACTTTCCTTCCTGCCCACCAACCCTCAAATCGGATGCCTTTCGGCCCTCGATGCTGCAAATTATCGCCAACGCCGCGTCCGTCGTGACCCAGCCAGCCGTCGTGCTTCAAGTGCGCCGAGAAAGAAATCGTCTGCTCCGGCTACTCCACGTCAAGGCCCCTGCAATGGCAGCATTACTCACGTGAAGAAATTCAGGCGCCGCCTGCCCCTAGAATGCCTAATATAACCAGGATACGTAGAGAATGATGACGTTGCCCCGGTGGAAGTTATTATTGATGCGATCGCTTACTATGTGTTGCAACATATCCATCAACACCCGGGACAGTACACCCTGATAACAAGAGGCAAAACAATTAGATAGTAAGGTCGCACCTGACCTATCAGCATCCCAACTAAGCAGGTTCGAAATGATCTTAGCCACATGGCTGGAGGTTGAAAAAGCAGATTGACATCTGCAAGTCAGCATTCTCACTTTACCCAGAGCACTTCGGCAGCAGACAACCTACTGGCCCAAGGTGAATAAGCTGGAAAAGATAACATCTCCGTCCGTGTTCATGGCTTGTGGGTAGGAGGAAACTCTCTTCCTGAATCTGCTGGATTTCTTGACTGCCACCTCATGATGATTGATGTTTATGGAATGGACACGCCCAGTCCTGCGTCTGTATCTCGGCACCTAAAGAATCTTGCCTGGGTTGGCCAGCTTGACTTTGACAGCTGAACCTTGCATCTGTTCCAGAAGGAATATTGAGGACTACGATCTATATAGATATTTTCCGCGCAGGTGGAGGTTAACCGGGATTGGCATTTTACAGTTGGACCTATTATCTTGATTTGAGGTATGAATACTTGTTTAGGATGGAAAATACCAGCAGTGAGGAATCCTTGATATCTAATATATTTACTGATGGTTATTGACTCCCGGAAGATTGAGTGCTATAACTTTCTTCATCGGCCTGCACCATACCTCATTGTTACACACAACTCTTGTCTCACAAGGCCATGCAGCCCTAAACAAAGATATCACGGAAGACCATCCCCAGTCCCACTGCCTTGTCAAAGACACAAAGACTCATAATGAAGCCCATTCAGTTCAGGCAACATATAAATCCCCAGAGAAGCAGGGACCCTTCCTCCTCATCCACACACCTGCTCAGGACTGTCTCTACACTGACCCCTGCCCTTATCGCTCTCTACCTCTATCCAAACACGCCTTCCACAGAGCTTGGTTCATCATCATAACCATCAGCAAGCAAAATGCCCAGCTCAACGCAGAAACCAGAGGTAGGCCTAGGCCGCACCTCAGTTCCTCCGCGCCCCAAGGCCGCGGTGCACCGGGGAAATCAACTGATGGCATCCCTTCAGAGCGAGCTTGCCAATCTCCCCGAATCTCTCGCATCAGACTCGTCGCTATACGAGCTTGTCGACTCGCGTTGGGTCTACGCTACGTCCATATCGGTCTCAATATCGACGTCAGCATCAAGCTCACCGTCCAATACCTCGTTCACAAATTCCTCAGCAAACACCAGCGCAACAAGCATCTCGAGCACGACCACGGTTTCCATTTCCATCTCCACATCAACCCACCACCTCTCCCTCGTGATAACCGGATGCATACACGCGGGCATGTCGGCCTGCGAGATCGGGCAGTATCTGCACCGGGTTACACGTGCAAACGCGACCGACTGCTCCGCCACTGCCTCAACTTCAACCACACCAAATCCAACACCAGTCTCCAGTGCCGAAGCTAGATCTGGAACCCAAGCTCAACCCGGAGTCGGCCTCGTATCCCGCATGATAGCCCTCAACAAACCCTACGCCACCATCGCAACACGAGTCATGCGTGTCCTTGACCTCCGCAGCTCGGACGGCTACCCGCTGTATGCATACGTTGACCCTGGCGACGTAGGTCTTGTGCCGAGGCCCGGTGAGCCCACGAGGAATGATGATTCAGAATCCGAAGAGGATGGGGGTGAGAATAGACAGGGATCGGAAAGCCCGGGCCCCAAGCGCGTGTGGCACTGGGGGCCAGGTCAAGGTCTACTTCGCTGGCCGCTACCCGATATGAGCAAGGAGGAGATTGAGGGACTGGTTGAGGTTCGGGATGATGAGGCCGAAAGGGCCAAGACTGAAAGGATGGAAGGGGAGGAGCATGGAAAGACGGTCCATCTCCCCCGGCTGGGATGCGTCAGTCATTATACTGTGATAATTGTGTACCCTTCTTCATCTTTGCCGAGGTCAATACGGGTGGAGTTTGAAGAGGTTGGGGATGAGTCGGGTTCGAAGTAGTTGTGAAAAGGATGCTCGTACAGATTTTCTCTATTTGCGTACCTTACTATGTGGAGCTGGTTTCTTAGTTTGTACTGGTTGGGGTTTAGTTTTTACTTGGTACTTTGGGTGCTATTTACGAGAAGAGTGGTTGAATACTAGCAGAATAGTCAAATGTTGATTCTAGCATTGGCTATGCTATATTATTGAATTGTTTCCCTCTTTTAAAAGCATTTCCAATTCAATTTCAGTGAACATGAAATATGGGCAAAATATACAAATACAATAACCCTATCTAATCTTGTGAGCGTAACCTTGTAGTATCAAGCCTTAACTCATGACGAACAACAGCCTAAGTAATAGGTCCGAGCTGTCAAATAAAACATCAAGTACTTTCTAAGGCTCTAAAGTCCCAAGGACTCTTTCTGCAAATAAGTATAATTGCCAATCCAAAAACACCAAAATCCCACAACCCACGGCCCTGCCCCATCCAGCCAATCGATCATACATCAAGGTTTCTCGAACTAGTTTACTACATGCACTCCAGAATCCACCCCTCAAGAAATCTAATAATGCATCTACTCCCACCAAACAAGATCCGTCTGCCTCAACGTATTCGACCCACAATGAACCTCCCCGCCCCAAACATGATGACTCAAAAAGTCATCGATCCACCTCACACTCATCCCAGCCCTACCATACGCCCCCTCAACCGCCCGCGCAAAGACATCCGTCCCATTAACCACAGGACCCCAGGACTTCGGACCCAAATACCGCTTGCCAAGCACAATGCCATTGATAGAAGCCGGGTAGAACGACACGAGCCTCCTTTCGCCGGCCATGGTGGGACTCACACGTCCTGGGAGGCCGTTGATGCCTTGGGAGATGTCGAAGGGGAAGTTCGAGTCGCGGAAGAGGGTTGGGATGCGGACTATGTCCGAGGGGTCTAGGGGGATTTCGGAAAGGAGGGTTTGTAGGTTCGCGTCTATGTGGCGTTGTGCGTAGGCATTTGCGGAGGTAAAGGTGGAGTTTTGGAGGAGTTCGGTTATGGTGAGGTTGAGGCTGGGCTCGTAAAGAGTTACATCAGGGGAGGGCTCGTAGCTGCTGGCGGGTGTGTTACCGTAGCCGTTCGCTTCGAGGTCTTTGAGGAGACCCATGGCCGATTCTGTATCTGCGATGCTAATCGTGAAGCCGAGGTCGTTGTCATAGGGCAGGAATTGCACGAATTCGTCGACATGACCAACAACCAGCCAGCCGGCTTCGAGGATCAGGGGAGACTGAACCTGCTGTGTGTAGAGAAAGTCTAGGAGGGCTCTAGCGGGAAGCTCGTCAAAGTGTTTGCCCATGATTATGCGACCTGCTCTGTAGGAGACTCCACTCTTCGATGTGTACGGCGGAATGGTCTCGAGGTTCCCGTAGCTGTCGATCTCGCGATGACCAAATCCTGAACCTGAGCCGCTGACCGGTTGAAAGCCTCCGATGCCTGGACCGCGGAGTTGCTCAAAGACCTGTCGGCCACCCGTTCGCGTGGACTGTGGGGAGCGCAGGAGCACGCGAATGGAGATGGGCCCGCTGGGACCGGGCATGCTGGCATAGCCTGGCTCGATGAAGTCTTGGGCCCAGATATCAGAGGACTGGTTGAAGAGGAGGAGTGGGCTGGTGATACCTGCTTCCTCACGTGCTTCATCGAGTTGGTGCACGAAATCGAGCTGGATTGGGTTAGAGGAGTTGGACGCTGTGCTGACTAGTGTTTCCACGGTCTGGAGGTGGTTGTGTGTAAGGACTGGGGCCATCTTTAGGGCGACGGCATCCGAAGCATGAGTGGCTCCGTCAGTTACATCGAATCGGACGGTAACCAAGCCATCCCAGACGGAGGAGTTTGTCGCGAGCTCCCGCCCATCAATACCAAGGGTAATCCCGGAGAGTAGTTGGGTTGAGTTGAACGAGAATTCCTGGTCAATGAGACGCCATGATGTTGTCGAGTTGGTGTCCGAGGGATTGTCAAGAACAAACAGCCGGACCCGGTCGTATGCAGCTCGGGGTGTTGCATAGATATGAGCCTCCGCGTCCTCCGAGACGTTCAGAGGGAGTGTCTTGAGCGGCGCGACATATTCTGGCGCAAGAAGAAGGTGGCCCGAAGCATCATGGCAGGCAGAGAGTTCATCATTGCTCCATGGGTTGCCAACAGCGTCTGTCCGGGTGCATCGCATATGTTTATCACCAATGTTGGGTAGAAAGATGGCCCCATGCTGCGGAGTCCAGAGCGCTTTATTTCCTGAGTCTGAGGAGCCTTCCACGTCGACCAAGCCGTCCCGATTCGAGTCAGCACGGATATCAGGCTTGAGGCATGAGACAACAACAGCATGAGCTGCCAAGGCGAGATGGAGGAAGCGAGACGTCTTGCCCATTTTGGTGGATTAGAGAACAATAAGAGAGAAAAGAGTGAGTGAGTCACGTCACTGCATTGGGCCTTCGGATCAAAGGGCACTCTGGCTTTATATGTTTTAGTCCTCTGTCCATCATCGTTTCTACTATGATAATCAGCACCATATACATGGTAGAGGAGAACATGGCGCTATGCCTGAATAGGTTAGAATTCTGGCCAAGACTTGGTATAGTGAGGCTGTGGAACTGACTTCGACCCAGAGTAGCATCATGACGACGATCTCACTCAAGTAGCTCGATTTGCTGTTGCCTTGCGTAACATATTCCCTTGTCTCATGTGTAGTACTATTGTTGGATTCGAGTTGTTATTGTATTCATTATGGGGCCATGTTTCGGCCTTGATGTCGGGAGTGCGATAACGCAGCAAAAGAGAATCGACCTTGAGTCTAGCGCTGATTATATCGTGCTTCTTATCCACCTTTATGTTGTTGAGGTGGGCATAAGTTTGGCGAGGGCCTTATCTAGCCCATAATGCCAGCTAATCGCTCCAATGAGTCAACTTGTTCATGATTGTTTCTCAGGCCCTCGCATTGTATTGTACGCCAGAGGGATCGTGTTCTGGGGTTTTGGCCTCGATGAGAGTCAAAGTATACGCCTGGTGCTGTGTTTCTTGAGTTCGCTGATACAAGCAACAGCGGTGCATATACTTACCGGCTGAACGGCGTTGGAAGGATTTTTGCCTTATTTATCACAGGTTTTGAGCAAGCATCGATGAAGCCCATGCCGGACAGGCCCAAAAGGCGCTGGGCAGCGGGAAAACCAACGTCGTCCAGGCCGTTGCAAAGCGCCTTCACGAAGCAGCGCAATATGATCGCCGCGGCCAGGATCGTACCATTCCCTTCCAGAGCTTGCTGCTCTTAATGGCAAGGGCACCGGAAACTCGAAAATGTAAATTAGCGAGCATCATGCAGCTGCTCAACCAATGTGGCTTAATTCCAGATCCGCGAGCTCTGGGGTAGTACACGGGAAACACTAGAATCTCTAGGTGCTGCGGTCGATGAAGTCGCCTTTCCATTGATCATACGCGTTTAGGGCGCAAGCGAGCCTGCCTGGGAGATCCATTACTCCATTTCTATTATGGTTGACGACCTTCAGCCTCGAGCTTAAGTCAAGTCGCTGCCCATGCGAGTGGCTACTTTGTGTGCGCAAGGTCAGCATTACAACACAGTCTCTGGTCCGGTTCGGCTCTTAGATACAGATCCAGCCCTGATCCAGCCCTGACCTTTCCGCAGCTGGCCAACGCACTCCTAGGGCGACACTAAAACCAAGTTTGCAACAGGACGGCGTCGACTGCGGTGATAGTAGAAGGCATCAACGGCCACAATGGCTATGTTGGCGATATCTTAGGGTTAGGATCGTACCCGAAAGCCCTAGAAGCTCGACGCAAGCGCCCTTGGAGACCTCAATGGACAAAAGCAACCCTGATGTCTTCGTGCGGCCATCTGTTGGCGATGTTCGGTGCTCGAATGCTGAGACGAATAAAACACCTGCAATCCACGCGTGGCGAAACTCGATCTTTTTCTCACACGGGAACTATGCAATCCGAAAACCTGAAAATTCGGTGTACCGACTGTCAACGTCGCCATGGGAACGACTAGTAATTCTCTATACGCCTGTCGCCTGTCGATCCGACCTTTGCCTCGAAAGCATATGATAAGATGCTATCATTGGTTACGGGCATGACCAGAGCCTCGCAACGGAGGTTGTTGTGATAGGGACGGCTCGAAGCGGCAGGTCGGATGGGAATTGAAGGAACAAACAGGATGGAACCAATCAGAAGGCATTGTCTATCAGTTTGATTGCTTCTCGAAGCACACTCGACCTATAAAACACGTGATATAGTTCTCACCGACTGCTTGCTGGTCCTGCACGATCTGCGCTGCACTGAGCTCCCGTTGCAGAATCGAGCTTGGACAGCAGCAAGCTAATGCAGGAGGACGCGCTGACCGTCCTATACGAGGCAGAATAATACCTGGACAGGCAGATTGCGACGCCGTGAATGGCTGAGAGACGTCTGCGGAGTCGACTGGCTCAGACGTGAAGCAGCCAACTGGCTCGAAAGCCTCGGGCCCATGCAGAGCTGAAACCAAGTACAGAACAGGAACCGATACATGACATAACCGCACAGTAAAATGATAGGATCATGACTCACGCGGGAAACCTGTGTTTTGGGATAGACTCGATGCTGGGATGCTGTGCTGAAGATGGAGTCCTTGCGGCTTGGGCGGGAAACCAATGGGAAGTGCCGCAAATTGGCGACGTCACGGGCAGGACTGGCAGGACCCCACGAGAACCACACGGGATCAAAATCCAATTGATCCAAAACTCTCGCCCGCACTCTCTCCTCCGTCTTCCTTTTCCCTGCTCTCATCCTTTTTCACCACGCAAAGAAAAGGTACGTTTTTCTCGCCGCGAATCTCTCCCCGGTCGCACCCTTGCTCGTCATGTCTCTGTTCCCTGTTCTCGAACCTCCCCTTCCGGTTTCTGCCTGGCGCCGTGTGCCCTCTGCCCTAAGTGCGCCAGGGCCAGGCCACCGTCGTTAAAAATCTGCACCCACCGGCGGAGGACCTTGCTCCTCCCCCAACCCCCCTCGACCGGGACAAATAAATCTCTCATCCAGTCTCTTGGACCTTCTCAAGCTGACCGCCGGTTCTCTCAATCAGGACTGGAGCAATAAATACCGCGGGAGTCCACCGATTCCCAATTTTTTGAGACGTTCCGTCATCTACCCCTCACCACACACCGAGCACCTCCTCGTGCTTCTCAGCCAGCCTTTGGGATTCTCCGGTTCCAAAGGCCATTTTCCTCGACACCACGGCTTACACAGCCGCGTTCTCTCTCCTTCGTCACATTGTATCTCCGCGACGTCTTCGAGACACTCTTAACAACATTCCCCCTCCTCCTGGTCCCTCGAACTCCTCCGATCGGTGCGCCATTTTTCCATAAATTGACGCCCTCAGAAATTATCCCCTCACCCATTGAGCTGCCGCATAGGACTTCTCTCACGGTTCTTCCTCTTAAGGAGGAAGGGTCTCGGAGGCTTGGTCCAGTCAACTACGGTTGCGAAACTTTTCGCCCTCCCTAGCACGCAGTCGCGTATAAATCTTTCTTCATCTCTTCTTTTGTCAAGTCGTAACCAGTGCTCCATCCGCGCGCATGGTTATGGCACCGACTGCTTGTGTACCTGCTGAAGTGTGCATCACCAAACCTTTTGATAAGGATTGTTATTTCAATAACAATCTTCATCTCAGCAATCATGGAGAGGACGATCTGTCGCAATCTCGGTTGGCTGCCAAGGACCTGGTCCTGAACGTCTTGAAGAAACGCGCCGCCGAAGTCAACACCGACCTCTGTGGCCCTGGAGAAGAAGATGCCTTCTATGTGGCAGACATGGGTGAGGTTTACCGCCAGCACCTCCGCTGGAAAATGAACCTCAGCCGCGTGCGCCCGTTCTACGGTAAGCCTTCACATTCTCTGGGAGTCATGGATTGATGCTGACCAAGCTTAGCCGTCAAGTGCAACCCCGATCCCGAGGTTCTTCGCCTCATGGCCAACCTTGGAAATGGCTTCGACTGCGCGTCCAAGGCCGAAATCGATCTGGCTCTCCAGACCGGTATCGACCCGAGCCGCATCATCTACGCGCAGCCCTGCAAGACCAAGTCGTACTTGCGCTATGCCGCCACCGTGGGCGTCAAGCAGATGACCTTTGACAACTCCGACGAGCTGTACAAGATCAAGGCCAACTACCCGGAAGCCGAGCTCTACCTGCGTATCCTCACCGACGACTCGAACAGCTTGTGCCAGTTCAGCATGAAGTTCGGCGCGTCCATGGACAGAGCCCGCCACCTCCTCGAGCTCGCTCACGAGCTTGAGCTCAAGGTTGTTGGCGTCAGCTTCCACGTCGGCTCCGGTGCCGAAGATCCCAAGGCTTTCCTCAAAGCCGTCCAGGATGCGCGCCTCGTCTTTGACTACGCCGCCGACATTGGCCACGAGCTCCACACTTTGGATGTCGGTGGTGGTTTCACTCACGAGACCTTTGAGAAGTTCGCCGGTGTTCTGAGCGACGCCCTGGACACTTACTTCCCGCCGCACATTCGTGTTATCGCCGAGCCCGGTCGCTACTACGTTGCTTCCGCCTTCACCTTGGCGGCCAACGTCATTGCGCGCCGTGCCGTCCAGGATCCCGAAGATCCCGCAAGGGGTGCCTACATGATTTACCTCAACGATGGCGTGTACGGAAACTTTTCCAACATCATCTTTGACCACCAGCACCCCGAGGCTCGCATCCTTTCCTGCCAGGCCCCTGCGACCGGAGTCAATGTTGCATACTCTATCTGGGGACCCACCTGCGACGGAATTGACGTCATCAGCCAGCGTAGTCTGCTTCCCGGTTTGATCGATGTCGGCGACTGGCTCTACTTTGAGGAAATGGGCGCCTATACCAAGTGCAGCGCGACCCGCTTCAACGGCTTCTCGGACAACCACGAGGTGATTTACATCTCGAGCGAAGCGGGCGCCTCTGCTCTTCTTGAATATTAGTCTGTTATGTTTGTGATCTTTGTCTTGTCAGCCTTGCAGCTCTAATATTGATGTTGGTCCTTTGTGAAGGTCTTGCCTATAGAGTAGACCTGTCCTTGAACTGTTTATTCTTCGGTAATGAAAATTGCGATTCATTGTTCATGCTGCATCATATATCTTCATACAACTCTAGAATATCTAGTTATCTCCAGACATAGTCTAATCGTATCTAATCTCTATCGCACCCGTCGAAGCCCGCTCCGACAGCCACAACCTGGCACTCTATACAAGCCGCTCAACACTCAACTCCCCAATCCCGCCCTGCCCCTTGACCAAATCCCCAGCCTCCAACTTCTTCTTCCACTTCGCACTCTCATAGCGCGCAAGGATGAGCGTAATCCTCGCCAGAACAGTCGGATCAGACGCCTCTGCAACAGTTTCCGATGGAGTGCACGTCCAGCGCCCAAACGCCCAGTTCAGAATATAGTACGCCGCTTTAGCCTTGCCGTCACCCGCCGTTGCGGGCCGCTCATCGAGGTTATCTGAGGACGTAGCGGGGGGTGTCAGCGGCGAGGTCCGCAGGATGCCCTTGATCCGATAGACTTCTTCCTTGGAGGCTGTTGAGAGAAGTCGTTCGAGAGCGGGGATATCAACCGTCCCGGTTTCGCCATTGGATCCGGTGCGTAGCGTGAGGGACAGGACTTCGACTTCACTTTGGTGATCATGCTTATGCCCGTCCCCATTCTCATGTCCATGCCCATGCTCACCATCCTCAAGCACAATCCCCTCCTTCGCAACCAACGCCCCATCAATCCCCAAGAGAACCCCCTTCTCCACCCGTCCACGATCACTCTTAACCCACGCCGTCTCAACCCCCAGATCCCCGACGCGATCAAGGACCTCATCGAACCTGCGTTCCGAAACCCCCTCCCACTTATTAAACACAATCAAATCCGTATACCGCGCCTGGATCTTCGCCGTGTAACTCGTATCCTCGTACCCAGCCCAATTCTCGACGTCAATGACGCTCACGACCCCATCGAGGATATACCCTTCGCCCGGCGGAGACTCGCGCGCGAGCCGGTTGACTTCCATCGCGAGCGTTGCGGGGAATGCGCTCCCCGATGTCTCGATGATGATCCGGTCTGGTGGTGGGGAGATTTCGGAGCGAAGTTGCGTGAGCGCGTCGGAGAGCTGCCCGACGAGGTTGCAGCAGATGCAGCCGTTGAGGAGTTCGCGGACGCCGGAGATTGCGGAGGTCGAGGCGAGTTGGGAGTCGATGGCGACGTCGCCGAATTCGTTCTTTAGGAGTGCGAGTTTGTAGGTTTTGGGGAGTTGCGGGAGGAGGTTTAACAATAAGGTGGTTTTTCCTGAGCCCAGGAAGCCCGTTAGGATTGTTATTGGGATTGGCGCCATTGTTTCTTGTGTTTTTGTTTTATCGATAAGCGACACAGAGAAAGAATGAGTGATGTATAAGGTGTAACGAGTGTACAATGAGAAAAGCTGAAGATTGAAAGTTGAAGATGGCTCGGAGGATAGAAAAGTGGGGGAGGGGGATGAGATGCCGCTATTCCTGTTTCGGTTGGCCTGCCCTACACCGGTGCCGCATATGTCCGACCGGGCGAAGTATAAAGTGCTTACATGTATATTCTATCTGAACGGTACGTTGTATAGATAGCTTTGTACCAGCAATCTACGCACCCATATGAGGCCGAGTTGCGTCTGTCAGCCCCTCAAACGTCTTGCGCCGTTTCTCAAGAATGTCGAAGAACACCTCCCGAGGCGGGATGTACCCCACAACAACTGTATCCTTGCCCGCTTCAAGACCCTCGAATGCCTCGTTTGTAAATTGATCGATTGGCATTCCAAGTGTGGCGCCTTTTTCTCCCATATAGTCGTGTAGCTCGGCTGTTGAGTGTTAGTCGTACTCGGGGGATACAAATGGGAGGATGGGAACAAACTTTGAACCGCAGGAGGCATGACTTCGATGATTTTGACCTTGCTCTTGCCCTTCAACTGTCCACGCAGCGAAAGTATGAAAACGTTCAGTGCCGCCTTAGACCCGGAGTAGCCCGGCGCCCAGGCCATGGGAATGATAGACAGGTTGGTACCGGTACTATCACAGTCAGCTTGTCTCCGTCCCATATCTAATCCGGGATTGAACATACAAGATAAGACTAGCAGGCACAGTCTCAGCCTTCAACTTCAAGTACGGCAAAAATGCACGCGCAAGCGCCACGATGCTAAACACATTCACATGGAACTCGTTCTGGAAGCTCTCAAAGTCCCAGTCATCACTGGCCATATCATATTGTCGCTGGAGACCGGCATTGAGCCAAACACCGTCGAGGTCGGGGTACTTTGCCGCGACGTCCTTTGCAAACTGCGGGATCTTATCAAGCTGGCTGATGTCGAAGACGATGGACGACGCCTTGTCCTCACCGTGCTTGGCCACAAATTCGTCGAGGCGGTCCTTGCGCCGGCCGACGGCAATCACTTTGGCGCCGTTCTCGATGAGGCGATCGGCCACGGCGCGGCCAATGCCTGAGGTTGCGCCGATTATGAGGAAGTGCTTGTACGGGAAGGACATCTCGCAGTTTCTCGAAAGTAGACGTTTCCAATTGTGTCGATGGGAAGGATATCGTTGCCTTGCGTATTGGCCTGTTGACAAACCTCAATATCCCCCTCGGCTAGAACATACTTATACCCCCTTCTCCCTGTGATTCTATCCGTGGAGAACGGATATACTGTGCGGTCATAAATGCGTAGACCGAACCACACTCATGGCTCCGCTTGAGGACCAGGGAATGGAGTACCAGGGGAAGTTCATTTTGTCCATGGATCCCACATTCAGGAACAGAAAGCTTTTTTTTTTTTGGCGCGGCTTCCATGGTAAACCCCGGTGTAGTGGACTTGTGTTCATATCAACAGGCCTTGGAAGTGCCAAAGTCAATCATGTTCCGTGAACAGCACGGTATCATGTCAGAAGTTGCGACTAACCCTGTTCAAGTAGCATATTTGCCATCCAGCCTGGCCGTAACTCCGGAGACCGTCCACGCATGGGTCGCAGCGGCAGAACACGAGCAGAGACTAGTAGCGCATCGAAAACTGCCAAAATACGGAGTACTGCCATCTGTCTCCGCTCCTACAGCCTCCAGCGTCCAGAGTCCAGAGTACTATGAGTGACGTCATATGACCGCTCCCCTGCATGTAAGGCAGAACAATTATTTAGTAGGGCTGATTCAACTTTCCCAAGTTCACCTGGAGACAATACATCATCTTCTCTATTCCCCTGCAGAAAAAAAATGTCCGGAAACCCTACAGAGCAAGTCAAAGAAGTCCTTACCGCGGCGGCGTCTACATCCAACGAATGGGCGCAGAATAACGTCGTGAACCCTATCCGCTCGTATCTAACGACGGAGAAAAGTTCGGAGACCGGTGCGTTCTATACCCTATCTGGTCTTGGCCCATTTTTTGGTTGGGGCAGTGCATGACAACAACTCCTCAAACGATGTACTCCTGTTGATCTGTTGATGAGCTAATACAAATGAAATGCGATAACAGAGAATCCCGAGAATAATATTTCGCCCGAGGAGAGCGAGCAGATTGATCGCATGGACAAGGAAAAGGTTGCAGAATTCTTGCAGGAGAAGCACAAGAGTACGGCTGGGATGAAACAGAAGTCATGAAAACGGAAGAAGTAAAGGAACGGGGGTTACTATCAGGTTGATGTATGGTAATGTGATCATGAATAATGCTAATGTTCTACATGGCCGTCTCTGTGCAATCTCAATTCACAATGTCTCCGTCTCGCTTCACTCCCTACAGATATGCTCTGAAGCCACCCTCGACCGAGCGATCCAGTCCGAGGAAATCAGCCACCTGCCCGAGATGGTCAATGCCCCAGAATCCCTCTGTTTCGCCCTTGGAGTTCGTGCATTCGAACCAGGGGAGGCCGAAAGCTCCAGAGTCAAAGGCTTGCTGGGTATTCGCGGACAATCGCGCCTTGACCTCTGCTCCGCTTGCCTGTACATAAATGATCAGTTTCTGCATCATACAGTAGGATATGTGGTCTCGTACCGCTTCAACAACTGCTTTAGTCTCCGCCTCTCCAAGAACTCCCTCGAGGATCGGAATGAACCCCTCTCGCTGCGTAGCCTTGCCATTTCCCTTAACCCAGTATTCCTTCCAGATGGCTTCAGTGGCAGGCGCCAGCTTTTCAGGTGCCCTTTGCGAAACCGCAACGAGAGCACGCTGCACGCCCAAGGTCAAGTGTGGGAACCCCTCTGGCTTCTGCTCAGACATCGGGACGGAGAAGTAGTGCGCCCAACGGCGGCGCTCTATCTCAATCCATTCGGCCTTGTCTGGAGAGTATGCGCAGTTAGTGTTTTGTTTTGCTTTTAACAGCTAGATAAAAAGCGACCGACGTACTTTTGATCTTGATGGGTGGAATATTCCCACAGGCCTTTATCAGGTCGCTGATAAAGATGGGGATAAAGGTGAGGTCACATTTGCTAAACGTGGGCGAGTTCTAATTAAATAGTAGTAGATAGGTAGGCGTCAGTTAGCTCCTCTATGGTGCCATAGACTAATGCTTACCCTCAAGATGTGGAATGCAATGTGGGCGAATGGGCTGACGATGTCAAAGTATAGGGTGATTTTAGGCGCAGCCATGTTTGAGCCAAGCTTTTGATATGGGTCTTTTCTTGAAGAAACAATAAAGCCGAGTGTTGTTCTGAATCTCCCTGAGCTTCACTCTGTATTTATTTATCCTTTCCTCCCAGAAGAGTGTTGAGCATGTTGAAGACCCCCGCTGCCATCATCGGTTGAATCAGCGGCCTCCCTGGGGAGCAGCCGAGGTTATGCTGGTAAATTCGATTATTCTATCAGCCTCAACGCCACAACTGCCTCTCAACGCCCTTTGATCTGCCCTTTCAGGTTACCCATCACCATGCAGTTGATGCGCACCGCTCACCCGCCCACTGTCCGTTGTTTTACCGAGGAAACTACTGAACTTAGATTGTAGGAGCGGAAGCCAGTGACTCATTGATGTGTCCAGCATTGACGCCTATTGACCAAAGATGCTGCAGCCATATGCATATACGAGTTGTTGAAGGAATTGGCGGCCTGCAAGGTGTGCCCGGTTGAAGCCTGGTGATGGACATGATGGAACAAACGCGAGTAAAATGTATCACCGAGGACGAGACCCGGGGACAAGGAAGCGACGACCGTGACCGCACTGCGCTCTTGCCAGTATTGGCGGATGTCGACGGCCTTGATGGTGCGAGGAAGGTGCGAGTAGGACTCACAACAATGAGAAACCAGTCTCAGCGTCTTTGGCCTCGAATCTCCAACCATCGAGCCTTGCAGACTTAGCACATACAGCTTAGTGCCACATCGAAACAAACATCAACACAGCTTATTGTGCATCAATCTACAACATGCGTACCACTTCCGGTGATGACTCCTCCCTTGCCTCGGTGGACTGGCTCCAGGACTCGGTAAGCAAGAGGCGTCGGCACGGGATGTACTTCTACCGACCTCCTGTCTGGCGGTATAGCTCGAACCAAGACGGAAGCTCGTCGCCCGATATGTCCGAGGCTTTGAATGGCAGTGACGAAGGATCCGTGGAGACCCTGCCATGTTCCCCTGTACTTTTCCCAGACCAGCAGACTCTGGGTGATGCGGCAGTCGACGTCGCTCCGTATGCCACTCTTGACTCAGACTCGGATCATGAGACTCCCCTTCTGGTGGGCTTCTTAACTATCAAACCGATTCGCCGAGCTAATAAGATCATAGCACGAGGACGAACCAACTTCTAGCCAGTTGGCCCTCCAGGACTGCCGTCCAGCCTTAGAGACACCCTCCGAATCCGACCCCTTCCATCAGCCCAAACCAGCATTCTGTACGCGTCTGCACTCTTGCAGGGACATCCGCCTGGATCCGGAGGAGCAGTGGGTAATTCAGGAAGGATCGCTGGTCATCGGACTTGACCCAGAGTATACGTCCTTGAGCACCCACGAAAGAAGACCAGATGAATTTGAAGTTTCCAGCGGTGACGTCTATGTCGTCTGCTCCATGTATGCGGACTTGTGGGCACTCTGCGTAAAGGTGTCGTTCCATATTCCACCCACAGACGATGCTTCCAGGAAACTTGCCTTTCTTCCATTATGTTCGATAACACTAGCGCCAAACTATAGCACCTTCACCCAACGATGCAATCAGTGTGCTCGAAACAGCTTGCATGAGCAGAAATACCCTGGAAACGGGCTTCCGGTCAATCCACCGCAACGATCACACAGCTTGACTGCCAGCAAGCAGATCTTTCATGGCGTCCACGCTCAAATTCTAGTGCCGCTGGTTGCTCAAGACGTAATTCAAAGTCTATCTTTGAAGCATGCCAGCGACAATTACGTACCTCTCGACTCTACCTTGAAGCCGATACTGTCTCCTTTGACGAGTAGACGTCACCGTCTGTTGCGGAGAATAGGCGCTGGTAAATCCGGCTCGAAAGACCAAGATAATGGCAGACAGTTGATGAAACGAAGACACGTCCACCGCCGGGATTCGCCGTTGATATCTGCCTGTCGCAAGATTGGTTCGAGGTCAAGCTTCAGGCGGATGCAGAAGGAATGGCAAGATCGCTCATCGGAGGGCATCCACGCGCTCAAATGGTTCTCAGGGAAGTCTTGAGGTCTTACCCATTATGCGTCCACTTCCCAGGCCATACTTGATGACCTGGGGCATGATCTTCATTGTCAATAGGGGCGTGGTCGTTGTTATGTGTATATGCTGATAGAAAAAGCACCTATTCCGACATGCAGTCATATTTTGTAACCCTGCATATGTTTCCAGCAGTAAGTGTGATTATCACATGCATGGACGGCTCTCATTGCCTGCGATAGCAGTGTAGTTCAATCTCATCAGACTCGTCGTATTGCGACGGAAGGCTCATACGGTCCAAGTGCAGACTCTCTAGACCCGCAGATTGCATCAAGTCAAAGAAGATGCTCTCACTTTCATGGCGCCGCTTCAGAGCCACAAGAATGAGGGCATGCGGGGACATTTGGACGAGTCGGCCGAGTACCGACACCAGGGCTGGCAAGCTGTCGGCATTGTACGTACAGTCTGAAACGAGAACCAAATCGACAGAAGGGGTTTCGAATAAATCATCAGGGAGCTCCTCCTCCCATTCGAGTGGGCGGTACTGCAGGTCAGATGCATGTGCTGGTTGAGCAGCTGCTATGTTTCTAGATACGATCTCCTCAACCTCTGGTAGATCTGTAAGTAAGACGGAGCATTTCGATAGTAACTCAGCCAGCGCAATTCCTACGATGCCGCAACCCGCCCCTAGCTCGATCACATGGAGAGGGCTACTGCGCTCATTCCGGAGAAGACTCCGTAGCGCTGTGTTTGAGGATTCTTGATCGCCGGCAACCAATAGCTGGAGATACATAACAGAAGCAATTGCAGCATCCCTGGCACGATGCGTACTTAGAAAGGTAGCACAAGATGTATGGGGGTACGGCCTCACCAGATATGCCGCGCAATGCTATTGCCCGTCTCCTCCCATATGTTGAGTTGCACAGTCTGATTTACGCTGAAGCGTCTTTCGATCAGCTTATCAGCGGCCACCGATTGCGACCCTCCAAACGGCGCACTCCATCCGGATACAACAAGCGGAATGTCATCTTGATTCAACAGCGAGTCTGTGCCCACAGCTTGCGAGGCCCGTGATGCGATCTCCATGATCAGAGATTGTTGCACAATGCTGGCGGGAAGCGGCCCCAGTGCAACTGGGAGTTCACGCTTCCCGCCCTGCCACTGCAGCCGTCCCTGGCATACGGCCTTGCCGTTGCCAGCCAGACGGAGTGTTACCAACAGATCCTCTTCCTGAGCGAGGAATGCATCGCCCAGATCTGTGGTTATGCAAATCAATGCAGAGGCAGAGAGTGTCCCTGTCTTCTGCTTCTGCAGCCTGGGGGTTTTGAGGAAACGAATGTAATAAACCATGACTATCAGTCACCGGAGAAATGATTGGGATCGGTTGTAAATATATCGAAATGGCGAGACAAAATTTGGTTGGTGGCTGAGGGCTGACTAAGACGGAGATAGGACCGTCAATGACATCGCTTTTCATTTGGAAGCCGTGCGTTCCTCAGGCCCCCTTCATTCATTCAGCCTCTCCACCTTTGAGTCTCAAATATTATCGTCCTGCGGGCATCTCCAGCCTTGTCTTTCGCGTTGCAGTCGCTTCATTTCATGGAGGTCTATAGATGAAGTTGAAAGAACCGACACTTCGTCCCGACCTCCCACCCAACCTTAACCACACCGGCGGCCTATCTATCTCCGTGGCCTACTACTACCCGCCATGATGCGACCGAGAGACCCGCGCGTCAGGCAGACGATTAACCAGATCTCACACAACCTCGAATCCGCAAATGAGTCTGCCCAAGAAGGCATCTACGCATTCTCCCACAACTACCTATTCCCCTGCTTTACAGCGGTCGGCAATTGTCTCTCCTCATGCACAGCGCCCTGCTTCCCCGCCCGCGACGATCACCACCACCACCGCCGTCGCCGCCGACACTATGCAGACTTTGACTTTTACGACGACTGGGATAATGAAGAGGCAGACGACTCGATTCTAGGATGGGGCACCGACGAGTTAGACCGACTGTTAGCGGGAAGCGGGCTGGCGCGGGGAGGCGCTGAGCAGCCTCGCAGACAGCGGAAAATGAGCTACGGCACCCGTCGCACGAGTAGGCGAAAAAGCGGCCTTTTGGTGCCAGACGATCGCAATGATCCTACGGTGATACCTAGCTCATCGTTTTTGGGGTTCCTTGAGCGCTTCCCATGGAGGATTGGCGCGAGGGGGCTGAAGTATAGACCGTCTGCTGCGGATCTGCAGGAACATCCGGGGGCGTTGAGGAGGCATGCTTATGAGGAAAGCCCGTTGATCGAGTCGCCGGAGGAGTATGGAGACCAGGCTCCTAATGGCAACGGGAGGTATCGGAGTTCGACGCAGTCGTCTCGCGAAACGTCCAATTCGCTGAGCTCGCGCGGGGATCTCATCATGAGTGATGAGGAGGATGATGCGGTGCCTTTGGATGATGAATTCGCTATGGCATTGACGAGACGAGAGACTGGGCTGGAGTCGGATGACCAGAGAGGGGATAACCCCAACAGTATGAGGTCTGCTTCGGGGACGTTCAGCCTCTCATCAAAGAGCTCGAAGAAGAAGAGGAGAAAGCGGTCTAGTCGATTGCGATCCCCTCAAAGCTTTCGCGACGACGTTGCTCACGATATGACATCCGTCTCAATTGAGGATCTGAAGAAGGAAGAAGAGCAGGCTGAGCATGAAGAGGAGATGGAGATTGTGCGAAAGCGGATTGCCGCACGGCAATTGGCCTTGAGTCGTGGTATCCGTACGGAAAATATCAAGGTATGCAGCTCAAAATCAGGCTTTCTAGCCAAACTAACCGAGTTGCTGCAGACCGCTTCTCTACCACACTCCCCGACTGTATCTTCACCCCACGAACACTCTGCCACGGTACCTTCAGAAACAGGGGACGAACACAACTTCACATTCTACCGTACCGGGATCCCCAGACAAGACTCCAGCTCGCGGTTATCGGAAAACGACTCGCGGACGGAACCGTTCCCACCTCTCCCCGATTCACCAATGCCTCCTGAGTTTGACGACCACGTTCAGCATGCAGGTGCCCCCCTGACCCACGTCGAGCCCACGCCTGAAGCTGAGGACGACATTCCTAGTTCCAAGGCTGGCAATGACAGACCCCGAGACTAAGGGAGCGAGTCTTCAGCTTCTGAGGCGCTGGTTCGCCGGTCATTCCAAGGTGTGCCCCGGATCTACGTTCCACCTAATGCGAATATTTTGCTTCTCACGATACCACTTGCTTGCTACCTACCTATCGACTTTTATAAAGCGACATCGGTTATGATTTATGATCTGAAAATAATATACCCATTGAGCTTGCTTAGAATTCTACTCTGAGCTTTTTTTTGTTTTACTACAAGGCCGTCTACCAACGTAGAATTCTAGTCATAATTCATACCAACAAACCATCGTAATCTGGATGTGCATAAATATCCTCCCGTTTTTAGTCCGCCCTGCGTAGGCTGACAGAACGTTTATATAGAGTTAAACTCAGGGCGGGTCTGAAAAACGTAGGCGGAAAGTGTACCTCTCTCTCTTCTGCAAGGAGAGGGTTCACATTCCCATGGATCTTGCGCTTGTCCGATATGGACGGGGTGACTCATCTTGCGATCATGGAAGAGAGGATGATCGAAGATGGGTCGGGTTGTTCTTTGTTTCGCGCGTGGTTTGGTGGGGGCTGGGGGTAAAGAAAGGGACGGGGAGGAAGAAGTGTACTCTAGAGTTGGAATGAAACGGACAGAAAAAACGAGAAAACGGGTCAACATGGTATAGATGAAGTGAGAAGTATTGTACAGGTAGTGGCAATGAGTATAGATGTCTATCTTACACGGATTCTTATAAGGTGCATTAGATGGCGGACGGATCGAACCTAATGGTCGTCGGATTTGTTCAGTGCGGTGAGAGCAGCGGGAGAGAGGAGGAGTGTAAGGGAGGCGGAAAAGTTGCCCGTTCGTTCATGACTCGTAGTACTCATATAGAGCCGGCGGCATCTTCTGCGTTCGGAGTCTCGGGGGAGTTCAAGGAAAGCTTGCGGACAGTCCAGTCTCCAGACTCAACCCAGTCCTTCTTCTCTCCGAGAAGGCAGACGGAGCGCAGGGGAGCATCCACCAGGAATTGCTGCGCAGCCTCGTTGACATCCTTAGCGGTGACATCTAGGAGCTGTTCTCTCCAGGTCTGGTCCATCTCGTGGGTGACTCCGGTCAAGAAGTGTCGGGCTCCTTCCTCATCAACGCTAAGGGGAGCATCGAGTCCCTGGAAGATGCCCAGCTTGGCCTCGTTGAGCTCACGGTCAGACCAGACACGGTCTCGAGCAAAGATTCCACTGTTCTGGAAAATCTTGAGACTGTTGACGGGATTCGGGTCTCGGTAGGTGGTGAGAGCGAATAGTCCCTTGAGCGGGCTATTGCTTGCACCAGCGCCGTATGCGCCGCCCTTTTCTCTGATTTCGGGATGGAGGTAGTTATGGGTGAGAAGCTGCGAGAGGACGCTCAATGTTGCGCTGGAGGAGTCTGTGAAGGGGACTGTGGGCAGGGCAAGACCAGAATAGTAGACCTTGTAGGGCATGTCGAACAAAATCTTGCTCTCTTTCGGTCTGTGTTGGCCACCCTGAGATCTTGGCACAGCACTTTCGGGGAGGGAAGAAATCCATTTCTGTAAAACGGATTCGTTTCGGCTGGAACTGCTTGGGTCACAGACAAGGCGAACGCGAAGGCCGGAAGCCTTGGAGATCGCCCATTGTTGAATATGGCAGAGCCTCCGGACCAACGCCTCTAAATGTTCGGGAGAAGTCTGCGCATCGCGCAAGAGGTTTGCTGTAGCTTGCAGCTGTTCTAGGCCAGACGTCTGCTCTTGAATCCATAGGCCACGATTGAGTTGCGCGGCCGCGGCGTTCAGGGCAAAACGGTGCCCGGTGCCTGCCACGGAATCCAAAGCTCCATTGGTAGTCGATCGCAAAAGCTCCAGGATCATAGCAGCTGCATTAGGACCAGTAAAGTCGGTTTCCCGGACGAGAGTCGTCAGAATCTCTAGCATGTCCGGTATATTCTCATCCAGAGCAAAGCCAGAAAATAGTAGCCCTTCGTTGTGTGCACCAAGTACGCTCGGCGACGAGGAGTAGAAGCAAGAAGTCGAGAGTCCCCCAGTCTTGAGCTTGATCAAGTCTTCCCATTGTTCCATGGTTCGAGTGCGAGTTCCAAGTCGCATGATGCAGTCGTTGAAAAGTGGTAGAAGCGGGCGAAGGCTGTCGTCAAGTGAGAAATCAGTTACAGCTTGGAAGTATGTGAGCCCGTTAGTAGGGGATTCATTCCAATAGATCTCTGTGCCTTCAGTCTCAGATTTTCGGAACGGCTTGCGTTCCTTCGTTCGCGAGATATCTTCCACACGGATGGAGGGCAAGCAGCTGAGGTCGGCATGCTGAGCTTTTTCCTGGATCTCGAGCAACTGCAGCTCTGCTTTACCAAGCTCAGTTGCTGCTTTCTCAGCGGAACCGTGTTCCTGGATAAGCTGCTCAAACTTCTTCTCCTTTCGTACGGCCTCATTCTGGTCCAATTCCTTGTTGAATGACGGGGTACCGACCATAGTGAATGTGAGGTTGTTAGAACTCAAAAGGTATTTCTCCACGAGAGACTCTAGATAGCCCTTCTGGGCGTACCTGCGCTTGAATTCATCGATAACCTCATTCCAAGCAAGCTCTTTCATCGGATCTGAACCATTGAGCCAGGAGCCGATGGTTTTCTGGATGACTCCAATACCGAAACTGGCAGTCTTGTGTCGGAGGGCAAGTTCAAGTTGATGAAGGAATCCTTGAACCTTCTCGTCGTTGAAGCCCTTAGAGAGAGCCTCTTGGAAAACGCGCTGGATTTCCTCCTTCACCCGAGGGACTTGATCCTCGCTCACACCAGTGGCTCCGACCGAGAAAATGGGCACTTTGCCTGACGTATCGAGGCCAGTGTTTGGCGTGAAAGACGAACCTAGACCGCTCTCAATCAAGGCCCTGTACATCGGGGACCCATAGCCATCCAACAACAGCGAAGAAATAATCCCAGCCGAGAAAGTCTCAACGATGTCTGTCGTCTCACCCATGTACCACGAGGTGGAAGTTTTGAACTGCTTGTCCTCGCTAGCGAAAGTGTCGATAGGCCCCGGAACAGTGATGTTCACAGGACCATCGAGCTCAATTGGGAGCTTCACGTCTGTGTCGGCTTCGCCCTGGGTGAATCCATCCAAAACTTCACCAACTTGCTTCAGATGGTCCTTCAACGGCATATCGCCGTATGTCAAGATCTTGGCGTTGCTAGGGTTGTAATTTCGCTTGGAAAACTCGACCAGTTGCTTGTGAGTTAGATCAGTGATGTACTGAGGGTCACCTCCAGAGTTGTTGATCGCGGGGAAAATGCTTTCCTGATATCGGATCCAGTAAAGGTAGTTGGCGTCGGACATCTGACCCTTCATTTCATTGTAAACCACTCCTTTAAACAGAATGTCCTCCGGTTTCAGACCATCCTTTTGAGTCTCAATCGCGCGAGGGTCTTCGGGTCCTAACCGCCATCCTTCCTGCCTGAAATCCTCCTCCTTAAGCAGAGGGTGTAGCGTCGCATCCAGGTAGACAGATAGCAGGTTTTTGAAGTCTTGAGCATTCGTCGTGGCAAACGGATAGGTAGTATGGTCAGAAGAGGTGAAGGCGTTCATAAAGTTCGACAGGGAACGCGGTAGCATCTTGAAAAACGGATCGCGAATGGGATACCTGGAATGTTCAGTCAATAGGTCCACGTGCGTCTTCACAGCAATTTCTCACTTTTCACTACCGCAGAGTGTAGTGTGCTCCAGAATATGGGGCACACCTGTGGCATCCGGGGGATTTGTCTTGAACCCAATGCCGAAGACATTATTCTTGTCGTCCCTGGCGATATGAAGGTAGTCTGCGTGCGTCTTGTCATGGCGCAATCGTACTGCTGTCATGTTCAATTCCGGGACATCTTTCTTCTCCTGAACGGTAAACCCATGAAGCTGGTGTCCGACCTCTGGAAGGGTTTTCAGGCTGGAGACTGAAGCAAGCTTCCGGAATTGTGTCCATTGCGGTGATGGAGAAGATCTCAGTAGGCGTCTACAGGTTGGCGGGCGAAGAGCCGGGGCTCGATATCCCCCAAGCTGGAGATATGACCGGAGCATAGTAGCCGACTAACTCGTACTGTGATATCAGTCAACAAGCTGTTGGTGTCTTGGGGCAGAAGCCGCTCGAAGATGTCGCCGGTCCAGCCGGAGTCGACGTCCCGCTTGGCGAAAAGAACAAATCCACGCGAAATTTTAACGAGGCGCGACAAGGTTATCCTCGACAGCTATAGATTGGTATAAAAATGGCAGAAAAGCATGCGACAAGAAGCAAGGTGAGTGTCCGCTGGACGGCATAAATTGAGGCAAACAGCGCGGCTAATGGCCGCCAAGAGAATATTTTCGAATCGGGCTAGTGTTGAGCCGGCCCCCTCTTACGAGACTGGATTCGATCCTCTCCAACAAGTCCTCGACCCTCTGTCGCCGCCTCGTTTCCTAGTCGCCAGTTCTGAGCTCGCCCACACGGTCCTTGACAATATCGACCTGCCGTCGCTCGATTTTCCGTTGGCCCTGCAGTGCTTGGTTGCTGGAGAATCTAGAGACCCGGTGGCTCCGAGTTCTTCGAGCCTGGCAAGTCCCTCCAGGTTCTCCGCTTGTGGCCAGTGTGGAATTCCAGCGTCAGCGGTGATCACATTGGCTCTTTAAGTCTTCGGAAACGATAGCTCCTCACGCTGTTCTAGTATTTGTTTGACCTGTCGACGTGGCTTACGATCCGGTCACACATCAAATCCTGACCCCGTCCTTCCGTTCCGTCTTCGCATTTTTCTTTTCAAGGCCCGTCAGCGACCACGCGACCACCCCCGGACACCTCGCAGCCCGCACAACCTGGATCAATTATACCGAGCAGACCGTTCGAACTATGTCGTCTACGGCCATGTCCAAGAAGAACAAGGGGAAGAAGGTCGCCGATCCTAATGAGACGTCCAAGCTTCTCGCCGCCAAGATCTCGCAGCTAGAGCAGGATCAAGCGGGGGAGAAGGATCAAGAGCAAGAGATTGGTGCGTAGTTCGCCTATGAAGAGTGCAATCTGGATCATCTGGCTTTTCTGAGACTTCTCTGGACACTACTGGCTAACACCGGGGGTATAGAGCGGGAGGTGAAGAAGGCCACTAGAGATCTGAACCAACTCCTGACCAATATCGAATCTCCGATGACCCGACTCGAAACTGTACATAAAAAATACACGGAACTTCTCGCCGATATGAAGAAGTTGGACCGCGACTATGCCAAGAGCAAGAAGCGCGCGGACCAACTTCAGAAGGACCAGGACAAGGGCAAATCGGAGTTGAACAAGACCGTTACCATGAAGGACAAACTGGAAAAGCTCTGCAGGGAGCTTACGAAGGAAAACAAAAAAGTCAAGGTCGGTCGATTTGGATCTCCCTCTTCGCCTGTTCTATTGGGTGTGATGTGTGGCGATTGGCTAAACCGGGAATTTTAGGATGAGAACAAGAAGCTGGAAGAAAACGAAAGGAGGGCCCGTGCGATAGTCAATGAGCGGCTTGACTCTCTCCTGTACGACATTCAAGATGTAATGGCAGCGAAAGGCAATCCTCGAAGTGATAAAGTGGACATCGACCTGGATGAGGCGTAAGTTCACATTTATTGAGCCTTGACAATGCGCACGCTGTCTAACATGCTGTTGCAGTCTTCGAGCCAAGATCAAGACAATTGGCGAAAAATTCGAGATGCGCGAGTTACACTACAAGTCCCTCCTCCGCAGCAAGGATGCGGAGATTCAATGTCTTACCGCCAAGTATGAAGAACAGCGGCGTGCAGCAGAGAATGAAGCCGCCCGCTGCCGGGCACTGAGCTCCCAGGTCTCCACGTTCTCGCACACCGAGTCCGAGCTGCGCAGCCAGCTGAATATCTATGTGGAAAAGTTCAAACAGGTATTCCACCATGGTGAAATGGTTCTTACGGCTTCGTAGTAACACTCTTCTAGGTTGAGGACACTTTGAACAACAGCAATGAGCTGTTCCTAACATTCCGCAAAGAGATGGAGGAGATGTCGAAGAAGACCAAACGGTTGGAAAAAGAGAACCTCACTCTCACCCGCAAGCACGATCAGACGAACCGCAACATACTTGAAATGGCCGAGGAACGCACGAGGAATCACGAAGAACTTGCCAAATGGCGTAAAAAGAGCCACGACCTTGAACAACTGTGTCGACGGATGCAAGACCAAGGACGCGGCCAGGCTCTAGCTGCAGATCTCGACGATGGTGACGACGAAGGAACAGAGAGCGAATATGAAGAAGACTACGAAGACGAAGACGAGGAAGGCATTAGTGATGAGGATTATGAGCTCGACAGCGCCAACGGTGATCACCATCATCACCATCACCACCATCATCATCACCACCACCACCTGCCTCCGCAGCCAGAGAAGCCGGTGTTCGGGCCGCCGCCACCCCCGAATCTCCTCGAGGCGCGAGCCAATGGGAAGGCTGTGGTGAATGGATTCCACTAACATCCTTCGCCGAGAAAAGGACTTGTAGGTGCACTTCCAGAGGAGTCATGTTCGGCAACCAAAGTGCAAGTGGTGCCTTTATACAAAACAGTGTATCAGCGCCTGTTGAATGTAGCCTAGGTTATTTTTGGAAATCTACATGTCGCTATACAAAGTTCTTATAGCAACGCAGATGGTTTCTGATACTATGCTCAATATCCTCCGCTGTGAGACCTACATCTCTTTCCCCTCTGCACATATATTTTGTCTTTGAGAGTACTCCTCGAGTCCTGTCTCCTTTACTATCATCTGTGTACTTGTACGCTAGGTAACGCAACATTTAAAGATACGAGAAAAACATGACATTTGCTGGATATCTACATCTTGCCCTTATCTTTGCGAGAAAATAGTAGCATAACAACTAAGAAACAGGGCTATAAAACATCAGACGAAACCAAACACTCATAGCTTGCTAGCCGGTCCAGAAGCGTAGGTAGCCCCTTTCTTTAGCACAGCAGCAGCCTGCGCAACCATCTCCTTGAGAACCTCGCCAGCCGGCTTGATTTCCTTGATAATCCCCGAGACATCACCCATCAAGAAGGGAATATCAAACTCCTTGTCGTTGTTAAAGTCATGCTCCAACGGTACAATACCCTGCGCCGTCAACCGCGCAATCTCCTCGGGTTTCTTCTCCCACTCCTTGATATAGTCATTCGGCAGCATGCGCAGCGGCCGGCCCGAAACAACAAGCGTCCGCTTTGTCTCCCCATACTGCGCGCCAACAACTGCCTCCTTATGCAGCCTACTCGCACCACTCTCCTCTGTTGCCAGGAACCTCGTGCCGACCCAAACACCCGCCGCACCGAGCGACAGCGCCGCCGCAAGACTCCGCCCGTCGTTGATACCCCCAGCCGCGACAACCAGCGGCGTCTGCCCCGTCAACGGACTCTTATAGCCCTGCACCGTATCCACAACAGCAGGGATGAGCACGGAGAAGGGTATATCCCCCGTATGCCCACCACCCTCGCCACCCTGCGCACAGATAATATCCACACCAGCCTTGAGCGCCTTCTCCGCATGCTTCGGCGCGCCGACCATATTCATAATGAGAATCCCCGCCTCATGCAACCGCTTAATCACATGCGCAGGCGGGATCCCGACCGCACTAACAAACAACTTCGTTCCATGCTGGATAATCACATCGATGAGCTGGTCGAGCTTGCCGTCCGTGTAGTCATGGTTCGTCTTGCGCGCGTTGCCGCCGACCTGCGGGAGCGCGAGGTCGACGCCGAACGGGAGCGACTTGTCCTTGAGGAGGGACTTGAGCTCCGTGAGCATTTCGTTCATTTGGTCCGGTGTGTAGCCCAGTCCGCCGATCACGCCGAGTCCGCCGGCGTTGGAGACTGCGGCGGCGAGAGGCGCGCCGGAGGCTTTGGCCATTCCGGCGAGCAGGACGGGGCTTTGGATGCCCAGGAGGGCGTTTAGTGGGGTTGTGATTGACATTTTGGGGGAATTACTGATCTGGATTTGAGCTGTCAGTTATAGCGATAATTAGGTTGAATGTCGTGAGCTTACATGTGCTTTTCAATTAGAGACAGTTTGAAAGAACCACGATGTAGAAGGCGACGAAGAGATGAGAAAAAAAACCACCAGCACAGGGATGTAGTTGGAGACAAATATAAATATTTAAATAAGCAAAAAAAAACACCCCTTCCCTTCTTTGTCAGATTCGGCTATTTGCCTCCTCCCATATGATTGCAGGACAGCACTGAGGAGCTCAGCTGGAGATGCGGGGAAATAGAGTCGCAGCAACGGACCGAGGCTCATCCTGAAGATCTTCGGTCTTCCGGCTCCCCAGCCTCGCGTCGCGGCTTGACTTGCTTCAGCCGCTGAGTATTGGAGGAGAGGGTGTCATGTGTAGAAGGAATTGATGCAGATGTGCATTTTGTGCGTTTTATGCTTGAGTGGTGTTTGTCTTACGTCCTTGGGGTATTGTTACTCCGGTGCAGGATTTGAGGGGGCCGAGTATATATTGCCGCATCTATGATGAATCACAATGCCAAAGGAATAACTACATTATCGGTAAGGTATATTTCATTCAGCTATACACAGTGGCCTATAATAGGTGCGTATTTTATATCAAGCCCGAGGTCAGACAATACTTTATCTCGCTCGTTCCCTCCGTGCAGAGCCCTCATGTTGGCTATGTGCAACCCAATCACAAGCATAATAGCGAGATAGAGACCGAGACAACTAAACTCGCTAGTGATTGAGATACACCTTTGCATGCTGATGCAGTGTATGTCTTCATTATAAACGCGTCCATTTCCGAGACGGGAGCGATATGTTTGCGAGGACTAGGCGAACCAGTTAGGCACGTCTCTTCGGGGATAGTAACGACTGGTAACATGGACTCACTCGTCAATGGCATTGGGTTTGTTTTCCCCTGAGTCAATGGGAGTTCCTATTGGTTTGGTGTTTGTACTCTGAGTTGTCGATGCCAATGGAGTCCCCTGTGGTATTTCACCAGTTTCCGTCGGTAGGGCTCCGTATATGACCGGCCCCGGTGGAGGTTGATACTGGCCCACTGCGCCTTCTGGTGCGAGAGCCAGAGATCCCGGTAAACTTCGTCCAAATAAATTGCGTGGAATCCTGTGGATAATCGCATCTAGGCTGATTGCAGAAGTGACGATGCATGCTGAGAGTAGAAGGACTAGTGTCCTGCCCAGGGCGAGTTCGGAAAACATGGAGATCTTCATATTCAAAAGCGCGATTGTAGTATGGCCGTCAATCGTAGTGCAGTGCTTGACTGATATTGGAGGCTTTTGTCAAGTGAACCCGGAGCTCGGGGTGAGACGATGATATGAGAGAGCCATGGCCGACGAGTGTTAGCCATGTTGTGAGGTATGTTGCTCCTCAAGAATGATGGTTGGATGCATGTTTGCGATGGGCTCTCACTTTAGCCATTCTCTCAGCGGGGCTTGAATGTTGTCAGCACGATCTGAAAATGTCATTAGAAATCGGATAGAGTATGCACCAATCATTCCTTGCTGTCTCTGCTTGAGCCATTCGGGATACCAGATGGAAATGATTCGGAATGCCGAGACGAATCGTGAGAGGCTGGCGATCGACACGGTATCCGAATGGGATGCATTCCTGAGCCTAGGTCCAGATCTTTCAGATGGGGAGGCTAGATTTGTGGCTGACGCAAACGATTGAGCGCCAGATTTAGTGCTCAGGAAGTTCTTGTATTCCGATTGAGGCAGTCATGATAGACTGAAAGGCTTGAAGGTTGCCAGACGATTCATCAAGTTGCCGGAGGCTCAACTAGATGGCTCTTCATTGGGTGCCAATAGCCGGGCATTCCGTTTATCACGAGGTTGGAATGATTTAAATTATCCTCTGAGGAGGATTCTTTTGCACGGAGTTTCTTAGATTCTCATATCTCAAAAATAATCGGCATCTTGGCTGTCATCAAATGCTGCTTGGTTGATTTAATCAGAGCGAGACGATCGCTTTCGACGGCTAATCAGTTGCGCTTTGATTGACAGTAGATGGCTCGTATATCCATCAAGGCCCCAGGAAAATTGGTATCATGCTAAGGGTAACTTCTTGTTCAATGAGAGAAGAGAGTAATGAGGAAGAGAGCTGTCTAGCTGTCCCAAAGCGGTAATGATGGAATTGCCCGCAAAACGCCAAAAAGACGCGTGACCGCGTTCCCCGAAGTTTCTCAACACAACGTGAACAACCAACACACCAGATTCTCGAAACTCGCGGCGACAGCGATTCTTCTGGTCAAAGATTGCTTATAAAATTTATCTGTTTCTGTGAAGGATATTCTTCCAATATGGGCATCGATTCCGCCGAGGAAGAGTTCCTGCGGCCTCCAAGGTCCGCCGCATCTCCGCATCTGCTGCTGTTTATCCTAGCTAACTTTTTGTGACTACTTTAGCACGCAACAATATGAGCCGGTGTTTCGAAACTCTTCCGTATACAATCCTTTAGACACATTCCGACTCCCGCCCGGCCAAGACCGGCACTACCAGCAGCAATATGGTGACATGTACTTCTTGCGACTCGCAAAGCTGAAGCCCGCAGTTGAGGCTGTTGCGATTGAGGCTTGGGAAGGATTGAATGTATGGAATACTCCTTGCAATCGCGTATCTCATGGATACTTTTCTTCGGTCTGCTGACAATTGAATTGCTTAGATTGCCGGAGAACATGCGCGCCGAGTTGAACGAGTGTTGGACGTCCGGCAGGGAGAGCTCTGCTGGGTTGCGGGTACAATATACATGGAGATGCCATTGAAGCCTAATATTCTCAAGGACTTGACAGAAGATGCAAGCCACCTTTTATCCTTAAATCGCACACATTCTGACCATACGTGCAGAACTTTACACTCGCTCCTCCCCCTCAACGAACCTACCAAGACCCCTCGCGCCCAGAGTTAACAGAGATCATGCTTGAAGACGAATCCGGACGCCTACGCCTAACGGGAAGCAAACTTGGGTCAGTTCAGCTGTGTACAGGTGCTATTATTGCAGTGCTCGGGACGGAGAACAAGAACGGTGATTTCGAGGCGATCGACATAAAGGTCCCTGATCTGGCTCCACAGCCAGTCCGGTGGGAAAGGGACGATACAGAAGCCTCCAAGTCATCACGGAAAGGGAAGATTGCCCTCGTCAGCGGTCTTGGGATAACTGGTACCTCGAGTGACAGCCTCACTCTCGAGCTTTTGGCGGACTATCTTCTCGGCTACACACAATCATCAAATGCGCAAAGTGAAGCTGGAACCCTGCCAGACGCCAGCGGAATCAAAAGACTGATAATTGCTGGTAATTCTATTGGAATCAGCACCGTTCTGGATGCGCCGAGTACACAAACCGGAGCAGCAGGCAAGAAAATGGCCCAAGCGAAGAAGTATGGATACGACGCATCCGCTTACAATGCGTCACCAATCACGCAACTCGATTCTTTCCTTGCGGAGCTCCTACCCAGCATACCCATTACCATCATGCCAGGCGAAACTGACCCGGCCAACTTTGCGCTTCCCCAACAGCCGATTCACCGTGCAATGTTTCCTCGTTCCCGAGCTTACTGCGCTCCACCGCCGTCTGGCGAGGAGAAAGCTGAACCTGGCTGGTTTGACAGTGTGACGAATCCCTGGGAGGGTGATGTCGAGGGGTGGCGTCTCTGGGGTAGCAGCGGGCAGAACGTTGACGACGTCCTACGATACCTAAATTTTGCGGATGAGGATGGAAACATTGACACTAATGGCGACGCCGAGGAGCGGCTGAGAATCATGGAAGCCATGTTACGATGGAGATGTGGAGTTCCTACTGCTCCGGACACGATATGTAAGTCAACATCAACCATTGTAAAGATGGATTCCGAGCGCTAATACTGATTTTTCCAGGGTCCTATCCATTCCAAACAAACGACCCCTTTGTGATGCACGCCTGCCCGCACCTCTTCTTCACAGGCAACCAGCCACAGTTCAAGACAGCAGTCATAGAAGGAGACATTCCGCCCAAGCTTGGCGAAGATATAGACATGGGCGGAACTGATGAAGATGCTCCTATTCCGACTGTTCGTCTTTTATCCATTCCGAAGTTCCGGGAAACCGGCGAGCTTATCCTGGTCGACACCGAAACGCTTGAGGTAGAAGTTGTAAAATTCGGGGCCTTTGCTGGGAAGGAAGAGCAACAATAAGAAATTGGAGACATATATAGATCCAGAAGATATTATTAATTTATCAAATGGCGACGGCTTTTTTTCTCCTGGGGTTTCGATCCGATCTATATTTGCACCAACCAAGCTCAATGCCAAGACCGCAGAAAAAAAGATCCAGATCATCCACGAAGTCCCCGCTTAGCAACTACACAATTCATCCAAATCTGTTAGATAGACCAATAGACACTCACTAGAGAGCCAAAATCCGAAAATGCTTTTCAACGCCACAACAGGTACGCAAACCCCACCCTTTCTCGTTTTCCGAAGTACTAATCTCGCCTAGCAATCTCCACATCAAAAGTGTTGCTGGTGCCATACTCGAAATGGCACGTCCCGCGCTACCACGAATGGATGAAAGATGAGGTGCGCTAAAAGAAAGAAAAAAAAAATCCTTACAGATATGATGATATCATTCCCGCGATCGTGTACTGAGATGCCCAGGAAATCCAAGAAGCAACCGCCTCAGAACCCCTGAGCCTCGAAGAAGAATACGCCATGCAGCAATCATGGCGGGCCGACGCCGACAAACTCACGTTCATCGTCTGCCTTCCTGTACAGGCAGAAGACGGCAATGAGAACCTATCAAACCACGCCGACTCGCCCGCCCGCATGATCGGCGACATCAACCTCTTCCTGCGCATCGACGACGGCGAAGAGGGGACCTCTGCGCCGCAGATCGTCGGCGAGATTGAGCTTATGATTGCGGAGAAGAAGGATCAGCGACGCGGGTTCGGGAAGGCGGCACTGTTGGCGTTTTTGCGGTATGTTGTTGAGCGGGAGGCGGAGATTTTGGGGGAGTTTGTGCGTAGGGATGAGGGGGCGAGGAAAACGTTTGGGGATGGAGAGGAAAAGAGGGAGGGCGGCGAGGTGAAGTTTGAGGCGCTGAGTGTCAAGATTGGGCAGAAGAATGAGCGGAGTTTGGCTCTTTTCGAGGGTGTTGGGTTTAGGAAGCTTGGGGAGGAGCCGAATTACTTTGGGGAGTGGGAGTTGAGGAGGATGGGGCTGGATCTGCGGGGCGTTGAAGAGCAGTTGAAGGTGGCTGGGGTTGAAGGGTATAGGGAGGTTGTGTATGAAAGGACTGAGTGATTTTAGAATTAATATGCTACGATTTGGTTAGTCTTTGAGAGGGTTAGATGGTCTACTTTAACTTTTAGTTGTAAGCAGCTACGCAGAACTGTCCTGGGTACCACTATTGTTGCCATGTACTGCTAGGTACAACTTGGAAAATAGACTTAATCTTGATATGCACAACATGAAGCCCAAGCTCCATGTCTTGCTAAAGAAAGAACACCATGGTTCGACTATTATGCCCCCGCCAGTAAAGCCGAGCCATACCCTCAGCCTACTTACAATGTCGACCATTGCTTGAGATCTTGATGGACTGGCTCAGCGTTCGGCTCCGCGCCCCTCGTCGCTTGACTTGGTGGTCTAATTGAAAACGCAAATTGCTGATCTGGCAGGAGCTCTGCTGAAGGTATCGGAGGGGTTAAACTCCAACTTTGGATCCGGAGCACTCGGGCGTCTTGGTTCTCTCTGAGCATCATCCTCAGCGTAGACATTCTGGTCATGTAAGTGTCTGTTGTTAAGAGCAGCTGGATTTCGATAGTATTATCTCACAGGAGAAGCGAAGCACAGGAATGGGATGCCAACAGGCCGAGTGGTAGTAGGGATGAACAAAGCCCGAGCCACTGGCCAATGTGCATCTCGTAAACGGATCTATGCAATCCTGTGTTCAGGTGTCCTCTCTCTCTCTCTCTCTTTTCTATCCTGCATGGCTTTCTGGAGCAGGATTTATATAGCAACGAACTGTCTTCTTGGCTTGCTTGAATCGAAGATCGCTGTGGTACGAGAACGTTGAAAATCGTAGAGTCTGCCCGAATTCGCATTTCCTGCAATCACCAGTCATCCTAGTCATCAGTAGAGCTGTACTTACAGCCAAACATACTTAATATGGTGGGGGGTATTGCAATCAACTTTTTTGATTCGCACATAGACTGGAGCACCGTTGTCATGTAGCCCTAACTCGGTGCCATGGACCTCGCAATGAAGAGCCTCCAAAGGCTCATCTCCAACTAATAAAATGATTTAGATTTACATAATGACAGTTACCCAGTCTGTTGTTCCTGCCAAACAATGACCTTTGAAGCCTTTTATCAACTTCAAGAGACAATGCCAAACAGAATAAGGCTTCTTAAAGCATCGCGTCTCACCATAAAGAACCCTTTACTAATATATTATTATATGCACCATCATAATAAAGACCTCTTTCCCTCATTGGCACACAAGTACAAAGTGCTCATCCAATAAAGAAGCCAAGTCTATAAAAACCCTAACGGCGCTCCTCGAACTACGCTCGTCATCTCATCCCAACAACCAACTTCCCCAAACAACGACTATCTCCATATAGTCGTTCTTACCTTTCAGAAACAGCACCGACAACACAGAACCTTCTCACCCACCCAAAACCCAACCTTCAAAATGTCCACAACCCCCACCCAGGGCGTCCAACGCACAAACACCGATCCCAAAGCCATCGACCCCTCCCTCTCCGTCCTCTACTCCACCGAAGTCCACTGCATTGTCTTCGTCACCGCCGCAAGCAATAGCAAGCGGGACGGCAAGCCCATTACAGTCCGCATGATCCAGCACGGCAGTACCCCGACGACGGTCCTCGAGTCGTCTCTGCCGATATTCCCTAGTATCATCGCTTCGATGACGCTGTTGGAGACGGTGGCGGATGACAAGGTTGTTGATCGGATGGTGGAGGTGCTGCCGGGGGTGCTGGAGACGATGCATAAGGAGTGGATGAAGAAGAATAAGAAGAAGGAGGGGGATGAGATTCCGGAGGGGTTGGAGCATGATTTGAAGGAGGCGTGGGAGAGGGGGAAGAAGTTGAGGTAGGTGGTTTCATATCTGCTTTTCTATTTCTCTTTCTTCTATTTTTACTCGCTCGTTTTCGTCTTGTTTAGTTGTTGTTTTAGAAAAGGGGTTGTTAGGGTTTAGTTTACTATAAGCTAAGAAATATACAAAAAAAATGTTTGCTTTGAAGAAAGAAAGACCACCGGTACTTGTAAACTTGCAAGATATATAGCGTGCATTCAGGTCGTAATTAGTCGTCATAGTGCCGTGTATCAACTGCAACAAACTATATGATTCGGTTTAGTTAGCTTACTACTGGTGCATACCGCCAACTATCTATTAGAGCAGCCGAGGACACCGGTGTGTCCTCTGTTTGGAATCCGGCTTCGCAACTGACCAAAACGCTCAGAATGGTTATTAGGGCTTGGATATTCTACATCATCGAGTTTCCGAATTGGCAAGAGTTTACAAGCAGGACTTTGTCAATCCAAACACCTTAGAGCTAGAACAATGCTCTTTGTATGTTCTAATTTCACAGGAGAAGGATAAAGGGTATTGATCCTGCATACAAAGCATGTCATTAGATTATACAATACTTTTCCTTCTTTTCAAGTCCTTTATGTTCAAAGACAAAAGCACTGAGTCTATATAAGTAGCCCATCTTCGCTGCGGACCGAAATTATCCATTCCACACCATGGCTTCAAACAACCAACGCAACGATGACTACAGCAGCTTGTACCCCATCACCTGTAAAGGCTCTGCTCGTCAAATCCCAGAATAAAATCATCTTCATGCCCTTTACCACCAAATCCCCAGCCAACAAGACCAGATCCGCAACCGTCCTCCTTTTAACCGGACCAACAAGCATACGCACCGAGTCTCGAACCCTGGACGCAACGCAGCTCGGTGAGATAGTGCATCTGGAGACCATCGATGAGGCTACAGTGCAGTTTATCATAAGCGCGATGCCGAAGGTCCTGGAAGATATGCACCGCGAGTGGTTTGCGAGATGCAAGACATCTGCCGAGCGGTTTCAGAAGTATGTGGTTGATCTCCAGGCTGCGTATTGGGTTGCGCGGAGGGGGAGGTTGGGGATGAAGTTTGAGTTCGAAGACTGAGTATGCTGGGTCTATTGTTTTGCTCTTTCCTGGGTATGCGGAGTAGTCTATCTGCGTGGTTTTATTAATACGGATCTAAAGAATATGAATAAGAGAAAAACACGAATTGTCGTGTTTGGGAATGCTGACGCGTTGAAGTAGACACTGTAGGGATATTGTTCCATCCTATCTATACACAGGGCTTTCCAACAGAGCGTATACTATACCATAGGTTCAGGCTCTATATGTACTCGACTGAGGGTAGTGGACGCAAGCAAAGCGATCAGTATAGGCGAGAGCAATAAGTCCTTCTCTATCTAATTCATATACTTTTGTTCTTTTTACCAGTATACCTGACAAGATAATGATTTACCCGCCTCTCGCTGGCCATTGAGGCCATGCTCTGGTAGCAACGAGCTTCGCAGAACCTGAACAATGCCCTAAGCATGGAAGATATCAAAGCGCTTTTTGTTCTATATTCTTAGGGCTGGCACATGGTAGTATAACAAAGTGCTTTATCTTCTTTGTATAGTTCTGAATGAGTATTCATCAAAACAAGAGAATCCAGTAAACGATGTCTTTATACTGAATGCCTTTCAGAGACCTCTCAAATGGGCCATTGTACCCTTTCAATATACAAGACAAAGCATTTGACTCAAGCAGATTTATAAAAGCCCTCCTGTAACCCCTAGCCCACTCCATCCAATCCAGCACGTCTGAACCAACTCATCCAAAGGCACCTTCAGAAAAACACCACCCAATACTCAAAATGTCTCAACCCCACGAAGCAACCGACATCTGGATCTTCTGGCTCCCCGAAAAGGACCACGACCTCATCACCTTCATCCCAACAGCCCAATACAACGGCGGCCGCGTCCTAACAACCCTCCTCTTCATCGAAGACAAGTACAGCTCCGTCCGCATGCAAGAAAACTCGCTAATCGACATCAGCGGCTGGAAGCGGCGCCTGCCCCTCGGCGTCTTTCGCGGCGGCCGGGGCTCCGTCGACGAAGTCCACAGGATCCTCAAGGACTGCGTGGAAGAGTACGACCCGGCCGACGAGCAATTCTGGTATCAGCGGCTCTACGAGGACCTCATTGACGAGAACGGGCGGTACCTGTATGCCCACGACATGGAGAAGTATGTGATGGATATGAAGAGTCTGGTCGCGATGATGTTGCTCTTCGGGCATACGACGTTGCCTGAGAAGTACCGCAACCCCGAGGGGCTGAAGCAGCCGCGGAGAGAAGAGTACCCGCAGGCCAGTGGGTATGGGTGTAAGTGTGGGTGTGAGTATTACGGTGCGTATACAGCGTACACGCAGTATGCGAGTTACACGCACTTTGAGCCGCAGCAGAATCACCAGCAGCAGCAGAGGCATTATACTTATACTTACCAGCTGTCCCAGGCGCCGCCGGAGCCGCAGACGCAGCAACAGTATACTTACCAGTACCAGCAGGCTTCTCATCAACTGCAAGCACAAGCTCAAGCTCGAGCACCAGCGCCGGAGCCGGAGCCCAGGCGAAAGCACAGCTCAAGCAAGCACAGGTCAAAGACCTCGTGCTCGCAGGGGCCGCCGCCCATGACAAAGGAGGCTGAAAGGGCCTTTAGGAAGCACAACGAGCAATCCAAAAAGAAGAAGACGAAAGGTCTGGGCTTTGGCCTATATTTTGTCTAAGTCTTTCCACCTGTCGGCTGTTTTGGGGGTTTAGGGTTTAGTTGGAGTCGGCCTACAGTACTAAGCATATTCATATATATCAATGCAATTTGTTTCTTATTATCAAAGAATTCTTACTCCAGGTATAGTAGTTAACCTATCTTTAAGGAGGATTGTAGGTTATCATGCGCATCTGAAGAAGCTGTGGATTTATTGAGAGTACGTACTATATGCTCTGTCGATGCGTGGAAAAGTCCGACTGTTGGAAAGTATAAGTACCTTGCTTTTTAACTGAAGCCCCTGTACCTAGACGAAGTCCTCCAGTCTCTGGTGATACCTAGCAGATATCATCAAGGAGTCGGTTTGACTGACCACTTGAATACCCCCCCATCTTTGCCTTTCTTTGTCACTCGTAGACAAAGAAGGTTATACAATCGAAACTCACTTTCATCCCATTGTCTTTATATCCTCTTTATGTACCCGCAAAACAAAGGGAGCAATTACATATAAGATTAAGCTCAAGTCCACGGCTCAAAATATCACCCACCGTCTCGACCCTCGAACCCCAAAGAGCGACCACCCTTGATCCCTAGTTACCAACCCAGCATAACTTTCACCAATTCCGAGAAGATCCAAGTCGGGTACCCCTACGAACAATCATCAGTCAAAATGTCCAAATTCTTCCCCAACCAAAAACTAACCCTAATCTACATCTCCCCAGGCCTCATCTTCATCATCCCCAAGGCCGACATCTGCGTCTTCGAAACCAGCGAGGGCAAGATCGACATCTGGAAGAACACAACCGAGCACAACAGGCAGCGTCTCGCGCTTGTGAACCAGAAACGCATCATGGGCATGTACGCGCTGTGGCAGCATCCGATTAAAGAGGTCCGCAACGTGACCGAGGACCTTCGCGGGATTACTCTCTCCAGCTTGCACGGCGGGACAGTTCTTGCTGAGGGGTGGGAGGTCAAGAATGATGGAGGCCTTGGTGCTCTGGAGGTGATCAGGAAAGCTGTGGTTGAGAGGGAGAGGTTTTGGTATAGGGATTTGCCCCTGTTGGAGGAGGTCGGGTTTAGGGTTGATGAGAGGGCTGTTTTGGCGCTGGTTGACAGGTCGGGACATACGAGGTTTCGGGGATAGATTTGTTGGGCTATTGACGTGTAATATCACTTATTCGAATTGAAAAAGGGCAAGGATGCCAGGATAGATTTGGTATTATTCATGAGTAAAAAAAAGGATTGGAACATGAGTGGTTTTAAGTCTTGTTGCACAATGTAAACAAAGTCTCAATCCATGCTGAAGCCAAATTGAGCTAAAAGGTAGTATGGAGTTACTAACGCTGTCAAGATCAGGAAAAGATGAATGAGTATGTATTATTGTTTTTCACTTGGGTTTGGGGTCTCGACACTTCGCCCTAACTTGTCTTTACCAGGAGTGAGAACAGAACCACCATCCGGACTTGGAATAAGCCAGAGCGTTTCTAAGCTGTTACTTTCCTGGGAACTATGTTGGCTATGTTTCTATTCTATACAGAGACATTTATAGCGCAGGAGCACCGAGTGCCAGGTGGATGGTCGCCGAAGAGCTGAGCGCGAGGGGTTATCATGGGCAAGAAGACTAAGGAGACTATAAATATTTTCAAGTAGCATTACCTTGGTTCTTGCAAGGCGTCTGTGGCCATTTCCCATTTAGACTTAGTGGGTCAAGTCGGTTTTCACAGGCATCAGGGTCTGGTAAATGTGGTCCCGCTACGCCAATGGAAAGTTGAGAGAAGTATATAGAAGGCTGTTAAAAGGGTTCAGATGCAAGAGGTCAATTCCATCCACATAAATGCTAATAGCCACCTAGGAACAAATTCTCATCATATATATTGTTATCCTGCGCGATAGATATTGTCAAAAACGCCAGTAAACGCCTTAAGCCCTAAATCCTCTCAAACTCCCCTAAAAGCCCTAGTACCAACCTCACACACTCCCTAATCCTCGAGAGGAACGGCGCGCAATGACTACACTCCGTCTCTTTGATAATCCAATCCCTCTTAGTTGCCGCGATCATCCCATATTGCGCCTCTTGAGGTACAGCTTGATCAGCCATCGTGACGATAGCCGCTAGCCGTCCGCTATATGCCTCATCTACCCAGGCGGGTGCGGGCGATGGGGAGTTGAATGCCAGCGTAGGGTGTGGTTTAACGTTGTCGGTGATCTTGCAGACGAGTTTGCTGTCGACGTCTGCGGCGAAGGTCGCGGTAGGCTCTGAGGGGACGTTTAGATTTGGGAGAGGCTATGTACAGCAGTCAGTCAGCGCAATTTTCCAGAAGTCTCTGGGGGGCGCCCGGGGGTAGAGGATGATATAGTACCTTGACTAGTAGAACCTAACCTGGTAGACTTCCCCCATGCAATTCCAAAACACTGACCCCTTCGGGAACAATAAACGCCGCGACAAAAACCATCCCAACGACGCCACCGGATCTACCCTGCTTCTCGCGCTCCGTCTTGGAAAGACCCCTTGCGGCCGCTGCACTGGGCATACCCGCGTATGAATACAGGACGAGTAGGATATCGCATCCTTCACCCTCGGAGAGGCGATGGAGCGTCTGGGCAATGGTGTCGGCGTCGGATTTTCAGATTCTGCAGTTGTGGGGTCCACGGGGTTTAGAGATGGGTATTCGGCGCAGTGGATGGGGTGTCCGGCCTCGCTGACGGCGTTCAGAAATGGTTCATAGAAGGCTGGTGCGAGCCAGGCACCGGGGACTAGGACGTTGGTTGCCTTTGTCATTGTTCCCGAGTTTAGTTCGAGTATACTGTGGAGGGGGTTGCCATGAAGCAAGGTCGCCATCACCTGGCAGGGAACCTGCTGCTTTTATCCTTCATGAAAGTGGGTACATATCTAAATACACTGCGTATGCACCCGCGCCATCTCGCGGCTTAGCCCCGACTAGATTAATGCTTACCCGTTAGTCGCTCCACCAGGACATCTGCCTAGAGTCTCGCTCGTCTGTATGAATGTGGCGAATAGGGCCAAATGGAACAGAACTTGGAAACAAGAACTCTACGCCCAGATTGTCCGGCTTCGTTGTAGGGTACCAGGGACCCCACGGCGAACAGAGCACAGCTACACGACTTCATGCGTTGAGGATTGTTGCTGAACCCGCAGGCCTATTATACGACTTGGGGATACCAGTTCCGTCGCTGTTGTGAGCGCTGGGAGCCTTGAAACGCAGGCGATACGCCCAGAGAAGTGACGTGTAGCTAGAGCGTCTGCAACTTTTGCACTTCGTTTTGGAAAATTGAAAGCAGATGAGTAAGATGCTTTAGGGCTGTATCGAATGCTCCTCGCTAAGAGTAGTCGAAAGCTTAATCTCGTCAAGAATAGCTTGGTCTTAGAGACATGACTTGGATAGATCAGGTCGACGAGTAATGAGTGCATTGTTTCCTTCCAAGCTACATGAAGCCGCTTATTCTCGGTTTCATGCTGTCAAAAATCCCATGAATGTATTCAGCTTATGAGTCTATGAGTCCATTAAAGTCTCCCTCACCGTTGCTAACCCGTAGTATTCTATCCAAGAATATCAGACAACCCTAAGTGCAAGCGAACGGGTGTATTCCCGCAGCCTATCAGATAACATGCTGTCCTGGATAAAGTTTCCGAGCATGGCACCACATGCATGATGAATACGGTCCTGATGATATCCAGAAGCTTTGTCATTGAGTCACAAACTCTCAGTGAACCTACACAGGCTTTCTTCACCGGCACATATTTTTTGCCTCCCGCCTCTCCCATCTGACCGACTATTGCCCTTCAATAATACAGGCAATGTTTTTCGACGCTGGCGCAGTGGCCATCCGATGGTGAAGTGGGATAATCACTTACCTCGATGATGATCTTGACGTGCCTGAAAAGTGTACGTTCCTGAGAGGTATCCTCTGCCAGCCGAAGCTGAGCATCATATAGCTTTTTCGACACGGGCCTTTTGGCCTCCGTGCGTAACAAGGTCTTGCATAATAACTTGCCTCGATGATGAATCTGACCTACCCAGAGGGTGATGGTCCTGAGAGGTATCCCCAGTCAGCTTTTGCTGAACATCACATAAAAGCGCTTCCCCCAGGAAACTCACGGGCCGCCCAGAAAGTCGTAACAGGGGGCCTGCCTCCATGATGATTTTTTCCGTTCACAAGTTGCGACGCTGAGAGGCTTTCCCATTCGCATTCCCGTCATTGCGTGCCGTTCCGCGCGCGAGCGGTGACATGACGTGTCGAACTGAGCTGACGTTGATGCAGGTTTTTCCCGGTAACTATTCAGTGGGCTGAGGGCATCGCGCAGGATCGAGGGGCAGAGGATGGAAGTCGTCAGTAAAGCTGCTCTATGCTTATTGTGCAATTGGCTGAATAACGCAGATCAACAATGAGGATAGGAGCGGAGGATGTTTCTAAAGTCAACAAGCAGAAGGTAAGCCAACGACTCGATTTGCAACGATTTGAAGAATTGACCAGAGATGCGTGCTAGCTCCAGAGATAATGAATGGGGGAGCAACATGACATTTGGGGGGTGAGGGATGGAAGAAGAGGGGAGTTGGCTGCAGCTGCAGGAAGGTACGACTTAGGGCTACGGTACAGATTGTGGCTTCTCTAATTGGAGAGTCTCTAAGGGGATCTATGCAAATAAAAAAGGAGGTTACGGGGTCACTGAGATCGTTCTTTGGGGGAAAGAGCGGTTGCAAGCCACAGTTAGGGCTGGAGGTAATGCTAGTAAGATTCATCTTCTCCAGATATGTGGTGATTACCGACGATTAGGAACTGTAGACCCTGAGTCTCATGTGGAGGTGTCGCCACATACTGCACGCGTTTCCGAAGGATAGGATTTAAGATTTTGAATGGCTTGATGTTTACAGGTAGAATGCGAGGACCTGTGAAACTGATGCTGAGAATGACCGCTACTGACAAACGACGTCCAAGAGGCAGGAAATCTGTTTAGACGGCATGGATTCTAGATCGGCGTATGCTCCGTTCCCCGTAAAGTCCTCGATCGTCCCGTGGAGGTACCTAATTGAGCGACAGACAGCCCTCTCAACCTACCATCAACCACGGTCCGAAACATGGCGTGCTGATCATCCCTGAATAACCTGAGGCCATGCTACGAGTTACTCACTCGGGCTCAGTTTCCCCGGTGTTCTGCAGTGTATGAGAAAAGGTTGTGAAGTCCACACCCAAAACGTTTGGGCCGAACCGCTTCCTAATAAACGTTGATCACCGTCTGCGGCCCTCCATGTGAAAACCGTGAATTATGGTACGGGAAACCGGCGACTGATGATTTGGGCGCCGCAAGTTGCTGAGCGTACATGATGACGTATCGGACGGAGAGGGTTCGATTTCATCCGTCCGTCCGTCTCTCCTCCGTCTCTCCGTCCGTCTCTCCGTCCGTCTCTCCGTCCGTCTGTTTATCCGTCAAACTACGAATCGGACTCGGGATGTCTCAAGCATGTTGACAAGGAAAGGCCAGACGCTCATCGCCGTGGCATCTGCCCTGCCTGTCTTTTTGTCCTAACACGGAGGACCTTACTGTGCATGGCAGACGTTGTTATTCCATACTTGGCCTTTTAATATCTGATTAATGTCGACATAGCAAGTATCAACTACACTGAAGACGTTCTTACAAGTCAAGTTTAAGAAGATTTAGAATATCTGGGATTACGGAGGAGTTATGAAATTTAACACAATGCTCTTCTAGTACCCTAGCGGCCATGGACAGCTTCCCAACGACTCGTAAATACTTTCTCCCTTCCTCCGGTGTATGTACAGAACGTAAATTCTTGGATTTAACAAGCCCAGACGTCTTTTCCATGTGAGACATCACAACGACCAACATCGATCAATGAGCCGGAAATTTATTCAAGCTCTTTTCGAATCCCTTGTAAGTGCGGTCAAGCCAGACTTTAAGGTTGGCCCTTCCCTCCTCGTCGGGAATCGAGAACTCTCCAAGCCACGTCATTTCTGTCGTGTGGCGAGAAATTTGCTTCGAGAAGAACGTAGCGTACGAGTCAATTCCTAGAAGGTCGTCCCGGTCGATATGGAGACGAACGCTGTAGTTTGCGATGTCAACGTGATCGAGGGTTTCTCGGATCATGATTTCTGGGTCTGTGCTGAATGCGATGGTGCGCTTAGAACCCTATACCAAATCTCTCTACAGTTGGACATCCATAGTCTTGGGGAACCAAAGGCAGATAGGAGAGCCCAAACTTCTCCGATAGGGGCGGTAACCGTTCCGGTATACTCGGTTATTTTGACAATGGACATGATTATAAATAACATATAATAGAAATGATGATGTAGTTAAAATGATGGCTGGGAGCGACAATTATAGGAAAGGAAGTGGGGTGCTTTTTTGTAGCACTCGCTCAGACTTTCTTCAACGTCTTTAAGCTACCTAGTGCTACAGAGTATATCAATTGCATTAACACAGCGGCATACAAAGCGGGATGGAGGCCTTGCCGAGCCAGAGATCTAAATACCTTTGAATGTCGATGTCTTCACCCCGTCAACTGAGATTGACTTTATAAAACGTTCTCTCTGTGTGCCATATCACCCATAATCCATTAGTACGTATAGCGCGTCAAGTACCTTGCAGAATCCCCTGGAGTGCCAAACTTGCTCATGTTATGCTTTAGAATCCAGATAAAAATGGTTTTAGAGTTAATAAGCTCTGTCACGGAAACTATCGACGTGCCTATTGGAGAGATTTCGGCCGTGATCTCGTTAGTCGGATGCGAGAAGCTATGGTTTTGTCACTACTTTGCCCCCGGCTTGAAATCCCCCCACACCAAACAACACAATTTTTGCACATGGGAAGTATACAATTTTTTTTAATCTTAAATAATAGCACGAATACTTAATATTCTAACTTGAAACTGAGGTATTATACAGACTATAGTATAAGAAGTAACTATTTGATTTAAAAACCTTAAAAAATTCAAGTTTAGATTGGTCGATATTACAAGTTGTGTGGGGGATTTCAGGTTAGAAGGCTCCAAAGATGCCACAAACACGACATATGAAGAGAGAATTGAATTGAAGACATTACATAACATAAGTGAAGACCTACAATGGCAGTTTCTCGGCATATTTGAGGCTCATGGAAGTGAATCGAAAAGATAAATCTAATTAATAAAAAAGACAACCTCCAGTAGATTTTCCCGCTGCTCGAACAATCTCATCATAGATTATTCTTGACATCATTGGGGTGGATATTCTACCTTCGACGTTCCGTCCGCTTCTTCCCAGTACACCGCCATCACCCCGTTGTAACGATCCGGTCCGCTGCTTACCAGAACCACACGGCCAAAAAGGCACTATAGAAGACCGTTAGGTCTTCTTTGCAGCGGAACTATATAGTAAGGGCAGAACCATTACACCCGTTGCTACATCAACGCCCCCATTAGTGAGGTTTGGGTCCTTGGGGCTAGGCTTCGACACCGAAAAAGCATGGTACCGGGGCGCTAAGTGTGTTTCCCTAAAAGGCAGTGATCCGGACGGAGACACGGACGAAATGCGGAAAAACGAAGTATAACGTTATAAATCAATATAATATTATAAATCAACAATATAAAAAGCTTTGTGGCAGGCGGGCATTATAGAAGACACTTGCTTCTAGCAATTGGGTCTATCCCGCGACTCAGATATTAACAATATCTATCCTTGCCCCAACCCAGCCATTTTAATCTTTAGTCCAAACGAAGAACACAAAAATGTCATTGAAACTCAACGGCCATCTACAGTCTCTCTGTACCCAGCGTGTCCTCCTCACCCTCGCTGAAAAGGGAGTAAAGGATTTTGAACTGGTCTCAGTTGATTTCATGACAGGGGAGCACAAGGTTAGTGACACCCACTCCTATAGATCTGCAACCTCGTTTGTTGATGGTCCACAAGCTGCCAGCATACACTGAGAAGCATCCATTCGGCCTGATCCCACTGCTCGAGGATGGCGACTTTAAGCTTTTTGGTCAGTTTTATCTTCTCTGTTCACTTTTAACTTTGATCCCCGAGGCAGCCTAACCTAAATATGTCTTTCAGAGTCAAGAGCTATTGCCCGCTATATCGCAACCAAGTTTCATGGCCAGGGTACTCCTCTTACTCCTGCACCTGGCGATGTCCAGAGCTGGGCCCTGTTTGAACAATGGGCCTCTGTTGAGCAGAACTTCACCGCTTATGCTGATCAGATCCTGACGCAGAAATTGTGGAATGGGTAAGTTTTGGCGGTTTCTATGCTGTGCATTTCCCTGGGGTAACCTTTTCGCGCAGCTTTAGGGGTCTTCCGACTATCGAAGCCGCCTTGGAAGATAGCACCACTCGTCTTGAGGCCAAGCTGGATATTCTTGACACCATTGTCGGTACGCAGAGGTACATGGGTGGTAAGGAATTCTCCCTTATCGATATCTACTATATTCCTATCGTGAACATGCTCTATACGGCTGGTATGGGATTCCTGTTTGACAAGCGCCCAAACTTGAAGGCTTGGTGGGGGAGTGTCTCGAGCAGACCTACTTGGACCAAGATCCTCTCGTCCTGAATGGAAAGTTAAGTCTTTTGCAAGGAAGCTACATCGAGGGAGGAGAACTAAGTACTATAATACAAAAGTTATAGCCCTTATATAAAAGTCGGACCATGAAGACTGCGCTAAGTAAGAGTAACCGCTGCATAGTATAAAGACACAGGCTTGGGTTGGGCGGGTGGAAGGCCTTACCAATCCGCTATACTATAGTTAGGTTTAGTCTAGGGTACCTCAAGTAACCTTGTGGATCCTTGGAAACTCAAGGGGCCTGTTAGAGGTTTAAAGGTTATCCTCCTCCTTTAGACAGAAGGAAGTCAGAAAGGTAGAATACTCCAGATATCAGGATAATAGAATAAGTGCTGTATCAAATGTCTCGTGCATGACATGTTACTGTTTGCGCTGTTACTTGCTATAGATATGTAGTATCACATTAACCTCTCTAGGCCTTAATAAATCACTTAACCAGCCTGCTAGAATAGAACTGGACGCACCCTTAGCTCTATATCTTTTGATTTGAGACGAAGTTCTTTGTCCACAGGTAACGGACAGCATTGATATTAATCTTACAGACCAGCAAGTATGGGCTTGAATAGGAAGAAAGGTTGGGTGGCTAATGAACTCTTAGACTCTTTAGAAAAGCGAATTCAGTGTGCCAGGGTACATAAATATGGCGATTATAGGCAAACGTAGTGAGTTTTTGCATACTTCACCTAGAACATGATCTTCGGATTCCGTCTCTGCAGTATATGTACATCAGGTACAAGGAACCCCGCAAGTTTCTCGTGTAAAGCGAGGACCTGTGAATACCCTCTTCGGGTTAGTTTTGCCGCTTTTGGGATAAGCCGCGCCATATATGCTGTACGCCCGCTGGCTCCTCTGACTATGACTGTTCTAACCCTCTTCTCCTCCTAGTTTCTTTTTTTTCCTTGATACCCCCCTCCTATATCCTGCACTCACCCGTCCATAATCTGTTGTCTTACTTTTTTCGAAGACGCCTGTCCCTTCGCCCCCTTTTTCTTGTTGGAAATTGCGGCTGCGCCCACCACTTCCAGATTCTCTTCTCCTGTTAGCTTGCACCAGGTTAGCTAAGTATTTTGCTCCTTCTTCTTCCTTTGGATATCTAGCGAAATGGGGGAGCTTTTATCTATTCGAGGCCTTGTATTGCCTGTTGGCCTTTTCTGGTTGAACTTATAGTCTTGATAGGTGTATGACAATGACCCACTCTTTCTGCGCCTTAATGCTGCGAGAATAAGCCAAAGGTATTTGTCACAGTTTATGGGCTAGCATCAAATCATACATATAAGATATTGTAGTTACTAGTCAAATGCATACCCCTAATCAACCCATGCCCCGGGCATCAAAGGCGGCAGCTCAGCGAAAGAAAAGAAATCTCCAACAAAATCCTCCACAAAGACTTCTTGCCACACAAGTTCCCAATCCTCCGGCTCAGGCCCATAATGGAATGAAGCTAGTCTGGGTCTACCTCTGATTTCCCCAATGTTATTCCATTCTGCCAAGACCCACCCAGACTCCTCACGTAGCAAGCGTGTTTCCTGCTGGCCATACTTCTGGAGATCTATCCCGGTGGCCTTTAAATCTTCGAGCCAGAATACAAGAGATTGTTGCAGCCTGTTTCTGCCCTGCTTTATCAAACGAGGTGACACTTCCCAGAAATCGACGCTCCCCTCCAGTCCCGCGAATAACGGAGTGAACAGTTGTTCCCACCCGCTGGATTTTGATATACTCAATTCTTCTGATTCCATGCCCCTAAGCAGCCAGCAGACAAGCATCCTCCAATCCTGGAAGTCTGCACGCTTGCTCAGCAATCCCCCCATGGTGTCGGGACAACCAGGTACGTTGAAGAAGTACCTCTCAGCAAGTGTATTGAGCGAGCCTCCCGGCTGCTTGGAAAGCTGCTGACGGATCATGGTCGGATTAATGTGCCCATCGGCTTGCAGTATGTTATAGAGTATCTTAGGGTCGGCAGTCCACCAGTTGATGGATCTAAAGCGATGTTCTGGTGGTGCTTGGTGGATTTCGTCAAGGACAAGATCGGTTAAGCTGGAGCTACCAAATAAAAAATAACCTAGATCTCCAGTATCCCACGGCTTCGCGTCTGGGTCAAAGAGGGCGGCCACGCTGTCTGTTAGCTCGCCCATAGACTTCAAAGACCATAGCACATCTCTAAAATGTTCCTCTGGCCTGTGTACAGCATGAAGTGCCAGCAAATCTAGCGTTGTGATTCTGTGATATGCGGGTTCATGGATACTCAATCCCTGGTCAATTAGGTATGTGATAGTTGGCTGGCTGCCAGAGAGTGCGGCAAGCTAAGTATATCTTAGTAGGACAACCAGGCTTTCTATAGTGGGTACTCACATGGAGCAATGTCTCTCCCTCTGGGTTACGGTCATAGAGTGAGGCCTGTCCATTTTCAAATAGTTGATTGATTTTTGAAAGGTTGCCTTCCAAAGCAGCCTGGAATATTTCTGCACTCTCTGGCCTCACTGACCATCGGCGGAGCGAATATGTCCAGCCATGACTGGCCCTTTGTGCGCAGAAATCCCATACTCCGTTCGCAAGCCACGTTGGCATTTGGATTCGTGCGCGGTAGGCTGTATGGTGTAAGCTGGAGCTGATTACTATAACCTGCAGTTAAGGGAGGGCCAACTAACCCTTATCCATAGTATAACATGTGTGAGAGGTATAAGACCCAAAAAGCCCCGAGTATCGCCATGGAAGTGTGTAACTGCTAAAAGCATTTTTGGCCGCTTTCAACTTGGCTGGCCTGCGTACGAGGTCTTTTTCCGGTTTGGTCTCATTTTCTTGCTCGAGTGCAGTTGTGGTATCGTCTAGGGACCGAATCTGGTCAGCCACCAACCGTGGTTGGCTTTTAGCAAGAGCTCTATTGTAGCGATTAGTGTTGGAAAATCCTAGAGTCGGATTTTTGAACCCACATGAGATAAGTCTGCTGAGCGATTCCCAACAGCTGTAGCGAATCTTGCATTCGCTTCTGAAGGGAATATAGGGTCTCCTTGCCCAATGCAACCTTCACTCTTGTTTTACCCCGGCTCAGTCGCCTCTTGTCCTCAATTTGTTGTCTTAGATCATGTGCGACGCCGTCGAGATCCCAAAGAATCTTTTTGCAATAGTTCAGACTTAATCGCGCGGCACTGCTACTGGCAAGCAACTTTTCGTCTGCACTCAACTCCGTCTCTGTTTCGATGACTAGGGGATGGACAAGGCTGAGCTGGTCTATGAGCAAATCGATATAAGCGGGCGCATCGCGAACTTCATTCCAGAGCCGCTTGAGTTTCAGCACGGCGCTTGCTGTCTCGGCGACAGTGATGGAGCCAGAAACGAGTCCAAGTATTTCCGCCATAAGGTATGATGTGGAAGCTGTGAAGAGGAAGATGAAAGATGATGAAAGACGTTGGGGCTCGCTGAAGGAAGATGCGGTGGTCTTACTCTGGCGAGCGCAAGGCTCTCTTGTCCACGCCCAACCGGTGGCTGTGCATCTCTCTACATGCAGCCAAGCCCGGAACTTTATGCCTGCATGAGCACTGATGGCGATTAGCGAATCAGCATTGGTGATTTCGTGGTAGTAAGCTACCATCATCCAAGTCGCTGCTGGTCTTGTATATTTTATCCTAATTCTCTTGCAAGGTTCGGCTTTGAACCGACATTTCATCCAGGAATTGCACGACGGTACCTTAACCAGGCATCACAGTAGCCCTAACCGTACTATAAGCACCCTGACCAGCTTCTCATTGTTAGTAGGCCTCCTGCAACTCCTGCATTATCTTGATATATCTCTTTGTGCAATACAAGCCTCAAAGGGTAGCCGTCCACCCCTTAAAGAAGCAATGAGGTCATCTGCTCCTTTTATCTGGTCCGGATTCTTGCCCATCGATACAAGTCTCGCTCTTCACGACCTGGATTAAGATGACTCTCACCATAGTCGCTTGATAAAAACAGTATTCGATGTCAAATGAACCATAAACATCTACACTGGAAGATGCAAGCTGTGAACCAGGTTGGAGCTGTGCTGAATGCTTAATTGGATCAACCCTCGCGTCCGTTGACAGTATCTTGTCTCAGTATACCCCGGGTTGTATGGAGGTACTTGTCTACGCTTGGAACTAACTTAAGCTATCTTATAATAGGTCTAGTTGATCATACCTATTTTGTGCAAGTGCTGATTTACGAGTAGAATGTGAGGACCTGTGAAATCAACGCTAAAAATAACAGCTACTAAGGCTATAAACGGCCGCATTTCTACCTATAAACCTTAAACCAGTGAGCTACTGCTCTCACGTCCCCATGTGTTTCACACTACTATTATGCACCTGCCAAGCCTTCATTAGTCACCTCACTAAAGTTGAACTCACACTTGACATCAGCAAGTGTCTGTCAGTCCATTTTAACTCACGACCAAAGCAACACCGAAAATGGCCTCCTTTACGGCCAAATCCAGCTCCCCAGCTCTGACTGGTCTGGTAAAGCGCTTTATAAAATGCTACCTTTCCCCTACTTCTTCCTCGTTCCTCTATTCATTCCCCGCCTTGATAATCTTAGCCCTAACCTGAAGCCTATCATTTCTAGAATCTAGTGCCTCTCTTTAATATCTCTATCTAACTCCCCCTAATAACTCCTCCTCCTATCCCCCCTACTCAACCTAGTAAACACTAATTTTAAACTAATCCCATTCTCTATGAAGAGACTTGGGCAAGACTAGAACATTTCCATACTATTCCCCCTCATAATAGCAATCCGTCCCGGATCACGCTAAACCTAAAATAGAATAAAACAAGGAGATGGCTATTCAAAGTGTAATAGTAATAGAGTGATAAGAATAGCAAGGGCGTAGTATTAGTAAACAAAGCTAACCAGCATTACACGAAGGCGATCCCCCGTAACAAGGCACACAAAAGTCAACCGCAAAGACCTTATCCAAGTTCGGTGGCAGATACGTCTCGCCCACCACCGGCGTATCCCCATCGCCGGCCGTCATATTCGAGACCCGCGCCCAACACGGCGTGCGCCAGCTCACCTGGTCCGAAATCCCCTCGGTATTTGCAAAGAACACCGGAAGCGCGTAGAAACAACCGGGTTTCTCATCGTCGCCGAAGAGCTTATACACATCGCTGGAGATCACGCCGCCGTAGTCCTTTGTCGCGGACTGGCACGACTCGGAGATGCGGTACAGGTCTTCAAGCGAGATGCTGTATTTCTCCTCGATGAGCTTGAGCGTCGCGGACTCCACGGGCTTGGAGAAGTCGCTGCGCTTCGGAACAGCCGCGCTGTCGCCGTCGCCTGGATACTCCAGCGTGTAGCAGGTACCATCGATAACCTTACCCCCCGTCTGATCCGAGCATTCATCCGCATCAAACCCATCCTTCACAATATAGTAGTTCGCAAGCGAAAGCGTCGACGCGGCAAGACTCTTCATCATATTCTCGCCGAGCGCCGCCTGGATATTCCCCACCTCATCGCCGCGCAACTTGGCCAGCCACCGGCCATCGAAGAAGTTCGAGATCTGGAACTCCCAGTCCCCATCCTTTAGATCCGACGGGAACTCATCGAGATCGCCGTCGCCGAACACCGCAACCAGCATCTTGCCCGCACCCGTATACCCAGCATTCCAGATAATCGCCAGCTGCGCGTGCAGCGCGCGCTCGAGATCGTTCTCATCCGGCGGCTCTTCATCCTTCACAGCCGCCGCGACAATACTCCACATCCCGCCAAAGGCCGAGAGGGCCGCGCCCGCCCCGGGGCTAGCTGGGTTTCCGACGTGTCCGCTCGCCAGGGGGCCTGCGATACCGAGGGCGCCGGCAAAGATGCCGAAAACGGTTTCCATGGAGGTTGTGTCGGGGACTTTGATGGGGAAATCCGAGACGAGGGAGCCGATGTTCAGGGTGGAGTTTATGGTTGAGGCCTCGAACATGGCGCCGTATTGCACGATGTGCTGGAAGAAGTTTGCGACGGCGTAGCGGGCCCAGTACAGCGAGGGGGATTCCATCTCTTCGCAGGTGGAGGGGATTGGGAAGTCGCATTGGCCCGCGGGGTACACGTCGCAGGTTACGACTTGTGTGTCGCCGAAGAGTTCCTGTGCCCAGTTTGCTGGAGAGATGTGTTAGTTCCGGTTCGAAGACAAGAGGGGCGAGGGTGGATCGTACATGTGCTTCCTCCGCGAACTTCTTTGAAGAAGTAGTCAAAGTACGCCGAGACGTTGCGCTGGCTACTCGCATCCGCTTCAGTGATTTTGTCAAGGTCCGGCTCGGAGCAAAACTCCTCAATGTCCATGTCCTCTGGGAGAGGGAGGAAAATCCCCGGCGACGGCACAATCCCCGGATTGAATTTCTGCAAGTCAATTGACCACTCGACCGACCCGCCCATATTCATGCCCCTGTACTTGTCCAAGCGGCGATTGCGCGTCTCATCCGTCATATACGCCGCCCACTGATTGCTATCATAGACGAGGATATCCGAGTCACTATCGGAGTCGTACGAATGCACCGCATTTCCATTCAGATCGAGAATCTCATTAATCTCCGCGTTAGCAAGATACCCCGAGGTCTTGGTGCACCGGCCCTGCGTCGCGCCATTGCCTGTAAACGTACACGTCGGCCCCGTGCACCCGGGCACGCTCATCTCAAACGTGCGCCCGTAGCTGCTCACCCCAACGAGGATCTTGCGCGTCTGTACAAGCGCCTTGGTGATCATCGCCAGCGCGTACTGTGTCTCCGTTGAGTTGACGTGCGAGCGCAGGCAGTTGCCGTCAGGGCAGCCAAGGGGCGGGTCATTGCTCTCGTAGTCCCACTGTCCGCGCAGGTCGTAGGTCATGTACACGATGTAGTCGACTAGGGCCCCGATTTCGCTGATCGGGAATGCCTTGAGGTACCAGAAGGAGGCCGGGGCGGCGATGGAGAGGCTCTTGCCGTCGGGGAGGTATTCACGGACGAGTTTGAGGAACTCGAGGTATCGCTCGCCTTCTTCTTTTTCGCCGACAGGGATATCAGGCAGGTCTGGGGCGCCGGGGTATTCCCAGTCAAAGTCAACGCCATCGAGGCCATGCTCGTTGACAAAGTCAACAACATTGCGCGCAAACGTCTCGCGATTCTCCTCCTTGACGCCATCCCGAAAGATATGATACGTCTCTGGGAAGGTACTAAAATCCCAGCCGCCAAACGAAATGACCCTCTTGACCGCGGTCATGCGCTTAAAGTACGCAAACTGCTCCTCCTCACCCTCCATAAGCCCAATCGAGAAATCGTCCCCGATATTCCCAAACGCATACTGAATATGTGTGTAGTCGTTCGTGCGGATCGAGTACGCATTCATCGTCAGACACTCGCGGTTCAGATTACTCGCGAGGAAGTAGCCCACCTTTGCAAACTCATCCGGCGGGATATCGTCGTTCACGACGCTCATTCCGCAGTTGCTAACGCACAGTGTTGTGCCCGGGTTCCCCGTCGCAGACTCCTTGCGCTCGCAGAACTCCGGGTTGATCCCACACCACCCCCACAGGTTACAGCACGCGTTCAGCGGACACTGGTTCAGCAGCGCCCACTCGGACGGGGTGCTATCGTCCGGCTGTTCTGTGCCAGGCATCTGCGGCCCACAGATCGCATCTGTAATTGGCGCAGGGAAGGGCGGCGTCCCCGAGCTCAGACAGATATTCAGCCCCGCCTGGAGATCGCCGCAGCCGAGCCACCCCCACGTGTCTTCATTGAAAGATTCGATCTCGTCAATGGTCAGACTGTGCGACGCCGCGAGCGTGGAGCAGTACTCGCCCGTGTTTACGCGGTGCGTGTAGCACGTCCCGTTCTCGTATGGGTCCGGTGAGAAATCGGGCAGGTCCCCCTCTGTGCAGCAGACGGGTTGGCCCTCGGCGAGGGTGGAGCAGAGGTTCGGGATGTCGTTGTATTTCTCAAAGTCGGCGCCGGAGATCCCGCAGCGCTCGGCGAGGCTGGGACAACCGTCGCCCAGTATGACGTTGATGGTTTTACAGGTTGCGGCGCGGGGCTGGAGGAGGGAGGGGAGGAGCGACGTGCGACGGCGGAGGCTGGATATTGCGAGGGTTGATGGCGAGGCGGAGATGGTGATGTCGGAGACGGATTTCGACTCGTCGTAGTCACCGGGGCAGTCGCCGTCTCTCCATCCTCGAAGTGTCTGCTGGATGGCGTGCAGGTCGCCGTTCGTCGAGAGAACGATGCCAAGTGTGTCTTCGCCTCGAGAACCGCAGTGCTGGACGACGGTCAAGGCACCGCTACTTTCTGCACTCTCATCCAGCAACACCTTCACAATGGCATCTACCGCACCGGACCTTTCATATCGCGGTCCAACATACAGACCTGCGACGACATCACCAAAGCGGCCCAGGATATGGAACTGGTCGTCCGGCGAGGAATCAGCAAGCCAAGCGCGTATGTTCTCCACGAGGGTTGAGATAGACTCCTCATTCCGGGTGGCTCGAGTGGCAACGTCCCAGGAGGCAAGCTGTAGCGGTAGCTTAACTTCCTCATACTCGATTGAGGAGTGTGCGCGTCGCGTAACCTGGGCACTAGAGTCATCTCCACCCGGCCTACAAGCCAAGAACGTCCACGACGCGTCCGTGGCGTTGAGCGGATTGTAGAGAGAAAAATCGAGGAGCATGGGCTCAGTGCAAGCAGAGAGATGGCCTATGTTGTGGTACGCGCTCCAGTCGAGGGGCCTAGTGCTCGAGCTGCAGGGACCAGGGCAGGAATCGATCTTCCTGCGTTGAGCTGCACCCGGCGTGCTGAGCAGCGCGCCAACCACGACGGCTACCACGCTCTTGAGTGGCTTGCGCATGTTTTTGGATCGCAAAATCAACGGAAAGCCTGAATTGATGAATGAATATCAATAAGAAAAACAAATCAAGATATAATCGTTGTGTAGGGATGTTTCTTCTCAAATCAAACCTCACGGCCACCTATCCTATTTATATACTAAATTTCTAACCCTATACCAGGACCTCGAGGCAAGGTACACACATTCCAGCCCCAGAAGCGACTCAGCCCTTACCCGAACCTCCGAACCTCCGCGCCCGCAACCTTCAGCCGCACATTGAGGCTCTCCGAGCGATGTAACTCAAATTGTACGCCCTTAGACTCACTGATTGGCCATACCATCTATTTCCCCTGCATCCTGGCACTCAGCTCAGGTGCGGGATTGATAACCCTATACTCCATGCAGGTCGATGCGACGACGCGGTCGGGGGAGCTGAAGATGTTTCATCGCCTATGTTAGGGCTGTGTGGGGGCTGTCTTCCCGAGATGCGAATATTACCTACCTATTGGAACAATTTTCCAGGGCCTTAGGATAGCCAGCCTCCACGTACTGCTGTTCATTGTTTGCGCGTCCTCGGCTTCTGCGACATTCAACCCGCAGCAAGCAAAGCATACAACAACTGATAAGGCGTAGCGCTTACGCGCCAAGTCCGCTAGGTCTCAGCTTCGAGGGAGCAAACTCAGGAAAAGGCGTGGAGTCGGTGACGACGATCGACTGATCATGAGGGCCGCCTTACGGGGCACCGTATGATGTTACTGGCCCAGCCGGGGGAAACCTGGTAGTAGTGGAAGGTGTGTGTGTAACCCTACAGGGCTCAGCGCAGGACCCGTGGTGGGGCGGGATCTTGCCACTATAACTACGCTACGATGTACATCAGAGCTGAAGAAGGTTTGCTGCAGGCGGCGTATTTGGCCATATGTGGTAAGGCTTGCGCTAGCAGACAGGGGTACTTTAAGGCGGACCACGGTTCGGAGCTCGACAGTCTAGATAGTCGATAAGTAAGTAGCAAAATGTATGCATGCAATCAGTTGTGCGAATGATTCACGTGAATGCAACACGGACTTGCGTTCCGTCCACAGGCTTGCCTGTTACTTCCATGATCTGCTGGTAATTAGCTGATGCACCAATAAACCGCTGGAGATGAGGTATAAAGGACAGAAGAGACGTATAGTGAGACTCACATTGAACAACTCCTCTTCAACCACATACTGCCCAAACTCGTCTATCACACACTGCCCAGCGCTATCTCACGCAACGGCCCCAAGCCCAACCTTCACAAAACCAAACCTCCGCATCGTACACGCATGAACAACCCTCGCCTCTATATTCGCCAACTCCTGCCCAATACAGTTGCGCGGACCGCGCTCGAATGGCCGCCATGCCGAGGCTGGAATAGAGCCAGCATCATCACTGGGTTGCTTGGAGTTTATATTCTCCAGCCACCTCTCCGGCACAAATGCGTCCTTTGACGGCCCGTACACATTCTCATCGCGCTGGATGGTTGTCTCGCAATTATGCAAGATCATCCCGTCAAGACAGAGAGTCTGTCCGTCGGGAAGGGTCACGTTGAACCCTGTACCTTGCGGGACGAACCTCCCTGTACCCGCGGGAGGATGCAGGCGGAGTGTTTCTTTCACTATCGCAGCTATATAGACCATCCTCGAGAGCAAAACCTCAGCGCGAGGTGAGCGGAGCAGGGCACAAATAACGTGCGCAGAGAAATGAGCAATTGAATCAGGAAGGTGGTAGTAGTGGTGAACCAAGTATTTCTACTCTGGATACTTTAATTCCTCAGAAACGCGCTCCGCCAAGGTGTTCTGACTGTCATACTTCGGGGCATATTAGAACTAGGTGTCCTAGTCATTCAATTTCTTAGTTTTATTAATTTAATAAAGGTTCTGGTCGCTGGTGATAGCTTCAAGTTTAATGAGTATAGTCAAAATCGATGGGGTGAGCGTCTTAGGGGTAACGTATTGATTGACGAACTAGTTACGCCTGTTGGTACAAAAGGAATAGTGTTAAGGAATAGTTAAGGAATAAGGATTCAGGTGGCTATAGTAGAACATAAGAACATGTAGGTCACGTGTTCTATAGCGATATTCTGGAGTCATGAGGTCGAAGGCCGAGTTCTCCCAAGGGTTGAGCTCAGCCCGTAACAATATAGGAGGGAGAATAAGGGAAAAGGAAGAAGTTAGGAGGAAAGAGAGGTAGAATAGCAAGGATAGTTCTTATATACTCAGAGGGACTGGGCGGGCGGTGATGACAATATGGCGTACGGGGCGGCTATTGTAAGGATCCTATCCCGCTGCTTGATAAAACCATACGGCCAAAAAGGCACTATAGAAGACCGCTAGGTCTTCTAGCAGCGGAACTATATAGTAAGGGCAGGGCCGTTACGGCTATCCCGAAAACGGCCAAACTAACCAGAAGCGGGAATTCACAGGTCCTTGCTTTACATAATATATATTTCCGCAGCACATCACCTCTCATATCAAGCGATATTACAGAGTAAAAGAGGATTACCAACTGTGGGAATACATAAAGATTTGAGCGAGACTGCGCAGAGTGCTAATGAATTCGCTGTCAAAAACTATGTATATTGAAGAAGACCGGCCGGACAGACAATATTCAACGACAGAGCAAAGCAAAGCTGACACTCAAATTTGAAGCCTAGCAAGCACTCATCGAACCCAGGGGCGGTAGTTTCCGTTGACACTGAACACCCCCACACCTCTTCACCTTCTCACACAACCACTTAACCACTGAAAAGCGCCGGTCCAGGAATAGGGTACTCGGTGTTACCCGAGTAGATATCATACAGGATACCCTCATCCGTCGGCGTGTACAGGCTAGTGCCCACTACACCAGATGGACTAGCAGAGCCGCTGCCCGAGATAACAAGGTTGAAGCACTGCGGGTAGCTCTGGGCTCCGTTCGCCTGACCAGCGGAGTGCAGGGCGATGATCTCGTGGCGGAGGACGTAGTTGCCCGGGGCGATGGAAGAGGGGATTGTCACGGAGGTGGTGAAGCTGTTCTCGATGAGCTCGTCGGTGATCCAGGTGTTGGTCGATGCGTCGATGATGGCCTCGGCTTGGATCTTGACCCATTGGAGGCTGGCCTTGTCGACTGCGCTGCAGTCGCCGTTGCAGTTGGCGAGGTAGTTGATGATCTATGGTGTCGAATAATGTGGTTAGTATAAGGGTTGGGCTGGAGAGTGGTAGGTTTGGTCTTTCGATGTATGGAAGGGATTTCGTTTCTACTTACGGGTCCCTTGTGAGACTCGGGCCATGTGTTCCAGGTCACATCGATGGTGCTGCCGGCCTCGACGGGGGCAGAGAGGGCAGCGGGGGAGGCACCGCGGTGGCAGATAATGTCGCCGGTCGAGAAAGCATCCGGGGCGACAAAGCCGTTGTCAGTGACGGTAGTGGTCCAGCCATAGACGTCAGGTGGGTCCTGCTGGTAGGGGTAGCTGTCGGCGAGCCAGCCTCCGAATCTACATCACTTTCAGTAGGGGTACCATGGGTACGTGGTGTCCAACGGGAGGGCAACATACGTCTCCCCGCCAACAGCAATCTGCGTAACATAGCCGTGACCAGCAACAAGGCTTGCAGAGGCGAGAACGCCAGCAAGGGTAGAGAGCTTAGAGAGAGTCATGGTCAAAAGCGGAACCTTCCAGAGGTGTCAATGTAAGAATGAGATCTGAACAAGGGAGTTGTTGTCTGCCGGTGGAAGAGAAGAGTAAATCAGGGTCAGTCAACAGCCTTTATATACTCGTTCGAGACGAGGAGCGCCTCTCCCGTTCCTAATTGAAACGGGGCAGCCGGGGAAGAGCCGAGTCGCATATTGCCCTAAATTGCAGGAGGCCGTGCCTAAGCCGTGACAACAGGCGAGACTGCGAGATTTAGCCGGAGATGCAGGTGCAGGGGTCTGGATCAGCAGATCCGCTTCTTCAGGTGGGCGGTTGGGGATAGATTGGCTGCATGCTTGGGCATTGATTGTTCGGTATGAATCGATTCCTCCCCGTCGAGGCTGTGGACTGACTCGGTTGGGAAAATGTTCGTTCCATCTTCATACAGGGGTTACTCGCGGATTGCATCGTGAAGACGGCTAACAGCGATAGAGCCCTGTTTAGGCTGTTCGCTCAATATCCTGGCCAAAGAAAGACCCAAGCTTCCTGGCTGGGTTGACTTCAAGCCACAGCTGCCACACCCCACAGACACCCCTTCACCCAGAAAGAGTGCCTCCTGACAGACCAGAAACTAGATAAACATACCAGATTGCCAACCCAGAATCCTGATGGCACTCAGGTCTGCCGATCCCTCCGGGGCGACGGGCCGAGGCCATCAAACAAACCAACAAAAACAGTGTGTGTCCAAGGTGGAAACAAATGACCCTCAGCCTTGAAACGGATCCATACGGAGTCGAAGTATCCCTGACGGAGCATAGAGACGGAGCTCGTTCCATGTCAGCGTTGTGCCGTGACAGTTGTAGAAATGATATGCAGGCACTTGTATAGCGGCAGTTGTGATTCGATGGCGTCTGCAACCCCTCTCAAACATGACGGTGTGCAGAGTAGTTAGTGGCTGTTAGTACCTGGGCACAGGCACGCCCCAGGTTTCCCCGGATTATCTGCAAAACTGAGCAGAATTGAGCAGATTAACCGAGTTATCGGTACGAACATGTATAAGTTGATGGAGGACGGCATATTGGCGTTGTTTCTGTGCTCAAAATCCACACAGCTAAGTATAGGATGCAGTGGGGATGCTTCATGTTGAGTATGACAGCGGGCGCTTGGCTCCCCATTGCCTTGTCTCAAGACGGTGGATTGACCTGACTCCTCCATTCGGGTGTGTGGAAGAGCGAGGCAAGTGATCGGCGGGTGAAATTGAAGGCAGGGAGGATGGGTGACATTCGAAACAGACGGCCAAGACGGGTCTACAGCCTGATTCCTCCGCACTCGAAACATGCAAACGAGGCCCGACTGAGTGTTCTGCCTTGATTCCTCCTCTCGCGTGCTCTACGACTCTACATCATACATTGTTCCCAAGACTGCTTCTTGGTAAAATGAATGGACACATGGCGGGCCAAAGCACGATACCGGGTTCGAGTATTTTCGAATGTTTTTATTTTTGTCTCTTCATTATTTTATAGACAGGAAAAGCCCCGACCAAGCCGTTCCCTAAAGTCGGAATATGCAGGTCATCCGGTTCAAGTCGTATACGTCGTCATTGTCGTGTCGATGTACAGCGACCGAGCGAGATGCCAGAACATTCAATTCTTCCATCCAATGACAGATAGAGGGTGAGCATTCCGGTGCCGGCCCACAGAAGCATCCATGCCGCGTTGATTCCTTGGACAGTCGATGGTCGTAACGCTTCGATCGAATTCCACGATCCTTCCATCACGCCCATTTCACCACATTCCGTTCATCATGTTGAGATGTTTACAGAGACTTCTTCTTCTCGCCCTTGGAGACGTCGACGACCTTGAGAGCTGTAGAGAAGCGGGTTAGTATGTGATCTTTCAACTGAGTATCTCCAGCAATTCCATGAAGTCCATAACGCTCCCTCTCTTCCGTCAAAGGGGTATCGGAGGTTCGGCCTGAGGATCGCGGAGAGGCGGAGAAAACGCACCAGGGGGCAGGCTCTGCTTGAGCTTGTCGGCCTTGTCGGAGTCCTTCAGGACAAGGGAGTAGATGAAGCGCTGGCAGCGGACCTTGAACTTGATCTGCTGGGACTTGCGGTTGCGCTTGATGCGGGCAGCTAATCGAATATTTCCTCGTTAGTCACACAGTCCCATTCAATTTCCATCCAACTTAAAATAGTCGAGCTTCCTCCTCCACTTCAAAGCTAGGGATGTAGACGTACAGGACGCATCCTTGCGGCGGCAGATCTCAATGAACTGCTTGATGTCGGAAACTTCACGAGGCATGGTGGGCAGATGGAATTGGCGACGTAATGTACGGTGGTTCGTCAGGAAGGCTTCGGAGGGAAGAGGAGAAAGCAAGCAAGCTCGATCACGGTTTCGATGTCCGAGGGCCGCCCAGGCTGGGGCCGTTGTGGGATCTTCCCGATTAGGCTAGGGCTGAAGCTGTCAAGCCCTTATCGTTATCGGTCGATCTCATTAGCATCATGTGATATATAATCACAGGGTATGAGTGGCGTTGTGGCGGTGCGTCCAGGCGACAGTAAAAGATGTACATCATTCCATCAGCGTAAGAGACAGGTGTCTAGAATCAAGACAACTTATCCTTTCTTGAAAATTTCCTGATTGCGAACACACACCCATAGTAGCGCAACACAAACCATCAAGATGCCGACACCACTGGACCGCGCGATGAACTCAAAGGTAACTAACTACTTCCAGATCCGCTACTTCACTACTATACTGACACATTCATCGTTTAGAACCTAGTCTTAGGTATTACCATCAAGCTAGCTTTATTTAGGTCAAGCTAATGGTCACCAGGTTTCGCCGGCATGGTAACAGCGGCAGCAGTGTGGGCTATCTGGGGTAACGAGATGTTTCCTGCAGAATCAGATCCGCAAGGAGGTAAGCTGGCACTTTCTATTCGGCGAATAATATCTCTAACGCGGTGTCAGATCCGGCATACTGGACACTTGATGAGATGCATCGATGGCTTCGTGCGGTAGGATCTATCCTCCCGTGCGCGGCGCAATGCATATGTTCTAACATGGATAAAGCGAGGACTCATGCCACATGAAAAAGCGACGCGTGAAGAGCTCCTTGAACGTATTCGAGCGAATTTGCGTCCCGCGCCAAGGGCTTGAAGCTGATTCATGATGGCGAATAAGCGAATTGTGTCGACAGCAAAGTAATGCCGAGCTGCGCATGGTGTTCCTTCAATCTGGTTGTGATATTTCTGTCTTTTCATCGTTTCTCATCAAAGTGTGTTATGTGATTCCCAAGGCCGTGTCTCGTGTTCAATAGCCAATGTAACTATTTTATGTCTTGTTCGCATCCGCAGTAGCTCAAACAACCAACCGGAAATTCTGTGTCTGAATAATCCAGTCGCGCTTCCGCCTTCCCTTCACCGTCTCGTTGGATGTATTTGGAATCAGGACGAATGTTTCGCTGAAGCCGCGCTGAGGCAGGTCGCGCGACTCTCCAAATCTGACGTAACCGCTCACGATAACCAACATCGACATATCTTTCGTGCTGGGCTGCCTTCCGGGCGTTGGTGCGGGAAACTGCTTGTTGATGATCTGGCAGTCAACAGACTGTACTTCGTAGTGTGATGGCGGCATCTGATTGACGAAAATGTCTTGGACCGCGTTTCCGTCTGCGACTGGGTTGCCGTTGAAGAGAATTGTGGAGGGGGTGCTGCAGTAGAAGGAGGAGATTATGGCGCGATTCTTATCAAGGGCGGGATAGAATGATTGGGTGAATTCAGTCGCGGCTGGGTACAGCATGCTCAGTCAGATTGACGCTGTCGTATAGGTAGAGGGGAAGCGAACCTTCAGTTGAGACCTTTGCGTATTGATCTTCGCTAGGCGCCATGGCTGGTATCTGGTTTGATGTAGACGAAGGCTAGATAAAGAAAAAAAAGGCGAGGGGTATGAATGTCTCGACTGTAAAGCAGCGAAGGAGTAGCCAAAAATTGCAGGTCAGGTTGCGAAGGTGGAAAAGGGAAGCTGTGAGAGCCGCAGGCCGCAGCCAGAAAAAAGAAAGAGCTTGGACCACCGCGGAGAAAACAAAACCTCCGAACGTCCCAGGATCATCAACTGCTTCCCAACTCCCATCCCATTGCCCTGCGGTCGATTCACGAATGGCGAGCTTGAGAGGGAGCTTTCGCGCCCTCTCATGGGCTAATCATTTATTAGCACACCAGCGCCCGTCGTGGAAATGCGCCTCGTGCAAGATCCCTCGTTCGGCGGTCTTACGATCTCCCCGTCGATATGCGACCACCTCCGCGGCCCCAAAAAAGCCGTACTACGTTACGACGCCGATATTCTACGTTAATGCTGGTATGTTATCGGGAAGTACATGTTTATTTAGACTTATACTAACGAATAACTCTCCGCTAGCCCCTCATGTTGGTCATCTATACACAATGGTCATAGCGGACGTCCTCAAACGATGGAGGGCTGTTCTCGGCGAAGAAGGAGCACAATTGCTCACCGGAACAGATGAGCATGGAATGAAGGTTGGTGATGTGTATCTACCGGAGTAATTCCAGTTCTGACTTCGAACTAGATCCAACAAGCCGCCCAGGCCGCCGGGATAGACACCCAAGCCTTTTGCGACAGGAACTGCAAGACATTCAAGGTCAGTGACTCAATGTGACTGTTGACCGTATCTTACATGGCATAGGACTTGGCTCAAGCTGCCGACCTAGATCATGACCACTTTATCCGGACCACCGATGCTTCACACAAGCAAGCCGTTCAGTACTTCTGGGTATGTGCGGTTACTCCGCCGCGAAATCGGTATTGACGATGAGTAGGAAATGTTGGAAAATCGAGGCTACATATACACTTCGAAGCATGAGGGATGGTACTCTGTTAGCGACGAGACTTTCTACCCGCAGTCGCAAGTCCATCTGGCCTTGGACCCTGCTACCGGGCGGAAGAGGATGGTATGCGCTCCATCTCTGTAACTGGAACGTGGCTGACAGGTTCAAGGTTTCCATCGAGACAGGCAAAGAGGTCGAATGGTCTTCGGAAACGAACTATCACTTCCGTTTGTCAGCGTTCAAGGACCGCTTGCTGGAACTGTATGAGACTGGTTTCATCGCACCGGAACATTACAAAGACCGTGTGGTGCAAGCAGTGACCTCCGGACTCACTGATCTATCAATATCACGGCCAGTTGAACGCTTGACCTGGGGTATTCCAGTTCCAGGGGACGATTCGCAGACCATCTATGTCTGGCTCGACGCGCTCGTCAACTACCTGACAAAGGCCGGATACCCATTCCCTCCAGGTGAGGGCGCTCGTCTCGGCTGGCCTGCAGATGTGCACGTTGTCGGAAAGGATATTGTTAGGTAAGCTATCTCCTACCAATGCCGGATGAGACTCACAAGGTTAGGTTCCACTGTGTGTACTGGCCGGCCTTCCTGATGGCGCTCGATCTTCCCCTCCCTCGGAACGTGCTCGTGCACGCCCATTGGACGATGAATCGGGAGAAGATGTCGAAGTCGACGGGAAACGTGGTGAACCCGTTCTTTGCCATTGACCGGTTTGGAGTAGACACAATGCGCTTTTTCTTGGCTCACCAGGGTGGCTTCGCGTCAGACGCGGACTATGATAACGCCCATATCATCCGGGATTACAAGAAATACCTCCAAAAGGGGATCGGCAACATTGCCCATCGAACCATCGGCTGCTCCAAGGGCAAATTGCGGACCTACATCCTCAATGCCACATCGGGCACTTCCCCCGCGTCTCCCGCCGATAAGACATACCAGTCTGTGCTCGAGAAGCTCCCAACCAGGGTTTCGGAGCACATGGAGAAACTCAATCCACGTTCTGCCATTCAAGAAATTATGGCTGTAGTGTTGCAGGTCAGGAGGCTCCCTTAAGCCCTTGTAGCCAACCCCATTGCATAAGTCTGACTGAATCCGCATCTAGACCAACAAGTACTTCTCCAACTCGGCGCCCTGGTCGGACCCAGAGGAGAAGCAGCGCGTGCTCTACAACGTCGCGGAGTCGATGCGGATCACGGGGATCCTGCTCCAGCCATTCATGCCCACCAAAGCCAAAGAGATCCTTGATGTTTTCCGCGTCGATACCTCGAAACGGAAGCTCTCGGATGCAAGTTACGGGTCAGACGCGGGTTACGGCGAGGGCATCGAGAAGAAAATCATCTTTCCCCCTCTCGTAAGTGAGGAATAGTAAGCTAATGGAGCTGAACGTTGGGGCGAGTAGCCGAGCATATCACCACCGCTTCCTTCCTTATCGCGGTGAATGTAACAACAATTCTGGATCGGAGAACCCAATTGGCGAACGCTTGGAACGAAACGATTACACACGGCTCGATGAATCCATCCCCTAGCTGACGCTGGTGGCCAAATTCCAAACCACATCAACTAAACATAGCAACAGAACGAAACAAAAACAAGACTTTGCGTCATGGGATCCAGCGAAAACGCAACTGGGGCAAGTTCTAGGTTCCACGTCCACAAGGTTATCAGCGGGAAAGGAGGGCCAGATTGGCAGATATGCGACGCTGTTACATGAGAGATATCGGGCGGGAAACTGGGGTTGTGGTTTCCCGCGGCAAACTATCCAGGGTTCTCGCCAGGGCTTCGGGAAGGGGGCTTTCCATTGTATAACAGATTTGTAGGGAGGAGGAGGATTGATGTAATATATTCGTAGGTATATGATGTTTATTATCTCGTGGTGGATTTAATATCTTTTCTTTTTATCTTCGAGTCTCGCCTGTGTGGTTATCCTGAGTGAGGGTTTTTATATACTTCGTTTGCTACGCGAGGGTTACTCCCATCTATATCCCATCTTGACACTCAACTCAATATCATTATCACGCGTTTGAGCAGTACCTTGCTGTGAATATTGATCCTATATACTTTCATATACACACCAAAGACAGACCTTCGTCCGTTATCTATCACCATGGGCAGCATCACAACAACAACCACAACCATGGCTCTCCCACCTTCTATCCAAACACACCCCTCGAAGCCCTCCCCACCGTCACCACCGACACAATCATACAAGAAACCCTGGATCCCAACCCCTTTAATAAAAAGCACCCCCCTCTCCACGCTAGCAGGCTGCACAATCCTCCTGAAACTCGAAAACACCCAACCAAGCGGCTCCTTCAAGTCCCGCGCAATGGGCGCCCAGATCCTCTCGCACCTCCAGAACCCATCCAACGCCGGAAAGCGCGTACACTTCTTCGCGTCGTCGGGCGGGAACGCGGGGCTTGCGGCTGTTTGTGCGGCGAGGACCCTCGGGTTCCCGTGTACGGTTGTTGTCCCCATCTCGACGAAGGGGCTTATGGTGGAGAAGTTGGTTAAGGCGGGGGCTAGACGGGTCGTGAGGTATGGGGAGACGTTTGATGAGGCGGGGGTTTATATGCGGGAGGTTGTTATGAAGGAACAGGAGGATGGGGAAGGGGAAGAAGAGGGCGAGGTTGTGAAGATTGCCCTGCATCCGTTTGACCATGAGGCAATCTGGGAGGGGAACAGTACGCTCATTGATGAGTTGGTTGAGCAGGTTCCTGCTTTTGTTAGTGAGGAGGAAGAGGATGGGCGCGTGCTGCCTGTCGATGCTATCGTGTGCAGTGTTGGTGGCGGTGGTCTGCTCAACGGCCTTGTGATGGGCCTTGAGCGGCGCCGCCGACAGCTTGAGAAGGAGAAGAGACTTCCATCGAGTGGCAAGCAGACCAAGCCGACGCACCTCCTCGCCGTTGAGACGAGGGGCACAGACTCACTCGCTGCGGCCGTCGCCAAGGGCTCTCTTGTTTCGCTGCCAAAGATCACGTCGCAGGCGACGTCGCTTGGTGCGATCCGTGTCTCTGAGCGGACGCTGCAGTATGCACTGCATCCGCCGGAGGGCGTCAAGGTGCATAGTACCGTGCTGTCCGACGCCGAGGCGGCGCGGGGCGTGCTGCGGCTTGTGGACGATGAGCGGCTGCTGGTTGAGTTGGCGTGCGGCGTGTGCGTCGAGGCTGCAATTGGAGATGCGAGTGGTGCCGTGAAGACGACGAAGAAGCGAAAGAGGGAGGTCGATGAGGGGTATGGGGATGACCGGCTGTCTGCAGGAGAAAATGAAGATGAGGAGTTGGTTGATGAGCTGAAGACCGAGGCCTTGCCGCTGCAGTCGCGGTTGAAGGAGCTGGTCCCGGACCTGGGTCCGCAGAGCCGCGTGGTTATTGTTGTTTGTGGTGGAAGTAATGTCACCATCGATGCAGCGGTGGAGTGGAGGAAGATGTTGAAGGAGGGCTGGGGGTATGAAAACTAGATTTCTCTTTTCTACCTGGGGTTGGCTGCTTTGCTTTGTTTTTTTGGCGTACAGACTCAAATAGTCATCGGCATTGGGAATATATTGTTGCATCAAGTATACACATAGAACGATCATGCTGTCGCTTCAACATTCGGCTTCAATATCTGGTTGATCCGGTAATCCCAGTAGTTCTTCCGGATTGGATCGTACTTTTCCTTCAACAAGTTCAGCATCCGCACGGCCTCGTCGGGTCCGCTCTGCGCATATACATCGGCCAACCACTCGACAGCATGGCTGCTTTTCACCTCAACATCAATGAGTTGACCCTCATCGTCCCGATTATCGACAACGAATTTCCGAGCAAAATCAGTCCATTCCGAGAGTGGCCGACCGGCAGCTCGCAAGACACCTCGCGCATACGACCAGGGACTGCGATTCTCGGGCGCAGTGGTGATCTTCACCTGGGCATACTGCAACTCCTCATCCACCAGATCCTCATCGACGACAGCAAGTCGGCCCTTCTCTGAGGGCGGGCCGTTGGCGTTGACCAAGCCGCCATCGGGCTGGTCGCTGCGTGGTCCGAACCGCAGCATGTAGCGGTGGTTCCAAGCGGAGTTGTTGCGCACGTCGGAATTGATGAGCGAGTTGATGTCGGCGATTTCGCGGGGAGAGTCCCACAGTTCGAAATGTCGGACGAGCCAGTGGCGGTATGTCCAGACGTGGTAGTTTTTTGAGTCTTGGGCGAACATCTCCATCAGAAAGTCCATCTCCTTTGCTGGGAGAGTGGGAAAGTGGTCGCGCGAGGACATGATGACCTGGCGATGGTGCCTGTACGAGTTAGCATCGATACCTCGTTCATGGTTCTCGAACGTACCAGATCTGATAATTCTTGAGATATTTAAGCGAGACTCCATTCAGCCATTCCAATTCCTCTAACAGATCCTTCCCCAGAGAAAAGATGATCTTGGCGCGATATATCCTGCGCAGGTTAGCCGTGATCTTAAAAAAAAAAAAAAAGGTCGAGACTTACCAAACAGTGTAATGGGCCGGATTCATAGAGATGACATCTTTAGTGAGTTTCAAAGCTCTTTCGGACATTTCGTTGGCAGCCATTACGGCGCGGAGGTATGAAGTCGCCTCGATGTATTCATCGCTGTAGGCAATTGTCGCCAGCGGCATCGCCCCAGTGTCTGAGCCATCGTTGAGAGGGATGGGTTGGATGGAGGCCCATTCGGGATCGGATGCGTATTTCCCTTCCATGGTGATGATCATCTCTGTGTTAACTGAGTAGGCGAGATATTGGAGGATGGAGGATGCAGGCTTTCTTTGGCGGTGTTTTTGCTGAGGTGGAAGTGGGGGACATTGTGGCCTGAGGCAGAAACAACAATAGCAGTAGAACAATCGCAAGTCGACGACAATCAACAGCTCAGTTCCTCTCCACAAACGAGCTGGGGAAGCTGAAAATATGGTATTGAGCCGGAATAGAGACTTTATCTGAGGTCCCCTGATTGTCTACTTGAATAACCTCAAAGTCACATGCCGCAATGGCACTCCATCTCCTCATCCGACCCCCTCACGTCTTCAACTTATCTCACTTGCAGATAAGCCTTATCTGTGTCATGTTGAGATCCCCGCAGCCTAGACCATCCAAGGACGTGGCAGATTTCCGAGAGTTTTCCGTGCCAATGACAGCAACCCACAGCCTATCGCTGCAGTGCCAGCCATCTTGGAGATCTTCTCCTCTCCCCGATTTTCTCCTCTTTCTCCTCTTCCTTCGCCGCCATGACTTTTCCTTTCTTCTCACCCTCGTTATCATTCCGCATTCGGTTACATTTTCCAAACGATGCGTCGAGTTAAAAAGTCCCGAAACGGGTGTGCCAGATGCAAGAGCAAGCGGGTTCGTCAGTCCCCGAGTGACCGAGTCTCCAATTCCCTTCGATCGGCTTAGACCGCGATTTGCGACTAACTTGATTAACAGGTAAAATGCGGGGAAGAGAAGCCGCACTGCAGTCGTTGCACTCGTCTTGGGGTCAGATGCCCGGGATATGTTCAGACTCTGCGCTGGGTCACAAACAACCCCTCTGGTGAAGATGGCGGTGGTCTGGAACCGGCCGCCGACAACGATTCCGTCGACTTCAACACTCATATCGACACATCGCCCCGGAAGGCGAGTCAGTCATCTCATCCTCGATTACAGCCTACTTCGGAGCACTATCTCAACCCAGAAAATGCGGCTTCACTAGCCCCGGACGTTATCCATGCTCCTGAGCATGGCGGCCTCGGACTCGTGGAGGACGATGACGCCAACGCACTATGCGATGAACTATGGGATCTCCAGCATTCTGGATCCCTTCCGGAGTTGGCCGATTTGTGCCCTCCGTCGCCAGCTTCTGCAAGGACCGCCACGAACCACCACGCAGATGGCTCCGGAATGGGCTTTGGCTCGCCGGCGAGCTTGGGTTCTGATCCACTGGCCTTCTTCTCTCTCGCGGCTCCTCTACTTCAAAACCAATCTCGAGACTTCCCTGGCTTCGATCCGTCTACTATTGTCCGCCAGTATCCTCCTCCATCTGCACCCGTCCGGCCCGCTCCGCGGGATCTGACATCAATTCCTCGACCTCTAAACAATCCGTCCTGGACGCTGATTGAATATTACTTCAAGGAAGTTGCTGCACTATTCTCCAGCTATGATAGCCAGATGAACCCGTTCAGGACCACAGTTTCCCGTCTGTGGGGCTCGTCCCTGGCCATGTGCCGCACTATGCAGAGCATGGCCGCGGCTACCCTGGTCAATGACTTCCCACAGTTCGGTCCCATGGGTAAGAAGATGCGCAACGAGGCCATCGAAATCATCAGCAACGAAACCACCGTGGACGACAAGTCTCTCTTAGCCTTGCTCATGCTCGGTCAGACCGCAAGCTGGCACGACCCGAAGGATCTCGGCATCTCATTCTTCAATCTCCTCCGACGTCATCTCGATACGGCTGCCCTGGCAAGATCGACTAACCCAACAAGCCGCGGAAACAACTATCAATTTTTTGAAGAAGCCCTCGTGTACTGGGAGATGCTCCTCTCCTTCGTCGCCGATGACGCTGCCGTCCTCCCCGCCGCGCACACCCCCTCAAACACCGCCGAATCACTCGTCCTCCAACGGGTCCCGCACCCCTGGACTGGCATCGCCCGCGACACGCAATTCACCCTGCAGGAAGCCGGCCGTCTCGTCCGAGCGGAGCGCAAACGCATCCGAGCGCGAAGATTCACCTCTCAGGCTGATATCGCTCAAGCCCAGATCGCGCTCGAGCGAGCCCAGGAGCTTGAAGAACGCCTCCTCTCCCTCGCCCACCCAACAGAAGCTGAGATCGTCTCACCCGGCGACGACGAAACACCCGTCTGGCACCTTCTCACTATGGCCGAAGTCTACCGCTGCACGGGTCTCCTGCAGCTCTACCGCACGTTTCCCGACCTTCTCCAGCGGCGACTACCCATGCAAAACCAACAGCAGCAGCAGCACTATCATTCACCCAATCAACAACACCAGCACCAGCACCAACCGTCTCACACCCCGAATCCGCATGTATCCTTCAACCCACCCTTCAACCCTAACTCCTCCGCCTGGTTCACCGACCCACCGTATCAACAACCCTCTGCCCATCCCTCCACACAGCCAACCCAACAAACCCCCTCACCCCCCGACGCAAGCTACTACGACAGCTGGCTCACAGAATTCGCGCTAACAACCCTCTCGCGCCTAAAAACCATCCCGCAGGAATCTCGCACGCGCTGTCTCCAACCCCTCCTCCTCGTCGCCTCAAGCAGCGAGCTGCGTCTCCCGCCACAACCCTCGCCGTCAATGAACCCAGACTCCACATCGGACACCGACGCCGACGCCGGCGGGGGTCCAACCCTATCGGCATCCGGAAACGGCCCCTGCATCTCAAGCCTTGCGCTGGAGGTCTCGCGGACGAGACGCTTTGTCCTCGGCAGACTGACCTCGTTCCTGCACGTGTTGCCGCCGAAACCGATTAGTGTTTGCTTGCAGTTGGTTGAGGAGGTTTGGAGGCGGATGGACGGGGGCGATGGTGACGTTTATTGGATGGATGTTATGATTGAGAAGGGGTGGGAGACGACGATGGGGTGAGTCTAAGTATTTGGAGCGGGTTGGGTGGAGTTCGGGGTTTGATTGGACACGAGGGGAGTATGGAGATGTGTGTTGTTTGTACGATACCCTTATTCACAATTTGCTTGGTGTCGCGATGTTTTATGAGTTATGAGGAGGCTAGGCTTCTATATATATTGACACTTTTACTAAAAGGAATCATACTATCGACCCCACCATTTACCCCAACAAAATTGATAAAAGTAGAATATATGGTTGATTTAGGACGTAGATAAATACCTAAATATGCAATCGGAGCGCAGCGTCAAGACTATTTTAGAGTAGTATTAAGTACCTAAATAAGACGGGAAAAGAAGCACGCCTTTCCCATCCATATGCAACATAACATAACCCACACAAAAGTAATCAATGCCGGAACCCGATATAACCCCACATCCACATGCAAAGACGAGAATAAAACAGAAGGAAAACTAGAACAGTCAATAGAGAAAGGGATGAAGAGAAGAAAGTAGAGTTCATGCAACGCTGCCGTCGGGCTATAGACTATACAAAGATTATGTTGAGAGAGATGGTCAGGTAACGGGGATATATCATATAGCACAATCCGTCATTAGTTTTTAGTGGGCGTGAAGGTGCCAGGGGAAGAAGGGTGGGGTGGGAATCGTGTCAGGTTCGGCAGGAGGGTATTTCTGTAGACACGCTGGTGGTTAAGAGTGCGGAGAGGCGTGGACACCAAGAAGTGGTTTGTGCTCAAGCAGCTCAAGCAATAGCGCGCTTCCAGAACTTCCAGCCCTCTCTCTTCTCCTGAACACCGACACCGACAAGGCGCTCAATGCCGTCAGTGCCAATGGCGTTTTCGAACTTCTGCTGGTCGATCTCCTCGCCGCCCTCCTCGTCTGAGCCATTGCGGAGCACAGCCGGCCAGAGCACACCAATCCCATCGCCTCCAAGAGTCGTCTCGTAAATGCCAAAGTTCTCATCGTCGAGTTGCTGTTTCAGGTTGGCGAGGGATTCTCCCTTGAGGTCTGGACGTAGCAGGGTGATAGCGCAGCCGCCACCACCGGCACCGGTCAACTTGGTCCAGCCAATATCGGCATAGTCCACAAGTTCGCGGATGCGCTCGAGGCGCGGGTGAGATACACCCAGAGAAACGAGGAAACCGTGGTTGATTCGGATGAGTGTTCCGAGTTGTTGGAGAGTGCTGTCGGACAGGCCCTCGGGGCTCGGGGCTCGGATGACTTGCTCAGCGGATGTTGTGATGTTGTCAATTGCATCGAGAATAGACTCAGTAACAATGGGCCATTCTTTGCGCAGGTCACCCACTTTGGCGACTTCAACGGCGGTAGAACGCGCCTGGCGCGTGTCGACAAGGAGGAGTGGGAGTTCAGGGAAGGTTGGGAGGGAGACGACGGACGGTGGTTTCGAGTAGTCGCCCCGTCTGAAGATCACGGCCTTTCCGCCTGCGGATACCGTGTTGTCTACACCACTGGGGTTTCCGTGAATGCACATTTCTCCGACAAACGCCCAGCGATTGATGCGCTCAATTTGGACTTCCGCCTCATCTGGTGGCTGATCGGGGTGGGGACCGGCAAGGGTGCGAATTTGAAGCAGCAGCGCAGCGCTCATGCACACGCAGACACTTGCGCTGCTCCCTAAACCGGCGCCGATGGGAATTGTAGATCGAAGGGTGTAGATGGCGCCAGGGTTCTGCGGAGACCCGAGGGAGAGGAAGAGGTAGAGGAAAGCGCTAGCGGAGCGTTTGTGGATTTTCCGCATCTCCTCCGCGGCGTCTGGGGAGATATCTTCGACATGAGGCTGAATCGCATCGTACAATTCGGTATCGAGGGTCGTGACGAGATCGTAGTAGTACTTCTTCTTCGACGGCTGCTTGAACAGCTCCCAGGGCAATTCGTCAATGTTCCACGTATGGTTCAGGTCCGTGTCACGGAAGTTCAGTGTGATTGTGCGCTGCGATTTGGAGAGTGTAGTGACGAGGAGATATGACCGGAGGGAAATTGCCGCAGCCATTGCGGCCTTGCCGTGGACGACCGCATGTTCTCCGTACACGATGACTTTGCCTGGAGCGGACACCATAAAGGCGGGTGCTAGGGGTGATGAAGCCTTTCGTTGCATTGCTGGTCTCGAGTAATCTGAAGTTGTGGCAGGTTTGGTGTCGAAGCTCCTGGAGCTAACGGTTGTGGAAGGAGAAGGGGCGGTCGATGCGTCGGAGCTTTCGTGGTCGTCGCTGACGATTATTCGGGTTGAGCGGGGGACTTCTGGTAAAAGAGTTGACATTGCTGCCAGCTGACTCTGGCAATCGCCGTTTTATTAGGTGGAAAAGGTCGGGTGGGCGAGTCTGGGGTCGCACGGGGATCCAGGAGCAAGAGGTGGTATTGGTAGGCAACAGGGGTTCGTGAGTTTGACGAGAGCCAGTATGGCGGGCTGAAAAGGACTGGGCGCGCGGGGGTTTAAAAAGCGAAAGAAGAAAGAAAAGAATGCCCGAGAGCAGCGCAGGGGGTGAGGAGAGGTCGAGAAGAAACCCCGGTCAGGTCAAGGGGAATCCCGAGTCGCTGGCGCAGAACCAACTCCAACAAAAATAGCCCAGCCCGATCGTCGGTAATATTTTGTAATCCGGAGGCATTGTTGAGCGGAGATCTGTATTTTACTGAGGAAAAAGCCAATCACTCTGCTCAGAGTTGCCGTTAGTCAGGGCTTGGCGTGTACAGCCGTTACACTGGACCTTTTGCGATTGTCCACTCTGTTCAACGGCTCCAACGAGCTCATCTGATTTCCTGCAATGGTCTGATCTTGGTCGAGTCTTCTCCAGCTAACTGTCTGCGTCCTAGTCTGCTGAAAAGATCCATGGATTCGGGTATAAAGCCGTGCTCGATACCCATCGGAGTCATAAATTACTCCGCGTTCTCACCGTTCGCTGCACCTCGACAAACTCATTGCCGGATCATCCTGCAGCGTAAATGGAGCGCGCGAACCCCAATGACTCTCGATACAGGTTCGCGAACTGGTCAGATGCCCCCCATCGCTCTCGCCCGCCAATACGCAACGGCAGAGAGGAATTGTCCCCTGCAAAGTCGGACTCCGACAATTCCTTCCTGATGGCTTCAAACACAGAAGCTGGACCTGGACTGTATACTCCGCGGTAGTCTTGAGTATGCAGCTGCAGTGTAGTGTTCGTCAACGTTGGGTGGCGATCTGCGCTGCAATCCTCATCACATGTGGAGTTTCGAGAATCGACCAGCTGTCAAAAATGCGCCATTTCCACGACTCTGGGCGCTGCTCTGCCCAGGCTAATGCACCGTTGATCCAGGATTACCTCGCGCTAATCGCTGGCTGTGGCTGATGTGGCTCAGCTGTACTCCGTATGCATGGTGATGTGGCCGACGCCAACCGGGGATACCGAGTTTACCGATACGTATGTATACGAACTGGATTTATTTCGAGGAGAAAATTGCCAAAATGTGCTATTCATTGAATTGCTATCGAGACCCCTGCCTGACTACCATACGGAGCACCGAGAGCCGCATATTATCCCCCCACGCGTCAACTTGTCCAAAGAAAACAACTCCCCGCAATCCACTGAATCCACAGGCACACGGATCTCGGCCTATGCGCAATTGCCCTAAATGCAGCAGCGCTGGTTGTTATAGCACGGCGCGGGATCGTCATAGAAAACAGGACGGAAACCTGCAGGGCACGGCTGGTCTATCGCGACGCAACGAACGCCCCTGGAGGAGCCCTGAGCGCCACAGGAAATCGCGAGAGTGTCTGGAACTACCAGTCAGAACCTCGACCAAGTCACCACTGAATGGAGTGTTCCTATAGACTAACCGGAGACGCAAAGGCTATCATTCCTTGTTAGCTGGCTGGCTGTGTCGGCTGAAGAAGAGGTTGGTACGACCTACCTGAGAACAGCGACGATGGCGGCGAGGTACTTCATTTTTCTTGATTGGGTTCAGGCTTGATTCAGGAGCGGTGGTGATGGAGGAATGATATGTTCTTGAAGAGGACGATTCTCACTGATGATGATCCATCAACGACAACAGACTGGATCATCCTATTTATACCCCAGCCCTTCACTAATACTACTACTATACTCCAGACAACCAAAGACCCTCCACCAAGTGAACCCTCTCTTCGACAGAGATGATCAGCTCAAACTGACTCTCGCTATGGCATATCCATATCCTACGATCTCCATATCCACATGCACTTCGTATTCCTGGCGATCCAATCACACCAACAGATCTCCAACCCCAGACTTTCTCCCCGCATACCAGGGGCCAGGTGCCTCACACTACTGACTGCCAAGGCGAAGCACACATTCTTAGTTGGAGAATACTGCCAATTACCTCCTCCACCTAACCCAATGCTACGTGGACACCAGATCTCGTATATGCGCTCTGCAAGGGACGCACTACAATGCAGGGCGTGGCGATGTGATGGCTTATCCATAAGCAGCTCCCACAAGTGATTCGCCGGGGAAGAAGACGCGGTGAGGGACGGCAAGAGGTTTCGCTGGAATGCCTGCCATCCCTTGGACCTTGGATTGCTCACCTCGTCGTATACCTCTCTTATCCGTTTGCCTACACTACTGCCCTTGCGTCGGGCTGCGAAGAGTGGCATTCAGACATGCCTGATACTCCGGGTTCTACCTGAGGTACTAATTGTCTCCTACTGTGATGGGTGGCGATAGCTCGAGAGTGCATGGCCTTGCAGCTACGCAGTCTCATTGACCAAGTTTATTCCGATGCTCCGAAGAGATGTGCTATGAGGTGGGCGAACTAGGTGAAGAACAGGAACTCCCTGGCGTTTCGCGAGAGCCTGGAGTCTGATGGAGCCGGCAAATATTCAGCGCAAAGAATCTGCCCCCGATGCTTCGGGACGTGGTCTCTTTACCTAGTGGTACTACCCGTAAATATGGGCTGGGCTAGGATGTCCGAGGTCTGTTTCCTTATGGATCCTTGAGCGTTTGCGAGGAAGGTGCAGGTCACAGCTTCCTTGTGGGATAGCTATAAACAATTCACCGTATAAAGGGAAGGAGCGACCGCTGTCCGTAGTCACCAGGAGCAAGCGAGACCCTTCTTTCCTATCCGGTCCGTCCACCACCTATAATGGGGTTCACTGGATACTCAAACTACTCGGACCCGGACAGTGCTTAGGGCTTGAGGGATGATGTTGGACATGGATGTGGATAGCAGTACCATCGAGCCTTACGGAATATCTCAGCAGGCTTTCCGTGTCTCTTGCGGTTGAGTATGTCTCATTTTAAGTGCAGCGAAAGTTTCACTCTCAGCTCACTTTTAGGTCATATTCGTCTCGGTCATCTCGGTCATCTCGATTCCTGGTCGTCATGAGATGTTCGGTGTGATGCTACTGCGCAAGCATCGGTCTATGCAAGTGAGAAACAGGAATTTCTGGTATTGAAGCTATTGAAGGCAATGTCCAATATATACAGTGAACTCAATAATCATCGTCCGAGTCACTTTCACTAGAATCCGAGTCCACCTTCTTTCCTTTGTTGTCATGAGCATATAAACTCCCACCAGCAGGACCATGAGGGGGACTATTTCCAGACCGCGAACGACGAGCACCAGACACAGACACAGACAGCAAGCCACGGTAGTCCTTCTGTGCTGGGACCATATTATCTGGATCGAATCCGTCATCTCGCAGAGCCTCCTCCTGCGCCAGCACGGTATCCGACCCCCGGACACTGACCATGTAGTCTTCAAAGTCCTTGGCTGTCTTGGCGATCTTCCTGAAGTTCCCGCGGGTCAATTTGATCGTCATGTATTTTTCTTTTCCTGATGCTTCGGCGTCTTCTTCTGTCATCCCGTTCTCGCGGAGTTTGATGGTCCGATCGTGCTGCCCCAACGCGATGGCTGTTTGGAAGGCGTTGCGGATCTGTCGGCCGTTCCAGGTCGTCCCTGAGGCTGCGTGGAGCTTATAGTGCTTATCTGCGAACCCGAATAACTCGGCTTTGTTGAACACTATCTTGACCTTTTTTTCTGCGTTTTCTCGAGCAATCCGGTTGAGCTGGTTCTCCCAAATTGACCGAGTCGACTCGATGCTGATGGTCGGATACCTGAGACAAATATGGACGCGGGACTTGAAAGCCTCATCTATGACGCCGATGCGATTCGTCGTCAGGAAGAGGATTCCCGAGTAGTACTCGAGGACGCGGAGGAAAACAGACACCAGTGCGTTTCGGTTCATGTCGCGCCAGTCGCGCTTCATCAGAAACACGTCAGCCTCGTCCAGCAACAGCACGCAGCCCCATTTATTTGCCAGCGCAAAGTGTTTGCTCAATTTGGTCTCGATCTGGCGCGGCGTGAGGCCGATGTCGCCGCAGGTGATGGAGTAGAGCGGCCTCTTCGTGTACAGGGCGATCAACTCGGCTGTGCTTGTCTTTCCCACGCCTGGGGGCCCATGGAGGAGGATAAACAACCCGCGACCCTTGCCCTGCACGAGGTCCATTGAGGTTTTCTGTCTGTTTTCCGATGTGTGGCTCTGGACTAGTGCAATCAAGAGGTCACGGTAGTTTTCGGGAATTACAAGGTCATCAAAGCTGTTCTGGAGAGCCGAATCACTTTTGTCAATCGCTTGAACACACTCGACGTCGACGAAATCTAGGGGTATAGGTTAAGATAATCCTCTCTTGATACGGATCTGGGAGATTTTCCTTACACCATTTGCGAGCCTGGAAAGCGTAGGCTAGAATATGAGACGGCAGGAGCTGACAAAGCTCTGGAGACAAGCCTGCTGCCTCCTCGAAGGGGATGGTATTAAGAGACTCTGAATGCGCATCCATTGCCTGGAGCGCAAGTACCTTATCGACAAAAGCGTGGTCTGTTCTTTCTGGCTCCCGGGAGCGGCGTGAAGACTCCCGGGCCGGACGTGAAGATCGGCTGTAATCATACACGGGCACATTATCGCGGCGATCAAAGAGTTCTTCAATGCGAGCCCTTGTAACCGTTGGCTTGTATTTCGCCCCAATAGCCCGGTACCCTGTTTTGACATCAATGTATATCTCTCCCTGGAGCTCCGATGGGGTAGGCTTTGTCCAGGAGGGACGGTATGCGGTGCCGTCACACCTCATGTGGCCTTGACAGGCAAGATAACGTTTCCCTCTCGCAGCCATCCGATTTTGAATGTTTTGGCCAAGTGAGAGAAACTTGACAGGGAATATATTGAGGGCGATTATATCTTTCTCTCCTGGGAAGTAGTGAATCGGAACTCGTGCTGAAGCGGGCCCGATAGACGTCCCGTCAAAGCCTAGATGCACGCAGGACACATAAAAGGCGTTATAATCGGGATCCTCGCCTTCGCTATCTGAGCCTCCAGAATAATCTGATTCGGAGAGTGCTCTTGCAGGGCGTCTGGGAGCACGCGCTGGTGGTGCAAGAGCCGGACCAATGCCCTGCCGAGCTTCGAGGACCCTATAAAGCTGCTCATGACCGTCATTCTTGGACAAAACCAGATCTCCCGGGTGGAAGACATGCCAGAGGTCGTCAAAGGATATTTTCGTCAGTGAGGCGTCGCGTAATGATTGTCGTAGCAAGATCAGAGGTTGAAAATCGATCGCCAGAATCTCTTGTAAGCAGCGAAGATGGTCGGCGGGGTTTCCACGCTCTTCTCTAAAGGACTGGATCTGGTTATGGCCATTCGGATAACTAGAAGTTGGAATTTGAGCTGGAGCTGGAGCTGGAGCCGGAGGACTAGGTTTAGGTAGCGATATCTCTGCGTAAGCTACCAATATCTGTGCTGATCAGCAGTTATACCTGGGCTCAGTGACGAGGTTGCAGACTTTGAAAGGGTGTGTTATTCTGTTGACAATCAGCTCAAGTCCGGAGATCTCACGCTGTCTGCCCACACTTACATCAGAGGGTCCGGGAAAGTTGCCACAGCCACGCCCAAGACTTCTGCCAACCGCTCGATCACGGATGGAGAATTGATTTGAACCGCCCAAGGGCAGTCGACGTGCTGCCGCAGCCCATTCGTACGTCCTACCGAAGATTTGTCCGTGCTCGAGGCAGCATTAACCACGGCGTCAGGCACCGCACTCTGGTAATAGACGTCGATGGAGCTGGCAGTGTCCCGTTCTATTTGCGCAAGATGGCCTGCGACTAGGCGCTTGACACGGGGCTTGAGGGGCCTCTTCTGATACTCCTCATACTCCTCATATGATACATCCGATGCGGCGTAGTACTTATCTCGTTTGCGCCTCAATGCTGCTCCCTTGGGAATTTTTGCTGCACGTGAACGAGGACGTCGGAACTTCCCATCCCTTGTCGAATCTGAGGTTATCGACTCTGAGTCCTCTTCTTCCGGAGCCTCTGAATCTGGAGGCATGGGGGTTTCATCTGACTCTTGGATCCTCTCTGCCGGGATGCTATCCGTGGGGAATTGCCCCGCATCCTCGGCGTCTCCAAGATCTGCCTCGTCGATAATATTGGGGGCTCGGGGAGATTTTGGAGGTGAAGGTGAACGCGGGACTGGTACAGAAATAGCTTTGGGCGACATCCCGAAGCGAGGCTTGACAACAGCAGGAGCGGTGGAGGTGGGAAAATCAAAAGGAGGTGCGTTGGTGTCGGGCGATGACCTGATTACCCCTCCTCAGCCGCAGCGCTAAAGTATGCGCCCGGGTGAGGCTGAGAACAAGATGGAACCGAACCGCTGCCAGCTTCCCCAGTCGAACGATTGCAACCTTATCTCGCGATAGTTTCACGATCGGAACCATGGATCTGGATACTACCAAAGCCAACGACAGTGGTCAGACCGATGTTGTGCGCTTTATGCGGGGGCTCGATGGGCGGGACCATCCGGCGCTAGACACGAGAGTCCGAACGGGCGTCGCCTACGATACTAACACAAAGCGCTGGACTAGGACCCTAAAGGCCAATTCGAGTGCGAGCGATGAGTGAGCCAGGATGCCCTTTTCCAACTGTAGCGTGCTGATCCTCGATCCAGTGATCTCAACGAAATTTACAAGGACTGCTTTGCTGCCCGTGATAGCTTCCTGGAAATTGTCGACAACTACCGGCTGAAGCATGGCCAGCAGCCAATCCAGCATAACCTGAGCCATGACTGGAAAGACGTTGAAACGACCATGACCCAGGCCTGTGATGTCCTCGACGGCCTGGCGGCCAGTGACCAGGACGTTCAAGGCTTCACTGGCAAGATCCGGAGAGCGTTTCGAGCTCTCTGCAGAAATGCAAAAGATGCGAAAGTCTTCATCGCCTTTATACCTTCAAACTTTGCGTTTAGCGCGGCGCTCTGTGCTGGTCTGCAGACGCTCTTCACTGCGATGGAGCAGGCTGGTTATCACCGAGGCGTCGTTTACAGAACCCTCGAGCGGCTTCCTGTTATCTTGAATGATCGAGCCGTGTCGCTGGAAAACCTTCCAGAGGATGAAGAAATACACAGAAGAATGGCGAATCTCTACGAGGCTACTCTGAAAACCCTGCAGATTATACTCAAGTGGTTCTACAAGAACTCTCTTAGTAGGTTATCTGGACGGTTGGAAAATGCTTCTACTAAGATAGACAGAATCTGGCTTGCGAGCCCTGGTAAAGCCATCAGAACAATCCGACAAACTCAACGACTGCCTGGAAGAGGTCAAGTGGTGGGCCGAGCAAGTAAAAGAAAGAGCCCTCTTTCTCTCGCAGAAACTCGGGGACCAGTCCCTGCAGTTACAGTACGAGACGGTCTATCTTCAGCAAGCCGCGATTGACATGCAAAATCATGTAGGCGGCGATGTGCAAGAAGTGTTGCGTCGTCTCGAGGCTCTTAACGACCTTGCCACCGTTCTCGTGGATACTGGTAGGTGATACCAACACGGGCTTGTACCGTGACTGACTCTGTATAGCGAACCAAATATCTACGCGAGTGCAGCAATCTAGACCACACAAGGCCGCACCACGGATCAGGTCAAGGCCGGTAACGCCCTCGGGCGTGGTGGAGGAGCTGCTGAAGCGCTTCGAATACGATGCCTCGCTGATACCACAGGATTGTACAAACCTATTGAAGCTGAACCCAGACAAGGATGATCTAGACGAAGACAAACTCATGGCTATGATACAAAGCCCTAGATTACGCTCCTGGCTGGCCATCGACGAATCCTCAACGCTCCTAATCAACGGACAGGGGCGGCCGACGCCAAAATCGGAAGTCTCCTACACAGCTGCCAAACTCGCCGAGTCTCTCATTCGCATTGCTGCTGAGCAGCCGAACATTGTTGCCCTGGCTTACTTCTGCGGACAGCACCAGCGGCTCTCCGATGTATACGCCAGCCCTTCTGAACTCATCATGAGCCTGCTGCTACAGCTTATCGATGGATATCGTGGCTTTTTGCAAGGCGAACTAGAGCGATGTCTCCAGGACGTGGACCCTCGCCATGTTGTTAGTCTCTGTCAGGCTTTCCATCGATTGGTGGAGAGGTTGCCCAACGATATATTCCTCTATGTTGTCGTTGATGGGCTCAGTTTCTTCACGGACCCAGCCGATAGAAGAGAACAGACTGCCACGATAATTCACCAGCTTGTTGGCTTGCACGCAGAGTCAACCAAGGCTACCGTGAAGCTTTTATTCACATGTCCAACAAGGGCATCATTTGTCGAGGATATATTCGAAGAAGAGGAAATCGTGAATCTACCACGGAATCCGAAGCCGAGCCAATGGAGCCAATCAAGGTGGAAGAATTTCTTGGTACACAGATAAAGCAAGACTAGTAATATACACTGAAAATATAGCAGACGCTGAGAAACCAGAGCTATACACGCATCTCCTAACACGACTATGAGCAGAAGAGTCAACCCCAATCTTACTGCTTCTTCTCCTCACTTCCGGTATCACAACCACTTTCTCCCCCTTCTTTTGCCGTTTCCTGTTCTTCCTTCTCCTTCTCCCTGGCCTCCTCCTCTTCCTTTTCTCTCTGAACATTCGCAAGCCAAAACCTCTCCATAACACCCCCCAAAAACAAGCGATCAATCCAGCGCACAAGCCCAAAAACAAACCACCCCCACCCCCACAGACTAATCCCCAAAAGACTCGCAACAAGCACAATGGGTCCCAGAATAAGTAACGAAAGCACCACCCAAACAATCATTGCAACCGCCGCGAAAATCAACGTCCCCGCAATAAACAGCACCAGCGGAATCCCCACACACAGCAGCTGCGCCGCAATAAACGACCCCGCAATCGGGTGCTCGATCGCCGTCCTGTACATGGCGGCCTGCCGCTCCGGCGGGATGAGCCATGTCACGAAGCGGCGCACGGCGGCTTCGAAGATGTCGATTCCGCGCGGAATGAGGCCCTTCACCCAGGTGACGAAGTTGGTCCAGATGGCAGACCACGAGGGGATGGTGACGTTGTTGCGCTCGTTGGTCGGGGGTTCGTCCTTGGGGAAGGCGCCTGGGACGGCGGAATTGGTTGTTGAGGTCGCTGCGTCGGTTACGGGTTTTGTGGTGTCTTGCACGGTGTCTGTTGCGGGTTTTGCCGCGCTTGAGACGGCGTTTGTTGCTTGGTTGGTTGCTTGGCCGAGGCCGGAGGTTACGGTGTTGAGGGACATTTTTGCTTGGGTTCCTGGCGGGGAGGGAGGGTCCCTTGATGGATCGAGGAATTTCCGAGAAAAGAGGGATGATAGATTGGATCAGGAGGATGAAGGCAAAAGTGCATGTTTATATAACCGTTGGAGCGAGATATCAGGAAAACGGCCGGGATGACGTAGTGGGGCAGCAGCCATGCGGAATGATGTGGTGCGGGCTGCTGATCGTGGGGTATAACGGCGCCTACTATACGCGACGTGGATAAAATCTCCAATCCATCGCTATACTCGATCCACCGTGTACAATTCAAGTGATGGAAAAAGAGAGCTCCATAACTTTAAGCTTAAGAATGCGGATCTTCTCGAGTCTAGCCATGAATTACGTCCTCGAGTCCACAGTGAATTACGTTCTCGAGTCCAGCAAAGAATTACGTCAAGGTCTTCAGAGCAGTGTATAACAACAACCACCGAAGAGAAACTGTCTGAACACTGAGCAAGCTGCCGAAATTCGAGACGACTTTTGAGCAAAGATTGCGAATCGAACATTGCAAAAATGCCCCCCTCGTCGCAGAAGCAGTGGACTGTCCATGGCGGAAAGGACTTTGATGGGCTCAAGTATGGCGATGGCCCTGTGCCCAAGGTCGGAGAGAACGACGTCCTCGTGAAGCTCCACGGTGCTTCTCTCAATTACCGTGACTTGACCATTCCCAAGGTATCTCTCTAATCTCTCTTCCCCTTCCTAGCCTTCCCGAACGTGATCTAACGGATCTGTCATCCAGGACATGTACCCCTTCCCCCTCGACTTGCCCGTCGTCCCCGGATCCGACGGAGCCGGCGAGGTCGTCGAGGTCGGATCGAAAGTGAAACTGTTCAAGAAGGGAGACAAGGTCGTTACCCTGTTCAACCAGCTGCACCAGTACGGAGCCGTCGACATCCCGGCGTCGCACTCTGGTCTCGGTGGTGTCCTCGACGGCACCCTCCGCCAGTACGGCGTCTTCCACGAGTTTGGCGTCGTCCGCGCCCCGAGCAATCTCAACTATGTCGAGTCGAGCACACTGACCTGCGCCGCGTTGACGAGCTGGAATGCGCTGTACGGATTGAAGCCGTTGTTGCCTGGAGACACTGTCCTTGTTCAGGGGACTGGCGGTGTGAGTATCTTTGCGCTGCAGGTATGGCCCACCACCCCCACCCCTTACATGCCCAACACCAGTCGACGGCAATGATCTGACGAAAAAAAACCAGTTCGCCAAAGCCGCGGGCGCAACCGTCATCGCAACAACCTCGTCGGACGACAAGGCCAAGAAACTCAAGGAGCTCGGCGCCGACCACATCATCAACTACAAGACGCAGCCAAACTGGGGCGAGGTTGCTCGCGGCCTGACGCGCGACAAGGCTGGCGTCGACCACATCATGGAAGTCGGTGGTGCCGGAACGCTCCAGCAGAGCTTCAAGTGCATCAAGTACGAGGGCGTCATTAGTATCATTGGGTTCCTGGGCGGATTCGACCCCAAGACGGTGCCTGGTGTTCTGGATACGCTGAGCAACATTTGTACCGTGCGTGGTGTGTATGTCGGAAGCAAGGCGCTTATGCAGGATATGATCCGCGCCATTGAGGCGAATAATATTCATCCTGTTGTGGACCAGAAGGTGTTTACCCTTGACAAGGCGAGGGAGGCGTATGACTACATGGTGAGTGAGCTGTCCCTTGACAGGTGAGAGCGGTGCTAACGATTGAACAGTGGGGCAAGAACCATTTCGGAAAGTTGGGCATCAAGATTGAGTAAATGGTTATTAGGACCAAGAGAGCAGAGTTGAAAGTTTCTGAAAGTTGAGTCGCAAAAGTCATAACTAATAAACAAGCAGCACGTGACTATATACGCACCTGCACTATAGTCCTCCAACTCGTGCTTCTCAAATCTATCATGTATTAATGTCACCTTTTAATGCCGCTCATCACAAACAATGTATGACATGACATGAAACTATATGCATGCATATCAATAAATAATACCAGTTGTGCTTCACACAAACCTCACCTAAACAAAACCCTTGACCCAACAGAAAGTATTTTTAGTTCCTCTTAATCCTCTCTGCAAGCCACGGCACCTCCCCTTCAGAGTACTTGTACGCCCGAAAAACCGCATTACTCGCATACGAGAACCCAATCTTCTCCATCTCCCGCAGCTCCTCCCCACTCATAAACCCACTATAATCATTCACCTGCGGGACCACAAACTCCCAAACGACATCGCCATCAACCGTAACCTCGAAGATGCGTCCCGTCGCGGCCTCGGCGATGAGCACGTTCCCATCCTTCCCTCTCAGTTTCTGCGCAGAGCCCATAAACGGCGTGAAGAAGCCTAGCCCGCCGGTTGTGGTATCCTTGTATTCCCAGGTTATCTGTTTCGTGGTTCGGGAGACGATGATCGCGCGCGAAAAGGGGACGGCGAGACCCGGGCGGAAGACGCCGTTGTCGAGGATGAGGATGTCGCCGGTGGACGGGTTGATTTCGTGCGCGCAGTGTTGCTGGTTCACTATCGGTGCCGTGAGGTGCCAGATGACCTCGCCCGTCGCGCGGCTGATGATAAACACGGACGAGGTGTTGCGCGACGAGGCAATAATGTCCCCGTTTGAATCCAGCGACACGCTGTTGATCAGCGGCCAGTGCTCGCGCGGATAGTCTTGGTGCTGGGTGAATTTGGTGAGGTCCAGATGGTCGATTGCGCGCCAGGACCAGAGGAGTTTCGCGCCGCCAACGCCTTTTCCTGCATCGGAGGCTTCGAAGTCGGCCGAGGAGGACTCGTTCGATGTAGACCAGGGATCAACGAGCTTGATGCAGTCCGCGTAGACTTTCCCATCAGGCGCCTCGCTCCGTGGTATTCCGCCGCGGACGCGTGCCGCTTCCTCGTCACTCAATGGTTCGAGGGTCGTGTACAGGAGCGTCCCATCATCAAGATGATTCTGGTCATGGTGCGCATGCGGATCCTCGTATTTCCGTACGATGTTTCCCTCGGGGTCAACCTGCATCATCACCCCGCCGCAGTACTTCTTCCACATGGGGAAGAGGTTCGGCGAGGCCGGGTGCGCGGCATTGTATGCGAGGTTCCCGTTAGGCAAGATACGAGCATGTCGACCCGCGCGGCGAGGGAGCGTCCATTTGTGAACCTCCTCTCCGGATGTCGAGACGAGGTGTGCGGTGTTTGAGGTCAGAGGGGCGTAGAGGACATAGCCCGGAGCGACGCGGTTGGAGTCGACGCCCCGGAGGCCGAGTCCGCGTCGGCGGAAGGTGTGCTGCTCCATTGCGATTGCGCGATCAGTTGAGGATCGAGCAATGAGATGCAAGAGGAAGCAGGTCTGAGGTTAGTGCAGGCAAAGTGAAGCAATTTATGGCTAGAAAAGGTCGCCCATATGTAGTGCCTTGTGCCCTACGATCAGCTCGCCGCGGCATGCCACCGGTAAGATACGGCCTCTAGCCTACATATCTAGCAGTGGGGTTCAATTTGGACAGGTAGGGCGGCGTATTGCATTAACGTGGAGGTGCACCAAACTGAATTATTGGCTGGCCGGGTCTGCGGTGACCTGACCCAAACCCAATCATGGCTGCCTTGGCATTTAAGCGCAGCTGGCCATTGGCTATGCATCACGTGATTGAAACCCATTTTGCCCACACCTCCATTGGATATTAACCTACCTGTCCAAATTGGACCCCACCACGAGTTATACAGGCCAGAGGCTGTAAGCACGCAATCAGTATCACAAGTAGACGACATCGGCCCGATGCCGCGGTGAAGGAACAGCGATAAGCAGGTCAGGGAAGGTGATGTAGATAAGGAGCGAGGTCCTGGCGTGGTTTGGGGTTTGCAACCCAAGCCTGCTGGACATTGAACTCGCAGCGCAGCTATGGAAACCGACAAGAGAAGCTCCTCCGTCGACAAGGCTGCGCCAGATGCGGTCTCGGCCTTTGAACCAGATGTGCAGTCTTCTTCCTGGCTTCAGTCGAGGCTCAAGATTGAGATGAAGGGCATTGAGCGCGTCACTGATGAGGAGCGTCAGCACAATACGACCAAGTTCTGGAATGCTTGCACGTTTTGGTATGTCTTCTCCTGAAATCCGGGAAATTATCGGAATGTATGCTGATCATATAGGCTGAGCGCGAACATGGCTGTCGCTACGCTCAACGTCGGCTCGCTTGGGGGCATCCTCGGTCTCCCGTTCTGGGACAGCTTTGCGGTGATTCTGACAATCAACGTTGTGAGCAACTTGCTGCCAGCATGGACTGCGGCCTTCGGGCTGACGGGTCTACGAATGACGACCTTTTCGTATGTTTCGCGTCTTCCTCCCTAGTTTCGCGTGGCACTAACTCGTCAGGCGCTACTCCTTCGGGTACTGGGGAAACATCCTCGTCGTCATCTTCTCCATGGTCGCAACAACCGGCTGGAACGCAATCAACTCGATCTCCGGAGCCGTCGTGCTCAACGCGCTCTCCGACGGAAAGTGCCCGACCTGGGCGGGCGTGATAATCATCTGCACGGTAGTCTGGATCGTCTGCGCGCTCGGATTGAATTGGATCCATCACCTCGATACATACGCCTGGATCTCGCCGCTAATCGTCTGGTGCGTCGCTGCCGGCACAGGCGCCTCGCAACTGACAGGGGCCGACCCGAATCCAATCAGTGGACCGAATCGGGCTGCACCGGTTCTGACGTTCATGGCGAGTATCTTTTCCTTTGCGGTTTCGTGGATCAATTGCGCGGCGGATTATAATGTTCGCATGCCGGTTGATACGCCGCGGTATAAGATCTTCTGGGCCACGTACGTGGGCATCTTCGTTCCGACCGTGCTGGTGCAGACACTAGGCGCGGCGCTGTACTCGGGTACTCTCACCAATCCCGAATGGAAGGAGGCACATAACGAGTTCGGGGTAGGCGGTCTGCTGAAGATGGCTCTCGAACCGGCTGGAGGATTTGGAAAGTTTCTCATGGTCCTTGCGGGACTGAGCGCGATTCCGGTACGTCAAACCTCAATTAGCCCAGTTGAAGTTCCTAACGTGTGTAGAACAACATCCCGAACAACTACTCCTTTGCCCTCCACGCACAAAACTTCGGCCCATGGGCACTAAAAGTCCCCCGCGTCGTCCTGGTTACCTTCGGCTTCGTAGCAGCAATCACCATAGGCTGCTGTGCGGCCGAGTACTTTGACGACACACTGCAGACGCTTCTAAGTGTCATCGGATACTGGACAGTCATCCACATCACCCTAGTGATCGAAGAACATGTCATCTTCCGCCGCGGTTGGAAGGGATACGATCTTGATGCCTGGAATGACCCGGCCTATCTCCCATTCGGATGGGCCGCAATAGGCGCATTTGCTTTCGGCTTCGTGGGGGCTGCGCTTGGTATGAAAGTGGCGTGGTACGTTGGGCCGATTGCAAAGTTGATTGGGGATGGCGGCGCGAATATCGGGCATGAGTTGACGTTTGCCTTTTCTGCGATTGCGTTTCCCATCTTTCGGTGGATGGAGAAGCGGTATACTGGTCGGTGATCGATCAAAGTGGTCTCAATATGCGGTAGACGTGATATTTAGGTAAAGTAGATTGTCAGTTCTTATAATATGCTTCCAATGTTCTCAATCCATTCCATCAGGGGGAAGGTCATGCGGAAAGAAAGCAAATCCAGGAGTTGCATCCCAAGCACCGTTGGGTGTTGCGGCGACTCCCAGAAATTCCGGAAAGTAGAAACGAGTAAAGTCTTCCGTCAGGATATCAGTTGGGGGATTCGACACGGTGGTCTCGACTTGGGGACGCATCTTCCGCTGCACCTGGGTGATGATGAGTCCAAACGTGTGAGCGGCATGGCAAGGGAGTCCGATGGATTGCAGCCATTGTATCAAATTGTTGATCAACAGGTCCAGCCCGGCCACATCATGAGTCGACCCAAGATTATGCTCGGGGTTACCAAGCAGACGGCATATGGAGATGGCGGCGAATGTGATCATATGATAAATGTGGTCGCTCAAGTGTCGGGTGCGCTCGTCAACGGTGTCCATAGCCAGGCGGATGATGGTCGTTGCGTGGGAAAGCATTTCGGAGACTACTGATTCCTTTGCCCGCGCAGATTTTGACTTTAAACATCTGTCATAAAGCAGGAGGTGGGAGAAATGAAAGCCCATCATCAGGAACTGCGCTCGGGGTTGTTCTAGGACGATCAGTACGGTTCGTAAGTTGTACAGGGTAGCCTACCGAGAACGAACTGCCATTCCTTGCTCCAAGCCTGAAGCGCAGCCATCGATTGCTGTATATCCACCGGTCCAGCCAGGTGTTCGTATACAGTTCGATAGAGGTAGATTTCAGCGACCATTCGCAACTCGTAGTTGGTGGCGCGATCGGAGCCAACAATGGCGCGGCACCGCGCCAAGTGCCAGTCTTGCAACATTGACCGCCGGCTGGTTCCGACGGAGTAGTGGAGATGGACGAGGCAGATGTGGTTCCAGAGGAACCAGCGATTGAGAATATCCCGGTTAAGCCCTGCCGTAGATGACGTTGCACCAATCACTGCTGAGAACAAAGAGCTTGACTGGCAGTGTTGTAGAGCGAAACCGCTGAGTAACCAGCTATCTATGCTGAGGGGCACTTGCCCGACCGTTGTGGACCACATGCATAGTATCAGGGTAGCCTGGAAGAACTCGAGCGGCTGAGGAGACACAAGGAGTGCATTCTGGACAAGTGAACGGGCACATTCGTAAAGCTTCGGAGCGAGCGTCGCGGCAAGTTCTTGAGACGTATGCCGCACTGCAATCAAACAACATGCACCGAAAAGAAGCGGCGATTTTCTCAGCTGGCCTAGCAGGTCTTGGAGGTCTTCGTCAGGGTCGAACAAGACCCAGCGGCCGTAATGCTCCTGGAATCTGGACGGGTTAGCATCCAGCATTGCTAGCAAGCGCGGAGGGCACACACATGGAGACGAGGTGCAAAGCAAGGTCTGGAGGAACAAGGCCATCAAGGGCAATGGGCTGGGATGTATTTGGCAGCTCAATGCCGGTGTCTGCTGCCAATTCACGGATTACCATGACCGGAGCCGCGGAGGAGTCGGCGCTCTTTGGCACGGGGACTGGCTCTGTTGCAGTCGCTCGATTATTTGCATTGTGGTCTGGATTATCGTCAAAGATGTGGGAGTCCTCTCCAAGCCAATCAAGAAGACGAGCGACGACCTTTTCCAGGCGTTCCAAACTAGCACATACTGAGTTTCAGGTCAGAAAATAAAACGGGAAACGTACCGTGAGCCAGTGCTAGAGTCGGATGTCGGATGATCCTCGAGTGCATCTTGAGTAAATGAACACCGCTGTCTAAGTCGTTCGCATCTGAGGCATGGACCTCCGGTGACGCCTGATTCGTAACACCGGGTCTTTTGTTTCCTACAGGAAGCACAGGCCCTCGAGGCGCGGCCTCTATCCGGAGGCATATTTAGTGAGGCTATAGTCGGGCGACCCGCATGTCAAGCACACAGGTGGTCAGAATCATCAAACTAAAAGTCAAATGGGATTGAGGATGTGTTTGAAGATAAGGATGGCGAGCTCAGCACGCGATCGACAAAATACGCGCTAGCTTGGTCGGGAATAGCCGATCAATATTGACGCCTGAGGCACCAATATTCTGTATGGCTTGCGAGGCCGCGGAATTGCTCAGACGCTCCCTTAGAAATGTGCTTTTTTCCTTGCTTAAGCCCTTCCTCTAATATTTTAGCGTATGTTGAAACCCTCATCAGTTTTTTTATTATGAAGTAAACGTTGAGCTTGCCTAAAGCCTTTTAATGAAGGCCCAGATGAAGGCCCAGATGAAAGTCTTGATGAAAGTCTCGATAAAGGTCTCAATGAGGAATTATTTTAGATTGAGGTTTGCGTAGAACGCACAGCTGGTATCATTCGTCGACATGCATGTATATAGTAGCACGTTATGTCATAGTATAGCAAAAGTGATCAAAACCACCTCTCTTCCCACCCAGTAGATCAATGTACAGACCAAAGCCTTGGCCAACCTCTCCTATCTACAACACCTTCTTCGTCTAACCTCAACGCACCTAAACCTCCTGAGACCTTACGTTCTTCCTCCGCTTCAACGGCCCAAGCATCTCCTCCCAGAACCCAGTCGGCGGCTCAACGATCGACAAGTCCTCCTCATACTTTGTAATCTCCGGCGCCTCCCAAACAAGATCCGCCTCGTGGGGTTTAACAAACTTGGTCCGTTTAATCAACTTCCAGCCCACATACAAAAGAGGCGTCACGCCCACCATCGTATAATTCGTAAAGAAACCATCAACACTCCACGGCTTGAAGCTCGCATACCCGTAGCAAAAGACCACGGTGGTCATCCACGCGAGACCCAGCCATGCAGAATACGGCTGGAACCAGCCTGTGTAGGGCAGCGTTGTCCGGTCGAAGCCCTGCGCTTTTGTCGCACGGTAGAAGAAGAGGTATGTTGTGGTAATGATGATGTAGTTGATGATGCCTCCGGCGGTAATCAGGTTCGTTAGCCAGGTGAGGACTGTATTTGACGAAGACGAGACCTGCAGGAACGAGAGGAAGGGGAAGGCCATGACGATGATGAAGCAGTAAATGGGGACGCCGGATTTCGTGCATGTCCGCAGGACACGGGGTGCGCGGCCCTCGAGGGCGAGTGAGTGGAGGATTCGCGTTGCCGTGTAGGTATATGTATTCCCCGCGGAGAAAATCGACGTAATGAGCAGCGCATTCACAACATGCGGCAACCCGTCGATCCCCAAATTTGTCATGGCAATCACATACGGAGAACCCGCGGCAGATCCAGATCCATCAGCCGTCCCCTCGATGTGAATCTCCTGAAGAGAAGTATCCATCTGCGAACAGACGATCCCGACGCAGAGCGCAGACCCGATGAAGAACGCGCCGAAGCGCCAATATACCGTCTTGAACGCCCGTTTGATATACAGTCGCGGATGCTTCGCTTCAGCAGCGACCATGGATATATACTCGGGCCCCACGCACGCAAATCCCGCAGACCAGACGCAGGCGAGGAATCCCTCGAAGCGGCCGAGGTCACCTGATGTGCGGAATTGGGCAAAGGCACCCGGGTTGTTCCAGTAGCGGAAGCCGTAGGCGTCGCCAGCCGGGTTGCCGCCGACCATTGTGATGAAGGTGAAGAAGAAGCAGATGAAGATGAGGATGATTTTGCCGCCGGAGAGCCAGAATTCGGATTCGCCGTAGGCTTTTACGGCCAAGACGTTTAAGAGGCTTTACGTTGTTAGTGCCGATCGAGAAGTGAGAGAAAGAGTGGGGAAAGAGAAAATAGGCTTCCGGGGAAAAGGGCGCCTCACCCGTAGAGCACAATGCAAGCAGCACAAACCGCGGCAGGCGGGATGTCATCCCTCCAAAACCCAAGAACCAGATTAATCGCGGTAATCTCAAACGGAATAAGGAGCGCCTCGTAAAAGAAGAAATTATAGCCCGCCGCAAACCCCAGCGCATCGTCGACCCATTTCCCCGCGAGCCGGATAAACCCTCCGCTCACGGGCATGTAGATCGACATCTCCGCCAGGCAGTTGTTGACCATTGCCAGGAACCCGCAGTAGATTGTGTATGCAATGAACAGGGAGCCCGGACCGCCTTTTGCGAGGGCTGCGCCGATGGATACGAAGACGGCTGTGCCGATTGAGCCGCCGATGGCGATGAGTTGGATTTGGCGGTTTGCGAGGCGGCGGTGCAGGCCCGATGCGGTCCCCGTGGATACGATTGTAGCTTGGACATCGGCCGAGTAGTCGGGCGAGCCCTTCTCCGTGGTGTAAGAGGGGGCTTTTGCGCTCATCTTGGCTGGTGGTTTCTGTCGCAGGACACGGACAGAACAGCGTGAGAGAAAATCAAAGCAAGAAAAAAAAGAGAGAAAAACGGCGGCCTAAATGAGAGTCTTTATAGGTTGCATTGTCGGATTGGCAAAAAAAAGCGTGCGTCCCGCTTTGCCTCTGCTATGCAGCACTGGGATAGGACGCAGGTCTCTTGTCCATAGATTCATCGCCATGGTGCAGCCTCTCGCAGGGCTTAACAGGCGGTGGTGAGCCCCAGTGCGCACGCGATGGACCGCAGACTTGCCCGAAGCAGCCTACGGCGGGGGACGGCGTGTTTGGCACAGGGCAGTGGATCCGCTGCAGGCAAATCAGGGGCGGTGCCAGGCGTCGTATCCGTGGGCGTGGCTTAGCCGGGGGACAATAGAGATTGGCTCATTAAACCTGTGGGTTGACCGTCAATTTCCCGCGCTAACGTCGTCTGGGGCCCCAAATCATGAACCAAGGTATCTGAGTGAGACTGCAATTGCACTCGAAGAGTTGGGTGATGACATTCCGAGGGATCGTACGTTTTCCTATCGCGGAGTGGTCGACGAAAGAGGACAAACTGTCCAGAGGCGCAGAGTGGCCCCTTGCGGGAACGCCTCTTCGCCCATGCGTATCTTATCAGCGAGCTGCATCTCACCACCTCTAACCTCAAAAAGTATGCAAATGCGGTATTGCAGATCTGCTTATCAACTCCTCTTGATTGATTGCACAGGGGTTCTCGACGATGCAGATTTCCATTGCAACATCTTATCGCTGCCCCCTGTCCCTGTCGCTCCCAATACCACTCGGATATAGCCGATGGCGCGCTGCAAGGATTTGCATTTGGCCGACCGTCTACGGTACTTTCGTTTGCTGCAATTGCGACCCTGGGTAAAATCGCGCAATCTGCCGAGTCCACTCTGCGTTTCTCAAATGCATGGCATTCATCATGGCATGAAATCTCTGCAGCCATGCTGTCTCACCACGCTCGCTTTGCTTCGGGCTAGTTCACTTAGGGCTTTCCGGGCGCTGACTACGCGGCCACGGTGACGTCGGTGGCTCGCCCCTTGCGCCCGGGGCTCTGGTTCCGGTTAGTCGCTTGCAACAACCAACTTGACCTGCATCTCCGACGGACGAGGAGAGGGACTCGCGTGAGAGCTTGGAGATGGAGAAACACGAGCAGGAACAGCAATACGAGACGCTCAACCTAAAGCGACGCATCTCCTCACTGATCAAGTCCATCTCCCCGCCTCCCCGCACTCGCACACGACCAGAAACACAACCACAAGTGTCGCTCTCCGCCCTCGAGGCCGGCCAAGTATCGACCGACAACCACCTGCAGACCATCTCCGCACACCTCCGCAAATACGCCCCCAACCCCCCTCACGCTCAGACAACAACACCACAACACAGCACCGAATCCAATCCTTGTACCAATCCATCTCCAAATCCATCCCCAAATTCGAGGCTTCCAATCCTCCCCCTCGACGCCTGGAGCACCCTCTACACATCCAACGCGCACCAGGCGGGAAACCACTTCGTCATCCACCAACACGACCACCCGATCGCCGGGCCGCACTATGACCTGCGTCTGCAGATCTCGGCCTCCAGCTCCGTCAGCTGGGCAATCATGTATGGTCTACCGGGGGATCCGAATTCGAAAAGGGCGAATCGCAATGCGACCGAGACCAGGGTGCATTGCTTGTGGGTGTGTCTTTCCTTATTCTTTCCTTGTGTTACCTCTGCTGAAACAATGGTACGAGTGGCTAACCCGTTTATACGCGGTAGAACCACCTCATCGAAACGGCCTCTGCGAAGACGGGGAGTATGATTATCTGGGATACCGGGGTTTACGAGGTCCTTCCGCGCCGGGCGAGCAAGCGGGAACCCGAGACGGAGACGGAGACAGACTCGGCATCCGATACGCGCTCTACACACCAGTCTACGCCCAATGCCTCTTCGCCTGGTGGCAGTGGCATCACAGGACCCCACAAACCAACAGAAAGCGAAAAACTCCGCAAGGCATTCCAGAATGTACACTTCCCTCCCCTTCCCTCCCACTGTTCCCTCCTCTCTACTCTTATCTTGTTCTTCCCAAACTAACACATAGAAACTGAACAGCACAAAATAAACCTCCGCCTCCACGGCACGCGCCTACCAAAGAACTACACCATTTTCCTGCGCCGCGACAAGACCGATTTCCGGGGTCCTGCTACACCAGCTTCGATATCAGCGACGCCGAAAAAGAGGAGGCGGCAGAAGGATGCTATGGAGAAGAAGAAGCGGACTGAGCCGAGTACGTCGGATTCAGATTTAGATGCCAATCATGATACCGGGTCTGGGATAACGGGGTCTGATGGAGTTTCCTCGTCGGGGAAACGGAAGCGCGGGCAGGGTCATGACGACGAGGAGGTAGATGACCACGAACATGAGCATGAGGACGCCGAACACTCCGATGCAGATGATAATAAATCAAACCCCGACTCAGACTACCTAATCCGCCTGCACAACGCCTATCCCGGCGCAGTCAATGACGTCGGCTCAGTACACCAGAGACGGTGGTTCATCGGGCTCGACCGGGTCGGATGCGGATTCGTTCGCGAGGCGCGAAAGGACGAGTCCGGTGTCGTGCGGAGACGATGGGTGCGCGGAGTTGATAAGCGGTCTGGGCAATTAACTGGGTTTGACCCGTTTTATGTGCGCGGGCCGGAGGTTGAGCGGAGTGTTGTTACGGGGCGGGTCGGTGGTGATGTACTCCGCGATGAGGGGGTGCAGGGGTTTGTACCGAGGCGGGGGTGGAGGGCTGTTACATACTAAACAATGAGAATAATGAACCTTGTTCTGTGATCCATGAACTGTGTTGTGTCTGTGTCTGTGTCTGTGCTCTAGTAAAGATAGCCGGCTAGCCAAGGTATATACTCAACCGCAACTCATTACTCCACCCGGCCTCAAGCCCCAGCGCCTCCCACGCCACCGCAAGATCAACTGCAAGAACCCTCCCATCCTCTTTCCAAACCGTCTTTCTTGGGACTGGTCGCCCCGAAATCAAAATCATCAGATTGTCATCAATATCCCACTGCGCCAGATCCGAGACATACACGCCCAGGACGCCCAGTGCTTTCAGGTTGACGTCGATGCGGAACTGCCCGTTGCTCTGAATATACGCGTCGTAGCCCAGAAGTGCCGCGACGCCCGTCATTTTGCCTAGCAGGCCGAGGACGGATATTTGTGTTGGCGTGGTATGGTCTTTCAATTTGAATGATTGTGTTGTGTATGCCGTGAGGATTTCCCATCCTTTTGTTTCGAGCTTTATGTGGATGATCGAGGCCGCGTTGAGCGTTTCGGTGATCTTGCCGCTGTTGTGTGCGCGGACGATATATGTTCTCTCGTCGCCGTTCGCGCTGTATATACCTGGGAAATCTTCGACGACGATTGTAGTTGATTTCGTAGTTGGAGAGACGTTGAATAGGCCCATTATCCCGCTTCCTGTACGTGCGCGCCCTGTATATGTTGCTATCCGGAGGATGTGTCCTTCGTTGATGTCACGGTACATGTCTAACGTGCGGCCGACGACGCTTGGTCGGAGGGTGACCGTGTTGCCCTGGATGGTTTGCGCCGTCATTTGGTTGATGACCGATATACCGTGCTGGCTTGGTGTATCTGTTATAGTGATCGGCCCGCCAGAGACACATCGTGCCGCTGCATGAAATCCCGCGTAGGCGTGGCTCGTCTGAAACATGTCCCAATCTGGTAGCACATTGAGGTATCTTGTGAGCAGTGCATTGTGGCCGTTGCAAAAGACATGCCAGGTGTGCGAGTCGTCGATATTGGGGAAGAAGTCGTCAGAGTTGCGGACGACGATGGTGGATTTGTTTGTGGGAAGTTGGGAATGGAAGATTATCTGAGGCAGTTGAGACATGCACGAAATGACCTTTGGTCCAAAGTATCGCAGCGATGAAATTGACCAGGCGTCTTGGTAGGCGTTCGTGAATCTCTTCCTGTCTTCAGGGTCCCTGATGAGGTCCAGGAAAGATTGCGCGTCTGCTTTGACGCCGGTAATCCCGGAGGACCAGAGAAATTTGTAAAAGTCATTGTAGAACCGCTGGATATCATCTGGGTCGATTGCGAGCACGGAGCTTCTGATGTCGCTGTCCAGTTTCACCTCTTTCGTCTTGTATGTAGCTGCCAGCTCTCCGTCAGGCGATATGCCACCCCAGTATCCAAGCAGCGCATGCCAAACTGCGACATGTTCGATATTGTGATGACGCTCACGGATTGCAGTTACTGTTTTGGCAAGTCCATTTGGAAATGCCTTCGGGTTCGCCTCGAATTGTTTCCACCCACGCTCCCAACCCCCACCACCCTCGTTATCAAGCGCCTGCCAATTATCGTCAATAATCAGACCACTGATCTTGATACCATGAGCTTTTAGCTCATCAAGTGCAGATAAGATCTTCTCTTCCGTCAGATCCGGCCCGATCCCGTTCCAGGTACAGTATGTCAGGCCATCGTACCAGCTCGAAAGCCATTCTGCTTTTGGGTCGTGTTTCGTGGCTACCTCATATGGTCTCACCAGTTTCCGTGCCTCGTAGATTAGGGCGCTCATCGCTACTTCAAACTCATCCGCTGCGGCCGCTAGGACCTGGAATCGTACGGTTGTCGCATTATCATTTCGCGACTTTATCACAACTCTGCCGTTTGACCCCGACTCAAATGTCGTGAGGACGTCGTCTATCCCGGAAACACCGAGTAGCACAACATGTACGCCGTCCGTCCGAAGAAACGAGCACAAAATTGCATCCTTGTCTAGTGTAAGCTCCTTGCCCTGTCTCGGTCCGAGCCATGGCGTTACCAGCCTCACAAGGGCGAAGAACCTAGCAACCGAGGACGGGATCCCAAGAGGTATCTGGGCCACGCCCGAATGCCCGTGCCTCGCGGGACCCACAGATCCCGAAAGCTGCCAGAGCGACGCGCCGGGAGCCTCGCTTTTCCGAACCTCGACGGTGATATCGGAAGACAGGTCGACAAAGTACTTGCCGAAATCTTCCGCTGACGCACCCGAGCCGAGATCCACTGCCGTGAAGACCAATTCCCCGTTATCCACACCGTGCTCCTTGTTTTCCCATCGCCAGTCCGCATCCGAGGTTTCTCGGTATCGCACGGTGAACTCAGCTGTACCCGACTGAGGGCGAGGTATCTCCTTCGAGAAGATGGCTCGAGTGCCGGGAGTCCGAGGTGAATTACCGGTCAATTGCGGGACACTCGTGGAGGGACGTTTCTCGAGAGGAAGCGCAGTCCACTCGGGGGACTCGCTGTTATGCCAGATCTGGACTTCGAAATCCTGTTCCGAGTCCGATTCAAGTATCACTGTGAAGTTGATCTTCTTCGCTCAGTAACAGATCACACGATCGGATGCGGAGGTCAGCAGACATACCTTTTCGCCCTTGACGCAGGTGACCTGACCCAGCGGTGGGTAGCTCGTCAGGCTGACCGACATGGTGCCGGCAAAAATACTTTCTATGAGAGGAATATCTGCACGTTTAAAGACCGAGGAGCTGAGGATGAGGAGTAGCGGTCGGCCCGTCGCCAGAGCTAAGATAAGGATGCGGGGCGCTTCGCGGCTGCGGGGTCCGCTTGGGCTGATCGGGTTGAAGGTCGATTAACCGTGTCAGGAAATTTTTGAAATAAACTAGTGAGCCATCTTGGATATTAAAGACCTTGAGAGATGCAAGCAGGAGAAACGAAAGACTGGCGGCGAGGGAGATGGAAGGTTTAAAGAAGAAGCTTGAGAGGAAGCTTCTGCCCCGCATGACCCAAGCAACTTCTCAGGGTCCAGGTGCTTAGGACGTCATGACCACAACATGAACATTTTAATGATTATTAGAACATCCAGTCGTTCAGCAGACTCTCACGTCTTGATGATTTGTCTTGAAAAGAACTGCTTATAGGCTGGTTGTGACCGACACTTATATATATACCTGACATGTTCCTAAGCGACCACAAGTGGACTAACCGTTGGTATTAACTGCTAAAGACCTCTATTTCTATATATGTTCATGGACAGGGTAAACTCATCATTCTATATACATTCAGAGCTTGTTCTTAAGAGGCTGCGAAGCCAGGAACCGCCGCAAGTTATCCGCAATCAATTCAGTCGAGCCGACGGGCCTCCCACCGGCAGCATGCGGCGAGATAATCACATTAGGAGCCTTCCACAGCCTACTCGACTCAGGCAGCGGTTCAGTCTTGAACACATCAAGGGCAGCACCGGCAATCTCTCCCTTCTCCAAAGCATCCACTAACGCTTCCTCGTCGACTGAAACGCCGCGACCGACGTTGACAACCCACGATTGCTTGGGGAGCAGCTTGAGTCTCTCGGCATTCAACGCATTTTCCGTAGATGCAGAGCCCGGGAGGATCATGACCAGCGCATCAGTTTCCGGCAAGAGCTCCGAGAGTTTGTCCTCGGCGAAAACCTCGATGCCGTTACGGACGCCCGCGCTTCGAGCAATACCCTTGACATGGGCGCCGAGGAGAGTCAGATGCGGGGCCAGTGTCTTGGCGATACTACCGAAGCCCCAGATGAGGATGCGAGAACCGCGTAATGTGGTGAAGTCGCTTCGCGGGAATGAGCCACCGAGATGTCCCGGCCACTTGGACTGAAGTTGGTAGTCGCGCATCTCGAAGAAGCGGCGGGCGGCGGCGAGCAGGAGGCCGAGAGTGTGCTCGGCGACGGGGTAGTCGTGGAGACCGACGCCAGTGGTAACTGTGACCTTCGAGGTGTCAAATCCAGCGCTCAGAACGTCATTAGGGCCGGCTGCGAGGGATTGAATCCATTTTATGTTCTTCAGGCGTTGAGCGGCGTCCTTGAGGTTATCGGCAGAGTTGGACCAGGTGACGAGGATGTCGGCATCAACGTGCTCTTCGGGGATCGGAGACTTGACATCATAAGGGTGCAGTGACACGGAGAATCCGTGCAAGCTCTGGACGTCGAGCGGGACAGAGGTAGGGTATAAGAGCTTCATGGCGATATGTGTACGACGTGGATTTTGAGAGGATGAGGAGAGTGGAATGAGTTTGAAGTAAGGAGAGTGTTTGTTCGTGGGGGAGCGAGCTCGGAGGAAAGCCGACCGAAGTGAGGGGCATATGGCCATGGTGGGTTTAGCGCCGGGAAAGTAGCCGTTGGAATTTCCGTCGAGTACAGACGGAGTATTTGACGCAAGGCTTGGCCCGTATTCTCCAACTCCTTTTCCCCATGGGGGCGGGCAGCAATAAGGTATCCATATATGGATGATCGCCATGAGATGCTTATGAAATCAAGACATAATCAAGGTCATAGTCCTCCTTCAGCCCTTTTCCGAGCCGATCGACACCTTACCAGGAACCTGGCGAACCAGAAGGGTTGTTTGAACAGGCATTGCAATCCTCCTACTCCAAATGATGCTGCTGTAGCAAGGTTATCCGTTCGGAACGACAATCCGCTCAAGGCTGTGGATTGAAGTCAGGATCGTGACGGAAAAGACAAGAGAAGACGGAGAAGACGGAGCTGCCCAGAAAGCTTTCACAGTCAAGCTCCGCTTAGCTACGGTCTCTTGGCCGTTGGCATGTGGCATTGGCATTCAGGACGCCAGACGCCCACACGACAAGATATCTGAAATTGCTGACTTGAAGTGAGAAAAGTCAAGCGATGGCATGACTACGCTGAAGCCTCCAGCTGTCGAATCTCCCTGATGGTTCACTTATTGTACAGGCAAAATCCATAGGACCCGGAAAGGGTAGTGTCTTCATCCGTGGGCTGGCCAAAGAGTCCATCTTCCGCTGCAGACCGGGGTTTGTTCTAGTTACGAAGCAAACCTCGCTCCGGATTTGCAAAGGTGTCTTGTCTGCTACTATGGTACGAGAAGAGCAGTGATATGCTGCTGCTCTGATATGAACGCGGCCTAGCCGTCTTCGAGCATGGCCCTTTGGGTGAATGTGAATATAACTTATCCGACAGCGGCTGATTACGACACCTGCCTTCTGCAGACTGGCGGTGATGTAGGTCGGATTAGTGCTCACGGATAAGTTGCTTTGCATCAATGCTAGTTCCGGAGCGCTACTATTGGAGTACGCACAGTGATGTGCAAGAAATCCTGGAGAGGATGCGGGGTACCAGTGGTGCAACCGAAGTAACATACTCCAAGGAGGTTCTGATATGGAGGTCATGTTTATGGGTCTCAACATAAATACCACAACACGCACAGCCTGGCCTAAACATCTCCCCATCAACCCACTGCATCACCATCATGTCGACAACGCAAGCTCATCATCACGACGCAAAGGAGGACGTCATAGAATCCTTCAATATCGAACGTGTTCCCATCACCGAGGAAGAGAGCAAGCGAATCCGCCGGAAAATCGACCGAAACATCCTCGTCGTCCTCATATGGCTTTATTTTCTACAGAAATTCGACAAGACCGTGCTCGGATATGCTGCAACCTTTGGTCTACGTGAGGATACTGGATTGACCGGGTACCAGTACTCGCTCGTCTCATCCATCGAGCCTATTGCCCAGCTGGTCTGGCAACCGTTCTCTTCCTTTCTTATTGTCAAGGTCCCGCACAGAACTCTCATGCCTCTGCTCTGTCTCGGATGGGGCATCTCCCAGGCATGCATGGCAGCGTGCCATACCTTTGGTGGCCTAATGGCTACGCGTTTCTTCCTTGGTCTCTTTGAGGCTGGATGTCTTCCCCTTTTTAGTGTCATGACCAGCCACTGGTATCGTCGTGGGGAACAGCCCTTGAGGGTTGCTGCGTGGTACTCAATGAATGGAGTGGCAACAATGGCAGCGGCTGCTATATCCTATGGTCTTGGGCACATAGAGTCAGATATCATGAAGCCGTGGCAGATGTGAGTGCTCACCATCCCCCTTCACTCGCTTCTGTCACCAATATACCAGGCTAACCATCATTTTCCTCCAGTATATTCCTCTTCGCAGGCCTCTTAACAATAGTATCCGCCCCGCTCGCATACTGGCGCGTATCTGACGATATCATGTCCGCCCGTTTCCTCACCGAGACTGAAAAAGCCCAAGCCCTAGAACGGGTCTACGCCAACCAAACGGGAACCGGTAACCGCGAGTTCAAAATGTCTCACGTCTGGGAAGCACTCTTAGAGCCCAAGACCTGGGGCTGGGTTGCCATTGCAATGCTCATAAACGTTGGTGCGATTGTCACCACCACCTTCGGGCCCCTCCTAATAAACGGCCTCGGCTTCGACAAATACACATCATCCCTGCTCAACATGCCATTCGGCGCCTTGCAGGTCATAGTCATCCTGGTTGCCAGCTACCTCGCGCAAGTCGCTCGATTGAAGGGTGCCATGATTGACTGTTTTGTGCTCCCAGTGATTGCCGGATTGGTTCTTCTCTTCGTGTTGCCCCGCGACGGCTCCTCCCAAGCTGCACTGCTGGCCGGCTATTATCTCCTCGCATTTCTCTACGGCGGTAACCCCCTAACCGTTGTCTGGATTGTGGGTAACACCGCAGGCAGCACGAAGCAGTCCGTCGTGATGAGCTTGTACAATGGCGCGACATCAGCTGGAAACGTCATCGGGCCCCTGCTTATGAACAAGAAAGACGCGCCCGGGTATCACCCAGGATTGCGCGCGTGTCTGGGGCTCTTCTGTGCGCTGTTCTTCATCGTCCTCCTGCAGTGGGCCAACCTGGTCTGGCTCAACCACCTGCAGGCTCGTCGTCGTGTGCAAAATGGCAAAGAGGCGAGGATTGTCGATAAGTCGATGAAGAATCACATTGAGCCGCAGGAGAAGAACGGGAAGATTGTCGGGAATGATGGCAAGGTTGATGGACAGGCTGGGCAGGTCGATGCCGCGTTGCTGGATCTGACTGACAGGCAGAATGATGAGTTTGTGTATATTTACTGAACTCAGGACCTCTGCTTATCCAGCCAGTCTATGAGCCATGCGTTGTGCTTCAGAGGCAAGCCAGATGTTTTCTTCAGGAGGTCCACAGACTCGGACTCATCCATTTCCAGCACTTCAAATGATTTCCAGGTGACAGTTAAATCCGTTCTTCTGCTCGTGATCAGCACCGCACCCCAGGGTTTCACTGGTAATAAGTCGGGGAAATTGTATGATTCAAGGTTATCAAGGTTATCAAGTATCACCAGCCCATTCCGGTTAGCCTTATAGGATAGCAACTGGTGAAAGGCATCTGTAAACTGTTTAAACTTCCTATGGTCATATCACCAGTCACTGGTTTATAGTTTATTTAGTACCTCTGTTAATGCTTTGAATCATGGGTTATTCACGTCAAGACTGTTTATTTCATAATGGCTTGTGATTGACTTAAGTATATCCTGAATGCTTTAAAACACTGTTCTTGGACTAGAACCATCGATCCAAAATATGGAGCTGAAATTCTGTTCCGCTCGGTATGCGAATTCAAGTGCCACCTACGTTTTCCCCACGCCTCCTAGGTTAAAGAGCACTAGCTACTGACGATCACTATCCACACCGCCGTGCAGTGTATCGGACATGTTTTTCAGGATAGACTCTCTTCCGGTGAAGCGAGGGTTTCGTATCTCCGGAAGTCCAGGGCCCAGTTGGGACTCCATTGGTGCTACGCGTATATTGGTCGGTTTTTCTCGGGAAGCACCATCAATAGGATTAGGCGGCGGTTTCGGACGTTTCTGAGGCGCTTCGGTGGCCAATTCTACCAGAACCCGCAGTCGCTGACCGATTATCTGCATACTGGCACTCTTCACCGGGTTATACTTGACGATTGGTAGGTGGTCACCTTTGAGACCAATAGACTCGGCGTTGATAGCACCCGGCAAAATCGCAGAATATTTGGGGGCCATCTGAGTAAACGGTCAACAATCATCAATAGACTAGGCTTGGAGGCCATAATACCACCCGAGGCCCCTGTGATCCAACAGGCGTTGGAAGAGTCTCATAAAAGTATGTAGTAGCAAAGTCGATACTGATTACGTTGTAAGTATCGTGAAGTTCCTCAAGGAATGCTTAACTCTATTTAATATAGAATGTTATTTGCCAAATATGTTCTGATGATCATAGGTATTACTTGTGACATTTTTGCAATTTCCAAACACAGACAGCTTCATTACTGTCATGATTATGTAAATGCCTCTTAGAATATAGTTAACTAAGTTAACTAATAACTATGATATCCTAGGGTGGCTGCATTGGTACTGAAAAAAAGTTAATTAAAATTCCGATATTTCATACTAAGTCAGTTAATTTTTTTTATTTCCGCTATCACTACAGACATCAGTTGTATAGTCTGGAATCCAAGTCCGCAATTTGTGAATCGCGTTGTGGGTGGGCAAAAGGGCATGGATAAGACAATCCAATATCCGACGGTAGATTGGATACTGCAGGGCGACCGGCATGGAAGGCAATAATGGCCAGCACTACACCGATGTACTCCGTATATCATGGACAATGATCTTACACCTTGTAGTCTGCAGATCTCTCCGCTAAGCCTCGAAAATAATGACTTGGCAGCCCCCACCGTTGGTCTCAGACTCGCGCGCTGATTGGCGTTGCATCTGGATTGCCTATATGGGCCTAGCCTACGGAGTAGACGTCGCTTCAGCCCTACTCAAAAGAGCTGGCAGCTCACAGTCGTGCCGATCGCTGCCCATTTGTTGGAGCGGCTAAACCATCGCTTGAGCTGTTTCGTGCCAGCAATGCAGGCGATCAACACGAGCAGACCAATAGAGTGTCAGGCTCAGTTCCATCAATGGCCAAGACTCAGCGTTGAGAGGCTTGAGAGGCTTGGCGATGCACGGGAGACTCTGAGAATTCTGTTCGCCCCCAAATTGACAGAATTAGAGTAATAATTGAGAGACATCAACATGCATTGCCTCGCGGGAAAAATGGCCCCTCTGACGTCGTCATAGCACTAGCCGTGGTCCGTTGCTTAAATACAGAAGCTTCCCTCGACCTTAATTGAACGACAATCGTCCGCGTCCGATAGTGAGTGAACTTTGCGCAATACACCTGTCCCCTAAACAGTCGACACCATGGTCCTTTGGAGAAGAGAAGGAGCTGAAGAATGCGAGTTGGTCGGGGAAGCAATGGCCCCCTTGGTGGGCAACGGGGTTTGTCTACCTACACTCAGCATGATAAACCCGGCTGCAATGTTCATGCTAACAATGAATACCTACCGCAGATCCTCGTAGGCTTCGCTGGGCAAGCCGTCATATCCCTCGGTCTCTCACTGTGGGTGTTCTTCCTAACCACCCACGGCAACATGGACATCACACACCCCGAAGGCTCCAAGGAGCGCGACATCGAGCGCAAGCGATTAGACTTCGTATCCAGCATTCTCACAATTGGCTGCGACATCCAACTAACACTGGGCATCGCTTACCTCATCACCGTCTTCTCCCAGGTCCAGATCATGGACACGTACCACCTGCACCTGGTCTTCGACATCGTCAGCTTTGTCGCGGTCTCAAACACGGCTGCTCTCGTGTGCTGGCGCTTCTGCCGCGTGAAGATCGATGGCCAGCAGGCCACTGATGACGACGCTGAAACGGATGCAAAGACCGGCCCCCCAACCCGTCGCACCCGCACGCGCGGCGGCGTCCCACAGCGCATGTCCTACTGGAACAGCCGGTACCGCGCAACCTTCCTCTTCATCGCGCTATATCTCGCATTGACAATCCTCCTCTGCATCCGGCTCAACGAATGGGCTCCCAACACATCCCCCGGCCGCTGCTACCACTCGCACCTGATCACCAGCCCGGGCGCCTCGCACCCAGGCGACGACAAGATCTACGTGAGCATCACAGCCTCATGGCTGATCGGCGTCGTGCTGGCAAGCGTCTTCGCGGGCGTTAGCCGCCGGCGGGGCATCCTCGTTCTCTCGTCGCTGCATTTCCCGCTGCACATGTACATGGCGATTGCGCTGCGGCAGGCGAACCAGGGGCGGTTCGAGGGCGAGACGAAGCATGAGAATGAGTGGGACTTCGGGCAGACGACGGCTGTTGTTCTACTTGGTGGTGCGGTTGTTGAGTTGCTTTCGAAGGGGAGGGAGTATTGGTCTTTTGAGAGGAGTGTTAAGCGAGATGGGGGTTTGCCAGATGCGAGGTATCGGTCGTTGGGGGAGGCTGAGGAGGGAGTGGACTTTAATGATGCGAGACTGCTTGATGCGCATCCCGGTGAGGAGGGGCGGGTCTCTGGCGAGGAAAAGACTGTGGTCGATGCGCGCGCTGCGAATTGAGAAGGAAAGGTGGGCGAGGGTGAGAACTACGTGTCTGATTATGATTTCTTCCATTAGCATGCAGCGCAGAGCCAGTACTATAGATGGATTCGCTCACATCCTTCTTCTAAAGGTGGGGAAGAGTGGCTATATTAATTTACATGTTAAGTGATTCACCTCAGAGTGGACTAGATTATGAACCGTACCTTTACGCGCCCCTGGTGCTGCGCCCCTTGCACGATGTCCAAGGTGAATTATACATAACCAGGGGGCTCAGCTAGGCTAATCAACAACAGTGCACTGTACCCGACTTCAGGCTGTGCAGGTACCGGCTACTGTGCCAGCTTATTCTATTGTAACTCACTTTCTTTCTGCTAAACAAGCTACCTTCTAGACGGCATTAGCAGCATGAATCTTCGACTAAAGATCTTTTCCATAAAGCCTCATATCGCAAAGCTTAGTACGGGAGTTACGTCAAAGCCTCGCTGCAGAGTATAATCGAGGACCTGGGCAACTGGCAAAGGGATTTTGATCCATCCTGGTACTTTCCAGCCTCCAGCATAGATATCGTGGCAAAGGCCAGCGAGACAGGCCCCATGATTGTTTCTCACCAACCCAAGGGCCTGGTCTATCGCTCCTTCCTCGTAGGACATGTGCTCGCTGAGGAATATAAAGGGTATTGACCCCTCATCGCCACGGAAGGCGCGACGCTAAGCCACGCAGCTCGATTGGCATGCAGCCGCTGGTGGCGCACGGCTGATTGATCTCGTCAGGCTGCTCCCCCACCAACTCAGAATTATTTGACGTCGTCTTGCGGTTCTTGCTAATAATGGCTTATCTTTGGCCTTTTCGCAATGTCCTGGACTGGCTATGCCGAGCTACTCGAAGCTGCACAGAGAAACTTGGAGATTATTCTCGGATCAAGGCTGTGAAATCCGACTGGGAGGCGACGGATCTCCTGCAGCACTTTAAATTAGACGCTGTTGTTCGCTGTAGTGACTGCCTAAAAAGACAGGCTCTGGTAGATGGTCTTGGCAAGGCTGAGAGCTGAGGGCGGGGCTGTGCGTGGGTAAGCGCCGGCCTTCGCTCCTCTCCCTCTTCTTCCCTCTGCACTGCTCCAACTTTCTTTTCCTCCCCTTCTACCTTTGCAAAACCATCGATCTCGGAGCCCTGACATCTACTATTTTTCCAAGGATGCGATGCCGAAACCAGAAAAAGAACACGCAGACTACACGGTCGCGTGGATCTGCGCTTTGCCTCTCGAGGCCGCAGCTGCGCGAACGATGCTCGACAAAACTCACTCCACCCTTCCCCAACCCGCGACCGACCAGAACGTCTATACCTTAGGAGAACTCTCCGGTCGGAACGTCGTTATCGCTTGCCTGCCTTCCGGGGTCTATGGCACTGTGTCCGCTGCCGTCGTGGTTTCCCAACTTCTAGCGACATTCACAAACATAAGCTTCGCGCTGCTGGTTGGGATCGGAGGAGGAATTCCTCGAACGGTCAATAATGATATGCGGCTCGGGGATATCGTGGTCAGCAAGCCGACGTCAGAGGGGACAAGCGGGGTAATTGCCTACGATTCTGGGAAAAGGGTAGCATATGATGGGGATTTGCAGCTGTCTGCGGTGCTCAATCGACCGCCACAACTCTTGCTCAATACCATATCGCGGCTTGAAGCTGACACTCTGACTGGGAACTCACTCGGACTTCGCGAAATAATCGCTTCCAAGTGCGAAACCTATCCAAACATGGCAGAGCAGTATCTACAACCTGACAGGACGACCGACTATCTGTTTGAAGCGGACTATTCCCATTTATCTGGCGCATCGGAATGTGACACTTGCGACCCGAATCACCTCGTCAATCGCCCAACCAGGAAGACTGACGAACCGCGAGTGCATTATGGAACGATCGCATCGGGGAACCAGCTGATCCGAGACGCCGCAAGCCGTGACCGTCTCGGGGAGAAATATGGCGCATTATGTTTCGAGATGGAAGCAGCCGGTATGATGAACCAGCTTCCCTGTCTAGTCATCCGTGGAATATGCGACTTTTGCGACTCGCACAAGTCAAAAGCATGGCAGGGATACGCTGCGATGACGGCTGCAGCGTACGCAAAGACTTTGCTGTCTAGATTGCCGATGGTTGTGGACAATAGTCCAGGTGGTAGTAAACCAGAACCTGTCTTCATGGTACAATTTGGCCGCAATCCGCGATTCCTCGGCCGCGAAGCCGAGCTTTCGAGACTCGAGGCAATGGTTTTGGGTGGAGACCGTGTGACGCAAAAGGCAGCCATCTCGGGCTTGGGTGGTGTGGGAAAGACACAGATTGCCTTAGAGCTCTCATATCGACTCCGTCAGCGCGAGACCCCATATTCCATCTTTTGGATCTCATCGACCAGTGCCGAGACGCTGGAGCAAGGTTTCGTCCAGATGGCGAATCGACTTGGGTTGGGGGGCAGGAATTCGAAGGATATCAGAGCAAGAGTGGTCCGGCATTTAAGCTCCGAATCAGCTACACCATGGATACTTATCATTGACAACGCGGACGACATGGAGTTGTGGCCACCTTTAGTGATCAAGGAGGCGATCCCAGTGTCCGAGCACGGATTCACGCTGTTCACGACGCGGAATCATCAATTGGCCATTAGGCTTGTTGGGCCCAATGTTATCCGTGTGGCTGAGATGGACCCTCCGCTCGCAAGCACCTTACTAAAAAGTGTCCTCTACGACAACTCCAAAGCCAACGACATATCGGCACTTGCACTGGCAGAGCATCTTCACGCTCTACCTCTGGCTATCATTCAGGCTGCAAGCTATATCAACGAGAACCAGATTTCTATTGACACGTACCTTTCGCTACTCGAGAATACAGAAGACTCCATGGTTGAGCTGCTCAGCGAGGATTTCGGCGATGAATGGCGATACGCTGATATCAAAAACCCCATTACGTCGACGTGGCTCGTTTCGTTCAATCAGGTGGAGCGCCTGAATCCTCAGGCCAGTGATTATCTATCATTCATGTCATGCCTTGGCTCTGCTAGCATACCGATATCTCTACTTCCAACTGCAGACTCGAAGATCAAGCAACAGAGCGCATTGGGTCTTTTGAAAGCGTACCACTTCATCACTGAACATTCGGATTACGCCTCGCAGATTTTCACTCTTCATCGGCTTGTTCGGCTAGCAACAAGAAACTGGCTCAGGGCACATGGTAATCTTGACAACTGGGTTACACGGGCCGGTCGGCGGTTGGGTGCTGTTTTCCCGTCCGCCGAGCAAAAGAATCGAGCCTTGTGGCGACCCTATCTACCTCATGCCCTATATGTCCTTGACTGTGAAGAGTTTCAGGCGAATACGACAGATCGGGACCACCTAAAGTTCACTGTTGCGCGAACCCTATGGCGGGACGAGAGGTACTCGGAATGCATACCACTATTTAAAGAACTATATCAAGAGTGGAAGGACCGATTGGGAATCGAGGATGAAGATACTCTTTTGGCAATGGAGTGGGCCTCTATCGCATTGGCTGACACGCAGCAGTGGAAGGAGGCTGAGACACTCCAGGTAGAATTACAGGATGTCCGCCAACGAATCCTGGGCCCCGACAATGCCCTGGTATTGAAAGGCTTTGGACGACTGGCAAGGATGTACAGGTATCAGGGACGACTGCAGGAGGCCTTTGACCTTGGCACAGAAGTCGTACGAAAGATGCGATCGCTTTACGGAGATGCCGACGCATATACATTGGATGCAATAATGAACCTCGTCGGTACCTGCCGCGAGCTTTCTACCGATATGGAAGATCTGATTGATGGGCTGCGGGCAGCTATCAAGTCTCTTGCCCCTGAAGCCTCTGATATGTCTCGAGTCACCGAAAGCTTAGCCGAGGTCTACATCCGTCAGGGACGTCTCAAAGAAGCAGAAACATTGCTGGAGGAGTATCTGGAGAAAACCCCTTATGCAGTTGATGAACATTCTGATCCTAGGGGCCGCCTTGTTTCCGTATATAGGCGGCAGGGAAAGCATCGCGAAGCCGAGGAGCTCGCTCAGCGGGCGTGGAAGCTGGCAGAGGCGACACTCGGTCCAGAGCATCCTACCACGTCTTGGCGTATGCTGGACGTGGCGACTGGGTATCTCGAGCGAGGCAGAATCGCAGAGGCCGAGTCCCTACAGAAGGAGGCGGTCGAGAAGATGAAACTAGTTATTGGCTACGGGCACGCCGACACCTTGACTGCTATGTGGTGGCTCGCAAAGACCAAGGAAGAGCGAGGCGACATGGCGGGAGCAGAGGAGATCCTAGTGCAGGTCAGCAAGCTGTCATACTCTGCATTTGGGCAGAATAGCCTCTTTACGCTCAAGGTTGTGAGCAAACTGAGCAGTTTCTATTACCACCAGGAACGCTATGTGGAGGCCGAGAAACTGGGACGAGACGCAGTTGAAGGGAGGAAGAAACTGCTGGGGGAAGACCATCCAACGACCCTTTTGAGTATGTGGAGACTCGCTCCCATTTTATACAAACAAGGCAAACTGGAGGAAAGCATTCAGTTGCTGGAGGACTGCAACCGCCGTCAGGCTCAGAGATTTGGACAGGATCATTCAGATACTCAAAAAACCACAAGACTCCTGGCAGGGTGGAAAGAACAGCGGGAGTGGGTAGAGATAGAGGCCTCTGAAGGACTGGCCGACCAACACGGTACTCCAACCCTTGGGGACCCTGAGGCTTCGCCTGAAATGTCAACGAACTCTGCCAGCTCAAGCCAACCCTTGGCTCATTCTGAGTCAGATAACCCGACCGTCGCGCGTGGCTTTGTAGCCACTGTTCGCACGTCAGTTGGGAGGCGCTGGCGTCGTTTCGATAGCTAGGACCTATACATTTGACAGTTGCAGGTAAGGTGTACTTTTGGTCCTGTACGAGTCGAGTCGTTCTCACTTTGATACACATTACAGCAACGGAGTTATCATTTGCAGCATCAAAGGCCTTTGAGGACTAAGGCTCATACATTCATCATCTTGTCGTGCATATATATTCCATAGCATAGCCTCATTAACCATCCCAGAAGGGCTATTCTGGTTTTAATAATACATATAGATGCTGGTGGTGACTCAGTTTAGGCTTCATTTTATCGCGCCGTTGTGGACGTGCTTGGGTTAATGGTTGCAGTACCAATGTACGTACTTCTATTAGAAGAATAGCACGTAGGTCAGGAACATCTGAGGGGTCAACTCAAGCATGGAAAAGCAAAAAATACTGCTTGATCCACTGATATGGAAATAGGAATCATAGTAAGCATGGTAGTTGATAGTTGACCTTTCTGCAAACTTGGCGGACTTGCAATGCTTGAGCTAGTGAAGAATAATTGACTGCTCTTTCTCCAATGTTTGATATAATACACCAAGACAGGAGATTCCTCTATACATGAGTTAAATCAATCTCTAGTCTAAAAGCGATACCCGCGTATTAACAGCCGTTACTTTCTGCACATGTCTCTCCTCATACTCATCCGGCTTATCCCCCTTCGCCTCCATGCATTTCCTCCCACAGCTCCTTGGCGATCCTTTGTGGAAGCTAATCCCTCGAGGACACAGATAGACCTTCTGCACCACCCACTGCACATGAAACTCCATCCTGACATCCGACTGCACGGTATAGACATTATCCCACCCAGGCTCGGGGGGCAGCCCAACCCAGCTGCTCACCGCCACCCTGTCCAAGTACGTTCGATTCTCCAGGTACGATTCAAGCTCCGCGATCCCGAGGAAGCTGGCTTCCTTGAGCAGCGCGTCGTACAGCGCCTCATCGTGGCCTTTTTGCACGTCGTAGAAGACGGGGAGGACGCCGCGGCGCAGGTAGCGGAGGATGTGCACGAAGAGGTCCGGGTCTGCGTCGACGAAGTACGAGCCGTCGGCCCTGGCCGTCTCCCAGCGGCCGGAAAGGAGGGAGGCGAAGTAGGCGCTTTCCTCTACTAGGGTGGAGCGCGTGGTTGTGAAGGATCGCTCGCCGACTTGGAGACGGATTGTGTCGTTGGGAGGCTTGTGGATGGGTGGCTCGGGGGTTTCGCCGTTTGTTATCGGACCGAGATGGCTTGGAGATTGGGCTGGGTTGGATTCGTCTGGGTCGTTCGAGGGAGGTTTCATTGTTTCTTCTTGGGTAGGTTTGTTTCTCTAGACGTCTGGTATAATGTTGACAGATGGATAGGCTGGTGGTTGGTCAATCGATCTATGATAGAGGGATTTAGATATAGATGTGTGTGGGAAGAAGAAGTCTAAGCGGGAGTAATGAAGCTATATAACGGTACGAATCACGTGGCTGCTAGTCATAGAGAAAAGGAACAAGAATAGCATGCTGTTGGTCTGGCTAAGGGGAAGGGAACCAGGAAGTCGGGCTATGTCTTTGCCACACAACCCTAAAGCTTGTTGTATATAAGCTTTGTGACGCGCCTAGGTCATGGAAATAGTCTCTGCAAAACGCAGGAATCCTAAGCATTTCAAGAAGGGATGTTGCTCATGAAGTATTGCCGTATTGATCTAGATGCTGGTAAGCATGTCGTGGTGGTTGGCTGTGATGTCGTGGAAGACGTTCAGTGATAATTAGGAGGCTATACAGTGGTCACTCGCAAGCCCATGGCGCCTTCCCTAACAGTACAAGGCACTAACATACTAGTCGGTATTTTACGTCAAACATTGCCTTGCTTATTAACCTCTTAGCTCCACGTTATTCCTTCTTGCATATATTGGAGTTCATTTATTACGAAATTACGGATAAACATCCCGTAAAGACACGACTCAAGACTAATATCATTCAATATTAAGAAGAGTTCGTTTCTTCTTAAGCATCACCACTGGTGGACCATCTTGGAACATTGCTGAAGGACCGCGCTCCTTGGAAGAGTGGTAAAAGCGACATACGCGCTCACATTCATCCTTGTTGCCCATGTGCCGAATTCTATTGCTAGGACATACCCACACCTTGCTGGGTATTGAGGTTTGTTGGCATTCTATCAGAGTATCGGAACCTGCCTGCATTGTTTTCTTGAAGTGATCCGGTTCTTCAAACCTTTCGAACGTGTACTCGAAGCTCAATACCTTTGCATATCCCCTGTCTTCTATCCATTTAGCTAGGGCGTCTATACCAAAATATCGTGCTTCGGCCAACAGTGCGTAGTACTTGAGAAAGTCATGGCCTTTGACATTGTCGTAGAAGAGTGGGAACACGTCGGGGCGACGGAGGCAATTGAGGATGTGGGCGAAGAGGTCCGGATCGGCGTCAACGAAGTAAGATCCGTCTGCTCGAGCATTCCATCGGCCGGAGAGCAAGGCTTTGAAGTACGTGCTTTGTTCGACGAGGGTTGACCGAAGGGCTGTGAAGCGTTGTTGGCCGACTTGGAGTTCGATTATCTCAGAACGGTTTGCGTGGACATTGTCGTTTTGAGTGGATGGACTCATGGTTGCGGTATTTTACAACAGAAAACTAGGGGAGACGGAGTCGAGGTGGTCGAGATCAATAAATATGGCCCGTCTCATGACGTTCCCTCTTCATGGGCTGGCACAAAGCCTATTAGGGTTAAGGTTATCAGCATGATGCGTGCCCAGGTGGTGTACCCAATTTGGCTCAGCGAATCAACAGCCAAGCTGTGTCGGGTGAGGGGTTGAGTTCGAATGGGTCCAGTGGCTGACGCGTATCCATCATCTGACGCGAGTGTACCATCGGGTGTACCATGGGTTATTAATCTTTCAAAGGTGGCCTATAAAGTGGATGCAGCTCTGGGGTGATTGCACCAAATGTACCGACAATTGAGCTACAATAGATTAAGACTCTGGTTGAATTTGAAGCTGAAATGTTCGTTAGCGCAGGATCTCTCGAAATTGATGCATGTTGGAAGCGCTGACTTCTACGTCATGCTCTCCTCGGTTACGGTAGCATAGCTACGATACCACAAAATATTCAGAGCAGAATGGCACATTGAGACTCGCTGAGGAATGTACATAGGTTACAGCGACTCAAGTATGTCCTCCCTCTCTACTCCTCCTGCTTACCAGCCAGAACGGGACAGCCTGCAGCCGCAGCCGACACATCCGCCGTGACCCCCTCCTTCTCTTCCTTTGCAATCTGGCGGAACATATCCATCGGATCGAACCACACGTCGATCTTCTGTAGCTGCAGCTTGTCGTTCACCCTGGCCACGACAATACCCTCGATATCGATGACGCCGCCGTGTGCCTTGACTCGTACGGTTTCACCCTTGCTAAACAGCCGTTAGCACCAATCATCCTTACAGCTTACCAACCCATCCATCAGGAAAGGTCTACTTACTCGTTATTCCCCACATAATCCGAATTCATCACCCCCCAATGCCTCCACCGAAACACCACCACCGGCGGGCCCGAATACACCTCCTTGACCTCCCACGCGAAAACCGGCATCATGCGCTTAAAGCTCTTGTGGCTCCCCTCGAAATCATTGTGCGCGGGGTCATAGTACTTGTTGGGCGTGATGAGGGCGTTGTACGTGCCCATGCGCAGCATGTCGTCGGCCGTCATGGCGGGCCCGCCGTTTAGGGAGAAGGTGTAGGTTGATTGGTCGACGGTGCGCCAGTCGCTGAGGGAGGTTTTGAAGGAGGCTTCGATTTCCCAGTTTTTCACGAGGTTTTCGACGAGGGAGGGGAGGGAGGCTGCTTCGTGCGTCATTGTTTTTGCTGCAGGGATATGGTTAATTTCAGTGGCAGGCAGGGAGGGGAAGAGGTAGGCGACTTACTCTGCTCGTAGTACTCGCGGGTCTTGGTGTAGCTGGGTGCTCGCTTGTAGCGCCATGCCACATCGTCGCCGAGGACGGCGTTGGGGTCGAGGACGTAGTCTGGGAGGTCTGCCATTGTGTTTGTGGATGTGAACTGAGAAAGGGAGGAATTTGCAAGAAAGGAGGAAAGAGGACAAATGGCTCGGACAGGGATGGACACGGACTATAAATCCTCGATTACGAGAGAAGAGGCATGTGCCCGCAACCCCCCTGCCTAGTAGCATGCACCGACTTGCCCCGTGTCAATCTCGGACAATAAGCAGGCCAACCTAGTAAGCGAGCAGCGAGTAGCGAGACGGCAGACCCCAGCCAAGTGCAATTAACTATTCGTAGCTAGCTACTATCTATCCCAACGACCAGGATACACCCATGCTTGCAAAGTCAAATAGAGAGCACACTGCTGCACCGCCGTTTTGCCATCCCTGTCAGCCGCGGCACATTCAAAAACCAACCAATATGCGGCTCGTGGTTGATCAGCACGTCGAGGCCGTTGCTTGGCAGGACAGGCAATCGAGCCGGAAGATCTGGGATGTCAATCCGCGCGCTGTATCTGAAACGGCCATCGTGGGGGCGGGCCGGGGGTCGGTGCTGGGTGAGGGGGCCAATGGCTGTCATTGACTGGGTCTAGATCCGGTCGGCGTATCGAGGCGAAACAACCCATCGACTCAATGGGGAAGCGAGGATTGGAATGATTGCGACGTTGACTCGTTGGTCTGTTCTCGGGTTTCTCGGCGATGTTGTTATTGGTCGGTGCCGTACGTTTAGATTAATCGGAGATTAGTCTGGTGGAGCTTGTCCACTTTGTCCTGGCGCTGGCGCCTGGGCTCGCATACACAAGTGGTTTGAACGGTCTTTTCACATGCGGGCGATGTTGTCCATGGAATTTTCCACTCGCACCTCCTTGTACACGGATGATTGATTTCGAACTCGAGTCCCGTATTCTGCCCACAGGTGCAGTCCAGTTCCGCTAACCCATTCACTTAGCTAACAATGCGTTTGTTTCGCCTAGGAAGTATGTTATATGCCCGTAGTCTGGTTTGGGTGTCTAGTCTCTATTATTGATTTGTCTTTTGAGTAATCATCAATTGATTGGCCGTCCAATTGAACGATCTCTCTGGTCTGGAATATAAAAAATGCAATCGCCTTCTCTATTACTACGCCAGCATATTCTTCGAGAATTGGGGTTAGTCAGTCATTGCTCAAGGCTCACTTTAATGGAGACTGGACAAGGACTACCGAGAACTCCCTAATATGGAGAGCGCTTTCAGGAGAGAAATGTAGCAAGAATTCACCCACTCCATAGAGAGGATTCTAAAAGGTACAAGAGGTCCTTGAACTGAGGCATTCCCGGCCATAATCGTTCAGTGGAGATAGTTGTCGGTTCGAAGGTGGAGTTCGTGGAGGGGGCGTTTGCGTAGAAGTCAAGTCCAAGTTTTGGAAGCCCTGCTCAACCGTGACTAGTTCGCCAGATGATGCCACGAGGAGTGATCATCTGTGAAGAGGGGGTCTTTGAAGAGAGGGTGGTAGCCTAGCTTAGTTGAAAGGCGAAACCAAGTGCCTTCCGTGTTGGTCCAAGCCGCACTCTCGATATAGAGGATAGTAGCAGGCCGCCGCCGCAGTTTCTTCGTTATAGACCGGCACCATTACCAGTACGCAACGCGGTTCCAGGCGGCTTACCATTTTTAACTCACCTGACGCTCACTGACTGCACTTAGGTACGTGGTATAGCTCCTGACAATCCTAAAGGATGGCATGAGCTCTAACCGGACATGTTTAGAACATTCATATATCCACAAACCATCGATGATGCAGCGCCTCTTTGGCAGTGATCCTTTGCCTGGGGTCCAGCCTCGTCATCCCACCAATCAGATCTCTTAGATCCGGATCTAGATGACCCCAAGTCTCAAGCGGTTGACTGGCGTTCTCCGGCGCAAATGTTCCCACGAGGTCAATAAGCCGCTCTTGAAAGACGTTCTCTTCGCCGATATGCTCCAGTGACCCATTGACCCCCTCTCTTCAAAAATAATAGCTTACCGTTATGCAGGATACTCAGGGCGTGTAGTTCAGCAAGGCCCTGCAAGTCCTCCTGAAGGATGTGTCGTCTCGTGTTCATAGTCAATGGTCTATGGCTGAAGCGCAGCACGTCTGTAGATGAGTAGGGGTAAACAAACATCTCTCGCTCCTTGATGGTGTCTGTTACGGTTCGGACATTGGAACAGGACGATCAGGGACGTTCAAATCAAGCTGATAGCCAAACTCCCCTTTTATCATGTCCTTTATGATGTACCTACTTTGCTCCATCGGCGCCTCTGGGAGTGAACTTGGTAAGGCAGCAGGGAAGACCAGCCGTCCGGGGTCGACTTACGAAACACGATAGACTGACGAAAGCGGCTTTGTCCGAGTCGCAGGAACTATAAGTCTGACCAGAATTGACTCTTAACGAGCTGCTAATAAGAAGGGACCCCTTGCTGGCGCGTGACAAAGTAGACATAACCACGTCTGGTGATGGCCCTCGTAAGAACGAGAAAGCTTGTAATTGCGAGCCTTGGAATCGAGTAGAGAGCATGGCTAGGCTGGCATATACGATGTACCAGGGTGCAAAACACAGATCCAAGCTGTGGGAAAGGATCGTTGCCGGCGGATAGGACTTGAAAGCTGCGCCGCGACGACGCGTGGAAAATCCTCACCGCGCCAGCCAATCAGGTCGCCGCGCGCAAGCTGGATGAGGGTGAGGACGGCAATGGGTTTCTTTCACTCATCCTTGCAGTGATGAAACTGCATGGCGTAGAGCAGGAGGAAGATCGCCCCTCTGAGGCCGTTTTGTGAGCAGTGTTGTCGAACAATAGGTACCTGGGTACGAAAGGTATTTGAGTGGAGGTTTATGAAGTTGATTGGGCAGCCGGTGCCAAGAGGTGGTCGGCTGTGGGTCACGTGGGGTCGCGTCTGGGCCGGGTCTCCAATCGATTTTGTGTTTGTCTTCTCCGAATCTCCATCAACAGCCCACCCTCCACCACACACGCCCCAGACCTGCAACTCCGCAACCCTAACTCATCGCTGAGATCCCATCCGTTATGCTCGCATGCGCGGCACGGGTTCCCAGAGCCTCGCCCCTCGGCAGAGGAATCTCGGTCCGATACGCATCTGGATGGCGACTTGAGCCCGAGCTGCGCAGCGAGTCGGGAGGGGTGATCTACAAACTTGACGAATCCTCAGTTGACGAGTATGGAGTGCAATCGCCGGTATATGAATCGAGGTAGGTAGTACTTGCATCTGCACGAGATTCTCAAAGACCTTCAGCTTTGGCCCGTGTAATGACTTTTGTGCAAAAAGCGCCGACGGAAAGAAATACCATGTCCAGGTGATAGCTCACAAGGAAGACTTTGAGAACTACCTCAGCCTACAAACTAGGGTCGCGTTATCGCCGTATGTGCGAGTCGCTACGGATACCATTCCGGAGCACCAAGCGTTCGTCTATCCCAGCCCCGGGCCGCTCAACCTGGGGAGAACAAAGGGGCTGTTTTACAGCGCCAGAAGGCGGGTCCTTCGCGACGCGCTGCGCGGTCTTGCGGATCTACACGACAGAGGTATCGTGCATGACAGTAAGTGAATATCCCACATTCCGATGAGCGTAGCTGCTCCGTCCCTTAGTGGGCGGGCATCGAAGCAACCCCTGGCTCGGTTCTCACACTCGTTGCAGACCTCGTCCCTCGGGCCATTCTTTACGAAGACACTGAAAGCCCAAATAAAAAGGGAAAAATTGAGATGTCTTTGGGTTCCGTCGCCCTGGCTCCAGATGAAAAATGGGTTACTGGACCCGGGCCTAATTTTAATGAACCACACAGATCCCCCGAGGCATGGTGTGGAGCGCGTCGGAACCAGGCATCTGACGTCTTCGCATTTGGGACGCTGGTACGTGGTGTCGTTACTTTCTTTCTTGCTTCCCCCTGTCCTTTTTTAGTTCCTGACGTATCGCAACACCTCGATTGACGAAACCAACACCTACTCACATCAATAGATAATCTACGCCATGGCCGTAAACGCCGCCCGGAAACTCCCTTTTGATGTCGATCCGAGCGGAAAACTATTGTTCGAGGATCGCTGGCGCCGGACTATATTGAGACAGATTGCAATGTGCGCCGACAAAAAGGCTTTCGAGGGCTTCCGTGCGCACATCGGATCAAAAAGCCCCTTCCAAAAGCAATTGTCTCGAATGAAGGGGGCCTTTGAAGTAGAGTACCAGAGGGCTCCCATAACAGCTGGCGATCGTCTTGCACTCCAGCCGGATGCCGCGGACTTGGTGGCCCAGATGATGAATCTGGATCCTGCGCGCCGGATTACGGCGCGCAAGGCGCTGCAGCATGAGTACTTTAGTCCCAAAAGGTGGAATAGTAACTGGATAGGTGCGCCGACACCTCAATAGCCGGTTTGAAGCCGCTCAACACGCTCAGCTTATTTGAGCTCTTTCGCCTTCAGCAACCTACCTCAGCCTTCTTGCAATTCTTAACATCGCCTTCCCGGGGCCATCCCCTCATTCACCACGCCTCTCACAACAAAAGGGGCCCCGCACCTCTTATAACATTACTCATCGGGATACCCTTGCTCCCCTCGTTCCACAGAAGGCCTAGCAGGTAAAGGCCCAACCATGGCCTTAGCCCCGCAGGTGAACAAACTCCCTTACATCATGTTGGTAGTCCCTTCGTCTGCCTTTGAGAATATCCTCGCATGTATGGTTATCTCATGTAGTTTCCCCATGTATAGCAGATCACCAGCTAGATAAACTGGATTGGTTCTTCCTAGAAACATGCATTTCTCATCCACCGCTCACCTGGTCTTCTGAGGTTGCTTCAGCACTTCATACACAGCAAAACTGCTCAATCTTCCGTATTTATTCTCTTCGAAGCCCTTTTCAACGCCACTGCAGGTCAAATAAGTTCCGGGACAGACGAGCAGGGTGCTGTATGTAGGTAGGTACCTTATCCCAATAGGTAGCCTCTCCCTTCTCTGCCTCCGCAAGACGCCTCTACAAAAAGAGATACTAAATGTTCCAAGACCAAGTAGTAACCCCTGCAGTATAGCACAAGCAAGGGCTAGAAGTCTATATACACCAAGCATTTACCACCGACCTGCAGATATCTCTAGTCGTTGTTCAAGGGAGCAATTCGACGGCACAGGTACCGTGTCGGTATTACTGATTTGGCTCTAGCGTCTGGGATGTTAAAGAGGGATAACTCTGGGTTTGGATTGTGGATGGACACTTGCGGGATGTAGTGCGTAGCGAATGCGCCGCAGCTTCTTTCTTTCCTTTGTGGGGATAATTGGAGCCTGTTGGAAAGGGCGGGGAAGAGCAGGGGAATTCCCCTGGATGGTCGAGTATACGGTCTGATTTTTCTGAGGTTTGTTATACGAAGCCTTGGGTGGTGGGATTGATACGGCTGGGTGGGCTATGTTAAACCATTTGGTTCTGCAGCAGTGGCTTGAGGCGTGGTGATGGAAGGATCTGTACGCTAGAAACCTGTTGATGACAGGGGCGTTGAAACGTCTAATATACAGAAATGCCATACTAAGAAGGATAACGGGGCTTTGCCCTGGTAATAGCTCGAAAATACAGGCGAAGACTTAGATCAACTGCGTTTATAGTACAGAAAGTCGAGCTGAATGTCTAATGCGGACAAACTACACATAATTGGGTTACCTCATGGATATATTTCGGTTAGGAGGATCATGGAGACTGCGGCTCTACTACGTCTCCCAAGCATATTGAATGAGGCTCACAATTTCCTAGATACGAGTCGTTTGCGCCGCATAGCTTATCCGTCAAAGCAGGGCTATTTCACACTTACAAGACCCTCAAAGTAATCAAGGTCTTTGAGAAGGGGCGAGACCACGGTATCAAATACAGATTCGTCAAACCCAGAGTCCTCAAAGCATTCTCCCTTGCTGCGCGACCAGTAAAGACACTCTTTGACCACATCCCCATAACTCGATCCACTTTCGCAGTAGACATTCTTCAGGACGCGAGATGCAGTATTAAAGCGTTTCTGGGACTCGACTGGGGATTCGTCCTCCCCTCGGTACAGTGCGGCGATGGTTTTCCCCAACGATAGCTCGATCAGGGCAATTGCGAGAGGTAGGAGGATCTCGTTCTGAATTCGATCGCGCCCTCCAGTACTGGGATTCTGCTGTTCCAGTCCCGTAACTGGCCAAACTAGGTATGGGTGATCCAACAGGGTATATTCGTGTTGTGGGTCCGTTGCAAATAGCACATCCGTGGTACCCCACTCCTGCTTCAACCACGACCCGTGAAGCTGTAGGATGCTGCATGCAAGGACTGCAGCTAGGTACAACCGATCCCGTCGGCTGAGCTCAGTGGACCCTTGTATGGGGTTAGGGGCTCCAATAGATGACTCGGAGCTGAGGATCTCCGACAGAGAATGTAAGTTAAAGTCTTGCGATATGCGACGCAGGACACGCATGTTATACCGTGCGTCGCTGGTCTGGTTCAGCATGTAACCAATTAGTCCCTGACTCAGGCTCGGATCTAGCATTTTCAGGTCACAAAGCATAGAGCACAAATCCGTTATAGCGCCAGCGTTGATTGGGGCATTATGAACACTTTCGAGGCATATGGTAGTTGACCCCGGAGTAGCAAACCGAACTCCGCGTTTCCCCTTTGCAACGGCAGAAAGGTTTGGTGCTCTCGTAAGATTGAGCGGCACAGCTTCTTCCAGGAGTTCAGCTTGTAGTTCGACCTCAAGCCATTGAGCCTGTGGATGCGGTTGTTGAGGTTTGCTTCCCGTTGATAAGACCATTAAGAAACGTGTTTCCCGTGATGGATCTGCAGTTCGCGAGCGACGGATGGTATTTGCGTCTAGGCGAAAGCAAACTGTGTGTTCGTCTCTGCAGGGGCAATTCCATCCCTGCCCCTGGACCAAAATTTCATATAGAGCCCTAGCATGTCGCCGGCCATCACGGTGTCGTTTTAGGCCTTTCCTCAGCCGTGGTGGTGTACGTCGGATTCCGCCAAGTCGGTGGGATTGTTCGCTAATGGTCTTGAGGATTTGGTTCGCCTTGTCAATCTTGTTAAGGATATCTTCGTAGACGGCCTTTGATAGTATCTTGCGGAATCTGATCGATCCGAGGGACTTGAGCGACGCAGCCTAGGGAAACCCCTGTATTAGCCAGTGGATATTTAAGACAATTGAGCCAGACCTGCCTTAGAGTAGTCAGGAGTGTGCTGATCGAGCTTAGTTGATAAATCCTCCAGAAGCGCACAAAGACCCATAACGGTAGTCGTGAAGGCATGATAATCACGACCCAACTTGTCTGCTAGCGCCTTTTTGAATGTGGGATTTCCCCATTTCGAACCCCCTGGGTTACTTATCAGGTCCGATCGGTCGTCATGATCATCGACAATGTCTTGTAGGAAAATTTCGAGGGTGTTGAGAAAGATGGCGTACTGGGCGCTTAGGCTGCTTGAGTACCCCTCTAGCTCCCACTTATACCGGCGGAGAGTCCTGAACGTCTCAAGGCCCCTGGCGTAATTGTCGAGCTGATTTACGACGAGGGGCAATATGCCCAGCACAAGGCCGGCAACCTCTACCCCAGACATGGCAGGTGGGACGGGAAAGAGTGTAGTGGCAAGGAAGAAGATGGATGAGGCTGGTCGCAGACAGAAAAGAGTCAGCTGGCACTGCACCTGCAGAGTTTTAGAGATTACCCCGCACCAGCTGGACTTCTTTGCTAGGCAGCCTTATCCTAGTGCATCTTTCGCATCAACAAGCTGCTTCAGATGGTTTAATTTGCAAACAGCGATGGATACTATATCGCAGGTCTTGAACAATTGTCTCAGCAAGTTTACTGCACTGACGGGGTCAGATGCCCTCAGACGCCATGAAGCTGAAGTCTCCATGACCCGTTGGCTGGACGAGCTGGGCCGACTGCGAGTCTGGTCTGGAAACATCGGCGCGCACCAAGTCGGACAATCGTCTTTGGACTATCGTCTCCGCGATTCTTCACATCTCAAGACAGAGACTGTGAAGGTTCTGAAGAGACTGCTGCGGCTACTCGAAGAGGTAGACATGGTTGTCAACGAGGACGGCGAGACGGGGGAAGTCGAATTCGACCTTGAAGATGGAGAAGATGCAGGCGAGCCGTACAGGACGGAACTTCAGCAGCTCTACCAAACTATAGTCGATGCTGTCAATCTTCTATTTCAGCTTTCGATGGCCATTCGCAAGCCTGCCGACCACGACCGGCTCCTCAATATAAAATTGAAGGACGAAGCCTTCTTCGAACCATGGGCGCGGCAGCACATCACGCACAAGTATCCAGAGGCGGCAAGCTTCTTAGCCGACCGACTAGCGGCGGCAATGGCAAAGCGAAAGGCGGTACTCAAGTATCGTGAAAGGCACAGAGCGAAGCTTGGGAAAGGCTTAGGGGTGTCTGGAGACAGCGGATCACTAGATCTCTCTGCCACCGAGGCAACAGAAATCGCTGCAGGCAATAATCAGCTGGCTTTCGCAGAGGCTCAGTCTGTTTCTGGCGCCTCGCAAACATCCTACGCGACTAGCCTAATAAAACCGCAAAGTGCAAGCATGGTTCCGGATCCACCGGTGGAGTCCACAGAGAAACAGCCCTTCGAATGTCCATATTGCTACCATGTGATCATTATAAAACATTCAAAAGACTGGACCAACCATATCTTTCGGGATTTGATGCCTTATACTTGTGTCTGGGAGGACTGTCCCATTCCGTCCAAGCTATTTGATACCCGGCGCATGTGGGCTCAGCATATGGATCACACTCATCCACAAATGGAGCAGACAAAGGACTCATTTGTCTGCCCATTATGCCAGGGTAGTGTACAGACAGCAGCTTCATTTGCAAAACATGTTGGCAGGCATCTAGAGGACCTCGCCCTATTTGTCTTGCCCCGAAACCATCAAATCGAGGATACAAGCTTGGAGATACCACAAGAGAAGGCATTAGTCAATCTAGTGGAATGGAAGAGCGATCCCAGCATATGGCCCGGCTGCTTTGAAGGTCATTATCCCGTGGACGGTGGGATGTGCAACTGTGGGGCTGCATTGTCAGACGAGCGTGGTTCTCTGCGTTCTCATCTCAGGAAACTGCTCTTAGAGTCACAGGGCTTTCCCACCGTTGAAATAAGCGACTCCCAGTCAACTGAGCCTTTAAGACTTTTCGAAGAGGGCGCACAGATTTTACGTTCTCTTACCAACGGAGGCGAACAACCGAAGATCTCAAATACTCTTGACAAGGGAAGAACTACTAAGGCGACTCGGAATAACCTAGAGCGGACATCAAATCTTTCGAGAACGATCGGACGAAATCATAATACCACGTCAATGGGATCAGACATGCAGGGGAAACCGCCAAGCCAAGACCACGTACAACTTGTACATGAGTCTTATGCGGTGTGGAAGTGCACGATTGATAGCATCAACGATGACATATCTGCTTCTGAGGCATTGCCAGAGCTCACGGCCCATGTAGGTAGCGATGAAGGTCTCAGTTCAGGACAACATACCCCCTCGCGGTAAAGGCAAAGAGGTGGCCGCCCGCCAGGGGAATTCCAGATAATGTCCCTGCCTTCAACCAGTCAGCCATATTCGGGTGGGTGGGAATTAAGACGCCTAGTGTGTGGATAAACATTGGCAAAGCTGACAGGTCGAGAGACGCATGGAAAGTCCCACGATACAATGACCAGGAATTAGGAGTTGGGATCCATGAGGACGCAGAGACTTGAACACATCGAGGGTACAAACGCATGAGATCCTCTGGGTACCACAAGCAGTTTAGGGAACCCATTAGGACAATTAGGAAGCCTCCAAGGGCATGAGAAAAGATCATAACATCAATCCTGATTTCTCCAAGGCCCTCCTTTTATCCCAGTGAGATATTAATTTGCTCATTGAGCCACAATAAACCACCCGAGCTTCCCACAAGTCGTAGAATGCCCGGAGGGCGAGGGAAAGGTGGGGGGTGGGGGGCACGTTCACAGACATTTTCTTGGAATATCTGCCGGCTGCCCAGTCTTCTTGTACGTTATCATATGAAGTCCACTGTAAATTGCATATATAAAGCCTTAGATCTCGTTGATTGCTAACGACTTGGGCTATAGTCTTGAAACATGGTATTACCACTGTCCGTAAAACGTGATGTACCATGTAAGCGCAGTAGGATGATCCTGATTAGGACATTACGGACCATCCGCTTCTGACACGAGATATCAATACAAGAAATATTGCTCCCATGGCAGCAGTGGCCTTGGGTTGTCTCTGGTTCTTCACCTTCGAATCCCATGTGAAAGAATCTTGAGAATACACAGAGAGCTATAATAAGAAGGCGCCAATAGTCATTCGATTCAAATATCTATTGAAGGCATTTGGAAATATGGCGGAGTAGTGACCTCGTCCGGGGTCAAACTGGATCCGAACAAGACACTGATAAAGATAAACCAGACCTGAAGATACATTGTATACGAGGCAAGGAAAGGAACATATAAGCATACAATTATACAGACGAGGGGCGAATAAAGAGGAAAGGATTGTTTGAGCCCTTGACAATATCCCGAGCAGTCTTCTTGCCCAAGACTTTGAATGAAGAGCCTCTAAGACTTCCAGGTTTCCCCATCAACGTTAATATTGCCGTAGTAAGCTGGGTTCACCGTCGCCGACATTTATGGAATCACGGTCGAAAGGCGAGTTTGAGCCGGCGCAGGAAATCCGACAAGATCCCGGAGTCCTCAGTGGACTGTCTGTCCGCATCATGGTCGGAAGGCGGTACTTCCTGTCCCATCTCCGTACTCTTGCGGCTTTCAGCCGTGGCTGTCTCGTCTTTGCGCTCGTCGTTCTTCGGCTCCTTCTTGCTGTGTGCTGCCGTTGCCAGGGCCCATTTTGTCCACCTATCCTCATCCTCAGAGAAATCATTCAGGGGGATATCGGCAAGATTGTATCCCACCCTCACAAGGTCTGTCCAAGCACGGATACTCGCCTCAATCGTGTCTCCCGAGGCGCTGATCCAATTCTTATGAAACGTTCTGCAAGACCCGCCCCCGCACGTTCCCTCGTCAACCCTATCAGCAAATTCCGCCAAAACGAGATTCTGGATTGTCTCCTTGTTTGTGCATTCAAGCTCGGAGAATATCTCTAGGCGGCTGTAGCAGGCTCCTTCCCTTTGGGCTCCTTTCTTTCGATGGTATATCTTGTACGATTCTGTGTTTGGATGGCGACGTGTGAGATATATGGTGCCCTCGCTTTGGGCTTGGTTGGCAGTCTCTAAAGCCAGTCGCACTCCCTTATCGATCAGGGCCCGCGAGGCAGCTTCCGTTGATGAAGTGACGAGGACCGAGGCTGTGTCCGAGTGCGCTGCGGTGTTCTCTTTGGTCGACGGGAAACACTGCGAGTCGTTGGAATGCGACTGTTCTTGCGGCAACTCAGGCTGATCCTGTTCCGAGGAACGAAACAAGGCTCTTGCAAGTGGTTTTTCGGATACTACATCACTCTCATCTTGCTCGTCGTCTTCATTCTCGTCGACAATTTTTGCAGGCTTTACCTTGGTATACCGTTGAGCCGGAGTCGGCGATTGAGTGTAGCCATCGTGTTCATCGATATACGCTCCCGGGATCGCGAGCGGCGTTGTGCTTGGAGTTGTGGCTGGGGTATCCAGGAGACTTGCAGGACTTGAGGCAGCAGATGCAGTCTCTGTATCTGTATCGGAGCTGTCAACATCCTCGGTCTGTCCGAGCTCGTTTGTTACGGCTTTCTCCACAGGACCGAACTCAGGAGGGCTCCCGGCTTTCCATCTCCTAATCTCATCCCAGGCCCAGTCGGTCCATCTGTCAGGATGTGAAGAGAAGCCAGGACGTGGGATCTTCTGATGACCCACATCAATCGTAAAGCCGTATCGATAGAGCATGTCGGCGTACATGGACCATACGTCGACCACGTTCAAGATATCTTCCATGGGAGCTTTGAACCATTCCCCATGCATGACAGGATTTCCCTTCTTGTTGACGCACTTATTGCACGGGTGGCTGTGTCGGTGACTGACTAGCTCTGCCTGGACCACGCGTTCAAAGAGCTCAGCATTCGAGCACACGATGTAGCGATGCACCTCAAGCCCCGGATAGCACTTCTCGTGTTCCTCCATTCGCGTCGTGCGCCTGGTCCGTCCGATTTTGTATAGACCCTTTGCACCTTTGAACGAGAAGACGTACAAGTTACCAATTAGTCTTCCTTCGTTTTCAATGTCGCCGGCCAGCACTTTTCTCACTCTCAAATCAACGTCCTTTGAACTGTACGACTTGGGGGATTTGGCCTTGGAGTTTGGGCTCTTGTAAGGCGAGAATTGGAGTTGCTCGGTCTCGTGGGTCTTCTTCTTCGGTTGCGGTGTCCGGGGTGGCTCGGTACTAGGGCTGTCTCGAGGCGGAATCTCACTTTCCCACTGCTCCACAGCGGCAGCGATCTCCTCTTCTTTGTTGTGCAGGTCACAAAGCGTGAGCTCGGCAATCCTTTTGAGGGTTTCTGCTTGACCAGCCTTGTCAAGTTCCGTTTCCGTTCCGCTGCGGAGCTTGTCGTGCAGCTGTTGTACCTCGAAAGTGCCGTGGGAAAACCGTTCCTCGCAGTCATTGTCGCGCGACAGGATGGCAGCACATTGCCGGCCGGTTCTCGAGCGGCACTCGGCCGCTAAAATGCGCAACTCGATAAAACGTACCTCTGGCATCTTACTTACCTACTTACCTCGTTTGTTGCTCAAGATCCGCGTCAGGCACGGGTCATTAAGAGATCATTTATCAAGACCCAGTTGCCCACCCCCAGCCATCCCTCTCAGAAACGCTCGGACAACCCAGGAACAGGACGCTCCACCCAGACCCCCTGCAGCTTGCAGCCTGTTTGCCTGCGGCGCAGCTGCTACGCCTTGTCTCACTGGTCTCAGCCCGCGACACGCGCGGGATCTCCATCCCTACCCCAGATACCACACCGGGCCCATTCGCCACATTTTGGGGATCTGATTGGCTCGGGGAACATCAAAACGGGTTAGGTTCCCGGCGGACCGACCCAGCTGCATGGATGCGACGAACTAATCTTATTATCTTAATCAAAAGGGGGGGCTGGGGACGCCTGGACATTCTGCGGCACAACCGGACTGTCGGAAAACTGGGCACGAGGACAATCCCAAAGCCGGTTTTGATTGCTTCCCCAGATAGCAGCGAGTAATCTAATTTGTGGGACAATCTATCTGGCGCGATGGTTCCTGCATGAATTTGGAATTCGTTCAGCTCGGACCTCGCCGGTATTGCTGAGTGGGGTGAGGGGGCCCTCGTCTTCAGCCGTATTCGAGGGCACGGTCTGCCGTGAGGTGCGGTAGAGGGGAGGTAGTGAAACAGCTGAATCATCCTTGAAGAGTCAGAATCCCAGGAGGAAGTTCTCTACGGTACTTTGGATCTCCAAGTCCTTCCTCTTTTGATCGTAGCGATGATTTCGAGGTTGCCGCTGCTCGCGCGCGTGCGTGCGCTAGGCTGCAAGACCCCTGCTAGCGGACTCGGCAATGTCATTATTTCAGGCACAGCGCGCATAATCGGGACTGTGCTGCTCCAGCCTCCGAATATTCTTGCTTCAGCTCGATACACGGGGAAGCAATTGTACGGCACCTGACTGGGAAGATATGACTCGCACGATGCTCCGAAGCACGGCCTCAACACAATTCCAGTTTGTACCTCCGTGACAATGCCACAATTTCCTTGTAGCCAAAAACGGCCGGGCCTTCAAACGCTCCCTGAGGTCATCGTCCACGTTTTTGAGCGGGGTCGGATACTTTTAGCTTCTATTATAAATTCGAAGACAGTCAGAACGAGCTGTACGCTCACTGTGCGTTGGTCAATCTTCCGTCTGCGAATCAAATAGAGTGTACATAATCGTCTCCTGACAAGCCACGGCGGTTTCGAGCCCCATCTTGGAGTGCCGCGTTTCTTTATGATCATGACGCCATGTCTTCAATTGTCCCTCGTAGGCTTCCCGGAATGCTTTTCTTGCATCCTCGAACCGCCCTCGCGCCAAGTGACAGGTCCCAATTCTGTTCAAAACCACAAGTCTCGGGACTGTGTCACGATGATCCGGGGCCAGTAGCTGTTCGTGAGCATGTAGCTCCTCATGGCATCCTCGGTAGGCCGCCTCGGCTTCTGCATATTTCTCTTGCTCGCGTAGGGATTCCCCGAGTAGCCACAGGATTTGGATCGATAGCAGGTCGTCGCGGGCAAGTCCGGGTTGCAGACCTTCCTTGAGGCACCGTTGCGCGTCTTCGTGTTTTTGTTGTTCATATAGCGATCTGCCAAGCCACAATAGGTCTTCGGCTATTTTCTCGAAGTTGGGACTATCTTGCTGCCGTGGCCTGCGTCTTTCGTGGACATCTCGAAACACCATTTCAGCATGTTGCAGACATATACGTCGAGACTCTGCCATCTTTGAAAGACTCCTTCCATGCGCGAGTTGACACCATCCAAGTTCCCATAAAGCGTAGAGGGTGCGCTCTGAGAACCTCCCACTCAGACGTTCGTGCTTGGCGACGATGTCATGAAATATTTGCTCTGCTTCCCGGAACTTGCGTTGAAGGAGTATACACATAGCGAGGTCTCCCTGGTGATGAATCGTGACGAGATGCGGACGCCCAAACACCTTGTCGGACCGTTGCCATACTGTTCTGAGGAGGCGCTCCGCTGCTTCATAGTTTCCTTCTGCTTGCATAGAAAGAGCAAGGTAGGCTAATGAGTTCAAAGTCTCTGCTTGTATGTAATGGAGGCGGCTATTCCAGTGTCCGAGGGACGTGTCGATCTTTCTTTCCGCCATACGAAAGTAGAAACTGGCCAGCGTGTAGACCATTGGATCCAGTGATGCAGGTATTTCGGCATCGGCCTCCGTTGGTGACACAGTGGCCTCGTCACCAGCCCGCACGACACCAATATATAGAATGAGTAATTCCTGTCTTTCTAGAAAGTGCAAGTCGCTTTGACCGAGTCCGGTCGAGCTGCTCGTAATCCAGACCTTCAGATTACATCTGCAACGGCCCTGGCTTGAAAGGAGCGCGCTTAACGATTCTATGAGATTGGCCCGTCCTTTCTGCTCGCACTCATTCACAGCATCCAAGAGGCAAATGATTTTGCCGGACCTCTTTTCCTCGGCGGCTTTCAGCAGGATATCCCAGAGCCCATGGAAGTCGCGGACGATTGACTGGCGGGACTCGAACTTTTTAACAATACGCTCTGTCAGCAAGGTTCGGTCCTGGTCAAAGATTTGGTGAAGAATGCAACAGAGTGCGGTTGTAATTTTATTCAGGTCATCGCTGTGTCCTCCACCTCTGAAAAAGAAGTATCCAGTTGCTCGGGATCCGTCTTTTGTAGGGAGTGAATCAGCCAGGTAGGCAGTGATAACGGACTTGTCGACTCCAGAGCTAACGGCCCAAAGAACCTGCGAGCTTTCACTGGCTTGCCACGACTGGTAGGCCGGGTTCTCGAGGAAGGCATACAAAGTATCACGCTTTCCGTCGTCTGCGTGGGGTCTCTGGTCACGATGCGGCGCGACATCCAGGCTTCTCAAGACTTCGTTTTGGCGCTTAACCCAAGAATCGCGGTCAAAGTTTGCATCGCCATTGAAAGTAGGGTTGTTAATCTGTATGCCACTACCTGCGTTGTTGAACTGGTAACCGTGAGTGCTATTGAAATTATTTGTTGTAGCAGGACGCCGTGAGTTAGGCATATTGCGACAAAGTGCCCGATGCTAAGCTGTTTGGAGCCTTCCGGCTCGGAAGAGGGGGTCTGGCGTCGTCGGGTCAAACACGTGCAGAATTTATACAAGCGCCCTGCCCAAGGATGCAGGTGGGCGGTTTCGGTGCGCGGCGACGGCTGATATCTCAGATAATGCTTCAGGAAGCGCTACCTGGATAGGCGGGTAGAGTTTGTTTTGCGGGGAGGCGAATGAGAGAGACTCAAGCCAGGACATATCGCCGGTTCTTACAGAGCCAGGTGTGTAGAGTGAGTTCTCTTTCCTCCGGCCTCGGAATGGCAAGGAGCGATTACGTCTGAGGAGAGCAAACCCGCGGGCTTCCTGGTTGGTGCATGACCACAGATGTGAGGCTTGCTCCGAGGGAGGTCGCGGAGAGAGGCTCAGGTAGAGGATATCTGATATGTGACTGGAGGATCGAGGTTTGGGCAGCAAGCTGACCTGCAGAAATTTCGCAAATCACGATTGAAGTCGATGCTGACCTGCAGCGTCAATGGAGGAGTGATAGTAAACTCCAAGGATAGTAAGGATGTCACACACTACTTTGTCAATGGAGAGCCAATCGACTAATGTGACTGCAGAAGAATCATGCAGGATGGTGCAAACCTGCTACCACCGAGAGTTCGTGTCCAGCAAGCCACAGATTTCACGGAAGCGCCCCAACCTCGTGAAGGTGATGAGATGAATTCCTTAAGGACTATCAACTCCCCGAGTCAAGATCGCATTGTCGATTCAAACTCTGCCTCTCTCGGGTCCTCTTCTCAATATACCAGTATCAAATTTCGAAATGGCCAACACCGAATTCGGGAACCTGATGGGGGATATCATCGCTTCCCTCAGGGACGCCCAGTCCAACTACAGCAAACTAAGGGGAGACGACCAATTCCCGAAAGCCTTCCACGGAGCCGGTCGAGAGCTCGAACACGTTCATCATACCCTTGAAAGCATTCAATCGCATGGCACTTCCGACGACCGGACGGTGATATCTGAAAACAGTGTTCGAGCCCTCCAAGCATGCAATGCCAAGGCGAAACTCTCTGCGGTGACCTACGCGGAAACCGCGCGGAGACACGGTAGCCAGCGGCTCGAAGCCTACTGGTCGACTGTAAGTCAGAATGGTGATGGTAGCACCGTCGAAGCGCTGGTCATGGGGATGGTGCGCGACCTGCAAACTCTCGCCAACGTCGCCAAAGTCCAAGCAACCATAAGAGACTCGATTCAAAGACTGCACGACGGTGTCTCCCACAGGCTTTCTACCTTAGGATCCTCAGCGCCGAATACCCAGCCGCGCAACGTCTATAATAATAACTACGGTCACGGGGCCCAAAACAATGTTTCGGGAGGTGTACAGAACAATCTCACAGGGAGAGGGAACCAGTTTTCGGGGGTGACTTTCAGTGGGCCTGTCGACTTCGGAAGAACCGAGTGATACTCAACTCGTCGTTTTATTTGTTGTTATGCAATGTGTTGTTTCAGCTGATTGCCCGCCAAGCCTCAGTGGTGTGTTCTCTTATTGCAAGGCTGGAGTGTCACTGCCCACTTGTAGAACGGCAGCAAAACCCCCTAGACAGTCATGATGGATCATATATAGTCTTCTATACGATGGAAAGTCAACGAAAGGATACGGGCCCCGTGAAACTACTCCCAAAGAATTGATTTCCACCGCCCAGATTGTTATTCTGAATTCCGCCCATAGCATTGAACTGCGCACCAGGACCGAAATTGTTGAACGACGTATTACCCTCTCGGTAATCGATCCCATCGCTCGAGCGCGCCCGAGCAGTCTCAGACGGAATTCGGGCGGCCACGAGAGAAAGCAGAACCTTGGCATATGCAGCCGCGCACAAGGCTGCGTAGCCTTGCCAATCCTTCTCCTTGTGTGAGTCACAGTAATCCGAAATGCCACGTATGACGAGACAGGGAAGTTGATCCATCAGACCAGCGGCCTCCATCTCGAAACAGAGAATTCCGCCAAACTGCTGAGCGATCCTATCGCGTGTCTGGGCATCCTTGATAACACCGTTCCCAGACGCAATCAAGCCATAGTGGATTTGGGGCTCGGTACATTGTCGTGGAGGTCGCACGACAAGCTGGCTCGGGTCGCACTGTGAGCAATCCCGGCTGTAGCTCGAGTGTTCGTACGCTGGGCTGAAGAGCCAGTCCCTTCCCGGACGCGAGAAATGTTCTCTCATGTACTGGAAACTATCCAATATGCCAGTAATGGTGTTCTGAAATTCTGACCCCTTAATCATGTGGTCACTGCGCATCTGAGACACGGCGCTTAACAGGACCTGCGGCGGTCGGTTCAGGGAGCCCGTTGATTGGAAGAGTCCGTGAGATAGCACCTTGCCGTAATCGTATTGTATAATTCCACCGGACGTGCCAGACGGCATGCTCACCACCACATCTCCAAGGCGGATATCAGGTGTGCTGTCACCATCTCTGCTGGGTACCCCGCCGCCGATCCCGACCATGAGGCCAAAGGCGATCGAGGGGAACGTGGAAGTCATTTGCGAGACAACTGCTGCTGCAGAGATTGTCCCGTACACGCCGGAGGGCAAACAGGCGACAACTATATTGTGCCCGCTTACTCTTCCCAGCGTGTAGGAGTTGTGGTCGGATGGTCGAGCAGACAGTGGTGCGTGCGTCTCCTCGAGCATGGTTTTAGCGGCTGCCAGCTCCAGCGGCAGTGCGCAGATCCAGGCAACAGTGTAGTCGCTATGATTTAGCCTTTTAGAAGACATGCTTCAAGTATCCAAGGTGTTGAAGTCGCGAAGACTTGTTTTCGTGGCTGGGGTCCTGATAAACAACGCGGCGCTTAGGCCCAACGCGGGGTAAAAAAATGAAGTTAGTAAATAACCTGATACGAGATCAGAACAGTAGAATAGTCGCGCGATATTACAGATATAGTATGTATAGGTTTCAGGAACATCTCAGACACGTTGAAGCTTGAAGAGCTCTCGTGCTGCCTGCAAAAGCGTAACGGTCCCCAGCAAGGCTGTGTTACTTCACCCATACGGACCACGTGACAGCATCTATACTATGTATTTCTCAGGCTATGTTACCACCATCCATGCTACTGGAATATAGTTAAAAGGTAATGCTCAGTATAGCTAGAAAGACCAAATAATAAGACACACTGGCCAGCTTTCTGTTTATCGCCCATAGCTACCCCTGTTCCTTCCTTTGAAAGTAGTTGTACGAGCTCGGAGAGATGATCATACTTATTGGCATCCTCCAGCATTCATTTTATGCCGTTCCTACTTGAAGTTTGTCTTCTAAGGCTTGATCATTGGCAGCCGGCTTATATAGCGCACGAATGAAAGTTAAATGGTTGTAATAATGACCTTTTTTCCATCCTGAGGTCTGTTCTTATCTGGAGAGCATCGGTTATTTTTGTAGGTCTAGTCTGGTAATTAGCGGTCTAGGTCGATTTTTCTTGATCATTGCCTAAGATATATGGTGTGATCCACGGCACTTGTTGGCCGGAAATCATATTGCAGAGATAGCCAAGTATCCAAAGATGCATTCGGTTATCTAATCATGAAGTGCAAATGGACAAACATCAAGGCAACAAAACGCATCTAGCCCAGCCACGTGCCAACAATTCCAGTCTTATTTAGACGCATTCTTCTCTTGCATGGCTTTCCATTCCTCAACCGAGACGCCTTTCTGCCTGGCTCCACATTCAGTAATGGCGTCTAGTATTTCCAAATAATCTTTCTCTTCTGCAATCTCGCGTGGAGTCAGGAAGCGATTCCTTCTCCCTCTCTTCAAATGAGCAGTTTTATCCAGCTCGATGTTTTTGCATTGAAGCAGCCGTTTGACTATGGCGACATGTCCAGAAAAGACAGCTAACCCCAACGCAGAGGCACCCCGGACTCCAATATCGTCAAATCTCCCTATCTCATGATTAAGCTTTACTTCCCGGCCGGAGTCCAGTAACAGAGAGACCACGTCCAGGTGTCCGTTCCGGACAGCATGTTGCAATGGAGTGCAATAATTCCTGTCTCTAAGATCTAGTGGCAGCTCTCTATCCTCAAGGAGTTGCTTGATGGTATCTGTCCTTCCGAGCCGTGCCGAATGATAAAGCTGTGATATTCGAAGCCATTTTCGGGAATCATTTGTGTCGTGGTGCCCGTCAAGCAACATGTGCAAGATATCCTCCTCGCCATTTTTCGAGGCATTTTCCAACGGCTTCTGGTCTTGTGCGGTTGCGGGATGCCAAAGCCCTTGGTCAAGCAGGAGCTTACAGACCTCCTTTTTACCAAAATTCGCAGCCGCACACATCGCTGACTCACCCGCCTTAACCAGGTCATCGCCTTTGAATGCACGGGTCAAGTATTTTAGGGAGCCCATGCAGTCATACTCAATGGCAGTAGCTATCCAATCGCGTTGTATACCCATTCCATGAGAGCCAAAATACTCTAACAATTCTTGGGCCTCAGCATCGTCATGGCGTTTAAACATCGTTCGTACCCAGATGTCAATATTCTTTTTATCTTGCTCCGAAGTGTCTGGCTTGATATGTGACAAACCAAAAATGCATCGAAGGAATGTGTATCGCTTTTCCCGGTAGGCTCTCCCTATCACAGTAAGGATGTGCTTCCCCGGGTGCAAGCTTTTATCCAGAAGAAACCTGGTTATACCAACTTGCTCCTTGTCGATTGCGGACCCCATCGCTGGGCCCCTATACACCCCTCTTCCCCAGACGTACTGCTCTAGCTCGTCAGGCCCAAATTGTTCGGCCCAGCGTTCAACCATGGCGAGGTTGCCGGTCGTACAGGCGTGCTTCACGTCAATCGAGGCAGGATCGTGATACACAGGAAACGCAGTGGATTCCACTGGGGCTTGATGGCATCTCACATCATGTGAGTCGAGGTCGTCTTGACTTGCAAATCCGAGCTGCGAGGCAGGACAGCCCGGCACTTTGCAAATGAATACGCGCTCATGCTCTTGCAGATGCTGGTCTCGACTATTCCAGTCGGTAAATCCTACCACAAAGAGCTGGCAATACGGCCGGTTGCATTTGAATAGTCCTTCTCCATAAAAGTTCTGCAAGTCATGCTGCTTTAAGGCCATACTTTCAATCTCTGTCCGAATGGCTTCAATGACGCGGTTCAAGTCCAGGATCGGGGTGCTGCTTCTTCGATTGCATGATATCGTTGTCTCAGATTTCCAGTATTCGAATCCTCGCACCAGCTGATCATAAAAGATCGTGCTCTCAAACGGCGTCAATATGATTTGCGTCTGGCGGGACACGGAGCACTTGGGCCCGTCTAGGCCATGGTTACGGAGGAACTCCCCAACCTCATGACAGAGATCTTGGAAAGCATCAGGACTGTAGCTGGTAATATGTGTGAGGCAGTCTTCAAGGTGACCTATCCAGTGCGCCACTGCGTAGTCAAGGAATGCGTAGTGACCCGTCTGGACGTATTTTGTCAGGGCCTGATCGGTAAAGGGGAGATTGCAGCTGGGGTGGTTGAGATATACCAAGCACAACCTCAGTAGGTCATACGCTTGATCACTCTCCACCACAAGATTTTTGTTGAGAAGATACGATCTTGCTGTTGTATGCACGAGCTCAATCGTACCTCTACCGCGAAGCTCGATCAGAGACCCAAGTAGTTGCTTCGAATCTAAAGACAACCTGCGATCTTCAAACTCGATGGTTCTCGTGGCGAGGTCAATCGAAACAGCACCCTGGATTTCATGCCAATTGAGAGAGCGTTTTGCGCAAACTAGCCAGCCAAGCAGCCTTCTTGCATACATGGCTTGCGGTTCGTCACCTACCAAGATCCTGGTGATGATCCGGTCATATCTACCGAGTGACACATTAGTCGCCGGTCTATCAAACAAACACGCGAACACCTTACGCTTCGTCCAGGCCGTTCGGTAAAATCTCTGAGCTCGTCTCCCTGTTGAAGTCTGCCCTTGATACTTGGCTGCATAAGTTATGCATCACAAGTCTCGCAAATAAGAACATTCCTGTGTACGTCAGCCCATGGTTATGCAACAAGAATAGCGGGCAAGTTCCACGAACCAGCGGCCTTATCCACAATGGATTGGACAATCACATTGCGACGATCTTCCGATAAATGAAACGAGCCCACCCATGAGCTACTGAGCGAATCGCAGTAAATTCGAAGGTCACCCATATTCCTGTCCTTGGTTACCTTCAATAGAGGGATGTCTTTCAGAAGCTGGTTGCAGATCTGATCATCCTGGCTGACGAATAGACAGCGGGCGTCGCCAGAATCATTATTGATTGACTCCACCTCCTTTCGAATCCAGGAGACGAGAGTGCGGCTCTCCTTGGAAGGACACTCGTCTACACCGTCGAGAACAATAAAGATACTCGGCAGACTTCTCAAGGCGAGACCGAGAAGTTCCTGGGCGGAGAAAATGGATGTCAAGGTGCCTGTTGCACTATCGGTAGCACAATCATACAAATGCGGTACCAGTGCTTTGTTATGTCTCAGTAATTGATTCAAGAGGCCCCGAGCGACGGCAAGAAAAGAATCCCTCTCCTGATCGCCGTGTTTGCAGAAGAAGAAAATGACCTTTTCAGGTGAAGACTTCTGCAATTCCTGGACTATACGCGCTGCTAGGATTGTTTTTCCTGCACGAGCATTATAAGCATTGATTCCTATAAGTAGGTATGGTTTATCGTACTCACCTGCTCCAGGAATCCCGGTTAACCATAGAAGCGGCGTTGTCATAATTGATGGGTTGGACCAAGCGCCCACAAGACTATCACGTAAAATCCACTCCCCAGTGCCAGGGTAATTTGCACTCTCATGTATGTAATTTGCTTGATCATCCCCAGAATTCGCCGCGCTTAACCAGTTGCGCACCGCCCTTCGTTTCCTGCGATCCTCATCGTCCTTCTCTCGCCGATACTTCTCCTCCCTCTCGGCCACAGATTTCCGGTGTTCAGTGAACTCTACAAGACTCGCCTGGCTTTCGAGCAACATCTTATGAGACTGGAAGCTCTCAATAATGCGAGAGAACTTGACTTTCGAGCTGTCCCATTGAACGCGAAAGAGCTGTTTCCACACTGGTTTGAATGTTAATGGCTTCGTTGGTATAAAAGGAGACGGGGCCAAATACCTGGGTGCTTGAAGAACTTCAACGCCTTTTTATGGAAACGAAGGATATCGGCGTAAATCAAATGGAGAATTGTCCGCATATGGGCATTTGATTGGAACAGACTTTGGTACTGTTCCAGTTGTGGTAGGTTTAACCCAATTCGTTCGTACATTTCAAGCAGGGCGTCGAACGCCGCATGATATGAACTGGCGGTCTGTTCCAGGTTAGCAACCACCAGTCCCGACGAAATCATGTCACTCCACTTTACCAGTAGCAAACATTTCACGGGACCCTATCATGCCAGTCTAGGATTAGGACTCTGTTATTTGATCGGAGAGTGAACGGGGAAAGAAAATACGCGCGGAGTTAGGCCCCAGAACGGCGACGCCGAGGCCAGCAAAAACACAAAGGCTGAAGAACTCACCCAAACGAAGCCCACAAACATGGATGCGTTCAAGTAGACAGTGACAACTTGCTCAAATTGTCCCATTCTAAGCACAAAGGATTCAAGGCGCTTCAGGTTCCTCAACTTCCTTTCTGACATCTGCTGGTTCTGCAACTTCGCAATCGCGCTTTTCAAGTCATCGATGGTCGTGAGCTGGAAGTCCTGCGCTTGTTCCGGCGTTAATTTGCCCCGAAACTTTTCCACCGCTTGTTTGAACGCTGAATCGTCGATGGGAGAGCTCATAGTAGACGCCATAGTAGCAATGCTGGCGCGCAACTGAACCACGATTTTGCAGACCAGGGATATGTGAGATTAAGAGAAACTGTAAAGAAGGCAATTGATCCAACACGAACAAAGCTGAGACGTGTCGTAGGCTCCTTCTGCGCCACACTTTGTGTGACAGTCAGGCGAACAAGGCTGCTTTGGAATCCGCAGCAATCTCGGCATCGGGGCTGAGCGAAAAAGAAAAGGACCTGCATCTCGAAAACTCCTGCTCCGACAGTTGACACCATTGGAAATTATCTTCTTCCTTGATTTAGCCTTCTATGACAATGCGAAATGAGGCATACCAAGTCGACAAAACGGAGAATCTGGGAGGTTGAAGAAGGGTGGGAGAGTCCGTCGAAAAGGCAGGAACCAGACGCCAACACGAGCCTCAGGCCGCCACTTTTCCCCTCTTCAGAAACGAGCCCAAGCCCAAGTGACCCCTCTTACTGTCACTCTCACTCACATTCCCCTTTGCCATCTCCCTTCATCTTCGATACCTTTGATAATTATGTTGGCCAAACTCATAATGCCGGGGGACCGCTTCCTCCAATCAATTCGACCAGTGGCGACGAGATGCATTGGGACAGCACCGTGGGGGAAACCAGGACAGAGCCCGACATCGTTTGCTTCGGCATGGTATAGTCTCTCTATGGAAATCCGCCCCTAAAGGTCTCTCTAACGAAGTATAATACTTTCCATAGTTATGCGACGTTAAGGCGCGGTTAAAAGACGACGTGCAGATACTCGAGGGTACATTCGGTATCACCCACAATTCCTCAGAGACCTTGTGGCGCCTCTCGATGATCGAGAAAGACAACCATATCGCCCTCCAGCATACTGCTGGGAAGGACTTTGCCGTACTAAACTCAAAAATCACCCGATTGATGCACGCCTTATCCCACCTTGATAAGCTCCAATACGAAGTGCTGGTCTCGGGGAATGAGCTGTCGGAAGCCATATCTACATGGGCATGTCGAGGAAAGACGGATGATTTCCACGTAAACATTGTTGTTTATGGGCTGCAGGTGTATCGTGATGAGATAGGATTTGTTTTGTCCTCATCCGACTGGTACCTACAAGTGCCCTGGCAGATTCCTGCTGGCATTCCTTATGATAATCCCCAGTTCTGGGATCTTGGGCAGTCGGTGGAGCCACCGCAGACGCAGTGCGATCTAGCTGTTAACCCCAAGGCAAGCGCCATGACAGAAGCCGCTATCATTCTCAATAGCCTCGATCAAACATCTTTCCTATCTCCCGCGGTGATTGACGACAGAATTACGCAGTCCCTTTTAAGGTATGGAGATTGCTGTTCCTCCGCCAAAATTATGCCAGACTGACTTATATTTTAGCCACCAACAAACTGGTGTCAATTTCATTGCCCAACGAGAGGGCTGGCAACCTTCGAGTTTCTTCTCATTGTGGGACTCTCGTAGCAGAGCTGATATGGATTTGTTAGTGGTCGCTTCAATTCCGGCAACAAAACATTTAGTAATGACTCTTATAGTTATGAACACAAGATTACCGGCACTCGAAGCTCAACAAAACCTCAGGAGACAGTAGGAGGTATTCTCGCAGATGAGATGGGGCTGGGAAAGACTCTAACGCTTTTATCTGCGATTGTTGGAAGCCTCAGTTCTTCACAGTCATGGACAGCCACGGAGCCTGCGGCCCTCGGCTTACAGCGTTCTATGACCAGGGTAGGAGCAACACTGGTCATTGTCCCGTCTGTATGTATGTGCTGACACAGAGCAACTCTACATACCCAGCGCGTCTCACTAATGGAACCTTAGTGATCATGGAGCAATGGTGTCAGGAGATCAGAAGGCATGTACCTGGCCTATTTGCGTGGTTGAAAAGGCTAACGCATCATAGACACGTTTGTACTTCCTCGCTCCAGGTGATGAAGTACCACGGGTCAACGAGAGCAAAGGATGGTCAAAGCTTCAGCCATTATGACCTTGTGTTATCGACATATGGGACAGTTTCTAGGGAGTTCGCGAGTGGAAATAGTCAGCTTTATGAGGCTCAGTGGTTTCGACTTGTTCTTGATGAAGGTGAACAATTGAATAGTGATCTGACGGTCGGCTTACTGACAAATCCTTCGCGATAGCCCATAATATTCGTGACCAAAGTACCAGACAGTTCCGAGCAATGTCTTCGTTGCCCGCAAAATTCAGGTGGTGCCTAACCGGTACGCCCATCCAGAACTCGTTAGAAGACCTTGGCAGCTTGATCCGATTTCTGCGAATACCTCATCTCGATACTACCAAGTTCCGCGAGCATATCTTGAGACCGGCCGAGAAAGGTCAAGAGATAGGGTTCGCCAATCTCCGGACTTTACTACGGTCGATTTGCCTACGGCGGACGAAGGAAGTCCTGCACTTCGCCGAGCCAAGCAAAGTTTTGCGCGAAATCACCCTGACTCCTGACGAGAAGTGCGCGTATTCTCGTATCGTTGAAGACACCAACATGGAAGTTGAGAAAGCAGTATGTGAAGGCCGGCATCAAGACGCGCGTCGCCAGGTATTCAAGGTAATCCTCAAACTCCGACGGCTTTGTGCCTATGGCACATTTTATCGGCCGCAGGAGGCTTCCAATTCCCAGGAAGAATTATTCGCACTTCTACAGCAATCCAATACAGCAAATTGCACGACATGCTCATGCGACGTCGCTTCCATCGATGATTCTAGCCATCCGGCATTTGGCGCGTTCACTCAATGTCTTCATCTACTATGCGCTGATTGTAACGCCCGGTATAACGAGGACATGAAACAAGCAGACGTCTTGACGTCGAATAAGAAGCGCAGAACCAAGTTCATTTGCCCAATCTGCGGGCAAAATGTCACGGCCAAAGGTGGAAAAGGAGGCGACCCTGCAACCCAACCTAACGACATGGACATAGATATGATCGACAATGGCTATTCCGCCAAGCTGTCTTGCCTTTTGGACGACATTAGCCAACACTATGTGAATGATAAAATGTGAGAATCCCACTAACTCGCGCCGACCCTGGCTGACCCTGGCAAAGAATTGTCTTTTCATCTTGGAAGACTCCACTGAATATACTCGCACGTCTACTCGACAGACAGAATATGCCAGTTCTGCAAATCGACGGCTCCCTGTCGGCCAGACGAAGGGACGAAGTACTTACCCAGTTCCATCAACCCTATAATAATGTTCTATTGATGACCCTCGGAACGGGAGCTGTTGGGTTTGTTTCCTCTTTCCTCGCGCCAGCTTGGATCATCAGCCTCGTCAAAACATACATTAACACCAAGCACCATAGGTTAAACCTGACTGTCGCCAATCGAGTCCACATCATCGAGCCGCAATGGAACCCCACTGTGGAAAGCCAAGCAATCGGTCGAGTCATGCGAATCGGCCAGCAAAAGCAAGTATATGTGACTCGGTATATCATCAAAAATAGCATTGAGGAGGTATGCGTGGCATCCACTGCCTTTCCCGACTCCCTGTTTCCCCGTCACGCTCCGTTATATTGGCAAAACTGACGTGACGTATAGTATGTGCAAAACAAACAATCGAGGAAGCTTACAATGGCTCAAGTTGGCTGGAACACGGAGGACACGGAAGTGCAGACAGCGCTGGTACGCCTCGCGGTGGCAAAACATACTAGACTCTTCGGTTAGCTAACATTCTTTAGGACTTATGGTCTCTATGTCGGGGGTCGTCGACGTGATTCCTTCTGAAGCTTTCCTGGGAAATTTTGGTTGTGGGAGCAGTATATATGTGTACGGCACTTTGGAGTGTACTTTGGATAGAAGATACTCGCATATCGATAGATGTAGGTCAGCAAAGTGACGGAAGATTGATTTTTATGATGCACCCTAAGTGAAACAAAACTCCGGTGTTAAGTTGCTACTTAGTTGCTATGGTCTATACACGCGTCTCGGACCATGGGAAACGCTACCACATAAATCTGCTCGCACGGGAAAACAGAATTGCAGACACGCTCAGTCTATACATTGGGCGCTAACAACTAACGGGTATTCTCTTTTGCCATCATCATCTTCTATTTAACCTTCGGCTGCGCCGTCCCATTCCACTCCAATCTCCTCGGCGTCATATACTTCTCCAGCACCTCATCCGTAACCTCCTTTCTCCGCTCCTGGAACTCGGCAACATAGTCCTGCAGCTTCTTGATGGCCAGCGCCTTGAGCTCACCGGTCAGCAGCTCGCCGCTCTTGTAGCTGCGGTAGATCTCGTCGAGCTTGGCGTCGTCGTCCTCGAAGTAGGTGAGGTAGATGTACGAGACGTCGACGTCGGGGTTTCCGCCGAGGCGCCGGTGGTCCTCGATGCTGACTTGGCCGCCGCTGAAGGCGTATTTGTTGATTTTGGTCTGGACCTGTCAGTATGCAATACATGTGAGTGAGGGAAAGAATGGGGTAGGTGTACCTTGATTTGCTTGGGCGTGTCGGACATGAAGATGGCAGAGTTCGGGTCGGAAGAGGACATCTTGCCTCCGGCGCCTTGCAGGGCAGTCAAGAACTTCGAGTGGATGAGCGCCGGCTTCGGCGAGGGGTTCTTCATCTTGTGCGCGTTTTCACGGAGCAGACGGAAGTACGGGTCCTGATCGATACCCATGGGAATCAAGCACTGAATCTCGGCAATCGACTTCTTGCGTTCCGTCTGCGGCTCATCCGTCCAGATCTCCGGGTACGACGTCGCAAACGCCGCAACACACTGCACAGCGGGGAAGAAGATCCGACCAATGTTTGAACTCTCGTTGAATCCAAATGCCCCACGCACCTGGTTGAACGTGACGAGCTTCGAGAACTCCCACGCGTTCATGAGGATGTGGTTGCTGACGTATTTGAGGTCACTGTAGATGAAGGTCTTCTTGAGATCGAACCCGAGCGCAACGATGTCCTTTGCATTCTCCATGGCGTAGTGCAGCGTCTCCTCAAAGGTCAAACTATCCTTGAACAGCGCCTTTTCGTCATCCGTAAGCATGAACACGAGCGGGACGTCAAAGACATCCTGCAGCCACTTTGTAAATGTAAGCGGGATCGTGTGGCCCAGGTGCAGACTGCCTGAACTCGGGCCGCGGCCGGTATACAGGAAGAAGGGCTCGCCCTTTTCCTTCTTCGTGAGGATCCGGTCGAAGTCGCGGTGGCTGAAGAAGAGGCCGCGCCGAAGCCAGCGGTGCGGCTTGTGTCCGGTCACGCGCTCGAAGCGGTCGAGGAGCGCCTGGTCGATGAGCGAGGTGTTCCATTTCCTAGTCACAGACTCCATGTCAGTATGACTGTAAGTCATTGGCGCGCAATGGGCTCCGGTGGCTTACTTGGAAAGAGCCTCGTAGTCGATCCCCACGGCGTTACCGGCCTCGTCGCGGCCACCGGCCACAGACCAGGGGTTGACGTCCTGGTCACGGGCAGTTTCAACGAGGTTGTCGGTGTTCTCGGCCATTTTGCCAGGAGCCAGTCCAATCGACCGTGATTGAGGGAATGGAGCGGAGGGAAGAACCGGATGGGCCGAGAACGAGAGCCGCCGCTGTGACTCAAAGAAAGATGTGGAGGGGCAGTCAGAGTGGATCATGTGATTACCCCTCGATTGATTAAACTCAAGGTCACGTGCCTTCTTCGGAGTATAACAAAATGCTTCACCTGTCGACGAATGCGTTGACCGATCTGTGTTGCAGAAACTTAGATATAGTAGTCGAGTAGGACAGAGGGACAGTCGGTACATTACTTAGACCCTGGATGCGGTGCGACATGATTGACTTCAAGTTGTCATACGGGTGTGCTATCTTCAATCACTACTTCGAACAGATGGGTTTGGGTATGACTCGGAATTCTTCATTGTAGTATTTACTAGGCTAACTTCATTATTTACCGTACAGTAGCCCCCTTGAGACTTTTCACTGTGCAAACACCACCAGACTTGGCCACCAGCTTACCAAGAGCAGGCTTGCCCTCCTGGCTCTGTGCAACAGGAACAGCAGCGCTCTCAAAGGCGACCTCGAGACCATCGGTGGTAGTGAAGCCAGGCTGGAACGTCTCCCAGACCTTCTTCTTGGGGTTGAGAACCTTCTCAGGCTCGCCGTCGTTCCACCCCTCAAAGTAGATCCGGTCTCCGGCAGGAGCATCAGCGGGGGGAGTGACGAGCTCGACGGGACCGGCGTGTGAATCTTCACCCTCGGCAACGCGGGGAGAGGCGGCGAGGACCATGGCGGCGGACTTGATTCCGCGCATGGTCACGGGCTTGAGGTTGCAGACGGCGACGATCTTGCGGCCCTGCATTTCCTCAAGTGGGACGAGGCCGTTCAGGCCGGAGCATACTGTGCGGACGGTCTTGCCGGTTTCCTCGTCGAGAGATGTGTTGTCGGTGCCAGGAGCGTCACCGCAGTCAATAGTGGAGACGAAGAGCGAGTCGGCGTTGGGGTGGTTGATAGCGCGAAGAATGTGACCGACACGGAGGTCGATGAGAGACGGGGATGGAGGAGCAGCAGGGGCAGGGGCGGCCTTGGGCGCCTTGGGTTGCTTCTCCTTCTTCTCCTTCTTGGGCTTGCCCTCGGACTTGCCAGCGGCGGGGGCAGCTTCAGCGGCGTCGCCCTTGGCAGGCTTCTCGGGCTTCGTCTGGCCGACAACAACGGTCTTCTCAGTCCCAGCGGCAGCGGCCTCGGCGGCAGCCTTCTCCTTCTTCTTGCGCTCCTTCTCGGCCTTGGCGTCGACGGGCTTGGGGACGAACTTGACGTCGTTCACGTCAATGACCACCTTTTCCTCCTCGGGGATCTGCAGCGAGAACAGGCGGCTGTTCTGGACAAAGTCGACGTGGCGGACGATGTGGTGGTATCCCTTCTCCCCCGTGCGTTCCTCTGGCGACCACTTCTCGACGACGGGCGCGAGCAGGGCGTACGCGGCGATATCTGCGACGGAGGCTTTTGAGCCTAGGAGGGTTGTACGTGTAGCGAGGTGGGTGTTGATCTGACCAAAGAGGTCGGTGACGGCGGCCTTGTCATCTTTCGTCAGGGCGCTCTGCAGGGTGGAGGTCGTGCCCAGCCATGTCTTGATGTCTGCCTCTTCGGCAGGAGTGTAGGTGGTCCGGGGAAAGACCTTGGGGTTGGCGGCGAGGAGGTCAGGCTCAGTCTCGTCGGGGGAGATGGCGGCGGGGTAGGAGCGGTAGAGGAGGGAGAGGAGGGAGCTCTCGGGAGCGGAATTGATAGCCATGTTTGCAAAGGGCGAGGCGGGGTATTTGGCGAAGACGCTGAAAAGAGGAGGGGTAATGTGGTTGATTCGAAGGCAAGTCGTCAGGGGTAGAGCGGCGCGAGGGAAGACTCTTGGGACCCGGAGGAGGGTCGTGATGGGGTTGAAGAGAGACAATTTGGCTGGAGGAGTGATCCCTAAGAGAAGGGATCTTTTACCAAAAGTTCAGTCTCGATGGAGTCATACCACAAAAGTGTGTGCCGAATCATGCCCGATTGCTGCGGCCGGATCAACATTGTTCCAGCGTCGCGTTGTATAGTCTGCGGGAATCAGGTGGCAGGAGAACAAAACGGAAAATAATGGCAAGGTAGGATACAAGATATGGGAGAGCGTTGGCTAGGGATTCTACATAAAGTTGTATCAAAACCTTCAAGGTCCTGGTGCTGAGCTTTTCGGGGTTTACACTTCGGAGTCCGTTCTATATATATCCCAGGAACTCACGTGAAGTACACCATATTTCATAAACAATCCAACCTGTTTCCTTGGAAATTTGCTAAGTTGAAATAAATATCGGGCCAATGCTTACAAGAATGATGTCTTTATCCAAGATTTACTCTCAAACTATCTAGAGCTTTTTGGTTGCGGTAAGCTTTCAGTCGCATGAGCCTGGATATGGTGAAGCTCTCGGGCAGTTAATTTTCAGACTGTGTCACTTTCCCCGAGTTCCCGACACCTGTCAAGTTTCAAGTGGCACAAAAGTACGGTAGTACCTGATAACTCGCCCACGGAGTACAAGAACTTGGAGAGCTCTCAACCGCCCGTTCAGGCCAGGCCGAAGAAAACGGTGAGCAGCGACGGGAAGCAAGTCACATGACCGGCCCAACAGCACTAGCGGAAGAAAACGAACTCCGAGCGGGACGACGACTTCGCTCTTGCGTTCACTCCATTCCGGACTCGAGAATACTCAGCGGTCCTTGAAGTGCCATCCAACCTGCCATTTCTATATAGCCCAACCACTATCGACGGAGTATTCCCTCCAGCAATTGTTATAAGGTGGAGTCGGCCCCTTTCCCGTGCTTCGCTGTGCGTGTCCCTCGTCGACAGTTGCTGCCTCCAGGCCGCCCGTCTGACTGTCCCCCTGTTCCACGAGTTGCTCACCGAGCGATGTGTGCTGAGTACTGCGGCGTAGTCTGTTGACCACTGGCTAATGCGGTAAGCAGTCTCGTGACCGCCACATACCAACAGTACAGTGAGGTGCAGCACAATGCCCACGGGCAACGGAGACATGCCCGCCATGGACGACGAGTTTTCAGAGATTACTCCTCGCCAGGTGACGCTAAGGGACCGGGTCACGGTTGCGACTCTGGTCCCGTTTCATTCATCCAAGCAGGTTCCCCAGTCATTGATAGTATATCTGTCTGGGCAATTAAACAGAGAAATTGAAAAGGGCGACACGTATGCCATGGTCGATCCAATTCCAGTGGTGCACTTTCGACCGTACTGGTTTTCGAATTTTGGCGCGGTCATGCTCATTGGCGATATCAAGTCTGCGACTGATGTCCAGAATATGGATGGCAATGTGAACTGGGCCAAGGCCTGCTTGGGGAGTTTCAACATTCGTCCTAATTACCCTGGTCGGAGTAGTCATGTCTGCAATGGAATGTTTCTGGTGACGGATGCTGCGCGAAACAAGGGTGTTGGTCGATTGATGGGAGAGGCGTACCTCGACTGGGCTGCGAGACTGGTGAGTCTATCTGGCCTCTTTTTTAGCACGTCTGACTGGTCCAGGGGTATACGTACGCCGTCTTTAACCTGATTTACGAGAGCAATGTTGCCTCGTGCCGACTTTGGGAAGGATTAGGGTTCAAGCGGATAGGCCGAGTTCCTGGCGCTGGTCGGGTCGTATCAAATCCGGGGGAATTTGTTGATGCAATTATCTACGGACGTGATCTCAGCTCAGACGGAGAAGACCCCGTCACACAAGATCGCTTTGACAAGATCAGGTATTACCTCAAGCACCAAAAGTACCCCCGAGGTGCGGACCGCGCAGAGAAGAGCCGACTCCGCAGCGCAGCGACACATTATAAGCTCATCGAAGGGGAAAATGGCGAGGGCGAGAAGCTTATGCTCAAGGATAAAGAAGTGGTCTCTGACCCGCAGCAGCAGTACGAAATCGCACGGCAAATGCATTTGGAGCAGCACGCCGGTATCAACAAGACCACCGCGGCGATCGCGGTCAAGTACCACTGGGTTCGAATCAAGGAGACCGTTAGTCGCGTCATCCGTGATTGTTCACATTGCAAGGACACGCTCAAAGTCCCGTCACCGAATACCGCCACGACTAGCACCAGCGATGCAATGAACACCGACTCGGACGAGGAGTCTAGCAAGCCGGAGTCTCTTGACCGCATGCCCCGACCCGAGCCCATGACTACCCAACCGCTCATCCCGCACACCCATACTCCCATACAACACCACCAAAACCCATTTGGCGCTCCAAATTCGTCAATCCTGCAAGGCCACGTTGGATCCTTGAGTGATTACGCCGTCCCATTAGATCCGCAAATCATGAACCTCAACCACATCCCGCGGTATCAAACGCACGATGCCATGGCCGACCCATACGGCCACGTGCATAATCTCCACGAGAGCAACGTCCGGCAACACGTCACCCCGAATGAGTACCGCATGATGGTCGACGACTCGGATACAGATGCCAACGCATTGCATCAGGGAATTGACCTGGTGCACCCGCAAGCAAACGACGTGCAGATGATGAAGTATCAGTACGTCGCGCACGACCAGGATGAACTCGACTTTACCTGATTTTATATTTCCCTGGAGTTTGGCGTCTGACCTCTTTTATTCTTATTTCGGGCGTTGTCCCCGCATTTTACGCACTGCATGCGAGCAGGTACGGAGTACCAGACGGAGCATATAGATAGCATGAGCATGAGCATGAGCATCAGCCCGAGGGCAATAAGACTAATATTCAACAACCGATCGATAGTCACGTAGTTACAACTTGGTCTTGGCCTTGTCCCTGCTCACCTTGCCGCCAAACTCGAATAGATACGCGGCGACCTTGCGCATCTGGATCTCCTCGGACCCCTCGGTGATGCGGTACCGTCGGAAATGGCGATAGATGTGCTCAAAGGGGTAATGGCGCGAGTAGCCATCGCCGCCGTGGATCTGGTTCGTCAGCACACATACTCTACAGGGAAAAGAAGAACAAGTGGAGGGGGGTACCTGAATAGCCCGATCAGCCGCCTGACACGCCAACCGATTCGCCCAATAATTGCACATGGCCACCTTGTCACTCAGCGTCTTCTCAATCGCAATCCACGGCGTCGCCCCAGTCCTGCTCGCCTCCTCCACAACGCGATCCATATCCCAACTCGTCTTGAGAATCAACAGCTTCAACATCTCCACCTGCGTCATGAGCTCAACAACAGGGAACTGAATCCCCTGATGATCCGCCAACTTCTTGCCCTCTCCCCAAATCGTCCTCGACCGTGCCCTCTCAATCGCCTTGTCGAGACAGAACTTGGCCGCACCACACGAACTCGCCGCCTGCCGGATGCGATTCTCGTGAACGAACGTCTGCGCGATTGCCAGGCCCGCATCTTGCACGCCGAGGATTGCGCTGTTGGGAACCCACACCCCGCTAAACGTCACCGTCGCATGGTCCGTCGGCATATTAAACGTCCACTCGTAGCTGACCACCTCGATCCCCTCCGTCTCCCTGGGGACAAGAAACGCCGTAATACCCTTAGCCGACCCGTCCTTCCCCCCCGTCCGCGCAAAAACAATCATATGCGTCGCGAAATGCGCGCCCGTCTGCCACTTCTTGGCGCCATTAATCTCCCACCCCTCCACCCCACCTCGAACAACCCTCTCAGCCCTCGTAGACATAAACGTCGCATCACTCCCATGATCCGGCTCCGTAAGCCCAAACGTCGTGCGGAACTCCCCGCGTAACCGTGCAGGAATCAGCGTGCGCTTCTGCTCCTCGTTCCCGAAATGGTGCAGCATGAAGACGTCTGGGAAATTGCCGACCACGCTATGTTCGTTCTGCAGGTCGTTGGCGAGACCCAGGCCGCCGCCGTAGACTGGGTGCGAGGCGAGGTGGAAGCGGATTGCGGACATGTAGAGGTTTGTGCTTGGGTGCGAGGTCCCGCCGTAGGCTTTAGGGAGCGCGAAGCGGTAGAGCCCGGCTTTGTCGGCCAGGAGGCGCGCTTTATCTATACGGACTCATGTGTCAATAGCTACAGGTTGTAGGATGGGTTCTTTGATTTTGTTGGGTTGGGTTAAACGCACTCAGCAACTCCTCCCACTCCCGTCGCGGCAGCCCACCGGCCTCCCAATCCGTGCGCGCATACTCCCGGCGGTGGTCGAAGAAGCGGTTATTGTCGTCGGCGTGTTGCAGCGGGAGGATGGTCTCGTGGATGAATTTGTCGATGCGGTCGATGTGCGCGACGAGGTCTGGTGGGTATTCGAAGTTCATTGCCATTTTGCACCCCTTTTTCTGGTCTATCTCCCCGTTGGTTTCTTCTGTGCGAAGGCAGTGAATGTCGCCTTGATCTATGAAAATCGGGGAATCATGACAGTTGGATACGAGTGGGGAGCTTTAAACTCTCCCCTCCCCAGATTCCACTGCAGCGTCTCCGCATTTCCTCAGTGTGGCAACCCCGCAGCGGCGCCCGCGCAGCCTCGGTCTCGGATCATCGGTCACTCGGCTCCTTCGATGACAGGGCAGCATGCATCGCATGGCATGTTCCGGGAATCGATTTTATGTTTGGATTATGACTGCATATGGATAGAGACATGCAGGGTTCACTTTTCTTTTTGGTTTCTTTTAGTTGTTTGTCACGGCTCGGTCAGCCAACTGTGCTAATCTATGTGCATCTTAGCCTACGCGTGGTCCCATCTGTAGAGCGGGTGGTGCTATACTATGAGTAACCCTAACCAGACCACCTGTGCCTCATACACTTCCTGTATGTACCCGACTGCGCCAGACAGCCTACATCTGAGGCTTTGCAGGCCTTTGTGGAGACCTAACAAGACCTCGTCTGCTCCATTCTCTTACTCCCTGCCTCGAGCCTGCGCATGCTTTGCGGAGATGGTATGCCCTCACTGCATGCACGTAACCCCATCGAGACCACCACTCACTCCCCCACCCTTTCCTGTCCGTACCCGACTGTGATCGTGATAAATGCGGACCCTGCATCCGAACCTGCGCATGAAGCGCCGAGCGTGGAGATTTGATGCACGTAACGTAACCCTATCACGACTGCCATCTCCTCGGCTGTACCCATTCCGGACTTGCAACTCGACTCAATCCCTCTTCCCTCTTCCCTCAAAACATCTCTCCAACAAACTCTCCCTCCACAGCCACACAAGCCCAAACGTCGCCCCAGCTCCCAAGCCCACCGTCCCCAGCACCAACGCGCCCACAACGCGCCCCCAGGGAACATCCACGTCTTTCAACGACAGATCTCGGAATGACAAAAGGAGCCAGTAGTACCCCGGCAGCACCCAGCAGACCTGGTCCCACTGCAACATGCGCCGGACGGCCGTTTCGAACGAGTCGATGGGTGTGCCGGAGTCGACGGGGAAGAAGATTTCCGTCATGGACATATCAGCCGGGCGCGTGACGCGCGTGTACAGGAAGGCGAGGGTTGAGATGATTGACAATGTGGCGAGTGTTCGGCGGATTGCAGGCATGTCCGGGCGTGTGGCAGCTGGCCCAGTCGCGGCCTTGCCAGACTTGGATGTGGATTTTGCCGACGCACCACCTGTTTTGTCGTCGCTCTTTTCTCGGCCACGGAGAAACGCAAACAACACCCCCTGCGCAAGCACCACAAGGATCGGGAAAAACTGCCACAGCGCATTACTCGTCACTCGCCCTTCGACCGTCGGCGCAAAGTAGCTCCCAGCGACGAGCGGGTAGTACACGAGCAGAATCGCGCCGAGCAGCGAATCCACCGTGGCCTTGGGCATAGAAGCGCTTTGCGCCGTCGGGAGGGTAACCGCGGGCGACCAGAGGTACTCGATGAGGTAGTAGACGCCTGCGAGTTTCCCGATTCCGAAGAATTGGCAGGCGATTGCGAAGAGGAAGGGGCTGCACAACTTTAGTCAATATTGATTCTCTATACTCTGGAAAAGAAAGTTTATTGTAGGGGGTAGGGTGAGGAGGACGAACTATAGAATCGCACTCCAATGATGCCTCCGCCGAAACTTCTCTAGCATCCCGACAACGAACAGGGGACCGACGTCCGTGAGGAAGGAAACCATCTGCAATCGACTAACGAGATCGATCCCCGTCATTGAAGGCGTGAACACGGCGAGGAGGGGACCCATCGCGTTGTCAAGGAGTGGGATACCCAGGTGCGGCTCGGTCATTGACAATGTCACCTCCCCATTCGAAGATGTCCAGGTGCCGTCCTTGGCCATTTGCAGCAGGTATGGGATGACATGCGCGGCGGAGACTTCACCTTCGAGCCAGGGCCAGATGGCGAGGGGGAGGAAGGGGGCCGCCCACAGGGCGCGTTTCCAGAAAGGGTCGTCGTGTGGTTGGGCTGGCATTTTCAGTTGTGTGATGGCTTCAATTGCAGGGAAAGAAGACGGAAGAAGAGACGATGGAAACATTTTTTTGCGCGAGATGGGAAATTTATGATCGATCGCAGATCTATGGGTGGACTCGATTTCCTTCGCGTGGACATGACCTGCGCACTGCCACCAATTCCATCTTATCATCCTCCGCCGATCAGCAAGATCAACAATTGCATTGCAAGATTATTTGCCCCACCGTTTGATTCGCCCTAAGCATCGTGAACGCGTTCCCCTGGACTTGAAGGCGCGGGCGCGGGGCGGAATGCAATGATGCAAGGCGCCCACCTCCAGTCTTGAAGCCAAGAGAGAGCCTGACTCCACGCGCCACGATCCCGCATTACAGGCGGTGGTTCGCCCTTGCCTCAGATCCGCGCATGGCCCGAGTCGTATCGAACCTGGACACGCCGTGGTCGTAGAAAAATGGCCATGCTTGAGGTGTAGACATACTGCGCCCGTCCGTTGGTACTGCTCTTTATTGTATGTAGCCCTTGCAGGACGAAGCCGGGTGAATCTTGACCAATGGACGCGGCCATGGCTGGGGCTCCTCCTTGCATCGCCATGTCCCTCCCTAACTGCCTCTAGGGGTTTGTTCTCCGAGATTATCGTTGAAAGGTCAATCGTTAGGGTTAATCGGAGAGTGTAACATGATCTTCGTTCTTGAATGTACTGATAGCAAGTAGAGATGCGGGCATTTTGTGTTTTGAACCTGTACTTTCCCAATCTCTCCCCGCGATTACTCGACGCGAACGAAACAATCATACCTTATATTTGATCTACCAAGTTAAAACACCATCTTTTCCTCCTCTTTAACCTCCTCTCCCTTTGCACACCGGACCGGCCATCCAACGATCAACTCTCCTCTCCTCTCCTCTACCATACCTACCTAATACTCCTTCTCAAACTGCGCCTTTCCTATAGGTACTTGGCAATTGCACAGCACCACCACACCATGACCATAGAACTTGCCGCTCACCGGAAACACCTGCCGTTGAATTCACGATTCATCCAATCTAAGATTCCCCCGCCCTCTTCAACCCCCTCCCCCGCGCAAACATGGCCGCGAGCGCCGCCACACCCCCAAATGCCGCACTCGCCCCAAACGCCATCTTGATCCCCTGGTAGTACACGTGGCGCGCCGCAAGCTGGATCTCGGGCTCAAGGTCGTAGATTGCCGAGACGGAGTGGCGGATCGAGTCGATTACCTAGAGGAGACGGAAACGAGCAGGTGGTGAGTTTGTGTTGCAAGAATGAATGGGTGAGAGGGGACAGGGAATTGGAATTGGGAATTGGGGAGGGAGGGCAGTGTGTGGAGTGGAGTGGAGTGGAGTGGAGCGTTAGGGCGGGAGGTAAGGGAGGTAAGGGATGGGAAATACTTTCCATTTCTCCGGTACTCCGTGCAGGGCGTCCGGGAGGGCGCGCACGAGGTGGTTCTGGACGATTGTCGACGTGATGGCGACGCCGTAGACGGTGCCGAGGCTGCGGATTAGGTAGACGGTGGAGGCGGAGACGGCGTGGTCTACAGCATACCACAATTTTAGCAAACCCCACTATCAAACGAAACCTTAGGTAGAAGAAGGGTGGTGCGTACCATCATGGCCAAACGCCGCCAGAAACGTAAACAGAATCGCCGGGTAGACGACGCCCTGGCCGAGATTCGCCGGGATGACATAGACAAAGTACTTCCACTCCGAGTCGGAAAACTGCAGCGCCATGACGAGGAGATTTCCGAGGAACATGAGCGTTGCGCCGGCGCGCATGAGGTACGAGAGTTTGCCGTAGCGCGACATGATGATTCCCGAGAGGAGGCCGCCGATTGGGGTGGCGAGGGAGGGGATGACGAGGCGGGCGCCGGCTTTGGAGGCGCTGTCGAGGAGGACGATTTGGAAGAAGAGCGGGAGGTTGAAGAGGAACTAGAATGTTCATTTAGTGCGGTGGTTCAGCGGGGGAGAGGTGAGGGAGGACATACAGCATAAGCAGCCATGCCAACACAGATATTGGCAATCTGCGTCGAGACAGGAAGAACGCCGTGAAGCATCCGCAGCGGGATAACCGGGATAGCAGACGTCCTCGCCTCGACGAGGAAGAACAGCCCCAGAAGAACCACACTCCCAACCAACGAGCCCACCACCCACGCATTCCCCCAGGGCAGCTCATTCCCGCCTAGACTCAACCCAACAAGCTGCACCGACAGACCCAGGATGAGCAGCAGCGCACCGGTCAGATCGACCTGTTTCCAGACACTCGTCTTGGGCTCATTGGTGGTGTCCGCTTTCTGGCGCTTGGGGATAACGACGCGTCCGACGAAGAGCGCAAAGATGGAGACGGGGACCTGGAGGAGGAAACACCAGCGCCAGCCGATTGTGTTTGCGATGGATCCGCCCAGGGACGCGCCGCAGATGGACCCGAAGCCGTGCAGGACGTTCTGCGCTGCTTGGTACATGCCGCGGCGCTGGAAGGGGATCATGTCCGAGTTGATGATTGTTGCTGCTCTTTCGATTAGTTGATCTTGTCCGCAAAATCGGGATCGACATACCCATCGTCATCAACCCACCCCCACCAATCCCAGTGAGTGCGCGCATGAGATTCAGAAAAATAACATTCTGCGCAACCGCACAGCCCAAACACCCCAGGAGAAACGTAACCGTCGACGTAAAGAAGCACGCGCGCCGGCCAAAGATGTCAGAGAACCGGCCGTACAGTGGCTGGAACGCGGTACTCGTAATGAGATACGAGGTCGTGAGCCAGGACGATGTATTCGCGGCGTTGAACTCGGAGCTGATGAGCGCGTACGTCGAGGCTGTGATTGTGCCATCGAAGCCGGAGAGGAAGACGTTTGCGAAGATGGCTTTTGTCGTTAATTTTTTTTGTATGAATGGGTTATTTGTGGATTGCGACGTACCAACTTCGATCCAGAGGAATCCTTTCGGTGGCTTCCAGGCGTCTGGATCTGCATCTGGAATTGGAGATGGAGAGAGCAGTGGCTGCTCCTCGTCGGCGACATGGGGCGGATTCTCCGCGTCGCTGGGATTGGGATTCGTAGCTACAGTGCAGTATGCCATCGTGCTGGCAGTCCAAGTACTACCAGTTATTCAGTTGTCGAGGGTGGAAAAGACAACCTGAAATGTCGTGGACGGCGGGGTCAGATATTTAAAACATTCGTGGTCGGGCTCCAAATGGGGAAATGCATAGTGGGGTTGATCGCTTTATCGCCCGAGAACAATTTCCCCTCGGGATGGTGTCATCTTAGTCTGCTCGATTCTATTGGTCAATTGCGTTGTATAAGTCCACCACATTGAGTGATGCAATCTGGAAGCTGTCAGGCTGGAGTCTGGTCGCAGGTTAAGCATTTAAGCGCTGGCCAGCCCTAAGATAATTCACTTGGTACATCTGGTGTATAGAGTAAAAGACCTAGTAACTAGTGAACGTCGACTTAGCTTTACTCGAAAATCATGCAAAAACATGCTCAAGCTATAATGTGTACTCTTAAGGCCTGTACCGTAGTCCGGACACTACATGGAACAGCTCAAACTCTTCTCGGGATTCTCTTATCACCTATAGTCATTCGGAATTCTGCTACGGGCGCTCTAATCGAATCTATAAAGACGGCCAATTACTCTGAGCTATAAACCCAAAACCCCCCAAACTCCCAATACGCCTGCGTAAAGTTCTCCGGGTACCTCGCAACAAAGTCCGTACAATTCCCCGGGCAGCTAAACTGGTCTGTATACACATCGTCTCTCCCGCCATAGTCGCCGCAGAGGTCAATGTTGGCGATGATGCTCTGGTTCCTGAAATGCGAGGGGATGTCGCAGCTCGTGTTGGGGAAGTCGGCTAGTGCTGTTCCCCAGGTTGAGGGGTCGGGGGCAGTGCTTTCGTTGGTCAGGTCGGGGGGGATAGAGTCGCGTGGGAAGAACCAGGCACGAATACCGGCGGAGCGGATTTCGAGCGCGTAGATCTGGTCAAGCTTGTCAGTATGGCTCACATGTACAACTGACTGAGAGAGCTGGAAATGGACGCACGCCACCCCCATTCGCATTCATCTCCGCCCCATACGACAACGAAGGCCCCTTGACCCCACAACCAGCATTCCCATTCGTACTATTATCGCACGTCGTATAGATTGCGTCCCCCGTCTCCTTGCGCCGTACGTCCATGCTGCACCCCGGCCTCGTATGCAGCGTCACCGCATTCCCGTCTGTTCCATTATTCGTCGCCTCAAGGACATCAATCTCCCCATTGAATGGCCAGTTGGAGCCATCTGTCAGCCACAGCGCCGGCCACGTACCACACCCATATGGCGTATGCAAGATGTCGAAGATGAACAGGCCGTCGTCGTAGGTGGCCTTGGATTCAATGCGCACGGAGTTCCGGCCGTCCGTCGTGTTGGGGGTCGTAGAGTCGACTCGTAGGATAGCGGACTCGGGCGTGGCGTATGTGAGGTTCTGGGCGAGCGCCGTCGATTGATTCACGTACCTACTGCCATCAGCATCCACCAAGACGCCACTAATACCGAGAACAATGGCAGAACACACCTCACAAACCCACTCGTCGGATCCTCATCCGAAAAATACCCAAACCTCTCAAAGAACTTCTCCCCATTATACCTGTCAACAAGCCGATACCGCAGCGGCGAGTAATCGGGATACCGCCGTGTCTTGGATCCCTCGACCGCACCGACAATAATTGCAATTATCGCCGCGATGCAGAAGATCCCGACGAGGAGCTTCGTGCGCAGAGACCAGCCGTGCGGGTTGTACCAGGGGAGATGCTCGCGGTCTTCCTGTGAGGGGCTGTGGATATGCGTAACTAGGGGCTCGGACTCCGGGCGCAGCGTGTCGTCTTTTGCGAGGGTTGCTGTTGTTTCTATCATGTTGGCGGTAATTGATCTCGGTGGTAACTGATCTTGGTTTGGTATGGATGTGGTAAGAGGTGAGATGAATAGCTGCGGTCCATGAATGTGAGAGGGGGATGGGGATGAGATTGAGGTGGTCGGTGGGATCAAGGGGAAATGTTTAATATGCCGTCATTGGAATGTTAAAGTTGATCGCAGCCGAATCGGGAAGTTGGCCCTGGCAGGGCCTGCGTGCTAAGGCTTAAAGTCAGCAATGCAACCCCTGCCGGTGGACCCGTGGCCGCATGCGATGAATGTCATTTCAGTAACCTAGCTCCGGATCGGTTTATATTTAGCGTTCAAAGATGGAACAATAGACTAGATGCCATGTGGCAAAGCTAGGGAGAAGCACGACAAGCAAGTGACGATACATTCTGTACTTATACCGAGGTTTTGTGAAGAAAACTAATAATAGATTTACTGATATCTATCCATCAGGATTACTTTGTGAAGCTTTTATTAATGTTTACGTTCGGTGAGGCTGGATGGGGAGCTGTAACGCCCACAGCATTCGCTCCTATTTTTCTATGTAAAATTAAGTATTTATAGGGTCACCCTTAATACTCATACACATATAGTACTGGTAAATTAACAAGGCTTAATGTTCGCATGTATGCCTGAGCTATTAGTAGCTGTAGCAAGGTCACTGCAAGCGGCGAGGTCGGATCGGCTGGGGTTGTTAGTTGGTCTTTACTCGCAACGATTGCCTGGCAAGCATCAAGATATCAGGCTACAAAGGATATATAAACAAGGAAGGAGAGACTATATACTAGTAGATCTAGAAGTAAATTACTAGAGATGAGTAAGACTAGTAATTCCTAGAGGCCTTATATACAGCAAGGCCAAGAGGTTTATTCAGGGTTAGGCGTAAACATCCAGCTCTAGCGAAGCAGATGTTTGAATACTTTTACAACCTCGAGGTTCCCATTATCTTCTCTTCTTCACACCTTTGCGTCTCTCATTCTCCTTTGAAAGACTCTTTTCCTCTGTATTATGATGCACGGATGATACCAACTCTCTAGTGACTATTCTCTGCTAAAAGGTGTCCCACTTGGGTAAAGGGATAGCCACCGAAGCAAATTCGTGAAATGGTTCGGCATTTTCACTACTTCTAGAGTCCCCAGCAGTCGCTTTCATCTTGATAGGGGTTCTCTGCGCCAGACGTTCTCGGAGACGAGCATGATTCCAAATATAATGTATTCGCAGGGTATTGGGACTATGAATTAAAGTAGTATTTAAAATAGGCAAGTCACTGGCAGCAAGGGGAGTAATTCTTCTCTTCGCATCTCTTAGCATCGGCATTGGAAGATCTGTACTCGATGTATATGTAGGTGGTTACTTTTCCGAACTAGAACGAGTCCTTGATGTATCCAAGTTTGGATATTCGGCCACGGAATGATCCTCAGTTGCCACCAGCCAAGTACGTCCTATTGTTTAGCCTAGTCTTCGGGACGTTGAAGGGAGTAGATGTTTTTATTTGAGCAATTTTCTTACTCTTTGGCCGTCCCTCCTCGCACGCGCTGCGGTCCGCAACTATAACCAAAAGCACCTGCCGCTCCACCATGCTCGGAAGGGTCCAGCAAAGGAAATAGACTACCATGGCATTGGCACAATACGAGTACGCCTTTTAGATGGCTAGTAAGAATGTTATAACATGATATGGCATAATATAATATGCTATGCGCGATAAATATATCCCCCCTCTCAAAACCGACAACTATCACATATCCAATCTCGCCCCTGCATACCCAGAGGGAACGTCTATCCCGTGGTCAGAAAATCCACATTGTCCTCAAACCTCGTCCGGATCCGCTCATCACCAGCCCCAACCTGTCGATACGGATACTTCACGCGCGTCGCAGCATCCATGTTCCTCGTTAAGAAGAGAGACCGTTCAAGGGCCTGAACCCAATGCACTGTATTTACCCGGCCAAACACCAAGAGCTCCAGGTTCGGTAGCCCGCTCGGACCAAAAGCCCAGTTGGCGAAGGCTAAGAACTCGGTCATCTCGGCCGTTGTGAATTCCGATCTGTACGGGGTCAGGTCCACTACGGAGGTTGGTGGCGGGTTAAAGGGAACATCAAAGTCGCGGGCGAGGTCGAAGATGGGATTATGCGGGTGGTACTCTTCGTGCACCGTTGGTAGGTAGCGGATGTGGAGGATTTCCCAGGTCGTGGGGGGGTCTTGGACGAGGTGGAATCTCTATTGGGGAGTTAGTGGCGATTATCTTTTGTGGGAGACGGCTGCAGTGAGGCTCATGGTGTGACGTACCAGGGAGGGCAAATGGTCACAGAGCCCGACGCATTGGAGATTTGCGTTACCGAGCAGGGTAACGACCCCGGTATCCCAGACCATGGGGGCCACGGTTGGGTCCCACACAGATGCAGTGTCGCCCGCAACATAGAGGTGACGATGGTAGACGAATCGGCGGATTTCTCTCCCGGGGGCGAAGATCGATCTTAGATGTGGTGTGAGCGAAGTTTGATCGGGGGCGACTATACGGATGAATACATCTTTCAGATTCGGCATGGACAAGGCGAAGAACTGTGGTTCGATTGGGCACCGCTGTTCGTCTGCTTTAATAATGAGGGAGATGATGGGAATCGTTTTGTGGTCAGCAATCTCCGCAACTGTCCTTAGAATGTGGGCGCTATCCAGTCTCAAGGCGTGGAGTTTATGGAGCTGAAAGGCATACGCAATCTCGGTATGAGCGTATTGGAAACCGATGCCACGGACAGATAACTTGCGGAGTCGTGGGAAGAGACTCTCGGTGTTTCCCTTTTGCAACTGGAGAACCTTGAACGCAAAGAAGTTCCTAGCCTTCATCCAGTCTTTCTGGAGGTCTCTCCATTTGGCTAAAAGGCGGGGAAAAGAGTCAACATCGATTGTGAGCTCCTCAAGGCGAGATGCATTGGCAGCAAAAAAATCCATCAGAGCAATATAGTGATTGATTGTACTGATTCCAGTCCAGGAGAAGGTTCGAAGGTTGTGAAACCGTGAAATTGATAGCCTGCGACTCGGTTCGGTGTACTCGCTACACCGTCTCGTCTTGAGCACTAAATGCTTGATATTTCTCTGATGCCTGCGTATGTACCCCCTGGAACCAAGAATTTGGTGAGGGATGCACGTCTCGAGATACCATCTAGTCATATTAATAGGTGAAATCTAATTAGAATCTCTGGCTGGGGTATACTTAAAAGTCACAAGGCCATGTCTCTTTAATGCCCGGAACAACGGCATCAATGTGCGTCCAAGGTCATCTGCATACTTCCCTGCATGGAGGAAACAGCGATTCCATTCCCTATGATCATCACAATACCCATCAAATATCAGCACCTCGACGAATTTGAGCGTTCGTCGCTCGGTTAAGTGAGGCCGGACATCGACCCCTTGGGCCTTTTTAATAGAGCCCAGATCAACAGATCTAACTCGGTAAATCTCACGCAGTCGGGGAGTCAGAGCATAGTACATCCGGCCAGAGAGTTCATAGAGATTGATCAAGGCCTCGTTGTCGAGCTGGGGGTTCTGCATTAGCCTTGAGCTAGTAATGCAGTAGTCTTCTAGCTTACGTATCCTGTGATTTGTAGTATGATCTCGACAGGGAGCTGGGTCAACATCATCGCGTTCCTTTACATCGACCAGACTCAGGAATGAGTTGGACTCGGGGCATACAAGGGAGAGTCTGCGAGGTTGCAAAGTGGCATTAGAGCCGCCTGCGGCTTAATACGAGGACTGCGGGGTCCTCGTGTCGCTGCCCTCAGCCCCGCATGAAGGCCCAGTCAGGGCACACTGGGGCGACCCGCTTTTTCCTTTCATGAGAGAAGAGAACGCTTTTCGGTTGGGACTTCTTCAATTTCCCACTCATCACTATCTTTAAAGGGTAGCATCCGGCATGCCTTCAATAGTCGCGATTCAAATGCGCGCCCTCATGTGTTACCAGAACCTATTCTCGGCATGGAGTGAGAGGCAGGAGAAAGGGAAGCAGAGCCGGGTGTGCCACACAATAACCCTGGAGAGTCTCCCAGCGGGTCTTCGCATCGAGGTGCTCAAGTCCCTGCCTGACTTTTGCACTCTCCGCCGCTTTCTGCATGCTTCCGCCACCTACTACCGAACGTATACCCCCTGGAGCAAGAGATTCTGACTGCAATTGTTTCACGACAGTACGTCCAGGGTACTGCAGCTGACATGGTAGCCGTTCATCTTTCAAGCGCCTTTATCATGCGGACGCCACCCGAACGAAGCAAGAGGCAATTGCGTTTCTGGATATGTATTGGCAGGCGCGAGGTAGTATGTCATTTAATGCATTATTGACTTCGTCTGCCAAGAGGGAAACAAGGTTGACAATAAATGCCCTACACCATATTCAAGAGTGCGTACGAGTGCTTGTGCAGGAGTACCATAATGACCTTAATCAAAGTAATCTCGCCCGCGAGCTCTACAGGGACGAGACTGGAAAAATTCCCCTCTCATCCCTGACACGAATGCGAATCGTTCGCGCGATATGCAGGATTCAGATCTTCAGCCACTTGTTCTACCAACCCGGAGAAAAATCCATCCGACCAGAACCTAATCAGACCGAGTATTTCCAGCTGGAGGAGGCCTATAATCTGTTCTGTTCAACTTTTCCGCCATGGGAGCGAGATGAAATGTGGGCAGTATATCGTTGGTTTGAGGATCTGACGAAGCGAGTCCTTGACAAACTGGCCGATCCAGCAGTTGATACACAAAGAGTTTTGCACTTGACCGTATGTAAATCCGCTATCTATCTACCCTAACTATCATTCTAGCATACAGTACACATGTAGGTTCGAACATCCTAATCAAGTATACTGTGCCGTAGATCTTAGAAGTTGGAATTAAACGCTGTTAAGGACTTTAAGTAATCCACTTTCTTATTCCAACTATGATATAGTATCAATGGATCGTTCTTAGTCTATGTAACCTAATCAAGTATGATATCATGAGGAAGTGCATGACGACGAAATGCGTTGTTGTACAGCCTACATGTGTGGGGTTTCTGAAACGAGTTAACATGGAAAATATAATATAATCAAAGAGGTCAGAGAAATCTGATCGGGATCTATTTACTTTGGCACTGCGAAGTGGTCAGTGCGAGGACGTTCAGGTCGCATTCTCCTGACTGGTAAGTAAGGGCCCAATGTCATGACGCATGGGCGCTTTTGGCTGAGGTAAAATTGAGACAGTTCTATGTTACCCTCCAGCATAGCTGTTAGCCGGACTTACCCTATTAGAACTAATTTATCATATTTATCTTCAGAATTCTTTTGTATATTAGATATTCCTACCTCCATAATTTAGACTTCCAGTGAGCCCAAGTCGATCACATCATCAGTTTTGCTTCTCCAGCCGCTTGCAAACTGCTCTCTACAACGGACGACAATAGGCAAAGCATAAATAGAGACTAAAGCCCCATTCTCTCTTACGCGTTCTTCAAGGCTAGATCCTCTCTTCAATCTCCTCTTCCAACCTCTTCTCCCAACCTCTTCTACTGGCAGGCACTTTAAAGCCTTTCATTTTAATCCAATTCATCAACATGACTAGCATTGGAAGCGTACGACTTGAGAATCCTCAACCCGTCTCGTTGACCGTCTCTGATGGTTCCAACTGGTGGACGCTCCCGGGAGCTGCTCCTGGTGCACCAGGCACCTTGAGTCTTCCAATGAGAATTGCATCGTATACCATCCAAAATGGTTCCTTGATTGCTGGCATTGTTGGTATCAACTCTGATGCCACGGTTACTGTATCCCCTGGAAACGGTGGTATCAACCACAAAGTCTTGGCTATAGCCGAATTAAACCCAGTCTAGGTAAGACATGTTAAAAGCTCCTTGAATGATCTCTGTTCTTAACTCGTGGAAGGATCAAACATACCGCAAGTGGGGCTCAAATACTGGACTAGGGAAAATGCACAGCTGAATGGTAGTGGCTGGTGATAAGCATTGTGGGATGCAATATTATGATGGGGGGGTTGTAAAGTAACTTTGTTGCATATCATCTATATACAGCAATGAAAACCTTCAGCTTAGGAGAAAACTTGTACTTTTAGAGGTTAGGGAAACGTAGTGGTGCCTAGTCCAGTCTCTCTATGAATGCATGTTTGCTTTTTTCCCCTACTTTTACTGTTTATTCTGCTTTCTTTGACCATATGCTCTTTTGTACCAGGCTCAACGTCGCCCTCCAAGACAGCTTTGAATAGCTTGCTCCTGAACTACATGGTTACAAGTACAATGCTTGGTATGGATTTAGACCCTCCATAGGGTCACCACCGTGTCAACCAGGTTAATTAATTCTGAGGTGTATCTCTATTGTTATCCCTACATGTTAGACAGACCGCCTGGAACAGTTGGATCGCCTAGGAATTATGTTAACATGAAATCTATTCTACTTAGTAGGCTCTTCTGACTTCACTGCTTCCATGACTGAGATGACTTCGTGGCTGATAAGTATTATGCTTAAGCATCAAGTGCCTGGGCTATCACCCAACAGCAAAGTGGTCCTGAGCCCTTGTTAGCTATCCATGGCATTGCCTTGGCACTTCTGGGAAGTAGCTAGAATAATTAATTATTCTTGCTAATTTCCACGCGTTGTCTAAGAAACAGATTATTTTCACTGGTTAGAGTGAACATATAAGTCTATAGTAGTTATGAACTTTGTCCATATCCTGAATATGTTTATTCCAGTCACCCTCAAGCACACGTAGTTGCTGCCTACATTATAAAGATTTTATCGCTATATCTGAAACAATATTAACAAATATACTACGTATGCCTAGCTCACAAAAAGAACAGTCACTAGCTATTGTATCGCAAATCAAACCAGATCCGCCAACGCCTCCGCCACAAGATGAGCCTCGCCCAGAACCCCCTTGATAAGCAATACGAGCTCATCAACTGCAGCCAAAAACCGAATATACGCCGCAAGCGCAACACAAAGCTGACAATAGTCCTTATCCTTCAACATCTCCGCGCTCACGAGAACATTCCCACCACGCCCTGTCTGGCGATTGTGACTCGGACGACTTGGTCCAAATTGGAACTCCAGCGCCCGGCGCACAAGTGGTGTCGGGAGCATCTCCGGCGGCGCGTCGCCTGTACGAATCGCTTGCTCGGCTATGCCGAGCACGGCCATGATCTCGCCGATGCATCGCTGATCTAGCATTCCGGACATGTGTGCAAGCTGGTCGCGGTACGGCGGCGGCAATGTAGCTGAGGCCTTGAGAAGGGAAGCAAGGTTGTTATTAATAACGTGACATATCTGCTTAATTTGCTTGAGACTGGTTGAGTCGAAGCGTGAGCTGGATAACTCGAAGCGAAGGTTTGATATGGGGTCAGCGAGCGTGTGGAGTGACTGGGTGAGCCCCATCCAGATAGGCTCTCCGAGTGCTTGTGCGCATTGATCTGGATTGGGCTCGGACCAAGAGGAAAGAAGGAGCGCGTAGTAGTCAGACAACGTCCGGATGGAGCGTGAGAGCGACTTGCAGACTTGGCGGGTAGCAGATGGAGGACGGGGGAAAATCTGTACAATGGTAGCGGCCCCGCTACCGATTAGAATAAGTAGTACGCGTCTCCAGAAGACGTTGTATCCCACGCCGGGATCCCCATAGGTAGGGTTGTGCCTGTTGAAAATTTATTAGCTTGCCGGGCCTGGAATCCAAATTGATCTAGATACTTATAATGAGCACTCACGTATCCACATAGCTGTAGATGATAACAAGCAGGAAGGTCACGGCAACGAGGGTTCCGCCTGGGATATGATACGGCGGCACGTAGAGGCGAACCCAGAGGAGAATCGGTAAAAAGGCAGCACAGACAGCAGATAGGCCATAGGGATTTCCTGGCCCTCCTCCAGATCCAATGTACCAGCCTAAAAGGCCTAGAATTCCTCCTGCGAGTGTTCCAGCCGCGGGTCCAAAGGTCGAGAAGGTAAAGTCAGGCATATCGATACCTAGCCCTAATTGTGCAGTGATTAACGCCCACAGGCCCTTCTCACGGTAGAAAAATCCAGCTGTACTTGGAAGAACAGCAGTAATAGAGACCGCGATAGTAATAATAACCATCCGAAGGGCGTATAGTCCAGCGTTGCAGGTCAGCCAGTGGTAGAGGCCAATTACAGCTTTTCCAATAGGATTCCGTGCTCTTGGACGATATCCATGCCGCGCCTGAAGGACTTTCTTCCCCTCTTGGGTTGCAGTTATTATAGCTCTGGTTTGTTTTGGTTGGTCTGGGGTTCCAGAGGTAGCTCCTGATCTCATCGTAGGCGCTTTGGCGCGTTTTTCCAACGCCCAAGTAACAGCATATTTAATGCTTGTCGGCCACCATGGTCGAACTTGCGAGGCGATTGAGAAGTGTTTGAACACTTGTTGTAGCAAAAGTTCCATGCTTGTAAGCACATTTACCATATGTTCTTGGAAGCCGATAGCAATAATAACACCTGATAAGTTGTGCTTTGGACCCTCATCGCCACCCAAGGAAGGGCCATAGGTCTCTTCTAACCGTTCCGTCATATGTCGCAGGAACGTTATGCGAGTTTCGCGTAGATTTATAAGAACAATTTGGATACGTTGGCTGACTTGATCATGCTCCGTGGACGATGCCGTGTGATACCAATGTTGTCGGCCAACAAACTGCAGCGATTCCTGAATGACGGTCAACCCTTCAAGGCACCCTTCTACAGCCGTCAGAGCAGTTTCCCGCAGTTTCGGTGCTAACTCATCGAAGAAGGAAGAGTCTTCCTCATATAATGCATTCACGATAGCGGCAAACTGAGCTCGCTGATGGGCGCCAACTTCCCTTGCGCTCTTGTCATCAATTTTCTTTTCGTGGGATCGCCCGTCACCGCTGTCAACTAACTGGGCGCGAAGCTCCTTGATCTGCGTATCGTTTTGGATGCCACTGCGATGAAAGTCCGACAGCGCAAGAACAGCTATTACAAGCTTCTGAATCGGTTCATGAAAAGCCTGAACCACATCAGCTCCCCAACACCCGATCGAAAAGTCAAGCGGCAGAAACGCAAAGGAGGGCTCTAGCTTTTGATATGTGTTAACAACTTTGGCCTGGCATTTGCCAAGATACTCAATATCAGGATTGGTGAAGGAGGGCAATAGAGGCTTAAGGTCCTCAATCACGTCGCTAATTCCTTCCAGGGTAATGCCGACCGCGGACTGCGGGAAGAACAGGATCGTACAGGCGAGCCCAAGCCCCACGCCTACCGCCGCAGGCTTGACAAGCGGCAGTGGCAGGGTGCCGCTGAACGAGGGCAAGAGCGGTCCAAAGCAGAGGAAACTACCCGTTATGATAGTGGCAAACACAAACGTCAGAGTTGCCTTTGGGTTGTCTGCGCGGAGACGTGCCTAGGATGTAGTTAGACAACCGCATATGGCAGGTGGAGGCTGCAGTGCAGTACCATGAAGTAGACGAAAGGGCAAAGCATGCAATAGATAATAATGGTCACACGCGTATCTAGCATCCAGCCGTCGAAAATAAGGCGCTGCGAGATTATGCTAGGAGACTCTCCGGTATTTTGCGCTTGTATACTAATGGCTTCTTGCATTGACATGAGGAGTGCCTGCGCTTGCGCATCGGGTCGAGCAGCCAGGGCTGCCTTCAGAGTAATAACGCCCCATGCCCAAGCGAGACAAATACCGACGAAGATTGAGATAGCCCCAAGTATATACTCGAACAGGCCTCCGGAAGGTGGAATGATAAATAGAACGACACTGTTCGTGATACAGCTGGGATCAGCGAGTGATAACGACATTTAGTTGGAGACATATAGTTAGGAAATGACCTACCAAGCGAAGAAAACGTCGGCACCAAAGTCTGACAGAACTGGCTGTATAAACATGAGAATACATGCCACCCATGCTGCCACCCAACAACGAAAGAGAGTCTTGAGCTCGCGAGGACTGGAGTGGTCCAGAAATGGAGGCAGCTGCCGTTTGAATTTTTGAGTCGTTCCCAAGCCTGCCATGATTGAGAGAGATGGCAGTCAATGGCAGACAATCAGATATGCATAGAAAGAAAGGAGCGATGAAGAATATAGGAGATGTAACAAGCAAAGTTAGAATAACATTATTTTACTAATAGCTTAGCCACGGATGATGGATACCTTACCAACATTGTATGTGGGATACGAGAATCACTGGGATCTACTTTGTCATCATGCTGCCAAGACACGCGATGGGCGTAAAGCCAAATAAATCTACGCGTCAGATGGGGATAAGGGGAAAAAAGGGCAGGAACAAAATTTAACTAGGGGGCGGCTCGGGGCATACCCTTGAGGTGATTCTACAAACGGATGGGCTTCCTATTACTAGTAGATATACTAACAAATATACTAAGAAATATACTAAGAAATATACTAAGAAATATACTAAGAAATTTGTGGGCCTTACGTGGGGTACGACCTCATCGTCCGGGGTAATGTAGCCATACTTGCAATATACCTTCCGCCGTTTGCTATTGACTTTCAAAAACGACCAGCTTGCATCCGGCCAAGAGAGCGCGGTCCACTGACTCTTCAGCCCATTTGGAAGAAGATCAATCCGAATCTGCGACGGGGCGTCTAGGGACTGTTCTTCGAAAACGAGGCGGGGTGGCGTTTCATCCGCGCCGAGAGTCAGGAATAGCAGTGGCTTCACTTGTTCGGGCGAACTCTGTGGTGGGAGGATAAGCTAGTGACAATGCTGCTCGGATTCCGGTTTGGGTGCCGAAGCGATGACTACCTTGAAGAATGACTGTCCCGGCCGTGCAATGATATTGGGTCGAGAACCGGTGGTTGCTTTAAGGTATATCTCCAGACCCTTTCGACGGCAACCCGGAATGTCCTGTTTAAAGGATAGTCATCTATCCAGCTAAGTATCTCGAGCATGACACGTGGGGTAATAGTTGCTTTTATTGTTAGCTGCGAGGAGTAAACAAAGTCGGAACAACATACTGAATCCTAATCACCGTATGCGGACCATCCTTTGAGATGAAGACAGGCCCGCCACTCGCCCCACCCATCGTATCCTTGTCCTAGTGAAGGGAGAGGTCGTCTAATGTATCCAGCAAGGAGGAGTTCATCCGCTGCGCATGTTTCGTTGTTCGTCGACGCTCTCGGGAGGGGAATAGTTCCAGAATCGCTAGAATCACGGTAACGGGCTGCAATCCAAAACACTGGTGGGGGGTTCATACGATCAGGTACTGTTCCACGGGCAGTTGGCCCCAGTTTGGGATGGCTTTCCGGGGACTGCGGGGATCCATGCCGAAGGATCGTTGCTACTTGAGGTGGAGAGCATGAGGAGATAGTGTGGAAATCAAAAGCGCAACAGTCCCTCAGCGATCACTAATGATGATTCATCAGGTACTAGCGGCGGCATGCCGAGCCAACCGTGGAAGCCTGCCGATTCCCGAGCAATACACCACCAATCAGCATGTTGACTATAGCCCTTCAGCCAGCCCGCCACGCCGCGGCGAGCCCGACGACTCAGCCAGCCCAACCTAGCCCAGTCCAGCTGCACAAGAGTCCGGGCACCATATCTCCCGCGGGAAGATTTTTCTCTCGCGCGTCAGCTTGTGAAAAGAAAGAGATGTGTTTATCCTTTTTCGCGGCGGAGGCATCGTACTTGTACTCCTGTCGTTGTCGTGGAGATTCCTGAGTATACAGCAACATGTCGCTGAATTACGGTCTTCCCGTCCCGCTGGAGATTCTCCAGGCGATTCTCCTCGCATTGGATCTCGAGAGCTTCTATCTCGCGTCATTGGCATGTAGCCTCTGGCGCCGCGCAGCGTTAAGTCCGGCGATCTTGCGCCGGCAGCTTTTGACTGTGCCGGCTCTTGCAGGGTTGAGAGGATTGATACGGGATGCAACATCAGAGGAGATTGGCGCTCTATATCGCCGCGTCTGCCGAGAGAATCTCATCGGATATCGGAAAGGGATTGAATATACAGAGACGAATACCGCAAAAGACCGCTCGACACGGATTGGCGACATCCCTGTGCGGTCGCCGAATGGCGTCTTCGCAGCGCAGCTGCGTGGGTTGACGCTTAGCCTCGACACATCACCTGGTCTATGGACATGTAAAGCCCGCGAACTCCAGCTCAGCCCAACGCTGTACCCCGGCGCCGACACCGTTAAACAGATTGCAAGCCACGCCCAGATGCGCTCATTCTTCCGCGCCCGATCATTCGCTCGCATGCAGGTTGCAATGTCGCGGTGCGGCGGCCTTGTCGCTGTTGCGCTGGGCCAGAGAGTACACATCTACGCCTTGAAACCAGAAAAGCAGCAGCATGTCGAAGTTGAGATTACCGATAGCGTCCTGGACTCGATACAGAGCCTCGAATTTACCGACGATGACGAGTTACTGCGCTGCGAGATTGATGGCGTCGAGGGGAGCTACGTCCGATACCTTGGTCATAGGCGGTGCGGGTGTCATCAACCGAGGAAAGCACGTGGGCCGAAACCGGTTAGTACGCCGGGGCAGAGAATCAGGTACTGGCTTGTGGCGTTGCAGAATGTATACCTGGACTCTGTGGATGTTGAGAGGAGGTTAGGCGGTGGTGCCTCGCTGCGCGGGATGCGGGCTGTCAAGGCGCCGGCCCCACGGGGAGAGGAATGTACATGTCGATCGGCCAAGTACTTTTTCGCCCTTCTTCGAGAGGGATCGTGTCAAGGGCGGTATGTTGTCGGTCGTGTTTTTGGTGATGGGATTGTGGATATCGTACAGCAGATCCCGACGCGTCAGGTATCAACATATGCAGAGACTGTGGACGAGACGGCAGGAGCAGGAGCAATATTACTGGCGACGCGGTTTGGCCGATGGGACGCACGGAATCTCCCTACGGCACACTCGCCCGACCCGATCCTTTACGTCTCCGACGATGGAAAGATTCTCGCCGTGTTCGAGCGTCCGCATGGGCAGTCTCAGGGCATGATATACATTTGTTCCGCGGAGTCTGATTGGTCCGGTGGAGATATATTTGGGACATCTGTTGCGTGGCCATTTGCGCTTTGTGCTTTGGATACTGAGCTTGGGTCTCTGTCTGTTTCGAGAGGTGATGATTGGGGATACATTATTGCTGCTCAGTCACAGGGGCAGGTGATGCAGTGGAGACTTGGACCGATGTTGATTTGATCGGTGTGGAAGTATATCGACAGCTTGAAGACTATTTTATTACCTAATAGTAGACATGACTTGGGACAAGCGATACTGGGCATTTTCTCAAAACTCTCACCTCTTGCTGACTCTTGTCAAACGGGCATTGAGAGGGCCCCTCTTGACCAAGCAAAGGATAGGGGCCAGGATAGCCAACTATAAACTCACCACGGACACGAGAACAAGCGAGTTAGTCACGCTGGCGGCCTACTCCCTGCGAAGTAGACGAGTCCTGGATACGTGCGGGAGCAGAAGAGATCTACACACAAGGAATGTACCAATCATCACAGCAGCCAAGCGCCCAAGGCTGAGCCCGTCTAGCCAAAGAGCTTAGTCCAAGATCAAGCCCATGGAGCCTCACCTTTCTCCACTCCAGTCCGCAACATGACGCACCACCTTGTTGGAATCAACCTGTGGTTTGTCCAAAGCATTCAGCCCCCACTCCCCACCCACACCAGGCGTCGGCACTGCCGCAGTCGACGATCGGGGCGTATGCGTGATTAACATATTAAAACCCAAACATACCCTCCCTCCCACAATCCACATCTACACAACCGCTCTTCCTCTCCCTTCCCACAATGTCCTCCCCTCTTCTTCCGTCAACCTCCGCCCCCGCCTCGACAGTCCGCAACTACATCACACAAACCCTCATAACAACACATGCAGTCACACCAGATGTCGCCGAACTCGTCGCCGAGAAATGGGATATCGGGCGCGGGCACGAGTTTCGACAGGCCTCGCTCGGCCATCTCCAGCGCGTGTTTGGGGATAACGTCGGGCTGTGCCTGTACCATGCCGTTCGCGAGGCGAGCCCTGCGCCTGTGGAAGTGACCAGGTTGCAGGTTTGGAGTTTGGGTATGTATTCAGGATCTTGGTTTCCCGCCCTTAAAGGCCCTTGTGGTGTGCTGAAAGAAACTGTCCATGGCTGGCTAACCCCGGCCCCGCTCTAGCCGCCGCCGACATAACAGGCCTCCTCCTCATGGGCGTCGTCATCCTGCGCTTCATGCCGAGCGTCCTTGGACTAGGGGATCAGCGAGGTACGTCCCATACATGGCCCCCATTTATTAAATACATGGCTTCTCTGCTCCAAGCTTCTTCTGGGGATTGCTAATCCAACCATTCTAGTAGATCCGATCATGTGGGCGGCAAACCCGGCCTGGTGGCTCGCGTTTGGAGTCTGTGCGGTCAACGCTGCCTATCAGCGACGGATACAGAGTATCAGGGATGGACTCCTACTGGTCGGGGGGTGGCTGGCATTTTTGGTGGGGATTAAGCTTGCGCAGAGGTGATTAAGAAGATAAGTGGGGTTTAGTTGTTCTCGAGAACATGATCTGTGTTTTAACTTGCATAGTTTCCTAATGGGTAGATCTCATTGTTTATATTTTGTTTGCTATCGCAAACGTCGCAGCAGTATCTGTTCCCTAGAGCTAGACGCCCCTCGCACAGAGTATCCAATATTGTTCGACTCGCATCATCTGGACAGAAATCCCGCGCGACACGCTCATCGAGGCTTTAACACCCGGATCCACGCCATACCGCAGCAGTCTCCTGATACTCCCCCCCAATGAACCCCCTCAGTGCCGAATCAGCCTGCAGAGGCTCGGCGAGAGTTTCTAGTACCAGGGATTGCAGCCATCAAGCTGTGATCGCTCGTTTCAATATCCATGGCGTTTATGAATATCGTAAGGACAGTACGACGAGGCAGATTGCCGTGTGCATGAGTGATGATGAAGTTAAAAAGGTAGTTGGTAATGTACTGCTTACGGTTTCTATTGTCTTATCTTCTGTCGTTCAGACACGAAGGGTAATGATAATGGGTACGTGACTATAGCCAGTTTACTGACAGAATCACAGTACAGAAGGATGCCACTCCGAGTCGTTGTGTGCAAGCGGGCAAAAGGTTGCCATGCTTCCTCGGGCTGAATGGATCCTGCCACTATCATGGAGGCGGTTCCAGGGGTGAAGGCGAACTACTTGATAAGTATCTGTCATGACTACTACAGTCGCTACTGACGGGATGGATAGATTAGCTGCGGTTGGTTCCTTGTAAGCCAGCCTGGTGGTGTTCGACCTTAAGCCGAACAATTCACCAGAGGGAAGATGGGGTATTAAGATGCATGAATGCTTGGAGTGCGAGGGTTAGTACTTGAGGATGTACGAGTATCTGTACCCAGCCGCATGAGCTGGGCATTCTTACTCAACACGATTAGCAAAACGGTAAGCTTCCAAGCCTACTGATATAAACCTATGACAGCAATGAGACCTACGTATCTGGGGTTTGATATTATGCTGTAATCTGTGACTTCATGGAATCTCAAGAGAAGAAGTAGGCACTTGAGTGTACTAGTACACAACTATTGCTGCCTAAACGGCCCGTGTATACAGTCGAACCGCTCCTACAATCGCATATGAAGATCTACAATTGGGAAATGCACCTGTGATAACCAGGTGAACATGCTTCCCAAGGGCTAGATCTCAGTCGCGTGACTTGATCCCTTTTAAACTCCGATTCCGCTTGCGGAGATCCGCAGCGGTAAGATGGCCCATGTGAGGAACCATACCATGGGTTGGAACCGACCCAGTGGATGGTTCTGAGTAATGATAATCTCTACCCAATCACTAGTAAAGAATTGACATTAAGCTTTGCTTTTGTGATGAGATCGGACAGCCTAACCTGGACCAAACCCTTGGGTAGAGTTTCTTTGGCTCGGCCTGCCTTTAACCGTGGCCCGGGCCTCGTGATGATATTCTATATTATAGTCTGCTATTCGACCACAAATGTGGGTTTTGCAGGTGGCATGAGGTTTCGACAGAATGTATGTTCCATGGGAGATTAGGTAGATCATGATCTGCAATAATGAGGACAAGGGTTAAGAGCCTAATTACATCATGATTCTAAAATGGGTCACACTACCACCTTAAGTTAGTGGAGAGCATGTAAAGATATCCACAAGCTGTACACGAGTGCGTCTCCATTCCTTGGTTTTCATGTCTCCGGAGCCTTCTAGCCTTTACTATGACCCTCTAATATTATGGATCAAACTTGAAATAGGCATGTGCATTTCCAGTAGTACCTAGAAACTAGTTTGCCTTAAACTCGAAAGAGCCCAAGATTCAGGCAGCTTTGTGTCCTGCCGCCTGTTCATGTAACTCATCGACCCTATTTTGAATATAAGCCACGCCGACATGTCTGTTCGCTTCGGCCAACTTGAGTGGCGTCTCCCCATCCACAGTCATGGCCGTAAGGTCAGCCCCAGCGGCAATCAGCTCTTTGGCAATCTCATTGTATCCACCATACGCTGCCATATGCAACGCCGTCCATCGCCATCTATCGGAGGCATTGACATTAGCGCGCCTATGAATGAGCGTTTTGACCCTTTCCAAGTCCCCCTCATCCGCAGCCACAATTAGGCGTTCGTCGGAGACAATGCCCAGGAGACGAAGGGTGTGCACGACCATCGGTGACGCCTTCTTGCTGTTGACGCGATGGCCCCTCTTTCGCATATTCGCCAGGTCTATCTCCAAGTCCGTAGCCCTATGCTCCAAGTCTTCCTCAATTTCCTTCATTGACTCGAGTCGCTCCGCGTCAGACCCCTCGGGTAAGTCGATGTCAGAATCACCGGTTTCCTTTGCGCGACGGACAACCGCGTAAATGAAGTCCAGATGTTCGTTCAAGACGGCATGCGGGATACCCACGCATTGGAGCTCTTTCTTGAAATCTTCCCATTGCTGCTGTTTTGATGGGACGTCCGATGGCACTAGACGCATCACAGAGTCCTCGTGTAGGCCATCACGGACTTCTCGTAGATATTTGAGGACCGTTTTGCGTATAGCCGCATTGGAAGTCCTATAGCGCGGACATTGTGAGTATCACCTAGCCAGTCTTATCCGTGGTATATCTGCTGGTTTCCAACCTACATTGACATCTTCCTTTCAAGGGATCGCAACCCCGTCGTTGTGCTAATGATCTGCGTGTGGGCCTCGCCAGTATTGGCCACCTCTTTGAGAAGGTCCCACCGTTGCCGGGAGCGAAATGACAGGCTGTCCCATTTCTGCAGTTCCCCTTCAACGCACTTGAGAGCCCCGTAGACAGTGTTCAGCTTCTCCCTCAGCGAGTCAGAGGCAGTGTGGCTCAGGCCGGAGTCATCCTGCGTCAGGTTCTCGCGAATATCTCGAAGGGTCATGTAAAGACTAGATGTGTCGTTGGACAATGACTGGAAGTCATCCGCCGACGATTTGCTTGACCGGTAAACGTTCAGCGCAAGTTCGGCCACCAGGCCACAGTCGGCAACAGTTGGGTTCAGCTGGAGTCCAGATCTGGCTGACATATCGACTGCACGACTATGTTTTGGGTAGTTCACAGTTCCCCTAGAGGTAATATAGACCGGGGGGAAACGAGGAAGATTGATGTCGAGGTTAGGGCAATTTAAATGGCTCTAGATCGGATCTCGGGCTGCCGCTGAAAACAGCTCTGTGGGCTGAGGATCTCACCACCGTGACCCCTCCTTGAACCAGGCATTTCGCTATTTTGGCACAGCCATTCAGAATTATGCGGACTTGGCTCGGCCCATTAATCGTCAGGGAGAATGCTGTCGTTTGCGGCTTCCTCTCTAATACCCAGCCTGTTGTTAAAACACAGTGATAGCAGGCTGAGATGCATGACGATCAACCTGGCCAGACCATTTCAGACTCGCAAGGGCCCATGATTCCAATAATGGCATGATGCTGCCTTCGTCTGCAAGAATAACGGTCCTCTCAGGGTTTTCAGAGTCGCTAAGCCTGGATAACCTGTCCTCGGTATCATTAGGGAAGGCGCGAGGGGCCACCAACAAGCCCCCAAGAACCTCGCCCCGCTCGAACCTCTTCTTCTAAACACCAACATCATCCTTATCAACAGGTTCATCCTTACGGAGTTACTTAGTTACCTAGTTGGATGTCACTTGGTCCTGGCTTTTCATGCTTCTTTCGCAATACTCCTTTGCTTAGGCTTACACTCCAGCTCAACCAGCTTTAACAGTATGAGCAGAGAAATGGCCGACACGCGTAAGGGAATGATTCGTCTTCTGAGCATGTGGCCGTAGGCTAACTCGAGATGTAGTTTCGGCGGTTGTCCGTCAAATGGAGGACGCTATCCAAGACGAAGACGAAGACAGTTTTCAAAGAAGCTTTATGAAGCTTGGATCTTTTGCTGCAGACCGTCAACACAACCGGCTTGAAGAAAGTCACATTCTACACGAAGCAGCAAAGAGAAACTCCCTCCTAATTGTCACCCTCATCCTCTCCACCAATCCCAACACGAATGCGAGAAACCTAGAGGGCTGGGCTGCTCTGCATATTGCAGCTGATTCAAGGTGTGAAAACGCACCTGAGATCATCACCGCTCTGATCCACCATGGCGCTGATGTCAATATGAGGGATGCCACCCAATGGCTCCCTCTTCATCGAGCTGTGAACAGTCGAGCGGTAGAGAATGCGCTTAGACTCATTGACAACGGCGCCGAAGTCAATGCAGTGGTTCCCGACGTGGGCGCAACCATCTATCTCGCCCTCGATGCCATTCAAGACAGCCCTCCTACGGCTCTGGCGATGGTTTCGAACCTTCTGTCTGCGGGCGCAGACCCCAACTCCCGAGACTATCATGGCAACACCCCTCTTCACAGGGTCCGCCAGCTCCAGTCGCAAATAGTCGATCGCCTCCTCGAGGCAGGAGCAGATCCCAATGCCCAAGATTACGAGAGAAAGACCCCACTCCATAAAGCTGTTACCAACGACGAGTATCTTCTAGCCAGAACTCTATACAACGCTGGCGGAGATCCGACTGCAGTTGATAAGGATGGGGCGACACCAGAAGCACTTGCAGCGGATCGTGAATATCATGACTCGTTCGAAGCCCTGTTTAATGCGTCCAGGACAAGTCAGAAACCAAAGTTTCGGCTGCTATACCAACAGGCTCGGCCTTTTGAAATGCACCCTGTACGTAGGGAGGTCTGTGCGGAATTCCGAGGCTCCTTCTGGTACATCAAAACCCCAGTAGACGCTAAGGAAAACTTCAAATCGTCCGAGTATGATGACTATGGTAAGCCGCGCGTCAGCTGCTCTCCGCTAGCAGAGCCAGAAGATGAAAGTTCCACACCAGGGGATGTGACGTGCCGCCAGTTGACCAGGGCCACACCGACAGTGTACGATATGCTATATAGTGACGCTTTACTAAACGGCTTCAAAGTGGCTAGTGGTCCTAGGTGGATTCACCTACCATTCACAGTTGTATGCTACCCCTTGCCCCGGAATCTTCGTGGAGGCTAACGTGTGATCAGAAACTATGGATAGATGTAAGAACCCCCGGCCATGGATTTTAGGCGGAAGCTTAACCTCAGTGTAGCACTTGATTGAGGCCATCGCCAGAATTACCGCGCACGGTAATTCGAGCCTCCCTCGGACAGACAACGATAGTGCAGCTTCCGGGGCAAACCATCTGGGTGACAGCGCTGATATCAAGCGCTTCATCTCGGAAACATTCAATGAAACTGGGCTAGTAGCAGGTTATCGGCAGCCTGGGCTTGTAGTAAGGTCCCCAATCTCGCTATATCTTGTGTAGTCATAACCCATGCAATTACTGACAGCAGGACAAAAGTTTAAAGAAAGCCCCGGAAAGCAGGCACCCCACAGAGTCTCGTTAGTTGTAGGTCAACACATCTACCCCTCTCGCAGGCTATCTGGTGATCTGACCACATAGCTGCCTTTGATCGACGTGGACTACAGCATCACAGAGATGACACGCGTGGGAATCGGGAATGGGGTCAGAGGAAACAGAGATGAAAGAAATCAAACGCACATCCAAACAATTAGAAAACTACAGGGTAGCTACGATGACGATTGCTGCAGGCTACATTTCCCCCGGACATTGGACGAGTCAAGCTATGACTTTCTAGAGACTGATGATTTGAAAAGGCGCGATCAGAGTCAGGTTCTCACTGTGTATCTGGAGGGCAAGAGGGCCCTTGCAGAAGCGGAATCGTCAACACCTGCCAGCACCAGACGCTTATTAGGACAAGCGGTACCCAAATCTAGAGAAGGTGCAAGGGAACATTTACTTTGGAGAACACTGAAGAACGAAAAGTCAGCCGCGCCTTCAGCCAGTGCTGGCCAGGAGAATGATGGCCCGATTCGGACAAAAATGCTGATGGTTCCACAGCTTTGGTTATGGAAGCTTGATGAGCGTCAGTTGCGTCAAATTGGGGTTAACCCCCTAGGCAACCCCTGGCTCGAAGACCTCCTGACACCTTTACAGATACCATCATTTCGGCATACCCAGAAAGATGGGATGCACCATGCGGCCAGTCGATGTTTGACAAGGTCCGAAGAGAACTGCAGTTCTGTACAACAGTCGACGATGCGATTTCCAAAATAGCAGACACTTGTGTGAATTACATACAAGACTCGTGGTATGTGTCCAAAGGCAAGTCTTACACAACCTTCGATGCATTCGATCAGACCATTGCAGAGGCGGTATGTTACCTTCATTGGGCTTTAGCACCAACTATTACTAACATGGCATAGTCTAACGAAGTCACCAAATGCTACGAGGAATTCGAAACGTCAGTCGGTTCAGCGAACAAGAACATTCACCTCCAGGTCCACAGAGGTGCAGGTATACTCAAGAAGATCAGCGACGTTGTGGACGAGATTGGTATAATCAAACGAGTGTTGAACGATCAAGCCCTCGTCATGACGAGCATCCTCCGATGGAGATCTCAAACGGATGGTCCTGACAGGGCGGAGGAGGCCAAATATATGCACCATCCACTAGAACGGTTCAACCGGCTGGAACAAAACGCGAGCAGCGTTCAGAGTTCGGTGCGTGCCTAACCAATTGTAGACTTCTGTATACTACTAATTACCTGCCAATGGCGCCAGCTTATTACCCTCCTTGATATCTGGCAAAGGGAATCGATCATCGATGATGCACGCGAGGAATCAAGACAGTCTCGTGTTCTATTTGTCTTCACGGCTGTCACTGTGTGTTTTGTACGTCCTGACCACCCGGATCTGCTTGGTTCCGGCAATCCTAAATGAATAAGTTGCCTCTCTCCTTCATCGGACAGGTATTGGCTTTGCCAATGAAAGAGCTGGACAGGGACCCTGGCGAGCACTTTGCCGCCTCGTGGGTCCTCGAGGTAGAAGGCAAGTATCACGCCGCTGGCAAAGATCAATCAAAGGGACAAGTAAGCTGATATTACCTGGCTCAGTGATTGCGATGATTGCCACACTCATTGTCATACTCATTCTCTTCTGGATGTGTTTTGGACTCCCGGAATACGTCAAGAGCATGTGGAAACGGATTCCCCCCTCGACCTGGCACAAAGGATCTGATGATGACAAGGAGCCAGGTACTGACGATAGGGAGGAAACAGCGGAAGCTCGACAGTGGCATGTTAGGGGTTGCTCTGCAGTGTGTCCACGACTCAGAAACAAACGGCACAGACAATCAGACATTGAAAACGGCACAGGATGAGTTGGGCGTGGAGGGTAATCTAAAGGGTAGTCTTAGGAATATGATTCCTCCACTTTACTCGGCGTCAGGAGTTTGGAGGTGGGGATATCGAAAGCGTTTAGGCAAGCCGTCACTCGTCTTTATCATAGGTAGTGCAGGACCTAGGGTAATATCATACTGTATGTCCAAACTCCACATGGTAGATCTAATACGTCAGTATGTACCAAATTCTGAACCTGAGACACGATCGGATCCCACTATCTGGAGTAAATGTAGCGTCTGGTGCCGCAGTGCATGATGTTTTCATATGCCCGAAGTCGTTCTTGTTCGACAAGGGTCAATCTAGGTAGGACCCCTGCAAGTCTGCCTGCCGCAGGAAGACTTGCAGGGATTGTGGACCTACCGGGCAAAAGACTTCGGCTTCCTCTGATTTATACAGAGTACTACTACCCCATATGCGATATCAACATTTTCACAATGACTTGCTCCCCTATATCTGACTGGCGCTGTCCAGATTTCGGTTTCTCTCGCTAGGGCTACGAGAATAATGGGCAAATTACGCCTCCGACTCTTTGGCGCCAGCAGTGGACACTTCCTTTCCCAGAGTGTCAGTTATATCAGCTATATAAATGGGGCCCTTACCACTACAACGCCTTCCTTTCCTCTACGGATTTAATTGAAATAATTTGTTTCTTCCATATATTGACTGTCATAATGAATTTGTTAGGCAGATTCACAGGATCTCTAAGCGATACATCTATCCCATCTCAGATAAATCAGTAATGTTGGAGAAGCACGCGGTTCATGCGTTACAAAAGGTGGCCAGTTATCGTTACCGGACCCACGGGCATCCTATCTTACTACCTTCTTCTGTCAACTTCATCGCGACCAACGTTATTCTCGTCAATGCCCCCCGGCTGGTTCCATGTGACAACACACGCCCTCGCTCGTTGTTACAACCTCAACTTCCCACGGAACCTCTGAAAGCTTTGTCAGTCAGTACTACACAAACGCTTGGATACTCCCCGCGCGAGGCTATCGGCCTAGTCCATCCGCCATGCCTTTACAAGGATTCAAATACTCGACACCAAGCTTGTTCAATGCGAATAAACCACCTTGTGGCAAATACTAGCACCACTATCCATTCCATCGAGTAGGTTACCCTGTTCCCTAATGAAGAGCTAGTTAGTACTATACCTCCTATCTTATATTGTTGACTAGAATAACATGTATCTCACCCCAGCCCATCTCCAGCACCACTTTACCAGCCCATGTGCGTGGGCTGCTCAAGCTCGGCCTGTTTCCAGCGCGAGAACGACTTGCTTTGTCACGTCAAGTCGATCCATATACCCCCTGTACCGTTTGCAAACCGCGCTGACGGCAGCTGTCGGGCGTTGTCGAGAAACGAACAATTTCAGCAATACAGAAGGCGCCTTCATCCGCATCATGCCGACAATACAGTCGAGGTGTAATGGGTTCGCATGTCTGTGTCTTGGGTAAAGATTGGTGGATAGATGTTGGAAACCCCGCGTATTGCTCTTTGTCTTCCATGGAAGATTCTAGCACACATGTCTTCTTTCATGTTGTGTAGCTATATCTAGCGACTCCCTAGCTAGATAGCTCCATCGTCCTGACACTCTTCTGAATGCATGCGTCTCCTTCTGGTCATGGCTGAGTTCTCTCCTGGAGCCGTAGCGACCTCTGTCAATAGATACTCGGTTGTTTCTTAGGTTAAGATTTCGGATGGATGAATCACCATTGTTTGTAGGATCCTTTCAGCACAAGGAGCCAGCAGTTTCCATGCTTCGCTATGTTCCTTTCTTTCTAGTATTTGCTACCTGTATCAGCTGTTATCCCCGAGGATAATATCGGAGCATTGAATGTGACACTTGCTAAAAACCTTCGTAGATCTGGAGGTCTTGAAGATCGCTAATAGTTCTCCAGTAGCAGCTCTAATTCCACCATAACGACCCGAGATTCTACGTTGCAAGTCCACTTAGTGCTTGAGACAAAGACACAGGCCAAGAATGGGCCGCGGGGTCATTGTTGCCTGTGTCGCCCTACTGCGCGCAGCATCCACCTTTGTTTGTTACACCTTCTTTGTCCATAAATACCTGAAACAGCTCCACAAGAACATAATAAGTTGATCCACACCAGTTATATACTGAAGTTTAAGCTATACTGCACCTCTCAACAAAGTTATTTCTCAAAATGGCCGTTCCACTCCCTTTCCCAACGACGCCCTACCCCCGCCTCGACCGCCCCTACGACTACAACCACATCCCCCGGCGCCAAAGCGGGATGAAAGTCCTCGCTCTGGGAATGCCCCGGACAGGGACCATGTGTATGACCTGTTTCCATCCCATCTATTGTCGAAGCTAGAATTTCATGAATATTCTAACGCATCGACAGCCTTATATACCGCCCTCAACGAACTCGGCTACAGCTGCTACCACATGGCCGAGGCCGCGCTCGATCACCGCAACGGCTCCCTCAAGCATTGGCAAGAGGCCATTGTTGCGAAGTATTATGATCTCGGAGAAGAGTACAAGCGGGAGGACTTTGATAAGATGCTTTGGCGGTATGATGTACGGACCCCTTGTGTTTCCCCTATCCTCGCGAATCTGTCTTGTATGTCTTTGACGAACCAACTGTTAACCCGCGCAGGCTGTAACAGATATCCCGTCAATTCTCTTCGCCGAAGAACTCATGGACGCATACCCGCATGCGCAAATCATCCTTATAACACGCGACGTGGACGAGTGGCTGCCCTCGATGGAGCGGGCATTCTACAAGGTTCTGAATATGAAGCGCTGGCGACTTCTAGAGCTCTTCGACTATGCATGACAATCCCCCTTCTCTCCGTACTACATACCCTCACTAACCAATCCAGACATACATGCGCCCCTACATGCACCTCCTCCGCACAACACTCAACATCTGGACAGACCGGCACTGGAAAGACAAAGACCAGCTCGCGGCAACATACATTGCCCACAACGCGCTGGTCCGCGGGCAAGCCCAAAGGCGCGGGCGCAAGGTCCTCGAGTTCCACGTGCGCGACGGCTGGGGTCCGCTCTGCGAATTCCTTGGTAAACCTATCCCCGCGAAGCCGTTTCCGTGGGTGAATCGGGGCGATTTCATTGCGCAGTATCACTACATTGGGTTTTGGATTCGGGTGTTTTATATGCTGCGGCCGGTGCTGATTTGGTTGCTGCTTGGGTTTGGGGTTTGGGGGGTTGTTGATGGGTATTTTGAGAATTTTTATGGGGTTAATTCGGTTTTGTAGATCATTTTGTGGTGATTGGTATGAGAAGCTAACGTATTGGATACGGCTTTCTGCTGTTCATCTTTCTGTATATCCGCGCAGGGCAGAGGCAGCGAGCATGTCCAGCCAACTCTCATTGTCCTGCATTCACTAGGTGTCTCTATATTTAGATAATCAAGCCATACTTATCGCCCTCTTGATGAGTGCCCCGGTTTCGAGTGCTGGTGAGCTTTGAAGGGGATAATGATAATGCAACATGGCTAATGACGCGGGAAGCTGGTGATTGAGGCCCTTTAGTATGAGCTGTTAATAGTTTGGCCCTACTTGACGGCCCCAAGCTAACCTCAAAGCTCGCTGCCGAATAGATCTCGGATGATATGCGGAGAGGGATCAGGCCACAAGCCGCATCTGATCGTCCACAGGACTTGGCCCAGATCTCGACAGGAATAGGGTTCTGTCCCACCGGAACCGATCGGCGCGACTGGGGTACCCCTCAAGTACCGAGCGCCAGGACGGCAAATGCCCGCAGGGTAATGACAAGGGTATACATCAACTAACCTACTCAGGCATATGGCCACGGGATATACCCCAGACGGTTCTAGCCCCCATCGGAGGATTCCCCAATGCAGCCTGGTATACGAACCAGGACTTCCACCAATCACAGCGCCAGCCACCCGCTTTGCTTCTCTATATGAAGCATCCCCGGATATCCCCCATCTGGGGTCCCCAAGCTTCTGTCTCGGTAGATCAAATCAAAATATTGTGGTCCATCAATTGATAGATCGACAGTATGGGTCGCATGAACCCAAAACTATACCAGTTCCTAGTCGCCCTGTTTGCATCCTTCGGCTCATTCCTATACGGATACGACCTCGGCATCATCGCCTCAGTTGTCGCCTCGGACTCGTTCATCGAGAAGTTCGTCAACGGCCGAAGCCATGTAGCCGGGACCGTCGTCGCCCTGTTTACAGCTGGCGCCTTCTTCGGTGCGTATGGAGCCGGTTTCACTGACCCCCTGGGCCGCCGCACCACGCTTGCCCTGGGCTCCGTCCTCTTCATCATCGGTGGTGTCCTCCAGACCGCAGCTGTTAACCATGGCATGCTATATTTCTCGCGGATCTTCTCGGGATTTGGGATCGGAATCCTCGTCGAGGTCGTCCCCATGTTCCAGGCGGAGATTGCGCATGCGCGGATCCGTGGTGTTTTGGGTTCGTTGCAGCAGACGATGCTGGGGATTGGCGCGCTGTCGGCGTCGTGGATTGGGTACGGGTGTGAGCATCGGTGGTCGGATACGGGGAATAGTGTGCAGTGGAGGCTGCCGTACGTTTTTCCTTCTGAGCAGCTACTGCGACTAGCTAATGACATGAGACAGCCTCGGACTGCAGATCGTCCCTGCCATCGGACTCGCCTCGTGTATCTTCTTCTTCCCCGAGTCTCCTCGCTGGCTGATTGACCATGACCGCCACGAAGAGGGACTCAAGAACCTGGCTACGCTGCATGCCAACGGCAACGTCGCGGATCCGTATGTTCTCGCCGAGTTTGAACTCATCAAGCAGCAGGTCGAGGAAGAGCACCGGCACGGGGCGAAATCGTACAAGGAGCTCTTTGCGAATCGAGCCAATACCCGCCGGATCATCATCGCATGTGCCTGCCAGGCCTCCTCCCAGATGTACGTCCCGTCCATCAACCTACCATCCCCAACTCATCCCATGCTAAAGACAAAAACCAGGACCGGCGTCTCCGCAATCCAATACTTCTCCCCCGCAATCTTCGCGCAGATCGGCATCTCCACCTCGCAGACACTTTTATACCAAGGCATAAACTCGATCATCGGCGAAGTCGCCCAGTTCATCTTCTTCTTCCTCATCGACCGCGTCGGCCGACGGCCCCTGCAAATCGGCGGGAACATCGCCTGCGGCGTCGCGTTCACCGTCGGCGCCGCCCTCATGTCCATCTACCCGCCGGAATCCACCAACACGTCCGCGCACTGGGCGTTCATCGTCTGCAGCACGTGGGTGTTTAATTTCTGCTTCTGCGCGTCCGGGACGATGAGCTGGATTATCCCCGCTGAGATCTTCAATACGGCGACGCGCGCCAAGGGGATCTCGCTGGCGACGATGGTTTCGTTTGCGTTTAATACCATGATTGCCGAGGTCACGCCCATTGCGCTCGAGAAGATCGGGTGGCGGTACTATCTGCTGTTTATCGTGTGTGACTTTACGAATGCGCTCTTCTTTTATCTGTTCCTCCCGGAGACCAAGGGCATCTCGCTCGAGGTTATGGATGATCTCTTTACCAATTCGCCGCTGCTGGTTCCGGGGAGTCGGTGGGTGGCGAGCCCCGAGGTGGATATTGAGATGATCAAGGAGAGGAAGGATATTCTTGCGCAGGCGGCGGTTGTTGAGGAGGTGGAGGGGAGATAAACGTATGGATGGTAACTGGGTGTCCTCAGTCGCGCGGATCGGGACCGGTAGCACAAGAGACTCATTCTGGTCCAGATCTAAACTACCCAGTCTTGTTGACCTCGCATACGACTTGTGGCATGATCTGCCTCAGATATCCTCCGGTCGACTCAAAGAGGGTCTCGAGCGTATATAGCGACCGTTGTGAAATGCGACTGCATACCACGGCGCTTGATCCTAGGAGTATATAGCGCGCAACTGTTTGCAGGCTACATGACCAGCTCGAGGTTCATGAGCCTTGTTACCTCATAGCACCTCTTCTCCCCGGTAGGCATATACTCAATAATATGATGCATACGGCTGGATTGTATAGATGTGGATGTCCGAGTGGTGCAAGAAAACGATCCTGTCCAAGCCAACAAAAGACACGGCTCGCTTCGAGGGTTCAACTTTGAATCGGTGATCCGATGCCGAGTTGGCGCTCTGGAGTGGGATCTCGAATGCAGTTAGGGCTGGCTCGGCAAATGTAACCTCGCGAATGGATCGCGATCTGTGGCGCGGCAAAGCCAAGCTTCTGACTCACCAGTTTCTTAACGCAACCACACAATTGACAACAAATTGATTCTTTCCTTGACCATCAGCGGGAACTCGGCAGCAAGGGCGAGGATCCGAATGATATGCACAGTATGCGAGTCCCAATAGAGATTCTCCGACTCATCCTACGGCATATGGTCGACGCTTTGCCTGTTAAGGAGTTATTACGAGCGAGGCTAGTGAGTTGTAAGTCAGCACCGTCCTGGTATATTATTTCGGATCCAGGTTTTAACCAGCGATTTAGACGTCTTAGCGACGGAACTCGATCCGCTCATTCAGTATAGTCCTCATTTCGAGGAGAACGACCTAGTCTATAACCGGTGGTCGCAATTCCCCTACAAACGCACGTTTGTCCAATCTAAACTCGACCAACATGGCACAGAACCCTGCTTCTTCTCGGGCGCTGTGCACGATCTCTTATCACACCGCTCTGTCGCCACGCTGTCACAGAAAGAGAAGGATGGCCTAATATCAGCGCTAATCGACACGGTCATGTGGTCCAGCATCCGGCCTAAGGATCTATTCAGCCAGAACCCCGAACCAGGATTCAAAAGCCTGCACAGCATGAAACGCGCGTCCTTTGTAACCCAGAATTGGGACTCAAGGAGCTACACGGCGTACGAGTCGCTTGAGAGCACAATCGCTATTGCCCGCGCGACGAGTGCGATTGTGCGCGGGAATGCAGCGGAGCTGGCTCATCTGCTGGAGCTCAGCAGAGGAGTCGATTCGCTGACAAGACACAGCTACCGCCTCGAAGTCCGTGCATTGGACGTCGCTGCGAAAGTCGGGAGTAAATGTATTATCTCTGTTTTACTCGATCACAAATGCCCTTTGGAGATGATCATGCCGGGGAGCGTAACGAACGCGGTTCGCTTCGCGGCAAGTCATAACAACCTTGCTGCGATTAGATGTTGGCTGGAGAAGCCGAGCTATGAATTCACGTACGACGGACGGATCCATACGAGTACGTGGAAGGACGCCTGGAGGGCGCTATATAGTACAATACACAAGGTAAACAGCCTCAAAGCTCTGGCTCCCGCGTACGACGGGCCGGACGCATTCCCTAATATCCTATGCCACGCTGTGCGGTGTGGAGAGCTGGAAACCGTCCGGTGGTGCTTGGCTCGCGACGATGCCCATGTATTCAATTCGGAGCCTCGGAGAAAGGGGCCGCTGTGGCTCGCGATACAGGACTGTTGGGAGAAAACCACGAGATACACCATTTTGAAGCTGCTTTTGGAATATGGGTTCGATCCTAATGAGCGCAGGGCTAATGTGCACAACTGGAAAACGCTGCTCCATGCTGCGATCAAGGAGCAGGCTGTTGAGTCCGCTAGGCTGCTTGTGCAGCATGGTGCTGATGTCAATGCAAATGCGCATGGTCGCCATCCCTTGCCCAGGGGCCAGTATAAGGGGAAGAATAGGTCTCCGCTTGCGGTAGCATTAGAGCAGTCTCCTGCTATTGCACGTATGCTGTTGGATAACGGAGCGCGGAGAAGGTGGTGGTGGAAGGATGAGGAGTACGTCTTTGGAGAGGATCAGAAGGTGATTGGGCATATTCAAGGGGTGTTTCGGGATTTGGGATTTGATGAGCAAGAAGTCATGTACGAGAAGCTTGAATATTATGTGGTAGTGAATCAGTGACACAACATATACTCTGATCAGGAGGTGCATGTATCAAGGATGTAGTGGAGGACTCTCACAAAGACTAGAGTAAGAGGGAGGAAGAACATTGTTGGTATGAGGTGATTCGGACAGGCGTCAACCAAGAAACAAGACACAGAGAAGGGATAAACACCGCAAAATCAGCAAGCTTGTTGTTACCTCCGCTGCCTCGGGAGTCAGGGCTCGAGGAAAGCGCACTAAGCCCAAAACAGAATAGAAATGGAAGGAACGGCCTTACGTCACGCGTTAGTCACATGACCCTGAGTCATTACGAGCTCAAGTCGCGTCACCTCTCTCAACGTCAGTGCTCGGCCATCAAAACCCTTCCCTCGTGTTCTCCTCCACCGTCAGCAGTGTCGCGCCCAGCGCCTCCATGCTGCGACGCAAACGGTATCGAAATGTCGTCCCGGACGCGCTCTGCCCGCCCCGCGAGGCGCGCAGCACCCCGCAGCGCCCGCTCAAGGCGGCCGGCCGACGATGAAGAGATTCCAGAAGTCTACCGCGAGATGCTTGCCGAGGCCGACGCTCGAGATGATGGAGCTTTGGAAGATGACAGACCGAGGAAACGGTTGAAACCGGCGGGATACAGGGCGACGTCCGGCGAAGGGCGAGTTGCGACCAACACAATGGAGAATGCCGCAGGGGCAGAAGGGGATTACGCGAAGAGACCGCAGATTGTATATAACTCATCGTCGGAGGGCTCGGATGAATCGGATATGGAATGGGAAGAGGTCGATATCCAACAACCTGCAATCCCTGGCGCGGCAGGACCCGTCTCCGGAGATGACGACGAACCGCTGCAGATAACGCTCGGTCAGCAGGAGGGCCAGAAGCGGCGAGTCATCCGGCGCAAACCTGTAACTGCCGCGGAAAGGAAGATCAGGCTCGATGTCCATAAGACGCACCTGCTCTGCCTTCTGTCTCATGTGCAGCGCCGTAACCTGTGGTGCAACGACGAAGAAATACAGGTGCGTTGCATCCATAAATCCTCGAGGTTCCATGTGTATAATTTTGATTCTGTAGGGATTCCTCAAAAGAATGCTTTCGAAGCACGTAATCTCGCAACTCAATCCACCGGAGAACAAGCCACAGCATACCAGGTCGGCCATGTTCCTCGATGGACTCAACCAGGCTGGTGATATCTTCCACCGGAGATTCCGAGTAACGAAACCTGGTCTCAAGCGTGCGCACTGGTCCGATGACCCCGATGCTCTCAAGCGGAAAACAGTAATACCCCCTTTGGTGGTTCTGGAGCCACTGCTAAACCCGCATAGGAAGCTATCATGTCCGACGCCGAAGTCTTCCTCGACATAGAAGACTTTCGAGAACAAGCCCGAGCAATGCACGGATCGAGAGATTTTGGCGCACAGTTATTCTGCGCACTCCTGCGGTCCGCGGCAGTCGAGGCCAGGCTGGTTTGCTCCCTCCAGCCACTTCCGTTTTCTGGGACGACACGAGAGATTCCCACCAAGCCAGAGCGGTACGCTATCGTTATTTCGTCGGATGACCATGATTCTGCGACTGAAGGCAAATCCAAGGTGGACTCGTCTCCCCGACCTTCTCCCATTCGGAGGCTCGGCCGGCCGGGATTCAAGCCCGCGCGAGCGCAGAATACCCCTACCAGCAGTATGTTTTCCACGCCGAACTGCGGTGCCTAGCTAATTGTACAAGGGCCTGCCCCTCTACGCGAGTCATCATATCCCGTCTTCTGGGTGGAAGCCTTCAACGAAGCCTTTCAGAAATGGGTCGTAATAGACCCCATGGTGACAAAAACCCTCGCAAAACCGCACAAGCTCGAACCACCCGCGACCGACCCATATAACCTCCTTAGCTACGTTGTTGCCTTTGAGGAAGACGCTTCCGCGAGAGACGTGACGCGCCGATACACGAAGGTCTTCAACGCCAAGATCCGCAAGAATCGCGTCGAGTCAACTAAAAATGGCGAGGTGTGGTGGGGACGAGTCCTCCGGTTCTTCGAAAAACCGTTCTTGGAGGACCGCGATGAAGTTGAAATCGGCGAGTTGACGGCAAAAACCGCTTCAGAGCCCATGCCACGGAACGTACAGGATTTTAAAGACCATCCTATCTATGCGCTTGAACGTCACCTCCGTCGCAACGAGGTTATATTTCCGAAACGAGTGACCGGCCATGTTAGCCTGGGAAAATCCGGTGCCAAAAGCCCGACGACGGAGCCGGTTTACCGTCGGTCTGATGTACATGTCCTCCGAAGCGCGAATAAATGGTATCGTCTGGGCCGAGATATCAAACTGGGCGAACAAGCTCTGAAGCGTATACCAGCGCGGAGCAAGGCAGTAAACATTGACGACGACGAAGACGCCGACATGGCCGAGGAAACAGCGCTGTACGCTTTCTTCCAAACAGAAGTCTACAAGCCACCACCCGTTGTCAAGGGACGAATACCGAAGAATGCATACGGAAATCTGGACGTATACGTCCCGAGCATGGTACCCCCGGGCGGCGTGCACATCCCACATGCTGAAGCCGCGCGTGCTGCACGGACACTAGGAATCGACTATGCGGATGCGGTGACGGGATTTAACTTCAAGGGACGGCACGGTACTGCTGTTTTCAATGGGGTGGTCGTCGCCAGTGAATACAAGGAAGCCGTTGTCGAGGTTATCAGATGCTTTGAGGATGAGAAGTTGCAGGACGAGCAGGAGCAGAGGGCTGCCGAGGTTCTGAGATTGTGGAAGCATTTCCTGCTGAAACTGAGAATTGCGGAGCGGGTAAAGGGGTATGTTGTCGAGGGCGAAGCGGATGAGAAGGATAATAGGGCCGGTATAGAACAGAGTGATGTCGAAGAGATGGGTGGCGGGTTTCTTCCTGAATCTGATGACGAGATGGCGAATCAGCCTGAACACATGGGGCATAAGGGTATGGACATGCCGGCTGATGAGGTGGGCGGAGGATTCCTTCCCGAGTCGGACGACGATTATGGCGATGGGACCAGCTCGACAGCTGGCAATCTGGACCGTTTGCACAGTAACACAAAGGGCAAAGACCCGTTACTTGCAGTACCCGACGACTTAACAGGAGGAGGCTTCATACCAGACACTCTCTACCGAAATGCAAAGCTCAACCACAGCCCCAGAACCTCCCGACCCAAATACAGCCTCATTGTCGTCCCGCGACAAACGCCAGATACTCCCACAACACACACAAAACCGGACCCCGCAACACAATCTTGGCTCCACGAGCGAATAGCCCCAGGAACCTCCGCAGCAGCCGCGATCTCAGTCGCATCATCAGTGAATGATTCCGCTTCTGCACCCGCCTCCGCCTCTGCCTCCGTGACGGCCGAACCTCCCATTGTTGTCGACTCTTCCGTGAACGACTCGGCGTCTCCGAGCGTCGAGATGCTCTCGCGTGCCCCTTCTCAAACACAGTCACGGGCGCCGTCAGAGTCTGTGGAGGTGGTGTCTCCGCAGTCTGAAGACAATGAGGGTTCGCTGTTGTCGGAGGATCCGGAGGATGAGGATGCAGTTCCCGAGTGGTTGATGTCTGATTGATGAGTCTTTTGGATGGTTGTTCTGGATAAGCATTAGCGTTGTTTGTATATAGCTTTTTGCTGCGCCTAGGACTGTACAGTGTTGTCCAATATCAAGTAAAGCATCATGGTGTTGCCCACAGGGGCTCTTGCCTTAGATTCCGACTCGGGTGCCTCGTCTTCCGGCCACGCGCAAAAGTCGAGCTTAGCTCTCCTGCTATCGAGACTATGCAGTATGTTGTGGGCGAGGCAATCGCTGGCTAGACATCAGCCCAACTGAGTCGCATACCCGTAGTGGGACGTGATGAACGGGATGGAGCAGCTGTAGGGGTTGGATTGTTTGTGTTTAGCAACGTAGAGAGCTTTGGAATAGACTGTCGGCGTCTTCTTCGAATATCGCTTCTCTGCCGCAGGAGCCTTCATAGAGTACAGGGTTGCTCTACGCGATCCGAGCTGCCAGCGATGTTTTGAAGAAGAAGAAGGCTCCCAATGTGGGGAAGAGAGTGGTTAAAAATGAGCAAAGAGTCAATTCCCTGGATGGATGGAGCTAAAGCTACTTTCAGATTACATTCTGTCTTTCTCTCTGTGCGAAGCTGTACTGGACTAGCTGGAAACTAATTGCATGACTCTGTATATCACTGGCCAGGAGATGACCATTGCCTTTGAAAGGCTTTCCAAGGGGGGTTCTGTCTCAAGGACTCAGGATCAGGTCTACTACATGGTCTATGCAGGCTGCATTTGACCTTTGTTGTTGTTGTTGTCGTGAATTTTTTTTCTTCTCATTCACTCTGCATTCACCATCCCACACAACATTAAGCGAGAGAAGAACCTGACCTTTTAATGTTTCTAGCTCCAGTTGACTACCTTCAACCCCCCATCTTCATTTCCCTTTCCTTCCCAGGTCTATGGAAATCCAGTGCCAGAGCTGATACTCCCATCATGGCCGCCCAGAGCAAGATGGTGGAGAACAGGGGCCAGGTGGCTGTTATTGGAAGTGGTCTAGCAGGCCTTGTTGCAGCGTGGGCGTTGGTGAATGATGGATATGATGTGACAATCCTTGAAAAGGTCTGTTATTTGTCGTGAAATCAGAGTTTGCGTCTAGTCTGTTACTGATGTGTTGGTCGCTCTACAGCACGACGGCTTTGCCCTCGCCCGCGAAACCATCCTGCCCAAGCACAAGTCCGCACCCACTGTTAACATCCCCTTGAAAACCTTTTCAGCTGGTTACTACGCGAACCTCTTCAAACTTCTTAACCACCTTAAGATTGAGACCAAGATCCTCCGCTTCCGGTACTCCTTCTTGCGTAGCACCAGCTCCCCCAGCGACAGTCACGATGGAACCGACAACACCAATAACACCGGCTCTGCCCCCGAGAACCCAAACCACTACTTCACCTTCTTCTCCAACTTCCACCGGATCCTCCCCTGTCTCGCTCTCAACGCCGTTGGCGCAAACCTCTTCGCCCTCCTGTGTTACCTCTGGTTCACCCTCGCCGTCTTCCTCCTCCCCCCACGCGGGCAGGGCTTCAACCACAAGACCGAAACCGAGACTCTACAAGACTACTCCCACCGCATCCACCTGCCCGAGAGCTTCCTCGACTGGTACCTCCTCCCCCTCTTCGCGTCCGTCTCAACCTGCTCGCACGCAGACCTCCGCCTCTGCCCCGCAATCTACATCACCGAGTACCGCCGGCGCACCCTGGGAGCAGACCACCGCACCATCGCCGACATGGCAGACTTCCAGGACCGTCTTACGGCTGGGACCAGGCCGGAGTTCTATTGTGTCGCGACCGGTGTAGAGCCCTACAGGGGCCACCGTGGAGATAAGAGTGTTTGTGTGATGTTCCGCAAGTACTTCAAGGGCCTTGACGATGAGGGTTTCGAGTATGATGATTTGTGTCCGGAGTATATGGATGGGGGGTGGATCTTTGACCATGTTATTCTTGCGACGGGGGTTGTGGCTGCGGGCAAGATGTGTTCTGGGGTTGGGAAGGTTGCGGAGGGGTTGAATGAGGGGAGGGTCAGGATTACTGTTGAGGAAGGGGTTAAAAAGGAGAATGAGAATGAGGAATCTTGCTCCGGCGGCAGTGAGGACCTTATTCTCATGACTCGCACTGATCCTATCCGCGGTCCCGTCACCAGCACTCTCCATCGCCACCCAGCCGGAATAAACGTTACCGTTTCGCCTTGTTCAGGACTCGAAGCGGAGGACGAAGACAAAGAGCAGAAGCCTCAGGCAGATGACAGCGGCAACGACAACAAGGAAGTCACCCACCTCGCCCGCCCCCTCCCCACAGCCGCCTCTCACAACCTCCTTCTCTCGGTCTTTGACAAGGAGAAGAAGTCACCGACTGAGGACGTTGCGCCCTGGAAAAACGGAACGGATCTAATCTATCTCGCCGGTGAATATGCGTCCGCCGGACTACCCCTCCTTGAAGCCTGTGTTCGCAGCGGCTTGGAGGCTGCAGAGGCAATCGGTGCGAGGATTCCGTTTGAGATTGTACGCGAGACTCCGTTTTGATTTCGATATGATTCTATTGGTCTGGCCCTTTCGGTTGTTCTTTTAACTACAGGGATGATTCTACTTGCTGCACGATTCCAGGTGCCGGATTTGCTTTATTTTCTTCTGTTTCTCGAATCGCCAATGTGCTAAATGTATTTGAACCACCCCACCTTCTTTGTACAATAATAGTGCTAGGACCTTGCGACTTGGGTTGAACCATGGGCTCAGGCTTATTGGTCTACTCTCTTGTATTGTCTGCATTTGAAGATTCAGAGCTAGATACGACTAGCCCCACATACTATCCGTCTCTCTCCGTTCTTATCTAGTCAACCCGGGACTTGGTAGAGGGAGCGTTGGATGCCAAATTTGGGCATTATCCTGTGATAACTACCCCGAGAGAGAACAACCAAAGTGTCTCAAACCAGCATGCCTTCTACTTACCCGTATTAGTCTCATATGGCGACTACCCCACAAGTTCCTTATTCGGCTACAGTGCTGCGCAGGTGAGATGAAAATGAGCCATCCAGCTATCCATCTGCTTCAAGGCTTGGTCCGCCACGCGCCCACCGCTCAGGGACGAGCCCTATTAGGGAAGTTTGGCTTATTGGCAATCCGAGCAGAACAAGCTAATACTTTGACCTCACGGTTCAAACCAAGCGTATTGCTGTTTCTATAACCCAGGGGACGGATGATCCGCGATAGGCAATTTCCAGCCTGAATTGGGAGACTTGGAACGCCAAGTACGGCGGAGAGGATAGAGGATGCCACTACTACCAGTAGTGAGTACGTGGTGATCGCGTCCAATGCAAGGGTTGATTCCCTGCCATGTAATATGCTTGTATGGTTTTTTACCTGTATCTAGACCAATGTACTCGCACACCGTCTCGAGTGCCTCATACTAACCTGCGTATAGTAGTGCGAGCGACGATGTTTAGCCCACCGCTGCGCAGGCTGCCCCTGAATACGCGGCGGGCAAATCAATCCAAGAACTAGTCTCCAATTAAGCCTCTCTGCACCGTTCTCGCTACCGGACGAGATCGCGAGTAGGTGAGCGATGCAAGCGTAGATCATCAGACGACGCTCTTGGCATGTGGGCAGTGCACGCACCTGGACCCCTCAACCCCGCCTCGCCAACCTCAGCCGCACCCAACTTTGTCAACAACCACAATCGTCGGAACCATGGTACGGTCTCTATTGAAGATCTGAATTATCATCCTAACATCTTTTCTAGGCCGAACACCTCACTCAAGACCAAATCGCCCAGTTCAAAGAGGTCTTTGCTGTCTTTGTACGTTGCACGCTCCTTGCTTGTGTTGTAGAGAGGGAGAAGGGGAGGAGAGGGGGCGGGGTAACTCGTCGCACTATTCGAGGCCAGAATACTGATTTACTATCTCTTGACTCTACATAGGATAAAGATGGCACAGGTGCGTCCTAGCTATATCACCACAGTCCAGTCCATCAAAGCGTTCTAACACTTGCAGGCGACATCACCGCCACGGAACTCGGCGAGGTGATGCGCTCCCTCGGACAGAACCCCACCGACACCGAGCTGCAGGATATCGTCGACGAGCTGGACGTTGACAGGACGGGGACGATTGATTTTGACGGTACACAACACATCGCCCCTTTGCTCTCCAAAACCCCATACCAACAATCTCGCATAACGCATACGCTCCCTCGGCGCATACTAACCTCTCAATGACCCGCTGTAGAATTCCTAATCCTCATGTCCCGCAAAGTCAAAGACAGCGACCCGGAAGCCGAGCTGCGCGAAGCATTCGCCGTCTTCGACCAGGACAAGAGCGGGACGATTAGCGCCGACGAGCTGCGGCGGGTCCTGCGCTCGATCGGCGACGATGTCTCGGACGCGGATGTCGATGAGATGCTCCGCATGGCGGATGTCAATGGGGATGGGAGTATTGATTGTAAGTCATGTCGTTGCTTTCCGGCAAGGCCAAATCGGGTTTGGCCTTTTTTTTTTTTTTGGGCCTGTGTTCACTGACCCGTTGCGTGATTTTGTTGTAGATGAGGAGTTTGTGCGGTTGATGATGCAGGATTAGGGAGACGGAGGGGTTGGGAGGTTCGATTTGGGTAGGTGGAGGGGATTTACGGAGTATACTTGGTACATCTAGTATCAGTAGCTCTTCAATATCCCGAGGTCTGGGTGTCGACTCATGTTTTTCGAGAAAACGGCAAATGCTAGTATGCTTGTTTGCTACGCCGCTCCATGAATGGTTACTTAGTAAATAGTAGTTTTCGCACCCGAAAGGCTCGGAGACGACCACATATTCCCTTGCTCAAACTCTGTCCACGAGGCATAGCGACCAGTACCTAGGTAACTATCTAGTATTTGGTACCAGTGGCGAGCAGCTCGGTATGTCAGGACACTCTTTTAAGGAGTAGGGACTTTAATTACTCCTTACACTCTAGCTAATTGCCATGCGCTCTGGAAGAAGGAAAGAGCGAAGGGAAGGTGTGACGGCGCACAGGAGAGGTAGACAGCTGGTCCTCGCTCAGGTACGGAGTACTAGCAGCATTAAGTATTCAGGTAGTACCAAGTAGTAGTGGTAGTAGTAATTATAGGCCCTCCCTCACGGGATGGTTGATGCATCTACGGTTCTCAAAGTACGCCACAAAGACTAGATTCACGAACGGGGCATTGTCAATATCTTTCCAGGGCATAGCCTAGACCTCGAAGCCTGAACCGAGACATACAAAACCGTGTGACGATCTAGCCTGTGTACCCAGGAGACGGGCCAGAACAAACGCAGGATATCGGATTCCCCCATCGGTGGACTATTTACTTCTTCCTCTCGTCGTAATCCAGACTCGGATGGAAGTAGACGCTTAGGTAAACGCCGCTCTGCTCGGTGTACGCAAACGACACCCACAGGATCAGCCGAGCTGTCTTTGAGATATCGAGATCGGGGCTGGATGGAGCGAGGAGGACACTCATTAGCACAATGCCCAGACAGACAGACAGACAGAGAGGTCCCAGCCGAAGAGGTCGGGAGAGGAGAACAGAGAACAGAAAGAAAGACAAAAGGAATACGTACTAGAACCCCCGTACGAACCCCGCAAACGCCCTCGCCCTCTCCGCCCACCCCATCCACTCAAAGAACCTGGCGATCCTCCCCACACAAGCCGCATCATTCATCCCGTACAGCGGGAAATAATACTTGGTCAATGGCACGCTCTCCCCACCCCGCATCTCATAATTCCACGTCATCGGCGCATGATGCTGCTCCTCGACGCGATCATCCGAGTAACTCCCCTCGCCCCAGAACATCCGCGCCCCCTCCTGCAGCTCGAGTATCTCCCACAGTTTCCGCAGGTACGGTAGGCCCTCTGTGTGCGCGGTGCTCTGCGCCCGCCCGCCTAGGCTCCAGAGCTCCTCGACCCGCGCCCAGGTTGTGTCGGATGACACGCAGTAGTACTTGAGCCGTGACGCCGCGGGGGCGATGTAGTCCCAGGAGAAGAGGGTGAAGTCGTGGTAGAGGTCAGGTTTGCTGGAGACGTAGTCGCGGACGAGGGAGAAGGCGTCGGTGCAGTCGAGTTGCTTGCCCTTGGTATCATTGGTGGTGGTGGTGGTGGCGTCGCGGACGTGCGACACTGTATCGGCGATGAGATCCCAGATGGGAACCCCGCGCGCTTTTGCGCGTGCGCCCGGGAACGTATACCCCTTGACCACGATCTCGCCGTCCTTGAAATCGAAGCCAAAGGTGTGCTGCGATTTGAGGAGCGTATCCTTGACAGCCGGGATGTCGGATGGGGTGAGGGTGTGCTCCGCGGCGAAGAGCGAGTACAGCTGCGGGTCAAAGCCCTTGATCCCCAATCTGGCGAGGGCATGTAGCAGGTCGGTCGCTGGAGCCTGGTTGAACGGGTCGCGGTCCGTCCCGGAGTACGAGTCGACTGGCTCCAGCCCGATGCGAACCATGGGATCCGCCCCGCCGTGCTGTTGGTAATTCATGCTGAACTCGATGGGGAGGCCGCTGCGTGTGACGCCGGAGATCCATCGTGCTGGGTAGGGCCCAAGGCGGGGGACGATCTGGGCGTGGTGGAAGGTGAGGTACTCGTACTGTTGTTCGAGCGGGTATCCCGAGGCCGCGAGGATTCGGGATAGGAGGGGGCCTGTTGCCTTCCACCATTGCTCTTGGTCGAGGGTTGGGAAGGAGATGTACTTGTTGAGCATCTCGAATGGGGTGATGCCTGCAGCACACTTCGCTTCTTTCCCGGTGCTCGGTGTATCTTCGGGTTTGGACTGCGCCGGTGGCGAGGTCGGGTCGTTGGAGGGGGTCTCGCTGGTGCCGGTCATCGTGGGTGTCTGGAATTGATAGCTATGGCCGAGAAAACTAGTGTATACTGGATGCTTATTCGCTTGGTCGCTATTCGCACATCCAATGACTTCAGTTGCGTGTATCGAGAGGAGGCGAGCTCGTACATATAGCTGGAATTTCAATCAGGGCTGGCCAGGGCCGGGGCGTCGCAAACGAGACCATGTAGTCTGCGGCCGATGCTGTGGTCCGATGCTCTCTGTGCATACTCGCCGCAGTCAACACCTCAACCAGAAGCACATTTCCCAGGAACAGGGAAAGTCGAACCACGGTTGAGAGCTTCACTTGCCCACGTGGTGGATGATATCGGTCAGTCAACTGGCCGAGGCCTACCGGTTATGACCCTGGGTGGACCAAACATTCCTGGCCTCTGGCTGTGGCAAAAGGCAATGTCATGCTGTCCAGCGATACCACAGCATTAATACTTTTGAGGGAGAGGAGTTGCGAAAAGACTTGATGACCCCCTTACATAGCATGGCCAATGCGCAGAGTAGCGGCGACAGTGGACACATCAGCTCTACTCACAATGTGACACAAGAAGCCACTGATCGATTGGGAGCCCTGAGTCCGCCCCCTCCGGTTCCGGTGTAACGCCCCTGATCGCGACGGTCTAGAGCTACTAAGTACTAGCCTCTACCAGCGGAGTTGTACCACTCTGCAAGGTCAGGGGTATGCCCCCCTTTTGGAACTTTTGCTGATACAGGTATAGGTATGGGCTGACTTCGAGAGCTTGAGGGGCCGTGCCCTAACTCGTGCCACTTCGTCTCTTCCACGACAATATATGGCAACTAATTTCGATAGTATATGTAGATTCATTATTTGTACAGCTGGATATGTATCTATATCTCAGACCTATTTATAAAAATGCCGCATGATATGAACAAGAACAACAATGTACAATGCAGGCACAAGCGTAGTATACAAGAACAATACACCACAACAACTGAAAATCAAACAAACCATACACTTAATCCATCATCATCTCATCGCCATCCCCATCTCTATTACGCTGCGCCTCAGCCACTGCCGCGTCAAAGCCAGGGCTGTCCCGGTTATAACCCTGCATCATGCTAGCCATCTGCTGGCCAGTCTCATCCATCTCCCCCGTAGGCAAGTTCTGGTCACCGGCTGCCGTATACCCGCTGGGTGCGTTTGCAGCCGCCGGGTCGGTAGGTTCATTTGCCCAGTCGGGCATATCAGTGGGCACGGCGAATGGATCGAATGTACTTTCTCGGGCTCCGGCTTGGGCTTGGGCTCTTCGGGCGGCTTGCGCACTGCTCTCGGCCTGCGGGGATGCTGCAGCTCCACCGTACGCTTCTGTGAAGAATTGTGGCTCACCAGCGTTCCTTCCTTGCCCTGCAGCCGGGGCGTTGGCGGCGTCTTGTTCTTCAATCAGTCGTGCGATTTCCTCTGGGGAGGCGTCGTCGGGCACAAAGTCCTGTTCGTCGAGATCTCCGAATTGAAAGCCGAGGTTGGCCGACGAGGCGTTGTCCACAAAGAGTTCTGGATCCAGGCCTCCGTACGGATCATTGGGCTGTTGCTGCGTTTCTTGTGGTGGAGCAGTGGGCTGCGGAGCCTGGCTGAAATCATATGTCGCCTGCTGCAGGAGATTGAGATTATCTTCGGTCATCAGCTCGGGTGTGCCGACAGGGCCAGCAGTCGGCTGCGGATCGTAACTGAATGGATTCCCCGGCTGCGTCGTCCCACCGGTGAGGTTGACATCAGGAGCAGTCGCAGTCGCAGGAGCAGCAGGCTGGGCAGCTGCAGCCGCAGCCGCAGCCTCTCGCTCCGCTCGCCTCTGCCTGAGGCGCTCTCTTTCTCCTCGCCGGTCCCTGATCCTAACCTTCTTTCCACCGGGTGGCGGGGCTGTACTTGCAGTACTTGCAGGGTTCCCCTGCTGGATCCTGAAGATCTCCCCGTTCAGCCTCTGGTTCTCAGTGCGCAGTGCGCCGAGTTCATTGGTGCTCGCAGTGTCCTTGTCCTGGAGGGTCTGCAGCTGCAGACGCAGGTTTGCGATTTCCGCATCCTTCCTCGCACAATCCAGCTGCGCCCTGCGGAGACCAGAGCGCAACCCTTGAGTGGTTACGGCCGTCTGCTGGATGACTTGCATCACCTCCTGCCTGTTGCTGGCCGCCAGTGCGTTCTCCGCGATGCGGGCCCGCTCGGCCGTCGTCTGCAGCATGTCGTGGAAGAGAACCATGGATTTGGTCGCGAACCGGATCTGCTTCCGCTCCCAGCCCTGGAACTTGGGATCCGTCCTGTGCGGATCGTCGGGCTGCCGAGCAAGATGGATAGTGTGGTGTGTTGTCCGATGGGTAAAGGTGCAGTCCACATCGCGCACCACGCAGGCCCTGCATGCCCACCCCGTCTTGTCGCATATGATACTCTTGACCTAAACCAAGCCGAGCACCGTCAGTACCAGAGCACACAACAGTTCCAGGGCCTGCCCGAAAGGAACCCGCTGCACGGGATAATCATCAATAACTCACCTTGCACCGGTCGCAGGGGGCAATCCTGTTATCCTCCACGTCAAGCACGGGCTGCGTCTTGACAATCGTCGGATAGTCCTGCTCGAGCTCAATCCCCCTCCTATCCACCTCACCCGGGTGCGCCTCCTCCACCGCCGAGAGATGCGCCTCCTGTATCTCCTTTGGAAGCAGCGAAACGGGGCCATAACTCCTGATCTTCCCGCGGAACTCCTGCCGGAGCCTCGGGGGCACCTCCTCGGTCCCATCCGAGTCGTACTCGCGGTCGACGGGGGTCCCCGTCGCATCCTGGTCCTCGTCGCGCTCGCCGTCGTAGTACCGCCATTTGTAGGCTCTTTGCTGCGGGTCCTGGGCGGCGACGTGCTGGAGCAGCGCGTTGCCGTCCTCGATGGCCTTGGTGAATGCTCTGATTTCGGCGTCCGAGAGGGGTCCGCGGTCGGCGGCTTTGAGCTTGGCGACGTGTTTGCGCTGCTTCATTAGTTGGTATGTGTTTAGTTTTTTCGGTTGGCCGGGGGTTTCTTCTTGGGCTTGAGCCTGGGGTTGGGCCTGGTTCTGAGTCTGGTTGTGGGCTTGCTCTTGGGCGTGGTTCTGGGGTTGGTTTTGAGGTTGCTGCTGGACTTGTTGCTGGGCTTGCTGTTGAGCCTGCTGTTGAGCTTGCTGTTGAGCTTGCTGCTGGGCTTGTTGCTGGGCCAGGCCCTTGTTCGGGGTCTGGTTTCTCACCGTCCTTCTGGGAGGCATCTTGATGTCTTTTCGGAATTGACTGCTGTCGTCGTCGATATAGTCTTATTGATCGTATGGGAGACGCTGCGCTACCTGAGCGCTGCTTCGATATACTCGACTACTTGGAGGTAAGTACGTATAGATGAAGAAGAAGAAGAAGAAAATGTTCTGGAGAGAATTCAGGTCGATGGGATTTCGCCCGAGGATATTTAATCGTTTCTCGACGAGGACATGTCCTTCTACAACCTCCTTGAACAACGCATCTTGAAAGGACCCTTCGAGTCTCTCCGTCATGTATCAGGATCCTTTACTGGACATCGAAGAGTCGGTTATATGAGACAGTATAGCTTTGTACAGAGTACAACCCACTCTTTATCCTCGAGCCGTCAACAATAAAGCACCCGAAACAGGAAATCGAGCAAAGCTTGTCTTTGAGCCAGCCAACTGCTCCAGGCTCTGATGATAATGCTATACCGGATTTAGAAACTGACAAGAGAACAGTAGATCTGGCCAAAGAACCCTTCTTTGTCTCGTGTTTGGTCTCGCATATTTTTCAACAATCATAACAATAAAGAATACTCTGGTATCAAAGGACTCGGCCAGACAAAGAACCCTACCTCGGACGCCGGCTCGGTCACGGGATCTCCACCTTTCAACAAACTAACACAAACACCCTGCGGACTGAATGGGAGGAACCCAAGAGGGCCGGATCATGTCGACCAGTGAGCTGCTTTGCTTGGGGCACTATGATACTACCTACTACGTAGGCACCCATCTCTGCATGCCATATGGCTTGCCCTTGGGTGCGGAGTTACCCGGGGGTGACGTGAGATAGTCAACTCTGAGCTCTTTTTGAAAGCATCGCTAGATCGGTTGTTTATGCCATTTTTCTGGTCGTATGCAGACACTTTCATACCAGGTCCGACTCTGCTACCTACATTAGCACTGGCCTTACTTACTTGCCAGTAGTGCGTTGGGATTGGACACTAGCATAGTGACTGACATTAAGATGGCGAGACACTGGAATTACAAGAGGTATAGCGTATTTTCTATATAGACTTCTTCCAGGGACTAGTTAAGAGGATAGGTATGTGCGTGCTTTGCATCCTCCTGAATCAGCTGACGCAGGCATGTTTTACGCACAAAAGTGAGCCCTAGGCCTAACGCTGCATGCAGCCTACTGGAGACAAAAGTCTGGCGATTTCGCGATTTCGCTAGAATTGCCCGAGGGGATTAAGGACCGATAGCTATTGTTGAGTGAGTGGCCTTTGAACTCTCTTCCATGCATATTTTTTTTTTTTTTTTTTTTTTTTTTTTTTTATAGGCAAGATTATCAAGGCAAGCAACGCACTCCCTAGTTTGGCTATCCTTTCCATGTCTGTCGGTGCTTTGTGCCTCTAGGTGGGACAGATTCCCTTGTTTGTACTAACCACCTGTCCTCTTCTACCTTCCAGCATCTCTTCCTAGCGCTAAGGGTACGATCAATGCATGTTGATAGGAAAGGGCTGCTTAGATCTCCTCGCCTGCCGGGCAGGGTCTTCCATGGCTTAGCCTCAATGAAACCTTCTATTCTAGCCTTTGAGCCTTGCTATCGTGCCTCTTTGCGATGCTCCCAGGTGTCTAGGTACCCTCGCCGAGCTACACGACAACCCTGCGCTATGGATGCTACTTGGGTTGCGCTGTCGGCGGTTCGTTATATCGAAAGGAGGGTGGGTGATGGAAACGAAAAACGCGGCTGCTTCCCCGAACTCATTCACGTTGGAAACATCGATCCAACCAAAATGGGGAGAAGACGATCCATCAAATGAGGACTCTCATCATCCATCTAACTACCAAGTACGACGCCCGGTAACCAAAGGGCCTTTCACCACCACAGTATCCTTCAGCTTGCTATACCAACCACGCTCAAGGCCCGGCCAACCTCGGAAATCATACTAACTCGACAAAATCACGTCCAAAAATCAAATGAGACTTTACAGCCTCGCCCTCACCCACCCGATCCCAATATTTCCAATGGCACCAACAAGTGCAGCACCCTGCACAGCCGAATTAACAACCGCGGCGCCCGCCCCCGCTGCCCCGGCGCTCTGCAGGGTCGCAAACGCACTTCCCGCTGCAACGTTGCCGATTGTCCCTTGGACCGCTGCGGCGATGGAGCCTGTTCTCCCGCAAAGTAATAGGTGAGCCTCAGTTGCCGACTTGGGTCTCTTGAAGAATGGATGATATCGCAGAAAGAGAGGATAAGAAAGGAAAGCGAAGGGAAGAGAAGTAAAGGGGGTCGGTCGGTCGGTCGGTCGGTCGGTCCATCTATGACAACTCACCAGCCTGAACGCCACCAGCCCCAAACCCCACAATCGACAGAGCCGGCGCGGCCACTACCGCGGGTGCGGCGATGATAGCGCTGCCGATGAGGAGGGATGTTACGAGGGCGGGGTTCTGGGATGTCCAGTTTGCGGCCTGGTATTATCACAATAGACGTTAGTCGTCGACTCTGCTAACTCTGCTATTCTGTTGGCTCTTCCTGGTGGAAGGAAGGTGTGGAGCTGCAAACAAGAGCGTGTAGAACCTACATGTCCTGCGAACTCTGCTGTTTTATTCATCGCTGGCGCGCCGTACGTTGCGGCTATCTTGGCGCCCTCGTTGAGTGCCGTTTGCGCGGTTTTGGCGCCTTGGGTGAGAAGGGTGGATGGGAGGTTCGGGATATTAGGAAGGGTGGGCATTTTATCTTTAGACTTTGGGGATAGTAAAGAGGATAGAGGATAAAGATCTGAAATGAGGAGGTATGCAGCTGGTTAAGGAGAGAAGGAAAATGGATGAATGATGGTTGATGAATGATGGTTGATGGTTGATGGGCTGGGAGTGCAGACGCGGGGTGGAGGACAAGGCGCCAAACGCAAACAAAAATTGCGGCACAGTGACAAGGCGGATTCTGGCACTGCCAATCAAATCGCAGATTTTCTTGCTGTTGGTAGGCGCTTTGTTTATTTAGCCCAGATTCTGTGATTTAGCTAGATACAAGTATTTTGTTGTTGTGTCGCTTAGCTTTGTCTAGCAACCTCCCTGGTAGTTTCTGTCGTCTGGAGACCCCCGATGCATGTATATAGATACAATAACTACATTTAGTTGTAGGGCGTAAGAATCATATAGGATCTGCTCAAATCTTCTAGTTAACTGCCCTGAAAGCAGGATGCTTTCAGTCTCCGTCGATATTATTACGCGTGGTATATCCATTCAAGCCGTGCTTCACTCCATTACAAAATCCTCTTTACGAGCCTTTTACCAGGCGTGGTATCCTGGAGCTCTATTAAAGTATCGAAGAAAAGTCGTCATTGATGAGTTGCTCATCGTGCGCAGGCCACCTAGGGACTGGTCTACTATGAGGGCGTTATGCGCGAAGGAAACAGCGGCACTGCTGGTATAGGGAACCCTGTCTTGACTCTGTCCTTCTCTGTCCATCACATGTCGCACAAGCTCAATTCTACAAAAAAAAGGACAAAAGCATTGTCTAGACGTACCGGTCACAACATTAATTTGAATAGTTGGGAAGAAACCATGTTCACGATTACATACAACATCATATTTTGGGGGGTTTCCGCCATTTCCTTATGGGTCTATAGCTTCTGCCTGGTTCAGGAACTCCTCAATAGTGGTAGCGCGCAACCCGTCGAGGACTCCAGTTCCCCATTTCAAAGCCTTTACCTCGGGGTTGTGATTCCCGTTCGTAAACCCAAGGATCCTCAATTGATGGACAGCCACCGACGGATCATTCGCCTTGAGACCTTCGTAAATGTCACCAAGGACCTCTGAAAAGGTCACCTGCCTCGACGTCCAGGCAGGATCGCGCGATTGGATCAATTGGAAAAGCTCCCTGTAGGTCAAACTCTGCCCCGCCAGGAGAGTGATCGGCGGCAACTCGGCGTCGTTGTTGATACTGTTCCGCAACACAGCCAGCACCGCCCGCGCTGTATCTGCAGTAGATGTCAAAGTCACCTTCTGCGAGCCATCGGCATACATGTCGAACACCTTTGTGCTGTGGTCCATCGCCCACGCGAGTCCGATCTCCCGAAGTGGGTTCTTCTCGGTGGGCAGGACATATTCCATAAACCAGCCGTGACAAATCATCGTCCACTTGACGCCCTGTTGTAATCGGAGCTTGCGGCGGATCACCTTTCATCGCCGCCGCTGAGGGTTGAAACAACCGCGTCACAGTCATCGAGCTTGCTCTTCAAATCGTCAACGTAGTAATCTGTAAGACGTATCTCAACTTTCAGGTGCTCGAGGCTCGGTTTCAAAGTCCTGGTCAGAACAACCACTTCGTCCTCGGACTTGCAAAATTCGGTGGCGAGTAGAAGGCCAACCTGACCAGCACCAGCGAGAGCAATCTTCATGGTTTCCGAGGTTAATGGAAGTGGGCCTCTACAGGTACTTCCGTAGATAGATATATAGTTATACTAAAGTTATGAGGTCAGCTATTGACGGCCGCGTGGGGCAAGAAGAAATCCACATCAGTCATGTAAGCGTCCGTTTGCCTAATCCCAACGATAACGGTGGGTCCTCCCCGCACAGCCTTTCAATCGGCCTCCACATAGTTTCCGTTTTGGGACAGTTTGCGAAGCCCGCCTCCACAGATTTGTTCTTGATTCGCATTCGGCGTGAGAAAACTAATCAAAGTGTTTTCTTCAGTCAGTACTCGTCCGGCATTGAGTAAATTAGCTCTAGTGTGCAAGGTATAGTGCCGAGAAGAATGTCCTACGTTTGGACGTAAAAGTCAGGGTCTTTGAAATCTCAGATGTCGACTTGGGTAAAGGAGTCTTTCCCACTGTATTCTTCTTTCCGGTGTAGTGTCGGCGAGCCAAGCCCTGGGACCTCCTCTCGATCTTCCCAGAAAAGGAAAGTGGGGGACCGTTAGTAGGAATGGCTACTGGCGATACCCAGACGAGTATTGCCGAATGGAAGGCGAGCCGGTCAGGTGAAAACAAGGGGTATGGAGTGCTGACTCTTCGCACAGATTTTTCTTGATCAAAATCTTACAGTACTGACCTAAAATTGGACATTGACATTCAGGTGAACTAGAATGCCCAGTCGCAAGCGCCTTTCATCGTTACCACTTTCACGACAATCCGCAAAGGTCCACCGAAAAGACAGTCCCGCAACTGATGTCGACGCCGAGGGGAGTGCCGAAGAAGAATTCGACAACAACAGTAGCGATGACGATTACCAACCCGATGCAGAGGAAGATCAGAGTGAAAAGGACGACCCCCCTACCTCCGAGAATGATGCGGAAAAGGAAGATTATCCAAGGCGAACCACCATTATCCCTTACGAGAAACTACGTCCTCTTGGTGGAGTTGAGTACTCTAGTACCAGAGTACACAAGAACACGCTCCTATATCTAAAAGACCTGAGGATCAGTAACAATCGCGATTGGTTCAAGAGTAAGAACGCCATTATACTAAAGCACAGTAATTTTTCTAATGCCAAAAGGCCATGAAAGGGAGTTTAGGCGAGCCATGAAAGACTGGGAGACTTTTGTTGAAACCCTGACACCAAAAATCATTGCGTTTGATGGCACAATCCCGGAGCTGCCGCCTCGAGACATCATATTCCGTATATATCGAGACCTTCGGTTCAGCAGGGACCAAAAACCCTACAAAGTTGAGTTATTCCACCATCTGTTGTTATAGTAGCATACTAAATCAAACTCTTTGTATCCTAGTCTCACTTTTCCGCCGCATTCTCCCGTACGGGGAGGAGGAGACCATATGCTTGCTACTATCTCCAACTTGACCCGGGGTCGTCATATGTTGGGGGCGGCCTTTGGGCTCCTGAGCCAGCAACTATTCACCTACTGCGACAAAGCATTGACGAGAGACCTGAGGACTGGCGTCAAGTGTTGAGCTCAGAACCATTTAGGAGCATGTTTTTGCCCGCCGCAAAGGGGAAAACAGAAGGTGCACTCAAGGAATTTGCTGTTGCCAATAAGGAGGGGGCATTGAAGACAAAGCCAAAGGTTCGCCAACCAGATTTGGGAGACAATGCAGTGGTAAACTGACCGAATCAGGGCTATGATGCAGATCATCGGGATATTGAGCTATTGAAATTACGAAATTATCACGTTGTTAAATATGTGGATGATGAGATATTTACCGCTGAGGATGGCCAGGAGAGGATAATTCAGATCATCAGCACTCTTCAGCCATTTGTAAGGACCATTCATGGCTGCGGAGGGAACCGAGCTTACCATTCATAGGTCACCTTTCTTAACAGCATAATCATGCCAGATCAGAGCGAACACTGAAGGCTCATCCAGTGTCGTCCATGTGGTACACATTCTACACATTTGCACTACTATATAACTCAAGTGCAATGTACCGCTAGCCATAAGCAACTGTTCTGAGTCGAGCAGGACTAGGTAAAATAAATTTTGATTGTTTATTCATATGGTGTAAGAAAGATATGGGCCAAGTTTGAATACAAGGAAACAAAGTCACCAAGAGAAAACTGTCAGTGTCTTTAGCATGTTCAGCACTTCACCCGCTGGTCCACGTCGATAGGTACCCCAATGTCTTGTCCAGACTCTCTAGGGTATGGCAGAGAGAACCGAATAATCCAAGTCCATTAGCCCTCGCAGGCGCGGCTATAAAGACGACTGCAGCGCCAGGTTGACATGAACGGCCTTGAGATTTGAGTAAGCATCCAGGCCCATCTGCCCCAGCTCATAGCCAATCCCACTCTGCTTGAACCCGCCAAAGGGAACCCGTATATCGGTATTCTGGTTTGAGTTAATCCAGACAGTGCCGGCCCTAAGCTTCCCTGCGACTCGATGGGTGCGAGTCACCTCGCTTGTACAAAGTGCAGCAGCGAGACCGTACTCAGTATCGTTCGACATCCGGATTGCCTCGTCCTCCGAACTGAATCGGACGAGCGTCGCAACAGGACCGAATACTTCCTCCCTGTATACCTTCATATGTTCCTGCACGTTACCCAAGACGGTTGGCGCGATATAGAAACCCCTGTTACCAGGGCGGCTGTCGGCGACTGCTCCCCCAGTAAGAACTGTAGCGCCCTCATCCTTGGCACTCTGCACGTATCCTAGGATTTTCTCAAACTGTTGCCGCGACACCTGGGGGCCGTGGTATGTTTCAGTCTCGAAAGGGTCTCCAATGATTGAGACCTTCGCAAGATATTCAAGGAATCTTCCAACGAAGGCCGTGTATATATTTTCGTGAACAAGGATGCGGGCTGTTGCAGTGCATATCTGTCCCATATTACCCATGACGCCGTAATGTGCCCATTTGACCGCATTCTCTAGCTGGGCGTCGTCGAAGATCAAGATAGGGCTCTTGCCGCCGGTCTCCAGGGTGATGTTTTTGAGACCAGTACTGGCCAGTTTCATAATTTGTTTCCCGACCAGAGTGCTGCCAGTGAATGCTATCTTGTCCACATCTGGATGCGCTACCAAAGCAGAGCCGGCTTCTGCTCCGTAACCATTGATGATGTTCACCACACCAGGCGGGAAGCCGGCCTCGGCTACCAAGTTGGCCAGATAGAGTATTGACAGGGGAGTCGCTTCCGCAGCCTTGATTACGACCGTGTTGCCGCATGCCAAAGCAGGACCGAGCTTCCAGCTGGCCATGGCAATAGGATAATTCCACCTGTGTTGTGTATATTGTTAGCACCGTACTTGAACCATGGGTGAGACCTAGGGTACATGGAACATACGGTATTATCTGACCACACACACCAATTGGCTCGCGCAGCGTGTAAGCAAACTTTGTGCGGGAGGCAGCAATAGTCTGCCCGTGTTGCTTGTCGGCCCATCCGCCGTAATACCGAAAAACACTGACAACCTCTTCCACGTCACCGAGTGCACTTGAGAATGGCTTCCCGTTGTCCGTAGTCTCGATTGTAGCGAGAACTTCTTGGTGGCTCTCAACCAGATCGGCAAGCTTCAGCAGCAATGATCCACGCGCAGTAGATGTGAGGGCTTGCCAGGCATCACTCTCGAATGCAGATCGCGCAGCCCGAACGGCCGCGTCAACGTCGTCGGCAGTCGCGGCGGAGACAAGGACGATTTCCTGCTCAGTTCTGTGGTCCGTGGAAAACCGAGGTTAGCGCAAACGCTCTGGGACACTGATGGCTAGGACTCGGGGCGGAAGTGGGTAGCTTACGCAGGGTTAATAGATGTTATTGTCTGCCTGTTGGATGATTCAACCCAGTGATTGTTTATGAACAACCCCGTCGGCTGCTCGTATTGAACGCTGTTGGGAGCAGTAATCGTCTGAGCCAGTTTAGCCATGGTGATATCTCTCGAGATTGTACCTCGTAGAAAGCCTTAGCCGGTCCGGTTTGCTTTTCTCTTATAGGCGACTACAAGCTCGGCGAGGAGTATTGAGTCAGGTTCCTGGATGTTGCCTAACATGGGGGCTTAACGAGGGGCCTATCATTTTTGTTTGGATCGAGGACTTCGCCGCGTTGGAGAGCAGGAGGGGATGCTTTGGTGCTACCAGTCCAATGGGGGCGGGGTCTCGCTTTGTGGCCAAAAGAGGAAATTTGTGGTTTGGCTGGACCGTCGAGGATCGGCCGGGCAGCACGAAACTTCCTGGGTCTTATCGGCCCCTCCAGCTGCTATCTCCAATCGGAGGCCGCAGCCAATCATATTCCTCTTCTTGGATCAAGCGTCGATATCGCATTGCACGAATCTCCGAACCCCACGATTCCCCAAACATCCGAGAAGGGGTTTCAAGCCCATCTGCAAATCTTATCTAGAACCCAGGGCTGGTCACTTGAGCACAAGCCATCATTAGCCTCGGGTGATAGGAGGGCTTTCTGAGGAGCTCCTCATGCGTCTCAAAACGCCGCTGATTGCCCAAACATGCGATGTAGGTCTCTTAATCGAGGACCAACCGCCGCCGTTAGACAACCAATTCCAGTCTACACCATGTCGAAATACCGTGTCCGATTCGCCTCCAAGCGGACCTTGCCATTTTCACATGATCTCCAGGCACCAGTATGCGCTTTATCCCTTAACACAAGCAAGTCTCGTAGTAGCGGCAGGGGCCAACGAAGCCGGTCAGGGTGTCGCGAGTGTCGACAGCGAAGGGTAAAATGCGACGAAACATTCCCGGTCTGCAAGCGCTGCCAGCGACGAGGCTCTGTCTGTCAACCGGTGCCACCGACCTCTCAATGGCTACTAGAAACCCCATGGCTCGGAGACCACTGTCGGGCCTCGGTCAGCCCTGTGCTAGATATAAACGGCAGTGTGAATCCCCATTTGATTCGGTACTGGCTGGAGAGAATGAGCCGCATAATGACTCTGGACCCGGATAATAACTGCATGTCGTTCCCGATCCTCCGCTATTTCTCGGTTTCGCCTTCTCTCATCTACGTGATCCAGTGCGTGAGCGCAGCCCATGAACAATACTTCCAGCAGCAAAAGATGGCTACCAGCTTGGAACAGCGCGGCAAGGCGCTATCATCCCTCCGAGCCGAGCTGGAAACACAAACTGTCCCACTTGCATATTCGCTTTTGACCCTGCTCATGCTCGGCATGTCCTCCTCCTGGATCACCCCAAGTCCCAGTGACTATGGGCGGGAACACCTGATAGCGGCCCGCGCAGTGGCTAATCTGGTCCTGGAGCAAGCGGCCTCCCAAGACGAGGAACTCACACACCTGACGATGGGGTTTCACGTCTACTGGGATATGGCTTGCTCGTTCTGTCTGGATCCCTTGGATCAACCGACAAGCCAGCGATCCTCGCTAGCGAAATACGTGAAAGCGATGCGACACAAATTCCACAACATCACCGCCCACTCGATGGATCTGTACTTCATGCTAGGCCAGTTGGGACGATACTGTCGCCTACTAGTCGAGGGCGGAGGTCGCGACCTTGCCTACGAGGCCCTCGCCGAGCAGAATCTCCTGGACTACGAGTCGGCCGAGTCCGAGCGCCCTGCGAAATTACTGACCGTGGCCTTCAGAAAACATGGACTCCTGCTCCTCTATCGGTTCTCTGGCAGGACTCGTGACTCGAACACTTTACCCGTCGATGCTGGACCAGTCGCGCAGATTGAAGCCGAGCTCACCATCCGAGGTCTCGCCCTCGATATCCTCGACCTCCTCCAGAAAACGGAAACCGATTCCCCCTATCTAAATCTGCATACGATTCCGGTCCTCAACGCTGGTGCCGAGTTGACCTCGCTCGACACAGAAGAGCGCAAGCTCGTCAGGGAACAACTCACGGCAATATATTCGACGAACCGGCTCGTGCCTACCCTCTGGGTCATCGACCTCTTGGAAGAGCTATGGGCTACCAACGATGCAGGAGTGACAAAGATCACATGGCTCGAATTGATGATCAGAAAGAACTGGAGGCTGAGGATTGGATGATCAACTACATGTACTTGACATAGCCTAGCCATTGAACAAGCAAAGTCAAGGAAACGTCCCCTTTCCCTCCATATCAATGAATACAGCCACATTCGCAAAATCCTCGCTGCACTCAAACGTAATTGTCTGTCCCTTCTACATAATCATCACATCACCCGGGTGCAAAGTAAACTTCTCTCCACCCTCCACATCGATCTTGATCCAACCCTGGGTGACGTATAGGAATTCGTCCGTGGGCCAGACCAGGGTGTCCTTGCCCTTCTCTCTCAGCATCCCCACCACGACCCGTCTGTCCTTTGAGCGATAGATGATCGACTTGGTGCCGTCGTACATTGGGAACGGCTCTGATGGAAACGAGTCCCAGTGGCCGTGGGGAACGGCCGTGGGGTCGATATCTCCGGTGAGGTTTCCTTGTCCCGAGGGCATTCTGGAGAACGAGTGTCGTTATCTCGGGGATGAATGAGGTGGGGTTAACTGTGCTAGGATATTCTGTGCTTATTGTTGGGTGCGCAAGTTGAGAAGAAATGGAACGACAGACGGAGTGGAGGATGTGACTTGAGTCTTTCGGTATGAAAGAAGAATTGGTGCTGGGGGAAGATTTGCCAGGACGGTATATATACCATCGGATCACCCGCAAAGCTAGTGTATGATGAGCAATATTAGTAGGACTAGGTCCATAAGCTAGACTTGCGGCCTAGCGTCAAAGACCTGCCCTTTATGGCTGGTAGGCGAAGCATGATTCAGGGATCAGTGACCAAGCTAGAATAGCGTAGGTGTTCATGCTTTCCATTCTAATTAAACATGTTCGCTGCCATTTCCAAATTGCCAGTACATTATACTTTACGTAGGCTAGTCAAACTTGGTCAGTCAACTCCTTTACACTCAGAGGGAGAACCTCTTTTTTCCCTCTGTACATGTTATTTTCATACAGCCCTCCGTATTACCTCGAGCTATAGTTTGGTACCCGATTTAACAGGACAGTACGCTCTGATGAACCCCTCAACAGTCTGTGGCTCAGCCTTCAAACCACGTGCAGTACGACCACGAGCCTCGAGTGCAATAGCCTTGAGCTCCTGCAGCTCTCGCTTCAGATCATCGTTGGTGGGTTGCCCATTGCAGTAGTTGCCCCTCACGTAATGGCAATAATCGCGCAGCCCATTCACCTCCTTCGTCTTTCCCGGTGTCGCAGCCTTCAACCGTTCAAGCTCAGGGATAAAACGCGCACTCTGGGTTCCGGTCACGCGATTATAAGTATCGGCGACGTCTTCAAAGCTCGCGACGTCAGAGATCGCCCAAATCGTGCGATTGTTATATCGCATCGGATCGAGAAGAACTGCATGCACGGCATCGCCGTAATCATCCCGCACAGAGGTCCAAGGCGTCTTGGCCATGGGGAAGAGTTTCAAGGTCAGAAACCCCTCACTGTCCGGTATGGTCGCAAAGCCACCAAAAGCCTTGCCGTAGGTCCCCATCCAGAAGATGTCCATGGCCCAGCCGATGTTGACCTCGACGAACGAGGCGAAGCCCGCCTTGGGCCCGTAATTGGCAATTGCGCATTTGTTGTCGAAGGAGAGGATCGAGACGGTGTTGTTCGTCAATTTCGCGGATTCGGGGAGACCCGAGAAGACAAAATACCGTACGTTCTGCCTGATCGCAGCATCAATGACCAGCTTCCCCATGGCTGCCTCGGGCGGACCGATCTCATTCTTGAAGTTGGCGTCGTCCGAGTCCGTATTGAGGAAGACGGCGTGCGCATCTCGAAATGCGGCGTCGAGGTCTTGCGCGCTCCACGAGTCTGCTTTGACTACCTCGAACCCTGCGTCGATACACTGCTTCGCTTTGGGCGTTGTTGGACCTCGTGTGGTTAGCCGAACGCGCCATTTGGGATTCTCTTGCAGCGATCGGGCAACGGAGCCGCCGACCATCCCAGTACCTCCGATCACGACGACCAGCTTGGGCTTGTCGGTCTCTTCGTATGCGTCCATGGCGGCGATGAAATATCTTGTACAACTTCTTTGTGGCCCAGGACTAGCATGGACGTGTGTGTGTGTGTGTGTGTGTGTGTGTGTGTGTGTATTTAAGTTGAATGTCCGATATTTGTGCCAGTGATCTATTTCACCGGTTAATGGCCATAATAGATAATTCCATGGTGCTCCACTTCCAGAAACGTGCTGTGCCATGCGCAAAATACTGGCAATCCACCCTCCAGCGAGACTTTCCTCATTCGGTCAACATCCGAGGGGTGTGCGGGGTGTGGAGCGAAGCCTCAAGCTAGTCTGGCGGCTCGTTTGGAGACTAGATGCGGTAGGTCAGGATTTTACTAATCTAGCGTTCTAGCCGGGTTTAGTGCAGGCGAGAAGAAATATAAGGCTTGGATGCTGATATCCTGCTCTGCCAAAGAGTCCTACAACGATCCCCAGCATACCGTCTACACAATATGGTAGCACGCCACGGGAGGAACGAGATCCGGGCCCAGCGCCTGGCTGAACCTCTCAAATTCAGCTTCGCCAATCGGACGGCCACCAACCGATTCTTAAAGGCGGCCATGACCGAAAGAATGTCGTCGTGGGATCCAGTCGACACCGAATCCCGGGGCATTCCCTCGGATCGATTGATCAATCTCTACCGACGATGGGGAGAGGGCGAAATCGGAACCATCCTAACTGGAAATATCATGATTGACCCGATCAATCTGGAATCTCCCGGAAACGCCATCATCCCACCAAACGCGGCGTATTCAGGGGAGCGGTTCGAACGATTCCAGGCACTTGCGTCCGCGGCCTCCTTCACGCACGCGGCTCAATTCCTGTACAAGGCCGGGTTCGATGGAATCCAACTCCACGGGGCGCATGGGTACCTCCTGGCACAGTTCCTATCCAGAGCAACGAACAAACGAACGGACCAATACGGCGGGTCGATGTATAATCGTAGCCGCCTTGTCCTCGAGATCGCGAGATCCATCAGACAGTCGATCCCAGAGTCGACAGGCTTTATCCTGGGTATCAAGTTAAACTCGGTGGAGTTCCAAGAGGAGGGATTTTCCCCCGACGAATGTCGCGAGCTGTGCCAGATTCTCGAAACAGATGCGCAGTTTGACTTTGTGGAACTTTCGGGCGGGACCTATGAAGACGTAGCCTTTGAGCATAAGCGCGATTCGACTCGGCGGCGAGAGGCCTTTTTCCTCGAGTTCGCCGACGCCGTGGCGCTGGTTTTGTCTCAGACCAAGGTCTTCGTTACCGGTGGCTTCCGCACCGTGCAGGCGATGGAGGCCGCGTTGGAGACGGTGGATGGCGTGGGCATGGCCCGGCCATTCTGTGCGGAGCCCTTCCTTGCCTCGGATACGCTGGCCGGGAGAGTCAGGACGGGCACGATTGACACTGGGCTAAGCCAGTATGACTATGGAATGACGGAGACTGTTGCTGGGGTGGAGATGCGGCAGATCAGTCAAGACCAGGCGCCGATCGACCTGACCCAGAAGGCGAATTTGGATGCATTCGAGGAGTCCGTCATGAAATGGGAGCAAGATTTGGCTGCGGATAAGGACACACTGAAAATGGCTGGGTTTCCTGAAGTCAAGGGGGCTGAGTTGCAGCCATTGGAGAGGCTCTTGGCCAAGATCTCACGCTTTTAAAAACTTCCGTCGCATCGATCGGTGAAAATATTCTTTTTCAGTAATCTAGAACTTTATTTACGAATAAATTTGGTAAATCGTCCGCTTGACCCGCTGTCTGGACTGCTGGAGGCAATGGGATAACTAAGCCGTCAGTGAACTATACAACCACCTATATAATGATTCCAGCTATTATTATGCCTTATATAGGTGTCTGACTGAATGTTTCGAAATCCAAGCCAGCCACTGGGGGTTTCGATTATCCGCCAGTGGGAACTTGGGTTGGTAATGTCGAGAATATCAAGGCATAGTTTGCCGCTTTTAACGGTGACAACGAGCTTGGTTTGGGAGTGTCTGATTATAAAGGTTTTATTAGCGCGTGGCGGAGATAGGCATATGCTAGTAGACTGGCTATCGTTGCCTTCAAGAGGCAAAGTCGTGTGAGTTGGAGTAAGACAACGTTGAGTATCCCAATATGGCATATCATAAAATCTGGCCCAAGAGCTTGTCATGAAGTTGAGATCCATGAATTATGGATAGTGAATTCTAGCTGCAGAAGGCATAGAGTCTCATTAATAGAGTTGTTTGGTGGTCCATCTCTGTAAACTCCTCCTCTTTTCCTTGATTATTATCCCTCTCCACAACCTAACCCTTTCTAAACGGCTAGAATTGACAAGCAGCCTCTTATCCAGGAAAATGTTGCTCCAGTACATCCTCGACTGTATATCTGGCACGCTCGTTGCCGACCCTCCCCTTGCACCTCCTAACAACTCTTGAAGCCCCGCGTCCATTGCGTCTGATATCAACGCCTTTTATTCTTCAACCATAACTCAACAAGACAAAAGCAATTAGTAGCCTACAGCCCCAACCCAACCAACAACATCCGAACCCCATTGTTAATCCCCAACGTCTTCTCAGCCTCATCCAGCGTCTTCATAATCTCCCCGTGCAAATGCGACAGCACCTCACGAACGTATTCAAATGTACGCGCAGACTGCATAGCGTCCAGGATATACGTCTTGACCTCGTCCTGCAGACCTGTCGATGGGACGCGGTTGTATAGAGCGGAAGTGATCCGGTCCGGGCACGAGGTGTGGAGGAGGAGGTGGATGAGGGGGAGCGAGAATTTGCCCTCGTCGAGGTCTTCGCAATAGCCCTTCTTTGTGGTATACTTGGCTATTGTTAGTAAATATTGGGAAAAGAAAATACACGAGGACTGACATCAGCTGAAGTAAGATTCATATAGTCATCTCGGATTTGGTAGTAGCGACCTATCAGGGTGAGGAGGCGGCTGAGATGGGGAGTCGTTATGGGAGAGGGCGATTCGGCTTCCATCAGACGGGCCATCAGACGGAAGAGCCCGCCAGTCTTGTTGTCGACCATCATAATGTACTCGTCTGTCGTCGGGCAACGGCCGTGGTGGCGCCAGTGCAGGTCGAGGCTCTGACCGCGGTGGAGGTCGCTGACTTCCTCGAGGAAGATTTGCAGACATTGCGGGTTCTTAAGGTGAGTGGCCTCGATGACCGTCTTGACGTAGCTAAAGTTGGCGCTGTTGATGGTCTGGCTGGCGCCGTAGAAAATGTGGGTTGCCGGTTGGCCTCGACGGAGAGGAGAGGCGTCTTCAATGTCGTCAAGCCTGGAAAATTAGGGCTAGAACAACTCAGCGCATACAAGGGGCGTACATTAATGATGAGTTGTGCAACATCTGGACAATGTTTTTGATGATTTGCAGCGAGTCGGACGGCACGTTCAGCCAGGAGTTGAGGATGTTGATGAACTTGTCACGCATGTTCTTGGATTGGAGAGAGTCGATGTACTCGTACGGAGCATCGCAGATCTATCTCGGTCAGGTCAGTGCACAAATACAGCCCAGGAGCGACACGTACATGGCTTGGAGCCTTCACGAAGGGACCTGAAAAGGCGACCATGGGATCACCGCCACGTCCATTGCTTTGGTTGATATTGTTCGCTTTTGAAGCCCTCCGTTTGGGTGCTGACTCTGGGGAGCTGGCCGTCCGCTTCAGCCCCTTTGGCGGAGGATATCCCTCCATTACGCGAAAAGCGTCCCCCTGGCACTTCCCAATAATCGTAGCCCGATCCTCTGCTGTGGTAATGAGATCGGTGCGGTGGTACCTCGCGCCGTGGGCCATCCAGAACATTGTGCCCGAGTAGAGACAAAGGACCATGGTCAAATACTGGATCAGGCCGCGAGACTTTTGAACAGGGCCGTTCAACCAGGTCAGGTACATGTCCATGAACTGCTGCTCCATCTTATTGATCTCCTTTTTCAGGATCTCGCGCGCCTCCTCTTCGCTGTAGCCATATTCCCGCATCAGCAGGGCCACTCCGTTCTGCATCCGCTCTATCGTGCCTGCTCGGGAGTGCTCATCAAACTCCTTGTTGAAGCTGTAGTAGTCGTTGGCCAAGACTCCAGCAATGCCCCCAATATCGATTATCTCCCGTACTGACTCAATCTCCTCTGCGGTGCACCGAATCCCGGCGCCCCACGCTCCGAGTCGAATGGCCCATCTGGCAGAATTAGCGTGCGAGCGGATGCAGCTGACTGTTTTGCTTACTCTGGGCCTCCCTCAACCAGCCGATGCTGCTTGAGCTCCTCCCAAGACATGTTGGCATGTGAGCTCCTGGCCTGGCCATCGAGATGGGCCTTCCACGCCTTCATGTGGTTTAGCCCAAGATCCCCGTCCGTTCCAGCGAGCTTGTTCAGCACAAAAGGCACGACAAGCTTATTGACCGCCAGAAGCGGCTCGTGCTTCTGACCAATCCCCACCGTTGACATTATAGTAAGGATAAGATCCTTGGTGGCCTCGTGGTTTTTCTCCATCGACATGGCGTCGGTAGCATCTGCAAAGCAAAGGTTCGTCAATGCCTGTCTATAGAAGAAAAGACCCTACTAACCGTCCCAGAAGAATCCCCAGTCGCAGTACGCCGCCACATGTGCTGCCCGCTCTGGAAGACACTCTGGATACGCCCATGCAACGTAGTTTCCGTAGATTGTGTTGCAACCCAGAAACGGGCGCCCATCGTTTCTCAATCCGTCCTTTTCAATCGCTTTGTTCCAACCATCGAGAAACTCATTTGATCCTTGAATGGCCTTGGCCTCGTAGCGAGAGCGGTACATGGGATAGATGCAGAAGAAGTCCTTGATCGGAGGCTCAAAGCTGCGCGGATCACAGGGATCGCTGAGCTGGCAGATATCACGCAGTGCCGCGTCCATTCTGAACTGTACCAAAGGGTAGATCTCAGAGTCACTGCTGGATTGGGTTACAGGGTTAATGGACGAGGCCCCTTTTTAGAGTCGGGCACCATGGCTGAGAACCGAGTCCACAACGGCGTTTCGAGAAGAAAATTGCGTCGAGCAAGACCCGTTCCTGATCAGCTCGGGACGATCTTTATGCCACCATGAGACGTCCAGTGTGCCCCTGCAACCCACCGTGTGCATGAACCCGGCTTGCGTACCACTTGGAGTACTCGCCCCTTTTCAACACCCGATAATCACCGCGTCAGTTGAGGAGATGTGCAGTATCTTGAAAGGGCATGTTGACCGCGTAAAATGAGGCCTACGGTGCCTGGTGTATAGACTTTGAGACCCTGCGTAAACCGTTGGATGTTGTGTCGGCCACGCATTGAGATACTGACTACAGCCAGCACCATCAGGCCCATTGGCAAGAGCTCCTTGCAGACTCCCCCCATAGTCCATAGGAACTACTCACAAACTGACTCGACGCCCCTTGGGGTCGCCGTGTAATCCAATCTTCGAATCAAACAGTGATGCTTGTCGATCGCGCATTGTGTATCCTGCAGTCAACGTCAAGCAGCTTGTCGCCCGCCCCGGCCAGAAAAAGGCCGTGCAACAAGGCTGCTGCTGTCAAGTCAATGTCCGCACGACTGCGCTCTTCCGACCTCCGACATCGCACGCTAGGTTGCAGGTAACCTATTGGACACAGTATTCGCTTTCCCTTATTCGAATGGCAGTGGCTCGTGTGACGGCACCCGGTGCAACATGACCATCCGGTAGGCTGCAATCTGCCCTGGATACTGGGTGGTAAAGGGGCAGGGATCGTGGTGCAGTGTGCTTCACATGGTTTGGATGGCCTATTAACGGACAGACTTGACGTTTGCAGCCACGCCTCTGCTGCACTGCACTTAGTATATGAGATGGCAGGGTCGCGGAGTGATATAACCAACTCAATGGATATTTACGTCGTCGGGCCATTCGGACACGCGATGGATCTCCTGCCTAATCCGACGAGGCCCTTCAGCGGCCGGCTTCATGGTGTGCCCTCCCATTCTTGTAGAAAAAGGCCGCAGACAGCTAAACAAGGAAAGAGCTCTCCGCCCTCGCCCTGCAGCGACCCCAGCTGGTCATCACAACACTAGGCGCTCTTCTTCTTGCCGCGTTCTATCTCTTGCCGTCAAAGGATCCTTACAATCTGAAGAGGATACCAATGGTCTCCCGCTCGCGGGTTCTCGATGCCTATCGGTCCGGCGTATGGTGGCGATTCATCCTCCCGCGGTTTTATCCGTACATACACGAGGGATATCTCAAGGTATCGCCACTGCAATCATGCTCCCTTGTCCCAGCAGGCTCTGATACGCATCAGTACAGCACCAAGGACAGGCCCTTTAGGGTCTGGCTTGCACAGTTCCAGATATGGGTCTATATCCTGCCCCTGAAATATCTGCCTCTGGTCAAGAACCAGGGCATTACCGAGTTAAGCCTGCGAGACTTCATTGACAAGGTGCGCTTCTCACAGCCAAGCGGGATCTCTTTGTTAACCGCGGACAGGCGACTTCTGCCCAGCTCTCCAGCGGGAGCTTTGACACTTTTGAAGTGCAGGTTGGCTCGAAGCTGCTCAACGGGAACCTCATCGACATCAAGCCCATTGTGCAGACCCGGACGGAGCAGATCCTTGAGCGCGTCATTGGGAGGCCCAGGGAGTGGCGCAGGTTCAACATTCGCGCCCTCAGCGTGCAGGTCGTGAAGCACGTCTCGGCCCGCATCGCTTTCGGCGAAGCCCTCGCGGACAACCCTGGGTTCCTCGATGCCATGGAGCGCTACTCACTGAATGTCATCCCCTACACCCTGGTGTTCCGGTATTTTAACCTCGGGCCCTTGCGGTACCCGCTCCTCTACCTGATTCACTTGCGCCAGCGACAGACCCTTGCTGTCGCCACCCGCTACGTCACCGACCTCATTGCCGAACGACAGCGCAAAGAGAAGGAGCACCGCTTGGACGGTGATGAGAGGCCTGTCGACTGCATTCAGTGGTCTATGGATCAGGATATCCCCGACGAACAAAAGGCCCCCGAGGCTGTCGCCCATCGCCTCCTTCACATTTCTGCCGCCCTCATCGACGCGCCCATTACAAGCATGATGAACGTGCTCGCCGACATCATCTCGTATGCGCGCGACGAGGTCCTTGATGATCTGCGCGCCGAGATTGTCGAGTGCCTCGCCGAGTTCGATGGCGCATGGACCGAAGCCTCCATGGCAAAGATGAAGAAGCTCGATTCGTTCTTCCAGGAATCCTTCCGAATGACCTCGGGCCTCATCCCTTGTACGTCCATTTGGCTCCAATCGCCCCTTTCCTGCTCATTTTTCTCCTAGTGACTGGCTGGCGCCTCATCAAAGCCGACTGCTTCCGCTTTGACAACGACCTTGTCCTCCCCAGAGGTTCCACGATCGTATTCCCGACGCAGTGCATTCAGCTGGACCCAAACATCTACCCCAACCCTGACAAGTTCGACTACCTGCGCTTCTACCGCATGAAGGAGCATACCCAAAGCACAGATGCCCGTACAGGCAAGGAGGTTCCACGCCACGAGTGGCTCAGGTATGCTGATCATCTACTCCCAGGGCCATTGATCCTCCCACTGTCATATCCGAAATGAGGTCTAACGGCACTTCACTAGCTTCGGCCATGGCCGCCAGGCATGTCCAGGCCGGTTTTACTCTATCCGCCTCCTCAAGACCATCCTCGGCGAGATGATGCTCCGCTATGACATTCGCTATGCCGGCGGCGATCGACCACGCCCACCGATGATCGACCTCGAACCAATCCTGGCGCCGGATACATCCGTCGAGCTGGAGTTTCGAGTCCGGCAGAACGTGACATGACTTGGCCTGGCCTAGCCTGGGTAAATCCCTTGATGACTTGATTGGTGGTATGTATGCTCATAAACTGCCGCGCACAACCGTTGCAGAACACGCACGCAACTTGGCTTTCCCCTTATCGAGCATACTTGGCGCTGTTTTCAATCTAGTCCTGAATTTGCCTCATATAGTAAATGCTCCTAGCGGGGCATCTCCACATACTATCTAGAATTGGTATTCACCTATGTTATCATTGCAGCTCATGATCCCATCAAACGCACGCACTAGGTGACGTACCTTCAGACCTTGCGGTCTAGTGTTCACTACTCAGTATCTCCTTGCCCTCCCCATTCAACTTGAATGTTCCTCCAGAATCTCTTATGGTTACCTCAAAAGTCACACATGTTCATGGTTCAGTAAACCAAGATCGCATATATCTACCGTTCACGGTCACACCACTATAGCATATCCTGCAATGTCGCGCAGCTAGATAAAGAGAATGGACAAACGCCAAACCAAGCAAGATTGTGAGCTTTGCCAGGACATTTCTTCTTGGCTGTGCCACCCCATGTGGCACGTCGTACAGACCGCTGGTCTAGCTCTCTCGCAGAAGCCATATCTTGACGGCGCAGTGGTACGTGTGTACAGAGTGAGATAGAGCTGTCTCCCAGCCGTGACGCGGGCGAGATTTCAGGGGTAGGCTTGTGAGGACAGCGGTTGGTCTTGTGAGACGTTGCTTCTCCTTCCGATATCGGCAGACGTACAGTAGATGGGCTGGGCTCAACCTAGACGTTTCGCGGTGCACGATATCATGTCGGATTGTTCATTCGATCTCCAGAGACTCTGTGACTTGACTCAGTGCTCTGATTGGAGGCAATAGTATTATTACGGCCAGTCCACTCCTCGAGAAGTCTGGTAGAGTCCACTGTCACCGAATGAGACGGGCCCAGCGTCGCTAATTGCACCTTGAGACATTCTCGGACTAACTTTGTGGCCTCGCTGTCTCGACCCTGCAACTTCCAGAGGCGGGCTAAGCCTTCTGTACCAACAAACGTTTCTTGGTAGTGTGCGCCGCTGTGTTTTCCTGGCACTTCAAAGAGCAGCCTCTCGCCCTGTCCTACCCAGTCGGTTTTGACGACAGTGCCTAATGCCGACGTGTTTCCTTATACTCGGGGCCCATTCAATGTCGGTATACTCTTAATCGTGTCAGTGTGCTCAGGGCGTAGAGCTCGCCTACCTGTCTCCATAACCAACAGCATGATGTCCTTTGCGTCATGCAGGCGACCCTGGATTAGGTATATGGCCGCAAAGACGTGATGGCTGACACAGGCTAGGAATGATAGGTACTCGACGGCCAGCGCATTCGATGAACGGACCTTCCGAAAGCACATCAACCAGGTGGAGGCAATCGAGTTGGTCATGACTTCATATCTGTAGTCATCGTCGAATCCTTGACTGAGCAGCTCTACCGTGAGGCTTTCCTGTCCATTGAGGAGGGGGAGATACTCCTTTGAAGTGACCATATTCTCGTCCATATAGCTTACAGCTTCTCCCAAAGCCGAGGACAACAAGCATTATTGCCGGTTTACGGTCTATCATGCAATCGAGGTCGACTAGAAGCGCCTCGAGCAGGTTCAACGCCAATTGATCATCGAATTCGGCAACTCTGGTAATCTCACGTCCTCCCAGACGTGCTGCAAATTGCTGGTTCCGCGTGGTAAAGACAGTAAACCCCCGTGGGCTGTGCGAAAGAAAGGTCTTCCACCCTGGAGACGAACTCTTTGACATCCACAGGCCTATGTTGTCCGCATTGTCCACGATTAGGAGCCAGGTACCGGCCTTTTCCGAGCTCAAATCTTTCACCAGGGATTTCTTGTCTGATTTCCCTTTCTCTAGTCCGAGCTCAATGCTCATGGCCATGAATACTTGTTCCACGGCCTCGACACTGGTTGAAGCAATCCAGAAAACTGAACAGTCGCGAGTCCCATCTTGCATGTGGTCGGCCAATTCGAGCACTTTTTTTTTTTTTTTTTTGAATTCCTCCCAGACCCGTAATGGCTGCCTTCCGTGATGCACCCTTGCCTGTCACTAGCGCCAGTAAGTGATTCAGCTCTCTTTCGCGGCCAAGAAAGTCTGGATTCTAGTTGAAGGGGACTCTTGACGGAGCCTTCTTTCGGCTGGATTCATCGCCCTACCCTGGGACGAACGAAAGTACCATTTTGCAAAAGCAGCTGCAGTCAGTGCAGTACAGCCTTGCCACCCTTTGTTCTTGTGTGTATCGCAGTAGTCGCAGATTCCACGGACAAGGCAGGGGAGGTAGTCTATGATTCTTGCCGCTTCCATGTCAAAGCACAATGCGTTGACGTCTTTGGCAATTCAATCCCGAGTACATCCGGGCTTCATGATCTGGTTTCTTGAAGCAACTATCCCGTAGTGTATCCGCGGACCCTTGAGATCTCGAGCAGACCTCTTAATCTGCATATTAGGATCGCAACCGGTACACGATGCATTTATGTCGGGTGGTCGTGCGATGTATCAAAAAGGCAGTCGCTTGCTAGCCTCGAAAACTGGCCTTTCATGGCCGGGTTCTCAGAGAGTGCTTTCCCAATGGTTTCCATTATACTGCGGTCATTTCTTCACATCTAGCTGGCCTCTACCTGCGAGACCGTAGCTAAGAGGCTCGGCGGTGGTTGTTTCAGCGTGCCAATCCTGTGGAAGCGTCCCTCGCCCACGGTTTTGCCAAAGTCGTACTGAACAACTCCTCCACATGTGCCAGTCGGCTTGCTGACAACCACGTCTCCCAACCGGATGTCTACCGTATCGCTTGGAACGCCTCCTCCAATGCCGCCCATGAGTCCAACGCGCACATTGGAGAAGTTCGCCTGTAGGTGGCAGACTGGCTGGCGAGGTGCCATATCCACCCGATGGAAGACATGCTAGAACGACGTTGTGGCTGTCAATGTTTCCGAGGGTATCGCTGTACTGCGCGGGGAATGTAGCGCCGAGCTTGGGATGGATTTCATCGAGGACGACTGTTCCCGCGGCAAGATCGAGGGGGAGAGCGCAGATTTAGGCCACCGTGTAATCAGAATGGGAAAAATCTGTCGCCATTGCCGCGCGAGACTGTAGGCGTGGTGCGTCTGCATGCGAGGGTAATGCTGGGTTGCAATTGATGCGGCTGGGAGAAATGAGAGGTGCGTGAGGCAGAATTGAACCCGGGCCCGGCCATTTGGCATGGCTGCCAAAAAGGAAATGCCAGAAACACTTCAACAGCTAATTGAGGGCGGTAAACTGGGTCTTTGTAACGACAGTTTGGCACAGAGAGCATGAGCTCTGAAGATAAGCCAAGACCGCACCGGCTTAGAGGGTGGATACATACATATCAGTGGATCTGGAAGTAACACCCCGCCGTTCTGCCAGCAAAGATACAGAAACCACAGAGAACTTCAAGTTGAGCAATCATTTGTGTTAGACATGTGCATAGTCCGAGGCAGCGATTGTGCATTAAGTGATATATTTATTCATTGGGAATCATTATAAATATCGAAAAATCATCTTTTCTCCGCGTGAACTGCGCCATCGATTGGTATACTCGAGGAGCTCCGGACACCCAGCTACGACCCAAGGCCATCTCCGCAGAAACTGTTCTGACACTTCCCAGTTCTGAGGATCCGTGGGATCTCCCCACACGAGCAACCCGCAAGATTCGTCCCTCACGTCCCAAAAGCCCATAATATCGAGACAGAGCGGATGATCATCAAAGTCTCCTGCCATAATCAAGTTGTCCCGTATCCGAGCAAACGGGAAGAAGTCTAGCCATGGGTGGTGTGACGTCGAGAGTTGGAGTTGTGTGGGACGGAGACTGACCGGCAGTTGGTCCTCCGTGTGATACCCAGGAAGCGAGGTGCAGAATGGTGAAATGGCCTCATCCTCCATCCACTCTGGCCCGGGCGACATGCCTAATGTGTACATGTTGCTCATGAAGGCACGGAAAACGTTGACTTTGCAGAGTGTTAGAAGGTGGTCTGCGGACGGGGACCCATTGACATAGCTTTCCACGGCTCTTTGGCTGAACCGCTCGAGAAGCTTATCGATTTCATCTCCAAGAAAACACGCCCGACGTTCCCATTGCGAGACCAGAGGGTTCCCTTCGCTTGTGATACTCGGTGGTGACTCTGTTGACGACGATCGGGGTAGTAATGTGACTTCGCCGGTAGCGATCAACTCTTCGATTTGCTCTTGGACCGTTCTCTTCTTTTGCATCGCCCGTTTCCGTTGGCCTAATCAGCGCAACTTGTCAGCACTCGATATTACAGAAAGGGCAACCAGGTATCGGTGAACTCACGAAAAGCGCGCTGATTCAGGCGGTTTTGTCGCTTTCTGCGCTCCTTTGGGTCGCCCAGGCCAGCCCAGTCATCTTCCGCTTCCACAGGGTCTTTTCTGATGGCGCGAGGCCATTGCGAGCGCGTCTCCACCGATTGGGTATGAAGAACCAGGTCCATTTTCAGTTAGAATGCAGCTGTCAGCGGAAATTTCGATCGCAAGTCAGCGTGTCGCAGGCGGTTGGTCTGGAATTCCAGAGGCCTAGCGGGTTTTAATGTGTGGAGGCGAAGACGGGGATTGGGGCCGGAGTTAAGCTTAGGACCCGCTGCTGCTGACAGTCGCTCTCTTGGCGTGAGTCACTTTCATCATTCTTATTTAAACTCGCCCACTTTCCTTTCACGCGCGGAGCCCTGATAAGACTTGGAACATACGATCTGCTTCTGTCGTGCCCCTTATGTTGTGTTGATTGGCTGATCTTCTGGTTGATTAGAAATGCTGAGTGTGCGGAGTCCACGACGTCAAAGGCGCCCCGCATACAAATCCCTCACCTTGCCCGGTTGTGAGCCGTTTCGCTTGTGTCGCTCGTATTCCCCCATCGCTTTGTCTCCCTGCCTTGAGAGAACCCGTCGCAAGTTCAGTTGTTCGACCCGGAGTTCCGAAGCCGAGAACCGCTAGGCGAGAATCAAGATGCGAATGGTGTCGACCAGTTTCCCCCCGCCATACCTCTCCTGGAACGGGGCAGTTTGAGTCCCAAGATTGCACTCTTCTGTTTCCGACATCTCGGGCGGGGGTTCGGTGATAGCGTTCGTCTTCGACCTATCATAGTGGCTCTCTGCGAGTAGCTTCTCTTGGAACAGGATTCTGAGCGCTCGTGCAGGGATTTTTGCCCAACCACACACTGTTTTGCCAAGGAAAAACTCGCGTTGCGTTCGAGCCCAGGTTACAGGCGACTCTGGACTCAAAACGTCCTCGCTTTCTCTCAAGCTCCAGAAAGGAAGTGCCCCCGACTTTGCCGCTGTCTTTCTCTCCTCTCAAAGCGAAATAATCACATTTTCTTGACGAGCGACGAACAATTTTCTGTCGCTTTCATCTTCCATTAACCAACAGACAGGCCGGCCGCCCCCAAACCTCGTGTCGGTATTAGATCAATATGCTGGAGAACACTTGAAACAATAAGCGAATGGATCGGTATCCCGATACCTCGGTTCGACATATTATCCTTCTTGAAGAGCGGTCCATTGAAGAACTCACGCGCGTTAACTGGAAAGCTCGGGCCGTTCAAACAGCTTCAGGCCACTCATGCTCTTTGATCGCGTTGATGTCCTCAAGTAACCGCTTCCGAGACGGTCGGAGAGCACCATCATCTATGTCGGACGTGACTATGTGCCATACCGGCCCTTCTTGTCTCAGGCCCGGCGGAACAATTGCGAAGAACGTAACGGCGATTTTCAGACCTGAAGGGAAGTATTACGACTAAGCAGCGGGTACCCCGCCTGCGATTACATTCTCGACGGAGAACACCCTCGTGCGCACACGGCAATAGACTCGATTGGATTGGATCAACATCATATAGCTCATTATCTCCATTGTCCGGAGTATCGCCGAGCCAGACCGCGAGGCAGATCTCAACTGTCATTGCCTCCAAGCATTGGACGCCCCCAAGCCCAGAGCTCAAAAGTCATCTCGACAACAATGGCTCGAGCGAAGAGTCGCTCTATCAACTTCAAGTTCTCATGAAAACATGGCGTTCAGATATCGGAGGTAACTCCTTGATCGCAAAGCCCATCAACCTATTTTCTAGCTTCAAGTCTCATATAGTAGGTAAGTCAGTCATCCAACTGAGGCTCATCCTAGGGTTCAATCGAGTACTCGTACCGACAATCCCACACTTTGCATGCAAACAAAAATATAAACCAGCAAGACCTACAACGTAGACGCAACTCTGGGGACTTCGCAGCGAGTGCTTTTCACCAACAAACTGCCTATGCAGAGGCCAAAAGGCGTAGACAGTCTTGAACGCAAATATGCTCCGCGCTTGACCATCAACCTCTAGACTATTACCATTCGCCGCTGGATAGGAGCTCGTACTGCCTGTTGGTGCGGGGTCAAAGCTTCTTAGACTGAGCTTATAGCCCAGGCTAGTCCCCTCGTTGACACGGTTAAGAGAGCGGATAGTAGCGGATAGTGGCGAAGCCGTATCTTCGGACACTGCTCAAAACATACTACTGGCCATCACAAGGTATCGAAGCATTAAGCATCGAATTCCTTAGCACCGAACTGTGATACAAGTTCTATCTCTACGGTGAGGATTGCCAGAGCGCGAAGCAGTAACCAGGCTCTCGGCTACAGCCCGGTTATATACTTCGGCAGCACGTGGCAGCAAAGCAAGTTCCCTGGAACTTCAGGGATTCAGCAAACGAAAAGTCAGTCATTACCGACCGAAATATTGGGAATGATGACGTACGAGGCAGAGATCTTCAAGAGACGGGCTCGGGTCTCCAAATGGTTGTTGCCCTTGTGACTGCTCCATCAACGGCCAAGTCGCTCTGAGCATACCAGGTGGTTAGACGTCCTATGCCTTCAACCTGCCTCTTCAAAGTCGATCGCTCACCTGCGTCTGCGCCGCTCAAGTCAAACGTCAAATTATATTCGTCTTCTCCGTTGATCTTGAGTCATTCATGATTGTCGATTCTGGGGACAAGGATCTGGGGTCCTTGGTGGCCGGCTCGGCGTTGGAGCGAAGTGGGGTTTCCACCCGACTAGCCTCGCTCTTCCATCTTCACCCTCAATTCGGTAGACAATTGGAACAATTGACCGAGGAAACGTGTCGGATCTTCGTGAGATGAGAGGTAAGAAGCGGTAAGTACTACATACTTCCAATCCATGACATAATATCCCTTCCATCCCTTGCGCAGCACAAATCCCATCTGTCGATGCCTTGTGGGTATACCTCTCTCCGCACTTTCTCTGAAGCCTTAATTTCGATTAGGCGTGCCGGCGGGGGAATAGCATATGTCATAAGAGCACCTAGTGAGTGACAGTGCGATGGTGATATCCCTCGCATGCATACCTAGATCCATGCAGTATCGACAAAGAAAAGCGTTGATCATCCACTGCTAGTTCTACAGAGTACCTTCGACTACTCGTATATTATGTCAGAGCGTCAGTCTTCGACTCTTCGCATTCGATAACTACCCATGGGAAAAGTTAAAACTAATGGTAGCCTGCTATCTGCTTTTGATCTGCCACGCTATACCCCAACTATTTGAGTTCTGACATGGGTGCGGAGGTTTCCTTGTCTGCAGATGCAGCCGCTGTCACTTTGTTTTCATTATTCAGGGTTCAAACTTGCTTGTTTGATTGGATAAGTGCATATGCAGTCTACGGGTCCGAGTGGCTGTCACTGTTGTACGAGGCTACGATATCCCTTTCGATGGGACAAGAGAAGACTGGAGGGAAAATAAGAATTAGGTAGGTCATAACATCATTCGCGATATCAGCGAGTGCGCAAACGCAAAGAGGAAGCAAGAGTATACTATCGAGAAAAACACCCCAAAAAGCACCAACTATCCAATGAAAAACAAGAAAGAAAATCAAGTCCTCAAAACCCTCTTCACTTCCTCCAAATAATATTTCACCGGATACGACCGAATCGACTTTGGCAGAGCCGGGTACACCGCAACCGAGAACCCCATCGTCGCTCTGTACATCCCCCTCGTCCCAACGGTACTCTTGAGCCCGTACGCCTCGCGGATCCGCACGGGCAACATCTCCACAGTGACAACCCGCATAAACGGCTTCATGTAGCCAACCCACCGCGGCAGCTCCGTCGCATGCGCTAGATCATGCGCGAGCTTGTGCGCGTCGCCGGAGACGCTCAGCGTCTCAATCTGGTCGTCCCAGTATCGCCAGAAGTCCGCGCGGGACGCCGGCCACAGACTTGCGGGGAGGACGACCGGGTCGAGGCACCGGAGGATCAGCGCGAACTCGGCGTAGCCGCGCTCTGCGGTGCGGTAGTCGACGCGGCCGTAGATGCGCTGGTAGAAGTCTGTCGCTGTTGCGTAGAGGGTTGCGAGGAGCCAGAGCTGCGTGTTTGGGTCTGTTGCTGCGCTGGTGGTGGGAATGGGAAACGGGGGTTGGCCGAGGCGGAGGCGGTCGAGGAGGGCTTCTTTTTCTTCGCGGGCGCCGAAGACGAGGCAGGCGATGTAGCTGAGGGTTGCGTGGAGGGTTGTGGTTAGGTCGTCGGCGAGCGAGGGGGTTGTGCTGCTGCTGGTGGTGGTGGTGTTGTTTGTAGGGTTGCTTTGGCTGAGGCGGTTTTTGAGGCCTGGTTGGGCGGCTTGGAGGAGGAGCGCTGGGCCGGATGCGACGAAGAGGATGCCCTCTTGGAGGATTTTAGGGAGGACTTGGAGGTTGTCGAGGGCCGTTATGTCGGTGATATTGGTTTTCGGGGCATGGCTTGTGGATGAGACCGGAGAGATGCCGTCAATGTTGGGTTTCTCGTCGAGAGACATGGTGGTGGCTCCCAGGGGCTGATGAGTCGGAAGGAGGTATACGAAATGGTTGAGGATGGAGTCGGGGGATTTTTTTGCGCAGTGTTGTACAGAGCCCTGGGACGGCGAATTCAGCGTGGCTCACTGCACGGCATTCTCAACGCCACTTACCTAGTTGACCAGGATTTTGCGCGCAACAGTCGAAGATATCGAGAATCAGAGGGACTGACACGGGCCCTGGGATCATCGCCAAAGTGCCAGTTCCGGTATGCTGCCCGAAACTACGGGCAGAGATGGCGCTGGCGGTGGATCCAAGAAGCTTAAATGGTTGGAAGAACCTGGGGACGGATTGTCGGTTCCCCGCAGTGGTTTGGGTGATATCACCGTTTGGATGGCAAGTGCCGAGGATGGCTGCGGCGCAAGGGGACACTTTCCAGGGAGCAACACAGAGAACGCAGTGTTAATCTCCGCATGTGAATTGGGGCCCGAGCGCGCTTATTGGATGAGGCGAGGAACCGAATTGAGATCGGCCTGTCGATCTCTGCCTTAGCGTATTTCTTGGTCTTGCAGGGGCTCGACAATACTCTCCCCAAGCAGGAATTCTCTTGAGGTCGACGTCTCCCCGCATTAGGTTGTGGAGTGACGAGCACACGTCGCATGGCATTTATCTTCTGACCGTTGCTGAGTTTGTCTGAGCGGTTCTGAGCTGCTCCTGCGTTGTCCTGAACGGTATCTCGAGGAATGCCCCGTCATGTCGTCCAACGGGTCTCTGGTTGAGAAAAAGGGGTCGTCGCCCGACTCAAAGAACGTCCTGGGTGCCTATCGAGGGCCGGTTGCAGGCACTGACGGTGTGGAAATCGAGTATGTCGAGTCTGTGCCTGGCGATGTCTCGCTGGTCGACGACCCAAAGCCCAAGAAAAGCAAGAGGCAAAGGTTTCGACGGCACTGCGCCCGATTCTGGTGCTGCTATCTCTTCTGGAATGTGATTTTCCTGGCCATCTTTCTGCCCATCTTGTACGTACTCGCCTTGAGAACTGGAAGAAGAAGAAACTAACACGAGCAGCTTTCTCGTCGTCATCCCTGCCGTCGCGCAGCTGGTTGTAAACAAGTCAACGCTGCTCCTGGTCAACGCAACCCTCATCCAACCACGCCCCGACTCTGTCATGCTCACTCTGGAGGCTGCTTTGGATCTTCCGATTGAACTCCCCGTGCGCATCGAGCCACTTGTTTTAGAGGTGTACGACAAATGGACGGACGGCAACAACACCATCTTCTCCTCTCGCATTGACGGCGCCACCGTCGACGGGAATACCACGTTGGGGGTTCAGAATAGGTTCACTCCGCTGAATGTGCCTCTGTGGACCGACTATGTCCATCGGGTGGTGACCGAGCCGAATGCCCCTTTGCCGGTGCGCGGTTCCACGAATGCATACCTGGGGATCCTGAAGAGTCACGTCAAGGTGGACAAAGACATTCACCAGCATAGTAAGTCTCGCCGTTTAAAGCGCCACGCATGGATTTGCAGCTAACCCACGTAGCCCTGAACTCTTTTGCTGGGTTCTCCATTGATGACCCTAAGCTTCTCCTCAGTCCCCGCGAGGACGGAGTCAACCTGATTGCCAACGCGACCTTGCCCAACCCGTCCGTTATGACACTCCAAATCGTATGTCTGATTCCCTTAATTATTAGCATCGCACTAACCAATCAGGGAACCACATTACTCGATCTCAAATCCGGCGAGTACCTCCTCGGCAACGCAACTATCGACGACCTCATGCTCTACCCAGGCAACCATTCCGTCCCCGTCGAGGGCATCATCGACCTCGACTATTTGATCAGCAACCTCGGCGAAATTCTCAAAACTCAAAGCGACGCGCTCAACCGAGGGTTCCTCCGCCTCGAGGCCGTCGGCCGCAACGTGACCTTTAACGGAGTCGAAATCCCATACTACGCCGAAGCGATGCGGAAGCTCACTCTGACAGCCGACGTCTCGCTTGGGTCGTTAATCACGAATTCAATCGATGGAATCCTCAAGCCCAACGGGACCAACATCTTTGCGAACCTGACAGACCCGAACGGGCCGACGAATATCCACGATATCATCAACTCGATCGACGATCCGGACAACAGTTTGGGGCTCAACAATAATAACGACAATAGCGATGACGAGTCCCAACAATCGTGAGTTGGCGGTCTGTTGGTTTATGATTAATGATGTATATAGTTGTTCATGATTGACTTTTGCCAACCATTTCCTCTTTCGCTACCCGTGGCCGCCCGAGTAATTCAATCGTATCAATCCTGCAATGACGTGAACGTGATAGTATGCCCATCTGAAGACGAATCTCGCCGCTCCAGCTCCACTGGTTCCTGCTGGAAGATCGATTTTGTCGACCGACCGCCGTCGATCATGATGCAGACCGGCCATTGTCCATCCGTGAATAGCCGGTGGGGCTCCAAGAAAACCACACCCATCCAGTCGCATTGTTGACATGACATGTTTGTTTACTACACTGCAGCCCAAACCTGACGTATCCGATCCACCGACCACTGCAAGATGTCGCTGTGTTTGCGATGGGCTGAAGGCCAGACGGTGGCTGGCTGGCTGCGACGAGAATCTGAGCTGGTTTATTTAAGGTGAAGGATTCCGCAAGTCACAAAGTGTCGGTCAGCAAAGCTCTGGCAAAACTCTGGCAAAACTCTGGCAAAAAATCTCTGAAATTACACGATCGGCCGCAGGACAACAGCGAAAACCATGGGGGAATCTCTCTGCCTCGACCATCCATTCGCAATGGCTCCAGCAGAGTACACAAGATCTGTCATGGCCTCGTTTTCCGACCTGCGATCTGCCAAAGATGGAAACATTGTCCTGGACGGCCGCACCCTCCGCCTCGGGGACGCCGTCGCTGTTTCCAAGTAAGCCCCCTTCTAACATTACTATCTAACCAATTGCAATGGAACTGACCTCGCAGATACGGAGCCAAGCTCTTTGTAACCTCCAACCGCGATGTCCTCGATCGTATGGAGGCCAGCGTCGCCCTGCTCAACGAGCGCCTGGCGACAGGGCGAGTTGTGTACGGCGTCAACTCCGGCTTCGGCGGCAACGCAGACACCCGCACGCACGCCCACGAGGATCTCCAAAAGGCCTTGGTGCAGCATCACAACACGGCTGTATTGCTCCCGTCGGATCGGGGCCTGGGCTCCTCGTTCATCCTCGACAATCTGCGCCAGCATTCCGTCCCAATTCCCATCGTCAAGGCGGCCATGCTTGCACGGTGCAACTCACTTCTCCGCGGCCACTCTGCCGTGCGCGTTGAGCTGGTGCAGAACCTCGCGACGATGATCAACGAGGACTTTATTCCTGTCGTCCCTCTGCGAGGGAGTATCTCCGCCTCGGGTGACCTAACCCCACTCGCATACATCGCCGGGGCACTCGAGGGCAACTCGGACATCTACATCCACTGCGGCGCAAAGCACAACAGCGAAATCATGACCGCCGACAAAGCGCTCGCGCAACTCGGCCTCGAACCCCTCTGCTTCCAACCGAAAGAAGCCCTCGGCCTACTAAACGGCACGGCCTTTAGCACGGGCGCCGCAAGCCTCGTCCTGCACGAAGCAAACCAGCTCGTCCTCCTCTCCCAGGTCGCAACGGCAATGTCCACCGAGGCCCTCCTGGGCACGCGCCAGAACTACGACCCCTTCATCGCCGACGTCCGCCCGCACCCGGGCCAGCGCGAAGTCGCAAGTAACATCCACCGCTTCCTCTCGGATTCGGGGCTAACAATCGACCACGCGCACACGACGGCAACGAATGATCTAGCGCAGGACCGGTACGCGCTCCGCACCGCCTCGCAATGGATAGGACCACACGTCGAGAACATGGCCCTGGCCCTGGCGCAAGTCTCCACGGAACTAAACTCCACAACCGACAACCCTCTCTTCGACGCGCCAAACAGCACAATCCACCACGGCGGGAACTTCCAAGCCACATCCATCACGACCGCCATGGAGAAAACCACATCCGCAATGCAGTCCCTGGGCAAACTCATCTTCTCGCAGTGCTCGGAACTCATAAACCCCATGCTCAGTAAAGGGCTCACGCCCAACCTCTGCGCCGACGACCCGTCCCTCTCCTACGCGCTCAAGGGCGTCGATATCAACATGGCCGCGTACATGTCTGAATTGGGGTACTTGAACACCCCCGTGAGCAACTTTGTGCAAACAGCCGATGTAAATAACCAGCCCGTGAACTCGCTCGCGCTCATCGCCGCGCGGTATGCGGCGGATGCAGTCGAGGTCTTCGGGCTCATGCTCGCAAGCCACCTGTACGTCCTCTGCCAGGCGGTCGATCTGCGCGTGCTACATGTGCGCTTCGAAAGTGTCGCAAAGCAGACGTTTTGGAAACGAGCCGCGGGGCAAATCTTCCCGGCTCTTTCGGAGGAGGATACTGAAGGGCTGTGGACGTCGCTTATGCGCCATTGGAACCGCCACTCGACGCTTGACCTTGAAGCGCGCGCAGAGACCGCCGTCGACCTGGCGACGGGGACGCTATTCGCCCTCCTCTCCTCCTCCTCCACCACCAGTGCCAGTGGAACTGGAAACCAGGACCAGGGCCAGAACCTTCCGGCCCTCATCAAACAGTGGCAGTCGACTACATCAAACATCCTAAAAGCCACCTACGCCCAGACCCGCTCCGCACACTTCGAGGACCATACCTCGATAACCCCAATACATCTCTGCGCTTCGTCGCGCACGGTCTACGAGTATGTGCGCAACACGCTCGGTGTGCCTATGCACAGGGGACTCGAAGATCACCCGACGTATGGGAGTGGGGATAAGGCGGGGAAGAGGACGATCGGGTCGCATATTTCGACGGTTTATGCGGCGCTACGGGAGGGTGGGTTTATGGAGGTTTTAGAGGAGTGTTGGGGTGAGGGGCAGTAGACTTGAAGAGAACGAAGCTACTTAGTATATGTATAGATCTCGGTGCGGGCTGATTGGGTTGTTTTATTTCCTTCCCCTCTCTATCCTAGAAACTCAACTCTTGTGTGATGATCATGATAGATGTTCTATTCGCAGTCGCAGTCCACTACCTCTTTTGCATATTCCTCCAGTCTATATCCCTGAAACCTATCCCTCGCGTCTCGACAACATTGACATCAGATAATCTATTGATTCTCAATCTTGTTGATCAGAGTGCCAACAAGCGGCGAAAGCTCCACGCGGAACTCATCCCCTCCCTTGAGGAACTCCTTGGGGTTCTTGGCCGCTCCGACGCCCGGTGGTGTACCCGTCAGGATGATTGTTCCTGCGGGGAGGGTTGTGCCCTGTGAGAGGAAGCTGACGAGCTTGGGGACGGAGAAGATGAGGTCGCTGTGATTGTTAGTTGTGAGTATACTCGGGTCGATGCTGGTGAAGGGGTAAAGTAAGCGACGGGGAGAGAGACGTACGTCAATTGGCAGTCCTGCATGACATTCCCGTTCTTCAATCCCTTGATCTGGAGTTTCGATACGTCGGGGATTTCCTTTGCGGAGACGAGTGTTGGGCCTATACAAAGCACGGTTAGTTCATTTTCATCCATTCTATCTCACTCCTCCCCTTCTCAGGTGAGTCGAAGAATAAAGGTTGGGTAAACTCACCAATCGGACAACTCCCATCAAACCCCTTGGAAAAGCACCACTGACTCTGATTCATCTGACTCGTCCTCGAACTAACATCATTCGCAGCGGTATAACCGAGCACATACTCCATCGCCTCGGCCTCATTGACATCCTTCGCCTCGCGACCCAGCACAATCACCATCTCGGCCTCGTAGTCGCCCGTCCCATCCGCCTGGGTGATTTTGGGAAGCACCGTTGGCGCAGGGAAGGGGTCTGCTAGTGAAGAGCTGGGTTTGAGGAAGAGGGTCGGGACGGTGGGGATTTCGAGGGACATTTCTTTGGCGTGGGAGACGTACTTTTGCTCAGAGTTAGATTGGCGGTCTACTGCGAAGGGGAGGGCAAGGTGGGTAAAGAGGGAGGGGCGGCGGTACATTCAACCCGATACACCGGATCGTTCCAACTTCGCTGCTGGCCAGTGGAGAGAGCAGACGGCCGATAGTCTCTGTTATCCCCGTCGCTGAGCCGGGGCTCAGCACGGAGGACCCGCTGAATGCGCGCACGGGGACGTCTTGGTTGTTGTAGATTGCAAGACCGACATCGAGCGATGCGTCGACTGGCTCGCCGATGAGAATCCTCGACGGATTTGATTTGGGTGTGAAGCGCACGAGGCCTGGGATTTGTTAGTTGTGGTTTCGGTCATTATCTAGCAGAGAGTCGGGGTGGGAGCGACGTACGGGAGAAGGTGGCAGCGATTTTGGACATTTTGGCGGTTGGAGGTATTATCGATTGGAGATGAGAAGTGAGGGGTGAGGGGATATTATAGCTTATTACTCTGAGCGAAGTCGGAGAAAGACTCATCCTGTATAGATGGACGAGGTGGGGAAATCGTGGGATTCGGATGAGCCGAGTGCCACTTCTCCACAATTCGTGGGGATTTCCGAGTTGCCTACAAAAGGGCACTTTTGGCTGTGAATATGGTCATTTTCATTGATTCTAGAGCTATAAGGATAGTAAAGCGATTTAATGTGTATGTAAGATACCGAGTTGCGCGTCCCTCTTGAGTGGAAAGGGTACTTTCCGTATCCGATTAGGGCATGGGTCGTTCTTTCCCTTCGTACCATTAATTTTCGACAAGGCAGGTGCTGTGAGCCGCACATGGGTCGCTCCTTCCTGATAAGAATCGTAGCTATAGTCACCCAGTGAGGAAGGAGCGACCAGCGATGACACAGGATAGTATAGTCGCACCTTCCAGTTCGATGGATAAGCGGAGTTAACTCAGTCTTCTGCCGACACAGTTGCTGCTTGCCGTATACTTGTGGATAGAGAGTTGATAATTCAAGTTGCGATTTAGGGCTGTCGTCGTAGTTTCATATCCACACCTGTGTCTATAAAAACCGGCCAATTCACTAGTTAGGGCTTACACAGGTGCCTGGTCTGTCGTACACGCTCACGGAGAACACGGCGTGAATACTGCGAAAAGTATGAAAGTTTGCTTGTATCGTGGAATAAGTACGGATAGTTCTAGCTCTTAAAGTACTGATCTATAGAATGTGGCGCTTCTCGAGGTCCAGCATGAGCAGCCCTATGCGGCAGGCATTGACCCTCGACGTCTCCTCTTCATCAACAACCACCTTCCCTTCTCAGCATCAAAGTCTTCGACTCACCCCTCAACAATGATCACTATCGCCCCCCTCGTCTCCATCACTCTATACGTCTTAGCCCTCGCAGAATACGCGCTTATCGAGTCCATCACCAACTCTGTCCTGCTCCCCGTCTACAATCGTTTATCAGCTGAATTCCCCAGGCTAACTTGGGGAGTAATACTCTACATTTGGGCTGGACTGACCTGGGTCCAGGCGTGCTACGTAAGTTGGACCCTCTCTTGTTCTCTCGCAGACGGCGTACGTAACTAACCTACGCACTCGAATAGGCCTACCATCCTGGGTTCAGATACCGCGTGACCTGGCCTGCATATCAATGAGCGCCATTTGGTCGCTGCTACGCTCTTTTGGTCTAGATCTTGTGGCATACTGCATCTCTTATCTGTATACATTCGTCATTGTATCGTCCTCCTCTATTACGAGCCACGAAGCGTCTCTCGGCAGAGTAGGACGAATCTATTCCCTTTCTCGGATTCCAGCAGAGCCACCGTGTCAGGCTAAATTGTCTGCGCCGCTCTCGGTATGTTGACGACCCAAGGTTCTGCTCTATATCTACGTCGTATACTAACTCGGCACCACCGCCATAGCGCCCACTTTTCGTCTTTCCCTCGCCGCCGCCAGATCGTGCAAAAAGCAACCGACACCCCGAGCCATCCTCTGCCTCCTTCATCCAACTCGCAACGAGAAAACCGCCATCTATATCCATCCACACTCCCAAATTCTAGCAGCAATACCCCCACCTCAAGCTTCCATCGCCCCTCCAGCCTCTCGGCTAGAAAGGAAAGAAAGAGAAGAAAAAAAAAAGAAGAAATGTGCTGGGAATGGCTAATCGACCACATCCCCTTCCTCCTCCCCGAATGGGTCCGCCAAAAGATCGAAAACTTCATCCTAAAAGTCGCCCTGACCTACTACGAAATCGGCATGTTGCTCGTCCTCCTCTTTGCCGTCTACTGGGGCTCTCTGCTATCCATCCCCGCAGTCGCGGGCGCGCTGATGATGCCGATAGTCGAGGATGTCTGGGACACCATTGGGCGGCCGGTCTATGTGCGTGTTGAGAGGAGGTGGCTCAGGGTGCGGGGGGTGGTTGAACTGTATGTGCCCAGGGTGTTTCTGTTGCCCGTGATTTGGTGGTGGAGGTGGGTTTGTTTGTGGTGGTGGCTTTGGATGCGGTGGTTCCATTTTTGGGGGAGTATTTTTTTCTACTTTGCGGACCTTCTGGATTGTATTATTAATTATTAGGGTTCACAGATGCTGAGATAGGGATAGTTGACACTGAGTAGTATAGTATTAATATGAGGCAATACTCTTGTTACTCGACAGCTCTTTACCTCAAACACGGGACATAAGCATGTAGGTTATAGAGAAAAAAAAACTATATAAGCTGTTCAGGATAATGCGGCTGTATAAAGAGTAGATGCAAGTCTAGCACCTAGTTCCAATCCAACCAACACAGCTAAACCAACCTCCGATCCCCATCCTCAACTTCAAAATCGTCCCAACTCGGCCTATCCGACCCATTCGGCCGACTCGCCCGCTCAAAGCTATTATCCACCCCATCAATCTCCGCAATCGGTCTCACCACTTCAATCTCCGCTCCATACGCTTTGGAATACCACTTCTCCGTCAGAGCCTCCTCCCCGGCACCGGGAGGGAGATACAGATGCGGGAAGCGCTTCTGCATGCCCTTGAGTACAGTCGAGGAGATTCGATCGACGCTGTCGCAGTGGCGCAGTTTGAAGAACTCTGGTGGCTGCGACGCGCGCATGGTCTCTTGCACGGCGTCCGGGTATTTGCCTACGGCGAAGAGGAGGAGGTCATAGTGCATGAGGGAGGCTTTGCCATGGTACGAGCCACCGTATTTTGCGCGGTTGTAGAGGCCTGTTAGGGCGGCGATGGCGCCCATGCAGCCTGTGCCGTAGTCGGAGATGGGGAATGGGGGGACGACGGGGGTGGAGAGGTTCATGAATTGGCCTTGGGCCCAGGCTATGCCTGTTACCTGTGTTGTTGCTTGTTAGCTTTTGTTTTCCCGCATTGGGTTGCTTGGGGTTGAGAGATAGGAGGGGCGTACGCAATCGGCGATTTGCTGCCAACCTGGTCGGCCGGCCCATTCGCCTTCGTAGCCAAAGCAGTTCTCGTTCACGTAGACGATGCCTTTTCCACGCTTTTCGGCGAGAGAGGCAAGTGTTGTTGGTCCATAGCCGAGGCGTTCTAGGGCTCCCGGGCGGTACCCGTCGACAAGTACATCTGCATCTGCGAGGAGCTGCTCAAACACTTTGCGGCCTTCATCGGACTTTAGATCGAGGTCTGCGGCGTGCTTGCCCATGTTGCCGTCTACCTGGAAAAAGGGAACGTCGGAGAGGTTGGGGCTGGTGATTTTCAGGACATCGGCTCCGTATTCTGTGAGGATGCGGGCGACTGTGGGCCCGGCGATGATTCGGCAGAGTTCAAGCACTTTAATACCCTTGAGGATCTTCTTGCTGTCGGACTCGGGGAACGGTGTTGGTGGCAAATCTCCAGGTAGTTTTGTGACCTTCCACGGCGGTTGCTCGACATTGTGTTTTCCCTGCGCTTGTCAGTATTGATCCAGCAAACGGGTATCAATGACATACATGAGGGGTTTTGATAAAGTCCTCGTGCTTGAATGCTGTCACACCGGCTTGTCTGCGCTCCTTGTTCATCTCTTCCAACTCTGCAGCAGAGTACTTCTGCACCTTGCTCTCAATCACCTTGATCACATCTTCATAATCCGTCAGATCGGGACGGTGGCCCTCGAGCCCGATCATATTCAGAGTCGTCGTGGCCTCGAGAGAGCCATGGATGTGGAAGAACTCGCCCTCGTTCTTGGTCTTGTACAAGTTTGCCGACATCCGGCGGTACCCATTCGATTGCGCCGCAAGCAAGTCGGTATCTATAAAAGTCAGTTTTGCTGTAACTTATAGCCACGAAATCCGTACCTTTCAGCTTCTTCTTCACCTCGGGGTCATTCTTGGCTAGTCCGTCGACCTTTGCCATATACGCCTGGCAACCGAATGCCGTCGCGCGTTCCAAGTTGATCTTGACGTTCCGCTTCTGCCCAGCCGGTCCATATCGCAAGTCCGCAATCGCAGCGGCAACAGAGCCCTCCACACCTTTCAATGCCGCGAGTGTTTCGGCCTCCTTGAACGGGATCGGAAAGTAGATCTGGTCATGCGACGAATAGAAGGACACGGCATCTTGTCCAGTAACCACCTCCTCGGGAAGATTCAGACGCTCGGCTTGGTCGCAGAGAAGCGAGAAGATACGACCCGCCTCCTTGACGGGTGAATAAGAGGCCATCTTATCTATAGTTCATGCACCAATTCCAACTTGTAAACAGCAACGCTCGTGCTAAGGTCGAAATCCAAGATTGGCGGAATATAGAATCGGATCAAGTGGGAGAAGCGCTTTAAATGACGTCTCCGGTCCAATTCCGAGAGGCCAGCATCGGGACTCGCGCGACAGGCACTGACCGGCAGGTATGCGACGCGAGAGCGGCATTGGCTTTTGCTAGCCGCGCAGAAGGCGAATAAAAGACTGCTGGGCCAATTTCTTCACAGTCAACCCCGCAATCACTGCGCTTCCGAAGAGTCGGGGCGGATAGAGGCAAATCTTCGGATGCGGACCGATAAGATCGGAAGCCTCAAGACCACACGTGACTACAGGGGAAGCGCCACATCACGTGAGTTCACGCTCTGTGCCTGAGGCGAGGAACCGCCGTAATCGGAGCGTCGACCAATCAGCGCAGGGGCAAAATAAGTTACCGAAATTATTTTCGTCCCCGACTTTTGCAGATTATTTCTCCGCAATTCATTCTCGACTCACCCCCTCAACTCACCAGGCCGAGAAGATGTTGAGACAGATCGTCGGGCAACGGGCCTCGCTCCGGACGGTATGTTGTATACCAATTGCCCTGCAATCACTGCTAACCTCCCCAGTTGGCACCATGCCTTCGTCGCGGCCTTGCCACAGCCTCGGACTCTACGCCCACCTCCTCACGCATGCCTCCCTACCCTAAGATCGTGCAAAACCTCGAACAAGTGCGCAAGGTCCTTGGGTCATCCCGCGCCCTCACCCTCGCTGAAAAGATTCTCTACTCCCATCTCGCCAATCCCGAGGAGTCGCTGCTGACTGGCACAAACAATGGACGGGATATCCGTGGACAGGCAGACTTGAAGCTGAAGCCCGACCGAGTCGCCATGCAGGATGCCTCGGCGCAAATGGCTCTGCTGCAATTCATGTCCTGTGGCTTGCCTTCGACTGCAGTCCCGGCCAGCATTCACTGTGACCACATGATTGTTGGTGAGCGTGGTGCCGACACTGATCTGCCTGCTTCGATCGAGGGAAACCGCGAGGTGTTTGACTTCTTGGAGAGCGCGTCGAAGCGCTATGGAATTGAGTTCTGGCCGCCTGGTGCGGGTATCATTCACCAGAGCGTCTTGGAAAACTACTCTGCTCCCGGTCTGATGATGCTCGGAACCGACAGCCACACCCCCAACGCTGGTGGTCTCGGTGCGATTGCCATCGGTGTTGGTGGTGCGGATGCCGTTGACGCTCTTGTCGATGCTCCGTGGGAGCTCAAGGCCCCGCGCATCCTCGGTGTGAGACTTGAGGGCAGGCTGCAGGGCTGGGCCTCGCCAAAGGACATTATCCTGCACCTCGCTGGAAAGCTGACTGTGCGCGGCGGAACCGGCTTCGTGATCGAATATCACGGCCCCGGCGTCGAGACCCTTAGCTGCACTGGCATGGCCACCATCTGTAACATGGGCGCTGAGGTCGGCGCCACCACCTCCCTCTTCCCCTTCTCCCCCAACCACGTCCCCTACCTGCAGGCCACCCATCGCGGAGACGTCGCCGAGGCCGCAGCCAAGATTGCCGCTGGCGGCCCATCAAGTCTCCTGCGCGCCGACACCAACGCAGAATACGACCAGCTCATCACCATTGACCTCTCTACGCTCGAGCCCCACATCAATGGTCCCTTTACCCCGGATCTCTCAGTCCCTCTCTCCCGCTTCGCCGAGACCGTTCGCGAGAACAAGTGGCCCGAGACCTTTGGCGCCGGCCTCATCGGCAGCTGCACCAACAGCTCCTACGAGGACATGACCCGCGCCGAGCACCTTGTCAAGCAAGCCTCCGCCGCTGGCCTCACCCCCAAGGCGGACCTCTTCATCACCCCCGGCAGTGAGCAGATCCGCGCAACACTCGACCGCGACCAAACCCTCTCCACCTTCTCCTCCGCTGGCGGCACCGTTCTCGCCAACGCCTGTGGCCCCTGCATCGGCCAATGGAAGCGCACAGACAATATCCCCAAGGGCGAAGACAATGCCATCTTCACCTCGTACAACCGCAACTTCCCCGGCCGCAACGACGGCAACCGCCGCACAATGAACTTCCTCGCCTCCCCCGAGCTCGTCACAGCCCTCACCTACGCCGGCACCACAACCTTCAACCCCATGACCGACTCCATCCCCACCCCCTCGGGAACCCCCTTCCGCTTTGAACCCCCCACAGGCTCCGATCTCCCCTCCAAGGGCTTTGAAGCCGGAAACCCCGCTTTCCAACCCTCCGCCCCCGTCCCCAACGCCTCCATCGACGTCAAAGTCTCCCCGACATCCTCCCGCCTCGCCCTCCTAGAACCCTTCCCCCCATTCCCCGAGGGCGACCTCCAAAATCTCTCAGTCCTCTACAAGGTCCGCGGCCAGTGCACAACAGACACCATCTCCGCCGCGGGTCCCTGGCTCAAATACAAGGGCCACCTCCCCAACATCTCCGCCAACACACTCATCGGCGCCGTCAACGCCGCAACCGGTGAGACCAATGTCGCCTACGACGAGGACGGCTCCACACACAGCATCCCCGACCTCGCTGCCAAGTGGAAGGCCCAGGGCCGCGAGTGGCTCGTCGTCGCAGAGGATAACTACGGCGAGGGTTCTGCCCGTGAACACGCTGCCCTGCAGCCGCGGTACCTCGGTGGCCGCGTCATCCTGGCCAAGTCCTTTGCGCGCATTCACGAGACGAATCTGAAGAAGCAGGGCGTTGTCCCGCTTACGTTTGCCGATAAGGCAGACTACGATAAGATCGATGCGTGCGATCTTGTGCGCACCGAGGGTCTGTACGAGACGCTAAAGAACGGTGGCAAGGGCGAGATTACGATCCGTGTTACCAAGAAGAAGACTGGTGAGGAGGTTGTTATCCCGGTCAAGCACACATTGAGTGCGGATCAGAGTTCGTTTATTCTTGCGGGGAGTGCGTTGAATGTGCTCTCGAAGAAGCAGTAGACTTGTTTCTGGAGTAGATTGTTGTCCGCTTTCGGTTTTCTTGTTGCACTTAGCTTGGCAAAATGGTTCGGGTTGTTGTATGCTAGTTGGAATAGCCCATGAGTTACTAGTAGAATTTCATACATGTTCAAGATCAGGCTTAGCCTCATCTACACCATTCTGTAAGATGTGTTCCACGATGTATTCTTCCGGGTATAGCTACCGATTACCTGTCTACCTAGACTACATATCAAAAGCAATCATAAAATCAGAGAAGACCGCTGGACTCCATACACCGAAAGCGAGTTGACCCTTAGGCCTGAAAATCAAAGAAGAGAACTAAAAATCATGGGGAATATAAGAGCCTCAGTAGCTCCAAGTCCTTTGCAACAGCCGGACTATACGCCGCGCAGTCCTCCAGGAACCGCAACATCTCCTGATTCCACTGCTCCCATGCGGGCGGCAGTGTCGCACGCACGCGAGGGTCGGGTGAGTGCGCGATACAATAGAAGAGGAGGACTTGGCCGAAGAATCTATGTACAAGCCGCATCCGTTAGCGATGGGGCTCATGCGGGCTGATCGGGTGATAATAATAGGAAGGACGAGGGAACTGAGTTTGGGATTGGTCAAGGGAAACGTACTGCGAACAAAACGCGAACTTGATCGGAATGCAACTCTTCATATCCCGGAATACACCGAGGATAATGGGCCAATTCATCGCGTTCCGCAAACCGCTGCGGATCTGCTCGAAGTCGTCTTCCGACAGGTGTGATGGGATGCGGAGTGCTTTGTACAGGTACGGTCGGCTGATGTGGAATTTGGCAATCATGTACCGGCCGCGGAGCATGGCTTCTGAGACCGCGATTGCGGGAGAGAGCGGTCGCGTGGTGGTGCTGGTGGTAGAGAGATGAGGTGATATGGGGTTGTGCGGCGAGGCGATTGTTGCTTCTGGGGAGGTTGCGAGGGAGAGTGTGTCGGAGAATTGGAGGGCGGGCGGGAGGTTCAGCCGCCATTGGTTTAGTTGGTGGTGGAGTTCGGTGTTTACGGCTGGGAGGGGGAATGTGCCTGATTCGGCTATGGTGGAAATCGGGTTAGCTGACAAGTCTATGATGTTCTCAGGGGCACTTACAGTAGAAGTAGAGTGAGTGCCGGATGCGGGTGAGGATGATGCGGTGGGCGACCTGCGCAAGGAAGTGATATTGGAAGAATGAGTCGTCAATGTCGTCGGCGGAGGAGTAGCGGGAGGGGACAAAGCCCAGTGTTTCGAAGCCGATGAATTTCGGGATGGGGACCACCTCTTCAAATCGTGACAATCCGCTTGGTGGGAGATGTAGCTCTTGCACAAGAATGGTTTCGTTCATGAGGCAGTTCCAATATACGCGCGACTTCATGTCGCCTTCCCATTCGTCGAAATTAACCTCATGGCTAGGGAGGCAGTTAGTGGGTGGCTTAGCAAACTATGATCGAGCAGAAGACATACTTTGTAAGGATTGAAAGGCAGCCAGTGGCAGCACGGTGAATCATTGCCCAAGAGTCCATCGGACGGAGGATTTGTTGATAATAGATCCTGCAACAATTAGCCACGCCTGAGATAATAGGGACAATACATACGAGGACAGCAAGTAAAACTGACAACTCTGGATATCATTGTCACACATCAAGAACCCAATACGCCGACGAGCCTCGTTGAAAAAGCGTAGACCAGGCGTTTCCTCCTGCACCACCGGTAGCCACTCTGGGGGTTCAAAATGACTGCCCCGTGTGCCTGGCAGCGGATAATCGCCTTCGTGATGAGCATGAACAGCCAAACAACCCAGCGCCATGATGTTCAATACAATACAGCTCTCCATGGTATAGCCAAAATCACTCTCAATCGCCGCGCCAAGCGTAAAAGCGAAGTAAAAGTTCTTGTCCATGATAGGCGTAAAGGGGCTGAATGTGGCGAAGAAGGCAGTCGATAGACCCTTGATCATCGCCAGCGGAAGGGTCTCCAACCAGTCGTCGCCTGCTTGCGGGGGAAACGGGTAGCTGTACATGGGTAGAGGCGCTCTATGCATTTCGGTGTCAATCACATAATTCTTCCCCAGCTTCTCGTGCGCGTCGAGGAGTCGTGGCGGAAGGATATCCTGAGCTCCTGGCCACAAGACGACTCCATGCTGACTGAAGGAGATCGACACCAGACCGTTTGCATTCACTGCATTGGGCCGCTCGTCGAATTCGAAGACCTCTGGCTCTCCCGCTGGAGTCAATGTTTGCGGTGTTGAAAGAGACGCATGTTTCGCATGTTTCGCAACCGGATGGGTCACACGTCCAGGAGTGCTCATCTCCATGGGCCCATCCGGCGCTCGAGGCAGCTGTGCCTGGAGAGACTCAATCTCCTTGCGCACATTGACAGGAACATCCTCCAACTTCGTTTCCAATCGATGCAAGGTGCTCATAATCAAGCTGAGCGAATGATCTCGTCTTCTTGGCGTTAGTCACAATACCTCTCGAACGTTGCGGTAGAACATACTTTGACGTTTTACGCTCATTGTAGACACACTGTATACCCAGCGACTTGCACAAGCCGCACTTGGGGCGAGACTCGTCGCATCTGGTCTTCTTGAGCCTGCATGTTTCACAGGCCTAGACTCGGGTTACTTGAGCGACATTTATTTACGGAGGGTGCACAAAACCTACCACTGTAGCGATAAAGTTCCGAGGCTTTTTTGATGAGCCAGAAGATTGCTGCTCCGGGGTTGGAGACAGAAGGTCGTTGATGGGCAGACCGTTGTTGGCGTTCTGGCTGATATGGTCGTCTAGCGGTGGAGAGCCACCACGAGATGTGGGTTCATCGAGGGGGCGCTTGCTCATTGTGCATGATGGGGCGGAGTTACTGAAGTCGACTATTTATTGGAACATCTTGCTCGATCCCTCACTGATAGACGCGACAATCAATGCGAGAACAGATGAATTGAGGACGGGGAGATGATGAGTCGCAGTCATTCTTCCAATTTCTGCATCTTTTTTTGGGTCACGGGCGGGGCCGATGTCCGTCCGACCGCCAACCAGCCTCCCGCATATCGGAGCCTCTGCTATCATCTCAAATCATGGATCACCTCGTATGGTATCTTTCGTCCAATGTTTTCTGCAAGATCGAGTGCAGAAACGGTCTGCGCTATTTGTACCCGCTGTCATAAGTCGTACATTCATGTTCAACAAATTTGCTCCCAGTCATTTTTATACAATTCCATGCATCAACCATTCCAATAAAATACCCATTTCTTTGATGCCGCCCCCTTCTTCACCCCATATTTTCAACCTCTCGATAACCACCCGAACACACGCCGCCCAGCTGACCGGGACGCTGACATACTCGGCTGAGGGGATTTCGTCCACCTTTGCTCGAAAGGCGGCGACAAGGCAAAGCGCATGGTTGAAACGAACACGGCAGGCGCCCCATGACCCTGGATGCCGGAAAAATGGCACTTCATTTTGGATGCGATAAACCGCGAGGAGCAGGGCTTCGGTCGCCTTCGTTCCAAATGCGGCTGCGAGCTCTCGATCCAACGGTGTATGGATGCAGAGGTAGAGGTACGCCCGACAGAGAAGCTCACGGACTTCCACGTAACGTTCGCGGACTAGCTTCACCATCTCTGGCTCTTGGGGCGGTGGGCGTGACTCGAGAGGCATGTTGAAGCGGAGAGCGGGCGGTAAACATATCACCCACTGGTGTAGTTGGTCCTCTAAGTGGCAAAGCGTTTCCGAGAGCTGTTTAATGGTTGCGATGTCTATGGTAGGTGAGAGGACCCGTACAGCGTTCCGAACCCTGTTAAGGAGTCTTCGCATAGAGATCTCTGCAAGGTAGTAATAGGAAGAGGTCGACTCCAGGTCCGCTACCGGAGGGCTTTGGGCATGCTCTGGACTACTCCCGTACGATGATTGTCGGACGGGGAAGTTGGGCAGCGCAAATGGGAAATCAGACAGCGAGAGATCGGAAGGTGGCAGCTCATACAACTCGTACCGAACCTCACTTGAAAAGGGGTTAGCGCTTTGCTGGCTTGCCTATCTTTGAAATACTTACCATTCGGATTTGAGACATGTCCAGTATAGCCGTTGTTCTAAACCTATACCATGTCAGGGTCTGTCAAATAACCAGTGCCAGGTATGTATACATACTCTCCTCTTGTGCGGACCTTTCCCCGCCACCACTCTTATGTTTCAGATTGTAAGTCTGCCACAGCATGGAGGCCGTGCGAAACATCTTCCATCCCGGGATTGGTTCAATGTTATATTGATACCAGATACTGACAGCCGGTCAGTTCAGCCAGGTAAGCATAATTAAAGGCAACAAACCCAAACAGACAGAGACACTGAACCCCGAGAAGAGAGTTATCAAGGTACGCAGCCGATATTCGCTTTCGCGCCATGCCGAGGTACCCTAGAGACTCCTTCATTCGGTGCTCGGGTACCGACAGCGTCACGTATGTCACCGGGGCGCCAAAAGTGGGCTCAGGGCATGGAATCTCCCTTGTCTCATCCTCTGGGTAGTTGCCCCATATCGCTGCCAGCGCAAAGACAAGTAGCAAGAGGCACGAGGCGGCAGACCAGTCAATTCCCGTTTCCAGCACGCGAGCAATATATGAATCCAACTGTTCCTCGTCAACGATTGGGTTCTTCGGCCATATCTTGGTCATGAAAATGTCTCGCAACTGGAATATTCGGCGGGGGTCAAAACTAGGAATATCTAGAATAGCATTCACATCAATATCGGCTTGTACGTCAGCTTGAAATATGCGAACCAACCTGCCTGAAAGCGATCGGGTTTCTCCTCAAACGCGGCGGGGGGAAACGTCGAGATAGGCTTCTCCTGCGGAAAGATGGGCCACCCGAGGATCATGTCAGACCCTGTAATGGGGGTCTTGAGCGCATCGTTGCGTGAAATCAGCTCGGTGTCTTCCGCGTCAATTGGGGGCAGTTGTTGGTGGTAGCTCGGGAGTTGCCGCGGCTGCTGGGCAGGAAAATGAGAAGGCGGGCTCGCCCCAAGAGTTTCCGCAAGCAAACGCTCTTGACGCTCGACAGAATCGAGGATTTTGGATCCCCATGCCTCAAGTCTAAACAAATAAACCAGGATTATCAGACGAGAGCAGTGTCAGAAGATCAGAAGCAGACTGACATTGAGAGCGGATCGGACTCTGGATACACACAGGCCACCCCGCGCTTCACACATTTCGCACAGACCGGGCGAGCGGAGTCGCACCGTGTTTTGCTCAGCCGACACGCATCGCACGCCGTGAGAACCCTCGTGTGCTTGCGAGATTTCGGAGGAGCCGGCCCTGTCTCCATCTGCAATCTGCAATGGGCCGGGGAAGAGATAACGGAGGAAGATCGCTGCGGGGAGGTTTCGCGTGGGGATGGACCAAAGACTGACTCGCTTTTAGCCCCTGAGTGCTAGTCGCCAAGCGCTTCATACCCTCCAGTCTGACGGCTGCGTACGGTCTAGAGCTGCAAGCAATAATGAAAATCGGACAGATATCTCAACATGAAGAACTGCTCGATGCGGAGGGCTCCCAGTGGGCCCGACAGCTGATGGGGGTTTCTAGGCGACTCTCAGCTGCTCGCCTGCGAACTCACGGGAGGGCAGGCAGGACCATTTTTCCTCCAATCATACTGGTCCAGTCGAGCTTGTCCCATTTCTATCTTGTTTCTAGCTCTACGCTACTCCTCGTCAGCATGACAGCCGTTGCACTAAAGGCCCCGCCAGTACCGCGTCTGGTCGACTCGGAACTGGCCACGAGCGACAATATCCTCGCTTGATGTCCCAACCAGCACCTCGTATACGCCTGCTTCGCTTTTCCACATTTCCTCGATTTCATCCCAGAAACTTGTGGCATATTTGTCCAGCTTGATATCCACGATCTTTTCCTCTCCTGCCTGCAGGAACACCTTTTCGAACCCTTGCAGCTCTTTTTGCGGGCGCGCTGTAGGGCTGTTGGGAGCGGCGATGTACAGCTGCAGCACCTGCGCGCCCGGAACCTTGCCGGTGTTCTTGATCCGCACTGTTGCAGTGGGAGGGCTCTCTGGTGCGAATGTATTAGGCGAAACGGATACTTCGGGGGACACCGCGAACGTCGTGTACGAGAGGCCATGACTATACATATACCTGTCAGCGATTCCGTTCCAAGTTCGAAAGGTGACGCTTACCCGAAAGGAAACAGAACTTCACGGCCGGTCTTCTCATAGAACCGGTACCCGACGTAGATGTCCTCACCGTATAGCACCCGACCGCCAACGCTTGCATAATTCAGGTACGCGGGATTGTGTTTCACGTCGATAGGCCACGACAGCGAGAGCTTACCGCAAGGGTTGAGATCGCCGAATACCACATCAGCTATTCCGTGTCCCGTCTCATTACCTCCATACCATGCCTGCACGATTGACTTCGCCCGGTCCACCCAAGGCATAGTGACAGGAGTTCCGGATTGGTTGACAACGACTGTTTTGTCCCCGGCTACTTTCAACACCTGGGTGATCATTCTGTCGATTCCGGGTGGGAGGTCCATATGGGAGCGATCGAATCCCTCCGACTCCCAGTCCTGGTTCAGTCCAGTGCAGATAATGGCGTAGTCGGCGTCTACAGCAGCCTTCACAGCTCGATCAACCATCTCTTCGGGGTCCATGCGCAGAGATGCGCCAAGATTCGCGGCGCCGCCCCCAAAGTTCACCATCCCTGTGGTCTTCATCGTGGCTGTATTGCCCGAACCGAACTCAATCCGGATCTTGTATGTCCGCCCCGCGACCAGCGCCTTCGAGCCAGTTTCCTCAATTGTCCCTTTCCCGAAGAAGGCCGTGCCCTTTGTCTGGTTAGTGGTGTTATCAATGATCAACTCGTCATCGATGTACAAATTGGCCGTGCCAAACACAGTAAGTCCAAAGTCCCAGATGCCGGTCGCATCGGGAGTGAAATCGCCAATCAAAGTGGCCCAGAAGAGTGCTCGGTTGAGACCGGCAAGCTTGTAGTCCATGAACTGGAAGGCCGTAGTCGGCACGGGCTCCGTTCCAAGACGCTTACGGTCTGGCTTGGTCATCGGCTCATTGTAAAAGTGAATGAGTGCATTGCTCAGCAGACGATCAATCACTGGAAGCATATTGTGTGCATATGCCCCAGTCTCATACACCAACTCTGCGTTGGGGACAGCTTCTCGTACCGCATCATACAGCGATACGGCATAGTATGGCTTCAGAGAAGCGCTACCACCGCCCGAGATTGCCGGCGTCTTGACATGAGATCCGATGAGCGCGATTTTCTTTGTGTTCTTTGGAAGTGGAAGGAGGTTCCCTTCGTTCTTCAGCAACACGATGCTGTTAGCACAGAGAGTGCGGTTAAGCTCGCGGTCCTCTGGGTGGTCGCGTCCTTCTTCAACCTCCGAGACCTTAGTCCGGCTTGCTCGCTGCACAAACTCCAACACCTTGCGGGCTCGTGCATCGAGAGTGGACTGCTTGATGAGTCGTGCCTGCATTGCGGACTCGATATACTTCCCTCTATACCTCGACACCCCAGGCATCTCCAGGTCTAGTCCCGCATTTGTTGAGTCAATTGTGGTGTATGTGCCATACCAGTCGCTCATGAACAACGGATCCCAACCCCACTCCTTGCGTATCAAGTCATAAATCTCCGGATTCTCGACGACATGCTTCCCATTGATCTTATTGTACGAGGTCATCAGCGCACCGGGGTTCGCATCGCGTGCAACAATCTGGAACGGACGAAGGTAAATCTCGCGGAAGGCGCGTGGTGTCACAATCACATCGACGGCACGGCGCTCGTGCTCCTGGTCGTTGCCAACAAAGTGTTTCACCGTAGCAATAACACCCTTGCTCTCGCAGCCTGTGATCATCGAGGCCGCAGCCACGCCTGCCAGGTATGGGTCCTCGGAGAATGACTCAAAGCCACGGCCTCCGAGCGGAGATCTTTGCATGTTGACTGTTGGGCCAAGCCAGCAGTGTGCGCCCTTTGCTATGCACTCATCTCCAAGCAGTTGTCCCGCGCGTCGCAGCAAGTCCCGATCCCAGATCGCACCCAGCGCTGTCCCGCATGGGAGGCAAGCAGCCGGTATACCTGCAAAGAATTTCGTGCCTCTGATTCCGTTTGGGCCATCCGTTACTCGCACCGAGGGCACATTGAACTCTGGAATGGGATGCGTGTGCCAGAAGTCGATTCCTAGCTACAGTCAGTACCAGGCGACATGGTGAGTCCAAGTAAAGAGAAAGAGAGACCTGAGAGTAAAGCGATCTTATCCTGGTCGCTGATATTCGCCAGGACATAGTCTATATCGAACGATTGAGTCATCCTGGGCAGGCGAAGAGGCAATTGTACCGGGGTAACGCAGCGCAGTAAGCAGCACACCGAGGGGACAGCGCGCAACTTAAGTACATGAGGTAGGCGGGCGCATTTTAGGCCCCTGCTACCACTTAATTTTTTCCTCCTCGAACGCGGGGAACTTCCCACAGCCCACTTTGTGCTCCTCACAAAATGCGATCGGGGAGAGGCGGCAGCCCCGGCGATTGGCCAGGCGGCGGAGTCTCCCCGATCGCGCTCCGGATCTTGCGAGCTTGCATTGTCGTTGCGGGGACCACCCCAAGATCCCATGTTTCTTGGATTGTGCTTGGTCGCGTCGAGCTAACCCGAGACAGCTGTCGGAGGGCCTCCGCGTGCTTGCAGCTCGGAGCTTCTGTCAACAAGTCGCCGTTGTTGGTGGCTTCCCCGTCTCATGATGAATCATGAGCATCCCAGTCTACAATTTTCTGGTGATATCTCCGGAGTATAGCCGAGAGTGTTCAGTCGAGATCACTTAGACTCCCTTGTTGATTATCTTCATTGTGTAGATTCTCTCTATCAAAGTGTGCGTTTTCGATGCTTTTCCCTGCTAGCAGTTTTCGGGTCAGTATATATATATCAGTGTACATAAGTATACGCGATTTCGCGATTCGCAGTACCGAGAGATTGCACTGTGACGACTACATAATCTATGGTGTACTGAAAAGATGAGAAGACAACCCGAGCATCTTCTACAGCCCATGAGACGTTAGTAGTATGTTGTCAAGCCATAACGTTTGGTTCATTGCGATAGGTTGATGCCTTAGGCTCCTGGAAGAGCAGGCCCAGCTGTTGGTTCAACTTCCCATATAGGCTTAGCACTGTTTTCCCCGACAACTGTGGAGGAGAGTTAAGTTTGCCTTGGACATCCACATTCCACCTTTATCAAGTTAAGCTTAATCCTGCATCGGGGGAGGACCAGCTCGTTATTGACTTTTAAACAGAGTTCAAGTTAAAGCTCGACTGCAGAGTCGCCAGGGGACTTGTCCTCTGGCCATCGCATGTGATGCAGTCGGAGCACTGAAGTCAGGAATTCTCCTGCAAGATCCCCCCAAAATGGACAATCCCCCTGACTTGATACCTGATTTGGATTGATCATCTCATGTCTGCCGTCTGGCATATCTTCTCAAATCTTTTGGACCCACTAATCTCCCGTCAAACAAGCTTGAACCGCAATGCGACGGGCCACTTTTACCTCCGCCACACGTCTATCACTCTTTAGCGTCGCGATCGACAATGGCGTTCGCACGCAAAAGCTCGGCTGTTTCCAGGTCGAGGAACAACAACTCGCTTAAGACGAGAGGTGGAAAAATTCCAGAAATGAGGGCGATGGTGGTCATCCGTCGCTTTGACATGATCTTGGCACGCGACGCGGGTTCGCCGTGTGACGGTGTATTTGAACCCCTCTTTGACCCAGCTATCTACCTCTCTGGTTAAATATAGGCGACGGATGCGACTGTGCGACTGATCGTTTTGCCGCAAGAGCACACCCGACGGGTACCTGCGAGCATTCGTACGCTTCACTATACATTGCGAGTACTCATCATGGCTCCGATTAGCTGGTTCCCTCTTGCCCTGTTGGCTATAGCGACGTCATGTACTCATGCCTCACCTGTTGGAGGGCCACTTGAAACGCGCGCTTCCAACAATGAAGCCTTTTCTCCGCCATACTACCCTTCCCCCAAGGGCGGCTGGGTGTCTAATTGGGCCAAGGCGTATGAGAAGGCGCACCGTCTCGTCAGCAACATGACGTTAGCTGAGAAGGTCAACCTCACCACGGGCACGGGTATCTACATGGGCCCCTGCGCCGGGCAGACGGGTAGCGTTCCCCGTTTCGGAATTCCGAATATCTGCCTGCACGATTCGCCACTGGGTGTGCGCAACACGGACCACAATACCGCTTTCCCTGCAGGGATTACCGTTGGCGCGACGTTCGACAAGGAGCTCATGTATGAGCGTGGCGTTGGCCTTGGAGAAGAGGCACGCGGAAAGGGCGTCAATGTTCTCCTTGGCCCATCTGTTGGGCCGATGGGGCGCAAGCCTCGAGGAGGTCGCAACTGGGAAGGGTTCGGATTTGATCCAGTGTTGCAAGGGATCGGGGCTGCGCAAACGATCAAGGGGATGCAAAGCACCGGGGCTATTGCTAGCCTTAAGCATCTCGTGGGGAATGAGCAGGAGATGCACCGGATGAGTAGTGTTGTCACACAGGGCTATTCGTCGAATATCGATGATAGGACTTTGCACGAGTTCTATCTTTGGCCTTTTGCCGAGGGTGTCAGGGCAGAAGTAGGGTCTATCATGATTGCATACAATGATGTAAGAGTCACCATATTCTTCATGTTACAGAGCTAACTCCTTGTTCCAGGTAAATAGATCGGCTTGCAGTCAAAACAGCAAACTCATTAATGGGATCCTCAAGGATGAGCTAGGCTTTCAGGGCTTCGTGCTAACTGACTGGCTAGCCCATCTTGGTGGTGTCTCATCTGCTCTAGCCGGCTTGGATATGAGTATGCCTGGAGATGGTGCCATACCGCTATTTGGAGGTAGTTACTGGGGTAATGAATTGTCTCGCTCGGTTCTGAACGGGACAGTCCCGGTTGAACGGCTAAATGATATGGTATGTAGTTCATTTACGCGGTCGAACGATATCTGACAGACCTAGGTTACTCGCATTCTGGCGGTATGGTTCAAGATGGGTCAAGACCAGGATTACCCGCTCCCGAATTTCTCCAGTAACACGGAAGACGAGAAGGGGCTTCTCTACCCGGGCGCCCTCTTTTCTCCCAGTGGTGTTGTTAACCAGTTCGTTAATGTCCAGGCGGACCACCACGTCACTGCACGCGCAGTCGCCCGCGACGCAATTACGCTGTTGAAGAACGAAGGCAATATACTCCCGCTGAGGTGGAATGACTCGCTGAAGATCTTCGGCACAGACGCAGGGCCAGATCCGCAGGGACTGAACTCTTGCGCTGACAAGGCGAGTCTCGCTGTCCTTTAATACCCGATTCGTCTAATAGGTATTAGGGTTGTAACCGAGGTGTCCTGACTATGGGCTGGGGAAGTGGCACGGCCAAACTTCCATATGTCATTACTCCGCAGGACGCTGTCGCAAATATCTCATCCACGGCGGAATTTTATCTGACTGACAGCTTCCCTTCGTCTGCCGAAGCCAACCCGAACGACATTGCAATTGTCTTTATCAACTCCGACTCTGGTGAGAACTTCATCACAGTCGAAGGTAACCCAGGAGACAGAAAATCCTCAGGCTTGCACGCCTGGCACAACGGCGATGACCTTGTCAAAGCCGCCGCCAAGAAATTCTCCAAGGTTATTGTAGTCATTCACACCGTGGGCCCCATCATCCTAGAAGAATGGATTGACCTTGAGCCTGTCAAAGCCGTCCTCATCGCCCATCTACCCGGTCAAGAGGCCGGAAACTCTCTGACAGACGTTCTGTTTGGCGACTACAGTCCCAGCGGCCATCTTCCGTACACGATCCCATATCAGGAGTCCAACTACCCGTCCAGCGTCGGCCTCCTCCAGCAACCCTTTGGCCAAATCCAAGACGACTATACCGAAGGCCTTTTCATCGACTACCGCCACTTTCTAAAGGAGCAAATCACACCTCGCTACCCCTTCGGCCACGGACTCTCCTACACAACCTTCAAGTTCGCTGAACCTTCCATTTCAGTAGTCACACCCCTAGACACCGCATACCCGCCCTCTCGTCCAGATAAGGGACCTACCCCCACATACCCTACAACAATCCCACCACCCTCGGAAGTCATCTGGCCTTCTAGCTTGGACCGAATCTGGCGCTACCTCTACCCCTACCTCAACGCCGCCGAAGCAAACTCCGCTGCCGCCGTCGCAAATTCATCAAAGAAATACCCCTACCCAGACGGCTACAGCACAACGCCCAAGCCCGCACCGCGCGCCGGCGGCGCCGAGGGCGGGAACCCAGCGCTCTGGGATATTGCGTTCGCCGTCGACGTAACAGTAACAAACACAGGGCATCGACCGGGTCGTGCCGTTGCGCAATTGTACGTCCAACTCCCTGAGAGTCTGGGACTCGAGACACCGCCCCGGCAGCTGAGGCAGTTTGAGAAGACGAGGATATTGGAGCCTGGTGAGAGTGAGACGGTTACCCTGGAGGTTACGAGGAAGGATGTGAGTGTTTGGGATGTTGTTGTGCAGGATTGGAAGGCGCCTGTTCGGGGAGAGGGAGTGAGGATTTATGTTGGGGAGAGTGTGCTTGACGAGAGGGTTGTCTGTGAGGTTGGGAATGGGTGTTCTACGCTATAAGGTTGGGTATGCGATGATTTATTAGGGGGATATGTGGTATATAATCTGATTAATCGTGATAGGTATATAGTGCCTATTGTCTCCGCTGTTTGCGTTTACTAATGATATTTTGGCTGTCCGACGTATATTTCTACTTGTCCATGGACCTTGCAAAGGTATCTCGTTGCTGTAATCGTCTAGATGGGATACTGGTGGTGTTGAGCGTTGCGAGGAGGGTGGGGCGTGGGAGTAGTTAGGGCAAGGGGCCCGACTCCTACAGAGACAAACCATCATTTACTACATACGAAGGATAGAATGTGTTAAGATAGTAACATAAAATGTGCCTGCCACATCACATGGGTAGTTAATTCCCAAGAGCTCATAATCCATTTTAGCGGCTCTGTCGAACGGACGGCTGTACGCCTCTTCAGCATATTCAACGGGGAGGGGCGCGACTTGGCTCCAGGGCTGGAGCGAGGGGCGTGCCTTTCTAAACAGTTAATTAGAAGAAGAACACACTAGGAAGCCGTTCCTTCCTTGCGAGCCAGCCTTATACGGAGTACATCTCATGTACAATAGTGAATAGCTTAGTATTTTGCTTAGTCACCGCGCTGCATAAGCTCCACCGCACATGCACAAAACGTCAACGCGGCAATAACCTTATTGCCGGCTCTCAACTCTGACTTTAACCACGCGCAACGCAACGCAACACACAAGGCACAGCCATACAATGACCCTGCTGTTCCCCGGAAGGGCGCAAACAAGTCGAATCTCGAGAATCTGTATTTCGCTTCGCGCCGCAGCGCGAGGCACCACGCAAAATGCAGGGTTTTAGTAAGTGAACAGTTCCCTGTCAAACCCCGAGCTATCGCATCGCATCCGCAGGATGTGCTCTAGACAAACAAGGAAGCAAGCAAGGACAAAAGAAACTAACACATCTTCCTCCGCAGATATGGGCCGCTATGTCCCTCCGGACCTCGAAGGCACAACAACCGGCAACGCCCTGCATTCCAAACACCCGCTCGGCTCGCGCGCGCGCCACCTCCAAACGAAAGGCGCGCTAATCGTACGCTTTGAAATGCCCTTTGCGACATGGTGCACGACCTGCGTACCGGAAACAATCATCGGACAGGGGGTCCGGTTCAATGCGGAGAAGAAGAAGGTTGGGAATTACCACTCGACGCCGATCTACAGCTTCCGGTTCAAGCACAGTGTTTGCGGTGGATGGATTGAGATCCGTACGGATCCGAAGAATACGGCGTATGTTGTTACTGAGGGGGGCCGGAGGCGGGATTATGGTGTCGACGAGGCGGGGAATGCTGTTGGGGAGATCATGGTGGGCAAAGCCGAGGCTGGAACGGATGACCCCTTTGCAAAGATTGAGGGTAAGATTGAGGATAAGCGCGTCGTCGACGAGGCGCGGACTCGGATACTGGAGTTGCAGCGCCGGCAGGATCGGGACTGGGATGATCCGTATGAGGTCTCTAGACGGTTACGGCGCGGGTTCCGGGCAGAGAGGAAGGTTCTTGAGAAGAAAGAGGAAGGGAAGGAGGCGCTTAAGGAAAAGATGAGCCTGGGTATTGACATTGTGGATGAGACGGAGGAGGATCGACTGCGGGCTGCGATGGTAGAGTTTGAGGAGGGTGTTGGGCTTGGAGGCGGGTTGCGGACGAAGGCGTTGTTTGACAAGCCGATTTCATCTTTGTCTTCGACTACGGACGCGTCTAGGAAAGGAAACGGTGTGAATGGGAGCAAGAGTGTACAGGGCGGGAAGCGGAAAGCGGCGGATCTTGTTGCGGAGAGGAAAGCAGCGTTTCGGAGTGAGTTGACGGGGAATACGCGTGCTGCGCTTGATCCGTTTCTCAATGATGGGGATGGATGGCAGCCGGGGGGCAAAAAGAAGAGGAGGGTGCTAGGCAAGGGAGAGGGAAAGAAGGAGGGTGATGCACAAGCCGCTCCTACGGACACGGCGCACAACACTGAGGAGAACCAAGAGACAAACCGGCATACGTCTGCACTGGTTGACTACGGGTCCGACTCGGAATGATCATGTTGTACTTGTATATCCTTGGGTTTGCGAAGGCGTTGGAATGATTTTATAGATGATACCCAGATAAGTTAGTTTGTCAATGTTCACTTCCGGTTCACTCTTATGTCGAGAATGAGGGATTCATAATACATGCTTCATGACTCGTTACAAAAATTTGACTGAGGAATCCGTGCATGAAAGCCCACGGAATCATCGCTTAGCCCAAGGGGCTTTCGTCGGCACATGTCCCGCAGATTCTGAATCACTCAAGGGGGCCGGTCCTGGTTGCGCACTCGCCCAGGGAGCCCGAGTCGGGCCCATCGGGCCTGGAGGTAGCCGCGACGTCTCTGGCAGAGTGGATGGGACACCTCTAAGATTCGTCGATGGTGCAGGAACCTTTACACTCGCCCACGGAGCTCTAGTTCCTGGCCCTGCGGGATGTGTCGCCGACGGAACCGTCTCCTCCGGCCGCCGTGATGGCGCTGCTGTGTGAGCCGTGGCTACAGGCTCAACAGCATTGGGATCCCGATCCCAGCTAAAGAGCGACCCGAAGGGGAAATGTTGCACGACGGGAAATTTTGAAAGAACTTCGGCGTTGTACATCTTGATCATTCCCTGCGTGCTGTTAGCAAGACATTTTAGACCCGGCAGCGGTGAGAGGCGTACTTTGTTGATCTTAGCCCATCCGGCCTGGATTCCGGATATATCATACAGCATCGGACTGTGTTCCCAAAACGGGCCTCGCTTGACATCATAAATGAAGCCGATTGCTGAAAAGTATAGATTTTCTCCTCTTTCTCGCTCTACAATGTTGGCCTTGGCGACTCCGCCGGGCGCTGGGGCGTCCGGGAGCGAGCCTTCTTCTGGGACTGGATCTGAATCTGATAAGGCGGGTGCGAGTTGTGCGGCGCCGAAGATGTAGGGGATGAATGAGTGGTCGTCCAGACCCCAGACGCCGTGCGAGCCTGCGGGCTCGAGTGTATATCTCTTGATGATGGTCCGCACCAGTTCGAGGTACCTAAAGCAATGTTAGATTGGATGATAGGTTAGAGAGGTACAGCAAACCACTCACGGTTGAATCACACCCAGTACGATTGCCCGTTCCTCCACACCTGGACTATTCTCGGGGAAGCCGTGGAGCTTCCAAATCCCTGCTAGGAAAGCCAGGAAGCTCAGCTCATGTCCCGTACCATAGTCCAGTCTCTGCGGACTCCCCCAGCTACCCAGAAAATATGAGACAAGCTCTACCTCTGCTGTTGGCCCACCCGGATTCGATGATGGCGTTTGCAGAATATCCGTCGAGAGACACTCCTCCAGTAGGCTTGAAGCCCGGCTCTCCACTATTTGGTACCACTTTCTGAAGCTGACATTGCCAAATCTCCGTGGGCCAGTATCAGGGGGAGCCTCTTCTAGGATTGCTTCGAGCTTTGACAGTAGCTGTTGTAGCTGCCGAACTGGTGCGGAGTATTCGACGGCGTCGCTGTTCAAGGGCCAGGTCTGGACTCGTCCCTCGGGGAGTTTCGTCGGAAATAAGGATCGGTTTAGCTGCAAGAGAAAGGTCATGATATCGACGTAGGCTTTGGACGTCAGGAATTCGGCGACATCTTGCCCCTCGTTGATGCGTTTGCTGGGCTGGACGAAAGTGTGCCCCGCAGATCTGTCGAGCTTGGGCAAAACACGCGCCTGCGAGCTGGCCATCTCGTTTCCACTTGATGTTCTTTTGTCGCAAATTTAGGGCAGAATTAGAGGTAAATCATCAAATTAGAAAAGCGTTGTGGGGATGTTCCTGGGGAAAGACATGAGTGTTCTGAGGAAGCTTGCATCCATGACGCCATGAAATCCATTTTTGGGGTCGCGCTTCGTTTGTCTCTGTCAAACATGCCCGACCTCAGCCATCACACCACTAAATGACGCGCCAGACATCGCCGCGGAGCTTCAATTCTCACTGAGTGACCTTCTAACTACTAATAATGCTAGTCACACCGCATTCGGATGATTTCTCTCGACCAAGATGCCGCCGACGCGCTCCGGAAGCTCGCGTTCGAAGAAGCGCCCCTCCGCGGTGGATATCCTCAATAATGTGATGAGTGGAAAGGATTCAGCTGCAGATAGCCGCCAAGTGCAAAGCGCCCAGCCAGTTCGCCAGCTGCGAAACATTCCCCGAGCTCCCCGCCGAGATATATGGGAGGTGCCCAATTCACCTGAACCCGCGCAAAGGACGTATTCACAGTCATCGCCCCTGGCCGACGCTGAACCCTTCACCCCACGACGATCTACGCGTCTACAGAACGTAGCGCAAGTGCAATCCAGTCCCACCATGGCGAGGACTCGGGCAAAACGTACCCAGATTGAGCACGTTGAATCGAACGTCGAAGACGGGGACTCGTGGCATCCTTCTCAAGAGCCGAGCAGTGATGAGTCTGATAATGGGGCGGAGGAATTAGTTGGTGATGATATCGACTTCTACGGGAACTTCAATGTATTTTCAGACGATACCCCTCGTACCCGGTCTTCGAGCACCAAATCACCCACTCCGTCAGCAGCTTTGAGACAGGACCTTGAACGAGTCGAGCAGGCACGGGTGGCTCGCAGCGAGTCTGGGACACCTAGTAGGGTGATCGAGCTCAGATCTGGCAAAAAAAGGGATACTCTACCGCGCTGGACCAGGTCTACCCGGTCTACTCGGAGTGCCGCGGAACCTGGCCCTTCAATTGTGATCAACCGCAGCCCAAGCAAAGTCCGCGAGACCCCAGTACCAAATAGGAAGCGGAGGTCCAGTCGTCTATTACGTTCCGAGGCTCAAGATGTTGATGGTGACGTGGAAATGGGTGACCATGTCTCAGGCCGGGTAAATGGACATCAGGACGCAGCCGACGAAGATACCGGATCCGCGTATACGGCTTCCAACTCCAACGAGCCATCCTCGGAGGCTGATACGCCGTCGTTACCGTACACAAGGGCTGGAAAGCTCCGACGCCCACCGAGGCCTTCCCCGGCCGAGTCCCGGAAATCAGGTTCTGGACGGATATTCTCGTGGTCGCCCACGCCGGAGTCGTCAAGCAATGCATCTGCTGCTCCGCAAGAATCTAACCGCCAAGAAGGCGAATCAGAAAATCGTTCTTCATTGGTACAGGTCTCCCGTGCAGAGCCCTCAGGATTCCGTTGGACCCCAGGAGCGAGGCGACCCAAGAAGCGATCGAGGCGGCGTGTCGTCTTCAGCCAGAAGACCCCAGAGCAAGAAAGCCCTTATCCTCGTTTCAAAGAGGCTATGGAAATCGGACAACAGCAAGAAAATTGGAAGGCGTTGATCAAGGAGGCACGCCTGATGGAGCGTCCCACCAATCCGACCTTGGCGAAACGCTTTCAAGATATCCTTGATCTGATATCCCACTCCCAAAAATGGTACGAAAGTTTACCTGATGATCCGGATACTTCTCAGGGCCTCTCTTTGAAAGAAGCTGGCAAATCCGAGAAACTGCTGGACAGTATCTCGACCGAGGGAGATGCAATACTAGACCGTGTCTTCTATCGTGTCACCAAGCGGAACGAATCTTCTCAAGAGCGAGGCCTGAAACTATTCCGTGAATTTGAAGTTCGCGTTATCCCAGCCATGGTACGATTGCTATTTGCCATCTTTGACGCATATCATACCGATCCCGAGCGCTTCGCCCTTGTTTACAATCACCTACACCGTGCCTTGAGCTTAGTCCTACGGTTTTGTAACCGTATGCGGAGCTTGACAAGGGAGCAGTATGTGCGGTGCACCACGCGGAGCAAAAATCTACTTCAGCCTCTCCGAAGCCTAATAGAAGCATCTGAATTCGACTCTCTGAAGAAGGCCGAGCCTGAGCCTGAGCCCGAGACCGAATCCGAATCTTCTTCCTCCGACAGCGTGATATCTATCGCAAGCGACGATGATGTAGCTTCTGCTCCGGCATCGACTATCAGACAGTTCTCGGATGCCGAAGGTCGGGCGCTCTTAGATGGGTTACAGCAGTTCCAAGGTATGTCCTCTTGCTCAACTCATTCTACTTGGACCGCACTAACAGTCATTTTCCCCCCATAGGTCGTGAGAGGTACATCCAGATCCTCAAGAACTTTAGTGAACTCGAGGGACGCACGCTGTCGGAAATACGCGAGGAATCTCGAAGGATGTGCGATAAATATGAACCCCTAATCAGGGACGAGCTTCGCACTCCGGAAGGGCGAGAGCCATGGCGCTGGTTGCTGAGCGTTTGGGACCAGGCTTCATGACTGGGGAAGTATGTGTCATCTCGGGCTGTGTCGCTACATATATATAGTAGAGTGATAGTAGAATCTCGTGATCAGTATTGCTACGTAATATTGTTGTATCTCAAGGAGAATCATTAGAGGCATTTCATAGATCGTGTGTTCAGGAAGCAGCGTTTATCTCCCTATGCTCAAAATCTTCACATATACACTCCAATGTCGGAGATGTTGATGGTATTTACTCTCTAGACAGCTCGAAGATGGAAGTCCGCTGATGGAAATCTCCACAATTACAGGTACAGCGTGAGTGGATGTTCTGGAGGCGAGCCGTCGACTTGCTCGACATGCTGTATGAGGATTGGGTAGCGATGGCTATTGATCATGCCATTTCTAGCCTCGCACCAGTATCTACAAACTTGATACAAACAATAATTACGGAAGAAAGCATCTGTTAACAACGCCCTGTATAGTCTTGCTACTACTCCATGAAGTACCTATGCCTGCCATATATCCCACTCCGTACCTACGCGCCGACCCCAAACCAACCGCCGAAACCACCTGTAACAAGCCCACCAGAACCTTTCATGCAGCGCCGTGTCGGTCGCCCGAATAGACATTGCGATACACTGCTTGTCGAAGAGGAATGATAAGCGTCCATCCACGGTGTCTGATAGTGCCATGCCAATATTCATGGCCCACAGGTTCGCTTCCACTGTATACCACACCCACGTGAGAGGATCCGTCTGGTCTAGATCGCTCTTGAGCTCTTGCCGAAGCTGCTCCAGGTACCGGGGGTCGAAGGATGTGTTGTCCAGGAGGTACTGTAGGATTTGCATGGTTCTAGTACATGCACGTAGCATCGCGCGCTCGCTCCGCGTTATCTCCTGGAGGCTTGAAGGAAGGGGTGTCCAGGTAGTGGTCGAGGCACGGTCTAGGGCAGTTGTGGTAGTGGCATTACCTTCCTCTAAGAAAAGCTCTTCCACCCATTCAAATATGCCAATCAACTGGGTTTGAACAAGGAAATTGCCCATTTTACTGCAACAAGCCCGCAATCGTTCCAGCGCTAGGCGAGGGAAGCCGAAGGGTGGACCGCTACCGTTGTAGTCTTTTTGTTGAAAAAACATCGACCTGGTCGAATACAATGGCAGCAAACATCATGTTGCTATGGTAGGGCTCAAGTTAACACCAATGCCCTCAGTGCGGAACGAACCATCGAAAAGTGCCCACTCTACTCCCCATCGTCTGGTTCAACGCCGGCCGCAAGGCACAGATTGGCAAGGCGCGGATTAAGCACTTGGATCGCGCGTGTGGTGGTAGATTGTTTTCTGACTAAACCAGAGTGTAGGCAGGACGCGGAGCCCGTCTAGCTGCGCGGAGGCAAGATAGAGTGTTGCATGGGAGAGGCACGGGTCTGTGGATAAAGCCAAGCCATGAAGTCTGGAGGTGTAAGGCAAGGCTATCTTTTTCCACTTCTAGGTCTTGCAGGCCGATGCGGTGTTGGATCGGGTTGATGTTAGATGAAATGTCCTTCCCAAGGGTATGAAACAGAAGCCAGTGACTAGGCTGGCCGTGGATCTCCTTGGCTTCGAGGTGGCTTAGAGAACTTTATAAGCTCTTGGAAGTAGGGCTTGGCTTCAACAGGGTAACCTGGCTTGTACTCTACAGTGTACAGAGGTAAGCCGGGAGGAGAGTAGTGCTAAAGCTTTGGTAGGTGGACCTGGTCAAGCCTTGAAAAGAAGGAAACAATATTAATCATTATTTGTCCAGTGCTTTGAGTTGGATCTCTATACCTTTTACACCCCCAACAGCATGGATACGATCCATCGCACCGCTTTTTTTGGTTCTGACATGAAGAACATGACTTTGATTTGCCTTCCCAAAAGGCCGTCAACATCAACAAGCTCGCATTAGTAGGTTCTGACGCCTTCCTAGGTTATCTCCCGACTCCTCTATAACGAGAAATCTCGCCTTCCTAATCCCCGATAAGTCTAGGATATATTGCGAAACAGTCGCATAGAAGCCTTGTTATTGGCTAGAATGTATTATTAAGCAGTTCTATAAAACGAGATCCTCGCTACAGCGAGAGATTTTGGCAGTCTGACTTACTATGTCGTTCCCAACGTAGCTGAGATGATGATGCTTACAGATGATAGACCTCTAAGTCAGTATCTTTCCAGTCAATTCTTTGAGTCAATCCAGATTTTCGAAGCTGTCGTCGCAAGCTCTAAGCTCTTGATCCAACTGCCTTTGGGCACCTTTCGAGCTTTCATTAAGGAACCATGGATCCAGATGTTCCGGAAAGCACACAACCACGGACCAACATGACTACCCCTGACGCGTTATTTACTCTTTGTCTCCTAACGTCACTTTCAACAACTATTATTCCATTTTACTCTTTCCCTTGAGTGGTCACTGAACAGGCCGAGAAGACGAGACCTCAGCAGTGGTAGGTCAGTTCCCAAAGCGGCCTAGCGCACAGGTGACCTGTTGCTTCCCCCTCCTTTTTTGGCTCTGGCGTGTCTGCGTTGTTCCTGCTGCGAGTCGTTGCTGTCGCTGTCCCCCGAGTCAACCCACCCCTCCTCCTCTCCTTCTGCTTTTTATCCAGTCGCCTAATTCTCTAATAATCCTTCCTCAGCTGTTTATTGCTTATTGATTCCCATTTGTTGTGTGATTTGTCGTGTACCCCCTTAATTAAGTACGCGCCTGTTCTTTTGTTTCAGTCCCATCCCCAACTCCTCATCTGGGTCGGGCGCGCCGCTAACAGCTCACCGTGCAGTATACAGCCAGACATCTGGTGCAGCTGGCTGATTGAACGCCTCAGATCGCCAATTGGACGTTAGCAACGTGGTACGGGTGAGTTGTCAACTGATTCAAGTTTCCCTATGCATCGCAATTTGCTACCCAAACGAAAAGGAGTCGAGGCTCTCTCGTCTCCGGCGTTATTGGGAATATCATGCCTAAGCTTTGGCATTCAACGATACTTCAACTGCCGGATCTCCTTCCGCTTCCTCTTTTGAAAGCTCTCCTGCAATCCCTTTGTTGAAATGTTGTTGCTGGAGCGGTGTGCCTCCGCACTATTTTTTTGCTTTTTCCAAGCTAACCTCGCTTTTCTACACAGCTCCTGACTTTCCTACAAACCGAAGAAATACCAGCGACGCCAACCCTTATTGTACCCTTCTCGCCGCCCATTTGTCCAACCGCTGGTCCCTGCGATGTCTTCCACAGAGGACCCTATCCCCTCCGCTCCTCCGGCCGAGGTTGACACGGAGGATGTCGCACCGGCCACTCCAGTGGAATCGAGCATCATGTCTGGCAGCGAGGAGCTGATCACGAGCCCCGAGGCTTCCAACAACAAGGAAAACGTAAAGGCCTCCCCAGTGAAAAAGACCACCACCTCGGCCACCGCGACTAAGCGTCCCGTCACTGGAACGTCTGCGACAAAACGTCCCACATCCATTTCAGGTACAACCAAGACTGCTTCGTCCACTCGGACTTCCACCTCAAATGGCGGTGTTCTAAACAAGCCACCCACACGGCCGTCCACCACATCGACCACTACTCGCAGACCTCTCAGTTCGTCGACTACCGCCTCCCACCGCTCTCGACCATCACTCAGCTCCGCGGATGAGAAGTCACGGTCTGTGGCTAGCTCCGGTGATGAGAAACGGGGTATCTCTGGAACCGCTAAGCGGATGTCGCTCGCGGGCACCACCGCAAGTAGTAGAGCTCCGGTCAAGCCGACCTCCACCTTGGATCGACGTTCCAGTATAGCGTCTACGACCGGATCGCGCACCAGCACCGTCTCCTCCACAAGACCTACTACAAAGGCCCCAACCACAACCACCCGTCCTACCACGTCTACAACTGCCTCACGAACGGTTACACGACCAACAGCAACTTCAACTGCCACTAAGAGGTTAAGCACCGCGCCAAGAAGTGCCGAGGAAAATGTAGAGAAGTTACTGTCTCTTCAAGCCAAGCTATCTGAGAGCGAAGCGACTGTGGCCAGCCTCAAGGCAGAACTCGAGGCAGTGAACGAAAAGCTAGCTCAGGTACCACAGACCGAAGGCGCTGAAAAGGACCAGGAGGAGGCTACGAAGGCACTCCAGGAACAGCACACGGAGGAGATCGGTAAGTTGGTGGCGAGCCATGAAGAACAGCTACAAGGCCTCCGCACTCAGCTCGAGGAGGCAGAAGCAAAGAGAAAGGAAATCGAGGAGAAGTCCCTCAGGGACTTGGAAGATGCGTCACAGGTGGCAGCCTCTCAGGGTGATGAGAAGTTGTCTGCGGCTCTGGATGAGTTGAAGCAGTCGCACCAATCTCAGCTGGAAGCTCTTGAGAAAGAGCTTTCCGAGCAAAAGATTGCGGCTGCCGGGTATGCCGAACAGATTGAAGCTCTCAAGGCGGAGGTACAATCCAAGGCGAATGGCCTAGAAATCGCTACCAAGGGATTCCAAGATGAGAAAGAATCCGCCCTCGAGCAGTTGCGTGGGGAGCTGCAGGCCGAGATTGAAAGTCTTACCAGGTCCAAGGATGAGGCTATCCGTGTTGCTGAGGAGTCTGCCAAGCAGTCTGCTGCCGAGTTGGAAGAGAAGATTGCTTCCCTCGAAGCCAAGCTTGCCGATGCCGAGTCCGCCGGTACCCAGGGTCGGGAGCAAACTATGGCTCAGCTTGCAGAGAAAGAGAAAGAGGTGGCCGAGCTGAAGGAGGCCGTGGAAGCAGCCAAGCTTGAGCTTCAGCAAGCAGGCGAGACCTCCGCCAGTGTGCTTGCTGAGAAATTGAAGGCGCTCGAGGCAGGTCATGAGGATGCCATTGCCAAGCTCAAGGCCGAGCATGAAGAGGCTCTCGCAACCTCTACTAGTTCACATGCAGAGGAGCTCGCAAGTGCGAAGACGGCCACCGAATCCGCCAGCGCCGCTCATGCTCAGCAACTCGAAGAACTTCAGGCTTCTTTGAACAAAATCAAGGAGGATGCGGTGAACGAGCTCAAGGCAGCTCACCAGGATGAGTTACAGGCTCTGCAACAGAAGCTTTTCCAGGCTGAGGAGGCCGCCCAGAAGGCCCGACAGGCCTCGGAGGAGGGTGCCAGTGCCGCTCAAGCCGTTGCTGTTCAGGAAATCGAATCGCTCAAGGAGAAGGTCAGCACGTTGGAGTCGCAACTCACCACAGGACAGGACGAGATCAAGTCCCTCCAGGCTGAGATTCAGGCCAAGCAGGAGCAAGCGGACACACTTCAGCAAGCGCTCATCACGTTTGAGACCAAGCTCAAGGCGAAAGATGCTGAGCAGGAGGGTCAAGTAAAGGCTGCAGAAGGGCGAGCTGCGGCTGCGGAGAAGGCTTTGGAAGAACAGACCCAACAGGCTGCTGCTCTGACCGAGGAGCATGCGAAGTCCCTCGAAGCGCTCAAAGCCGAACATGCTGCTGAGCTTGAGAAGGTCAAGGCCGAAGCGTCTGGATACCACCAGCAGGCTCTTGCAGAACTCCAGGCCCAGTACAATGAGTCATTGACCAAGAACAGCGACTTGGAGGCTTCTCACGCCGGCAAGATCGAAGCACTTGAGACGGAACTCAAGTCTACCATGGAACAGGTCGCCGCGCAGAGCGCCAGCCACGCCAAGGAGCTTGCTGACCTTCAGCAGCAGCACGAGGAAGCCAAGATCAAGCTGCAGACAGAATTAGAAAGCTCGCAAGCCTCCAAGGTTGCTGAGAATGATGCAGAGCACAGCAAGGCAATCGAGGAGCTTCTCACCGCTCAAGACTCAAAGTTGTCCAGTCTCCGGTCTGACCTAGAATCGGCTCACCGAGCTAAGCTGGGCGAACTCCAGCAATCCCATGATGCTGCTCTCGAAGAGCTCAAGACTCAACTCACGGCTGCCCAAACTGCCGCCCAAGACACCTCTGTCGTCGACGGCTTGAACGCGACAATCGCGGATCTGGAGAAGAAGCTTGCTGCCGCTGAACAATCCAGCGCCGAGTCCAGCACACGACACTCCGCCGAGCTTTCTCTCCTAGAAAAGGACAAGAACGAATGGGAGCAGAAACACCAGGCAACAGCTGCTCGTGTGGAAGAGCTAGAGAAGCTCGTCGCTGTTCTGGACAGCACTAAGTCTCAACTCGAGTCGGCGTCCAAGCAGGTCCTTGCGGCTCAAGACGAGTTGTCGCGCCTTCAGGCCAAGCACGATGCCGTTACCAAGGAACTGGACGAATCCAAGTCTCATAACAACAGCATTCAGGAGAAGCTGGCAGAAGGAGAGAAGGAGATGAACGCCCAGATTGACAAGAACATGAACCTCCTCACTCAGCTGGGCGAGGTTGAGTCGTCTATTTCCGGTAGCCGCAAGCGAGTCAGGGAGCTCGAAGCCGAGCTTGCAGCGCTGAAGGCCGAGAAGGATGTCATCAAGGGTTCAGGCGTAGGACTGCAGGGTAGCCGATGGGCGGACGACGAAAAGGAGAAGGAGGCGGGTAGCGAGAAGGGAGAAGCGACCACAGCGGAAGGTGAGGACATTGGTTCATCGATCGAGGGAACGGTGGGGTCTCCCCGTCATCGTGTTGTCTCTCGCGCACTGTGAACGATCGCTAATAGAACTGGTAGATGGCCAGCATCCAGGAACAGCTTAAGCATATCCGATCCGCGAATGACGACTGGTACGATGAACACCGCCGGTAAGTAGCCCTCTGAAACATGTTATGAGCGCAACTGACGAGTCTAGACTCGTTGGAGAGCTAGCACAGCTATCACGGCGGGCAACGCCTAATCCCCCCAGCCAGCCAGCGACGCCGCAGCCGGAGGGGCTGACAGAGGCTGTATCACAATGAACGGCCTTGGTGACGTATAAGTGACCTTGTGGGACGACGGGGATGTTATTTTTCTTCCATTCTTTTCTTTGTATCTTGCTTGTATAGGATTAAGATGTATGTAATAAACTGCTCAGGATACCCGATTGAAGTGCTGTTGCTGGGGTGGATTGTTGCTCTATGTGAACCGGGTCTGGGCAATGATGAATTTATTATCTGAGACATTGATAATTTGGTGTATCTTGCAAGGTTCGGTAATTATTTATAGCCTCCGCCAGAACGCCAGGAAATTTGCCGATAAGTCACTGAGTTGGTAGTTGCGTCGTTAAGGCTCCTTGGGCCTGCCCCACGGCGCCCAGGATACTCGAATGGGCAGGCACCACGTCAACCGGCCTCCATCCCGCTTATCTTTCTTCTCATTCTCCTTCTCCTCCTCGGCCGTTCGCTGCATCTCCTGATACCGTTCCGGGGTGAGAATTCCCGGTGGTGGCGTGGGCGGTCTCGGCAACGCCCAGCCCGCAGGAAGATACCCATGCGCACCGACAGGAAGGAATCGTATCGCGGGCGAAGCGCTCGGTGCAGCCCGGTCGTCCCGCACAGAGAGGCTAGTCTCAGCCGCAGACGCAATCGCACTTCCAATCACAAACGGAGCCCCCGACCCCAGCTCATATTCAGCTGTGCCCGCCGTCCTCTCGATTCCCTGTCTCTGGAACTCTGTTTCTGTTTCTATTTCGAGGTTGTCGTTGTCTGGTGATGAGGCTGGCAGTCGCGGGAGTGGGATCCGCTTCTGGCGTTGGTGTTCGGGGGATGGCGACGAGGTGAATGCGCGGCAGAAGGCGGCGTAGGAGTCTGAGACGGGGTCGTTGGGTGAGGTGTATTCTGTTTGGATGTGGATTGTTCGTTTGTCGCGGTATGAGATGGGGTTGTTGTAGTTGTGTTCTGGATTGTGATTGCAGATCGGATCCTGGTGGGGTTTTATCCCCAGTGGCGACGAGGACTGCGAATGCGACTGTGAAGCCGAAGACTTCCGGGATAGCTTCGAGCTCTGGGCAGTTGTGGTCGGGATATTGTCAGGGATAAGCGTGTTCGCCGTAGTGGTTGCAGTGGTGGTATTACTTGTTGCAGTAACAGTGGTAGGATCCGACGTCTGTCGAGGCGAGAGGAGATGCGACGAGAACCACCGCTTCAACTTGAGTTTCTGGGTTGAGGGGCCCTGTTTTCGGGAACCGGATCGGGATGGCGTCTGCGTCGAGAATGAGTAGAGGGATGAGGAGGAGGAAGATGTTGAAGAGAAGGATTCTCGATGGTAAGCCATTTCTCCCAGAGACTAAAGTAGATCTCGATATAGACCGGAGAGAAAGGAAGAACAAACGAGCAGACGAAAAGAAGACGGAAAGAGGGGTGCGATGAACTGTCTGTCTGTCTATCGAAAGGCAAGCAAGCAAGTAAGCTTAACATGGAATACAACTACTCGGAGAGGAAAGTCGTACAGAGAAAAAGCATGGGAGCCCAGAAAGGAGAAAGAAGCAAAAGCAGAGGAGGGACCCTGGAGCTGGAGGTGGTCACTGGCCATGTTTGAGTGTGATATATCCCGCTGCCGTATACTATTGATTGGGAATTACTTGAGTCTTACTATAGCTATACTATAGTATGCGATATTCGGCCGTTGGCTCGCTCGTTAGGGCTCCAATATACATTCAGCTGCGGCCGTTTTCTCGGCACATCTTGGCTGCTATCTACAGAGCACTTTATCCACCGAAGATCCGACCCGTATGATCCATACGATAAGCACCTAGAAGAAACGCGGTTCATGTACAATCACCGTTCGGGTGGGCTGTGCAACACGGACGGGGTCATTGTAATCACGACCACAACCACTGAGACTGGAGATCAATCCAACCTCAGCAGGGCTAGTAGTGTCCACTAGTCCACAGGCAGAGAAAGGGAGGAGGGAGGGAGGGATGAGTGTAACTTGTACACTTGTACACCGTTGAACGTCGGTCAAACACATGCGGGACTCCACTGCTACGACGTGGTCGGTGTCCTGCAAGTGGCACTTGTCTGACGTGTTCAGAGGCGGGTTTGTTACTGTACGAGGAGAAGCTGGGATTTGGAAATGGGCTGGTTGAGCCGTGTTGTTGGGAATAGGGGCCGTAGTCTTCTTCATGCTGCGACTTTGAGGATTGGGTTGGGTGGATTCGGTGGCTGTGGAAGATGGGCCAATTGTGTTGTATGTACAGGCTTTGACGAGTACTCGGAATAGAGACAATTCGAAAATCATGGATACGGTTCAAGAATAGGACCCGGAGTAGGACCCTGAAGTTCGGCGCGGAATCTATGTTAAACGGTCTAATACTCCCGTGATCCTGCGCAGATTGATTGTTGCCGACGGCGCAAAGTGACTCCGGCACGGCTGTGACGTGGATTGTATAAATTGCTGTGGCGCTAACAAGTGTGGAATCCCTGTCAGAGATCTGGAAATCACTTGCATGGTTCACGGTTGTTATTGTTTTGGCGCCAGAGACCAAGATTCGAAAGGACTGCAATTCAGGGTACTGTTCTAAGAAAGAAACGGATTGTTCGCTCCATGCGTTGGGCGCCTCCTCGTATGACCAGGATATATGCGCAGTAGACAGCATCCAACCTACAGAAAGGGAGGGAACAACCGCTAACACTGCTGATCTACCAGTGGCTGCATGTTAGTAAATGATTATCTATGAGTCTGATAGTTCTACTTCGGAGGAAGTATGCAAAACCTCATGGACCACGATCTTAGGACATTTAGCCCTAAGATCAACGAGATACAGCGTTTTTAAACGCCAAACCGGTTCAACATCGCCCGGCGCTGTACGGAGCAGAAGTATACAGCCATAGTTTACTACACGTCAATCATCATCAGTGGGACTCGATAACCACAAAAGTAAGCTGATTTTGTTTTAAGATTCACTATCGCCAACTGTTCGCTGTGTCACCGTACTTTCATCCCATACTTAGGGCTATAAATACTGCCACCAGCCGACCCCTGAATCGTCTCCCCACAATCTCACATACCTGCAAGTCGATATTGACCAGGCCCACCGTTAGCAGGCAGAAACTACACATTACCAATGCAGCCATATCTGCATGCGCGAGCATAATGCATTAATCTACTAGTGTACAAAATAGGAATCTATGTACGTCCGTAGTACACGATATAGTACAGTGGTTATCTATCAGCCGGAAATCCCATCCCGGCCTAGTCCCCATCGCCCAACTTCTCGCATCGCCTCGTCTCCACCTTCGACGAGTCTCCCGTTTGCATTGGACGCGTTCTGCTCGCCCAATACTCCGGCAACGCACTCCCATCCATTCCGTCCACCGCCCCAGCGGAGGACCTCATTCTTGTAGCGCTCGCCGGCCTCGCGGTCGACGGCCGCGGCACCGCTTTCGAAGACGTCCTCCCAGAGCTTGTTCGCGATCGCGCGGTCGAAGATGTAGCTGTAGTATGTGGCGCCGTAGCCGTAAAGGTGACCGAAGAAGCCCTGCCAGGAGGTCGAGGGGCGGCCGTGTTGGTCGACTGGGTCGGGGAGACTGGCGTGTGTCGAGTAGACTTGCTGGTAGAGCTTTGTGGTGTCGAGGAAGGAGTTTTCGGTCGCGGTGGTGTGGTAGGCTTGGTCGACGAGGGCCATTAGGATTTGGGCCTCGTTTTCGACGGCGCCGTAGATTGCGCCGTGGGCTGCGCGGTCCTGCGCCATGCGGTGGATCATGGTTTCCGAGAGGGGCTGGTCGGTTTTCCAGTGGCGGGCGTAGAGGGCGAGGACGGAGGGGTCGGTTGCGAATCGTTCCATCAGCACAGAGGGGAGTTCGGCGAAATCGGTGGCACAGCGCGTGCCTGAGATGCCCTGCAGTCGTGTTTGACCGAGGATTGAGTGAAGTGCGTGGCCCATTTCGTGGAAGAGGGTGCGCACGCTGTGTTCGCTTAGGAGAGTCGGGGTGGACGAAGATGGCTCGGGAAAGTCGCATACGAGTGCGATGGTAGGGAGCTGGCGGAGAGTTTGGGTGTGTGGATCGATGGCTGTCGCCATGCCATCGTTTGGATGGGCGATGACAGCAGAGTCTTCCATTGCTGCGGACTCGGCTACCTCCTCGGGTGTGATTTCTCTAGCACAACGCAGAGTAAAGTGTGCCGGGTTTGGAAGCTTGCCCGGACGAGAGAACAAGTCACAGTAGATGACAGCTAGTGGATGGTTTGATTCGTTGACTACATCAAGACGGCGAACATCTGATGTCCATGTTTCTCCTGGACCAGCCTCTTGAGGAACCAGACGAACGCCATATAGGCGATCAAACAGACGCGATAGACCTTGCATGACAGTTCCTAGCGAAAAGAACTCGGGGATGGTGGCCCACTCGCGCGACTTGCGCGCTTGTTGAGACGTCTCGTATTGGCGCACCCGTTGGTGGACATAGTATGCGTGGTCCCATGGCTGGAGTTGGCTTCCCTTTTGGGCCTGAAGTTGAGCAAGCTCTTCCTGTACATCAGGACGATTGCTAGTGACCAAAGATGTCAGAAACTCTGAAACAGCCGCAGGGCTCTTGGCCATCTTGTCGGTCAAAGTCATGTGGGCAAATGTGGGGAAGCCCGCGAGCTGAGCCAATTCAGTGCGCTTGGACAGCAACTGCTCCAATCGCTTGACCTGTCGAGAGCTAGCAGTGCGCGTGGCCTCGTATATCTCGCGCCGTACATCCTCATTGTGAACGGAGCGCAGAGCCAGGCGCGGGATCAACCCGACTGTTGGCACGGCGGCAGACCGGAGGTTCCAGCGCTTGATCTGCTTGACCACGATGGGATCCAAACCTCGCAGATCATTCGTAGGGACAAGGACATGTGAGCGCGCAGGCTCAGCACCATGAGCAAAAGCTGATCCGAGCTGACTGATCTCGTTGGAGAGGGTGACGAACCGTTGCCGTTCGGCCGGAGGCATATGAATCGCCGAGTTTGCAAAATCCTGGAGCAGGATACGCGCAACAATGGTCTCCTCGGAGGACCAATGGGCCGTAACGGCCGGGTCAGCCAGCGCGGTGCGCAGCTGATCATGAAGCCCAGTCGTGGTGTTGAGTACGTTCATGTACTCGAACATGAGGGCATAGGCCTGGCCTGCAGCCTCTTGCACGGGCGGATCCGGGTGGTTGGCCCGGATAAAGTCGGACAGGTCGATGACGCGGCATAGCAGGTCGCTCAGTCGGTCCAGCTGGCGCACCAGGGACCGGTATTCATCGACCGTCGACGCGGACAGCACTCGAGTAACAATCGCCTGGCATTTCTGCAGCGATACCTGCGCAAATGTGCGGAAGCCCTCGGGGGTTGTTAAGTACTGGTTCTGAACTAGACCGGTCGGCTTGCGGTTGGGAGAGAACGAGGCGGACTTGGAGAATTCGTGCCAGAAGGACTGGGAGTCGAAGACCCGGCGGAGGGTATCGTCGTCAGAGGACTTGGAGGACGAGGAGTGAACAGGCGAGGCGGAGGCAGACGCTGTGCGGAGGGAGGTGGTGGTGATGGCGCGACGGTGCAGGCGTGGTTGTAGTCGACAAGCGCGACAAATCCACGGTCGCAGCATATTAACCCGGTAGAGATATATAGTACATCGAAAGAAAAGCAAATGAGAGAATATGAACAAGGCGAGAGCGCACGAGTGAGGTACGAAGAATGGATGAAGATGAACAACCGACTGCGGCCGAAAAAACTTGGCACTTTTCTTCGGACTTCATTTCATCATCCAACCTCTGCTCCTGCACTTCACCTCCCCCACCCATTGCCCACATCATGGCTCCAGGCAAGGTATGCACCACTTATTCATTCTTATTGACTCGCTTCAAGCAGCAGCTAACCAATTGCCCTTCCAGAAACTCCCCATCTCTCTGTTGGCAGCCGCCGTGGCTCTCTATCCCGGGACAGCCTTTGCCGAGGAGCCCGTACGTCCTCCCTCGCGACACAGATACCCAAGGGTTGAAGCTAAGCTCGAAACTATAACTAATAACAACAGAGGAAACCCATCTACGATGACATTCCCTCCGAATCCTCCGTCTCCCCCATCCCGACCACCCCTAGCACTCCCGCTCCCGCTCCCGAACCTACAAGCACAGCTCTCACCACACCCAAAGCGCCCTCGTCCCCGACCCCAACGGACATCCTAACCGCCCAGGTCCGGCAAGGCCGTCTCTTCCTCTACCAACAATCGCGTGCCGCCGAGGTCGCCTTCAACGATATCCTCTCCCGCGCCCTGCACGTCGAAAACGCCTTCACCAACACCATCGCTTCCCTGGCTCCCTCCCCCGAATCCGGCGAGAAACTGCTCCCCGGTGGAATTTATGTCGTCGTCGCTGCCATGGCTGGCTCCATTGTTGCCCGTAACCGCGGCCGTTTCCTGCGCGGCACGACACCCCTCGCCTTCGGTACCATTGCCGCTTGGTCCCTTCTTCCCGTGACGATGAGGAATGTCTCTGATTTGATCTGGGAGTATGAGAAGCGGGTGCCCGTAGTTGCCGATAACCATCTGCGTCTCCGAGAGCAGGCCGAGTACATTTGGACCACTGGTGTGGCCCACAGCGGCATGGCACGTGCTCAGATGGAGGAGAAGATCGGGGATGCTAGGAAGAGGCTGGAGGAGGTTGTGAGCAAGGGACTCTGATCGGAGTTATCCTAATGCTCCCTCACTGTGATTTGCTGGTTTGACTTATCTACATTCTGATAGCGGTTGGGCCGTGTCCTATAGCGCACGTGTATCTGTAAGAGTTTTCCGATGGACAGGTTCTAGACAGTTCATTTTTCGTTTGTATCATCGAAATAAAATTTAGAACGCCCAAACAACGCCTGAATCCCGTCAATAGGAGGGTCTCTATTCTGCTTCCTTCTGTTCTTCCTGTGGCCCGGCCTTGGGCGGCGGAGGAAGCGGTGTTCCTCTCCGGGACGGTACACTATCTTGCTCCTTGCTCTTTTGCTCGCCTTCTGCAAAATAATCATCAAACGCCTTGTGAGGCGATGCCCTTGCTCCTCCGCGCGCTTTCCTCCCGTGGTGAGATACCTGCGGAGCAGATGCAGCGCCAGCGGGGGCCCACGGCGGGGGTGAAGACATATTCGCGGGGACAAGGAACTGCGGTGGCTGCACAGGAGCTCCGGCATCTGCACCACCAGCAACCGCCTCCGCAACGGGCGTTGACGTCCCATCTGCGCGCGTCTCGAAAACAACCTCCCCGGGCCCCTCAACCTCCTCTCCTAACCCAACTGGTAGTCGGTGTAAAGCTCCATAGCCTAGCTCAGCCCCCAGGGCACCTTCACCACCCCATCCGCGTGTGGGCACCAGGTCCACTGTGCGCACGACATCAAACTCGCTGTTGTATACCCATAATACTAGTGTGCGGTTCAGATGGTCTTCAACCAGTTCCCCTAGCGCAGATTCTCCTCGTAACGTGCCGCTAGGCGTGCCAATAATGTAGTCGGAGTGAGGAAGGAGACCGGCTCTGTAGGCTGGACTTAGAGGAGAAGGGATGTTCAGGACATGCCAGATGTGTTGTGTAGAGGATAGCGGGGCAAGTTGGACGGCGAGTCCTAGGGTTGGGTTAGACGGAGGCACAGGAATTGATACTGTGTGTGTGCGTTGGCCCTAGGCAGCGCATTAATAACATTCGTCAGCTAGTAAGCTCCGCAATAAGATCCAAGAATGGGTACATACTTTTGCGCTCCAGACCCCGAATGTGACCCGCGATCCAGCGCAATTGCGCACTTCGGCTGCGAAGAGGTTTGGGTCGGGGTCATCCTGTAAGCATTAGTACTTCACACTGTGAAACACATATAGACAGGAACCAAGCTTACTATCAATCGTCCATTTATCCCAACAATGAAGTCAAACCATGGCTCAAGAGGCACCTCGGGATCCTTGTTGCGAAGGACCTGGAATCCGAAGGCGTTGTCGTTTCGCGACTGCTGGGGGCTGGGCTCGTCTAGGCGGCCGATAAACCTGTTCAGTGCCCCGAACATATTGCTTATATGATCGACTTCAGAAGATAGACAGTGAAGCCGAGAGCTTGACGGTCGAGCGAAGCTGTCCTCAATAAGAGATGCAAACAAAACAAACCCGCGGTTATCAGTAGATTTCGATGCCGAAGAAAAGCATCACCTTCGAGACAACGCGCGAGGGAGAACTTTACTCTCCTCTTCCTTTAGTTCTCATCCATGTCTTGACCACAATTGAGCCACCATGTCTGGTGACGACGAAGCGCCTCCGGAGGTCCACCACTATGAATACCGTGGCGAGGTGCCCTGGGACATCCAGAAGTACGTACTCCTCTCTCAGTACGCATCGCAAAGTGCCTCACGCTAACTGTGCCTTTTTAGTTACTGGTCTCAGCGCTACGACCTATTCTCCAAATATGATGAAGGTGTCTGGTTAACCGACGATGCTTGGTTTGGAGTCACCCCAGAACCCGTCGCGACGTACGTGAATTTTCCTCGGAGTCTCGAACCGGAAATGCTGGTCTGACCTTAAATCCATTTGCAGCAAAATCGCAGACCATATAGCTCGCGCTGCCCCCGTCGAACGAAAGATTCTGGTGGATACCTTTGCTGGTGCCGGAGGAAACTCGATCGCGTTTGCGCGCTCTGGGCACTGGAAACGAGTCTATGCTATTGAGAAGAATCCAGCAGTACTGAAGTGCGCACAACACAATGCAGAAATATATGGTGTCGCAGATAAAATCACCTGGTTCCTGGGCGACTGCTTTGAGATTCTCAAGTCTAAGCTGAAGGACCTTGCGCCGTATAGTGTGATCTTCGCCAGTCCCCCTTGGGGAGGTATGTTACTATACTGATTGCCTCAGGAGCATCGTATCTCTCGGCGTTCTTCTAACTCTAATGTTTTCTCCAGGTCCTAGCTATCGAGGAGACGCAGTATTCGACCTGCGAACGATGGAACCGTATTCCTTGAAGAAACTCTACACCGAGTTCTCTCTATTTACTCCACACGTGGTCCTCTACCTTCCGCGCACATCTGACCTCAACCAGCTGGCTAAGATGGTTAAAGGTGATAAGCCTGCTCCGGTGATGCACTATTGTATGAGGGGAGCTAGCAAGGCGTTGTGTGTGTTTTACGGGGGATTCCAACTTCAGATCGCTTGATAGATATCCTGTATCCATGTACTCTACTTTCAAACCTGCATAGGACATCAGGTGCTTGAGAGATTCTATCTAACAATTGCAACACTTATCGTGAAATTCTCCAGCATTTCAAACAAGCTAATTGCCCGATGTGGCCTAGTGCCCCGCCCTATCTTCACGTGGTCGGCGCCATTCAATCGACCCTCAGTTGATTCCTCCAGTGTTTCCTTGATCACGTTAAAAAGTTTCCCTCGCTCTTTCTTTCGTGACTTTTCCCCCTAAAGTCTCTGCTTGGACCTCTCTCCGACCTTCACTCGACGATGATATCTCCCCTATCGACTGCCCCTCGCCTTTTGCGTTCTTGATCACTGGACCTTCCGCCGCGTACACCCTTGATCTCGATGCTAACACCTCTATTCTCCGCGCCGGCCACAAAGCAGTGATCCTCCACGCATCTTCTTTGCTAAAACACCAGATATTGGTCTCTACTTGTCCGCCCGCTCATTCATCATGCCACACGCAACGGCGTCCCCGACCGCTGATGCCGAAGATGCCGACTTTGATAATGTCATGCGGCAGATGAACGGCCCCATGACGGATGGTGGCATGTCCTTTGATTTTCTATCTCGAGAACTGGAACCCGGCGAGAAAGCGGATGACGCGATAGACTACGAAGATTTCGACGATGATGACCTCCCAGAAGAAGAAGAAATCAGTCACCGCAAGGCAGAAGCGCCGGCGGGAGACGACCTTGACAATTTCGAAGCATCCGACGACGCATTGTTCGGAGGTGGTGATGATCTCTTTGCCGCACCGGAACAACACGAAGAAGCCCCTCGCGATGAGTTTGATGATTTATTCGGCGAAGAGCCGTCGTCTCCCCAACCAGACCAGGCCGATACGACTAGAGATTTGTTCTTCGAGGAGGAAAGAGGTACCGTAGTTGAGAGACAGGATGTTATGGATGAGGATCAGGAATCTTTGCAGGATGATGGCACACTCACCCCGATTGCTGAGGATATGGATCCTGTTGCCCTTCGCGCATGGAAGTTGCAGCAGGCTCTTTTCGCGATGTCGAATATCGGTCCTGATAACCCCCCCGCACCCCCGGAAAACGTCGAAGAACTGCTTCAGTCTCTGTTTCCGACGTTTGATCGAAATACTCTTCCGCGCTTTCTCGAACTGATCCCGCATAAAAAGGCGCACTTCCTCGGAAAGCAGCCCCTGAAACCGCCCAAGCCGGTTATCCCTAGCAAGGTCAATATCGAATTAGCCCATGATCAAGAGAAAGCTTTTAGGTCGGCGGGGCAAGCCTACAAGCGCTCGCTGGAGCCAGAGCATTATGGTATCGTGCCTATTGCTGAGGCCTCCCAGGAAGAAGAAGAGGAGGAGCCAGTTCAAAACGAATTCGATCTCGACTATGAATCTGACGAGCCACTGCCGAATGGTATCACCTCCGAGGATCTTCGAGTGGTATGCGCGAATTGGGAGATTCAAGATGCCCAGGACGATATCTCCATTATGGACGTTGATGAGCCCGCGGCGGAGAGCGGCGAGGATGACTGGCTGCTCGAAACCACCCGGCCAGCAAAAAAGCGCAAACTTGGCCGTGATCCAATGGAGATTATTTCGCTTTCACATATCGAATTGCCTCTCTTAGATGATCCAGTGCAGGCCAGTTCGCGAGTCGCTCAGAAAGTCACCCTCGATCTTAACGACCCACATTTGCTTCTCGATGAACAAGGTCCTGAGGCTGCTCCTAAACCCAGAACATCTGGCGCGCGGGGCAGAGAGGAGATCGATGCCAATATCACTCGTCGGCTTACATCCCGGTACAATATCTCGAACGACCAAGCTTACGACATGCTTAAGCAGAATCACCAGAACAAGGTCCGAAGTACCCTTGGAAATGTTACTTTGGAACACAGTATGCCCGCCCTACGGCTGCAATGGCCTTACTACAAGACAGAGCTGGCCAAGGCCGAAGCACGATCGTTTCATCGCCCGGCCCTGTCCTTCCGTCCAGGCCAAAGCTGTTGGTTCAAGAACCCCGCGTATATCAAGCGCAAACATCAAAAGGGAAAGGATATCCGAACCCTTTACGATTCAACGAAGTCGCTCTCCCTGGCAGACAACTCCCACGTCCTCCTGGTCGAGTATTCGGAAGAGTCGCCGCTTTGTCTATCAAACTTCGGTATGGCCAACCGCATTATCAACTACTACAGAAGAAAGAGTATGGAGGATCCGACACGGCCAAAAGCAGAGATTGGAGAGACTGTTGTCCTCTTACCGCAAGACAAAAGTCCCTTCTCAATATTTGGCCACGTTGACCCGGGAGATGTGACGCCAGCTATCTCCAACTCCATGTACCGTGCGCCGCTGTTCCCGCATCAAGCCAAGTCCACGGATTTCTTGATCGTTCGAAACAGTACCGGAACGGGTGGTAGCGATTACTTTATTCGCAATATTGACAACATGTTTGTTGCTGGGCAGCAGTTCCCATCAGTTGACATTCCAGGACCCCACTCTCGAAAGGTCACGACTGTTGCGAAGAACCGCATGAAGATGCTCGTATACCGTCTACTGAAGAAGAGTCCAGATCTCCGACTGTCTATTAGCGATGTCACTGCCCACATTCCCGGCACAAGCGATATGCAAAATCGACAGAAGGTCAAGGACTTCCTGCAGCACGATAAAGATACCAAGTACTGGGTGCCTTTGGAGCCAGTGCCTGAGCCAGATATTATAAGGTCATGGGTTCAGCCAGAAGATGTCTGTCTTTTGGAGGCAATGCAGGTCGGCCAACAGCATTTGCACGATACCGGCTTTGGTAATGATGCCGAGACGGGCGGTGATGAAGATGAAGATGCAGAGGGCGAGAGCTTTGAGCAGCAAATGGCGCCCTGGAAAGCCAGCCGAAATTTCTTGCTCGCATCACAAGGAAAGGCCATGCTGAAACTTCATGGAGAGGGCGATCCCACTGGTCGTGGCGAAGGTTTCAGTTTCATTAAGACTTCCATGAAGGGAGGGTTCAAGGCCATTGGAGAGAGTGTTGAAGATAAGCTAGATGCACAACGACTCAAGGAGCTCGGTGGTCATAGCTACAATGTTGCGCGACAACAAAAGTCATACGAGACGTCGATCCGTCGCATCTGGGACGCCCAGAAAGCGAGTCTGTCTTCGACAATCGAACACTCGGATGATGACGATGACATGTCTGCTGATGAAGAAGAAGAACGGTTTGGCAAGCCCACGCCAAGATCGGAAGCCCCTACACCTGCTCCCGGCCGGCGTGATGATGAAACGACCAGTCAGTTCAGTAGAATGAGCATGTCCGACCAGAGGGGTAAAGTACTACGCATCATCCGGCAAGTCAAGGACAAGGACGGCATTCACCAGAAGGAGACCTTGGTTTGGGATCCTAAGGTGATTCGGCATTACATTCAACATCGCCATCGGGTTGAGTCACTCACCACAAAGTCAGTCGCCCTCCATGAGTGTATAACCAAGGCCAGATAACTAACGAGCTATAGACTCGACTCTCTCAAACCAACGGGCGATCCAGAAGTGGATGCTCGTAACAAGAAGCTGTATGCCCTTCGGACACTCCCCCCCCCTCGTTTTTCTTCCGTGCCCTCCCGCGAATTCCCCCTAACGTGTGGCAGTATCGAGCAAGAACTCAGCCGTCTCAACCGCAACAAAGAACGCCGCTTCGCGCGCGAGAAGCAAAAAGGCGTCCTTCGCACATCCGGCGACTCCCCCGCTGACGGGGCCCCAGGATCTTCCAAGTCAGCAGGGACCCAGCGCAAATGCGCCAACTGCGGCCAGGTCGGCCACATCAAGACAAACAAAAAGTGCGTTCTGAACCGCTCCGTCAATGCGGACGATGGTTTCCCTACCTCCTTTGATATCTCCAATTCCTTTTTCTCTTCCTCAACCCCTTCTCTTCCCAAACGCTCCGTCTCGTTTGCTCTTTAGCATTCGAACTCTCTTTCCATTCTTTTCAGGTCCGCTTCTGTACCCAAGCGGCGAGCAGGGCCCAATCAGTCTACATCAGGATCCCGTATCCAGACAGTCCCATACTGTGCTGGCCAGCCAATTATCCCCATTAAGGACCCATTCTCATTGCCATCTGCCTATCTGCTGGACCCATCTACGGCCCTACTCTTCCCAGTAGCCAAGCTAACAATTCCGCTCTGCTTTGCGCAACAGACTTTGCCCGCTTCTCAACGGTACGATGAAGCCCGAAGACCGGGTCAGCGATTCCGCCTTCGCAATGGGTGCTCCGCCCGCCATATAAAATCAGCGCATCTTCTTATTATCTTATTATCTCGAGTAAACTGTTGTTATGATACCCTTCGCAGTCATTGGAGTGGGGCATTTTTGTGGTTATGGGTTGCGTCTTTTCATCATCTTCATTTTTCGTTGCATGGCCTGCGAGCCTGGAGAGGCTGAAGGCTGGAGCTGTAGTGGTTCTGCATTGATGCCTCGTGATTATCTCTATATTCGACTGCATTCTGGTGGTGAATTGGGCACTAGACTGAAATACACAGCAATTGTCAAACGCAAATCAATAGTCTCGATTCAGAGGACTCTTCAAAATAAGAATATTATAAGATACATCCATCAATCCGTTCACGACTCCATTCGGTCCCTGGCCGAGGCGAGACCAACACTACCCATACAGCTCTGATAATTGACCGCGAGAAACCCAAGGGCGCCCGCGCTCGGGAGTCACTGCTAGAATCACACCCTTTGGCCGTCGATACGTGTATCCCAGAAATGCACCCCTTTTCCGCATCTCGAGTACCGTCTTCCGAAGCCGCTTATCACGAAGAATCTTGTCTCGAGGCCGCTTTGGCTCTTTGTGCTTCTTCTTTACGACTGGTTTCTCAGCGTCCTTGTTGCCATCCACTGCCAACGGATGATTTGGAGACGGTTCAGTGGGCTGCTTGCTTTTTGCTTTACGGGACACTTCGTCATCCTTCGCTTGATCGACGTCCGAGTCCGTATTCTCGTCATCATGGTCGGAAGGGTAGTCACCGTCCTCGAAGTACCGCGTATCTTCCCATCCTCTGACCTTGGGTATGAATGGCGGAAACATGCGATGAATGTCATCGAAGTCGAGACCACGGAAGAATGGATGGGTCTTGATATCGGCGGCATCGTTAGGGTAGACAAATAACCCTTGATAATTCTGACTAGACGGATCGGGCTTATAGAAAAAGCACTTGGATGGGCGAGCGCTGATCGCATCATTGGCCTTGTACTTGTTGGAAGATAGGCGAAACTCTTTCTCCTGAAGCAGGGCGTTGATGAGGTCAATTGCCTCTGCCGACACCAACTTGTCGGATGGCCGGTGAACTGGAAAATATAACGTTTGTAGATGATGCTATTGGATCTCATATCAGTGGTCTCTCCAAGACTGGTGGCAGACTTAGTACTCACATGGATCTTCAACTTCGTCTTATGACGGTCCTCAGACGCAAATGGGGTAAAGCCATACAGACACTGGTCATGTTAGCCATCTGGATAACAGGCACTGGAGGAACCAACTACCTCGTAAAGAATGATACCAGCACTCCACCAGTCGCATCGGCCATCATATGGGTGGCCTCGGATAACCTCTGGCGCCATGTACTGGCTCGTTCCCACAACGCTTCGTGCCATCCTGCGTTTCTGGTTCCGGTCACGCCAACCCAGAAGACCACTGGCTGGGGGATGTATCCAGTCGTCATCCAAACTTCCATCTTCTTGAGGCGCCCCGGAGGCGGACTTAGTTGCTTGCTGAGTTTCTTTCTGATCTTCCATATCCCCTTCAACCTGGATACCCAGTCGCTTGAGAAGAGAGTGGCGCTGGTAAGTAAAGTACCATTGATCATGAGCCCAGTGTCCATCGAAAGCCAGCCCGAAATCTGAGATCTTCAGATGCCCGGAAGCAGAAATCAGGAAGTTGTCAGGTTTCACATCACGGTGAATCCAGTGAAGCCGGTGTGCCTCTTCAATACACAGAATCATCTCTGCTATATACCACCGCGCGATGTCCTCGGATAGAATGTTATGGCGCATCAGCAAACCAAGAAAGTCGCCACCGACCATGTAGTCCATGACCAAATAGAGATAGCTATGATCTTGGAAACTCGCTATTAAAGGGACAATCCAGCGGGATTTCGCAGAAGCAACTAGAAAATCCCTCTCTGCGCGTAGGTGCCCTTCTTGGCTGTTCCGGATCATCACTGACTTTCTGATCACCTTCATCGCAAAGACGTCCTTCTTCATCCCAGTCATAGCTTGTCGGTGGTTGCTTTTGGGAGCAAGACGAAGAGCCTGTGTCTGTTCCGAGGAATGTTTGTGACGACCAATTGACTGCTCGGCGGCAGGCAAAGAAGTAGCTGCTCCTTTCTCTCTCACCAGGCGGACAACCCCAAAGCTACCCCTACCTAGAATCTTGATAACCTCAAAGCCGGCGAGTGATGGCGTTTCATCCCGAGAGCTTCCGCTGTGTGATCGACTCTTCAGAACGCGACACTGGCGGAGGTATTCACGCTCTTGGGCAACCCACTGCTTCTTCACCCTCAACCGCTCTTCAGTACTCAGAGGTAGAGAGGCGATATAATGATCTAGTTCATACTGGCGTTGTGTGCGCGTATCAACACCTGCATATAGCGTGTTGAAATATGTCTCGAAGAATACCTTTGCATTGGCCGCTGCCTCTGCCGTTAGGATTGATGGTGAGACGATCGGTAATTCCCTGACTGGACTGAGCGGACTGCCCCTCAGATTGGGATGAGACGCATGGTGCCGGCAATTTGCAGGGTGGTCACAGCTGACATCTACAGAACGACGCGAGCTTCCAGGAGAAGGAGAGGTAGGCGCCGTGGATAAGCTGTCAACGGGGGAGCCTTTGCTGCTATGAACCGACGAGCTGGAGCTATCAACTGCGGCAGCATTGAGGGGCGAGATGGACGACGTCTGGAAGTGAAGAGCCTGTACGCTTGGTCGCTGGTTGAGATGTGAACGGCGAATAACCGTGGGACTGCCAAAGGTTGTGGATATTTTCAGGGAAACGACTCTTGCGAGCTCGACTGGAGTAGACTGGCTCCGTTTCAAATCAACGATTGTAGGAGCCTCCATTGCTTCATCCGTTGTCTGCCGTGTTCCGCCCCTCTTCTCTTGCTTGACCTTCGTTGGTAATTCAACCTGTTCAACACTGTTGCGGATCGGTATGTCGTGATGGGGCTTTTGATGGGACGGGCTGTTTTGATGTGAAGCGGGTTCGGCTTCGGATTGTGAATCACTGGCCGTGTCAGGCGAGTTGGTCGCCTTGACAACTACGAAAAGCGTTAGCTGGAAATATCCGGAGACTTCCAAGCACTACCCCGTACCTGTGATGGGGCTTCGAAGGCCCAAAAGAGAAAGTAAACGGGAGCTCCGTTGTTGAATGCGCACTCGAATCTTGGACGGGCGACCTCCACCAGCACCATCTGAAATCAAACCTTCCGACACGGCCGATTCAGTCGTTGATTGTCCAAAGAGGCCATGACTCGGAGGGCTGGAACTGCCGGGTTTAATCAATATTCTTACGTATCTTCCCTGTCCCTCAGACATGGTGATTGGGCGGAGCCAAAAGCGCCAGGGGTCTTGGTACCCTATGTTGTGGTTTATTAATGATATGGAACATAGAACGGTCCGGCTGGTACAATGAACACCGGGAGCAAGGCGGTTCAAGTCGATACAAGATGAATCGTTGGTGGGGTATGTGAGAAATGATGGCTTCAGTTGAGTGAGGGTGGCTAAAAGGAGCAACTGCGATGGAAGCGCAGCTGGGGTACTTTCCAGTGGCTACATAATAGTGAATTTATAGTGAATTTATTGCCAACTTGTCACGAAATTGGGGGACTATTAGGCGAATCAAGAAATTAGGCCAAGAACCGTAAAAAGAAAAATGGAATTGTTAAACACCTAGAAACACCTTCTTTTGGGACAAGCAAGCAAAAATCAGAAGCAAACACAGAAAGCGCGATGGCATATATGACCACACGTATGCGTACACTGCAAACATAGGAACATCTGCACCCAGAGCATTCAATGCAACTCGTCTATTTGATCTCCAGAAGCTTGACGTCGAAGATCAGCTTTGAGTTGGCAGGGATACCGGGAAGAGACTGCTTGCCGTAGGCGAGGTGAGGAGGGATGGTGATACGGCGTTCGCCGCCAACTGCCATACCAGCAACACCAATATCCCAGCCCTTGATCACCTCACCCTTGCCAAGCTTGAAAGTGAAAGGCTTGCCCTTCTTGTTGGCTGTAGAGATTTATAGTTAGCTGACGTTCACCAGATGGTGGAGAGTCGTATGGAAACTTACAGTCGAAAACCTTTCCATTCTCGAGCTTACCAATGTAGCGCATAGCGACGGTCTTGCCCGCAGCGGCGGCGTTACCGGTACCGAGCTTCTTGTCGTCAATTGTCACGCCCTTAACCTCCTTGACTCCGAGGGTGCCAGTAGTCTTGGCCGCCTTCTCAGCCGGCTTCTTCTCCTTGGAAGGCGTAGGTCCCTGCTCGAGGTTCTTGGCAAACTGAACCTTCTTGGCCTCCTTGGCCTCAGGCTTGGATTCCACAGCGGCGGCTTCGCCGTTGTTCTTCTTCAACTTCTTCTGCTGCTTCTTGCTCTCACCATTGGCGGAAGCCTTGGCCTTGGCCATCATCTCTTCCAGGGCTTCCTCTTCAGCCGCACGCTTCTTTTGCTTACCCTTGCTCTCGACCAGCTTGGGAGCCTCCTCCTCGTCAGTGTCAACCTCCGTGATCCTGGGGTTCTCCAGGTCATCGAGATCATCGCTCTCGTCATCCTCACCCATCATGATTTCGTCAATGTCGAGCTCATCCTCATCAGGGGACAGGTCATAGTCATCCTCGTCATCCTCATCATCCTCGTCAAAGTCGGGGCGGCCTTCCTCATCGAGGGGCATCACGTAGTTTCCGGTGAGGTAGATGGTGTGGGTTCCGGTGACTTTGAAGAAAACACGCTCGTCCTCGGAGACAGTGATGTCGAGAGCCTGTTGGTAGTTCTGCAAAGCGCCGTTAGCCTATCGAAGTATAGCAACAAGATCTGAGGACAGCATACCCTCTCGGGGTCGAGGGTACAGATGACCATCTCATCGAGTTCCAATCCCTCGTCGGACTCGTCATCCTCATCGTCGTCGTCCATGGCGGGAGCCTTGCCCTTGACGAGTTTTGAAATGGCGGCCTTCAGATCAAACTCTTCACCATCGTCGGAGTCGTCCTCCTCCATAGCCTCCTCCATTTCCTTCAGGGCAGCGGCGGCCCTGAGCTTCCGAGCCTTCTCCTTGTCACTGGGGCCACCATTAACCTCCTCGTCATCGTCCGAGTCCTCGTCCTCGTCCTCATCGTCCTCGTAGTCATCATCATCCTCATCATCGTCGAGGTCCAAGCCCGGGGGAGGACGGACAATCTTGAGAGTCGCGCGAGGGCGGCGAGAAGAGTCGTCTTCGAAATCGGGGGTCTCGTCGGGGTCAATGGCAGCCATGCTCACCCGGAACTACACCGATATCAGTATGGTCAATCCTCGTTAGACGGAATGCTCCACGAACCATGGCAGCAGCATTGGGAACTGCAGGGATCAAAGCACCACCAGGGGGGACCCTGAGAGCATATACGGCGACTGGTTGAACAGCAGACATTTTGAAGCTGTGAACTTGATAGTCGATAAAACCAAGTAGTAGAGAGCTCTATAAAGGGAAATCGAAAGAACGACCGTCTAGATGCGAGAAGAAAGAGACAGATTGCGGAAGGAACACTTCAAAGCCCGGACAACAAAACTAGAGAACGAAAGAGATCAGATGAAGAGGAAAGGGCGGATGGAGCAGAGGAAGAAGAAGAGAGAAACAATCGCATGCTGCAACTTTTTCGGCGGCTCCATTTTTTCCCCATTTTTCTTTTTTTCACCGCTGTATATTTTTCAGCCAATGGCCGCCTCCCAAGCTTTGTACCGCCTTTTGAGTGTCCGCCCCACCGATGATTATGTCACATGATTGCGCTCCATCTTCGCGTCGGCCGTGGAAGCTTGCATCGAAGAGGCGGCTTGTTCTACGAGGAAGATGCTCATCCTATTCACCTCGAGGACACCGGTTGCTTTGTCTGTTTCTCGTTTTCCGGAATATGAATCTGCGCTTCATTAGCTTCCCATGGGCTCACGCCTAGATGCAACCTCCAGCGCGGTGCGCAAACGGATTCAAAATCGTGAGTTAGATCGCGCCTTATCGCCACCGACTTGCCTCGTTCCAGAGACTTTTACTGACTTTTCGCACAACCAGACAGCTTTGAAGATGAAGAAGGTGAAGAATATGGAGCCTCGGCCTTCGGTGGCCATGGAGATTATATGCGCCGTAAAAAAGCCAAGCTTCAGAATCTCGACAATGAAATCCGATCCTCCGCCGCACAACACAACTGTCCTCAGATCTTTCGATCAGTTGTCGCGCATGTGAATGGATATACTCAGCCCTCACTCCAAGACTTACACAGGCTTATTGTGCGCCATGGCGGTGGATTTCTTCAGTATCTCGATGGCAAGACCGCCGCTACTCATATCATCGCAAGCTCACTCACGCCGAAGAAAAGGGACGAGTTACGGCGCTATCGAGTTGTAAAGCCGGCGTGGGTTGTCGAGAGCGTCGAAGCCGGACGATTGCTTCCATGGGACTTGTATAAGGTCGTCGATGAGGGCCAGAACCAGAAAATCCTCAACTTCGACAACGGCCGGATGCTCAGTCAGGCTGCTACTCCGAAACCCAGTTATAAAGATGAAAGCAAATCGTCATGGTACTCGGCTCGGTTTCAAGCAGAAAAATTCCGGAACGATGAGAGTTTGGATACGCCTGAAGCTCTAGCCCCCAATCAGTCAAACGTCGCCTCACAGTCAGATTATGGTGAATTCCCGAGCTTTACCTCACTCGATGCACCAGCCAATGATTCTGGTCCAAATAAACCTCCCGTGGCTAACGAGCAGGAAGATGGGCTTCCGGAGTCACCGACAGCTCCTACTGCTTCCAGGAACAAAACAGCTATCGCAGACGCGGTATCTCCTCACCGTGATCCTGCGCCTCCTAAACCAGAAATGACCTCTGAGGAATATAATGCGCAGCTTTTATCAGACCCGCGTATGAAGAATTCGAGCGTGGGAAATCCGGAATTCCTCCAGCAATATTACAGAGAATCTCGTTTACATCACCTCTCAACTTGGAAGGCCGAGCTGAAAGCACAGCTGCAGTCGAAAGCTCAGGAGAAATCCCGGTCTCAATCTGCACGGAAGAAGCTCGTACCTGGTGCAAGGAGGTACATCATGCATGTCGATTTCGACTGCTTCTTTGCGGCAGTCTCAACGTTACAACATCCGGAGCTGGAAGGGAAGCCTGTTGCTATCGCTCACGGTACCGGCACTGGATCTGAAATTGCCAGCTGTAATTATGTCGCTCGTGCGTCTGGAGTCAAGAATGGTATGTGGATGAAGGGTGCCCTACAGGCTTGTCCTGATCTGCGCGTCTTGCCTTATGACTTTCCGGCCTATGAGGAAGCGAGTCGAAAGTTTTATCGTGCAATCTTAGCGGTAGACGGCATAGTTCAGAGTGTTAGTATTGACGAGGCACTAGTGGACATTACGTCGCTGTGTCTTGAGGCAGGTGGTTCGGATGGTAAGGGTGTATCCGAAGGGTCGATCTACAGAGAGCAAGCGAAGGCCGACGAGATCGCAGAGGCATTACGAGCAACGGTCAAAGGTGACACAGGCTGCGCCGTCTCTGTCGGCATCGGAGGTAATATCCTACAGGCAAAGGTTGCCCTGCGAAAGGCCAAACCCGCGGGTCAGTTCCAGCTGAAGCCAGATGCCGTTCTCGATTTCATTGCAGAGCTTCCGGTACAGAGCCTTCCTGGCGTGGGTTATAGCCTGAGCTCAAAAATGGAAGAATTGGGCGTTAAACTGGTCAAGGACATCAGGGAGCTTTCGCGAGAGAAACTGACATCTGCCTTGGGGCCCAAGACGGGCATCAAGCTTTGGGATTATGCGCGTGGCATTGATCGGACAGAAGTCGGCAATGAGGTTGTACGCAAGTCCGTCTCCGCAGAAGTAAATTGGGGCATTCGCTTCGTTACCCAGGAACAAGCAGACGACTTTGTCCGCTCTCTATGCGAGGAGCTGCACCGCAGACTGGTTGAAAATCTAGTCAAGGGAAAACAGCTAACTCTCAAAGTCATGCGAAGGGCTCTTGACGCTCCGTTAGAGCCAGTGAAGCATCTCGGTCATGGTAAATGCGATGTCTTCAACAAAAGTGTCATTCTCGGTATCGCTACCAACGCGGCAGATTCGCTCGGAAAAGAGGCCGTTTCGATGCTTCAGAGTCTCAAGATATCACCTGGTGATCTGAGAGGGCTGGGCGTTCAGATGACCAAACTTGAGCCCATCAAGTCGACATCTGAGAAACCAGACGGTAGCCAGAAGCAGCTCACTTTCAAGGCGCCTCCGGCTCGCAAAACTGCGCAACATCCTGAGGATCCGGACCTCCTAGACAGCCCGCGTAAGAACGAAGCAGAGACGGTATGGCACGGCCCTTCCTTGAACGACAGCACCCAGAAGCCTCTCAATATTTCTGGCACTCAGTTTATCATGCCGTCGCAACCGGACCCAGCAGTTGTTGCCGCGCTCCCACGCGATATCCGATCCAAGCTGGTAGCCCAAGCCAAACCGCGGAGCGATTCCCGTACAGGTTCCCCCCTCGCCCCAACGCGCGCGCAACCCAACTCCAGTTTACCACCACAATCCCAATTGGACCCAGATATACTAGCTGCTCTGCCGAAAGACGTTCTCGCCGAAGTGCTAGGGTATTACGACCAACCTGCCGCAGTCAGCTCACGCCCGACCACATCCTCATCTACCCTCCCACCCCCGAGACCATCCTCATCCTCGAGCAACCCACTCCGAGTCCGAAAACCCATATCACCTCCGAAGAAACGCCGCGGCCGCCCACCTCTAAAACAGCCCACAGCATCCTCACTTACACAATCAAAATTCGTCATCCCCAGACCAGACCCAACGATCAACGCCGCCGATGAACCGTTAGAAGACGACCCCAACATCTCTGGCGAGTTCCTCGCCGCCCTTCCCGAAGACATCCGCCGCGAAGTTCTTGAAGAGTCCAAACGCACCCGTCTCCTTCAACGCCGCGCCGCCGCAGCGAAAATCTCCCTCTCGAGACCCGGCACAACCTCCCGCGCGCAGATAAACGAGCGACACATCCGCCTCCCCCCGCTCCCCGAACGACCAACATTCACATCTAAAAGGCTTTCCCAGCTCACCGACCTCCGCGACGAAGCAAGTGCCTGGCACACGGCGTTTGCAGAAGAGGGCCCGTTCGCGGAGGACGTCACTGCGCTAGCGGACTACCTGAAGCATGTTGTGGCTGATGAACGGGACCTCGATAAAGCTGTTTCGGTTGTCAAGTGGCTTGCTTGGCTTGTTGAAGATGGGAAGTCTTCGAGTGGGGGCTTGGGTTCGGGCACGGGATCTGACTCTTCTCCGAGAAGTTCTCCTGGGGGCACTGGGTTGAGCTCGGGATCTCAGAGTGGGATCTCGTGGGATGAGGCGCTGACGGTGTTGAAGGAGGGCGTTCAGCAGGGACTAGAGGAAAGGGGACTTCCCGCCGTGGATTTCGCCGAAGACTAACATTAACATCTTGCTCCCTTTCAATCTTGGATTGATTTTATAGCTTTTTCTCCTTGTGCATATCACGTGCGATGATAAGATGATCTATTGTGCTTTCTACTCTCGCTTGCTCTGGCGTTGCATAGATGGAGTCTTGACTTTATATGATAAATGAACTTGCCAATCTGTCCTAAACACACATATATCTATGCGTCGGAATCACTTTAGCATGATACTCCTACCTATCCCCTAAGCCTTCCACCCCTCTTCCCTCCAAAATCCCACCATTTTCCCCACCAGCTCCGCGTCCAAAGGCATCGCCTCCCTAAACACATCTGAAAACCCCTCAGTGCGACTTGTATGCCACTCAAACCCCTTCCTCGGCTTATCAGTATCATACTTGCCCGCGAAGAATTCAACAAGCTTGATAGACGGATTCACCGCAGGATCAGGGTTCGACTTCCGCAGTTTCGCTATCCAGGTAGGCGGGCTCACTTCCTCAAACTCCAACCCCGCAGACCGGAGGTACGGGAGGAGATCGCTCGTCCAATGGAAGGGGTGCGGGGAGATGATATTATAAATCGCGCCACCTGCACCCTCTTGCGAAGTTCCAGTCACCCCAGTAGTAGTAGTAGTAGTAGTAGTAGTAGTAGTAGTAGTAGTAGTAGTAGTAGTAACGACATCCGACGACGACAGCGAAATATCACTAATCGTCCCCGCAACAACATCAACAGGCAACCAACGATGCCACTCATCGATCTTCGGCAACGCCCCCGTCGTCAACGCACTCTGAACCATAAGCGGGATCGCCTCTGTTGTGTTCCAAATTCCATACTTTAAGTCTCCGATGACCTGTCCGATTCTCAGAACCCGTGCCCGGATCCCCGTTTGCTGCGCGGCGTTGATGCAGATGTGTTCTGCGACGAGCTTCGACTGCGCGTAGCCCATGTTCTGTGCGCAGGTGAGAGAAGGAGGTAATGTCTCGGGGATATCGGGCGTCGTGGAGCGGACGACGGCGGAGATTGAGGAGCAGAAGTTCATTGTTGCCGGAGAGGGCCGTTGGGCGCGGAGACAGAGGGTTATGAGGTTGTGGAGGCCTGCGATGCTGTCGCGCTCGAAGCTGGTGAGGTGTAGATTGAAGTTTACGGACCAGGCGCAGTGGATAATGTCCGTGATTTCGCTCGTGAGGGAGTTGTAGGTTGTATTGTCAAGGCCGAGGGTCCGAAGGGAGAGTTCGGAGGGAAGAGCGATGAGCTTGTTCTTTGCGGAGGAAGAGAGCGTTTCATAGAGCTTGCGGGTTCGGAGGGATTGTAGAAGGCGCCCGTAGGCGTCTAGCGGCGATGAGGCACGGATGAGGCAGTAGACCTTCTGGACGTTGGGAAGGTTAGCCAAGTGGGCAACCGTGTGGCAGCCAAGGGAGCCGGTGGCACCAGTGACGACCTGGTATTATTTTGTTAGTTATTTGGTATGAGAAGGGAGGGGATAGGACGCACAATATATCGCCCGCTCAGCCCGTTAGGGCAAGGTGTGTGTTGTTCGAAATTGCTGTACTTCGATATCAAAGCCTCCATCTGCCCTTCAATAGACACCTCCGCTTGCAGAGTACCGGAGCCAAGGGAACAGAGGTGACGAGCGAGGGCGTTGATAGTCGGGTGCTCGAATGCCACGTTTAGCCCTAACTTCCGACCCTTGCTGTTGATATTCTTGACCAGCACCGAACGCAACTGCGTTGCTTGCAGAGAATCCATCCCAAGTGAGAAGAAATCGGCATCACCAGTGAGCTCATTCGCATCCTTGACGGGGAGGATATCGGGCAACTGCTTCCGCAGGAACTCCTTCAGCTCCTCCTCTGACAGTGACAGGGTCCCCGTCATCGCATCGTCAGCCTCATAAGAGGCCTCGATCAAATCACTATAATCACGGTAAAATGCCTGCCGGATCACAGTACCCTTGTCTGTGCGCGAATAGACGGCGTCGGCGGGTAGGACGCGAACCATGCTTTTCGATAACTGTCCGTACGCGGGGAGCGTCTCATGAGCCTCCTCCACGGCCGGCCAAATAGCTTCAATGATTTGCTCATCGGTCAATGTCGCTGCATCCGGCGCCCTGATGACCGCCAGCCCGATGCTGGACTTGCCCACGCCAAAAGCGAGTGCGTCTGCGACGACACTGAGCTGCCGCACGCGTCCTTCCAGATCCAGCGGGATCACTTTCTCACCGTTCACGAGGGTAATTGTGTCATCCAGCCTCGAATAGTACTTGTACGCCTCGATTTCGGGATGCTTTAGGAACAAATCTTTGGTTGCGTAAGCGTTGTCAGGTCTGTTTGACATGACCTTTGACGGCCAGCCGTCCAGGACGACTGACTCGTAAACGCCGGGGAAGCGCTCCTCGAATCGTAGGAACTTCTTCACAGCATCAGACGGGCGCATCCAGTCCCATCGCTTATCCTCGCGTGGTCGCATGGATGTCATAAGTTGGCCAGTCTCGGTTCTGGAACAGTTAGCAATTTGGCTCAACATTAGCCGTGCAGTTTGATACTCACGATCCATAATGACTGATGAGATAAACGCCATTCTCAACAAGCAGGTTCCCCAACGAATCTGGACACGCGGACCCCCCAAACATGACAGCCTTGAGATTCGCCAGCGCTTTGATCCCCTCCTCCGACTCCGCAAGCAGCTTGAGCGCGTATGGGACACCATAGAAAATCTCAAACGAATGAGACTGCATGATCTCAACTAGGTACTTGCTGGTCAGCGGAAGCCCCGGATTGTACAAGTGTAACGACTTGCAAGAGTATATCGTGCGAAAGAGACAGCAGATTCCATGGTTATGGTACAGCGGCAGCGTGATGAACCCGCGCATGTTCATATTTCCCGCATAGTTCTTGATGGCGGCACGCTGGGTTTGGAAAATCGGCTTGGGGAGTCCCGTGCTTCCACTTGAGTGGATGATCCAGGCGACATGGTTTGCTTCGGTTTCGGAGTTGAGATGCGATGAAAGGTTCGTGTCGATGGGGTCTTCCGACACCGGGTAGTCGTAGTTCTCCTCCGTCGGGATATCTTGCACTTGTAGAGATGGGACTCGTTCTTGGACCTTCCTAGCTGTGTCTTTCAGCGAGCTATGGACGAAGATGTGCTGCGCGTTCGTCCTCTCTACCAGAGATACGTGCGCCTCGACTGAGATTCTGGTTGAAAGTAGCAAGCCGGAATGACCGAGTTTTGTCAGGGCCAGCATCAAAACAAGATAATTCAGATCTGACGGCCCTAGCAGCGCAACGACTATCGGCGTCTGTGATGACGAGGTCCGAAGTGGAATAACCTCGGCCAATATGTTGGCAACACGATAGGCGAATACGTCAAGTTGGTGTAATGGGAACTCTGAGTATTCTATTCCGGTCCGCGGGTAGTATACCACAGGCTGCGACGGGCCTAGCGAAGCACGATTCCGAACAAGCTGATCGACCGTCACAGGCTCGAATTCGACCTCCGGCACTTCGACCTTGTCGGTTGGGAGCCTATCGATATGTGTTGGTGCCTGGGGGAGCAGTGTTGACAGCATCTTGACGCTGCGTGTATATTCCTCGGTGGTTCAGTATCATTAGGACAAGCGCAGGAGGCGGATTTAAATATCCAGAGAAGGGCAATCCGGGGTCAAGGATCCTCGTCCATGATGCACGACATCCGCCAATGGGTAAAGAGAGAGTCAGCGAGGCAGCTGCGGCTCTCGGAAAAGCTTCATCGATTCGGAGATTTATCCGAGGTGACGATCCGACATCCACGCCCCAACCTGCCACGGGAAATGCTGCTCTAAGAGCTACGGGTAAGGTAATGGCCCGGATAACGACAGCATTGCGTATAGGTTTAGAAATCTTAGAAAGAAAATCCGACGATGTTGATATTCTCGACGAGGCCCAGTCGGGGTCCTTACTAGATGTCTGGGTATAGTGCTACTAGCAATGCCGACAACTTACAAGGGTGGGTGAAATCATGCTCGCAATTAAAAGGAAAATTGAGACGGATCGGTGGGGAGGTTAGAAAATGCCTGCGAGAAATCAGTATTCTGAATGTCCCAACCATCACTAGAAAGAGCGTTGATCACTAACCCAGGTATCCAGTTGCGTCCACCACATTGAGCTTTCGAGGTTTTCCAGGAACCCGGCATCGCTCATACCAAAGGGTTCATCCACGAATCCAGATGGACGGAAGTCTCCGTCGAAGCTCATAGGTTGTGGGTTAAAAATTGGACTGTTTAAATCAACTTGTTCCGCCGGTCGTTGTTCGAGTGCCGGCTCTTGACTCCGAATAAAGGAGACTCGGGTATTCTCTGGGCTGTTCGGGGCGGAGCATGCGCGAGACCCAAGTTGCTTGTGCACCTCCAGCCTTGTCTCTTCTAAGATGATGCCGTAGCGACGACTCGGACAGTTCTTGCGTGTGGCTTCGGCCAGATGTTGCTGACATACCTCTGCAAGACTGAATAGTGATCGGACGCGACCGCTGTCAATCTCGGACTGTTCCGGAGCGGACGACATCCTATGGTGTTGGATTGTGTATATGTAGACCACAACGATAGCACAAAAGCACACGTGGTGCGTAAACCAGAATGACTGAATCAAGGTCCCTTGCTTTGCGATGCTGTCCACCAACTTCATGACATGCTCTGCAGCTTCAAGGCACTTACTTACATGCGCTGTTAGCATTGGGTGTGGGGCCGTTGGCCGGCGACTCAAATCCGTGAAATCATTTAGAAGAAATGCTCGGGTTGCGTGGATCATGGCGTGACAGTACGCAAGCTGAAGAACCTGACTTTGCCTGCATAATGGCGGTATAAGGCTTGTTGGTCGAACACTATTGAATAACGGGGGTGTTGTTTCTTTCCATTTTTCGAGGTCTGAGGTAATGCGCACCGCTGCCTCAAGGGGCGAATCTCGACAGATAGGATTAACTGTGTAAAACTGTCGAGAGATTTCGCCGAGAATGCGTCCAAGCCTACAATCATTAGTCATACTACATGATTATGAGCGTATTTGAAGACGAACCTAAAGTGCAAGACGGATGCGATCATCATGGAATCTGCTGTGCCTAGACGCATGGCGGGATCATCTTGCAGTATATCGTCGTCATTCACTTCATCCGGAAGCTCCTGATCGATATCTCCGTCATGCAACAGTCGCGGCCGCCCAAAGATAACATTTAGGTACTTGTCAAGAGTGTAGGCACTCCAAAGAATTCGCTTGCGAAGCTCCCTTTCCAGATACGAGGTACCGGTTTTGGACAGTTTAGCCGGACATTTTCGATGCAGGCCAATAGCTGTCACCAGTTGGACGGCGGTGCCAAATGTATACCAGCATTCATTCGCCCGCGAAGAGGAAAGGAGATAGAGACACTGGCCAAGTCGTGCTTGAACGGTTTCTAGACGCGGAGGTCCACATTCCATTGAGAGCACGTGTTTAGACGCAGCATACCATCTTTCACTAAAAGAAACCGATTAGTAGATGAATGCGGCTCAGAACTAATTTGCTTACCTTCCGGTCCAGCTTTCAGCCTGATTCCCCTGTGTCTGTTCTTCATGCAGAGTGCTAACGGCAAATATCATAAGCACTATTGCAGTTCTAGCAACGAGAGGACCAGTGGGTAGGTTGGAAGAGGAGATATTGTTGTTATACACCTGTCTCAGCCATTCTTCAACACTTCCACGATGCAGAAAGCGATAGGTGACCATTGCGTAATCGAAGTAGATGCTCACCAACTCCAGAGCTTTCTCGAATGACGGTAGAGTGAAGCCAGCATCGTAAAGATCAGAGTATGGTTTGTCGCCGAACATAAACACCGAAGTGTTCTTGGGCCACGATTCATTCTGGAGTTCATCAGGAACGAGACTAGTCTCATCCTGATGCAGACGGCGCCAAACGCGATTCAGAAATGACACACCTGACGCAGGACCCAGGTAGTTGCCCTCAAAATCCGTGGCCACTGGGTCAGGAGAGTTACGCCTCGGCGCTTCCACAGCAGTGTGCGAGACCTGCGAATGCGGAGTCCTCGCAACCCTCGGCGAATCTCTGGCGGGTGGTGACCTTCGGGAAACTGGACTCTGCGATATTGATGCGTGGGATACAGAGCGGTTCCGTGCATATCTGGCAGCTACCGCTGGCGGAGCCGGGAGCGGGTCTGGGGGTAAGCCTCGCGAGTAGGCCGCGTTGTATTCGCAGGACAGTGACAGCCTTGTGCACCGCCCACACGGCAATGTGCCAGTGCAGCGGGTCTTCTTCTCCTTGCAGCTATCGCAGGCCCTGGTGATCTTTTGCCGCGGTGCATTGTTGGTTTTACTGGCAGACAGCTCAGAGGCTTTCCTCTTCCGCCCTGTGTCGGCCGTGTCCTCCTGAGGGCCCATCTCATCATAGTTTGTTGCGCCAGGTGTGACCTGCACGCTCGACTGCGCCACGAGGGTGCTCGCCATCGGGCCGAGTGCGGGTAAGACAAGGCTTGGCCGAATATTTCCGCGCGTCAATACGGCTATGTGTCCGGTGGACGATTTGCAAGTATAGTGACTAGACAGCAGGGCTAAAAATCTGGGGGAAGAAAGAGGGAGAAAAATCCGGAACCCCAACGGATTTGAGTCATTTGCTCTGAGTTAGGCCGGGGCCAACGACAACTACCTAATCTTGCGGGGTTGGAGTCGGAACAGGGTCCACCGGGAGAAACGGCGCCATTATTGCGAGAGATTGGCATTGCACCAGGTACGTAAGACGTTCAATAATCGAGCTTGTACAGTTACAAGCTCAGGATTCATGGCGGTTGACCGCGACACACGAGCTGTCAAGTCAAAACAGGACCAACGCCCTCGAGAGAGGAGAAACCGCACTCTGCATTGTGTCAACTGTACTCCCGGGGAAAAGGTGACTCAGCCGGACATTCTACAATCACGTGGCCATATCGGATAGTGCTCGTTCGGATAAACATTCTGGGCGATCTCATAGAGCAAAGTAGAGTGTGTGCTTAGCATATGGGCCCATGGGTACTCTATAAGTATTTTAGGATGGTTAGCTATCCGTCTAGGGAAGTGAGTTATGAGTAATGATGTTTGAGGTGCCGTGTAGCGCTGTTTGTATGCAAATTTAGGGTTCTCCGGAGATGAGACGTCGTGTAGTATGGACCGCTTTACTGTAGATTGAACGCGTATAAGTATCTGCTGTATAGCAATCGTGAGTCAGTCACTAAAGTCCTCAGCATGTAGTTTGAGTCGCCGGCAGCTTGTATGACGTCGGCCCACCTAGAAGACTCCCATCGCTTGCTTCGGCTTTTGATTGACCACAGTCCATGGTTGAAAGGCCATTCGACCAATGTTTTACGCATGCAAAATGTTTGGTCCATCAGCAAGGGTTCCCAAAATCTCGATTAGGACCGGGGTCAAGGGGAGATATACGACGGAACGTTCGAGGAATTCAAAGGTAAATGGTATGCAGATATCTAAAGTCTGCGTCAAAGCAGTTATGCCATCGTGTGCTCGGCTTCTACTCGTTTTTTTTTTTTTTTTTTTGGTATATTCTTGTATTGGTCATGTGGTATCTTCGTTTTAAGTGTCCGTAATTCCTGACTCGTTGCGGGTGTGATGTGAGAATAGCAGGAGTTTAACCTGGAACGACTGGAGCCGCCTTCTGGTCGAGGAAACAGTGTCGAAGCCGTCTCGGCGATATAGACCTGATATGTGATGTGGTAAGGATTCCCCTGCGCCCAATCGGTTTCAGGCTGGATGGTAAGGGCATTGGCGTCGTACTAATGTTATGCGAAGGGTCATTGTTCGGATAGCATGATGTTAAGGTGGATTGGCCGACAGCATCGCGCATCTATCGTCTTGACCTGCTAGGCCCGTCTGGTAAACCGTCCGGCGTATCGTCCGCACCTCCATCGAGCATCTGGTTATACCGTGGATAACCATCGGCTGGATTAAAAAAGTCGAACTTAGGTGGAAATCGTGTAATTTGCGATATAAGGTGCGGAATTTGCTCGTCCGAGGCCCCACTCCTAATAGCGTCGACAAGCGCATAAACTTCATCTCGATTGCTGTATCGTATCGCGTCGAGCAGGTATTCCAAATATCCACGGGCGCGTTTGAGGTCATTTTGAGTTCGTTTGAGGTCCTCTATGATTTGCTCGCGGGCCACTTTTCGACGCTTATCCTGTCTCTCGTCGAAAATGCACTCTCTGCCGTGAAGCGCGCATTCGGTGCAAGGAGGGCCGGTGCCATCAACACTACACTATAATATCCAGAGTTTGTTAGAACGAATGTTAACCCATAGACTGGCAAGACATAGGAAATTGCTATCACAAGAGACAAGCGAGTGACAAACTCATGAAGATGTGGATATGTATGTGCCTTAAGATGCTCCAGTACCTTTATTCGACGCTGTTTACATTCGCTGCATGCGGTAGAGCTCCGCCTGTTCCGATTGTCCTCGAGGCCACGGTTTTGCGCTGGAGGTTCGGACCCAACCTTCGGTGCCAGCTTACGATACCCGGGACGGTACATTTGATCGTCCATGGTATATGTCGGAGAGTTGGATAGGGAAGAAGAAAATAGCGCGTAAAGCAAGACCGAAGGAAGAGTAAGCAGCAAAAGAGGCGATAGAATTGATCAACAATCCAACTGTAGCGTCTGCAGCTGCATAATCTTCAAGAGATGCATCCAGCTAGAGGTAGTAGTCGTTCCGAGCCAGGAAAATGCGAGTAGGTTTCGACTGAACTATGCCCAACGGTTGAAAGGCGCTATCGTGGGTCACATGCAAAGAGATGTTATGGCGATAAGGCGAACCGACACGGAGGGAAAGGAGAGAGTGGGTTCGGGTGATAATCCGCAAGAGCGGGCAGTTGGACCTTCGCTTTTAGATGGTAGACGAAGCGCGCAAGATCGTCAATCCCGGCAAGGATAACGAAGGAAAGGAGGGGGAAGCTAAAACAAGAAGCACGAAGGAAGGGAAAAACAAAGCTCCAGCCTGTCAAAAGCTGGACCGCCTAGCCCCTGTGGCCCACGAGGCCTTTAAAAGGAAGCCTTCGTGGGTAGATACTCCCAGGCGCGATTTTAAGCGGAGAATGGAAGAAAACGAGGTTGTGCGCGAGCAAGCAAGGCTGAGTTGTGACAGGAGTGGCGAGTTGGAGCCGGGGCTTTGTGTGGTCGTCGTGGCGCGATAGATCTGTGGGTGGATTTTGTCGAAACAGCTGGCAAGAGGGGCACAAGTTATAGGAGATAGTAGTGAGATACAGTGCAGAACTCGATTTCTTGGTCAATACGACCGTTGCAGGATAAGCGCCAGGGCGAATGTGTAAGGCAGGATCCTCTTGATACCTGGCGTTCGGATACACCCGTTGTGAAGCTGGTTATTCAAGAAAGGTGGTGAAGACGCATGCCACCCCAGTGGCCCATGGTACAGGGGCTTGTCTCCCAAACTAATCGTGCATTTGCAATTCCTGCCCAGCTGGGAGGTCTTTTGGCACCTTTCAAGCGGCTGTTGGTCGTAGCTTCCGCACTCGAATCTCATTGGAATGCAGAGTTTTGTCCTCCCCCCTTGAGTCCTGGGACCTCTTCGGTTGGCTGCTTTCTTTTTGGTGAGCGGCGCTGCAGTCCACCCTGTGGCCCTGGCCCGAGCTAACGCTTGTCCCTCGCACGAATTCCAGGCGACGCTTGCTACGGAAATAGTACCCGGCTAGTTTGATTGGCTGTGAGTAGTCTAGAGGCTAGCAAACGTGGAGGCACCAACTTCTCGCAAAGGAGCCGTTGTCCTCTTGTTCTGGTCAACTTGCTGCCTCGAGTTTGAGCAGCTGGCCTCTCAAAGATGAAGTACGAATCCGGAATGGAGTGCGTGTAGCTCACAGTTTGAGCAGGTGATGGGTTCCAATTGGAGTTGAGTAGGATCCGGTAACGCGTCACATCTTTCAAGCTTATATCCGCTTTTCGATCGCTGCCGATCGAGGTGTGATGCCGGCTTTGGTTTCCAGTGCTCTCGTGGTCCAGTCTCTTGATAAGACGATACCAGAGTTGAGAGGTGATGTTGAAGAGGCAGCCTGCAGTCTTGTGCTCCAACCTCGCCAAGTATCCAGTCACGTGACACCTCTTGCAGCCTCGATCCACAGTTCCAACTTTCGTCGTCCAGAGTCACCATCACAAGCACACTTCCAGACTTCTTAAAGCCGACTGGCAAGTGATCCAGCTCATGCAGATATATCCCCATACTTGGCAGCATATCATCATCGTGCCACAAGCGACCAACACTAATTCTAGTATCATCCTTAAACATTATCGCTCGTTAGGGTACGTGGACTACATATGGCCTAAGGCCTTAGTCTGACTCGCCACTAGAGAGCTCTGTTTCCAATCATATCGGCCGACAGTATGCACCACCGCCAGGATGCTAGTGGAGCTCAGTGCTGCGTTAGATTCAGTATTAGTGTGATGGTGCCTCTTCCGTACTCCGGAGGAAGCGATGGCAGGGGATGAACACTGGTAAGTCTTCTCCAAAGTACATCAAAGTAAGTTGACGCATTCCGCCGTCTCTATTATTACTTTGTCCAAAGGTATTTCCAATGCGCTTACTCCGGAGTAGTTTATCTTCGGCTGGATATGACCTCTCGACAACATTGCCCAGCCAGCTTGACACTCGTGCCATCGTCAGGCCCGCAAAGACCCAGCAACACTGAGCGAGATCTTCTCAGTTCTGACCACTCAGAGCGCCGGGACGGAAATAGCTGCGATTGGTGGAATAGGGTGATGCAGTGCCCCACGCGTCCCGAGGCGTTCCACTGCTCGATGCCCTGTTTTCATGCAGACAAGTTTGAAGATTGTGATTTGGGAGGTCTTCACCGTAGCAGCATTCCGCGCGTTGGTAGAGCATATAAGTGACGGTGGCGTAATGCGCTTCATCACAGAATCTCGCCCTTGTGCGTTTAACAACTCGTGCTATCGCAAGAGGGTGGATTGGGGAAATTGAGTTATCGAGCAAAGCGGCTGTGATATCGTGCCGGGATTGCCCTTGCGTATCCACGGCCAGCAAGCTTCTATGATGCTATCTGTGCTACCACTGAAGAATCATCTTCAGTATTTGGAAAAAGCCATCATTGCGAAGTTTCTCGAGATACAATACATCACGCGACCGCCGGGTCCTGGACGCCCTCTCAGTGGTAATGTCGAATGGAGTTGCCAATCTGGTCAATTAGTCTGCGATATAACCACCAAAGCATCTCGACGCAAGGAAGGGCCGAGGAGGAGTGCATGAAACACCGCCAGCAATGCGCAGGTGATGCAAATTATTAGCCAACGCGAAAGGCCACCGCCCGGTTAACAACCCACGGGACCCAATTCGGCCGTTTCGTTTCACTCACCTTGTGGCGGCTTTATTTCCAGTGTACTCAGCTTGATGTTCCGCTACGTGGTCAACATTCTCTATCACGCATCCTGTATGTGTACCTGAACCTTGGCGGATCGTCAATGATCGAGCCCTCAAAACCGTGAGGAGAAAGGGTATTCGCCTTACCTAAAGATGCGCAATTATCCTGAACGGTCGCAGGACGCAGTCTGCCAGCCACGAAAACTTGCCCGAGTCAGTTTCGCCCGTCGACTTATCAAAAACTTACCAGCTTTCATGGTATGCACAGTATGCGCTGCCTCATATTGGAGGATACGTGATTGGCGTGGCGGTCCGGCTTAAATCTTGCTTCCAGTTGCCAGAATATCTTCGGTGACCAGTCTCGTCCTACCGACCTACAACAGTACCACGAGGACTCTAGCTTTCTTTCCCGTTGCCCTGAAAGAAAACCTCAGAGCCTTCAAGCTTCAGACGTACATGGCAGTGGAATATAAACGAAAGCCAGTTTTAAACCTGCGAAGCTCCACTAACCCTCAAATAGAATCCCTCTGGCTCAGCACTAGTACCCATAAAGGCTTTTTGGCATTTGTCCTTTGCCCCTTGCACAGCTGCGGCGCGTGCGCGGCGTGAACGGGATGGAACCGACGTAGCCATCGATGTCTTGCTCAACGCCTCAAACAGTACACCACTTCGTCATCATGCTGTTTAATTCATCATGGACCTATCTACTATAGCTCCCATTCTCATAGACTATGGATCGGCGGGTCCTAGTCGCGTCATTTCAATAGTCAACCTTGGCGAACAAGAGCTCGATGAGAAATTGGGGAGATCATAAGGTTAAAAAGCATCGACAGGTTACTATGTAAGGCCTCGTGTTTTTTTTTAGTATCAATATCGGCGAGGATTGTAGATCAGGCGCCCACGCATGCGTGACCGTGTCTAAGTGGCCCAGAGTAACAAACCTACTGAATCAGTATTCCGATACTGATTGTTGGAGCAACCGGCCCGGAAATGTAGCCCGGAAATGTAGATCCGGAACCAGTCGGACCACCCGCCGAAGCTCGTTGTCAGGCGGCCCGGATCGGGGGCAATTTGCGTTGTAGATAAAACCTATGGGCGTATATTGGTAGATTTACGCCATACTAGAGCAAATCCCAGTCTAGGTTCACATACGGAGGACTCGGGAGTAGTGGATCGGAGGTAAAATACCACCCAAACGACCAAGTGGCGCCTGAAGGAAGCTAAATGCGGACCAAAGAATAATAGTAGATACAATCTGTAAGCCCAAGAAGATTGGATGAACGCCAGACAATATGTAATTTAAGGACAAGAAGTGAAGAAAAGAAGCATTATCATAGATTGGAAAGGATGAGGGGACATCAAGGCCGCGAACTGTATGCATCACCCATAGACGATCAGTAGATCGGTCGACCCTCATCCCATCGGCGAGCCACTTCCTGCTGGCCTCTCCCAGGAAGTGTGTCCATGCTGTCAGGCGAACGGTCATCTGCGCTTGGCAACGGGGTGAATTGCACTTTGGGCCCCTTTGCTGGTGTGCTGCCTTCAATCTGTCGTCCAACGCCGCCAATTCCGCCAACCCATTCCCAAACACGGGCAACGTCACCGCCACGGCCCTCGCGAACGGCAGCTCGAATGTTAGCATTGCCTTCAACGACGTTGCGGACGCGCTTCCAGATCTCCTCTCGTCGATTTCCTCTCAGCTCAGAACGAAGGACATCGTCACGGAGCTGCCCGATAGGAATATAGGATTCATGGGCCTGGCCACGCGCATGCAAAGCTGCCTGCGTTGCCAGTCGATCCAGTGTCGTGGCTACCAATTCAGGCACACGAGCAAGGTCACTGCGGCGGGCAAGCACTCGAGAGCGAGCATACCCTGCAGCAATCAGTGAGGCGATTAGAACTGAAAGAGGAAGTCGATACGCGAGGAGAGAGAGTCGGACGTAGCGGCGGAGGGCGCATGTGAGAGGGAGACGGGCGACGGAGGTTGATGTGAGGGTGAGGACAGACGAAGATCTGTGATGGTGTTGTCGACTCTGTTAGTTTCACCATAAAACGTCAGAACAAGTACTATCTAACGATGCTTCCCTCATACCCGAGTAAGGGAAAAGAAGAATCTTTCAAAGAGATATGAATCAGACAACTTACGGAATAGTTTTGGCAACCACTTCCTCCTTCGCAATGATTTCGCCTAGCGCTCCCTTCCACAAGTCGTCAAACTCTGTATCGCTCATGCCCTTGCGACGTTTCTTGCCAACCTCCTCTTTGAGATCGGTCTCGGTGATATCCGGACCCGCGGATTCTTTGGCGCTTTCAGAAAGCTGACCACATTCCCATTTAGCTCTGCGATCACGAAGAGCCTCAACAGCCTTGTCAGCGACGGCTTTCACGCGGCGTGCCTTTTCACTGTCAGGTTCGCAGGTAGGTGCAAGAGGAATCAAGCCACCGAGCGAAAGAGGATGAGGTGTGAGGATAAAGTCATGTTCGCATCGGGCTTCGAAGTTGGGATAGCAGAAGGCATGTGCTGGGCATGGTTCGCATTGCGGTTCAATAACATTAGCCCACTCGGGCACTTTCGTTTCAGCCAAGGACCAAGTAGGTTTGCCAATTCCACAAAATCCAATCTCCAGTTTCTCTTTGCGCCACCAGGCACCAAAACTCGTGAATAGGGAAATAATGATCAGCCAAGGGATTGACTTGGTAACTGGACCCTGCTTCGATTGACGCTTGCGAGGTCTTGGAGCGTACATCAAGTCGGCGTGCTCTCGCTCCAATGCCAGCTGTTCATCAGGAGTGAACTCTTCCCCGGCGCTGCTATAGTCATCTTGTTGCCCATACGCATAGTCTTCGAGATCGCCGTGAGGAGACCCAACAAGCGACCTACTTGTGGAATCAAAATATTCCTCGCTTTTGATGTACGTCGGGGTTTCGGATTTGCGGCTGCGCTTATCAGGCGATCTCAGAAGAGTTTGACGCACACTGCTGTTCCTCTTCCGTTCTGAAGCCGGTAAAGATTTTCGGGTATCCCAAGGCGTGGGGGAACCAGTCTGAAATGGGTTATCGTCCGTGAAAACACTCTCTTCCTTATATTCTGACTTGACTATGTCCGACGTATGTGGCTCTGGCTCAGCGGTAGGCGTCAAGTCTCTACGTCGCAGCTTACCAGCGGTGGAAGGGCGAGGAGTCAAAACAGTTGACGCGATAGGCGTCGCGAGGTGGTCGTCATTCGTTTCGGTCTCCGACCTTTGCTGTCGCTGTCCTCGCGACCTAGTCGTTGACTTTCTCGAGGTGGTCGACGGGGTTGCTGTGACGCTCGCATCGGTATCAGCAGTCGATCCACGGGTGGTGATTCGAGATCGACCTCTTCGACCAGTGGTTGACGCGGTTGACGGCGTTGCCGCTATATTTTGTGGGTATTCGCGCTCACTAACCACAGAAGGTTCGCGACTCGGCATATTTGTGATACCCTCGCTGGTTCTCCTCACTCTGTCGCGCTCCCGGAGCAGTTTCTTCGCCTGAGGGAGGACTGTCTCCTCGAGGATGCGGATAAGCTGGGCCTTCTTGGCCGAGGCTGGGTAAGGCACATCGTGACTGACGAGTATTGATCGGAGACGAGGGACGGTAAGGGAGTTTAGGTCAAAGTCCGAAGACAGATATTCGTATTCGTCGGCCATGGTTTGAGGACACGAATACCCCTAAGAGGGTGGTGAGGTGAACTCTTGAAGCCGAGCGCGGGTTTCGCTTAGTGGTGCGTACTGCGCGGGAAAAAGATCAAAGTGAGGCGTTCAAAAAATCTGCCCTGCCACAGAAGCTTTCTGCAGATTTGGGAGAGGCACAGATCACAAAAAGAAGTGACGCCGTTATTCGTGGATCAGCCGAAGTCGCGCAGGATGGTATCCAGGGCAACAGGCGGGGCGGCCGCAGGAAAGTCGCGGTTAAGCTACTGTTTCCAATTGACCAATCACCAAATCTAGATTTGGTAGACTTATCTCGATAGAGAGATACCAACGGAGATGGAACTGAAGGATGATGGACAAGAGGAACTGGGGAGTGATGATGGAATGGTGTCCGAGGCAGGAAGCCGTCCGATCAACAAACAGTGATATCACGTGACCTGACGTATAGCCGCCACCTTAGTGACGTAAGAGACATCGCCTGACTGATGACTGGGACAGGCTCAATTTACTGGGCAGGAAGAAGACTCAAGTATATATTACTCAATCGTGGGTACCATTCATTCCATCAGTCAATACTACTAACAGAACCCCGGAAAGCAATCAAACAAGCGCTCCTCGGGATCTCACCCATGCGTAAATACCTTCCCATAGCGCCCCAGACAAGGGGGAAAAAAAAATACAAAATCAAAGATCTCCAAGCACATGATAGTATACCCATGTCCAACCGGGTAACAGCGTGTAGACTGCGATATTCACACGAGATAATTAGGTAATACAGGAGGAGCCACGGCGACAAAGTCGGAGAGAGACGTGTTGTTCAAGATGGAGAAGAAGAAGTAGATGCGCTGGAGGTGAACTCGGGAGTAGTTTGTCCTACGTCTGTCGCCGTGGAGCTGGGAGATATGCCAGAAATGCCCGCATGACTGTTAATCTTCTCCTTGAGGGCCCTGTACTCGGCAAGCTGGGTTTGGAGTTGTTGCAGGACCTCGCCAATTGGAACGGCGTGGTCGTTAAGCTGATCGCCAGCTCTGAAAGGGCGCAACATGTGTCGTATGCTGAGTGTACTGATTGCAACCTGGGACTAGTTAGCATTTTCATTTATCGGCAATTTGGAGCGATTGACGAACCTCGATTCGAGTCACTTGCTGCTCAACCAGACTGACGACTGTTCCATCAGCAAGCTCCCCTCCATGCTTCTTAATGGTATTGACGAGGGCCTGGTTTGGCTCTTTCAAGCAAGCATCACCTGGGTGCTCCAACGCTCCACATAGCCTTTCCAATCGGAGTGTGACCTCCCATAATCTCCAGATAAGGTCTGTCTGAATCTCAAGCTGAGAATGCTTGCTGATGGTACTTGGTGTATTATCCTCTCCTGATGGCATTTGCTCCATGGCTGTCAACCGTCCGGACAGAGAATGGGGTAAGATCAGGTATAGTGGCTCGGGGTTCTCAAGACCCTTAAGCTTACGCTCACCCTGGTCTTTGATCACAAAGCCCTGGCTATTGAGCTGCTGCAGTTCCCGCCGGATGTTGTAGCCCAAGGTGTCGAGTGCATAGCTTTCTTCCGAGCCGGTCGAGGCAGCACGCTCGCTGTCAGCAAAAGCTTCCAGATTGCGTTGCATATCGCTCATGAAATCAGAGGAAACAAAGATTTGACCACCATCAGCTACAGCCGAGATTCGTGAGGCACGGTTGACCATTGGTCCGAAGTAATCCATGCGGTTGGTAATAGGATCCTTCTCGCAGACAGGCTCGCCCCAATGAATACCCATGCGCACAGACAAACCACGGAAGATGATATTATTCTCCATGTCATACTGAGTCCGGCACTGAGGTTGTTCGAGGATTTCAGTCGGCCATTCGGCAAAGAGAAGTTGGGTTTGACAGTTGAAGCACCATAGCAAAGCGGCGGTGGTCGTTGCAAACGCGACCATGAAAGCATCACCTTCAGTCTTGACTTCATAACCACCAATTATGCCTAGTTGTCGGCGGAGGATGTCATTGTGAATCTGAATAGCCGAACGCATTGCCTCCGGGCAGGTCTCCCATAGCCCTGTGGATTGCTTTATATCCGTGAAGATGATTGCCAACTCGCCAACCGGTGCTTCCACAGTATCAAAACGAGCCAACCTGGAATCCGAAGGCAATTCACGACCTCGTCTGGGACGTTTAGGTGGCGGCAAGATCTGTTCATCGGTTGGGAACGGCGTAAGAGGTGGGCCTCTCGTCGTGCGCTTCTCGCGTTTCTTTAGGTCTCCGACGCCCAAAATCATAACCATAAGCTTGTTGGTGGCTCCAAACGAGAGGGCCAAATCCCGTATCTTCTGGGCGGCAACCATCGGGTCTCCCCTCTCAGCTCTCGTTACGTCGACGACGAGATCAGGAGTGACGTAGTCCCAGAGTTCTTTTGAGGCTAGAACGACCATCTCATCTTGTTCAGTCAGGTTCACATGCATTGTGTGAGGTGCCGCGATCACAGCGGGCATAAGATGGAAATAGCCAAAAGACCGGGACACTGGGAGGAAGTCATTGAGTCTTCCGTTGCGAGACACAAATGCTCCCACAGCACGGATTCTCGCCCTTTCGCCGGCCTCTGCTGGGTCATGGGTCTTCGTCAATTGGATGTAGGTACCATCCACCTTGACAAGAATAGCTTGAATGTCGCCGATGTTGGCTACATAAAGATCCATATTGTTCAAATATAGGACAGTCGCAACGCCACCAGATCTCAGGTCTTCTTGGTGAAGTCGAACTTTCTTCTGGTCCGGCGAATCATCCTGATACTGCCTAACTTCTTTATCCATCGACCTGTAGCATGCAAAGGCCATATTTCGGTTTAGACCCAGGAACGTTCGTCTAAATGCATCCAACGGTGTCTCCTGCTCATCTAGCCGGATTCGCTTCAGCTCAGAAGAGAACGCGTGAAGGAAGTTTTCGTGTAAGAACTTTGCAATCCTGGAGCCTCCAGTAGAACTAGGTTGCCCGTCGAACATACCCACAACGGTTTCAATGTGATCTGGCTTTAACCGAGGCACGATCATATCGATGATCGACAGATGCTCGCTCCTGCCCAGGAAGTCGGCCATACCGTAGGAAAGCGCGCCGGCCAAGGAGGCTGACGTTCTGACACGGCGATCTTCGTTCTCTTCAGGAATGTTTGATGTTGTAAGGGTAACATCCATCAGTCCAAGAACTCGTAGGTGTGTGAGCGAATTGAAGTCCGTCAGGTCTGTTCCATGAGGAGGCTGAGAACCAAGAGACGAGATATTCGGCTTGATCTCTAGTCGCTTATTTCCCGAGAAGTTGAGGTATCGCAAGTTTCGATTCCAGTTCCAGTTCCAGTCGTATGGCCAGTTTGAAACGTTATACTTGAGGGAATTGCTTCCAACGTCCAGGATCGCAAGCCTGCTCACTTTGCACAGTTCTGCCGGGAGAACCTGGAATCGGTTGGCATTGAGATTGAGAATCCTAAGACTGCTGTTTTCCTCAAGATCGTCGGAAGGAAGAGAAGTCAACTCGTTGCCGGAGAGGTATAGTTCGGTCAGCAGGGGCCAACGTTTCAGAAGACCAGGAGGTAATTCTGTCAGCATATTGTACGAGAGATTCACCACTCTCAGTTCCGGGATAAATGATAACTCGCGGAAGATGTCATCCTCCAACCGATTGTCAGCCAAGTACAAATTTTTGAGCGAACCACCAAAAGTGGTGGCGACATGTTGAGAGAAATTCGAATCCTTCCTCGATGAAGGACTCCCTTCAGTAAATTTCGAGGCGGTGGAGACCTTTCGCCCTCCTTGGCTGTAGGAGGAGGAAGCAACTGAAGGTTTCCGGGGGTTCCCGCCGTTGGGCGAACTACTGTTGTTCAGGATAGTGCTAGATGCCTGGCTAGGGCGTCGCGTCTCCTGCTCTTCCAAGGGACCTAGATCGTCATAGCTTGGGGTGGCTGAGCCACCCGGGGTGGCGGCAGGGGTATTGATAGCTTCACCAGGAAGCTGAGGCGGGGGACCACCGTGCTTCGGAAAGCCATCCAGAACGTTTGATGAGACGTTGAGAGTCTCTAATTTCAAGCAGTACCAAATCTCTGGCGGCAGTCGCCGCAAATTACACTCCCTCATGTTCAAGTACCTGAGCTCGGTCAAACAGCCAATAGCGGCAGGGAGCGTTGAGAGAGGGTTCTTTGCCATACTCAAAACTTCGAGCTTTCGAAGTTTGCCAATATGGGGTGACATAGACATGAAGTGATTTTTATCCACAACGAGTTTTAAGAGATTGGGAATAGCCTCAAACATGGAGTCTCGGAGCTGCGACAATTTTGCAGAGGCCAGGTTGAGAAATGTAAGTGTCGGCATAGGTGCATCGATGTCGAACTGCGTCACAGGGCAATGATCCAAGACAAAACTGCGCAATCTGGGAAAGGAGCCTTTGAATTTGGAAATCGAGTTGTGCCCAATCATGAGCTGCTCCAGACGTGGAAGGATACACAGATTGTCAATGTTCGTAATCTCATTAAAGCGTGCATCAATCTCCTTCAGGTTCTCAAGTCCCTTGATTGTGTCATCAAATGGGCCCCTGAAGCCATTGTTCGTCATCCAAATTCGCTCGAGAGTGGTAATTTTACCAATGTTGGGAAGTTCGGTTATATTGTTGAAGCTGATGTCAAGCTCCACGAGGCGCTTAAGGTTGCACAGGAATTCAGGAAACACCTGGAAGTTGTTTGAAGAGATATCCAGGCTTCTCAGATCTTGGAAATTCCCAAAATAGTCTGGTAGCTTTGTCAACCTGTTGTTGGCCAGTTTGATAGTGCCAAGGTACTGCAGCCTATCAAGATGAGCATGCTCAAGCTCTTCAAGGAAGTTATTGGATACGTCCAGATAGGTTAGTCGGCTTGCAAGGCTGAAACTTTGGGGTAGACGCGAGGCCTCGCTCCCTATGAACCTAATCTCCCGCAGATTGATACAGCCTTGAATGAAATCCTTCGGCACATCCAGAGCCAGATTTCGTGACAGATTAAGCTTGATGATCTCGGAGGCCTTTTTGTAAAGAGCGATAGGTATGGTGACGAGACTCCGCCCAGCGAGATTCACTTCACTAAGTCTCTGGTTCCTGCTGAAGCCAGGCTCCCCTTCAAGACTGCTATAGTCACTGAGTTTCGTGGGCAAGAAAGTGAATCGCAGGATATAGCTATGGTCCTCACGACCAAGGTCTTCGATCCTGTCTTTCTGGGTGTACCCAATCTGTTCGAGCAATCGTTTTTGCATGAAAACCGGTTGTTCATTTCGGTCGAGCTGCCGAGAGAGGTCGTTTTTGCGCATAACTATCTCGTAGTTGTTCAAATGATCTGTCAAAAACGACTTTTTGCCAAGGGACAAAAGCACATCGGCAACTGTCGCATGTAACCCAGTCGAGAGCGTGGCAAAGGTTCCATCGATGCGGAACACGCGTATGAAATAGGAAGTCCCGTCAGGCTCGGATATGGTGTGTGCCCTATTGTAGGCATTCTGTGGAAGTTTGGACATAGCCTCGTCTCTTTGCTTTTCAACACGCCAACTCTCCGGGGCAGCCCAGTCGCGAGCGGCTGATTGCTCAAATACTTTGTTTTCTTCCTCAGGGCGCTTCAGATTCTTCTCGGTGGGTTGGTGCCCATCGCCCGGAGATGTAGGATGGACGATACCTTCCATGTGCTCGAGATCTGTGTCCAATTTATAAACACCAAGTTCTTCGGGAGGTTTGACATCCCTCCCAGGCGTCTCGTTCCCGGCGGTGCGACGAGCTCGGAACTTCCCACCTCCAATTCCCAAGCCCTTGCCGTCTTTTCTCCGGTCAAATTCGCCAGAGTCTGCATTCTTTGAAGACCCCGAGCCCTCTAGACTATTTTGTCGTCCTCGTCGTGCCGGAGAAGCGTCACGCCGTGAAAGCTTGGAGATTGTTCTGCCAGCATCTTGAGGGCCTTTGGAACCCAAATTTCTTAGGTGAGGGCGGCGTATTTTGCCGAAGATGTATCGCTTATTAGAGGGCGGGGCCCCAGGTGATCCTTGGCCTGGCTCTCTATAGACACTCTGAAGGCTTGGGCTAGGACTCGTGGAGCGCCCAGCAAGGTTTGTGGTCGAATTTGTGGCAGTTCGAAATCCCAAGCTTCCTTCTCTATGGGGACGTAGTCCAACGGAGAAATCATCCCGTCCTGTTGTGGGCCTATCTGGGTATCCGGCGAGGTCTCCAGCGGCCGTGGGTTTCTCTTCCTTGCTCCGGGAATGACGATGCCCGCTGAACCGTCTACGAGACCGATCTCTCGGTGTGTTGGATGAACCGTGAGAGCCAAACCGATGCCGATCGGGTCCCGTAGGAGCTTCCCGAACAGGAGCATCGCCGCGTCGCTGGACATCCTAAACATATTAATGCGCGCTCCAGTCTCACCATCTGACTGCTTGAAACACTTACATCATAGTTCTGGTACACCCAGGGAGTTATGTCACTCGAAGGAAGGGGCGTCCGGGGTCGGGCTTGCTGGGCAGTCTCGTCTTGGGATGCCTCAGACGTGTGCCTTGAAGCGTCCGAGTTGGCCCTTTCACGAGCTCTCAGATAATCAATGGACGATGGTCTTGGTGCGCCATTCTGGTACCCATCATTGTCAGGCCTCGGATCCCCGGAGTAGTCGTCGCCGAAGAATCCTTGCAGTTTCTTCCGAAAACGACCACTTGTGCTGGATTTGGACCCCTGGCTACTCACAGTCATGGCACTTGCAACAGACGGCCTCCGATTGTCACCATCATAATCAAAATCTGGAGGTTCGCTGGCGTAGGTTCGTCCAGTCCCAGGACGAAACGTAGCTGTAGCTGGCGACGGCTCGTGTTCCGAGTAGTCATGGTAGAAGGTGCCTTGCGCGTCGGCAGATCCCACTCGAGGAGAGTAGGCGAGGGTAGCGTTCGGGTCGTGTTGAAAGTAATCGGCATAATTCGTGTTTATGTGGTGCGGACTAGGATTTCCAATCGGCGGGGTCCCATTTTCGTCGTTTCCAAGGACGGCCAACGCTTTCCTGTGACTTCCAAAGCCTGCAAACTTGCGCTGATCCGTCGGGGATACGTCGGGTGACCCCCAGGCGAACATGGACGTATACAACTCGCCCGGGCCTCCTAACGAAGGAGGCCTACCTGATCGTGCAGGCTGTGATTCAAGTCTGAACCGTGGTTAGCAGCAGATACAAATGCATATCCTCCTATCTGGCTTGATTGCATGAGCTGACAAAGGGGCACGAAAAGCATTCTTGCAGGAGTGAGGACGTGAAATTGAGGCACTTCAATGACTCTTATAGAATAGGTTGCGGAGTCGCCAGGCTTAAACACACGCAGGCGAAACCCCAGGGGCTCGAAGGCACCATAGACGATTATACCTCCGAAACAGAGAAGAACAATCTTACCGGTCACTTTCGTCATCTTTTGAATGCGGGGAGATACTTCGACCAGGCGCGAGGTGATTCTGGTATCGATAGCTGCGACCGTCCCGGACGGTCTCTTGTGAAAGGCCGCTGTTCTTTCCTGAGCTTTCTGAGCTATGTCTTCCCTCGTTTTGGTCTCCTCCTGGGAGCGCCATTGTTCGCTGGTTTTCGGTCGCGTCCGGGTTGAGACCGGCGGGGCTGGCAGACATTAGGAGGAAAGGCCAGGAAGCGACCGTCGTGTTAATCATTTAAAAGTCGACTTGTATTGAGTCCTGCAGGATAATCGACAAAGGTGAAAGCTAGGTACGGTCAACGTGTATCGGGATCGCTGCGACCGACAGGAGATGGACGAGCCGGAGGCGGGACGGCGGACACACTGGGGATAGACGCCGATGAGGGATAGGCGGGCGTTAGGCAAGTTGCACCGATTTATTTATCGTGCACGTTCGCAGCGTATACAATCGAGGAGAGTATCGCTATATTGCTGCTTCAGAGTAGCTCAGATGTATCGTCGGGCGCGGCAATGGTTCATGTCCTTAAGGGTGAGCGGCAGCGATCAGGAAACGCCATCGCACGATTAGGGGACAAGGCCCCATGGGCGCATGACATGAATTATCCGAAGGATCGGAAAGATGAGATGCCAACTAGAGAGGAGGCGGGATGCGTCGGCGGAGGAGTTTGGACGGGAGGAGGTGAGCTTGCAGAATGACAATCGGATAGTGAGGAGTTGCTGGAGTCGTTGCGGCTCTGACCTCGCGGATACGCTAAACTCAATCAAGCACTTTCAACATGCCCACGAGCCTCGCGAGAACACAGCGGTATTTCGCAAACAAGTGTCTATTGGAAATTAAGATCTATTCAATCTCCGTGCTTAGTACTTGAAGCCCTATTCCGAAAACGTGGAGTAAGCAGCTGAAGCGGCTTTGTTGGTGACAGAATCCCTTCCTGGGGCGCTGCTGGGCGTGGCTTTCGCTCAGGTGGTCTGTGCCCGAGTCTGTGCTTAAGTGGCCTCACTCTTTGAAGAGCTCCCCTAGTGCTAATACGGCATATTTATAGTACAGGTACAGCACATGCCCATTTTGAATGTTCCAGATTGTCTCGGAGCTTGATATCTTACCATGCATGAGCCCGAGAACTGAGGGATTCTCTGGCAAGACCGCCAGCATGTAACTGAAGCATGTGCTTGATTATGTCATGAGCCGCTACTAACTAACTAACAAACGAGCTAACTTATTCCTCCTTGGTGTTGCCATAATTGATCCAATTGCTGTGAGATGTGAGAACCATCCATCCGCAAACTCTCTGTTGAAGATGTGTTTGGCTGCAAAGGACAATTTGGATTAGACAACTTTATGAACTGTACCTAACAAAAGCCAAATTCGTACACTTCACTTGTGGTATACTATCTTGACATCCAAGCGGTACCTCCGTGAACCTGCCGATCAAATATATATCTTCTGCACATTAAAAGTCTTCAGCAAAGTCAAAAGCAGCCAAGAACTCGCCAAAAATCAAAAGGGTACAAATGTCTGCGACACAGGGGTCCAATTACCCATCCTAGGCTTAAGCCTCAGGTTACGAATTTCTGCGCTCTCAAGCATCAGGACTGTCAACTGCGTTTACCGGCACAGTACCAAATTTTGACATTCGACAGCGCCAGATTTCCTTGTCGAAAGCACTAAGCCACTCAGCTTCAAGCTCCTGAGCGACACACGATTTACCGCATCAGTTAACGGGGTCCCTTTTGTACCCGAAGTTGACCACTTTGAACGCCCTGGTGGCAGCGTTCGGCGGGACGGTAGCTGATTTACTTCGTTTCCCTGGATGTCGAATGAGGCTGTCGAACACTAATTATGGACTTAGCTCACATTATACAGAGACTTCTGCGTGCAGGAGCAACTACTACACGGTGGAGTATACTCCTGGCACCCACCAACGTGCGTTATCTAGTATCGAACCGAAACAACCCAATTGCGAAGTGACCAAGACACCAAGAACCATAAACTAAAAGACAAAGGAATCACTGCCCTCGAATTCGTATCAATCTACCCCAGACCATCCGTCCTCAACGGCCAACTCCGACTCCCTAATCCCTCCCGTTGAAGTCCCGGAAGAAGAATCACCAAGCCAATAACTACTACGAAGAAAATAGCCGCTAGCGCCTCGTAGTCTACTCTGCAGCTGCGTGATTCAGGCTCGGAATCATGAGGATGAGTTTCGTCGAGAAAGGTGTTGTATATGAGTTGTGGATTTAGTAATTGCTGGTTGAACGGCTGTGTGGGATCCGTAGCGAAGTCGTATGGTGGAGGGTCCGGGGAGGGATCGGCGGGTGGCTTTCCTAGGGCGTTAGATCCAGTGAGAGGAGGATGAGAAGAGAGGATGAGGGGGCAATGCATACTTGGTGATGGTCGGCCATTTCCCACAGTTTGAAAGGGATAAACAGCGTGTCATCCAATAGATTTGTAGGCTCGGACGGGTAGCTCGATCTTCCAGCTTCCAAGTTTGTCCCTGGTGCTGACTATACGTGATGGGAAGGATCCGGCTGTGGGGAGGTTTTAAATTCAGCGCTCGGGCACGCATAGCGCTCGTGACGTGAGAGACTCAAGGACCTATTGGAGTCCAACAACTGCTAGTGATGGTATGAGCCTGGTGCTAGGCCCTGCAGATATCGAGAGGCTAAACTTTAGGGGTCCTCCTGAACATGGGACAATGTGGCTGAGAACTCCCTAACTCTCCCCTAGGTGAGAAGTCTCAGTAATCAGGGGTATCTTCGATCAATAACTTCATTGGACACGATTATGCTAAAGTACTCCGTATACTAAGCTACTATTTGTTGGTTAAGGCTACCGGGCAGAGCCAACTTGACACAAAGCATCTTTCCTCACCTAATGACCCTCCAACGATATTGGCCCCCTAAGAAACTTGAGGTTAGTGAGATTCTTATACAAACTCAAGAAACCTACACCACCCTAAATATCCTTCCCCTCAATTCCCTTCACAACCTCCACACACCCCTCAACCCCATCCAAGATCTCAACCAAGTACTCCGGAACAGCCCCCTCATCCCCGAAAAACCCCTCCGTCCGCCTCATTCCCTCAAACCCCAATCCCTCCCCAAGAGCCTCCTTTCCCTCCGGGAAAATTCTAACAGGCCACAACGTACAAAGAACCCAGTACAGGGCCCCCGCAACACTCGTCGAAATCAGGAATCCGAGATCGTAGATCCGTACTGCAGCCGTCCCGATCGAGCCGGGGTTCAGGGCACCCGAGACGCCAGGGATCACGAGCGCGATTGCGGCCGCCCAGGAGATAAATGCGCGGATGTTGAAGCCCGACGTGTAGTAGTATGGTGTGGCTTTTTGGGCCGTGTAGAGCGAGGGGATGTGGATATTGCCGCGGCGGATTAGGTAGTAGTCTACTCTGTACGATGGGAGTCTTTGATGAGTTCGGGGCGTCCGGTAGAATGGAACTGTCGGGGACGGAGGCTTACACCATGATTGCGACAATAGGGCAAATAAAGCAGAGATAGGAGCCGAGAAAAGTGAGGAAGGAGGTTGCAGAGTAGGTTAGTTTCCAGGGGACTGCTCGGTGAGTTAGTATGTGAAGTTTCCAATCAGCAAGAATACCGTGAGGAGCGTCCCGGGATACGTACCGCACACCCAAGCGAGGAGGAAGCAGACGACCTGGCCGCGGACGATGGTGAAGTAGCGCGGGAAGAGGCCTGCAAGGTCACAGCCGACGGGGATGGAGTTGCTGGTGAGGTTCGTGACGAATGTTGCAAATGCCTAGTTTCGATCAACATAACTGATCTATCTTAGCTGTATATCATGTACGTACCTGAATACCAGCAGCAAAGAAGACCAGCGTACGAGTACCAGGGCCCCAGTAGTTATCGAGAATACTGGAATAAAAATCCCATAAGTTCCAGTATGCCTACATATGGATTAGTCTATAAGCCCTCACGAAAAGAAAAGGAAAAGAGAAAGAAAGGAGACCCTAGTTCTCTAGAAAAGCATACCTCGCCAAACTGTTTATATCCAGCAGCTGTAATAACCATTCCAAGCATAACAACAACCGGCTTGCTAAGCATCAAGCCAACCGACATGGGAATAGTATCCGACGGCCGCCTCGCATACCGTGCAAGATCGGGAATGTTGACTAGTGGTGGAATCATATTCGACACGATGGTGTTGATTGCCTTCATGAACGACCAACCTAGGGCCGAGCCTGTTGCTGCTTTGGCGGTGCTTAGGCCAGAGAAGTTGGCGCCGTGACTTGAGACCTGACTCATGCATGTGTAAGTAAAGTACTCTCGACTATACGTGAGAAAGGGTCAAAGGGTCAACGCACAAGAGCCCAGATCATCGTCGCAAACAGGCCGATTGGCGCTAGAATAGACTTGATTCGGAAGACCATATCCATCTTGCTTGGGTGGACAAAGGCAAAGGGGAACTCGAGAAGCCAGAGAATTCCGAATGCGAGGAGGTCGGCTGAGGTTATGGCGGCGCTTTCAGGGAGATCTAGTGTCTGTTAGATAAGATTGTGAAGTATAATAAGGAGGAAGCGGGAAGGAGCCTGGCGTACGGTTGGGAATGTCGGTCCATCGATGCCCGAAGACACAGCGGAGCATGACAGCGATGAATTTACTCGCGTAGAGAGTTTGAATGGCCATGTAGAGAATGGCAACGACCTGTGCGTGATCAGTACAATAGTTACCATAGTTGATCTAAGTAGAATACTCACCCCTCGAATGAAAACAAAAATCAAGGACCCGTAAATACCGCTCGACGCCCGAATGAAGGTTGGATAACCGATATGATACCTTGAGTATAGTCAGCGACACGCCATACAACTGTGTGTTAGGGCTAGATGCACTAACCAAGCGGCGCCTCGTGAATTGAGCAACAAAAGAGCTGCAACCATGCCGGAGACCACAACTATACACATCATTAGTAGGCTCTCCTCCATCTCTCTGGTGAGCAAAACATACTCGACGCAATAAGAATCGTCCACCAGTTCAGCCCAATCGCGTACAAACTCGCACCGACATTATACGTCGTTGGCGAGAACGCAATGCTAAACTGAAACGCAAAAAAAGACCAGAACGTCCAGGTCCGCTGCTCAGGAGGCGACGGATCAAGATCCTTATTCGACCATTTTCCGAATTGGCCGCTCTCCGACACATCTCCGCCGCTTTTGTCGATTCGGATGGTGTCTAGGAGGGCTCGGGGGCTTGAGAGGGCATGTTTTGCTGTAGACAACGTCATCTTGCCGAAGTCTCTGAGTTTACCTGACTGATATGGCTCGACATGATTTGGGGTCAGGGCTCATATATCCAAGAATTCCAACCACCTCAAAGATAGACATCGTTATCTGCATTTTTGGAGTCGTATACCTGCCGAGCGGATAAGCGCTTTAGCTTCAGCTTTGCTGCGAATTGGAGTGTCTGATTAGGGACCTAGCGAGCAGAAAACAGGGCGATCGAGCCACTAAACAGATTTCTTTATCATCGTCTCCAAGTTTCTGGACTTCCGGATAGCCAGTGGGACCCCGGGCCTTCGCCCTCGGCCGACGAAGATAAAGCTGCCCGGCTGCCGCAACCACTGCACTCTAAATGAGCTCCAACGCCCACTACTCCAAGCATCTTAGCACAGCACAGCACAGCACACACCAAGAAAGAAAAACACAATCTTACGCACCAGAACAATGTCCAAGCACATCCGCCTCGGCATCCTCACCCCTTCGTCCAACACGAGCCTGGAACCCCTAACACAATCCCTCATCGCACCCCTCCAGACCGTAACAGTGCATTTCTCGCGCTTCCCCGTGGTAAAAATCAGCCTGGAGTCCGACGCACTCTCGCAATTTCAAACCGAGCCGATCCTCGCCGCCGCACGCCTTCTCGCTGATGCAAACGTCGACATCATCGGCTGGAGCGGCACATCCTCGGGCTGGCTGGGTTTTGAGGCCGATGAGGCGCTCTGCGGCGCCATCACGGAGGCTACGGGGATTCCCGCAACGACCTCCGTGCTTGCGCTGAACAAGGCGTGTAAGAAGTTTGGGGTGGAGAGGTTGGGGCTGGTTACGCCGTATGTGGATGATGTGCAGGACGCCATAGTGAAAACGTACGGGAGTCTTGGGATTGAAGTTAGTGAGGAAAGGCATTTGGGCTTGTCGAAGAATACGGCATTTGCGGAGATTGGGGAGGAGGTGCTGGATGGGATGGTTGCTGAGGTTGTTCGCGGGAGGACTTCGGAGGCTAAGGGTGTGCAAGCGATTACTACGTTCTGTACGAATCTACGAGCGGCGCAGCGGGTGAGCTTTTGGGAAAAGGAGCATGGTGTGCCGGTTTTTGATACGGTGGCGACGGTGGTGTGGGATATGCTGAGGCACTGTGAGGTGAATACGGCGCCGTTGAGAGACTGGGGGGTTCTTTTCAGAAAAGCATAGCCAGTGAGTCTCATTGCTGCTAGTATTTGCTTCAAGCAAAATAAAAATAAAAAGAGACTACGAGACCTGGTTCGCCGTCGGCCGTTGTTATCAGAAGAGTTGGCCGTTGGAGTAGCTTCAGCCATCTTACTCCGTACAGTACTATAACTTTAGTGCACAATGACTCGCGGGCATTCAGCTATGTTGGTTTGACCATCAGATGTGTCGTTTGTACTAAACTAAAACTCTGAGATATACAGTTACTTGGGGCTTTCCACAGCGTTTTAGAGGCCTGTTGCCAAGCAGTCTGATCACGCAAATACCACAGCTAACCACCAACTACAGGGATGTCTTCCTATAAGTAGAATATACAAGGTAGAGGGGCAAACGCTCAAGGTTGAGGAAGGGAGGCCGAGGGTGATTTTGCCTAAAGGGGAGTCAATTTCGTTCAGCGGAAAAGAAGGTTCCGTGAGAGTGAGTTTCCCAATGATTCGGGCGCTGGGTAACCATTGTCGTGCGTGGTCCCGACATATAGAGCAGCAGGAAGAAAGCGCCTATCCTGGGTGTTGCACTAAGTTGCGCCCCGAGCATAGCGATGAACTCCGATAGCTTGGATGTCGAGGTTAGGGTTACCTACATTCCCCCACCAGGTAGCAGCCGCGACGACGCCGACCCCCAACGCATAATATTTGACGCTCCCCATTAACCTGGGTTACCTCGAACTCTACCGCTTTGTCCGCTCTTCCTCGAACTCGGATCCAAATTCGGAGTCCTGGGAACTCCACAAGGCTCCTGCCGACGACGACGACGAATATGGTATGACATTGATCTTCGACGAAGATCCCGTCACAGTGAATATTACCTGGCATGAGAACTTTCACATGAGAATCCCAGGCTAGTCGTAGACATTTTCAGCAAGCGTCAAGTTTAGTGATTTGCCTGCTGATGTTCAGGTAGGTGATTGGGTTAGGTATGTTTTCCATCCGGGTGTGGTAGATTGGTGGGAGTGGGTAGGTGTCGAAGACCATAGAAACACCGTTGTGACATTGCCAGGGTAGATTAAAGGGAAAGTTATTAAGCTAAGAGAGGCCCCCGAGAGAAGGAAAAGCCGAAGCTGGTCGCCAGAGTCCAAGGGAATGAACGGAGTTTGAGATTTGTCAAGGTGGCCTCCCAAGAGTCCAACCGTACGACCGCTCCATGACTCCTTTCGAATGCACAATCGCACTGGCCACGATAATCCGATCAACGAGCGTCTTGCTGACTCAAAATCATCTACACAGGATGGAGTGTCGCAAAAGGCTTCGTTCCGACTGGTACGGGAAGGTCGGTTCAGATCAGCTTTGAGCTCCATGGGTAATTGGCGAGACATGTCAGATGGAGTCAGATGGAGTACGGAGCTGCTCTCACCTGACCGTAAGAATGCAGAAAGTTGGGCAGTTTGCCAGTTTCCCAATCTTAGGTGGCTGGGAGACCCTTCATAAGAACCGGTGAGCCGCCTGGATCGGGCTACGGTCTTGGAACATTCTTGGAATGACCACCTGAGACTGAGACAGCCTCACACATCCACATGGCATCAACCTGCAAGCCAAAGAATGTGAACCGACACAGCTCCACGCCAGGTCCAAGAATCCAAGAGAGACAGCTCAATCGAGACCAACAGAGCTTTGACCAATCAGAAGGCAGGGGCGGATCACCAGCCACCAACCCATGATTTTTTGTGGGGAAGCCCAAGAGCGGCCCGATCGGGGAGAGTCAACATCTCACACCGTAAAGCAGTGGCTGGGCGAATACAACTCTCTCATCTCTCGCCCACGTTGTCAGAGTCCGCACTCTTTAAATAGCATGGCCCAAATTTCAGTCGCGGCAATGGCCGGGCCTTTTCAAGCTCAGTCGCTCCTGCCTTTCTGTCCAACCCGTACTCCATCCGTACCTTCCTCAACAACCGAGGGAGGCCGAAGCTGCTGCAAGCTCGTCTGAACCAACTTCCCTCTCGCTCTCTCACACAGCGTGCCCTGGACCAGCCTTCGCTCCTTTGCCTTAGTTGTCGCCAATTTTTTCTTATTGCTTTTCTGTATGAAATTTGTAACGCCTGCTGCAGTCGGCTGCCATCCTTCATCATGAGACTCCGACTCCAGCCCTCGACCATTGGTTTGCTTTCGTGTGTAGCTTTGGCTGCAGCTCAAACATACACGGACTGCAACCCAATGGAGCAAAGTAGGCTGCTCACCTCCTTATATAGTTGAAACTACTGACATCGTGAAGGTTGTCCTCCAGATGCCGCACTCGGAACCTCGATGAGCCACGATTTCACAACAGGCGCTTCAGACGATTTCACGCCTGTCGGTTCACCCACGTTCGGAAGCGAGGGAGCCGTTTTCACCGTTTCTAAAAAAGGGGACTCTCCGCTGATACAGTCGAACTGGTACATCATGTTCGGACATGTCGAGTTTGTGATCAAAGCTGCGCCGGGAACGGGAATTGTCAGCAGTGCAGTCTTGCAGTCGGATAACCTGGACGAGATTGACTGGGAGTGGCTTGGAGGCAACAACAATGTTGTCCAGACGAACTATTTCGGAAAGGGAAACACTGGCACCTTCAACCGTGCGGCTACGCATGACAATCCAGGGAACCACGATGATTTTCACACTTATACGATCGAGTGGACAAGCTCGCATATTGTCTGGCAAATCGACGGCACAACCGTTCGTGTACTGACGCCGGAGAGCGCGGAAGAGAACCAGTACCCTCAAACACCAATGATGGTCAAGGTTGGCGCCTGGGCTGGCGGAGATCCCGACAATAACCAAGGCACAATTGGTAAGTCGCGCTTTCCTTTGACTGTTTTCTAAGCCCAAAATTGATATGTGTTTAGATTGGGCTGGCGGCCCGACCGACTACAGTGCTGGCCCCTTCAGCATGTATCTCAAGTCTATCCAGGTCACCGACTATTCCACTGGTACCGCTTATTCCTTCGGTGATAGAAGTGGGACGTGGCAGTCGATCGTGGCTGAGGGAGGCGAGGTCAATGGCAACGGTGCCGCCGAATCTATGACTTCAGTCGGCTCTGCTCCCTCCATTACGGCAACGGCTGATAGTGGACCCATTCCGTTTGAGGGAACACACAGGGACCCAGAAACTTTCACCACACCCGATATCTATCCGTGGGTCCCAAGGCCGACCTCTGATGATGGCTCCGATGATCCATCAACAGAACTACCAGGTGGTTGGAATTGGGCCGGTAGTCCAAACGTTCAGCCACCTAGCCGATCCTCTATGAGTGAGCATTGCCTCCGTTCCCGTGTTGTACCCTCGTCGGAATTTTTGCTAAAGCGATGCGTTTCTCCGAACCAGTATATGCTCCCGTCTACGTATGCGTCGCATCACTCTTCTTCGGATTCATCCTTCCTCTCCGACCCTGAAATGATGCTCCGGAACCACCGAACGGTATATCCCCCAAGCGAGTTGCACCCGCACGCCCTCACGGCGTCCGAAGAATTTGAGGATGAATATCGCTCCCTGGAGCAATACAACGCGGCCGCTAATACCGCAAGTCGCGTGTTTCACGTCCCACTGATCTTCGGCGCATTCTGTGCGCTTCTCGGCAGCTTCGTGACTTGTGCTTAAGCCGAATGCTCGGACAAGTGTCTCTCTGGAACGCAAGGCATGCAGTCATACGCAGCCACGACTTCTATGAAACTATCTGCGACGAACACTCACACTCACGAAGGCATGAACTCTCCCGGCGTTGGCTTGTCATATAGATCGTCTTCGCATTTAACCTCATGTCCATATTCCCTCATGTTCCTATTTCTTCTCGTTCACGCTTGGTGTTAATCAGTCATGGTGTTCTGTTTGGTCGAGCACCTGACATCAGGCGCGGACAGCCCTTTATCCTCTGTACTTATATCCGAATTCCTGTCGAGTGTATCTATAGATCCTACCTAATCATCGTGTCACCTCAGCAGAGCAGCGGAGCCTGAGTTGTGCTGCCGGGTCTTCGGTCCGTTCACCTATTGATATTCGCTAGGAATATTGGTACTCAATCAACCATCGTTAATCCGACTCCATCTCCTATTCATACATAGCTTCTAATATCTGGCCATTATCGATGGTTCAAGGAATCCAACAATATACATAACGGCATCTCGCCAAGCACCACTATTGGTCCCCGAGCAATGCTCATCTGATGCCCTCAGATATTCGAGAAGTAAGTTTTTCCCCATATTATTGAATTTCAAGGCTGCTGAATAAATAGCTCTCACGTTGTACGGCGCCCTATTATCGCTGAGCAGCGCAGAGCCCACTAGTCTTTCTATGCCGGCACAGACCCTAGGTGTTGTTGATAGAGAGTCCCCATAAGAGAGTCAGCGAGGTATTGTGGAGCTCTATTTGGCTATATGACATCTGCCTCTTGAACTTTGTTCGCTAGTAAAAGCCATGTGGGTTGCTTAATACGCGGTCGATTCGCTAGGGATGCCCATGCAGTGATGTCTTCCACTAGTAGTAGTAAATTACTCTATACTGTACATAAAGTAACAGGTTAGATAAATTAAAAGCTCTAGTACCTACTGTAGCTATTTAGTCACCTCTTTTGAGTACTACGAGAACGATCCATCATCTGATTGCAAGCACGGCGGCGAGCCTCTGCTGGCGAACAACCACATATCTGGCGCGAAGAACTATTATTATAATTCGAACTAAAATACACCAATCCTATTTGCACCGCTCTCTGCATACTGAAGCTGAACACCTGCAGGGCCGGAAGCATCGTTGAATGGTTGAAATGATACAGCTCGATCTAGAACCGGTCTAAACATATGATGCTGGGCTGAGCTGCGGGGAAAGCTAGAGCTGACTAGAATCCCGATGGGTGCCCGAACGTCATACGAGATGAAAATAGGCCAGTTGAGAAATCTGGAGCTGCATCAAAGTTCGGATAGCACCTAAGCGTCTTCCATATCCCTGCAGCGCTCGTCGTCGTGGTTGGTTATGCGAGATGTCAAGTGACCGGTTGGGATCTATGATGTACGTCTGGTAGTAGTTTGCTCGATGGGTAGGTGTGTTTTCCAAGAAAAAGAAGTGTCATTTTCACTCCCTTAGGCACATACCTAGTACATGGAGTTGCGATCTTGATACAGGTGCCGCTGTTGGCACTGGCGCTAGCGTTTGTTCTAAGTATATAATGTATCTTGTTTGACATCTACGGCAATTCGTAAGCAAGCACAATGTATCTCAACTCGTATACCTAGATACATAGAACCGCAACTGCAATTTTGTAATCAGAATAGACTACCGAAGCAATAGCAGGGTAAATATGGCAAAGTGTAGTGACAATCTTGACGAATAGGAAAGGAATGCAGTGTAAGCATGCGGCATACTCCCAATGTTTGTAGTTTCTCCTCCATAAGACGTTGCAAACTGAACGGTTTAATAAGTGCACACGTGTTCCATGTCTCTCCGTCACATATTGTAAGCACAGCTTCCAACAACTGTAGCTCGTGATCCGCTGGATGGCAATGGTTCGTTCTAGACTTGTTCAAACATGGCTCCGACTATCGCAGTGCTTCCGAGCCATTGGCCTAATAAAACGCCGGAGCCCTATGTATGGTGTGTTAACGGGACTGTCGGGACCAACGTAAAGGAACATATCGTAGAGCCAACCACCAAAGGTGCAACCGAGAAAAGGTGCCACAATCGGTACCTAGGGCACATAATTGTCAGACGATGCAGGATTCAGCTATGCGAGGACTTACCCAGAAATAGTAGTCTCCAGCTCGCCAGACCTGTGGACCATATCCGATCATGTATGAGACCAGTCGTGGACCAAAGTCACGAGCGAGGTTGATCGCATACCCAGTTTCCCAACCAAAGCATGCGCCAATTCCAAAAATGGTAAAAAATAGAGCGAGAGGCGTCAAGGGCCCTGCACCGAGATTTCCTTCATCGTTGAGGGCGAAAATGACAAACATCAGGAGTGAGCTTGCAAGAAATTCAGAGAAGAATTGGCCAGTGCGAGTCATAAAGTCCGTAGGATACGTGCAGAAAATACCTCCAGTAGGGTGATCTGAGTATCCTGGGACCGTCCTGACGCCGGGCCCTTCGTAAGCATCAATGGCCGACTTATAATTGCCGTACACAATAGCTGCAGCACACATGCCGCCAAGAAGCTGGGAAATAGCGTAGATAGGCCACTTGCGCCACGGAAATTTGCGGAGGACACAATTTGCGAATGTCACGGCAGGGTTGATATGGGAGCCTGATATACCGCTCACATACACGCCAAGCATGACCCCGAGTCTGTTCAAAGTCGAGCAGTCAGATATGCGCGCAATCTGAGGGAGTGAGAAAATATGAGAGAAATACTTACCCCCAGCCCCAAGATATGGACTGATAGTCGCCCTTTTGGCTTCGGCTAAGAGTAACCTGAGCGACCACTCCGTTTCCAAAAAGAATCAGTATCAGGGTGCCGAAGAACTCAGAAAAGGCCTCGCGACAAGTAGCTCTGATCCTGCTCCACCATAACGACGGCTGCTCTTCCACGGTTGTCCCAGAGGCATCACTCACTCCGAGGAGGGCATCGCATTTGCTGCTTGTTCGTAGCGAAGCATTCATATCCTCTGAGATATCAATTCCCTCCACCACAGGCTTTGTAATATCCATATTGGAAGTAATAGGATAAGTCTGCTGTCGAGTATGCCTGGGAGAAAGAGTAACTGGGTAAGGAGCGCAACAGATGCTGGACGACGGGCTCAAGTAGAAATTGGGAATGCTGCGAGCAGATGTCTAGAGTTTGAGCTCTCGTACGAGGTGTGCGACGTACTCTACAACCGGCTCTCATGAGAATGCATGGTGTTACCTTTCGGGGATTATGCCTTTGAGCGAGTCGTGGAGGGCGACATTGACAAATTGATGCAGATATGCAGGAGATCCTGGTAAAAAACAAAGAACTGTTCATCGGGATGGAGGAGGCGAAGAGAGGATGCAAGTTGAGGACGAGAATAGAGTGGGTGTTGGGAGTGGGAGTCGTGGAAGATGCAGGTGCAAACAGGCTGGATCAGTATGGGTTTCCTTCCATCGAGTCTGAGCAAATTCACTTCTTCCGTTCCTGGATCTTTGCCCCTCTTCGCGCAATCTTCTCTCTTCTCCCTCTTTAAGCTCTCTTCCTCTGCATCCTCTTCTTCTGCATAGAAACATACTGTTATCCACTTTTCAGCAACCATTCCCCCTTGCCTTGAGCAGTAGCATCTGCCGACAATGTCTTTGAGACTTGACACGCGAGACAACGCCGTCAGCATCGAGATCTTTTTTCCTTCACAGGCAAAGGAGAGTCTCACAAACTCCCAAGAAGTCCGGATTGAAACTCGCGTCACACGCGCATTGCGCTGTCGAATCGAAGTCAGCCCTCGGGCAGGCGAGCTGTGCTTGTGTCACCTTCAGATATTAGCATCATGGTAGGGGGAAAAGCATATATTCGAGGCAAGCATTTCCCTGTTCTGGATTTTCAATGGAGCCAGTCGCGGATGTGATGCTGATATCTCCATTTCAGGGAGCTATTGCTGCCTTTTCCCGCAGGTACGAGGATTTAGATGTCTCTATCCGCACACCGATACTATTTTATATGCGCCTATCTGGGGAACAATGCGGCTCTGTGACATCAATCGCATCGCTGTCGACTCGTTGATAATGTTCTGGAATGTTTGGGTGGAGAATGGTAGCGTTTCGTCGCATGGGGTCTTGGAGCCATGTGCGTCAATCATCATTCGCCAGTCCTTCGACCATCGTGTGGAGGTGGACACTCTTCTCGGGACCGGGGCAAGAGGGATGATATTGGCCCCAAATTCCAACCCACCTCAACCCACCTCCTTCGTAGAAGCAACGCGGTCGAAGCGTTGGTTCAAAGGTAACGTCGATGTGCCTGACGAGAATGACAGGTGAGCACCAGTGGAAACAACAGAAAATCATCGTCTGTCTTCACAATCATCATCCCTATTGCGGATTGGTGACTGGAGCCCTTCGACACCGATCGGCATGAAGCACGCAGAGGTGGGTAGGGGTGCTCCACCCAGCACACATCCCCCACGAACTTAGATCAGGTCCCTTTTGACAGGTGGAGATATTTGGACGAGATACCGGGAAAAGAGAGCAAACATGGAAACAGGTACGGCAAACGTCGTCCACAAACTCTTCGGCTTTGAGAGAATATACCGGAGTTCTTATCCAACCATGTCGGCTAAATCTCCGTTGGGGCCGATGAGGGAAAGCCACCCATGGTCGAGGGCTTGTCTCGGCTCACCCGCAATAATGAGTCTTGGAGAGCGCTTTTCCCCATTCCGTGACGCTAACATGGGTAAAATGATATTAATCTCTCGGCTTGCAGCTTCGTGTCTGCCCCTCTCCCAGCTCGGGAAGAATTCCCCCGCAGACAATAGACGAGGCGACGGAAAAATTGTAACACAAGGCGTCGTATTCAGTGCTGAAGCGAAATTACTTAAACGTGGCCAGTGATGCGATGCCATCTCTCTCTCCATCTTCCTTAACCCTGTGTTGTATACTATACCCTTTCAGCTTTCCTCGCCTTGCAACCCGTGGCTTGCTCCGAATCCGAGCCAAGCTGGACCCAGCGGATTCCCCGCAAGGAGCGTCAAATTTACCCACTGTTTCCGTCCTGGGGTCAGGGGGCCATGGACCCGTCAGAAATCGTCGTTGGATCCATTGATCAGGGCACCACGAGCACGCGGTTTCTGGTCTTCAATCGCGAAGGTGAACCCGTCGCATCGCATCAGGTGGAGTTCAAGCAAATCTACCCAAACCCAGGGTAATCATCCCTCTGCAGCTCTTTCTAGTGTTTCTTTTGAATGCTAATGCATTGAGTTAACAGATGGCATGAGCACGACCCGCTCGAGCTTGTGACCTCAGTGGAAACTTGTATCGAAGAAGCTGTCAACCAATTCGAAGCCGCCGGAAACGATCGACAGTGCGTTAAAGCGGTGGGCATCACCAATCAGCGAGAGACTACAGTTGTCTGGGACTATGAAACCGGGGAGCCACTTTATAATGCAATTGTCTGGACTGATACCCGCTCGCAAGCCATTGTCGATGAACTGAAACAGAAGCCCGAGGCTTCACAACTACAACAGATTTGCGGTCTCCCATTATCCACCTACTCCTCCTCCTCCAAGCTTCTTTGGATGCTCACAAATGTTTCGAAAGTGAGGGAAGCATACGAAAAGGGCACATTGGCATTTGGCACTGTTGATTCCTGGTTGGTATACAGACTGAATGGCGGGAGCAAGGCCAATGTGTTCGTCTCGGACCCTACGAATGCCTCACGGACCATGTTCATGAACCTAGAATCGTTGCAGTACGACAACTTTCTACTCGATTTCTTCGGTATTAGAGGCCGCGTTCATCTACCACAAATTGTTCCGTCCTCTGACGCCTCCGCCTATGGCGCACTTTCCACCGGAAGTCTTGCGGGTGTGCCCATCATGGGTTGTCTGGGAGATCAATCCTCTGCCCTTGTCGGCCAAAAAGGGTTCTCCCCGGGAATGGCCAAGAACACATACGGGACCGGATGTTTCTTGTTGTACAACGTTGGAGACAAGCCAGTTATCTCCACACACGGCCTATTGGCAACGATAGCCTATCACTTCGATGGCAAGCCTGTCTACGCTCTCGAAGGAAGCATCGCTGTTGGAGGCTCGGGGATCAAGTTCCTCCAAAACAACCTAGAATTCTTCCAGGAGTCAAATGAAGTAAACGACCTAGCTCTTACAGTAGAGGATAACGGTGGGTGTGTTTTCGTCACCGCATTCAGCGGCCTCTACGCTCCATACTGGATCGACGATGCGAAAGGAACGATGTGTATGTCCTTTCCCCGCTTCCCCCGTTTGCCTCGCCCGTTTGTCAAGTCAACGTACTAATATGAGCTGATACTCCAGTTGGAATCACTCAATATACCAAGAAAGGCCATATCGCCCGCGCAACCCTTGAAGCAACCTGTTTCCAAACCAAAGCAATTCTCGACGCGATGGAGAAAGACAGCGGCCACGCCCTCTCTGAACTTGCCGTTGACGGCGGCATGAGTAACTCGGACCTCGCCATGCAGGTACAAATCACCTAGCGGCGACCTCTTTTCTCAGACAACCCAGCTAATCATCCTTCCTTGTACCTGATAGATCCAAGCTGACCTGATCTCCATCCCCGTCTACCGCCCCAAAATGCGCGAAACAACCGCTCTCGGTGCTGCAATCGCCGCTGGTCTCGCCGTCGGTCTCTGGCGCAATTTCGCTGAGCTCCGTGACATAAACCGCGCCGGTGGTACCGTTTTCAGACCACAAATGCCCCTTGAAAAAAGCCGAGGACTCTTTAGCCTCTGGGAGAAGGCTGTCAGGATGTGCAAGGGCTGGATCGGGGATAACAAGTCGCATTCGGAGGCTGAGGCAGTCGAGGAGAAGGTCCAAAATCGGTCTCAAACTGTAGGTCTGAGCAAGGGAAGTAGCGACGTTGTCGCTAATGTCACTACAACTACGGCTATGAAGGCCGTGCCGCCTGCGAAGATGGTGAACGGTCACGGCCATGGCCACGGCCACGGAGAGATGGTTCTATCTAAGCCGGCGCCGTGGATTAATATCTCTGGGGACTTGGATGAGGCGGATGACCAAGATCTGTTCCTGGAGTTGAGAAAGTTGGAGGTTGTGCAGAGGCTGAAGAGGATGGGGAAGGTTAGGGTTGCATACATCTGATCCCCGCATTTCTCTTCTACTCAATAGATGTCTTTCGGGTATCGGTTGGAGGCAAAATTTGATATCGATCTTATGTGCATATGTATGTGCATGTTAATACGGCCGCCCAGTTTAGAATATGGGATGAGGAATTTCGGCGACTATTTACACTGATTTCGTTTGCAAAGCCATCATCACGCGTCCCATCAAGCAGCAGGAACACCCTCCTTCCCCTGCCCATCCCTTGTAAAAACACAATTCAACTCTGTCGCCGGCGTAAGCGTAACCTCAAACCTCAACTTCGGATCCTCAACAACCCCTTTCCCAGTCGGCGGCAGCGCCTGAATCGACTCAAACGCCTGCAAGATCCTCACAACCGTATACCCCATCTCGATCATCGCAAACTGCTGCCCGATACAGATACGCGGCCCGCCATTAAACGGGATAAAGTGCCACGGCTTCGGCTGCCACCCAGACGTCCAGCGCTCGGGGATCCATTTTGCGGGGTCGATGTAGTTCTCGGACAAGGGGGCGTCGTAGTTATCGGGACTGCGTTGCATGATCATTGTGGAGTAGATGACCCGGGTTCCGGCCTTGACGCCCACGGGCGCTGTTCCGTCAGGACCGCCGCCGCGGGGCAGTGTGGTATCTTTTAGGGAGAAGCGGACGTTGAATGGGACGACGGGGTAAAGTCTCATTGATTCGTTAAGGACGGCGTTGAGGTACTTCATTTCCTTGAGGTCTGTGTAGGTGGGTTTTCGGGCGTCGGGCCCTAGACCGAGGCGTGCGTCGATTTCCTGGCGGAGTTTGGTGACGACGGCGGGGTTGCGGGCGAGTTCGAAGAGGCAGAAGGAGAGTGTTGCGGCGGTTGTGTCGCGGCCTGCTAGGAGGACGGCAACGAGCTGGTCGCGGAGGGTGCGGCGGTCACGCGTGAAGCGGGCAAGAGCATGTAGGAAGGTTTCGCTCTTCGAGAGCTTTTGGTCGAGTTCGGCGGGGGACATGGCGAGGACCCGGTCGATGTAGGGTTTGATAAAGTCGTCCATGACTCTGAGTTGCTTGCGAAATTCTTTGCGGGAGAGGATGAATTTAAAAACGCTGCGTCAATGTTAGCACATAAACTGAGACGTAGGTTTTCGTACGAATAGGAGGGGTACGTACCCTAATCGGAAGTACTGTGCTTGACGACGCTGCACATAGCGGAATGCCTCTGCGAACTGTGTCTCCGGGTTCTGCAAGCTTTCAGTGCCATGACCGAGAAGGTAATCAGTGGCAGCGTCGAGCGTATATCGAAAAAACAGGGACGTGACATCAACGACCTTGCTTCCCTTCTCCCCGTCCAGGAGAGGAATAAGATGCTGAACATGCTTCTCGAAGATCTCCGTATCCACAAGACGATCACGCGCAAACATGGGCCTGATGAGGTGCCTTGATGATGCCCACTGGCCACCGTCCGTCACGAAAATAGAATCCCCCAGGAATTCACGCCAGTCGCGATGGAAATCTTCACCCTTGCCATAGTCGGAAAACTGCCCAGTGAGAATGGCCTTGATATTCTCTGGATCCCGAGTGAGAATAATTCGGGTTTGGACACCTGCGTCTAGCTCTGCCGTCTTCTTCTCGGTGGCCAGCGGTGCTCCCTTGGCATTTTTCATCTCGTTCCCCCAGAACTCGAGGTCGCGGTCAGTCTGGTTCGCTTGCATGGATCGGTAGATGAAGTCCATAGCTGGAACACATTGTTAGCGAAGCATACGCGTGAGTAACGATCTTGAAAGATGAACGCTACCATAAGGAAGGCGAAACTGAACCTGCGGAGCTCTCGCCCCAAGCCTTGAGATCTGCCAACGCACGTGCAGCTTGCGCACCAAACAAGCAAGCCAGAACGACCCCAAGAGGCAAAGAATCGCCTGTCCTGGAGTCAGATTGCTCACCAAATCTTCAATCATGATGGGCTCAGTGAGAATAACACTAAAGCAGAGTGCGGCAGCGTTCTGGTGTTGAGAAAAGTGGGCGCGGAGTCGTCCCCTATTTCAGGGTGCAGAGTCGCGCGGGGACGAGACGAAATTTGTAGATATTGAACCCTCCATCGCTTCCCACTGACTCATGAGAACCGAGAGCCGAGCCCACAGCGGGGAGAGAAATAACGACGAGGGCCACCCGCCATTCAGAATCGAAGGAATTCAACATGATCCATTATTCCATTTGCACATGCGCGGAGATCAGTGGAGGAGGGCGGCCGCGATACCCCATTGGGGACTTCTTGCGAACCCCTCACTGGATTAGTGCGTTCATGTTCAGTTGACCGTTTCCGAGATACTATGATCTATGAGCTCGCTGAGATGCAACGGTGGTCAGCGTTTTGATGAAAGGAGGTCATCTTGCTAGAAATGGACGAAGTTCAAACTATTAGAGTTGGGTTAGGAACAAGACGTATAAGAATCACGTGCAGTATGTAGTCACGTGATATATTAATGTACGCAGAGAGAATATCTCGTCATGACAACAATATTATTGTCTGGAGGCCTCTTCCTCTTCCTGACCTGACCTTTTCATCTTCTCATGTCCGACTTACCCTTCCAACATCAAGGCAAAGATGCCTGGTTTGCGAGCAATGGAAGCTGTTTGGCTCTGGCGCTAGATAAAGTTGTGCCTTGAACTTGGCAAAAACTTCCTCTTCTCATTTGGTTTCTTATTTCTTCCTGGGCTTGTTTTACAAGCTAACAGGACACCTACAGATCCAAATTTTGGACCATCTCTATTTTCCTTCTTGTTCATTCGCTCTATACTCAGCAAACTTAGCAAGTCCAGCCTTATACAAAGGAACGATTCCCAATTGGGTAAAGCGGCCATAGAGGAGGAGCATGCCTTCCTATTTTGGATATGGCCCTGGCCGCCCGGCTCTTCGAGAGCTCTCATCACATCTTCACTGCCTTTGAGCTCAAAGCCATTATCTCCCTCGCTTGCAACGCCATTTGTTTCATCAAGTTCCCAGTCCAATTCATCGCCATCGATCTGTCCGTTGAACTTCAATTACGTTCATTCCGTCCAGCAGTCTCCGAAATCAGTGGTGGAGCCGGTATGCTGTCAAGCAAGTTCCTTCTTCTCTCCGACCATCCATGACTGACGATCACTTTATTTTTCATCTAGTATCCATCATAGCGGAGGGCACTGAACTGCAGAACAAAGCATTAGCGTCGATGCTGGCCAATTCTGCTGATGATGACGAGTTCTTCGACAAGTGGCTTGAAACCGAAAAGTTTGGACATGGTGCTCCCGGCACCATGACAAACCTCCAGTCGGCTGCTAACAAATGGGACAATTGGTATCACAACGTTAGAGGAAATCCACAGTGGGTGATGTGCATATGATTTTTCTTTGGTGCTATCCCAGCATCATACTTGATTCTAGAACGGAGCTAATACAAACAAGGGGTCCAGGCGCTCCAGTCCCAACCGGGCAAGATATCGAGAGGTTTATAGTCTCCGTTGCTCGAAACTCAAAGTCATCCATCAAAGACAAGCTCGCCATTAGCCTGGTCACTATGGAAAACAGACTCAGTCGCGTTATACAGTATCTTCAGTATACACACAAGGCAGAGTTCAAGATCCTTCCACACGAGAAAACGGGCATTAAGGCCTGTCTGGACAGACTGTGCAAAGAGGGACTGCTTACTCGGGGTGTCTGGGTAGAACGCCGACGGTTCAGCTTTTTGCTTCTTGAGACTCTTATTTCCAACCTGTTTACCACGGCCATCGTCAAAGGACCTCTCTTCAGCTGGGATAACGTTCTCTTATGGGCACTTGGCATTGTTTTGCAATCAGCCACTGCAGCAAGAGGAGGTGACATCGTTCGATCAAATGGGTATACAGGAAATGAGTACCTTGCCTGGAAGGATGTTGAGCTCAAGGTCAAGGCCAATGGCAAGTCGGTACAGGATATCACTGCTGTGGTAACCCTTCGCTATTGCAAGGGGAAGAAGTAGGACCCAATTGTCCTTGATTGAAAGCAGATTATACTAACCATGGGTAATAGATTGCTACCAAGTGAGAACCGCAAGGTTACCCTCAACCCGCTCAAGAATGACAAGCACAATATAATGTGTCCAATCAAGTTGCTTCTCATCATGGCACTTCGCCTAGGGATCACGGCGGCAAAGACGCCAGCTGAGCTGATCTCGAGAGCATTGGGCACACGTGATCGAAGAATCGTTTGGAAGCACCCGGATTATCCTGTGATTTGTGGCAGCAATAGGCACCATGTTGTTGTGCCATCAATGTGCATTGGCCCGGGTACCCTCTCGGCTCGCCTGAAAAGTGTAGCCGCGAAATCTGGATTGGTCGGTCTCGGTTTGGGTACAACGGCAAACCGCAGGGGAGCTGCTCGCGAAATCGCTCATGCCGCCACGACATTTAAAGGCACAAGCGACGACGCTGCTGCTGCCGCACTTGGTCATAGTGCCAGCACCAAGAACGCTGGTCTTACGAGGGAAGTGTACATTGGAGACTCTTATGATGACTTCTACTCGCATCGTTCAGAAAATCCTCAGGAGGATCCTCACGCACCACAATTACCAACCAGGAAGCGAGCACGAATTCTGGAATCCGATAAGCCATGCTACCAGAATTTCATATACGAGGACGACATGGCTGATTCTGTCTCGGGGGAAACCGAGCCTGCAGTACTCGATTCTGATGCAATTGATCCTTCCTTGGTCGCCCCGGAGATACTCAAACTCAGCAAGGCATTGGCTCCTGATCCTAACGTCGAGATTGAGGAGCTTGACCAGGAACTTGTCCACCGCCTCAATCTCACCGAGATACAGTATGCAGATGAATCTATCCTGCACTCTACTCCCGACGAATTCCTATCGCTCTTTAGTCGGATCAATGTCTTTACGGAAGCTCAGTCGCTCAAATATGAGCAAGATCAGATGAGACAGACCAGTTGTGACGACGGCACCATGTTCCAGTGGTTCTGTGGCAAGTGCAAAGTATACTCTCACTCTGATGAGAGTAGAGTGCACTATCACATGGTGAATTGCTCTGGGCCACCTGGTGAACCAGCGCTCTGTGATGTATGTGGAAAGCCATACAGGAATGAGGCGAGCCTTTCGGCACACAAGCGCGCTTATCATGCCTGGAAACCAAAGCGCTGTCCTGACTGTCCCGAATCTGATTGTCTATCCGGACCCGGCCGCTTTGAAGAGACATCGCAAGAAATGTCACCCTCGCGACATAACTCCAATTCCCTGCCCACTATGTCAGGACCCGAAGATATGACCGGATGAACCTAACGGATCATCTGAAACATAGACATCGCAAATGCAACCCGGAGATCAAGGAGATTCTGCGACAGCATGTTCCTCCAGCAGAGTTCGACCGGCTTATTTTCAGGTCTTAGTCTTCACCAAGACAGGATGCCGGATGTTCCCTGAATCCTGCGATCTTCTCCCATCCATCATCTCCTAACACTTTTCGTTTCTGCTTGTCACCTGTGGAATCTTGCCTCATGCTTTACCTGTTGATATGAATCCTTCCTATATATGTATGCGGTTTGTTTTCCATTTCAGATATCCCATTTGCTCTACATGTTTCTTCATTCTCGACGTTTGTTTTCATCACGCTCTTCGCATTTGACTGCAAGCATTTCCTACCCTCTATCTGACAGACAACCCCTCTGAAAACGCCCCAAAAAAAGGTCGGATAATATTCAAATAACAAAAAAAAGATTTATTCTTAAATATCTCCATGTTGCCGCCGTAGATTCTTGCTTTCCTCCGCCTGATAGTAAAAGAGATGACCGGGTGGAGGCCTTCGGTTAAAGAGAAAAAGGCCCTCATCGATTGTAGTGTGTTACCGCCAAACAGTATAGATAAAATCTTCCAGACCCTTGCAATTTTTCGTCTTCAACAATCTTCCTGAAATGCTCCTTCCATTCAAATCTACCATGGGGGCGTCGTCAATGGGTTCTGTGGTATCTAAATCCTGCTAGATCAAGTCGTGGGCCCTCAGATACTACCTTATCCTTGACCCTTCCCTCCTTCTCCCGCACTATTCTTCTCCCTCCATCCCAACACCGCTGCTCGTCAATCTCTACTATCCAGCATCATGGTTGTGCTATTGGATCTGCCTATTGAACTACTTTCGCAAGTGGTATCCTACCTAGATCATGACCGTGACCTTCCAGACCTCCTCTCCTTATCACTCACCAGCAAACTGATCCACTCGATCACGACCCCATTCCTATACCGCGTGTTTTTCTCGGAAGATCGGTACAAGCGACTCCTCTACTACGATGTAGGATCTGGCCGCATCTCCAAGCTCATTCGCCTTATAACTACTCTCAACCACTGTCCCGAATTGGCTCGGTACTTCCGCGAGGCAGCATTCATTGGCGAAGCAACAGGCTGGGATTCCGGGGATTTGGACTTCGTCAATGGAGATACCATAAAGGAGATACTCAACTGCTTGACGCGGGTTACCCCGGAAAGCTGTTGGAGGCACTTGCTAGCATCCATTGTAACGGCAGACGTCAACCCGTTTGTCCTCATGATTTGTGCGACGGTCCCAATGCTTGAATGTGTCAGGTAAGTAATGCCCTGTCTATTATAGATTGTGGGTATATAGCTAAGTTTCACAGCTTGACATTGCAGGATGATTTCGAAGGACTTGAGCCTCTTTTCCGCACAGTTGCTGGTTACGACAACAGCCCATATCTCTCCAGGCTGAAGAAGATTCACATTACCGGCAAATATCCCATATCTGCCCACGTGATCCTTACGATGCTTGTCCACAAGGAGAAGTAAATATATCACGTAACTGGTCCTTGCAAAAAAAAAACAAAAAAAAAAAAAAAAAAAAAAAAAAATCTCATTGGATTAATGCGTCATGTTCAGTTGACCGTTTCTGAGGTACAATAATCTCATGAGCTCGTGGAGATGCAACGGTGGTCAGCATTTGAATGAAAGGAGGTCATCTTACTGGGAATAGATAAAGTTGAAACTCTTAAGAGTCGAGTTTAGAATAAGACGCACAAGAATCACGTGTAGTCTGCTATTTTTACATGAGAGTGTTGCTGCAACAAGTCTTTTTTTAAGAACATGTATTATTGATATCTATGGGACTAATGCTTTGGGTAGCTCTAATAGCTAACATAGCATATGCGAGCAAGCAACTACCTAAGATAGCAAATAGTATACAGGTGCAGGTCCAGGTATACTACTACGCTATGGGATAATTAGGGAATCGCATCAACGCGAGCTCGTGCTCCAATGCCTGCTGCTGCCTTAACTGTTCCATCTTGATCTCGTGCTCCTTTCTAGCACCATCTGCCCAGGCCGCCGCTTCGTCCGGATATTTCAAGCACCAGATAATCACATCGCGTGTGGCAAAAGTATCCTCGAGGCAGTTGTGACCGTGGTTTCCAATCTGGATATCGCGGTTGAGCAAGGCTTTGGCAAGCGTCTTCAAGGCCCAACTGCGCCTTAGCCGAGCATCAGGTGCTGGGTCGAACACCAGCTCGCCCGTCAGTATCGCAGAGTCGACGACTTTAAAGTGTAGAATCCGAAGAATCCGAAGATCATTGTCCAGAGAGTGTCCAATAAGAACAGTATTGGCGTCGGCGTGTTCCCACAGAGCTTGTCGTGCAGCTTCCCAACCGAAAATTGCCTGTCCACTGGCTACTGCAGCCGCCAGTCCCGGAGGCGTCACGCCACTAACACGAGATCTCCATTGCTTTATCTTCTCCGTAGGCTGAACGTAATTATTGATGAGAACCTCGCTTGTGAAGAAGTCCACGGCGCTGAGAAAGGCCAGCGCATCTTGGTTCCCCTTTGGGCCAACGCCAACCATCTCACAGTCAAGAGCAATCGCTTTCCTCTTTGGAAATTGCCATGGCATTGATGTTGGTGTTGAAAGGAAGCCCAAATCGACCTTCGCCTCCGTTTCTTTCTCCCGTTGGGATATTTCCGTCTGCTGTTTATCTTTCTCTTGCTCATGATGTTCTCGCTTAGGTTCGTCCGCCTGTTTTCCTTTCCCAGAGCGGCGCAAACATTTCTTCGGAGGCGCGGCCGTTAGGCGATAGCCATGATTCCCAAGGCGGGAGAGGGAGTGGCATCTTGCGAGAAGTCGTTCGTACAGTAGATCGCATTCGTGTATCGGGACGACGATAGGATCCTGCTCGGGAATAGGTGGGATTGGCTGTGTGGCAATCCCTGCGTGTATCTGCTCACTAGGAGCTGCACCTATTGCTGGCTCCGGTGTTGATGCCAGTTCTGGTGTTGATGCTGGGGCTGGAGCTGCAATGACTGCCTCCTCAGCAGACATGGTCTTCTGTCTTTTCACGTATGATGAGGTGTGACTGTTGAACTCACGCCAGGTCGCAAATGGGGTGCCAGACTGGGGACAGTCCAGGAAATGGTCCAGCGCGGTCTGGTGCGCAGAGAGGGCAGCGGCAGTCTTGAAAGTGTCCTTCTTGCATGTCACGCATATGAAAGTCTTCGTCCTTGAGGGCCTCGTCATGCCGCTTGTAAACAGAAATGATAGAACTGAATATGATTTTCCCAAATATATGCTGGATGTGCTAAACACGAGTCATCGAAGGTGATCTATCCGGAGCCTGAGAGGTTTTTAAGCCGCTTCAGGTACGTTCCAGGAGGCTCCTGCCTAATGAGTGAATATACTATGAGAGATATCTGAGTGAATGAGGTTCAAGATGAGGGTTGAGAAGACTACCACCCCACAATAGACATGGTCTAAATTACATGACAAGCTTAGGTCCGTGGTACTTGCGTTTCTCGAGCTCCACTGCGTTGCTGCTGATACCCGTCCGCGCTGGAAATCCATCAAACGAAGAAGCATATGTTGCAACTGTGTGAGCAACCAGCTAGAGGTGCACATTGTCAGCTTCGCGGTAAAGTTGAGCGGGTTTTGACCAAATACCTTGCTATTGATTTCCCAGGCCGTGGCGTTGACGTTTCCAAGATCATCACAGAGCTGGTGATAGCACGGGTCATACCAGTCACCCTTCCTCCCGCCGAACATGGCCTGCTCTTCCTCGGTCTTCACTCCCTCTGCGCCCGTAGCAATTCCACCTCCGGGGATACCATTCCGAATGAAGGCATCATAGTCACTTCTCCCATCGAACGGAATGTAAGTGAAATTGAGCCCGTGAGCTGTGTACCATTCGGTGTATAGATCGCGCAGCTCCTCAGACCCAACGGGGTTCACAGCATTGGTGGCGTTATAAACTTGGTATGCAAAATTCGGCGAGGCCAACATATCATAATCCATGAAGAGGCGGATCTTCAAGTTCTCCTCTTCGCTGAGCACAGAAACGTAATAATCAGAGCCTAGCAGTCCCTCCTCCTCGGCGGCCCACCACGCAAAACGCACGCAGTTGTTGACGCGGTATTTGCTAAGCTGGGTTGCTATTTCCAAAAGCGTCAAGCTTCCTGAGCCGTCATCATTGATGCCAGGGCCTTCTGCCACGCTGTCACTATGGCCACCCAGCATTACACAGTTTTGAGGGTCTCCTCCCTTGGTTTGGGCAATAATGTTGGTAGTGTGGATGGTGTCGACCGTCGCATCGATATAAGCAATCGAGTCGACTTTCTTCCCTTCCTTGAGCTGCTTGACAAAAGGCGCGGCATCTGCGTCCGAGATACCAAAAGTTGCGACGTGGTTAGGCGATGGAGTGCCTAGAGTTCCGCTAACTTCACCCTGCTCATTGTTGTACACAACAGCAGCTAAAGCGCCGGCTTTCCCAGCCAGCTCCGACTTGGTGCCAAATGGACAGGTGCCGCGCTCTATCAAGGCGATTGCCCCCGCAAGGCCAGAAGGATAGTCAGCCTCATCGCATCCTTGATTAGCCACGAGAGTTAGTTGACCATAAACAGGCTGTTTGTCCTTCGTGGGAGGTGTTAACCCCATCGGCCGAGCTGATGCCGGCACCTTATGTCCAAGAACAAGCCTGGATTCGAAAATATTCCCTGAAACGGCCGGGAAGCTTTGGTTTGTGATATTGTAATAATCACCGAGACCAGTGACGGTCGAGTAGATGTAATCCACCGTACCCAAGTGCCCTATGCGTGGTATATGAGTTCCTGTAACCGCAAATGTGTGCGCTTTTGGACGTACCCTTGCTGCCAATCACACGAGTCGGGTGGTTGTATTCATCTATACTCCGCTCTGCCAATCCATAAAGGATCTTGGCCCTATCGAGGAGATTGCTAACATGAATCTGACTCTGTAGCGCTTCGGAGCTAACGAGCTCTTTCCCTACATCGCCCAGCGGGAGCTGTTCCAGAGCTTGAGGTGGGATGTGAAGAGCGGAAACGCCGCCGATCAGCCCCAGGGAAATTGCTGCTGGCCTCATCGCACCGGCAGTACCAATCTAACGATATGGATAGGAATTAAGGTGCTAAGGATAGTTTTCAAGGACCTTGGGAGTTGAGGAGGGAGAGCAAGATTATTGGATGCGAAGCTCAACTGACGGATGACTCTGACCTCCAAGTGGTGAGGACGCAACGGAGACCAGGGATTCGTTCCTTAGCGCCGGGTAGGAGGCTGGTTCGTCTCTTTAGGGTAACAAAGCAGGCGAACGGGATAATGATAAATAAGGGACGGTTAATGATAATGTGGGAGGTAGGTACTTGTCTGAGGGATGCTATGTTTGATTAGCAGACCGCGATTGACGTGCTTGTATCTGCTCACGTGATTGTCCAATGTTTGCCATTGTGTACTTTCCAGATTGAGAAACTCGAGTATCTTAATTTTCCTGCAGGTTACTCAAAGTGCTTTGTAGTCCCAGGCATCTGACGGTATGTTCCAAGGCCTGGGCACGTCTAAATTTGTCAAGATAAAAGCTGTGGGAAACTAACATTAATATATGGAAGCATTGACTTCTATCTAGATTGCACGCCACATGGTCTGCAATTTCCAATGGGACCACGATACAGCTGACAAAGCTCCTCTGATCGAGTTCTTTGTGGTCTCGTTGTTGACAAAGAAAGCTTATAGGAAGAGAGAGAACTGCTGCTTTGCTTTGAGATTGAGTTTATTTATTCTTTTCACAGCTGTAAGATGTATATCTCAATGCGACCTTGTCACATTCAGAACAAGGGCTCCAAGTATATTATCAAACTTGCAAGGTTTCGAGTAATCCTCAGCTCCATTGTGAGTTCTTTGTCATGTAGTAGCTCCTGACAATCCATGCTTTGCCTACTTGAAAGATTAACAATAATGCCGACAAAGGCGAGCTCGACGCCACAATGGAGACTTACATCACGTGACTGGTATCAGTGGTGAATTCTTGGCATCTTTCATCATCTGGGCTTTGTCACAAGAAACGCCAATTCTCGCCATCACCTTTCATCTGTTGTCTCCTTGTCAACCTCGCTCTGACTTATAGTTCGATCCGTTTCTGGGCTTTCTGTCGGCATATTCAACCAACAGACAGAGCAGGAATCTGTTACAGCGCTCTCAATTTATCGTTTTTCATCATAATCTCGTTTCCCTCCGATAATCGAACCGGCGCAATCACGATGGTCACCGTCGCTCTCCAGACTCCGCTAGCGGAGGCTTTGAGCAATGCTATCCAACCAAAGCTAGTTGAAATGGGCTGGAGCTCTGATAGCAGCGACTTCGCGTTGACGGAATATGTCATTTTGATGCTCGTCAATAGCAAGACTCAAGAACAGATCGCGAGCGAGCTTTCCAACGATTTGCTTGGACTCGACGAAGGCGATACACAAGCTTTGGACTTTTCAAGATGGCTTTTTGAGCAGGTCGAGCTGCTCGATCAGCAGATCAACGGCCAGAGTGTACCGGCGTTCAACGAGAACGCACCCGCGCAAGCGATCCCATCATTCAACGACCAAGAAACAGCAACACCTCAGCCCCAAGGCTCAGAAGGAGGTACCCAGAGTGATGATCTGAGCATGGGGGACGCAGGAGATGGAATGTACGACAATCCCTTTCCCAGCAGTAGCTTAATAAAGCAAGCTGACCTTAATCTTTGTAGACCCACCGGACCGAAATCCATGCGCAACGGTCGCCAGGCTGGAAGGGGGAGGATGCTGAATCAGATCAACAGAAACCTGGAGCGCGGCGATCCCGGCTTGCATCGTATTCGCGACCAGACTGGCGCCGGCCGAATAAACTCGCATGGCCGCGGCCCCAACAAGGGGCGCTTTGGCCAGAATGTCAACGGGAGGATGTACGGAGGACGTCAGATGGGCGGAATGGGCATGGGCAACAATCAGATGGGCGGATCAGGCAACTTAATGAACATGAATCCTAACGACCAAATGCACCTCATGTCTCTCCTTGAGGAACAAGCGAGGATGATGTCGCAGCTCATGCCTGGCTTTGTCCCTCCTGCGATCAACCCGGCTTTTCAGCAGAATGGCCCTCAGCGTTCATTATCCGATCGTGTCGAGCGTCCAAGGGGCAACCGACCCTACGGAACCTTTGGCAACCGAGCGCAACACTCGAATTCAGGAGATGTCGACACCGACATGGATACAAGTCCAGACCAGGGCACTCAAATTGGCGGTCAAGATGAGAATAATACCGATAGCGTTTGCCACTTCAACCTTCGATGCACGAGGAAGGATTGCCCCTTCGCACATCAATCCCCCGCTGCCCCGGAGGGCACCCCTGTGGATGTCTCGGATCCATGCTCATATGGGGCCGCCTGCAAAAACCGGAAATGCACCGCACGACACCCCTCTCCCGCAGTAAAATCAGCCCACCAAGGACTGGAGTTATGCAGATTTTTTCCTCATTGCACAAATCCTCATTGCCACTTCAAACACCCCTCTATGCCGCTCTGCCGTAACGGTGCCGATTGCTCTGTTGCTGGCTGCAAGTTCACGCATACTCAAATTCCCTGCAAGTTCAATCCTTGCCTCAATCCTTCTTGCTCTTACAAGCACGCCGAGGGGCAACGTGGTGCCTTTACCGACAAAGTCTGGACTTCAAACTCGGCGGAGCAGGATAAGGCACGTGTCAGTGAGAGAAAGTTCGTGAACGATGAGGATGCTCCGGAAGAATTGATCAAACCTGCCACTGGAGCGGACAGCTCGTCACAGGAGATCGTGACATAGTCGGCAGATTGCTTTTATCTTTTTACGGGTGTAATCATAAATCACTCAAAAACTCCCTTTTTCTTTTCAATGGCTTGTCAACATGTATTACTGCTCCTGGTCGACGGGGGGTGGGCGTTTCTTGCTTACAATTGCAGATATCACTGGGAATGGCTATGTTACTTGTAAATATTAGAGTCTGGATACAAAATCATGAGAGCTCACGGAGTTATCTCAATCAATAAGAAGTAACCTTGATTGAGTCTGGATATCTTTCTTATAGATCTGCTATACCTGGTAACTTGGTTGTAACTTGTATGCCACTGCAGTGGCACACCTGGTAATATACGGTAATCTTACATCATTGTGCAGAGCTCCAAGACTCCCACGGAGATCATGGGAAGTTGCCTGACTTGTTGCGTCCATGCGGCCAGTCTTCTAGAGCTCATCTTCAATGCGTCAAAATCGCCATCCCTCGCTGAGATGCTTCCATTATGTCCAGCTAGATCAGCATTCATACAGTTGCGAACGCCATTGGCCTTTATCCGCAATGTCCCACGACGTTCTGCCCATAGCAACTCCGCGCCATTCGATGCTGCTGTCATAGGTGCTGGGATCACAGGTCTTACAACAGCGTATCGGCTCTCGAAGAACCCGAATTGCGCCAAGGTCACTCTCTACGAAAAGTCATCCCGAATAGGCGGTTGGCTCGACTCCGAAGTCATCGATGTCGAAGGTGGTCAGATCGTCTTCGAGTATGGACCGCGTACGTTGCGAGCGGTCGCTCCGGCCTGTCTCCCGCTGCTGGATCTGGTATTCCCAATGTCCCCTCAGATGTTGATTGCTTGCTGACCAGCTTTTTTGACCCTTTGCAGTTGCATGAACTGAAGTTGCAAGACCAGATTCTGTATACCGCCAAGTCCTCACCAGCCAGCCAAAACCGCTATATTTACTACCCCGATCACCTCATTCGGCTGCCCTCGTTTGACCGAAATGCTGGCACTCTATCAAACATATGGCGCTTGCTAAAGCTCGCTCTACGAGAACCTATTATTCGGCACACCGGATGGAGGGCGCTCGCTGAGCCGTTTCAGGATGGGAAACAGCCAGCAACGGACGAATCTGTTGCTTCATTCATATCGCGCCGACTGAGCCCCGAAGTAGCCGACGTATTGGTTTCCAGTGTCTATCACGGCATTCTGGCGGGAAACATAGATCAGCTCAGCGCGAGCGCGCTCATGGGCACTATGCGAGACTACGAGCGCCATGAAGGCAATGCTTTGCTTCAGATGGCCAAGTTATCGAAAGCTGGACTGTCGGTTGTTCCTGCTGATGATATCCTGGCGTTGGCGCCGTTGTTGGCAACCAAGGGGCGGCAGTATACCAAAGAACTATCCGCACTTGTCAAGGACAATAGCACACTGACTCTGCAAAAAGGTGTGGGCCAACTTACGGAAGCTTTGCTCGCAGAGCTGAACCGATCCAACAAGGTAGAAATTTTGACGGACGCAGAAGTCAAGGGCATTTATCAAAACTCAACGAGTTCCAACTTGGGGGCATGTTTGATTCTCCTTACGATGCGTTCTTTATAAACACTAACTTTGCTCCCAGGTAGTATATGGAGATAATCAGGCTCGACTCCACAATCGCCTCATTGCCACCAACTCAGCTCCTAGTCTTGCAAAGCAACTTGAGCATGTTCCGAAGCAGGACGCGAAGAAACCTCACAAGACAATCGAACTGTTGCGAAAGCACAACTACGCAGTTACCATGATGGTGGTCAACTTATATTACCCAAACCCCAATTTAGTGCCTGTTAGAGGATTCGGATATCTGATTCCCAGGTCAATACCTTCCGAGCAGAATCCCGAGAGGGCTCTGGGTGTAATTTTCGCGTCCGAATCTGGCGTGGGACAAGACTCGGCTCCAGGCACCAAGCTTACTGTCATGCTAGGCGGCCATTGGTGGGATGGCTGGACGGAGGCAGATTATCCTAATCATGACGCCGCGGTCAAGATGGCCCAATCTCTACTTCAACGACATCTCAGAATCACCGATACACCAACGGTGACCCGCACTCGGCTGCAGCGCAATGCTATTCCCCAGCCTACCCTCGAACATAGAGGACGCATGTGTGATCTTTCATATCAAATCAAAAGTGAGCTCAACAAGCGCGTCACTCTTGCGGGAGCGTGGTACGCAATAGGCGGCACTGGCGTAGTGGATAGTGTCCGCCAAGCATATCTAGCCACGGAGTTTGGTGTTGGGGCTATAGACCCGAATACTCGGAACCAGGTCGGCGAACTATTCGAAGACATGCTCTTCGAGACACAGTATAGTAAACACAAGATTCTCGGCATGTGGGACTCGACGGCGGGTGGTATACCCAAGGCCCCAGTACAGGTGGTCGTCGGGAAAAGGGATGTACACCAATCATACTATTAAGAAAGTGAGTATACTTGGCGAACCTCTGAAAATGCCAGGAGTTACGTGTTGGTTTTGGGCCGGAAATTTTCCGATTACTCGCACATGTACAATACTGTACAAAAAGAAAGAAAGAAAGAAAGAACGGGGTCATGAAGCGGGTGTGGACATAAGGGAGAGATACTATCCGAGTAGTCTATAGAACATAGCTAACCATAAATGTCTAGTCCTATCTTAGCTTTCACAGTATTTATCGGTACTCGCAGTGTTCCGCATCGTGAGGTACGTTTGGGCGCAGCGTGTTTCTCGTAGAGCCGCACCGGCTAGGGCTGCTGGGCGATTGATAGAGTCTTGATCCTGGGACGCCCAGTCTTCGAGAGCGTTGAAGAAGCGAGGTACTTTCAGGTTCTTGCTCGATGTCCGAAATCCGGTGGGTCTCATTCTCACGACTAACCATACAGACATTGGCTGATTCATTCCGAGTGTAGTTGGTTGAGACCGTGGTCTGGCAATCCCAATGGTGACCACAGGTGCTCATTGATTAGGGGGCAAGAGAGTTCTCGCATGAGATGACCTGTCAAATTGCTGATGGAGTGTCCTACTTCTCGGGTTTCTCCTGGTCCTTCTTCTTGTCACCGTTGGCATCAAAACCGAGTGCATCGAGTTGGCGAATTAGCTCCTGAATCTTGATCACTTTCTCAAACTGCTCGGGCAGTAGAGCTTCGCCCTTGTTCTTCTTTTCGTTCAGATCTCGCGCCTGCTTGAGCTTCTTCTTCAGATTGCGAGCCTTCTTTTCCTTCTCCGCTTCCGGGTCAACAGCATCGGCAGTCTCGGGGCCATCCACCTGCTTCTGCTGTGCACCAGCAGGAGGCGCCCTCCAGTTTTCGATCTGAGAGATGTCCTTCCCATTGGGGGTCCCGGCACCTGCGCCATCCTGAGTAGCCTTTGCTTTCTTCTTCGCTTCCCTTCGCTTCGCGTTCTTGTTGCTGGCTGCGCTTCCTCCCTTGGCGGGCTCATTCTCCTTCGGTGACGCTGCTCCTGGTACAGCCCCAGGAACGCCAGGTTTCCCACGGTTCTTCCAGGCCTCTGCAGCGCGGTTCCTGTACAGCTCGACATCCTCTGGCGGACGGTATCCGGGGCGAACTTTGATTTCTTTACGCTTGGAGCCGTCTGCTCGAACAGATGATGGGATGTAGCGCTCTCCGGTGACGGCGTCGACGGTGATACCGGAAGATGAGACGTTTCCTGATGTGTTTTGTGATGCCATGGTTTATGCGGATAAGCTGCCGGTAAGAGATCGGATAAATTCGGGGATGGCTCAAAGGAGCCTTCGAATATGAGCGGGGTGGATTCGAGATTGAGCAGTGAAAAGTGTGGTGTTGGAAGGGTTGTATGAGGTTCCGAGAGGTAGCGGACTCAACGGTGTTAGCTGCGAAGATTCGAGTCAGAATAGACGCAGTTCAAGTTCCCTTCCAAACCATAACCTGAAACTCTCTCGTCTGCGCGGGCCAAAGGCATCATGGTGGGCTGGACCGGAATAATGATCCGCATTGCTTATGTAACTATGCGTGCACAATATCTCGAGCCGCACAGCCAATCAACAGCCCGGTGATTCCGCTGCTGCTTTTCGTCCTCAAACCTCAAATCCAACAACCTCCCCGACGTTCCGAGTCAAGCCATCAAGCCCTCCTTTGCGCCCCTTCTTCCCCGTCATCTATCTTTCGTTGCTTGTTACCATCACAATGGCCGGCGCAGTAAGTGTCTTCTAGAAATTGATGTAATTGGTTTAATGGCTAACTTCAGGGTCTCCGTTCCAGCTCGCTGCTTCCATCTACCAGCATGTCTCCCCTCTCCCGCTCGCCGATCGACGGCATTGGTCGCACTGCTACACCCCTTGCTAACGACGAGCTTGCGTCTGTCTATAGGACCCTGATCCGCCGAAATGCTGTCTACCTGACTGCTATCTTTGCCGGTGCCTTCGTCTTTGAAGTGTGCGTGCCGCTGCCCCGAAACATCTGAAATACCTATCCGCTTCTCGATATCTGACCATGTGCCCGAAACAGTGCCTTTGATACCTCCACCAACAAGCTTTGGGATACCTGGAACCGCGGCGTACGTGATTTGATTGAATTGCACCCATCTTCGGAGTCGACAACGCTGACTTACCTTTCCCTCTAGCGCCAATGGAAGGACATCAAGTACCAGTACATCAACAAGGCCGAGGAGGAGGATGATGAGTAAATAGAGACTCCGGAAGTCGAACACCAGTGAAAAATGCTACGATATCCAGGGGACGTGCGGGCCTGATCTTATACACCGATACACGGGGATGGATGTGCTATAATTCAGCGGTGTCTGTATCAAATAGAATCTCGATTTTGTTGTAATTTGATCTGGATCTCAGTACCTTTAAAACTGCCTACATCCTACCGACGCATCTTGCGCTCATGTTGCGGGGTGAGTTGGTCATGACCGCGTGTGTAGTGCCAAGCCCGGAGAGCATGTCATTCCGATGGGAAGCAATGCAGAGGCGGCCAAGTAGAAATGAACAACGCAAACACTCCTTATCCTATTTATTAGCGAACCATCTCCTCAGTAACCTCTTCAGGGGAGTCAAAAGCTCCAACCCAAGGTTACTAGCACACCGGTACGCCCACTCGCAACTCGGTGCAGCCAGATCTCTTCCCGACATCTCTTCCCCACTGTGACATCGACTTTCCGAACGATCACTAAGCGTCTATCATTCAAGACTCAGATATTTTCTGCACTCCAGTTTTTCTATCTGTCCTACCTCTTGGTGCTATTCTCGCTCTAAGTACTATCTTCTCCAATACTCTAACTTGTATATTCTCTTTACTGACCCCGCCCTCTCACTGTCAAAGTTTACTCCTAGCTTGGTATACCGCCACATCGCCCTCCTACCAGCGCTCATCGATCACTCCATATCCCATCCTCCCAGAACCCGAATGGGTGTCGCGGTCCTAGGACCAAGACAATAAATGATGCTTACAGAATGTGAGAAGATCCTCGGTCACGGCCTTCTACAGCTCCCAGCAGAGCACAAGTACCGCTATGGCCCCGCAGCAGAGAAAGCCCTGCTAGAGCTCCTCTTCCGATCCCTAGCCGGCCAAAACGAGGAACGTCTACGGCAGCTATTTCCCAACGGACCGCAAAACGGAACCTGGAAGTTGACAGAGGCCCAAGGGGTCGTGGAGGGCGCGGAGTATACAGAAGCTGCGCGGGGTAAACGGTGTGGGCATATCTTTCGGGCCGGCGAGGCGACATACCGATGCACGACTTGCGGGGTGGATGAAACATGTGCTCTTTGCAGTCGGTGCTTTGACGCCTCGGATCACAGCACCCATCAGTACCAGGTCTACCTCTCTCCGGGGAACTGTGGCTGCTGTGACTGCGGTGATGAGGAGGCGTGGCGGACACCGCTGTTCTGTGCGATCCATACGGATAATGGCGAGAAGAAAGGGAAGGAAGCTGTGCGGCCGGCGCTCCCGCAAGAGTGGGTGGATAATATCAAGATGACGATTTCCCGCGCACTTGACTATTTCTGCGATGTTATATCATGTTCGCCGGAGCAGTTGCGGTTGTCCAAGACAGAGGATGGAATTAGGAAGGATGAGGTCGCCTCCCGGATTCGCTCTGGGTGGTATGGTGATGGAGATCAAGAGGAAGAGCAACCAGAGTTTGCGCTTGCCCTTTGGAATGACGAGAAACATACGATTCAAGACGTTGCTATACAAGTAAGTCGGGCTTGCCGAGAGCGTGATCGATATGGGATGGAGCGGGCCCAAGAGACGCATGACTATGGACGAAGCATTGTAAGATATTCACGGGATTTGCCGAGCTTGATGAGGGTCTCGGCGGTTATTGAGCAGATCAAGGTCACCACGACGATCCGATCTTCCCGCGACACATTCCGAGAGCAGATGTGCGGGACGATTGTTGAGTGGCTGACGGATATTGCGGGATGCAGCATTCTCGATGATAATGAGATACTGCGTCGAACCATCTGCGAGGAGCTTCTGGGTACCTGGAGACGTGGCAGTGGCGCGTTTAACGCCGGAATTGGTCTACAAGGCATTGATGATCACTCGATATCAACCACCCACGAAAGGATTCGGACTGTGCTGGTCCGTATCACACCACAGGGCCAGGTGATACCTCCTGAAGAAGACGATGAAAATGACGACACCAATGAGGAAGATGCAGGTGAAATGGAAGACGAGTTTGTGGAGGTTGATGGCCAAGAGGGAGTTGATGATGATGGGGATGAGGAAATGGAAATTGAACTCAACCGGTTGGCGGGCGACATGGTGGACGACGGGGATATGGTCATGGATGGTACGGACGATGCTCAGCAGATTGCAGAGACCCTCTTTGGGCTTGCCCAACCCCTGGTTCATTACCGCGCTAGACAGAGAGGTGAAGAACCGCAGCAAGACCCTCAACAGGAGGAACCTCAATCGAACAATGACGCTGCACAGGCTGCCTCAGTCTTACCAAGCGGAAACGGTGGCGATCAGGAAGGGAGCAGCAACTCCAGCAACGGACCCTTTACGCGCATTCCGAGAACACCATCCCGCGTGAAACGACTTCCTTCGGCCAAGTCACCGAGTCACTGGCTGGTTCAGCCATCCGCTCCAGTGACTGGCGAACATGTTCCCTCATACGAAGACTTGTGGCACCGCACACGGCTCGATTGGGCGATATTGTTCGATCTTCGATTATGGAAAAAGGCCCGCACCGACCTTCGTGACCTCTATCTAGGAACAGTGGTCAACGTGCCGGAGTTCAAGCGAGTCATGGGTCTTCGTTTGTCCGCTCTGTATACAGCACTTGCCCAGTTGTATCTGATCGCTGATAGAGAGCCGGATCATTCAATAATCAACCTGACCCTACAACTCCTGACTACGCCCTCAATTACAGAAGAGATTGTGCTCCGTGGCAACTTCCTGTCCAAGGTCATGGCTATTCTATACACCTTCCTCACCACAAGACAAGTGGGCGAACCACATGAGGTCAATCCCACTGCGACACTGTCCTTTGATGCTACTGCCGGGCCCCTCAACAATCGTCGACTTTATCATTTCTTCTGCGACTTGCGGTACCTTTTGCAGTCTGAGTACGTGCAAAGCCGCGTGCGAAATGAGGAGCAGTATCTCTTGCAATTCCTCGATTTGATCAAGCTCTCTCAGGGGATTTGCCCCAACCTGCGTGCTGTCGGTGAACACGTGGAATATGAGAATGACGCCTGGATTAGTGCATCAATACTCATGCGGGAAATCAACCGGTTGTGTATCGCCCTCCGCGAAGCGTTCAAGAAGCCCGAGGTGGATGGAAGTCAGAACCTACTTCGTGCGATCACCGTCACCACAATTGCGACCGTGGTCAATTCGGTCGGTTGTGAACGAGAACGATTTGAAGAGGCGGAAATCAAGGAGTATGTCAAGTTCAAGACCCTTCCGCCATTTGACTTCGAGGTTGGTCAACCGGAGCGGCTCCCCCGCCATCGGGTGGTCGACTTTGTTGTAGAGAAGGGTGCAATGAGTTTCCACCACGCTCTTCACTACACACTATCATGGCTAATAGGTTGTGCTCGCAATGAGAAGCAAAACACCCTACGCGAGGTCCTTTTTAGCGCAGCCGAGGTTGCCAACGATAATTTCGTGTTGGACAGTGACCTGGCGCCTGAAGATTTACTTCTCGCGATGTTTGACTACCCTATCCGGGTGTGCGCCTGGCTCGCACAAATGAAAGCTGGTATGTGGGTGCGCAATGGCCTCAGCCTGCGCCATCAAATGTCGCAGTATCGGGGAGTTTCATGCCGCGAGCTGGGTTACTATCGCGATATCTTCTTGATCCAGGCGGCATTGGTGACATGTAACCCTAGCAGGGTTCTTGCGTCGATTGCAGATAGATTTGGGGTGGTGGATTGGATGACCAGGAATTATATCCCGCGCGCTGGCTATGAGGATGCCAAGATCATTGATGTTGTGGAGGAGTTTGTCCTTCTACTCATTGTGCTCTTAACTGATCGGAAGTCGCTCACTTCCGATGGGAACACTGACTCTGCGATCCACGCTAACATGAAGCGCGAGATTGCACATGTTCTATGCTTCAAGCCTCTCTCATTTTCCGATCTGTCGACTCGCTTGAGCGACCAGGTTCGGGACTCTGATTACTTCCAGGACGTTCTGGAGGAGATTGCTCGATTCCGAGCGCCGGAAGGCCTGAATGATACTGGTACTTTTGAGCTCAAATCAGAGTATATCAGCTTGGTGGACCCGTACAGCCCTCAGTACACCAAGAACCAAAGAGATGAGGCTGAGAACATTTATAAGGAACTGATGGCTAAGCAAACCGGCAAAAATGCGTCAGATATCGTCTTTGAACCCACATTGCGGCCTCTTGCTGATGGGGTCTTTTCCGACCTTTCTCTGTTTACGCGTACTTCACTGTTCGCTCAGATTGTACACCAGTGCTTGGATTATGTGATCTCAGCAAAGGATCGTACACCCACGATACCGCCGACTCGCGTGGAAACTTTCCTACAGGTCGTCCTCCATCTCATCCTTTCGGCTACGTTGGAAGATGACACCGACGAGGATAGTATAGACGAGCAGTCAGCAGAATCATTTGTGTCTCATGCATTGACCAAAAACCGAGCCACCCAAGTGGGTAATCTGACACTTGTTGGCCTACTAGAAAAGATCTCGATGATGGGCGAATTTTCTGCATGTGGTCCTAGAATCCGACACGTCTTGAAGCGGCTTTGGCAGAAGCGACCTCATACTTACTCCGCGGCCACAGCTTCTCTGAGGTTCCCGTTTGACAGGATCGAAACGAACTCACCCGCCATCGACACTGATACCGAGAAGGAGCTCAGGAAGAAGCAGGCTCTCGAAAGACAGGCCAAGGTCATGGCTCAGTTCCAGCAGCAGCAACAGAACTTCCTCAACAACCAAGCTGCGATTGACTGGGGCGATGAGGATGACTTTAGCGACTTGGACGAGTCTGAGCCTGAGGTCATCCCAGAAACCAAGCTCTGGAAGTACCCCAGTGGCACTTGTATACTGTGCCAGGAGGAAACCAATGACTCCAGACTTTACGGCACGTTTGCTCTCGTCCAAGATAGCGGTATTATGAGGCAGACGGATATCCAGGATGCGGACTGGATTCGAGAAGTTCTCAAAACGCCGTCGAGTCTCGACAAGTCCGCAGACCACTTACGCCCGTTTGGCGTTGCGGGCGAGAATCACATAACTGTGCGGCGGCTTGACGCCTCAGGAGGGGAGGTTACCGGCGAGAAGATCGGTTTGAGCAAGGGTTTCAACGCGAAAAATACTTTGCGCGGTCCTGTGACCACGGGCTGTGGTCATATTATGCATTATACTTGCTTCGAGGTCTATTTTACTGCCACACAGCGACGCCATACCCAGCAGGTTGCCCGAAACCATCCAGAACGCTTGTCTCTCAAAGAGTTCGTTTGCCCCCTCTGCAAGGCCTTGGGCAATACTTTCCTTCCCATTACCTGGAAAGGTAAGGAGGAGTCTTATCCCGGTGTGTTGAACACCAAGAACTCCTTTGACGAGTTCGTCAATCATGATGTGAAGTCTGTCCTCTCTCACAGGTTGAACCAGGCCTTGCTCATGGAAAATGAAAATCTGCCACTCCAGTCGTACCAAGGACTGTTTTTGGACTACCTTTCCAAAAACCTGGTACCTCAGCTTGCCGGTAGAGTTGACCAGTTGTTGTCATCTTCGCTTCCTTCAACGGCACATTCTTTCCCGCCAGCCCGGATCCCCATGCCGGGCCTTTTCCCTCCAGGAGAGGAGTCAAATGCCCTTAGTCCGCCACAGCAGATCCCGACATTGAGTGACAGCCCCATGTCCGAACTTGTTCAGATTTACACACGATTAAAGCAAACTCTCCGACTGAACCATATTCATTCCACCTTCAACCACTCTCCGGACATGACGAGCAACGATGATATCGTTCATACCGACTCTTTGTTCCAGAGCTTCGGCTTTAGTATAGCCGCGGTTGAGATCGCACAGCGTGGTGTTGAGTCTGAGCCGGGCGCCACATTGCTAGACAAGATCCCACAGCTGACGCTTACACACCTTCGTGTGTTGGCTGAAACCGCGTTAACATATGCGGCTGTTGGGGGCTTGCATAGCACTTCGGGCCCGCCAAGTCCATCTCTTGAAGAATTCCATGAGATGCATCGTCAGAAGCTATGCCAGCTGTTCGTTGGACACCCAAGTCTTGGTGGAACAACCCTACTGAACAATGTCCACGAGATCGAGCCATTATTCTCCAAAGACACTTTCGTGTTCTTGGCTGAAAGTTCGCTTGCTCTCCTTCCGGTTCTCAATATCGAAGTTCGCCACTTGATCCAGATGTGCTATGTAGCTGAGATAGTCAAGGTTGCCGCCACATACATTCTCTGGCCCATCGGATTGAAGGAAGAACTGGCCCAACATGGCGATGCACATTATCTGTTGGAGATGGAGCTTTCCGATGAACGGTTTGAGGTCACTCGGAAGTTCTTCAACACTGTTGTTGCGGAGCTCAAGGCTAACTCCGTTGGACGCGCAAAGGGATCATCGTATCCTGTAGAAAGTGGCTACGTGAAGGACGGCGAGGACTCCGCCACTCCTGGGGTGATCATTGCCCTGCGGCGTCTCATTTCAAGCTATGCATTGACGTTCTTGCGTAAGGCGGTCATCCTCCTGCATGTGCAACACGGAGTGGAGTTCCCCAACACCGGCTTCTCTGACATGGGAGCATCAGAGCTAGACCGTTTGACCAAAGCGCTGGACATGCCTTCTCTCGATGCCATTTTCTCAATGATAAACCCCGCGCGCAAGAGCCACAAGCCTTTCGACGCCATGATCTCAGGATGGATCTTCCACTGGAACGCGTCCCGCTCAGGCGTCCGCATCGCAGATACCAAATTCTTCCCTAGCCTCCCACACCCGGCCATCTTCGAGCTAGTCGGTCTACCAAAGTACTTTGACAGCTTGATCGAGCTAGCCAATCGCCGCCGCTGCCCAAATTCAAAGAAGGAGCTCAGCGATCCAAGCATCTGTTTATTCTGCGGCGACATCTTCTGCGCGCAGGCTGTATGCTGCATGGACAAAAATAACAAGTTGGGTGGATGCAACCAGCATGTTCAGAAGTAAGTTAACCTGGCATTGCCACTATCCCTCCCTTGATCGTTATCTAACCGAATGCCAGGTGCGGCAAAAATATTGGCCTCTTCATCAACATCCGCAAGTGCTCCGTCCTCTACCTCCACAACCAGAGCGGATCATGGCAGCCGGCTCCATACCTCGACCGCCACGGCGAGGTAGACCAGGGCCTTCGACGCAACAGGCCACTGATGCTCAATCGGAAGCGGTACGAGAGGCTTCTGCGTGATGTCTGGCTGTCTCACAGTGTTCCCGCAACTATCAGTCGCAGGCTCGAGGCGGATGTGAATAATGGCGGATGGGAGAGTATCTAAGGGAGTGTGTTGTTGCATGGCGATGTCGATAAGTTACGAATGACGTATGATGGTAAAATTAGACGAAGCTGGTTTCTCTTTCTTGTTTCGTGTATCCTTTTTGTCTATCACTGGTTGATTGATGTGCGATCGAGAAGAATATGAGGTATATTTTATGGGCTTTTCCCATGTTAAAAGCTGGTGATGCTTTTGTGGATATGTATCTAGTCTGAAGACAGCAAGCACATACTATATCAAATGAATATTTCTTCCTTCATCTACTTGATCAACCCACATTATAGTATTAATAATACTGTAAGCTTAATAGCAGGCAACTCTTGTCATTATTGAAAAAACACCCAAGGAGCACCCAGGAGTCACGTGATCAATAAGTACTCCGCCGCGCAGCTTCCGCAGTTTTAATGACTTCATTTATCTTGACAGCGCCAAACAAAACCACAAAAATCAATTGGACATGTATACCATAAACTGACTTTTTCTCGGTATCAACTCTTTCGACATCAAGTCCGCGTCGCAACCTTCCCTCCCAACACGATCACCCAAGAAAACTCCTCAACAATGAACAACGAACAATTCCGCCGTCTCCTCTTCGACAACTCACAGCCGTCCTCGAAACCTAAGAACAGCCCAAGTCCAACGAGCCCGCAATTACCCCCGAATACCAGGAGTCATGCGTCGCCATCGGGCGGACCAGCAGGCCACGCGCTGGGATCGCGCATGCGCTCGAGTATCCCTATGACGCCGTACGTCTCTACTTCTCTTATTTTTCCTGCATGGCTCTGAATATATAATCATTTGTTTGGGTATAAGGCTAACGGGTAACGGAATAATACAGACGCACATTGACGAAACCCGACTTCGCGCGCCAACTCGCCGAATACGGACGCGACGAGCAGAACCCGCACCCGAACAAGAAATTCAAGTCCTCTGCTGCGCCGAAGGGGACGAAGCTGCCGGCTGGGTATCAGGACCGCGCGGCGCGGTTGCGGGAGCTTGAGGGTGGGAATGAGGAGGACAAAGATAAAGCAGAGGGTGCTGCAAAGGGCACTGGGAGTGGTAGTGGGCTTTCTGCCGAGGGGGAGCAGAAACTGAAGATTCTTGAGATGCGGTTTAAGAAGGGTGTTATTGATGAGGCTACGTTTCTACAGCGGCGACGAGAACTAGGTGTCGGTGGGGATTTGAGCAGTACGCATATGGTTAAGGGGTTGGACTGGGATTTGCTGAGGAAAGTCAGGGCCGGGGAGGATGTTCAGAGAAGAGAGAAGTCGGAGGAAGAGGACGAGGCTGCTGGAGAGCGTGCTGAAGGCGAAGCTGAGGGGCAAGGGGAAGAAAAAGACGAGGTAGATGTGGATGAGGAGTTTGATAAGGTGCTTGACGGAAACGAGGAGGCAGCCCTTCCTTCTGCACCGAAGGAGCGGGAGAAGAAAAAGGGGAGTATGGCGCCGCCGCCAGCTCCTGCACATACAGGGCGCAAGACGCGCGATGAGATTCTCAGAGAGTTGAAGGCAAGCAGGGCGGCGGCGGCTGCTGAAGCTGCAGCTGCGGCACAGGAAAATGCGTTAGGTGCGCGGTTCAAGAAGATCGGAGACTCAAAGGTCGAGAAGAAGCGATTTATCGAGCAGGACGAGAACGGCCGCCGCAGGGAGGTCCTTCTCATTACAGATGCCGAAGGTAAAACTAAGCGGAAAACAAGGTGGCTTGACAAGCCTGGACAAACTGCGCCAGCTGCAGCGCCTGCCGCTTCAGATAACGAGGCGAAACCGCTGGGGATGGAGGTTCCAGCTGAGATTGCCGCTAAAGCTGCTGAAGCCAAGGCCGCACAGGAAGCAGAGGACGAAGACGACGATATCTTTGCTGGCGTGGGTGCTGACTACGATCCTCTGGGCGATGCTGGGTCAGATGGAGACTCGTCCGACTCGGAAGAAGAAGAAGGCGAGGTCGCCACGAAACAGCCAGCGGCCCAGAAGGCACCCACTGCAGAACCGGCAGGCGAACCGACCAAACCTCGGAATTACTTCGCAACAGCCGCGACCCAGGACGAAGAGAAGGTGGAGAGTGGCAGGGCAAACCCACTAACCAAAGACCCAGTTCTGCTCGCCGCCATCAAGCGCGCAGCATCCTTACGGCAAGCATCAGGTGAAGACGCTGCTGCTGCTGAAGGCGAAGACGAAGAAGTCGACAGAGACACGCTCCTCCGGCGGAAGAAGTTCCTTGAGGACGCGCGACGACGCGAAGAGCTCGATGCAATGGACATCGACTACGGATTCGGGGGCAGCCGTGGCGCGGATGACGAAGACGATGAAGAGGTCATTCTCCAAGACACCCGGGGAGGAACAAAGCGGAAGCGTGGCCCAAAGAAGAAAAAGGGCGACAAGGACAGCGCGGCGGATGTGCTCAGTGTGCTCGAGGGGCGCAAGAAGACATGATTCATATCGTTCATTTCCTTTCCAGAATCCACCGTGACAACCATGAACGCCACAGCCACAAGGCAGACCCGCCATGGTCTCACTCTCACTTCATAGCTACGTCTGCAGACCGCAAAGGTTGAATGAAAGTTACCCTGGACTGCTGTCAAGCTGGAACACCGAACCAGTATCAGCAAAACTCAATCGAAGCCATCAAAATCTGTCCCAGTCTCCACACAGGCTCTGACAGGCTGCGGCATACAGAAATCGGAAGCTTGATCAACATCTCCTGACTCAAAGTCATCAATCCGTCAGAAAACCCTGAAATCTAATCTATCCGATAGATTGATTGATAGAAATAAGCAAGGACCCAGAGTCTCATCCTGAAGCACCGCCCGGGAATCCATACCGGGACATGAGCTACAGTGGAGATTAAGGGTACAGAGCTCTTGTTTCACTTATCCATCAAGTCCCGCGGGGAGGCCTACGAGCCTGAGCAGCTAATCAATAACAAAGCCAGTTCATAAGCTTGCCAAGTGATTACTGTCAGCAGCGCTTGCCCATCTTCTGTTAGCATGAAACGTAGCGTCGAACTTATACTTCTCTGCAACCTGATTGTGATCAGCCTTGTAGGATCGCATTATTCTCCTGAATCTTAGGTTGTCTTAGGTTACTTTTGTTGGCGCCGAGGATGTATAAGTACTCTATTGTCCCTGGTAGGAGTATCTTCCCTTCCAGCCAACAACACATTCCAGTATCAACACTACCCTTTCAATAACACTCATAATCCTCAAGATGGCGAAGATGCACTCCCTACCCGCCGCCCTCCTCGCCCTTAGCACCATCCAAACAGCAGCCGCTCACACAGTCGCCTGGGCCCGCGGCATGTACTGCCTCGGCGGCCCCGATATCACGTCGGAAAACCTAAACACTAACACCGCCGTCGACCCCCTTTACAACCTCACGCAATCAGACTGGTGGTTCCAGCACCACCGCGGTTGCGACGCAGTGCCCCCGGCCGAAGGCGATATTCTGGAATTACCCGCGGGCGGGTCGTTCACGGTTGAGCTCGCGCATAACCGCGCGTTTACAACGCTGTCGTATGATGGGGAATTCACGACTGAGTGGCCGGATGGCGAGGAGCACCCGGAGGACTGGAACGGGACGAGTGAGGGGGAAGGGTGTATTGAGGATGATGGAGCGTTGCATACCACGAATCAGACCGGAGCGGCGGGCACGGCGTGGGCAATTAGCTATACCAGTGAGTTGAAGGAGGTGACGATGGAAAACTTGGTTGTTTTCTCGGTTTTGGAGCAGTGAGTTCTTTCCTTTCTAGGGGTGTCACTTCACTGTTGTGTTTTGTGGTGATGAACTCGAGACTGACTGGTCGCCATGAAAAGTACGCCCTGGAAACGTCTTGCGACATATGAGGTTCCCCAGCATCTTCCGGCATGTCCTAAGGGCGGTTGTACCTGTGCTTGGCTTTGGGTATGGTCTTCCCTCCGTCGCGTGAGTGGTTCATTGGCTGACAAAACTATAGGTCCCCAAGGGTTGCGGACAGCCTAATATGTGAGTTGAGTCCAGTTCCACCCAATCTCCTAACCTTTTCTCTCCAACGGCATACACATTAGCGTACCCCAAGACTAACTGAGCACACAGCTACATGGCCGGCTATAAATGCAATGTGACAGACGTCACATCAACCAAGCAACTCGCGCCCGCTCAACCCCCCGTCTATTGTGAAGATGACTCGAGCAAGTGCGTGGCCGGCGCGAAGCAGATGATCGCTTGGAATCGTAAGGCCCTCCTGACACCCTTTATCTCTTTCATTCAAGAAGTCCAATAGCTGTGTGCTGTCAACCTGGTATGGTGCAGTGGCTGACTTGACTCAATACAGAGGCGACTGGAAACAATATCGAGGCTCCTGCTGGAAAGACACCGATGTATAATGAAGTTTGCGGATTCAAAAGCGGTATGTGCACTGTTGTCTTGATATCAGATTCTTTGAGCTGCTGGAGTGTACTAATGTTGAGTGCTCAGGTCCGCAAAACGACATCTTTGTCCAGGATGACACGAAGCAGGAGACAGTGATCAGCACCGAACCAGTGTTGACAGCCACGTCTGAACCTGTGACTTCCTCTGTTTCTGTGTCTTTACCGGCATCTGCATCCTCATCGGTGTCTACATCTGTGTCGTCGTCAGCAACTGCATGCCCACCTCAGCCAACAGCGACAACCACCCGCCGCCCGCATAACCATCACCACCACCGTCCCGGGGGACATCATCACTAGGTAACACCTTTTAGTATTTCGGGCATGCGCCGGAAGGCTGTTTGCAGATAAGTATTGATCCGGGTTGGTATCATATCTCTGGAGATAGGGTCCGTCGGAGCTGTATAATAGACCATGTCACATAGAAATTGATCGAACATCTGATTTTTAGTACTACTTGATTAGACTGTCAGCAAGACTTATTTTCAGGGGTATGGTAGCTTGACTGATTTTCGAGATTACATTCAAGCCAGCGTAAAAGCCGTCTGACGCCTATATGGTGCCGACGTGAGATTACAACCCATCACAAGTGCCCACGATGCCTCCATTGCTTTCAACAGAAGCAGCTGATATGAGTAATTAGGAATCAGGCTCACCGCTGTTATTACTGGAACCAGTAACAGGCAAACCCAAAGTGACACCGACCCTTGGGATACCCCAGGCAGGATCACGCTTCAACCACCGGCCGAGAGCAAATATGCTCTTACGTGACCTTACCAGGACAAGGTGGCAAGCAAACAGTTGCGGCCTCGCTGTCAACGACAGCTTAAGTAAGTCCGCTTTCCACCAAACAGGCACATCAGGTTTCGACCAGAGATGATGGGGTACGTATTCCCCGGACGTGGTCTCGGGCCTATGCGATGTCCACGTCAACCAGTCAAGTTATTTCCATGTCGACCCACAATGGCAAATCGAAACTCGGCAATACAGTACGTTTGTAGGCCCGTAGCTGCTCAGGTACGGAGTACACTGTTCGGCGGGCCTGGTTCGTGGTTTGTGGCTTGGTGCCAGTGTACGTATGCCTGCCATAATCAATCCCGGTGTTGGGTGGGTGGGACCTTTGACAGATTTTCAATGGGTCGAGTCAGTTAGGACCGGAATCTGTGTATTCTTGGTGTAAGGATGTGTCAGGTCGTGGAAGTAGCACCGCTTCGGGGGCACAGAGGACGCTTGACTGAGGACAGACTGAGGAGCAATGCAAGCTCGACCAGGCAAGGAAATGCCTCAAAGATCTGTCGATGGAAGCGCTGACCACGTCAGCCAATGCAGGAACAAACAGTTGTGATGTGGTGGGCGTGCACTAGTGCGTTTCAGACGGCGATGGGCGGATCTGAAGGGACAGTCTGAACCACTCGCTGAGGCTTGTCTTGACCAACAAAGAACAGGCGGGAGCGCTTAGAAGAAAGTTATTCATAGAATATGATATAAGATAAGATGGATGAGATGAGAAGCTAGGACATGATAAAGAACAGCCATACCAAGAACACTCAAGAGGGAAGAGGAGAGAATAATTGGGCCAGCTAGAAAGGCAAGTGTACATCGGTGGAGAATCGACAAGTCTGGCCGGTGGAGACTCACGCTTTGAATCTCAAGAATCCAGGCTTTATCGTCCTTAGCGTACTAATTGTATTGATTCTGTTGCTTCTACTGCTCTCTAACACTTCCTTCGTCAGATCCTCTACAGCTCCAAGATTTCCCAAGAGTTCCCAAGACTGAGAAACAATGTGAGCAGAAAGAAACCACCGGACCAGACACAATGGACAGTGCCCAGACCCCGTTTATTCTGCCTTCTTTCTCCATCTTGGTCTTTCTCTATCCATATTCGAGACCGAATAACAGGCGACGAGGCATCCCCACCGATTACGTCCCATGGCTCCGGCGCATCCAGACGCACTGGCTGGAGCCAGCAAAAGAAACCACCTGCAGTCGACCACTCAGATTCTGTGTCTTTGGGTTATTGGATAGCCCACATGAAACATAAAATACATGTGGATAATCGACAAAATGTGTTCCGGTGTCAGTTCCTTTCTACCAGTGGAACGCCCCCGCCAGGTACAGCGCTCAGCGCTTATAAGTATAGCTGCCCCTCGCTCTACATCCTTTCTCTCTCCCTACCACGTCTGCCTTCGCTTCTTCATTCCTTTGCCTTTCGGCTTCAATCATTGTCCTGTGCCGCGCACGGTCAATAGTCATTCATTTTGTCCTTTTTCGAAAGGCTCACATTCCTTATTTTCTAGTCCTCGAGACTATACGACCTTCATTCTGAGAACAGGCTTCTCTCAAAAAGCAACACCACAAAATCTTAAAAATGGTCTCTTTCAAGTACCTTTCCACTGCCCTCCTGGCTGCCAGCGCCGTTGCTGCCCCCCACGGGCACTCTCACCAGCGCCTCCACGCACAAAAGCGCACTGGTACCTCGTCTAAGCGCGGCGCCGCTTACAACGATGCCACCCTCGTGCAGCAGCTCTCCAACAGCGGTCTCGTCTCGTGGGCCTATGATTGGAACATGTACACAATGGGCGACCTCCCCAGCGAAGTCGAGTTCGTCCCCATGCTCTGGGGCACCAAAATGTTCACGGGCTGGTTCGCCGCCATTCAAACCTTGCTGAGCTCCGGCTCCGAATACATCCTCGGTTTCAACGAGCCTGACATGCCCTCGCAAGCCGCCATGACCTCCTCCGACGCCGCCAGTTACTACCGCCAGTACATCTCCCCTCTCTCCGGCCAGGCTAAGCTCGTCTCGCCCGCCGTGACCAACGGCGTCGGCGACGACGTCGGCCTCGACTGGGCGCGCAACTTCCTGGACTCCTGCACGGATTGCGGCGTCACGGCCCTGGCCGTCCACTGGTACGGCGACACCGCGGATGACTTCAAGACTTTCATCGGCAAAGCTACTGACCTCGCCGCTGAGTACAACCTCGCCGAGACCTGGGTTACGGAGTTTGCGCTCAACTCGGATTTCTCCAATACCGGGGGTACGGAGACTTCGGCCGACTTCCTTGGTGAGGTTCTGCCGTGGTTGGATGAGCAGACTGCTGTTTCGCGGTATGCGTACTATATGTGTGCGGATGGGTATCTGCTGAAAGGGAGCGATCTGAGTCTCAGTGGAGAGAAGTATACTTCCTGATTTTTTTCGCACCCTAGGGACTATATACCAATTTCTCTTTCTTTTCTTTTTTGGCCTGTTCTATATCCATTCGTGTATTTAGGCGCCGAGGTGCAACATTCGCTCTTCTCGCTTGCTTGATGAAAAAAATGAATTGAATGACTGAACAAATTATGTCTGTGCAGTGGGTCAACCACACAGCATTCCATTCTCCCCACAAAAGTAAACTTTCTGTCTTCTCCATCTGTTTCAGTCCCACGTGCCCCATAACCGAGACAGACCCTATTTGGAATCCTAGACGAGTTGAGTTGAATAAAGGACAAAGTCCATCGCGAGTCTAGACAACAAAACCCCAGTACAGTTGCATGGCGAAGCGAGAAATGTACCTGAAAACCAGCCACAGAACCATGGAAGCGATATATTGCACACACCCCAATAGGGAAACATTCCCTGTCAATCGAGCGAACTAACAGTCAGGGATTCAGAGCATTTCTTGTGGTGCCGTGGATGGGCTGGCGAAGTGTATCCGGATTGGTTTGCTTTGGAGGAAAGAGTGGTTTGGTGGGGTACATAGTAAATTAAAACTTTAGCCCTCGAGGGGAGGGGTGCAATGCAACGTCTTGTCCCGATTTTACTAATGATCTGCACAGGTGGGAGTCAAAAGTTGTTTTTTCGGTCGGAGGTGCTGTGTTCGTTTATCATTACCCTGATTATTATTGTGATATTTGATGAAGACATGCAGTACGGAGTAGAGGAGGGGTATCTATCTAGGGGGTAACGCCGAGGTGCTATGGCGGATTCGTCCCTTCAAGCTTTACCGGCGTGCTCTCTGGTTCCTCTGTCTCTGCCTCTGCCTCGCCCATTTCAATGTCTTGAGGGTCAATTTTCTGGTCGCCGTCTTGGTCTTGCGACCTCTCCGAGCCTTGGCCGGGTGTCCCCTGCTTGAGAGCGGCACTGGGCGTCTCAACTTCCGGTTCTGGCTCCTGTTCTGGCTCTGATTCAGATGCGCCGTCCTGTTTCTCCTCCCAAACTCTCACCGTCCCATCTAGACCACAACTAACCAGGTACCGTCCGTAGCTCGTCGTGCACGTATCCACGCCTAGGACAACCCCATCGTGGCCCTCGATCCTTTGTAGAACCTTCTTGCTCACGACGTCCCAGCACAACACGGCTCCATCCTCGCTTCCGCTAACTGCGAAGGCGTGGCCCGGACTCCGGGGTGTAACCTGTCCATATACACCGAATCCACCAACGAGACTGTATTTCCGATTCATGTGGCCTTGGTATGTCTTTAGACAGCGGCCCTCGACGTAATCCCACAGTCGCACGCAGTCGTCGAGGGTCCAGGCGAGTACGTATTTACCGTTCGGCGAGAATTTCACCGCGGTGACGGGCGGATTATCTTCGTGGACGAGAGTGCGGAGGCATTGGCCTGTTGCTGTGTCCCAGATGCGAATTAGGCCGTCGGTTGCGCACGAGGCGATTAACGTGCCGTCCCAGACGACGTCGATACCGCTGACGGGGTCGGAGTGTGCGGGGAGGGACTTCATTACGCGCGCGGACCGCACGTCCCAGAGGAAGACTGCTTCGTCGTAGGAGCCGCTGGCGAGTATGTTGCCTTTTGGGGAGAAGGCGATGGAGTAGACGTAGTTGTGGTGGCCGAGGAAGGGAGTTCGGTGTGCTTTTCCCTATATGATCGTAGATGGTTAGCAAGCCTTTCTTTCCCAATGGAAAGGGAAAGGAGATCATACTGTTAAGACGTTCCATAACCGTATCGTTTTATCGTCCGACCCTGAGGCAATTGTCGCCCCATCAGGGGCCCATGAGATTGTCGATACTCCCGCGAGATGTCCTTCGAATGTGTGTATTAATTTCCCCGTAGATGTATCCCAGACCTTGATTGCGCCGTCCGCCCCTACACCCGTTAGTACCATATCCCTTCAACATCAGAAGAAGAAACGTACCCCCACTAGCAATCATCCCCGCATCGGGCGAAAACCTTACAGCCGACACGCCCCTCAAATGCCCTCGGAGCAAAAACTTCTCTCGATAATCCACAGAATCCGGCTTCGGCGGCGGCGGTGGTGGAACAGGCGTAGGCGACCGATCCTCATATCCTTCTCCCATCCCGGTATCCATCCCATCCAAGTCCCCATTCATCTCTATCTTATCGTGGTCGTTATCATGATCGCGCTCCGCCCCCTCCTCGTCCTCTCTCTCCCCTTCACTCTCATCACCCGACCTTCCCCCTCCGCCCCGTGATCCCCGTGAACCCCTCGCCCACGGCGACGACCCACGCCTGCGATTCCGCTCACGCCAATAATCGTCTGCGTCCATGGCTAGTTCATCGGGGCTCTCGGAAGAGCTGAAGCTGCGCGAGCGCTGGTAGGGTCGCTTCGGCGGGTAGACGTTGAGACTAACGCGGCGGCGCTCCTGGTCGTGGTCGGAGCCTGCGGCCAGTTCGTCGGAGGAGGTTTCTGCGGGGGAGGAGATGGGCGGTGGGGAGGGGGTCAAACGTCGGCGTTTGGATGGGTGGTCCATTTCGTTCGCTTTGTTTCTACTTTTATTGAGGTGGGACCATGGTATTTTGCTTGGTGTTCTGGAAGAAACCAAAGGTGTAGTGTTGCTTTTTTTTATTGTTTGTTTGCGACGCTGGGGATGAGATGCGATGACAGAAATTCCGCGGCGCAATCTAGAACGGAAGGCGGTGAGGGCGAGCAAGCATCATAGAGAGCTTCATCATCAGTCTCGACCCTGATCATGAAACCTGCTCAATTCCCTTCGGCATACCCTATAATGAGGCCAAAATGTCCGAACAACCCCCGTCGACTATTCGCATCCTAACCCTCAACTGCTGGGGCCTAAAGTACATCGCCAAGCATCGCAACGAGCGCCTTAGCGAAATCGGTCGCCAGCTCTCGCTCTCCTCCCCGCCCCCCGACATAGTCGGCCTCCAGGAATGCTGGACGCAACAAGACTATGAGTCCATCCGCTCCCAAACAAGCCACATACTCCCATACGCGAAATTCTACTACGGCGGAATATGGGGCGCAGGACTCGCCATCCTCTCCCGCTGGCCCATCGAGCAGTCCTCCATGGTCGAGTACCCGCTCAACGGACGGCCAACTGCCTTCTTCCGCGGCGACTGGTTCGTCGGGAAGGGCGTCGCCTGTGCTAGGATCCGGTATGGGGCTGATGCGACACGCGATGTGGCTGAGGTATTCTGCACGCATCTGCATGCCCCGTACGAGCAGGAGCCGCATGACAGTTACCTTGCCCACCGGACAGCGCAGGCGTGGGAGATCTCGAAGCTTATGCGTGGCGCGGCAGAGCGGGGACATCTAGTTATCGGACTGGGAGACTTCAATATGCTTCCGTCCTCCTTTGCGCACCGGCTCATCCAAGCACATAGCCCCGTCGTGGACGCATGGCAGGTCATATACCCGGACTCATCGATCGGAGCGGCAAAGGACGGCGTTGAGAAGGCGCGCGGGAAACCGGTGCCCTCTGCGGAATTCAACCTAAATTACAACGGAGCAACTTGTGACGGGCCGTACAATACCTGGCGGTGGCCGAAGAAGGACCAGAAGCGGTTGGATAAGGGCGAGGACATCCTCGTTAATGCGGACGGACCGGATATCCGGGGCAAGCGGCTCGATTACATATTCGTTGGCGACGAGGGCGGATGGGCGGTCCAAGATGTCAAGATTGGCATGACACAGCGGCATCCGACGCTGAAGTGTTCGTTAAGTGACCACTTTTCCGTCGAGGCTGTTATCACGCGCGGCGCTTCTCCTACTGCCTCTTCAATCGAGGATGGGAGAGATCCTGAGAAGCAGCAGAAGAAGTCGACTGACCGACTCACTCTCTCCCCGGAGACATACGACCACATCATCGATATGATCCACGCCTATGTGCGCCGCGAACGGTCACAGCGGCGATGGCGCTTGACCCATTTTGTTGCCTCGGTGCTGGTCACTGTAGGCTGCTTGGTGGGCGTGTGGTGGAACGGGAACCGTCCGTATATACCCTTTATTCTGACCCTTGTGAGCACGTTGAGTTTTGCCGCGGGGATATTGGATGGGCTGATCGGGGGGTTGTTTGTGTCGAGTGAGTTGAGGGCGCTCAAGGAGTTTGAATGGGAGATTCGAAATACGAAGCGGCTTGCTGAGAGGAGGAAATAACCTACCCTATGCTGTAATACTTATTGAACTGTAATTTTATCGTCGATCGTGACATGCTTAATGTATATACTCTTGCTCTTACTTTTGACTACAGCTTTAATGGCTTGAGAATTCATGATTTCATATTTCATTGCTATAGCCTGTACAGCTAGCTAACCCATCGTCCCGGCAGTGAAAGAGCGAAAGGGACAGGCAGCGAGAGGATCGAGGCCGGTGCTTGCCTGATCCAATCTACTCAGCGCACTCGCGCTTGCGCTCCTCAAAGACCCTAAGAGCCTCCTCGGCAGCCTTGACACCGCTAAGAACCATGGCACCAAAGGTAGGACCCATACGGTTGAAGCCGTCAATCTCAGAGAGCTCCATACCGCCAATGATCAGACCCTTGGCGACTTCACGGGTGTTCTTGACGATGGCATCCTCAGCCGAGTTCATGTCGAGACCGCGCATACCGCCGAGCTTGTCGATGGTGGTCATAGAGACGAGGCGCTTGGCACAGAAGGCGCCGAAGGGGCCGTCGTGGCCAGTGGTGCTGATGATGACAGGGGCGTTGATGGTGTTGGGGTCCATGCATGAGTGGTCGTCGTGGTGGAGGGTGACGAGGGTCCAGTTGGTGACGACACCGGCGATCTGGACGTCCTGGGCGCTGCCGCTGGCACCGGGGCGGGTGACGAGGTCCTCGACGCAGGTGGCGTTGAAGAGCTTGACGTTGGGGAAGGCGAGGACCTTGGAGAGGAGGGTGGATGTGAAGAGGGAGGCGTGCTTGACGACAACGTAGTTGGGCATGTCGGGGTCCTCTTCATAGGGCACGCCGAGCTCGTTGAGGAACAGCTCTGCAGGGCGACGCATGACCATTGCGGAGAAGAGCTGGCCACCCAGCCAGGCACCACCACCTATATTCATTAATATTCGAGCTACGATAGGAGTTTGGGTCAATACGAACCGGGAGAAACGGAGGCTTCGATGATGGCAATCTTCAAGTCCGGACGAGCCTTTGCGAGGACATACGCAGTGCTCAGACCGCAGGAACCAGCACCGACAATGACCACATCGCTTTCCGCGTACCGGTCAAGGTCCTGGAAGTAGCGGCGGGTCATGGCACGGGAGACCTGGCTCTCGCGGATAGGAGCAAACTTGAACTGGTCCCATTTGCCGCCAAAGGTATCGAGCAACTTGGTCTGCGAAGCACCTTCAACAGTGGTGGTCTCAGGAACGACGACCTTGCCCTTGATGCCAGTAGGGGCGACGGCAGGCTCGAAGATGGCAGCTGGGGGAGACATGTTGATTCAAGTGATTATTTGACTGCAAACTGTTAGCCATTCCACCATCTAGGGACAAGGAAAGGCATGATCCTTTCGCTGGTATTATCCAGATCAAGTTTTGACCGTATATTCTCAGAACGAACCCAGAGCCTTTGGCAGCTCTCTTTCTCAAGTTGATTGTGAACAACCAGGTCAAGAAAGAGAAATCTGCTAAGGATAGGAACGAACACCGGCCCACGCCCAGACTTTACCTGAGATACCTTGATCCATGATGAACAGCCCAGCCAAAGGCATTCCATGACTTCCATTCGGACGACCCCCAAGGGTCAGCGAGGTTTGAGTTTACATTGTACGGTGGAGAGATTCCCTGTACAATTGTTAGCTAACTCCACAATAGTCGAACTCTGCGAAGAGAGGAGGACTTGTTTAGATGGATTTGTGATGACAATATATGAGTCGTGGATGGAGGAGGAGGAAGAAGAAGAAAGGTTGGCGGGGTAGGATGGAGGGGCAGTTTAAATAGTGCCATTCACCTGACATCATGACGACGGGCCACAAACTACCTCCGATTCCCTCCGGAACCTTTCACCGGTGAGTAAAACTGTGAAGTCACAGTGCCCTTGAAGCAAGATATGGTCTGCTACTATAGCTCTAGCTCATTACCACCTCCAATCGGACTCCATACGCCCGGATCCAGCTCTTTTTCTTCCCCGCTTTCTCAATCTTTTCCGCCCAGTCTTGCAGCCACTCGCCTGTGGTGCCCGATGTCGCCGTTATATCGCTGTTCCATTGGATCTTGAGACGCAATAAGTCGCGTCTTTCCTTCTTCTTCATGATTAGATCCCATTCTGTGGCCAATTGGACCCTCCAATGCTCCTTTGGCACGCAGCCCGCAGGATACACCTCTCCAATCAATGCTGCTACGCGGCCAAGATATTGACACCACCATGCCTCCTGCGCAGAGATACAGCGTCTCAGCTGGTGCATGTAGGACTCTTCAGCCGGCGCCATGTCCCCTGTCCAACGTTCAGTGAGTACAAGTGCCATCATCGCACGCTCAGTGTGGGATAGGCAGTTGGTAGACGCCAAGAGACCAGTCGTTGAACTATGCAGGGCGGTTGCAGTACGAGACTCTCTTGGGACTCGAGAGTGAGCAAAAAGAATATTTGCGAGCGAAGTCACAAAGTGCGGAGACAATGAGGACGGTGGGTGGGATGCCTCAATCGGAGCTGCGTGCTCCGGCAGCGCGGAAAGAAGAAGATGCTTGATTTCATCTGCGGAGGGAGGAGCATACTGTAACGTCGCAGCAAGCAGAGGATCTTGAGCACGAACTTCTTGTGGAAGTTTGTCGAATAGGAAGCCCTCACGGACCCCTCCTTGGCAGAACTGAATGTGCGTAATCGTTGGCAAAGCATCCATAAGCACATGTATAAGCACAGCGACTGCTGGAATCTGAGAGGCACGGCGCTTTGATACGCCGAAAATTTTCTCAGAATCAGAGACCTCGTGCAACACAGCTGCTGTGTTGTGGAAATCATCTCTCTTCGCTCGAAAGCCATTGATGATAGAAATCGGATACGGGCTGACCTCGGCCTGTTTCATGAGAACATAGCCCCAACCCCGAAAGCCTCCACCACAAAGATATAAGTCAAGCCTGCCTTCAGCTTTACTGCTCTCGAGAAGAGATTCTGGGATCTCGAGTTTCCGGTAAGCGTCCTGGAAGTTCCTCTTCATCTCGTCCTTCAGCTCGCTCTCTGCCTTTCCACCGGCTCGCCTTGCCTGCTCCAACCGCGCGCTCAATGCTGCAGCTCCATAAGGAAAACTGAACGAACCCTTGGGGCAAGTTGTAACGACGCCATCCTTAGCAATCACCCACGTAAGCTGTGTACTTCCTCCGCCAAGGTCCATCGCTAGCCCAGCAACAGCCCGAGAGCTGCTCGCGATTCCCAGGGCACCAATCCTACCCTCGTCCTCTTTAGATAAAAGCCGCACTACCCATCCCGTTCGCTCTGTGATGCGCGCTCGAAACTCCTCAGAGTTGGGTGCCGTGCGAGTGGCTTCCGTAGCCAGCACATAGACATTCTCCCTGGGGACCTGAAAGTCGTCGCAGACACCTTGAAATCGGACTAGACGATCGACGACCTGCTCCACGATTCGAGCAGGAATTGGGCCTCTTTCTCTCTTACCGTGGCTGTCGAATTCTGAATTGGCAAACTGTGCGTCATACAGAGAGATGCCTGCGCGGTCCTGGTAGAGAGTTGGCATTATCCTGCCGGTCGGAGGCGATATATCGGTGATGGAGAATCGGATTCCATTGCTGCGGTATTTATCAGCGTATTGATATGATATAGTAACTTGAAAATCCAGAAGGTAGAGTGGAGGTACCTGCCCATGTCAACGATCCCATAAAGATGGGAGCTGTCTCCGACGGGCACAGCCATTGTTCTGTTGTTGTTTCTGTGATTGGCAGTAGAGCGCAAACAGTTTAACCTAGAAACTTTTTACCCTAGTACCCTAGGTAGACTTGGCGAGTTGGGCCGAAAAGGGAGTGACCGAGGTGAAGCAGCACAAGTTCAAGCTATGATGCAAGGTGGGATGATTGTACAAATGAAGAAGGCTTGTCACCACTGCTGGTCAAGACTGCGGCGGCGACCATGCATTTCACTAACCAAAAACGTCTGGTTCAGAAGTAGAAATGCATGGTGGATGATGGGTACAATTATCGGCAGTACCGAGAACTGAGTCTAGATCAAGTTCGTCAGGCATGTCCATGTGGTAGCACTGTTATGACAACAGGGCACTAAACCGGTCTGGGCCTGATTTCTACAATGGACGCCTAATGGACGCCTGCATGACAGGTTATCGGTTTCTTCGAGTCCGCTCGGCTCTTCCTTCCCTCATATTTCAACTGCTTCTTCATAGTCTCTCCGGGTACGGCTCCGGGCTTGCTTCTGTTGCTTCTATCCCTCACTTTGCCCGGCTCAACTCTACCTAACGCATCTCTACCCACTTCAGACCAACAATGTACGAGTATTGCCATTTTATCTCCTCCCAGAATGGCGGATCAGCAGAATGCACGAGCATGGTAAGGCTCCGTTGCCGCTTTTTTGAGGGGATCTACTCTTTTACGGAGTAGTTCTATGAGTCTATAGAGCACTGCCGGACACTCTATACTCCGCGGATTATCCTTGGGTAAAATATTGGCCATGAGTCCCCGAAGTCAGCAACGGCTAATTGTTCAGCTCCGAAGTCGATCTGCTATAATAAGGCGCCAGGCATCTGGAGAAAATGCCCACCTTTGCGCTCGGTGAAAATCAACCCTCTAGGCAGTCGCATAGGCTACCGCGAGCACGATGGCATCCAATTTCATCTCTCTTTCTGCTCTAGCACTTCCATTCTTTGCCAGTCAAGTCCTCTCTCAGTCTCAGCAGATCATCATACCTCCTAAACCTTATCTGGGGGATGCCGACACGCAATGGATCTCCAGTTCCAGTGGCTTCGATGCACCCAAAAACCGACACATCAACTGGACCACTTACGACTGGTGGTACTTTGATTTCGTCCAGGAGCCCAGTGAAAGCGGCAGCCAGGCCTCGATTGCTATTACCTTTTATACCACCGGCACCGATGGGTTTGATGCTTTGCAGGAAGCTCTTCCCTTATATCCCAGCACCAACTTGATCACAGCAGACGTGACTTGGCCGAACGGCACATTGGATACGTTCCTGTTCATTGCCGGAGAGGCTACATTTACTGTGGATGGAGACGGTGTTAGCACCAACTACTCTGGGACCAATTCTTGGTTCGAAGGTGCTCCTGACCTATCGCAATACACGGTAGAGCTCAATTCTCCAGAGAAGGGCATTGTTGGCTCTCTCGTCATCAAGTCGGTAAGAAGACTCATGGTCACGTCAACCCCTTCAATAGCTTACTCAATTGGTATATAGGATGCACCCGCTCATTACCCTTGCGGCCCGAATGAAGAAGGCCAGGATTTACAACTGGTCCCTGGCGGTGGGTGGCTGAATGCCATTCCAGATGGTGACGGGGAAGCCAGTTTCCAGATCCGCGGCCATGAGTTCAATTTCCAGGGCAGGGGCTACCACGACCATGTAAGCAGTCCACTTTTCGTCTTGTTTCTTTTTCAAGGCTGACAACTCACTTCTTACTAGAACTACGGTAGAACCTTCTCAGAGGCCTTCATTGCCTCATACTGGGGCCACGGCCGCTTAGGCGATTACGTCGTCGTTTGGGTTGACGCTCTCGCTGCCGATGGCTCCAACCACGTCTCAGCGTACGTCTCAAAGGACGGCGAGATCCTCACGGCACAGTGTGGAGGTATCAAAGTACGACCTTATGGGGACAACTCCACCTACCCACCCACGACGACAAGCGGTTCCCCAACCGGGTTCGAGATACAAATCACAATTCCCGACGGCGAGCTTGAATTGAAGGCAGAGTACACTTACGTAACTGCTGAGCACCGCGTCTATCACCGTTACACTGGCTCCTTTACGGGGACGTTGAATGGTAAAGCTCTTCCTGATGGAGTGGCGCTGTGGGAACAGTTTACGCTTCAGGAGGAATGAGAGATTGTCGGGTTTGGCGTTTGACGAAGATGTTTGTAGGAAGGTGGCGTCTTGGGATTCGTCTTTGTGGATTATCTAGAAGCATCGAGAAATATACGAGGCAAAAAAATTGGTGCTGTCGGATGTTTTGTAGATCTATAGCTCTAGTAATCGAGTCTTCTAGACATTAACTATATCACAGAGTGTTCTGTTGCCGTATACACTTCAAGGTTTAAGAGACAGCTTCCTCGCTCTCTCAGACGACGCTACTGCTATACTTCCTACGGCATTACCAACAAATCTTAAGAGACCTCGTGAAGGTATTCTCCATCACAAAAGGTATATCATACTTGCATCAGTGTCATTCCAAAACTCATTATATGTACCGCCACATGATACTCTGAACCACATACCCTCCACCCCCATGTATCCAACCACCTAGCCCTACCTGGAGCATCCTACAAAACATACCGAAAACTCGCACCATAATTCTCCTCCCCAACAGTATTCCCCTTCCCATCCGCTCTCACAACAGCCTCATCAACAGGCCCATACTGCTTGTCGAGACGCTTATTCTCCCATACAAGTATAAACCGGAGCACCAGCGCAAGAACGGCATTGAAGAGCATAAACGCCGCGCAAATCGATTGGCCTCGAATATAGCGCGGCCCGTCGCTGTCGGGAAACACGTTTGTTCCGAGGAAGGGGCCGCATTGCCCGATTATGTTTAGGATCACGATACCCATTCCGCGGCGGCTGTCGGAGCCTTGGTTGTCTAGCTCTTTGTTAGCTATATTTTGTGGGCTGGGCGGTTGTAAGGTAGATATGGAAGACGTACTGAGAACCCAGGGGAGGATATTGGCAATGCAGGGGAAGACACCCGCTGCAGCGAGGAACACCCCAAAGTAACGGACGCTGACGGACGTACAGGCGGCGAGGAGGACGTAGCCTACTGTACCAATGATGGATAAGACAACAATCATTAAGCCTCGCTGTTGAAGACGATCGGCGAGCCAAGTAGTTGCAATGCTGATGATAAAGGAGACGAAGAATGGCGGAGCTGTGAGACCCTGGGCGTGGATTGATTCGAAGCCCATGTCTTCGAGAATTGTGGGGAGGAAGACTGGTAGTGAGGAGAAGCTCACATTGCAGCTGAAGTACATGAGCTGGTGGGAGGTTTGTTAGTTAATTTAATTCAATCCAAGGTGAAGGAGGTATTTCTCATACCGCTGTGATCCAGGGCTTCACCTCCAGCAAGGTCTGCCCTAGCTCTTTCCAGTTCACTCCGCCTACCCGCTCGCTTTCGCCGCTGCGGCGGAGCGACCGCGCTCGTGCAACGTCTTTCTCCTCTTCGGTCAAGAACCTAGCAGAGGAGGGGTGATCTGGCAAGAAATACCAGGCTAGAACGGCCGCCAAGCAGGATGGGGCTCCCTCAACCAGAAACAGGAGTCTCCAGTTGGCCAGCTTCGAATGGCCAGATGTGATTCCGTACGCCAGAGCTCCAGCAAACGTGTTAGCCAGAGGCGCTGCGGAAACAAACAATCCGCAGCGGAGGCCAAGTTCCCGTCGACTATAGAAGAAAGACAGTAGATACGGAGACCCCGGGCCAAAGGCCGCCTCTGCGGCACCCAGGAGAAAACGCAAGGCCATTAGCCCGGCCCAGTTTTGCACAGCGGCCTGGCAAGTCGCTACAATGCCCCTAGCAGAAAGTTAGAGGCGGACTGTGGTTCTGGAGTAGGGAGCCTTACCAGGTCATGGCTGAGATAGCGGCCCATCTATGTGGTGGCATAAGTTTCCACATGAGTGCCAGAGGCTCAAATAGTGTATACGAGATGTAGAAAATAGTCAACAACCAAGAATAGTGACTTCCTGAGATGTTCAGGTCTTCTTCCATGCCCGCGATCCTCGCATTTCTATAGACAATCAGTGATGCCGCGTACGTTGGAGGAAAGACGAGGATTTGACTAACCCTATGTTACTTCGATCCAAGAGAGCAAGCAGATCTATTAGAGGGCGTGTTAGTATATTGCGATAAATGTACAATGGTAGCATGGTGCCTTACACAAGAAGCCCAAAAGTGTCGGAACCCTACAATCCAATTTGCGGACCACCCGAGCCTCCAGCATAGGGTCGATTGAGATCCGCGGGGAAGGCATCTGGGGCAGTGCAGTATGCGATTCATTGGTATATGGTTCCGATTGTTTCTCTGGGTCTGCGCTGTGAATACTTTGAATAGCATCGTCAGACGTTAAGGGATTTTGCGTCTCTTTTCTATTTTCAGGCGCATTGTCGCCGCTCAAAGCATGCTTCTTCCCGAAAACCCCCATGGTGTCGACGGTTAGCTGCGAGAAAATCGGAAAAATAGACAGCAGATGGCGGGAAGAAGAAGCTGCCAGCGAGCGACCGGCTCCGACTTATAAGTGCGCTCGCATCGGAGGATTATCCTTCACAAAGGTCGACATTGCGTCGATCGTAGGATCTGCACTGTAAGCCCCCTCATCGCCGGTCTCCCGATAGCAAAGAGAGCTCAAGCTCCATTCAAGGGTGACGATATAATTGCAGAGGCGGGGAGGGCAGGAGGACAGAGGTTTGCCATGGACGCTGGTGGTCCACTGCTTTGGTGCGAGTTTGCATTGGAGCCTCTCCGTGTGAGCAATAATCGGTCGAACAGCACTGAGGCCAGCATCTCTGGAGCGATGATCTTCGGCGGACGCCTTGGTATTCCCCGGCAATTGGGCAGCCTGCTGGTGGGGTCGAAGCTTGGAGAAAGCATAACCAGTGCCGCCGCATCGTCTGCTCGAAACTCAGTCCCGAAGGGATGAGAGGTTGGAGATGCACGGGATACTCGGGTTCTGTAACCATCCTTACCTCATGTTAGGACTGTCTCAGTGCGATACAGCGAGGAGTGAAACGGGAGTCCATGAAATGGCTGGGGATGGCCGGGACTTTCTGCCAGGGCCACCACAGCATTGCCGCGGTGACAGCACACCGCAGAATACTCCGTAATACAACATTGCGATGCTATCTAGAGTAACTTTGATAACGGAAGCAACAATTGTGTACCTGCATCGGATGTACAACTCCCAACTTCGAGGTCTTGGTGGACGGAGTAGAGTGTTTACAGCCTGATTTACAAGGCATGAATTGCATATGTGGCGCACCATCAGCCACTGTGGCTTGCTAAGGGAACCTCAAATTTCCGCGTCGCGTTTGCGGTCGCTCGGCCACTCTTCCACAGCTATCACTGCCTCTGCTCAGCGACCAGCGGGTGTATCCACCCTCCTTCTTCAAAAGTTATCTCATCCCGCGTGTACAATCTTCGGGATATATTCGCGATCATTTTTCCATTGTCAATCACCAGCCATTGCGCCCTTCGGTCACCATGGATGACCCAGCGAGTCGTGTCCCTGGGCAGTTGGTATTGTCCCCTTTGTGCTTCCATATGCTATTGCTTGAGCTGTCTACTAATCAGTCAATTGCGATATTCTGCAGCTGCCTCATATGCATCTCGTCTCGCGCAATCGCTACCCTTTGATGCACATGCTGCCCACTGAGACCGTTGTCGAATACCTCCTCGCTGCGCCCAAAATAGTCCGCGAGGCGCCGATGCACTGGACTTTCCTAGATGGTCCTCAAGACGGCAGCGTAATGCTGACATGGCAGCCTCTCAACCACCTGGGTACCAACTTTGCGAGCGACGGCTACGTCTGGGCAGATGTCGAGCAGGCTTTCACATTCGAGAGCCGGGGTTACGTATGTATTCCTGTCTCGTCTGATGATGCAAGTCCGAATCTCTACTAAAGTTGGCACGCAGCTTGTTGAGATGTGGCTGCACCGTAGCGGTTATCATCCTCCAAACGAGAACGTTGCTATCCATTGCCGCAGACGATACCGGTTACTGCCATCAAAGGTCCCGAACCCCAACCTGCCTCCGCCCGACCCTTCACTATGGATTATCCACTACTCCAGATCGCCACCAAACGACCACCTTCCGGCGAACCGAATTCCTCTCCTACCTCAAGTTCAAGGCATGTTGGCCCAGCGCCGGTTCCTGCAGAGCCAGGGTATCTTGGCGCGCAAAGACTTCATGCTGCATGACCGCAACAACTGGCCCGCAATCGGGCTGCCCCCCCAGATGGCTGTCCAGCAGGGCTACCAACAACCCCAGGGCGCGTATCCGAATGCAATGGCTGGGCGGCAGCCATTCTACCCCCAAGCCGTCCCAGGTGCGCAGCCTCCCGCTGGAGCTGTTCAACCAAAAGCCCCGCGCGGGCATCGCGCTACATCGACGGCGGTCAATGCGGCGACAACCGATTTCGCACTTGAGGATGAAGACGTATCTGCGGGTGATCTCATGGACCTTTTGACACCCCGGGAAGTAAGCAAAATGAGATACCAACAACACCATGAATGGATGGAAGAGGTTCTAGCGTCGCCTTTCGCTATCAGTCAAATCACCCCAGTCTCCTTGGGGCTTGGCAGAAAAGGCGAACTCGAGACCTTGACGGCTGGATTCTTCGATGCACCTGTTGGGCCCGCCAGCAGCGAGTCGGCAGATGCCAAAGAGGCTAAGCAGACGACTAAACTGGAACCGGAAAAGGCCGAAGAGTTCGCCGATCGCGTGGCTAAGAAGGTTGCGGATATGACAGCGGAAATCGAGAAGCTGAAGAAACAGCACGCAAAGCGGATGGAGAAGTTCAACCGTACCTCGTTGCTCAAGGACGCCGAGGTTCGACTACGAGATGCTGCAGCAGATCCTGCCGACACTGGGTCCGAACTTTGGCGGCTGGAAGGTCGCATTGAAATCCCCACAGACGAGGACAATGTGCCTCTTGCCCCAATTGAACACAGAGCTAAATTCAAGGTTGATGATATCGTCAAGGAGGTAGAGGGCTCATGGAAGAAGCAAATCGTACCGGAACCCAAAGTCTCGTGTATCGAGAAGGGTGGCCTACTGGAGAAGATTGAGCCAGAGCAGAAACCAGCAGAGCTAGATATCGATATGGACAATGCGGATAGTAACCTGCTCGACCAATTCACAACCCAAGGGCCAGCAGAACAAACACTCGCGCCTCCTGCGCCTGTTTCACAGCCAACCGTCACACATCAAGACCAGTCTTTGGCCGGTCTGGATATTGACATGGACTTGGGCAACATCCCACACGCAGGCACCGCATCAGGCGAGACAGGCGATTGGGTCATGGTCAGCGACAAAAAGGACGACACCCCCGGTAGCGGCCTCCAAGGTCTGACTCCTGGGAACACGGGCGCAGACTCTGGCCTCGATGGGGCCAACTTTGATTTTACCAACATGGATAGCGCAGGCGATGCGCTGGCCGCGTACACCGAACAAAACGATGGACTCGATCTGCCTGATCTGGAAAACTCGGCGTTTGGAGATGCGTTCCACGCGTCAGATAATGAAAACACCCACCACCATGACGATGACATGTCTTGATCTAGGTGTGATGCGGTAAGAGGGTAAAGGGGTAAAGGATTTCCTTCTCGGTTGTGGTTATACCGTTGTATAATGGTGTTGGATTTGGCCATTCTTCGGCGCTGGTTTTGTCTCTTCAAGCTTCATTCTTCATATCAAGCCGCCCTCTATAAGATCAGGAACAGGCTCTGTAAAATTGATCTTATCTATCTTACTTTTAGTCCACCCTTATCTAGCCCTTCTACGGGGCGCAGACTGGTCAATAATGAAAGGGTCATATGGGCTCATGTGATGGCTTCCCGATTCACCCTTGATGGTAAGTCATATCTCGCGATCCAACCGAAAACCCGTGCCCACCGAAATACATCCATGGATGCTTCAGCTGGAACCTGTTACAGACCACGCATGCATTCTCATCATGGGTAATCCTACAAATGACTCTGGCGTGGTCAGAAAGCTGTCGATTCCTTTTGACCTCCCTGGATGACCACCGCGGAAATCACCAGGCGAGATCACCTGCGCCCATTTTTGGCTTGGTCAAATGATTCCTCCTGGAGCGATGGATAGCTATATCCCAGCACCAGGGCCTATATGAATTGCAGTTCGAACAATCGGGCTCTTCTTCTCTTCCCGAGCTATCTCGTTTTTGACCGGATTCTAAACGTCCAATCTATACTCAGCGTAAACCATCCAGACTCATAATCTTATCATCCAGAAACCAAGAAAATGTGTTTCAACGACCCCTCCAGCAATGACGACGACGATCCAGGTCACTCCGTCCGCGCTGTGGAATATAGATCCCGATCGGGATCTCGCAGAATCTCCTTCCCACCTCGCTTCCGTCGACGATGCCCATCGCCACCCCTATGTCCTCCCCCTCCTCCTCGTCCAAAGAGGACGACCACGACCACAATCATCTACTCACCCCGTTCCTTTAGCACATTTCCGCATTCGCACTCTCACTCGCAATGCAGTCCACCGCCTTCTCCGCGGGAGTCATACACGACTATCACGAGGAGACATGTTCGAACCAGGCAGGAGACGATTTATCCCGCTGGCTTGCATACAGACTGTCTTCCTGCGTCAAGATATGTGGAGTATGTGGAGCCTTGCTCTGACCGACGACGGTTGTTGGGAAGAGCCTGGGTGGAGGGTGAAGTCGACTATATTCCCATTCGATAGTTGGTGTTCCGATGGATCTCGGAACTTCGATCAGGTTGATGTGGGGGATCTGCGGGCGAGATCTATATCGTTCCCGAAGCGGACGTGTACCATTGTCGTCCAATGCAGCCGACACACTTCCGAGCGATAACTAGTCAACCTTATTGCTCGACTCGACCCAAGGGACGAGTTTCATCAATACCATGAATACCTTCCTTCGTCATGTGCGGCGATTCTAATCATGACCTCAGGATTCCTGTTGCCCCCCTTGACGTCACGCGCCATGTCGCGAACTCGGGATAAATGGGGGGTCAAGGAGCCGCAGATGTTCATGCATTTTGTCCAGACAGTGAAGTTTATCCTTCATTAGTACAAATTGTTTGCATATACTCAATTCGACTTGACAACTCAAGCGCAAGTTACTAGTACCAGCGCCATTATCAATCAAGGAAGGTGCATCCCTGCTACAAGTATCAACGCCTGTACATAGTTGCCCCAAGAAAATCCACAACCACCAACAATCACATCAATCATTACTACATCGTCTAAGACACGACAGCCGCAACCATGTATGTCATCCATTCTTCGAGGAAAGCCTTTCACAAATGGCATGTGGCTGACTTGAACAACAGGAACCGAACTCTATCCGGCAGAAGACGCAGCTCCACGAACACGGGCCGACACCGGTTCAGCATTTCAACCTTCCGCGGCCTCCAGCAGCCGCTGCTGAGCAAGAAAATGAACCGGGTCATCAAGTCCGAGAACGCGGCGATTGCGGCTCATGAGTCCGCCGCTAGGCAGCGACTGGCAATCGCGGCTCAGCTGTCCGAGTGGGGGGAGACGACCCAGGATGAGGCGATTTCGGACATCTCGGATAAGCTTGGCGTGCTGATGGCGGAGATGGGAGAGCAGGAAGATCTCTATGCGTTGAATCTGGAGGAGTATCGCAGCATTCTGAAGCATATTCGGGATACGGAGAGCTCTGTACAGCCTACGCGCGATCAGCGGACGAAGATCGCGGAGGATATTCAGAAGCTGAAGCTGAAGGAACCGAATAGTCATCGGATCGAGACCTTGGAGCAGGAGCTTGTTAGGGCTGAGGCGCAGAATCTCGTTGCTGAGGCCCAGTTGACCAATGTGGTACGTGAATTTTGTTGACACAGTGCTCCGTTTCTCTCACTAATAGTACGTCTACAGACCAGACAGAGGTTCAAGGAGGCATTGCATGTTAATCTGGCCGCTGTGATTGAGCGGGGAGAAAAACAAGCCCTGCTTGCCCGCCATGCTCGTCGCTTACTCAATTGTCTTGATGACACCCCGGTGATCCCCGGAGACGAGCCCAAGGAGTATGCACACGGCGATGAAGCTAAGCAGATTATTGAAGATGCCGAACGGGAGCTTCACTCCTGGGAGAGTAACATCGAGCCTGTGGAAACCGGCGCAGGTGCTGCACCCGCCGGCACTTCCAACCCATCGTCTGCTCGTGAAGTTCGCGAAGAAGCAGGAACCGAGTCTCAGGCCACGGAGTCTGTGGCAGATGAGCCTGAAGATACTCAGGCGGAGACCGTCTCTACATCTGATGAAGGTGCTCACATAGCGGTGGCAGATATGGCGTCTCCACATGCAAGAGTTCATAGCATGTCAGCTCCAATGATGGATGCTGACGCTCTGGAGGAGCAGTCACCATCTGCGACTACTCCAAAAGTTACCGGCATGGGTGTTACTGGCGGAGAGGCCCAGGCGAGTCGTTCAGACAACGTGAACGGTCCAAGTGAGACTCAGGAAAATTCGGCTCCCCGTACTACTCAAGCTTCCAGCGGAAATGAGACGAACTTCCCAATTCGCACCAAGAAAACTGAGCCATATCAGCAAGGAGGGGCGTTGTACGAACAAGTACAGCGGGTTGCTGTTCCAATCTGAGGAGATATGGCGTAGTATCGATCAATGCGCTTGTTTGAAGTTTGTCCTGTATTTATCGTTTTCGCTGTGTATAGTCGCTCCAAATCAGTACAGTACAATTGTGATCTCAGTAAGATCAGGTCAGGACTGTAGGTAGAATAGATTGCCTGATGATTGAGGCACCAACACGTGACGCAGGCTACAGGCGTGACGCGGAGGCCGCTTGGGAAGCTCCAGCGTCAGAGCTCAGCTTCGGAGCTTCACCACACCTTTGTCCACATCTCCTCGCTTTCCATCCGCGCCTTCTCGTTCAGCTTCTGTACATTACTCCTCTCGACAGAATACTTCATTTCGCAGCCAATCGTACACTATGGATCAATTAGTCCGCCAATACACCCGGTCGCCGCACCAGAACGAGTTCTACTCGGAGCAAGAACAGCATGACCTGACAGAGGCCCTTCCTCCACTTTCACTGAAATTCAGTCTTCCTCCAGTTGCAAACGTGAGCTACTCTTTATTATCGTATTTGAAACCCCGGCCTCTGTTTCTCGGCCTAGCAGAGCTGCCTTGGGCCAGCACCAGCCCCAGTACCCGTTCGACCTTTTGAGACATTCATCCCAGCTATCAATGATTATGGACTAACCACGGCGATACATAGCACTCCGCCTTCCTCCGTGCGATGACCGATGACCACTCGAATCCCAGCTGCCCCATCAAACTTGCACACGGAACGACAACGCTCGCCTTCCGATTCCAGGGTGGTATTGTACGTCGTTCCATCCCGTCGAACGGATTCCATCTACCTTACATCGCAGTATACTGATAACATGTTGAAATAGATTGTCTGCACAGATTCCCGAGCGACAGCCGGAAACTGGATTGCCAGTCAGACAGTGAAGAAGGTCATTCCTGTTTCCCGGTTGAGCCGTGGAGAGGATAAGCCCGGGCGTGACCCTGTGCCCGGTCTTCTGGGAACTATGGCCGGTGGTGCGGCGGTGCGTGATCTGCTTTTGTGGTTTTGATAAATCGGGAGTTTTGAGGGCTGACAGGGGCATAGGATTGTCAATACTGGCTGAGATATCTGAGCCAACAGTGCACACTGCACGGTATGTTGGAGCTATGATATGCTGGGAAAGCTGCGTGAGGCTAACGGAAAATAGAAATCCGTCACAAGCGGCGTATCACGGTTGCTGCCGCCTCGAAGATTCTAGCTAACCTTACATACGCCTACAAGGGTTATGGACTGAGCATGGGAACAATGTTGGCAGGTGTACGTTTGCCGGTCATCGACATCTTAATCCAGAAGCGAAGCTAATCTTTCGAATAGGTGACAGCACAGGAAGGTCCCGCGCTCTACTATATCGACTCCGACGGCACTCGCCTCCCCGGAAACCTATTCTGTGTCGGATCTGGTCAGACTTTCGCCTACGGTGTGCTTGACGCCAACTACGACTACGATATGTCTGTGGAAGATGCCCTCGAGCTCGGCCGAAGGAGTATTCTCGCCGCCATGCACCGTGACGCCTACTCCGGTGGTTTCATCAACCTGTACCACGTCACGGAAGCCGGCTGGATCCACCACGGCTTCGATGACATGAACCCTATATTCTGGAAGACGAAGTTGGAGAAGGGCGAGTTCTCGAATGTTACCTCGGCGCTGTAGAGGCTCTTTATCTCGGTAAATAGGGACATGATATGACCGTTCAGTATTTCTGTTTCCACATGTCCGATGGATTGATTCAAAGACTTATTCTACGGCCAAAGTGACATTGGATGTTATTAGGCTTTATGCCTGAATCACAGAAGTAATGAAGAAGAAGAACTAATGCTATTACCAACACATAACAAAACAGTCCCAGATGAAACTAAGTACAGTAGTACACAAGATATCTCCAAACGAAAAGTCATCAGCAATAAAAAGGCGCTCCGTGTCTATAAACATGCTTTTACAGCGCGCGCACTGCTTTTGTTCAGAATGAGTATACAGCAACTTTCAACCTCTCAGCTTCAATGCATCACATGACATGGAGTCAAAAGAAGAAAAGGGCTAATTATCAACCCGGAACTTCATCCGTATTCCCATCGCCGCAAGCTCCACATCCAAGTACCTCAGCACACCGGGCACAACAACAACCGTAACATCATCACCACCAACAAACCTCTTGCCCTCACCATCCTCCCAAACCACCGCACGCGAGTCCTCAAAAACCGCCTCCCTCGCGCACCGCCGACACCTCACGATCCCCGGCGCGCCCGATGGCCCACCACCAAGATGATCCGCATGCGCGCTCGAATTAGCCTTGGCAGCAATCCTCGCTTTCCCAGAGCCCGTCGACGAGACTGCAACCTGCGTCGAGAGGAAAGACCCACACCCACGACAGATCCATGCGCGCTGGGAATCCGAACAGTTCATCAACCGATCCTGCAGCAGGTACGCGGCGCCGTGCGCAATCAACGAGTCGCGCTCCATCTCTCCGACACGGATACCACCGCCCTTGGCCCTTCCCTTGACGGGTTGGCCCGTGAGGTTGTTGACGGGACCCGTCGTACGGACTTGGAACTTGTCGTTGACCATGTGACGCAGACGCTGGTAGTGCACCACGCCGATGAAGATGTCTGCGGCGAACTCCTTGCCTGTTATGCCGGAGTACAGCGGTTCGTTGCCGAAGTAGTTGTAGCCGGCGGCCCGGAGTTGCTCGCCGAAGTAGTCCGTTGCGGTATTTTCTTCGGAGAACTGGAACGGTGTGCAGTCTTGTGGGTGGCCGTGGAGGGCGCCGGCTTTCCCGGCCATGGATTCAACCATTTGGGCGATTGTCATTCCTGATGACGTTTGTTAGCTCTGGATAGAAGGGTACAGAGAATTGGGAGGGGAGCTTACGAGATGGGAAAGCGTGAGGGTTGATAATGAGATCGGGTTGGATACCGCTCTCGGAGAACGGCATGTCGACGGCGGGCCAGAGTTGAGAGCAGACACCCTTCTGTCCGTGACGAGACGAGAACTTGTCACCAATGATGGGTTTACGGGGCACACGGTACTTCACGCTGATGGACTGGCATGGCTCCGTGCCGTTTTCTGAGCCCATGATGCGGATGCTGTCAATGAAGCCCTCTTCCGTGTCCTTGTATTTGACGAACTGGGTTCGCCCATCTACATTGACGTACGAATCAGAAGCGGCATCATAACGCACTGTGTGGTAAGCAGCGACAAGACTGCCTTCTTTGACCTTGGCGCCGATGAACGGCATACCATCTTCGTCGAGGGTGTTGCGCCATTCGGCCTTGATCTCACTTCCAGGGGCGAATCCGAAGAGCTTGGTGACTGCGTGCCGGGCCTTGGTGCGTCGGGAGTCCTTTTCATCGAGAGCATGAATCTTGGTCTTATAGATCGTACCGTACCCGAAGCCGCGTTCGTGGGATGATTTGTTAATAATCATGGCGTCGTCCATGTCGTAACCGGTGTATGAGATGATAGCGACGACGGCATTCGTACCGTTGGGGAAGTTGTCCAAGCCATAGGCGTTGTAGAGCGGCGGTCGCACGATAGGTGTTTGACCCGTTTGTAATCGGTAGAGCTTGTTGTCAGTGCGGTAGTTGATTGCAGTTCCCGGTGTTCCCATAGTCTGCTTGCTCATTTGGCACTGGTACATGTTACGGGGAGATTGGTTGTAGTCGGAGAAGGGGGTCATGTTGGCAACAATGGAGAGGATGTTTGTAGGGGTATATTCAATGTGAGTCGAGACTCCCTTGATCAAGTCTTCAGGCAAGCAGGCAATCTCCATGAAAGGCTGCTCGAACGGACCGACGTAGTCGAGCTTATCGAGTGGGAGGTACTTGACAGGACGGAACATACGGGCAGCCTGAGAAAAGAGGTAGACACCTGGGTACTGGCCGCCAGTAGAATTGGGAACATAGCCGATCTCCAATTCCACAGGAATATCGTGAGTGCCCTGGACCTTCCAGTGCCTGAGAGTGGCGGAAATGACACGGGCTTGCTTCGGCGAGCAGTAGCCGATGATCCTGCCATCCAGCTGAACACTCACACTTTCATCCAGCGAAACAGATGACTCGTTACGGACACCAAGCTGTACAAGCAGTTTCGGTAGCTGCGGAACGCTGATATCGCTAGTGGCGACATAGCACTTGTGGGCAAGATGGTTAAGCAGACCACATGGTGAACCATCTGGGGTGTGGACAGGGCAAAGGAAGCCCCAACTCTCAGGAAGAAGCTTACGCACGGTTGTCGTTTTCAGTTGGGCGAAGAAACTACCTCTGTGGATCATTCGGAAATGACTGATGAATCGGTAGAAGTTGATCTTTTCCGCCATGACGGTGTAACCGGACGTTTGCTGCAGATCAAGACCTGTAGGACTGACCAGGTTACCCGTTGAGAGGAAATACTCCATTGCATTTCCAATGTTCTCGTTGGTTCTCTTGACGATCTTGCCTAAGAAGTCCCTTTCAAAGGCTGGATCTGTGAATCTAGCTCCATGATTGCGGACAGACCAGTCCCGTAAGATAGGACCAAGTGATCGTACCCACTCATCCAGCCGTTCCTTGAGGAGCATACCGTAGAGGAAACCTCCAAGCAGAATTTCTTGGTTGGAAACTGCATCTGGGTTGTCAGCGGCACAATCACCGGCAACAAGGGCATAAAGTTTGCGAATCATGAACATGAGCATCTTGAACTTGTCGTAATCTTGCGTCTCCGTGACGTTGTGGTTACCAAGGTGTGGTAGCACAACCTTACGGAGGAATTCGGTGCCTGCTTCTTCGTTGGGCATGTCCATGGGGACACCCAAAACTGGCTTGAACTTCTCTCCGATGTACGATCGGCACTCCGAACGGCTATGCAAGCGGTATGCCTTGTATGTGCGCAGCAACAATTCGACTCGGTCCGTAACGAAAGTGTTGTGGATACCCTCAGACGAGGCACCACCAACGATTGCTTCGAAAATCTCGCGATCGTTTGTCTCCACCAATGCCTTGAGAATCATCATCACCGGGATGATGTACTCGTTCTTTCGCCACGAAAATCGGAAAGTGACGTTTCCATCGTTAAGGTAGTGTAGGACATTCGTTTGCGAAGTCTGATCCGGCCGCACTGATCGTATTTGAATACCGAACTTGGAGTATGCGTGGCCACGGTTGGTGAAAGTATTACGGATAATTGCCATGGGGTAGTTCCTCCGGCCGACAATCAACATACGGATCAGCTTTTCGTTTCCATTCACGATAAAGTAGCCGCCCAGTTCTTCTGATTCCTCCTTGTGCTGGACTAGTTCCGCTGGGGATGCTTTTTCGAGGTGACATCTGTTGGTCTGCAAAAAAGTCAGCGCTGCCAAAAAAAAAACCAACCTTTATTATGGCTGGTGTATTATGTCCGCACTTACCCTCAACATGATTGGAACCTGACCAAGCTCTCTGACTGTCTCGGCCCAATCTCCATTGTTGACCCGGTACTCGACGCGCGCGCGGAGCTTCCCGCGGTATGTCGCATGTCTCTCTCGACACTCGGAGGGGTAGATGTTTCGATTACGAGCGGTAAATTTGTTCGTCAGCGGGATAGCCGGCTTCTCGAGGAAAACTTCCTTGATGCGGACATGAAGCTTGTTCTTCCTTGGGGCTTTGCGCCCCTCTGCGATGCGCTCCTGCTTCTGTTGTGGTGTCTCGGCCGCATCGTCGAGGAATGTCCTCGTGCCAATGTCCTTTAGACCTGCTTCGATAATACCGCCCTCTTCGAAAAGGGCATTGAACGAGTCGACGTGCGGTTTTATGGCGGCCGCGAGCGAGGGGTATGCTGTATGGTCCTCGGGAGGATTGCGAAAAAGCTTCTCTCGTCTCAGCACATCATAGTTGACAGACCAATTGGTGTCTGTCGCGGCGGGAGCCATGGTGTCTGTTGTCTCGGTGGTCGAATGCGACGCCTTGCGGCCTTATGCTGAACTAAGAGAAGTTTTTCATGCAATCGGACATTTGTCGTAAACGGCGGTCAGAGTTCGAATTTCACGGAGGTGTAGTCAAATATAGACCGTAAATTGGAAACCAGTACCAGCCGGAGCCACCGCAATATTGTTAAAGGTAATCCGGCTGCGACAGAGGCACGAATGCTGGCTTGGAGTAACTGAAGCCTCTCTTCAAACTCCGGACAAGGAAATTTTTTGAGGTGGAACTGCCGGAGAGATAACATCACGTGCTGATAGATAAGTATGCCTCAGGCAGCGGGTATATTACGAGCAATTAATGCCTTAGGCCAAGACGTGGATGTGGCTCACTGCCACGACCAGGCAAACGTGAGGATCCCTCAGCCTGGCTTTTCGTTGGAGATAGTGGCGTCATTTAGAGCGTGCGATGAACATATCTATATCAGGCCATGACTCGTCCATAGAAGAAACTACACCATCGCTAGAAGAACACCGGCACTGACAGCTGCTCCCTCTACCTATCTACTATTTGCCTCCTCTCATCATCCGGTTCTGTAAGTCGGCATCAACCAAGCTCCTGGTTCACCTAACCCACTAACCCGGGCCATCAAATGCCAGGAAGCAAGTGCGCCTAGCGGATCAGCAGCGCAATTAGAAGCTCATCACATCTGGATCCGGCCGTGAAATTGACAGGGACCGGCAGAGCTAACGAGTACTACGACTAGGCACACCCCTCAGCGGCGCAGACAGAACGGTCATGCGTGCACATAGATCGGAGTAGTTGAGTTTCACCGCAAGTACCACTGAAGCATCAGAAGAAGAACATATTCCTTTTTCTGCTCTTTTCTTGATGGTGGGCGAGCACAAACATCGGGATAATCGTCATTACTCACCGTAGGGATTGCCGCTTGGTTTGGCGCTCAGGTCTTGGGGGTCCTTTCGCACTCATTCAGCTCAGTCGACCTAGGCGCTCAGTTTCGCATTCGAGCTCTCAGGTTCTGCTACGGCGCTTCTGGGGCCTATTCCCGACACTATTAATTTTCGCCTGTTGTCGCTTTGACTACATCGTACGCTCGCACCTCGTCTGGTTTTCTGCCGGTGTAGCAGCAGTCAGCGAGCTCTTTTCCCGCAATCTGCCTTCTTCTACCCCCACTTCGCCATCAAAATTCTGATCTCGATATATCCGCCCACCATCGTTGGCCACCCACTGGCATTCACTCCCACGCCCGATTCTTCCCAGAGGTTGTTTCTTCTGTGCGCTTCTCCCATCGTTGTTGCGCTCAGCTATTCCCAACGGTCACTGCGACTTGTCTGCAAGCATGGCGGGTATTTTTCGGACGATCTATGACTGGCTCTTGAGGATGTTCTGGTAAGTGGGCCGCTGTAATTTGTTCCAATAACTGGTCGCCTTGGAGGTGTTCTCCGGAAATAGCCCCCGGCCCGTCCCCGCAGCATCCAAGATTCGGTTGGCTAAGATTCGCAATTGTTTTGAACCGACTGTAGGGCGACGGAAATGGACGTCACGATGATCGGCCTGCAGAATGCAGGAAAATCGTCACTATTGCGTGTGCTCGCGGTATGTGTTTCTTTGTTCTGGCCCCTTAACCAAACAAGCAAATGACCGTGCTAACAAATTTGTCGAGCCATACAGGGAGGAGAGTTCACTGTAGAGTAAGTGCCAGCGTCTTGAAGGCGTGTCTGACTTTCGACTAAAACACATCTACATCAGCTCTATCCCAACAATCGGGTTCAATACCAAGCGTGTTCAGAAGGGACATGTGACGCTGAAATGGTGGGTTATTTTTCGTCTTCTCATGGCATACTTTCTAACACACCTCCAGCTGGGACCTCGGGGGTCAGCCACGCTTTCGACCGATGTGGGAGCGATATTGCAGGGGGGTGAATGCGATAGTGTAAGATCCATTATGCAAATCGGATGTGCCGGCGCTGACGTTGACAGTTATATCGTGGATGCGGCAGACAAACCCGCGCTGCCTGTAGCGACGGAGGAACTGCATGATCTGATGAACAAGCCCACTCTAGATGGGATCCCGCTCTTGGTCCTTGGAAATAAATCCGACTTGCCTGACAAGCTCTCTGTCGACGAGCTGATCGACCAAATGAACCTCAAGTCCATTACGCGGCGCGAAGTGAGCTGCTATGGCATCAGTGCAAAGGAGGAAACCAACCTCGACGCAGTCTTGCACTGGTTGATTGCTCGCGCTAGTCGGTGACGGGCTAACTGGGACTGCAATTGGGCTGGATGTTGGCGAGCTGGCCCCTGAACGCTCCAAAGCCAAGTAGATTTTCCAACATCGTGGCTCGCAGCCCACTTGTAAGATGTTGACTTGTGAATTGAGCTTTCGAAATATCCTGGAAGTTTTCACCTGTGTCAGTGCACATTTGTTCTTTCGTTTGGTTTCCTGTTGGTCTGGTCTGTCAGCCATTCGTTCGATCGTGTTTCTTTCCTGGAGATTCCCCGCAGGCGAGTCGAATTTGTGTATTTCAATCTGGCCTTTTTTGAGGCCAAAATATCGAAGCCCAATCTATGCTCAGCTACAAGCTCTCGGCTTGTGGTGACTTATAACAAAGTTTGAATCAGTAGTACCAACTGTCGAGGCAAGAGCTCTCAGAAGAACGCCCCAAGAGAGTCGCAATGGCACATTCATTTGGTCGCCATCAGAAGACCTAAAATCCGTCTTTTAGAGAAGAGAAATTCACAAAGAGGGCCCGCGACCTATTTAATCGCATCCACGTTGGCCAGCGCAGCGTGTGCGCGGTGTGGGCGGACATCAGCCAAGACACAGACCAGTTGATGCGTTGGCAATGCAGACGGACGGGAACTAATCATGTCGTCGCGCAAATCCAACCCCGCCAGCACGAAGGAACCGTCAACCTCGAAAGTTCAGAGTGCTCGCGTTGCCATAGGTGAATGGCTGCCTCGCTGGAACTCATGGTTTTGTGATGCCCCGATGGTGGTTTGGTCAGTCCGTGGCGTGCTTTACGTGGAGAGTGTCTCACCTCTCTCCTTGACAGGGTTGAGCTTGGCTCGGCCATCGGCCGTCGAAGTTCTGCTCGCGCGACTTGTCGCTGAATCGCCGACAGGAAATTATTATGGGGATGGGCTTGGGGCTAGCGGGCGCTGGTGGAGTTTGATCTTTGAAATACATAAGTTTGGGGGCCAGAGTTTCATCCTTCAACGAGATTATTTTGGTCTTTATCCTGTAGGGCTGAAGCCAGGGTTGAGCCAGGTTGCTGACATGCGATGACGAGAACACCTTGAAGCTCTTCTATTCTTGGGGTAACTCTGGAGTATAGTTTTCGACCTTCCGTGAGTGTATACTCCGTCCCTGAATCTTAGTGCGCGACAGCCCCTTTTTTGCGATTTTGACTATTGCCTATCAAAAGGGCTCGTGGTGGGTGGCTGGTACCTAGGTATCAGGGAACCGCGTAGAAACATCTCATCATTGTCCACTACCGGTTCTGCTGACACTGGTAGAGGCATCGCCACTCATTTTCTTGGGTTGACTGCCATCGTGGCTAAGCAACGCCGAAGCTCAGACGATGGATACGCTGATACGCCACTTTGCTCATGAGCGCAGCGTGCTTCACTTTGATGTCACGCGTATCTCTGTGATTTGTATAAAGTCTGATGGCTTGAGAAGACGGACGGGGTCCGAGATACAAGTCCAGGACTCTGACGTGGATGGTCTTTGGTGAGAAGCGCCAAGGTAGGCCTACCATATTTCTCTCAATCGATCCGAAGCCACGGAGAGATGAATATGCCCGAGATCAGCGACCATTCAAAAGAAACCTCGCGGAGTACAGAATTGTCTCCTTTGGGGAATTTTTTCGCATCTCCAGCTCAACCGCAGTTCTCAAGGCACACTCGAGAGGGGTTGGAGCCGACATCTCGGTAAATCAGCGGCGTTGCGCTCGTTCTGTCGTATGCGGATTGCGGACTGGCAAAACAGCCAAGCCGCGTCGCCATCCACTCAGCCACAGCCAGCCCTGTCGGCATCCAGCTTTTTTGCTGCTGCCTTAAAAGCGATCATTTCCCCCCTGTACCACACCAGTTCATCAATCTTATCCTCTCTTTGTCTATCGCATCACTCTTCCGCAGCTCACTCTCTATTGTACCATCAACACTTCTGGTACCTGCCTTGAGAATTAGAATAAATCCTATCCCTGTACAGCCATATCGACGTCATATTCGTCCCCAGATTTACAATTTAGCGCTTCGTTAAACATGGATATCCTCCTCCCACGAGCCTACGAGTGGTGAGTACTCCGACAGTGTTATACATCCGCACAGCTCAAACAACCGGAGGCCATTCCACTGTCCATCCTCTTGCTGCATATTTCTTACGAATTTGCGCTAACCCTGAAGATAATAGCGAGACAATAAATGGTCAACGGTATTGCCGCGAGTATAGCAGATGGCGTGACTGGGGTCGCTGGGTCGCATTCGCTGTGATCGTCGGAGCAGCCTTGATTATCTTCTTCATTCTAGCGTACGTTACTCTACATTCTAACAACGACGTCCAACTGACTGAATATCCGTAGATGCTTCAACGCTCGACGACGTCGCAGACAGGGCCTCCGACCCTACGCCGGAACCGCCTGGATGGCTCCTCCTCCCCCGTATCACCAGCAATCGCACGCAGACCCATACAACCGACCGCCGCCACCGCCTCAATATACGCAGTCTCCTGGACCTCACGGATACTTTGGCGGACAACAAACCGGGATTGAGCTGCAACAGCCTCCCAATGCGCACTACGGCGGCGGACCTGTATACTCGCCACCCGCTGGGCCCCCTCCTCCCAAGCCTTAAGTTTTGACTGTGGTGGATGTGTGATAGGGTGCGTTCGATGGAATGAGATACCATTATGATGGCTTGAATTAATCTCTTACAATGGCGTTTGTTATGGTTGGATTTAGCTCGTTCTATGGCATTGGGACTTGAAAGTACTCGCAGTCATCGGGAACATTATAAGCTTATTATTACCCTTTATTTTTATTTTTTTTTTTGTTAGAAGATTATCGTTTCTTTACCATTTCCCATTCAAACACTTGGCTTGAGCCATAGGCTGAAAAAAAGGGTACCTATGACCATAAAGTTTCATGATATCTTCAATTTATCATCGTTTATCTCTCATAGTTGCATCCTAAATAATAGCATTGTCGAACAGTAATAGATAGGTAAGACGAAGTGGAGCCTTGTATATATCTTTGCCCCATCAGCTGTCAAACACCATTTGCGTCAAATATGGCATTCTCCATCTGTGAAACAAACTTCAAACCTGACACTGCACCTTCAGCTCTAACTTTAACGTCTGATTTTAAGGGCCTTTGTTCAACATGCGCGCAAGGAATTACTCAGGACCACAATCACGACTCTATACGCGAGAAAGAGAGAAAACTGCTGTCAAGATTTAACGGCAGGTTTTCGAAGCATGGCTTGAACAGCTCCATATTTACCACTGATCGACAAAGAGACTGTCAACTTTTGCTGGTGCTGGGATGGAGAACACGAACGGCTCCTGCTCGTCTCCATCACCGGCCGAAATGCCTCGAGGTGCGTGGTAAATACCTCGTACATCTCAGCCACAACGGTGCAGCTCTCCCCCGAATAGGCGTATCGGTATGAAATAATAGATTACCCCGGCCACGGACGTTGATTGAGACGCGCACTCGAAATCGAAGATCACTGACTATCTTAATTCTCTCCTCTGGCTCGTTCTCCGCAAACCCTTTTTTATCGAAGTCATTCCCTTCCCGCGGCTTCTTTTCGCTTTCTCTTCTTTCAGGGCTTCTTTCATCCTCGTTCTCTACCAACCGCCGCTCCTTTACCCCTCCAAACTTTGTCGCTCTTTCTTATCGCCCTGCAAACTCATCTGGGACATTTGATCATTCCCCTGGAGACACAGTCCTGAATCCAACATAGCCACCCGCATCTTGCGAACGATTCCCATGGTTCGGTGATATATTAATATCGACATCTTTTGATCTGAGAGGGATCCCATACTTTACTCTCGCTTTCCACATATAAATCCGGGGACCTCGAACTGGATCTTGCGCTCATTGATCGATCGCACACTCGTTTCGCGGAACCGCACCATAGCCGCCCAGAAACCAGGCCAGACCCTGGGCGACACTGTACATTCCTGGTACAGTAGGCTGAGCAGGCAGACAGAATAGCGCCGCTCTCGTTGTCTATTCTTATACCATTGGATATTTATTTATCGATATTCTCAGAAAAGTCTCGGATATACTTCGTCAAACACTTATCAACCTCATTACTCGCTTTGTTGGCGCCTAATTGCTTGAAGCGATATTAAAGCGCATCACGAGTCTAGGATACGCGGCAACGCCACTATCTTTGTGGATTCAACACAGTTGTGAATAGCTTACCCGCTTATTGATTGAGAGTGGGGCTGCGGTTACAGTCTGACCGCCACAATGAGCCCTGTGGAGTTCGTACGCATGTCGCTATGGGCGCGAGATGCGGCCAGCGAGATCGAATCAGCTCCGCAGACATTCTCTAGCTGGGACAAATGCATGGAAAAGACATACTGCAAGTATGGATTTGTCGTTGAGGGTGCAATACTTGCACCCCACCTCGTTTGGATCGCTAGCTAACGTATACGCAGATGGCCCGTCATTGTTGGAATTATCATCGGAGGAGTAATCCTCCTCTCCGTTATCGCGTGTATCGTTAACTGCCTCTGCTGTGGTATCCGATGTTGCACGAGTTGCTGCGGATGCTGCTGCCCGTCTCCGCGGCCGAAAAAGCCAAAGTACGCCGATGACCCGTATCACCACCAACCGCCTCCAATGCCACAGATGCCACCGCCGAATCATGGCTACCAAGCGGGATATCAAGGAGGATACCAAGACGGATACCAGCCGCCCCAAGCTCCGCCTACGTACCGTGGGGCTCAGGTGGCTCGGTTCGATACACCATCAAGCCCTGGACATTCAAAGATCAATGAGGATGCTTTGCCTGCCATGCCTAGTTGGGATAGTGCTATCACTAGAAGAGTGGAAGATACCATACCGCACTCGGAGTCGGTTGAAATGGAGCCATTGAACCCAGTCAGCCGTCCGCCTCATCGCACGCCATCCGCACCTAGAATGAACGCAGGGATGAACGCAGGAGGCTACGGCGCACCACCACCAATCAGGACAGCCCCTCAAAACGATTATTTCCCCGATTCGCAAGGGTACGATGGCCAGAATCCATACGATTCCCGATCCCAGGGGCCAGGCCACAGCCCAGCTTCGCCGTACGACCAACAGCCCTATGACCAGCAACCATACCGAGATCATTCTCCGGGGACTAATTACCATGCCATCTCGCCTCCCGCAAATGCTTATTCTCAGCCTCAGTACCCGATAGGCGTTGCGGTTTCTCCAACAACGGAGATGAACCGCCCAATACCCTACCGCCAACCTTCGCCTGGGTTCAGCACGCAACCCCCGAGCTACAGAGGGATGTCACCAAGCGTCCCCTCATCACCTCCGCCGCCGTTTCATATGGTTACCAACCACGAAGTCAGCGACCCGGGCCGGCCCCCGAGTCTCCTACAGAGCGGACGCAAGCCCGCTCCTAACACATACAGGGACGTCTAAGCCCTAACCATTCGCACTATAACGCCGAAAGCGTTGTTTGCACATTGCCATTATTCTTGATTTCACTTGGCCATGGCCCATGATCTTTCAGGATATAGTTGTCGCAGCCGACAGCTCGATTATCAACCTCGTCTCCTCGCCACCGTGACCTCCGTTATACCTCTCGTTCTCGGTCTTATCTTGGAGTTAACGCCCCGCCATTCTTCTCATTCTAACGTATATACCCTTCCATTGTCATGAAAGTACCTGTCATGATACCTGATTATCTGATTGATCCCTTGATGAAATTTATGAATGGAAGGTGCCGCTAGTTATTCTTCATCTTTCGTCTTGACAATACCATATATCCCCTTGAAGTTTCACTACTCAAGCAAATAAATCCATCTAGTATTCATACCATATTCGCACATCCATCAGCGCTGGCCACCCAGCAACGGATTGCCTTTCCAGGACGTGCAACCCAGTCGCTCCTTCCACATTTGCCTAACCGAGTATAAAAGGCAGGAACGACCCAAGGTCCGCTGATCGCACCTTCCCGTTATACTCGCGTTTAAGCTGCGCCGCGAGGAAGGCGCGACCCGGGGCTGGCCAGCCGATGTACCTTCCTAAAGCGTGATTGGAAAGAGCGATCCTGCGATGGGAAGGTGCGACCCAAGCCTGCCCCCTGGTCGTACCTGCCCCCCGGGAGTCTATAGACACGTCGCGCTTTCGTAATCTATTCTTCTTTTACTATCTATACAAAGACAATATGCAACAATCGAAAATAGCGGTTGACACTACATTAACCTTGCAGCCGTAGTATTCGTCCCAAAGGTATTGACTGGGAACCAAAAGAAGAAATCAAAAGTGAAACTGATCTGCACTACTAGTTGACTGGTAGTAGGCTATATATCTACTCCTCCAAGGTAAAATCAAACTCCTTGAATGCCTCCTTGAACGCCGCCGCATCACTCTCTTCCTCTGCCTGAGACTGCACGTCGTCTTTCCAATTGATTCGCTTCTCGAGACCCATTAGTTTCGCCATAACCCGTCGCCCGAATTGCAGATCGAAGCGGAAGTCGTCCGTTAGTTGGAGGAGGAGGGTCTTTTCGCTGCCCTTGCCTTCTGTTGAGTCAGCAGGCGGGGGACCCCAAATCCACAGCCGGAAAAAGTCGCCGGGCTCGGCGCTCGGATCTGATTCTGATTGTTCATCTGCGCCGGCTGTTGGGCGCTCAAACTTGGGGTACTTGAGGTTCTCGGCTTCGACTTTGAATGCGGCTTCGACGAGCCCGCGCGTGACAAGGTCAGCGGGGACAGGGAGGAATTGCCAGTGGGTGTGGATTCCGGAGCTGCGGCTGACTTCCCAGGTGACAGCACCAAGTGGTGTAGCGCTGCTGCCGCTGCGGGCGTGGAGCATGGTGTGTAAAGCAGAGCGGTATTTGTTCATTTCGGCGTATGTCTCCTTGCGGGAGGCAGTGTCGGTTATGCTGTTTAGAGTTGGGGTGTGGCTGAATGGGATTATGAGCATGTGGCCCGGGAAGTTGAGAGAAGGAGAGAAGGTTTTGGATGTGGGGAGGGGGCCCTTTGCGGTTGTTAAGTAGGCTTCGGTGCCGATGGAGGTGATGAGGTGCGTGGCGATGTTGGGGTTTGAGAGGCAGAAGAAGCATTGTTCTGGGCCTGGGGGAGGGGCGCGCGCACGTTTGCGCGGGCGTTGGTGGTGGTCGTGGTGGTCAGTTGGGGCGAAGCGGCTGAATGAGGAGTTTTGGTCGGGGAGGGGCTTGCGTTTCATAGCGGTAATGGAGAAAGGGGAGGCTGTTGCGCCGACAGGGATGGTGAGGGCAGGAGCCGCTTTGGGGTTGAGTGTGAAGGCGTACATCCATTTTTGTTTGGAGGTTTTGCTGTACGGAGCCAGGCTGATGAAGCGGGTGAGAGGTTTGGCGTCTGGACTGTCTTCTGTGGGGAGGTGGAAGAAGGGTTCGCGTTCGTAGAAGAAGCCATCGTGTGTTGAGGAGAGGTGGTAGCGTGGCTTGAGTGCAGAGACGAGATCTGCGATGCATTGTGTTTCTTGAGGTGGCGCAACCTCCTCTGGGAAAGGCACTTTTGATCCAGCCCGGATGCCCTTGGGCCACTGGTGGGTGAGGAGGATGTCGGCATGATGTGCGCCGATGAGCGTCCGGGCATCTGACTCTGCATATCCGGGATGATACTTGTCCTTTGAGTCAGTGGCATCCTCGAGGTTGCCGCCGAGAGCGACAATGCGGATCCCCTCTGAAGTCTTCAGCGTGCCGCGCTTGCCTAAGAAGTACAGATTGGGGCAGACTTCATCGTTGGCTTCGATTTGCTCGATCACTCGCGCGGGTAGTGGCTTGCTTCCCAGCGTAAAGTAGGTTGGAAGTGGGACTGCGATGTGTCCTGACAGCAAGTCTGTCATCTGCTTGAGTTCTTGCTCTGTAGAGCATTCACCGAAGAGGTCTCCAGCGATGATGGCGAAGGAGAAACTCTGCTTGACATGAAGCTTCGCGAGCTTCGTGAACACGTCCTGCAACTCGCAGTTGACATTTCCAATTACAATGCTAGATCGCTTGTTAGCGCGACGCCTGTTGAGTAGCGTGGTCAGCACCACTTACATCTTCGAAGCCATAGCGTTCAGCTAATGTAGGGTTTGGGTGCTATGATGCAAGTGCTATTTGCATGGCCCGTAGAAATGGTCAGGACTCGGAAGTACAAGGGAAGGCCACAGCACACGAGTCGCAAGCCGGAAATGATCCAGACACTTCCAGATAGAGACGTTTAGGCCAAATGGTTGTCAGGTTATACAATTGATTTATTCCTGTCGCATCGACGTTGATCTCGACTTTCACCAAAAACCGTTCAGGAGCTTGGACCAGCTCTACAGCACGTGACATACGCTAATCCGCATAAGAAAAACCGGGAGAAAAGCGCTAATCTCCGCACCGGAAGAAAAAAGTTGCGGATCCGAGTAATTTTTTTGGCCGATGCGCTCGAGGTGCACCGAATAGATCACGACACAGCACAAGGTGCACACGCCCTACCCTCACGGCGACCCTGATTCCTCAGCTACCTTTTTCTTGCAAGATGGTAGCCGGATCCTCGTCTTCGCGGGCCAAGCCCGTGAAGCGCGTGAAATCCGGAACTGAAACGACGAAGAATCACCGATTCGAAGGGTTTGCTGCACGAGTATCAAAACTGAAAATCGACCCGATTCATCGAGTACGGCGGCCGAGCTTTGGCGAAGAAGGCGACGAAACAACATCCCATTTCCGAGCGGCGTTCGAGCACTGGAGCGAACTGAACTTGGCAGAGAACTTTGTCGCATTTTCTCGTCGAGTCAACCCACTTTGTGAGAGTTTGCCGCAGATTCTCTACTACGAGGAAAAGATCTTCAACTTGCTGGTGGAATACATTGATAAAAGGGATCGGATTTCAATAGAGCCGCTGCTGAGTCTTCTTGCTCAGTTCGCCCGCGATTTGGGCGTGAGATTCGAAAAGTACTTTGCTACATCCGTGACACTGGTCGCCTCCGTCGCAGCCACCCATCCTGATGTTGAAGTGGTGGAATGGAGTTTTACTTGCTTGGCATGGACGTTCAAGTTCCTCTCCCGGCTTTTGGTCCCGGACTTGCGCCAGCTTTTGGGTATCATGACACCATATCTTGGAAAAGAACGGCAGAAGCCATTTGTGGCTCGATTTGCAGCTGAGTCGATGTCGTTTTTGATTCGCAAGGCCGGGCTGGTATACTACAAAAACCCGGAACCTCTTCAACTAGCGATATCATTCTTGTTCGACGACTTGCGGCAGGCCGGAGCGGATTCAAAGAACGTGGACCTCTACAAGCAGGGTCTGATGTCGATGTTTTCTGACTCGATCAAGGGTGTGAAGCTGGGTCTTCATTCAAACGGAGCGGATATCTTCCGATGCCTCTTGGAGCTGGTGTGCACGGATGACGACCTCCGTAGCAGACTCGCCCTTGACGTTGTCAGCGGCGTGCTGATCAATATCATTCACAGTACAACTGCCGACACATTCGAGCCGATCGCCGAATTGATCTGGTCCTTTGCCAAATCAAGGAGCGGAGATAAGAAGAGTGCCGCCGCATGCTGTCGCGTAGCCTTTCTCTGTGTCGCTACCCGAAAAGGAACGCGCGTGAAGACATGGAAGCCTGTTCTCGACACACTGTTACTACTCCTCCAGGCGGCTGAGAATGCCCCTGATGCATATGCTGGTGCCATTCCCCAGCTTCTCACAGCTGTTGCGTATGCGCTTCAGACATCACCCATGGACGAGATGCTACCCTTCATGCGGTCACTCATGGATGCAGTGACTAGCGATAAACTTTTGACCCATTTCCTTTCATTCTGCGCCACATTTTCGGAATGGGGACCCGAAAGATTCCACAGTGTTGTTCTTCCTTACTTTCAAAAGTTCGTCAACAATTCATGGAAAGATCACGAATATGAGCTATGTTTATCGCTTCTCCGATTAAACCGCGCAGGCTGCATTACGTCTGAAGCTGCCAAACCTGGTTATATTTCCTGCCCAGCTTCATGGAAGTCTCGCATCCGAGATACACTGCAAACATCCGATTCAAGTACATCTGCAGTAGCTTTGCTTAACGCTTACTCGAAGCTTCCTCCTGCACTCTCTCTATCCGCTGATCCTTCCCTTGTACCTGATGTTGCGGATGCTCTTCACGAAAACCTTGCTTCTGTGCTCAACGACGACGAGTCCGTCCCTACCCCTAGGACTAATTTCTATCTCGGACAAGGGTTCAAGACTTATGTCGACTTGAGCTCACGCCTAGGGAATCTTGACCTGAAGCTCTGGGATCGAGTGAGCAAGGTGGCAGCCAAGTACTCCCGTCTTCATGCATTCCTTGACGCGATACTGGCCTTTATCTTAGCATGCTCTGACAATTTGGACATCGACCCCGCCGCGATTGACTCATTTGTTGATGCCTTGATTACCAACCTGGCAGCGCCCTCCCAGCAGCTGCGGCTAATATCTCTGAAAATCCTACAAGAGTTGGTCAAGGCTTCTGGTGAAGATGCTTCAATCATCGCTTTGGCCATTGAGATCGAGGAAAGCGAACTTACAATACAAAGTGCCAGAGTGCTCTCGATGCAAGTGAGGAAGCTCGCCTTGTCATACCCACAACTTGTCTCCCGGAAATGGATGGCGAGATTGATCCCAACCTTCTGCTTTGGACTGTTCTCTAAGAAGCTCGCTCCACTGTGGGATGATTCTACTTCAGCCTTGAAATCCATGAGTGAGCATGCAGAAGGAGAAAAGGTCATTACCGAGCTGGCCGTCCAGTGGCTTCATGAGAAAGGGTCTACCCTGCCGACTGATGCCGAGGAGGATGATGAATCGGACACCCAAGTTTCTGGTTATTATCAATGCTTCAATGCTACCAAGGTCGAAAACATAACCGCCACTCATTTTCAGTCCTTTGAGCCCTTTTCAACTTTGATACAGGATTTCGAGTCGGACCAGTCCCTTGCCGTGGTAATTCCGACAAACCCACGGACCCAGGCCCTGCGTGTGTTCAATGCTATCCCCAACCTGGCAGAGAAACGTTCCCGTCAGATTGTCCCACTCTTCCTCTCATGGGCTTTGCACGACGATGAGGATAGTCCCTCTAAACCAGAAACGCCAGACTCCGACCCGGGCTCATACATCCCTTGGGGATTCCATGACCGTCTGTCGTTCCTGACTCTTTTCTCTCAGTTCCTTAACCCGTCAGTGCTATTCAGAGCGTCTGAGGTCCGCGACGCCCTTCTTGGCCTGCTCTGCCACGGTAATTCAGAAATTCAGAAATCTGCTCTCAAGGCTGTCTTTACTTGGAAGTCTGCTGGTATTGTATCCTACCGTGACAATCTTCTGAACATCCTCGATGAATCACGGTTTAACGATGAGCTTGCCGTCTTTGTTCGCGTTGGACGAGAAGACAGTTTGATTGAAGAGAAGCACAGGGATGACGTTGTGCCTGTGGTTCTCCGCCTGCTTTATGGTCGAATGATTTCAAAAGCCAGCGCCAACTCCAACCAGGCCGGTCAAACTGGTCGCCGAAAGGCTATTCTGCGGACACTTTCACAGCTTCCTGACCGCGAATTCGATATCTTCATGCGGATTGCCTTCGGTCCTTTAGCTGACATCCAGCTACTGAAAGACAATCAGATCGACGAACAGGCCTTTGTGCGCGAAGTGGTTGGGCCAAGGAGACAGATGGGTCTGTTGCGATTGATTGAAACTGTGTTTGACACGCTCCAGAGCCGTATGGCTTCGTATGCCGAACAGTCGATGGATGTCGTGCTCCATTGTCTGGTTAGGGCTTCTCGTGCCTTGGCAAAGGAGCAGCAAGGTCCCACTACAGACCCTCAGGAGGAGCGGCTTGCAACAGTATTGCGGAATATTCGGCAAACTAGTATCCGCTGCCTAGATCTCATCTTTTCTGTCTCATCTGATCAAGATTGGACTTCACGCGTTCGAGTTATTTTTGACGAGGTCATCAACCCTAGGTTGGACAATTTCGCAATAGAGATGGCCCAGGGCGTTTCGGGGCTCTTCCGATTGTTCCACACTTGGGCCTCTTCGTCTCGCTCGTCGTTCTACCTTTCACAATTCAACAATGTTCTTTTGACGAGGGTTGTGGATTGTCTCGGTGTCGACTCTGCACAGGATGAAGTCAAAATCTTTGTCATGGACGAGATCTTGACGCCTGTTGTTGATCTCTCCACCGGCAGAGACCTTGAGGAAGGCGAGAATATGGGTGACTTTTCAGCCGATGAGATTCGCTCAGAAGTCCTGGCTCCTTATATCGAGCACTCTCTTTCTCTTCTCAGCCGTCTCCTGAAGCGCGGCCCATCCAAGCCAGTCCTCATTTCTGGCGTGCAGACACTCTCCCGTCTGGCACCATGTGTCGAGTCCTCGAAGGAAACATCAAGCTTGATTAGCATCCTGACCTATCTTCTCCGTCAACCGGCAGACAGAGTCTCCCCCAAAACGAAATCCGACCTTCTTCACAGCTTGGAGCACTTCCTACCTCTCTATAACACCAAGGAAGATCCGGCTTTGTCACAAGAAGTTTTTGAAGCTGTTTGTTCTATGTTTGACTACTTCAGAGACAATAAAAATCGCGCAGTCCTCTCTAGGGTCTTCACAGCCTTCGCGAACCACCAGCCCGAGCTCTCTCGAGTGGCATCTCTCTGCGAAGATCTAAACTCCATATCTGTCAAGAAACTGGGAGTGGATTACGAGCGTCGTCTGCAGGCTTTCAGAACATTGACCGAGGAGCTCTGGGACTCGCTGAATGCTAAGCAATGGCGGCCTCTGTTGTACAACATGCTCTTCCACGTCAAGGATGAAGACGAATTGGCTATCCGCTCCAGCGCCTCTTTTGGGCTGAAGCGATTCATTGAGCGAGCTGCTTCCGCTGGGAGCTTGGCAGAATCATTCGAGCCCCTTGTCACCGAGATTTTGATTCCCGCAATCCAAGGCGGGATGCGCCAGAAGTCGGACCTCGTCCGGTCCGAGTTCGTGCAGGTGCTTGGCCACCTTGTGAAGTTGAACCCAGACCGCGAGTCTGTCAATGATATGCGCGGTCTCCTTGTCGGCGATGACGAGGAGGCATCGTTCTTCAACAACATCCTTCACATTCAGCAACACCGTCGCCTTCGAGCCCTTCGACGACTCGCCAGCGAATCGACCAATGGGAAAATACAAGCGTCCAACGTTAGTATGATCTTCTTGCCGCTGATCGAACACTTTCTATTCGACTCGGGTGATGATGAGAATGCTCACAACCAGGTCGCCGAAGCTGTGATCACCATCGGTATCCTTGGGGAGTCGTTGGACTGGAACCAATTCAGGGCCATCTTCAGGAGATACCGGAGCTACATGAAGAGCAAGTCTGAAATGGAGAAGAGTGTCCTGAAACTCCTGGGCAGGATGTCTGACGCGCTCAGCAACGCAATGGGTCAATTCACTGTTGCCAAGGCTCAGACTGAGATGAAGAACGGCGACGACGCCATGGATATATCCGCGCCTCCAATGTGCACTCTTGCCCGTTCGATACCTTCTGCCGCCAAGGTTGCCAATGAGCTGACAACGGGCTTTGTCCCTGTCCTGACTGACTTTATCCACCACAAGAACGAGGCACAGATGAGTTTGCGTCTTCCCGCTGCGGTTACGGTCATCAAGCTTCTGAAGCTGCTACCCGAGCAAGATATGTCTGTTCGACTACCGCCTGTTCTTCTTGATGTTTGCAGTATCCTTAAGAGTAAAGCACAGGATTCACGAGACACAGCTAGAAAGACATTAAACGACATTGCTCTTCTACTGGGTCCGAATTACATGGGTTACATCCTCAAGGAACTGCGACATACTCTTAAGCGAGGTTACCAACTTCACGTCCTCTCGTTCACTGTTCACTCCATCCTGGTTGCGACCACAGATGAATTTAAACAGGGAGACCTGGATTACTGTCTATCAGATCTTACCCTCGTGATCATGGATGATACCTTCGGTACCGTGGGTCAAGAGAAGGAAGCCGAAGACTATGTCAGCAAGATGAGGGAAGTCAAGAGCAACAAGAGTTACGACTCTATGGAACTCCTCGCCAAGAATTCGACAGTGCAAAACCTCTCCAGTCTCGTCCGGCCTCTGCAAACGTTGTTGCAGGAGAAGCTCACTTCCAACATCGTGCGAAAGGTTGACGAACTTCTCAGAAGAATCGGAGTCGGTCTGTTGCGGAACCCCGGAGTCGAAAGCCGTGACCTTCTGGTGTTCTGCTACGAGGTCATCAAGGAGGCATACAAGGAGCCCGTGGTATCTCAGACGTCAGGTGCCAAGACTGCTCAGGAGGAGAACTTCCTGATCAATATGAAGAGCCAAAGGCGGAATGAGAAGCGAGGAAGCACCTCTTCCTATGTTCACAAGCTGATCCGTTTCTCGTTCGATGTTCTTCGCTCTGTGCTCAGCAAGTACAGTTCCCTGCTTACCCCTGCGAACATGGCTGGGTATATCCCTATGGTCGGAGACGCCTTGGTCCAGGGCCATGAGGAGGTGAAGATATCCGCAATTCGGTTCCTCTCAACTATTATCAAGCTTCCTCTGCCCGAAATCGACACCAACGCACCCATTTATCTTACGGAAGCTGTCAAGCTGATCAAGGAGGCGCCGAGCACCAACACCGAAGGTGCACAGGCATCCTTGAAGTTGATCTCCGCCATGCTGCGGGAGAGGAAAGACGTCAAGCTTAGAGATGGACACCTGGCTTATCTGCTTCAGCGCCTCACGTCCGACATCGAGGAACCAGACCGCCAGGGCGTTACTTTCAACTTCATCCGAGCAGTCATGGCGCGCAAGTTTGTCGTACCTGAGATGTATGAGCTTGTTGACAACATTGCCATGATGATGGTCACAAACCAGACCCGATCCGCACGTGATTTAGCCCGTGGCGTATACGTTCACTTTCTGATTGAGTATCCCCAAGTCAAGAACAGGTGGACGAAGCAGCTCAGTTTCCTGGTCAAGAACCTGGAGTACAAACACCAGGACGGCCGTCAGTCGGTCATGGATGCCATTAACTCGCTGCTCGCGAAAACGGGGCAAGAACTAGCTCAGGATATCGTTGGCACTTTCTTCCTCCCTGTTGTCATCGTCATGGCGAATGACGACGCGGCCGAGTGCCGAGAAATGGCTGGTGCCCTGCTAGGAGAGTTCTACAGACGGGCAGACCGAGAGCACATGAAGACTATCCTCGAACCTCTTCGGTCCTGGATTGAACAAACAGAGAACCCACTCCTCACCAGCACCGGATTGCAGGCTATGCGGATCTACTTTGAGACCGAAGAGACCGAGAAGGACAAGCAGGCCGGCTTTGTAGCCCAGACTTTGCCAACCATCATCCAGCCTATCATCAAGGACGCCGAAACAGACTCCTGGCAGACACTGTACTTTTCACTCCAGCTCTACGCCAAGCTATGCAAGGCTGTTCCATCAATCGCCTTGTCCAAGGACCGTATAAAGAATTGGAGTCTGATCTGCGAATGTCTGTTCTATCCTCACTCTTGGGTCAAGACCTGCGCTGCAAACCTCGTTGGCTTGTGGCTAGCGGACCTGGCAAAGGCGAATGCGACGGTGGGGTACAGCTCGTTACCTTTGGTTGGTGGCACCGGGCTGGCGATGGATAAAGACACGATGACTCTACTGCTTCGGGCATGTCTACGCTCTCTTCGTACCCCTGGAATTAGCGAAGAACTAGCCATGCAAACAGTCCGCAACATCGTCTTCCTCGGCCGCTGCTGCGCACAGAACGGCCTTGAACTTGAACTCTCCACCGCCGAAGACAATGATGCCGAAGCAGACAAAAGCGGGAGCGAAAACGAAGATGAAGCTGAGGATTTCGACGATGAGACAGAACGGACCTCGACGAAATCCGCCATCCGATACATCTTCGAGCAAGCGGCCTCCATCCTCCGCCGAGAAGTTATCACCACCCGAGCACCATCATTGGTACCAAAGACCGCGTCCATCGGCCTCATCGCCGCGCTCTGTCGCCATCTCGAGCCTGGCCAGATTCTGGGCTCTCTGCCTGTCATTCTCCTCCCTCTCCAGCACCTGACCGATGCCTCTATTCCGGCCCCAAGATCATCCGACGAGGCTTTCACGGAGTCGTACAAGGGACTTGTCTCGAACTGCCATGAAGTCCTAGACCTGCTGCAGAAGAAGCTTGGTACTACCGAGTACATCAAGCACGCGTCAGCTGTTCAAGAAGAAATCAAGAAGAGACGTGAGGGACGACGGGTCAAAAGACGTATTGAGGCTGTTGCGGATCCGGAGAAGTACGGACGTGATAAGAAGAGGAGGAATGATCGCAAGCGCGAGAAGAGGAAGGAGAAGGGTGCTGAACACCGTGGTAGGAGACGAGGTTGGTAAGCGTGGACTAAGTCCAACGACTATTTGGTTACAGTATTTGGATTCATTGGCCGGCGTTGAAGGAGAAGGAGAAATTCTTGAGTTATTCTATTGTACAGGGCTAAAGCATAAAAGTTGCCTATGACATGTGAGACGAGTTGTATATAAAACAGCAATGAGGTATCATAATCGAAACATATCCAGTTTTTTAACGCCATCTCTTTATGCCATGCTCTATCAATGGGTTCAAACGGTATCATAACCTCCAACAGCAGCGACGAGATCAAATCGCTCACTGCTTTGTCTCCTTCTCCGGCGCCGCCTTCGCCTTCACCCTCTCCAGCTCCTCAGCAATCCTCCTCGCCATAAGCTCATCATCCCGAAACTCAAGATCACCATCAACAAGGTTTTTATGCACAATCTTCTCCCCATTCTCCCTCATAATGTCATCCAGTGTCTTGCTGCTGTCCAAGAAGATCCTCAAGTGGTCGCTGATAATATGCCGGTTGTTGCAGCCCGGGCACTGAATGAGGACTGTGCCGCGGTGGTACCCGTGTTTCGATACGCGGTGCACGGACCGGTCGCCACAGGGTTTGCAGGTGAAGGCAAGCATGTAGGCAGGTTCTTCTGCGCGGCGGAGTTCATTTTGTTCTTGGTTCGCGGCATCGCGCTCTGAGTCCGCAGTTTGGTCGGTTAGGGGGTTCGGAGGGGTTGATGTGTTGGAGTTGTAGCGGGTTTGTATTGAGATTGTGCTAATGGCTGGTCTGGCGAAATTGGGGAGGACTGATGGTCGGTATTGTTGAGAAGAGTGGCGAGTGAGTTGGGAATAGAGGCGTGGTGAAGCTCCGCGGAAGAGGGCTGACGGAGGGAGAGACCATTGCAGGGTGCGAAGACCTTGAGAGAGGCGGAGAGTCTGCTGCATGATAGACTGTGATGGTAGGATATAGCGAGAGTCAATAGATAGATGAGAGTGAAGAGAGCAAAGTGATGGTTGCTTTGTAGCCGAAAGTCGAACCTGAGGTCGAGAAACTCCAGATGGATTTAATGACGGAGTTTGCGCCGGAAATTTGTTGTTCCTGACGCTGCTCTCCGCGGGCTCTCCCAACCATCCCGAGCTCTAAACTAACACAACAAACGGCTTGTGGCGCGGGGGAGAATGTATCTGGATAGCGGATAAGATTTTCAGTTCTCTCAATTATCCATTCAAACTTTTTGAGAGGTGTGAGTGAATAGTGTTGGTGACTTCTCGTTTCACATCCACTTCACTTCACTTTGCCCCGCCGACCACCTATAAAGTCTTCTGTTCCTGAATAAGTGGATGGCAAAGCTCTACAGCTATCAAAATGGCTATGCGAGCGAGGCAGAAAATAAGGGCTCCACGAAAGGTGAGAAATTCTCCCCTCCACTGCGAATTTGCTTTCTCCTCCCTCAATACTCGTCGTCACTTGTCGGAAACACCGCCGCTGAAGTATGATCATGATGCTAATCAGCTGTTGTTAGGGCCTCGGAGCCGCTAGCGGAGCGGATGCATTTGAATCGAATTGGAAGAATCTATCCAGTTCATTAAAGAGAATTCACACCAAGAACGCTTCCGAACTATCCTTCGAGCAGCTGTACCGAGACTCGTATAACATCGTGCGGTTCCAGCGTGGCGACGAACTATACGAGCGGACAAAACAGCTAGAGAAAGAATGGCTGTGCGAGGAAGTTCAGAAGCAGGTCGTTGGCGGAATTTCTTCAAGCCTGTTGCTGGCTAAGGAAGTTGTCGATGTGCAAGACCAAGCGGTGGAAAGGCGGGCGGCTGGAGAGAGGTTTCTGACGGTTTTGAAAGAGGCGTGGGAGGATCACCAGCTTTGTATGAAGATGTTTACGGATGTCTTGATGTACATGGTAGGACTTACGGCCTGGATTGCTTGACAGAGCTTTCTAATTGTGTTGTTCATTCTAGGATCGAAACATCGCGCAGGACCCTCGAAAAGTCTCTATATACTCTGCCGCCATGGCATTGTTTCGCGACCACGTACTTCGCGCCCCGATACAGTCAGACACCACGACGACAGTCGGTGATGTGCTCAAATCCACGGTGCTCTTCATGATTCAGCTAGAACGATCAGGGCACATGATCGACCGGGCTCTAATTCGGCACTGCATCTACATGCTGGAGGGCCTGTACGAAACGCAGGCGGAGGAAGAATCATCCAAGTTATATTTGACCTCATTTGAGCCGGAGTTTTTGGAAACCAGTACGGCTTTCTACAAAGCTGAGGGGCAACGGCTGCTGGAAATGGCAGACGCTGCCACCTTCTGCATCGCCGCGTTGGACCGGATAACGGAAGAAAAAGAACGGTGTCTCTATACACTTTCGTCTATCAGCGAACACAAGATCAAAGAAGTACTGGACAACGAACTGATTCGGAACAATCTTGCCGAGGTTATCAACCTCGAGGGTACGGGAGTCCGGGCCATGCTGGATACGGACAGGCTGGATATTCTGGGCAGCATCTACGCCCTTAGTGCACGAGTCGACGCTAAAAAACCGCACCTCACAGCTGCGGTTCAGAAACGGGTCGTCGAAATGGGCCGAGAGATCAACACTGCTTCTGTCGCGTTAACTCAGGCGCCTGCTCCTGCAAAGCCGAATGGCACGGATACAGGCCAAAAGAAGGAAAAAGAGAAGGAGAAGCCTGTCAACCAGCTCACGTCATCCGCAATCAAATGGGTTGACGATATACTCCTGCTCAAGCAGAAGTTCGATAACATTTGGCGGCAATCTTTCCAGTCTGACCAGATAATGCAGACCGCTATAACTGCCAGCTTTTCCGAATTCATCAACTCCACGACACGCAGTTCCGAATTCCTTTCGCTGTTCTTCGACGAGAACCTGAAAAAAGGCATCAAGGGTAAAACTGAAGCCGAGGTTGACTCTCTGTTGGACAATGGAATTACTCTTCTACGCTACGTAAAGGACAAGGACCTTTTCGAAGCTTACTACAAGAAGCACCTCTCTCGCCGGCTGCTGATGAAACGCTCAGTGAGCATGGATGCCGAACGACAGATGATATCAAAGATGAAGATGGAAGTCGGCAACCAGTTTACCCAGCGATTAGAAGCCATGTTCAAGGATATGACCATCTCGGAGGACCTAACTGGAAGTTACAAGCAGCATATTGAGAGGCAAGGCGATCCCGACGTGAAACGCATCGACCTAGACATCAATGTTCTCACCAGCACCATGTGGCCCATGGAGATCATGTCGAATACCAGAGACGGCCAAGTCGAGCTTCCATGCATCTTCCCTAGAGAGATTGAAACCACCAAACACAGCTTTCAGAAGTTCTACCTAAGCAAACACAGTGGCCGCAAACTCTCCTGGCAACCAAGCATGGGCACAGCAGACATCCGAGCAACCTTCCAACGATCCAACGGCAAAACGCAGCGCCACGAACTCAACGTTTCTACCTATGCCATGGTTATCCTCCTCCTCTTCAATGACATCCCCACCGGCGAATCCTTGACATTTAACGAAATCCAAGCACGCACCCGAATCCCCGATAACGACCTCATCCGCAACCTCCAATCACTAGCTGTCGCGCCCAAGACGCGAGTACTCAAGAAAGATCCTATGAGCAAGGATGTCAAACCAACAGACAAATTCTTTTTTAACAACGATTTCCAAAGCCCATTTATGAAGGTCCGCATTGGCGTTGTTAGCGGTGGCGCAAACAAGGTCGAATCGCAGGATCAGCGCAAGGAAACGGAGAAGAAGATGAATGATGAGCGCGGTGCCAGCATCGAGGCTGCTGTTGTTAGGATTATGAAGTACGAACTCCCCCACTATTTCGACCTGCTCCCTCTTCCACCTCTTTTCCAGTAGATTAAATTAAGCTAACAACCATTTTCCCTCCAGACAACGCAAGAAGCTCATTCACTCAAACCTCATAAGCGAAGTCCTCAGCCAGCTCTCCGCGCGCTTCGTTCCAGACGTCAACATGGTCAAACGGCGCATCGAAAGTCTCATCGACCGTGAATATCTGGAGCGTGTCGCCGAGGATCCTCCGACATACGGCTACGTTGCATGATATGCCCAAATTGTACTGATTTTGTTCCTCTCTCATACTTATCTCACTTCCCATACCTGCTGTATCGGCGGCTTTGTATCTAATCCCATCATCTTGGCGAGGCGAAAGGCGAAGGCGAGGCGCACAATTCTCGGTGGCTTGGTTGCGTGTTTGGCGCCGATAGATTTGACGATTTGATTCCACAATTCTATTTATTTACCTGTCCACGAAGCACATATGGTGGATGATGCGCATGTTTTCGAGTTTTACTATATTAGCACACCAGACTGGTTGGCGCTCAGTTCATATTTTTCGAGGAATCAAATTTTAGGGGTATCAGACCATCCATACGATGCCCTTCAAATCACGAAAAAGGTAGCTCATCAACACACTAACTACATCCCTGATCCAAGGGGCAGTACAAAAAAATCGTCGAGCAAAAAACATACAACAGTAGGGATTCGCATGTGGTCACCCACCATACTACTAACCTACCGGCGTGTGGCTTAAGTACGGCTGAGCGGACGGGAAGCCCTGTTCTCCACACCCTATGGTCGTATGTACTGGATATATTATAAGAAAGATCTATATAGGATCTGATGCAGCAGGTTTTGCATAGATAGCTCATGTGATGCGGTGGCCAAGTCCAACGCATATTTGCGTGTGATACTAAAACTACGTAAAAAGCATAGATGTGTATACAGGTTTCGCAGAAAGCCCTAATAAGTTTTGAGAATAAGAAGTCCACAACGCCTTCTATGCACAGGCACTATGCAACCATTGCTCCCAATAAAGAACACGAACCCAAACCAAGCGAGAACAAACCCTATACACAGCTAGAAACAGCCAGAAAGGAGAACTGAAAGGATTCCGCTATAAAACCTCCACATCCCCCCTCTCCCACGCCTTTCTGACCCCCTCCCACCTCACAACCCATACATCGCCCATCCTCATACTCCCGCCTATAACCTCCTCATCAACCCCATCCCCGGGCGGTGCAACAATCGGCACCTCCTCCGCAAGACACCGCACAAAGACAACTTCCTTCGCGTCGGGCCCCTGCAACATACTCGTCCCCCCAGCATTATCATCCAACCTCCGCAATTGCTGCGGAAATGAGGACAGGAAAGAGGACCCAAAGTGGCGCGCAAGCAGCGTCTGGTGCGTGTGTAGGTACGAGATCTCGGCGGGGGAAAGCGGGCAGGTTCGTGGTGGGGGATCCTCGGGGAACGGGATGGAGTCTTCGGGCTGTGTTTGGTTTTGAACCCCGGAGGATTGGGATTGTGAGGGCGGTGGTGGTGTGGGAGGTGTGGATGTTGTGCTGAGGAGGTAGTGCATGCTGTGTTTTGTGAGTTTGGAGAGGCGTTGGCGGAGGAGGGAGCGGAGGAGGTATTGCGTGCGGGAGAGGTCGGTTTGGAGGATTGAGAGCTTGAGGGTTGTGTTGCTTGAGCTTGTGTGTTTGTTTGAGGTTGTGATTGTGCTTGGGTCTGAGGAGGCGGCGGCGAGGTCTTCGATTGTTTCGATCTATAGCGGAGTTAGACTTGGGTGCGGGGTTTGGGTGGGAGGATCGATTAATTGGTCGCGGAGGACAAGATGAGAAAGAAGTACCTGTTGCCGTACGCGTTCCATCATTCTGTCCATGAGACGAGCGGGCCAGGGAAGCAGTTCCGGGACGCTGCGCTCGGCCACCCAGAAGCGCGTGAGGAGCTGGTGGTCGAGCGCGGTGGACTCCGGGCTGGAGACGTCGGAGCGGTCGACCGACGCGAGGATATCGTCAATATCCATGGCAATCGGGACTGATGAAAGACTAGAGACTGTAAGTCGAATGTAAAAGAAAGGCGTAGTTGCGAATTGTTAGTCTGCCATCGGAGGAGAGCAAAGGCGGAGCGGAGGCGGAGAAAGGCGTGGCGGCCTCAGGCGCCAAGTCTCCGCTCGGAACTATACAAGTTCTTCAGCGGAAACTCAAGTGAAAGATATAGATATGGCTGAATACGTGGCAACTACGAAAGGAAATGGTTTGTGGATTGGTTTATTTATTCTTCGACAAAAGGAATTACGTCTTATCTCTCTGCTCTCCTAAAGTGTTGGACATATAACCAAGCACAGGTTTTCTTGTAATGTATGTACAGTGCCTCGACGCCCTGGGCGATGAATTAGTCTTGCCGTGAAATGGCAGTATTAGACCCAGGACAGCCGTGCACGAATGGATGGATCATCGCCTACTCGACGAGACATGCACCAATATGTACTGTGCATGACGAAGCATGGAAACTCCCGCGGATGTGTACAGAAAACGGAGTGGCGGAGTAAAAGACCGTATGGTGTAAAGGAAATGAGTCTCGAGAAGAGATATGCTTGCGGATGAGGTATCATAGAAGTAACTCGACGAGGTGTCCAAGCGCAGTGAAGATCCGTGAAAGATTCGTTGAAGACATAGGAGAGTTGGCAGGGAGTGGCTGGAACGGAAAAGGGTGGTGATGGTTGTGCGGGTGCAGGAGCTGTTTTCGATGTGGCTGTCGTGTCAAAGTTGTTCGTGGTAAGTAATCGGAGTAAAGGTGAGAGAACCCAGGGTGAAACGGGAGAGGTAGAAAAGCTGAAGCGAGTGTGGCTGAGCTAGGACCATAAAATCGCGAGGTGCCTTAAGTTGATACTTGAGGGCATCCACTAGATAACCTGAGTCTTTGAAAAGTTCTTGAATGCAAAAAAAAAGAACCCCGAACACCAATATTTTTCATAAATCATCCGACCAATGGATTATCCAAGAATCATAGGCCGTAAAACCCTTACAAGAAGGGTGCGAATCGCGAGACCCGCAGAAGCGAAAAGGGGTATTGTGTGAGCCGTCAACGTAAACGTTAGTAAGAAAGCATACGGCGGCCTGGCAAACGAGAACCAGGACTGTCGTTGAATGGAGAAGCAAGGAGTTTGCGATCACCGGAGTTGTTTCGGTATCTCCCCGTTGGGCTATCCTCCATCTCAGGGGATTGCTGGCCAAAGGCGAAAGTTTGGGCCCGGCTCAGCTTGGAGCGCTGCTTGACTTTGCCGAGGCCGCGCTCGCAGGCAAATTCGTGCTCTTTGGCAGACATTTCGACGTAGTTCTGGGGAAAGCAATGTGCCCGATGCTCAGCATAGAAAGCACTGTAGCCCCCTTCCAAGATGTACATATCAGGGTATGAGAGTTGAGGGTAGTGGTCCACATTGTAAGCACGATCTCGATGGCGAATGAACTTGGCCATAAGCGGTGCTCTATGTACTGAATATTCGCAGTGGAAAACCAACGCAGTCCGGGCTTTGGGGTTGGCAAAGAGCTCCGCGGCCAGGCACTCCTTATCATTGTAGTTGAAAGCCCCAACGATGTGCCCGCCATCGTATTCATATTCAAACCGGCAATCAATGATCATGATGTGATCAAACATGTCATTGAATTTCCCATTCTTGAGCTCCACGAGGGTGGCCTTGTCGATACGAGGTAGATTGTCTGCTTGCTCCTCAGGTATGAAGTGAGGAAGCTGCAGAGTCTGGATTCCTTCGATGTCGTTGATAGACTGTAGTGGTGCATTTGATTTATAACAAACCTCGTTATCGGCAATCACATCCTCGGGGTGCTCAAACATGCTCAGTGAGCGTCTGCATTGCTTGCGGGGGCGCATGGTCGGGTGGGAACTTTTGCGAATGGAAGCTGCAGAAGGTGATCCATTGTTACGAACATGACCCCCACTGCTCCCGAATGGTGGTCTTAACCGGGGATTCGACAACAGCCCACTAGAAGAATTGTTCCGGGTCAAGGATCGTTCGCGTTTGGGAGATTCGTCGAACATGTCCTCCAGTGACGCCGCTACTCCCAGCGAGGTCTTGTTGATACCCTTGGTCTGGAACTTGAATGGAGGTCCTTGGCTTTCCGGGGCGGGTTTCGTTATTCCCAACTGGAATGACTGCGCTTTACTCCTCGCAAGATTAGGCCGTAAAAATGTCGGACGTCTTCTCCTGCAGGAAACATGTGATTAGACCCTTGCTGATCAAAAGCATCACCCCTCTGGACATAATCTCTTACTCTTGTAGACCATCCTTTTGTGGCACTGTTGGTGACTCCGGTATGAGGCCGTCCATATTCGACATCATAGTCGTGTCCATTGGGGAGCTCTCCAGTGTTGGAGAGTTGAGTTCAATCTCAGTGGTGATTGCGAATGGAGGCTTGTGAGGCAAGGGAGACATATCCATGGTATCCGCAGGGGCAGGTGAAGAGGCTGGCAGCGGAGGAGTGGTCATCGCATCTTCTATATATGTGTTAAGACGGCCGGCAAGGTCGCGTCCAGAGTAAACACAACTCTTACCATGTCTATTTCCGTTACCGAACAGACACGCGGAGAACAAAGACCGTCGCGGCGTAGCAACCTGCGGGCTGAAATTCTTTGTGTTAGCATCATTGCCCCACGAACAAAAGGGGAAAAGGACAGATGACGAACCTCTGGTCGATGTGAAAATTTTGTGACAGATCTGCAGCAAGGCTGGCAGTTGGAGATGAGCCCCGAACAGGCCTGACATTGAAGTAACCTTCTCCCTGGGGTCGCTTCATGGAAAGGTCCTTGAAGTTGAATCCGCTAGTGCCGAGCCTCTGGATCGGACTGAATCCATGGTAGCTTGACGTCGGTGCATCCGAACGAAAGCAGTGCCCAAACATTACAGACGGAGGCTGCATGGCAGCCAAAGGAGAAGAATGTTCCATGGTTGCGGTAACCGACTTTCCATCCAAGCCCTGAAAAGCCCAGGCCAATTGCCAAGAAAAGAAGCCCTGCGAATCTGGGGACCCTATCTATCTGGACATACGCTACGACGGCGATGATGGGTGTATGCAGTCACGGTAAACTACACAGTCCTGAGTTTTCCAATCGTAGATTGTCGAATCCCAGCCTGAGCAATCCTTCGAATCCGCCCCGAATTCGTAGCGGACCAGCATGTACTACCGGGGACCTCCTAGGTGACGAAACCGAGCTCACAGCGACATGACTGGCGGGTCCAAGCAGGGTATAAACGAGGAAGACGAGGTATCAGGGCGGGGGAGGGGGAGCTATGAAGAGCAAGAAAAGTCATCAGTAAACCGACAAAACGCAGTATGGTCAGGGGAACGGCTTAGCAGTCTGGTACGCTAGAGCAATGGGGCTAGATACCGAAAAGCGGACAGGGCGAGGGCGAGCAAGGTGTTCGAGGCCGAGGAGAGGCCGGGAGGAAGTCGAGGCCTTATGAGGTCAGAGGGAAGGTGTCGTGTTCAAGAAGAAGAGAGGAGAGGAGGAGGGAGAAGAAGAAAAAAAGGCCTGGAGAAAGTGAAGCTGAAGGGATGGACTTGTTGCATGGCAACGCAGAGTGGGGAGGGATCTCCAGATGCTCAGAAGAGCTTAAGCGACGGTTGCTGGACAGCCGTATCGAAAAACCGCCTGGGCTTGATCGCAACAGGGCGGATATTCCACCCTCGAAAGCGTGCAACTACTGATATATTTACGGCTCCTTGATTGTATCCTTAATTCTTACTGAAGAGCACTCGATTTCGATAACTTATCATGTAAATTGAGCAGATTTGGATCCTGAGAGTCGCAGGTACGGTACAGGATACATACAGAGTGTCACACTGTCGTCAGCGTCTCTGGTTGTCCAGCGCAGCCTGTCCCTCGTTGCCGGGACTCCCTTACCGCCAGCTCAGCGCTAGCTCCCGCCCAGCGTATCAGCGCAGGGGTGCTCCTGGTGAAGCTGACCACTGGCCGCCCGGGGCTGGCTGAGGCACGATCCAGAAGGATTCTTTGCTCTTGCGCTCGCGGTGCCTGAGAGTCTCACGCTTGTCCTTGAGAGGTTTACTGTGTAGCTTCATGTCATGTCCTCGAAATAACTCTTGTTTCTTTGTTCTTTCTCTGCAAGATTTAGGTTTAGATCGCCTCGTGAGGCTCCTGGCATATGTGAGGTGCTATAATTACTCCCCTTCTTCAAAGAAGGCTCACCGGTCTCCTCAGGGCGTGGATGCCCCGTTGCGTTGACGAAAAATTCCTTTCCCGAGTGTGCCGTGTCTTGAATTTTTTCCCTTTTTCGTTTTTTATACATCATTCTTAAGACCTAAAACTGGAGATCGAATCGAAAAATTCCCCACCCCGCCTCCACCTGCTCGGAAGAAGACCTGAGCCTGGTTCGATTCTCGCAGCAGCACATCTGTACCTGCATAGCGCCTTATCTCGAGTCCTCCGGAGGAGCGTTAACTATCATCATCGAGATCAGGAGCCTTGGTCATTGGGTCTACCTCGCGAGTATACTCTATACGGCAACAAGTTATGAAAACCCTCCAGGACCTAGTCATTGACGCACCGTTCGGTCATTCGATCGGAGAAAAAACATGCTTTACGGATGATTTCATTGTGCTTTAGTGACTCCGCTCGATGATCATCTTGGAATCCTGCATTGCCCACGACTCGCTCATTCCTCCAGGGCGCCATTTCGAAACTGCTGTCCTTCAACTTTGAGCGGCGTCTGCCCTTACCCTTACGCAGTCTGATCTGGCTCAAGTCCCTGCAGAGGGATGCCCTCCCTTCCGGTGTTCGGCCGAATTATTTCTACTATCACTCCCTTCGCCGAATCCTCCCAAGGCGCTACAAATTGCTCACATAATGATTCAGCGAAAGATGGGGCTAATCAATTATCGGAGTTCCCGACTGGGGGGCAGAATCGGGGAGCCTCCTTCAGCTGCCCAGGACAGAAGCCGCAGCGCGTCACCAATTATAGCTCGACGTCACTCAAGCTCCAAAACCTGCCCATTGACACGGGATTTCGATACTTTGGCCTTGTGACAATGCTCTAGATCGCTCTAATAAAGTATCAATCAAAAGACTATGGAGCATCTATCTGCCATAGCTGCAGCTGCCAGACTTCTCCATGTTCACAACACGTTCTCATCTCCACTCCAAGGATCTCCTCCGCTAGTGGACTAGCTGCTTGCGCAGCGCGCTCCTCATCTTTTATGATCGAGCCTCGGAGAGTCGAGACACTCCACCTATCGAGAAGAGCTCAGTCGGAATCACGCTATCAACGATTCAGCTCACCTGAAGCTCCGCCACACTTTATGAGATTCTCCAATCAGGACCTCGCCTTGAGCTCGCGTCAATTCGCAACAGTCACCCCTCATCGCAAGAGCTCTTAGTGTATCTTCGCGTGCCCCTCATCGCTGAGTCCGATAGCCTGAGACGCCGGTCATTTTTGGCCCCAAGTTCCCCACATGTGGCCTTTTCCTCCAAATTGATTGCATCACTGCGATTGATGAGTCCTTGCTGCGCGATCGAGGCTTGTCATAGTCACTGAATTGCTTGCAGGCCTCATTATCCTGACCTCGATGTCCTGCTACTGCGGGCGATGCGCTGGAGCTACCGTCCGACTTGGCGCTTCGCACCGGTTGCATTAATATTGTTTGATCTTTGGCGTGTCTATAATCGAGCCATGATCATTCGCCAGGACAATTGCGATTGGCAGCTGACGTCAGACGGCTGGCCCTTCAACACCATGGAAACATGATTTTGTTCGAGCCAGCAAGGTCATGACGATAATTGTTGTGGTTGCTTGATGTCGTGCAGGCATCACAACAAAAAGCAGCTCTACGATTGGCGACATGCTTACTTCAAACACGCTGTGTGCGGGGTTGCAACCATGATTCTCAGGCTCATTGGGCCATGTGGACAGTCTTAGCGCCCAACTCCTGCAAACAACCTCTGTCTCCAACTTTATCTCGTCATTACAACGTTGTATTGTTGTCTCCCAACTCGATTGTTATGTTGATACAAGTTTCGATGATTGTCAACAAGCGTCCCAAGAACGAATCCTCGCGCGCAGAGCCGGACTTCCTTGTAACTTACCAACCATTACCGTTTTCTGTATCAGTGAGCGAACTGCAACAGCACGTGCGTGCTTATCTGGGGATGATTTGGAGGAGCACCATCCCCAAAGGGAGCGAATTATTGGCCTTTTCTCTTCCACGGACCACTTGCTTCGGACAGCGACAGAGCTTGCACCTTAATAGTCGATAATTAGGCTGACCTGCCTCACTGTTGGTTTGTTAACTTTGTTTGCTCAAAGATCTGCTTCATCCTCTTACCCATGCGGCCTCGGGCTAGTGAACATTGAGGGAAGATCTGCGAAACTAGTTCTCGTATTCAATCTGGATCGGTCGCCCTGCCCATGTGCCGACGCTGCGAGTTCAGCCCTTCGAGGAAAACGCCATTATTTGACACCAAAGTCTCTACGAATTGACTCATTGTTGCTTTGTGTCGTTCATGAACTCCTTTTGCGAGTGCCTTCGAAAGCTCAGAGAATGAAGACCATCCCCTTCCTCAGCATGCAAATTTCGGAGTTGGAAGATCATTCTCGAGTGAGGCGAAGCTTGTCCCATTCGTTTTCAAAGGTTCTGAGCGCTAGCTTGAGGACGTCACCCTTCGATTCAAGGCCAAAATAGGGATGTGCAGCGCAGCACTATGACAAAGCAACGCCTGTGCCTTGTTCGTGGCACTGAAAGTTGCAGCCAGTCAGAAGCCAGTCGCGGTAACAGGAGAATGCGGTTCATGCTTTCTGCGATGGCTGCTATTCTACGACAATTGGCTTGTTATATACCTTCTCAATCGCGAAGCGGCCAGATGTCCTCCCTCGTTAGTTCCGATACGGCGAAACCGCAAGCAGAAACCCATGTTCCTGACTTGAAACGGCTTTCTGAGGTTTAGTTTCTCTATGCGAGTACTATGTCCACGGGGCTCTTCATCCTTGTCTACCATATTAAACCACTCAATGAGGCGTCGAGGTGAGCCGAGAACCATCTTCCCCGGAGCACAGCCGGATTACTTCGCCCCTTGCAGTTTGCATCCATGACTCCCGAGTAGAGAGTGCCTCCACCTTGATCCGAATCGTCTTCACGAGTAAGTTAGAATGTAGGTCTCTGAATAAGCTTCTATGCATGCATGAATTACCTGTATTTCGGCAGGTGTGTTCGCAAAATCAAGCTTCTGAGGTTGAGTACTCGAATTACAGTTCGATTGTCTCACTGGTCACGAGGTCGTTATCAAATTCCTAACCACCCAGCAGAATATTCAATACAGCTTCAGGCAAAGACCGGCGACTTACAAGATGCCAGTCCCACACCATCTATCCCCAGCTACGCAATGCGATAATTGAAGAGCTGATTTGGGTCAGTTCGGAAGCTCGAACCCCTTCATAGTCATACTCCTTGCACCAAAGCCAAGGCAACACCCCAGACTTGGCCTTTCCTGCAGAATCTCACAGAAAGATCCTTTCGAGTTATGCCACCCTTGCTCTAGGGCCCACAATTTACTCAAGGAACGGAAACTATCGATCTGGCCAGGTACGTGGGCGGGGTTGTGGGCCCCATGCTTTGCAGCAGAAAATATGCGAGGAACGGTCCTCCGCATATACTGAAGCTTAATGGTTCGTCAAAACTTGATCTCGCTCGGTGAGCATTCCCCGTTCGTCCCGAGGCGGGTATCAAGCCTCGAAAGTCAGCAAATCGCGCTGCCAGGAAGCGCCAGGAATGCTTGAGTCGTGTGCCCTGATTAGAATGGAGAGGTGGTTCCATTTTCCGCCTGGATTGTGGTTGCGTATTGGGCGTCGGATTACTGCATAGGGCAGCTCTTTAGCCGCGCTCAAGCGACATATTCATATACGGATCCCTGGACAGCGTATGGTGTACTTCGACATGATTTGGAACTTCCAGATTGGCATATCTCAGCTCTTGATCACCAGGTATATCCATCAACTAGCACCGAGGGCTGCAATGGAGCGATCTAGCAAGCGGCCACAATCTTGTATACTACCTAGCTTGGTCCTAGTGTGATAACCAAGTATGTAGCGACAGGCTTCAGGCAGTGTTTTCTGAGGTGCATCATAGAGGTCGACTTGTAAAGAAAACTTTGTTGCTTTTCATACGTGACCAGTCGAGGACCATGGAGCAATGCACTCAGACCCCGTACTACACAAGCAGGACAGAGTACCCGGAGTCTTGCGCTCTGCTATAGCACTATTTTCATGATTTTGCTCTCTACGCAGCCCTTGTGCAGCAGGGAGTAGTGCCTATCCCAACGCCATGGTATCACCTATAGTTGGCCGGTCTCATACAAAGCCTACACTATCACAGGCAGATGGAGTATTGCCAATTGCTAAATCTGTACTGAAAGGCACCCGAAGACGCTGGCCTGATAATCCTACGTCTTGTATTTCGGATCATGTTTATTCCCCTATCATTAACTCATGATGGTCCTTGCATTCAAGATTTTGTGCTTACATGGACTCGGGCTTGCAATTATATACATCTGCTTTAGGCAATTGAGTATTGTGGTGCTATACGGCTATCTAACAACCACTGAGACCGGCGAGCAGAGGTTTATACTACTCACTTCATTCGATCTCAAGCATACAGACTTTCATTTTACTAAGTCATGATCAATGAAGACCTGCCCTTGACAAGAAACTATATGAGGTCGAGGCTTATCGATAAAAGCGAGAAAACAATAGATAAGAAAAGCGCTAAACCGTATCCGTCAACCTCCGCAAATTTTCGCCGCAACCCAAGCCAACTCAAATCTTCAGGACAACAAACTCCCTCAAGCTCCAACCACGCTTATCGAAATCTTCCCTGTACCAATTACCGAGGGAGAAAGCTGAGAAACAAAGGCGCCACAAAAAGGGGAGAAAAAAACCATCACAAGCCGAACAATGCCCCACCCGAAACCTAACCACGCCCCGAACAAAAAACGCCGCCGCGAGCCCGTAAACGTCGACACGAAGCTCGTGGAGATCTACGAGGATCTCGCGAGCGAGAATGACGAGATCCGGTTAAAGGCCGCGCAGGCGCTTGTGTCACAGTTCACGCCGGATAAGAAGCCGGCGGACGAGCAGATTAGAAAGGCGCTGCAACGATTGTTTCGTGGGCTCTGCAGCAGTCGCAAGGCGGCGCGAGTGGGCTTTTCGATTGCATTGACAGAAGTGCTCGCGCAGGTGTTCTCGAAAGAGGGCGTGGAATCTCGCGAAGAGGATATTACTGTTGACGGGGTGCTGGGGATCTGGGAGGGGGTTTCGCATGCGACGGGCGGTGAATCCGGGCAGGTATGATGATTCCTGAGAGAGATAGGCTTTTGAGGCAAGTAGGTTGCTGACGGGTTCACTATTAGGAAGTGCGAGATCACCATTTCGGGCGGCTCTTTGGCGCAGAGGCCATCATCAAGTCCGGGATCTTGTACAGTCCCAAGAGCCGCATTGCGGAGTGGACAAAGGTCCTAGAGCTGGTCCTCGACCTTGCGAAGAAGAAGCCTTGGATTCGGGAAGAGTGCGGCTGGATTATTTACCGCTCCATCTACGATCTTTCGGCGCAGAAGGCTGACTCGAAACTCGTGGAGATTGCGCTCGAGAGTCTCTGCTCCAACGACCTGGCGCGGACGCCCGAGGGTGTTGCGACGTGGGTGGCCGCAAGGGATCTGTTCCCGGGAATCGGCTTCCCGAATAAGGTCTGGAAGCATGATGATCCATTGGATTCGAAGGAGAGGAACCAGCTGGCAAAGGTCATGAAGGAGTCCGAGCCTGCGGGAGATAGTGAAGGTCCTAAGGTGTCGGGCGTGTGGAACTCAAAGCTTCACTTTGCTTGGGATGCCGTGGTTAACAGCCTGAACTCCGTGAGCGAAAAGCCTTCGAAGTCTACAAGGCTTAGTTTTGCCGATTTCTGGCTGGAGGTTGTTGATAGTAAGTTCGCCTCCTGTATTGTACGACTCCACAAACGCTAACAACTATAGACGGTCTATTCGCCTCTGCATCATCCGAAGAACGCAAATACTGGGGTTTCCTACTTTTCGTCAAAGTCCTTAACGAGCAAAACCTCCAAGTCGCTTCCCTTGTCTTTACGAAGAACCTTGTCCGCTGTCTCACAAACCAACTCGCCGTCGAAGACCGCTACCTCCACCGGATGGCCATTAAAGCCTCGAAAGCTATCCAAGCCCGCGTATCCAAGGAGCCCGAATTCGCAGCCGCCTCCGTAAAGGGCCTAATGGGCACCGCCGGCTCCGTTAACTTCGACCAAATCACAAAGACCAAGACAATCGAGAAGATCGTATCCGAGGCGAACGTGGAGGCGCTCAACCAGATACTGCCTCTTTTCGAGAGCCTCATTGCGTCCCCGGGGACAAGTGACAGCAAGGCCGCTGCATCGAGTCGCCAGGTTCTTGCCGGCTTGCTCTTGTCGATGGTTCGAGCGCGCGTTTCCGCAAGCGATGCAGCGGATGAGGGGTCTGAAGCTGTGCTCGAGAGGATTCTTGTTATCTTTGCCCGATTCGCCTACTTTACCAGCGACGAGGATAAGGGTTCTGTGCAGCCGTCGCTCACTCAGCAAACGCAGGAGCTGTTCCGGAGCAGAATCAACTCGTGCCTGAATAGCATCATTGCGGCTCACAAGCACGCTTCAACGCTTCCGTATGCGGTTGTTCGCAAGATCCGCGATGCGGCCAAGTCTGAGGAGTTTGGACCGTTCATCATCGCCATGGACGATGTGCTGAAGGATTCGGTGAAGGGTGCGTTCAAGGCGCTGAAGAAGCTATCTGGAATGGTATGCTCCCATAACTTTCCCACCAGAGGTGTATACTAACGAACCTACTTTAGGACAAACCCTCCAACCAAGCCGGAATCGACGCCTTCAAACTCCTCTACTCAATGACAATCCTACAAGTCTACAACGGCGACGCGGATGCCGTCTCCATGCTTGGCGAGCTTGACTTTTGCTACAGCAAGATCTTCGGAGACAAGAAGTCGAAGAAGGGCAAGGAGGGAGAAGAAGAGACATCAGAGGCCTCGGATGCTCTTGTTGAGATTCTGCTTAGTTTCGCGTCAAAGCCCTCGCAGCTTTTCCGCCGCATGAGCGAGCAAGTCTTTACGGCGTTTGCGCCGAATGTTACGGCTACGGGGTTGGAGTCGTTGACTTCGGTAAGTTATCTCTGTTTTTCTCTCCTTGTTTGTCTCAGGAGTGCCAGACGACGCTAACATGCGAAACTAGATTCTTGAAGCGAAAGAAAGTCTCGCGGGCCAGCAGGAGATGTTCGACCAACAGGACGACGAAGAAGGCGAAGGCGACGAAGACGAGGAGGACGAGGACGAGGACGAAGACATGATGGATGCCGACAGCGACGTGGAAATCATCAATGCCGACGAAGATGCCGCCTTAGAAGCCTCAGAAAACGAAGATGATGAGGGCGACGAAGAGATTGACGAAGAAGACGCGGCCGAAATCGCCGCCTTCGAAGCCAAACTCGCCTCCGCATTGGGCACCCACCGCGCAGACCAGGACCTCAATGCGGCATCGGACTCCGAATCCGACGCAGAAATGAACGACGACGAGATGGAAGAAATCGACACGGCGCTCGTCAAGGTCTTCCGCGCGCGCCGCGACGCTCTGAGCAAGAAGAAGGACAAAAAGGACGCCAAGGAGACTATGGTCAACTTCAAGAACCGCGTGCTCGACTTACTCGAGATCTACGTGAAGAAGTGCCACTCGTCGCTGCTCGCGCTGGACCTGCTTCTCCCGCTGTTACGGCTTACGCGGCGCTCGTCTGTCAAGCAGATTAGTAACAAGGCGAACGCGGTGCTGCGGGAGTACACGAAACTCTGCAAGGGGAATGCGGTCCCGGAGCTGCAAGAGGCGGATACCGAGGCTGTCTGGGATTTGTTGAAGGATATCCATGCTGAGGCGATGCACAGTGGGCCTCGGGCGCATGGGTCCGGATGTAGTCAGGCGAGTTTGCTTGTTGTCAAGGTGCTTGTTGCGCATGACACGGAGGCTGTTGGTCGGGTTGTGGACGTCTACGGCGAGACGCGCAAGGCACAGTTGCTCAATCGGAAGTGCCATGTGCAGCCTGGGCTGTTTACTGACTGGAATAACTGGTGTGTGTCGGCGAGTAAGCTAATAAAGACTTAGTCTGCTCTGCTGTTGGTGGTCTATGTATAGCAGGAGATGGCGAGACAGTATGTAGGTACTGTATATGATAACCAGGTTAATTTCATTTTGTACTCATTGGTGAACGCTATATATACCACGATAAAACTGTAGATCGTATGATCTTTCTAAGCCAGTAGATGGAAGACTAGAAACCCTTGATATACCGATGCGCCTTCGTCTCCTCTAGCACCTCAAACTTCATCCCGACCCTAACCTCACCCTCCGCCCTCGGAGCCCCCAACATCCCGAAGCAGGGCTTATACTTCAACCCCTCATCTACCCGGCGATACTTCATCATAGTATCCCACGGCTGCGTCCTGTGCTTATCCGCAGTGACTGGATCGACATTCGGAACCTGGCAGCGTCCACACCGCGCCACAATGTCAAACGTCACACTGCTCTCGCCATATCCCTCAGCTAAAAGAGTCGAAACTCTAACGGTCTTCCACCAATCCTCCACCCACGGCCTCTCCCTATCACCCCGGATAATTATATTCGGCCGGAACCGCTCAATCGTGATAGCCTCATGCCCAGTCCCCGTTAACCGCGAATTCAGCTCATCGATCGATGCCTGCGATGCGATGAGCACGGGGTGCACGTCCGGGAAATTCGTACTCTGCACTCGGCCCAGCAGCTTGGGATCACCATTGCCCTTTAGGATTCGTGGTGTCGGACCCTTGTAAACGAGAACGACGTCGCGCTTCAGAAAGCTCGAGAAGAGCTGATTCACGCCCACCGAGGCATTGTATACATATCCATCCGTCACGGTATCCCAGATCTTGATATCCGACGCTAGAGTCGTGTTCTGGGCAAGCCATTCTGGGGTGGGATGAGCAGGGACAGCAATCTTTTCACCCTTGGATTCAGCTGTAGAAAGCAAGAGGCTCTCTCCATCGTCACTGATCCCCGTTCTGATGCGCGTCATATCCGAATTCTGACGGATCGTGAGGAACGTGTGTGTCTCGGAGTCAACGATCATCCAGCGGCGGTCGAGATCTAGACCTGTCATGCGGAGCTTGGAGTGCGTAACTTCGAACCCTCGGCATGATTTTATCGGGTACACACGGAGAGAAACGATTTCGCTGGGCTTTTGGCTTGAGGGTTGTTGCTTGGTGAGGTGGAGGAGGCGGAAGAGGGTGCTGGTTGTTTGCCTGTTGCGGAGGGAGGGGAGGAGGAAGGGGATCACTGCTAGAAGGAAAAGAAATGGAATATAGATGAGGGGTATCATTGTGAGTGAGTGCTGATGTTCTCAGTCCGTAGGTATCGTAGAACTATGATAGAGAGAGTTGAAAGTGTGAGAATATTTTGAGGTTTGCCGGAGCAATTCCGCGGTGGGTGGGTGGGGTCGGCCGTCGAATATATCGGGGATACGGAGATAAGGACTCGAAGCTTGAGACTCGAGAGAAGCAGCTCTTGAATTTGGACCAGCCGTGTATGACAACGTATTTATATTGTACAGTCTCCAATATTATGGAGGGTCGCACACGCTTAGCAAGATTTACTAGTGTTAGCTCGCTGGACCGGGCGAGACCCTGATGAATAATCGCGCCGAGTGACTCAGTTGACTCTAGAACAGTATATAGACCAAATGGGCTAAATTATCCAAGGTTGTAAATTGAGTTATGCCAGACGGTGTACGGTTTAGTTATGAGATAAAAACCGCCAGTAGATAACCAAACAATGCGAACGCTGCTACTCAAATATGCAAACGCTATACTTCATCAAGCCAAGACGTAACAAGAGATTTGATCAGTGCAATCGCAACCTCTCTTCCAGTCTCAACATCATGATCACGGCATGAGGCTGGAACATGGAAGAAGGCGACATTCCTATCCCGGCCTTCCTGGAAGGCCAAGGACAAGCTTGTGTAGAAGATAAACTCGCAGAGATACCGGCCGGCATCCTCCGATATTCGGATATCTGCGCCTGGCGGTCCAAGCGCCTGCCACGTTTTCAAAAATGCAGCGTCCGGCGGGTGAGCAGTTAGATTTGCACCGGAGGTTGTCAAATCCAGTTTCGCTACTGGTTCAGTCGCGGAATCGGAGCGGCCGGCCTTGAGAACATGCGGGAGAGCCAGCTCCCGCCATGGCTTCTCGCCGTGCTCGTACCCGACTCGCCCAAGGTTATCAGGCATATGATAGGCATCACGGTGCGCTTTTGACTCTATGGAATAGTAGTTTCTTGTTGCGGCTATGCCCATGTGTATGACGATATCTGGATGCCGGCCGTGCGCCTTGACGTAGTCGTCCATTATGACAGGAATGATCTCTCGGACCGCCGAGTAAGCGACGGATATGGGTGCAGGATGTACATGGATGGCAATTCGGCGGTTCGCGAGTGTCCCGTCTGGTGTGTCTGTGTGTAAGAACAAGGACGTTGGTAGGGAGGAAGCTATTAGATAGGACGCATTGACCACATTCGACTTGAACGGCTGCGGAGGTCAGCTTTAGTTAGATATCAAGGTTAGTGACTTACACCAAAGCCCGTTACAAGAACAGAAATCTCTTCTGGGTCCACCGAGGAGGACGGAAGGTCTCTGGGTAGTGGTGTGTTCGGGAGGTGCACACCTGAGCCACAGTCACCCATCTTGATGGCTGATGAGGGGCTTGGAGGAATCGGGAGAGTTCAGGGTACGTGGAGACCGCAATGGATCACCCCCAGAAGTGATTCAATAAACAGCTCCTCAAGAGCAAGCTATATACCCATAAGAATAAAAGAGGATCGTAATTGACTTGAAGTGAGTGGCGTCAGCCGAGGAGTTGCCATCGGACCTTCCCCGCATGATCGTCCGCATTTGGGGTCTTGGCATCACGAGATCGGTGTAACCATCAGAGATCGTCTGATCGTCGTTCCCAGTCTCGAGTTTCCTTCTTCAAACGATTTGAGAATGAACTGATGAGATTTAGCGAGTGATTGACATAGCTACCTCATTCCTCATCCACCGGCACTTGAGCAGCACCCGCACTGCTTTCCTTGGACACTACCAACTATGAATCTCGAGCTAACCGAATAACAGAACAAATGAGGACGCATTTCACGAAAGCAGCTCACTCCTCCAGTCGAAACAGCGCAGTTCCAAAGCCGAGCTGATCATACCCGCCACTGTTAGGACCATAATCACCACCACCACCCTCAGCTCCATCCCCATCATCCACAACCAAATCCCGGTATGCTCCGGTCCACGAGGCATTCAAGCCCTTCACTCCGTTATAGTGCGCATACAAGAGCTCCGCGATAGGCCGCAGGCCCCCTCTCTGAGCCTCACTGATCTCTGTTGCCGTGCCATGTGAATTTGTAAACTCCGTGAAGGGGACCTCATGGCCAGTGTTGTACTTGAACGCATACTCGGCACTGTTTTCGGTAGCCTCTACTCATAACAAAGAGATCAGGGCTGTATACCCCGCAAGGATCCGGTTATCATCTAACGCATAAAGGTCTTCACCCTGGTTGTATGCTTGCTGAGCCAGGACACCGAGAAGCCCGAAATCGAGCAGAGCGTGGCCTTGGTCGCGACCTGCTTCTTGACCCTGACCTAGTGGCTTGCCGCTACCTTCCTCCTCGTGGATGGTCCAGATGGCGTTAGTCAGGGCCCCATTGCCTTCACCCTCTTTGAAGTATGTGATTGCCTGATCTATGGCGGTCTGGTTGTCGCTTAGTACGCCGATAGCATGCAGACTGGCTAGGTTGCAGAGATCCCACTGCAACCGTTAGCTTCTGTTCAACTGAACTGCTCCGAAGAGGAAGAGGGAAACACTCACATTGGCCCAGTAATGGTCAATAACAGCGCCGTTATGATTAACGAGGAATTTCACATTCATCGGCAAGAATACCTCCTCCAACAGCGCGATCATGGCGTCCAGTCCATGCCACCCATCATAATCCCTCAGTATCTCGGCTGCATTAGCCAACTGATACCCATACAACCCTGACGCAAGGTATTTATCTGAGCTCCCAGTGACGACAGTAAGCGTGCTACTCCACGCATCGAGGATCGCTGCTGCCGCGTCTCCATTGCGCTTGTTACCGGTTACTTTCCAGTAAACAGCATTGGCATACGCCGCCGCCGCGTCCCTGAAGAGGTTCGCATAATTCTCTGGATCGCAGCCTGAGCCACGGCAGACAGTCTCCACTGCTCTGGGAGTGTAGCTTGCGTCCGCGCGGGCCGTGAGCTTTGCCCATCCCGTGAGCTGTGGCTCTGTTTCAGCCTTGATGAAGCCGCGGATGCGAGTGAAGTCTTCTTCAGTGTGTAAAAGGCCTGGGTGCGTGATCGCAGATGCGAGGGCAGCGTGCAGGAAAAGAGAAGCGTGTTTCATGATCAAATCCGACTTCAGGTCAAGAGGAAGGAGAATGACTCTGGATGAAAGATGGATAGAGAAACAGAGAGTATCTTGAAGACCTTTATATACCCCTGGCACCGGCTAGCGTCCCTCGTGAAGAGAAACCAAAAGAACGCCACAATCAAAGCCCCACGGGGTATACCCCGGACTATTCAACGGAGCTCAACGGAATTTACCCCGCGTAAATGACGTGTGTAAACATTCACTACAGGTCGGCTCCTGCAGAATCCTGGAAAGACTGCTCGCTTTATATTCCGAGAACTCCTCCGCTCTCCGGCCTTGACCGGGTACTACTACGTGGACTTAATATAAGGTGGACGATGCTCCACTTGTCTGTTATTTAGCCGAGTGTCGATCGCTGTTTGACCCGTGTGTGATGTGGCCCCTGGTTTCGGAGATGGATGGCAAGGGGGCTGCTGGTATAGGACTCCTCCGTAGACTTGTGTATTCTAGTTCGCGGATAGCTCCTCGAGCCGAGTTTGAACGTTCATTTAGCGGTTTCTCCCTATGGTCTAGTTCTCTCATCCAATCCTAACTCCTCCAGTGCGGCACCGCTCATTACTCCCCTCATATCTCACCTCGACAACCATCTCTATCTTCCCACCATCACTAGCCCCCAGTCAAAAACCTTACGAGTATTAGGTTGCACAAACGTCCACCCTGGCGTCGCCCTTCGCGTCTCAAAACAATCCGCATCCACACCTCATACTGCACCTCAACAGTACTCAACGTCCACCGACGGATATGCAGACGAAGGAGGTAATCTACGAGCGCAGGTAAGCAAAGAGGAGCCCAGCATGCCGTGGAAGGCTGTGTGGGACTACCGCTTCACTCGTGTTCCTGGGGCCACAATCAGTACGCATAGGTGGCGAATAGCCCGAAACAGATGATGTAGTTCTGTCAATGAGCTTCAGACATGAAACGGCTACACAGAAGCAAAACGTCACCAAAGACGCACAGTGGCAGCTCCAATAGAACAAGTCTTGCAGTTGGGCAAAAAGCTCAATAATTTGAAGTAGGAGCGACGCCTTGAGAAACAGGATGCAGATGCCGTAGATGATAGACAGGTCCCGAGCGTATTGAAGGGTTCGGGGGCCGTCTTCTCGACCGGGGTTCTGCTGGTTCGCCTCGCCAAATAACAGCCATGCTAGGACCAGGTACGCAATCCAAAGTCCCAGACTGTTAGACATGGGAATTGGCTAGCGAAGAGATAAGAGCCTACCCAAATCATGACCATGGCATCTGCAAAGCTATTAGCGACTTACTACTGAATCGGTGATCAACAGGTACTTGCAATCAGACGGCTTGATCCGGCGACGGTGGGCCGCAACACAGCCAACCCAACCTTATCCTACCTCTTCGCGCTCACAGCCTGAAACGGCCCCAGATTTGACCTCTAGACCACGTCATCGCAGCAACCGGTTCAAGTTTAGTAACACAATCAAGCTAGGGTCTGAGTTGAGGTATCCATCACCACCGCCATTCGGCTCTAACGTGTTGCTGGTTGGACAATGTCCCTTCAGCCTAACTTTGATATTTGATACAATGGTTGAACAGGAAGTGATAGTACCCAGTGCTGTTTAGCAAGCCCCGTTGTTAATCGTTAATGCTGCTGGAGTAAGTAAATTAATTTCCTTGACATCAAGTATAGCTGAGTATGAAGCGGTGTGGTGTACTTCTCCCGTGCGTTCAGGATGTCGCCCAGGATTAGGGCTAAACCGTAAGAATCGGCACCTACTAAGGCAACTATCACCCTCGGACTTTTAATGAACTGGAAAATACGTTGGCGCCTGGGCAGTTTTGGGCACCTATACGATGCACGTGACATAGCCCTAAGTCCAGTAGCTATAAGTTTCCAGCGAGTTGTTCCTTCAAGAAGAGAAAGGTTTCTGACCAACTGTGAGAATTGCGTGTTTATTCATTGGATATGTGACGCAGATGAGACTGTTACCCTGCAACATCCCCTAAGTGACGAATGTGTGATTAATACTACTCCTAGTAGTAATAAGTGGTGGCGAGCGCAGTGCGCACTCTCTCGATCCATTGCCGACGGGATAGCTTCTCAAACACCCGTGAACGCTCCTAGCTGTTCTAGCTGTGCATATTGTCTCTAGTATCTTGAAAAGCTGTCGAGTCATCACTCGATAAACCCGCAAAGCGCGGTTTCCGTACTAGACTGGACCCCGAGACAGGCGCGCTTAGAGGTGCACTTTCCTAAAGCTGGAGCTGGAAAAACGCTATGACAAACACTGATCGCACCTTCCTTTTCTACTTGGTTGGCTAAGAAAGGAAAGAGCAAACGTGTCTAGGGGCGCATCCAGGAAGATTGCGTGAAGGGGCAGTTCATGTGGCTCCCTCTTGGAGATGCAGCAGGAAGAAACGAGTCACTCCCTCGCCGGTCATCCTTCTCCATATATTTGGATTGGCAAGCAGGAAAAGAGGTGTAGTGGCGAATTTGTGAAAGGTATGGTCCATGGGTGGTTCTTTCCTTGTATGTGGGACCCATCTGATGTGGAAGGCGCGACCAGAGGATGCACTTTTCTGGAATAGACGAGGAACGAGCGACCGGAAGCTGGCCCATCGTTGCTTCCTTCTATACTAATTTGGCCAAATGGGGAAAGAGCGACCCATGAGTAGCTGACGGTGGAGGTGAAGGCACAGTCACGGGCTCCTGGGAGAGGCACTTTTCTAAACCAGAAAAGAAGAACGAAGCAAACAGAGCGCAGTGGCCATTGCGCATGAAATCGATCAGCCAGGTTGCGTTGCAGAACCTACTGCAAGGAGATGCTAGATAGTTGTTTGTGACGTTGTGAGTTAACCTTGGAAAACCAGTCCGGCCGACTTGACCTTGATTCCAATGTTCTGTCTCCCAAGATGCAAGGATCCCCGGCGCTTGGTGACCGGCGTTGACGCGCAGGACTTGAGCTGGAGGCCATTTGAACGTGCTTTCTTGAGTGAAACAGATCTCACTGCTGACGCTATGAGATGTATGTTTCGCTTTTGACTGCTGATAATCAACTTGAACGGTTTGCGGGGCCTGTGGTGGAACCTCGTCGGCAACTCTATACCCGGCCCTGGTCCTTGTCGGCAAACACATCCTGCAAGCCCTACAAAGCTGGAACGATGAGTTCACGCAGCATGCCCATGACGTTCTCGAGGCATACTTGACTGCGAGCCCAGTGGATAGCTAGAATCAGTCTGGTCATCGTTGCTGAGGTCGAAACATGCTCCTGGTTGAGATGGAAATGGCGATGGCAAAGACCAGAAAGTCTCGGAGTTACGATAATTGCACCACGATCAGGCACGATGACTGTGTGCATGAAGCCTCTTCCGAAACAGACGCCGAGTTCCTCGCTCTGTCGGCTGCCGACTCGAGAGAATGACAAAACACGTAAGCACCGGCACCGACAAGCGCATTCCTGTACGGACTCGTGGGGATCTGCTTTGCAGCGAACAATGTACCCTCCATAGCTTGGTCTGACTCAACACTGCTCAGCATTTTTGCTTTTCATTTTTCTTGCGCCTTCAAGTCAAGTGAGCATTAACAACTGCAGGTGTGTTTAAGACATCGCGAAATCGCTGCAAGCTGGACTAAAAATAGGCCGACACGTAGATATGGAGTACGAGGAGCCGATGTGGACAGCGATCAGGAATGAGAAGAGAACAAGGTGTGAGCTGTGGAAAATCACCTGGTTTGAGTTCAACGAGTTCCTGATTTTCGGGGTTCCTGCAGTGTGCAGTGGAGCGTTAGAGCTTGAAGTCAGTAGGACCCATCGTTCATTATCCGGAGGACGATGAAATCTTGAAATCAGAGTCGTGCGTTTAGGCGGAGGATCGCGCCGTTGAGACGGTAATTAACGTAATATACCAAGCGCGCGGATCCGCGTCAGGGGACGCGACGGGCACACGTTTACCCCGCCTCGACGCGTTGGTCCCACCGGCAATAAGCGAGGCTTCAAAATGGAAAGTGCACCACAAAGCCCAGCAAAAGCAATCGTGGAGCAAGAAGTCCAATAGGTAGAGAAGAGCCTCTCCATGAGTGAATACAATCTATACGGGCTGTGAACAGCGGAGATGTCCACTATTTGCTGTGGTTTTTTTCACTGCGCGCTCTGATGTTCGACAACATCGTGCTCCCAGAGCGGTAGGACGTGGACTCGTGGAGTTGGGATGGTAGCAGAGCTAATGCACGCCCAGCCCACCAAGCAGCCAGGCAGGAGAGCATGCTTCTGCATCAGAGTTTGAAAATTCGAGCCGGTGCACCTGGCGAGGATACCGCCATCTTGATCACACAGCTCGTCGAACCCTGGGCTCTGTATGGAGGAGCGATCTCTCCAGTGGATGTAGATTTCTCAATGTGATGGAGTGATGCACGCTTGAAACTACTCTAAACTACCAGCATCAGGATCTGGTGCTGAGTCTCGAGGAGTGAAAGCTGGCGATGAAGGTCTAAAAAGGCACAAAAAAAGAAAAGAACGAGCAGCTGAGGATGATCCCTTGCAGTAGAAGGTCGAGAAGATCCCAAGATGAGGAACGACTTCAACGGCTCCATCAGCGGCGATGCGATTTGTTGTCTAGGCCTGAGGGATCGTTGGGCGGCGCGGTGAGGCGGTTGAACTAAACTCGAGTCTTGGACTCTTGATTGCTTCCAGCCCCCAGGATTTCATACTCAAGACTTCATCTTCAGCTTGTCGTGAGACTTGAGACACGAGACAAGCTGCCCGCATTCCAGTGTCTGTGGATGGAATGTGATTGTTGCCAGATGACCCGTCTGCTCTTGCAAGTGACAACACCAGCGGTGGAGGGCATCCCCAGTTCAAACCAGCTAAATCGGACTAGCCATCCCCATTTACCGCCAGTGGAACCCCGTGGACGAGCCTAAACCCAGAGTGAAGCTTTAGTGAGCTCCTGGGGCCACTTTGCGCGAGTCTAGTGCTGTGACGGGCGGGTTTGTGGCCTGAGAACTGAGGCCCCTGTGACTCTGCCCCGTTGTTCTTGTTCCAACTTTACCCGCGCTTCGCTCTCTCTCGCTCTTCCTCTCTTCCTCCATCCCCAACCTCCTCGCCCTACTGCTCCGGCGTTAGTTCCTCCAGACGGGCGTCACGCTCGTGCGATTCCATCCCTCCCGTTTCCCCCATTTTCCTTTGTGTTGGTCTGGCGTTTTCGTGTGTCAATGACGGGCCTTTCTCCCTTGCTGTGACTTGACTGTCCGATGGAGCGCGGAGCCCAGTTGATGTGATCTCTGACCAAGAACGACTGCTTGTCGCATTTCGCAACCGACAGCGGCCTATCGCATCGACACTCACACGAATTCGATCGCTTCCTACCTCTCCGACCACTCGCATCTTGACGAACCCATTTCCTTTTCTCTTTCTTTTACCTACTTTCCTAGTTGTTACGACTTTACGACCACCCCCAAGAACACGCCTTCTCGACTCACGCTCCCCTCTGACACGTTTCCCCTTGATCTGAACGAGCGAATTCGCTGCTAGCCGTGTTGCGCTCTTGCGCTTCGACATCGTTCACGCGTATAATCTGGGTCAAAGAGAGGATCTGCAGCGCGAAGTACATTGCTGGACCGACAGTTGCTGAACTTCAAGGAATTTTCCCGACGAGACGAGCGATGCTGGCATAGAGGATTTGGCCATATTTTCCGAACAAACGCTTCCCGCGCTACTGCCGATTGTTCCCCGTGGGACCGCACAAAACGTGGCACATCATGGCTGACCGACAGCACGGCCTTTCGCGCACTCTGCCGAAGGACTTCACCTACCCTTCTATCGCCCAAGGAGAGCCTAGAACCCCCGAACGCCCTTCTATACAACCGGATGCGCCGCCCCCGCCGCCTCGGCATTCTTGCTCCCGCCTTCGCCGATCCCGCGTTCGATCCGGGACCGACCTCTTCGCTCAAGCCAGCTATGACTTCAGCACTTACACCAGCACCTCCCCCGACGTACCTTTACCCTCCATCGAATTTCCCCCTACTCGTGATGCCTCCGCAGTCCAGTTTGAGACAATGGTAGCGCCTACCGATGACCATTTTCTCGCGCCTCCCCGCGCTAGGGTAGATTTAAGAACTCCGCCCGCGCAAATCCGTCCGGACCCCATTGAGGCTGATTCTGCAAGTTCTTGGTCTGCGTGGAACCTGCAGGCTGCCGGAGATGCGCTTCAGCGTCCCAGTTCGGCTTGCTCGAATGCCTCGGATTCCTCAGTCTCCTCAATAGAAACGTTCAGCTCGCGGAGATCAGTTGGCGGAAGCTGCACGAGCACGGAAAGCGATAATTACGACCCTTTTTTCCATATCGAAATCACGCCTAAGCAGACGGCGGAGCTCGCACCGTTACCTAGAAGTACAAGAACCAAAACCCAAAAATCCACGAAAAACAGAGAACGATGGTCTTTGGATATGGACAACCATTTGTGGAATACATACCAACTCTACATTCAGGATCCCACCATTACTCCCTTCAAGATGACCCCTGGGAGTATCCCGCCTCTCGGTGTCACTCACAGAGTGGCTCGGGAGGCAAAGCGGAGCTGGGAAAGAAAAGGGATCCGATTAGACAAGCAGTTCCCGTCCCGCGACGCGGCTCCGCGAAGCGGAGATTCGACCCCGACTACTAAAGACACTCTACCTAGGCCCTCATGGCCCAAATCCGAGTCCTCAACCCGGCGAAGGTTAAAACTCTTGTGCAAGAAAAAGTTCTCCATCGCCCCTCATTACCAAAGAATGATGCAGTCTCGGAGCCCTACACCGTTCCTGGACCTTTTCTCGCGTCCCTCGGATGGATTTTCCCGGGCTGATACCTCCGCCAACACTTCTGCGGTCTACGCCACGCGCGATCTTGGCGTCTCTCTCGTGTCAAGCTCAATGCCTGGCCCGCTGGCTCAACTGGCCGCCCCGGAACCAATAGCCGAACCTAACACCGACTTGCCTGAACCTCAAGTGCTTGGAAGCTTCCGCAGTGATCTGGGCACTTCACTGCCTACAAAGGTCTCGAGTTTCGACGAGAGGGGGATGGCTCCCCGATTGGGCTCTCCGTTCTCTTATCATACTTGGGGCCCGAACAACCTGAGAAAGCGAAATCTACGCCATACCCCCAGAGCTCGACGCGAAACCATTCATGTGACGGGCTCGCGCCTGCGATCTCCCGCTCGGATGGAACCTCTTCCGAACATGGCCACTAGCAGCAACATGGGTTCGAGTGCTGCTGCTGTATCACCCACCGAGCAGGAAACTCGACGCAATCTAGAGGAGCTTCTCCGCCAGGGGAAGCTGCATGATGTTGGCCACCGTCGTGTACGGATCAGAAACCGCGGAGCCACAATGAGTGCAGTCACGCCCAAGGGCTTGGACCAGTTGTTCTCACCGCCATCGTCCTCGTCTCGTAACGAAGAAACCCCCTCAACGGAGAAGCCCATCCCTAACCCCCTTCTGAACCTTAGTGGGGAAAGCATCAAACGACTGGGATCCCCTTTCAAGATGGAAGGATTGCGACGCACTGGACCTCCAGGCAGAGTTTCAAGACACGCACCGTCTCTCTCCGACCCCTTTGCAAGCGGTCCGCCTCCTCAATTCAGATCCATGCCATACCATGCGCCCTCCCGAAGCCAAACCTCCGCCACGACCGCGTTGCCGTACGACCCTACGGAGGAGGGTATATCGGATGCCGAGCGTATCCGGAGACAAATCTTGAATATGCCTTACTCGAGGCGATAGATGGTACCACAGTACCAAGCTCTTGCGCCATCAAGTTCTGCGGAGAGCATTTTACCCCGTTCATGACCGTTCTAACGGGGTGCCAGTGTTTTGGGACACTGGCCGATTGATTTATTGTGACATTTGAAGCCATTTACGCGGAAATGATGATGTGAAACGGCATTTGACGACACTAACGACAGTTTAAGAATACAGAAAGAGCAAGAGCAATTTGCGCAAAAGAATGATGAACCCGAAAAACAAAAATCGCATATTTTGAATGATAAAAGTTGCAGCCTGTTTACCCTCTTGGCGTGACACGAGCGAGTCTGGATCCGTGCTTTGGCGCTTGTGACAAGCATGACTTTGGTCTGATGTGACTGGCACGGATTTCATTGATTGAACACAATTTTTTGCAGTCTTCTTAACGGTCGACTGTTCACACTCACTTCCTTCTTGGCCTCGACCAAATCGACATTGGCCGTCAGAATTTATCCAACTGGACATCACTTGTCTCAGGAGACCTCTGGCATGTTGTCAGTCAAACCTGGCTTCCACTGTTGATCTGTGCCCGCGATCAAGTCCACTCTCTGAACATATCTTCTCACTGAAGCCAATCGATCGGACAGCGCATCAAACTCTCAGAAATCTCGAAAAAAAAAACAAACAGCGCTGTCCATCGTTGGGGGCTTCCTCTCACTCTATTTCCTTTTCTTTTCCTTAACTATCTCATCTGCTTACAGGACTTGGATCCGGCAATACCCACTCACTACTTTCTTTACATGTCTCAACTTTCTTTCTCTTTCTATTTACTCCACGACGAGCCCAGACGTCGCGCCATACCATACATGATGATTGGAACGGAGAAATGCTGCTTTATGACACGACTCGATATAGATGAATGATGCTGTGCGTATCGACATTTGCAAGCGCGCGTTTACACTTCGCAGTGTTACCTTCCGTCACTGGACTTTGCTTCCTGTGCTCCCCTGCCCTACTCCATGCATGTCAGGCATCTATCTGCCTGTCCAAGCAATCCCAGGATTGCATTATCTAATGCTCCCCTCTCCATTTCTCCCAGCCCTGTCGCCCGGGTCGAAAAAATGCAGGATTTTTTGCCATTTACTTTCCCCATCTCTCTTCTCTCTTCTCACCTCACATTGTGATATTGTGTGTCCTTTTTACTCTATTTTATCTTTCTTTTCTCTACTCTCACTCAGTCTTGTTTTCCTGTCCGCTTCTAGCTTTTTGACGAACTTGTGTTCAAGAGTTCAGCTATGATGCCATGATATCATGATTCGATGTGGCGATATACATCTGAGTGTTATGATTATTTGAATCTATTATACATTTCAATTTTCAAAACTGCTCCTAGTCGTGTAGCACTTTGCTGTAATCCGTAAGGTCCTAAGCTTTTTCAAAGACCATAAGTTAGACTCGAAAAAAAAGAAGCTACAACCTAGGTGACCCAATGATTGAAAGAAGAAAAGTATATTGCTGTACATATGAACAGAATAAGATCTTGGTAGAAAACCCGTCCACCATGATAGAGAAGAGAGCTAGAGAGACAATCATAAACCAATAAGCGGACCAAAAGGTGAAAAAAGAACGGAAAAAGCCAAACGCCTCGAAGTGCTTAAGACAAACCGTGCGAAAGGAAGGGGGTATACGCGGATTTGTGTGTGTCATGATAAGGCATTAAAAGTACAATGTGTAGGAGAAACAAAAAAGGAGAGGGTTTGGAGTGAGATAGGAGATCGTGAGGTTAAACCTTCTCAATTCTCTTCTTCCTCTCTGCAAAAATAGCCTCTAGCTTGCGGATCTGCAGACCAAGGCCCTTCTTCTCGGCATTGACAAGGAGCCATGACTCCATTCTGGCACGGAGGTGTCTCATTGAATTTAGAACTGGGAGAGTTGAGGTGTTCGGTATTTCCTCTCCGTGTCGCTCCATCTGGGCCCACCGTTTACTGCCAGGGTTGAGGAGTAGATCAAAGACGTCGGCCCAAATATCGCGCTCCCAGTATCGTTTGAGTGGTTCGCGGATGCGGTAGCTCTTCGAAGTCGCGTCTGTCGCGGCTGACTCGATGTACTTGCCGAAAAGCATGACGTGAACTGTGCCGGCGAGGCCGTAGAGGTCGATCTGGTGAGTCCAGGGTCGCATCTCGCGGATCTCGTTGCATTCGTGCTCCCCTGTCTTCCAGTCCGCGATGAATTGCACGTTCGGGTGGAAGGCGCGCATGTCGATGCCACGCCCGAAGTCGATTAGGGAGAGGCCTTTGCTGCTCCAGCCGTAAGATCCGCTGGGCGAGTAGTGGAATTCGCGAGGATCGGAGGAGTACTCATTGAATGGGGCCGAGGCTGGCTTGTCTTCGAAACGGATGAGACAGTTATCGGCTTTGATATCTCCGTGGAGGACACCGCATGCGTGCAGGGCCTCAACGGTGCGGAATAACTCAATGGTAAAGAACATTGCAAGCGCCTCGTCCAACCCCCCTTCGCCGATTGCATGGCCTGAGATTCCTTCGTTACGGACGAGATTTACAAGGTCGAGCAATGTCCCCTGCGGACGATAATCTTCAACAAGGATGCTCTCTCCCTTGAAGATGTGTAGCTCGTGCACACGGATGACGCTGTCAGAGGCGCGGGCAAGCTCCGGAAGCCGGCTCAAACGTTCGTGCACGGTTCGAATCATGTAAAATTCCCAAGCATTAGGCGGGCCCACTTCCAACTTAATCGCTTCAAAGCCATAGCGGGGCGTTTTCTGCCGTGTCAGGCTCTTAGTGTCCGCAGCACTCGAGCCTCCACTGTTGCTGTCGCTGGATTCATTATCAGAGTCCGAATCCAGGCTGTCAATACTTTCGGCCAGATAAACTGGAGCATACGCCCCTGCCCCAAGCTCCCGTCTGATAATGTAGCTCCTCTCTGCTCTCGGAAGGTCGATAATGGGCACATCAAACGCTGCCTCGTCTCCACTCTTCGAACGCTTGCCGTTCGTTTTCATGTATTTCTGGATCTCGGGGGCGTAATTCGACTCGGCATCTGGATGAGCATGGAAGCCTGGATAGGCTGCGAGGGTCGATTGCATGGAGCTTAGAATTTTGGCACGAATTGATTTGTCGACAGGGTTGCAGAGCATCTCTTCGATGATTGCGCCTTGCTGTTGGCCACCTGCCTTCGGGGAAGAGGACAATCGAGATCCAGCCGCTGCTTTTGCCGCTGTGGGACTTTGCAAGGCATCTTCGAGGCCATGCAGTGTTTGTCCATGGTATGGCGTTTCGGGAAGAAGAGGAGTGGAAAGCAGATTTCTCATCTGGGGCATACCAGGGGTCGTGGTTGGATTCAGAAGGTTGCGAGAAGGAGTTTTGCTGTTGTGCAAATTGCTTCGGGCTGCAGTCATCGATGGAAGAGAGTACTCAGTGCGCTCCACGATCGGCGTCATGAAAGGTAGGCGATTTTGGGCTGCGATCACAGGGTCACGGTATGGGCCAGAAGGTGCTGCATAGTCTTCAGGCATCTCGGGGATGAATCTTTCCCTCTGAGGCCCTTCAGCTGCAGTAACACCACCTATGTGGTCTTCATCGGCATCGTGTGTTGATCCTTGTGTTGTTGAATGAAACGCTCCTGTTTCAGGGTTAAGTTGCGCTTCAGAAAATCGTGTCCAGTCGCCTTCAACAACACTCTCAGCCTGCGTATGATCATAGAAGCTATCCCCGTCGCCATCGTTGAACGACCTGTGGAAAGTGGTATCATCATCCCCGAAATCGCTCGAAGCGGCAGAAATTCGCCCTGTTCCAGTACTTTCACCAGCACTTGTGTAATCATCATCATCAAAATCACTGCTCTCGGCTGCAGTCTGAGATTCAGCCTTTAGAGGCTGGTTAAAGATACTATAGATCTCGTCTGTTGCTGCCCTCGTGTGCATCGTCATCGTTGGCTCCTGCGCAGTGCTTTTCCGGCGGATCTTGCCACCAGTCGGGGAATCGAACTTCATTTTGACTGCCATTCTCAATTAGACATATAGCAGATCTCACTTGTGAGGGGTTGCAGATTCTCACCAGTTTGTGTTTCGGCTCTCACCTCGCGAACCTTCAATTTCCGGGCCTTGGCTCCCTTGCCATCAGTTTCGAGATGTTGCGGCGAAGCAGCCCCATCTGCATTCTTCAGGTTCAACTTCTGCTTAAACTGATCTGGCAGTATCTTGTCAACTTGAGGATCTTCTGTCAGAGTAGCGTTGCCAGAGATCTGCCCGAGGGGCTCTTTTTGGGCCCGCCAATCCATGTCCATCCAGCCACGTTTGATTGCTCGAAGCTCCTCAAAGCTAACCTCATGATTCGGGTTCTTGTAGTCGGGGTAAACTGCATCAAGATCGACAAATACTCGCTCCCTTCTTCCTGTACGCGGGTTAATGGCTTCTCTGATACGGTGCTCTGGAACTGGTTTCGATTGTAATTCTTCTTTGGCTCGTGAATCTGATTTTGACTGAGTACATGAAAGTGAACCAAGCCGGTTCGTAAAACCAATTAGTCCTGTGATCGTAAATATACGGAATTAAGGAGGAGGGGGCGAACTGAATATTTGACTTACCTCGTCCCTGAAAATCATCATCTTCTCCTTCGGTGCAGCCTTATTGCCAGCCTTCAGAGTCTCTCCAGCCCATGGTTTTGCTTCCACTTTGTTCTCCTTCCGCCGATCTTGCATAGACCCCAGATTATCCCAGCCTTTCGTAGCTCCACCTAGAGCAGGTTGACTCGTTGCGGGTTCATCATCTGTGAAAATCGCCATTTTGGTTTTCCCGGATTTCGTTTTGGGGGCAGTTGTTGCGGCGGAACTTGGGCGTTGGGCCTGTGGATCGGCCGATGCAGCCGTTGCAGATGCGAATGGGTCGACTTTGGCGGCTAAAGCAGGGCGGACTGCGGGTAGCGCCGGCGATGAAGGCCCATTATCCTGTGTTCGCTGCTCGTAACGTCTCTGGAAATCGTTGTATTTGCGCACTAGTCGTTCAGCTGGTCGGGCTTCCCGGTCAATCCCGAGTCTGTACACCTCGTCTGCCTGGTTCCACCGTCCAACACTCTCAAGCCAGCCCGCAAACTCTTCGTAGAATAGCGCCAGGCCCTCCCCAACATGATGACGGGCCATAAACGCGAAAGTCTCCCGTGGCGAGTCGGAGAATAATCTGATGTAGTGTAGCCATAGCCGGAGATATCGTGAGTCGTTCTTGTAGTGGGGTGATGAAAGGAAGGCTTTGACTGCGCGCTCTAACAGGGGGAGGAGACCGGACTCGGCGGTTGCCTGTGCGGAGGGGTATGCGTTTAATGCCCACTTTACATAGCGATCGTATATATCAAGAGGGTCGTCTGATTCTCCGACCGCTTGCAACTCGGCCTCGTACTCCTGTCGAATCGCATCGTTGAGGGTCCGTGTGTCGTTTGGAGAGGGAGATGATAGCTTGTCGCTAGGATCACGGGGAGAGAAAATGCGGGCTAGTTCTCTCGCTGAGCGACCACCTGGCAGCGACTGAATGTTTTCTTTCTGATTTTCGATGATGTCGAAGTTGATCAAATCTCCAGAAGCCGCCATGGCGGCGAGCGACAATGCTGATAGTCTAGGTCAGATGCGGATTATGAGTCTTCGTTGCTGGTTAAATGCTCTCAAAACGCGCAATTTGAGGCTATATACCGTTAGTATCGTGGTTTGAGGGAAATCCGGGGTTGTCGATGGTCGTTGAAGAGTTCGAGTTCAGGAAGCTTTTGTCGGGAGTCGGAATCGGTCTATTTTCCGTTTATCGATAAACAACTGCTCCGTTGCCCTGGTTACCGGTCACATGACGACTTCTTTTTCAAGGTCGAGTTAGCTTCACTACGAAATCCATTCCAAGGAATAAGCTAAGGATCGTAGCTGTTACACGAGCAAGTAGGAGATGCTTAAAAAATCGGAATACTCTAGTAAAGAATATTAATAACTACTCGCTGCTGAAGCAAGCCGCGTCAAATTGAACACGTTATTACTATTGTGGCACAGGGAATACTGAGCTGCGGAGAGGAACTCTTGAAAGGAAGGAGCGACCATCGCGCTTTCCTTTCTTACCTTCAACTTGGATACACCTCGCCAGGCCATCGGCCGGTGTCTTTAACTTAGAGGAACTGCCCCAACTTCTTTCCCGCGAGCTTACAATCACTCTCACCGCATCTGCGTTCTAGGCCACCTTTTCCATCCCATCGACGCCATCGATCTTCCCTTTTGGCCTCACCCACAGCATCCACTCAATTGCGGGGAGCTTACGGCTCAGCTCACTTCTATCTGATATTACCTTGCTGACATGCCTCCCCGCGGTGCCCGGAAGGCTGCCCTCGATGCTCTCCAGCCTCCTGAAGACGCTCCCATCAAACGAAAACCAGACGAACAGCACGATTTACTCTCCCCCCGACGGCAATCGAAGCGCATAAAGTCCATCGAGCAGCTCCACGTTAAACCATCCAGCCCCTTGCCTGCGACCCCCGGAGAGCAATCGGCGTCGGCCACCCGCAAGACCCGGTCACCTCGCAAACCCCAGACTCAGGGTAAAGGACCCGTGGTGGTGATCAAGGAAGAGCTTGAGGTAAAGGAGGAAGAGATTTACACTGAGACAAAGGATGCAGTGGTAGAAGAACAAACAAAAACTACCACGAAGGCAGCGAGAAAAGGGACCAAGAAAGACAAGATCGAGATGCCCCTCAGGGCTAGAACACAGGGGCTGCGCATGTTTGTTGGCGCTCATGTGAGCGCAGCGGGAGGTAAGTGGAATCTATATCAGTTTATGCGTCGCTGGATTCATGAGACTCAATATACTTCGTGTATTAGGTGTACACAATGCTGTTAATAACAGCGTGCATATCGGGTTAGTCTATACATCTTTACTATCAAACTGAGGGTACTCTGGTCTGATCATTTCTTAGTGGAAATGCCTTTGCGCTCTTCCTGAAATCGCAGAGGAAATGGGACAACCCTCCCCTCCAAGACGAACCTCGAGACAACTTTCTCCGTCTGTGCAAAGAGCAAGACTATAATGCGGCCAAGTAAGTATTGCAACTATAAAGCCTATACTAAATGGACCGGTATACTAACCCACCCTAGATATGTTCTTCCACATGGGTCATACCTAGTCAACCTCGCACAGGAAGACAAAGCAAAGTCCAAGCAAGCCTATGATGCATTCCTAGACGATCTAAATCGCTGCGAGTCTCTTGGAATCAAACTCTACAACTTCCAGTAAATTTGTCCTGTCGGTTCTTAAGCTCTGGATCTCACTAATCCATCTAGTCCCGGCAGTGCAAACAGGAGCAGCTTTCCCGACGCACTCGCTCGACTTGCCAAGGCCCTAACCAATGCTCTCTCTGCGACAAAGACCGTCGTACCAGTTTTGGAGACCATGTGTGGCCATGGCTCGACAATTGGGGGCTCTCTATCAGAGTTTCGCGACCTTCTTGCTTTGATACCGAAGGAACATCATGCACGGATCGGAATCTGCATAGACACTTGCCACAGTTTCGCGGCCGGATACGACCTTGTCTCGCCCGAAGGATTTCAAGCGTTCATGAAGGAGTTTGAAGACATGATCGGAATTCAGCATCTCCGTGCGCTTCACCTTAACGATTCCAAAGCGCCGCGTGGTAGCAAGCGTGACTTGCACGCGAACATCGGTACAGGGTTCCTTGGCCTAAGAGCCTTCCACAATGTCATGAATGAACCCCGATTCGAAGGTATACCCATGATTCTTGAGACACCAATTGGTCGACCGCCATCCACATCCAAGGTCATTCCATCCACGACTGTCAACGAGCCCGGGGAAGACGACTACAATGAAGAGGGAAACGATGATGAGATCAAACTCAAGAAAACTGCGAAAAAGAAGCAAGCGAAGAAGCCAGCAACCGCGAAAACAGAGCTAGTAGACGATTTTTCTGTTTGGGCGCGAGAGATCGAGCTTCTAGAGTCATTGATCGGCATGGACCTTGAGAGTCCCAAATTCCTTGAGCTGGAGGCAGCGCTATCCCAAGAAGGCCGAGAGACTCGCGACAAGCACATGGAGCAGTACAAGAAAAAGCTAGAGGCCGAAGAGAAGAAGCAGGCTAAGGGTCAAGGCAAGCAGAAGACACTCATGGAAATGATGAGTAACAGTAAGGCAAAGAAGAAGGCCACCAAGAAGAGTCGTGATGATGAATCCGAAGATGAGGGATGTCAGAGTTGTTGAATGTTTATTGGGTCAAGGTGTGACTCGGGAATATATAGATCTTATGGACGGGTGAGTCTTTTCGCTTTTCATGGTGTTCGTTTCGATTCTCTCTCGGCATATCTATGGTGTCAAAAATCCATTTTATGAATTGACTCACTACTTGAAGATACGTTTTTTACCTCAATAATGATCGGATGTGATAACATTGTGCCATTATCAGAAACTAACAGCCCCTAAATTGATACCCTCATACATGAACTCTATACTTCGACGACCTACTTACACGATCTCCTCCTTCCGCCGCAGCAAATCCAATTACAAGCACACTCCAAAACAGAAACAGGAAGAAGACAGACTGACCCCTGTATCGGGGCAAATGCTTTGTCTGGTCTAACTACTAGTAAGAACGACGACAGGGTATTTCGTTTATATAACACCAGAACCCCACAAACAAGCACTGCAGTATGTCCGTAGAATGCGAGCAGTCCTCTCTTTCGCCAGGCTGTGAAGCGTGGGAAACGACCAATAGACGCGACATGGTATCTCTCGTATAAATCAAATATCTATGACCGTAATTTCCAGTCTTTGCCAATGACGTGTTGGGAACATCCGATGAGTGATGTTATGTCCTAAAACAGAGCGACAACGAGGTTAGGGTATCCATTAAGATAATAGCTGCTGATATACAGTATGATACTGGGTCGGGAATGGGTGTCCCATTGTTTTGATAGTGGGTGGATCTCAACCACATTTACCGGCTCGCTGGGGATCCTCGTCCTGAGGATGGCTGAGCGTTTTCATTCGGGCTCAGGGTCCTTCCAACCGTTCTCTGAACTTCATCTTCCATGGAGATGATGATTGGCGGCGCTGATTTTAGAGGAGACGGACCTGGTACGAGCGGCGAATGTGACGAACCGCGGCCGTGATCACTGAGATTCGATGTGCTGATTGTGAGACCGTGAACATTGCTGCTTCTCCCAGCGCTCAACGCGGGAAAAGAGCGCCCAGCAGCCACATCTTGGGTTGAATCAGTGTTGATGTCCTCGTTCATACATAAACCTGGTTGATGCAATTCGGAGGTCTCCGGATTGGCAATCCGCTGATAATCCCCTTGACGTCTTGGAGTCGAGTCATACTCTGAGTCGGAAGTGGGACTAGACTCCCAGTTGTTGTTTTTCGCTTCCGACCGCATTTTGGAGATTTTCATATAGTTATAAGTGGCAATACTGCCGATTGTGACGACTAGACCGGTGATGTTGACGGCCGTAAGCTTATCGTGGAACACTACCCCTGCTGCAGTGATTGTGACGACCTCCTTAAATATACCGCAGATACTTAAGGTGACGACCGAGGAGCGCTGAAGGAGCGCAAATTCGGACGAAATCATGCAGAAAGCCAGCACACCTGGAAAAATGAGTAGTAAGATACCCCAGCCAAACCCGTGGGCATCAGCGAGAGCAGTCAGACCGACGACAATCTCCGTCGGTCCCTCGACCGCGAGCGCGATAATGATAAGAGAAACGAACATGACGGGGGTAAGAAAGAAAAGGGTCGAGAACGGATTCGCCGTCGCCGGGTGCCGTAATAGAAGTATTTGCGTCAATCCCCATCGGAAACCGGAAAAGAAGGCGGAGGCGATGATCAAGACGAAGCCAACAGCATTGAAAGCCGTTTCCCCAGCTACCATCATTACAACTCCGACGGTCATTGTGGCGATGATAGCTATCAGTTTGACGGACGGAGTTTCGAGACGGAAGACGAATGCAAACAAGAGAACGAAGGCGAGAGCGGATGATTTACACATCGTGAGAAAGGTAAGGGTAATGAATTTGAGAGACATGTTGCCGAGCCCGATGTCGAGGGACGTTGCTGTGCCGCAAGGGACGAGGCGAGTGAAGTAGAAGAACTTTGTGAGGATCGGTCTGGGCTCCGATAAACTTAGTCGGTCGGGAGATCCAGATACAGATGGTGGTTGTTGGGGCCGTAGAGAAGGAATGAAGTATAAAAGAAGGGAAGAAAGCGTAAATTGGACCGCCATATGTAAGCTGGTCGTAAAAAGAGGGAATGGGAAGACTTCGTTATCGTTATCATCTCGAGAAAACATCCATTTATTGTACTGTAACCATTAGCAAGGTATGACTTCTGGGACAGGGAGTTGAAAGACTCACAATTGATATCGCCAGCGAGAAGAAGTACCATAACAAAATCAACCCGGCGTTGCCAGCCAGTCTGCGGATGACAGTCTGATCTGCTGTGCTGAAAGAGAACGGGTCATATCGCGAGGCTTTTACATCTGCTATGCGAGCGTCCAATTGCCGGCGCTGCTTCCTTCGTCGGCGTCGCTGACGCCTCTGGTTCGCAGTAAGGCCGGTTTCTTCGTCGTCGGGAAAATCATCATCGGAGCTCATATAACGGCCTTCCTCGCTCTCCGCGATAGAGGAGAGATCTGATACATCCGCATCGTCCGCAGCCGACGGTTTTGGTTCTTCTCTTTTGTGACCAATGTCCTCCCTCTGCTCGAGTGCGGGCGGTTGTGATGGGCCAGCGCCCGTGAGCACAGAGCTCCGCCGCCGATGATGGTTTCCTGACGGGGGAGATATGCTCATGTTGAAGGCGGCGCCGCGTTGGGGTAATTCGGCAGGAAAACAAGGATTCGGAGAGTGATGGCTTCGCTATGGCGACAATAACTCCATCAATGCGACCCTGCCAATTTGTTCCCCGTAAGTCTGACCCAAAAAAAAATTGACGCGGATCGACAAAGGAAAGACGGCCGTTCGAAGTAGGCGGAAAGCGGCACACGGAGGGTTAAAGGAGCGGAGCGAACGGAGAATCGGTGAGGAAGAGGCTGTTGACACGTCTGGTGGTGGAAATTGGGTTGTCGAGTAGTGCAGGCTGTCTTGCAGGAGAGGACGGAAAAAGGCAAGCAGCAGGACGCAAGGGCGACCGGTGGAGCGACAGATAAGGAGAGTGGGAGCTGGAGAGCAGGTAAGGCGATGGAAATTATTGCATGCAAAGGAAAGGGAGAAAAGACAAAGGGAACGAGGAGAAGACGCAGCAACAAGAACTGGTTTGAGCAGGAAGGAAGGAAGAAGGTCGATGACAGTCACAGGGTCAGGAGAGAGGATCGAGGCCATTGGACCCCATCACAGAGTCATGCTGCTGCTCGTCTCGTCCCAGCTCATTAAGTTGCAGTATCACAGTCCCCATTCTTGCCAAGCGCTCCGGCTCCTCTCTCAGTCAGGCTAACATTATCATTCTATCATCATTTCCCAGTGGCTGAGCAGGATGCAGCCCGTATCCCCGGTGCCTGCACGCGAGCAACTCTGACAGCCACTCTGCTCCTGTCAGCACTCACCTCATCCTCGATTCCCATGTGTTTGCTGTTTACCGCGATCGCATTTCCCCACACGACTACAAGAGCTGCTGACCCTGCGCACGAGACCCTCGAAGGGCCCTGGAGCTTGCTGAACCTTGGACGGCCCTCGCTAGGAGGCGGCACCAGCGCCATTGATTTGCTGGCTGATCGTGCTTTTTGATCCGGACGATCCGGGGTCGACCATTTCCCAAGGGCGCTCGCACTGCCAGCTCCCATTCGCTGCCCAATTAATTGGTGGATGGGCCTCCGAGCCTCGGGTGCCCGACCGCGCGATCCCAGCCTCCTCATGAGTCTCGATGACTTCGCAGTGACGAAACTTGGTCTTGTCATCAGCTTCCTTGTCAACTCGATCGGACATCAACAATGGAGGATTCCACGACGGAAACGATCGAGAATAACTCGGAATTGGAAGTGCGAGCCCACACCGACTCTCGACCCTGGGTCTGCTCTGCTGGCCCAACTCTAACCTCCAAGACTTTAGGTAACGTTACAATTTGATTGGTCGCAGCTCATGCAGCCAGGCCTCTGGTCCCAAAAGGTCCCAGACCAGCATGCAGGTGTTGTGGCGAGCATGGCATGATTTCACTGGAACGCAAGACATCCTGTCCATAGCATCATAGGAGCAAAGTGGTTGCGTTAACCCCGGATTCGTCGTGGTCTCGACCGACCGATGAGGTTGAAGCGGAAAAACGTCCCGTCCGGAGTGCCTTCTGCACACAAACCTTGTTTGACCGAGATCTAGAGCCAACGTGACTGCGTATAACGCCATTGATTAGTATGCGATTATTGGGGATATAACATTTGCGCCCTGGTCAGCAAAACCGACGGTATAGATTACATGTGATGACCGGCCTTGGACTCACCATCCGACTTTTGTCGCATCTTCGACCCGAGCAAAGGAGCTACTTCAATGTATCTCCATCTCCACAGTTCTCTGTCCAAGAAATACCTTAGTACGCAAACGTGTTTGCTCTTCTCGAATGTACGCGATGCGATGGATGAGCCGTGTCCTGCTGCTGGGTCACTTTCCTGGTGCCTCGAAAAGATCCGGTCAAGTGGGCCTGAGCGAGCAAATATCGTCCGGATACCTATCCCTGCAATGAGCCTGCCACCAGTCTCGTGAATCGGGCTTGCGGCAACCAACCTTGATCTGAAAACTCCAATACAGCCGTCGCAGGATGCAACTGCGAACAGAGGTCTTTCCGGTAACTCTTTGTGCCCACGATTTGGCATACAGTTACTCTGTACCACAAATCTAGAGGGCAATGCAATGAGCCCTAGTCAGCTGCAGACTATGACTTTTGTCAGCGCAATGAAAAAGTTTCAGCCTGAAATAGTCGCTGGTTAGAGTGATCAAGAGAGTATGGGTTATCCAAGCGCGCAGCTCAACCCTGAGGGAAAGGTGGACATTGAAGCAGAGGGCTAGTCGCAACATCAAACTTCCCAATAGGCGCACGGCCGCATTTGTAGTACACAGCTTCACAGAGGACAATTTGCAGATAAGACGAGTGCTCTACTACACTTTCTCGGGTGTAAGAGGAACCGTACAGATACTAGACAAACTGTCCAGGGTGGGCTCGCAACCGCACCTTTTGCGGCATAACTGGAGAATTGATTGAGTCGGGCTTGTCACTGAACCCGCTGGCATTCAAGCCAACCTACGCCATTCTAGCTACACCTGAATTTCCTCTCCCGGAGATTGTTGACAGATCTAGGAAGTGGGATTGCATCCCTAGGTTCGTGATGACTGTGTGCACAATCTTGCGTCTTCTTGACAACGCAGAGACCAAGAAAGCCGATGCATGCGTTGACTCCATCTTCGACCGTATCCTCCCTCATACCGAGCCATATGCCGATGCGGGGTGTACAGGGCCATCATTTCTTTCACCTCTAGCCATCATTGATGAGATCCACCTCTCGGTGAAGGAATTCAACCACCTCTAAAGGTACAAGGATAGCCGATCTGTTCGTATCAGCAACGCTGCTTGTCCCACACTTAGCCGGATACGTACGGCGAGCTTATTGACAGTATCTACTTGTGCGACAAGCACGAAAACCCCCTATCCCGTACGGGCGAAGGCTAGTGATTCGACACATGGATCTCTACATTGTCAACATCCGACATGGAAAAGACATGCGCACCTAGGGGACCTGCTGTGAGCTGCTGAATCTCGTCTACTTCATGGTTATGCTCCGAGGGGCCCTGGATCGTAGCCTCCAGTGGCTAGATCGGGAACGCTCTGCAGGGATTTACCCAGTTGGCTCCTGTGGGTGTGGTGATCAATTTGGGGAGGTTTGGGAATCCGTACAGGTAGGGTGGATTCTCTTAAAGGCATCAACGGCGTAAGATGGTAGAAGACAGTAGACAAGGTTGTATAAGCGTGCAAACAACCAGAGTTAACTAATTTTCTCGAGTTACCTCTAAAAGGTTAACTGGTGTAGCGCTGATTTGTATATATCTCAAATGTCAGAACGGAATACTTGTGTCGCTACTTGAGTCGGAATTTCCTATGCCAGGTCCATAATATATGAGACGGATTCAGGTTTCAAGATGATTCATTGCTATGTTGATATCGACAACCCTGAGAACCCCAAATGCAAGGCCTACTCGAACCCGAATATCAAGCAACGCATCCAATATACCACGTAGACCGTGGGGGGCCACTTCGCACAGCCGCTGCCCCATACCAGAGAGGAGCCCCCAACTGTGTTCGCTTGTTCCTGTACCTCGCATGTGAGATTCTCTCTAGATCGCCTGTTATGGGTAATTGTGCTGCGTCTGCCCCTGCCCCGCCTTGCCACCAGCTAGCCCATTCATTCACTGTGACATTCGTCGCAGCACACTGCAACGCAATGCATGCAATAAATCCTTGTATTTAACATCTCGAGATGTGTATGTTTCTCGCTCGGGTATTCTTCATATATTCGCCCTGATCCTGTACGATCGGACGAGTATAACCGCCGGATCGGGAAGGGCAGACGGCGGGAGATCAGTAGAGATTGTATACTTCAGCCACCCTTCCTTGGTCCGGCGGCTCCAGGTCCGGAAGTCGGAGGGGCGTTTCCCTTACGGGCAAAGGTATTTGCTGTGCCAATTGTGGCGCTGGCATTTCGGAGTTCGATCTTCTTGCGTTCCATCTCGAGCTACGTGATGTTAGTGGAATGAATCTCATGAGAGGGGTGGAATAGGTGAGATGAATGAGAATGAATGGGTGATTGACGTACCACCTTGCGCACTCGGGTAAGGGCGGCCGTGTCACCTGCCACCAACGGCCGGCAGTCATCCACGCGGTAAGGGGCCGCAATTGCGACGGCGTCTGCTACAATGATGTTAGATCCATCCCACCTCGTGGGCATTGTGCGGCTAAAGGCATCGAAGATATCCTGCGCCTCGCGCGTGACCCCTTTGCCGCGGCGTGCTTCGCTCTCCTGGAGTTTTCCGACGGCATTCGCCTCTCGGGCCTTTAGAGCGCGGATATCCAGTGCGTGTAACGATGGGACGGCATCGGCGAACGATGTCGATTCGTTGTTTTGAGCGAGTGAGACGATCTGGAATGACTGTATTCGCGAGATGGGGATTATGTGGTAGTCCCCGGCCTGTGCTTGTTTACCACCTGCGGCGTTGATAGCGACGAGGTTTGTGATCGGGCAGGCCGTGAAGAGAGTGCCTTCGATCGTGGACGAAACGGGGCTGGTGCTGATGCGGACGCTTTTGAAGAAAGTCAGTACAGTGGCTTGAAATGGTGCACGGAAAAATGCGAGAGTATCAGGCAGGCATTGCGAGCAAGTTTTCCGTAAAATGCCATGCATGATGCGGGGAGATGTCCAAGTAGCTTACCGTGCGCCGATTGCACCGCTCAAGGCCACTTCCAGAGGTACCATCGCACCCGCCATTCCCTGACTGGTAACACCGCCCGGTCCTTGTGCTGTAGCTTTCCCTCCCTGATTCTGGCGCTTGCTGTCTGCCATATGATGACAGCTGCAGATGGGGATCGGATTTTCTCCTGGTTATTAACGGCAATGGAATGACGCTCGTGCTCAGTCACAGCGGACACGCCACGTCTAGTCGAGCCTCGGGGAACAGGAGAAGCAGAGCGACTTGCGAAAAGGGGAAAAAAATTATCATGCACAAAAGAAAAAACAAGCAATCCCAGTACAAGTCCAACGAGTGTCCGAAACCTAAGCTCCGTCAGAACCACAGTTGTCTGGTGATTGACGTTTGGGGTAAGCGGCCAGCGAACGCAGGTGGGACGTCGCGGGCACCGGAGCTTTAGTCGGCAAAGGAGCGACGGGAAGGGTAGGGAAAACAGCAAAGAGGCCAAGCAGAGGGAAGAGGGCTTCCTAGGCTGCTGGCATATAGAAAGCAGATGTGGTTGTGCTCCGACAGGGGTCGCAAGAGCGCAAGAGAAAGAGTCACCGAAGCGATGATGAGTTCGACGTTGCAACTGTGCCCGTCCCGATTGGGGTTAGCTCCGGTGGCTTGACAAGCTCAATTGAACAACTCTCCAGTCGGTGCACCACCACTGTGCCATTTGAGCTTGTGCATCTACACTACTTATTTCTGGTTGAATCCAATTTAAATATCTTCATAAACAAGCCTAGTTACATTTTAGGCCTAACTTGAATTGATTTTTTCCTTTTGATATCGGGCATTATCATTCTATATCTTTGAGAGCCTTACTTGGCAAAACTCACTTTTCTCTGGTCCTATTATATATTCTTGGCCCAGATAAGCTTCACGTCCAGCGCAGTGCATCAGAGTCCCAGTTTAAGCAATGTAGGTCGAGGCAGACACGTTGCCACCGCGGCCAGTCCAGTTGACGTGGATGTCCTTGCCCTCGGGGTGTGTCTCGTTGGCGAACTCAGGCTTGATGCGGAAGGTGTGAGCACCGAAGTAGTCACGCTGAGCCTGCAGCAGGTTGGCCGGGAGGTTGGCTGTGCGGTAACCGTCGTAGAAGGACAGAGCAGTGCTGAAGGCGGGGGTGGGGATACCGAGGAAGGCACCCTGGGAGACAACGTTTCTCCAGCCCTTCTGGGCCTTCTGGATGGCGTTGTTGAAGAAGTCGTTGAAGAGGAGGTTCTCGAGGTCAGGGTTCTGGCGGTAAGCGTTGGTGATGTCCTTCAGGAAGACGGAGCGGATAATGCAGCCACCACGCCACATGAGGGCAATGGCAGGCTTGTTGAGCTTCCAGCCGTACTCCTTGGCGGCCTATTGAAGCCTGTTAGCGGTGGGGTTCTCAAGAGGGCTACGCCAGACTTACGTTCTGGATGAGCATGAAGCCCTGAGCGTAGGAGATGATCTTGGAGGCATACAGAGCCTGCTCAAGGTCGTCAATGAACTGCTCCTTGTTGCCCTCGAACTTGGTCTCGGGGCCCTTGAGGAGGCTGCTGGCGCGCACACGCTCGCCCTTGAGGGCAGAAAGGCAACGAGCAAAGACAGACTCGCCGATCAGAGTGACGGGCATGCCCAAGTCAAGAGCGTTGATGGCAGTCCACTTGCCGGTACCCTTCTGACCAGCCTGGTCAAGAATCTTGTCAACCATGGGGGTGCCATCCTCGTCGTTGAAGTACAGGATATCACGGGTGATCTCGATAAGGAAAGAGTCCAGGACACCCTTGTTCCACTTGGCGAAAATGTCGGCGATTTCCTTGGCGGGAAGCTGAAGACCGTTCTTCAGGATGTCATAAGCCTAGTGGTGATTCGCGTTAGCCAACGTCCACAACCATAAAACTTATGTTTCAATCGCTTACCTCACAGATCAGCTGCATGTCACCGTACTCGATACCGTTGTGGACCATCTTGACGTAGTGACCAGCACCCTCATCACCGACCCAGTCGCAGCAAGCCTCACCGTCGCTCTTGGCGGCGATGCTTTGGAAGATATCCTTGATGTGGGGCCAGGCGGCTTCGTTCCCACCGGGCATGAGAGAGGGACCGTAGCGGGCACCCTCCTCACCACCAGAGACACCACTGCCGACGAAGCTGATGCCCTTCTCCTTCAGGTACCTGGTGCGGCGGTTGCTGTCGGGGAAGTGGGAGTTACCACCGTCGATGATGATATCACCCTCCTCGAGGTGGGGCAGAAGGGACTCGATGAAGTCGTCGACGGGCTTTCCGGCCATGACAAGGAGCATGACACGGCGGGGGCGCTTGAGCTTCTTGCAGAACTCCTCGACGGAGTGGGCACCGACGATTGACTTGCCTGTTGATTTCGCGATTAGTCAACACTGTAATCATCCAGACAAAACAGCCCCGGAGCACCTGCAACTGCGGGAGCTGATTCGTGTGGCTTACCCTTGGCCTCATTCTCAAGGAAGCGGTCGACCTTGGAGGTAGTACGGTTGTAGGCGCAGACGGTGAAACCGTGATCAGCAGCGTTGAGGATCAGGTTCTGGCCCATGACGGCCAGACCGATCAGACCGAAATCAGCACTAGGTATAATTGGCGCTGAGAGGCAGGCACGAATGCCAGCCAGCCGAGCGCTAGATGTCAGTTATCATTCATGCCAATTGACGGAGATGGGAAGCTGAAAAGGGGGATAAAAGAGACCGCTGCTGTCGCGACGGAGCTGGTACGAGGGAGCTCTCAAGACAGCAAAAATATTCTCGTCATCTCAGTTCAACGAGTCCATGAGACATCTGCGCCAGAATTGCCCGGTGCTTCAACAAGAAGCTCCAGTGACATTCCATTGGCATGGGTAGGTATGTAGAAGAGGGAAGGGGGCTTGCGTTGGTACAGGTGGGAGAACTTACACGGCGCTCATGATGAAATGGTGGGGTGAATAGAAGTTTTGGTTGGGAGGGGTATGAGAGAGGATGGAGGGGGAAAGTCAGGTATATAAGCACTGCGAAGCGCTGCCTGACGAAGAGATTGTAAAGCTCGGAGTTGGCGGATATGAAGGAGAAGAAAGGGAGGAAAAGGAGCGAAGTTCGACGACGACAATCATCAGTCAGGATTATCCGTGCAGCGAGTGATTGCTGACGGAGCAGGTCTTCCGTCATGGTGGGACGAATAGCGGCGGGGCTGCGATGAGGAGCAGAGTAGTCCGGTCGCAGATAGTTTCCCACGTCTACTTTACAAATTCTATCCTCATGGTTACTGCTGCGATTACATTTGTCGCGCTATAAAGACCCGTTATCTCGAGGCTGTGCTGTGCTACAATGGCTTCGTGGACAGTCGTTGCCCTGCGCTCTCGGAGGCGACGGGAGGAAATTCTACGGCAGTCCCTATGATGCTGTTTGCGATGGCGGGGCACATGGAGGGGCTCTGGCTGATCTATGACCCAAGGAATTTATTCCCAGAACGCACTCGGTGAACGAGCACTGGTCGGATAAATTATCTGTGCTGCATCCCAGCGGACAGAGCTCCTCCGTTGCAATTTGATATCTGGTTGAAGCTGTCCGATTTCTCCGGGCTACTATCAATTGTTGCTTATACCGGGGGGGTCCTCGATGCGAGCAAGCTCTAGAACATGGGGATGATCTCATACAGTTGTCAGAGGCCAGCTCAGACTGCAACAGTTCTGGAGATATCGTAGCAACCATTGAACGTGAAACGGAATGCTGGATACGTTGACTTCGACTGAACTGTCATATGCCGCGGAGAACAACCTCAAATCCCACCTATTTCCGACTCCGTGGACATCCAGGAAGCACTGAAGGTCATCCCCCTCATTAACCGCATCCTTGGCAGCCGGCTACTGCATTGCCCAAAGGGGTTTAGAGTGGGGGTGCATCCCAACATCCCAGCCTCAAGCTAAACCGCGCTCAAAACCTCCGGAGTTTGAATAGTTGATTAGTCAAGCGCTGTGGCTAGACTTATCATCACGTGACTTCTCTTTCTCTCTGACTCTACGGCAGGCGAGAACCTCGTCGAATGTCTTTTTGCTGCCCAGCCTTGCGCAAACCCAACAGCGACAGACCAACAACGCCATCGAGCAAGCCCCTTCAACGTTCGAAGCTGTGCGCCTAGTCCGCAACACAATACTGCTTGTGCCTATTTACTGGCTCGTATCCCAGCGCTTACAACCATCTCAATTCAGCCGCTTATTATCGCGTGCAGTGCCACGAAGCGACAGGAGCAGAGTTTCCGTGTCCTCATCAACAGCCCTACGACCGATTCGCGACTCGGGACCTTTCTCAGGCGTGACGTCTGGCGTATGACTGCAGCGTTAGTCAGGCCCTGAAGGTACGTGTCTACAAGACGCAATAACATCCATCGCCCCTCCCTTTATCAACTCTCCGTTCATCATGTCCTTCCCGCCACCTCCAGGCTATCAGCAACCGCCTTCATCGCTCCCTCCGCGACCTCCGCCATCCGCAAACACAAACTCACAGTATGGGCCGTCGGCTCCCAACGGCGGGTATGGCGGAAACACATCACGACCGAGCTACAGCGCTGCTACTGCATTTGCACCACGTTCCGTAGCCTCTCAGCAGCCGTACCGCACGAGCAGTCCTGTTGTCTCGGCACCGCCTACCACGCAGACTAGTTACTCAAACCCTCCTACAACGAACTATGGCACATACTATTCCCAGCCGCAACCGTCCTACCAAGCGGACGCCTCGTATTACAATTCGTCCCAATACAGCGGCAACACTTACGGACCTACTGTGCCTCACATCCAGAATCCCTTTGCGCCGTCCGGCGACCAGTCACGCGGAAGGACCTTTGGACGAAACGATCCAGGCCTCGACGCCGAAACCGAAGCGCAGATTGCCCAGTGGCAGAGCGCGTACGCCAGCAGCGGCGACTTGTCTGCGGCGAAGGGCGCGGTGCGCAGAGATGGAACCACTGGCACTCCCGGAGCGACCACGACGGTTTACACCTCATCCGGCAACACGCCAGCCTCAAATACACCGACTCCAATCGGCCCAGAGCCGCAAAAGACGGTTGCTCGCACGGGCGGTGGCCAAACCTGGAATGACTCAACCCTGCTCGAATGGGACCCGGCGCATTTTCGTCTGTTTGTAGGTAACCTTGCGGGCGAGGTTACCGACGACTCCCTGCTCAAGGCATTCGCAAAGTACCCATCTATTCAAAAGGCACGCGTGATTCGCGACAAACGCACGCAGAAGAGCAAAGGCTATGGCTTCGTCAGTTTCAGCGACGGCGATGATTACTTCAAAGCAGGGAGAGAAATGCAGGGCAAGTACATCGGATCGCACCCGGTCCTCCTTCGTCGCGCCACGACTGAGATTCGACCTGTATCGAACAACAAGAATAAGAAGAATGGCGGAAAGGGAGGTGGTTCTGGCGGCGGTCAGGGATCGAAGACGAAGCATGACGGGATTAAGAAGCCTGGAAAGACCAAGGGTGGATTGAGGATCCTGGGATGAAATCAGATGGGCATGGCTAACAAGTCAAAGTGTATCACCTTCTTCCCTGCTCATGTAATATAATTTAATTTTAAGAAGTGCCTGGAGGCGAATTTCTTGACATCTGTTTCTCATGCTCATTCTTTTCATCGCTGAGCTCTATGTATAAACACGAAGTGAAGCCAACGCCGTCAATTCATTACTTTACATTCCAATCATATCATAAAAAATCGTAACGCCATGTACATAAGAGTAAAATGTAGAAAGAAGTGGAAATATATGTGCCCAGATGCGAGTCGGGAGATCGTCAATCATGTGCAGCCTTTGGGGTATGTAGCGCTTGTTGCGGGCCAGTGTATGCTATGGGTCGGCCAGTCAGTCGCCTTGATTGATTTAGGAGGTATGCGATCCGATGACGTAGAGTTGATCGAGATGGTGGGCAAGTTGGTATCATATGCGCGGAGAAAGATATTCTTTTCGGTTTGTGCAAGCTCCGAGGGACGGCCAGCGAAGTAAGAGAGGAGGGCGAGAAGGTCATGATGTTGAGATGGATAGTCGTGAGGAATGTATGTGGAGGGAATCATAATCGTATCGTAAAGAGATATATCGAAGATATGTATAGTTGCACGCCGATATACTGCAAATCATCCGGGAAAGTGGATCTAACCACCCTCAGTGCTGGTCTCCTCATCGACCGCCTTCTTACGCGCGAAGAAGGACACGTTGTGTTGATGCGCCCAAATCAGGATGCCGACAATGATAAGGATGATGAAGAAGATAATGAGGATGACCGCGACGGTCATGTTCCGCTGCATGGTGGGCGAGCGGGTGTGTGGAGAGGGGACCTCGATTGGTACCCCTTCTCCGAACTGGTATATGAGAAGATAAAACTGAGGTGCAATCGACAGTAAGAATAGATACTCGGACAAATCTGTTGTCGAGGTCGATATACTCAAACAAGATGTAAAGCGGAAGGACTGGAGATGAGGCTCTGCGGCGATAAGATCCAAGGGATGAAAATCAACCCAAGGGGAAAAATATAGACAGGGGGAAAAATAAAAACAGAGAGAAAAAGAATGTGGATGCGACGCAGAGCAACGCTGTAGTTATAAGGGAGGTGTAACGACGTGGCCTGCGCTTGCAGCTTTGCCCAGCCATGTGTATTTCGGCCTGGTAGCTGTTTTGGCGGGGTGGCTGGGCTTGAAGCTGTCCAGGGCATTGGCGGCGCTGATTGGCTGGTGCCAGCTTAAGGTGTCGGGCTAATCGCTAGTGGTGGATTCGGGCATCATGAAAAAGGGCCCAGCCTCCGCATTTTCGTCCCATCGCTAGAATCGACGGCGCTGAATTCATGGAGTGAGCGACGGGGCGTTAGGAAAATGTCGATCGATTGATTGTTGAAGCTCTCAGGAGCTTAAGTGCTATTGGGCCACTGAGCATCCTGATCCTGTATTCTCTACGAAGCTCTGCCGAGGAATTCGGATCTGTTTTCCTGGTGTCGGTGTGATCGAATCGGCACGTTCAAGATCTCTGCAGATAAAACATGTGTTCGGCTCGTTCTGCCGAGCAATTCAGAAGCCGAGCTTCTGACTATTCGAGGTGCCAGTTGCTCGAGTACTTGGAGGAACCAAGCAATATAAGCAATCGTGGTTCGTCTCAACCAGGGTCTTTTTGAGCTTGGGATACAGAAGACCGATCTAGAACTCATGGGCTTGGAAGAAGAACCTCAACCGACAACCAACTACCAGGAAATGGCCCGGATGGCTCTCCTTCCGATTAGTAACTGCCCAGGCACAGCGACGAAATTTTGACTCAGGCGAATCCAGCTCAGTGTTGACGATGATGCCGGTTCGCGAGTCAGCATACAAACATCACCATGAGAACAGCACGCGCTCACCGTGCAACATCGCGCCTTGGCTTCTCCATATCTCAGAAGTAGAACTTGATCTGGACGAACTGCAAGGAGTGATTGCGAGATGGAGCGGCTGAGTGGTGTGGTTGATGACAATGACTTCATCGTGACCGCATTCGGGCTCGGAAGCAAAAGCCAGCTCCGACCGATATCAAATACATACATTTTTGACTGGTGCGGGGGAGTAACGATAGTCCTGTCGGGCCCTCGGTGGTCCGACATCCATTTTATGCTGCGCTCTGCTTGGTGGTATGCTAACTTTATGATAGAAGGATCGCTCGATCCGATGAGCCAGAGGTACATAAGGCGTTGATCGACTCGGGCTCTCGGAGTTAAGATTTCGCCCAGACTCCATAGATATAGTCCTGAGTCGTGCCTGTTCTTCGTCTCTGATATCATAATTGAATATGTTATATCACCGTGTATATTTCCTGCTGCCATTCCCCCGTTTTGAACTCTTTCCGCATAATCTGGCATAGCGTTCATTCATCGTGCGAGACTCATATCTAACCCGCCCGCCATGGAGAAAGACAGCTTCCCCGGGGATCCGCCCAGGGACTCTGAGCAACACCCCCGCAAATCCCAATACTCAACCTCCGACACCACGACACTCCCGTCCCCAAACTCCGGGGAAGAAAACTTCTTCTCGCCCATTCAGACAAACCAGTCCGGGCGACCCGGGACTATATCACGCCAGAAGAGCGGGGTGCCACGCGGGGAGGATGAATTCACAAACGCTCTCTCGCATAGGCGGACAAGCTCCACCTATGCGGGGAAGGGCGAATCGGACGACATGGACCAAATAGTCAAGCTGGTCTCGCGAATGTTTGGCCATGAGCGTAAGGCCAACTCCGACGAGGAGCAGACGAGACACCAGGGTGTTATGTGGAAGAACCTTACCGTGAAGGGCGTTGGTCTGGGAGCCGCGCTCCAGCCGACGAATGCGGATATCTTTTTGGGGTTACCTAGGACGGTCAAAGGTCTGTTGACTAAGGGAAGAAAAGGCGCTGGTGGGAAAGCGCCGCTGAGAACTATTCTGGATGACTTTACTGTATGCGCTCTTGTTCTCTCTTTGCCGTTCACGTTGAAATATGGCTAACCATTTGAAGGGCTGCGTGAGGCCTGGTGAGATGTTGCTGGTCCTAGGTAGACCTGGCTCTGGATGCTCGAGCTTCCTAAAAACCATCGGAAACCAAAGATCGGGTTACAAAAGTGTCGAAGGAGATATCTGTTATGGTGGGACAGATGCCGATACTATGCTGGACAAATATCGCTCAGAGGGTAAGCCAACCGGACTCTTTGGTGGGCTACGCTGACTAGCTTAGTCTTGTACAATCCAGAAGATGACCTCCATTACGCTACGCTCACCGTCCGTGAAACCCTAATGTTTGCGCTCAAAACACGGACGCCAGATAAAGGATCGCGTCTACCGGGTGAGAGCCGGGCGGAATACCAGGAGACATTTTTGTCCACAATCGCCAAGCTATTTTGGATTGAGCACTGCTTGGGGACAAAGGTTGGTGGTGAGATTGTCCGAGGAGTTTCCGGAGGAGAGAAGAAGCGTGTCTCTATCGGAGAGGCGTTGGTTACCAAGGCTAGCGTGCAATGTTGGGACAACTCGACGAAAGGACTTGACGCAAGTACTGCTTCAGAGTAAGAACAAACTTGTTCCCACGTTATTCTCCAGTCAGCTAACAGTACTAGATATGTGCAGAGTCTGAGGACTCTTACCAACATGGCGCACGCCTCTACCCTTGTGGCTCTCTATCAAGCCTCCGAAACCCTATACAGGCAATTCGACAAGGTAATGCTAATTGAAGATGGAAAGTGCGCGTACTTTGGACGGGCAGACAAGGCTAAAGCCTACTTCGAGGGACTGGGCTTCGAATCCCCTCCTCGCTGGACGACTGCAGACTTTTTGACATCTGTCAGTGATCCCAATGCCCGACGGGCAAAGGAAGGCTGGGAGGACCGGATACCACGATCCGCAGAAGACTTTCAGCGAGCATATCGCAACAGCGAAAATTACAAGGAGAACTTGCGAGATATAGAGGACTACGAAAAAGACGTTGAATCGCAAGCCGCAGAGAGGGAAGAGGCTCGGAAAAAGGCGCCGAAGAAGAACTTCACTGTTCCGTTTCACAAGCAGGTCCTCATTCTCACAGAAAGGCAGTTCCGTATCATGTACGGTGATAAGCAGACACTTGTCGGAAAGTGGGCTATCCTCACCTTCCAGGCGCTCATTATTGGAAGTCTTTTCTTCAATCTTCGACCTACAAGGTCAGTTTCATGGTTACCTTTAAAGACAAAACTAACGGCTATATAGTGGAGGCACCTTCACACGAGGTGGCGTCATGTTCTTCGTCCTGTTGTTTAATGCCCTACTCGCTCTTGCAGAGCTCACCGATGTTTTTCAACACCGGCCTGTGATGCTGAAGCACAAGACATTGTGGGTTTGCTTGATCTGTCCCTGGTCTGGTATATCGACATACTAATAGTTAGCTCCTTCTACCGCCCGTCCGCATACGCGGTCGCGCAGGTTTTAGTGGATGTCCCAATAATATTTATCCAGGTCACGCTCTTTGAACTAATAGTCTATTTGTATGCCCTTTCTTCGACTTTATAGACTGATGCTGACTTGACCAGCATGGCGAATCTCCAAAGAACACCCTCGCAGTTCTTCGTCAATTTCTTATTCATCTTCATTCTCACGATGACGATGTATTCATTCTTCAGAACTGTGGGATCGTTCAGTCAATCCCTTGATGTTGGTACGTATCCACTATTCGAACACCGGCCAAGCTAGCTAACCCTAACTCTAGCCACCCGTATCACTGGTGTTGCAATCCAGGCACTTGTTGTCTATACTGGTGAGCTTATCTAGCTGTGATTTGAACAATACTTTAACAAGCCCAGGCTATCTCATTCCTCCCTGGAAGATGCACCCGTGGCTCAAGTGGCTAATTTGGATCAACCCGGTCCAGTACGCGTTCGAGGGTATCATGGCAAACGAGTTTTACAACCTGGATATCCAATGTGTGCCACCAAATATTGTGCCCGACGGACCTAATGCGCAGCCGGGTCACCAGAGCTGCGCTATTCAAGGCAGTACGCCCGATCAACTAACGGTCCAAGGATCGAACTACATACAGTCCGCGTATACGTACAGTCGGTCCCATCTCTGGCGCAACTTTGGTATCATAGTAGCCTGGTTCATTTTCTTTGTCGTTATGACTATGATTGGAATGGAGCTTCAGAAGCCGAATAAAGGTGGGAGCGCGGTGACTATCTTCAAGAGGGGGGAGGCCCCGAAAGATGTTGAAGATGCAGGCAACGATAAGGAGAAGCCAGGCGACGTCGAATCCGCGTCCAATGGTAACGCTCACAACAATGCCAACAACGATGCGTTGGACAACTCGGGTGGGAAAGTGGAGGGTATCGCCAAGAGCACGTCCATCTTCACATTTCAAAATGTGAACTACACGATCCCTGTCAGCGGCGGGAAGAGGCAACTTCTGAAAGATGTCCAGGGATATGTTCGCCCTGGCCGACTCACAGCGCTTGTTGGAGCTTCCGGCGCAGGGTAAGTGACATTCCAAGTCGCGCGACCGTGACTGACTGGTATAGCAAAACAACCCTGCTTAACGCACTGGCCCAGCGTTTGGACTTTGGTGTCGTCTCTGGTACATTTCTGGTTGATGGAAAGTGAGTACCCCCAACAACAATGACCGCATGTACTTACAATGTAGGCCGCTGCCACGAAGCTTCCAGCGAGCAACTGGCTTCGCCGAGCAACAAGATATCCACGAGCCAACGGCCACAGTACGGGAATCCTTGCGCTTCTCAGCTCTCCTTCGTCAACCAAAAGAAGTTCCCATCCAAGAAAAGTACGATTACTGCGAGAAGATCATCGACCTCTTGGAAATGAGACCAATCGCCGGCGCTACAGTAGGATCAGGTGGCACGGGACTGAACCAGGAGCAGCGCAAGAGACTGACCATTGCCGTCGAGCTTGCGAGCAAACCGTCTTTGTTGCTTTTCTTGGACGAGCCGACCTCGGGTTTGGACTCGTTGGCTGCTTTTAACATTGTCCGATTTCTTCGGCGATTGGCAGATGCAGGACAGGCAATCCTGTGCACCATCCATCAACCGTCGGCGGTGCTGTTTGAGATGTTCGATGATTTGATTCTCTTGAAGAGTGGCGGAAGAGCCGTGTATAACGGCGAGCTGGGGACTGATTCTTCGAAGCTTATTGAGTATTTCGAGCGCAATGGTGGCAAGAAGTGTCCCCCTGATGCGAACCCTGCAGAGGTACGTCTATACCCTTGCGTCTGATATCACGGTCTCTGACGAAACCAGTACATGCTTGAGGTCATTGGCGCCGGAAACCCAGAGTACAAAGGTCAAGACTGGGCAGACGTCTGGTCCGAATCACAAGAGTGCAAGGCTCTCTCAGAGGAGATCAACAACATCATCGAGTCCCGTCGAGGCGGCGAGCAGGAACGGAATAAGGACGACAACCGCGAGTATGCTATGCCGATCTGGATCCAGATTGTGACAGTCACCAAGCGTTCGTTTGTTGCGTACTGGAGGACGCCTGAGTACACCATTGTAAGTTCATACTGATTTATTTGTTGGGATATGCTCTAACAGTAGTTAGGGCAAATTCGCCCTCCATATCTTCACCGGCCTCTTCAACACGTTCACCTTCTGGCACCTCGGAAACAGCTATATTGACATGCAATCACGCCTCTTTTCCGTCTTCATGACCCTCACCATCAGCCCACCTCTTATTCAGCAGCTGCAACCACGCTTCCTCCACTTCCGAGGCCTTTACGAGTCCCGCGAGGCCAACTCGAAGATTTATTCGTGGACTGCGTTTGTTACCTCCGCCATCGTCCCTGAGCTGCCATATTCCATCATCGCCGGCTCGATCTACTTTAACTGCTGGTACGCCTCTCCCCGACTTCTTCACTTCCGCTCCTAGTCCTTACTAACTCGCTCAGGTATTGGGGCATCTGGTTCCCCCGCGACTCCTTCAGCTCGGGCTTCACCTGGATGCTCCTCTCCCTCTTCGAGCTCTACTACATCGGCTTCGGGCAATTCATCGCGGCCTTCTCTCCCAACGAGCTCTTCGCCTCCCTCCTCATCCCCTGCTTCTTCACCTTCATCGTCGCCTTCTGCGGCGTTGTTGTCCCCTATGTGGCCCTCCCTACCTTCTGGCGATCCTGGATGTACTGGCTCACACCTTTCCACTACCTACTCGAGGCGTTCCTCGGTGTGCTTGTGCATCAGGTTCCAATGGAGTGCGTTGAGCGTGAGGAGGCACGGTTCTCGTTGCCGCCGGGGAGTAACTCGTGTCAGGAGTATGCGGGTGGGTTTACGAGTCAGGCGGGGGGTTATGTGACTGACGTGGGCGGTGGGATGTGTGCGTATTGTTTGTATAGTGACGGGGATGAGTTTGTAAGCCTCCATTATCCCTTCCCCTGGGTTGAGAAACTGCTAACGACATAATCGTAAACAGGCCTCGAGCTTCAACGTCTTCTACTCCCACAAATGGCGCAATTATGTACGCCTCCTCCTTCCCTTCGTTGTCCACCATCGCCTCATAAACATAAACACAGACTAACAACAATCCTTGATAGGGCATATTCTGGGCGTTTATCGTGTTCAACTTCGCGGCAACATTCTTCTTCTCGTGGCTATATTTGCATGGCGTCAACGATATGAAGCGGTGGTTCAGTGCGCGGAAGACGAAGAAGGCCGCGCCGGCGGAGGAGGCGGAGGAGAGTTAGATTTCCCATCTTCTTATTCGTCTTGTCTTGGAAAGGAAGGAGAATGTGCCGGATAGGAATGAATGTGTGGTGGCGGAGCCATTAGTACTGAGTAATGGACTGTTGCGTTGGGATGCATGATATGTGTTGCATAGACTGGGTGGGATTGTACCATACTCGCACGGAATAAATCCGACTTCACACTGATACATACATGGCCTAAATCCTTCACATACTACCCAAGTTCAGGGAGGCGTCCTTATGGTGAGATCTCCTGGTTGACGCTGTGAATGGAATGCGCGGCGCCCTTTCCCCTAGTACCTATACCATCTGTCTTGACTAAATATCTCTTGGCTATCTACCGACACAGCCCTAGCTATGTACCCAGATACACACACGACGTCAGCCAGCATCATGCCCAAAGACCGCGTCTCATTGTCGACGGAAGACAGAAGGGCAAGGGAAGGAGCAGAGGGCCGACGGGTAATATGATTATACCTAAGAGCCTAGTGAGCCCTGAATAATCCCGACGCTTCGATATATAAATAGGTTTTGTTTCCCAATTAATACATACTGTTCATATGTACAAGAGCTGTAACTGTGCTATCGCCAAATGCAAGACCTGGAACAAGAAAAGAGATGCACCACCCCATTCCTCCAAATCAGTCCAAATCCAACCCATCAATACAATGATATGATATGATATGACATGAAAGAAATACTCCGTACAGTTACTCCGTCCCATCTCGCTTGTGTTACACCCAACATCAACACAATCCCACAATGGCAAATACCCGCCCACTCCACGCTAATGCATCCACAAACTCACTCACTCGCTCAAGTAGTCGACGATGGCGGGGAACCCAAAAGATGCGGCTGCTGATGTTGATGTTGATGTTGATGCGAATGCGGATGCTGCGGGTTCGGGTTCCACGATGTCGCAGAGGACGGAAGTGGCCCGGGCTGGGTTACTGAAGATGTAGATGTCGAGATTGATGGTTCTGCGTGATGGCGCCCGTTCATCAATCGCTGACGTTTCGCTTGTGGCGCCGAATTCGGACTATCCTGCGACATGTACGGGGATGAGGGGTTCGGCTGGCTAGGCGACGGTCCGCCGGGGCTTAGCCCGGCCTGCACGGGCGGCTGCATCGCCCTCGTTTTGGCTTCTATGCTATTCGTGATGTTGCTGCTGGCGGGCATTGGGCTCGGGTCTTCAGGGAGCGGACTCGTCGCGCTTGCACCGCCGCCACCGACACCGATCCGGCCCATCCCGCGATCGTGCATCACGACGCGTTTCCATTTCGACACGACAGAGTCGTAGTCCCAGCGCGACGAGCTCGGGCTGATATGCGATTCCTTGGCGTCGAGCTCACGCGCGACATCCCGTGGAAGGGGAAGTGTATCCGGCGGAAAGAGCGCAAATTCGCGAGGCCACTGGCAGGAACCCAGTTTCTCAACCTGCGCGCGGAGCTGATTGGCCTCTTGCTGAACGCGGGCGAGCTGGTCGTCGAGCGACTTGCGCTTCTCGGCCTCACGCGCAAACGCACGCATGATTTCCAGTTGCCAAGCTTCCCTGCGCGCGTCCGAGGGCAGCGAGACCCAGTGTTTGAAGGCGAGTTCGAGATGGCGGAGGGACATTTCTTCGTGTTGTTGCGCGCTGCGGTGGATCATGCCGGTGTCGAGGGTCAAGGTTGAGAGTTTTCCAGGTTGCTGGGCGTTGGACTCGGCGGAGAGCTGGTCAGTCTGCCATTGTTCAATCTTGGCGCGGATCGCCTGGCGGACCATGGAGTGGTGATCGGGCCCTGGAGGGTCGAGTGGGAATGAGGTGGGGGAGGGAAACGGGTTCGTTGCGAAGAGTGTAGCGGGCGGAGGGAGAAGCTGGAGGCAGAGTGAGGGGAATGTCTGGACTTGTATGTCGAATTCGAACGGAGACAGCCGTGGTCGAGTTCGCGACCTGGAAGAAATTAGCGAAGCCCAATTCGGAAGGGAAGAAAAGCATACGTCGCAGCCTTGATGTTATCCAGAACCTCGCGGAGAGCCAATTCGAGCGCTCTGACCGTATCCGGGTTATTGGAACTAGGAGATCGACCGCCGTAGTCTGGTATCGCGAGAGATCCCATCCGAGACTGAGACGCCGCAAACCGCGAGGTGGGAGTGTCCTGCGAATGACTCGGGTTCGGAATGTCGTTGATCACGCCGGTCGCATGCCACGTAGGAGTGTTGAACATCATCCGAATAGGCCCCTTGGGCCCGTTCTCGCCCGGCTGAGGCACGCCCAGCGCATCTTTCGAGGCCCCACGCTCAGGAGTATCTCGTCTGCCTGTCGACGTCCGGGCCTGCCGCCGCGTGATGCCACTACGTATGCGCCGGATCTCTTCGACATCGTGAATACCGTCGGGCTTCTTCTTGAAGAGGAACTGGTCGAGGTGTCGGCCGAGGGAGGAGGAGGTGAAAGCTTGGTTGCAGTATTGGCATTTTCGGTCCTTCTGGGAGGAATTTTTCGCGGCCCCGGACTGGGGCTGGTTTTCTTCGCCGGGGCCAGAGTCCTCAGGGGTGTCGGCTGGGCGGGTAGACGCGCCGTCTTCCATGGTAGCACAAGGCGCGTAGGATGGGAGGATTGTGTTGGTCACAGAGGGAGTCGCGGTGGAACTGGGGCGACGCGTGGAAGTGAAACAGCAGCAGCAGCGTTAGGTCGGGCCTGCAGCTCGAGGAGGATGCATGGAGGGTGGGCGAGCGGGCAGAGGACCAATCAAGGCGAGGAAGTACGGGAAGAATGACAAGGAAGAGCGGGAGAAACAGGAGAGAAGGAGCGAGACAATGCGGACAAAGGAGGGGAGGATGAAAGAAGAGAAAGGGGAGCTGAGGTCGTCGATTTGAGGTGCAGGGGGAGAAAAGCAGCAGAACACGAGCCAAGAGAACCGATGATCGCCGCCAAGCTTTTTGCTGGTCGGCCAGAGCTGGACTTTTGTTGTGTTTCTCTACATTTCATCGAGATTGATCTAGTCTTTCGTATAAAGATCCATCCTACATCAAGCACTGGCTCCTGCAACAGCCGCACTCACATACTCGGCCAGCACCAGCAACTTCTCCTCCTGCAATCGCCGCCCAAACAGCTGCACCCCCGCCGGCGCGCCATCGTACACCTCCGCATCATCTGGGCCTGTCAGCAGCGATCGCAAAAAAAAAAAAAAACCAAAAAAAGGGTGTCTACTTACACCCTCTGTACGACCTCTCGTCCAGTTCACTGAGAAACGACTCCCGCTGAGCTACATCCACTGCTTTATCCGCATTTGTCACAGGGAACACCACCCCTGTATAATCCAACAGGTTCAGGAAGCTGGTGTATCCCACATGGACATACTGAGTTGGTATCACCGCTGCGTGCGCAGCAGCTGCGCACAGAACAGCATCGACAGGCCGTCCGGTACCAGTTAGCTCAGCGGTGCTATTCCAGTAGTCCATGTACAGCTTCTGATACTCGCGCTTCGCGACATTGACTTGAGCGATTTCCATCGCGTTTTTCTGTGCCAGGTTGCCGCCAACAATTACCTGGGGGGCTGGGCCTTCTCCTGACAAGTCAAAGTGATACTGCACATCGGCACCGCCGTCGAAGCCGTATGCGGCGCTCTGTTCGGTTAGCATCTCGATGTACTTGGGGTGGGAAGACGTACAGCTAGCTTGACCGCAGTAGCATGCGAGGGAGGATTCCACTCTATGACCTAGACTCGTCAGCAACTGCAAGGCTTCGCTCGATAAGTCTTACCTTGTGACCGAGCCGCTTCAGCGTTTGCTCCACGATGTTTAGTGCTCTCGCAATCGGCGGATGAGGCAGAACAATCCCGTCATGCTTCATGATCGCAAAAGCGAGCTTCGAAGGATCGTTTGCCGACTGCTCAACCAGTGCACGCGTCTCTTGCTCGACATCGCTCCTCCAGGGCACCTCCAGCACCAGTGGGTCATACAGCCAGGGCTGTTGGCTGAGCACCGCCTTGAACAAGAGCTGTAGCGACCGCGCCGTTCCAGCCAGCGGACCAATAACAGAGAGGATAGTATTCTGACCATCCATGGAGTTCGCAGCTCCCTCGTAAGGGATACGTCCGGACGAGGGTCGAATTCCAAACAAACCATTGAAAACAGCAGGAATACGCACACTTCCACCGATATCAGTACCGAACCCACCAGGTGACCCCTTTAACGCAATCAGGGCACCCTCACCCCCGGAGCTGCCACCACACGCGAGCAGCCTGTTCTTCGGATTTGTCGTATAGGTGATGATGTTGTTGACCGTCTCTCCGCACATCAGCGTCGCAGGAACACTCGTCTTGCAGTACAGCACTGCACCCAGCGCGCGCAGCTCCCTCACAAGCTCACTCTCGAAGACACCCCGTCGAGCATCGCCCTTGATTCCCTGGAACGTACCGATCCAGCCGACGTACCCCATCGTAGTCTCTACCCCTTTTACGTGGAACTGATCCTTCAAGCTTACCGGAAGCCCATGCAGCGGCCCCAGCGGCTTCTTATGCTCTGCAAAGTACGCATCGAGCTTCTTCGCATCCTCAATCGCAGCGTCGAAAAAGATCTCGTGTAGGCAGCTCACCTACCAAAAGTACGATTAGCTCTTGATACCGCCTTCAAATCCCTCAATTCCTCCCAACACAACCTTAGGTATGGAGGTATGGATTACATACAAACTGATGCGCCAGCGCTGCGCGATGACAAAACGCCTCGGTAACTTCAACGGCCGTCCACTCCCCGGTCGTAGTCTTCTCGGCGATAGCATACGCGTCCAGCTCCGTGATTTCGATCTCGCGCGCGGACAGATACTGCTGGATATAGGGACCCGTGACATCGCGCTGTTCGGCCGGCGAGGGGATGGGCTCGGTTATCCGCCATTTCTGTGGGATTGCGTCGAGGGTTGCCTGGCGCTTTGCATCTGCAATGGGTTTCCAGGCGGGGATTGTCATTTCGGATTAACTTGGCGTCTGAGTTTCGAGAGTCTGTAGGTTCGTGCTTGTTATGGGTGCAGTGTGGGGTAAGGTAGTCCTGCGTGACCAGAGTCGGGAGAGGTAGCTGGTACAGGCAGAACACCGAGGGGGGTGACTCGATTTATCAGTCAATCTCCAAGACTCCAAGACTATTATCTCCCTGTGCAAATTCCCAGCGTGACGAATGCAGTCAGTCCCCGATAAGCTGATTGTGGCACTGGCCCTGGCTCGAACAGGAAGGTCAGTTGGTTGCCCAGCGTGGCGCTCGGGAAAAACCACGGCAGCTGGCTTGGATGCTGCGGGGTGGTGGGGCTGGCTCGTGTTTTGCGGCGAGGGGCACTGGATTGTTGGGGTAGATATGTAGATATGGTACTGTTGAACGGCAGTGGTAAAGCCTTGGCTTGGATGATTTATGCTGCGTATAGTTATCATCATCATCATCATCATCATCATCATCAATTAGAGGCAGCCTGTTGACGGGCCAGTTGTGGATTATATTTTTAGTCCTGGCGAGATGTATGTAGAATTGGGGTATATCGTGGACCCTTTAACCATAACTAGTTTTAAATATCTATAATCATGCTTGACGTTATTGAAGTGCGATAGTATAGATGTACGTTTATTATTAGTGTACTGATATTGTGAGAAAAGGCGGAGGTTTTTGATATCGCGGAGTACCTTTGCTCAGCCTCAACGCCGAAGTGTCTAGCTCGTTGCGAGATATACTGCTCTCAGTGTGTGTGTGGATAGATGCAAGTTTCACTGTACAGCTCTGTCCAGGTTGCTCTGGCTAGGAATGATGGCTTAACCCCATTATAGTAACTAGCAGGCCACTGACTAGAGACCAATCGAGTCCTAATGTGCGGCTTGGGAGATTATATATCACCATGGTATATCCATGTCGCGACATTAGTTGCGTGGCTCCCTTCTGAACGTGTAGCCTTGTTGAGGTGATACTAGTAGTAGTAAGAGCCTAAGATCCCCAAGATACACGCCATGTTTTACTAGTACCTAGCAAGACTCGGGGCTAAACTAGGTACTCCATGCCCCGTCCTGCCACTCGCTAGTCACTCCCACTCACACTCCCGATCCCCGCCTCTTCTTCCCAACATCAAGATTGCAACACTTTCTCCGGATTCCCTCAGCACAAGCCCAAGGGAAATGTCAGTGCGTCCGTCCGTCACGTTCCGACAGCATATTCAAGGTCCAACATGGGGCTACCCGATTTACCGTACCAGTTACACGCCTGCACTGCAACAAGCCTGGGAGCGCACGGTTGGAAAGATCCGCAGTGCAATCATACCGAGCATTGAAAAGGAGCAGCACGATGCAAGATCAGGAGCTTTACGCCCCGACATCGATCCAGCTCCAGTAGACTTCGTCAAAGACCCGCTCCAGCTCGTGATGCATGATGATACCAGCCGCTATGACGACATTGACGAGGCGGGTGCTCGCGAGGCGTTTCATGCCTGGTGCTCTCCGCCCGGGGAACAAGTATTCACCATCGCGGATATCCTCGCTAATCCTGAAGCCTCCAAGGTTTGGACGCGGGCCGACCTCCCTGTCTCCGAATGGGTGTGTCTAATGGTCGACGAGCAAGCGATGCGTGGATGGAGATGTAAAGAACGAATACGGGGAAGGCCCATACGTCAAGGCCAGTGCGCGTTTGCCAGCTATGGGCGCGGACTATGACGGCTCGTTCAAGGTGGCGTTGACCTACCTGTGGGGATTGATTGGTAAAGCAGATAACCAGGGTGGCCTTGACCAGTTCCTGCCACCGACGCGACATAAGACGGGCGAGCGACCGGTTTATAATGGGCGCTGGCCAGAGGATGTGGACTTGGAGTCTCTAGGGCTTGACCCGGATGAGGTGCCGACGCTGGAGCACGCATTCGAGGAGAGCAGGGAGCCCACAGGGTTTCGATCCACGCTCCGGCCTGTGCAAGTCTCAAGTAATTTAAGAAACTTGAGCTCCTTTTATGAGACGGCCGGCAAGTTGCCAACTAACTCATTCCGTGATCCTGCTAAGTAACTCGCTTTTCCCTACGGTCCCTTTCCACATAGGGGACACGACAAGCGACTAACGAGAAGATTAGGCACGACGGCCGCTTAGCAATGCTTCTGCGGAGGCTTTCAAACGTATCGCATCGAATCTAGACCGCGCAGATACCTTTGCGCTGTCGCTAACATCAAAGGGCCCTTACACCCTCACCGAGAGGTTTCTCTATCAACCGTTACGCTAACAAGCAACGACGCCACGATGAAGTTTACATGCACTTTGGCAGCGAGGCCGGGCTTATCTGAACTCGTTCTGACATACTCAATCGAAGGTGAGGTTGAAGACAGCCTTGCGCAGGTTGCATTATCGACTACAACATTGAGCGGCTATCGTCCCTTCGAAATCACCTCTTTCGACCGGCGCACAGGATAGAGAAACAGTGCCGTTGTATGGCTGCCGTTGTTCGCAAGTTGACCGGGGGCCATATCAGTCAGACTTTGAAAGCTGGGACGTTGATGGATCCTCGACGGGATCTTGCGCGAGCTTTACGCTGGCAGGCAAATTGCACAAAATAGCCTGCTTCGATATCGCCTACCCAGCCGCAGTCGCCTTAACCAAAAATGCACAGCAACAGCTCCTCCTGGCGCTGCTTTCTATACCGCAGCTAGAGACAATCATCGCGCTGCATCGAATGCCAGAATCCGCGTATTGGACTAGTTCAAGGACAAGGTGCTATTCGCGATAACGACCGGGGAGCCGCCGCCGGCCCTGAAAGAGGCGCGATACACAAACCTTCGAAACCTGATCCTCCACTGGGACGGCCTCCCTCTCACCTGGCTGGCCACCCTCCTTAGACTTCCGCGCAGCCTCGAGCGCTTCAGCCTTATCCTATCCCTGAACTACAGACACAACCGGCACCCGAGGGAGATCACTCTTGATAGCTCGCTGGAGCCCGTCACGGATTCGTTGAAAGTGCTCGATATTTCCACACCATAGCCAGCGCGCCGGAAGGCGTAGGTCTCTACTTTATCCCCGAGGCGCTCCTCAATGAACGCCACGGTTCGATGGCACAAGGCCTTGGTTTCCGACGTCGTTGGCTAGTCTTGGGTTTAGCAATGCGTGGCCGTCGTATTACGCTAGATCATTAAGCGAGATCAACCGCGTCGCTGTCCCTGTGCCCTTTGAAGACAGAGGTGATAGTGACAAGGTTGATGCTATCACGAAGAGGGCTCTTGGTCGGACTGCGGCGGTACTAGAGGCTCTACCCTGCTTTACTATGATCAATGTACCCTGGAAATGACCGCAAACAGCAGGTGCGGTTTGATGCCAGAGTTACATAAACTACATAAAAGGCTCAAACATTTCAACCAATCCAAACCCGCTTTAACCCCGTTGAGAATGTTATATAGGCATGGGTGATTGCTAGAGTCAAGAGTTCATACCCCAGGTCAAACTCTTCATTCTTAGGGTTGGAACTCTAGATAGGGGGGAAATCACCTGCTGCAGTTAGAAGGCGAGACCAATGGTAGTAGTATTTTAAGTCTTTATCCTACCTTTAGCTAGGATTAAGCTCTGCCACGCCCTGTTGCGTAACTACACCCCCCCAAACCAAACGATCTAGACAATATAAAAGAACTATATGAGGGAATAACTCCCAAGTTGGGCTAGTCTTAGCCCTGGCCTATAAATATGTAGTATGCACCCTAACTAGCCCCAGCACTTGCTTGTGTGGTTTCTATAGTCCCGGAGTCTCCCTAGACTGCCCCAAATTGCTCCACTCGTCCTGTTTGTACTACGTAGAATGCCCGCTATTAGTGGTTCGATATCACTTGACCAAACCATAAGAGCTTAGGTTCCCGGCTGTGGACTCAAGCCACCAAAGAACACTAGACTCCACTAGCCAAAGGCCCTTAAGGGCGCCCTCCTTACCTTAATATCATGGCGCGGCCGCCAGCTGGTGCGCTCGTCTGGTCTTATGTTAGGTAGCGTATGGTTGAAAAGCTGATGGTATGAGCCTCCTCTTCTATACTGCCGCCTGGAAAGCTATCAAGTATCCATTCTGAAAGGGTTCCATCTGTATTAAAAGCCCGGCCCAAATGCTGTCGTCGCAGAATATGTTGACTTGGGAGGGATTTCGAGTAAAGTCTCTCGTTAGGTAGCTGCTGGTTAGTATATTTGGCCTTTGAGAAAGACACTTCCCCCTCATTAGGGCCAACAATTCGGAGAGAAACTCAGCAATGAACTAGTTAGATCCATATGAACACAGTGATGGCAACCAACGGGTGAACCAATATCATAATGCCTGAAGCATGGGTAAAGTCCGAATCCAACTTCTAAAGGGGTTGCTATCTAGATATTGCTACGCATCAAGTATAAGGAACAACACATGATCGAGCTCTCTCAGGATGAGCGCCAGAATGAGGGTCTACCAAGAATTGGCGGGGTCATAGTCGAGTTATTCCTCATAACCCAATGCATCCAGTGCAGAGGTATTTCTAGAGGAGTCGATCTATGTTCTCATCCTGGGGTTAAACATTATAATCTGCTGAATACGCCGAACCGACATTTATTATCCGCTATCCAGAGGTTTGAGCAGGAAGGACCCTTGGTAGTTACTTTCAGACTGCCATGATAATTGGAATGTTAAGAACCAGGCTAAATATTTTATGGCTATCCACAAACATGCAGATATGCAGACAGTCTCAAGCGCGCTTTCGCATAGTCCTCAGACCAGAGTCAGGCTTCCCCCCACCCCGGCCTCTTTTTTTTTTTTTTTTTTTTTTTTTTTTTTTTTTTTTTGTTTTCGTATTCGTGCTCGGGTCAGGGCCGTGGCTGGGTACTGGGCCGCAGGTCGACTCGATTGACTTCACCTCAACATCATATGGACGCTGGTTCCAGCGTGGGCCCAAGCTTCAGAGGTCCTCCCAAGCAAAGGCGTCTATAGGCCACAAGTATGCATGTCTCGGAAACTGAAGCCTCGGACAACAAACCCACCCGGGCGTTTTCCATCGCTGGTTAGAGTGTCTCAATTGACCTGGTCGCCGGAAATCACCTGATGGGCGATCGCCAGGAAGCATTCCTCATTCTTCACGGCTGGCGGAGAGGGTGACATCAAGGAGCGACCCAGAACCCCATGATCGCTTAATTTCTCCGCTATGCGGGGAAGAAAGCCGCGCTAAATTTAGCACGACGCTCCATCGTTGGCCAGGTCTCAACTGCTCAACCGGCTTACACTTGCCTGAGCAAAGTGGACTGAGACATCCATCGGGTGATCCGGATGGAGCTGAGTTTCCACAATGCAGAGTACCTACGGCTGAATCTGATGCTCTCAAGTGCTGACCGACTTCAGGCTGAGGTCATGAGGTTTCCTGCTGCAGCTTCCATAGAAGCATCGAAGTGTCTAGCACTGCGCTGATGGGAAAAGCTATAAATACCGGCTATCTCACTGCCCGTCTATCGCTCTCGGTCACTCACTCATTCCATTCTCTACAGCAAACCTCGAGCTACAAACCTGCCTCCTCTTTCCATACAACACCAATCCGTCTAAAACCAACTACTTCCACACCACCACAATGAAGCTCTCCCTCAGCACCCTCCTCGTAACCGCCCTCTCAGCCGGCAGCGCCCTCGCGGCCCCCGCGCCCGCCGAATCCAAGTCCATGATGGTCGCCAACACGCAATGGACAATCACAAACATGAAGCGCGTCTGCAACACCGCCGACACGAAATGCACCTGGACGTTCGGCATCAACAACGGCGCCGCAAACACCCCTTGCACGCTCGTCGTCAACGGCACCCCGGCCTCCCAGACCAACGGCGGGCCCAAGACCTGTGGGCCGTACACGGTCACCTCGGGCTGGAGCGGGCAGTTTGGGCCGAACAATGGGTTCACGACGCTGGCGGTCGTCAACCAGAACACTCGGCAGATTGTCTGGCCTGCATATACAGATGTCCAGCTTAAGGGCGGGAAGGTTGTGAAGCCCGATCAGGCGTATACGCCTGCGGCTTTGCCCTAGGTTGGGGTTTGGTAGTTGGTTTGGTGGTCGTTGGGGTTGGTTGGTGCCACGCGCCTAATATAATGTCTCTTTTCCTATGGTTATATGGCTCCTGGTCGGTTCAAGGTGCGCCTGTGTCTGTATTTAGATTCTCCCCTGGGCCGATGACGGTGGAGAGAATTCTAGAGTTCGCTATCCATATGTAAAAAGCAACTGAGCTTACCATTTTGACTCTCAATAGCTGGCTGTGTAGCAAAAGATGCTCTGATTAGATGTTCTCAATGCATGCCATCGCATATCGGTGCTGCGATACAGAAATAAGAGATATCCTTGTCAATTTGTTTCTAACCAGGTTCGATACTAAAATTGCCAAGTACATGGAAGCTGATCGCCATATTCTAGTCAGTGCACGTACCACCTTCCTCCAGCCACGGATGGAGTAGTGGCCAGCATGCTAAGTAACGGAGATGGGGGCAGCCCTCGAGGGGCTCGGTAAACCCATACTGACGACAAACCATGTCGCTTATGCTTGCTGAGACGGTTTGCCGCTAAATTGGAAGGTTCGGGCTGTATTGCCGCTGTACCCACCCACTCCCCCCTCGGTCTTCTCATGACGAGGAATACTGTCATAACAACTTCACCAGCGCTGCAGATCAAGACCACGAAAAGTCACCCATCAGCCTTCCCGTCAGCGATGTTGCACCAGATGGCAGCCTCCGTGCCTGGCTCGTTGGCTCGGCAACTTATTCGGTGCATTCAAGAGCTACTACCTGCGCCACCAACTGAGCAGGGAGAACGAGTCCAAGATCGCCTGTATCGGTTCCCTCCAGTCATTTCGTCAGTTCTTCTCTGGGATGCTTGGGGGCCCGTTGTTTGATCGGTATGGGTCGTTGGTATGGCCCCTTCATTGCTTTGATATGGCCCATCGTGGCACCACTCTACTGGTCTTGGGTGCTCACGGGCTGACCTAGGTATCAATATCTAGGTAATATATCCCTCTGCGGTTGCCTACCTCTTCGCAATAATGATGCTCAGCCTCTGAACCAATTACTGCCAAACGATGCTCGTCCAGCGGGTGCTCATGGGCACCGTGATGGGGTTCCTCCAGATTCCTGCCTTCGCCCCCGTCTCACAGCACTTTGACAAGAAGCGCTCAGCGGCCGTAGGCATGACCGTGTCCGGTCCATCCATCGGTGGAATCATAATACATAATATCCCATCGAAGGTGCTCAACGCCTCTAATTTTTGGCTCGCCTGGACGGTGCGCGTAATCGGCTTTGTTATCCTGTGCCCCCACATTAGCCCTAATCCGCATCTCAGGATGCGCGCAGGACTTGACAGGACAATGAACAGTGAATCTACATCTCCTCGTGACAGGAACATCTTGCTCCACGAGAGATGGCATTCTGCCTTTCTACAAAAAGACGATGAACTTAAGTTCCAAGCTATGTTACCTTATTACCTCCATAAAATAACGACATTGGTTTTATACACCTAGAAATCAAACGTAATGTAAGTAGGCTCGTCTGGATTTATCAACGTGCATTCAAACACCTGATTAAACATAATCCAGGGCTATTCGTGGAATCGGGCAAGTAGTGGGGAAAGTAGTTAGGGCTAGTACAGACCCCAGTGGTCTCGGTCACGACAAAAAGGGCTTTCCAGCCTTGTCTTGTGAGTCTATCTGCTTGAAGCGGATTGAGCGTCCTTGAGAGGCATCCTGGAACTTGTGTTTGGATCGTAGTCATGCTCCAGCCTTCCAATCCCATGGTGAGATTAGCCACACGCAAGTATACAGCTTTATGCAAGCCAAGACCCGCTGTCCCCGAAGCGGCCTAGTATCCAGGACGCAGGCGGGGTGGACGTGCCAACACTGGGGCCTGCCAGGTGAAGCGGAGCTCATGACCCCATACGACCCCTCCCCCATCCTTAAGCTACATATTGCAAGAAGCCTACGTAATGAATCTCCTCGATCTCCCTCCAGAGATACTCCTCATAATCGTCTCCTTCCTCGACCGAGAACACGACATCCACGTCCTCACCCTTACAAACCGAACCCTCTACACCCTCGCCAACCCACATCTATACACCAACAATGCCCGCCACCACAACAGCTCCGCCCTCCTCTGGGCGGCCGAACACAACAAGCAACCCACAGCGGACCTCAGCCTCCGCCACGGCGGAAACATCAACACCGCCGACGACGACGGGCGCACGCCGCTTTTCTGGGCGACATGGGAAGGACATGATGATCTAGCGCGGTTCCTCCTCCGCACCGCAAACGACAAGATAGACATCAATGGACAGGAGAACCGCGGCCTCACACCGCTCAACTACGCCTGCATGAAGGGCAGCGTCGAAATCGTCCGTATGCTCCTCGAGACAGGGAACGCCGACGTGAACACCCCGGAGAACGGCGGCCTCACGCCGCTCGGGAGCGCCGCGCAGATTGGGAATATCCCCATCGTAACGATGCTGCTCGCGACCGAGGGAGTCAACGTCAACGCCGTGGACTCGATCTTTGCGCGGGCGCCCATCTGCCTCGCGGCCGACTGTGGGTATGCGGATGTGGTGCGGCTACTCCTTGAAACGGGCAAGGTCGATCTCGATCATAATTGGGCGGTTCAGGCTTCGTTCTTTTGGGCTGTGGATCGGGGGTTTGACGGGGTCGTCCGGTTACTGCTGCAGACGGGGAAAGTCGACGTGAGTGCGACGTTTACGAGTCGGGGGGCGTCGGCGCTGTGTCAGGCTGCGAGGAATGGGCGGGTGGCGATTGTGAAGATGTTTATTGAGTCTGCGTTTGATAATGGTGGTGATGGCAGCGAGGCGGAGGGCGCTCGGTTCGACGTCCGGGACGAATCCTGCCGCCGAACGGCGCTGGGTTGGGCTGCGCATGGCGGGTATGCAGATGTCATCGAGGTCTTGCTGGCGACTGGCCGGGTGGATATCGATTCGCGCGATGGGGGCGGCCAGACGCCATTGTCGTTGGCGGCGCAGTACGGGCATACGCGTGTGGTGCGGATGCTGCTTGAGGCGGAAAAGAAAGGTCTCGGCGCCGTAGACGTCGACTCGAGATCTAACAATGGCCGCACACCACTATCACTCGCTGCCCAGGGTGGATGGCATGCGGTGGTCAACCTCTTGCTCGAGACAGGAAAGGTAGACGTCGACGCCGCGGATTCAGAGCACAGCCGGACGCCGCTCTCGTGGGCCGCGGGAAACGGACATTTCGAGGTTGTGATGATGTTGCTGGCGACTGGACGGGTGGATGTTGGTTCGAGGGATGGAGAGTTTCATCGCACCCCGTTGGAGTGGGCGGCGGAGAGGGGGTATGATGCGGTGGTGGAGTTGCTGGAGGAGCAGGACCGAACGTAGGCAAGGACACGTGTGGTTTCAAGCGATAGCTGTATCAGATCGGATTTGATCTGGGATTCATGTTGAATTGCTGCCATGATAAGCCTTGGAATTGAATGCATATGCACTGCCGGCGTATCCGCGTACACCTGAAGCTGCATGCAGCATATGCTGAACCAGCCAGATGAGGATACACTGCATATACATACAAGTACGGCGGCTATGGTAGCCTAACTCCATTTACATTCTACCCAGGCTCGCATCAGCCACAGCCGTGAATCATAAACAGCCGCAGCATCACGCCGTAGCCCCACCATCCACAGGAACATTCGCCCCAGTCATAAACGACGCCTCGTCACTCAACAGGAACGCAACCACCCTGGCCACCTCATCCGCCTGCCCCCTGCGCTGCAGCGGGAGACTCGAGTACGTGCCCGGCTTCGCACTCGACGCCGACGTCGGGCGCGCTGTCGAGGAGGATTTGGAGCATGGGTGTTTCGATGGGGCCGCTATGTCGACCTAATCAGTAGTTATGTGCGCGGTAGTGAGTCAATTCAACAAGAAAAAGCGGGCAACTCATGCCGCAACGGCATTAACCCGAATCCCCCTCTCCCCAAACTCTTTCGCAACCGTCCTCGTCAAACCCACAACGCCATGCTTTGCACATCCATACGGGCCCAGCCCGGGCCGCCCCCTGACGCCTGCCATACTCGTTGCGTTGACGATACTGCCGACCCGCGACATCACCCGCACCCGCCCGCACCTACTCCCGGACACAAAACATGGCACCAGATAGGTTCACGGCAAGCACGCACTCCCACAAGTCATCGGGGATATCTGAAACATTCGTGAAATTCATCGCGATCCCCGCAAGGTTTGCGGCGCCGTCGAGCTTTCCATAGTGGGATATTGTATTGAGGAGGTGATCTAGGAATTGACGGCGGAGCTCGACGAGACATCTAGGGTCGTGCTAAGGACTTTTGTGCCTGTGGTGCGGAGCTCGTCCGCGAGGGCTTCGAGGGGAATTGCATTTATGTTGGCGAGGTGGTGGGATAGAGCGAGCCCGATGTTCGAGGCGGCGCCGGTTACCGCCATAACTTTGCCGGTGAAGGATATTTTGAGGGCGTGGAAAGGCTGGGAAGTGGGATCTCTAGAGTCGGACAAGGCGAGATTGGGAGCCAGAGACTATAAGAGGGGAGACATGTATGCAGAGTTAATAATCGTCGGCTTCCCCGTATATGTGCTTACAGACCTCTGGTTCTCCCCGGCCAATGGGTGCAGTACGTAGTGGCCTCGGGGTTATGAAGGTCAGGCTTGCTGTACTGAATCGAGTATCTTCTCGATGGTAACTTCCAAACATCATGATTCTAAAGTTGTCTAGTTATCTAGGTCATCCTTATAAAGACCATCTTACACATAATACCGAATTCTCCCTTCAAACAACCTCCTTGCAGTCCGCGACACCGCGCAACTCGCCACGCCGCCATTCCGTGCCATCACGACACCAACCTTGATGACGCCCTTACTATGCGCAATACGAACTTCCCTCTCCACTGCAGAATCCCGCTTTTCGCTCCCCTCATCAGGCGGCGGCGTGTGTTCTGGAGTCATCCTGTTCCCAGCCATAGCAGCCAGCTCCGCCACGACGGTGTCCGGGTAGCTCAATGCAACAGCCACCGTAACTGCGCCCGTGAGTTGGAGGCTTGGATGTGGGAGGCCCATGGAGTAGGCCTGTATGCGGACGTCTGCGGTATCCGAGTCAGGCGGGTAGACGAGTGCGGCTTTGGGCGTCCCGCGCGTCTGCGCGGCAGCTTCTACTGTTGGCGCGAGACCCATTGCTACCGCGGCTTCTCGGCGGATAGACTCGATGAGAGAGTTTTGGGCGACTTCGGAGCTGAGATTCTTGAAGAGGGTTTGTATGGAGGTACTGTCGATGAGGACGAACGGGTTTGCCGAGTCGATCAGGGTTACGCGAACAGTGAAGGGGGGTTGTTGGTCTGTGGAGTGTGCGTGGAGGAGTTGTTGCTGTTGGCCATCTGAAGGGAAGAGCTTTCCTGTCATGCTTCCAATCGGCTCGACAAAAGTGCACTTGACTTCACTGCCTGGTGTGCTGACTCCGGCGATGGTATAGTCTCCCGTCTCATCGTAATCTCCCGAGGCGTCGAGAGCGACTGTCTCTACCACGATGCGCCTCGTGTTGGTGTTGTATATCCGGACGTCCATCTATGGTGTCGTTAGTGCAGAACACCCGAGTACTGCACTCCAGCATAGAGCATACCTTGGTTTGACCCGGTTGAGGTCTGACCAGCCCTTCCTGCACGGCGAATGGTGCTACCCCTGCCGTCATGTTCCCGCAATTCCCTGTGAGATCTATTGATTCTTTGCCGACAGCAACCTGAACAAATGTCCAGTCAATGTCAGCGTCCGGCCGCTCTGAGCGGGAAACGACAGCCACTTTGGATGTAGTAGAAGTGCCGCCACCAACACCGTCTATCTGACGAGGGTCATTTCCTCGAGACCCAAGCGCAGAGATCAGGTGAGGGGCCCAGTCGAGTTTATCAAGAGGTAGATCTCTTCTGTGTAGGAAGATTCCTTTTGATGTGCCGGCGCGCATAAGGACACATGGGAGGACATGCCGCCTAGGGCGCGGCTGCAGAGATACCGGCTCATCAATCATAATGGATGGACTGGGCCAGATAGGGTCGACACGATTCCGTGGCTTAAATGCTGGCACATATGGAAGAAAGCTTTCAGAAGCCTTCTTGAATGCTTGAGTCGAAGATAGCCGTGTTTGAATAAGTCGTGACACCAACGGGACCATGGCCAAGGAGGTACGGATAGACTAAATAGGAGTCCATCAACACATTACCGTCGATTGGCATGATATAATAGAATACATCAAGCCAATCGGAAGGATGGACGTCATATAGTGAGAACGAGTCATGTCCTGCAGTGTGAGTGTATGGGTCGAGTACGATCCCGCGGGAAGCAAGTCACTCCCGTTACCCGGGATCTGGCGGGCACTCACCATTCCGGCAGTGTCAAGCTGTCCATGGACGAGCCGTTAAAGCCAAAGAGCGGATCATCAAGAGGCGCAGATTCGCTATTCATTGATCGCCACCCATGCTGCCACTGGTATGTTCCCGGCACTGCCTCAGGCCGATGGAAATCGTTCGTGGCATAAAGGTCCCGACCAGGGGAAGCCTGGTTGCCCACAAAAATCGCGTGATCCATAGCTACTGGAACAAAGGCACTCCCCTGGCGCGGAATGGACAGTGGGGTCCTTGAAATATGATTAGAAAGGGCCTCATAATCGGTCTCGGTAGGCCTGACGGCGCGGCCGCCGTTCTCTTGGAGGAAGCTCTGGATAATTCCGTCTATATCGACCCAGTCCGAGTCCGGAGAGTACACCACCTGGCTAGGAGATGCAATATGCGTAACTATCGCAGGTTCTGTAGTATTAGGATTCCCAGAGCCGTCCTGGACATTCATCGGGTAATTCACACTGCCCTCGGCAGTGCTATGACTAGGCTGTTGTTGATCTGATAATCGACCGGGCGGATCAAGTTCCAAGGCGCTGATTGATACGTTGATGGTGACCCCTAGTTTCTTCATGAGATTATGAATTATCATGGCTGCCTTTCTGACAGCCGAGTTTGTTTCTTGATTCTCCTCAAAAACGGCCAGGCAAGTCGCGAGATTTGCGTGTGCCGTGGAGTCATTCCTACGTTTGGCTGCGATTCGGGTAAGTATTGTCGCCGCGACATAAGTCGCGTACGATATGAGATATGGTGCTCGCCTGACGGAAAATGCGCGATGATACCCGCGCAAGAGGCTGCTGATGTTCGATGCTGCCGATGCACATTTTTTGAACGAATCGACAGATATGGCTCGGGATGTGCTGTACAGATGGCCGTCTGCCACAAAGGGCCGATGCAATAAAATGACAAGTACATTAAACATGGCACTGTCAAGTGTCAGTAACCCTGTTCGATAAGGGGTAGGGAAAACTCACTGCAAACTAGACACATGTGGAGGTGGAAAGGCCAAACCACGCGCTTTACCTGGATCGAATCGCAAGTGATTGGGTAAGGATGCCTGCCATTGATTCAGTCTCAGCTGTAGCCGCTCGAGCATACTCGCAAGCTCGGTAGGACTCTGGTCAATGCTGCGCTCGGTGTATATGCAACTTAGAATGTCGCTCATGATGAGCGAGAGCTTGCACAGAAGTGTAAAGGTAGACGTGCTATATGCGGGTGTGCCTGGGTAGTCCGGCGCACACGTCGAGTACGCAAAGGGCTGCCAGTGTTCCAGCTCTTCATAGGTGTCCAGAAACTTGATAGGAACTAGGGCATCTGTCTCCTTGAGGCTTACAGGGCGGCCTTGATAAAGACTTTGGATCTTGTCGACAACTGTCAAGTTATGTTAATCCGGCAAGCTCTTCAGGTGAAACTGCGATTTTTACTCACCAAAAGCTCCCCAGAAGGTTCGCCGCCGAATCTCCAAGTCCTCGTCCGAGAAACGCTGGGTGCTCGTCAAGTCAACATGCATACCCAAATCAGTCAACATGCGGAACGCAAGCCCCGCGTACAGCCACGCAGCGCTACGCTCGTCACCGAGAGCAAAGAGCGAGTTGGTCATGACGAGCAAAGCTTGAATTGTCGTGATATCACTACAGTCCAGGGCACCGCCGAGCAGCTCGCGAACCCGCTCTCGATACTTCCAGCCTGCTGTGCGAACGTCGTTGGGATCTTTGCGAACTTCTAACCGCGGGCTAAATTTAGCGGCGCCAAAGTAGATCGCATTCAGCAGGAGCTTGGAGAAGTAGGGGCCATTGCAAGCCATGTCGCGCATGAATGCCGGACGGTAGGTGATAAGAAACGAATGGTGCTGGCGATTCCAGTGAAGGGACAAAAGGTGCATCCCGAGGTCCGGATCCACCCCATCAAAGTCGAGCTTATTGTGGTTGAAGTTCAGCTGTTCCATTTGTCCTGATCTTCGTTTTAGCAAGAGAGGTCATGAATCATTCTGGAGTAGTCCCTACGTTGTTTCGCCGCCTCCGCAACAAGGCCGCGTTCGACCCAGTCATCCGACATGCGAGGGCGACGCTCAGCCCCTGGTGGCCGCTCTTGGTTATTCTCTTCGAAGAAGGCACTTGTATGCCCATGGTAGCTGGACACGCCATCGGCGGACACCAAGATGCGAGCGACCCGACCTGGAGATGGTTCGGCAGCGGCATCGCCGGAGTCCAGGTCGCCATTGGAACGAGTACTCGAAGGAACAATGTCTTCAGCTACTGGCGATTGAGACACATCTCCGATATTTGGCGCCACTCCGGGCGTCTGGGGAGATACATCAGCGGCAGCGGCTGAAGAGAGATCTTGCTGCGTCTTGCGGCGAGTAGTTCGGCCCCGACCAGCTTCCCGGGCCGTCTCGCTAATGGGCTCGTAGATGCAGTCCTGGGCATATGTTTTGCAGTTAGCGCATACAGGCTTTTCGCTGTTGCATTTGATCTGGCGTTGTCAGTACAGGTCCCGCCAAGTGCGACCGAGGCGGGGCTGACTCGCACCTTTCTTCTGCGGCAAAACGAACAGGCCTCGGGTGCTCGTCGTCGACGGGAGCGAGACTGCGACACCTGGTCTGGTGTCTTGCCGGCCACTGGCTCCATGTCTCAAAATCGAAAAGGTGACTGAACGGCAGTGCAGATGCTTGCAGGAGGAAAGAGATTTGACGGGAGAGCGAACGGGACAGCGGCAACGGAGGAGCGGAAAGACGGGAAGCGTTGGAGACGAGATCCCGCGGGAGTCGCCCTGTCCGCATATCACCGCTGCCAATACAAGAGTCGGGTATTCTCGCTAGCTCTGCAGAGTTTGTAGGTCAAGTTTAGTCATGGCATCCATCGCTGAGAACAAGCTTCCGAGTGTGGCACTGACCACACAAAACCACCCCCAAGCGAAACCCAAGAGGGCGATTTCGCCGGGCGTGTCCCTTACAGCTGGCGCTGTGGCCGGTGCCGTCGAGGCAGCTATCACTGTATGGACTGTTGGTCTCTGAAACGAGATGATCTTGCTAACATGTCAATAGTATCCGTTCGAGTTTGCCAAAACACGAGCACAGCTTAACCGCAACCGTGTCGGCGTCAGTTCCGCCCCGATCTCCAAGAACCCTTTTGCTGTCATCTCGCAGACAGCGCGCCAAGATGGGATTCGAGCCATCTACACAGGGTGTTCGACTTTAATCCTCGGCACTGCTTGCAAAGCGGGCGTCCGTTTTCTTTCATTCGACTCTATCAAGAACATCCTTGCCGACGCGGACGGTCGGTTATCTCCCGCGCGGGGTATCTTGGCCGGTATGCTTGCCGGCGCGGTGGAGAGTGCGGTCGCGGTTACGCCTACGGAGCGGATCAAGACTGCTTTGTGAGTACTTTGCGTCTAGCGAGCATATTTTGTTCGTATGCTGATGCTGTTGGGACAGGATCGATGACTCTCGCTCGCCAAATGGACGTCGATACAAGGACGGGCTTCATGCCCTTCGGACCATTGTTGCCGAATCTGGGGTCAAGGAAGTCTATCGCGGGCTACTGTCTACCACCCTCAAGCAGTCCACTACCTCTGCTGTGCGCATGGGCTCGTACAACGTCATCAAGGAGGCTGTATCGTCACGCACTAGTGCTGCAAGCACAAGTAACCCAGTTCTCACCTTTGGAATGGGCGCCACGGCCGGCGTAGTAACCGTGTACATGACACAGCCTTTTGATACGATCAAGACGCGCGCTCAGGGAGCAAAGGGAGTGTCTACCGTAGAAGCATTCCGCGCTGTCCTAGCTGATGGAGGCGTGAGAGCTTTCTGGAGGGGGAGCTCCATGCGACTGGGGAGGTTGATCCTCAGTGGCGGGATAGTGTTTACGGTGTATGAGAATGTGGCAGCGTTACTGAGTCCTGGCATTCAACGATTGGGATAGTATTTGATGAAGACATAGACTGGACAATATCCATCCATCCGCATTGCCAAGCTTCCTCAAACGATGAAATCCTCTGCCAAGGCTATACACTCGGACATCCCCCGCCCTCGTTCCCCCTCTTGTCATTATGGACCCTCTGGGTTCTGTTCCCGCGGGATCGCCAACGGGTCTGGGGCCCCGCGACCCCAAATCTACTCCAACTGCCAAGCTCACCTGGCCAACTCTATGACAGCTGCCGCGCACGATGTTGACTATATAACAAGCCAATTGACCCTCTGATCTCCGCTATCATCAATCAGTCGCAGAAGTGAACAGAATATTTTCCAAGTGAACCAGCCAGCCATGGAACCAGATCGCCGGCCTAGCGCAGACCAGAAAGAAGCGCTCGAGACCGAGAAACGCATCGAAGATGTCTCTAATCCACCGAATGCCGAGAGATATATTGCACCAGAGGTGATCCAAGCGCGATTTGACCTACTCCGCGATTTGGGACCAGACGAAATGGCTGCTCTCAACAAGCGTGTGGTGAAGAAGATTGATTGGCACATGATGCCCTGCGTCACCTTGATGTTTCTGATGAAGTATTTCTTCTCTCCCATCTCTCCATGAAGAAACAGCTGACACCAGCAGCTACCTCGATCGCATCAACGTGTCCAATGCCCGCTTGGCAGGCCTGCAAGAGGATCTGCACATGAGCGATACGGTCTGGAATGCGGGTATCTCGACATTCTATGTTGGCTATTTAATAGGCCAGCTTCCTGGGAATCTGCTCATGGCCAAGTCGAACCCGCGCTGGTTTCTCCCTGCTGCCATGTTCATGTGGAGTACGGGGACAATCTGCATGCCTGCAATGACAAAGTATGTGGCCCCCAGACTGGATGCTCGGGATCCATGACTAAAGAGCTTTCCCAGCGGTGTGGGCTTCTGTGTCGTCCGATTCTTCATTGGGCTGACCGAGGCGCCCTTCTTTCCTGCCCTCACACTTTGTAAGGCTTCGACATCCATCCAATCACGGAAATTCTTAGCCTTTGTCAGACTAACAGCGCGATACAGTAACATCCTCATGGTACACAAAAGAGGAGTCACCCATGCGCATGGCGATCTGGCACGCCGGAAACACCATATCAAACATTATCTCCGGCTTTCTTGCAGCAGGAATTCTCGAGAACATGGATGGCGTAGCGAACCTACACGCCTGGCAATGGTTTTTCCTGATCGAAGGCATAGTTTCCATCATTGTTGCATGTGGCGCTTGGATCTTTCTACCAGGCTGGCCCCACAACACCCGCTTCCTAACCGAGGAAGAGCGCGAGATGGCGCAATACCGCGTCCTCGTGTCCAACGGTGGGCATGACGAGGCTGTGGGAGGGACATGGGATGGTCTTCGAGACGCGGTCAAGGATCCATTCACCTGGTTCTTCTGCCTCATGCACTTTGCCCTTGTCACCGCGCAGAGTTTCAAGGACTTCTTGCCTTCTGTACGTGGCCACCCTGTCTCTTAACATTTTCTCCCGCCCACCTTGGCTGACTCCAAGCTGCAATAGATCATCAAAACCTTCGGCTTCGACACAATGACCACCTACCTCGTCCAAGCACCCCCCTACGCCATAGCCTACATCTTCGCCTGTCTCGCCGCCTACTCCTGCGGCCGCCTCCAAGAAACAACCTGGCACATCGTCATCCCAATCATCTTCTCCGCAGCCGGCTGCAGCATCCTGATCAGCACACTCAACGTGGGCGCCCGCTACTTCGGGATCATCCTCCTAATCTGTGGCACCTACAACGGGCTGAATCTGCAACTCTCCTGGGAAACGACTGTCGTCCCCGCCCCGCGCGCGAAAAAGGCCGCCCTGATCGCGATTGCGAATTGCATCAGTCAGTCGAGTCATTGGTTCAGTCCGTACTTTTATCCGACGGAACAGGAGCCGTATTATCGTATGGGTGGAGGGCTCGTGCTGATGGGGTGTGCGCTTGTGGCGCTCTCGGCGTTTGCGGTCAATTGGAGGGGGAGAAGGCTCAATAAGAGGCTGGATGAGGCCGAGGGGTGGTCGGAGTATTCTGGGGTCGAGAGGGGGTGGAGGTATAAGCTCTAGGGGAGGTATCATTGACGCCTGTTTCTTGATAACCAGGCTTTACCCCTTGTTGCTGTAGGGACTACAAGCCATGTTGCACGCATTCACGTTCTAGTTCTCCCCAGATGCCACGCTTTGAAACCAGATAAGAATGAATCTAGACAAGCCGCTCAAGACCGCATCTAGCTAAAACTTCTGTCAATTTCACTCAGTACAAGTACCCAATAAATGGTTGCCTTGATGTACTTGATGTTCGATAACGGCGTCGTCCTGCGTTAGCCCTAACATACCTACCAAGTCCCAGCCTACTCGGCCTTGGTATAATCTCCAGCTCCCTGAAGCTGTAAATCGTTTACTTCTCGCCTATATCCAAGAGTTTAGTTCAGAATGCGGTACACAAACATGTAAGAAAATGCTAAAGCTTATCCCTTTTTTGAGATGGGCGAGATACATATTTAGTGTTTCGGGTAGCGACTCAAGGGCCTAGCTGCTCCCTGCCTCAGAGAACAGCAAAAAGCCGGTAGAGTAGAAAACTACCTACATACTTCGGCTCTTAAAGCTCTGTAGTAAAGGGCTTAGCTCACTATAGGGGGAGCACTGTTGGAGAAGGAGCCATCGGCCTCCGTAGGCCTGCTTACCACCCACTCGAGAACCCATTAATCCTTGATGAAACCGTCCTAGCAACAACACTCACTCAATTTGCTACTCAACTAGGTTCGATCATAATGTCCTCCCTCCCAAGTGCAATCATGCGGCATCGCAAGTATCAGCCTCACAATTGCAGCGTTCACGTGACAGCAGTCTCCCCAAAAGGGCTTAGTCAGTTTGTGGATTGCGGGGGTTTGCAAAATCTTGCACTCTACAACGCGTCACTCGCTCTCCAGATTTCCAGATTTCTAGATTCTCGGACGCAGATTTCTTGATACGCTGAATCCAATTATCCGACAGTCGCGATGGCTCGTATCAAAGACCTGAATGCGCACGAGGTCCCGCCCGAGGCGATTCGGCTGCGCTACAAACATTACCACAAGGCTTCGCTCGTGGACATCAACGCGGACCTGGCCATTGTTGATTTACAGGCGCTGGATTTGGAGAATTTACCAACAGAGGTCTCACTTGTTCGACAGATATCACCGGCTGATCTTGAACCGGCTTTTGCCAAGTTCTTCGACCAATCCACACGTGCCGACGAACCACTCCCGCAGAGTATCCCCGTTTATACTCATCAATCGGTGACTGGTAATTATACACGGAATAGGACCGAGTAGTTTGTGCTTGCTGACACGTTTCAGGTCTACTGATGGTCCCGTCTCTGTTCCCACCATCAGTTCAAGTCGAGCTGCTCTCCCGCTTGCTCCACCGGGACCTGCCAAACAGCGACCACAAGACCAACCTGCATCTTCATTACGACGTGACCTACCCTGTAAAGATAGAGGACGGCGTCAAGTACCAAACTAAGACCCCGAAGGCCACACCGAGAGAACAACCCCTCTCCTTCTTCGAAGATGACCAGACACGTATCTTTCGACCGAAAGATCCCAACGTGCACAAACCATTCACGATGCAGACCACCCTAACCAAGAAGCTCCGGTGGGTCACCCTCGGCGGGCAGTACGACTGGACCGCCAAGGTATATCCGTCCGAGCGTCCACCGGCCTTCCCAGAGGACATTGCCTCCCTTCTCCGTGCAGCTTTCCCCGAAACAGAGCCTGAAGCCGCAATCCTCAATCTCTATTCACCAGGGAACACTCTAAGCCCGCATCGCGACGTCAGCGAGGAGTGCGATGCTGGTCTGATCAGTGTGAGCTTCGGCTGCGATGGCTTGTTTCTCATTAGCCACGACAATGGGGAGGGGTGTGAGGTTATCCGGCTGCGTTCGGGCGATGCGGTGTATATGGATGGAACGTCCCGCTTCGCGTGGCATGCGGTACCGAAAATTATACCGAGCACTTGTCCGGCCTGGTTGCAGGATTGGCCCTGTATTGATGGTGATGAGAGTGTGGAGCGCTACGAAGCTTGGAAGGGATGGATGGCTGGGAAGAGGATTAATTTGAATGTTCGACAGATGGTCGCCGAGCAGAATTAAGCTGCGAAAACCTCTATACGACTTGTTGCTGAGGCTTAGTGGGGTGGTAGGCTACGGCCAGCCGCGGACTTTGCAAGGACAACCAGGACGGTTTTGATCGATGGAATGTATCGCGAATTGGAATGCTCGCCTTTGCAACTCGAACAGAACTGGTGTCTGCTCTTACCTTGGAGCCTCCAGGGCCCTGGTTGATGGTCTGGAGAAGCAGCGAGATATAGGTCGCGATCTCGCACCGACCAAATCCATCAACTTGAGCACAGCAATACTCTCAACAAGGGCACAACGCGGGGAACGCCAAGCGAACCAAAGGGCATCGTATTCAGTGTCGCTGAGATGATGGCAGCCAATCGATGCTGAGCTTCCGCTTGTTAGCTTGTTACAGGCGGCTGGCCAGACGCCAAGAGCCGTTTCAGGGGCCCTTCATCTCGGCGCGTCCCTGTCACCCTGCGATCTTCAGCCCCGGCCAAGATCAGCCCGTCCTTCGATATCCAAGAATCGCGCCAATGACTGGGATCTTGTCACGTTTCACCTTTGAAGCCCAAATAACGTCGACGAGCCAGTGGTCGCGCCCAGACCCTGACGTCCCGAACGGACGGCGGCACTGCCAATTGGACTCTTCTTCCGGGCTTTGACGCACAAAGACAAGTGCTCCAGATTGTTATTTATCCGAAGAAATGGCCATTGCCAAGGCTTGTCTTTGTTTGATCCTGTGCGACACAATGCCGTTGAAACACTCGACACTCAAGGCCTTTGAAACACGACCCCGTCTTTGACACCATGGTATATAACCCAAGGGGCAGACACAATGTGCGACCTCGATGATCGACACACGCTCATTCATTCAGTCATTCCTTTACATTATAGACCAAGACGCTCCTTAAAATGGCGCTCCTTCTTTTCTTTCACCTGCTGGCAGTGTTGACCTTGGTTGCTGGAAAACCAATTTTGATCCCCAGGCTGGCCCAGGAGGCGGCATCGCTGGACGATGCCGCGCAGACGCTCTTTGATGTGACTCTTGAGTCTCTTGGAAATACAACAGTCAAGGCGCAGATCACCAATGTAGCCACCGAGGGGTTCCGCCTCGTTCAGCGTGGCGGGATCCTGGACCACGTTCCCACGAAAAAAGTCATTGTCAAGGGTGGTGGTGAGTTTCCTTCCTCCCCCTACCATCATTCATGAACAATATAATCCCCTAACAATCATCCAGACACCGACCCGGTCTTCACAGGCGTCCGCGTGGAGTACATCCTCTCACACCTCACCGCTGACGGCTTCGTAACCATAACCCCTGGCCAAACCATCTCGTCAATCTTCGACGTCGCCGACCTCTACGCCCTTGCCCCCGGAACAGAGTATACAGCGATCGCCGACGGCGCCCTCGAGTACACGACCCTCACCGACAAAACCCACTTTCTCAACGTCGACTACCTCTCCAACAGCATAACATTCACCGCGCCCGAAAACGTCAAATCCCGCCTCGAAGACCGCTCCACCCTCGTCTGCTCAGACGAATACAACAGCATCGTGCAAGCCGCCATCTCCCGTGCCGCCGAAATGGCCACCGCCGCAGCGGCAGACGCCCGCTCAGGCACAACAGGCCTCTTCGAGAAATTCTTCAAATCAACCTCGCAATCCGACCGCGACGAAGTCGCCGGCCGCCTCGAGGCCATCGCCCTCGAAGCAACAACAACAGGCAAACTCACCTACTACTGTGAGCCGCAGGACATGGACTACTGCGCGGCAAACGTGGCCGCAATGATGTATCCGAGCCTAGACCGCGTGGTGAATTGCCCCGGGTATTACTCCAGCACCAAGGTGTCGAATTACTGTGGGTATCTGGACCAGGCGGGGATTACGTTGCATGAGTATGCGCATGCGGAGTCGCTGTATCCGCCCGGCACTGAGGATATCGTTTATGGGTATGAAGGGGTTCTGAGTTTGAGTACCGAGCGCGCCAAGAATAATGCGGATTCGTTTGCTTATTATGCTTCTGGTATGTTATCTTTCTTATCCCCCTTTGTCTTCGTCCCATACTAGACTTATATCTATATTCATGGAACAAACTAACAAAAGCCCACAGCCGTCTACCTCCAATGCGCCGTCGACGACTCGGTAACAATCGGGACACCCCTCGACATCGACACCGAGACCGCGACTAGCGCTGACGACTCTGACGAAACAGACCCAGCCCCGACATCCACAACAACCCTAACAACAACACACACCGAACACGCGACCTCAACCGCCACGGAAACCGCTACTGTCACTGCAACCAGCACCGAGACACAGTCTCCAACTGAGCCTACTGGCGGGTACGGAGAGGGACCCTGGGGCGCCGGTGGTGGATTTGGCTGGGATGATTGGGGCCACACCGACGACGATACGAACTCCAATACCGAGACCGAGACGGAACATCCAACCGGTACATGGCCCGACACAAACTCCGGCTCCGGCTCCGGCTCCGGCACCGGGACATGGCCCGGCTCCGGGTGGGGCTGGGCGACGCCCGGGGTGACTACAACTTCGACGGCGGTGATTGGGACGGCTACGCCCGTTATGACGGAGACGGGGACGAGTCTGTTCAATCTGCAGGATCTGTTGGATTGGTTGGCTGCGAAGTTTACTGCGCAGTCGCAGGCGCAGGTGCAGCAGAGCTCGAAGTAGCATTCTGATTCGAGATGGGCTCGAGGTTGCATCCTGGGTGTGTGACCTTTGAGCGCCGACTAGTGGGGTTATGATTTTGTAGAGGCGACGTGTACAGAGACTTGGTCGAGGTAGTTTGTTCTGTACTAGTTATAGCACGGAAGTTTTGACCTAAAAGATGGTTTCGTCTATCAACTTGTTGTTGGCAGCTGACTTGTCCGCTAACACGAATCAAACTGACACGAATCAAAGCCCCATCTATTCCCAGTTCTAGCATTCGAACCCCGTAACCCAGCCATCTATGACACAGAACGTAATGTAGAACATCGATCTTGAAGATCACAACAAGACGGCAACATCAAAGAGAACGAAATAGTAATAAAACAAGCTTCTACCACAAAAATCAAATACCAGCATCACAGAAGCTAGTTCCCATTATAAACCTGATCCTTCGTCAACTTAAACTGCCCCTTTGGCCACTCGCTTTCCTCAATCTTTTCGGGAAGAACATGTCGTGCAGTGAGAGCAAACCGCAATTTTGCGCCGCCTCCCTTTTCCAGCTCGACTTGGTGCTGTAAACAATGCTGTTAGTAGCCGGCTCAATACATCAGCATTAGACACGTACCTCGTAGTACTTCTGTACCCCGTCTCCATGCATCACCACGAGGTCCCCATGATGCAGCTGGGTCTTGATACACGGCGGTGCATCACGGGCGGGGCTGCCCTTTGTCTCCCTGTACTTTGCCCACCACGCCGCCTCGTATGCAGCCCAAGTCAGCTCCTCATTGTCCAGTTTCTGCTTGAGTTCCAACCGCCACTCGCGGTTGGGGCAACCCTCAAGAACCGGATCATGACGCACGAGCTTCCTTGAGCCCTTGGTGAATCCGTTGTAGTATTTGTACTTCATTCGCAAGCTCTTGTGAGCCATGGCGCCGAGCGAGAGGGAGGCAATGGTCGGACCAAGCGTATCTTCGCCGTCATCGTGGTACTGTCCAAATTTAGGATTAGCTACCATCTCTCCGTCCATTTAGCAATGATTTACATTGATGGCCATATCCTCAAAGTAGCCCAAGGCGAGAAGCTCGTTCGGAACAAGAGCTGTCCTTCCCTCAGTTTGCGTGGCCTCTCTAGTGGCCCACGTCAGACGACCCATGACTCGGAGGATCGGGTCACAGGCCTCACTTAAGGGCAGAGAGTCAACAGCAACGACGAAGCCGTACGGCATACCCTGATAACGTTAGTGGCGGGGAGTCAGAGTCTGCAGAGGGGACGAACATAGTTGACAGCAAACTGAGCATTCAACGTTCCGTTAACTAAAACGATCAATTAGCCCGGAGACACTGTTGAAGAGAGGAAGATATCGTACCCACTGCTTGGGATAATGGATAGCGGCGCAGGCCCAGATTAGCCTGCTGCAGCTGGACGAACAAGTCGTTGGGGCCATTTGGTCTCTCGTTGATCTCTCGGTTGGCAACAAAGTGGGTGACTGTGCCCGCTCCTGGGAGGTCGTAGACGAGTCTGCTGTAAGGCTGGCAGTACAGATCATCGATTTTTGGTTCGATGAGGGCGGTCTCCTTGGGCCCAGGGTCAAACACAATCGCACGTCTGATCGGAGCCACCTCGTAGTCATCAATGACTGCTCGGAGCGAGATGGCCTGCATGCTGAGTACCCTCCTGAAGCCGCAGGAGTCGTCGCACCTCCAGCCATCCCAGAACCGCCGGGACAGGCATTGCTTGCAATTGGGACATACTATCCCGTTCTTCCACGAGGTGCGCGAGTAGGTGGAATTGGGGTCGGTGTCATCAATGACCGACATATAATCCGGAACGAGGGAGTAGTGAGGCTGTACCCTCCCATCAGCCTCGTGGCGCCAGTCGAGCCATTTCTGATCGTAGTCCAGGTCCACTGGGGGATCAGTCCCATCGGGCAGTTTCCAAAAGCGTCCGCAGCTGGTGTTGAGGCACATCCACCCTTGGTAATAGATGCGATAATAGGTCTGATTACAAGCACCACACTTGCGTTCATTGGGCTTGACGTATTTCCGCCTTCCGGTCTTGAGAGGTGCAGGCGACCCTTTCTCTGCCCACCAGCTCTTCTCTTCCAGATCCAGCTTCTCCAAACGAAACCTGACGGCAATAAAGCCATCGATCCTCTCGTGCCAAACGTATGCGACTCGGAAGTAGTCCATCACATTGAAAGCGTGAGGCAGCTTTCGTTTGAGAATCTTGTTCTTCTTCCCTAAAGGCACGTCAGCATTAAATGAGGGCATAAAGTGGAAGACACTTACCTATCACCACCCCGACGGCGATATTGAACTTCATACTATTGTTGACCGATCTGGAGATGGCGGTGTCGTCCTTCTGGTCCGCAACCTGGGTCAGCTTCCCTTCTGCGTCTTTCTCGCTCCCTCCGCCCCTGGAAACGTTAATATCTTGTCGTTATAAGTGGAATATCTGGGAGACTAACGTTCGAGTAATGATAATCTCATCGTCGATATACGATCGCACTCCCGCATCCCCACTGATCAGGACCCCATAGAGTACTCCGTCCTTGGTGTGCATACCGCCCTGAAATTTCCGAAACCAGGGAATCGCGTCTCCAAGCGGTGTCCTATCCTGCGTACCGTCCGTTAGCAAAGCGCACAGGTTGCATCAATATGCTGTGCTACAAACCTCTGCCCAAGCCGGCGGCTCACCGTCAACGTCTGGATACTCCTCCTCAGCCGGGGGTGCAGTGTCCTCGACATCGACATCCATCTTGTCGTCGTCTCCAGCCTCTGGAGATCCGCTGTTTCGAGCGCCCTTCCCGGAAATCCCAAGGGCTCTTCCCGCAGCCTGAATCAGCCCGGGCGAGGCTAGTGATGTTAGCCTTGCGGTAAGACCAGACCAGACCAGACCAGACCAGACCAGACCAGACCAGACCAGACCAGACCCTGGCGGGCGGATCATGGATGTGTCAAATGGACGGATGGATACCTTTCGCGGCAGCCTTCGCTTTCCTCACGCCTCCTCCCCTCCCTTCTTTGACCACTCTTGCGATTCCTTTCCTTGCCATGGTGCCGTGCCTATGGATATTGACCGTCGAGGTGCGTCGATGGGTTTATGGATAAGCTGTTGCCAGTGTCGTTCCTTCCAGAGGGTATGACTGGCGTCGGATAGCGTTTATGGAATGAGTAGTAACGTGGGATAATCGAAGACGGTTTTGCGTATCTGCAGAAACGCTTCGTGGATGGAAATGGACGAGGGAAGAGGCGAGCGGATCGAGGTGGTTATAGCGTCGTTCGCACTCGTCGAGGGCGGGCATTCGAAAGTGGAGACGACAAGACCATCTGAAAGCAACGGCACGAGTCGATAAATCGGATGAAAGAGTCGAGACGTGAGCTGCAGACAAAGACGAGAAAGATAAAGGTGGCCGGGTGGAAAGATGGACGATGGAAAAGTCATGGGCCACTCCAAGGGGTCGTGCCTTCCACTTTTGGATTCCGCATCCATCCCGGCACTCAGTTTTCGGCGCCTACGGAATCGCCAGCGATGCGGAACGGGCGTCAGAGATTTGGCACCTTCTTTGTTCCTTTCAAGGCGCCTCGGGTAGTCGATCAGCACGGAAGCTGGGCTTCTTTCTTGCATCCTGCCTCTATTTTCGTTTCTTTGACAACGAGTCGAGTGAGCCCAGGAAAAGGCCACGATTCTGTCCTTTCTTGGCTGGCTGTCAGAGACATAGTGACCTACTGTACGGAAGACCAAGGAGAAAAGTCAGTTCCTGACAAGGGAAGATTGAAATTGCAGGATATTTATGTCCGTTATTAATTCTCCTACCTACTCCTCCCTCCGTATCCCGTTTGTCCTCGACGGTGGACCTTGGGCTATCGGAGAGAAGGGCACACAGTTCAGGCGCCACGCCATCCCCTTGTACCTCAAAGAAGACACAACGGCCGCTTTTCTTTGTCCTCGTTCATTATCAGTGCTAGAGTACGGATCCTTTTCAAAATCTGTCCTTTCCATGGAACTCGTTATTCCGGCCGACACTTGACAGTCGAGGAGATTCAACAATTATTTGAGTTATTTGCGTTGTGGAGAAACGGTATAGATCATGCAGGGCAGAAAATGGCGTATGCATTTGACAAACAAGACATTATGGTGCATGTTTCATTCTCAGCGTATTTTCTGGCAGCATATTCTGAGGAAAGATAGCGTTTAGAGTGAGACAGCAATGGAGAGACCACGACCGTAAAGGGATCCAAGACAATGAGTGACCTTGGGGTTCAATATAGGCCTACAAATTGCATAGAAAATGTCCATTCGAATCCCAAGCGCTCGATGGATGGTGTACTTGTATCCAACGCATAGATCAAGAGTATATCGATAGCGGCGTATTATTTACGACCCGGCAACGAGGGTCAACCTCTCCCTATACTATCATGATAGACAGGCGACCAGCCACGGCTTTAGAATCATGATCGGTCTTGATAATAGCGATGCTCCGACCGCTCCTACATGACAAGGACCAAAGAGCCTTGCCTAAGAGACAAGCTCAGTAATAGAGCTCAACAGCGTCAACAATCTAGCGAATCGTTAGCGAAGACTACTGTAGCTTCAGATAGTGTACTTACAAAATTCGGACTCAAAAACTCCTCCCCGTCATTCCCCGACACCACGGAGATATAGATCGAATTGTCCCCAGTAATCAGCTCATCCACACCAAACGAGTACGTATACACCTCTCCATACCCCCTATACGCACCCCTCGTGACCCCCCTCGAATCAATTTTGCTCGGCGCCGAAGGCACATCACTCTCCGCCTGATTAAGCGTAACCTGTGGCCGCCCCCCGGAAAAGGCAAGCGTCGTCGCGATGCGGAAGGTCACTTGCTCGGTATCGGGAATCTCGTGGAGCGAGAATTGGATTTCGAAATTATTGTTTACGTCCGCGAAGATGGCCATGGGGAAGTCGGAATCGTCCGACTCGCCCACGACAAACGGCGTCGGGTTCCAGTCGTCCATGCGGTCGTCGGACGGGTGCATGCGGAGTTGGTTTGCGGCATTGCGGAGGCCCGAGGGGGTTCCGTCGTATTCGCCGATCTGGAAGATTGTTGTTCGGGCTCCGGTGATGATTTCGTTTGTTGCGCTGAGGGACGCTGTCGCTGTTGCCCCTGCTGTGATGGAGACGGTGGTCGTGGCGGCGAGGAGCTCGTCTTGGTAGAGGGCCATTGTATACGAGCCTTGGATGAGCGCGGGGGAGGTAAAGGAACCATCCGAGGCGTTGGCCCAGGACTGGTAGTCGTCATTGTACCAATGCACAATCGCCGGGTGCGAAGAGGATGTCCCGTCGACCGAACCGGTGATGTAGCCGCGCTCTGAGGAACCGATATAGCCGTCAAGGTCGAGGCCGTCGAAGAATGAGACGTCAAAGTCATCCCAGGAAGGAATCAAGGAACCGGTAAAGGAGAGAATATACGGCCCGAAGAAGCCTGTCCGATAGGATTCTGTCTGTACGTGGCCGGAGTTCATGTAAAAGGTGACGGAGTGGTAGTCGCTGCCCAGATTCAGGTCGATGTCCCTGGAGAAGGGACCGCCAGAAGACTTTTCGCGAGACCGGGTGTCGGAGAGGAAGCACGCGTGTACGGAGCTGTCGGACCTGTATGCGCAGTAGACATCGTCGTCGATGAAGCGCTGAGACGAGTAGAACTGGTATACCCATTAACAACTCATCTAATCGACCTGAGCTGTAGTGACCAACCTTGCTTCTAGTCTCACCATCGACGAGGAACACATCGCTGCCCTCGATAATCTCCCCACCAGTGATGTCAGACACCTCACCCTCCTTGTACGCCTCCGGGAGATCAACCAGGCGAGCGATGTAGCGCAGTTCGCCTACAGAAGGCTCAGACACGGCATTTGTGCCCATGTAGATAGCGCTGCGCTGGTCCTCAAAGACATAGTAGTGGGTGAGATCGAAGCTGTCGCTGTCAATGGTGGCTGAGACGATGACATAGTCCCCTATCTTATGTTAGCCACACAAGGGAGAGGTGGAGGGTAGAGAAGAAGACCTTGCGCAGTATACGACACGGAGGCCTCACTCCCTAGGCCGGACGCAATATGGCTGAGTGTCCCTGAGTATTGGTACTCTGCATCACGATACTGGAGCGAGGAGATTGAGCCGCTACTGTCGATGGTCACAATAAACCCGTCATCGCCCCCGACATCAACGACGATGCTGTCGTCAGTTTCATCGACGCTGATACCACTGACGAGAGCGGCAGCTAGAAGTGCAGACCAAATCAGCATCGTGGCGAGGTTTCGATTCTTTGAAGTATGGGCGAGACAGGAAGAGTAGGCTGTTCATCAGGCAGGGCTAGAGCGCCAAACTTATACCATAGACCGCATAAAACCGTCTCGGTGGATCATTATCACGAAGGGACTCGCCATGTTCCATGTCTCCGAGAAATTTAGAATGAAGGAGTTCGTCATCGCTCATCCTTCAGGAACAGAGCGCTGATCATCGTGCATATCTTGCGATGATTGGCGGAAGATTCCATGTCGCGCATGTAATAGCAGCCAGTTTTGTGTCGAACAGATCACGAACGCGCCGATTGATTTCCCAGTCGAGTATCGTCCACGGAGGATAGTCAGTGCGAGATATATCGCACGCGTCACTGTGGGGTGGCGAGTATATCCGATCCCTGTCGCTGTCGCATGGGGAAGCTTAGCACCGCGCTACCCCACATTTCGTCTTCAGAATTTGGCACCATCTATTAAAGAGGTTGATTGAAGAAGAGAAGTCACAGCCATCCTGAAAAGCAACCGTGTAACCAGGCAATGGCCAGATACGAGACCCTTTGGTAAGCACTGCCCTTCTTGTCGCATCCTGCGCTGGCAGCCGTCGCAAGGATGCGCTCAGCCTCACTGCGACGTAAAACCGCCTCGACGCGCTGTTTCGAGTTCCTTTCTCTCTTTCCTCCTGGAAGAAACTCAAAGTCTCCGCAACTGACAGCCTTTCGATGGGTGACCCTCTGTCAATCGCGGCAAGCATAGCCGGGCTCGTCTCGCTTGCGGGCAGTCTATTTCGCGTGGTCTGCCAGTACGGTGTCGAAGTCAAGGAGTTCAAGAACGAAGTCAATCGGCTGTCTGTTCTCCTCCATGAGCTGTCGCTTCTTGCCACTTCGCTGGAGACGGGGCCTCTCGATAGCACCTTCCGTCTGGAGCACGCCAACTAATGTGAGAAATCTCTCCATGAGATCAAGGCCAAACTCGAGAGAACTCGACCAAGCCCGTCCGGCTCCACTGGGCTTAAGTCTGCAGTCTCCTGGCTAAAATGCTGCGCCCCACCAACCAAAAATGCTCGAGGCTTTGCTAGATTGTCTTTTTGATAAATGGGGATTTTATCTTGATGGAATGGCAGACTTTGTTTAAGCATGTTTGTGGTTAAGGTTTAAAAGGTTAGCTTAACAAGGGAGTTGAAGAAGCAAAGGGCTAAACAACAGTAACCTGGCTCACGAGATGGGTACTGGCATAATATCTCTGAATATCATATGTATCAAGTAGTTTATGTTGACGAGTCTGGATGTTACAGACGAGATGTCATTTGCTGAACTTGCTGGAGTACTGCAGACGGCGGTCTAAAATACTCTTATAACTGTAAGAATCTTTAGTTTGGCAACCTGAGAGCACCAGACTCGCCGGATGTTACTGTGGGCTTCTCCATTGCAGTAGCACTCACAGCTCCCCCAAGCACATTGAGGCTCATCTGGTAATACCGCAACAGCTCCTGATTTCCTGACTCCGCGCAAATTCTCCCAATCTTATACCGACTGCACGAAAGATGGTACCGAACATATCCCTTGAAGAATTCACCAACGCGATCAGATAACCTCTTCTCGCCTAAGACCCCTAGGATACTCTGAACCCTCGCCCACGATCCTATCGCGGTGTTAACCAGATCGATCAGTATCTCTAGCACCGATCGACCACTACACGAAGCCTCATTTAGCGGAAAGTTGATACGCTCGAACGCATTCTCACTCTCCTTGTAGAACGAAAAGAGGTCATTAACCGTCCCAACGAAATCCTCAAGCTCTGCCTCCAACGACGCAGTGAAAGACAAAAATTCACTCTGCGGGAATTCTGCCTCTGGGAAGCATAGAGCCGCTTGCACGGGGCCTTGACCACTCATGCGCCGTATATAGCTGGGGTACGTGGAGCCGGAGTATCCGCGGAACAGCGTCCTCTCAAGGCAAGTGGCCTGGATGAATTCCAGCGCGCCGCGGAAGAGCGTTGTCTGCGCGTACGGGCCGTAATGCTGTAGGACAAGGGGAAGCGTTTCAAAGAAGCCATTCCAGACAGGGTGCTTAACCTGCTCTCGGGTCGAGAGCTGGATGCAGAGGTTCTCGAGACTGTCGTGCTGCTCGATCGGCATGTCGTCAACGGACATTTGGAATGAGTCGTAAAGGGTAACCGCCTGTCGAATTTCGAGAGGGAGGAAAGGGAATGTGCAGTGCACGTATCCAGCTAGCTCGCGGACGATTCTGCTATTGTGGGGGATGTACGGGAAGACAAAGTCTTGCAGCGACTCTAGGTCTTCTGGTGGAAGACGGGCGGTGTCGTCGTAGTCAAAGCGCTGGAGGAAAGCGACGAGGACATTGCTGAGCTCTTGGACTGTGACTTGGTCCATTATGGGACATCTAAATGATTGGAATTTACGGAAGAGACGTGGAATCCCAGCAAATCGAGCTTTTAAATATTGGCGTCACGATCTAGGCTGTTTAGGGCCTGCCATTCACGTATAGGCCCGTCGTGATATCACAACTCTCTCAGAGGCCGAAATAACACCTGTGGGTTAAACTTAATTCAGCTTCTAGGCTTGGAGAGAGCTTCTGTCATGTGTTGATCACTTAAATATTAAGTGTAGTGATCTGCTGATCATGGCTCTCTTAGAGGCTAAAATAACACCTGTGGGTTAAACTTAATTCAGCTTCTAGGCTTGGAGAGAGCTCCTGTTATGCGTTCATCACTTAAATATTAAGGGTGTAGTGATCTAATAATTACAAATCTCTTAGATACTAAAGTAGAATCTATAGGCTAAACCTAATTTAGGAAAGAGAGCTCCTGTTATATATTGATCACTTGAATATTAAGGCTGTGGTGATCTCATTATGTCTCAAATCGGACTCGTGTATATAAGAAGGCTTTCGGCAAAGTTGGACAAGGAAACAACTTTTTGACGGGATGGTTGATGTATAGCCAAGCAGAGCCAAGAAGAGCAACCACCAGCATTTTTAGCGTCGCTTGTTGACCGAGAGCTCCTGAATCTCGCACAAAATGGAACCCCTTCAATGGTTGCGATGGGAGGTGCTATTACTCAGTTTTGCAGCCTTCTATCTCACCAAAACCATATATCGCCTTTACTTCCACCCTTTGGCCAGATTTCCTGGTCCGAGGCTCACAGCCGCGACTAGCCTCTATGAGATCTATCACGATGTTTTCCGGGGCGGAAAGTTTCTTTGGGAAATCGAAAAGATGCACGAGAAATATGGTACCTGCTGCCTCAAAACACCGAGTAGACCATGGTATACTAACAACATAAAGGGCCTATCATCCGAATCACCCCGAATGAGCTCCACATAAAAGATCCCTCCTTCTACAATGAGATTTACACCTCCGGCTCCCGCAAACGCAACAAAGACCCGAACTTTGTCGGGCTCTTTGGGTCTCCGACTTCCATGATCGCAACCATTGACCACAATCATCACCGGTTCCGTCGGGGTATATTAGGTCACCTGTTTTCAAAGCGCTCAATCATAAACATATCACCACTAATCCAGGCCAAGGTGCAGAGACTCATGGAGCGATTGCAGCAGTTCTACAAGGATGACAGTGTTGTCGACCTTAGCGCCGGGTTTGCAGCACTTACCGCGGATATTATTACATCCTACTCATACGGCGAGAGCTGTGATTTCCTCGAGAATAAGACATTTCGGAGTGAAGTGCGGGATGCGATTATTGAGACTGAGAAACTGGACCACATCACTCGATTGTTCCCGTCCGTCTTGACAGTCCTTCGCCACGTTCCGCTTTGGCTCTTTGCAGCCGTGAAGCCCGCGACAGCGGTCGTGGCTGGGATTCAGGAACAGGTCGCTGAGAAGTCAGCGAGCGCAATTCGCGCTGCTGAATCAGGAAAATCGCAGGGGACTCTGTTTGATGCGCTTACAGACCCGCACATTCCAGCGCCGGAACGGACGCTCTCAAGAATTCACGATGAGGGCATGATTCTGCTGAGTGGGGGTACTGAACCCACAGCGAATGCGTTGACGGTTGCTGCTTTTCATATTATCCATAACAAGGATATTTTGTCCACCATGCGGGCGGAAATCCAGGAAAGCGGGATTGAGGATCTCAAGACAGTGTCTCTGGCCGAACTTGAACAGCTGCCGTATCTCGTACGTTGACCAACCACCCTCCCAGCACCGACACACAATCCTTAAAGAAACATATTCTAACAGCCTCACCAGACTGCCGTCGTTAATGAAGCCCTTCGCCTCTCTCACGGGCTCACCATTCGGCCTCCGCGAGTCGCACCGAATGAGACTTTGAAGTATAGAGACTATATCATCCCAGCCAAAGTACACCATCCCCAACCCTGAAGGTAAATCCTGACATAGCACTAATAGTAACCACCAGACCCCAGTGAGCATGTCAAGCTACTTCGTGCATATGGACCCGACTATCTTTCCAGACCCTACTTCCTTCGACCCAAATCGCTGGGAAGAAGCGCGCAAACGGGGCGATAATCTCACACAATTCATAACTTCCTTCGGGAAAGGAAGTCGGCAATGCATTGGAATCAAGTTTGTGGACCATTGGCTCGATCTTCACCCAGCTATATCGCTCAAGCTAATATCAACTGTTCTTTCACAGCCTCGGTTACGCAGAACTCTACTTCACTCTTGCCTCGTTTGCAACATACTTTGACTATGAACTGCATGACACAACCGAAGCCAGTGTCCGCGTTGCACGGGACTGTGGTGTTCCGTTCCCCGAGACTGGCCATTTTATGGTCAGGGCTAGGGTTGTGGGTAGTATATATCCGGGTCCTACTAGTGAAGGGGCTCCATGATTTCAAACGAGTGGGTCATGAGTAGTGTACTATGGTCGCCATACCTGTATTGCAGATAAAAGCCTCATTATCCCCAGGACAATGTCCGCCATACAGACATCCACTGTGAAGTCACCCACGATAGATGTCCAAAAAGCCTTGAATTTTGATGGTTTTTACCTTCGTTTCCATATCTTCCTACTCAATTTAATTTGCACTATCCAGGACAATGCACTTTTCTGTACACGTCTTGCCAAGCTGCCAGCCGCGCAAATGGCGATGCCGTCTGCTGAGGCGCTCCCATTGTCAAAATGATGCCTGAAGCACCAGAGACCCAATGGGACTAGGTACCCACGCTTTGACAGGTTTGCTCCTATTGTCCACAGTCGCTTGGCGTTGAGGGGCTGCGAACCAATAAACTGGACCCAAACGACAGCTGCTTGATGTGCTTGAGTGTTCGTCATGTTCGCACGGCATCTTCCAGATTGAAACCACAAGACGGTCTGCCTCGCTCGTGACTGGCTGGATCCAGGTTCTTGAGATACCTTGTCTACTCTTTAATATTTTTATTTTACAACACACATGCGTTCTTTTATTATGTCTAAGCTTTCCAGCAAGCGTGAGGCCCGATACAAGAGCACTTTTGCCCCTGTGCATTGGTATCCGAGGAGGTACAAGAGAATCTACCGCTGGATTCTTGTGGAGAGATATGCTGAGCAGCGGAATATTCGTTCCTAGCTCTGGATTAATAGGAATCTGGTGATTTTCGGCTCAGGAGTTGCTGCGGTACGGCGCGTGGTAAAGTACATGGCTCGATTTGGGTTCAAAACGAATATGCTGGGAAGGAATCGAGAACGGAGTAGGTTGTTACATTTCTCTATATAGCAGCATGAGATTCTGGTCATTATAATGGAGCTTTTAGCCCTGGTTGAGGCGAAGAATTGATAAATATACTGCACTTGGTCCGGATCAGAAGTAGCCTTAATCAGCGCACCTTTGCCGGTCCGGGCCATTCGCGCCACGTGCTCGGACATGGGATGCTCTCTACAGTGTTTGAAGCATTACATAAAGAACGAAGCCCAGTAGTTACTAGTACGTAGTCTTGGATACTGGTAACGCTGTCCAGGGACAGTGGCGCCGACTACAGTTGGGGAAGGAACCAAAGATCTTTCACCAACTTCCGAAAAATATGTCAGCCGTCTTCCGACACCATCGACCTACGACCACTTCTTATCCATATCCCTGGAGATCTGTCGTATCTATACCATCCCTTCATGTATTCTCCTGATTAAGTCTACCGCATCGAGAGTATGCAGGCCTCGAGACGAGCCAAGGCTCTTGGCGCCATTCAAGCCCCCCCGTAGCGCCGATCCTTTGCCGATCGCTGCCCGATCGAATTCGCCGGAGGATTTCCGGTCGTTCAGGAACTCCAGGAGGACAATCCACGGAGCAACTCCTTGCAGATCCGCTGTGAGCCCGACTGGCTTAAATACTGCTCCAGATTCCAGGTTTGACCCTTTCTTCCCCTTGCAAGGTTCCTCTGTTCCTGACTCCCCCGCATCTCCGCAACCATGGCCACCAAGTTCGCCACCGCAACCTTCCTTCTCGCCCTGGGCGCCACAGCCCTAGAGAACGCCACCTTCATCACTTACCAGCCTGCATTCAAGGACATTATCGGCGAGAACCCGAAACTCGAGCTCATCTTGCAGAATAAAACATACCCCTTCGCGCACGAGGCACCCGTCTACATCCCAGAAACTGGGGACGTCTTCATCGTCGGCAACTACCAAACCAAGACGGGAGGGCAACCCATCCAGATTTCGAAAATCCGGTCGAAAAACGATGTCTATGTTCGCGAGCAGATCTTCCCGGATATTCCCATGGCCAACGGGGCAGTTAATTACGAGGACGGCGTCCTCTTTGCGTCGCAGGGAACGATCGAGCGGCCATCAGCCCTAATCTACATGGATCCCGAGCCGCCGTATTCAACAGAGGTTGTCCTCGACTCCTTTAATGGACGGCGATTCAATGGCCTCAATGACGTTGTAATTCACTCCGATGGCAGTATCTGGTTTACGGACCCGACGTATGCGTACGATCAGGGGTTTGCGCCAAAGCCAGATCTCCCGCACCAGGTTTATCGCTTTGATCCGGGGACAGGATCCGTGCGTGCCGTTGCTGACGGCCTTGGTCAGCCGAATGGGTTGGCGTTTTCGCCCGATGAGTCCATTCTGTATGTCACGGATACGGACTCGCATCGTGGGAATGGCGATAATAACCCTGAGCGTGCTGCGACTATGTAAGCCGCCCCGTCTCCCCTTCGAAACTACCAACTAACGGAACCAGCTACGCCTACGACGTGGCCACATACGCCAAATCCCCCTTCCTCATCAATCGCCGCGTCTTCGCCTACGCCGACAACGGCATCCCCGACGGGGTGAAGGTCGACACAAACGGCAACGTGTACAGCGGCTGCGGCGACGGCGTGCACGTCTGGTCTGCCGGCGGTGATCTCCTGGGGAAGATTAAGCTGCCCGATGTCTCGGCGAACTTTTGCTTTGCAGAAGCCGGCGAGATGTATATTCTCAATGAGTATCGCGTTTGGAAGGCGACGTTGAGTGAGGATGTCCATGGGGCTTTGTTGGGGTTGTAGATGGTACATGGTAAGGGTTTGCATTAGAGAGACATTATTTTAAATGCATTTATATACAGTACATTTAGGGGTCTCCCCGCCGGTGACCAAGCTAGTATACATCCTTCTGAAGCTGTACAGGGGCAGATCAGAGTAAGCCCAGATCAAGTCGGGGGGACACTCTTAACACGCGTACACTGAATACTCCCGTGCATATTTCCTCGACATAGAAAGACCTGATGTCACGCCCGTTCTCCCTGAATCTTATCAATACCTAGATGAACCCTGCAAGGGATCTCGTATACTCGATCTGTAGCTTCGTGAAGCTAGGGTATACATGAGGGCCGAACCTCGAGATGGCTGGCCCCTTCGCTTTTATGTTGGACCCTTCAATGCAGTCATTGCCTGCTGAGTACTAGTACAGTCCTTTATATAACATCATTGCTTAAATGTGGATAGGATTGAATACAATCCATACCTTTAGTAGTTTCAAAGACTTTATTTGCAATCGGTGCGTATGGAACATTGAAGTCTGTCCTCGTGGTAGGAGATGGAAGCCTGGATGGAAGTAAGGCGACTAGAATTCTTCGTGTTGATGAAAGTTGTTCTATTAGTGTATTGCTGACGGTAATGCTACCCTTAACGAGAGAACTAATTCATATCAAGTCCAAAAGAAAACGAAAAGAAAAGGCGGCTCCACAGAAAACAAAATGAAAAGAAAACAATAGCACTAGCCCTTAAAAACACCAAACCAGGGTCTACCCAGTCTACCCCGAAAGCCACAAGCGAAAGAAAGAAAAAGGAAAGGAAAAAAAGACCATCTATACACACTTGGCAATCCAAACCTGCAACTTATCCAAACACCATGTCCACAGTCCATCACATCCTCCGCATGCTGATACAGCGCCGACAGCTTAGAGAACTCCTTGTAGCAGGTCGGACACTTGTACATCCACCCTTCGCCCCCGTCCAGACCACGAAGTACATACTTTCGACTCTGGTAGCACCGGTGCGCCAGGGCGTCGATCTCGCCCTCTGTCATCTGCGACGCACACGCGCCGGACTCGAGGTGGATGAGCATACCCGAGAACGACTTGAAGGTGTGGTCGCAGCCGTAGCAGCGCATTGTGCGGGGTTGGTGTTTTTGTTGGTGCTGTCGATTTCAGTCAATGTTGATTCGGCAGATAGATGTACTTCTAGGTAAGTACAGGCGATGAAAACTCACCATAAGAAGGTTATTCGCCTTGCTAAAATAGTCCCCACACTTGATGCACAGATGATGCTGCGCAACATCATGCCTCCTCAACTCCTCCGGCGAGTCGTGGTAAATATATGGCGAGCAAGACGCACAGCAAAAGTGGAAGTCCTCGAGATGGCGCGTAAGTTCGGCAGGGGTATCGAAATCCTGTAAGCGGCCGCAGGTCGGACAGATATTATGCTTGGTCGACTCGCGGAAATGCGCGTCCCGCGCAGTCGTCGACACGAAGACCCGGCTGCATCGCTCGCACCATTCGTGTTGGGTTGAGAAGCGGTAGTGCGAGTGGAGTGCGGATTGCGAGACGAAGAAGCGGCTGCAGAGGGTGCAGGCGTGCGCTGTGGTTGGGCCCAGACTCGGAATGGCCGGGATGGTGGGCTTTTGGACGGGGTAGGGGCCTATGGTGTTCATGGTTTCTTGTTGGTTCGAGGATTGCTGTCAGGGGGTTGTCGGAAATCGGGGGCCCAAGGGTGTCTGGTGTCTGGGGTGGTTGAGGAGTGAAAACGCGGGGATTCCAACAGTTGGGGAGATGACGATCGCGGGCTTGAAACCAGCTGTTACTTGGTTGGTTTATCTCGAGAATCCACCATTCTCGACGCAAGAGGGATCACGTGAATGTGATCTATCAGACACGGCAGGAACCAGAGATTGAACTTGCGACGGTCACCACCCATTCGGTCACGCTGTTCCAATTCAGTATATGTAGTCCAACGTATGTAGTTGCAAGTGGTATAGGTATCTTACCTGTAGTAGATATCTGTCCGGGTGCCTAGTTCTTCTTCGCTTTGAGGAAAACCCAACAATATATATAGTTGGTCCTACCACACTTCTCTGCCTGCGTATCCCCGATGTTTGTGAGTCTCCGGCCCAAGTCATATGTACTGAAGAGCCCAAGCATACTATCAAATATTGTCCATCTTCTTTGATCTGGTTCTAATCTATAGTATTTAACAGTCTATATCGAAGAATATCCGACCCTTACCCGACAACACTCGCAAAAAGCGCCTCCAATCTCTTGCCCTCGCTATCCGCAAGCTCATCAAACGTCTGTGCTGTGTTGATCGGATGGTATGGATAGGGCCTATGCACCGTCATTAACTTCCGCTCCAGATACATTCCCAGACGACGCGAAGAAGGTATTGTAGGCTGACTTACCCGTATTCCGGAACCCACGTAAGTGTGCTATCGGGATCCGTCTTCTGTCTGTGCTGAATAACGCGCACCCAGAACTTCTCGAAGAATTCGCGCTCTGCCGTGAAGACGGGGTTCAGTGGCTCGGGACACTGAGAGGATTGCGTTGTTCCTGTCCGGGCATGGATGTGGCCGACCTAATGCTGTGAGTTAGCGCATTATTCCCAAGTATGAACTTTGCGGGTTGCAGGCGAGGGTGGAAGGCCGCATACGCGTGGGATCACTCGGGCCAGAATGGCCGCGTCTTCCTCACCCTCGTCGAGGAGCCTTTCCGATACGACGACCCAATGCGAGATGTCCGCTGTTATCTTTAATCTATCGAGCAAGTCAGCAGATTATCTTTCTCGTATGTTGATAATGAGGTAAAGGGTACACATACTCTGGTACCCTCTGCAGAATATAATCCGCCGCATACGGATTGAACAGCGACCTATTGCGGTGCGTCTCGTGGCATACTCGCCCTTCAAATCCTTCCTCCTTTGCCACCTGAAGGGCGAGCTGGTAGAAGCGCACAGAATCGTCCCAGGTGAAGTGGTCACTGGAGACAGTTAAACAACCATTCACTCGAGTTTTCAGCTATAAGGATTTGATCAAGATGGAGGGATGACATACGCTCCGGACTGAGCATTGACTCGCACAGGCTTCAATATGGATGCGAGCTTAAGCTGTTCCCGAAAGAACTCGGCGTGGTATTTTGGTGTCAGGCCGGCAGGGCGAGGTCCGATATATTTTGGCCAGGATGAGAAGAGGCTGCGACTGTCAGCTGGATTCGCGAGACGACTAGCTGCCGAGTGAATGTGGCCATCACTAACGTTGCGCTGATCTCCAATCCGACTTCATCGGCGATGCTGCGTGTGAGTTGCAGCTCCTCAGGGCTCATGCCAGCAAAGTCGATTTCAATTCCGGCTATACATTTGCTGTTTGTTAGCGATTTGAATCGATCACGGCAACTCTCTGCGGGAGAAGAGACCATATCCATGCTGTTTCCACCCGATAAACCTCTTCTTCCACTCACTCTGCTGAGGACCAGGTTCGATGCCCCAGAGAGATCGAAAACGCTTAAAGAGGACCATTGTTGCGACCGCAAAGAGATTGAGGAAGAGTTGAGTTCAGAATATGGCTGGGAAAAGCACAAGAGCTCAAGTGAGGGGCGCAGCGGGGCCTGTTTATACACAGCCCATCGAGCTCGTCATCGGATTCCAGTTTCCTAAGATGATGTATAGAAAACAGAAATCAACATCAAATCGAGTATTTTCCCCCGGCGTGCAGGATCCACTTGCCCCGCGGCTGGCATACCCCATTGTCGAAATTTGTCAATTTTCCCCGCAGGTATACGACTCCGCACCCCGCACGGCGATTCCCTTAAAGTGGCTGCATTATGCATTTTCGAGGAAAATGATTTCGCCCCTTTTGCCTTTGTCAAAAATTCACAGGAAAGATATTCGCAATGGTGTCCCGTACTATGCAAGCGATCAACTATGTTGGACCATTCAAGGTCAAGGTCCAGGAGGTGGAGATGCCTCGGCTTGAGCATCCGGATGATATCATTGTCAAGGTTACCAGTGTACGTTCCTGAAGGCAACTCTGAGACGATGTCGACAAGTCGCTCACTCGTACGATACCTAGGCGGCAATCTGTGGCTCAGACTTACAGTGAGTTATGGAAGTCCTAAATTCCAGCGGCGGGCACGATACTTACATAGCGCAGCATGTATGAAGGGAGAACCGCGGCTGAGCCAGGGATCACCTTCGGTATGCTCACCGGTCTTCAGCCATTTCATCCCATTCTATATGTGCTCATCTAGATAGGTCACGAGAACCTAGGTATCGTTGAAGAGCTCGGAGAGGGAGTCACACTGTTGAAGAAGGGCGACCGAGTCGTTATGCCGTTTAACGTTGCCGACGGTCGGTGCCGGAACTGCGAGGACGGCAAGACGGCTTTTTGCACAGGAGTGAACCCAGGCTTTGCGGGTGGTGCTTATGGTCCGCTTGCCTAGTCACGGAAAATGAGGAGTGGCAACTGACTGAGTGTAGGATATGTGGCGATGGGGCCGTATCGGGGAGGTATACTTCTCACTTCCCTAGACTCGCGGAAGAAGGTTAGCTGACATGCGCGTCAGGTCAAGCACAGTACCTACGAGTCCCATACGCAGACTTCAACGCGCTGAAGCTTCCTCCAGGCACGGAGCATGAAGCAGATTTTATCCTCCTAGCAGGTGTGCATTCTGCCTTACCCTGTCACGTCGGATATAACTGCTGATAAATTCCCGCACAGACATTTTCCCAACAGGCTGGCACGGTATCGAGATTTCCGGCTTCCAACCTGGTGACAGTGTCGCTGTCTTCGGCGCTGGCCCTGTCGGGCTGATGGCCGCATACTCCGCCCAGCTGCGAGGTGCTTCGCGCGTCTTCGTCGTCGACCGAGTCCCCGAGCGTCTGCGTGCCGCCGAACGTATCGGAGCCGTTGCAATCGATTTCACAAAGGGCGATGCCGTCGACCAAATCATTGCGCTGAATGGCGACATGGTCGATCGGTCGGTTGATGCAGTTGGGTATCAGGCAATCGGAAAAGATAACTCGACAGAGGTGCCGAACATTGTCCTCGAGAATATGATTCGGGTAACGAGGGCTTGCGGCGGCTTGGGGATTCCGGGGCTTTATGTGCCGAGGTGCGTATGATTTCTGCTACGGGAGTTATGGAGAAGAAGGAGGGCGCTGATTGATATGGGTAGTGATCCTGGTGCTGGAGATGCGGCGGCTGCAAACGGCATGATCAGCTTGAGTTTCGGAAAGTTATTCGAGAAGGTAAACTCACTCGTCCTCCACAAGACCATGACCAGTGTTTTTAAACCCCCAGCAGGGCCTCACAATTGGCACTGGCCAGTGCAATGTCAAGGCTTATAACCGCCAACTCCGCGACCTGATCATCGCGGGCAAAGCCAAGCCCAGTTTCGTCGTCTCGCACGAAATCGGAATCGAAGACGCAGAGACAGCGTATGAGAAGTTCGACAAGCGGGTTGACGGGTATACGAAGGTTATCATCCATCCAAACGGTGGGTTCCAAAACAAAGCTCCTCCGGCGGCAGTCTCGTCGCTGTGATGTGGTTTTAGGGGCGGGTGCTACCGAACGGAGTGAAGGGCAGTTTATGGCGTTTTCTGCGGGGGCCTTGGGCGAGTTGTTGTTCTAGGTTTATTTGGTTCCTGTGCGGTAGGAATAGTATAGCGAGGCCAATTGTTCGAGGTTTCAGAGAAGACGGAAAATCAGTCAGACGTAGCTGCGACGATGTGGGAGAGAATTGGACAAACAAACCTGAGGAGATCAATAGTGGTCAACTGGAGTAAGGCTGCGGGGGACGCGCTAAGCCTAAATTGTCCGCTCAGTGTGAACCCCGCGCTTGCATCTGCGAGGACGTTTGCTTCAAAACACAGCAAAGTGAAAATTCGACGTTCTTATTTTATTTCCCGCTCTCTTACCTCAAACTTCATAGCTAGTCAAGGCTCGTTCATTCTTCACACCCGAGCCATCATGAGCCAACACTCATACCTCGAATACCACGACGGCTGGTATCTTTGTACGTTGTGTCAACGATGGTTCATCTCGGAGACTGCCTACTATTCCCACTGCAGGTACACATCGCATCACGAGTGGTGCGGGAGATGTTCTCGTGTATTCCGCACGACAGCAGCCAAGGAGGCTCACCTTGAAGCCTCATCTTCACACAACATCTGCTACCGTTGCGCTGATGAGGAACCTGACTTCGATACCTACGCGGAGCTGAAGAGGCACCTAGAAGAAAGCCACCATTACTGCCACCCTTGCGAAACATACTTCTGTTCTGCTATCGCTTTGCAACAGCATGATGTCCTCGAGCACTTTCTGTGCATCGAATGTGGCGAGTTCTTTGAGAGCGCGAATAATTTGAGGATGGTGGGAGCCCACAGTCCGCGGTTTGAAAGAGGGAATAACTAACATCTGAGTCTTCGGTACGCAGCATAAGCAGACGCACGACCCTCGTGATTTCATATGCTATGGCTACAACTGTGACCGAATGTTCAAATCATTCTCAGGCATGCTCATCCACCTCGAGTCCGGTAACTGCGATTCTGGCGCCACGAAACACGATATCGACGAGATAGCAAGGAATTTTTACGATAGCTCAGAGTACAGGGACATGAACGATGATAATACGCCATACTTTTGTCCGAGCTGCGCATCATGGTTCGGCAAACTCTCCGCATTGTATCAACATGTTGAGGATGTACTAGATTGTGAGAGCGATGTGCTGAATAGTTTGGAACGATCGATAGAATGCCGGATCTGAGCTTGTCTTTCCTCGTTGACCTTCTTTCCCCTCCTCCCGTTGACAAGAGATGACCTGAACGGACCAGAGTTCCAGTTCCGCGTTTGTGCATGTTGATTCATATGTGGGAGTATAGTCAACGATTTAAATTGAATAACCCCCCAGGCGGCTTATTTGTTCAAGATAATACCACTAATGTTGGCGTATGAGGTAAACCAGCATCACTTTTCTTTGCACTCCGCCCTACACACAGTGCTACTGCTCCTGCCGATCGGCTATATTGAAACGTTATACGTTCCATGGCTGACGGCACAAAAGACATAGCTACTTACAGTATGATGTGCTTTGCAAATACAGAGCTGATATGACATCGAGTCAATATGCCCTCGAGACAGTCCATATTAAGTACTAGGCTGTGAGCCTATGTCTGTACCACTCAAGGCTGAACCCAAGTTGTTCCGGCTCGGCTGAAGAGAGTATCTCAAGCAGTCCTCGCTGTTCCAGATCCCGGCATAATGCCCGTTTCGAACACAGATCCTCGCCGTGGCCATTGTAATCATCGTTGCCCCCGGCCGCTTCCTGATTGCCAACTGGCTCGCTGTCATTCTGCTCTCCAGTATGTTCTCCAAATTTTGCTGCAGCGCTAGTTTCTGTGTCGCCGTCTCCTCCATTGTACGGATTTTTGTTGACATGTTGCCCCCTCTGATCTCCGTCGCCTTCCCCCGCATTCGGCTGTCCATCGTTCTGTTCTCCGTCACCCTCTTTCAAAGCACAGTGTTTCCCATCGCCGTACTCACAATCACTAAGCTCTCCCGCCTGAGTTCCTCCACTCGCTTGCACCACGGTAACAAGTGTCTGCGTATGAGCAGCCAAGTCCGCAACCCTAGCAAACTGATTAAACCAGCACGCCCGAATAACCTCATCAACCACCGGATCGCCATCCAGCTCCGGGAGCACCATATCCTGCAACAGATCCACAACCCTTGGTCCATGCTCTTTCGGATCCTCATCAAGGCACCGATCCTCATAGACCTCAAACCCATAGTTGATAAAGAAGAAAAGCGAGCCTAGAGCAAAGGTCTCCGTTCGAGGACCCATGTCCCCAGCTGACCCGCATTGTCCTAAATCCGCCTCGTGCTTATTGAGTAGCCGTCCGTAGGGCGCTAGACAGCACTCGAAGTGTGTTCCGATTTCAGCGGTCGCGTCGAAGTCTGACAGTTTGAGGGTGTCACCGTTGAGGAGGATGTTTGGGGGGCGGAGGTCGCCGTGTGCGAGGTTGAGAGATTCGAGGAAGGCGACGGCTTGCGCGAGGGCGTTCATCCATTCTTTGCGGAGGGCGAGGGGCTCTAGCTTTGTGACCTGGGTGACTGTCCTGGTTTTCTCGTCGCGCATCTGATGTGCGTGGATTCGCTCCCAGAGTGTGCCGTCTGTTATTGGTGGAGTTAGTACTTGCCCGTCTCGGGACAGGGTATAGCCACGGAGGTAGAGCGCACCTCGCATGTACTCAAGAAATATCCCATTATCAGTGTAGTAGAAGCACTGCACAATCGACGGACAAGGTGGGTTCTGAGAGAACGTCTTGTAGATTTCGAGTTCCTTCTTGAACTGATCTTTCTCGAAGTCACCGTTCTGTGGGACCTTGACGACGATGTGAGGATCGACTTCGTATACAAAAGAGATGCCTCCTCGCCAGATCCAGTGCACATTTGGGTAATCCCGCTGAATCTCCATGGTTAAGATGTAGACGATTCTCAGTGACTGCTCTAAATCCAGCGATGGAGGTTCTGGAAGAGGTGGTGCGGGGTTGTGTTACCCCGGAAGAAGAGTGAGTGGATGAAGATCATCCTCCTTGAGCAGTAAATCAAAACAGACGCTCTCATTGGGCAATGGCTCTTGATGCCTCAGGCTATTGTGTCAACAGTGAGACTCGACAACAACAGAAGCACAACAACCTGAGTTAGGCATGTATTACGACCAGTGTGCTTGAAGCTCATCCTCAGAGAATTTGAACCTGCCAGATTTGATGTCTTGTAGCTCTTTCAAGTCGCTTGAACGCGAGGTTCACAACAAACACAAGAGACAGCAGGTGCAATGCATGAAAACGTATTGAGTGGAGTAACACAAAGATCATTCCCCATCTACCACCTTCGCCAGCAGAGCACAGCACAGCAAGCCCAATCCCATGACAACAGAGCACTCCAGATCTCCAGGCCTTCGATATCCGTAACTCGAATTGTGGTTTTCGTGGTGGTGTTGATGGTAGAAGCTCAATTCTAGGCCTTCTCCCACTTGCCATTCACGTTGACATAGGCTTCAGACGCAATGCAGTTGGGGCAGGGAGTGCGCCTGGTCTGCTTGCCCAGCCATGCCGTCTGCTTGACAACACCGCAGCCTCCGCATCCATTGTGAGGCATGATGCCTCCGGGCGCCTCTACGACGTGAGTGCAGATGTGGTGGATAGGGGCGATAAGCTGCTGGCACATTGTGGATTCGGTTCCTTGGAGAACTTAATGGTTAGATGGGGCAGGCATATGAGCGGCACAAGGTATTTACTAACCAGGATGGAGGCTTCAAGAAAGATTTATCTAGCCTTGCGTGTGGAAGGGGTTCGAAAGCGGCTTTCAGAGACTGGTGTTGCTTGAAGCCTGAAAAGAAGAGGATAAGCCAGAATCTGGTGTTGATGAATCTAGGAATTCAAAGTAAATGGACAGGAAATATCTGTTCCAATTTTCTGTCGGACTGACAACTGACGAGACAAAGCTCGCAATTCAGCTCATTTTTGCCCTTGGGGGACGTCACTAAGCACTCAGGCTATGGGAGTGAAGTTTAGAGATCGATGGACATATCTCCCATGAGCAGTTCCTGCTCCCAACTGTGCAAAACAGGTCACGAGGCTCATTGACAGTCTATCCACCGCCTCCATTCATGAAATCACTTCTGAGTTGGGAGAAGATCCTGAAATCTGACAACCTTCTTCCTTGACAGACCTGGATAGGCAACAAGACCCCGATGTACCTACATTGGCAGGACAGAAGGTCCGGTACCTCCCCAGTGTGTGGTAGAACAAGAAAGCCGCGCTGTCGCAGAATAACACTAACAATCCATACACGCTTGTGGTCCACTGCGAACCGACAAATGCGCAGTCAGCCATTACCTACATAACAGTTATCAGCATCCAGACGTTTAATCGACCAACGGAAACACGAGGACGCTACCACGACGCCGGGCATGCAATGAAGACGCTGCAAGAATAATACACCTTCCTCGAAAGCTGTGAGTCGGGTACTCTTGTACGTGGATAAATGTCAACATCGCAGCGGCAGTAGACCTGTACAACACGGTCGGCAGAGCACCAGATCGACCATGCATCCTTTTCTCCTCCAGTTCCGCGGCTACTAAAGGTTAGCGACAAATCCTGGCAATCTGGCGTTGCATAAATCCAGGGGATGAACTCGCGGCCTCGGAATTTAACCAGTGGTCAAATAATCGTCCGGGAATGCGCCCTCGGGACGCCATCCGTATCCAGACGACAATGGGCTTTTGGTCCCCTATATCTCGATAGCGTCTGACATAATATATAGGCGGAAATGAACCGGAGTTAAGACTCTGATTATTGAGAGGTCGGTTTTCCCCGCCGGTACGTAGGAAGTATTTACTGCTAACCTTGTCAGGACGGATGTCCATCTCTCCCAATATACATCTGATGACGTGCATTTTGCGGTTCCTGAGAGTGACCCTGACACAGATACTCTGGCCGTGTCGTCATTATCACCCGCATTCTTCATACAGCCGCAGGAATGGGGAACTTGATGGTAGGAATGTACAGAATGACAATTACGTCAGGGCAGTTACAACGCCTATATACTTCAAGAACACCCAGGGACTACGCTCGAAAGACATTTCAGTTGCTCCCTTGCTAGTACTATGTATTACTCCAAGGTCGCGGCAACAATATTTACCATCGCTATCAGCGGTACGAGAACACCAAGACTCTTGTACTTTCCATAACTCAGCTAAGCAAGCTGACAAGCTGACAAGCTTTTATAATAGTGATACCCGTGTGCCACGCCCAAGCCCCAACCGGAACCCCTTACACCGACCCAGAAACAAACACCACGTTCTCAACATGGGGAATCCCCGGGCCCCTTGGGCTAACGTTTGGGCTTGCTCTCCCCGAGTCTGCACGTGAAGTTGACGCGACGGATTTTACTGGATACCTCGTAAGCTCAGACCCCTGCTTTATTTTTTTGGTTTCGAGCCCTCAGGGTTGGACAACGAGAGTCTTGTTTGCTCTCCCTCATTTATCGGGATTGGTCGTTGCTTTTTCCTCAGCCCACCGCAGGCCAATCACAATCCTTAGCACCGCTAACAAACAGCAAAGAAATGCAGCACAGCAAGCGGATGGTGCGGAATCTCCCTTGGCGGCGCAATGACCGACTCGCTCCTCCTCGTCGCTTACGCTGATCCCAACTCGAAGCCCGAGACCGAAAATACAGTCGCGATTTCCCCGCGGTACACGACAACTTACACCCTTCCAGCCGCCTACACGGGGAATCTCACCATAACGCCGCTCTCTACCCACGTCGATAAATCGACAAATTCATTTGAGACGGTCTTTAGTTGCACCTCGTGCCTGCACTGGTCGCAGAACGGGACTGAAGGCGGCGCGAAGACGAGCTCTGGGATGCTCGACCTGGCGTGGGCGATTTCGCCTGAGAAACCTGTTCTCGATGCCACGGGGGATCTCCAACTCGTCCGGCATGAACGGGAAGGGACTTGGGTTGCACAGGTCTAATCTGTGCCGTGGCTGTGTTGGGCTCGGCGGGCTCCGGTGTCTCAGTCAGCGAGATACTACGTAACTAGCTTGGCCCTTGGGAATCTTGTTGCTCATTTCGTAAGCCTGTCAGTGTTGAAGCTTGCGAGATGGTGAGTGGTCGAAGGCCGAAGGGGGTTCTTGGAGAAGCTTGGGGAACATCATTGTGTATTTGAGTTGATGGGCCTTGGACCTGCAGGCGTATGCGTATTATTTTCCTTGGAATTGTTACATCAAATGTCAGATATTAGATTCGGATCGTGGCAATCGCGTAGCGGATGACGTTGTGTGCTGCGTGCCTTGTGCAGGAGCCAGGAGTACCAATTTTTGGTGCAGGTTCTGGGTCGTGTTCAGGGACCGTGGCGCTTCGCAATGTTCGAAAAAATCAAAGACCCTCTTGTCTGTTGATTAGGCCAAGCCCAAACTAAGTGAGGCGTGGTGGCTCCGGAGCGCTGCCGAGAACCAGCAGAGCCTCTGACAGCTTGAATTGATTCCCGATTCAAGGCTGGTCTTCTCGTGTTTTTCAAGTTATCGGTCGCCTTCACAGCCCTCAATCTCAAGGCAATGTCTCACACCTTGATTTAAATCGATGAAACAGAATGTGTCATCTGAATCAAGTGATAAGAAGGGTGCCTGGAGTGGACCCTGTTCGGTGTTCTGGTTCGCGTTGTTGTTGGCCCCCAACTAAAAAGCGGCGCCCATCCGCTCAGCAATCGACCCCGATAGGCGATCCCTCGTTGGTCTGCCGAGCTAGCGAGATGGGCCAAATGTTGGTTGCTTGGCTGATGTGCCAGAGTTTTCAGGGCGTCTGGCATTGGCCAGTCGGCCTCTGGCTCTCCTTCCGGGTTTGGCAGCTTATTGTCCGATCGTTTGCACCCCAGCACATCAACCCTCCGAGGCTCGTGTGCTTCTTTTCCTGAACGATCGGGCTTCTCTCGACCTGTCTTCTGCACTGTCTCGATGCTCTTTCACGCTTTGGTCGAGACCATCCCGCCAGAATGTTTGGCACTCTCGCGGCGTATCGTTCGGCTCGCACAGTCAAGGCGTTTCTTGGAGCAGGCTGCCTTTTAATCATCCTCTTTGGCGTCTTTCTCTTTGGTCCGGACTCCTGGCCTTCACCGGGACACTGGTCTCCCTCTGCCTCTTCTCCGCCGCCGCCGGCGTCGGCGCCAGACTCCCACGATGCGCCGGATGAGCCACAACGATACGCCTTTGCAACGATCCTCACAGGCGAAGAAGACCACGAAAAGCCCGTGCTAGAAAAACCGTACTTTATCGCCGCTCGACTTCTCACTTATCAGCTGCTTCACAGCCCCGACACCCGCAGTGCGACTGAAATTCCCTTTCTCGTCCTCGTCACTGATGACGTCCCCGAGGAACAAAGAGCGGTCTTAGCACAGGACGGCGCCACCGTCATCCCGGTCGAAAGCATCTCGCGCGACTGGGTCCTGCCCAAATGGGACCGGTGGAAGGGTGTCCTTGCGAAACTCAACGTGTGGAAGATGACCACGTACGATAAAATCGCCTTTCTCGACGCCGACTCGATCCTCTTCCGGCCTGTCGACGGCATCTTCACGGACCCGACGACCGCCATCCGGAAAACGAAGCCCGATCCAAACCAGACTGTCCCTACGTTGTCTGCCCTCCCCTCTACGTACATGATCGCCGGCATCCACGACTCCTGGGTCGAAGCGAACCTTCCTCCGCTCGACGAACCCGGCAAGAACTTTTACGTCAAAGATAACTACATGAACGCGGGCTTCTTCGTCTTCGCGCCCTCGGAAGAGATCTTCGAGTACTACTCCTCGTTACTGAACACACCAGGAGCATTCGATCCAAACTACCCAGAGCAAAACTTGCTGAACTGCGCGCACCGCGTGGACGGACGCATGCCGTGGGTGGATATCGGGACGCAGTGGAGTCAGAAGGGAACCGGCAGGGAAGCATATGAAAAGGGACTCAAGTCGGTACACCAAAAGTGGTGGGTTGCGATGGGTGATGAGGTGCTGGATGGGTATGTGACTAATGTCATGGGGGAGATGAAGGGGTTTTTTAATATTACTGAGACCGCGGGCGGGTCTTGATTTCACAAGATATCTCTCTTTAATACTGTATATTATGCTTCAACGAAATAAATGCATACTGTGCTGTCGTGATCGCCGGAACCGGGACTCCGGTTTGACCATCTGGTGCTCCTGCCGCATCCGCGGATGAGGGGCCCCGGGGTACTGCTGCCCTAACCAGACCCTTGCGGCATGGACGCAACAGCGTCCACTTTCTCTCCTCTGCAAGAAACCTTCCTTGCACAGTAGCGCGGTGCTACTAAAACTTAACCTGTAAAAGGGCCCCTGTTCAGATGTATATAGAACTCTCAAATCACTCGCAAAAGACTTCGCAACTCCAGAAAACGATTCCGATTCCGACCATCTCCCCCTTCAGCTCCGCAAGGGGGTGTCGCCCAACCGTTGGGATCGAGATGTCGCCTCTCAGACGGTGCTCATACTGCTTGTTCTCGGTTATACAGCAGGCCCCGAGCAAACAATCGCGCGGGGTACTTAATGTGCGGGTTCCGCCGCGTCTTCCAGTCTGAGCGGCTCGAGAAACGTGTCGCGGAAAATGAAATCAAAGCACTACCTGAATGAAAAGGTATGTATTGCAGATCTAAAATACGACAGACGCCTGCGGCGTCCCTTTAGACCAGGAAGACCCCTACAGGTCCTCCCTCCCAGACCCCGTTTACTCACCGGGCCCCTTCCCAAACGGAACTTACCCTAATCTCTCCCACGCAGCACCAAAGAACTACAACTAGTCCACCTCCCCAACGGCAACACACTACAGAGCAATGCTCCACGCCCTCCAATCAACCGGCCATCCAATCTATGTCTCAATCTGCAACTGGGGCTCCGCATCCGTATCAACTTGGGGTAATGCAATCGGAAACTCCTACAGGATATCCTGTGACATTTCCCCTGGCCGCGGGGAGTTACAAACCGACGGGAGAGCCGAGTGGTCCCGCATCGCGGAGTTCGTCAACATGAACTCTTTCCGTATGAACGAGGTTGGGTTCTGGGGGAGACCTGACCCGGATATATTCGAGGTCGGGAATGGAAACCTGACGCCGGCAGAGAATCGAGCGCATTTTGCATTGTGGGTTATCATGAAGGGCCTCTTTTATTGGGGACGGATGTATGTTTCCCTCCAATTCATCTCCTCTTACAACGAGAGGTAACTGACTAATGATGATTATGCATCCTCAGCTCTTGCAATTATCACCGTCGCACCTCTCCATAACCTCCAACCCATTCGTCTTATCTTTCCACCAAGACTCCGAGATTGGGCGCCCCGCATACCCCTAAATGGGGCTATAACGCAGACTGGACATTCGATCCCGCACACCCAGCGGAGTACTGGTCCGGTCCATCGTCGACGCTAAAGGGCACATTGGTGCTCGTGCTCAATTCGGAGAGTGAAACGAGGATGAGGACGGTCGTTTGGAGGGAGGTCCCGGAGTTAGGAAGTAGGAGTAAAAATGAGGGAGAGGGAGTGGGTGAGGTGGATCCGGAGGATGGAGATCGGATGGGGTTTTGGGTAACGGATGTTTGGACGGCGGGGGAAGTGCGTGTCGGAGGGGTGGAATGAGTGTTGAATTGGAGTCGCATGATGTTGCGGTTTTCCTTGTGGGAGGGGAATGCTGAGATTCGACATGGAGATCATGAGTACAGTAGTCTGGTTAGAGATTGCAGTCATAATTCAGCCAAGAGGTCTACCGACTATTTAGATAGTTATTGGGCGAAATTCTATATATCCCGATTTCAGTGAATAAGGGCTTGGGAGAGTAGCCGTATTAATGCACATTTGGTCTGCAATATTAGACTTCCTGTGTGGAAAGGCGCATTGCACTAGTCCGTGAAAGAACGATTGACTTCTAATCTGTTCCAGTTGCAGTCCTTGTATTCTGTACAGACTGCCATCTTCTAGTATACACATTTTGTCCCAAGAAACGACCCTAGCTGGTGGGTGGGGGGTAGAGTAATACCGGCAGCGGCCCTGGGACTATTCCAAAAGCTCCCGACTCTAACCGACCCCTACGGTAACCCTTCTCGTCCATCCGAGCTGGTCCTCTAGATTAGGTATTACGACCCGCCATCGCCTCCTGACACTTTCTCAGAATCCTCGCCTGCCGACTAACCTCGGCCAACTTCCCCACAACCCTCTGATTCCCATCCACAAACCCATAAAGCGCATACGGAATCCCAACCTCCTCACAAAACCCCATGACCATCTTCTGCACCGTCCGCAGATTATGCCGCGGCACCCTCGGGAACAAATGATGTATAACCTGGAACTGCAAACCCCCATGGAAGAAATCCAGCCAGCGGGGACAGTCGACGTCCATGGTCGTGCGGAGCATTTTCTGCGGGAAGGATTCGGAGGGGCCCAGGTCGGCCGTCGACATGGCAAAGTGGCTTACGGTGAACTGGACGTGCAGCGGGGCGGTTATCATGTGGCTCACCAGGAAGAAGGCCAGGCGGCCGGATGTGCTGGGGATAGATTTGTACAGGATGAGGTACCCGTACCAGGTCCAGAAGAAGACCTGGCCCGTCATTTCGAGGTACCAGTGCCACCAGGCGGGGCCCTTTCGGGGCGGTTGGTTGGAGAGGAGATAGGACCACGCGAGGCGGTAGAGGTTGAAGCGGCCGACTGTCATGAGCGGGTAGAAGGAGTAGTGCTGGAACTGCACGGCGAATTTCGCGACGGCGTCGTATTTCATCACGTGGTTGTAGTATGTGGAGCGCAGCGAGGCGAAGAAGCGGTGGCTGAGCGCGAGGAAGGGGAGGTATTCGATGTCCGGGTCGTGTTCGGGGGCGTTGGTCACGATGTGATGGACGTTGTGGTTGCGCTTCCACCAGCCGATGCTCAACCCGCCGAGGAAATCGCCGATGAAGATCCCGATGCACGTGTCGATGTGGAAGTCGTGCGTTATCCCCATGTGTGCGGCGTCGTGGCCGATGAAGACGAGCTGCTGCCATACGGCGCCCATGAATGCGCCGCCGACGGCGTACCAGCCCCAGTGTAGGGCCAGGAGCATACAGGCAAAGAGGGTGAGGATGCGGATCGCCTCGATACCGTAGGCGCGGTAGTTGCATTTGTACAGGCCGTCGGTGATGATGCGCTCGTTGAGCTGGCGGTATTTGGCGATGATGGCGTCTTGTGTCGGGTAATCGACTGCGGGGTATTTCTCGAGGTCGAGGGTGATTTTCTCGTGCGTGACGGTGTCGAGATGTGCCATTCCGTCATCTTCTTCGGTCGAGGAGACAGAGGTGACGGAGGCTGAGCTGGATGGGCCTTGTCCACATCGATGGCGAAGGGCGGACCGATCGGAGTCGAACACCGACGATGCGCCGCGGGACTCGTCGGACGAAGATGAATCGTATTCAGGCTCAGCATCGACCCGCGATCTGAACCTGCCGCCCTGAATTGGAGGGATAAAGTTCGTCCAGCGGTCTTCGATCCGTCCAATGCGGTAGCGATTCAGCATCAATTGTTTTGTCTCGGCGGAGTGTAGGCTGCAGACAAAGTCAGAACTCAATCTTATAGAAGAAACGCAACAACGCACGCAGTAACCTCGTCGGTGGCGTCGCGGCCGATCATGTGGAGGATGGCCATGTCGCCGCCAGGGTGGTACGGGGCCCACGCATTCGCCTTGATCACGAATTGGTCGAGGATGAAGATCATCCCGCCGTCGGCGATGAGAGCTTCAATCTCCCGGCGGGAGAGCAGCGCTGGTGTTTTTGCAACCATAGTCGGCCGGTGAAGCTTTTCAAGTGTTCTCTGCACATGGCTGTCACTGGAAGAAAGGAGGTGAGGCGCAGGAACAAAACGAAGCATGGGGCCACGCGTTGTCGGCTTGCTGACTCATACAACCAGGCACCAGCGAAGCGTTTCAGCATCTGACGGACAGGATGGCAATAATCTGGTCGAGATCGAGCAAGTCGGTTCAAGGATATAAATCTTTCTGAGATTCTTGAGATGCCCAGACATAATTGCGCTGCTGCGACATAAAGCTTGAGGAAAGAATCCGGTCCATTCTAGACCTTGTACCGGAGGATTATATATATCAAGCATTCAGCGAACTACGAATGTGAACTCAGCGTATCAAGAGATGATCTAGATGCGGCTCTGATAAACTCTAAAAGATGATGAGTATCATGATTGGATGGTAGACTAAAGTGGAAGAAAGGAGTGCTTGAACCATGGAAATCACAACGCATAGTGTGCACGTGATGTGTGACAGGGATAGCTGCAGCGTGGCCAGCGATAGGATGAATGCTTGCGCCAATCAAGCAAAAAGAGATCAGCTGAAGCTGCTGTCCGCCTTTGCAGGCGCTAAGCTCGGCAGGGAGCGCGAGGCTGAACCTCCCTCTCCGCCAATTCTCCAACCTCAGCGGCCACCCAGCCGCAAACTCTTCTTCCCAGCTATGGTCGGATCCAACTTCATTCTGTGCAGCAGAAAACAATGGCCAGTGATGAGTACACGATCGGATGGGTCTGTGCACTGCCGATCGAAAAAGCCGCTGCCCGCGGTATGCTGGACGAGATCCACGATACATCATTTAACAGGGCAGCATCCGATAAGAATAGCTACACACTGGGTCGCATCGGTCCGCATAATGTGGTTGTCGCGAACCTTCCCTCCGGTGTCTATGGCGAGACCCCAGCGGCGACTGTCGCAGCGCACATGTTGGCGTCATTCCAAACAGTACGGATCGGCCTGTTGGTTGGTATCGGCGGTGGGATTCCGAGTAGGTGTCATGATATTAGGCTGGGCGACGTTGTTGTTAGCAGACCAGAGGGCACCTTGGGTGGGGTAGTCCAGTTCGACCGGGGGAAAACCATAGCAGAAGGCCGATTCGTGCGAACTGGAGTGCTGAACAAGCCTCCGCTTGTTCTCCTCAGTGCTCTAGCCGAACTCGACGCAGAGCACGAGATGGAAGGTAGCAAGATCCCGTCGTATATCGCTGAAATGGGGGAGCGATATCCGAAGATGCGGACGGACTATTCGTGTCAAAGCTCCTCCAACGACGTACTCTATCGGTCGGAGTACAACCACAATGAGGATGATGACTCAACTTGCGAGTTGTGCGATCCCTCCCAGATTGCCCAGCGTTCCGCGAGACAATCTGAAGATCCAGTCATCCATTATGGGATCATCGCGTCAAGCAACCAGGTTGTCAAGGATAGCCTGATACGCGACCGTATTGGCACAGACCTTGGTGCGATATGCTTGGAAATGGAGGCAGCGGGCATCATGGACACTTTCCCCTGCGTCGTCATCCGTGGAATCTCTGACTACGCTGACTCGCACAAGAACAAGCGCTGGCAACGATACGCCGCGGCAACTGCTGCGGCTTACGCAAAGGAGCTGTTGTACAAAGTACCCCCGAATGAGTTACGTGCTAATCCTACAGCACTTCAAGCGCTCCGATCAGGTCAGTCAGCCATGCGAATCGCCCAGATCTTTTGCTTACAGATGCCTTAGAGTTGTCCGAAATCAGTCAGGATGTGTGAGCATTTGTGCCGCTTTTGAACACAGAGACGAGGGTAGCTGACAATAGGCAGTCAATCGCTAAAGCAAAAGCTCTATCTGGACGCACTCCCAGTCGCAGAGGGCGCGGCATTCGACTCGTACGACAATGAAAGAAGCCCACACTGTCATCCAGAAACCAGAGTGGAGTTACTTGGCCAAGTCTACAAGTGGTCGTGTGATCCGAAGGGGAAGAGCATCCTTTGGCTGAACGGAATGGCTGGAACGGGCAAGTCCACTATCGCGCGGACGCTCGCTCGCTCCTTACATAAAGATGCACGGCTGGCCGCAAGCTTTTTCTTCAAGCGGGGCGAAGCCTCTCGTGGAGATGCCTCGCGGCTTTTCACCACGATCGCATCTCAGATTGCCTCGAGTATACCCATGTCAGCAGAGTACATCCGGGATGGCGTTCAGAGTACTCCATTGATTGCGGACAAGGGACTCGGCATCCAATTCTCCGAGTTGATTGTGCAACCGCTTCGCCAATTGCAATTGGTTTCCCCGGCACCAAATATTATTGTTCTTGATGCTCTGAATGAATGTGATGATATCGCCCAAGTCAAGGCTATCATTCAACTTTTCTCCGGCCCAAGTATGGAGAAGATCAACCTGCGAGTCTTCGTGACCAGCCGTCCGGATACAGCGATTCGGGTTAGCTTTAACCAGCTTGCACATGAAGTGTACGACCGTTTGATCCTGCATGACGTCGCACAGGAGACCATTGATCATGACATTCGCGTTGTACTTGTCGACGAAATGCGCAGGACGGTGCATGATTACAACGCCGTAGTTCCATCAACTGATGCTGTTTTGACGCCCGATTGGCCGGGATCTGAGTGTATAGACCAGCTCGTGGAAATCTCCAGTCCGCTTTTTATCTCTGCTGCGACCATCTGCAGGTTCTTGGGCGACTCACGTTTCTCGCCCAACCACCAACTCGAGAAATTGCTAGAGCAACGAAGTGCAAGCCATGCCTCAAAGCTCGACTTCACGTACCTCCCGGTTCTGGATCAAATACTTGCAGGTGACCTTACAAAACGAGAGAAGGATTACTTGATAAGCGAGTTCCATAGTGTTGTGGGATCACTCGTCCTTCTAGCGGAGCCACTATCCGCGTTCCACCTTGCTAGACTCCTCGGCATACCAAAGGATCGAGTCGATACCAATCTAGGGCATTTACACGCCGTGCTTGGCGTTTCTGGAGATGGCGCTCCTGTTCGGCTTTTCCACGCTTCTTTCCGCGATTTTTTGCTCGATGAGGACTTAGCTGGGAAAACTCCATTTGCCATACATGGTCCAGCAGTGCACCGCCATTTGTTACAGCGATGTCTTGATAGCATGTCCGGAAATGCAAAGCCAGTGGGATTTCCGCACCGTTTATACCGACCAGCGGCAACTGGAGTCGTACATGTACCTCAGAAACAGGAGGCTTTCGATGGGGTACTGCCCGGAGACCTTCGGTACTCACACCTGTATTGGATACATCACTTGGAACAAACCAAGGAAACAATCCGAATTGGAGATGGCGTTCATCGCTTTCTTGAGACACACTTTCTCGACTGGGTGTCAGCACTGGGCATTTTGAACCAGCCTTCTCGAGTTTTGAATTCGGTGCAAACACTTATCTCCCTTATAGACGAGGTACTTTCGCACCCCATTCCCCCGACCTTGTGGCCGGATCCATCTAATGCGGTGGCTTCTACCCATGGCTGACTTGAAGAAAAAAACAGACCAGCAGCGGGAGTCCACTGTGGCAGCTTCTTCTTGATGCTAGAAGATTTGTCTACGGGCACAAACCTGCTATTGAACGAATCCCACAGATGATACACTCTTCAGTCATATTTCTGCCGCGCTCTAGCTCGATCAGAAAGACCTTCATGCATCTTGAACCGGCTTGGATCACGGAGCGACCTAACGTCCCCCAGGATTGGGGCCAACCCGCACTGCACGTCGATGGCGTGGTGCTGAACAGCCTGGCATTTGCCCCGGATAATAGCCGGCTCGCTTCAGAATCTCGAGTGTGGGATGCCACCTCAGGCCACGTACTACACACAGTTAGTCAATACCGACCGAGGTCTACAATGGACCTGGTGCATAATTACCAAGAGGGAATCAAGGCTTTAGCCTTCAGATCCGCTCAGGAACTAGCAATTGTCACACGTGGGGGACAATTGAAAAGCTGGAATCTAGCAACTGGAGAGAAAACAGCACTTCAGCTTGCTTCGGCCATCAACGATGCAGTGTTCTCTGGGGACGCCTCCAAGCTGGCGTTTATCGCATCGTCAAACCCGTTTAAAGTGCCGATCAAGCAGTTTCCGGAGCCCTCAATATCTGTACGAGACAATATAACGGGACGTATTATTGTCAAGATTGACCGGGTGGAGCATGCCCTGCTTAGCTTGTCCTTGGATGGGAGCAGACTGGCATGTTGCATAATGCCTGACCATGAGAGCTTCACAGACACTCAAGTTGTGGTATTTGAACTCACTCCCCATCGCTCCACCAAGCGTAGTGTGATACCAGGGCCTCTCGCGCATGTCGCCTTGGTCGCACTTTCCCCAAATGGCTGTAAACTCGCTGTGTTTGGCGAGGAAAAAAGCACGCGCCTACTCGTCATTCTTGATATTGAGACATGTGAGCAGGAGCAGACGTTTCCAGTCTCGGAATGGATAACATGCATGTCATTTTCACCAGATGGCGCAACCCTCACTGTCGTTCTTGAGAAGAAAGAGTTTCGCCAGGTCGACCTGGCCACAGGCGAAGTACAGATGATCCGCAAGCACTGCCGCCATGACGTCGTTGCGTTCGCCCCAGACGGGCTAAGAATTGCCACTGCCCCTCGGAAAGCGAATGGAATCGAAGTTTGGAATTCTCTAGGAAATCCCGACAATGTGCTCTACCAGAAACCATCCTGTGATCTCGACAACTGCCTACCTTTGTTTGCCCTCTGTCCAGATGGCTCTGTAGCTGCGACGGCACGGATCAAGAGCAACACGATCCTGCTTGTGGATATCGCTAGCAAGGGAATTAAGCATGAGCTACAAGCGTGCGGAGTGCCGGAGGCTGTTGCTTTCTCCCATGATGGAACAACCATGGCAGCCAAGACACTATCCTACGTGAGCGAAAAAGAAGACGATGGCGAAATGGATCTTACAACCGGGGAGCTTGACGACCTCGTGGTTATAGAGAAACATATTTCCACAAACCGAGACAAATGCTGGTTGGAATTCTGGAATATCGAGACTATTCCATCGCTTCGTTTCAGGAAGACGTTTCCTGTGGCGTACCGGAAGTCTTTGTTGGCAGTCAGCCCTGATGGAACAAGGGTAGCATTAGCACTCATAGATGACACGCAAGCTGGCGCCAGCCGCGGAACCACTGTGGAGGAATGTGACGTTCTGCGTACAGACCTCGTCCGCAGGTACCATGTACAGCAGCCAGTCAAGATGTCTAAGATCCGATATTCGGCAGACGGGGAGTGGCTCGAGCTCATCAACTACAAGCCATCTGAGCCCCCAGGCATCACAACAACTACTCGTATTCGTCTCTGGCAGTTTGAATACGCGTGGGGTTACTGGGCGTGTGAACCAGTTACCGAGCATGCCATCTCAAAATGGCACATCCAGAAATACCACTTTCCAAGGACAGGGATCTGGGTGACAGAGGACGAGGCCTGGATTCGATACGACCGTCACTATATCTTGTATATCCCTGCGCATCTGAGACCGATGCAGCATGTGTACCTTGGCACGTCCTTTGATAGTGTTTGTGATGGTACCGGCGGCGCAGTAATCGGCTGGATTACTGTTGAAGGACTATTTACTTCGTTCAAGATCGATTTGAATAAGTTGCGGCTGGCTATCAGTGGGAGTGGTGACGAGGGCTAGTGTGGCTCCTTGGCCACACTGCTGACAGAACCTTGATGGAAACCAGGAAAGGAGCTAGGCCATTAAAAAAAGATGAATGTGTGTAAGAAAAATGAGGCTATCTAGGAGGAAGCAAGGTGTACTAAAGACGCAGGATGGATCACGCGCTGCTAACGGTCGAAGAGAAGCAGAGACCCCAAGAACGCTTGCTTGTATGCCTGCTTGCAGGGCTCTATACTACCGGCAATTCACTACCTAACAGCACATATGGAGGCCGTTTCCAAAAATCCAAAATCACAGAGAAGCACCTGGGAAAAGGAGATGTCAAACGTGAAGTCCTCTAGTAAACCCTTCCGTCCAAGGCAACGCTTGCGCGTAGTTGACATTGTAGACCTGCCGGTCCGCGGAATCCCATTTAACCAAGAGGCACTGCCCAAATCACTCGGCGTACTTTTCGACTTCGGGGGTCGCCCTGTAGCCTTGAGGCTGATCCTGGAAAGGCAGCTGAAATCGGGTCTTGGTGACGTTCGGCGGGTCTTTTTCAGAAAGGGAGCCTTTGCAGGACAATGAACTTATCCACAGTTTTAGCTTCGCCCTCAATCGCCCTGTAACTCCAAGTATCAGAAAGTGTGGCGAAGAGAACGTGGCGGCAAACGGGAGATGTAGGAAACCAGGAGAGAACGTTCGGTACAGCCCAGCCCAGGTCAAAGGGGAAGGGCGGGGAGTCTAACCATGCCACCGGCCACGCACTACCTCGCCATACTGAGGTAACGTGGGATCCACACGTTGTTCCGCGGGAAGGACAAGGAGCAATTCTCGAGCATAGGAAGCAGCGGTGAGAGCCGCATAATGATTCCACTTGTCATTGGCGTGAGAATCGCAATAATTGCTGATTCCGCGGATGGGCAGGCAAGGGATGCTGTTCATCAGACCAGCAGACGTCATGTCAAAGCACAGGAACTTCATCTGGGGCTCATTCGCGTAGCTGTCTCTCATCCTGGGATCCTGTACATCCGCATTCCCCGACCCAATCGTGCCGTAGTGAACCTGGACCACACGCTGGTCCTTGCGCGGGGCCCGCTGAACCGTAAAGCTATCATGGCAGCGGCCGCAATCTGGCCCACCGACATGCGCGTAGTGAGCGTCGTACAGTTTATCATCACAGGCGGGCCGCCGATACTGCTTCATATCGCGCAGGCGCTTGAGATTCTCCGCGATCCCGTCCGGCTGTCTCATATCCGCATACCGCCGCTGGATGTCGGGAATGACCTGCAGCAGCTTCTGAGGCGGCGCATCGAGCTGCCCCGTTCGCACGAACCGCCCATCCTGCAGTCGCGCTCCATGGTCCCATTCTATGACTGCGGGAAGGTCGCCATTCGGTACACCAACGACAACGTCGCCGAGCCGAATATCGTTGTCCGCCGTGGGCGCTCCGCCCGCGATGCCGACCGACAGCGCGAATTGCAGCTTCGGGAACGTGCGAATCATGTCTCGGGCAGTGTGGGCCGCTGTGGTGCCTCCGTGGCGGCCGGCTGGGAGACAGGTGATTACGACGTAGTGGCCGGCGATTCGGCCGAAGACATATGTGTTGTTGTCCAAATCGCCGCGGACGAGGTGTGGCGCCGGGAGTTTCTCGTCGAGCATTCGGCAGGCGCACATGTACTCTTCGTATCGCGCGCAGATCCAGCCTACCGTGTAGGAGTTGGCGGGATCTGGTCTGGGAAGAGGCACTTTGGCCTGGGCCCGCGGGAAAGATTGACGCATTATGGATGTGGGGAAGATGAACGTTAGGTATTATATTGTTTCGGGGATGTGGGATAGATATGTGGTTGTGGCAAGTAGTAAGAAGAGACTGGGGGTAGAGTACTGATGGAGCATCTCAAACGATAGGAATGTAAATCAGCGATCATATTTAAGCCCTCGGGCGTCCCCAGACGTCCCTCCTCTCCACACACACCCTGGTGGGTGGTAAGCGCCTAGTAAATGTTTCTACTGGTTGCACTTTTAGACTCGCGCAGATCGTGGCGTGGTTGGCGTCTGGACGTGCACACTGATTCGATAATTTCGGGCGGCTGAAACGAGGGGTTGATCTCCGACGCGCGCGGCTCCAAGTGAGGCCTGGAGCCTCCGTGCGTATGCTAGTACTTTATTTATAGTAGCTCGGCCAAGAAACGAAACGAACTGATTTGCGCAGCAAGACTAGTTTTTGCTGCCCGTGCGCTGCATCGCCCGTGATGGAGGCTACCACCACATGCGGTGGCCAGTCCAGCATGAGATTTTTGGGTCTAAAGGGATCTCGAATGCCACTCATGAGAATCAAGGCACGAAGCCAAGAAATCTGGGAAGATCAGAATATCGACCGGCTTTCGGAGACAGGATCGCCGAACGATATTGGTGCCGAGTTCGAGGTTAAGCGCCACTCCATGAACGCCTGGTTGCTAATGGGCCACTCGCCAGGATTAGTGATAATCCAAGTGAATCCCGTATTTAGACCACGCGGAGCAGATATGAGTGGATGGCTGGATTGGTTGATTCTCATAGCTAGTGTAATGCTACTGACGTGGCTTTCATGGGCGGCTATTCGGCCAATATTAATTGTGTGGGGTGTGATGATCTGCATTCCGAACATTGAGCCCTAATACTATCATTTGTCTAAAAGTTTGAATGGTTGACCATGTCTCAATATAGCACTCAAACGGGCCGGACCAAAGATGAGGAGCCTAAACAGCCCCCATCGCCATACAAAATTCCGACCAAACAAGGTTAACATCCTCCCACGGCTGTAACACGCGGGCAATATACCCGTCTCTGCGCCACTCGTCCTCATATGACGCCGTATAGAGAGCCTTGCAGTACTCCCGGTGCTCCGGGTACCAGCCTGCCGACTGCCAGTCGACGATGACGAGGCGGACAGCGCCAGCGGAAGAGGCATCGCCCACGGAGGGGGAAACAATCCTTCACGCTGCTGAAGGGACCCATCTTTTAGCTGGGTGGTGAAGACGTAGTCTTGTAGATTCTGTTTGTCAATTGACCCTAGAGGGGACACGTTAGCGAACATGTAATGAAGGCTCTTTTGTAATCGGGTATTGGGTGGGTTTGGCGCACCGATAAACCGGTCAGAGGGGTCTTGCTCTAGTTGACGGAGGGACTGGACGAGCCCTCCCAGCTGATCAGAAATGGCCCGCCTCTCCAACAATCAAGCGAGTCCCAGGACTCTAGAAGTGTTGGCCCTTTGATAAGCTCCATGTAGATGAAGACATAACCCTGGTCATCGATGCGCCAGCCGACGCCCTCGGGGACGGGAACTTTGTCTTTGAAGATTCTTCTGACGACCCATAAATTGAGAGCCTCGAGAGTTCTAACCTGACGGCCGAACTTGACAATCAAGTCAAGGTGTTCGAATCTTACGGGGTTTGCTTTAGAAACGTTCAAAGGCTCACTGGAGACAGCTTGTACCTCCGCTGGTGATGGGAGGCGGCGCGTTGGAGACGCGAAAAATGAGGATTCAGTGAAATCCAATTCTTTTTTTGTCGCATCCGGTAGATCAATAGATATCGACTGGTGGTCGAGCCTAAACGTAACCATCTTCTGACCAACTGTCGAGGCGCCAAAATAAGATGAGAAGGTTTCAACGGCTAAAGGCAAGCGCTTCTAGTTTTGCACCGTGGAAAGAACCTGTGCAGCGCAAGCGCCGTCCAAAAGTATGTAGCCAGTCGAATCTAGACCTGAGACAAAGTACCCCCACCACTTGGCACCGTTGCACAGATTAGCGCCTCCGGTTTCGAGGGGAGCACCCCCTTCGTCGTTTGGTGATATCTTGCCTCAGCAAGACAGTCCTATCCCGCTGGTGAGATGACCCGGGGATTACTCGGCGAACGGTGAATACTCCAACTCAGATCCGGCAGCCCGCGGAAGCCGCAAAGCTACGCGGTTGCCTGCTTACCTCGGTAACGATTATGACACAGGCGCGGGGTTAATAACTGCTCGATGCTTACGTGGTAGTGGAACAGGTGCTTGCAAGTCGGCGCTGGATAGCGTACTCATCACAAAGAATGCTTCTGGAATTGCGATCCGTCAAAGAAGACTTTCGCTGCTAAGCCAGCATTCTTCCATACCTCTTCCAAGCGAGGACCATCACTCGAGCTACGCCATGGGCCAGTACGGAAAAGGCACGCCAGTTTGGCGGATTAAAGCTTTGAAGAAGCGCGAAGAATGCGAGGACAAGCTTCCAAAGGAATGGGTCATTCCCAAAACACTATGGGAGACTCTCCCGTTGCCGCTAGAAGAGAACAAGGTGAATCTGATTGACCTGGACATTATCCGCCGGTCAAACGTCCTTACCGAGCGCGAATTCGAGATTACGGAGAATCACACTGTTGTGTCATTACTTGAAGGACTGTCGACGGGCAAGTTCACTGCACTCGATGTTACGACGGCGTTTTGTAAACGAGCGGCGGTTGCGGGGCAGCTGGTATGCATCAAGAGGCTCAGAGTTTGAACTGGCGCGCCATTCTGGCCTCGTTTCAAAACTAACAGCCTGTAGACAAATTGCATCACGGAGACACTCTTTGATAGCGCTCTCGCTCGAGCAAAAGAGCTGGACCTTATGCGAGAGAACGGACAGTTGAAGGGCCCCCTTCATGGCCTTCCAATCAGTGTGAAGGACTGTCTTCAGATAGCTGGGACCCAAGCAACAATCGGCTTCACAGCATATCTGGACCAGCCACCTTCAGAGGAGAATTCGTGCCTGGTCGACATGCTGCTTGATTTGGGGGCTGTACTCTACGTCAAGACGAATGTTCCCCAGACTCTGATGGTATGTAAGTTTTTGAATATTTAGCTAGCCCTAAACTACACCACCCGGAGCCAGTACCTTGCTCATCTGTATCTCTGTCTCTATCTAAAACATTTCCATTACGTTGGACTCACTCCACCAGACCGCAGACTCGGAGAATATCATTTTCGGTCGAACACTAAACCCCTGGAACACGATGCTCACAGCGGGAGGATCCAGTGGCGGAGAGGGAGCACTAATAGCCCTACGTGGGTCGCCGTTGGGGATTGGCACTGATGTTGCAGGTACTTGTGTCTTGGAGTTCAGACCTTCGATTCGATCAGCTGGATCAAGGTAACTAATCTCGACCACTCAGGCTCGATCCGCATCCCTGCCTTATGCTGCGGCCTGTACGGCTTCAAGCCCTCAGCAAGCCGCATTCCCGACTCGAAGCAACAAGGATACGGCACCGGGGGGCTGAGAACCATCTATGGCTCCGTCGGCCCAATAGCGAATGACATGGACGCTCTTGAGATCCTAAGCCGAGCTGTCCTCGGCGCTAGCCCTAGGCCTGCGCTATATGACCCAGGCGTCCTTGACATACCGTGGAGAGAGATAGGCGAGGTTAAACCGCGACTGCGTTTTGGCTTCCTCCTCGAAGACCCGACGTTCCCTCTGCACCCACCTGTACGCGCTACACTAGAGGAAGCGGCATCCCGCTTGAAAGACGCAGGCCACGAAATCATCCCCCTTCCTGTAGAAGAATGCCACCTCGCATACGCCCTCGAAGTCGTCTGGAAGTTCTTCAGCCTCGATGATTCAGCCTCAGAGGTCGTCGCACAAGGCAGGGAGCCGCCTATTGCGTCAAGAGCCGTCGTTGCAAAATTAGTACAGGAACTCGGATCGCGCTTCGTCCCTGGCTTCGAGGGCATGGCTCCGCTGGATAGACTGTCGATTCTGAATATTAAACGGGGAGAAATCATCAAGTATTGGCATACGCTCTGGCAGAAATATGACCTTGATGCGGTGATTTGTCCGCCGGCGCCGAATACGGCTGTTGAGCATGATATGTATGGGTTGACGCCGTACACGAGTTTTCTGAATCTTGTGGATGTAGGTTGTCGTGTTGTGCCTCGTATGATCGGTACTGGGGTCTCTGTGCTAATTTCCTGGATCCAACCAGTATCCAGCATGTGTGATCCCATTCCGGCGAGCGGGGAAATTCCCGGATGTCAAAAGGCAAGAGGTGCAGTTTGTGCCTGACTGTGAGATGATCTTTCCTGATCCATACCTTCTGCATACGTAGGTCGAGTACTGACGAGTTGTAGATAACGGCAGCAGCCTCGAAGGAGCGCCCTGCTCCATTCAGGTTTTCACTAGGAGGCTGCGCGACGAGGAATGCCTTGCAATATCCAAGGTGGTAGATGGCTGCCTACACGGTGCTCAAGCACCATAGTCACTTGGTACACTATATCAGATACTATAGAAAAAGCTGAAAGGATTAAATCCCACCCCGCTCACTGAACCTCGTCACCGACAATCACCATCTTACCATGGCCCGTAGTATGATTGGGAATACTTTGATTGGAGAATGTTACCTTGAATGCTTCTATTGTCTCTATACCAATATACCAAGTAAGTATGGTATTGTCAAATCGAACAATAGACCAAGAACAGAATCTTAGGTTCCAGAGTCCTCATCGCGACACTATCAACGGCACTTCTCGCTCCTGCCAAGAGTCTAAACTCTGTAGCTTGGCCCGTGCCTTTCGGTCGTCTTGTTTGATGTTTTGTTATTTACCCCGCACCCAACGAGATAGTATCAACCATTTCATTCCTTCCTGTGTCTTTATATTCCCTCTACGGTCCTGAGCTGATGCTAGGTATCAACGGGATTGCGCCATCAAGGGCCTGTCAACGGCTCCAATCTTTGTTAAGGGTCTACGGGTCGGTCCGTCACTAGTCAGGGGTAAAATATTACGGAATAACTTAATTACTCGGTAGGAAAGCTATGCAAGGCACCAGTGGAGATCATTACGATGGGATAACAAAATCTCGTGGAAATGAGCGACAGGAGATGTACAGTGAATCCATGTTTTGCGTCCTAATTCTGGCGCATCAACGCGGTTCTTGTTTATATAAAACGCGAGTTGGCGTTTATCAGCCGGCATACTTCGCAACGACAAGGTGTTCCGAGCGAGCCAATATCCAAGCTTAGGGCTGCTCACATAATTAGCAAAGACACAGTCTCACCGTCTTGTGGGGGTAACTTACGCAGCCCTCGGGCGCAGGGTCGAGCGACGCTCCACCGATAGAGCAGATAACATAGTCCTAATAAAATCAGCAATGGCCCATATGCAGGAATACAATAAGTAGAGAAAGCACTCACCTCACTATCACAGAACGTCTCACACCCCTTACTGCAGTTCTCCTCCACACCACCGCCGAGATCCGTGCAACCTCCGTACTTGCCATCAGGGCAGGACGCGACGCAGTCAGGCCCGCAGTCGACGCAGCCTTCCTCTTCACCGCAGCACGCCATGAGCGCCCCGTTAGGCGCTCTAATAGAGACGCAGGACTCGGGACATTCTCCGAGGCCGGGGATTGGGATTGGTGGGCGCCCTTGGGCGAGGACGCTTGGGGCTGCCAGAGCAGCAACAAGGATGGAGAGTGTGAATTGCTTCATTGTAAAGAGGGATTGATACGGAGGAGAAGGCTAGGTGAGTGTGGAAGGTTGATTGAGCTGATTGATACCATCGAGAGCTGGCTACTTCGCACTACATTTATACCCTGCGGAGGAGGCACAGGCGTGCCTCAACTGACGTTGGTGAGCACGGAAACTGGCAGTTCCGTTGTAAAAGCCGTGGCATGCGTCATTCGCGAGGTGTTCACTCGTGGTGCTTACCACGCAAGTCAAAACGCTGCGCTCCTCTCTTTCTCCGGCTACCCGTCGTGTCGTCGACCAAGGTGCCTTGCCAACGGCTTGAGATAAAGAGACTCCGTAGATACGTGACGGGTATATTTCGACCGGATCTTACGCCTTCCGGTCGATCATCTACCTTGCTGCCCGCTGGATTGGGACCGGATAGATTTTGGCCCCCGCATGTTTATGTAAAATTCATGCATATGGAGTGTTGAAGTTGGACTTTCAAGATTCCTTCCCTGCAAGCTCCCAGTAAGTCTCCCCTGGGTGGCTAACCATTGCCAGGAATTTTCTTGGTGCAGAACAAACTCTAGCCAATGGCAGCTCAACTTGCTTGGTTCGCGAAGGGAGTGCCGGGTTTGATCGCTGACTAGTTCGAGGCGATGCTGGACTAGCATCGGGGGCCTGGTCGTCCGATTGTGGAGAATGGCTGTACCTGCCCACTGCCGACCTTGAAACAGGTCCAGATCGAGCTCCCCGTGCGGCTGTACTATTCGAACCTTGGATAATGCATCACGCCTTTGAGGGGATTGCCTATTGTGTCGGGGTCGCTGGGAACAAAGGACTGTTGTTAAATGGCCATCGAATGCACGTAAACCGTGACAATGCTACTGATGGGGAGTGATTACTTCCCTGCTCCCCTCGTCTCGGCGCTTGAAGATCGTTGGGGGCCGAAACTGCCGATCACATCTGCGTCATAGCCGCCGCGATCGTGGGTTCGGCATCTGCTTCTGCAACCAATGTGCACCTTGAAGGGGGTCATATATCAATGGGCGTGGTCATTATACTCCGGTAGTGTCTCCGCGGAGGCCGCTGACCTGTGTGCCATACTTGAGATGAACATAGTCCTTGCTCTCAATCGTCCGAACTGACAGCATCGGTCCGGATCTTCGGTGCCATGAGTGACGTAGTTCCTACCTACAGCTCCTTGCGCACATTCAGCCCAACACATGTGAGACAGCCCCATCGGCGTCCTAGAAGTCCAACGTGGGATTATGGAGCAGGCATCGGTCCAGCCCGCCAAGGGTGAGTGACGCCCGAGTGCTGGGCTTGCGGAAGTGGCGGAAGCTTTCCCCACACCCAAACCTGGGCACTGCAGTCTGGACCCCAGACAGTTGTCCAACCTGCAGCTTACGTCCACCACTCAGCTTCTAGCCAATACAGCATCATCCTGTTTTCTAGTCGAGAAGCATCCGTCTTCTTCTTGCATCAAGACTGAGAAGGTAAATCACTGTCAGGTCGTTCAGTCATTTCTGAGATGCATGTGATGACACACCCCAACAACTCAATGCCTTAAGTAGGATAGTTGAGTGCTGTGAGTTTCTTTCGCGGGCGTCCCGTAGACTGTGCCGGCATCGCCCTTATACCCTTGGGGAGAAATTCGCGAGCACTTGTTTTACAAAGGCCTTAGAGCGGAGATATCTAATCTGGGAATAGGAGCGGTATCCGTCCGTCATACCGAATAACATATATCATTCTCGATCATCGACCCTGTGCCTGGGACACGGACGTATTTCAATCCCCAAGGAGCAGTCAGTCAGATGATTATGAAGTATCCGATTATGACAGCGAAAGTTCGAGAGGGTAGCATACTACGATACCATTCTTAATCCGCTCAAATGGACGGGCATGCTCACTGCAGCGCTGGTCCCGTCCAAATAGAACACCAACTGTCCTGAGAGCAAAGAGGGTGTTAAGAGGCAAATAACCCTTGCGCATATACGCATTTTTGCCATTCTTTCATTTGCTTCTCCTGCTCTTTTGTCAGACTAACAAAGCACTTAGGGCTCACACAACCGAATACAGAGCCGGGCAAGCGACTCGACTGACGGACGCCTTTTGACCGATGTCATAGGCGTTGGCAATTCTTCGGCCAAGTCTAAGTGACTTAGGGCTACATGACTGTATTCCTGGTAACGCCAATTCCTCTTGAATTGTACAAATCAAACAGAGGTGAATGCCCCAGTACTGTAGGATAAAGGCTTGAGCTATATATAGGAATGTTGGCCAAAGGAAGGACGTGTCACATGTCACCACCCCCGCCAAGAATAGCGCCTGTACTAAGGAAACACAACACTGGTAGCTGGCATCTTAGAAAGGAACCCGTAGCCCCTCGAGCCAACCCATCTTCTCTTCACAACAAGCCCAGCGGTGCCAAACTAACCATTCCCGGAGCAAAGATGGCGGTTGAGTTCAACCTGTGCGAGGTAATCCAGATTATGCTAGTCCTCGGCCCCAAGATGCTCTGGGACGCGATCCGCAAGGGAACCCTGAAAAGAAACATCAGACGCAGTCGGGAAACAGTCTTTGCGCCGGTTATCGAATACCGTGAGCGACGAACACCACTCGCTTTTACCCCCATGTTCCGCCGCGCGCTGACGCCTCCACCCTCGCCATCACCATCAGTTGAGCAGGGTGTTCCCCACAGCGCGGAGACAATGGATATGCACATGCAGACGCAGAGCGGGTTCTCCAAGCTCCCAATCGAGATTCGAGAGATGTTGTACCATGGAGTCCTCTGCGTCCCATATATGCATCTACACAAGGACGCGGGAATCGCCAGGGTACACGGTGGACAGTGTAAGCGTACTGGCAGACCGATCATCTGAAACTACTGGGCAGGATACGACAGAGCTCCAGACAACTACATACTCCGCTGTTTACACATGGTGGATCCAGGCTTTTATCAACCGGAGCCATCCCATCCTGGCATAGGGCAGCTGCATGTCTGTCGGTGGATGTAAGAACAGATTTCCTGTCGTTGAATCGAGACCTTCTACCCACTGACGCGTAATCACAGATACTCTGAGTCAGTCAGCATCCTCTATGAGCACAATACATTCTCGCTAAACCAACACGCACTCAACGCTATGCCCCGCACGATCATACCCACTAGATTGGCTTCCATTCGAAAATTACGTGTCTACGTGTCCGTGACCACGGCCAACGACCGCATGAGATGGATACATGAAAGCGAAATACTAAAGCAGTTTACGGGCTCCGCAGCCTAGAGGTGTCTTTTGCACGTATTTCGCATCCGACGGATGGTTCATCCAAGATAAAGCTACGGGATGGAGCCTCGCTGGTGAAACCACTCCTTGATCTTCATGTACCGGATTTTGTGGTCGAGGTTCCCCAAAGCGCAATTAAGGATGGGCTGGTGGTTAGGGACTCGTCTTGGTCTGGTACACCGTTTCGGTTGAGATTGTTGCAGAGGTCATAGAGGTAGGTCCGAGCTGGCAGGGGTTTCGAGTGAAGGAATGCTCTTGTTCATGACTGCCGTTTTGGTCGCGCAGAAGGGAATGGAGAGGATATTAATAAGATGTACATATATACCCGATTATCAAGGGTTGTCTTGCTTGTTATACTTCCGCGTGTCAGGTAAAGACCCTTTCCTCGAGCCATGACCCGACAAGTTAAATCTCGTGACACATCTACACCCTTTGCCTCTCCTGAATTCCCTATCACTCGGTTATTCACCGAGACAGGATGCCTGCAGTATGCGTTGCAGAGAGCAGAAGGCTACCAAGCGTCGAGCAGCCAATACCGACGTTCCGCATTTTCGCAGGTGGGCGAACAACTAGGGAAGGAGCGACATACGTCACAGGTCGTACCTTCCCCAGTAAGAGAGAAACAGATTAGGAAGGTGCAAAGGGCGCAGTGAATGTTTCGGAAAAAGAAGGAGCGACCCAAAACTCGGAGCATCAAACAGGTGGCAGGGCGCAACCTTGAAACGGTGTCCCATATCCGCTTGTAGTATTCCAATTTCGAATCATTGGCATCGGGGCATCCGCGTCGGCTCGAGTCAGCTGAGCCCTCAGGGTCTTCGGTCGTTCTCTCCGCTCGTTTCGTGCCCGACCCAGGCTCGGCGCGTCTGGGCGGCTTTGCAGCGGAACGGATGCAGCATCTTTCCCGATTTTGCCCGGTTGCCCGGTTGCTGTCACTTTACTTTGCCCATTGAGGCTACGGTCCGGGATGCCGCGCCGGAATCATTGCGAGGTGTCATATGACTATCGAGAATAGTGACTCCGAAACGAATTCCTTGTTAGGGCTAGCGAGAGAGGGATGTCTAAGAGCAGCTGGAATGGGGCTTTCTAGCTCCGATACAGCATATAAAGGTTTAGATGTTGAGCGTCTTCGGTAAAGGGCTATCATCCAATTTACTTGACTACTTCCAACTACCACCTTAACCCGCCATGGATGTCCACGTCGTCTCCAAACTTGATAACCGACAACATGCAACCATGCAGGTCACAGCACCAACCGATCCCTTAAAGCCATCTTCAATCCGCGTCCGCACCACTCTCATCGGCCTCACCTCGAATAACCTCACCTACGCCATGGGAGGCTCGTTTCTTGGATGGTGGGATGCATACCCCCTCCTAGCCTGTTGCGATGCCCCCTACGATAATCAAACGTGGGGTATAGTACCAGCGTGGGGCTTCGCAACGGTGCTCGAAACGACGATTTCTGAGATTCCAGCAGGAACTACTGTCTATGGACTCTGGCCCACCTCCGCCTGCCCAGTTGACCTGGAGTTAGTTCCTACAGTGCCAGCGGGACACTGGCAGGAAGTCTCGCCGCACCGGCAGAAACTGGCTTCCTTCTACAACCGGTATACTGTCATTGATTTGACGAGCCAGAGCCTTGAAAACTTCGCTTGGGATGCTGTTGTATATCCGACCTGGGGCGCAGGCTACATTCTTAGCGAATACGTTTTCAGTCCGGATCCCGCGACTCGTCCGGGCATACATCCGCTCGGAGCAGCTGGAGGGGATTGGTCATTCGAGGACGCGGATCTCAGAAAGACGATTTTCATTAATCTTGCAGCATCTACCAAAACTGCCCGCGGGACAGCGTACAATCTCTTCCAGAGGCCAGCACGATCTGGACCGCTCGGCTTGTTACAAATCACCTCTTCGCCCGGACCGCTTTCTGAAGCGGCGAGAAATATGGCTCCACCGTTCCCGACGAAAACTGTGCTCTACGAGGATATCCCCAAGTCTGCGGAGTGGATTGCAAGCATCGAGCCTACACTGGAACGAATCGTCATTGCGGACTTTGGGGGCCGAGACGGTGCACTGGATACACTTGTCAAGACCATCCAGGAAAGCACGGAGCTGCGGTCGCTTAAGCTGACCATCATTGCAGTGGGAAACCAGCAAAAGGTTTGGGACAGTGGTTTTCTCCCTCCGTATAAATAACCCGATCACTAACGGAAAGAACTCGAATTAGATTTACACAATCCCCGAAATCATGGCCATGCAGGCCTCGCACGCATCGATAAAAGTCCAGATGAACACATCCGGGGTCCAGGATTGTGCGTTGCAGATTCCCGAGCCAAAGGCATACTTTGACGAGCTGCATCAGCGCTGGACACAATGGCTTGATAACCGCAGAGCCGCTGCTCCCGATCTCCGTCTCGTCTGGGGAGACGGCATCGCTGGTACGAGTGGGGTTGAGGGCGGATGGGACGCGCTCTGCCAGGGTAAAGTCAAGCCTGAGGAGGCGCTGGTGTATCGGGTGTAGTGGCCTGCTTTTGTAGGGAGTCTTGGATGAAAGCTTGCGCGTATTTAGAAGGTAAAATATGGTACATAAAAGCACCCACCGGTATATAACCTTAGTATTTATATGCGGGGCAAGAACCTCCCGAGAAACCTCCGAGTCTCTGAAGGCGGGCCAAGCCTCTTGGTTTCGAGTTTCCCTACATCAGCGCTACCACCTGCCAATCTCAGTGGTGAATTTAGCCAAAATAGCTGCCAGCCGGTTATATTGGTCCGTCCGTATGATGATCTATCGAAACAGAAACCCCCGTGACGGCGGCTCAACCTGCCTACCTGGGTCAACCGTCCAGCGCGGGGTAGATGTTAAAAGCTACTGAAAGCCTTCAAGAGTGTTGGTGTCTTTCTTTCCAAGTATCCATCTCCCACACTATTCAGCATGTCAATTCAAACCAAATTTCGTGTCTTCGAAACGAAGCCCCGGGTATTCATCACGTCCGACATCGCCAACGAGCCCGACGATGCGCAGTCGCTGGTTCGATATCTTCTCTACAGCAATGAGTTTGACACGAAGGGCATCGTCGCGTGTACCTCGACTCATATGAAACGGCGCGTCTGTCCGGAGGACATGGTGGAAATCATCAACGCGTACGGACAGGTTGTCAATAATCTGAACGCTCATGTGCACCCCGACAACCAGTATCCAGACCATAAAGTCCTCCTTGAACTAGTTTCAACAGGTCCAGCGGTATATGGAATGGAAGTGTTGGACTCTGACGTTCCGTTGAGCGAGGGCGCAAAGCGCCTAGTGTCAGCGCTGAAAGAGTCTCCCGAGCCACTCTGGGTGCTACATTGGGGCGGCGCAAACGTCCTCGCCCAAGCTCTGCAGTACATCCACGCAACAGAATCCCCCTCGACGAGTCTTGCCCTCCGCTCGCGAATCCGCGTCTACGCAATTTCCGACCAAGACGACTGCGGCGTCTGGATCCGAACCACATACCCCGACATCTTCTACATCTGTTCGTTGCACGGCTGGAGCCAATACCATCTCGCGACGTGGTTGGGAATCTTCGGCCGCGTCGATGGTTCTGGGCCAGATCACTCGCAGTTAAGTCGCGAATGGCTGGCACGGAATATCCAGCAGGTTGGTCCCCTGGGCGCGGTGTATCCCGATGCCAAATTCGGCGTTGAGGGGGATAGCCCGACGTTTCTTTATTTGATTCAGAATGGGCTTGGTGCGTCTGAGCATCCCGAGTGGGGGAGTTGGGGAGGTCGGTATATCGGGCCTGATTTGCGGGGCACGGTGCGGCACTATGCGGATACTGTGGACACGGTGGTTGGCAGGGATGGTGAGACGTATACGAGCAACCACGCATCGATCTGGCGGTGGCGAGAGGCGTTCCAGAATGATTTTGCGGCTCGGATGCAGTGGACTCTTACTGATGATCCGAAGGGAGCCAGTCATCAGCCCGTCGTGACGGTCAATGAGAGTACAGGCCCTGCGCCGCTTGTGCTTGAGATTGAACCGGGCGAGGTCGTCCATCTGGATGCTTCGGACACCTACGACCCAGATGGTGGATCGTTATCTTTTTCCTGGTTCCAGTACAGAGAACCTACGATGAACCAAGCGGGTCTGCACACCCCGCAGGTTCGAGACATTGAAATCGAGGATACAGATGACTCGGAGCTAGGGAGGAAAGTCAAACTCCAAATGCCGCCCGCCGAGTGGTGCGCAATTGACTTTGTGTCTGGGAAGCCGTTGGGAAAAGGGCAGGAGTTTCACTTTATTCTCACCGTGAAGAATAATGGCACGCCCGCTTTGACGACGTATAAGCGGGTTGTGATCCAGATTGTCAATCCGCAACTTCGGGGTGGACGGGAAACAGAGGTGGCTACGACTGCAGACTGGTTGGAGCTGGAGGGGCTACTGTGATTCGGTAGTGTAACAAGTCAGATCAGGCAGTTTTGAAGGAAAGTCTGGGTAAAAGGATGGACGGTCCGTGCCTCGCTATCAACTACAGCGAGCAACCGGTCCACTTCGAGCCGAGGGATTAGCAGCAGTTGGTCTTAAATATAGTTCTCTCCCTAACAGTATCTCCTGCTGCTTTTTTTCTTTCTGAATATCCTCGGAGATTCCTATTAATGTGCTCTTGAACTTCAAATTCATAAACATGTCCTCAACATTCACAAACCCCCTCATCTGGGAAGACCTCCCAGACCCCGAACTCCTCCGCGTCGGGTCAACCTACTACATGAGCGCCTCCTCCTTCCACTTCTCCCCCGGCGCGCCCATCCTCCAATCCCCCAACCTAATCGACTGGACCTACATCGGCCACTCCGTGCCCACCCTCCCACCACCCGACCGCTTCACACTCGATCCCAGACGCCCAACGGCATACGGGAAGGGCGTCTGGGCGTCGACGATGAAGTACCGGGCCAGTAACGGCTTGTTCTACTTTTACAGTGCGATTCAGGGGACGGATAACACGTATGTTTGGACGGCGCGGAATCCCGCGGGTGTTTGGAGCGAGCGGGGGGCAATCGAGAGGTTCTATTATGATCTTGGTCTGTTGGTTGATGATGATGACACGATATATATTGCGCATGGGACCAAGACGATTCAGGTTGCGAGGTTGGATGACGAGGGGGTGACTGAGGTTGAGAGTCGGGTATGTATCGCACCATACTCGCTTCCCACCTCCTCTCCACGGTTTACTCTTTACTCTTTCGCTAATTATGGGTGCTAGATCGTCCACGAATCCGGCGACTACCTCGAAGGCGCCCGGATGTACAAGATCAACGGCTCATATTACATATGGCTCACGAAAGACTGGAATACGCAGACCGTGCTCAAGTCCACGAGCGGACCATTCGGTCCGTATGAGGTGCGCGACGTCATCAAGGGGATGCGCTCTCCCCTCGCGGGCTCCGGGTCGCCGCATCAGGGTGCTCTTGTGGACACTCCGGATGGACAGTGGTATTACGTTGCGTTCATTGATGCTTTCCCCGCTGGGAGAGTGCCTGTAATGGCACCGGTCGTGTTTGACGATGAGGGGTGGCCCACTGTTGTGGCAGAGTACACGGACGAGAAGGGGCAGTGGCTTCTGGAGTATCCGCGTGGGGCACTGGGTGATGGTGGTGAGCGGCCCAAGACGCACCAAAGGATCCGAAGATACGAGTTTACAGAGCCAACTCTGGAGCACTGCTGGGAGTGGAATCACAACCCGGATAACTCAAAGTGGAGGTTTGAAGACGGCCAGCTGGTCCTGCAAACTGGGACTGTGACGGAGAGCCTCCATCTTGCTACAAACACGCTCACTTTGCGCACGGTCGGACCTGGGAGCATAGCAACCTTCTGCATCGATACCTCGAGGATGCTTGATGGCGATAGAGCGGGCGCATCCATGTTCCGCGACGAGAGTGCCTACATTGGGATCCACAAGGATGGACAAAAGGCAACGCTCGTATACGTCGACGACGTAAAGGTCGGCCCGATAAATCCTGATGTGCCAGTAGGCTGGCTAAACGGACGCCCCGCGGCTCTGGACTGGAAATGCATTTCAAACGGTGAGGTCAGAGCCGAGACACCGTTGGCGCATGACCGCGCGTGGTTGCGGATCAAGGTCGATATGAGGTCCGCTTGCTTCGGGGAAGAAAAGGTTGCAACGAGGAATGCTACATTTGCATACAGCTACGACGGGGAGAATTTTGAGCAACTGGGCCCGTCGTATGCCTTGACCAAGTCCATGGCGGGCTACATTGGTTATCGCTTTGGGCTTTTCAACTTTGCGACGAAAGCGCTGGGTGGAGAGGTCTGTGTCAGTCATTGCGATTTGGAGATTTGGGAGCCCAGAGATTGAGCCAGCAATTCAAAATATCCCTACATGGGTACCACGCTGCATGAAACTGAGTTTCTCGTGAAGATGTCTACTCCCACCTACCATAGTTGCAAGACTACGTAGTAAACGATAATTCTCCCAAAGGAAGCGAAAAATGGTTGATTGGCTGCTCAGCAAAGTTTCTCCCCACACTACCCGAAGCTTTTTGCGTCACGAACAAGGTAAAAAGGTTCAGCTAGGGGCACCGATTACTTCTCACGGTCCCGGCTGGAGGCTAGACTTTCCTCTCTGGTTTCGAAGGAAACAGGGAGTCATCGCTTCGGCTAAAGTCCCGCTCCACTTCCATGGTCCTTTTGCCGGAACGTAACTTTCGGGTGATATTTGACCGAAAGTTGGGCCCGAATAACTCAAATTGTGGCGGATCAACTGATCCAGAATCATCCGGGGGTCTCCGACAATGTGGATTCTACGCTTAATGCTGATTGGGAATCTCCAAACTTGTTGTATTCGCGAACCATTTTGCCTCTTCTAGGAAGAGCGGAGCGAGCCCATGTGCTAGAGCAAGAAGCAGGGCTGATGGCATCTCTTCTGTGGCACTTCCAGCCGCATCATTTAATTAATGCTCTAGCAGCCGTTAGATATATGCTACTGCATGTCATGCACTCTGTCTCCTATGGCACAAAATCGCACCTCATCCGACATTGTCCTAGACGACACTTCCGTGTCGCTGGCTTTCGTCGATCCAGTCCCGAACGACGCTCCGTGTGACTTATGCTGGATGCTACAAGGGCGAGCTTCATGCTGTCCCGTATACACGGCCTTCGCCGTGCTACTGTTCATTTGAATGAGACATGCCGGCCTTGCAACTATCGTACCACTCCTTTCCACCGGGTCGTGCCTGCCAGTCTTAGTGACACTAGGAGGCATTGGTATGGGCAGTATACCAGGTAGTCCACTTTTGAATGTTTCAATGCATACCGAGATGGTCAATTTTCGAGGGAAATTCGAGCTCGTGATTGGCAAAGACTGAGACAATGGTTAGCTTTCCAGACTGTTTCTTCAGGAGAATCGAGGATGGCTATCAATCGTGAGCTAGCGGCGAAGCGAGTCCACGATACAGAAGCAACTTCAATTTCAAATTGGCAATCTCCGGCCATAGGCTTGTTAATGATTAACTTATATCTGATATCTGTAGCACTTGTGTCTGATTAAATACTGGAAAGTCCCCCTGTGTTTGCTGGACCCGTATATTACCAATATCAGCAATCTCTCCGCCCGAAAGAAATGCCTGGACAGTAGAATTGCCCTCATGATATCGTCGCAGATACTCGCAGATCGAAGGACGTTCCACTCTAGCCCTAAGTTCAATGTACCACATTTGACCAGCCTTGCGGTACCAAAAATAGAGTAATATCAGTGCAACGGGGTCTTTGTCCCGGAGCAAACCTTCAAAAGCGCCATGGATACTATAGATAAAGGGCAGGACATGGCCAGTTCGTATCTCGCTATCTTCCATGCCCAGTATCCTGGCTACCGCATGGGCAGCCTCAAAATATGGATTGTCCGCAGCAGTAGACCACTTGTCGAGTCCGCACAAGTTGACCAAGCCACTCGGTATCCCCTCTATACCCGCCTCTGGCAGTGGCACCTGCATATCGACATACGTCTCCGCCATACCACTAAACAGACTATCCGGCCGCATCGGATCAACAATCTCCCAGAGTGCCATCTTCCCCTTGACCATGCGCAACCAGTCCAGGTCCGAGTCCGATGTCCGGAGCGGCCACGCCTGGTCTGGGGTACAAGCATCCGGCGAGAAACTTGAAATCACCAGCGCAGCTGCCGTGCCCCAGATTGCATCTTTGGCTTGCGGTTCCAGTGGCTGGCGCAGCCACTTGTTGAACAGCACGGTGCTTTGCGACCAGTGGTGGCACTCCTCTAGCGTGCGCCGGCTGTCTGTGGAGCCGTTCATGTGGCGGTCGTAGGTGAGTGCCACGGCTAGCGAGGCGTGCGTTAGGCAGGGATACTGGAGCATGAGTTAGCCGGTGTCGGTGTCGGTTGTCAGTGTCAATGGGCCCCTAGATATATGCTTGGGCTGCTTACGGTAAAGGCTAAATCGAGGAGCTTGCGGTTAACCTGTGCCAGCTTGGGATCATCCGGCGCGACAAGGCTCCGCCGATAATACCGGGTGATGAAATCGCGACATCTTGCGTTCAAGTGGTAGGTCGTCGATGCGTCGGATATCCAGACGGCGTTTGTGTCGGGGCGTTGAACTACCAGCCGCTGGCCCGTCGTTTGGAGGTCGGATATATCGGACATGAAGGTACATGATAGTCCGAATGATGTACATTTCTTGCACTGTGGCTTGCTTTCGTCGCACTGATCTTGTCAGCTGGGGAGGAATTGAGGTGGTGAATGAACCCGCCTTGACTTTTCGGATCTTGCAGTTTCGGCAGCCATATCTTGATCTTCTTCGAGCTCTTGTGCCAGTTGAAGACATGCTGCGCTGTGAGGCTTGCTGTGAGGCTGGAGGTTTCGAGTTGGATGCAATCTGATGATGACGGAGAACTCTTGGAGTTCGCTGCGGCTGAACCCCACCACCCTGAATTAGCTCGAGTGATCCACCTGGGCATGTTTCACGCTAACCGCTGCTCGGATGCAGAGGCCTCTGATTGGCTGCTTGGTATCTACCCCGGAGTGGCTGCCATCGTAAACACCAGCAGGAAGAGGTTACAATATCCTTTGGAACTAGAGCTAGCAAATCAAGATGCTCACCCTAACTATGAACTTGACGCGTAGGCAAGCGGCCAAGTATCCGTCAAGGCAGCCACGCAAGCAGGCTATGTCAGACTCGGAATTAAGGTAAAATCCGCAGATTCGTGGACTATAAAGCTTCAACGAGGCCATCCGCTCCCCAAGTGGTTATCAGTACAGCCTTTAACTATCTCTAATCCATCATGTCTTCAACACACTACGCCGCAGTCCTCCCAAGGAAAGGCGGTCCTCTTTCCGTCGAGCAACGCCCAACACCCGAGCCAGGCCCAAATGAAATCCTTATCCAAGTCAAAGCCGTCGCCCTCAACCCCTGCGACTATTCCCAACGCGACTTCGGCCTGCCTCCTGTCCCCATCTATCCCGCCGTTCTCGGCGCTGACACTGCGGGCCTCGTCGCAAAGGCCGGCTCCCATGTGACCGCGGCCCCTCCACCAGGAACACGAGTCCTCGCGTTCGCCTCGTCCTTTTATCAGAATGGCTCACCTGACCATGGGGCCTTTCAGCAGTATGCCCTGGCGCAGGCTGAATGTGTCATTCTGCTTCTGGATGATCTGTCGTTTGAGGAGGGCGCGGTCTTTCCGATGGCTGTTTTGACGGCCCTAACTGCGTGGACGACGATTGGTATCCCGCTTGATACCAAGTATGCTACAGAAGACAAGCAAGCAGTGCTTATCTGGGGTGGAGCGAGTAGTGTTGGCACATTTGCTGTTCAGTCGGCCAAGTCGCTGGGCTTCACTGTGTACGCTACCGCGTCTCCGAAGCATCATGAGTACATGAAGGAACTCGGGGCGCACGCGGTGTTCGATTACAAAGCTAGTGCTGTCGTCGGGCAAATCGTGCACGCTGTAAAAGAAGACGGCGTCAAGCTCCACACCGCACACTGCGTTGTCGCCGGGGGTCTGCAGCCAACGCTCGACGTTCTCAGAGAAACAAAAGGCGAAGAAGCCGCTAGGGTCGCCCACTCGCCAGTGCTCCCCCCCGATCATCCAGCGCTGGAGAATACGCAAATTACGTTCAATTTCCCACCATTGGAACAAGCGAGCAGGGACAAGCATATGTACCAGTGCTTCCATGGGTGGTTGGCGAATGGTCTGAAGTCCGGTTCGGTCGTTCCTAGTCCGCCTGTTCAGGTTGAGGGTGGCGGTTTAGAAGGGCTCAATGCTGCACTGGATATGTTAAAGGCTGGTGTGAGCGGGACCAAGATTGTTCTGTCAATCTAATAGCTTTTCAGTACTGGCACTGTGGGATGTGTGCATACTGAGGCGTCACAGGGTACCTGGCAAGTGCAACTTGGCTGCTGCCTGTTAAGGCTGAAATTCCGGCAGAGGGCTCCCTGGTCTACGCCGTCAACCATACGCTTCTCACTAGACATATATCTGCCGCATGGCAAGTGCTCAGAGCTCGGTTCTTGTGCCCTGCGGCCACGTCCACAATTAAGGTTCTACGTTTTTCAAATCTATACCACCAGGTTGGGACATCTTGAGGGTATATTATTCTCCTAGCAAACTATGGGATGGGACTCAGACTATAGACGTTGTATGTACTGAAATGGGCATTGCAGGCAAAAGACGTGAATAATATCTCAGAGGCTGCATCATGTTCTACCGTCTACCACCTGCAGTACTTTGAGACTCTAGAGTCTGACCTGCCATTCGCTCGGCTATTAGCGCAGGCACAACTCCCCGAGACGCTGAAGCAAAGCCCACAGTACGTCCCAAGTCATTGGATGGTACATACCAAGCCGTGCTAGTAACAATATGAGCCCACTGACGATGCCTTCAGTGTGGACAACCTGAATGCCAGGCAGACCTCCTCTCAGACGACGAAATTAAAAGCAATCTATTTTATCTTCACTATAGAGCTCAAAAGAATATTTCATAAATGGTAGCTTCCAGATACAACATTTTTGCATTCCACCTTCATAGATGCACCTTAATATGATATCGCAGCGCAACGAGTCGGTGTCCATTACCACCGCCAAGGCTGAGGCGCCGGTCGGCCAACTTGAATTCTTCCATAGTCTGGGTATAATGTTAGCAACAACATCTCGAGGATTTGAGGCTGTCGGGTACTCACAATGTATGTAATAATACGAGACCGACGTCACACCCTCTTCGAGCGAAGCACTGGCCGTTCGATGTAGTTGTCGAGGGAATCTTCTGAGCGGGCCTGGCTCAGAAACGGGAACCAGTTCCAGATCGCCAAGACCCACCAACCCACGGTCGGCGGTTGATTGCCCTGACGCTAAAGTGCATTAACCTCGTGTCGAGGAAAAAGTATTTGGTAAAATACGGGCACATACATCCCGTTAATTTGGAGAAGCGCCGATGCCGCCACCAGTTAAAAATGGCGCAGGTGCCGATGATCGAGGTTGGGATGGTGATGGCGAGAGTGAGGAGGGCAAGTATACTTTCGATCGACCAGCCCATTGTGTAGAGACCAATGAGCGCAAGAGGACATGGAAGGCTGTGGAAGATGGGTATAAGGCTAAGAACAATGGCGGGGAATATTGGTTCAAGGGGCGAAAGTTTGCCCGGTACTAGGCGAAAGGAGGAAGTGAGCAGGTGACGGTGGTGGAGCACAACAAGAAGAAGCTGTCTTGCGGAGTCGTGAAAGGCCGACGGACTGGATCTAGACCAGTTTGGGTGGGAGCTTGCATAATCCCAAGGCCGACAGAGCAGAAACGGAAGCCTGCACGGTCCTCTCGTGTCATCATTTCTCGGACTCGGGCAGTCATCGCCGTCGCCCATAGGATGTCCTCTCTCTCAGAAAAACAGAATCATAAAGCCAGTGATTGGAGAGACTCCATGTCAGTTGGCTGTGCCGCTGGCAAGTTGTCAGCCTGAGGCCTTGTATGTTTTCGCCTTTCCTTCCATATATCGGCTTGGGTCAGAGAATGAATGTCTCGACACCAGAATCTTCGCTCGCTAATTGTGGTCGAATTTTGCCCAAGTCGGTTTTTTTGTTTATCTCCGTACCAGCCACATCAAGTTAGTATACCTCTTGAAACGTTCATTCTGAACCGAACAATTCGCCTCTCTCGACCTCCTTGTCCTTCAACTCAAATAACTATCCTCGGAAACGGCCCCAGGAATGACTTGGTCGATTGAGGGCATACTTTCCTTTATCACCCTGATTGCCACAATACCCACATGGCTCATCGCGATGTACACCCTGTTTCGCCGCTGGCGCCAGTCGGAGCTGTACAACGCCACACCCACTAATAGTAAGCTTTGGCTATCCTGTTTGATTTTCGCGCTTATCCCCATTGGGGCCTTGGGAGTTCGAAGTTATTCGTGCTCGAAATACGGATAGAAGAAGAATACTTAAGTTTCATCTCCATTCTTCAAGGACTGCCATCGCCAGGCAGACGATCCACTCTCACCTCATGGGAATCATTGCGGTGCCTGACCGAGACCTGTCTCAATCGTCCCGTTCCCCGCATCCGCGCTTCCAACATCACGGCCCGGGGTCGCTTGCAGTGGGCTCTCCAGGGTTTTATTATGCTCGCCGTATGTGGATCTTGATTGCATCGGACAGACTTCGGGCTGATGAGAAAGATCAGATGTTGAGAGTCTTGAACTCTACGGACCGTTTCCTCAGCCTTGGTGGCAATGATGTGGACTTGGTCGCAAGCGTGTTTCTGGAGCACAGGGGCGTTCGTGGATAGGCTTTTGAATGTACATTTTTTTTTTTTTGGTCTAGACAGGGTAGATGGAGTGCATGGTGAAATAAATTTGTACTTGTACAATCAAAAGTGTTCGCGGAAACATAGTCGAGCCGCTCGAGGCTGGCTTGAATGACAGCCTGCAGTATTCAAGAAATTATGTCAACAGCAAGGGAGTTGCTTGGTTCACACCCCTTTTGACTAAATGGACATGTTTCGAAGCCTAATTAAGCTGTAGAGACCTATTATTTCGCAGGTCGCTTACGCCAAACGTATATGAAGGTTGAGGTGTTTAGGGCGTTAAACAGGTCTAGAACGCATAGGGAGTTAGGGTAGGTTCGGAATCCTGATTAGGGGTCTTCTTTTCTTTCTGTTTATAGGGTGTCTAGGAGTGGTGGAGAGTAGAGGTGGTTAAAGCTAGTGTAGAGTAGATGGATACTTCTCCAGGGCACAGGCTGGCTTAATTAGGTTAGAGAGGTGCCTGCATAGCCAAGGAGGGTGTGGGTCCAACAACTCCCCGACAAGACACTTGTGCGAAGTATCTCAGCAGCGCAGCCATGGGAGAGTCTCTGTCGACAGGTGCTGGGAATAAATGACATGTCTGTAGTACCTGGCTGCCGAGTCAAGTGACCTGTCCGCGCAGAGTACAATTCTAAGGTTGCACTGCCAGCACTGCCCTAATGCCAAGCCTTTTTGTACATCGCAAGGGACTATTCCGTTAGGGTATAGCGAACCTCAGGCAGAACACAGCTGGATCCAATCAGATAAAGTGCTGCAAGTAAGCGGTGATATCCGACAGGAAGCGACCATTAAAATATCCTACTCTGATTCGTTCCTCGCAGGATTCATCCGCCACGTCCTCGAGACTACCCAAGAAGTTGTGGCTAGTGAGCCCATCGTCTTTCTTTCGGCGGAGGACTGGCTCCGCACATTGATGCCGCGCAGAAGTGGGGGCCTGGGTATTAGTCTCCATGCCCATTCTTGATAGATGGGACAATCACTCAAGCCCTATGCAACCAACCAAGAGCCGCACCCAGTCAACCTTCTACCGCGCCCTGAATGCGCTTGTCTAAGCTCACACACGTATATAGGCTCTTGGAACAAAGAAAGGCACTCCACAACTTAACGTGACGCCTCATGCTTCCTTAATTAGAGCCCAATTGTCAAACAACCATTTTGCGCCATGTGGTTACCAGGCCCGTTGACCCCCTAGCATGTTCCTCGATAGAATCTCGAAATAGGGCGCTGTATAGCGGCGCCCAGGCGGCCCCAGCCCGTTTGGAGCCGATGGTTCGGGCATTGAAGTAACTTCTATCTATGAGATGCTCCTAGGTTGCTTAAGTACTGCTCGGTAATACGCCTAGGACTGTAGATTACCACCAGCAAGGACCAAATCCTACCAGGTGACACGCGTTTGCTTCTTCGCATGCAGGACCACAAGAAAAGAGCTTACTACGCTCAAGACCAAATGACATACCAACAAAAAATAAGCTCAATCCTTTATTACTTCCGCTATTGGTCGATGGGCATAATGCCGTGGTATTGTGCATCTTGTTGCGGACGCGCGTGGGTAGTGTCGCTACAGCTTCTAATGCCATTGTCTTTTGCCGTATTCTTCGGCATGGTTGTCCTTAAGACTCTACATTTATTGTCCGGAAAAATACATTATCAGTGAGAGAAGGTCGCATGCGGGACGGTCGGTCATGTGGGAAGCGTTAGCGCATTTTGTAAGTCTCGGACTCATTGATTGGTTTGACATCTTTGATTGCGAGACTTGCTATATACAGAGGTCGTCCAGCCTCCTACCGAGAGACATACGCTCCAACCTGCACAACCTTGTAGCTGTATCTTACCCATGGGCCCAATTGGAAAACATTCTTTTTAGGGCCGGGTAGGTAGTGTCGTAATTCTTGAATGGAATTCGGACTCGTTTGTGTCAGCGCAGAAATATATAACTGTTACCATCATAGGAGCGCATACTAGCCAAGTGCATAATAAACTTTTCCTTTTCTATAAGTGTGCATATTATGCCAAAATCCAAGGAGGATAGGTTCTTACAAAAGTAATATAATTACAAAGTTGCTAAAAGCAAACTTTACTACAAATATTGTCTCGTAGTCGAATTACGGGAAAAGCCCATTGTCGTGTGACACCCAACGAGGACAGGCCAAATACGATACTTACCCTAGAACCCATGACCGAAGCCTTTCTGGCTGACCAGATCGATGCCGGCATCAAAAACGGTGCGGCTTTGGATGAGAGCTCAGAGTAGATTATTCCAGGTCAACATCTTACGTATGCATCCCCCGCAAACTTTCAAAGGCAAGTCTGTCGTCGCCTCGTGTAAATGCTTCCCTTCCTAGGTCGCGCGCGTTTCGCGACTCTACTAAATTGAAGTCCTCTGGGGTATGCTTTCACAAGTCAAAACATGTTTACTTCATCCAGTTACACCCTTTCTCCTCCCGGTAAGCTGCCGTGGCGGACATACAAGGGATGGGATACTAGGTACGCACAGACGCGGCTGGGGTGTGGCTGCGGCTAAGTATGATTAAGTGTGGCTTGACCCCTCCGCTGGCGGCAGCGGCGCAGCCTGTATCTGACTCAGCCTTATGGCTGGTTATTTTGGTGGGTTCCTTCGACTTTGGCGAGCTATTGCTGCCCTTCATGGGGATACCTGGACTGATTGTAGTTAACGTGCTATGTGCTCTATGGAGGGGGTACGGACGAAGTCCGCAAGTATTCCTTAATGTTTCTCGGTAGTGTGCATGGGAGGATTCTTCTAATCATGGCAGGCTAAGGGGGGAAGTTCATGGCGCAGGCTACGAGCCCGACAAGAGGAAGAAGGGGACAGTACGAGGCAACGTGTTCCAAGTCCAGTCTCAGCATTCCGACATTGACCCCGTACTCTCAACGAAGGTAGTCGTGCGTTTTAGATGACACTCTCTACGATGCATCCGACTCCCGAGAGGCTCGAGGACGCCAGTTGGCGAGACAATTGGACCGTGCAATGAGGCCTTACGGCCGGACAATGCAAAGGGGACCCACTGCTAATGTCCCCAAGAGGATTCCAACAACCCCGTCTCCTTCATCCCGATATCGAGTCAAGTCACGGCATATCCTCGCATGTTGGGGAAAAAGTCCCGGTCCATCTGCAAGGCAAATATAAATAACCACTGGCAGCCCTCGTGTCGTGAATTCGGCGAAAGACCAGTAGAACTACAACTTGGCGCTATAACCACATGCCAATCATGTCGCACGTGATTCACAACCTACAGCCTACTCCAACTGGGTCAGCACAAAGAACGCCATATCCCCGAATACACAAACGAAAGTTCATCGAGATCCGGCCAAAGGGTATGTACCGTTCAGCACACGTGCTACAGTCATACGAGCTCGGGCTTCAAACGAATCGATGGGCTAACAGGAGATGTTGGAACCAGGTGCGATAGTCAGCGTGGCAAGAGAAGACTCCACAGAATCTTGAAGGAGACAACATGCCGATGCCCAGAAGTGTCAACGAGATCGCATGAAAGCTGCGCTGGACCAGATAGCGCGGATAATGGAGATGGGAGGAGTCGACGAGAAGGGACTAAGTGGCACAAAGGTATGTTGTTGTCTGTTGTATATTGGGCGGGGGGGGGGGGGGGGGGGGGGATTTTAGCCAATCCCCTGTCTCGATTCACGCTCATGCTCACTCGGAGACTTTCTTGGCCAGGCAATGCTACTCGAGACGGCGGTGGAGTACATCCGGTACCTACAGGAGCAGGTCGAGGAGCTGAGGGAGTCTAGCAGTAGTAGTAGTTCTGGGCACGCGACACCAAGGGTGGAATCGGGGTGATGCGATGGCAGGATTAAGTATATTCAAGCCAATGGAGAGACTACATTCTCGCACGATTGAACGTTTATCTCTGGGCAGTTGGTTGAGGGTGCGTGTGGAGCATGTTTTAGATTATGCGACTGGCACGTTTGCCGCTAGGGCTCAAGGTAGATTGCAATGGACACGAGCATCTCGTGGACTTGGGCCATTTTGAGAACCTGTTTGTCAGTAAACGTGGGAAACGACTCGAACGAGCGCATCGGCGCGGCCGTGGTTGGTGGACGCACTGGACGGGGGAAGCCAAGTGACCGAGTCGTGCGGTGCACCGCGAGTCAGGATGTCATTGGGCGGCGGTGCTGGTGCGATGCGCACGAAATCATGAAATGTTCTAGAAGGGCTGGACACGTTCTCGATTGCAGGCCCCGGATTAGCCAGCGGGAGGGTCCCTGTCGCGGTGCCAAGCGAGTGGACAGCGCGCTTGGCAGCCCGGCCTGCTTGGCTTCTTGGCTCCCATCGCCAGGCCCACCGTGCGCTGTCTCGGGTTGACCCTGGACCTGGACGGGTGTTGCATCTCTTCACTATAAAGACCTGCTCACGATCGCCCGTGGACTTGCCTTATCTCCCAGCAACCTTTGGATCATTCCACAAGCGTAGGCCAAACTTCTCCTTTGGAAACTGCAGCTGTCTGACAACCGTCAAGATGGTTCTTCATCAATATGATTACATCTTTGCCATTGGAACGATCTTTGCGTTCCTCGATGCCTGGAACATTGGTGCCAATGACTGCGCCAACTCGTGGTCGACTTCTGTGTCGTCGCGTTCGTTGAAGCATTGGCAGGCCATGGTCCTTGGTTCCATCATGGAGTTTGCCGGAGCGTGAGTTCAGCATTTCACCACTCTTGCTGCCCTAGCATTTACTAATATCGTTCAGTGTCGGTGTAGGAAACAGTGTTGCGGATACCATCCGTACCAAGATTGTTGAGATCGATGCCTTCACTGACAACGCCCCCCTTCTCATGCTTGGAATGTGCTGCGCCGTCGTTGCCTCGTCCATCTACCTCACCATCTGCACGAAAATCGGCCTTCCTGTCTCCACAACTCATTCAATTCTCGGAGGTATCCTTGGAATGGGTATTGCTCTGATTGGAGCTGACGATGTGATCTGGTGGGGAGGTGATATCAACTCTGGTGTCGTCCAGGTGTTCCTTGCCTGGGTTATCGCGCCTCTGCTCTCTGGTGTGGCTGGTGCTCTCATCTTCCTGATTACCAAGTATGGTATCCTGCTGCGCCCGAACGCAGCTCTCAAGGCGCTGTACACCGTGCCCTTCTACTTCCTCTTGACCTCCTCCCTCCTGACTAGTTGGTGCTCCCCAATTGCTGACCCTTTACGCTCATCTTACTAACAAACTACAGTGCTTATCGTCTGGAAGGGTGGCAGCAGCAGAATTGATCTGGAAGGTGCAGAGATCGCTGGTACTGTTGTGGGTACTGGAGCTGGTGTCGCCCTCATCTCTGCCATCTTCCTCTGCCCGTGGCTGTACCGCCGCGTCATCAAGAGCGACTGGCAGCTCAAGCCCTGGGATCTCATCTACGGCCCCCTCCTCCTCCGCCGTGGTGAAGTGCCCCCTCGTCCTGCCCACGTCAAGACCGTCCGCGACTACTACCGCGGCCACAAGACCATGGAGGAGCTACAGGCCGAGCGCAACGGTGACGAGGAGACCGCCCGCGCCGAATCCTCTTCTTCCACCACCGGCGAGCACCCCACCCCCGACCTCAAGGGCCAACCTGATGTCACCACCAACTCGCGTGACGAGACCGACTCCACCATCACCGACCCCGATGTCATCAACGTCTGCGGCCCCCGCCCCGAAGGAACCTGGTACAGCGTCCCCGTGCTGTTCTGGTACGCCAAGAAGGCCTTCCTCAACGGTATCGAGCAGGATATTGTCAGTGCCCAGGGTAACGCCGGCAAGCTCTCCGGTGACCTCGAAAAGACCCACGCCCACGCCGACCACTACGACAACGAGGCCGAATACATGTTCTCCTTCCTCCAGATCCTCACTGCCTGCACTGCCTCGTTCACCCACGGTGCCAACGATGTCGCCAAGTACGCATGCCCCACCTGGACCAGTTTTGCTCGCGTTGCTAACAATTTCCCAGTGCTGTCGGGCCCTACGCTACCATCTACGCCATCTGGCGCAGTGGCGCCCTCGAGGGCGCTAAGACCGAAGTCCCCATCTGGATTCTGTAAGCCTCCCCTCCCCGATGTGCCCACAAGACTTCACACATCAGACTAACACGCTCCTTAGTGTCTTCGGTGGTGCCGGTATCTCCATTGGTATCTGGACCTACGGTTACCACATCATGCGCAACCTCGGAAACAAGCTTACTCTGCACTCCCCCTCGCGTGGTTTCACCATGGAGCTTGGTGCCGCCATTGCTGTGATTATCGCCACCAGGCTTAGTATGTTCCCATCCCCTACAGCCCCCGAAACCCCTCTATTCCACCAAAGCTCCTTCTTTATTCTCAGCGACTAACCTTCCAACCCAACAGAGCTCCCCGTCTCCACCACCCAGTGCATCACCGGCGCCACCGTCGGTGTCGGTCTCTGCAACGGAACCTGGAGGACGATCAACTGGCGCATGGTTGCCTGGATCTACATGGGCTGGATCATCACCCTCCCCTGCGCCGGTATCATCGCTGGCTGCTTGACTGGTATCATTGTCAACGCGCCTCGCTGGGGTATGGCCAACTAGACGCATACACTCGGTGGGCGTTGGTGAGTTAGAGTAGGCTTTGCTCTGCTGCCTCGCTTTACTGGCCGTGTCTTGCCATAACACCCCCTTTATCCTTCCTCTCCGTTCTTTCTAAACTAGTCCAGGCGCGCTGCTTCGTCCCCGTTTTCGGTTGGCCTGCATGTACATTGTTTGGAGTGCGCCTGGATATGGTCTGACAAATACCCTATTTTCCTACCTCTCCTAAGTTATAATATGTCGATATCCCACTATCTCTAGAATCATAGAAATGCAGGCGATGAGTATGCATACGCTGCCTTGGATCAAACTCTACCTCAACAGTTCCCAAGTAAAGTGAACATAACCAAACTTGATTGTCTTTTTTTATATTTCCTTTATGTCTTCTGTATGGCTTGGGATATGATAGCGCTTGCAGTTTGCTAAGCTGACGTTCAGACCAGCCAATTCGCGCAACCATTTCCATGCAAGTCCATAGATGCATATACCGCTCATTCCAACCCACCAAGAGGATCCTCAATCCCTCACCCCCCAAACCTCCACGACAGCCTCCGTAGGCGGAAAATGACAATCTCCCCCGGGGCCGGCATTCTCCTCCGAACACAATCCGACAACATCCGCCAACATACATGAATTTCAACACAAATCTGAACGCGCGCCCCGCAAAATTGCCTTCCACTCAAGGTCAAGGTCTTGTGTTGAAAATAAAAAGCTGTCTTTCAATCACGATATCTTCTCAGAATATCACCCAACCGACCTCCTGTCAGTTTACACATCCAACCACTCCTTCCTGTCCGTGCCCAATGGCTTCGGCATAACGTCCCACCCGACTTGCAGACCTTGGATATTCGCCGAATGCCGAACAGCAACCATCTCCCCAAACCCCGTATCCCTCGTCTCCAAGTACTCTGCCGGCACATCCTTTGTAGAACAATAATCCCTGCTCTCAAACCCACTCCTCCCCCCAAACTGCCCCAACGACCGCAAATACTTCATCACCCCCGCGAGGGAAACATCCACCTCCCAACTCCCGCCCTCCGTCGCCTGCCTATAGAGCGCAGCCATAATCCCCGCGGCGAGGAAATATCCACCCGCGTGGTCGAGGGCCTGGCAGGGCGTTGGGCGGGCTACCTCGCCGGCACCAAAGTGCTGCGCTTCGCTAACGTTCATGCCGCTGCAGGTTTGGATGAGCGAGTCGAAGCCCCGGTTTGAGGACCAGGGGCCCGTGGGACCGTAAGCAGACATGTTTGCGCAGATGATGTTGCGGTGCGCGTAGCGCTTTGCCAATTCATCTGGTGAGAGGCCGTGCGAGGCGAGGCTGCCGGGTCGAAACCCCTGTGTGAAGACGTGGGCGTCGTCGAGGAGGCTGGTCAAATCTTCGCGTCCTGAGGGGTCATCAAGATCGATGTGAATGGTTCGTTTGCCCCGGCCAAAGTCGCGGTCCATTGTTGGGAGGTCGGGGAGGTTGGGGCTTGTCACCCAGAGGACGTCGGCGCCGTGGGCTGCGAGGGTCTTACCCGAGAGCGGGGCTGCTATGACGCGGGAGAGTTCGAGGACGCGCAGGCCGCGGAGGGCTTTGTCTGCGTTGAGGGATTGCATTGTGGCTGGGAGGCCCTTTGGCCCATCGCACAATTTGCGGAGGAGGATGGGGAAGTCGGAGATTGCCTTTGCGTGCGGGAGGACGTCCCACTCGCTGTAGCTGCGGAGGGCGGAGATGACAAGTTTGGAGTTGAAGGCAGCGGACTCAAGGTCGACTGCGCGCCACGCGGAGATCTTGGATGAAATCTCGTCGCGAGTGGCGTCTGGTGAGCAGCCGAGCAGCGTCTTTGCGCCGTCTCGGTGGTTAGGAAAGGAGTCGTGAAGCCGAACATAGCCGTCGGCCGCTTTGTGAAGGCCTCCGATGGGGCCCCAGGGTGAGGGTGCAGGTTTGCCGGCCAGTGTATAGAGGCGTTCAGATTTGAACTCGACTGCTGCGTGTTCCAGAGGGACTGTGACGGCCGGGACTGGGATAGAGTTTCTCAGGGCGTGAATCTGCGCAGCGAGGAGGGCCGAAAGCCCGATGGAGGCTTGGGCTAGATGCGCAATCTTGAACGAGGAGGGGAGGCCCTGCCCTTTACCAGGGAGACGCAATTGGCCGAGGGATGCGGCTGGGAGGCCGAGGGTCGTCCAGATGTACCCCACGCTGTCTTTCGCAGAGAATGAGGCCCGAGATATCAGACTGTCGCTGCTTACCTTGGGAACAGTGATGCTCAGCAACGGACCATGCTGTTGGGTTCCCAGCGTGTCGCGCTCGCCAACAGTGCCCTGCTCCCAGGGACGTTTGATCGTGCACTTCCATGCCAGCGCGGGCTCGAAGAACATGTTTGTGATAATGTCCTCGCCCTGGAGGTGATAAAGCTCCATGATCCGTGCGTTGGTCAAGATATTCGCGTTCTTGACTCGTCGGTACGCTTCTTCGGTGTCAAACATGATATCAAACGTCAGTTCAAACGGCCCGGAGTTTTTCGACCGGATGATCTTGGCGATGTCGAGCATCTTGCACTCTTCCTGCGGAATGGCCTTTATCATCAGTGGTTGTAGCGGTTCCGAGGCCAGCTGTGCTCTTTCCTCGTCCGCAAGGCCAGGGCACGCCGTGTCGCGAGGTTCATTCTCGATAGTAGTCACGCTGATTGGGAACAACGACACCTCTTCACCCTTTTGTAGATTCACAAGGTGATACACATTAAACCGAAAAACAGGCCCAGCTGGCGTCTCATGTGGCGAGAGTGGAGAAGCAAAATTCCCTGTCGTGGCAACCTGGTCGGTATATGGCATATGCAGAATGGACGCACGAGCATTATTCGCAATAGTATACGACAATTCCTGCGTCGGCGCAACGACCTCCCCGAGAATCCCAAGTTCATGTCCCGCCACTGGATTCGGCTCAATCGGGCCCATCGTGCCATTGCGACCGTAGAAATGGAAGATGAGTCGGCACTGAGGCGACTGGTCAAGCTCCGGGAAGAGCTTTTGTGTATACGCTCGCACCTCTGCTAGGAATTGGTCGATTTGGCCGATGAGGATTGGATCTCGGATGCCGCCGATGAAGATTGTGCGGTATCCGAGCGTCTCAACGCCTTCCAGCTTGACTTGGTAGACGGAGCTGGGGATGAACTCTGCGCCGCTGACGCGCACAGTCTTTTCTGTCAACTGCTCGTACGATGCGCTGTCCAGCACGAGAACACCACCAGGACCTGGGAGTCGATCCGGCCGGGTCTTCTCATAGAGCGTGTGTGCGGCGACGGAGAGGGGAGTGCATCGTTCTTTGGGAGCCAGTGGGGTGAGGTCGAACGAGTCCCTGCGCATCGTCGCGATCATCGATCGTCCCTTGGGCACCGCACAGATTCCGCCGCATTCCATGATCTTGCCCATGTGCCATGCGACACCGGGCTCTACGCCGTGGTACATTGAGAAGGCAGCGAAGGGGGCCGGGTCGTATGAGCGGCCGCCGAGGATGATGTCCGGACTCGACTGGAGAGCCTTGAGGTATCTGGAATTTACAGTTAGAGGTCTTGTTCCATAATCGATCACAGGGTAGAGGTCCGTACGGCTCTGCGCCCATCTGGGCAACAATATCAATCGCCCTCTCTGCACTCTCGGCCGTCAACTCCTCCACAGGCCCACACGGACTGACCTCCCCATTCCCAATCCGCTCAGTGAGCAAATCCCTAGTAAAGCCCGCATTGATCGTCGCAACCTTGAATGAAAAACCCTCCTTATCCGCAATCTCCCTTACAATCCCCAACATCTCCTCCACATGGCTATCGCTCCCATCGCCACCAGCAGAGCCAACAAGGACCTGGATCTTCTTATGATAGCACGCCTGCAGAATCGGCGTGAGATCTCGAATGTAAGATTCCCGACCGCATGTCATTTTGTTCAGGCCGAGTTTGTAGGGACCACCATCTGTGGACCCGCTGTCGACGATGATGGCCTTTGGCGAGAATGTTTCAATCCCGTGCCAAAAGTGCTCGGCTCGGTAGCCGTAGCCGAGCATGGCATTGGGGGTGAGGATGCTGAATTCGGAGGGCATTGTTATTGTTGCTGGGGTTGCATGGCGTGCAGAGCAGTCTTGTTGAAGTTGGAGAAATGAGAACGCACTGACTTGATAAATAAAATGGTGCGGGGAACCCCGACGGGATGATGCCGGGGGGCCCTTCGGGGTGTTGCCGAGGGGCTGTCGTGTGCCCGCTTTAAGACTCGGCGACCGAATAGTCTTGGAGACGGCATCCCAGTCATCAATGGCCATAATGTCATTATCAAGTCTTTCGGTTTTTCACTGGTTTCTCAAGTTCCTCAGCACCGATACGACCCCCCAGTCGAATCCGCCCACTATAAGCAAAGTCTCCAGGCCTGCTTTCAGCGAGTTGCCTGTGCGCAAAGGGGACCCCAAGGGTTCCGCCTGGCAGTTATGGGGTATAAATGATGAGCTTGGGTCGTTGAATCTAATCACAGAAGAGGTCAGCCAGGCCGCCGCGGGGGAGGTGACTCGAGGAAAGTCGATCAATTTGAAGTACGTTTTCAGACTCTGCGACACATCAACTGAGAGCTAATACTTCATCATGTAGTCTACCACTAGACGTCCCTCTCAAACCGATGAATCCCCGGCGGAAGCCCTGTGTGCATACCTTGGTCCCGAAAGGCCATGCAAACGACGACGAGGTAGGAAGCCAGCTGGCTCGAATTGTGGACGACGAAGCGCTAAATGAATGTAGCTCGACTTCAACACGCAAAGTTCCAGCCACTGGGACGGACTCCGACATTTTCCCTACAAGGAAACGGGCCAGTTCTACAATGGAGTGACACAGGATGAGATCATGACGACGAAAAAGATTGGGATTCAGAGTAAGCCGACCAGCCAGAGCCCCGATCCCAATGCCAGGCGCATCGACTAACGAGTGGTGTAGATCTGGCGACAAATCCAATAGTTAGCCGGGGAGTCTTACTCGACTGGTATTCTTACGCTCAAAAGAACGACCTCGCGCACTCACCTTTCACCAACCAAGCGATCCCACTCGAACAGTTACTCCAGGTCGCCCGCGAGCAACGCGTGACCTTCCGGCGTGGAGACATCCTCATCATCCGCACAGGGTGGACAGCCGCATATTCCAAACTAACAACAGAGGAAAAAGAGCGGCTTGGCGGTCGAGATGATCGCGCATCCATCGGAGTCGAAGCTAGTGAAGAAGCCTTCAGATGGCATTGGGAGCAGCAATTCGCAGCCGTGGCGAGTGACACGGTCGCGTATGAGGCGTGGCCGTCGCCCAAACCATGGGGGGTGTGTATGCATGAGGTTCTGCTTAGTGGGTGGGGGATGCCTATTGGAGAGTGCTGGGACTTGGAGCAGCTGAGCGAGATCTGTAGGCAGCTGAATCGGTGGACATTCTTGTTGACGAGTCAGCCGTTGAATTTGCCGGGGGGTGTTGCGAGTCCGCCAAATGCGACAGCGGTCTTTTAGAGCCTGGTCATGGATAGCTTTAGAGTGGATATTGTCTATGAGAACAGCCTAATATGGTAACGTGAAGTGTTAGGAATAAGATTGACTTTTACTGCCTCCCTAGCAACGCATGAAATGGTGAGGATGGTTATTGCCAGTAGTGCTCGAGAGGCTGTTCCCTCGCAGCTTCCAGATCAGGACCTCCGCATATTACCCCGTAAGCGAGGAAGGCGCGGCCATAGTGGACAACCCAGCTTCGTGCACGCGGAGGAACGGGGCAAAGGAGCATCGTGCCTGCGAGTGAGAGGTTTCGTGAAGACACTGCCAAGGGGTAATAGCACAACCCCCAGAAACCCCACTGTAAGCACAGTAACCCCGCAACGGAGAGAAGCAAACGACAGAGATGGTTCGATGGTGCTCTGGGGCGGAGTGCAGGCGTCTCGGGATGATGCCGATGGCTTGTGTCGATCCGCGGGAAGATGGCGAGCCTTGGCAGAGACAAAGCTCTGAACATCGCCCCGGAATCTTTTACCCTGACAACCTGGGGGCTTGAGAGAACACCAGAGAGGCGGGGAAGCATGCAACGGCTGGAGATATAAAGGACTGCCCAGACTATCTCCTGCTTGTCTTCCTCGACAATCGCTGCTCTCCCATCTCTCACTCTATTTTGCCACCTCAACCTTGTCATAATTTCCAGAATGGCCACTCAGAATCTCGACGCTGAGAACGGTGACCTTGTCAAGGAGATTAGTGATGCCAAACACAGCGAAACTGTCTCGGCTGGTGACCTCCTTGCCCAGTACTCGGACGCAGAAAAGGCCAAGGCGTTCCGCAAGCTGGACTGGAATCTGATCCCACTGTTCGGTCCCTGACTGTCATGTTTCCATAAGAGACCTTTCTAACAGTTCCAGTCTTGGAGTTTTATACATGCTCTCATACATTGACCGAGGCAATGTCGGCAACGCTTACACGGCTGGCATGGGCGAGGACTGGGGAATCACCTCCAACCAGTACTCCTGGATCATTACGGCGTACTACATTGCCTACATCGCCTTTCACTGGTTCATCCTGCTGTGGAAGCTGGTGTCCCTCCCGGTCCGTCTTGATTCTTCTCCTCACAGGCATCCGTTCGCACTCTCTAACCAGGATTGTAGATGTGGGTCGCCATCATGGCTTTCGGATGGGGTGCTGCCAGTATTCTGCAAGCAGCAACGACCAACTTTGCTGGGTTGATAGCCCTGCGTTGCCTGATCGGAGCATTCGAAGCCGGATTCGCTCCTGGCGTGGCCTTTTTCCTGTCCTTTTTCTACCAGCGCTCCGAGATGGGTCTTAGATACGGCCTGTTCATCTCGTTTTCGCCAATCGCCAACTGCTTCGCATCGGCGTTGGCGTATGGGATCGTGCATGCGAAAACGTCTCTTGCCGAGTGGAAGTTGCTGCTGATTATTGGTGAGCATGCCTGTTGCTATACGTCGCCTTTCAACTGATTGTTCTTTCTTGCAGAGGGCATCCCCACTATTCTCATGGCACCGGTCGCCTACTGGTTTCTCCCCAAGGGACCCGGCGAATGCCGATTTCTCACCAAGCGAGAGAACGAGATTGTTCGTCTCCGAGCTTTGAAGGCACGCGGGCGCGAGGAAAAGGGCAAGCTGGACTTGAGCCAGGTCTTTGCCGCCTTTTACGACTACAAAAACTACTTCCAGGCTGTTATTGTTTTCTGTCTCAACGTCAGTCTCAATTGCACCCCCATGACTTACAAGTCCATACTAACAGATATATCTCATCAGGCCGCCTTTGCCGCCCTCCCGGCCTTCCTCCCAACCATCATCCAAGACATTGGCTACAGCTCCGTGCAAGCCCAAGGCCTCTCTGCACCCCCCTACCTCGCCGCCTACATTGTGTGCCTAACAGCCTCCTTCCTCTCTGACAAGGTTGGCAACCGCTCTTACTTCCTTAGCGCACTAGCCAGCGTCGGCGCAATCGGATACCTCGTGCAAGCGCTGGTGAGAGCCACCGGCGTCCGCTACTTTGCAACATACCTGATCTGCGCCGGCGTCTTCCCGGCTGTCGCGCTGACCTTCACCTGGGTAACGGACAACCAGGGCTCGGCATCGAAGCGCGGCGCGGGCCTGGTCATTTTCGGAATGGTTGGGCAGACCGGGTCCATTGCGGGGTCGAGGTTCTTCCCCAAGGAGGAGGGGCCGTATTATACGAAGGGGATGGCGATTAGTGCGGGGTTGCTGTTCTTTGCGGCCATCCTGGCGCAGACGCTTAGGTTTTTGATGTTGAAGGAGAATAAGCGACGCGATGGAGAGTTTGGGCTTGTCGATCCGGCTGAGATGTCTGATGAGGTTGTTAACTCTGGGGATGATCATCCGGGATTCAGGTTTATCCTGTGAGGTCGTGTAGGATCGAAGACTGCGGACACGACGGGAGTCGGGGAGACTTGATAAGGGGGTCTGGGATACTCGTGGATTTACGGATTTTCCATACAAGAATCATACTTGGATTAACAGGACGAGGAAATGTCCTAGCAGAAGATAGTTATGATTACTTGATTCAACTCGCGACATCTATTCCCCTACTTTCACCACGTTGGCGACCTCTAGCCTTGTTATGTAAGATTTGATCCGAAGGTCGACAATATATCTTTGGACAGTAGGCCGTCAAACCCAAGGATGCCCATTCCTATGCCCATCCGACCAAGTGCACCGACTCGGAGCCGACAAGATTGCCATGGGTCTTTTTTTCTGGCAGGCGTGATGCATATCTGGGTGCCCCGACTCCCCCAAGAAAAACACGGACCAAAGAGGAAGGCGGCGGGGTGCGCCGCCCCGCAATCCCACTACTCCAACCCCAACTCCAAATCTCCTTTCCACCCACCTCTTGACTCACCCAACCTGTCAACTCCCTAACCATGAACTCCTCGCGTAGCAAAGTCCGCAAATACGACTTCGCCTGCCTGGAATGCCGCCGCCGAAAAGTAAAATGCGACGGGCGCCGACCGACATGCGTCAACTGCTCGCGCACGAAAGCGACCTGCCACTACCGGGACCAGTCAGTCTTTGTCGTTCGTTTGGCGGACGAATTGCAAGTCTACAAAGCGCGTGTGGAAGAGTTGGAAACCCAGATTGAGGAGCTTGCGATTATGGACTCGCCTGCGAGAGATCACCGACTTCCGGAGATGGTCGCCAGTCTGCGACAGCGACGGTCGCAATCGGATGAGCTGCCTTGTGCGGAATTCGCTTCTCCAGGTGTTGAGAATGAGGGACCGACTTTATCTGATGAGATTTCGTTTGACGGTGGGGCGCAGTTTAGTGTTGACGTTGATGGGAGAGTTCGTTTTTCCTCGTTATGCCCCAGTCAATCTGCTGATAGCCTCCCAGCAGCAATATTTCGGCGCGACGTCCCGGTTCCATGCATTGTCAGATAGCCGTGCGCTCGTCGCTGATGCTCCAGTGTCTGATGGTCCTCAGCTCCAGGAGATGCAATCTTACCATAAGAAGTGGCTGGTTTCGAACGCTCGCTTCCAGGATTCATGGGAGCGGATGGCGTATTCTAATATTCAGGCCTATACGGATGCTGATTCCAGTACTTGCTCTAGCCTTCTCAAGATCTACTGGGCGTGGCAGGCGCCTCTTCATAATTATGTTTACCGACGATGTAAGAACCGTTCAAGCGACGTTGCCGTGCGAGGATGCTAAGCATGCGCAGTGTTTTTCCGCGACATGGCACTTGGAGGCCCCTATTTCTCCAAGTTCTTGTTCAACACAATTCTAGCTCACGCGTGCCGCCATATGCCCGAAAACGATCCTAGGTTCGCCCGGTTTGAGAGAGGCGAAACGTTCCTGCAACAGGCAATGCTGCTCCTCATTGACGAGATGAAGCAGAATAAGCCTAGAATCCCCACTATCCAAGGGCTCCTGATCCTGGGTGGCAGACAGTGCGCGGTAGGGAAAAGTAGCGAAGGCTGGCTTTATACCGGAATGGTGAGGGTGCTTTGAGATAGTACGCCTTTATGGCCGCTAATACGTGCAGGCAATTCGAATGGTCACGGACCTTGGGTTACATTTGAGGAGAGACAAATCTAGCATGTTGAGCATGGAGCCGGATGACCTTGAGGTGCGGAAAAGGCTATATCTTTCGGTTTATGCATGGGACAAGTGAGTTCTCATTCTAGGGACTCGTAATCCTGGTTGGTGACCGACGCACGCAACAGATCAATCAGCCTTTGCTTGGGACGTCCGCCTTCGCTGCCAGATATGCCGTTCACTTCGTCCACACTGCGTATGTATATCTCATCCACTCTCTCTTCTCAGTCACGATATGCTGACGGCAACAGTGGACCTATCAGACGACCAAGACCTGTGGCAGCCACCGCACCTCCTGGAGACAGATAAGCTCTACCCCGACACAAAGTGCCATAGCACCGTAACCTTCCAGTACTTTTGTAATCTAGCCGCAGTAAAGCTTACATTTGTTGGCCCCGAAGATTTGGCGCTGACGAGTCGCTAGATTATCAACGAGAGCTACAACACAGTCTACAGCGAGGATGTGCGCAACATCAATCCGGCCGCGGTTTTCAACCTCGAGAAGAAGCTACATTCCTTTCACGAGCAGCTACCCAGCTTCGTCCGCGTAGATGACGCAGAGAATGTTCAATCCTGCGTGCCTCCTCATATATTGTGTCTCAAGTATGTTTTCACCCCCATCCATCTCCGGTCGTGGACTAAATAATGACAGTATCCTCTACCACACAATGCTCATCCTAATCTTCCGCCCCTTCTTCACATGGCGCTGGCACTCGAAACTCCGCGACCAGCCGCTCGCCGTCCGCGCCCAACAAGTCTGCACAGACCAGACTATAGCCGTAAATGAACTCTTCCGCACGTACGGCCGCCTATTCGCCTTTCAGTACCAAAGCTACCTAGTATCTTACTGTGTCTACACGGCCGCGACGATTGATGTCCGGCTTATGCAGCACGATGATAAGGCTGTTGCTGAGATGGCTGCGGGCCGTTTAACGATTACACTGCAGATGCTCGAGACAGAAGTCAAGCAGACGCCAGGCATTAAGCGGAGTATAGAGATTATTCGATCGCATCTTGGGCCCCAGTGGGCGTCCGAGACCCCCGTTTCGCATGGCGCGCTACCAGGCGGGAGGGGGTGGAATGGTGAACAGCGACACGATGGGCCCGCCAACGAGAGTATTCAACATCTGCTACACACTCCCGTGTCGACCTCGGAGGAACCAAACGTGTACAACCCGTCAATGGGCGCTGGGGGAACAGAGCCACTGCTAATTGACGGCATGCACGGGCTCGTCAACCCAGAGCTTCAGGTGGACTCCGAGTCGGCATTTCTGGGGTGGAATTTGGATGATTTTGGAGGTGGCTTTGTGCCGGACATGGCTTATTGGAGTTCGTTCCAGTAAAAGTGCCAGGGTCAACCCCACACTCACCACAGCGTCCCCGCTTTGAGGCCTTGCGGGAAGATACCGGAGCATCAGACGATACTATTTCGGCAAGATGCCGCGCACGTTTCTCGGTCAAACTCCGAGGGTTATGTGTTCTCTTCTCGTCGCCACATTTACTCCCGTGGAAAAGGCAGGACTTTCCTATGGCCACCGGTTCTATCAAGAATACCCTTTTGCAAAAAACAACCCACAGTGCCAGATCTGCAAATAACGTCGCTGCCGTGGACGTAGTGCAACAGGTACCCGCATTCAACAGACGAGCAGATAGAATAAAAAGAAGCGTTGGGCCGCTGTGCTTGGCATTTCGTTTCCCCCTCCTCTCCCGCGTCTTGGTTTCTTGGTGTTCCTCGAGGCTCAGCGTGCCACGTGCTCAGACCTCGGGGCGGGGGTTTCTGCGGAGGTACAATTCTCAACTCCCTAAGTTTGATCAATCATGTGGGATTAGCTAGGAGGTAGGGACTGAATAGACCAAATTAAGAGACTTTGCTCTGACGACGTAAATATCCCTTGCATATTCATGGAGCGCAAGCGTCTGCTTTATACTGTATGGCCTGACTCTACGGAGTATCATCCCCGAGGGACCCTTTATCCCTAGCTACTTATTCCAAACCCGAAAAGCGTTTAGACCCTTGATGCAGGCCAAGACTCACTAGCCTCATGACAATCACCATGGAGTCACGGTATGATGCCGACACATTTCCTCGTGAAGGACTATCTATAAGTATCAGCTTCCCCACGGGGAACGCACAACAGACCCGGCCAAGTGCAGCCACCGACGTATACAGGGCGACCGAAATATACCCTCCACCATGAAATCATTATCTTTCCTCCTCTTCCCCGCCATCGGCCTCTGTAGAGGCATCCTCGTCGGTCCCGACGTGGTGAAAGTCACCAAAAAATGGAACGATGTCTTTCCCTACACGAACTTCAACCGCAACGTTACTGTCCCATTTTGGGAAACTGGGCTCCTGCCTGACCCCGCCTACTCGGAGCTCGAGGAGGATCTTGAGATGATTGCGAATGCGTCGTTTGTTGTTTATGATGATGCTTTTTACAAGGTTCGTGGTCACTCCCAGATGCAATTGCGTTCCTACATCTTATATGCCGACATGAGGACAGCTCCTCGGGATAGAGGACCACACAGTCTCCAAAACCGTCGAGGCCATCTTCACATTCCCCCCACCCCCGAGCTACGCTCAGCGCCAAATCCACGACGGCACAGTCTACGTCCCGGAGACAAACACCATCTTCGCTGCGGAGCTCTTCTCGCCGAAACCGGGTTACGGCATGCAAGCGATTCCCTACGTCTGGCAAATCGACATCTCGAACCCCTCTGCACCCGTCACGGAGAAGGTGTACCCAGACCCACCACTTACGATTGCCAACGGAGCCACCTATTTCAACGGGTCCGTCTACTGGGCGCAAGAGGGGAACTCCACGGTTCCCAGCGCGATTGTTCGCATGGACCCCGGAACGCTCCAGACCGAGGTCGTGAAGAACAATTTCTACGGCCACCGCTTCAACTCGCTGAACGATCTCGTCATTACCGCCGACGGCATTGCGTTCTTCACAGACGGATACTACGGCTACGCAAACTTCAACGACACGCTCGTCCCCGAGCTCGCCAATGGCGTGTACAGATGGGACTTGAACTCGGGTAACATCAAAATGGTCGCCGGCGCAGCAGAAGGCGCATTCGTTAACCCCAACGGCGTTGCCCTGAACGCTGCGCATACAAAACTCTTCGTGACGAACCGCGGGGAAACAAGCGCGGATCCACATGGTGGACGGACTATATACGTGCATGATATCCAGGAGCATGGCATTTCGAATCGAGAGATCTTTGCCTATGTCGACGCGGGGTTCCCTGATGGGATCAAGACGGATCGCGAGGGGAGGGTGTATGGGGCTGTTGTTGGGGCTGTTGATGTATTTGACAAGGCGGGGACGCTTTTGGGGCGCATCAAGGTGGATAAGGATGATGTCGCGGTCAATATGGCTTGGGCGGGCAGGTGGTTGTATATCTTTGGGCGGAATAAGATTTATCGGGTTGAGCTGGAGACGGAGGAGGTTTGATGGATCCTTCGGTTGCGCGACGATTGTGCAATGGTGCATGCACATGGTTGAGGCCGCTTAGCGGGTTGATGGCAGCCTCGTGGATATAGCAAGCATTCCAAGTCAAAGGTGGCGAGGCAGGTTTTATCATCCCAATTTCAAACTGAAAAGGTCTGGGCGAAATCTCATCTCTCTCTTCCTCCTATAGAGTTTGGTACGCCGAGCAATCAGATCCCAAAGGATAACCAACAATGTCGGCAAAACGTGATGGTGGTCAAGAAGCTCTATCGACTGGTCTGAATTCAGAACACCCTCGCTAGCGAGACTCAAACTTGACCGGCACCCCGGGCATCGCATACTGGAGCGTAATCCGATCCATCTTGGCAGGAGGCCCAGCGCATAGTTTCTTGAAGAGCCATGCGAGAGCAATGGTGATCTCTGCCGCAGGCAGGCTGGAACACGCCTCAGTTATAGTAATGAACGTGGCATTGCCCCACGGTGAGTGCGTTGTTGATGGTGAAGAAGGGAAAGAAAGGCGTAAGTTTACTTCTATCCAATACAACTGCGAGCCCCCCTTTGAAGATGTCACCAAATAGTTTTCGAGCTTTTTACCCTGCGGACCGAGCCATCGCTCGGGGACGAAGGAGAGCACCTCATCTCCCCAAATGTCGCGGCTGGTGTGCGTAGGGTACGCCGACATGCAGACGACTGTCTGGGACAGGCAAAGTATTAGTTTCGATAGCCAAGAAATAGACCAGACGTAGGTGGAAGGAATACCTACCCCAGGCAGGATGAGCTTCGCGTATACTATTAACGGCGGGACGTTTGTGGGCACCAAACGCGGTAAACAGCCTGGGGCGGCCATTCCATGTCGGAGACCTTCCTTGACGCAGGCGACCTGCAACATCAACAAGAGATGAGGTTAATACGGTAAAAGCTTAATAAGAGGCACAAGATACCCACACTCCTCTAGCTCCGGCAAAGGGATGATCCCCCTCTGGTTGGGAAACGCGTCGCCCAAAGCCCAGACAAGTCTAGACCGGATTGTACCATCACCATGGATGCATATGACGGCGGTAATCAGAGTGGATGCAGTCGTATCCGACCCTGCAATGAGGATATCAACCGGCTCAGTGACTTTCTCTGCTTTTGTGAGGGAGGCAAGCGAGTCAAAGATGACCGGGTGAGTCAGTTTTACGACCCCGCGCTGCCAGGCGCGCACCGACTCTTTGGCAAACTAAATCAAAATGGATAGACATAATGTAGAATGGGCGCTGGCGTGCATTAGCGGGCCAGCCATTGATCGACTCCTTGGTCCATAAAGTCGGCGAGAATTAGGTCATCATCCGTGAAGGGTCAGTATCCCAGTAGAATGCGAAAGTGGACAAATACGATTAGCGCGTGTTGCTCCGTTCATAATTCTTCTCGGGTCAGTTCCGCTGCCGAGTAGTGAAGCATGATTGCTAGTTTGCATCAGTGCGCATAAGATGATGTGTACAGAAGGCAGAGCATGCCCTTGGCATTGTCAGGACCTTTATCGCGCGGTTGTTGGGTGAGGGGAGGAGTAGTTGGCATGGATCTTGTGTGCTCTGACATCTCATTTGTCCAGCGTGATTTGGACCCTTGGGAAGTCAACCGACAGCCCAGTCCCGGCTTCCTAGCCGACGGGCTCCATTCGCTTCAAGTAGGCCTGTATATCGGGTGCCCAAGTTTGTACGGAAACCATACGCCAAGTGCTTTAAGCCGAAGGCCTCGAGGACAAGTTGTAAGGTAGGAAATATAGGTCTGATCTTGAATGCACTACCACAGGGCGCGGTGAGGACGTATATAGTATATAATTAACAGAATAATAGGCACCGACGCCGAAGCGTCATCGCGCCTTGGATATAATTACAGATATAAAGGAAATGAAGTTGAGACTATTCCATCGGCGGCAGGAATAGTAGTGTTGAATGGGAGTCCCTTTACGTTTGATCGATTAGACCGGAGCGCATGAGAGAAAACAACAACACGGGGATACTACTCACATTTCAAACAGCCACGCACCGATCATCGCCCTCCGGAGCAGGCACAGCAACAGTCGCGGTAACGACCACAGTCACCAAGCCATCATCTCCAACTGTACCAGGCGGGACCGGGGCGTCGGTGGGAGCAGGCGGGTGGTCCAAGGTCACGGGGTGGGAGTAGTCTGAGCACCAACCAATCGTCTTAGGCACATTTCCAGGCTTCGTGTAGTGGGAGGTGGAGGGAGCAAGAGAAGAAGAAGACGTAGAAGTAGAAGATGAAGAGGAGGGAACGGCGGTGGCAGTAGCAGTAGTGGTGGACGAGACAGATGGAGCTTGTGCGGGGTGGGAATGGTGATGATTGTGATGATGACTGTGGTGCGGGATGGTAGAACCGCTTGGGCTTACCGTGATGTAAACGGTAGTAGCGTCACAGGTCGTCGCCGAGGGGCCCGTGGGGAACGGGGGCGGGACCGGGTCGGTGTCGGCGCAGTGACTGCCCTTGGCCGGCTCGCTGATGCTGAACTTGTCGCCCTGCGCGTAGATGATGTACACGTTGGTTCCGTTGATCGCGCTGAGCTGGTAGCCCCATTCCGGGTTGGTGTCGCAGGGGATCTGCACGGTGTGGGATTCATCGGTGGTGGGGATGTCGTAGGCCAGGGGCACGTAGGTGGGAGGCCACGAGACGAAGTTCCAGAGGAAGAGGCTGAAGGTGGATGGGTCGGTGTCGACGGTGCTCCATTTGACAGTCACGGTGGACCCAGCGGCGTAGGTCGAGTTCTCGCTGGGCTCAGTGATGCTGATGGCCGCCGCGAGGGAACTCAGCAAGAGTGCAGAGGAAATAAATTTGATCATGGTGTTTGAATACCGAGATCAACGGATGAAAGAAAGAAACTAAACGAGTGACGACAAGGCTGTAGTTGGAGAAAAGAACGACTGGGGTGAGATGGAATGATGGTCAAGATCGGCACACCAAGAGCCCCGAGCAGTAATCTTATGTTAAATTTTCAACCGATAAGATCATTTAAGGGGGAATTGTATGGACCCTTGGCCGGAAATTGTTGCCGCCGGAACAACCGCTAATTGGTGATGTATAAGACATTGATTTGGCTAGTGGATTAGCCAATTTAGTAAAGAAAAAGAACCAATGACTGCCACGTGGGGCTCTTGATTGCAGCTCATCCCCGGTCGATGTAGATAAGGCTTGACCAGTTAGCAAGTGCCGATGGGCTGAGCTAAGCAATGTGGCATTGGAAGTGAGACCGTCTATATATAAGTAGCCAAAAATACTACACAATGCTAATAGCTAGCCCACAGCCTGAGTAAGCATTTGGAGTAACTGTTTCCACCCTTCAAGTTCCAACGTGGGGTGGTTCCTGATTTTCCAAGATCCCGCCATCCATGCAGACCATGGAGACAGAGTATACAACCACAGGGAGTCGTGTCTAGACCAGTACGATACAGGTCCAAGATTCTATGCAAACACTATAAAGGCTCTTTAAAACACCTTGTATAGAGGCTCCAACAGGTCTCGGCCGCAGAGGATGGACAAGCGCAGTGCGTTCGTTCATTGCTTCTCGTGACCAGGAACTGCTTATAGATAATATCAAGGTGCACGCCAAGAGAATGTATAGTTATTTTGGGAAGCTGAGGAGGGTAACAGCCTGAAAAAGGCCTCATGGTCAACAGTCGCGTGGTACATGTTCCATCGGCCGGGACCCCAAGTCCAGAGAAGAATATAGGCGTCCGCGAGTGAGTAAGAGAGAATCTCAGATATTGCGAGATGGATCCCCTTGCGGGGGTGGATAGCATATTATTAGCCTGCACTTTCCCGGTCTGGGTACAAGACGTCAAACCCCGCCTGAATCCCCAAAGCTGCTGGCTAGCAATCTCAGTGCTGGGGCCCTTAGCACCGTTTCCCTTCCATGGGCTTCTACTTTCGCAGCCATCTTTTCCGTCAGAAAAGTCGACGGACCCATAGGTTTCTTTTCGCCCCGGGATCCAGGCGACCTTATTCCTGCTCCAAACCAATTTTGCCTCAAGCCTCGGGCTCTAGAACCCTCCCCCAAAAAAGCGGCTGTTCCCGATCATCCCCGCTGACTCCCCGCCCGCGGCCACTCGCAAAAAACGAACGTCGGACATGCTCTTTATCCCGGCGAGCCCCTCCGATCTCAAGGTTATATTTACCTCTTCCTCATGCCTGCCCAGCTTGATACTAGCCTCGATAAGCAGCACTTTGGGCAGCGCCGCGGGTATACATTTCCGGCTATCGCGTCCTGCCACCCCGGTGGAACAAGGCTGGAGGCGCTCACGCCGATTGCCCTGGGCGGGTCGGCCAAAGAAGTACTGCTAAAGAGGAACACATCTTCACAGCGAACGTTCAATCGTATTGGAGTAGGCCGATCCTGAATAGAAGGTTGCCGTAGTGATATTTCTCGGAGCAATCCCGCCGGGTGGATGTCTCCACCTCTCAGCCAACGACTACCCTCTTTGCAAGGTCCATACAATAAGTAATAAGGAGAGTATTGATGTCGTTGATGGAGCAATATCTAATAAGAGGTTCTGGTCTGGGTATTTAGTACACACCTGCCATATCCACGTGCTGTGCCGCAAGCTTATATATCTCTCGGGAGGGATGTTTGCTACGAATAGGGCTAGACTATCAACAAATGCATAGTGAAGTCGCCTCTGTCTTTCGTCTTCTAATGCTATCGAACCAAATCTATCAACCAGCAGTATGAAACTAGAACAACCACGACACATAACGGTTATAGAACTTGCTCCAGCCAGTGGCATGCAAATCCTCCTGCTGCTTCCGAGCAACAAACTCGGCCTCTTCGCGATCAATCGCCGCCTTGCCCGTCCAGATATCCGCGTTGTGAGGCTTGACCAACTCGGTCTTTTTCACAAATTTCCAGGCGAAGAACGCAGTCACGTACACAGGGATGCCGAGATACGCGGTGATGAAGGTCTTGTAGTCAAAGTTGCCGTATGACGACGAGTCGTGGATGAAGACGCTGAAGCTGCGCGTGAAGGCGATCAGGATGCAGAAGAAGAGGGCGATGTATGAGCCGATCATGCCGAGCGGGGCTTTGTAGGGGACGGACTCGTCGGGGACGCCCTGGGCTTTGCGGGCGCGGATGAAGCAGATGTGACAGATGAGCAGCGAGATCCAGGTGAGCACTATGAGGGTTAGTGGCCATGGGCTTCTTGCATCACAGACGGGGCAGCAATGAACATACATCCAACAATGGAGACAACATCAGTAAAGTATCCAAACACATCCTTGGAGCCCTCGGATACACTAGTGAATGCGAGACAGCAAAACAAGGACGAGAAGCCCAGTGAATAGATGGGAATTCCAGCGTTGTTGGTCTTTGCAAAAATCCTCGGTGCCTTGTGCTCGCGGGCGAGACCATAGAGCGTTCTGGTCGCAATGTACAGATCCGAGTTGGCGGCGGAGAAGACAAAGACCAGAATGCAGGCGTTGATAATGTGCGGCAGGCCGGGAATGTTCTTCATGGCTGCGACAAATGGAGAGGCTGCGGCAGAGCTGGATGCCTTGGTGGCAAAGGCCAAGTCTTCGGAGTTGTATGGAACGAGCATACCCACAAGGAGAACACTGAGAACATAGAAGACGATGATACGCCAAAAGGTCAGCTTGATCGCCTTGGGGATCGTCTTGCGAGGGTTTTGCGCTTCGCCAACGGTTACACCGATAAGCTCAGTACCTATCCAGGTCGTTAGCTACAGTCAATGCTGGTTATCACAGGATCTGTTCGTACCGAGATATGCGAACGTCGCAGAGACCATGGTGGACCAGAAAGCCAAGAATTTACCCAGCGAGCCCTCTGAGTACTTGGGTGCAAATGCGCCAGGGTCGTTCCAGTAGCGAAAGCCCTTGCGATCGTGATCAGGACCACCCCCGAGGGCGAGGACCAGCGAGCACAGGATGATTCCGATCATGACAATCACCTTGAACGCGGACAGCCAGAATTCCATTTCACCGAAAATCCTGACGCCAAAGTAGTTGATCACGATAATGGTCACCATAAAGATGGCAATCCATACTCCCGGATTGACGTTCTCGGCGGATGTGCGCGGCCAGTACGTGATGACCAGCGCAGCCGCAGTCAACTGTGTTGGGGGGAGAATGATGTATTTGATGTAGTAGCTGGAGGGTCAGAATACCTTCGCAAGAGAACAAGGCGAGCAACACCTACCACCAACCCAGAGTGAATCCCAGCGCGGGGTCGCAGAATCGACCAGCATATCCCGTAAACCCACTGGAGAGGGGAAGCCATGCAGCCATTTCACCCAAGCCACACATCACCGTCCACACGATGAGGCCCATGAAGGTGTAGGCGATAAACAGAGACCCGGGCTAGTCATGGTCTGATTAGTATTGCTTAGTTTTCTCACGATGCTCGAAGCTTACTCCTGCGCTGAAACGGTCAGTCAACCCTAGCAGTCACGGAAATCATACAGGGAACATACGTTAACGCCTTGCCTGTGCCAATAATCAAACCGGTTCCAATAGCGCCTCCAATGGCAATCATACTAATATGGCGAGCCTTGAGGTCACGGTGCAGCTCAACATGCTCGTCCGTGACCTCCTCCTTCTCGTTCATGGGCGCATTGTACTCGACGCGCTGCGTCTCAATAGCGTCGATCTCATCGTGAGGGGCCATGGTGGTTCAGCAAGCCCGCGTCAATTCCTGCAGGCACTTTTCACGCACACGAGAGGGGGAGAAGAGGGCGGTTTAAGAAAGAGCGGAAGGAAAACACCGGACAGCCACCGGTGAGCCCTGAGTTAACCGAGGGTCCCGCCTTCCCAACGCAAGACTTTTCGCTCCTGCCAAGCTGCCAAGCACATGTCCTGCGTGATGGTGGGGATGAAGCTTCTCCAAGTGTGCAGTGGCCAACCCTTCCCCAACCCTCCAGGACCAATCGTGCAGTGGGGCGACCACGCTTACACTCGGGCGAGGCTCCACAGAACAGAACCGTAGAATGCAGAATTGCGATGTGCGCTTGTCACAATTGTCGCACAAGGGCGCGGCCCCCGGCGAGATTTTGGCCCGAGATATTTCCTGTGCGTGGGAAAATCTCGGACGTTGACAGCCTTGTCCCCATGGGTCAGACGAGTCTGCGGGGTCTGTCATTCTCGCCACCTGGCCCCCAATGGGGATCCCACGGGGATGCATTTTCTTTACTTAACAGTTATTCTACACTTCCAATGAAAACCAGTGTGTTCGCTGCTGACTGGGAAGAAAATGCCTCAAAGGTCCACAAAATCTGTCAAATGAGATATGCGACATAAGCTGATCGGAGAACCTCCGGGGAAGGCGAGATTCGCCCCCGGACTACCAAGCGGGCCAACAAGGCACATACACATATGACGAAAATATACTTGTCCTTGGATATTCAGAGGTTGTTCTCCAAATGAACTAAGAACACCACTGCCGTTCTTGAGGAATTAAGCTTCGCGTGGCGCGCGAATACGGCAGCCCGTTTTCATGGCCAGACCGGCCGGCCCTCCTGCAAGCCTCCCCAGTCGGAAGCGGCCATCGCGCCCGTCAGACGCAAGGCACTGACACGGTGGCGCAATTCCCGAGGCTAGTATCACTTCTTCTGATTCGCTCACCGTCCCGCTTAATCTCAGAGAGCGTTCCGCAGCGCAAGGACTGTGATGTGAACTCGCTTTTGGGGTACTCGAAATCATGTGCGTGGAGCGACCATGAAAGCTCAACACCTTGGCTGGATTGGCCCAGGTCGTCATCAGACAACCTTCAATTGTACTCCAACGTCGGAGAAAGATACGCCAAGTCGCCGTCAGCGAGTACGGCGCGTAGGATTGCAAGACGGCGCTACGAGGTGCATCCGTCTGACATGACAAGTTCTCCGAGGTTCTTATTCGCACGATCCGGGAATGTGCGACTTGCAGAGAAGCTCACGGCCATAGCATCGTTGCCGCCAGCTTGAGGGACCGTCGCGGATATTTCTCGATTCAACTCTTTTCTGGAGATTCGATCGCTGCCTGCCGGATTTGCGGTTTCACTCCGCACTGACTTGAGCTATGAGCATTCATTTATAATTCCCCGTGTGTCGGGTTGGACCGCGGACGATATATATCAATCCCGATCCAGTCGGGTAAAAATTGACGGACCCTCATACCTTACTCCATTGGTCATATTACCCATGTCGGAGCCTGCTTGTTACAGTGAGGCTCATGAATATCCTTGGGCGTGTTGGGGGCACAATCTCCGTCCGCCTCGCCCCCAACTCTAAGCAGGAACCCATGCGCTCGCCTGCCTGTGCCTCGACAATTTCATTCCGTTTGCTCTCCAGCTCTTGAGCGGGATACCCAGCATCAGCCGCGTTGCCTCCAGACGACTCCCTTCTAGAATCATTCGCTTTCCTCTTCCTCTGAACCGAAAACGACGACAAGAGGAAAACCAGAGCTCCTACGATCAGCAAAACCCCTACACCAACACCAACCGCGATCCTCGCTTTCGCACCCATTGTCAACCCATCCGCTCCGCGGTCCTGGCTCGGAGCCGGAGTGTGCGCCGTTACGGTCGACGTAGTAACGCCGCCTCCCCTTCCACCCAGCGAGCTCGACTAAGATTCCACCGCTCCAGCCGGTGTCGGGTGCTCCGGCACAAGCACCCCAACCAACAACATACTGGTAACAGGCTCCATACTATAATCATCCAGCATAGACGTCGCTTGCGTCGTCAGAGAGTCTCCAGGATATTCATCTCGAAGGCCACTATTCCGGTGGACCGAGTGTTTGCTGATCAAACGCCGCTCGAAATTGTTGCTCGTCAAGCGGCTGCATGTGCCCGCTTGAGATCCCATGTTGCGGCTCCGAGGTCAGCCCTCGCCAACAGCGTCGGGGAATGCGGAATACGCGCCCCAAGTATTATCATCCCTGCCAGGGGCAGTACTTGGAGCTCGGATTTCTTTTTCCCTCAAGAAGCAGATGGAGTCGTCAGTTCGAGCCGGGTCGCGGGTTCGGCCGTGTTCCTAACATCGTGTGAAAATGGCAAGCGAGGCAGTGATTTGTGTACTAAGTTAGAAAAGGCGTATCATTATTCGCCAAGCTGCCTCTTGAGGGAGAGGAAGCAAAACCCTGTTGCTGGCTGCGAACCTTTCAAGTATGCAGGCGATATCAGGTAGTGGGCTACTGGCCAGTTGTGTGTATCATCCTTACTGATGCCTTGGCTCCGCCCAGAGCCTTCAACACTCGCCTACCAAGGAGGCTCGCGGGTAAATGGATAATCAAGACCTCGCGAGTGCTTTCACTCTAGTGATATAGTCTGATACAAGAGTGGTTTATCAAAACCGCTAGGTGACTTAGCACTCTAGGCTCTACACTGAGATCATCCACTACAAGCGGGGTACCACCCCCATCGTCAAACTGAGTCTATTTTGATGATAGCGGATAGGCTTCAAGAAATTTTGATCTTTATAAGACAACAGAGTATACTTGACTAATCAACCCCTAAAGTTATACTTGGTTTAGTACCTATATTATGCTAGTTATATTCTTTTATTATCCTTCCCTTGTCCACCATAGAAGGCCAGTAGTGTTAATCAAATTAAATAGGAAGTATAAACTAGCTCTAGTCTTACCTTATAGTACTCCGACTGTATAGAACCATAATAAAATCCCTACTTAATACGCATAAGAATAGTTATCTATTAGTACTATGTTAGACTTATCTTCTAAAAGGGAGGGATCTTGAACAGCCTATATAATATCATAAATATTCCCAACGGGTACATGCTATGGAACATGGCATCACAGCCTTCTGTTTGGTGGCGTCAAGAGCCCTTATCAATCCCGTGCATCGCCGCGACCTTGCAGTCATCGTCGTCAGTTAGTCTTGACGGGAATGAACATTCTCGCTATCAAGAGGTCTTCCCAAACATAGTGGCGCCGAGGCTACACTAATAGTACGAGCCTGACGAAGCCAACTGAGTAGTAGCTTAGGGCGTAGCAGTTATAGGCTTGATGATGTCAAATGATGTATGTGGGTATGCGGCTGAAGCAGAGCAAGGCAGCGCGGAGAACAACGACCGAGTGACCAGCATATACCTAAAAAGCGTCAATACAGAATTTCATGGCCATCTTGGCACTTATCAGGCAGTGATAGTGCTGCATTCAGGTAAGATTAACTGTAGACGTTGAGGTCCATTTCATTCCACCTCAGCCTAATGCCAGAGGCATCCAGTATGACAAAGAAGAGGACGCCCAACACCAGTCAATATATAGAGTGGGAACCTGGAAACCCCGCGTCAAAAGGACCAAGTGGCCATACGCGGGACGGCGCTGGATCTGCAAAACCGGTTGTAACTAGCGTGTTAATCCCCTGTCTAGGCTCTCCTTGGGTTACTTTGTCCCGCCTGTCAACCGTTAGCGGATGCGCCGGGACGACCCACGGACATATCATGCAACGCAGAGTGGTCGGCGCGACAGGCACCGCGCCATTTTGTCTTGGTCCGGCAGTGGGCACCTATGTTGTTGAGTCTGTTAATATCTTTGTAACGGGGTCGTCCGGCGTTATATTTGACGGTGCGCCATTCTCCCACTTTTTTATCTTTGGAAGTTTACAAGTACACTTGAATAACCCAGGTTTCATGCCCGAGCATCAGGTGTATCACGTCCATCCTCTCGGATGGGAGGATGATCCCGAAGAGGAGAGATTCAAGGTAACGACGCTCGACTACCTGTCAGTGCAGGCCTACAACAACTACGCGCTGTTCTTCCGTCTCGCTGACGAGGACAAGCGCAATGCGGCCGAGGTCCTGAAAGCAGGCCTCAAACAAACATTGAGCCAGGTACGACACCTCTGCGGTATAATCAAGAAGGACGCTGCGGGCGGCTACTTGTTCTACAAGAAACGTGACAGTACTATCCAATTTATTATGCAATGGCTCGAGTCAGAGAAGTACCCGTTACTCAACGAGATCGAGCAGTCGCACTTTTCTGCCGTCAAGTTGGGTGATCTCAACGTATGGAGTGTACCACTAATGACATATGGCGAGAAGCCCAAGGCAAATCTAGATAACAGCCAGGTTGTTGCCGCCTACAAGGCAAACTTTGTCCGCGGTGGCCTCGTCTTCATCATGCACCACCACCACTACTCTAACGATGTGATGGGCTGGGCCGGGCTTACACACCAGCTAGCGGAGAACTGCTATGCGATTGTGAATAAAACGCCATTCCCAGACTGGGATCTAAAGAATCTCGATCGCTCACGCGTGACGAAACCCGAACCCCTAGAGGAAGCCAAGGTCGACGGGCCCCCAGCGCCCGAGCGCCATCTGGAGTAGAGAACCGGCATATCTCTACTCTTCCATCTCCCCAAGAGTAAAGCCGCGCAGCTGAAAACTCTGGCCACGCCAGAAGAAGGTATATGGATCTCAACCTACGACGCCTTCTCGGCGTTTATCTTCCGACATCTTACGCGGCTCCGCGCACCGGTCTTTAAACCCGACATGTCCAGCCCCCTCTTCTGGGCCGAGGCGGCCGACATGCGGAGACGATTCCACAGTCCAAAAGTGCCGCTGTGCCTGCAGGGGAATATCATGTCAGCAGCACTAAGTACGACCGCGCCAGTCACGGCACCGACCGTCGCACAGGTTATATCCGACTGGCCTTTCTGGAGACTCGCTGCGTACATTCGCGCCCTGACCAACAGCGTCACGCAGGAGAATTTGGACGCAATGCTAGATATGGTCGCCATGGTGCGGGATAAATCGACCTTGAACATCCGCATTGACGCCCAGCCGCCCATGTCGATTCTCCAGACGGACCATCGTGATGCGAACATCACAGGCGCGGACTTTGGGTTTGGGTCTCCGATCACCTATCGCCATCTACTGGACCGCGTAACTAATGGTGTTATCGTAATATATCCTCCGCGTATGAACACGGGGAATCCTGACGAGGGGTGCGAGTTTGCGATTTTCTACGAGGATTTGGCGCAGTCGCTCATTGGCGATGCAGAGTGGAATGAGTACTTTGAGTATAGAGGCGTAGATGCGATTGACGCTGCTTCATCCGGTTCCTCATGGTAGATATGAATAGCACACACTCAGACATAGAGAATATCAAACATGATTACACTACTTCCTTCTCCGCACCCTCCAGCTGGCTAACCTTCCAAAACCCCCTGACCATCTTCAAACTCGCCAAGAGCCACTTCCCTTCAACCCACCTCCACCTCTCATGATAATGCTCACCCCCCGTGCCCTTCCACCCACCCGTAACCCCATGGTTCGCCGCATGATAAACAACACCCCACACCGCATGAATCTCATCCTCCGAGTCTCGGGTTAGCTCGCCGGGTCCATCGATATGGATCATCTGCTGCGTCTCAAACGCCGCCCGGAAGAACACGACGAATTCGTATCGCGCCCCGTTTTCCGTTACGACTTCGCCGTCGAGGTTGCTGAATGTGGCTGTTAGAGTGGGGAGCATTAGTGAGGCGAAGCCCTCCCAGTCGTGTGTGTCGTCGAATCGGCAGTACTGGGATTTTTTGAGGCGGAGGGTTTTGGCGAGGTCGAGGGGAGAATGGAGGTCATTTTTTTGGTGATTCAACCCCGGTTGTTTTGGGTTGGGACTATTGTGGTCTACCTAGTAATCGCGGGGATGAGTTCGGCGAGGATATCTGAAAGGGAATCGAGGGGTGTGCGGGGTTGGTCTATTTATATGAAGGATCCGGGTGCAGGGTATGCATTGGGCTATGGGATCTACGTCCATTAGTCAATTTAGCATATGCTGTAGCCTGCTTGGCAGACAAAGTTTTTTGCAGCTTGGTTGCAATGATTATCTCTGTTCATACTCTACAATGACCATCTTGGACAATTGGCATGCTTCCAGCAATGGTCTCTTTCCTAGAAATACCTACGATACATCCATGGTATCCGTTATAGCGTGATTGAACATCAGATCTCCACCCCATAGGCCTAAGGAACAAGCACACCCTGAATCTGACAAGTGGAGAAAATATATTAGGACAAAAGCCGCCGAAGCAGGATGGTGAACAGGGATATCTGGACGACAGGCTGAGGAAGCTAGTGGATGAAGGGCAATATCCAAGGGTCACTCTATGCGCTACCATTGCTGGCTAAGCTGTACAACCTGTGGTACGGGTGATTCAAGCCGTGTGTAGTCAAATGACAGTCAACGTTAAACACTGGAGTAGGTTCAAGTTTGCGCTGCTGACAGCCACGGCAGCAGGTCCAAATAAAACCAACTGGATACGACTGCTCCTGCTCATGAAAAATATGTTTCATGACGATCTGAGGCTTCTCTAGGGACGGAATTGACGGCACACGTTGCCCTTTCCTACCCAACATGATTGATCAGATGCGAGCCTCTCGAAATGAACCCGATGGAGGTTCAAAGTCGCCGCTATATCCATTACCAGAAGCATCAGCCTTATATATGCAGGTGTGTCCGAGTTCTCTTCTCAGTGGAAGCCGGCGAGCGTAGAAGAGAAGCTGCCAGCTACACGCCGTGCAAAGGCCAGAATACTGTCAAGGAAGCCGCGAGGGACCTCCTGTCGCTCCCATAAGAACCTCACCTCGCTCCATAACTCTTCGACATGATCAGGAATCGTTCTTATCGGGATTGATATAGTTGTGAGGAGGCTTCAGATCAATCATTCTTGTGTTCAGTGGGCTCCTCCTTTCGATCCTCTGGGCAATGTGTTGCAACAAGGCGCAGCATCACCAGGAGCCAATCATTGTTTTACGATGCTCGTGACGAAGTCAGGTGAGCCCAAAACACGAGCCTTCTCATCATTGGCTGGTTGACCTGAGTTTATGCAGGCGTGAGGCTGGAGGGAAACACCTTCAAGCGAGGTCAGCGCGGGGTTTTCTCTTTCCGCTTTGCTCTCTCCTCATTCTCTCTCGATCAGCAGATACGTGAATTCAGAATCCAATAATCGATGGATCCGCTCACAGCTGTCAGTCTTGCTGGAACGATCCTCCAGTTCATCGATTTTTCCTCCAAGCTTGTTGCGGGAACCTACGAGATCTACCGATCGGCCAGCGGAGCGACCGCCGAGAACGAGGATATCGCTACGGTCATCGCCGATTTGAAGGAGGTTACGGCGGAGTTGGATGTGGACATAACGGCGAGAGGCAAGCATGCGAAAGCGCTGAAGGCGCTCGCGACAAAATGCGCAGACCTCTCGGGTCAGTTGCTGGCCGTGCTGGAAAAGCTAAAGACACCGGACAGGCAATCAGCGTGGAAGAGTATGAGGGTAAAATGGCCCATCATGCGGAAGAGCGACGAAATACAAAGGTTTGAGAGGAGGCTGGGGGAGTATCGGTCGGAAATACTCATGAGGTTGACGTTCATGCTTAGGTCGGTCGAATTCTCAGATACGAGAAAGAGAAGCGACTGACGCGGTTGGTTTGGCAGTGATCAGCAATCATCGATCAGGGCGCAGCTAGACCAGATACAGAACGATGCCAAACGGCTCTCTACCGAAAGTGCGGTCAGGCTGTCAAACATCCGAGATGACATGTTGAAGGCCGTGGAACACCTGGCGACGCACCCGCCCACAGCCCCGGAAAAGGGCCAGACTGGAATCGTGCGTGATGCACCCCACACGGTGCGACCCCAGCTCGAGCTGCAGGGGGTGAAGGCCTACATTGATAGCTTGATGTCGCTTGTGGCTACAATACCCCTGGAGAACCGAATCTTGGATAATGTCTACTTTACGTCCATGTACGATCGAGAAGACAGTATACACGATGCTGATATAGGCACCTTGGGATGGCTGTTCCTAGATGAGCAACTCACGCTGAACGACAATGGCAGTGACAGAGGCACGTACGACGATGAGCAGCGCAAAAAGTCATTTAAAGAAGAGCAAGAGAAAAGGGCCGCTGCCCGCTCCTCGTTTCTAGCCTGGCTCCGCACGGACAACGGGATATATCACATTTCCGGCAAGGCAGGCTCAGGAAAGTCTACCCTGATGAAATATCTTTGCAACCACAACAGGACAGATGCGGAACTGATGAAGTGGGCCGGTGATAAGAAACTGGCCTTCGCTCGATTCTTCTTTTGGAAGGCCGGAGATGATCTCCAAAAGTCTCTCCAGGGGCTCTACCGATCTCTGCTATTTGAAGTCCTAAGACAATGTCCGGAACTCATACCCATGGTGTTTCCGTCTCAGTGGGAGAGACTGCAAGCTTCTAGTCAATGCGTCGCGGATAAAACGTTATTCCGCCATCATCATATTCTGGATGCCTTCAAAATCCTCAGTCGGCACACCACCCTCCCCAACCACCGGTTCTGCTTCTTTATCGACGGCTTGGATGAGTATGACGGCGATACCGTGGATCATACAACGCTGGCAACGAACCTTCGATCTTGGGCCCTTGGAGAGGATATTAAGATTTGCGTCAGCTCTAGGCCACATCTTGAGTTCCATCAAGTGTTTTCACGCTCGTCTGATCGGCGTATCCATCTTCACGAGCTCACAAAACATGATATCTATCTCTACAGCTTCCACATGATCGAACAAGCCTTGGGTTCGACAGGTATCCAGGACGATTACTTGTCTGTGATCAGCAAGGTCGTTGACAGATCAGATGGTGTTTTCCTATGGGCATGGCTTGTCGTGCGCCTTTTGATGACAGGGATACTGCGTCGAGACCCTATAAACATCCTTCTTAGTACTCTGGACACAACTCCTAAAGAGCTCAACGATCTGTACACACGGCTCCTGGATTCTCTACAGCAGCATGATCGAAAAAGGGCAGCCCAGATGCTCATTCTCGTGGCATCCAACAAACACAGGCACCCATTCAGCAGTCTAGCCTTCTACTGGTTGGATCAGCTTGAAGATCCGGATTTCCCGGCTAGCGGTAAGATCTTGGCCTTCAACAGAAAGGCGCTGAGAGCTGCACTAGACACCACCGACCGCCAGGTGAGGAGCGTTGCCAAGGGCTTCTTGGAATCGTTCCCCTTCCAAGACGTCAATCATCATGTCGAATTCTCTCTGGGTCCCGCGGGCATGTTGAAATATCGATTTTTCCATCGAACCGCCCGCGACTTTGTTTTGAATAACCCCAAATTGGGAGTAATTGTGGATACAAAAGCAATCTCCAGCGCAGAAACCGCGCTTCGACTTCGACTAGCGGAGCTTATGAGCCTAGACTACTCGCTTCGATACCAGCTCTGCAAGTATATGACCATCGATCAATATTCCGGCAAAGGACTTCCCGTCATACTACTCGAAAAATATCATCGTGTCTTTGAGGAGACTGCCAGAAATGCTCATGTTTCCACAGAACTTAGCTATTATCACATTCGGGCGACCGGTGAGACAATTTACCCTCACCACCTTCTAAAATCATCTTTCCCTCATCTATACGCTGCTTATGGCTGTGGGCATTACGCGATGCATCTGGTGGAGAATGATAAGAGGCTGCTTGACGGGACTTCCAAGTTAAGCTTGCTAGTAACCGCTGCTCTACACGGCTATTTGAAATTGGTCAAGTCTCTTCTAAAAGCAGGTGCCCCTATTGACTCTCAAATCTTGGTCACTTGCAATTATGAGGACAGTTACGACTCTGGGAATTATGTTTCCTACCCGGTTTGGATGGTGATTTTGACCTATATCACCTTAAAAATAGGCCGTCACTATATTCAGGAATCTACCCCCTGGAGAAGAAATTTCGAAATTCTAGAAGCTGTACTGCGACACAAATCTATTCCCGACTGTGTGATCATGATAGCACCCGACGATCTCCCTCCATCGTCGCAAAGATACTTCCTCTCTCTACGCCAGATGATCTGGGAAGTGGCACCCGACAACAAGGATATATTACTCTCCCTGTTGGAACAGCGGCCAGGCACTCGGCAAGCGATACGAAAACACCTGCGTGCTGTACTAACTCGCTCGACCACAAAAGAGAACAGTGGGCCTGGGCTTAATGGCCGCGTTCCCATTAAGCCAAGCGACTGTCCTGATCAGAGGTGGAAGGCGCTCGATAACGCCGAGGTGGTTTGTGGCGAGTGGAGACTCCCCGCTGGGTTCTGTATCGCGGTATACTAAAGGGTTCCCGGCGAGAGTGCGAAGTCAACAAAGTAAACGCCTTCTTCTACCATGTTGGAACCTCTCGGCAAGGGAGCCTGGTATGTTGGCGACCCATCAAAGGGACGATGCTGCGACAACCAAGGTCCAATGCTATTGATGCCGAATTACGTGACTAGTCCCGGGCCATGTTTTGGATTTGCAAGCTACCGCGTCTTTGGTTGCACCCTTTCTAGGACTTCTAGAGTTTGTTTTATATGGCATTATTAGCTGGGTGCTGTTAGAGTGGTAGAATGCAAATGGAAGTTGAATTTCGTTTGGAGCAAGGAGATTTTCCAACCCTTCCGTGGTCTCATGTACCTCAATGACTGCATATGGGCGCGTGGCTCAAAGGCACGCCGAGTTCTACGTAGAGGTTGTACGTAGAGGCAATAGAAGATTCAACATTATCCCCGGGGCCAGGTGTCACGAGACCAATATAATGCCCTGTGCGTGGGTGTGCAAGCTGTCTCTTCCGGAGCGCCTGTGCTCTCAATTCCAAGCAGGTGCAAGACAACTTGGGTAATGCGGCGCACCCATTTCCCGTGAGTGGAGTGGCGGAGCGTTCTGGAGTGTAGTTTAGTTAAGCTGTCTATTCATTGTCAGTGGCCATGAGGTCTTTCCCGGTCCGCGTTTACTATGTGTATAGGATCTGAGTTCTGCACATCATATTCAAGATAAGATCAAATGGCCAGTGGGTCACACATAGACATAATAGTAACCCGTATATGATCGTTACCATGGCTATGTGCTTGTAGGAGGTAAAGGGCGCCTCCTGCCTCTTCTGGGCGCAATGCATGTTATTCAGGTGAGCTCTCTTGACTTTGAGTAACTAGGGCTGCGCACGTGGCGTCCCTTGAAACCGTCCTCTTTGGGGAATTTCAAACATTGTATGTCAAGATTACTGCGGATACTATGGTTCTCGGAACCATTGATACATCAATCCAATACATACAAAGTGTCAAATATTCCCCCATCCCTTCGCCGGTCCCCCACACGCCACCATCTCGCAACTTCGCCGGATTCCGGATTGAAGCAGCTCGCCCCGCCCCCTCATATCACCGTCATTCCAGCGAGTCATTGTCCGACAGGCTTTCATCGACATATCTATATAAAGAATCCAAATCATAATACCAATCATGATCCGAACTTTCATAATCATTATCCAAAGGGTGATATTCATACGCAGCGACAATCTCCCGGATGAGCTTATCGTTAGCCGAAGAAGGCCGACGGGTCCCCATACCGCACGGCACCACCTCGTACGTAAAAGCAACCACGCCAAAGTCAGTCATCACCTGATGGAACTGTTTACTTATACGCCGGTCATGTGCATAAAGCTTGATTGGCGCCTCGGTCGACCAGTACACGCGTTTTGTATGCCGCCTGCCGGATGGCCCCCCGTGGCTGAAGAGCAAATACTCAAAAAGCTTCTCCATGCGGAGACCCACGGGCCCGGATTCAGAGTTTTGTTCGGATTTTGTATACGCCTGTATCGCATGCATCAGCCTCGAGGACCCGTTGAGAACCAAAGGGATTAGGTTGCGCGGTGGGGGCCTCCGCAACTTCACTTACCGGAGCACTAGACCGTTTGACCCTGTTGCCGACCCTTGTGTGACGGACATGGAAAACCCCGATATGCGAAAGGGGCGGCTGCTGGACTAGCATTCTGCGCCAGCTCGCGTCTCGTCGGCCAAAGATGGCCATGGCCTCGGCATCTTTGGCCATGGGAAGTTCGGGAATGTAGAACTTTTTATCACACTCGTCGTACGTTGCTGGGAAGATGCTAGGGAACACCTCCGCCAATAGTGGGTTAAGAGTTTTCTCTCCCGCTGCCCATTCGGACTCCTGGATTGGCATGAAGAAAAGGGCCCGTTGGAGGGATCGCGACGTTCGTATCAGATTCGTCCAGGCGTGGCAGACTCGCTGGCCGGATGTAAGGAGCGTGCGCATGTCCACTTGGAGGAGGATCATCTCGAGTATTTCTGGAGTGTGTAGAGCCCTGCGCATTGCTTTCCGAGGTGGATCTGTGTTGTTATCGAGAGTTTCTAGTGTATGCACAGCTCTGCGCTTTGCTACCCTGGGAGAGTCTTGGCTATCTCTGGATTGTACCCCTAGTACGGGGCCCATATTGTAAGTCGTGGTGTGGACTGGGAAGAGTTTGCACATGGAATCAGGGACAGACTGCAACGGGCAAGGCTCCTAGGGTAGAAGTCACGTGACCAGATTCAGGAGGTAGCGGCGCAGATTCAGCGGTGCACATTCAGTGGCGTTCCATTTGGGGCATTGTTTGGCGACTAGCGTATATTAGTTGTATTAAGTCGGGTGTACCCCGCTGGTCTTTTAAAGTGGGCTGATCGCCCACTTTTTTTCCTCTGTTGGTTTATCTGCGTAACAGAATCTGAATCAGTATGTTTTCTTCCCTTTGGATTTCCGTCGTTGACCGATGGCCACCCTTCGTGATCGAAGTAGGAGGTAGTGTTCTGCTACAACTCCTCCTGTTACTCTTATATTTTGGTAAATCGTTTGTGTTTCAGTCGAAAGATAGACCAGCGCTATTGCGCTGTCTTCCTCTCTGTTTGTCTAATATCCTCCTTGCGGGAGTATCCCATGGGCTTTTTCTTTATTTTCTTTCCCGTGTTCGGGGAGATTCTTTTTGGAGTATGTCGTTAAGTGAGGTGTCGAGTCAGCTTCCTACGTGGAAGCAACTACTGAGCGGATTTGTTCGAGGGACTATCTATTTCGATATCGTCTTTTACTGTTTGCATTGGGTCTTTCATCAAGGAGTGGTTTATCGGAAAATTCATTCGGTTCACCACCGGTTCGTTGAGAGTGTGTCTTTGGCGGCATATTACAGCCATCCTGTGGAGTTTGTGCTTGTCAATTTTGGAAGTGCAGTGTTGCTTTCCTGGTTGATGAGGGCGCATGTGGTGTCGCAGTTTCTCATGGGTGCTCTGTCCCAGACAATTGCTCTTTATATTCATGAACAAGGCGAGATTGGTTGGCTCCTTGTGTCGCATGATATGCATCACTTGAAGCCTTGGTCGAACCTCGGGTCGATTGGGTTGATGGATAGTCTCTTCGGTACGCTTGAGAGTGAGTTTTTGTTCTTTTTCTAGTCTTTCTGCTTGCTTATACGTCATAGGAGTTTCCCCCAAATCTAATTCTGATGAGTCTGGTTGGGCGGCACCTCGCGCAGCAAGGCGTGGTGAGCGTGCGGCACCAAAGTCTATAAGAACTGAATAAGGCGTTTTTAATTCGTCTGTGATATCTTTTTTTTGATTAATTTGTGATATACGTGAAGGGTGTTTGCTAGTCAGGTGTTGCGACAGATGGTTTGCACTGGACCCCATGGGAGTGTACGGGCGTGTTGTCTCACCTTTGTGCGCCGTGATTATCCGCATTTTTTTCTATGAAGTCCAAACTATTAATTTTGACGTTGAATGTTAGGTTACTATGCTTGGCAGAGCGTGGGTAATAGCCCAAGTGACACACGTGCCCTAAGTGCCATGAATCGTAGTGTGTCCAAATCGACGACACGAAAAGGCCCGAGCATGGCTTGGAAGCCAAAAATCTCGATAACGATTCATACTAGGTTAACTACTCCGTAGTAATAGTGTTTCCTTCTAGGGAGGTCTTTAAATATAGCGATGGTTCGGGTCTGTGGAAATTGGTCTTTGCTGGTAGTGTTATAGACTCCGCGAAAGATATATTTCTTGTGACGCAGCAAAGTGTCTCATTCCGGCAGCTGATGTTCAACCATTTCTCGACCATGACAATTCAGTAAAGCTAATAGACTCTGGATCACCATGACTACTATACCTAATTATATCGCATCGGATTGAAAGAAACCATTGTCCATTCAAGGCGAAATCTGGATCGTGTGTGGTTATGAGTAATATCACTACCTTTGTTTAGCCAGCAAAAATGAACGGGTTTGGAAACAGCAAGAAAGGAGCCCAGCTGTCTCCAGTGCCTTGCTTAGTTAATGAAAGGCTCGAAGCTACACTATGTAGTGTAGCTGGGTAGGGATCAATCTGCTGTTTCGTGCCTCATGACTAGTAGCGATCTGGCTGTATAAGGGAGTAGGCCAATTATACCAATATCTAGTCCCACAGCGTATCTAGGAGGAGCGTCTATGCTGAGCAGACAGAGTCGCGTTTTTGCGGCGAATCATAGGGCTGTCATCCGGGGATACCTAAAGTCCGCCAGAGCGGTGGAGCGAGCCCTAACTCCGAATCGGGATAGCGACGTAAAAGCAGAGCCCCGTCTCGATTTAATACATTCGTTCGTTATCACCAGCATTGCATTCACCATGGCTACTGCAAAACTCACCTGGCTCATCACCGGCTGCTCCTCAGGCTTCGGCCTTTCCCTCGCCCGCGCCGTGTTAGCTGGCGGACACAACGTCATCGCGACCTCGCGCAACCCGTCGCGGACTCCCGGCCTTGTCGCGGAGATCGAGTCAAAGGGTGGAAAATGGGTTCAGCTCGATGTGGACAGTTCCGACAGCGGAAAAGTCATTGACGAGGTGGAACGCGGCGGCGGTCGTATCGATGTCTTGGTCAACAACGCCGGGTACTGCGTGTATGCTCCCATCGAAACGGCGACAGAGGCGGAGGTCAAGGCGCAGATGGAGACCGTGTTCTTTGGTCCGCTGCGTCTTATCCAGACTGTACTCCCGTATATGCGTCAGCGGAAGTCCGGCGTCATCGTCAACATGAGCAGTGGTGCTTCGCTTGATGGGATCAACACTATGGGTGTGTATGCGGGCGCAAAGGCTGGGTTGGACGGTAGGTTTTCATCAATAGCAGACCATCTGGTGACACGGCTAATTGAGTACTATGCAATAGCTCTCACTAAGATCCTCGCAAAGGAAGTCGCCCCGTTCAACATCCGTACCTTGACCGTCGTCTTGGGAACCTTCAACACCAACATGCCCAATTCGATCGTTCTCGGCGAGACTCCACTCGCAGAGGACTATAGGGGGACGTTCACGGAACAGGTCCAGGAACTACTGGTCGGTGGGAAGATCAAGCCGAACGGCGACAAGGACAAGGCGATGAAGGCTGTCTTTGAGGTTGTTGCTGGCGTGGGTATCGGGGAGGGACATCAGTCTGAGAAATTGCTCCCTCTTGGAAGTGATATGACTCCGAGGCTCAAGGGGGCTCAGGAATATCTTGGTCATGCGCTGGATGTGTTTGGGTCTGTGACGAATAGCGTTGACGTCGATGAAAAGTAGATTTAGGAATGGGAACACTGACCAGGGGGTGGACTGGAACGAGTAATTTGCGTTTTCATCGACTGGAGCAACCGGATTCTGCCCTCAGTGGTGTGTCCATGCTGGTGTTCATCGCCGTACCGTCTGTCTAATTGAATATGCGACCAGGTAACAAACAAGAAAGTCTGTCCCAAGCAGCATGACAATCCGAGTTAGGAGTGGACTTTGTACCGCACACAATGTACGCTGGGGGTTCTTTCCCTGCCACGCAGAGAAAAGGTAAAAAAAGTTGAGCTTATTGGGAACATTCTCATACTCAGGGGGGTCGCAGCTTGACTTGGGGTGAGAATTGTCAAGGGGTTAGGGCACTGTCAAACTAACCGAGCACAACCCCCGAGTCCCGACCCTGAGTAGAGTCAAGGGGGCGGGTGACGTATCCCAGTTCCCGATTAAAGATGGAATCATGGCCGGCTATTCGCTGCCTCGATGGAGCCTGTTTGAGGTTAATGGAATGGACTCAGTGGAGGCCTCGTTTTGGGGCACAGGGTCCACTCGGTTTCGTTGAGTTCCCCACCGTCCAGCAACAGGTTTCGTATCACTTGCCATTTTCGCAGTGCAGAATAGTGGAGTAGACAAGTCGTTTATATGGACGGGAAAATTGTCTCGACGATTCGGAAAATATCCTGATGTCCCGGGAGTATGTACGTCGATCGCCGTGTCAAACGAAGAAATCAGGTGGTAGATCGCGCTTACTGGAAGTATCGACACAGGAACCTTGAGATGCGCTCAGACTTCTTCACAAACTCTACTAAGAGAACCAGAACTCGGAATCCGGAATAAGCCCGCAAGGTATTATCAGTCTGAAACAGCGTACGTCGGCAATTCTCTGGCTAAGGTACTGAACGTGTGCGCGGCAGGGGTCTAAGAGTGGGAATGAGAAGCCCCATGTTCCAACAGAATCTGGCCTGCCAAGAGGAGCGGGCGTCTGAGCCTGACTCGAACCTCTCGGATGCCACCGGATGCGCCGGATGCAACTCGACATAGGCTTTCGGACTTTATCGCTATTGAGGCTTGCGTGGAGAAATGAAGCGTTCTCAAGCTTCCCCGCCAAGAGATCGACAGGGGACTCGGTGTCAGGTTGAGGGCACCGCCACAAATCCACGAATCATACGAGACCCGGACAGTGCATAGCTTTGAGGGACATATTTCAGGGGCGGCTGACCCGTGCCAAGTATGGTAAGCCACTTTGAGCTTGATTCAAAATACTAGGAAAGGGAGAGGTATAAAGAGGGCCTCGGATCCCAACATTCATCCGATTCTCAGCTCAGACTCAATCGACTGGTTCGACACACTCCTCCATTTTCACTTCTGTCTTCTTCTCTACATTCCACCCTGATCACTCTGTCGCAATGTTCATCAAAAACAGCCTCATCCTCTCCCTCGCCACCAGCGCGCTGGCCGCGCACGGCGCCCGCTCTCACGCCAACAAAATGACAAAGCGGTACACCTTCCCCCTCCCCGAGTCCCAGGGCAGCGTGACCCTCGACGAGACTTACGAGGTCTCTGGCGAGACCTTTGACGGAGGCATGAAGACGTACGGCCGTGGCGTTTCCTGCACAGGTCAATCCGAGGGCGGCGACTCCGACGCTGTCTTCATTGTCAAGGACGGTGGCACCCTCAAGAACGTCATCATCGGCTCTGACCAGATTGAGGGTGTGCACTGCGAGGGATCGTGTACGATTGAGAATGTTTGGTGGGAGGCTGTTTGCGAGGGTATGTATCTCCTTCTCGATGTGGGAGTAGGGCATGGCTGATTATGTGCACAGACGCCCTCTCTCTTAAAAAGGGCGACGGTCCCTTCAACGTCGTCGGCGGCGGAGCCCAGGGCGCCGAGGACAAGGTTATCCAGCACAACGGTGGCGGCACCGTGACTGTCTCCGACTTTACCGTCTACGACTTTGGCAAGCTGTACCGCTCCTGCGGAAACTGCGACTCCATGTACGAGCGCCACATTGTCATCGAGGGTGTTACCGCTGTCGATGGCAAGTACCTGGTTGGTATCAACAGCAACTACGGCGACACTGCCACGATTGACAGCGCGACTTGCGCTACGGATGTCAAGACTATCTGTGCGGAGTACAAGGGGACTGATGATAATGATGAGGAGGTGAGTATTCCTGGCCTGGCTCTGGTGATGTGGATGCTAATGTGTATGGTGTTGCAGCCCGAGGAGATTGGCGATGGTCCTAGCGACTACTGCATCTACTCCGACCCCCTTCCCGAGTGCTAAGCTAGTCACGGCTTTGGTGCCGGGGGAATGCCTTTCTACGCTGTAAATAAAGTGCTAGGTACACATTAACAGATGTTGAAAAAGGTTATTGGGTCGATTCCGATTATTCTAGATCACTTGGAAAGGCCAGAACCACCAGCCAATCCCCTTCGGAGGACTTATAACTCTGTCTTTAGGTGACCTGCGCAATGGAAGGATGTAAGAACAAAAGCCAATACTATTGGTGGTCTGCACATAGTGCATGGGCCATTTGTCGCAGCCCCTGTCCTTCGCTAGGCCAGTAAGTCTGATTAAACTCCATCAGCAATAGATTGTACTTCCGACCCGCAACCTGACCTCATTGTACGGCGTCCGAACGGGACAAAAGTATAAAAACGAAATTGTGTTGTAAGCATGTTGTATACGCTGAAATCTGCTAGTAGAACAATTATTAGACCCTTACTGGCTGACCGCCTCCTAAATAGGAAGGCGCAGCTGAGGCCACTAAAAAGAGGTTATTAGATAGAGGTCATTGAACGAAGATCACAAGATCACAAGTTCAAGCACAAAGTTTAATGCCTTGGGCATTAATATTCAAGCCTGTAATTTTAGTACCTAAAATTACTTGATTAATTCTAGACTACCGAGTGGAAAAGCTCGTTTGCTGCGACTGCGAGAGAGTTCTACTACGAAGTACCACGAGGCTTGTATATTAAGCCACACCCCATGAAAATACTCTATTCTATTTTTTACAAATCTAGCTTCCTATTGTAGAAGTAGAGGGTAGTCTTATAATATTATAAAAATTAACTCTTTTAGCTATCTAAATATCCAAGAATTAATTTAAAAAGCCCTTGACTCAAGACCATAAAAAGGTGTTGTAAATTAAGGGAGTTAGAAAGGTGGTATACAGCACCCATACCCCAAAATTTTGTTTTTATCATATTGTCCCGTTTGGCCGGTGTTATCATTGCATACTTTCCACTGCCCGCCTTGAAGCTCAGCTAAGCCACCATCTTTCCCCCGCTTCCAAGAACAACTTCAGCTCCATCCTCCTGAAGCTCAGCTAAGCCACCCAGCTTCCAAGAACAACTTCAGTGCCGTCCTCTCCTTTTTCCCCTCCTCTCCTTTTCCCCCTCATCTCCCAACTCCGCATTCATCTCCAGATTCAAAATGGCAAACGTCTACTTTGACATAGCAATCAATAACGGTAAGTCTGCTAATTTCCTCGTTGCTCCATCCCCTTCCTCACATTGTGCAGAGCCCAAGGGCCGTATCGTATTTCAGCTCTTCGACGACGTCGTCCCCAGAACCGCGAAGAACTTCCGCGAGCTCGCTACGGGCGAGCATGGCTTTGGGTACGCGGGGTCTGCCTTCCACCGCATTATTCCCGATTTCATGCTTCAGGGCGGCGACTTTACCAAGGGCAATGTAAGTCTAAAATAACTCGCAGGGGGGATAGCAGATTTCTTATCGCACGCATCTAGGGAACCGGCGGTAAATCCATATACGGCGACAAATTCCCCGACGAAAACTTCAGGTTGAAGCACACCAAGCCTGGACTTCTATCCATGGCTAATGCCGGGAAGAACACGAATGGTTCTCAATTCTTCATCACGGTGACTATACCACCTCCCTTGTCTAACCTCGCTTCGACAGCAGCAAGCTGACGCAAACGTTTAGACTGTCGTCACCTCCTGGCTTGATGGTAAGCACGTGGTTTTTGGCGAGGTAGTCGAAGGATTCGAGCTTGTTAAGACGATTGAGAAGATGGGTACTTCATCTGGGAAGCCTAAAAAACAAGTGGTTATTGCGAGCTGTGGAACTGTCTAGCGCACTCAAGCTTGTCATGAAGGGAGGGCTGTCTTGTGACGGTGGAAGGCTTTCTCACAGTCTAGGAGCGCAAAATGCCAATGTCAAATTGATTCGTCTTCCGGCGTAATTACCATATACGGCAGCGGGCCTCGTCCTGAATCTGAGTGATGGGTGCGCTTGAAATGCGCTGATTCCTCTTCGTGGTATGTATGGCTTCGACATTTATTGAACCATTCACACCGCAGTACTGTTGGCAGCAGTCTAGCAGTCGGAAACCTTGACGGATGCACTCAACCGAGTGAAAGAACTATAGCTCTATCTGGAGTCAATACCGACAGGTTATCTTTAAAAACGGCTGATTCTTATCATCCATACGCTGGCTAACCAAGTATCAGCATGTTGGAACTTTCGGGACAGTAAATGCCCCACCTTCACAATCACTGGCTGTTCCTACGGTGACGTTTGTGACCCCATGTCCGCAAGTGTCCAGTCACAGAACCGCCGACAAGCGAAGTTGACCCTGGCTGGAATCCTTTCGCCACTCAGTCTCCGTTACAGCGTCCGTCGCAGCTGTAAAGACCTCTTCCACATCGTACCTGCCACCTCTCACCAATTCCATGACCTCGGCCACACCATCCGCCCTGGTTCTGAATGACACGAGCTTGGTCTGCGCACTAGAATCAAGCCTCGAGATCTTGAAAAACACCGCGGACGCCATTGGTAGCCGGGTGGGGCACAGCTGGATACCACCGAAATTGCGTTTGCCCCGAGGTTCGCAGGGGCTGGATACTGGACGTGATATATTACTTGGAGTGAACGCCGTCTGCGTGTATGTACCCTTACCCAAAAAGTCTGGAATAGGAACAAGTGGTTAGTAGATGAAGTTTGCTGGTCTTGATTAATCACGCGCATTCATGTAATCTCACTGTCGTATACTGGAATATCGCATCGCCCGGCCGCATGTCGTGTTGTAGCTGCGAGTCGACCTTGACTTTGAGCGTTGCGCCCTGTGGATTGGGTTAGCTATTTTTAAGCGGTACAGGGACTCGACGTACTCCTGCGGAGTGCACTATGCACTTGGGTGTCGCTGTCTATTCATCTGGTTGGTTTAACCTCGCCCTGAGTCAGTTTCAATCAACCTAAGAGGTGCGAAATCTCAAACCGAAGGCCCCTCGGGAGGAGTACTTACGGTGCCAGAAGAAACTAAAAATGAACGCGGGTTGATCAAACGGCAAGTATTTGTCGGAAAGAGGATCGCCCAAGCCCTTGCCAGGACGACTTTGTGAATATCCGACAGCTAACGCGGCCCCTGAATCGTCGGAAGAACACCAATATGCTGCAACCAGTACCCATCTTTGCGGTCTCGGTTGACCATTCGGCTATCCTCCCCTCCAGCAAGATAGATGTTTCCCCATAGGTATACCCGTTATCCACGAACACAACATTCGGCCTGAGCTGGCCGAGTCGATCAACGACCGCCTTGTACCCGGATCGGAGGATACAGATGACCAGATAGCGCCGATTGATACTGGCGCCAGGGACAGGACAATGGCATCGACTGAATTCGAGATGACGGCTGCCACCCGGTCTCCAACCTGGACTCCGCTGTTCAAACGGGCACTGCGCGCGGAGGTTGTGCGGTGCCTGAGAGCTTTCCATGCTACTGTTTCAAGCAGACGTTGTTCACGCGCGAGGCAGATGGCGAGTTCATCATCCGGTCTGTGACGCAGAATGAGTTCGGCGAGGTTAAATGTTTCGGAAGGGAAGAAGGGGTCGGGGGAAGAGGGTGCGCTGACCATACTCTGGATTACCTGTCCCAAAGTCACAATTGTTCTGTTGTGACTGAAGTATTGGTACCTTGAAAGCATCTCCTTTGGAGACTGCAGCACCCCGTCGCCCGCACCCGATTGCAAGACAGACATAGGTATATTCCTAGAAGGTCGCCGTTGTGGCTGAATCAATCAACCACTGGTGGACGCCGTCGTATGTCTTCAATTTCAGACCAGTCTTCGCTTTGACAAAGTCCATAAAGTTGGAGATTTTTGTCTCGTGGATTGGCCCGGGAAGCCAGACCGGTCTTTTGCTCGCGCTCGTTCGTTTCTCCATCTCTTCGTCTTGCACAAAAAGCTCGTCCACCAATCCACGGATACACTCGGTCATGGCTCTGTGGTCGTTGTTGATCTCAAATGTGTGTATTCTGTTTCACAGGATCTCGGCTGTTGTAGTGCTGGGTTTGTGGAATTTATGCTATCCCAAGTATAATTTGCAGATCATCTTTGATACGCGAGTTCCGGCGACACTGCCTCAGCGTCTTAGCAACGAAGTTTCTGTCTTGCTATAACTTGCGATCACCACCTGCACGATAAGTGGCCAGTGAAGTTGAGTAGACATCCTACCGATAAATCCTATCTTCCCAGTCACAGAGCCACCAGGGTCGATGACGCCGACCACCGGGCGGGGTGATACCATTGCCGCACAGTTTCTATCGCTGGAGCGAGTCTTGGGTAACCCTCCGGTAGCTGTAGTCCATCCGTAGGTCGTACGATTGGTGTTCCGCCTCTGGACATGCATGGTCGGTCTGAGACCTCGACGATCTGGTATGGGAAAGTCGACTTTGGGACCCCAGCGGTCTTTCTTTAGCTTCCTCTGTGTCAGTCGTAGTAGCCATCCTGTCTCCCGTATCAGTCCTATTCCAACGGGGAGCAGTATCTAGTATAAATACGTGTGTTGCTATGCAACAGGATTGGTTGACGAATGAAGAGAGATCGAGATCGAGATCGAGGCGTGGGATGCAAGGGAATTAGAGGAATCAGGGGAAAAGAAGGTCTTACATTTCCAGAGAGTGGTAGTTGCTCAAAAGCAGTTATTTCATTGTCGTCCAAGTCTAAGCGAATCTAACTACCTCGCCAACCGGAAGAGTCCAGCAGCAATGTTGCATCGATCTAACTAAAGAAAAGACAGGAGAGATATCGGCCAACACAGGACCATCGATAGAGACAAAAGAAAAAAGAAGAGGGGACGAGACAATATCAGAACCAGTATCACCAATCATCCAAAGAGAGCGTCAGAACGACTACTCCTTCTTATCACCCTGAGCACCCACGACGGTCACGGTACCATTCTGAATACCCGGGATATCCTGGATGCCCTCGGCAGTGCAGCTATCATCCTTCTGAACGACGACAGACCAATGGTCGGGGTGATCGACAACGCCGCCGGCGACCTTCTTGCCCTCGTGGTCGGCGACGCATTCCCTGGAGATCACAATGGTGCTGTCCATGATGTTCTGGAGGGGCATGGTGCGGCCCTGGTTTGACTAGATGGAAGGACGAACAGGAGTCAGCATAGTGTTACCATGAAGGGGCAGGAAGGCAGCGGTGTAAGGTGTGTTACATGAGCAAAGTGGGATACTCACATCATTGCAGTAGCGAATACTGGTCTTGTGGACACAGTAGGTTTCGACACACGAGTGACGGCCAGCGTGGACGGCAGCGGGGAACCTGGGGTTGACATTGTCGATGGTGTGCTCGAAGAACCGAATGGCCTCCTGGACACGGCTCAGCTCCGGGTGGATGGCCTTGCCCCAGCAGTTGACGGTGTGCTGCTGCAGTGAGGTCATGCGTGTTAGTTAGGTTCTCCTGAGGTGAGGTAGGAAAGGGAGTATAAGAGAGGGGAGGAGGTGAGGAAACGTACCGCAGCAGCCATGGTGGCAAGGAGAGCCAAAAGGAGGGTGATGATGACAATACGCATCTTGACGGTTGACTCTGAGTGAAAGATGTTGGAAGGTTGTGAAAAGAGAAGGGATACTGAAGGCTTGAAGGCCGAAGAGAAGTGGAAGAGAAAACAACCTGGGAGATGGAAGGTGGGTGGAGGAGGAAGGAAACAGAGAGCTTCGAGGAAGACGAAATCTGTTATTTATAGTGCGCAAGACACTGTTTGTTAAAAGCATAATAACTTGGCTGTGCGAGGCGATGAAAGAGGAGAGAGTGAATGTGTTTACATAGGGTCACAACCCTGTGAGAAGAAAATGCCATTCACTATAACGCAATTAGGACAAGTAACGCTGCTTCATGGGAAGGCAGAGGCCGCTTTAAGGGCCAGGGTTTTTGACGATGGCCTCAATTCTAGCCACAAAATGGTGCTCTGGGCTTGTTCGAACGTCTGGCACTGTATCGGAAGGGACGCATGTCTATCGGGCCAAAAGAGGTTCTGCCCAGGGCACCAAGATTGTCGATTTCTGGGCCTGAGCTGCTCGAACGTAGGTTGTTTTGACAGAAACGCATTCCAAAACACCAATCCAGTGTGTCCGCTTCCCCCGACTCTAAGCTACCTGGCCTTTTCGGCGATCAGATGAGCGTTTGTGCTCTCAAGAACCTACAAGCGCGAAGGGCATGACAGAGCTTTTGAGCCTCCTTCCCGATTGAGGAAAGTGGAAGAGCCCGTGGTTTGTGTTGTCGTGTCTCGCTGCCCAGCAGCGTCAAGGTATGTCCGTTGTGTTGCTCCCTCTAGACGCAAAAGTCCCCTCGCCATAAACTGACGACCCTCAGACCGATAGCATCAGCTCCGACTTTGATTCTCCATGCCTTTATACCGGCTCCCATGCGCTCCCCTCTCCCGAAGCCGCAATCCGAATTCGAAACCGCTCCGTTTGCCCTTCAACCCACGACGCAAACTTGACAGCCTCGGTCCGAGAGAGGCAGCACGAATTACGGCACCACCATACCCCGAATTACGCTTTCCTAGCCGGCGAAAGACTGTGACATATTCACCACTGGGCCTATATCCTCAGAACTGGCCGTGGGTATGGACAAAGGGGCCTAGGTTAGCTACGCGTCTTTCTCTGCCCAGAGCCGGGCACCCGACTTGCTGGTAAGAGAACATCTACAGAGAGCTAAAATTTCACTATGTACAGAACTGCATGGCTTTGTTGAAGGACCACTGTTACACCTTGCATCAGTATCACCGCGCCTGCACCATTCTGATAACCTTCTTTCTTCCTCCGACCGCAAGAGACAATACCAAGAGATTGACCGCAGTGTCCGAACACTATCCATAACCCCGGGCTCTGCTCGCTTCATTGATCCGATGAGGTGGCCAGGCTTGTTTCTCCGGCGACGCGAAGCCGGAAACTCCACCTGGCTCCAGGAAATCCACCTGTGCAGTCGTGAAATCCTGCTTGGTCGGTTGATCTTTCAACTTACAATTATACTGTGCGATGCATGGTAAGCTACAATGCCCGGATGTGCTGCTGTTACAGTCGCTGATGAGGTCATTCCAAAGTCTAGATAGTGTTTCGGCGCGTGCCACATGGCAAACCTTACTGCGCCAGGGATCCCCTTCGCTGCTAGAAAACGGGAATTTTCAATGGGATTCAATTCGGAACCAAACAAATTTACAGCCGGTATTATACAGCCGCAAGGGCAACGAGATGGCGGCGTGCTACCTAGCTCCCTCACCCACGCATAAACATACCATCCATATTCCGATTACCAGCGTATCCACCACCCGCTGTATCCTCCGTCCGCATAACCTGAACCATACCCACCACCGCCCGCGCCGAAGCTAGACTGTGTTTTCGCATTCGCCCAGTTAAGCTTCACCGACCTGCCCTCGATCCTATAAGTCCATCCACCCATTCGCCAGTAGCAACCGCTCCCACATGAAGAAGAATATACCCGAAGCAGGAAGGATACGTGCACGTACTGGGTCTCATTGAACATATCAATTGCGGTCTGGGCTTCATGCTCGTTTTGAAACCCGATGAACCCGAAATCTCGGCTCGAGCCGTCGTCGCGGTTTGTCAGTATTATCTATACCGGGTTGGTTAGTTCGCTCTCGTTCGGTTTGAGAGGAGAGGAAGATAACTTGGAAGGATGGGTGGATGGAGCGACCGACCCTGTTCGGGTGCAGGCCCTGCTGCCCCAGCTGAGCGTCGATGGTCCCCGCCGTGGCGTTGTGCGCGAGGTGTCCGATATAAACTCTGCTGGACATTGTGCCGACGAAGGGTCTTGAGTATTGATTGTATTTGGGGGTATTGTCTTGGAGAGCCTTACTTTATGACGTCTTCTTCTGTTAGTGGCGAGGAGTGGCCTCTCTGGTCAGTACATATTCCATTCCAGTTACGCATGAGGTCGCTCTGAATTCATCAGGAATGATACCATTTTATTCGGCACTCATCATCTCGCATATACACGTCGAGTAGAAATTGATGCGGCAACCATTCTTCGGCAGCAAAGGGCATTTCTCGACACCATCAAAGTTCACAGCGAGTATATTCGTGCCACAACGGTTCCAGGAGTAGTCATATGGAATTTCCATCGCCATGGTGAGTGGCTCGCTGCGACGAGGTGTCGAGTGTTGAGCACGAGGTACTAATGAAGTAATGTCCAATCTACTTGTGGCTCTCTGCTCGGTCCAGTCGCAGGCTGTGTCGAGCCCGTCGGAAGAGCTCTGCTAGCGGTCAATGCTGGGGCCCCATCAGCCGCTTGGGGACGCCTAACCTTGTCCCCAATGTTGTGTCAATTTTCTGATTGTTCTCTGCTTAAATGGTCATTGAGCGGAGTCTCGGAGACTTTTTGGTCCCACATAAACCCGGGGCTGAGTCTTATCGCAATCTATTCCAATTGCACCGTCGGGGAGCTCAAGCGAACTGCGATAGGATGTCCGCTAGCGGGTATGGAGCCGCTAGGTGGTCTAGCAACGCGGGATGAGGTGTGATTCGAGCCGCGGGCTGGCCGGGTGTCAAGAGTGGACGAATGGCAAGAACGTACAGTAGTGAATCTAAGTTGGAAGGATTGCACTATCCTACAAGCGGAAGAAACTTCGTAAAGTGGGTTGCTATGATTCTTCTTCGTGATAGGTTCCTTCGTGCTATAGATTCTGCGCAGAAGGCGTCAACGCAGTAAGTACTACTCCGATGTCAGCGAACACAGGCAGCTACTCACTAATGTTGATGGACGAGGGGTAAGGCGCACCATTCATTCGGCTGGTTCACTAATCCGCCTCAGATGTGCTTCATAAGCTGCATCAGCAAGATATATAAAGCCTCCGGCAGCGAGTCTGTTTCTCAACTACAACCGCTTCCGATCAACCAAGCCCTTACTTTACGAGCACCAACAATGGCCGACCCAAACCTTTTCGTTAAGGCAATGGCATTTACCAAAACCGCCCATCGAGATATCTACCCCGCTGTTCAGCCCACCCGGCCAGAACTATCCCAGAGTGGAAAGGTGATTGTAATCACCGGCGCGACCCGTGGACTGGGAAGGGTGAGTACCGATCCAGCTTTGAACACTATGGTACATCTCAGTCAGTCTCAGGCGCTTCTAACAGCAAGGGCTAGGGCTTCGCACTCGCATTCGCCCAGGCGCGCGCACGTGCCATTGCGCTCCTCGGACGCTCTGCCGAGGCGCTGGCCGAGACAGAGAAGCAGGTCAAGGGGATCAGTCCCGCGACGCGAGTTGTCCGTATCATTGTCGATGTCCTCGACGAGGCCGGGATTGGGGCTGCGTTTGAGGAGATTGTTGCGCAGGTCGGCACGCCTGATGTCCTTATTAACAATGCGGGTTACTGTAAACTGGAGACGATTGCTGAGTCCAGTGTTGGGTCGTTTTGGAAGGTCCAGGTTCGTTTGAATCCTCCTTCCACTCCATCCTCCTTTTCGATGATGCAAGGGCAAGGTGAAGACCAGGCGGAGCTCCTGCTAATATCCAACCTTAATCCATCCAGGAAGTAAACGTCAAAGGCCTCCTCATCGTCACAAAAGCATTTCTCAAGTCCATCGAATCAGACAAAACGCAACCCGAGCACCACCAGCAGCGGACAATCCTAAACCTCACCTCGGTCTCCACGCAAAACACCCCCGTGACAATGGACTCCTACACAATCAGCAAAGTCGCGCTGAACAAATTCACCGAGTTCCTCGCCGCCGAGCACCCGTCCATCACGGCCATAAATCTCGACCCTGGAATGGTTGGTACAGATATGGGGAGCAGCGTTGAGCTTATTGCGCCGTTTTTGCATGACACCGTGGAGCTTGCGGCCGCGGGCGCGGTGTGGATGTGCAGTGGCGATAAGAGCTTCCTTTCGGGGAGGTATGTTTCTGTCAACTGGGATGTGGATCAGCTCGAGGCGAAGAGGGAAGACATAGTTAGGAACAATTTGCTGGTTGGGCCCGGGATCAGGAGGGGAAATGCTCCGACTGGCGAGGAGTTGGTTATTCAGCCTTGAGTTCAGATGATGAGAATACAGCTTTATAGAAGCCCGATGAGCTTGCTTTTCGTCAATCTTGTTAGCAAAATCAGAGTCTACACGCGTGGTCGGCTGGTGAGGAAAGCCTAGTATATATATACAGTGCAATGTATTTATTTTTGCTATATCTCTAATCTGCCTTTTCCTGACTCAAATACGACCCCAGGCTGTGGGGAACAGGGTTCCCATCTGTCCAGCTCCATTCAGGGCGAACTAGTAAACCTCAGGGCCAGTTAGAAACTTCCTGAGACCCAGATGGCGGAACAAGTTCATTGCGGGAATAACTCGGCGGCGAGTCACGGCCAACAAAGGAAGCCAAAAGCATATAATAGTGGTCTCGCTCTTTGAGTCTTTCCTACCTCTTTGCCGCAAGTCGACCTTCACAAAAGCGGTAGTGACTGAGTTTAGGGGCTGTCGTCTCTAAAGGACGAGGTTAGGGTCATGGTTGTTACGTGAGTCCACCGTACGCCAAACCCTTCAATCACACAAGTGTAACATGAACTCAGAGTCAAGAGGCGCACTTCTTTGTACCAAATATCAGCCCGAGGTGCACAAAGACTACCCCTGCAGATCATGATAAAACCACCCCTATGAAAAGGACGACAGGACCGCCCATCGCACCATCGTCCCCGTAGACCTATACATTTCCACATTCTCAACCTGACCAAAGACTGCGCCAAAATGAACTACCTCCTCGTCTTCCTCCCCACCCTCGCGGCCGCTGCCCAGCTGAGACCAACAATCGTCGGCGGTACCGAGGTCTCGATTGAAGACTACCCCTACCAAATTGCCCTCCTCAAGGGTGGGACACTCAGATGCGGCGGCAGCATCATCAGCCCGAATCAGGCCGTCACAGCAGCACACTGCGTCTCCGACGTGCCCGCCAGCAAACTCAGTATCCATGCTGGATCCTCCTCCTTCAACGATGGTGGGATAGTAGTAAACATTTCAAGCATTGCTGTGCATTCGAAATATGACCAGGTGACGTTTGACAATGATATCGCGATCGTGACGCTTGCTGGGAGTCTGCCGTTTGGACCTGGGATCGGCCTCGTGGGGTCCACTGATCATGGGGAGGGAACGCTTTCGGATGGCGTCGACGTCGTTGTCTCAGGCTGGGGTTCGGTTCAGGAGGGTTGGCCTGCTTCACCCTCCCTTCAGGTTGTGACTGTGAACGTGGTTGATGTGGACGAGTGCAGAGCCGGTTATCACGACGTGGGCCTAATCACAGAGAGTATGTTCTGCGCGGGGGTTCCGGAGGGTGGGAAGGATTCCTGCCATGGCGATAATGGTGGTCCTGCCATTGTGAACGGGGTCCTTATTGGGGTTGTCTCGTGGGGACATGGATGTGGTTGGAAAGGGTATCCGGGGGTCTACTCGAGCACGGCTTACTTGAGGGATTTCATTGCACAGATGACGGGGCTTTAAGCTGGTCTTTAAGAGTTTAGGCAGCGGTATTAGAGGCTCGAGTGTTTGTTCTATTGGATGAAGGTAACTATTCATAACCTGTGATTGACGTGCCAACGGTCAGCCCGTCTTACTTGCCTATTTTACGTCTTGTACCTCGCATATAATTTCAGTCTCAAAAGTATCTAGCACATACGACCACAGGGTGTGGAGAACAGGGCTTCCCGTCCGCTCAGCCGTACTTAAGCCACACGCCGGTAGGTTAGTAGTATGGTGGGTGACCACATGCGAATCCCTACTGTTGTATGTTCGTGTTCACCCAGTTTTTTGCGCCCGGTCGGGACTGGTCGGGGTTAGCGCCCGTGCCGCTTTGCCTTCAGTCCTTCACCTGAACGCCCTGAAGTCCTCTAAAATTCGTTCGCCAAGCCCGGGAAGCTGACGTGGCCTTTTCTCGCAAAACTTCCGTCGGANGGCCCCTGAAGGCGCTGGAACGTGGGCGGCAAAGCAGCCACAGGCCAGCAGCGGCGGTGGGTGAGCAGTGCCATATACATGCTGTTGTATGTTTTTAATTTTTCTTGCGGTCGCGACTGGTCGGGCTTAGCGCCCACGCCGCCCTACCTTCAGTCCTTCACCCGAACGCCCTGAGCTCTCTAAAACTCGTACAGCGGCGTACTTCCCACAACCCCTCAGTCCATCATGGCGCATCACCTCCCACCAGAGCTATGGGCACATATTGCTCTATACCTTGAAGAAGACCGCTTATCTCTCACTAAATGTGTACGCGTCTGCCGTCAATTGCAGCCCGTCTTCGAGCGCTTGATTTACCGCAGAGTGAAAGTGGAGAGTGAGGAACTTCAACCCAAAGATGGATTCATACCTCTTGCTCGATTCAAATCTCTAGCGAACCAGATGCGGCAATCTTTTGTTCGCCGCGTGGAATATACAGTCGTCATACCATATAATATTCCCGACTACCGAGCGACGAAGCTTGAGGGATACAGTGAGCAGAACGCACTCAGAGACGCGAATAACGAGGCTTTTCAGGCCGGCATATCATCATTGTTTGAGTTTCTCACAACATGGAAAGAAGATTCAAAGATCTCTCTGGCTTTGGAAGTCCAGGGGCGAGTCAGAATGCTTGAACCAGAAACCAAAGCAAACCAAAACGCTAAGGAGTGGCAAGGTGAGCTGCGTGGAGAACGTGTTACTCGTCCGTACCGCGCGCAATTTCCCAGCGGGGACGCTTCGATGTTGACTGAGGTTTCATGCGTCGACCATCTGATCGTCCAATACTTATATCGATCGCAAGGGATTGCGACTGGTGCCTTTTTGCAGATCGCAGAGCGCTGTGCTGCTTTGCGGCGCCTGCACCTGGACATGCCTGGCCAGTTGCGGCCGGATCATGTGGAATATATGCGGGAGCGTAGGGAAGGTATGTTTGGTCTGACTGCCTTGCATCTTGTTTACTCGTACAAAGTTTGAAAACTGACATGACTCACACAGCACTTGCATCGGGACTCTCAAGGCTCCCATCGACCCTTCAGGTCTTCGAATGTGTAGGCTGTTCTGAGCAGCCCTGGTCAAACACGCTTCCCGCTTTAGACTTGCGGTCGGCCAAGGGAATCGACGAGCTGTCGTCCAGCTTGCGTCTTTTTTCGTGCAACCTGAGAGAACTAAGGTTAAGACTCATGTCTGTTGACATGGACTTTCTCTTTCCGCTTGACGAGCGCGGTAACCCTCTGCCCGACTCATCTTCCCTGTACTGGCCGCACCTAGAGACTATTGCCCTAAACGGCGTCGCGGAGTATACACCGACTGGTATGAACTCCCGTCTCTCATGCTCCTGATTCCGGCCTGATAAACTGACACCAGGACCTTCACAGGCGAATGGCTCTTTGACTACGAGCTCGAATCTGGCGACGAAGAAGACTTCCCCGACCCAGAAACCGGCGACGAAATCTTTGAATCGCGGTGGCTACGCGAAGAATACGAGATCTCCCGCGAGAAGATGAATACCGAGCACTTCCACCGCCTCTTCGTCTCCCTCGGGTACGCGTCGCACCGAATGCCTGTTCTGAGACTGATAACGTTCAGCGTCGCGGGCTCGCCGCGGACTAAGTTCACGCTTACTACTACTAGCGGTGCCTGGGGTGTGATCGAGGATTGTCATGCTTCTACTCTTTCTCTTCCTTCTAGCAGTAGGCCGCTGCTGGGTTTCCGGTCCGATTCCGCGTATAGGCCTGATCGGCGGGTTGCGGACGCGTGGGGGTTTGAGCTGGATGAGATGAAGGTTGTGGATGAGGGGCCGCGGGAGGATTACCATTTTGTGGTTTGCTCGGTTACTTTGGATCGGGCTCGCCTGGATAGATAGATACAAGCGTGTCTCTTTGCCACAATGCACAGGGGTTGTGTTCTCTGACACCATCGATGGCTTGCCCGTCCCCTCCGTTGTTTGCTATATTAGGATGATCAAGACTGTCCACTGGATGTGGCTCGATTATCGTAAGTCTTCCGCGGATATAGTACATCCACGGCCCTTGCGTGGTTGGCCTTTGAGAGCGCGGCGGAGTGATCGGAGTCTCGATAAGAGATGTACCCTTTTGGTATTAATTTTTGGTTGGAACTCATGGCCTTACTAGCTTGTGGAGGCTACTAACAACTGAAGAGGAAATTGAGAGTTAAGAATCTGCTGATTTCAGGGATAATCCTAGTCATTACATAGTCCTTATATAACCCTTGTTGCAATCAGAGTGCGTTTACCACCAAACGGAAAACGACCAGGATGCCGTTTGTATGTATCGGGTAGCGGCGTACCTACACGAGATTGGTGTGGCACTTCGCACCCCCTGATCGGTGTCGACATAGCTTTGGACGCATAACATGACTGATGATATTGAGCGCATATCGGAACTAATCACACTTTACTGGCTAGGGTACGGAGGGTGGGTCTGCGATGATATATATTCCTGCGCCAACAATACAATATTATTCCTAAATCGCATAAAAGCGCTGGGCAGCTTGTACTGGAAGTATGTACGTGTAGGGCCCTTTTTAGGTCGACAAATTGCCATTTTATCCCGATGTCATTAAGCGGTTCCCCATCGGTTGCTGCCAGGGAAAGTTCATCAAGCTCGATAATGCAGCAGAAAATCAGCAAAGTGGAAGAAAGATCATGAGACTCCTCCTTGAGCGACGAGGGGATGAGATCCAGATCACAGAGGATGTGGTCATGGCTACAGCAAGAAAATAGTAAAGTAGTAAGGAGATCATGGCGCTCCTCCTTGTAAAGAACGTTTCGTTGGAAATAGAATCGTATTCAACAATATAAGAAGCATGAGGAACTCTAAAGGTTCCGCGTACGCGGAACCGACTATATACAGGGATTGTCACGTGGTGATGACCTAAGTGGGGCGAGACCCGTGACATCCTATCCTAAGCACCTACTTTTTAGAGTGCAAGGCTGGGACGTCTCTCACATTGTGATCCTCTCGCCCCCGTGAATTATGGCTGGGCGTATCGGACTGGATGAACTACTCTAAAGATCTACATGACTCAAGGATGCATGCTACGCCGTGGCCGGGTCCGACGACATTCTGCACAGGCGTCGACGCAGTTCATGCAGGGATCATAGCGGTCACATTTCAACTGAAAAACGCGATAAGTTGCTGAAGTTTTCGCAAGGAATAACTTAATTGACTAACCTTTCTGTCGTGGCAAAGGTCGCACTGCACGGGATCAGCAGTAGGGGCTAGTCCCAGAGCACATACACCTCATTTCGACAGCAATAAAACGAGTAATGAAAGTGACACATACCGCTGGCCGTTCTAGGGTCGCCATCGCCCGCAAGAGTACTACCGGTCAACTGACAGCAGGAGTCGAGGTTTGGTTGTCCGAACTTCGAACCTGAAGTGTCCTTCCTTTGGTGTGGACGTCAATGGGGGAAAATGGAGAGAGCTCTTTAGCTGAAAGCAGACCTTCCTCCTCGTATGACCCACGTTCTGAATCATGCTATGTACGGAGTACGAAAGCTTCGCCACAACGGTCGGACTTGGCAGTTCCTTCTTTGTTCTCAGGCCCCGATGCTGCAGGAATAGAGGGACAAGAGTACCTTCCGTTAAATTGCTTGTCGTTTTTTTACTGGTTAATATCAATGGACGCTGCCTACTCTGATAACGGATAGGACTGGTCACCTCACATCCTTCCTAATCTGGTCGGAAGTTTGGGGGTGTCCGAAAAGCGCCAGGCGAGAATGATCATTAAAGGGTTGCACTGACCCTTGGTGGGAGTGGAGATGAAACGAAATGTCACTCACTCCCGATTATTGGTTGAAAATACATACTCACGTGGGGGATTTTTGGCTCATGATTGCCTGTCAACGTAAATTCCATATTTTTGGGTTTAAACCCACTCTGCGCCAGAGGAGGACGTAATTCGTCCATTTTCTTTTTTCTTTTACCTAAAACCCGAACGTAGGAAACGCTTCGAAATGCTTGACACGACCTCTCCCCACTATCTATAGATCTAGATCGTGATTCAGAAGATGGTCTGTAGAATTACATGTTCTTGAACCTGCAACATCCTCCCAGAACTACTACGTACTACCACCACCACTCATTCCAATTCCATGCCCCTGCCCCTGCCTATCCACAGCAGTAAGCTCGATATCCACATACTCCTCGCCCCCGAATCCCCTCTGCCTCTGCATACTACCTTCCAGCCCGCCAGCCGGCGCAAACCCACTCCCAAAGATCGCCGTGCTCCTCCGCCTCGCTCCATACGCCAGCAGCAGCGCCCCATGATGGTCTTTCCCAGGAGCTGTAGCAGGAACACGAGGATGATACCAAAAGAACCCAAGCAGCGCAAATCCAACCCCCACCGCACTCCCGCCTAGAATATCCCAGCCCGCATGCATATAGTCCATGTAGCGCGACGCAGAGATGTACAGCGCACCGCCGACGGGGGTAGCAGCCAGGACGAGGAGGTACAACGGCGGCGCAGCCGCGGCAGTCGCTCCTCGAGATAACAGGCCGAACTTGGCAGCCAGCCACAGCGCGAAATAGAGCAAGCCCGCCCAGGCGAATGTGCAGTGGCCCGACGGGAACGCGGCGAAGCCTTCGCGGATGACCTTGCGGTCTGGGTTTGTGCAGATTGCCGCGGAGACGAGGACCGGTGCGCTCTCGCGGCGGAGGCCGAGGCCGCTGACGGTGTATTGGGTGATTTTGGAGAGGTCGGGTGCGCAGCGGGCGAGGAGGTCGGGACGGGGTTTCCCGACGATGTCTTTCAGGGCCGAGGTCGTGAAGAAGGCGCCGGCGAGGCTGAGGGCTAGGCCGAGGAGGGCGGCGTGTAGGGTCCAGAGGCGGAGGGGCCAGGGGAGGTGGTGAGATTGTGTTGGGAGTGGGAGGAGGAGGGAGAGGGCTGCGATGAGGATGGCGGGGACGGCGCAGCAGGTTATACCGACGGTGATGACCGAGACGGTGTCGGATCTCAGTGGGTAGGAGATCAATGGATCGTCGAGGGAGAAGACATGCTCGGAGCCTGTGATGCTGTAGAGGATGGCGCCGGCGCCGGCGAAGAGACTGCGATGGGGGTTGGGTTAGCGGTTGTATTTTCTCTTTCTAAAAGGTGTAGGAGACGGACATGATGCAGATCCAATCGAAAATGTAGGATAGGATTACTCGCTTGGAGGTTCGGTGACTCTCGCCGGAGAGGAGGGCAAACCGTCTCTTGTCCACAGGCGTGGGTGCCATTCTCACGGCTGGAAATTGGGAAAGTACATGGAGAGTGGCGGGACTTGATGCATTGGGAACAACTTATAGATCTAGGATACCAACGAAAATAGCTATCAACCCTAGTCTAACGCCTGCGCAGAGGCTTACCAATTGATGTCTTGGAAATATGGCAACCTGGCGGCTCAGACCGACCCAGTCTTGTCTCTGCCTCTCACTGCCTCTCTGCCCCCCACTGCTGTCCACGTGCCATTTGAATACGCCTACTGCAGATCCCCGAACTTTGATAGCTGCAATACGCGCGTCCTTACCCAAGTTCAGCAGCAACCCACTGGTACGTCTCCTCGAAATATTCCAGCCCCCTACATCCCCCATTTCTCGCCTCATAAACCACCGCGCGAGCATCATTAGCCATCCCAGTCGGTTCATAAACAAGCACAGCAACATTCCTATTACTCTCGATTGCCTCTGCCGCCGCTCGAGAAATGATCGCACCAACTGGAGCCCGTCCGCCCTCGATTCTCCGCCCGCCTGCCAGGGCCAGGTTACCGATATCAGCTTCTCCATGCGGCATCATCGAACAATAGGAATGCATCTGCAGGTGCGAGTGGTTGAAGAGGTCGGATAGCTCCCTTTGACATAGGTTATCAACCAGGGCTGCCTCGCGTACTGTCCAGTGAAGATCGATGACAAGCCGACGACGGTAGTCGGCGTTGCCACCATCGGCAGATGGACTTGGACATTTACGCAGGAGATCCTGCAGCTACGCAGTTGCAACCCTGATCCCTGTCCCGCCCGTGATCATGAGAGCGTTATTATAACCGTGCAATGAGATGTGGTACCCGTATGGGCCTTCAACAAGGAGGGTTGGATGGGAGATGAAGGACGGAGACGGAACGCATTGATCCTCGAGACGCCTTGTCCAGCCGAAATACGGCCGCACAGAGAATGTCAACGTTGGCGCTGCTGTTGATTTGGCGAGCGCTCGTTTCTCCTGCTGCATTTGGCTTTGCTCTTGCTCCTCGTGTCCCTGTTGCTGAGAGATGGTGAGCGTTGACAGAGCCGCTACCGTCACTTGCATTTCCTTTCCAGCAAGACTGCGATTCCAGCTGTGGTAGATGGTCATCAGTGTGGTGCGCATACAAAGCCATGGTTTACGGATGAGTCTCCCAGCCACATCACGAAGTGGGCTGGCAGAGATAATACACATGTCCGGCCCTTCGGCTAATCGGAAGTGCCGATAGCTAAATCCTGATGCGGGGCACGTCGCCTTTCGGGCTGTATGTGACTCTGCTTCTGCGCGTGGGAAGGAGTCAGTCTCCCGCTCTGCGCGCGCATGTTGCAGCTCGCAAGGCGGGCGATGCGGGGGAGGCGGTCAAGAGCCCAGAGGGGGACAACGGGCCAAAGGTGCATGGTATATTCTGTGCCAAACCTGGAGATGTGTCTTGTAGAAGTTAGTGTCATGTCTGTGCTAGGCTTGATAATGCGAGTCTTACTTGCACAAGGCGTAGACGATGACAATGCCAGATAGGATGTGTATCCTGAGGAATACCTCATAGTATCTTTTGCGCAGTGTCGTGGATGAGAACGGGACGAGAAGAGACATGGGTGCTGTGGCCTGGATAGATTTAGCATCGCAATCTACTACGTGTGCTTGCTTTCAGGGCCAGCATACCACAATACCAAGCCCGAACCAATTTGTCTCCAAGTCCGTGTAGTACTTGCTTGGGGCTAAATGTACTGTTAGTGTTCCGTGTATTCATCAGAGGACACTAGACGGATCGTACAACAGGCCAGATACTTGTCAGTATAGGAGCTAGTGTGAAGGATTGCGTAAATGATAGCGAAGAAGCCTGATTCATGTGTTTAGATCCCACGTTCAGATATGCTGAGATGGGCAGAAGAATAGTATTATCAAGATCAACAGACAGGTCTCTTCGAGAGCCACCAAATGAGCAAGCCACACCACAACGTACAGCCACTGCCGCCGTATTAGTAGATTAGATGGTCAGATTAGATTGATACCTCGAATCAGATCAGATTGATAATGACGTGCAAATCAAGCTCGACCCAAGCACATGTCGGCCACGAACTTCCGAGCTCCGAGCCCCGGTGGGACCTGGTGGACTGCTTTCATGGTAGATATGACTCGTAGTAGGAGATATTAATCTACTGGTAACAAAAAGGCCGAGATAACTAGGCCCCATCCAGGATTTATCGCCAGCGAAAGAAGGACTTGTAAGTGATATTTGTAGAATTCGTTTCATTCGTTGGGATCCCGGTCGCCAGGAATTCCCTCGCAAATGCTGTGGCTCGGACAGAACCGGTTGGAGGAAGCGACAATCTCTCGGCAGAAATCAAGACTTGGAGTGGGGTTGGCTAAGCTTGCTTGGCCTCGCTTCTTTATGGCCTGATCCACTGATAAGCGTGTATTGTGCGTATGGTAACTGTGACAGTCTGACACGTCCCTTTTTTTCCCAGTGTCTCACTACTTGATCTCCACCATTTGCTGCTCCACCTGCTCCTCGTTGAACAGTCCACTAGGCACTGCACGTGTAATTTCCTCCGATCCCTGCTGCAAAACTTCCAACTTGGGCTTCGCGTACCACGTGAGACCAGGCACTTTGACGAGGACGAGCAAGATGCGCTCGCGCAGAGATCGCTTGCCCGACCGTTCCTCCCAGAGCATGTAGGCCACGCAAAGAATGATAAAGATCCAGTACACATTGTACGCAATGATGGATCCGTACGTGCCCGTATTTTCCCATCCAAGAATGGCGTTGAAGACGTCCCAGCCATTGTCGGTCTCTGCGTTGCAGCAATTGACGTGCCAGACCGTCTGGCGGATGTTGTACGAGCCGGGCCCGCTTCCAGACTCTGCGACATCGGACCCGACCCCTCTCTGGAACTGGTAGTACTGGATATCCCAGACCCCCTTGGAAAACATACCCGCGGCCAGTAGGTAGAGGATGCATGTCGAGGCAATCAAAAAGAGCTGGATGGACATGGCATTCCCACCGCGGTAGATGAGATAGCCGCACGCCAGCCCGGTCACCGCGCCGGTGAAGACAGGCAAGGGGAAAGCAGTGGCTGGGTAGCCGAGCGAGACGCCACCCACAAAGACGACCGTCTCGAGCCCCTCGCGCAGGACGGTAACAAATGGAAGGATGAACATGGCGTAGCGACGGGCCCAGTCACCAAGCAACATGGACTTTTTCGGGTTCTTACTCTTTTCTACCAAGGCTTTGCCGATTTTCACGCGCCACTGCTCCTTGGTCTTGTTGATGCGCAACATGGCCAGCCCCATGATGGTGATAATGACGGTCGCGATCAAGAAAAAGATGCCTTCCCACAACTTCTCTGCGTTGGACCAGACATCGTGGCCCAGTCCATAAAAGACTCCAATGATGGCACCCGCCCATACCTGGCGAACGAGGCGCTTGTAGATGGCCTGGTCTTGGTGTGGCTGGCCCATGCTCTGTTTGAGAAAGGCAAGGAGCACCGAGACCACGATTGACCCCTCGAGGCACTCGCGAAAGACGATGAAAAAGACTTGGACAGCAAAGACATTGGCCATTTTGACAAGGAAGAAATCTCACAACTTTGGGAAAAGTTGGTTGCACATTTCGAGGGATTATATACGGCCGGTGCGCTGGTCTCTTCCCCCTGGTGGATCGCAAAGCCCCCACGCGTGTTTTCTGACCCGACGGTACCGTATGGAAAAAAAGCGTTATCTGATGGCTCAAGAGGGGTCGTCCCACGGCGCTAGAAAACTTTGTCCGGAGAGCGAGCCAATGGCCGAGGCTGCCCACCATCTGATACGGGCAAGTGCAGGTGCTTTTTCCACTCGAGCTGTGCCCCAATAACAGGGGATCCCCGCCGCAACTGAGCTCTTGTGATCACTTTCATCTCGCTTCCTCCTCAGATCGTCCCTCTCTTCTCGCTTTCTTCCTTCCATCCTTGTTTCTCCTTCCTCCCGTCAATGGCGTTCCCTTACCTATACTACGTGCTGCTGCTGGCTCTCGGCGTGCCCCTACTTGCCAAAGAAGTTGTGTACGACTTTAATGTCACCTGGGTCACGGCCAATCCAGATGGCTTGGCAGATCGAAAGGTAGTGGGCATCAACGGCCAATGGCCACTGCCTGTCATCGAGGTCGACAAGGGCGATCAGTTGGTGGTGAAGATGCACAATGGCTTGGGGGACAAGAGCACCAGCATTCACTTCCACGGCATGTACCAGAACGGAACCAACCAAATGGACGGGCCAGGCATGGTCACCCAATGCCCAGTGCCTCCCGGCTCAAGCATCACATACAACTTTACTGTCAACCAGAATGGAACCTACTGGTACCATTGCCACACAGACTACTGCTACCCCGACGGCTATCGGCAGGCTCTTATCGTCCACGACAACAGTTCGTACTTTGCCAATCAGTACGAGGAGGAGTTGACTGTGACTCTGAGTGACTGGTATCATGAGCTAGCTGAAGACATCAAGCCAGAGTTCATGTCCCTTTACAACCCCACCGGAGCCGAGCCCATTCCCAATGCCTGGCTCTTCAACGACACCGTCGATACCAGCATCTCGGTCAGGCCCAATACCACATACCTCCTCCGGCTGGCCAATATCGCTGCTTTTACTGCACAATACTTTTACATCGAGGATCATACCTTGACGATTGTTGAAATCGATGGTGTATACACTGAGCCAACAGAGGCAGATATCCTCTACATTGGTGTAGCGCAGCGCTATTCTGTACTTCTCACCACCAAGAGCACGGCAGACAAAAACTACCCCATTGTCACTGTTGTGGATTCTACCCTGCTGGATACTATCACCCCGGACCTTCAGCTAAATAGCACCAACTGGCTAGAGTATGATGCGGCACTTGCACATCCGCAGGCGAACATTACCGTCTCCGAATCAGACGAGCTTGTCCCTTTTGACGATGGCGCGCTCGTGCCCTACGACCACGAACCACTCTTGGAGTCCCCAGATCTCAGCGTCAACGTGGCTGTCATCATGGATAACCTTGACAACGGAGAGGGCTATGCCTTTTTGAACAACATCAGCTACACTGCCCCCAAGGTCCCGACATTATACACGGTCATGTCAGCTGGTGGTCTGGCCACCGACCCAACTGTCTACGGCGACTTCACGCATACGAGAGTCCTCGGCCACAATGACGTTGTCGAAGTCATTCTGAACAATCAAGACTCCGGCTCCCACCCATTCCACCTTCACGGTCACGTCTTCCAAGTCATTGCACGATACCCGCCCATTGGGGCTGATTTTTACAACTTCGCCGACGCAACCGACGCCATCGCCTTTGACCCCGCCAACCACACCGCATTCCCTGCGTACCCTCCGCGCCGCGACACCATCGTCGTCCCGCCCATGGGCTACGTCGTGCTCCGCTTCCGCGCCGACAATCCGGGCGTGTGGCTCTTCCACTGCCACATCGACTGGCACATGATGCAGGGGCTCGCCATGACCTTCGTCGAAGCGCCGCTCCTCATCCAGGACCAGCTAACGATCCCGCAAGACCACATTGACGCGTGCAAGGCGGCGGGTCTGGCGTATGAGGGCAACGCCGCGGCCAACGTGGACGACTATCTCGATCTCCGGGGCCAGAACGTGCAGCCCGGCTGGATCCCGGACGGGTTCACGGCGCGGGGGATCGTCTCCATGGTCTTTTCGGTGCTGAGTGCCTTCCTCGGTATGGGTGCGATTGTGCTCTACGGGCTGTCGGATTTGAAGTTTGCTGGGAGGGCGAATACTGCACAGGCTGAGCCTGCTGCTGCGCGGCAGGGGGCAGCAGATGAGTATCAAGACTAGTTAGATAGATCGAAATTAGAGCCTCGTCTTTTGCAAGATAGCAGCTGGCTTGCTTGTTTGACCTCTTTACGGAGTGCCGATAATAAATCTAAGATCTCTGACAAAGGTCCGTTACGAAAGCCGCGATGTTCCATTTAGAGAACCCGGTTTTCCATAAAGCTGAGAATTTACCATGAGACACTTGGGCAGGTACCTATGTACTGGCCACCAACTGACAACGATGCCCGGCAGGATGGCCAGGACTGGCAGGACCGGCTCCTGCACCTAGCCAAGACGCAAACCTACGCCTGCGATTGGGGCTTTGTTGATTGCGGCGCGAAAGACGATGCTACTAGCCACAACGGTGGTGCTGGAAATGGGAAAGGTGCATTGAAGATACGCGTGCAGCAGCGCTTTAGTCCACCTGTGTTGAGCTGGTGCATTGACCTCAACGTGACTTATACCTTTTACGCGTCGGGGGCCATCTCCATACGCACCATCGGCATACCACAAGGAGAAAACCTGCCCCGGACTCTCCCGAGGGTTGGATTTACCATGGAGCTGCCATCTTCTTGGGCTAGTACTACCACCACTTCTCCTAATCGCACACCTGGTTCTACAAAGTCCATTGCGGTCGATGTTGGCGGAGATATCGATGCGGCGCTAACATGGTATGGCCGTGGTCACGGAGAAAGCTATAATGACAAGAAGCTCTCGCAGCGGGTTGGCACGTACGCCGTTCAGTTCATCTCGGAGCTGTGGACAGAGTATGAGAAGGCCCAGGAGGGGTCAAACAGGACGGACACGCGCTGGCTCAAACTCACAAACCACGACTCAAGAAGAGCAGGCCAGCGGCAGACCCTAACCGTGCAGTTCGTTGGCGATGAGGAAGGAGAAGAAGCTCCTGCTGACCGCGACGTCGACCTTGAGGGGAGCAAGAACCTGGCGCCTAGTAGCGAAAGGAAGAGAAGCCTGTTTGATTTTATGGCTAGCCACTACCGCGCCGAGAACATTGCATCGCCAAGACACCCACACGAGGTTCGTAGTAAGCGGACTGACAATGTGGTTTTGCGGCTTGATGCTGCGCACCATGAACTTGGTAGTGGTGCTTGCGGACCCAAGACGAGGGATGAGTATGCCTTGGTCACTAAGCCGTTTTATTTTGAGCTTCTGTTGGGCTGAGTGTGGAATATATTATCATTTAAACATTTATGTACCTAGCCAATCTACTAAAGGATCGAGCTTCTCCATGGATCGACATGATACCTTATTACTACAGAACGATTCTTTATCGCCCTCGACGGTGGTACTTGCTGTCTCAGTTTTCAATCTTGCTTCCCTACTATTGTATGTTTTTGCTTCTGTTTTCAATTTCATTGGTGTTTTCTGTTCGCCACATGGTGGCTGGCTCTGCGTCTCAGGTTGACCGGCTGGGTGGTCTCTGGGTTGTCACTAACTTCAGACCTCAAAGCGGAAATAAAACTAATGGAAAGAGTGTGAATTTCTCTCAAAGCTCTCGCTTTCAGCTCGTTACTGCAGCTAGAATGACCAGAGTATGAAGACCCGAGACCCGTGCATCCCAGTCCCCAGCTGGTTCCTAAGTACAGAGACACTCTCCCCCCTTTTTTCCCCTTTCCTCCTCCAAATTCCCACCATTGCCCGTGCAATACGTCTTCCCCCTTCGTTAGACCATCAATAGCCACTGAACGACTGTCGAGCGGAGACCAGATCCGTTGTCCGCGCCTAGCAATAATTCTTTACGCAGGTGTTGTAGTTGCCCGGGTAGCAGGCCGCAAAGCACGAGCCATTGCCGTTGCAGCTGGAGGTGCAGTACCGGGATGCCAAGCTAGAGCAGTCGCTCTTGCAGCTGCCTATACGATTGTCAGCTTGTTTCGCACAACACGGTACTGTAAAATAAGGACTCGACGTACGTTTCTCGAGCGGCGCGGCGGCCGGAGCGGCAACAGTTAGGGTTGCCAGCGTAAGTGCGAAGATAGCGGCGAGCTTCATTTTGATGGTGTGGGTGGTCTGAAAATATGTTTGGCTTTCAGTTGTTGAGATTGTTGAGTCACTCGGAGTGGGCTTGATCTTGTTGATGAAGGAGGATCAAGGTGGAACTATAGACAGTATTTATAACTAAGTCTCTCGAGATGAGGGTGAGTGGATTGACGGACCGCCGGGCCGTCATTGCGATGGTTGACGAACTCGTTTTAGAGGTTCTTTTGTTTCTCTCCCTCGGTGGCGAACAGCGTCTGCAAGTTCTGGATACGAGCGCGGGGATCCCCACGGGGATCCTGCAGCTATCTCGTATCAATATTAAAATGTCTGAGCATTAGATGCGCCAAGCGGGATCTAGACCAAATCTATCGCGGAAGCTTTATATGGGCTCGTGTGACAAAGGTTCGCAGAATGAGTCAACTCTGTTCACTGGTGGAACTGTCCTGCCTCAGTCTTTCTGTGGGTAGTATACACTGAGGTCGCCTAATCTGGACACATTTCGCGAATCCACTCTGCAGGCTTGAGCTGATGTACCTCCGTTCCTCAATTGTATGCGAGCGGCTGTAGCTTTGGGCTTTCGGGGAGCAAAGCTTTAGGGAATCTCCGTGTCTGTTGCAGTAAATGGTGCGATAACCGAGCTGTGTGAGACCAAAAGGGGCATCTTCAGCCACATGTAGGTACTAGCTAAGAAGACGTTGGAGAAGCTGATTACTGCCGATGACCAAGTATAAGCTGCCGATAGCCCTTGATGCCGTTATCGTCTTCGTCAGGTGCGAGTGCATGGGCCATGAAGCTGATCGCGGCCTATGCGAGACTGCTTATGTGGTGGCCTTCGAGATTGGGCCCGTTATTGAGTTCTGCAAGAGCTGGAATGGCAAAGGAGAGAATCCAGGTCGCCAAAATTGACTCATTTTGTGTCACGGACTCTGTTGGTGTAGTGATCCACGAAGTGTCCGATGGCTTCTTCATGTGGGGTTCTCTCTCTGCCTGCTTTTCCCTCTCCTTCCACGGGGACGTTTGAGGACGTGCCCGTTCCTGGGCTGTTGAGTGACGTGGTCGAAGCTGACCCAGAATGCCTATGGTGTATCCTCTGCCGTCTTCCTGGTCCCATTGTCATACTTGAGAACACTCTGGGCAATAGGGGAACCAGCCGCCCCGGAATCCTCTGGGTGGCAATAAAACACGTAACCAAATCAGTATATTTCACATGATCGGTCTTCCTCTACGATTTAGGATACGGCCGTTCTTCGTACACAGAGTCATCGTGACACGCGGGCTGTGACTCGCCTAGGTGGGTCTCAATCCGGGTGCTGTGAGGTTAGAAATGACCTAGCACACCTAGAAGCAATCTCCAGTAGCCGCCCGGTGTCCGGCTACTGGGGCGCGAAATCCGCTTAGAAACTGCAATATTTCGCTACGTGTGGGTGGAACGCGCCAGGGTTCGTCAATATGACGCTTCGCCAGCCGTATGGAGTCGTCGCGGCAATTATCCCGTGGAATCCGCCGGTGTATTTCTTTATTCTCAAGGTCGCGCCGGCGATTGCCGCGGGGAATACGGTTGTCATTAAGAGTAGTGAGAAGGCGCCGCTGACGGTATGTCTATCGCCGGTGCTATGGATTACGGGGGCAATACTGACGCTGTTCCCAGTCGGCCAAACTCGCGCACTTGATCCAGCAAGCTGGATTCCCCGCAGGCGTGATAAACATCCTTTCTAGCCACGGTCACATATCCGGTTCAACCCTCGCGCACCACATGGACATCCAACTCCTCAGTTTCACGGGTCAGGTCGAACAGGTTGACTAATTCAACAAGCCGCAGCGAAGTCGAACCTTAAGAACGTCATCTTCGAACTGGACGGTAAGTCTCCGGCAGTCGTCTTTCCAGATGCTGATCTGGTGAAGGCCGCTCGGGAGTCTGCGTATAGTATCCAGTGGAATAGCGGGCAAGTATGCATGGCTAACTCGATGATCTATGTGCATGCTTCGGTGGCCGAGGAATTCATTACGTCTTCAAGGAGAGATTTCGAAATTTTCGTATGGGCGATCCCACGATCCGAGGGACAACGATGAGCCGCAGGTGGATGAAGTCCAGTTCAGCATCGTCAAGTAGTACATCGAGATGGGCAAGCAAACTGGCAAGCTCATCCTTGGTGGTGGTGGTGGTGGTGCTGCTGCTGCTGCTTTGAGGACGGGCCTGAAAAGCAGGGATACTTCGTCGAGCCAACAGTCTTCACACGGACGCCCGAAGACGTGCAAATCATGAAAGAAGAGATATTCGACCCAGTCGTAAATATTAATGTCTTTGAGGAAGAGGCCGGTGTCATTCGCCTGGTCAATGCGTCGGAATTCGGGCTGTATCCGGCTGTGTACACGCGTGACGTGAGTCTAGCTATGCGAATGGCGACAGCTATTCAGGTAGGCACTGTTGGTATCAACTGCACGAGTCCGTCAGGGGAATTTGATATGCCGCTCGGCGGATATAAAGCCAGTGGCATTCGGATGGAAGCTATTCATCATAGTCTAGAGAACTACGAGACGAAAACGGTGCTCATGAGTGTCAATTCGCTCTAGTGCTTTTACTGAGTTACATATTTCAAGTATATATGATATCAACTGCCTGCGAGTCAGCGCCGTTTGCTATGGTTTGTACCGGGAAAGGAAGAAGTGTATATTCTGCAAGTGCCCAATTCCAACTAGTAGGTAGAAGTTATCTTATATAAGTAACTAAAAGGCCCTCTTATAGCTAGGCATGTATAGCTAATTACCCTAGATCTACCTATCTCTACTAAAGGATAGGGTAGACTACTAGTATAAGAGCCTACTATCTCTTATAGGTTAATAGGGTCTGAGCTCCTATCTAGGAAGATAGGCCTAGGATAGTAATAGAGGCGTTTTATAAGTATAGTATAAACTGTGCTATAGGTAGTAAGTTAATAAACTATATAATAGCTACCTAGTTCTTATATATTATAGGCGCTAGAGGCGCCCTATTTTACACCTCCTAAGGAGTACCCACGGGATGTAGAGAGAATTAAAGAATATTTAGGCTATAAGTAGCTAGTACTATCTAGATATTTACTATATTAGCTATAAAGTTTCTATGAGAAGTAGAGTAGGGGGGTAGTAGAATAATAGGGGGCTAGGTAAGGACTATAGTAGTAGGTATAGGAGTAGGTATAGGTATAGGTATAGAGAAAGAGTAAATGTAAGGAACGTCTCTCGATGAACAAGGTCGTATTAAACTAAAATACGAAGCATGGAGAACTAATGGAGGTTCCACGAAGCGGGACCAACTATATACAGAGAATTATCACGTGGCGATGACCTAAGCAGGACGAGGCCCGTGACACTACCCCCCCCCTTAACAATGCAGATATCGCGGCCAGAGACGTAGATATAGGATAGAATAAGAATATATACACAAAGTTTAGTTAAAGAAATTAGGTAGCGCGGGCTTCTCGAGGTGCTATTAGTAATAGGCAAGGATCTTCTTAGGCGCGTTCTTAAAATCTATCTAGGGCTACCATGGAGGATTAGCGTTCCACTCATCCCACGGGCCATTAAATATAGCCTTATATTAGTGGTGATTACGGTACATGTAGTAGTTAATAATCTCGCGTATATCCCATTCCTCATAGCCTTCAGGATCACTAGGGTTAGTAATAATAACTAGGGGTTTAGGATTAGCTACCTAGCCAGGGAGGAGGTTATTTAAGGTAAGATAGAGCTTCTATAGATAAAAAATAGAGGTAATACTAGTATTTAGCATGTAAATTAGTAGTTTAACCTTATAGGCCTTGCTATTAATCACGCGCTTGATTAGCCATGGCCTAAGGTTCTTTAGAGCTAATAACTCACTATTCTACTAGAGGTTAAAGTAACAGGTATCCATGTACACGAGGTCTCCCATGTTATAGCATGGATAGGGCTAGTATTACTAGTTAGCATAGTATTCATAGGAGCCTTAGGCCTAGGTGATCTCATCCTAAAGGAATTCTACAATCTCGCGTGTGTATTAAACTAGTTAGTCCACGACAAGTGCCTGGGGGTGGTTTAGGGGATCCCTATACATGCCTAGAGGTTCAGCGCCTGTATAGGGGTGGTAGGCGTGGTAGGTAAAGAAAGGTATTATACTAGTTATCTTACTAATATTATTATTCATAGTGAACTAGGCATTAGGCAGGAACTAGGCCTAGTCATCCTAGGCGTAGTTAATATAGGCATAAAGGTAATTTTTTAGGCCCTTAATAGCATTTTTAGACTACCTATTAGTCTCAGGGTGATTTATAGATGATAGTTTAATAGAAACATAATAGCGAGCATAGTATTAGTACTAGAAGTAGCTTATAAAGGTACTCTCATAGTCTAATATAATTAAATAAGAGAGACTAAACTTATAGAAGATATAGTAGTACATAACCTCCATAAGCTTGCTAGTTTCTTTAGTCTATAGCAGCTCGAAGATACATTATTTTATTAGGTAGTTAACCATGATTAGTACGTAGTAGTAGGTATGATTATTTAGCATATATAAGAGAAGGTCTTCTATAAGGTCCATAGAGATATCAAGCTACTTTCACTCTAGGATAGATAGCGGCCTAAGCAAGCCCTATTTCTAGGTATTATAGGCCCTCAAGCGCGCGTAGGTATAGTAGTAGTTACTATAGCACTTATAGTCATCACGCATGCGCGGCTAATAATAGTAGAGGATAACCTTCTAGTATATTCCCTTCCACCTAGGGTGGCTAGTAGTAGTTAGTTAGTAGTAAGTTTCTATAATCCTTTACTAGAGATAATTACTTTTAGGGATATAGAGCCTCTTATTAACCTAGAGCTAGTTATCACGTATTATCAGGTCTACCATAGAGAGCTTAACACCTTAGGATCTAATAGGCGCGGGTAGCTATAGTAGGCCTTTATTTACTACCTTAATCATGGCCTGTATAAGCTTATTATTCGCGTAGGCCTCTATAATAAGGTTCTCTAGGGGCTCTTTAGGGGCTTTAGCCTCTAGTTTAGGGGTTACTTTAGGGGTAACGTCCCTATAGGCGTCCCCAGGGATATCTTTATTAGGCATGGTAGCTAGAGGCTCGCTTACCTCAGAGTTAGTATCTAAGAAGAGGTCTAGGACGTTATATTCATCCACTAACTAGGCTAGCTCTAGGGCAGCTTCAGAGGCAGCTTTAGGGGTAGCTTTAGGGGGTTCTTTAGGGGCTTCTTTAACCATAGTGGCGCGAGCGCGGGTGATAATAGTAAAGGTTATATAGATTACCTTCTACACGTCCTTATTAAGGTGTTTATTCTAGAGGACTATTTAAAACTATTATTACTTGCGTTTATTATTAAAGCCTTTAGGGAGGTCTTATAACTAATAGGTAAGAAGATTAGGCTTAGTCCCCTACGTCCCAGGGCAATACTAGATCTTAAAGTTAAATTTAGAGAGGAACTCTACCTAGCAGGCTTAACAGTAGTTTAGTTACTTCATAATCATAAAGTACTCTAGGTTATAGTAGTTAGATAGTACCTTTACTAGGCCCTCTAGGGGTATACTAGTAAGCTCAGGGCGCCATGTCTTAAATACTTAAATAATCACAAGTAGCTCTTTATTATAAATTATATAGTTAGTCTCTACAGGGGCTATCTTCTTTAAGAAGAAGGCTACTAGGTGTAGCTTACTATTATATATCTAGGATAGCACGCTAGTAGTTACAAAGTCTAAGGTGTCTATCTTAACCTAGGTCTCTTTATTAGGGTTAAAGTACACTAATATAGGGGCGTTAATAAAGGCTTATTTTAAGGCCTAGAAGGCTACTTCCTACTTAGGATTCTACTTAAATAGTTAATAGTATACGTGATGTTTCCTAGTCTTTATTATATACATCTTAGAGCCCTTTATAATCTCGTTTAGGGGGTGCGTTAGCTACGAGAAGGCCTTAATAAAGCACTAGTAGAAGCCATAGAACCCTAGGAAAGCCTATATATCCTTAATAGACTAGAGGGTCTCCTAGTTAAGGATCACTTTAACCTTCTTAGGGTCTATCTTAATACTATCCATGCTTATAATCAGGCCAAGATACTTGACCTATTTAATACTAAATTCGCACTTGTTAATGTCCATGTATAGGCCTTGATCAAGTAGTTATTAGAGGACCTTTAGCACGTGATTAGTGTATTCTTTAGGAGTATTACTATATACTAGGACATCATCAAGGTACGTGGTGCAGAAGATGTTAAGGTAGTCAAGGATCAAGTTATTAATATAACTCTAGAAGGTCCTAGGGGCATTATAGAGGCTAAATAGCATAATAAGGTATTTAAACTACCTATAGCGCGTGTTAAATATAGTAAGCTATTCCTTCCCCTCTTTTATATATATCTAGTTAAACGCGGTAATAATATCAAGCTTTATAAAGACCTTGGCTTGAGAGAGCTTCGCTAGCATGTTAGTAATAAGCAGGATTAGGTAGTAGTTCTTAATAGTAAGCTCATTTAATACGTGGTAGTTAATATACACATGGAGGCCACCACCAGGCTTATAGATAATAAGGACTAGGACTGCTATTAGGGATAAGCTAGCCTAGATAAAACCCTTACCTAGGTACTCCTTTATATATTTTAGGATCACCTCGCATTCCTAGATATTCATTAGCTGGTAGTTACGAGAGAATAGGGGTTTAGCGCTATTAATAAGCTAGATATTATAGTCCTTAGGGTAATATAAGGGGAGCTAGTTTACTTCCTCCTTTATAAAGACCTTAATCACGCTATAGTACTCGCGGGGGACACGTTTCTTAAGCTCCTCTAGCGTGTATTTTAGGGCGCCGGCCATAAACTTATCATAGTCCTTAGGCTGTACAGCCCCTATGGTTGTAGCGCAGAGCTGCTTAGCCTGCTACCAGGGCATCATAACAAAGCCATGGTGGTCACGGCACTTCGCTAGCATAAAGAACAGGCGGGCGCTCATGAACTAGATATTAGCCATGGGGGTTTCGCGCTTAGTGAGCTACACGGGAGAGCCCTAGGCGTACACAGTACAGGGGCGGGCATGGTCAAGACATCCCTTCTCAAAGCACTAAGCTGAATTAAAGCAGACGTAGCAGTCAGCAAAGTCAACCCGGGGGTTATGGTCGCTCAGCCACGGGTCTCCAAGGATGAGTTTGTAGGTTGGGAGGGAGGATTCGCTCGCGGGGAACATGGTTGAAAGCTTAGCGTGGGTTTGATAGATATCGTTGGTCCGGGGATGAATTCCGATGCGGTGGGGTGACGCTAGGGGCGAAGTGACAGGGATCATCAACAATGACCGTACAGGGGTCGTGGAACGATGAAACTAAGACGCAGAGACGAAGTATGATGCGGAGAGATGAATAGGGAGCTTGATTTGATGCTTCATATTGTATAAGGAACGTCTCTCAATGAACAAGGTCGTATTAAACTAAAATACGAAGCATGAAGAACTAATGGAGGTTCCGCGAAGCGGGACTGACTATATACAGAGAATTGTCACGTGGCGATGACCTAAGCGGGACGAGGCCCGTGACAGTAAACTACCCCTATAGGAGGGGCCTATATAC